CAGTCGTACGACCTCCTCCTGCACCGCGTTTCCAACCTTCCGGCCTCTTCCTAGTCCGGCCCTACTTGGGACCGTAGTAACGGCGTACCGGATGTTCTTCTTCGTTGTCCGTGCCCGTATAATCTCGGCGTCTTCCGCAATCATCTGCTGCCGGAACCAGCCCTCTAGCTTCACCGGGAGCGTAGCTGTAAGCAAGATTACCGGACAGTCGTACCGGTACAGCCCCTTCAGCTCCACGAGCCTCTTCCGGTAGCCGACGTCCATGATAATCGTGTGGCACTCGTCGATGAAGATCCGCCGTAGTAGCCTCCGGCTCCGTAGCGTGTCTGCGTAGTTGCAGAACTCGTGGTTGCTTGCCTGGTCGGCGCTGACTACGACTAGACTAGCCACGCGCACGAGCGAGTTAGCTTCCCGGCCCTCCTCCTCAGCCGACCTCCAGCGTACGCAGTCGATCCCGAACGAGCGTGCCCGCGCGACGAGATCGTCGATCAGCGCTACGAACGGAACGACGACGATACTAACGCCGCCGTTTAACCCTCGTACCGCCGGGACCATAAATAGTAGACTCTTGCCGCCGCCCGTCGGTAGTACGACGATGAGTACGGAGCCGCCTCGCATCTGTATGATCCGGACCATGGCCTGCTCCTGTTCTGCCGTCCTCCAGCGCGCACCGGCCCCAATAATCGATTCGAGCCCGTGCTGGACCCGGCGCCGGACCTCCCCGACGGCTTCTGGGAGCGTCTTCCTCTGCTTCGCCGGCTCTGGGCTCGACTCTATCGTCTCCTCCCTACCTGGGAGTTCGGCCTCCGTAGACTCTCGCTTCCGCTTCCTCGTCCGCTTCTGCGCCTGGTCCGGCGACTTGCCCTTACCCTGGCTATCCCAGCTCAGATACTGGTGCCAGAGCCGGCTGATCTCGCGGTAGTTGGCGATCATCTGCGGCTGTAGCTGCCCTGGGAACTGGATGTTGATCGCGTAGTGCGATCGTGCCATGGCACTGCTGTGTGTCGCCTGCAGATCCCAGATTACCTCCGTCCGGTCCCTCGGTCGTAGCTCGCCAGTAGCCTCGTCGAATTCCTCATCCTCGGGCCCGTATCCGTCATCGGCCGCGCCGACCTCGAGCTCCTTCTGCTGTACGATAAGCCCCTGAATCGTACGGCCTAGCTCGATCGCGAGATGGCGGTACGTCGAAGTACCTAGCTCGACGCCGAGATAGCCCGCCGTAGCTGCCCTAAGCTCCTTCGTAAGCACGTCCGTTCCCCAGCGGCCTTTCCGGCCGTCCTTCCATAGCCAGTGCCGCAGCGATTCCGACGGTTTTCGAGCCCGCGTCGCATCGAGAAGCATCTCCTCGAACGGGACTAGCCAGACGAGATAGACGACAAGTAGCTGCCCGACCCGTTCCGGGAGAAAGCGTGCGACCTTTCGGCCGTAGCCCCGGATCGACTTGGCCTTATCTCGGTCCGTTACGAGCATTACCTGCCCGTCGAAGATATAGACGCTCCGGCTTAGCTGCTTCGTATCTAGATACCGCACGCTCGTGATCTCGGGCCCTCGGCCTGGCTGGCCTCCCCAGACGTGCGTTAGTACGAGTAGCTGGCTCTTTAGCGTTCCGATCTGGTTTAGCCACTTCTGCGACCGCTCCCGGTGGTACTGCTGCCGCTGGGACGACCAGAGCCTCTCCGAAACGAGCTCGGCAACGACGCGGGGCCCGGCTTGAAGCCAGCTGTTCTGCGGGTTTGAGATGAACGATTTCCCACCCCCTTCGTACATTACGCTGTCGTTGATTTTGCTAAGCTCGATCCGTCCTAGTAGTACCGCCGACTGGCCGTACAGAAGCCCGTCGAGCGCCGATTCGGCTGTTGAGACGAGCCCCTGGGCCATCCGCCGGAAGTTCTGGACCTCGATCCGGAAGCCGTGTAGCCGGAGCGCCTGCTTCCCGTCCTCCCAGATAATCCGTGCTGCCCCCCTTCCTTCTGGCGGTAGCCCTTTCCGATCGTTAAGAACCGGGTTAGCGTACTGAACGGGCTGTACGAGCCGTCTGCGATCCACTGCCGATAGCCGTCCATAAATACGTCGATATCCCTAGCCTGGAGCTGGCTACGCTCTTCGTCCTCCCCTTCGCCGGAGTCCGTAGTACTATCCTCTTCCTGGATCGGGACGTGCTCGAAGAAGTACTCTAGTAGTAGTACGCGGCTACACCACGCTAGACCCGCTAGTAGTGTTGTAAACTCGGCCGGCGGCCGAAATCGTGCTCGGACGGGGTCGATCGCGAGTACGGTAGTGAAGTGTAGTAGCGGGTTTACGTACGGTTGTACTAGTACCCGCTGCGTAAGCGACAGAACACAGAACGTGAAGACGGCCTCGTCTAGATATCCGTCGTCGCCGCCGCCCTCGCGATTCTCCTCCTCCTCGCCGCCGCCCCCTACCCGGGAGCTCTCCTCCTCCGTACTATCGAGAGCCTCTATAATAGCCTCGAGAGCGGCCCACTGCTGGTCGGTAAACTGGACCTGGTGCTTCCTCCTCGCCTCCGTACGGCCGAGCCGGAAGACCCGGACGCAGTAGCAGAGATAGCGCCGCCAGTAGCTCCGGTACTTCTCCATCGTATGCGCCTCCTGCTTAACGCGGAACGGCCGCGGCGACGGCCGGTTCGGGTCGCGGCTTGCTAGCCAGCAGAGCGTCTCCACGGGTACCTGGCCGATCCGCCGGCTACACCGCTCGATTACCCGGTTGAAGCTCTGGCCCAGCCGTACGAGCGTCGCCTCCGAAGCCTCCCTCTCTTTCCGGACGGACCAGCTTAGTTTAGCTAGCTCCTTCGTCGATAGACCTGGCTCGGCGGCGCGCCGTAGTTCCGCCATATCCTTGCCGGCCAGATGCGCCGCCCAGCCCATCTGGCTCACCCACGGCGACTCATAGTCGACGCCGGCCTCGTAGTCGATAATCCGGCCCCGCTCCGCCTCTTCGGCGGCCGCTTTAGCCTCGTACGCCGCCATGTGGGCCTCCCAGACTTGACCTCCGCCGCCGCTGTCCGGCCCCGCTGCCGCCGATTTGACTGCCCGTAGCTGGCCGCCCTTAAGCTGGTGCCTCTGTCGGTAGTGGGTAACTACACCACCTACGGCCGCTGCGATTCCTGCCCTACATAGTGTGCAGACTAGTACGCGGCTTGCCCGATATAGATAGAGCTCTGGTGTTACTGCTGGCTCGGTCGTTGCTGTAGCTCTCGCGTCCTCCTGCTGCTGCTGCTGCCGCTGCTGCGCGGCGCTGCCGTAATCGCTCTCGTAGTCGCCTCCCTGGCTGCTGCGGTCCATCGTGGAGTACTACCTGTCGTATGCGATTCTCTTCTCGGTACTACTTCTGATCTTCGACTCTTGCGTATATTCTTGGGAAGAGACCCTAAGCTAGTATTATAGTTCAATCGAAATGCGCGCGCGCGTCCGTTTCATTCTCCTCCTCCCTCTATCTCCTCTTACGCGCGTCCCCTCTCCCCTTTAGACTCCCCGGGCTCGCGCTGTTACGCGTACGCGCTTATCTCCTTTTTATTACCTATTACTTACCTTGTCCCCCTTTTCGCAGCAGTGCCTAGCCGTACACGCGTAGCTGAGCTGGGGGGGTTAAGGTTCGGACCCCTACTAGTTAGGGTTGGGTTAGCTAGGGGTTAGCACATTTACGCTGGCCGGAATGAACTCAGGGTACCGGAATGAACTTAATAGCCCGTACCCTTCCGGGCCGGGAATGACCTACCTCCGCCGCCGAACTACTACCGCCGCTAAACTACTATACCTCTGCCGAACTACTACCGCCGCCGAACTGCTACCGCCGCCGCCGCCGACCTACCTGCCGACCTCTGCCAGCCTGCCACGGCCAGACCCTATATATCCAAATAAGCAGCCAGTCTCTTAAGAACAAACAGGCCCGGTGGTCAAGCGGTAAGACGTCGCTAGCAATTGCTAAGCGGAATCCCTGGTTCAACTCCGGGCCGGATTACTGCGCCTACTTGAGAATCTCTTCGTCTCGTAGAGATTCTCAAGTGGGTAGCTCTTTTTGCCGGCACCCCTTCCTCCGCTTCGGAGGTATTTTCGCTATGTTAACTACCTGCCGACCTGCTACCGGCTCCGACGAACTGCCACTACTCCGCCGACCTGCTACCGCTGCCGCCGTACTACCTGCTGACCTGCCTGCCGGCCTGCCTGCCGACCAGCCTGCCGACCTGCCTGCCGACCTGCCTGCCTGCCTGAGCCTTATATATCCAAATAAGCGACTGACTATTCAACAAACAGCCAGAGAGCCTCGCTGGTCTAGCGGTCATGACGTCACTGCTATATAGCTCTCCATTCCCACGTCGGCCGCAGGAATAAGGGTCCCTGACCTGAGCTTGTGGAGCCATCCGACCCGGACGCTCGAGCTAGTCACAGTTGAAGAGCTAGGTTCGACTCCTAGGCGTGGCATTTTTTTGGCCCTCCTCTCTCTGCCTCTCTCTTTTGCGCGCGCCTCCTGCCTGCCTGCTTGCTCTGGCAGTCTGACGCGCCTCCCTCGTCGTCGTGCGGCCTGTGCATGTACGCATATGAGGGCGCGACTGGGCCCCACAGGTTCGGACCCCTGCTAGTTGGGGTTGGGCTTGGGGTTGGGTTAGCTGTGGGTTAGCCCATTTTTCGCTGGCCGGAATGAACTCAATCTGGGGTTAGTTGGGGTACCGGAATGGGCTCAATGGCCCGTGCCCCCGGCCCCCTGTCCCACCAGGAATCGCCGAAAGTGAGGCCAACCCGGCCGGGAATGATGGTCAGGGAACTTGACTGCGCCGGCCCGTGCCACCCCTGCATGGCCCCAGCTCCCCACCGGGAACTTGACTGCGCCAGTCAAGTTCCGCCGGCAATAATGGTTAGGCACTAGGTTAGCTAGGGTTATGGTTACCACCTATAGGGTATAGGATTGCGTCAATTACCAAAAGCACACACGCTCCATTCATCCAGTTTCTCACGCATTCCTTGCTGAGGCGACGGATCTCGCGCTCAGAATTCCTGCTTCTGCACAACCCCGTCGATCGCTGGGATCCAGGACGCGCGATGCTTCGTCCATAGCTCCATATCAGGCTTCACCTGTACACCCTGCCCATCCTTATCCCCTCCTCGGTCGATGATAGTGCCCGCTTGCACTAGTAGGAACGGCTCGTGCTCTGGTGACTCGACCTGCTTGTACAGCCTCGTCCCGCAGTCGCCGCAGGCTGAGAACTTCATCGTCACGCCGGAGATGTGGGTGAACTTTGTCTCTCTCAGCAATGGAGTTGCGCTGTCGGTGCTGCCGCTGTTGTCAAAGAGAGCGAAGTCCTCCTTGCGGACTTGCAGGCTGTATGTGAATGCAGAACCCGTGAGACGGCGGCAGTCGTGGCAGTGGCAGATAGCCTGAGCACTCTAGTTAGGTATTATGCCAAGGTTGTGAAGTCTCTGTCAATGCTGCCTGGCCAGGAGTTGCGCGAGGATAGGTAGAGGTTCTTACCCGTGCAAGTGGCTGACCCTTCAGAGTGTAGGTGGCCTTGCCACAAACGCAACTCCCTGTGGCCATTGTGTGCGATGGGGCTACGTCGATTGACTGTTTCAGAGATGTTTTGTGACAGGGAGGGTATTTGAGCGGGGCAGATATCTCTTGAGGGAGCTCCGAAAGCTCGTGCCGCTGACTTCCAACTTTATAATAAACGTTGCGACAATGGTCCCGACTCTGATTCGCTGAACCCCTCTCTACTCTTGTCAGCTACGCCACATGAACCATAATCGCATTGGACTTTGACATGGCCGATAGTAGTTGACGCCACTTTACTAATGTAAGCTCGAGTCATACTAATAGCCCATAGGCAGATCGACTAGCCACGCATAGGTAAGCTCTTACCCTTATCCCTAGCCCGATCCTGCGACATGTTGGTAGGGTCGTCACACATACTGCATATGTGGACCCCCGTCGCGCAGTACCTCATTTTTCACAGGCGTGTCCTTCCTTACAACCCTATTTTTACATACGGTAACGCTTAAATAATCTAAACTCGACCGTTACGCCAGGCCTCTTCCCTTAGGCCGTCGGGCATAGCTGGGCACCCTTACTTGTCTTCGTCGCCCAGCTAGTAGTTATAACAGTAACCCGAGATGTGCTCGTCTTTGTAACCGTTGCGCGGTTGGTGATAGTTGCAGACGGCTGAATAGTAGAGCGTACTGTTGTAAAGACGGTCACTGTCAAAGCTGGGAGGACTACAGTTTCCGTCGTAGAAGAGACTTCCTGCCGAGTCATAGTACCGGTCTGCTGGGGCAGCACGCTCGTAGCTTCGCGTGTCTGTATCTCGACCACACTCAGGGTACTAGCTGGCAGCGTCGTAGTAGATCGCGCGACGACAGTTGTCGTGTCCTGGACTACAACAGTGACTGTGCTTGGCTTCAGTGTGCTTGTCTTACCACTCGAGACCACTGCAGTGGCGGTTGTGGTGGAGGTTTCACCATCGAGTGTAACTGTCGAGGCTCGAGTCTGCACGCTGACGGAAGTCTCTATTTCGGTTGACGGCTTGAGAGTGGTAGGTTTTCCTTCCGTCTTGGTTGTAAGAAGCTGCGTAGTGACTGTGCTGCCGGGGAGCGTGACTGTCGACGTCTTCACGTAGGTGCTGTAGGTTGAAATGACAGTAACAGTAATTGTCGTATCGCCGACGGCACGAGCCACGAGATATTCGGCTGCGATGTCCATGTCACGGATGTTCATCTTTTCAAGAGACCTCTTGGCCGGGCCGTTTGTCGGAATGCACTTCAGAGTAGTCGTCAGCTTGGTAACTCGAGTCGTTGTAAAAAGGACTGTAGTAGTGGTCGTAAGCGCTTTGGCTGTAGTAGTGGTCGCGCTGCCATCGCCAATAACTTGAGTCTCGGTTGTGCGGACCGGTACAGGCTTTGGCGTGATTGTCCTGGTGAAAGACTGCGTCGTACGGATGACCTGAGTAGCGGTTGCAATCTTGGGCGTGCTGGTAGTCCAGAGAGTGGTTGTGGAAGTTGATTTGACCGTCATAGCCTTAGCTTCCTTGGTGATGATCTCCGTGTGGGTCGAGGTTGCCACGGAGGTAGAGGTCGTTAGTACAGGTGCGGGCGTGACTGTGGTGCCAATATTGACGGTTGTGGTGGTTTTCTGGGTGACCGTTACGTCCGGTTTCTGGACAGTGGCGAGTTGGGTCGTGGTTGTCTTGACTACGCTTGTCCTGGTGACAACAGGTGGAGTGATAGTCGTCGCGACATTGATCGTGAGCGTGGTCTTGACTGTTGTCGTAGTTTCCAGTGCTTCAATAGAGGTGAGCAAAGTCTCCTTGAATGTAGATACCTGAGTGGTAAACACTGTCGTGGTCGTAGCAGGGATGCTGCTCGAACTCGAAATGATGGGAGGCACAGCCACACCGCTAGCGTTGAACGGTACAGCGGAAACCAGAGTCATGTTGATCCACGACGTTGTGGCAAAGAAGCTTGCGAGCTGAAATTGGGCTGCGGCATCAGCAGTGAGCTGGGTAGCGAAAGCTGCCCTCGAAGACAGGCCGGATCCAGGCCCATCCTTTGCGAACTCGCCAAACAAGACGCCATCTGTACGAGGGTCGGTTTTCGTCCAGTAATCCCAGCCATTAGGCTCGATGCACGAGTCGAGATAGCTGTCGATGAAAGCCACTCGAGCCAACGGATTCCAAGGCCTGCCCAGAGAGACGGACGAGTACTTGGCGCCCTGGGCAGGTGTGATGGTGCACTGGTCAAAAACGAAACCCGCAGCGGTGGTGTTAGTGCTGCGCTTGCTGGCGGTAAGCGCAACTCCGTCACGGTTGGGAGCAATAGTGCTGTTGAGGAAGTAGGCGGCACCAGAGCCCCAGATCATGTCGATGTTGCCCTCGACGTATGAGTTGGAGGCAAACAGAAAGCCGTTGATGAGCAAGCTGTCTTGGTTTCCGTAGACCTGACAGCCGTAGAGGGAAGCATACTTGCTGCTCTTGACACCAAAGCCGAGCGAGGCAAAGCTTGGGAAAGGGGGGTCAGCTATGGTTTTCGCAAGATGGATTTTGCTCACTTACTTGGAGGTAGTGCCGAAGTTGTTGACAAAGTTGATGTTAACCGCCTGAACGTAGTTGCCAGTGGCGTAGACAGTTGCCGAATCGGAGTTTGGTGCGTCGGCCTGCGTGTCAATGCCCTTGTTGAAGCTGATGGTAACCTCGTTCTTGGAGTAGTCAACCGAAGCAGAACTGTAGCCGAGGAGAATGGTAGTGCCAGACTTGCTGAGAATGAGCTGCTCGTTGTAGGTACCGGGGTAGATGAACACCGTTGCCGTGATCTTGCTAGAAGCAGGGAGGGCATTGAGCGCAGCCTGGATGGTGTCGTATGTTGTCTGGCCATCGATCGGAGTCTTTGACACGATGAAAGCACCGGCTGGAGGCTTAGTGCCATCGTAGACGGCTGGGGGTGCTGGGATGACAACCGCTGGTTGAGGTGTCTGGATCTGATCCCAGTAGGTCAAGTCGATCCAGTCAGTGCTCGACATGACGCTGCTCAAGGTGTATTGGTCACTTGTCAGAAGAGTACTGTACTGGAAAGCCTCGCGCGCACCGACGTTGTTCTCCCAGTTGCCTGGACCGGTGTTGTTGTACTCGGCGAAGGTAATGTGGTCGGTACGAGGGTCCGTCGTGGACCAGACCTTCCAGCCAGCTGGCTGGATGACATCGCTGAGGTAACTGTTCTTCACTACAACAAGAGCGTACTGGGAATAGGGGCAGCCAAGGTAGACGAGCCCCTTGAGGTCAACAGTAGCGGTTGGGGCTTCGGTGAAGAGGCATTGGTCGAAGATGTAACCCCCGGTGGCGGACAGGCTGGCGCGGTTGTGAGCCGTAATGGCGGACTTGGCTCGCTTCGCAGCAATAGTGCAACCCTTGAAGTATGCCTTGGAATAACCCCAGATGAAGTCGATGGCGCCGTCAATATAGCAGCTCTCATAGTATTGCATGCCATTCGTGGCGCCAGTGAGGAGGGTGTCCTGCCATCCAACAAAGGAACAGCCGTAGAAGCCGATCTTGTCTCCATAGATGCTGGCCGCAAGAGTGACATAGTTGGCGATGGAGCCATCCAGGTTGTCCGAGTTGACCATGTTGATGTTGTACCAGGAGATATTGGAGCTGGCTGTAGCGATAGTTGCTGTCTCGGCGTTGGAATGCCCAGGTGGCGGGGGGCTGACTGAAAGGCCCCGGGCTTGGGTGATGGTGACCTGGTTGCCGTTGAAGCTCTTGCCAGGCTCGTCGCTGGTGTATCCAATGATCATGACCGGGCCTGGACGGCTAATGGCAGGCACCTGCTCGTTGTAGGTTCCGGGATACATGAAGATAACCTGATTGCTGGCATCGTAGGGCAAGCTCGCGAGCGCTGCAGTGAGACTCGTGAAGGCGCCGGAAATGCTGCCATCGGCAGCAACGAGCACCGCGCCGGAGGGAGGCTCAGTGCCGCTCGTGGGATGGGTTAGGACTGGGTTAGCAGGGGTGCTCGTGTCCGGGGTATTGGGAGGCCCGGTGAGGCTGTAGCTGGGAGTGTATGCAAATGCCTCGGCGTCGATCCAGCTGGTGCTTCCAATGAAGTTCTCAAGAGAGTACTGCGCGGCTTGGGCCTCAGTGAGCTGAGTAGCGAATGATGCCCGAAAGCCGGTCCAATTGCCAGGGCCAATATTGTTATACTCGCCAAATAGGACGTTCGCGGTCTGGGGGTTACTTGTCTGCCAGACACTCCAACCAGCAGGGGAGATGTGCTTGTCGAGGAAGGAGTTCATGTAGACTGTGATAGCATACTGGGACCATGGACGGCCCAAAAAGGTGTTTCCGAAACTGGACCCAAAGCTGGATGTGTACGTGATGACGGATTTGTCAAATACAAATCCACCAGCCCACGCAGCATTGGGCCTGTTCTGGGCCGAGATGTAGGCGTTCGGGGTGTTGGACGCCACGTAGCACTGATGGAAGTAGGCCTTGCTGTAGCCCCAAATGAAGTCAACACTTCCCTTGATGTACGAGTTGCTGAAAACCTGCACACCCTGGTTCACAAGAAGGGTGTCTTGGAATCCGTCAAAGGCACAGCCGTACGCAGCCATGTTGGTGCCAAAGAAGTCTCCAGCAAGCGCGGCAGTGTTCGACTGTTGGGGGTACGTGTTTGTGAAGTTGATGTTGTACAAGGCCAGGCCGTCACCATTGGCGTTCTTCCAGTTCATGACAGGAGTCTGCTCGTTTTGGCCGAGGCTGGTAGAGACACCCCGACTGAAGTTGATGAGGACCTTGTTGCCAGTGAAGTCGTTCTCGAATGTAGTCTCGCCACGGAGCGTAACCTTTCCGCGCCGCGTGATGCTGACCTGCTCCTCGTAGGTTCCAGCTTTGATGTAAATGGTGTACGCCTGGCCGTCGGCGGGAAGAGCAGCAACAGCAGAGGAGACGGTGCCAAATTCGCCGCTTGCCGGAGTCGGGGCCACGGTAAATGTGGCGGCAGCAGAAGCGGATGAGCTGGTAGCAGCTGTGGCGGTCACTGAGGTTGCAACCGTGGTCGTCGAGGCCACGGCATAGACCGAATCAGGCCAGGCCTGCTGAGGAGCAATGGCAGAAGAGTCTAGCCAGCTGTCGTCGGCAAGAACCTTCTTGGCGGTGTAGGCCGAAGTGTCAGACAGCAACTGAACTGCTGAGATGCGTCCGGTGTTGATGGCACCGGGTCCGGTGTTGTTTGCCTCGGCAAAAGTGCCTGTGAAGGTGGCCGCATTGGCCACGTTCCAGCCAGCCGCCTGGATGTGGCCGTCGAGGTAGGAGTTGATGTAGGCCACCTGGGCGTTGGTGCTGTAGTCCCTGCCAAGATAGACGCTGGCCTGGGGGACGGTCTTGTCTGCCGGGACCACGGCGCATCCGTCAAAGACTATCTGCGAGCCTCCATACGAACTCTGGAACCTCTGAGCGGCAATTGTCTGACCAGTGGTTGTGCCCGAGGAAACGATGACGGAGTTCTGGAAATATGCCGCGCCGATACCCCAGATAAAGTCAGTGGTCCCTTCGATACGACCGCCGGTGAAGAAGACGTTGCCGTAGTCGAGATAGAGGGAGCCTTGGGAGGACTTGACGTTGCAGCCATAGAACCCCACTTTTGTACCTTTAGAAAGAACAGCAACGGCGATGTAGTTGGCTTGGGCGGGGTAGCTGTTCTCAAAGTTGATGTTGTAGAACGACACCAGCTTGGCCTCGTACTTATTGGCGGAGAACGTGGCGGTGCCGCTCGATCCGCCTGCGCTGGAAAGGACAGCCGCGGCATTGCGTATGGTAACCTTGTTGGACGATGAGGTGAGCGCACTGTCGGTCTCGCCCCGCACAATGGTGGCTCCTGTGCGGACAAGAGAGACATTTTCATTGTATGTACCAGCCAGAATGTAGATGTACTGGGTCGTCGCGTCGGCGGGGAGAGCAGCCACTGCCGCAGCGATGCTGTTGTGAGTGGCGCACGAGGAGCCTGCCGGTCCAACAACGAGGGCCGTAGATGGCATCGATGATGGCACACATGCTACCACGGTGGCGGAAGTTGTGGCAGAGCTCGATGTTACCGACTCGCTCGCCGAAGACAGGCTAGAAGACGCAGTAAGGCCACTGCTCGTCTCGGAAATACTGGAGCTCGTGCTCGTGGCACTAACGTCCGTCGACAGGCTGGTGGTGGCAAAGGAGCTGCCAGTGGCAGAAGGGTTAACGGTGCTTGAGATGGTCGTCTCCGAAGACGCTGTCGTAGAGGAAGACGCGGAGGAGGAGGCCGGGCTACTCGAGCTTCTCTTGATCAAGGCCAAGACAGACGCATCAATCCAGTCAACATCATGCACGGCGACGGCCGGGAACGCTGTGGTGAAGAAGACGGAAATGTCGTAAGGAACAAGGCGGGAGATCTCAGTGACCCATGAGATATATGGGCTGCGAGCCGCAACTTTGTTCGGATAGCTTCCGGCACCAAAGGTGCCAGACTCGATATAGGTGTTCAGGGCGTTCTGCGTTGTGGCATCGACATAGACACCGGTACTGGCGACGAAGCCGGCTATAGCAGTGTCGCGATACACGACCGCCGAGCCGACGCCGTTGGCGGCCGCCAGGTATACGTTGGTGTTGGTCTTGCCCGTCTTTTGGGCAATCTGGCACGTGTCAAAGACGACCGTGGAGTTGTACTGCTTGCCGGTCGAATCGACCGCGCCTTTGTTATACACCAGCAGGGCATTGTTGTTGGTGGCGGTGATGACTGTGCCGTACACGTACAGGCTGGCGTAAGAAGCAAGGGCCTTGTCAGCGACCTCGATATAGGAGTTGGCGATCACGCCCGAGGCATAACTACCCGTGAAGCCCATTGGGCCGGCGGCGATGAACTGGCAGGAATAAAAGGCATTTCGGGAGCCCCTGAGGAAGAACAAGCCAGCCGCCGAAGCGGCGTTAGAGTTGACGAAGATGAGGTTCCTCCAAGAAACTCCATTTGATACGCTTGTGCTAAAGGTGACTGGCGCTACAGTGCCACCGCCGTTGCTGATGGTGACGAGGTTGTCAGAGTAGCTGCTGCCAGTGGCTGCGGTTTCGCCAACAACGGTGACGGTGGCTGTGGCCAGAATCGCGATGGTCTCGGTGTATGTGCCGGCTTTGACAGTGACCGTGGCAATCTTGTTGGCCTGGGCGAACGAGATGGCCGAGTTAATGTTGGTGTATTGGCCGCTTCCATCGGAAGCAACAGTGACGGCTAAGTCCGTGTTAGCAGACAAAGTCGAGCTAATGCTAGCCGTGCTGGTATCAGAAGCCGGCGAGAGAGTGTCCGAGATAGATGTAGGAGGTGACAAGACAGAAGTCGGTGACGGCAACGCAGAAGAGCTCTCGAGAGAACGAGCACCGCAGGGCAAGCGAGCGTAAGAATGGGTAACAACAGAATCGGTCGTCCCACCTTCTTGGGCGGCACTCCATCCGCAAAGGCCGAGCAACAACAAGGAGGCGAGTTTAGGCATCGTGTTTGCGAAGCGAGCCATCACAAAAGATGAGGTGACCGTCAACCCAGTAGCAACGACCAAGACAAGGCAAGAGAGCCAAGACGTCACGGGGGCCAGCTGGGAGGATGAAGTACGGGGTATATAGCGGCATTAAGGCCCTCTCATCCGGCCTGTCCGGCACATGTCCGCTGAACGCGATATCCCAGCTGCAATTCTGACATCGGCAGTCCGCCTGGCCTGCATGTGTGGCGCTTCGAGGTCTGGCCGGAATCGCGCGAGTCTACCGCTAGTCAACTCTGAGCTGAATGCCGGAGACCCTCTATTTCCTGGATGCAGGCAGGGGTATGGGCCTGGCCTCGCAGGTTTCTGTGTGAACCGTCTTGGCGCAGAGCCCTGATCTGTCATCTGTGCAGCACCACGTGGGCGTGCGGCGTGGCACGGCATTGTGCCTGGTCAAATTTCTCAGGGGACTAATTAACTAGAGTCTAGAAGGCATAGCTGGATCGTGGAACGATGCCCACAATTCAACGGCCGCTAAATTCAATAGTCTGGACGCCTCCGGTTTTGGACAAGGGGTAGCCGCGCGCGCCTGGCCAGCTGGTGTGGTCGCTGACTCGTGGGTTAATTACGCCTCTGCCGGGACTGGCGTTGATTGTCCGAGCTGGAAGCCACATACAGTTGGTGGTCCGAAAAGCGAGGCGCGCGCTCCGGGCTACCCCTGCCTGGCGCCGCCCATTCTGCTGCCAACGGTGGACCTAACCGAGGCTGGCAGTGATAACGAGCCTGGAGCTCGAGTTCGGTGACTTGACGACCGGGCCGAGAAGCCGCTCGTTCTTGATGGATATCCTGATTGCGTGTATTCTAGCTTTTACTTATTCTTGCAACTTCGGACAGACTACCGCAAGCCTGGTCGGGGATAAAAGGAATCCCTTAGTTTTCCCTCTATTCAAATACGGGTCATATATCGCAAGTCTCACCACATCCCAGGTATCGTACGGGGCAGTGCTCGAGTGGAACTGAGCAGGGCCTGGGAGGCCGCTTACCACATTGGGGTTTATGGGGTGATTTTTCTTTTGGGCGACTTCGTCGTAGGCGTGCTGGAAGAGCTTACTTAGGTCGTGTGAGTGTCCCCGAGGACCGAAGGCATCGCCCAGTCGAACTTGACAAACATGGACTGTACCTGAAGCGTGGCCACTGTTGCCGTGCCGCGAAAGGTGCCCTCCGACGGGTGTGTTGCCCACATCCGAGGTCAGACCCGCTCACGTGCGTGCCCGTTTGGGTCGTTCGTGTCAAAACTGCTGGCTCTTCCCCAGAAGTAGAGCCCTTTGACCCTATTTTGGAATGCGTGATGTACATCTGTGGTGCTGTCCATGTCGAAACCAGTGTCACAAACGCAGATGGTCTGCCCGCTCGCGGCGTAGGCGCTCGGAGATTTTCTCGGACAAGCCCCTGTAGCTTCTCGTCCACGCGCTCCGCCTCGGCATGAGTCGCAGGCGTAGTCTGGACCTCTTCGAAGCCCCTAACCCGCCGGGCGACATTATCGCGGAGGACTCTCTCCAGAGCATTTTGCATCACTCTGCGTTCGTCTAGTTCGGGGACCTTACCCAGAGTGTCAGCTCCAGCCGTGGCGCGAACCATACTAGTAGATCCAGGACCTTCCGAGATGCTGATTGCAGACTGGTCGGTCTGAGCAATCTCTGCTATCTTCCCCAGCAGCTCCGAGGACATAGTCCCAATGTCATGGTGGAGGCAGCAAGATGTCGACCTCGACGAGCTCAAGAACCGCGCGCTTTTCATTCGCGTTTGCGTGAAATAGAGAAATGAAGTTGCTGGGCGCCGGCGTTTGTAGCACATCTGGAATAATAAAACGCGGGCGAGTAGATACTTGCGTAGTGATGTATTTCAGAGCGCGAATTTCTTCAAAAGAATTGTCTTTGAAGCCGCAGAGATATTTCTGCTGGCCATCCTGACCAACAAACTCCTAAATAGCCATGCCAGGGCTGGCAAGTTTAGTCCTCTGGGTTTTGTTCAGGGCTCGCCGGTTGTCCTAATGAGAATATCAGCGGGGCCTGACGCATCAGGCTGCTGGTTTTCGATTGAGACAAGGTTGCCGTCCATAACGATCTATTTTAATATGGTTTCTCATTAATTGAATAGAGTGGATCAGACATTGGAGGTCAATGATAAGTAGTGGCTCCTGTGATAATTCCTCAATCAGATTTGATGCGCCAGCGCTTCGACGTGAGCTTGCTACCAAGAACTTGAAGATACTAGGGCTTTTATAATATTCGGTCCATGTGCGCGGGTTGTAGGGAATGCTCTAGACTTAACCGTGCCTGCCGTTAGAGGAGTCGCTACGACAAAAGGCCGTCCATGTCCATTTTCATGTAGGTTCTCAGCTCGGTGCTCTACCGTTTAGCCCAGAACCACGGCCAATGTTTCCTCCCGGCGCTTTCACCAATAGGGAGTTCGCTTCCTGCTCCTCATGGTATGATGAATGGTACAGACACGCTCAAGATGTGTCGAATGGTGCAAATTCAGAGTCCATGCATGCCCATAGGCACTTCCAGGGAAGTTGCTCATGGCCTTGCTAGGTCTGAGTCATTTCGGCGTTGAAATATCCACGCCTAGGGCAGTAGTCCTTTAACTCATTTTCTCGTCTCCCAGACCTAAGCATTGGAAGGACTATACAGTATTCTTGGATAGCATTACAGTAGTATAAATGTTTGAAGACCAGATCCACTACTGAAGGATCAATGTATCGAGAACATAAATTCGACCTGCCTTGATCGGATCCAGTCCGGCCAGCCCATTGAAAAGCATCCCGTAGAGCTAGGTAGAGGGCGCTGTAATACAAATATAGGTAGAATGAGTACGGTAGCGGTCTCCCAGGAATACGATTTGTAGAATAATCTTGACTTGACTTACCCATTATAGATAGATTACCGCATTCTCGTTGCGCTAGGTATGGTTAGTACGGTTCGTTAAATAAGCTTTACTTTACTTGCCTATCGCGGACAGGCCACGCGTTCTCATCTGAGGGGAAACACGGGGTATATCGATAGCTTAGTGGGGTTGCTAAATAGATAGGCTAAGAAACGGAATGTTGCCTATCTCAGAGCACATAATTAGACAAGGATTAAGATAAGAAAGGACCTTTTTGGGGGGGGGGGCGGGGGGGCATGTGAGACTATGAGCGTTTAAGAACACGCTCTAATCTAGTATAATCAGCGTCGGGAGCCTAACAGGAACCTTTTCCCTCCAATCCCAAATGCACGTATTGCAAACAACTACCTTCGACTACCACCAGCTTCTTCAGCGCAGCAGTTATGTCGATCGGCTCTGCGGATAACGTCCAGTCTATTCTCCTATCGGACGAGGAGCGGCTCGAGGGCAGGTACAGCCTCGAGACCCAAGCCAAGGTCCTCGGCGCTCTCAATCAGGACGGTTTGGTTGTCCTGAAGAATGTCATCCCTGTCGATACCGTCGATAAATTGAACAGATGGATGTGCGACGACGCCGACCGCAGGATCTGCGACCCGAGCCAAGGGTACAATCACGGCATCAAATGTAAGGCCCCAGCCTCACTGAAATAGAAAGGCAAACCGAGGAACAGGGTCTCGCATATCCTACACGCTTGGCATCATTACGCTAAGTGCGAAGCGTAGCAAATATCTTACAGCGGCCGCCGGTCATGGAGCCTGAGCTCTTGAGCAAGGATGTCTATTTCAATCCCTTCGTGCTGCAGACTGCCAATGCGTGAGTCGCGCCTCATTCACACACTCTCTCTCTCCCTCGCTCGCAAAAAGTTCCACTCGCCTCGTGCTGCTTCAGGCCTAACATGAGATCGCACGCAATAGCTACCTTGGCCATCGTCCCATCTGGAACTGGATGACTGCCAATAACGCCCTTGCTAACACCGGCGGCAAGCGACAACCGGCGCACAAGGACTCCGTCTTTGATCACCCGCTATACCCCTACTATTTCATCGCCAACATTCCGCTTTGCGACTTTAGTATTGAGAACGGTTCCACAGAGTTCTGGCTTGGCTCCCACGCCCACACAACGCAGGCGGAGCAGAAAGTCGCAGAAACCGAGGAGGACCTCGCATCGTACCCTGGGCTGGCTGAAGTGGGCGGCATCATCCCGCCGATCAAAGAAGAGGCCAAGGATCAGCGCCGCAAGATTCGCCCACCGATTCAGCCAGCGTGCGGCAGGGGAGACGTGATGATCCGTGACCTTAGGCTGTGGCACGCCGGCATGCCCAACCACAGCAATGCGCACCGGGTCATGCTGGCTCTGGGATACATGGTGCGTCCGAGTCCCCTACTCCCCTCCATTGAAACTGTTTGCTGGATCGTTTGACTAACTGCGTGCACACGCAGAGCCCGCACCACCCAAACTACTACCTTAAGGTCCATCTCCCTTCCTCCCAGGAGAAGTTCTTCCAAGAAAACAGTCGGCCTGATGTCGAGGTCCGGGCACAGTGGTATTCGGACGCAGACTTGGTGAAGGTTACAGAGGATGTGAATTTCTACACTAAACCTGCGTACTTAGAGGGTAAATAAGACGGACAGGGGGCAGGTTGGATAGGCCAACCCAATGCCTTGCTCGTTATGTTTCTGAGCTGGTAGCTCAGTGTTGGAAGTTGTAGAGTTCTTCAGCAGAGCAGCTATTGCTGCTGTCTGGTATTTGAAAAGGTAGAAGACTATTGGCTTGAGCACAGAGTGTGGCTGCGAATTGGGACTAGGAATTGGTGAGAGATCTGTCTCTGTTGGGACGATCAAATGAACGGTTGAAGCCAAGCCGTCGCACATCCTGTCCTGTGACGGTCTGATATATATGTGAAACTTTTGCCGCGCGGCCTACTCCAGGATCACGTCAAGTTATGATGCTCTGGCCGCCTTATTCTACCGCCTTCTTAAATCGGAGGGCAAACGTCACACGCACCAGTCGCTTGTTGCTAGGAATAGGCTGCAGCTCATGCTCGTCTCGGCCGTTCTTCAGCTGTGGAGGCTGTGCATGATTTAGCATGCACCACGGGGGACCCGAACAGCCCGAGTTCATGGGAACAGAGTAGGAGCCATAGCCTCTGGTTCTCAGCGACATGCTACGTACATGTACTCACAGGAGCTGATGTGGCAGCAGCCACAAGGCTGCGTGGGCTGGTGTCTTGCATTAGAGGCCTCCATTGATCGTTGAGCAGCTTTAGCATACACAGCATGATCGAGGCAGCTTGCAGTATTATTATCGCCTTCCCTCTGACTGTGTCATATTCCACGACATGTATGCTAGATACCTTGATTTGCATTGGCTCCTCACGATAGTACAGCCTCCTTTGGTGGTACGAGTACAGTACTAGTCGCGAGATGGGTTGCCCTTAACGAACATTGCCCTCCCGCTCACTGATACCCATGCCTTACCAGCACAAAGGCAAATATGAAGCGGGCCCATCCCAACTAATGAAAACATTGAGAGCCAGCTCAGCATCTGCTTGGTCCTTGACAGGGCGATTGAAAGTAACTGCAATGACACCCAGCTGAGCGTCAAGGCTGCTCATAGCTATCGGGAATACTAACAGATCGTCAGAGGGGCATTCGTAGAGCAGGTCAGCGCACAAGGAGAGGCTGCGCCCTGCGTGTATGACCAGCCCTTGTCTTTAGTGCGACCGTGTAACCTGTTGATTGGATCATTATATGTAGGTCTATAGTCTAAATATCAATTAACTTAGTATGCCTCCTTAAAATCCTCTTGACCTCCCGCGTGCATAACCTGCCCTTGTCCTTGGCCCGGTCCCGCGACCTGTCAGTCGGGGTGGCACTCTCACCTCACAATTGTATGTCTAATCTATAGAAGTGTCACCATCGTAAGCCATCCTTACTATGTGGTAGTAAGGATGTCCCACCACTTTAGCCCTGCGGTGTATTAACACGGCCGCTCCTCTCAAGCATCTTCATCCCAACCCTCTCTGCGATCCTTTGGGATTCGCACAAATGTAAGCGCCATCGCTGCGGCGCAAACTGCCATTCCGATGCCGAGGTATAGAGCGTTGCGATAACCTTGGACGGGATCCCTACCATGGGAATTTGTGTATGCCTCCACTGTGCCGGCAAACCCTAAACCTGTACTTAAGCCGTATGACAGCACGGTTCCAATAACGGACCCAGCCATCCCTTGTTGGCTTCGTTTGACAGTGTTGCTGGCGATGATTTGCGATGCGGTAAAGAGGAAATCGGGCCCAAGTGCGATTATTATAAGAGCCGGAAACATTTGAGCCCAGTATGTTTGCTGTTCCGGCATCGTGCAAACAAGGACCAATGCCGTGGCAGATGCAAGCGAACCAATCGCCATGATATACTGAGCTGCTAGATGCCGGATCGCAACAGCAGAGAGAATGGCTGCGATTGCTCCGCAAACTGCCAGCGTAGCAAAGCCCGCAGCGTTTAGGAACAAGGAATAATGCCGAATTTGAAGATTCCATAGGCTGGCATACCAGATCAGGATGCCAACAGCCATACACGTAAAGAAAGTAGACAGAATCATCCAAGCGAATGATGGCGCTTTCCAAATATTGAGCGGAAGGATGGGATCCTTGGCAAATGTTGATTCCCACAGAGCAAACGCAACGATATGCAATATTGACAGGATCAAGAGTGCATACTCGTACGGTTCATCCCAACCGACATTAGGTGCTTGACTATTTTCCTGCCTTTTAGTGGGTGAGTCTTCAAGATAATGGGAACGAGGTGCGACTCACTTCCATACAAAGTTGAAGAGTATCAGGCCGGCAACTCCTAGGTAAGCTCCGATAAAGTCTATTTTCCCATTCGGATCCATTCTCTCGGGTTCCTTTGGAACTACCAAGACAAATAGTGTAAATATAGCAGATCCGAGTATTGCCCTGGATAGTATTAGCAGAGTATTCCAAGTGAGAACTAATGTACTGTCTTACAGGAAGAAGAAAAGCCATTTCCAAGGGAGAAGCTGCACGAAGAAGCCTGGGAAGACACTCCCGCCAGCGGCTCCTATCGGCGCCATTGCACCAAAAAGCCCAACGGAAATGTTTCTCATGCGGCCGGGGGGGAACGTGATTGTAAGGAGCGCTATAGCATTCGGAACAATGAACGCGCCACCTATGCCGCTGAGCGCTCTCATGATACTGAGCGATATAACGTCCGTCATGAACCCAGAGATCAAAGTCCAAACGACCCACCAGATCCCAGCAGCCGCGACTACATTCCTGTGGCCGTAGACTGCTCCGATCCGCCCGCCCATGAGAACAAAGGTACCTTGGGTCAAGCTATCATAGGGTTTAGTGCTTTGTTCAACGGTTATTCTCAAGAGACGTAGAGCACTCACGGATACGCTGCAACAATCCATGCAGATTCGCCCGGGGTAACGCCAAGTTGCTCTCCGATTGCCAAAGCAGAATTGATGCCGGCTCCATATGGAATCATTTGAACAAATTGGCATAAAATAATAGCTGCCGAAATGAAGATCTGGCGGGAGAACGCCACAGGAACCGGATGCTTGTTTTCTCCATTTGACCTCTCAGCACCAGCGATGGAGGATGTACTTGTCTCGGCCATTTGATGAGAGTTTTCGAGCATGATGGAATTAAATGACTAGCTGATGAATGATGGCCGAGGCAGGAACAGCAAGTCTTTATGAGATCGAATGAAATACCCTACACGAATGTTCTAGGAAAGCAGTCATTTCATGATTGTTATTAAGCACGGTCGTCGGAGACGATTACGCGCTAGGAAGCTAGAGTGCTATTCATAGACAAGGGGTAATTGGGAGATCGGAGTGATTTTATAATCTCGCCAGTTCCCATGAGCTAGGGCTTGGTGAACGGTGATTCGTGTGGCACCTTGATTTCTAAGCATGGTGATTACGTAACTCTGATCGGATGCTGCGATTCCTCGAAGCCTGCTCTTAAATATAATAGACTGGAATTTCAATAGAGAGCTAATTAGTAGCCTAATTCCCCGGTACATTCATCCCGACTGCGCAATTATATAGTAGCATATACAATCAACATTAGCGGAGAGGTTCACCGAAGCTACCAAATCCATGGACCGCAACCAAGTCACAAAGCGACGAGGCCGCCCTCGGAAGCCCGCGGCTCCTCACAAGCCTGATGAAGAAGTACGTCTTTACTCGGGCATTTCAGTTCTATCAAGACTAACACTAGGAAGCGTCGAAGATCGCAACTGCGCCAGGCTCAAATGACCTTCAGAGCTCGAAAGGAGGAGACCGATAAAGCTCGTGAGAAACGTCTTCGTAGCCTTGAAGCCATGGTTGACCGAATAGGCAACGCCTTTTTCGAGCTAGCAGATTATATCATCGGTTCCGAGGTATACAAGGAGGATTTAGGCATACTGGGTAAACTTGCAGCAACCACTACTCAAGTCTTGGTCTTATCTCGAGAAAGCAACGACCACGAACCGATGGGTGGACCATCTTCACCAGAGCGAGACTCACTGCTCGAACCTCACCAAGATTTGCACTTTTCTGCCCAAGTCTGCGTCGGGCAGTTGACTGCTTCACCTGCCGAGACTGATCCAGGTCTACATCCCGATACTATATCTTCGAATCAGTATCCCAGCGACAAAGACATTGCTGCAGAGCATGACGGTGCTTCCACAATTCAAAATCCCTTTGGCAACGGTTGGTTCGCCCGACTTCCGCGACTTCTAGGCGGCCACCAATCTTCAAATGATCCCTCGTCACTCGACCGCACCTCCTTCGCGTTTCGCCTACTCATCAGCACTCTTGAGAATGCATACTGGGCCCTTGTTGGCGCAACAGAGGAGAGCACAACCCTGTCCGATCGCATGTTCAGGTTTGCCCTTTTGTACCACGACAAACATGAGCTCCAGTTCAATCTACGATGGTTTCTTGGCCCTGGGATTGGAGAGAGCTATCTACTGATGGAAAGAAACAGGGTGGATAAACCTTCTATTGCCAAAGCCAACGGCGATTTGCTCAATCCCGGGGTAGATCTGGCAGCAGTCGAAGACTCTCAGAGAAACTTCGGTTATGGGTTCCTCGGCTCCCAAGCTGCATATGAACTTTTCTCCACTGTCAAAGATGTCGATGAATATTTGAAAGAAAGGGGCGCACGTCATATTGATTCTGAGATTATTGAGCTAGCATTTGCGTATCCAGGGTCTCTAACAACGACGCCTGATGCCTCAATAGCTCAAGTCTCTTCTACTTGTACGTCAAATCATTCTTCTCCTTGCTTTTACAGTTACTACTCTATAATAGGATTACTAACAGTGTTGTTCCAAAGATGTTCGCCACACTCACTCGTCAGCGCCTTTTCAAGAATTTCATGGTACTCCAGATATGCTCGAAGTATTTGACTTCAATACACTTCTTCAGCCAGGCCTAAGTTCTCGCAGACAGCGTAACTTCTCGATGACGAAGGGTATCTCAAATCCCCCAAAAACGCACTCAGCCCCGACGAGGCAACGTATACGAGTGCAGATACTATTCCGACACTTAGCTGGGATATCGGTTTGTTTAGGACAAGGGCCAAGCTTTCAGCGCGGAGCAATAGAAGAAGCCATTAACGCATCCGTTATTAATGAATAAAAATATAATGAACCACAACTTTTATTAGAAAGAACGTGAATTAGTTAACATGTCACGAATATTCTCACTCTACTAGGTCCCAAGCATATAGGTGTTATCCTATCCGAAATCGCTTGCCTACGCGATATTACTTATGGGTCTAGGAAAGAGGCAGTATAGAAGCGCCTCACAGCGCTTAGAGATATAGAACTAATAACATATATTCATTTCCATGGACTGCCCTCTAACTAATCCTCCTTTATGATATATATATGAAAGGGAGAGGATACACTGCTCCTAACGACTAATATCCTACCTATAACTTCTATATCACCTGGGATTCTACCCTGCTTTCTCCTACAAGGTTAAGGGGTAGGGCAGCCTTACCTAGAATGGGAGGAGTACGGGAAAATAAACTCCCTTTCCAAGTACGTCGGGCTGCTTAACAAGCTTCAGATATAGCTTTCATTACTACTTCTAGCTCCATAAAGTGGTCCCAGCTTTATAGGGGAAAGCGAGATTGATATGTAGGAATTCGAGAGTACAGCTGTAATTCAATATTTTAGGTCATTTTCCTTCGCTGTCCTTGCCGTAATGCAAGACCCGCGAACCAGCACTAGAAGAAGCCCTTGGAAAATCCATCGATAGTTGTCAAGAGAAGATCGCCGTCCTCGATGTCCTTTCTACGTCCTTTCAACTCCTCAATATCCCACTCAGCCCAGACGAAGCGTCCATTCAGGAAGGCTGCATCATCAGTTGCAAGCCAGGCAAAGAAGTCTCCAGCCAGCTCTCCATTTGTCATTCCATCCGGAGGCGCAGATGCTCCTGAACGAGTAAAGCCATCGGAATCGACGTTTCCAGGATGGACATTAACAAAGCGAATGTCAGGATGCTCGATGCGGATATTCTCAAACAATCGAACCTGCGCCAGCTTGCTACTATTGTATCCAGCCCAGCCAGTCAGAGGGAAACGCATATGCGCTGCCATGCTGGAGACGGTCAGAAGTACGGCACCTTTCGGCACGGCTTTTGTCTGCAAGAACTTCTGAGTGACCACTGCAGGGCCAAGGACATTGGTCTCCCTAGATAACATTAGTACAAGGGCAGATGTAACAAGGAGAAAGACTTACCAGCCAGCCCACCAAGGCTTGAGATCTTGCTGAATGAATGGGCCATCGTCTGGAAACTGGCCAGCATTGTTGATCACGATATCGGGAGCGCCGAAAGCATCGAAGATTGCTGCAACCGCATTTTCATCCGTCACGTCGGCAGCGAACGCCACAAATTTTGTTTCTGGATATCGAGCGGCGAACCGGTCTCGGGCAGCTTCGATGCGTACTTTGTCTCGACCGAGAATGGCAATTTTGGCTGCTCCCGCAGATGCGATTCCCTTTGTTATGTGCTCGCCTACGCCGCGCCCAGCCCCAGTGATGAGAGCCGACTTCCCAACTAGGGGTCTACCAGACACTGCCTTAGTCAAACCATCGTATGGTTGTTTGTGAGTCTTGACGAAATGGGCCATATTGCGAGTGAAGTGTTGATTGATGGGAATGGTATTTGTAAGAGTACGAGTATTTGAATCGAGAAGGATGTCATCTAAAATCAAAGTTAACCAGCTGCTGTGATTGAGCTATTTATCTCATAGAAATCCTGCATCCCGCTATTCAACCGGGTACGAGACCATTAACCCTTTGAATGATAATGATGTCCGGAGCATCCCAGGATTTCCAAGCAAACGCATATTCATCGGTGCTTGATAATCGTAAATGCACTGCGGAGTAATTGACATGCCTTCTTAATGACAAATTTAGTTCGAATTCTATGCTTGGTGGGTTTTCTAGAAAAATGCCAGGGGGGTGTGGCCCGGTTTCCGCGCGTGGCGTCAATGTGGCGCTGGCATCCTCGTCCCGGTACGATACTAGCACGTTAGTCCCGCATAGCCTGGATCTCGTCATTGGTAGGGTTTCCCGCAGCTCGGAATGATGATATAATATTGCCGGTCAGCGTCCGGAGTGATAATAAATCTCAATGTGGTTCAATAGCCTGCGACCAGACATAAGTAGACATTTGTAATCATTGGGGGGGAGATGGGCCTCGGCAGAGTTATTTGTATCTAGTCTCTGATCCTTATCTTGCATTGCCTCTAGGCATTAGGCCCAGTTCTTCTTCAATTTCACCGATTGTCTTCATCTTTGTTCTCCCACGATAGACGCCGAACTTCTGAGTAATTAGTCTCTCATTGCTCCTATTTCTCTATGTATTCAAAGCCAACACTATGCTCATTAATAGCGGCGGATGCGGCATATAAGCCCCGTAGCTGACGTCGCGCTGTTTGTTTGACACTAAAAGTACGCACTGATTATGGACAAGGGAAACTGCCCTTCCGGGTACTACTCTTCCAGGTTTTGACCAAGTCCTCGATATTACAGACTGGAATTCGTAGTAAGCCAGGTGCACGAATTCCATAATCGTAGATCGCATTCTGAATATTGGGGTCCGTCGGGTCCACGAGTGAGGTCTCCGCATCGGGCTTTGCCACGTTTCCGTTTTGGGCATCAAAGGTTGCAAGTGCTCTACATCAGCCAATTTCTGTTAGTGTATCTCGTTCTGCCATGGTTAGGAATGTGGTGGTTGGGTCTTTCCGATCCAGAAATGGAGGCTCTCTCCGAGCTGCACTTCGCGTCTTGTAGATGCAGAAATCGGTAGCAAACATAGAATGAGGCAATTTCAACTTACGCAGCAACCACAGCCTCGCGCGTCAATCCGCCAAAGTTGACTCCATCGATTGATGTGGCTCCAGCAAGCACTTTCAAGAAGCCTTTCGTGCATGTGTCTGGTCGACAGATTCCACTTGTCGGATTGCAGTACCCTTGTACGCACTTCTCCTCGGGTTCCTCCGCACCAACCAGAAGGTATCTCTGATTTTGGTAGCACACCTCAACTGCTCCCTTGTCGGATTGGTGCACACGGAAACGCTCATGATCCCAAGTATCGGAGCACCTGATGCCCGTGGCAACCACGGCAGGGTATTGCGGTGTCTGTGATAACTGGGACCACACTAGCGGGATCATGAAGGCAAAGAGTGTCTTGAACACAAGGCCACGGATCGCATCGGTCGCTATAGGTGTGTACTCGTCTGCAGATAAACGACCGTCCTTGATGATTTCAAACAAGAAGTCGTTCGCCTTGTCTTCGCCGCTGAAAATCCACTCTTGCTGTAATGGGAGAGCAGAGTTGATCATGTGTTAGTGTCTCCGCCCGCCTGCCGCTCCTCGCGAACGAATCGACAAAGCTGATTGGGTCTTGAACCACTTACAAGCTTAGTCAACGCCCTCCACCAGCTCTCAACCATCGTTGCGAGATGAGCTCCTAGCTCCTTCGTCATGTCGAACGACGTGGGCACCTTCATTTGGTCCTTGGATATTGTGATTCCGGTCTGCACAAGGGGGTTCACCCAGTCCTTCAGTACTCCGAGCTCGTTTGGTCTGGTGCCTAGAAAAGCGAGCTGTTTCAGAGCGATATTGAACACTGGAGCAGACAGTAGAGCCAATCCAAGTGATAAGATATCGAGCAGCACCTTTTCATTCGCCTTCTCCTTGACAGGGCGATCAAACAGGTCTGAGATGGCGCCAAGCTGAGCGGCTAGGCTGCTCATGGCGGTGTTGATACCGTCATAAAAGTTTCCGATTATCTGCAAGACGGAGGCTTCAGTCAACACAAAGGGCATCGATATGGTCCGGCGAGACGGCGCATTTGACCTTACATTATTGAGGGCCACGAAGGAGTTCAGAATGAGATATGGTGCTGCGACGCCCAAGTCTCGACAAAGGTAAAAGCTGTCGCAACCTAATAATGAGCAACACATGGTCAGAAGGGGGTTCCCAGAGTCGCTGAGCGCATACCGCGCCCTGGGAGGAACCCTGCACTCACCATTGCGGTCTGCACGAACCTGACAGTTCATGCTCTTGTCGCCACCCAGGAATAAGCTCATGGCCGGGGCAAATCTTGGTGAATCTCGAGCAAACCTCCAGTCCGCAATTGCGGAGCTCCATGCCCCTGAAGTATGAACAGCATTCCACCTGTCCTTCGGAGCGACACCCGCGCCTGTGAGAGATGGGTTGTCACATGTATCCTGACGCCATAAGTCGTCACCAGTGGTCGGGGGTAGGGTAGGCATGCCACCGCTATCATCACCGCCACCACCTGGAAGCGGTACCTCTGGTGTAAGCTCCCACCCGCCACCGTCGTGTTGACTTGCGGCCGGACACTCGAGCAAGCCTGGGGTAGTCTCTGCCGAGCCTTTGACGCATGCTGAGAGGGCCGACTCCTCGTTTCCGTTGACTGCTGTCATGCAGTACTCATAATTCCAGACGCCAGGGAACAAGAAGGTGACGCCCCAGCACGTACTTCCGGCAGCATAAGGGTCTTTCTTCAGGACAGACCCTGGCTCGTTGACATTGCGCGTCCACACATGATAGCCCGCCGCGTTGCCGTCCCCATCATATCTGAGCTGGACTGTGACGGCGTCGCGCGTGTAGACTTTGAGGTTCGTGGGCGCAGCCGGCCGGCCCTTGCCAACGCGGACCTGCGGCCCACCTCCTGGGAGACCGCCACCGTATTGGTTCCATCCCGCTACGGCAACGACATAGCGCTCGCCGGGGATCAGCCCGGTGATAGTCGCGGAGCGCGCGCCGCCGGGAATGCCGACACTATTGAGGAAGGATCCAGCCAGGTCCGCGGAGTATGTAATCACTTCCCAGATTGTCACGCCGCCACTACCTGGTGCCGGATCCCAGCTTACTGTGACCCCGTTACTGAGTGCATGGGTGACAATGTTTACCGGCGGCTCTGGTGTCTGAGGGGTGGCAGTTGCTCCGACAGTGCCACTATAGGACGACTTGATGCTGTCACCGCAGACAGCCTGGATCTGGTATTCCCACTCAAGGCCGGCAACTGTCCAGCTGGTATCGACTCGATTCACCGGGTTCGCGTACTGAGGTTCAGTCCAAGGTTGCCCCTTTATCCGCGTGCGCACGTTGTAGCCCGTTGCGCCACACACTTTATCCCACGTAACCGTAACACCCTGCGGCGATGAACTGGCTCGTACATTGCCTGGCATTGAGCAGGAGCGGCCAGGTATGTTTCCAGGGATTGCAAGTACTGCACTTCCCAGCCCAAAGGAGTTCTTGAGGGTCGTTGAGAAAGCCTGGGCTATCTGAAACTCCCCGAGGGCGTTTGGGTGGAGCCCATCATAGGCGGCAGGACACGCAGCAACGCCACAGCCGTAATTCTCTTGTAGTTTGACCAAAGCCAGGGGCGAGTTTGGCGTTGACCACCTGGGGATGTTCTGGCTCAGCAAGATGTTGTAGTTGCTGGTAGCAATTGGGAGGTCGTCGCGTCCCTTAATCAGAGTCCGCTGCGGCACATTTGCGATGGCGAATCTTACGTTTGGCTTAGCGCTGCGGGCGTTGTCCACGATTGATTTGACGCTTGCCAGCGTGCCCTCGGACCCGCTGACAAACCAGCCCATATCGTTGAATCCAATCGCCATCAGGATATAGTCCGGCTGGTATGTGCCTACAATACTGGAAATGTCGTTCTTGACTTGAGCGGCTTGGCGTCCCCACAGGGCATAGTGGTTGCATGGGAATGATCCGATGCCCGCGGCATATCCGCCATATGTTCGAGGTGGAGGGACTGTTGCCTTTGTCCCCTGGAGCAATGGTGCAACCGGCGTGGATGGCTCGTCCGAGGATAAGTACCAACCCAAGGTCCAACAAACTCGGCGGCGATGCCGTTATCGCGGAACCACTCCCAGATGCGAAACCGCCAAGTATAGTCCCCTTCTCGCCCGTGGGAGATTGAATCGCCCACAACCATCACTCGAACGCCTGCTCGTGGTCCGATGGCAGAGGCAAGTACTGGCTGGAGCACAACATTCAGCTGGACGAGCAGCAGCGTGGCAGTCAAAAGGGCCACTTCAGCCCTCGCGAGTGAACCAAGCCACGGCAACATCGTTGCTGAAACGGCCGCGCTCGTGCGCCAGAGTTGACTAGGATCTTTGATCGTCGAGATGATGGGGGAGTTGCGAAGAGGCACAAGAAGAAGTCCAGGTGCTGAATTATGGTTGAGAAGGTCATACTCACAGACTCATTCATAAATCAGGTCGAAGTAGTTCTATATATACTTGATACAGCCGGCTGCAACCCGCTCTACGGTTGCGACCCGCCTGATGGTATACACGTGGGTAAGTGTATAGGGTGTCATAGCACTGCCGATATGGTTTCCAAATTTGAGCATTAGACGATGGGGAAACTTGTCACAAATATGTGTAGCAAGCAGGGTCTAGCCTGTGTTTATGGATGATGCGGAACAATTGACTCCAAATAAACCCTGGATGGCTGAACGACCCCTGCCATTACAGACAACTAGTAACTATGTTTCTCACGGGTGAACTAGTCATCCTTGTCGGAAGGATTGTGGCTTAAGGGGCATAGCTTGCAATTGGCTGTGTACACAGAAATGGCTGTCTTCAATCTCCCGTACGAGCAGCCACGTCCATGCTTGCATCAGAACTGGGAGCACAAGATTATAGGCTCAACGCAGATTTTGGCATTGTTGCGTCGTACGGCTGGCTGGGTGTGACAGGCAGCGAGTGTCTCCAGCCACGACAGCGCATCCACAGCTGGCTGAGACAGCCCATCCACAGCTCACTGAGACAGCCGACGGCGCCTTTTGAAGAAGACAGGACGCGGTCCCGTTGTCCTAATGAGGCTTACTGAGGGACCGCGACATCCTTGGACGTGTCTAATTCTTCGTGTCTCCTGAGATCCATAGGCCTGTCGAGCAGGGGGACCACATAAGGGTCAAACGTCTTCCAGTAAGGATTCTCCAGGTGGTACTTCTGGCTCTGGCGCGTAGGGAAGCGCATAGATCAGCGGAGTGTACGACATCGACCTGCTCTTGCTAGGACCTTACATATTCAGTCTCGAAGCGCTCCACAATGGTGAAGGCTCTGGGGTCATGAACATCCTGCATGACGAACCAGCTGACAGTCTCGCGGTCCTTTGAGTAGACGCGCGAGGCTTCGATGAGCTTGGCTTTGATGCGGTCGACCGAGTCGGGCTGGTCGTTGGCGTACAGATGCACAGTGATTGTATAAACCATCTTGGAAGGCTGCGTTCCCTCGGAGATCTGTGGCTTGGGGGCAATTGATGCTCGTCGTAGATTGGGGCGGGGGAAGTTGGTGATGCGATGCAGGAAAGTCAAGCTTGAATTGTTGATTGTTGGGAAGGGGACTGACGAGGAGGGGCTCCAGGCATTGTGACCCCACAATACGGCACCAATTCTTCTCTGTACGGATATAGTGTAAATACCGCGTAAATCGATATGCATGCTGTTCCGGGCATGCCGCCATGCCCAACTGAAGCCGCCGTAACTATGGCGTCAACTTTGTGTGCTTCACATAGGCTGTCTTCGCAGCCCGATGCTCGGTAGGCGCCACACAAAAGACAAGTTCTGAGAGAGGCACATGACCGATGAGAGCCATGAGCCAGCTATCCAGAGGTTATGTTGTCACGTGCCGGATCCTTGGCCCTGGCACTAGTTGGATTTGGAAAGCGGCAAGTGACGCGAGTCGGAAGGATCGGCAGCCTCACGCCCACACACACACGAGCACAAGTTCATTGGCTTACGGAACACCAGTACTTTTTTTTTTTTTCACTGGCCATGTTTCAAGAGCATGTGTACTCATTTTGATACTATCTCGTCTTGATTTGTGCTGGAGGCACTAGTTAATTGTAGACCCGGCTATGCAAGCCTCTTGATTGATCACTTTCACGCCCTGTGCGAGTCCTTTTCCTGGTTCGAGATGGTCCGTTCGGCGTGATCAGCCATGCCAGCCTCCTCGAGGTTCTTCGACTCGGGCTCGAGCTCTCTGCGAGCAGCAGGCTTCAGATCCTCGGCCGTCGGGTAGGCAATCTTGTGGACCTTGTACCATGGGTGGTCGAACAACTTGTCCATGCTCTCAAGCGAACGACCAGAAGTCTCGGGCATTGCAAAGAAGACATAGACGAGCGAGATGACGCAGATGCCCATGAAGAAGAAGAAGGCACCAAAGCGATTGGTGGCAGCGAGGAGCGAAGGCATGGCACGCGAGCAGCCAAAGTACATGGCCCAGTGGACTGCCATGAGGACCGAGACGTTGAGGGAGCGAATGCGCATGGGAAACACCTCAGCCGAGACAAGGTAGGGAATGGAAAACCAGCCGATGGACCAGGCCAGGGCGTGGATGTAGATAGCAACGATTGCTGCGCGGGAAGCTGCCATGGCGCTGGCCGAGGCCTCGATGACGGCAACCGACATGCCCGTTGTGGCTCGCAGGTATGCGCCCACGAACGCCAGAGTCACAATCTGGAGGACGATGCCCGTCATCAGAGACCGGCGGCGGCCGATGAAATCGATGACAAAGATGGAGAAGAGCAGCACAGACACAAACTTGACAACAGCGTACAAGCCGGTCGCGAGGAAGCGCGACTCAGTGCCGACGATGCCGAGGTAGCCAAAGATGGTCGGGCTGTACTGCGTGATGGCGTTGGCGCCAGACCACTGTCCGAGTACGTGGCAGGAGAACATGAGCATGAAGCGGCGACGGTTAGAGAGGTCGGCAAAAGTCTCTTTGACAAGGTCGAGGGTCGAGGCACCAGCGACGACTTCGATCTCGGCATTGAGCTGGTTCTCAATGCCCTGGAACTCGGCCTGGACGTACGGGTGGTCTTCGGGGAGGTTTCGGAAGCGGCAGAGGGTAGCCAGAGCCTGGCTGCGCTTGCCCTTGCTGAGGAGGAATCGAGGGGTCTCGGGGGTGAAGAATGATCCGATACCCCAGATGACGGCGGGCAAGACCTGCAGAGCCGTTGGCAGCTGCCACTGGAGGTCGGTGTTGGCGTGATACTGTGTGACGCCATAGTTGAAGAAGAAGCCAAAGACGACACCGAGCTGCTGGCAGCAGGTGTATTGCAAAGTCAGGAGACCACGGATAGGCTGAGGGGAAATCTGGAGCGTGGAGAAGATGAGAATTAGCCATGTCGCGTGTCGGGTAAAGTTGTCCTCAGTGAAGTGACATACCTCTGCAATATAGACCGAAGGCAACACGGTAGTAGCACCGATACCGAGACCCGCGATGACACGCGTGGCGTAGAGGGCACCTAGATTGCCGTCGCTGAAGGTCTGGCCAAGGACACCGGCGATGTAGATAATGGTGAACAGTTGAAACGTGTAGGTGCGACCAAGCCTCTGAGTGAGCCAGACACAGCCCAGACAGCCAAAGACAGCACCGGCAGTGGCAATAGCGACAATCCATCCCTTGGTGTTTGCATAGTCGGCTTCGGACTGCTTGGCAATACCAAATCGAGACCTGAAGGAGTCCATGATGACCAGAGAGGCAATATTTCCTACAACGGCGAACGGAGAACGCATTAGAATGGTGGGAGTCCACGCGGCTCGTGATTCTGGGGAGTAGGCAACAGAAGAACATACCTTCATCGAAGCCCTTGGCAACACCAGAGAAACTCCAAACGCAGGTGCAGAAAAGGAGATACCAGTTGAAAATCTCCTTGGGGCTGTCCTTGATGGCCTTCTTGGTGGCCTTGATCATATTGGGACGCGTCATGGTGGGCTACGACGGTCGACGACGGAACACGACAGTCGAGACTTGTGCTTGATAGTGAGGAAGGGGTAGAGAGAGGCTTCCAATCCCGCGACTTGCTGCTTGTTCAGGCGGAGAGTCGGGTCGCGCTGATGATCAAGAAGATCCAGAATCGTCAGGAGCGACAGCTTTGCATTTATGTCGACGAGGCTGGGGGTCGGCCGATGGTCAGATGCCTTAGCCGCACGCACCACTGTGCCACCGTCAGCAGCAAAGAACTGGCGCCCGTGGGGAACATTGCGTTTTGCGGAGGACTGGGGCCCCAGGCTGGAAACGAGGAGGTCCGGGCTTCGGGGCATGTCCGTCTCCTACGGAAAAGACTAGCAGCGTTTAGCAGCACCGAGGAAGCTTCTGGGGAGCAATTGGAGCATGACTCGTGAGAAGTGCCGACCCCAGAACTCGGGTTCACACCGATGGGCCCAGACTGTTCCTGCCGGGGTCTGTCCGCAAGCGATCACGGCCCCCCCCATAAAGATGTCCGCAGGCCCCGTTCTGCCCTTGGTGCGCATGCCAAGCGGCCGAGGCGGCATTGGGACACGACAAGCCTCTGCGAAGACTTTTCTTGGCAGCCTCCCGCGCCGGGCGCTCATGTGGCCGAAGCGCTCGTCGGCGAGTCGCGTTGGGGACGAAAAGAGGAGCACTGTGCTGATCGCCAAGGCGCGATACAGCTGACCACGGCCGCGGACATTCTGCAAACCTGTTGCACCAGCACTGTACAGCAAGACTGAGAGGCTCCCATGTGATTACAAAGAGCTTTCTTTTCAGGGATGGCATGGGTGCGGCTGAGTGTGGAGACGGCCTGAACATGCGCAGCTAACACCAGGAATCGAATATCAGTGCCATTTCTAGGAAACAGCCCAATGCTAGTAGACAGCTAGAGGGCTCACGCGTGAGTCAAGCCTCACGCCCGTGCGCCTCCGCACCCAGCTGAGAAGGACGGCTATTCGCGCTTCTTCAGTTTTGGTGCCTTGACAGCACCCCGGCAGTGCCAATCCACCTTTTGCACGTTTCCTTCCATGCTGTCCGTGATGTATAACGTCTTGTGCTCGGGGCCGCCGAAGCAGCAGTTTGTGAGGTTCAGTCCTTTTGTACCACTGACAATCCTCGCCTTGGGCACACCGTGGCTGTCCACGACAAAGACTGAACCAAGACTGGGATGGCACACAAACAGACTGCCCTCCTCATCAACTGCCAGGCCGTCCGGCCCGGCATTGCCAAATGACTGGAAGAACACGCCGGCTTTGCTCGTTGTGCCGTCCTCGTGAAGTGGCAGGCGCCAGACCTGGTTCGCCCGTGTCATGGCAACGTACAAGAAGCGTTCATCTACGGAAAGCACGATCCCATTCGGCGACGCTCCGTTATCCAGTAACGTGTCCAGCTTCCCCTGGGGTGAGAGCCTGTACACTCTTCCTGTTGGGTCCGTGATGCCAGTCTGGCCTTGATCTGTAAAGTACAGGTTTCCATGGGAGTCGATGATGAGGTCGTTAGGCCCCTTGAATCGTTCGAGATTCTTCCGTGTGAGCTTGGGCCCGACTTTGCCAGTCGCCGGGTCGAATTCGAGGATGCCCTGCAGACCAGGTCGGTGGTTAGTTCTTGGTCATTGTCGCCAATTGAGAGATGAGAGATGAAAGGCAGCATCCTTATCACAGCTGACCCATATGTCGCCATTCTGCTTACGGCCATGATGCAACACCGAGCGAACAATAGGGTACACAGATTGGTACTCAAAAACTCACCTGCTTGTAATCGGCAATCATCAGGGTTCCGTCTGGAGTTCCTACAAGCCCGTTGGGCTCGCCATCCCACTGCGCAGCTACTGTGACGTTCTTTTGGCTGTCGATTTTCAGGATCCTCCCGTATGGAATGTCGACAATATAGAGGTTTCCATCAGTGTCTACCACGGGGCCCTCTAGGAAGATGTGCTGGAATTGGACCGCGGAGCCTCCACGCCATTCGGTCTCCTGGCCTACGCAACGCAGCTCGTCAGGGATCCGGACATGGAGCTCGGCCGTGATGGTAGGTGGTGGAGCGTAAAAGTTCATGATGGCAATCCCCCGTAGGTTTGTTCTCGCGTGTTCGTTATAGCACTCGACAATCACCAGAGATGTGAGAAACAAGAGCGTGTGCACGGGTAAAAGGGCAAGGAATGAGAAAGCGGGAGGCGGAAAAATGGGGGAAGCCGGAGCTTTCTCCAACACGACCCTCACCAGTGTGGAGCAGGCTACTTGGGGCTGAGCGGTTTTCCTCCCCGCAATTCGCACTTCCGCTCGGGGCCGCTCCGAGCGACCACAATTCGGTGGGTGGTAGGTCCACGCATCGGATGGCGTGGTGCTCACCCGGGCCTTCACCGGCACTACTATGGAAGAACGGAGCAGCGTCAAGGCCTCGTTCTTTGCGTCGCACACGATGAGGTACTGTTTGCAGCACTGTCCGGTAATGGTTCCTGTTAATAATTGATGCTACCCGAATCCAAGAAAGAAGGTGCTAGAGGCTGTATTGATACAACACCCAAATATGGAAAACCCTGGATTGTCCTCCGTGGAACAGGATAGGGTACGAGAGTCTTGGGGATTGTCATAGTCTGCCCAACGCCTCTACTCTAGCTTGAGTTTGTCGGGGTCGCATTGTCCAACAGAGGGTTCACAGAGCCCCAAATATCGGATGTCCGTACGGTTATGCTGGCGAAGATGCTTGCTCCGTCCAGGCTCATGGCGCATCTTGCACAATCTTACCAGATATCGTCAAGTGGAGTATGTAGAACTTGCATGGCTGCGCAACAACTCCTCTCACCAAGCTCTTCATGCGTGAGCCGAGCCTGCTGTCCTCAGCCCGCCTTAGGGGGCAGAGGTTTAAGGTCTACATGAAAATCTTGAGATCATTGCTTATATCGACCGCGGACGGATCCAAGGCGCCGACGACCTCCGTGGGACAGGCGACCAGGCAGGCTGGTGGCGTCAGTGGACGCACCATAGACTACCGCAGCTCCTTGCGGGCCAGCGCTTATCTCGAGAAATGTCGCTCAAGCAGGCTCTTTTTGAGATCTGTGTTGGCCAGGAAAGCGATGTAGATGTGGTCGTATCTCAACGGGTACAATGGTACATTCATCTAGTAAGTTCACATCCCGTGACCTCTGGAGAACTAGGCCGACGTCGGGGAGGCTGCACTGTGGGGTTCATTCGTCTTTCAAACACGAAACTAGGATGAAGAAATTGGTAGAAGCATACAACCGGGTTCAAATACTGACAATAGATGTCTGATGACGAGACGTGGAACAAAGCAAGATATTTAAAAGAGTTGTTTATAATGATGTCTTGGTGGAGCGCATGCCCAGGAGTTTGGGCTGTTCACTTGCATTAGGTCTACGGAGTTATTGAAGTCGCTGCTAAAGGCGGCGACCAAGAATTGACCAGCTTTTTCGGCACTGAGCCGATTCCACTGTTGGTCGAACAAGGCCCGTAGACTGCTCAAGACACAAAGCGCCACTCGTTGTACTCGCCAGTCTGTGCCTGCCTCTCCTCGAGCTGCTTGTTCTTCCGGTTGACCCACCACTTGAGCATGAGACAGGACAGGATGGAGGCGCCGCAACCGACAATGATGATGCCACCACCCATCTCATAACGGGGAGCCTGGTTCGTGAGGAAAAAATAGGGGCTGAACCAGTGCGTCACGCTGCTGGCACAGTTGGCGATAGCCACCAGCGCAGCACGCTTGGTGCGGGGCCGGGGCACAACCGTCGTCTCCCAAGACAAGTGCAAGTTGAGAGCGATGAACGGGCCAGAGCACAGGAGGAACAGGCCAAAGTAGCGGGGAGCTTGCTGAAGGGTGGAGATCAGAATGACAGCACCGGCAAGAGCGGTGGCCATAGCGCCGACGATGTGCCAGCAGTGCTCGAGCAAGCGACCGCTGGACCAGGAGACCGCGATACAGACTCCATACGCGAAGAGGTAAGGAGGCGCTTGGAGGAGGTAGGTTCCAGTCTTGTCGAAATGGAAGGTTTCCAGGATCTTTGTCGCAATGTTAGAAATGGAACATTTGTAGGGCTGGGAAGCCGGGGAAACTCACAGAAGGGAAGAAATCCTTGAAGGACTGCCCGACAATGACAAAGAAGTGGAGGCAGGCAAACATCCAAGTGAAGGGGTCCTTGGCAGCCAGGATGACACCGCCCCAACGAGTTCCCTCGTCGTCCTCGGTGTATCCGCCACCAGAGACCTGCATTCGGTACTGTGCCATCTCGGACTCCTCGGCTGTAAGGAAGTAGGTGCCAGTGTTGTTAGGCCATTTGGGAATGCACCAGAACGAGACAATGGCGACGGCGATGCTAACGATGCCCTCAATGAGAACAAACCACTGTGAATGGACACGCAAGTTAGTTCTGGATGCATGTCACAGGATGGCCCATGGATGATTGATGACTGACCTGCCAGGAGTGGAGACCGCGAATGCCCTCCATTGTAGTGAGGATGGCAGCAGCCAAAAGACCTGAAATGACGTTGGAGATGATGTTGCCGGCGTGCCAGATGCTCATGCGGAGAGGGGACTCGTGCTTCGTGTACCACGAGGATGTCATGAGGGAAACAGCCGGGACAAAGGGCCCTTCTGTGACACCGACCACGAATCGGCACAGCATGAAACCCCAGCCGCTCGACAGAGCAGTCATGCAAATGGTAGTCACAGACCAACCCAGCATGCAAATAGGCAAGAGCAAGCGCGGGTTGCCCTTTGCGAGGACGACGTTGGCAGGGACTTGAGAAATGATGTAGCCGACGTAGAACAGAGAGATTCCCGCGGACCATTCGGTGTCGGTCATGCCAAGGTCCTTCTGCATGCCAGCGAGACGAGCGTTGGACACGTTGATGCGGTCAAGGTAGCTGGAGAGTGCGCGTCAGCTGGTCAGCATTTGGAATCCCCCGCATGGGCGGCTAGAGAAGTTTTGCCGATTAGAGACTCACTTCATGAGCAACATCATGGTGATGCATGGCAGGAAGATCCAATCGAGCTTCTTGAGCAGCCGCTTGTTGATTGCGTCGCGGCGCTCGGGAGTCAAGTCGCGCAGCAGTGGCCACTGCTCGAGCAGGCGGTCGGGCGAGGAAACATCCTCGACCTGGTCCTGAGCGGCCTTGACCTCGCTCACGCTGGGCTTGCGGTCGGCATCCGGAGAAGTCATTGCATGTGCTGGAGACAGAGAAAGTCTTGATAAAAGGTCGCTGGGTTAGAGATTTCCTGAGAATAAGAAGATCGCCTTGCCCGTGTCGATGGCCAGAGGAAAAACCTGACACGATCGACAACCCTCGCCAGCATATATACCCAGTAGCCATACCGCAAGCCTTGGCAGTTCCCTCATGCGCAGCCGTTCCCAGCATCTTGGCATCGCAGCACGTCGAGGCCCTATCTTACCGCCAGTGCTGGGCGGTCGTCGTGTGAGCGATGCAGCAGGGCCTTGGCGTTGAGGATGGGCATGCTGATCGGAGGGTTCCCCGCGCGTGCAGGCTGTGGGAGTCTGGGGAGCGACTCTGGAGAAGTCTGGGGCGCCGCAGGGCCCGCGGCTTGGCGGCAGGTTAGCGCCGGGCTTGGCCCGTGCGGGCGGGCCTGCCCCGGATCCCCCACTGAGGGGCTGCCTCGGGCCAAGCCCGCCCCGGCGCGAGCCTGACTCTGCGCGCGCTGCCAAGGGCAGTGAAATGGGGCGTTTCCCCAAAGCCCAGCATTCACAATCTCCGCTGATCCTGTGCCGGACCCCCCAACGCACGCGACCTCGAGGTCGAGGTCAACCAACCTGCCCGGCACTGATGGCAAAGCGCCCGGCTGACAAGGCGGCGCCGCCGCCGCCATCCTCCGCCCACGACCGGGACCGTGAACCCCGCCAGCCCCATCCTCCCCAGCAGCAGCAGCTCCCACGCCTGCCGGCCTGCCAAACGTGCTCTGCCCGCAAGGTCAAGGTGCGTATGTCCCTTCCAAGCTGAGTCTGCTCGCATGGCCGCCGTACGGGACTGAGTCTTTGCCCACCACGGCGTCTGCAGTGTGACAGTGGCCGCCCAGCATGCGGGCTCTGCATCAAGAACAACATCACGTGTACCATTTTGGACACAACCACTGGCGAGCTCATCTCGCGCGCGTAAGTCAGGCCAAGTGTTTGTTTGCCCACGCATTTTTATCGAATCCGTGCGTGAAAACTGATCGCCCTCGCAGATACATTCACGAGCTTGAACAGAAGGTCCACGCACCACAGTGCGGAACCAAGCGGCCAGCACCTTCAGTGCATGATGGCTCTCCCGCGGGCGCCGACGCCGTCACACCGGCCAAGTCAGTCGATACGCCCTCGACGGCTCTGCATGGTGCCGGTCTGAGGTTGGTAGTGCCGTGAATCCGCATACTCGAGTTTCGTGTAGCTGACATTTCCTTCCTCGCAGTTTCATGAGCTCCCTGTTTACCGACCCGGACTGGAGAAGCAGGCACTCAGACCTGCTCCAGTCTCTGACAAGTGCCTCGCAGGCCGCTGCTGCGAGCCCGAGCGTCGGGCCATGCCCTCTGCCAGCCTCCGGCACCGAGGCCAGGGCATATTTTGACAGCTAGTATGTGGTCTCAGGCACTGCATTTGTTTCCACGAATCCATTCGAGGCTGGACAGACTAACAAAACCTTCTTTTGACAGTATCCGCGAGGACCATGCCCAAAAGCCCATCCTCTCCCGTGCCGAGATCGAGACCCTATTCAACCAAATCTACGACAACTCCAAAAATGCGCCGCGTCAAGGGCTTCCACGACAAACCCTTTACCGCGCCTGCATGATCATGGCCCTCGGTGCCGTCAAGCCGTTTCGTCACAACGCCTGCAAGCATCATCCGTTTGGGTTCTATTTGACCGCCATGGAATACCTGGATCCCACCTTCCTATCAAGCAATCTCTCTGCTATCCAGAACCTTCTGCTCATTGTACGATTTGGGATTTACTTTCACATAGGTTAGCACTCCTTTGGTGTGATTAGCTGTACCGAAAGAAACTGACCACGTACAGGCGCATCCATCTGGGAGATTGTACGGATGTGTATGAGAATGTGCGTGGAGCAGGGACTTCATAAGAAGTCGCCTCATGGTGAATTCTCACCCATGGAGGAGCAGATGCGCCGTAGGGTGTTTTGGTGTGTCTACCTGATGGACCGCTACAGCTCAAGTACCCTGAGTCGGCCTTTCGCCATTTCCGACCACGACATCGATGTGCCCTCGGTTGTCGATGCGGATGATGCCGAAATCATTGCCGCCACGCAGAGCCAGCCTGGCAAGCCGCTTGACGAGTTGGATATTGGACGGCACAGGCTGCACAACTCGGCGCCCAGCGAAGCAAGTGTGCTTCTGTTGACAGTCCGCCTGCGGCAGATATCATCCGACGTCAACACAATGTTCTCAAGCCTGCTAAGGCGGAAGGTCTCAGACCCAGACAGCTACAGCGCGCTCACGGCCACTGGCAGAATCTGCGAGATCATGGACGCCATTGTGTTGAGGCTAGAGGCATGGCGGAGCACTGCCCCCGTCTTCGAACATCCGCGCAGTCAGTATGAGCGTTCAGAGTGGTATGATTTGCTCAAGACCCGCGAGATCTTCAACATCATGCGCGGTGCCGTTGATGCCAGCCCGAAGCGCGACGGCGTGCCCCCTCGGCATGTGCTTGTGCAGTGCCTGGAGTGGGCCATGCGTACCATTGAACTGTACTCTGATCTGTTTGAAAGGTCCATCGTGACGAACACGCGGAGCTACTTCCAGCTGATGATCAATGCTGGATTCTCAATCCTCTACTTTGCATCGGTGTCTACGCCGGCCATGCTCACCCCCGATGTCGCCGCTCGCTGCCGCGACATTCTGAGCCGTTGCGGCAAGACTCTGATGCAGATGACGGTGGACCTGGCCAACTCGCGGCATTACGTGGCCGTCTTTGAGGCGCTGCATCACCACCTATCACACAAGCTACGGATCGTGCAGTCGCGGAGGCCGTCGCCTCCCGGCTCGAGAGGCGGCCCAAACGGCGGCCACCTGGCACACGGCCACTTTGCTGCCCCCGCCGACAATGCGCACGTGCAATTTCCGAGAGCTGGCGGCTCGGATCACTCTGCAAACGGCCCGCAGGCCTTCTACGCCTCAGACAAGGATGGCAATGAAGTCGTGCCGAGTCTCGGCCACTACCCAAACGTCGAACAGGCGACAGGCTCACAAAATGGGGCTGGTCCGTATGGTGGCTTTGTTCCTGGGCTCGACAATCACCTGGCCTGGACGAACGGGCGCTACCTGCCACTCCAGGATCAATATCAGCAGCAACCGCTTGCGGTGGCACCGCGAGCCGCGGATGAGGCCGGCGCGGCGTATCAGCTAGACGATACGAGCGAGCTGCTCAACTGGGACTTTCTACACGACGAGGTCCTGTGGAACATGGGCAACTACGTGTATGGTGGTGCTAACGAGGCATTTGGGTCATTCGATGGGATCCCCATGCCCCCTTGACTGGGAGTTTTGGTTGAGCTCGTGCCAATGTTCAATAACTGTCTCTTCCTGCTCACCCATCTCTACGCGTGTGTTTGTACGTATGATTGGAGTGTGTTCCGTCGCACAAGCATGATGACCTGCAGCCACATGATGCAGGTGGCTTTCGCCCAGGCAGTGCGGACAGCGTGAATCAGCAGACGTGAGCCGATGGTGGCAGCCCGTGTCATGTCAACGACGCTAAGCCCACCTTTTGGCCCCCCCGGGTTATGGGGTCCCCATTGGAGAATCCATGCCCGCCCAGAGTTTTGCAAGGGTGAGTTCGGACAGGCTCCGAGGCCGACGGCGGGCGAGGTGAGGCCTTCGGGAGACCCCTGGCCGAACTCCTCACTCCCCCAACGCCCACTTCGAGGATCCGTAAATGCGGGACGCCCTCTTGGGGGAGGTGCCGACGGACTACAACAGGTTCGGGCTCTTTCCATGGGCCCCGCGCCGGGTTACGGGTTATGGCCATCAACCCCTCCGGATACAGGTCCGATACAGGCCTGCAGTTGTCGGCCCTGGGCCCGCGTGTACACCGGGCCAGCATTGTCCCGCGACGGGACTCTGAAGCTGGCTTGGCGTATATATGGTGCTTTTGCCTCGTGCCTTTCCGACCCGCGGCGCTAGATTCCCATCGTCCCGCGTCAGTCCTCCAGTTTCCCCTCTGCCCCCGCAGCATACAATTACACACGACTCCAACTACACAAAGAGACTTGTCAGATATTATTTGACATTGCACACATCCTCCTCACAAGCACTTCGACACCAAAACTAGTCACGATGGGCTCCGTAGGAAACACCACTGCTCCCGCGGCCGCTGCTGCCCCGCCGGCAAAGACCTGGGCCATCTCGAACCCGTTCCGCGATGCCATTGTGGCCGGCGAGGTCTGCCCCGTCTTCACGACGCGCATGACGACGTCTGCCGAGCTACCCATGGTGCTCAAAATGGCCGGCGCCAAGGCCCTCTTCATCGACATGGAGCACTCGGCCTTTGACATGCACGCCGTCGCCCAGCAGATCCTCGCCTGCAACTACGCCGGCGTCTCGGCAATTGTCCGCATCCCCAGCAAGTCCCACTGGCACATCAGCCGCATGCTCGACTCGGGCGCCGCCGCCATCGTCGTCCCCCACGTCGAGACCGTCGAGGAGGTCCGCCAGCTCGTCAAGGACGCAAAGTACGCCCCCATCGGCGCCCGCGGCTGCTCCAACATGCAGCCCCTCTTCAACTTTGGCCTCGTCCCCACAAAGGTCCAGAACGAGATCCTCAACCGCGAGACCATGCTCATCCCCATGATCGAGACCCCTGGCGCCGTCGACCTCGTCGACGAGTTCCTCGCCGTCGAGGGTGTTGACGGCATCCTCATCGGCTCCAACGACCTGTGCTCCGACATGGGCATCCCCGGCCAGTACGACACGGCCCAGTACCAGGATGCCATCACCAAGATCGTCCTCGCCGGCAAGAAGGTTGGCAAGCCCATCGGCATCGGCGGCATCGGCGGCCGCCTCGACCTGCTCGAGAAGTGGTTCAACATGGGCGCGACATGGTCTCTCAGCGGAGGCGACCTGGCCTCCCTACAGGCCGCCATCAAGAAGATTGGCGAGAACTACTCGGCCATTAACGAGCGTGTGCAGAAAGCCAAGGCGGCTGCATCGTCATGATGTGGTAGAGACAGGGAGAGAGGAAAAGAGCAAGGGGTGGATCGTGAATAGAAGCACGTTTGTATATACATTTTTGGGGGTAGAAATAGACCTATGTACATATCGACCGAAGTCACTGGCTTATCTCTTTCGGTGAAATGGTCGGACGAAGCGTGAACTGGTTGGGCCCTTAGCTGCAGAGCTTAACAAGCAGCAGCACGTGCGCAGACAGATGTCGGGCCAAGTCGTTGATTGGCATAGCTACATTCTGCAGAACACGGCTAGAGTCAGCATGTGAACCAGTCCATGACATAGGCACCCGGTGCCTGCTTGTTGCTTGGGTACCTACCGAGCCGGACAGTCGTGCTGATAGCGCCAGAAGCGCTCGCTGCAACACTCTGAGTGATGTAAAGTGCAAGCTCAAGACTGTGATAAGCGTCGAGCACTTTTGCACCATGACCCCAGCAGCTTCGGCAAACTCGGAATTGTTGCTCGTGATATCAAAGTTACCGATGGATACTGCCGATGACGCTGTCGAAGGAGATAGTGTTGTGCTGACGCGCCGCAGATCGCCCGTCCCTGGCCGCCCTATGAACCCAGCACGACGACGGGCGAGGAAAACATATGCAATGCACGCATTGAATAGCTCGTATGCATTGGTGAACGAGCTATCTTCCGGTTTTCCGCGAATCTCAAACTGCTCATATGTCCGGTCTATGAACCTCTTGCAGCATAACATCGTGTCCATCTCAAACTCGGCGAGAGCAGCCTCGTTGTACTGAGGGGGGCCGAATGATGCTGCGTCGTGTTTTGGAAGTCCAGAAGACAGCGTCGTGATGCTGTTGTTTGGTGACGGGCTTAAGCCTTCATCTTCTGGGCGAATCAAAAGGATCAGGGCACGACATGCCAGAGTGTCGAGATGATTACTCAGCCACGGCTGGTGGGGAACAATGAAGCTGACGACAGGAGCAGGAGTCTCCCGCCAAAAGGATACATTTCGGTAGTGGTAGAGTGCTGTCTGTCGCCGATTGGAACGGATATCTGAAACGAGCTTCGCGTGCTTGATCAAGTACAGCTTGAAGGTCGCCTCCGAACAAGGTTGCACTGGCGCGGATGCACCAGGAGTTGTGGATACCGACATAGAGGACGACTACTTCATTAGCATGATGGTCATCCTGGGGAGAATTAAAAGCCCAAATTGACTTACCCTCACCGTGATATCTTCGTCTTGTATGCCAAAGGGACGGCCGAGGACTGCGCCAACACACCTGCCAGGTCTGGTCAACGAGGGCTGCTTTGGGGTTGAGCATCCTGGTCGGTAGCACCAGAGTTAACTTGATCTACTCGGCCTAGACTCACCTGTCAAGGGCGTAGGCACTCCAGAAGAGATTCCTTCTTCTCTGCTGATCCTGCACAGGCAGCTCGTCTGATTCGGGCTCTTTGTGCAAACCAAGTGATATGCACTGGTTCATTATGATCCCGACAATGTGCCACGTCGAGCCACCCACATTTGATGCCAACGAGAAGATGGCTACATTTAACATGCAATGAATCATGGCCAGTGGCCCGTCTGCTTCAAGAACCACAGGTATGTGGCTGATCGCCGCCGAGTAGACTCCCGAGATGGCCACAGATAGGTTGGCTGCATCATCCGAAACGAGCATGCCGATGGCGATGGCGAGACACGTATTCACGTACGTGAAGGCCAGCTGCTCAGATACGTTGCCCTTGCTGGCGGCCTCACTATCGATGATGGTGTCATAGTCTTGAGAGACCTCATCCCTGTCGAGATGCAGGTGCTTGACGGATACCATGCGGAGGAAGCTTTGCAGATATGGTTCAGTGCTGTCCCGGTCAAGCACAGGATGGTGGCCTCCCGCGAGCCGGCTCTGCTGCTTGAGGGCAGACGTGACGATTGTTGAACTTGTTGGATCACTACCACTGAGCGAAGTGGCTGCCGATAACATGTTGTCCAGGCTGAGATTACGAGGGAACGCGTCCCCACGGACGCGGGACTCGGCCATCGCTGACCGGGACAGGAAACTTATGTCGCCCATGGTCTCGCGGACGGAAATTTCGGAACGGCCTTGGGACGGAGCGGCGGGCTCACGGTCCGTGTCGGGGAAGCGGGCCTTGCCTGACCCCAGCGGGCTGCTGTTTGAAGCGACATTGCCGGATGAAGGCGAGGGTCCCAAGCCGGACTGGCGTCTGCGACGCTTGCTTGGCGACAAGGCGCTGGGCTCAGCGGGCGGTGATGTTGCCAAGCGGTCTTCAAGGGACTTGACATAACTATTCGCCGACAGGTTAGCACTGAAGCTGGCGACTGGTTACGCATGCTTCAAGACCCGGGCGACTCACTCGCTGACCGAAGCACTAAGGACAAGGGCTTCTGGAGCTGAGGTGTCGAGAAAGGCCCACTTGCGCGCCTTGCACTCGAGCTTGAGGTCCGCGCAGGCAGTGCATGCAGGCAGCAGGCGATCACACTGGTTTCGCAAGAGGTCAGTGGCGGCCACAGACGGACGGCGATGGGACACGCGGGAATGGACCTCTCGGGCCTGGAACTTGCCTTCTGCTTGCGCTGGAAGCAGCGCTCGCATGCTTGTCGACGGCGCTGGCCGGGCGGCGAGCCTGGGGACGCGTCCGGGTCCGGAGCCGAGTCCATCGCTCACGGTCGGTCGGGGGGCCAGGGTCGCAGATGCGGGTTGCTGCAGGCGAGGAGGCGGAGGAGAGGAAGGAGACGGAGGTGGAACAAGGCCGGCCGGAGCGCACCCGAGACAAGACAGGATTGTTGTCGTCGGCGCGGCGGACGGCCGTGGCGTGGTGGTGATTTGGTCGCGAGGGTTGCAGGGAGGAGCGTGCCAAGTAGCAACGCATCCTGTGCGCCGCGGCGGCCACCTGAGCAAATGTTGGGGGCAGGATGGGGAAGGCCTGGGCGCAGCGCTTCTCCACTGCGGGGGGGAGGGCGGGGGGGATGGAGGAGATGGAGGAGATGGAGGGAAGGAGTAACCCAAGCCTCGAGCCTGGGCTTTCCCCGTCCCGTCGGACGGCGCCCGTGGCCGGCCCACACCACGCGCGGAGTGTCTCCGATGCCGGTCTCGTCCCTGTCCCTGTCCTCATCCTCGTCCTCGTCCACCAGATCAGCGGGGCCCGTCGGAGGCATCCATCCAGCGACTGCTCCTGCCGCGGGATCGTCCCTTAGATGGCCTTTCCGTCGCTCCCCTCAACTGCCGGGCGGCGCCGGAACCCAGCGGAATCCTCCCCGTCGTTATATAGCTGTCGGGAACGCCTCGCTCGTCTCTCGAGGCACACAGCGACTGCGGAAGCGTGAGTCCATTTCATTCTCAGGCATTCTCCTCCTTTGTCCGACCAGGCACGCCCTTCGAGCACTACACACGACCCCAAAAAACCCCCACAGGCCACTTCCTCCAATACTTCTCCACCATGGCCCCTGGTCTCGTACACGACGACAGCGATGCCGTGGCCGGCGCCGCCGCCGCCGCGAAGCCTACCGTCTACGTCCTCGACAAGTTCCAGCCCGCGGTCATCGAGTACGTCCAGGACAAGTTCAATGCCATCCTGCCCGGCATGCCCGGCCACGAGGACTGGCGCGCCAAGGCCCAGTACCTCCTCATCCGCTCCTCGTACCTGACGGCCGAAGATGTCGAGAACTCTCCCAACCTCATCGCGGTCGGCAAGCAGGGTGTGGGCATTGACAAGATCGACGCCAAGGCCTGCGCCGCCCGCGGCATCAAGATCTTCAACACGCCCGGCGTAAATGCTCGCGCCGTCGCCGAGCTCGCCCTCACCCTCGCATGCTCCGTGGCCCGCTGCGTCGGCACCATCAACCGCCGCCAGAACGCCGGCCAGCCCGTGCCCAAGGAGACCTGCTCGGGTCTCATCCTGCACAAGCGGCCCATCGGCGTCATTGGCATGGGCAACATTGGCAAGACCGTCGCCACCATCTTCCGCGGCGCCTATGAAGCACCCATCATCGCTTACGACCCGTACATGCCGGCTGACGCCTGGTCCGACCTGCCTCACACCCGTGTGTCCACTGTCGAGGAGCTGCTACGCGCCTCCGATATTGTCAGCGTCCACGTGCCCTTGACCGAGTCGACGCGCAACCTGATCAGCATGAAGGAGCTCAAGCTCTTGGGCAAGGAGGCCATCGTCATCAACACGGCCCGTGGCGGCATCATCAACGAAGCCGACCTGGAGACTGCTGTCAAGGAGGGCATCATCTGGGGAGCCGGCCTCGACTGCCACGAGCAGGAGCCCCCCACCTTTGAGAAGTACAGCAGCATGTGGCAGGGAAACATTCTCAGCACGCCCCACATTGGTGCCGCCACGGAACAGACCCAGATCGAGACTGGAATGGCTGCCGCCCGGTATCTGTACGAGTTTACCCAATCGCAGTCGGCGGGTAAGGGCAACTGAGTCGGCCTGGGCTTGATTTGTGTGTCAGCATATAGAAGATAGCGAGCAACATTAGATTTGACCCAACTGTATTCTCCTACTGGAAAACGCATGGATTTTGTGATATTGGACTTCTCCGGGACTTTACCGTGATTGTCGATATCACTGCACTTTGATACATAGAAGCCCAGCATATCACTGGCGCATGACGTTAATCCTACTAAAAATGATCACACGCGAGACATCGCGTCTAAAAATAAAATAAAGGGGTTCAAAAAGATAACTCTGACCTTTGAAATCAATAAAGATATTCAAGTTATGCGTCTCGTAAGTGCAGGCCGTTCAGATGCCGTACAATCTCTGCCACCAGAAGATCTTCGTCGAGCAAGTCAACACATTTAGCCATGTTTTGAGGTCGACATGGGTTTCACGGTTTGAGAAGTGATTACTTACCACAGATTGGTGGTGCATCTTTGCGCCGTGCAGCTAAACAGGGCTTCTGTCACGTTTCCGCTGTGTAGAAAAAGACAATTCTGACAATGATGATGGCCACACGTTGGTGGTGTACTGTGAGATCACTGACGCGCTAGCATCGTCAGAGTTGCGGATTGACTTTGAATTGTTTCTTCCCTCATAGGAGAAATGATCGCTGGTCGATCGCTAATTGAGAGGAACCGCTTTCCTTATCGGTAGGCTTGTAATCTGTCATTCAAACAATAACCCTACCAAGAACAGCCATAGTGGGTCAAATCAAACGAAACGGGGGGGAACGTGGCATCCTGCAATGGTTAGGCGCGAATCGAGAGGTATTGGCAAAGATGCGCAGCGGTGTACGACACCATAAGAATCGCGACGAGCCCGACGCTGACATGAGCAGCCCGTCAGCCATGAGGCCAGTGAGAGCAGGGCAATCCTTTATCTCACCCACTTTTGTTGTCAGCCCGAGAGGGGGGCGGAGCAGGAATGGCTTGGTGATGCGGCTGGAAGTCCGTGCACCGGCATCCATGGGCTGTGAACCATAAAACACAAGGGGGCGCAACCCAGTCCCAGGGGCATGGTCCTCCAGGACTCGGACAGCCTTGTGGTCTGGCAGCTCCTTAGCTCCGCCATGGCGGCCTGCCAAAAATAGGTGCTCGCCGTTTGAACAGCCTATCACAATGGAGGACTCCCAACGCCAAGTGCTGACGAGCAGGGGGCTTCGCCTCAAAATCCCATGTCGGAGCTAGCGACAATGTCAGCTTTTTGCAGGGTCAAATCAGCCCTATTGGCCTCGCAGGAGATGAGGTGCAGCATGGGTCACAGGGTACAAAAGTTGATATTAACCCGGCAGCTGACGTCTGTGAAGGTTTTTGCAATGATCGTCGTGCATTCTTTTTCCGCCAACGGCTTTCCACCCGAACATCACAGCCGAGAATTACTACACCAAGACGACAAGCACTGACGACTGGTTCTCGACAATCATTCAAGCGCCGTGGCGACCTGCTAATTGCAACTTACTCCATCATGATGAACCTCGAGAGGAGACTGGCCACCATCTGCCTTGTCGGTGCGGCAGTGGCGTCGGCAGCGAAAGTCTGCGACTTTGAGTGCACAACAGCCCCGTCCATCAACTCGGCAACAATAGAGAACGAATGTAAGTCGACACGGCGCGACGCAGAAGAACCCTGCCGAGCAGCAGGACCGTAACTGACCCTTCTTGCTACCGCTCACCAGTCTGTGCCAATGCTTGGAACCCAGAGCCGACTGGCTTCCAGTGCCTCGATGTCGCCGCGGACGCTGCCTCATTCCAGGCCGACTGGCACTGGACCGGCGGCGCGCCCTTTGCCGTCCACTCGTTCCCACACGTCAACCTCCACTCCGCACGCATGCCGGTTAAGCTCGCGAACATAACAAAGGCGAACGTGGCCGTGAACTGGGGCATGGGGCCGAACGAGACATTCCCCGCGGGCAACACCCTCGTCACCGATGCGGCCGCCCTCGACGCCACCAAGACGATGGCAACCATCGCCTACGATCTCTGGATTGACGAGGATCCGGATGTCGCCTCCTCGGCAGCCGAGGCCAAGTACGAGATCATGATCTGGGTGGGCCACTACGGCAACCCGCAGCCCATCTCGGATATCTATCCCTCCGTGCCCAAGGGCACCATCACCGTTGACAAGCAGGCCTTGTAAGTTCCACCAGATTGCTTGGAACCCGTCCGTGGTACTTCTCAGAATGCAAAAAGAATTCCTCTGACCATGAACCCCTTCCTAAAACAGCACTCTGTACGTCGGCAAGAACGCAGTCGGCCAGACCGTGTGCAGCTGGGTCCTCGACGTCCCGTCCACCAACTTCAAGCTCGACATTGTGCCGCTCATCGCCGACCTCGTCAAGAAGGAGCTGATCCCGGCCGCGGCGTACCTCGGCGGCGTGCACTTTGGCGTCGAGGCCTTCTACTCGGCGGAGACGATGGCGTTCGTCGCCAAGGACTACACCCTCGCGATCAGCGACACCCGCGGCGCGGACGTCTCGACCAGCGCGTCGGGAACTCCCACGAGTGGGACTCACAACCCGGCCCAGACCATCGACTGGGCGATCGTGACTCCGAGTGGGCAAGCGCAGCAATCGGCGTCGACGACGCCATCGGCCGCGTCGCAGTCCTTGTCGTCGCGTGTGAGCGTGCTGCAGCTCTGTGGCTGTGTCGTTGCAGGCTGGTTGGCTGCTTATGCTCTGTGAGAAAAGTGATGAGAGAGAGAGGAGAGGAGCACCGCCCTATTGAGAGCTTGCAGATGAAGCATCACCATCAGCCCGAGAGCTGAGGACGGCGGAGAGTGTGCGCCGTCTGGCACAGAATGAGATACCATAGCGTTTGATCTTCCGATAGAATTCCCCCCTTTGCATTCAATGGAATATAATCATAATGTCCATAAGCATTTGCTGGAATAATTTACCATGGTGTCCTCCACCAGACCAGAGTAAACATACCCATTCGGTGAAAATGGAAAATGACGGGCTGCTGGCAACAAACCCCAACTGGGCCCTCAATGGTGGTTGGGTGAGGTCAAAGTCTCTTTGTCCGCCAAAACACCGCCCACCCTCCGAAGGCCGAAGTCAGGCCAGTGAAGATGATCAGAGGGCCGTACCCCGAGCCGTAGCCAAAGAGACCCAGGCTCTGCCTGCTTCCCGCCGCCAGCAGTGGCACGGAAGCAAGACCACCAATGACATAGCCGATGCCTCGGGCCCCGTTGAGAAGGCCGTACACCATGCCTGTGTCAATCGCCTCGTTCGCAGCAGCCGCCTCGCCGGCCATGTCGTTGATAAAGCCGCCCCAGATGGCGCTGTATCCCCCCGAGAAGAAGCCAAAGATCAGGGCGAAGAGGACGAGCACCGCCATGCTCCCGTTCGCAGCCATGCCCCAAAGGAGGAAGGCCGACAGGGCAGAGGCGAGGGACGACAACAGACAAACCGAAGCTGTGGACAATGAGACCTTGCTGCTGTCGCTGAGGTACCCGAAGAAGTACGACGCAATGATGCCAGGGATGTTGAAGAGAGTGAGCAGCAGTGTCGCCGAGGACTGCGACAGCGCTGCCACATCGTGGGCATATGTGCTGAGATATGTCTGGGGGATGCCGTACCCAGAGCTCTGTAAAAGAATAGCCAGGCTGTAGACGTAGAATGTCCGGTGCCGCAGAAAATGCCAGGGGATGCTACGGGGGCGGTAGGCCACGGGAGTCTCTGCCGAGGGCGGCGGAGGAATCAACGCGATGGCGACTACACTGGACCCTGCCGCGATGGCCAGCCACACTCGAAGGGTGGTGCGAAAGCCGTAGTTGTCGAGGAGCACGCGGAAAAGGAACGGGCAGGCGGACCCGACAATGTTCTTGCAGGACAAGGTGACGCCGTACGCAATGGCTCGGTTGTGCGTCTGATGCCACTCGCCCAGGGTGAGCGTCGTGGGGCTGAAGATGAGGGCGCTGCCAATCGCTGCGAAGACGCCCTGCGTGGCGACGAGGTGCCAGACGCTTGTGCTGAATGACGAGGCAAGCAGGCTCAGCGTGAGGAGCATGGCGCCCGCCGAGGCGGCGGCTCTGCGCCACTGCGACCATCGGCCGACGAACATGGCAAAGAGGATGGGCATGGAGATGTACGTCACTCCGTTGAAGGTGGTGCCGATTGTGCCTGTAATCTCGACGGGGCCTTCAAGCTCCCAATCACCCATAAAGTATTCTTGCAGCACACCGTAGCTCATTGCGAACCCTGTTGTTGTGCATGGTCAGCGCTTGGTCGTGGGCAGCAGCTCAATGTTTGACAGATGGAGTACCCCATATCGGAAGCTGTAAAAGTGACGAGCCCAGCAGTGAGAGGATCCTCTTGTTGCGGTTTTGTTCATCGCGGCCGCTGCTAGGCTGTTGCTCCAGATCGTCCGCTCCGGCGACTGCCTCGTTGCGCGTTTGGCCGACGGCGTGCAGCCTGATGCTGCGATTGTCTCTTTCCGGAGTCGACATTGTCCGGCTCCTCTGCTGTGATGTTCTAGGGCCTTGCCCGCCAGTAAGAGGTAGGTATGGTTTCGCGCTGTGGGATTGATGCCGTTGTTGCAATTTATATGTGCAGAAGTCATGCCCGGGGACGTGACGTAGGGCTCGTCAGGACCGGCCCGAGGAGGGTCGTCTCCAACAACGGCTTGCTCCGCGACCGGTGGTGCCATGCACCAATCATGACGGGCGCCATCTCGAACAAAACGGTGTGACATTGTCATCACACACACAATGCACGACTCGGCACCGGCATCTACATTGCTTTATGACACATGCGTCCTGCCAATTCGCGCGATTCTAATTCTAGCAAGTCTGTTATGCAAAGACCACCGCGCACTCTAGCGGCGGCCTCCACGTCTACGCGTTCCTATGTACCCATCGAAGCTTTCTCAGAAAGCCTGTCCAGAAACATCCCAACATGCCTCTTCAGACTGGGCTTGAGGGCTCGACTCTCGGGCGGCTCTCACAAGAATACTCGTCCGTCCTGACGATGCCGCGTGCACCAGCACCAGACTGGGTTGGTCGTGGGACTGGCGAGCTGTGCGCCATGCCAACGTTCTCAACCGATGGGGCCGAGCGACTGTCCCTTGACGAAGACACGTTGCTTGGGCGGCCCGACGCGGACTTGTAGCCAATCTTGGACTCCTCGTCGCTTGTGCTGGCACGCAGGCCGCGCTTGGAACTCCTGGAGATGATGTAGGACGAAACGCGGTCCTTAACCAGACCGAACAGAGGGCCAATAACGGGAAGGCAGGCGCAGATAAGCCCCACGCCTGCTTCCACGGCCGTCCACATGTAGATGTCGGCGGTGATCCATGTCGTGTCCGCATCGAGTTCAATGGCCTGGACAGATGAGTCCAGACGAACACAACCAGCAGCAACGGCGCTGTGGAAGGCAAGGTCAGCGTCGGATATCTTCATAGTCTCCAGCGTGACCAGGTTGGACTTACAAGGCGCCGGTGGCAAACACCAGAATTAGCGCGTATTTGTGCGACTTCTTCAGTTGCAGCTGCCACAGCATGAAGAGGGGCAAAGCAAAGATGAGGACATCCCCGACGGTGTTGAGTGCGCTGGACGAGATCACGAGCGCCGGGTTGTCAACCGCGCAGACGCCCGACATGTCACCGTCTGGCTTGAAGCGTTCCCAGAAGAGGGACGGCGGAACACTGTCTGGGTGTTAGCACTCCACACGACACCCACAACTGAGAACCAGCGGTGGCAAACTGACCATTGAAGCATGGCGGCGAAGAAGCAGCCAATGTACCAGCCAACCGTGTACACGCCGAGTGCGTAGACACACCACTTGAACCATTTTACGTTGAGCGTGAAGATGCGCTTGTAGAACAAGAGGATGGAAATCTTGATGAAGAAATGTGTCGTAAAGTAGATGAGCGCATTGAAGTACGCAATCTATGCAGTTTTGTCAGAGCCCTGACGCAAGAAAGGCCTGGCCATTCTGATAATGGTTGCCTACCTCCATAATCCGCCAGACCTCGGTGGGATCAGCTGCCCAGGTGTGCTTTCCGACGCCATAAGGCACAGCTGCAAGAAAATGTTAGAACTTGACTGAGGGGAGCTTTGGTGTACAGGCATTTGGTATAACACGTACAAATGATGCAAGTCACGCAATACAAGATTACCAAAACCTGCAGATGGTCAGTCAATGTCGATCGCCAAAAGCTGGACCGGAGCCAAAGACAACTCACTAGTGACACGGCAGACATCCAGTCGTCCCAGTCGAACTTCATGCTACGGCTGGCCCTGGCGGCAAAGCGAAGGGCGACGGTGACTGTGCATATCGCAATGAAGAGGGCGCTGACGGCAATGAGCGTTGGACCCTTGTTCTCGCCGATGGCAGCGACCTGGGTCAGTGTAAGTGGGGGTGGTGCGGCAGACATGGCTTGCGGTAGACTCTCGTCTGGCGCGTGGTTCTTTCCAGGTAAGGTCGGTGCTCCTCGCAATGACAGAAGAATCTAGACACGGCCAAGAGATCTGAAGACCAACCCGAGCAGGATATCCCAAGAGCCGGGCGGCCCTCTTTGTATAAGACGGCATAGGAGAGTAGGCATGGCGAGAAAGGCAGTAGAGTAAAACTCCGGCCACGATTGGCGGGTCCGGCTGCAGGTCTACACGCGTGTGACCCCCTCTGTGAGCCAGCAGATGGACTAATCTTGGGCAAAGACACTGCACTCGCCGGCGCCAGAAAGGGCCGACTCTGTGTAGATCGGAGAGGACAAAAGACTGGTGGCCGCGTCGAGGTGGACTAGTCGAATGTGACGCTGACTGGGCAGGCAAGCAAGCTCCAGGTAATAGGAATGTCGGCAGTCGCTCTGGGGACCGAGTAACGTGAAGCCGAGTGTGGCCTGACGCAGGATGACGGCATGGCCGAGGCAAGCTGCAGGACACTGCAGGGTCTCGCAACCGAGGAGTGGTGGTGGCTTACTGTTCCGTGCTGGAGCGGGCAGGCACTTTTGCCATGGCGTGGAGATTGTCTGGACTGACGATGCGCGCCTGCCACTCGTCAAGAGAGATAGAGCATCGACTTGGACCCCGCACACCTGTCATGTATCGTGAGCCGACGTTACAACCGGCGTGGGACGTGGGAGCAGGGCCTACCGGGTATTGGATGCTTGTCCAAAGGCTTTCAACAAGGTTCGTGACAAGCATTGTGGCGGGGGCTGTACTTACTGTACCGCGACAGCACAATGTGTCTGGAGCAGCCCACACCAAAATCGTCCCCACGCCAAGCGGCAGCAGCGGGCGTGGGAGGACCAGGGACACCTGGTCGGGCGCAGCGTGTCTTGGGGGCTGGCGAGCAGTTAGGTGTTCGTTACTGGAAGGGCCCCAAACACACGGTGCAACTTCCAGTACGTAGTTACAATGGCGGGGCAGCCCGCAATGGTCAGCACTGGCGTCCAAGATTGCGCGTGTCAGCGCCAGGGATCGCGGCACACACACCCTGGTCTGCCTCAGGCACAAGTTGCACCACTTGAGCCGTCCGTGTGCGTTATCACCAACCAACATTGTTGTTGTGTCGTGTTTGCTCAACCAGGAGCTCCCCTGCTGGCTGTCATCCCGCCCGCAAGGCGGTTGGTAATACCCGCCGCCTGTTGGCTCCTCGTCCTTTCCTGATCGAGACCCGCCACGCGTCGACGTTTCGTTGTCATTCGGCTTTTTTATCTTTTCTTTCTCAAGCAATTGCCAACAGCATCGTTCACTCATCCGCATCACTATCACCACTGCCTCACCACTGCCATGACGACGAGACCTTCAGATGCGCCCTGGGCTGACGGGCCCTTTGCCCTCATCCCCACGCCCTCACAACGCATCAAGGACAGCCACAGCTACGTCCACGTAGCGTCCGAGATGGCCTATGCCCACAACACCCTCCTCCGCGGCCTCAATGCCATCCTCCAGCAGGCGCCACATGTCCCTGATGCCAGCACCCCGGCCACGTACAACACCAAGGATGTTGGCGACTTGCTCTTCTACGTCCGCTGCTGGTGCGAGATGGTCAACCACCACCACGAAGTCGAGGAGACCTTCATCTTCCCCGAGTTTGAAAAGTTCAGCGGCCAGCCCGGCCTCATGGAAGACCCCCGCCACCAGCACTCGCTCTTCCACGACGGCATGGAGCGCCTCCTCGCATACGCGACTGCCACAAAGCCCGACGAGTACCGCTGGCTTGGCGACGGCGGCATGAAGCAGATTATCGACTCCTTCAGCAAACCATTGACGGACCACCTCTATGCTGAGATTGAGATCCTCCTCAAGTTTGGGCACCTCGACAGTGATGGTTTGCGCAAAGCTTGGGACAAGGGAGAGGAGATTGCCAAGGCCAATGGCAATCTCGGATTACTGGTGAGTCTTGGTGCAGCCAATTCATCTCGTGGCCAGCTTGAATGCATCGTTTTGCGCTAACTCAATCGTCCAAAAACACAGTACACAGTCTTCCCATGTGTCCTCGGCTGCGCAGACAAGACGTACGAGGGCGGCAACGAATTTCCCCCACTGCCTTGGGTAATGCCCTACCTGGTCAAGTACTGGTTCGCCCGTGGCGTCGGCGCCTGGAGATTTAACCCCTGCGACTTCTTTGGGCAGCCCCGACCCTTGGCTTTTGGGCCACACACCGCCAAGAGCCTCTAAGCCTTGCGGCGAGACCCCTGGAGCAGTCTGGGAACGATACCGAGACGCAATGACCAACAAGCGCGGCATCATGCTGGCACCGACGCAAATATGAAGATTGATGCTCGGCTCAGGGCCAGATGTCATTGCCTTCTCTCCCTGTAACCATTTTCTTGTTTTTCATCCTTGACTGAGCTAGAACCTAAGATGCTCGACATCGCTTTAGCGAATGAACTGCCTTATGATTACCACACCCTTGCTCCTTGGCACTTGTGCATGTCAGATGTCGTCCCACTTTACCCACACTTAAAGATGACCATGCAGGCAGGGCTGATTTCACAAACGACTATGCACCACGTAGTTCGGCAATCTGGGATTATGAATGATAGCTGAAGCAGCGAATCAAACATGCTGACTACGAAAGGTATCTCTGAGTGAAAATGAAATGAAAAACAACAGAAAAATACGAAACCACCACTGCAGAAGAAATTAGACTGTTTGCGGCATGGCGACTAAGTGCTTAATTGCGTTCATCCAGCAAAACGACCTTGACGCCAGTGCTGCCGTGCGCAGAGGCCGTCAACAAGGACTCACGCACCACCTTGACGTCGCGATCCCAGTCGGTGTCGGCGAGCTCAAAGACGAACCTCTGCGCAAATCGCGCGAGCATAAGTCTAATCAGATGGGTCGCGAATCTGATACAGAAGGGACCATTAATTGCTGTTCTTGTGTGATCATTCACGAAACGGCTTGTGGTTTGTGCCCAAGGGGGTTATACATACTCTCTTCCGGGACATCCGCGAGACCCCTTTCCAAAGGGCACAAAGTATCTCTTGGCATCAATGGGGTGTTCGGTATCTAGCCAGCGCTCAGGTTTGAAGGCGTGCGGGTCGGGGAAGACGGTCTCGTCGAAGAGCAGACCGCGGTGGTTCACAGACATGGCGGTCTGTACATGAAAGCACCAAGTCAGTGGCTTTGCACTCAGGTGAAGATCGGGGGTCGCGAGGTTGCTTACATATGCCGGGATCTCCCATTCCTGGAACTGCATCGTCTCGTGCGCGATCATGGGTAGGCGTGAGGAAATCGGAAAGCCCGCGCGGAGCGTCTCCTTTACGACGGCATTCTAATTATCCCAAAGTAGTCAGCATATACTCGTCTCATGCTTGAGACAGGATGGCAGGTGTCACATACCAAGTACGGAAGCTGGCTGAGAGTCTTGAAGTCCATGGCAACCTTCGGATCCGAGAATGCCTCGGCCAGCTCAGCCTGCAGCTTGGTGAGGACGTCGGGAAACGCGCCGAGAAAGTAGACGCCGTTCATCATGCTGCGCCCGGGGGTGAACGACGCCATGAGCATCTCGGTGCCCTCCTGCGTGATGCGGGACGCGGTCTTCTCCTCGCCGGGGATTCTGCTCTTGCCGATCACGGAGAAGAGCGTCTCGGCACCAACGGAGTGTCCGCGCTTCTCGACGTCTGTAGCGTCCTCCGCGCTGGCGACGAACCGTTCTGCCTCCCTGGCGACCATCTTTACAAGCGTTTAATAGGGGGGACTGATGAGCAATGTGCGGACAGCTGTGGGGGAACTTACTGCCTGCAATTCAAAGGCGTTGGCGACGTCGCGGGAGAGCTTGACCAGGATCCAGCTTGGGATTAGCTTGGCAGCTCTCATCGCGGACGGGAAGCACTTGTACACAGGCGGACTTGTGACAAGCTTCTCGACCGTCTTGTTGATCATCTCGGCCTTGTCGAGGTCATCAAGCAGACGCAGAGGGTTACCGAATGCCCAGGAGTAGAACGAGTCGAAGCTCAGGGCGGCACAGTACGTCCTCAGTGGCGTGACCTGCCCACGGTGCTCCCAGAGGAGGTTGCAAAGGTGGTCGACCCTCTGCTGAGCCAGAGGCTCAAAGGCCGCAAGGTTGGCGGGGGAGTAGAAGGCATTGACGGCCGCACGACGCTGACGATGCAGGTAGTGGTCGTTCGTGCTGAAGCAACCATTCAACGTGCCCAGAGCCGCGCTGAACGAGGGGTGACGGTCTCTGACAGCGGGCTGGGGTGCGTATAGTCTGTCGTGGAACTCTGCATCTGCAATAGAGAGCTCATCTGGGGTGATCCTCACGATCGGTCCATAACGAGCGTGGAGGTCCCGTATGTGAGGTGTGAATTGTGAGCCACCATTCTTGATGAGCTCATGGTAGGTCTCGTACCACCAGCTTGCAGCCGCGAGCTTGGGACCTGGGAACTTTGCAAGCGGGTGGAAGTAAAGCCTATAGACGATGACGCCACTATAGTAGACAATGACACCAGCCAATGCAAGCAGCACCATAGCGGGCAGCGTGCATCTCGCGATGAGATTTGTGAGTAACGCCATGGCTGGGAGGAAGTTGGCAGGAGGTCGATTCGGCAGAGGATGCAACGCTGAAGCTAGACCCTGGGTCAGGTATGCCGGTCATCTTAAAGTAGCGTCCCACGGACCACAGTATATCTACTTGCGGATGCGGATCAAGTGTGCTCGAACGATACCAAACGGGCATGTTGGGAACCCCCAAGACCCGTTGTGATTCCATCTAGCTCTGCATAATTCTCGATCGAGACAATGAGCCGAGCTGACACTGCTGCGGCCAGGACATGGTTGCGAGCCTGGGTCGTTGGTGCTGATCCTGGGTCCTATGGAGTTATTCTCGTAAAACGTTACATCATGGGGGTCATTTTTCAGACCAACATGTTACTGATTGCGCCTCGTTCGCTGGCTGCTCCGGCTCATTGTCCGGACTATGACGGACAACAAGATAAGTCCTCATCCTGTAGCCAGGGTCCTAGGTTCCACAAAGTTGGGGTCAAGCATTCGGGAGCACCGCCAACGGCGCCCCGCATTGCGGACTGCCGGTGTCTGCTTTGGTCAGTCATAATATAGCAATTATAGCAGCGGTCCAGTATGTGCCCGCTCCATGATCGGGCGTGACCCGCATATGCATTTGTCGCATCGGCACGAATATCCACCCGCTTGGGACGGTTACAGTAAGCAATGCACTACTGCAGGGCAAGCGCTCGGCGCTGCCGCCTAGTAATCTGGGGGTCCTCGGAGCAATTTGAGTTTGTGAAAGGTCCACAGGTGTCCTTATCGAGTATCAAAACCGAGCAAGGACGGATTTGGGCGTGTCGTGTAGGGCCCGACATTGGGACAGCAGCCGGGCTGCCTGAAGACCTGGTATCGCCCTTGATCCCTACGATAGTCTGCCTACCAGAAAAAAGCAAGCTTTCCGAGAATAATCCCTGCGGCTCTCCGCAGGTAGAACCAAGTCCCGACTGTGTGGCACACCCCAAGGCTCGAATTTGTTGGTCATTGTCTCGCTTTGAACATGTGAAGGGGCTGTAAAGCATATGACGCCAGTAAGTCCTTGTCGTAAAACGTATGAGTGATTAAAGCCGCCGTTATCGACCTGCTGGATACCCAAAAGCGGATGTATCGTTCCAGTATGTGATACGAGTCCTCCAGCTGTGCATAGCCACGTCGAATTATTTATACGCGATTTCATCTGCTCCCGACCGGAAACCCCTTTGGTCTCCGGTTACGAGGTCTTTACTTTCCCAGCATTTTGTCTTTGTACCTGATGATACACGTCGAAAGTGGGCCAACCAAGCCTCGGAATCTTTCATCACCTCAGAGACACTGCCACTTGCTACACAATGTCGTCAACAACCACGACGACTGAAGCCCGCCAGGCTGAACTGGTACTCAGCCAAAATCCTCGAGACGCTCTCTTTGCATCGCTCAAGGGTAAAAAGGCACGAATCCCGAATCTGAGGCCGGTACTGGCCGGCTGGAGAGGAAGCGACGAGTGTTACGTGAGCCCGTTCATCGATGCTCTCCGGATCAAGGTAGACAAACGGTTACAAAGGTCAGTATATCATCTTGGCCAGTACACACGGCTTGCTTCCATGAATTGGTGAGCTGACAGATACCCTCCTTCGCACTCCAGCTTGAACGTCAGCACTAAGAAGCTGCGAGGCCTCCAAGCCACAGACTTTGGCCTCTTCGCAGCGCTCTGGTGGCCTGAAGCCAGCCTAGACAAACTTGAGATCCTCGCATATCTTTCCATCTGGCTTTTCACGTGGGACGACGAGATCGACGAGGCTGAGGGCCTATACACCGACGATTTCGTCGCCGCTCAGAGATTCCGTGCCGACACCCTGCGATTCGTCCGGCAATGTCTTGGCTTGGTGGATGCACAGGAAGAGGGTGATGTACGCGCCCCACGGAACCAGAACATCCAGAGCTTCGACGTGATTGGATACGTGATACGTGATGCATATGACCTCACTCAGAAGACGCGCTTCTATGACGAGATAGCAAAGTTCATCCACTCGACCGAGGTCGAGCAGCGTAACAGACTCCAGGGGGTCGTCCCGACTCTGATCGAGTACTGGGCCTGCCGGCTGGGAACGAGTGCAGTTTACATCACATGCGCTGCTGGCGAATATGCCAGTGCTACGTCGAGGGCCACTTGCCGCCAGCTGCCGCCATACCTGATGAACAGCGCCCCGCGACGGAGTCTATGGGACGAGACAAATGTGACCATCTCCATTGTCAACGATCTCTGTTCTCTGAAGAAGGAGATGAAAGCGGGCGGCATTGACAATGTGGTACCGCTGGCTTTTGTGTGCACTGGAGATGTGCAAGCGGCCATCGACATGTCGATGCACTCGCTGAGGACGTCAAGAGAGCGTTTCGATGGCGCTGCGCGCCAGCTTCTGGCTCTCGCCGACAATGAAGGCGACGATGTCAGGCGGCAGGTCCAAGATCATATCGAGGTGCTGCGAAGCAATTGTGTGGGCAATCTCGTTTGGAGGTATGTTCGATCGCCTTGTTTCAGAGAGCTGGCCGTCGACTAACATATTGTGCACAGCCTTCAGACTGGAAGATATGGACTTGCAGAGTCCCGCCAGGCAGATGGCAGCCAGCAATTCCTGTTGTAGCCGTTGGAAGGATGTCGAGTCGCTATGCACGTAGCCGGCCAATCTCATTCCAATTTGTACATGATCGCCATCTATCGTGTTCCCCCGATCGTGAAGATGCCTACGTGCCTTGGGGCGTGGTGTCTCACCCCCCACGGTTTGCGAGGTGTGATTTGCATTTGGACGGTGGGGACAGTTCAAAAGGGTTAATGCTTCATCGTGGCCACAATCCGCAGATGGTCCGGGAGACATACCGCGTTCTTATTCCTTTTCGTATTGTCTTGTGCCAGGCGTCCCTCAATCACACGAGATCTGACGGAACAAGCCGTGATCTTCAAGACGGTACCGTTTCTAGGGTGAGACATGAGCGACGCGAAACGCTCAGTGGCTGATCGATCGTAAGTTCGTAAGCCCCGTTGTGCCAAGATAATGTTGAGGGTTGATCCCCGATCGTGGTGCCGACAAAAGCTTGGATGGGCCTACGAGCTCACAATGCGAGCTTCCTGGACTGGAATCCGGCGCCTTCACACTCGCACGTCTGATCCAGTCAGCAAGGAGAGTCGATCTCGGAAAGTTGTTATCGACCGACACCGACACCTGCCAGCCACTTCAAGACGAGCATACGAGATTGCCTTCACTCCGACGTGAGACAGTCTCGAAGCTTGTGGCATGGTTGGTCCGTTGAGCGCTATCGGCCCTGCCACGTCCGAGTTAGTAATCGTTGACAGCCGACATTTTGGGTCCTAGATCCCGTCCGTGTCTCAGCCAGCCCGCCTCAGTTCTTGACTTTGACAGCGGCGGAGGGCACCGGGAAGGTGCAGAGGCAAGATATGACATCGGGACTGGCCCCGGCCCGGCTTTGCTGCAGGATGAGGCTATGTCATTGCCTTTATCTTCCTCATAGCTGACCGCTCTGCCTTTGTCCACCTCATCGTGTTTGTCTTCCTATCGTCGTTCGACCACTACGCACCAGCGAGAAGCACCAAGGAGTGTCATCCTGGATCTGCGTGAACCATCCACGTCTACCAGACAGATTACACAGACACCGAGAACGAGATGGCTACCCCTACAGCCACTGCCCCGCGCCGCAAGGTCATGTTCCTGTCAAACTCCGACCGTGGAGAGATAGGCGTGACAATTGCCACGGCACAGGCCATCCTCGAGACGACCTCTGACGTCGAGGTGCACATTGCCACATACGCGGGTGTCGAGGAGCTCATCAGCAAGGTATCAAACGATTCGCTGAGGGTGAACCCGCAGGCGTTGCCCGTTGTGTACCACCGCATCGAGAGGTCGGCCTCGTGTCTGGAGATGCTGACGCTGCTCGCGAGCCGCAATATCAAGACCAAGCCGGGATACCTGCCACTGACGTTCCTCAACAAGCCCAGCTTCGGCAACACGCTGCAGGCCATACGAGATTGCATGCCGATCTTTGTGCCCATGAGTGGCCCGGCGATGGAAGAGATTGTGCTGGACGTCCTCAGAATTATCAATGGCGTCAAGCCCGACTTCCTGGTAGTCAACAGCGTGATGACAGTTGGCCTCACTGCAGCCATGCACTCAAAGATCTCCATGGTCATCCTCAGCCCGAACTCGATCAAGGAGTTTGTGGCGAGCCTGCAGCCACAGGCGGCCGTCCTGTGGAAATTTCCAGCGTGAGGCCCGCCCCCCCCCCCCCCCTCTTTTTAGCCAAAGAAGACCTATCATCCCCAGTTTCTCTCTTTCTCTCTCCTTCACCCTCTCTATTGTGCTGACTCGGTCGGACCAGCATCTTCTCGGGATACTCCTACCCGATCCCCTTCTTCCAGAAGCCCGTCAACATCATCTACACCCTGTGGGCAGCCGCCGTGTTCAAGACCGACCCGCACCGCAAGGCCGTGGAGCAGCACCTCGAGTCGAGCTCGGGCATCAAGATGTACACGGCGGCCGACCTGATCCAGAACCGGATCCCGGGGATGCAGATCCTGGTGGCCTCGATGCCGGAGCTCGACTACCCGCTCGTGATCCACGACCACATCCACCCGCTCGGCCCCATCGTGGGGCGGTGGGAGCCCATCCGCGAGACGGACCCGGAGCTCGCGGCGTGGCTGGCCCGGGCTCCCACGCTGTACATCAACCTCGGGTCCCTGCTGCTCACGGACGAGGATCAGGCCCTCGAGATGGCGGCCGCGGTCAAGGCCGTGCTGCGCCGCGCGGGGGAGGCCGGCAACGAGGACATGGCCGGCCTGCAGGTCATCTGGAAGCTGAGGAAGTATGGCGATTACGACATCAAGGACCCTAAGTGTGCCATGTACGACATCCTCGGCGCCGAGATGGAGGCCGACCGCGTGCGCATCGAGAAGTGGTTCATCCCCGAGCCCTTGTCCATTCTGCAGTCTGGGCACATTGTGTGCTCGGTACATCACGGCGGTGCCAACTCTTTCAACGAGGCTGTCATGTAAGTCTTTCTTTTTCCTGTGTCTTTGGAGGAAGGACCCAAATTTCACTCTCCAGTGGATGGTCACAGGTTGAAAGAGGCAGTGGAAGACTGACGAGAGCAACGTAACAACACAGTTCCGGTCTGCCCCAGGTCGTCCTTCCACCCTGGACGGACTGCTTCGACTATGCCCAGCGCGCCGAGCTGCACGGCATTGGCAGGTGGGGCTCAAGAAACAGCAACCCGCAGTGGGCAGCCCAAGAGCTGGCCGCGTCCATGAGCTGGTGTCTGTTTGGAGAGACAGCCGCCGGGGCTAGGCAAAAGGCCAAGGCCCTGGCTGACCTGGTCAAAGAGAGAGGCAGTGGTGCCGTCAAGGCCGCCGAGTACATCATAGGTCAGATTAACACCGTGGCAACCGAAGGGCAAGCTCAGGCATAAGAAGTTTCTTATTGTTTCGTAGAATCAGGGGATGAAATTGCCATCACGGTGATGTGAGTTCTATAGAAGTTCAACAATTATTCTTAGATAGTATGTCTGTAGACTGTCGCAATACATCACATGGCCTTCTCAGTCTTGCTCTCCTCTGATGCCACCTTGGCATGAGCAACGGCCTCCTCATCCACTGGCTGTCCCTTGACAACACCGACGCCGTTCTCCGCGAACTCGGTCTTGAGAACAGCAGGACCAGAGAAATGCTTGCGTCCCCATACGAAATACCAGACTAGACTGATGCCGGCGAATCCTGCAAAAACCACACTGGCGTAGTTCATCGTCGCGGCATCGAGTTCGGTGATAGTGGTAGGCATGCAGAACAAGAAGATGGCAAGGACAATCCAAAGCAGGGTCGTGATGTTGATGATGAACCCAAACTTGCCCAAGCTGAAGGTCGCGTGCTCCAGCTTCTTCCGGCCGCGCAGGACGGAAACCAGGATGGGGAGGCCGTAAGAGGTTGACAGGCAGATAGTGGCCACACCGGTGAAACTGCTAAAGGCTGCAGGCGAGCCAAAGTAGATGAGTCCAAGGAGACAGTCAACGATGGCAGACAGAGTGAGCGCCCACAGAGGGAGGCCAAACCGCTTGTCGACCTTGCTCCAAAGTCCAGAGCCAGGGATGGCACCATCACGAGCAAAGGCATACGTGCAGCGGCTAGATGCCGTCAAGGCGCCGATACCCGCAAAAAGCCAGATGCCGAGGATCAAGAAGAGCAGACCAAAGCCGCCGCCAGCACTGCCGGTGGCTGTCTTGAAGATGAGGCCGATTGGTTGGCCGCTGGCCACCTCGAGAAGCGCGGAGACCTCCGGGAGCACAAACAGGATGGGGATGAGGAAGATCAGACCAGTGAGGCCCGCGGCCACAACGGACAAGACCATGGCTTTGGGGACCTCGCGCTCAGGCGACTGCACCTCTTCACACATGGCAGCAACCATACCATATCCAGTGAGGACATAGGCAGGCTGGAGCAACCCAACGAAGAAAGACCAGCCTGACGGCCAGCCGGAGCCCGAGGCGTCGTAGTGGGCAAAGACGAACTCGCCAGTACGCTTAGAAGGGCTCATGACGAGCAGGACAATCATGATGATGAAAATGGACGCGCCAGTCCAGTAGATGCAGACCTGGTTGATGAGGTCGAGGTGCTTCTGGCCAAAGACGTTGATCAGGTAGCAGAGAAGCGTGACGGCCCAGAACATGAGGACCGTCTGCCATGCGTTTGCGACGAATTCTTCGTTCCATAGCGAGATGGCGCTCAAGATGAGCTGAGCACCTCCGAAGTTGATGGAGAGGGTCACGGTCCAGTTTCCAACAAGTGTAAGCCAGCCGGTGACCCAACTGGCGATCGGCGCCCAGCCCGGAGTCGAGAGGAGAGCGGACCAGTAATAGACGCCACCAGCAGTGGGGTAGACGGAGCAGATCTCGGCCAAAGAAGCGGCGATGGCGATGGAGAGGAAAGAGAGGAGGACCCAACCCCAGATGATGGTGACGGATTCGCCATTGCTGAGGGAGAAGAAGAAGGTGGTGCTGAGGCCATACGGGACGGCCATGATGGCGAAGGAGAGACCGAGGACCGAGATCATGCTGAGGCTGCGTGGCAGCTCCGACTTGTAGCCCATGCGGGCGAGGGCGTCGTCGGCGGCATTGGCACCGGCCGGCAGCGAGCCCTTGCGAGGGGCGGCTGGTACGTCCGCCATGCTTGAGGGTGTGGTCTGTCGCGAAGAGAGAGGACCGTCGCGAGAGCAGGTGTCGCCCGATTGTACTCGTGGGAAGCCTACTCGATGGCAGAGTCGAGGTCGGAAAGCGAACGCGGAGTCGTGCAAGAACCAGAGGACAAAGGGGAGGATGGGATGAAGAGGCGGGCGTGGCGAGGGTTTTCAGCTGTGGCCGGAGACGGAGGCTACCCAGTCAATCGCGGCGTGAGCGAGACGAACAACCCCACGAGGGCGCCATGGCGGGTGACTGATAAGCTTGAGGTGGGAGCGGCAGGGGCACGTCACGGATCCGGGCAGCGCAAGTGCCGGGCTGGAGCCACGAGGACTAGCCTCCGATAGGGGCCCCCGGGGTGGTGCCGGGGGGAGTGGGAGGGGCTCCCCTGGTTGGGGATGGCTGGTGCACGATAAGGGACGGCGCACGACTCGGCGCAAATGAGGGCTGGTGATGCGGTTGCTGCTGATGGCAAGGTGGTGGTGATGCGGGGTGGCCGAGCTGAGGGAAGCAAGCCACCGTGACTGAGATGGATGATTGCTTGATTGACTGAGTGATTTGCTGCAGGGTGGCATGACGCAAAAGCTTGCGCCGGGGGACGGTTGCACGTTCCAGGCGCCTGTGCCACGCAGCTGCAGCGCCGAGCTGCGGCTCCCCCGAGCTAGCCACCTGAGGCAGACACTTGGCCGTTAAGGTTGTCTTAAGGTGCACACTTAAGCCCACCTGGGCATCTTGGTAGCAGCAGCTCGCCTCGGTGGCTGCAGCCTTCCGCTGGTTAGCATCTGACAAACAAAGATTAGGAACACAGGCAGATACCTATCAATTACTTATTATCTCTCACCACCCGCGCGATTGTCGTGTTTCAGCCCCAGCCCCAGATCCCCCACAACAGCGACCCTCTTCGGCTGTTCCCACGGGCCTTTTGCAGTCCCTCTCCTGATGCTCAGGCACCAGAGCCTATCTGCGGGTCCGCGATGGCGTCCAGGCACGGCCGTCCTATCACGAGATTAGCCGACGGCTTCCGATTACGGAACCGGAACTCCACGGGCGCCCAGAGCCCATCCCACTGCCGCCTCCAATGGGTGAACGCTCTCCCCGGCCCCTGGCATCGATCGGGCCGCCTCTTGGACGACGATGGGCAGTGGAAGCCTCAGGAATCGAGGCACCAGCAACTAGACACCCCGTCCATGTTGCCAGCTGGGATACCTTCGGGTACACGGCGAAGTGCAATCATTCCTGGCAGAGTGAGCACGGAGCAGAGACCAACTCCGCAGGCCTGTTGTGGTTTCAATCCGTCAAATCCTCCCAGGCCCTCGAGCGACCGTCAAAGCGGCAAGCGCAGAGACTTTTGCCCCTGCGGCCAACATGTGGCAGACGACAAAAGTCTGCTCATACGAACCGGACGGATAGCGTCAGCATCGACACGGCGGCAGAGAGCGCACCCAAAACCGGAGCAGGGCCGGCCCAGGGTCTGCTTGCCATGCACTGCTCCTTGACTGCCATTGGCCGCCAGCACCCACTGGCTGATGCCACTCATGCTTGGCGACAGCAACCCCAACGCACAACTTCCCCAGATCTGCAGCTCGCGCAAACACTACGACAGGCGGACGGTTGCACCCGTGGCGATGCCTGCATGGCCGCCCCTGCTGGCCAAGTGTGTGCCAGGCGGGGTTTGATCCTGCTCCAAAAAGAACAGACGCTGGGCCATCGTGCGTCTATTTAGCCATGCCGCCCTCCCGCCAGCCCGCGTCCTTCGTCGTCGACAGCACGGGACCGCCGTCACTCCTCGCACCATGTCCAGCAAGACGTCAGTCACCACACCAGCCATGGCCGACGCAACCGCTCTCACTACGGGCCCCTCGCCCGCCATGACCATCCGGCAGCGGCTACAGCTCTTCACCTGGCCGGTGGGCTTCCTGGCGATCCTGACCAGCGTTGCCATGTTCAACTGGGGCTACGACACGCTCGTCTTCAGCGGCGTCGTCGCCATGAAACACTTCAATATAAAGTTCGGCCAGTGCCACACATCACTCACCACGGGCCTGCCCGTCTGCGAGATCCCAGGCAGCACCGTCTCCATCATGAACGCGGCCCCTTTCGCCGGCAAGCTCGTTGGCATCTGGATGGCCGCCCCGTTGGCGCAGAGGATCGGTCGCAAGCCAATCTTCCTCGTCGTGGTTTGCACCTCCTGGGTCGGCGTCATCTTGCAGATAACAGCCACGACTGTAGCGCAGTTCACTGTTGGTCGGGTCGTCTGCTACAGCATGACGGGCATATGCGCTCCTGTCATTCCCGCCTACGTCGCAGAAGTTGCCCCTGCCGAGTTGCGCGGCATGCTCGTTAGCCTGATGCATCTTCAGATCGTCCTCGGCAACATCATCGCGTCCGTCATCAACACGCGAACGTCCAAAATTGACAGCAATTCGTCATGGTTGATTCCAATTGGTACGTAGCAGATCACCGCCAGTAATATTCCCCTCCAATGACACTTCTCGTTCTCCCGTTGGCTCGAAGCTCACATCCCACCTAGGTCTTCAATTTGTCATGCCCAGCGTCATGGCAGCTGGCTACCCGCTCCTCGTCGAGTCTCCTCGATGGCTCGTCTCCGAGAACCGCACCGACTGCGCAATCGCCGCGCTTCGCCGCCTGCGTGGTTCCACGGTCTCAGAGTCAGACATCGCCAGCGAAGCCGACCTCCTCGTGACGGCCAACACGAACCAGTCCAAAGGCCGCTGGAGCGAGGTCTTGTCCGGCACGAACCGCCGGCGCACGCTGATCGGCATCCTCGCGCTCGTGGGGCAGCAGATCACTGGCCAGGTCTTTGTGCTGCAGTACGGCGTGCTCTTCTACCAGAAGCAGGGCTACACCAACAGCTTCGAGCTCCTCGCGGGCGGCCTCGTCGTCTCCCTCGTCGTCAGCATCTTTACCACTTTCGTGGTCGACCACTTTGGCCGCAGACCGCTGCTCATCACGGGCGGCATCGGCCAGGCCGTGTTCCTGCTTCTCATCGGCGCCGTCAGCACCCCGCTCGGCGTGACCAGGACCGTCCTCAACCTCCAAGTCGCGGGCTTCTACCTCTGGGCCATCGCGTACTGTCTCTCCTGGGCGCCCCTGTCGTATGTCATCCTCGCCGAGGCCTCGCCGACGCGCCTGGTCGAGAAGACGAACCTGATCGCCACCTCGGTCAACGTCGTGGTCGCGTTCGCCGTGTCCCTGTCTGCCCCGTACCTGCTCTACGAGGAGTACGCCAACCTGGGCGGCAAGGTCGGGTACATCTACGGCAGCTTCGCCCTCATGCTGGCCGTGCTGGCGTTCTTCTTTGTGCCAGAGATGAAAGGGCGGACCCTGGAGGAGATTGAGGTCTTGTTCGCAGACCGGGTCCCGACGCGCAAGTTCAAGGGCACCCATGTCGACGTGGCGTCGCTTAAAATAGGTGACAGCGTGGCCGACTCGGCCAGGCAGGGTCCAGCCGTCGACCAGAAGAGGGACGAGGTTGTTGTAGAGACCAAGAAGGGCGATGGGCAGGTCTAAAAAGTGTGATGTGCGGTCATTCAGATGTTTGGGCAAAGTCAGATTTGTTTCGGAAGACATATGTGGCAGGTTGCAATATCACCCATCCATTCATTCATTCCGAAGTGGAATCACGCAGCTTGTTGGTTCGGTGAACAGAAAATGCAATGGGCATTACGGTCAGCCACTTTGTCGTCCTCTGGACATGGGGAACACATGGGCATGCGATGCGTGCCCAAACGGACGTGATCAGATGACGCTAAACCAGTCGCGCATATGTACAACAAATAATCGGAGCCGTTCCTTCCCCTTGGAGTTTTTGTTCACACGTCAGCACAAATCCCAACCCTAAATCTTGGCACCCGCCTCCAGAGCCTTCGTCTTGGCCTTGTACAGCTTGACAAGCTGTCTCACGGCGAGATCCAGCATGACATCCTCTGAGCCACCAGGGATCCTGGTGCCGGGGACTTCTCTGTGGAGCACTGCGTTGCAAAAGAAAAGATTCCATGTTAGCAGATAATCATCCTTGCTTAATGTCACTAACACAAAGCTGAATACTCACTTTCAATGAGCTCGCCCTGGCCGCTGCGGGTGTACCCATTGCCGCCAAACAAGAGCATCGCAGTGTCTGCACACTCCTTGAACACTATCCCAGCCTGCGCCTTGAGAAGGCCAGTCAGGCCGCCGAGCTCCCGGTCGGCGTCGTCCTTGGCGAGCTGCGTCATCTGGTAGGCAAACAGCTCGACCCACGCAGACTGGGACTCGAGCAGGGCGCCCGCCTTGGCCAGGCGGTGGCGCACGACGGGCTGGTCCACCAGGGGCTTGCCGAACGCCTCGCGCTTCATCACGTACTCGAAGGCCGCGGAGAGGGCGACGCGGGCCTGGCGGGTGGTGCCGGCAGCAATTGTCAGGCGCTCGTGGTTGAAGTTGGTCATGACGTAGCGCATGCCCATGCCCTCGACACCAATCAGGTTCTCGACGGGCACCTTGACGTCGTCCAGCTCGATGTAGGTGGTGCCGGCGGAGACCTGGCCCTGGACCTTGAGGCGACGCATGTTGACGCCTGGGTAGCCCTTCAGGGGGACGACAATCATGGAGAGGCCAGCGGCACCGGAGCCCTCGGGCCCGGTGCGGACAGCCATGGAGGCCGAGTCGGCCCAGATGCCGTTTGTGATCCACTTCTTTGTGCCGTTGATGATCCAGTGCGTGCCGTCCGCAGACTTGACGGCGGTGGTGGTGATGTTGGCAACGTCACTGCCGGCGTCAGGCTCGGTAATGGCGATGCAGGAGCGCTTCTTGCCGGTCAAGAGATCGGGCAGGAAGCGGTCCTGCAGCTGCTTGTTGCCGAACTTGATGATGGGAGGCACTCCAAACGCCATGCCGGTGGTCAGACTGCCGCCGGGGCCGGCGAGGCCGGAGCGGATCATCTCGTCGACGTAGATGTACGAGTGGAGGTAGTCAAAGTCCTCGACCTTGACGCCGCCCGGCAGCTCGTGGATGCCCAGCTTTTTGAGCCACTGGACGGGCAGCGGCGCCGGGAGGGCCGGGATGAGCATGTTGGCCTTGGCGAACTCGCCAAAGACATGTTCGGGGATCGTCTCCTCCTTGTCCCAAGCGATGGCGTTCTCGGAAAGCTGTTTCTGGATGAATGGTCGGATGGCGGCCTGGAAGCGCTTGTGGGTGTCTTTGAAGTAAGGCGAGGGCAGGCCCATGAGCCACGAGGGCTCCGAGAAGGGGATCGGTGTCGTCATGGCTATGTGTCTTGTGTTTCTGTCTGTGGTCGACAAGGACCAGTGTTGCAGAGAAGGGGTAGATGTATAGAGTTCAAAGGCGGAGACGGAGGCAGCTGGTGTTGAACGGATAACCACGACTAGCGGGTTATTTGACGGGGATGATGGGGGATGGACGTTTTGCCACGGACCTCGGAGTGTCGCAAGCAGGGGATCGGGGGACACGCTCCGATGCCAGGTTTCTGTCTATCTCAAAGCCCTGGCGGAATGCGATCTCATGGCCACAGAGTCGCAGCTGTGAGATTGTGCCTGGAGGGCTTACACGTTGAGCGCCGGCGGGGCTCGTGAGCCGAGGCAAGTGCGCCGCGGCCCGCCTCCAGGTTGGAGAAGTGCGAAGAGGCAGCAGCGCCCCGCCCCGCCCCATGCCCCAGAGTGTGCTTGCCACGGGGAAAGAGCCGCCCGCCAGGGACCACGCTACGAGTCAAGACAGCTTTGTCGGCAGAGCGCACATTCATTAGAACTCTCTGGTCGTACCTGATCAGAAACCGTGGGGAGCGCCTGTTATCTAAGTATCTAGGAAGATATCTTACCCTCCATCGGGCATGCCACTCCCTCAACTGTCCGACGTGCCATCACGTCTGGAGCCGCTGCGAGCTCCACTCCAACATAGCTCGCCCTCACGGGGGATGATGCTAGTCCCTACCAGCCAAAGACCTGTGGGTAAAGTCTGAAGGCATCCTCGACAATCATAAGCGCGGCCAAATATTAGACAGACGACCTCGCTCTTCAAATATAGTCCAGTATGACTGGCAGGGTGCCCTTGGAGAGACACCGTGGTCGAGCAGCTCATGCGCACTCCTGATTTGACAAAGGCAGATGACAGAAGAGTCAATTCAGAAACAATCAATCACGCACACCATAGAGTCTTTGCAAACGATTTGACTATTGCAGCTCCATGGGATGGTGATTCCCACTGCCCATGGCAGCTTGCGGCTTTCAAGTACCATCCAGCAATGGCATGGAGCCGATATCCTCATACTCTCAGCCGCACGTTGGCCTGATCGGCGAAGGCAGTCCACGTTACCGCCTCTGCTCCGCCCCTGGCATCAGGACCGCCTATTGAGTTCAAGCGGCCTTCAGCATAGCTGGTATATGGTGTTCGGTTGGACAAGTACCTGGTGTGCCGGAGCGCTTATCGTCCGGAAGGGGCCGCCCATGGACATGTACTTCATGCACGTGCGACCGGATGCGTGGAGGATAGCCGAGAGAGCACTAACCATGGGATGGATGGATGCTTTTTTGGGTGCTTCGGCTGAGCCAGTCGTTGTCCCTATTAGTACATGCATAAGCCACTCAACGAGCCAGATAAGATGCACTTGACGTAGGCGCGACGTAGTGCTTCAAGGTGAGTTAGGCCACCCCGCGATGGCCAAACTAGTGGGATTGTGGGGATGGGGTCCAAGTCTGGCGCCATCAGACGAGCAGAAGCAGAAGGGCGGGGAAGAATCTTGGCAGCCTACTCGGCGACAGCCCGTGCCAGTCTTTTGTTTCCAGCAAGTCCACCCCATTCCGTCTGGCTGCTTGGGAGCCAAGCTCAAGAGCAGCACATCTCGAGCCAGGAAAGTGGGCGGAGGTGACGTCCGGGCGAACGGACGGGGAGGTTCAGAAGGGTGTGGTGTTGTCCTCGGGGTTGCCAATCAGCGGCTGGGGCACGGCTGCCGGCTACGTGGGAAGGCAGGCCAACCTTGGGCAGCCCGAAAGTCGGCTGTGGCCGGCTTGTTGCTTGTGCGCGTGTGCTGGTCTCCAGGTTGGCGGGACTGGCCCTCGTGATCGCGAGACCGGGCTGGTATTCTGTCTGCCTCTTGGTGCTCTTGTTACAGATGGCAGAGTGAAACTACCTTTATGTATTGACATCGAACAGAGTTCAATCGATGTCACGGACCTTCGACCCAAGGCTGCGACTGCTGTGGGGGTTCTGCGGTCTGGCATCATGTATGTACGTATGTTCGATGACGGCTTTTGCCGTCTCGACACGATCGGACGATGGATGGGTTTCTAGGGCGGGCAGGCACCTGGGCAGTCTGGGGCACTTGCATGCAGCCTGACTCGGCGCTGGGCCAGGGTGGGCGGCACTGGGCCTATGATGCGCCCGCCATTGGCAAGTGTGGGCTCGGGTGCCCCCGGGTCGTGGGGCTGCATTGCAGCCTCTGGCGCCCTCCACACAGCACTCTCCACTCCACCACAGCCAGCAGCAAAGCAATGCCCGCCACTGACCAGACCAGTCCATCATCACCACACAACATTCAATCCCTCATCGCTCTCACCATCAATCAACCCCCTCCGCCACCTTCCTCGGCTCGTCCACGTCTCAACGCAAACTTCTTCCAGCGCCCGTCCTGCATCAGACGCATCCCTCGCCCATCATCCACCATCGCCTCTGCCCTTCGCCGTCCTGCTTCTCGACGTCAACGAGCCCTCACCGCCAGTCATCAGTGTATCCGCAAGTCCACGCAGCCGCCAATCGCCATACCGCCATTCTCCGCTAAGCAACACCCCCGTCCGTCCTCGAGATAAGAATTCGCGAACTCTCTCCAGCAAGCACTGCCAGCCCAGGCCAGCGGGCTTATCATCAGCAGGGCACAGCGGCCCTCGCCCGCCCAAACAACACCCCCCGACGCCTCAGTCGTCACACACGGGATCTCATCCTCGAGGCAGGCACGCACCTCGACCACCACCACAACCACCAGCCCCTTCACCAAACATGCCTTCCTCGCCTCAGCGCCCGTTCTTCCTCTCCTCCTTCTTCGCCGCCTTCCGCCAGCAGCCCCCCTCGGCCTCCGCCCTGGCCGCCTCGTCACAGGCCTCCAAACATGGCCACCCGCACGGCACCCAGCAGTCCTCGTCAAATCCCGCAGCCCCGCGGTCAATAACGACCGGCTCCCACTCGCACAGCCAGCAGTCAACCGTGAATCAGGTGTCGCTCCACTCCCCGCGTGGCCACGGGGCCGGCCCCATGCCCATCGTGTCGAGCACCCGCCGCCGCGGCAGCGACAGCAGCAGCGAAGGGTTCCGCGACGTCCTGGGTGCCGACAAGTGGTACATTGGTGGCAGGACCGCCGCTGGCGAGGAGAAGTTCTTCAAGCTCGGCGTGGTCAAGCGCCAGCGCAGCCAGGACCGGCTTAGTCTTGATCGGTTAAGCTTGTGATGGCCACGGGTTGAGAGAGGCTTTGGGCGATAAAACCCCCCCTTGGGATACACAGTTCGTGTTTGGCGCATACTGGCAAGGGAGGGGAAATGGGTTTCTCGGTTGTCCTTTTTGGGAGAATTTCTCGTCGATCATAACCTGCACGCGTGCCTCGACTATCACGAGTTGGGGGTTCGGGGAAGGAAGATAAAAAAACACGGCGGGGCGGAAAACGACTCTCCCAGGCAGAGCACAACAACCGGCACAAAACAACATCTGCTCGTCACTGGACAGGATCCACCAGCAGACATGACAAAGGAAACACACCGGCGCAAAGGAAGGGGCTACATGACTACACGGCGGCGTTTAATTTGATTTAGGATTTGTACATATTTTTTGGCGGACCCCAGTGGGGTACAGCACAGTGGGCTCAGCTGTGTGGACCATGGCAAAACGAAGCCACCGCGGTTGGCACACATGCATGATTGACGATGTCAGATCTTGGCCATAGAATGGAGGCGAAGTCTCCCAAAGCGCCTCGGTCTTTATGAATTAAAAAAGCACACTGCTGCGATGATGATCAAGACAATGCTTCGTCCGCCCACTCCTGCCACAGCTTGGCCTCACGGTCGTAAGAGTGAGGCTCCAGGTCAATCTGACCATTGCTCCGGGGCTTTTCGGCTTACCCAGGTCTGGCGACTAGTCGCTCTGCGTGCAAGCCACGAGAACAAGGGCAAACCTCACCACATGAACCGCTGCACCCGCCCGCCGTCGGCCAGACTGCCATCCGGGTTCTTCCAGTAGAACGGGCGCGTGAGGAAGATGTACATGGTCGCGGCATTGATGATGCCAAACCACACCGTCTCGAGCAGGATCTGAACGTCGAACCTCGCCCACCATGGTCGGGCCGGCGAGCTGCTGGACTCCTTTGCGCTGAGGGCTGCGCTTTGCCCCCTCTGATCGGGTACGTGTGAGCTCGCTGGTGGCCGCGGCGATGGCCGGGTCTCTGGCGTCGGGATGGACAACGGCCACGCGGGCACGAGAAGGCGCCAGAAGACCCAAGGCAGGATGAAATACCGCGGTTCCACCAGCGGGGCCGTCATCAGGGACAGCGTCGTGGCGACGAGCAGGATCAAGACTGTCGAGGTACTTGGCGCTGTTGGCTCGTTCGTTTCCAGACTGTGCCGCCCTTGGACCTGCTTCTTGTCGGCCTTCTGGCCAGTGATGATGATGCTCTCATGACCACCGCGAGAAGCCGTGACCGAGTCTTCGGTCCACCACGGGCTACAGACCCAGCGATTGCGCTGCTGGCAGTCTTGTGGGCCGGCGACGGTACTGCCATCCCAACGTCCCTGCAGAGTAATCCAGCATAGCCAAGCGCAGGCAACGTACACGGGCACAAGCGCGAAGCGAACCCACCACGCGCGCAGGATCGAGTATCTGAAGACGTAGAACATGTAGTGTCTGTTGTCGGCGAGTGTGAAGGGATGAATGATGGTGCTGAAATGGACCACCCCTGCTGCCACGCCCAGAGCCGCGGTGAGCACAATGACACCCTGGGCGAGCTGGCTCGTGGCGAAAGAGGCGGTCATGGTTTGGGAAGGTTTGGTGGTTGGCTTGCTGTGCCTGTTTTGCTCAGTGAGGCTTGCCCATGCGTGTTGCACTAGCTGGAGGACCGGCAACAAGACGAGGGGTGCCGAGAAGAAGACAAAGAGCGGCCAGATATAGAGCATCTGTGCGAGGTGTAGCGTTGCAACGTGGTTCGACTTGTCACCTTGGAGGAAATTAGTTTGCCTGGAGAGCATGTAGGAACCGTGAGGGGACACATACCGAGAACAACGCCACCATTCCAGACCACGAAGCCCACAAAGGCGGACAGGACAGTTATGTGAGGCCATATTCGGCGGAGAATAGGCAGAAGATTACATGCACCAGCAGCCAGGAGGCTGATTGCACAGAGCGCAACGTCCACTATCAGAAGATGTGAGTAGCTTGCTTCACGCGTGCATGCAGATGCTGAGGCTTCTTACCGATGGGCGTAGCTATGGTGAGAGATGGATCATGAACATCTCCTACCGCATACCTTGACAAGTAGAACTTGACCTCTGTGATCAGGTTGTCAGACTGCGGGCGCTCCACCGGTTCTGGCTGTAAACCCTTGACAGCATTGACGGCTTCGAGGCCACCCATATAGACGACTACCCAGAAGATATTGGTCTGTCTCATGACGAGTGATGTCAGACCCAGAATGATGGTCATAAGATCCGACAAGATTGACGGCCGTGTTTGTTCGGCGCGAACAAGATGGCTCCAATATGCCAGCAGTACGACCAACGTCGATGCCCCGTCCGTGTAGTAAAGGCCGGAGAAGAAGAAGATGACCGGAAATAGAGCAACATTTGTTCCAGCGCCCAGAGCGCCGACCGCAGGCTGGGATGGTCTTTTTCGCCGCTGGAGCTCGAGGCATAGTGCCGCGACAATTGCAATGCAGGCGACAATGCCGACATTGACCATGCGAAGGTTTCTTGCGGAGCATGCCGTGCCCTGGATGAGCCAGATGCTCAAAAGATATCTTCCAAAAACAACTGTTAGCCACGTGGTAACTGCAAGAGTTTCATGGCACCCTGTGTCATTTTACTAACAGGCCTGGTGGTGTGGTGATCTTGTCATCCCAGTCAAAATATCTTCCCTCGCAGTACACCTGCGCTTGCGGTATGTGGAACACCTCGTCCTGCTTACAGTCAGACTAGACCCTTGGTGTGTTGGGAAATACAGAGGCGCTTACCAGGTATGGCTCAGGCACTGCTTTCGTGACCAACTTGAGCCATGTCAGTCCACAAACAAACGGGACAACACCGGCTGTAATTGTTGCCAATGTGTGCTCCGTAGCTCGTGTTGCTGGCGTGCCTTTGTGGTACACGAAGGCCGCGGCGAGCAGGCAAGCAGCAGTGGCCAATTGAGTGACGCCTAAGGGCGGCGCGAGGTCCATTATTGTGCTAGGAAAAGGCGAGACTTCACGAGGGCGATGTTGTCATTTTCGACATGCTGAGCGCAGACGTTGTTTGTTTGTTGTTTAAGTGCAAGGGTGGTGCTCACGGCATGAGATCCGGCTCAGGAGATGGCCGACTGGCGCAGATGGGGCTTCGGCGGGCAGTTGCACGACCGAGACCCAATCAAAGGGCCGTCAAACTAGCTGACTACCAACTTCGCAGAACCAGCTCGCAAACGAGCTCGCACGATTTAGGCATACGGTGCAGTCACTGCAGAAGAGTTCTAGCAAGGATTTGGCAAATGATGAGGCTTTGGTGTGGTCTATTGTTTCACTGTTTTGTACAAAGGAATCCGGCCTCTACGCTCATGCTCGCATTCCAGCACCATCTCCTCCTCCTTTCCCAGCTTCCAGGCACGCCATCGCAATGCTTAGAACGGCTACAGTGCAAAGTCAGTTCGTGTCGCTTTGTCTAAAAGGTCGAAATAGGGCCGGCAACTCACGTTGTCAGAGGCAGGGATCTCCTTGGTGTAGTACTTGGCCAAGAAGGGGATCTTCTTGAGGACGTCGTCCTGGACACGGGGAATGCCCGAGGCGTAGAAGATGACGGCGAAGAGAGCAACGCCACCGAAAGCACCAGCCTTGAAGCCACTAAGGTTGCACGCAGACGTGCTGTTAGCTGCCATGTCCCATATCCACCTCGCGCTCGGGTCGTCTTACAGCTGAGTGGCCTGCTTCACGGTCCAGCCAGCAACATTGGGCTGGTAGTGGTACCTATCGACGCGCTTCTCATCAGTTCCGTGTTCCGTGGGCGCATTCGGTATCCGTTGTTGGCCATCTCTCCTCGTGAGGCATCGGAACAGAGCACCTGTCCCCCGCGGCATTCAACTCGGTCTCGCTGTCGCCCAAGTCGCTCGGAGGGCCAGGTGCCTGTCGCTTCGCTTCAGTTCGGGTGGGCCGTGCCGATGAGCACTCACTTAGGGCCGTAGGGGCTCTTGTAGGAGGGCAGAGACGCCATGCGGAGGGGAGTCTGGATCGGAAAGTCGTCAGTCGTTGAATCTGGTGGGAAGGGCAAAGCGTGCTGAAGCTGGGCGAGGCATGCGAGCGCACTGCATGCTGCTAAGCAGGCGGGGTCTGGAGCGCAGACGTACAGGGAGGACCATCTTTGCAGATTGCGTGTCAGACGCGGTCGTCGATGGGCAATTGGTGTTCGAACAGAGTCGGATGATTGCAGGCTCGAGTGACGCCGGCTTTGCGCGAGATTCTCTGAGCCCGCCCACCAAGCTTCGGGACTGGCCGGCGGCAGCTCAGCCACAGACGCACCGATGGCAGCAGCTTTCAGCCAAGTGTGGCTTATGCTCACCAGCCACGCATTCATTGGTCCTGCAGGCCTGCTCCTGCCTTCCGAAGGTTGCAAGCTGGGACACAACTAGCGCAGGCAGCTTTCGGCCTAGCTCCACTTTCACACCAGACCCCTGTCAAGCAGTTCGACAAGCAATGGATTGCACGATGGGCCATGACCTGGAGCTGTGAATGTAGTGTAGTCCACTTGTGGATTGCCTCTGCATTGACAGTTCTTGTCCCATTGCATCTTCAGAACCGCACCTGCTGGACATGTCGCCATGGACAAGCAGATTGATGCGCGATTCGATCGCGTCGAGAGGGCGCTGGGCTCCTTGACCGACTCCATCGCCAAGTACAACCCGTCCATAGCCCAGGCACACGACTACATTGCTGCCGATGAGGAGCTTCACAAAGGCCTGGAAGAACGTGAGTTGATGCTTCAAAGCCACCATCCACTCCTGAGATCTCCTTCATTGACAGGTGTCCCCCCGAGTTTCAGTGCAGATTCATCAGACGAACCACTACCGCCTCGAGCAGCTCCGCGCTGCCACGGCCAGCCTCGATACCCAGATCAAGGACACCCTGCGTCTCCTCGCCAACACCCGCAAGGAGCTCAGCAATGCGCCTGCCACTGTGTTCCCCGACGGCCCACACTACGACATCCAGTATGACCAACTCTTGAACTACGCGCGCATAATCAGCCGCACGACCATCCCCCCAGCCGCAGCCGTCGCGGCGTTGCAGGCGCAAACCGACCTGCAAACCAACGTCGATGTGAGCGGCCTCGAGACGGCGGCAACGACACCTGGCATTGTCGGTACACCAGCCGCCACCCCAAATGGTGTTCAGTCTGTCCCCGGAGGCGCGACTCCCGCCCCGGCCCAGGCCGCGCACCCTATGGATCCTGCAGCGCAGGGCTCAGCGGCGGATGCCGAGCGTCACTTGCCAGGTCACATTGTTGACCACATCCGGTCGACTGTGCAGACCCAGTTCGTACCGTGGCCCAACGAGGATAATGTCCGCCACGGCTCGCTCGCATCAATGGCGATCCTGATGGAGAAGGGCATCGATCCGGAGAACTACGACCCGGAGGCAGAGAAGCTGCGCAAGGAGCGCGAGGAGCAGGAGCGGCGCGAGGCAGAGGAAAGAGAGCGGGTCGAGCGCGAGGAGAGAGAGCGCAGGCTTCGCGAGGAACAGGCCCGCCAGCGTGCGGAGCTCGCCCGGCAGCGCGAGAAGGAAAATGCGGAGGGCTGGCGGCGGCAGAGCGTCAGTGCTGGTGGCAATCCTCCCGCATCGTCACCAGTTGGAGAGAAGAAGCAGTTCATGTTCACATCATTGGACGACGATGACGATGATGATGATTAGGCCCTCTATATCTGCATAGCGTCGAACCCTGAAATGCACTCATCTCTTGTGTCAGCCAGTCCCGCCATACTCAGTTCTAAGCTCATGACGTGATTTCTTGTGCCTCTCGTGACCTGCTTTCGGTCATTATCCCCCCCGGACTGAGCCAGCCAGCACATCACAGCATCATATCATCCCACAGGTCCTTCCGATATCCCTCCGTCAGACTCTTGTCCTCCGCAAACTTCTCCTGCCACCCTTGAAACCCACGATCCAGGACAAGCAGCTTCTGGTGGATGTTCTGTGCTCCCAGCCCCCCAGCCCGTGCAGCAGCGGCGTCCTTTTCGCGCAGGTACCGCAACGCCGCGGACGGCCCGCGCTGCTGCGAGAGCATGCAGTGGAACACGACCGTCTCCTTGTCCGCCAGGCGCCGCAGCAGCGTGGGCGTGTCGAGCGCGCGCGAGGGGCAGTTTATGCTGCCTTTGATATGGCCACCCAAGTAGTCTGCGGTCCAAGGACGCATTAGTCCCTGTAAGCAGACAGGCAGGAGTTTTGATCCAATGCTTTTTCAAATCTGGTCGTGGGTTCGAGATGACCTAGGAGCCACAAGCCAGAGATTCGATTTTAAAGTAGAAGTGCAGGACGCGAAAGCGAGAAAAGTGATAATATCATACCGTCGTCACGGACATCTACAATCGCAATCTTTGAGCCCTCGGAGCTGACGTCCGCTCCTTGCTCGCGCAGCATACGCGCTAGGTTGTCGGCGCTGATGCGCTTCAGCGTGGCCACCGTCTCCATAGACATGATGGTTCTCCTTGTGCTTCGACTCGGACTTTTTGGAGCTGTGGCTGTGAGGACAGCGAGGAATGGTTGTTGGGGGCAGGCTGAAATGAGTGGGCGTCGCAGGGCTTGCCACATGAATAACAATAGAAAGCGAGCGTGCATACGCTTGCAGAAACACCTTCAAAACGTCCCTGGCAAGATATGTATTGCGTTTGGTCGCTCGAATCTGATACTTTGCCGGTGGTTCGCAGGCTTAGGCTGGAAGTGCGATGCAGTGGTTATGGTCCTCAACCCCACCTTTCTGCATCCGCATCAAAGCGGCCACAACTCAGAACCACATGTAAGTGACTATCACAAAGCATATCCATGAGTCACAGGTGGAGGGAGATAGAGCTTCACCAACAAAACTATCTAGATTTCTACTGAGCAAGTGTGAGCCAAATCCACAATCATCCCACAAATGCTGAAATATCTACGGCCACATGCCATCAAACATGAAAACCCACTCGTCCCAATATCGTTGATAACTTCCCACAAGATATGACAATCCGTCACCCTCTGTTCCGACCTTGTACGGTCTCATATGGAGGCCATCAATCCGGAGATGCCGTTTGATTGTAACGTACACAGAGAAGCTGCTTGGCATAACCCCAACGAAATAGTTACTGCCCAGGAGGATCAGAACATCAACGATGGCTCTCTGGTCCAAAGTCAATGCCATCAAATCATCCAGATCTTTCCCGTACAGCAGTTCCTCTTTTGTCCATACTCTCATATCGACCGCGTCCTTTGCCTCTTTACTGAATCTTGCTGCCTCAGTCTCGTTGCCGGTGGCGAGATAGGCAGCTCGAAAGCCCATTGCGCCAGCTCTCTGCAGATAGGCATCAGCCTGCTGACGATATTTTGGCCAAAATTCCAAGGCGTCTGCTTCGGTGCGCAAGTGTGCGCCCAAGAACGCTCCTGACCCGCCTTCCTGTTGTGACAGCTGCCGCATCTGCGAGAGGGCTTTCTTGCCAAGACGGAGCAGCTCTTTGTTGTATCTGAGTATGCTGCCGAACGTCGCGGTGAACTCGGGACCGTCACGATAGACCGGCCAATTCCAGATGACACCCCACTCGAATCGGATCAGTCTGGGGCTCGCAGCAGTTGGGAAGGCTCGGTTGCTGGTTTTAGGCTCAGTCTGCTGCATGCCGTTGACGGGCATGACCCCATCCTTGAGCCACTGGCGGAATCTGGTGCCGAAACGATCAGTATGCCTGTCCTGGTCGATTGGATTGCCGTCGCCCCGGTATCCAAAGTTCTGGGGTTTTATGAGCTCAACTTCTGTCTCAGAAGTCACCCCCGGAATGTCGCTCTCAGTGGCATACAGGCTTATCCGGGGGCAGGATGTGCTGAATGCCTGGCGGAAGTGGTTCTCATCGAACATGTACTCAAACGGCAGATACTCTGTGAAAAGATCTGCAAGATTCTTGTCACTGCGCTTCCGGATCTTGGGGATGACGAGACCGGTTGCGCCTGCCTCAAGGGCATAGCGCAGACACGTCTGAATGTAGTTTCGAATATTGCCGACGCCCCCCGAGTTGTTGTCGCAGAGGAAGACCAGGCCGTCGACCCATATTGTCTCGTTGCATACTCTTGCTAGAGGCCAGCTGATGAAGGGTGCTTCCGGATCTGAAAGATCAACCTCTTCGTCTGGTCCCCGGCCTGCCTGTGGCGTTGAGCTGAATGGCCGCGACGACCAGATTGGACCGCTGTTGTATGCTGTGGACCACAACGAAGGAGCAAGGAAGCGCACGGTACAGGCCGAAATGAAGGCCAGCGTCAAAACTGTCAAGACCGGTATGGGGAGCCGCCGACAGAGGCGGTCGTGTGTCTGCAGCATGCCCGGAGATAGAGGCGAACAGTGGGCGAGTATTTGTGTGTCGCCGTAGTCGTTTTACCGATGCTTGCAAACTCTCAGATGGACATGGTTGCCCACAATCGTGTTCGCAGCACAGGAAACTGGCCTCCGGCCTCGCGCAGAGAACGCCCGGTGATCTAGATCACTGGAGGGCGGATTATTAGGAAGGACTGAAATGATGACAGCCCTGCAGCAATTTTGCTGGGCTCTCGGGAGTTTGTGATGCGCGCAGGAGCTGCGACGAGATGTTCTAGGAAGCTTAGCGGGCTCCAGCTTGTCAAGCATAAAAGGGGGATACTCGGCCGACTGTTGAGCTAAGTCGAGAACAATATCGCGGGCGCCGACTAGCGTGCCGGTTTGCATCTGGCATGTCTCAAGTTAGGAAAGAAGCCTCACAGAGCAAGCGCGGGCAAGAGCCGCCAAAAGGTCTAGTGCCAGAGCCTAATTCGCACTTTCCTCCATTTTCCACACCACGCCTCCCCTAGCTCTGGCTCTCCAGGCGCAAGCTCACCACGGTCAGTGCCAGATGCTTCACCGAAGCAAATGGAGATCAATATGAGAAGGGGCGCTCCCTGGTTCGGGAAAGCCAACGGGCTGCCAAATGACTACCTAGGTACATTTGCCGCATTTCACCACAACAGGACACAACGTCAAGAACAAGTCTCGTGGTGCTACGATGTATTGAGCTGCGTATGCAGATAACTAGCTACTTCGTGCAAGTGAGACATCAAGGCTGTCGCTATACAAGGCTTGGAACACTCGACTGCAAGGTCTTTAGACCTTCCCGATCCAGCCTGCATTGACAAAGAAGTCAAAGATCCTGCTTCCCTTCTGGGAATCCAGCTTGCAGATTTCCTTGACCTGTTTCTTCTTCAGCGTTCCGTTGCCCTTGAGTGCTTCTTTGAGCACCTGCTCCTTGATCATTAGATATGGCTTGGGTTGCAGGCGCGATACCTTGCACAGCTCAACTTCCTCGGGCGTCAGGAGGTGCATGTCTGGCGCTGTGTCTGGCGTCAAATGCAGCGGCTGCATGCCCGATATCGGCAGGGAGACAAATTTGGTCCGAGAGCCATTCGCCGTGCCATTCGTGACACCATTTGTATGCCCATTCGTGAGCGGCTTGAGATCGCCCTTGGCCAAGTCGGCCAGTCCTTGCGCGGTGGTAACTCCCAAGGCAGGACGGAAAGGCAGCTCCGGCGCAACGAGTGTAGCTGCGCCGCTGGGTGGCTCAGGCTGCACTGCTTGCTTGCTTCTCTGCGCAGATGCCAGGCGCTCCCGGTCCATTGATCCGATCGGCACACTCTTCTGTATACGCTGCACCTTGTCCTGCTCATACTTTTCGCCACTCTTCAAGTCCCCAATCCGCAGGCTTCTCCACTCTTGGAGTTGTGTTATGGCTTGCCGCAGATTCAACTCGTCCACGATCCCCTGGCAGAACGCCTCGAAATCGTCGTGGTTCATCATGCGTCCAAAGGGCTTGGCCCTATTCACCAGGTCCTTCTCTTCTTTCGTACGCTTCTTCTCGAGCTTCATGTTCTCCCGGTACTCCAACAGGTTGTGCTCAAAGATGACCTTCTTCCTCTCCACTCTTTGTGTCAGGCGCTGATTGTAGATGTCCATGACGGTGAGCTTGAGCTCCATCTCAGGCTCCAGCTCGCCCGTCCGTGGATTGATGCCATCGCCGGGGTCGAACTGCATGAGCTGGACTGCCTCTTCGGCCTCGTTTGCGTATTCTGTCTCAAATTCCAGACGCCCAGGCATGTAGCCCTGGATTTCGTGACACGAGGGGACACTGGCAGTCGGCTTGGTCTTTGGCGGCAAAGGAGCGGCATTCTTTTGCGCGTCCCGGCGTTCTTCAATACGCCTCTTCTTGCGGGCCTGGAATTCTTCACGGGAGATCTCTTGCGCAAGTTCCATGTCGGTCGGACGGCATCGCTTCGGCAGCGGAAAACATGGCGACTCAACATATGCGCTGAGGTAGTGGTCGCGCACCTCATCTTTGTTGCGGTATCCACCAATGTGGTCTGCTATGTCGGCCCATGATCCAAGCCCGTAGATCTCGCAGCCTTCGAGCAACAACAGCTCTTCGTCGGCACCCCAGTCGCGGTCAAAAATCGGGAAAGAGTTCTGCTCAATCACTTTGTAGGGGTGTGTTGCTGGCTGATGCGACCCGCTGGACGAACCCTGCGAGAAGCAGAGAACACACAGGTCGTACTCGTTGCAGGATGGATGCGCACATCGTATGCGGACCTAAGGAGTGGGGGAAAAGAATGGAGGTCAGCAAATGCTTGTCGAGGCTTAGGATGCGCATGCATGAGGAGGAGAAAGGGTGGTTTTGAGCTGCTTGTGGGAGCGCAGCTACGGAAGAGGTGCGATGTATATCCGTCCGCGGAACGGAGATAAGGGAGGGACATGGTGGGAGCGGCGCGCAAGTGTGCAACCTGCCGCGCATGGCAACAGGCAACTTACTGTGGAAGTGATGTCGGCGGAACAGACGTCGCAGACATATTTGACGCCGCCCTCGCCACCTCTTGTGGCCGCCTTCTTGCGGATGACGCCCATGTCCTCTTCCTCCTCCTTCGCTTCCAGGGTGGGCTCGGGTGCGCGAAGCCGCAGCGACTTCGACAGCTAGGGTGGATTCGGGCAGAGGGCGGACAGAAGGGGAAGCGCTTGCTTGATCGTGGGCTAAAAGTGCTTGCGAGTGGCGCAGTGAGTCTGGATGCGCTGGGTGCAACGGTTTCGATGGAAACGTCGTTGGGTGGTGCGTGTGCTGATGGAATAGGTGTCGTCGCGGTGCGGTCGTAGGCAGACTGGCTCATCAGCATCGCGGGCTCCAGTCCAGCCAGGTCGACTCGTCGTGTCGCAGCCAATCCCGCTGGAGCACAGCTCGAGGTGGAGGTGGAGCATCGGTCATCGTGGAGCATCCAATGAGTGCGCGTCTTCGATGTTGTCCTAGCGGGTCGCAGGTTCAATGTGGATAAGCACCTCGGGACCAGGCTGCTGCTCACAGCTGCGAGCCAGCTGGCCAGGGCGAGGCTCCACATATTACCTAGTGCCCACAGGACGATCCTCTCACGACGGCTTGGTGCTCAGAGGATCCGGCGAAACACGGCCAACATTCACTACAGATTTTGCGTGTGTGAACACTGTCATTATTTTTTGATCCTCAGTCTCGTGAAGAACATTGAGCAGTCCAGCTTCAAGTAGACACTGATGGGGAAGCTCTCGTGCTAGTCGACCTTTGGAACACCTACAGACCTATCCCGTTGCCTGCGGGCTTTCTCGAGTGCCTTGTTCAGAACAGGCCGTGCCTCCCCTGACGGTGTTGGTTTCCGGCTCGGGATATCTTGTTGCGAAGCAATGCCACATTGCGTCATCCCTACTGAGACGCGTGCCCAGCCATCGTGTCCGGCCTTGTCGCTTGGAGCCAGCGGGATCTGCTGGTCCAATCCTCCACGGCCGACACGGAAGGGCATGCATCGTCTGGGAAGCGTTCGACGTGCAACACTGAGCCCATGTGGACGAGCTTCTCACGTTGCTAGCTAGCAACAGATAGCGCCGGCGTTGGGGCCGGCGATGGTCTGAACTTGGGAATAACACCCCGCCATGTGATCGTGGAGCAGGCCGGGGTCCGGCGCAAAGCACCGCAACCCCTCCACTCACGTCGCGATCCGCCGCAAAGTCCACATGTTTGCGCCTCGCAATTTGACACGCTGACTGGAACTTGTTTCCTTGATTTCTGGTCAGAAATATACTCTTTCTTAGCGGCCTCTTCCTGTCGCCGTTCCTTTCTAGTTTGCTTACACGCACGACCACTCCAACCTTTAGACGAAATCTCTGAAGAGCTTGCGACTGCGTTTGGCGATCCATAGGTCGCCCAAACTCGTACGTCATGCCTGAACAGATTCTCGACGACATTTCTCATCGTCGCTACAACCCGCTCAAGGGCTCGTGGCTGCTCGTCTCTCCACACCGGACGAAGCGACCCTGGCAGTAAGTCCTGGTATGAGGCGCACACTCGGTCCTCCGAGCATTGCTAACCCGTTTCTCCCGTCGTAGAGGTCAGCAGGAAGCTGCGGCGGGGACTTCGCTGCCAGAATATGATCCCAAGGTGCGTGCAAGGTGGAACTATGATGACATCCCTTGCATCGATTCTCTGTAAATCATACTGACCGTCTCAACTATATAGTGCTACCTCTGTCCTAGAAACCCCCGTGCGCAAGGGGAAGCGAACCCCGATTACAGCCAGCCATTCGTCTTCGTCAACGACTACAGCGCCGTCAAAGAACAGCAGCAGGACTACAAGGAGGAGCCCTCGGAAAATGGTTCGTTGCTGCCCTCACCAACTTGTGATGTGGTGCTTTGAGGTCTAATCGGCTACCTTGTGCAGACCTTTCCTCGCTCCTTCTCCGCGCCGAGGGCGTAAAGGGCAAATGCTTCGTCCTCACTTTCTCGCCAAAGCACGATGTTACCCTCGCGGACATGACTGCCGAGCAGATCGTCCCTGTCGTAGAGACATGGACACGGATTTACGCCGCCTACCTCGCCCCGACGAACCCCTTGTCCGCCGTTGCCGCCGAGCTCGAGCTCCTCAAAACCCCCGCCGCGCCCGAGAGCCAGATCGGCCCGGCGACACAACAGCTGCGGTACATGCAGATCTTCGAGAACAAGGGCGCCGCGATGGGCTGCTCTAACCCGCACCCGCACGGACAGATCTGGACGACGACGACGATGCCCGAGGAGCCTGGCACGGAGACGGTGCAGATGTCCAAGTACCGTGCCGAGCACGGAGGGCGCCACCTGCTGGAAGACTACGTCAAGCTCGAGCTCGAGAAGAAGGAGCGCATCATCTACGAGAACGAGACGTTCCTGATCGTCTGCCCGTGGTGGGCGTTCTGGCCATACGAGACCCTCGTCATTGCGAAGCGTCACGTGCGGGCGCTCGTCGACCTCACGGCGCAGGAGCGTCTCGACTTTGCCGACGCCATCCAGGAGATCACGCGGCGGTACGACAACCTCTTTGAGACGCACTTCCCGTACAGCGCGGGCATGCACCAGGCGCCTCTCGAGGGCACCGAGGATGAGATCGAGAGCAGCTGGTTCCACATGCACTTTTACCCGCCGCTGCTGCGGTCGGCTACCGTCAAGAAGTTCCAGGTCGGATACGAGCTGCTGGCCGAGCCTCAGCGTGACATCACGCCAGAGCAGGCCGCTGCTAAGCTCCGGGAGTGTGCCGGCGAGCTGTATCGGAAGAAGATGTAGTCAGGCATGCAGATTGATCTTGCTCGAATAGAATATACCGAAATATATCTCCATATTATTCTTCGTCGTAACTGCTCTCTCGAGTAATCTACATGCCAGTCTCCCGCAAAAGTACCATCTCAATGGCCTCTACAAGCTCATGAACCATCTACCGCTGATTCATCGTGGGACTTGAGCTTTATCTCTCTAGCTCCTGGGCTCGGAAGGCTCCTAGACCTCGACGTAGAACCCACGCTGCGTGACCATCCAGGTGATGCCGATGGACGCAAAGAAGGCCGGGAAGAACAGGGGCTTGCCAAAGTGCGTCGTCTTGAAGACGGCCCACTCGCTGCCGAAGTGCAGGGCCGCGACAATGTACGTCCACAACGCAATGTTATAAATGGGGGCCAGGTGCAGATTGTAGCTCGCGTATATGCGCACAATGGCCGAGATGAGCGTGTATGTGCCGAACAGGCGCGCGGCCAACGGGGTGACCTGGTCCTCAGACTGCTGGCCGTCCTTCGCGGAAGGGGTGGGCGAGCCGGGCGCCGGGGAGAGCTTGTTGGTCTGGTCGGCCGGGGCGAAGGTCGCGCTGGCGGCAGGCAGAGACTTGTTGGGGACGAAGAGCCCGTTGTAGAGCCGGCGTGTGTAGTGCAGGGTCTTGTAATTCTGGAAGGAGTTGCCGACTGCGATTAGGGAGAGCTAGAGGCGTGGAGGGGGGAAAGGTTAGCGGTCGGGTGCAATGGAGCAGTACAGCCGGTCAAGGGCAAAGGTGGAAATATGTACCGTCAGCATGTAGTAAGGGAGGTAGCCCTTATCTGCCGGAGGCAGGTAGTCCTTGATCAAGTCCATTGTGGATGTTGTTGACTGTGTATTGCAGTTGTGGGCGAACAGCTTGGTGGAGGACTCGGAAGGCTGCCAACTGCGAAAGTGAAGGCTGCAAAGGGCCCCGAGGGTTAGGGGTCTTCCTCGGACGCTACGGAAAGCGCCGACTCCAAGGGAGAGGCTAGTGGTTGTTCACCCAGCCGTGACTAATAGAGTAGGGCTTCCCAAGGAAGTCCATGTAGACTGGGCGGCAAATGCAAGTGCTCTCATCATCTTGATAAAACCCTTCTGCCGCCCCTTGGTAGAAAATGCTACAATTTCGAGCCAAAGTTCAGGCTCGACACCTTCATGCCAGGATTGGCATTCAACTGTCCAACAGATTTTCCAAGCATGACATGCTTGAGTCGTGAACAAAGCAGACCTGCCAGTAGCATTTCTTTAGTCAGTTCCACTAGGCTTTGCTACAGTCAAGAGATCTCCCTGCTCTGAATTCCGCCATCGTCAGATTACTACAGTTCAACACTGCTTGGAGTTTGAGGGATGGATGGCCCCCTTTCACATGGCAGATGGCCAGGCACAGAGCTCCAATTGGCCACGTCAGGCCCTCTGTGCCCCAATGTGGAGTCAACAAAAAGTGACGCCAGCAAGCTGCCGGCCTCCGCGGGGCGGGCAGGTAAGCTGTTTCTTGAGGAGCCGAAACCAGACCTGACGCCCTCCTCCCTCCACACTCTGCCTGTTCCAACACAATTCACCACGAAGCCGCGACACTTCGCACACCACACAGAATGACGGTTCTGAGCCAGATCGTGGACGCTACCCCCGAATGGGCCAAGACTGCCCTTGTAGTCGTTGGTGCCCTCACGGTCTACTTCAAGCTCTTTGGCTTTCTTCGCCTGCTGCTCAGCGCATTCGTCCTCCCGGGAGCCAACGTACGTCGATCGAGAACTACCTCCAAATGTGAAAGTATGGCGGAATAGCTAATGAATCGTCGCTTTCACCAGCTCAGCAAGTATGGAAAGAAGGGCACCTGGGCTGTTGTCACTGGAGCTTCGGACGGCCTTGGCAAGGAGTACGCAACACAGCTCGCCTCGAAGGGCTTCAACCTCGTCCTGGTCTCCCGAACTCTCTCCAAGCTCCAAGACCTCGCCCGCGAGCTCGAGGCCAAGTATCCCGGCCTTGAGACAAAGGTGCTCGACATGGACTTTGCGGCCGATAGCGACAAAGACTACGCCCGCCTCTCCCAGACCATCAACGGCCTCGACATTGGCATCCTGATCAACAACGTCGGCCAGAGCCACAGCATCCCAGTTCCCTTTGTCGAGACCGATCGCAAGGAGCTTGAGAACATTGTCACAATCAACTGCCTGGGAACGCTCAAGGTCACACAGGCTGTCGCGCCTGGCATGAAGGAGCGCAAGCGTGGTCTCATTCTCACCATGGGCAGTTTTGGCGGCTGGATGCCCTCTCCGTACCTGGCCACTTACTCGGGCAGCAAGGCATTCCTCCAGCAGTGGTCTGCCGCCCTCGCTGCGGAGCTTCGCCGCGACAAGGTCGACGTGCAGCTGTGCCTCAGCTACTTGGTTGTGTCGGCCATGAGCAAGGTCCGCAAGCCAAACCTGTTGATCCCTGGCCCCAAGGCCTTCGTTCGTTCTGCGCTCGGAAAGATTGGCACCGGCGATTGGCAGCAAACCGCCTCGACCTACACTCCTTACTGGAGCCACGCCATAATGGCATGGTTTATCGAGAACACCGTGGGCACTGGCTCGTCGATCGGCATTGAGCAGAACCTCAAGATGCACATCGATATTCGCAAGCGGGCCCTCAAGAAGGCTGCTCGTGAGGCTGCGAAGCAGGAGTAAGATGCACGTTATGGATTCGCGACACGGGACGAACGATGCCAACTGCCTTTTGAATTGCAACTCGCGGTGCGGGTTCGGAGACAGCAGGAGAGTCTTTGTGCATAATCGAAGTGGCTGCAGTGGTGGACTGGGGGGGGCCACTACCCACAAATCGGGACGTGAGATGTGAAAGAGGAGCCTCAATGGAGCGTTTCGGCAATCGGGCATCGCGTGCCTGCTCTGAGGAAGTGCCAAGGTGGGTGGGCATTGTACCAAAACGCCTCAATACAAACAACATGAAAATGTCCCGTCACGCTGAATGTCACTGATGCACGTGCCTGTGAAAAATGGAGGCCAAAGCAGACGCAATCTCAACGTGCTGTGGGTGAAGCTGGCGGCGCTGGCGGCAGGGCTTCCACTATTTGCCTGAAGGGGCATAGCGGTGTTGTCGTAGTGGTGAGTGCATCAGGCGCGTCACTCCTGGAGCGCAGGCCCAAGCTTCTTCCGGGTGGACGACCCAAAAATATTTCCAGCCTCCTGCGCCGACAGCTGCCCTAGCTGCCTCACGCTGTTGCTGCCCTCTCCTAGCTTGCTTGTTTTGCCTTGCGTCACGCATCGCATCCGCCTGCCAACGACTTCCTCTGCACGTGCAGCTGCACTTCCATTCACTCTCTCACGTCTACCAGGAGGCACTGCCTGCTCGCCGACTGCTGTCACTCGGTCGCGACACACCCCGGCGACTGTCGCCCTGCCGCCCTCGTGCCCGGATCCTCGCGTCCTGCCTGACTGATCGTCGCCTCATCAACGCCTTTGCATCAAAGTTCGACCACTCCGTACGACTGCGATTGCCGTTGATGAGCTGAACACCGTCGCGGCAGCTTGCCGTGGGCTCTTGTCAAAGCCTCGCTCTCAGCCACCGCCAGCAGCTTGCTCGGTCGTGCCAACGTCGCTCCTGAATCGTCAGGAGTGGTCCTATCATCTTTCATCTCCTGTGCGGTTGCGCCCACCTCGGAGCTTTCGTCCTTCAATATGGCTTTCACACAGGCGACGCCGTCGCATGCCCTCCCGGGTGCTTTCCTGCACACGCCAGCAGTCGCGTCGCGCTTCAATGCTGCCGCGCAACAGGACCCTGTCCGCCGCCGCCTCTTCCGCGAGCCATCCATTACCTCCAGTAATCAGCTCACGCGACAAAGCAGCATATCAGGGAGGAGCGGCAGTGTCAGCCAAAGTGGCAACGAGGTCTTTGGCACACCATCAGCCGAGACTCCCAACCCAATGAACGCTGTGTCACAAAGCACGCTGCCCCAATCGCCAACGGCGAAGGCGGCGCTTTACGTCAACAACGCGCTCGAGAGAGACAGGAGCTATCCAGAGCTCGATACGTACTGCCGGCGTAAGTTTGTGCTCTGTACACTCCACGATGGAGCTGTCGACCCGCGTGGCAGTTCTAATCACATTCCAACTTGCGCAGAGCTCTGCGAGAATCCCAACTGACAAATGTCCGCCAGAACACTCTTCCGAGTACGAGGTTGCAAGCACCGACTCTGCATGGGCGCCGTTTCACAAAACCACAATGTATCCGATACCCGATGCGGTCTTCGCACAATACAACAATGCCCAGGTCTCAACCATGATGGGTCTCTTCGCCGAGCTCAATCATGCCTGGGTTGCCATCGACAACAACCTCTATCTTTGGGATTACACGCACCCAAACCCTCAGCTCATTGGGTATGAGGAGAACCAGTACAGCATCACAGCGGTCAAGCTCGTTCCTCCTAAACCTGGCGTCTTCCTGCCCAAGATCAACTATATCCTCGTCGTGGCCACGACAGCCGACATGTTCCTTTTGGGTGTCTCGGCATCCAGCACGCCTAGTGGAGCGCAATCCGTCGAGCTCTACGGCACACGTATGACGCTTCCGCTTCGAGGCATCGAGGCTTGCGAGATATCAGCCACTTCCGGCGGCCGAATCTTCTTCACTGGACGATTCGATAGTGATGTGCATGAGCTGTTCTACCAGCAGGAAGAAAAGTGGTTTTCAAGTAGGACGAGCAAGATCAACCACTCCTCACCTGGCTGGGCGGCTGTTGTGCCGAATCCGTCGCAGATGATCTGGGGTAAAGCCACCAACGAGCGCATTGTGTCGATCGTTGTTGACAACTCGAGAAATCTCCTATATACGCTCTCCAGTATCTCCACGGTTAGGACATACTTCATCGAGGGACCAGACAAGCTCACCAAGGTGATCGAGAAGACGAAAAACGACTTCCTGCGCGACATTGCCCACGCCCTGAGTGTCGTCTCGCCATTGCTGACAGAGCGCATGAACATCGTCTCCATCAGTCCCATCTCGGCAGTGGAGGATGCCAAGGTGCATCTGATGGCCCTCACGGACAGCGGCTGTCGCCTGTTCATGAGTGCCACAAGTGCGTCTTCGTACATGATGAGCTCTTCGACATCTGCCCCTCAGAGCATGCAATTGCAGTCGATCAAGTTCCCACCACCAGAGAACCCACAGCAGCGGTCAACAAGGACTGATCCTTTTGGCTACAACGAGCCCGTAGATGTGAGATCACGAGCACTTGAAATCAGCTCTAAGGGCATCCGCTTCGCGCCTGGGTACTTCCTGGACTTTGTCGTTACTCCGCAGAAGCCCGGCGAGCACGCCGTGTTCGCCTCTGCTCCCGATAGCGGACGCATTAAGAACACAAGCCGGACTCAAGGATTGCGTTACTATGAGCATGCCAACTGGATCGATGTGGGTAGCACTGTCGAGGATGTCGGCTTGATCTCGAAGCCCTTCGCCGCCTCAGGACGGCCACTCGGCTTCGGTAATGAATTGGCAGTGCAGTTTGACGAGCCACACAGCAGCGAGTTTGCCATTCTCACCAACACTGGTGTGCATGTCATCCGCCGCAGGCGCCTGGTCGAGATTTTCGCCACCGCCATCCGCGCTGCAGCCGGCGAGGAAGGACTCAAAGCCGAGGTCAACAGGTTCCAAACATCATACGGTCGCGTCGAGACCATCACGTCTGCCCTGGCGGTTGCGTGTCGCCAAGGGGGGTCCAACCGTGGCGCTGTCGACCAGGCGACCGTTGACCGAGCCAAGCAGGTCTTTACCGTCTTTGGAGGCAATCCGACATTGCCAGAGCAAGACGGACAAGTTGCCACTATCGACATGGTTCGCCCATCTTCACGACACTCTGCCCTTAGCCTATACCTGAGCCGCCTTGTCCGGTCTTTGTGGAACTCTAGAGTTATTGCCATCGGCGCCAATGCGACTGGAGCCCTTGTCATCGACAGTGCTGTCCCGATCTCGAAGCTCAAGGCCACGCAGGAGAGCGTTGAAGGGCTCAGGAAGTTCCTGGACGACAACCGAGCGTTCATCCAGGGCCTGTCTGGTCCAGCAGATCTGCAAAGAGCTGCCAACAAGCAGGAAGAACTCGCTTTCCAGGGAGAGCACCAGGCCATGCATGCTCTGGAGGTGCTGATGACTGGCATCACCGAGGGCATCTCCTTCGTGACTACTCTCTTCGATGAGCGGGTGGTTGACATCTTCACTCGCCTGGGTGAAGACGCCCAGCAACAGCTCAAGGACCTTACATATGAGCGCCTGTTCTCTCAGTCCTCCGGCAAAGACCTAGCCAAGGTGCTCGTTAAGGCTATTGTCAACCGCAACATTGAGAACGGATCGAATGTTGAGACTGTAGCTGATGCGCTTCGCAGGAAGTGCGGAAGCTTCTGCAGCCCTGACGATGTTGTCATCTTCAAGGCACAGGAGCAGCTCAAGCGGGCTTCGGAACCTACTATCAACCCAAACACTTCCCGCACATTGCTTCACGAGAGTCTAAAGCTCTTCCAAAAGGTTGCATCTAGTCTGACGCAAGCTAATCTCGAGTCTGCCGTGTCACAATACATCAACCTGCGATACTATGCCGGCGCGATCCAGCTTTGCTTGACTGTCGCCAACGAGAAGGACCGGGGCAACACAGCCTTGTCATGGGTCAACGATGGCAAGCCCTCCAACGACAGCCGGGCGAAAGCATTCGACGACCGCAAGTCCTGCTACAACCTCATTCATCACGTTCTCCAAGACTTGGACGTGGCGTCAAGCCGAGAGCCGGAGTCTGTCGACGGCAAGCCAACGCTGCTTGGCACGAAGCGGGCTGAGGCATACGATGTCGTCAATGACTCCACGGATGAGGTTTTCCATTTTGACCTGTATGACTGGTATTTGGAGCAGGGCTGGACGGACAGGCTCTTGTCGATCGAGTCCCAGCACGTGACAACGTTCCTTCGCCGGCTGGCTGCGCAGAGCGTCGAACATGCTGACCTTCTGTGTCGGTTCTACACCATGAGAGGCTTGTTTTACGAGGCTGCCAAGGTCCAGTTCCAGATTGCCAACTCCGAGTTTGAGCTGTCGATCAAGGACCGACTCATGCTCCTGAGCCGCGCCAAGACGAATGCCAGCGTTATGACCGCTGATGTCGGCCGCCAAGAGCAACAATATCTGAACCACCAAGTCAGCGAGCTTCTCGAGGTCGCGCATATTCAAGACGATCTACTCGAAAGGCTGCGCATTGACCCCCGACTGACGGAACGGCGCAATGACATCGTGGCAGAACTGAACGGCCCTATTCGGGATCTGTCTTCGGTAAGTCTGCTATGCATGACATGCTTGCGTGATGAACAATCGGCTTTCCCAATGATGACCACACTACGCTTACCCAGCTCACTCATACGCGTAACTGCGGGTGCTGATACACGTAATAATCTCATTGTCTGACCGGGATCTGCAATTCCTCCTTGCTGGTTAATTTTCTTTCGATACTTGCGTGGCGCTAGCTAACTCGTATCGCAGTTGTACAATGACTATGCCGACCAGGCGTCCTACTATGACCTCTGTCTGATCATATTCCATGCCGCCGACTTCCGGAACGCCGCCACGATCGCGCAGACATGGACTGCTCTCATAGCCAACACGCATGAGGAGGTGCAAGAACAGTGGGCCGAGTACGAAGCGAGACGACCAGGCCACCAGGGTTCTGGGGACGATGCGCCTCCTCAGCCATACGAGGCGCTGGTCAACAAGATCCAGGATGTCTGCCATCGTTCCAGCAACGATTCTTTCATCTTCCCGGTGCCCACCCTTCTGCCCGAGGTCTGCGCATATGCCTACGAGGGCGGCCAGGACCAGCGCATTGGTGCTGACGTCAACTGGCCGATTGTGCTCTTCCTTAACCTGGGTGTGAGCTACGATCTGGTTGTACGGGTGCTGGAGCAGATGTTTGAGGCTCAGGAGGTTCCCTTCCGGGGCGCTGCGCGGAGCCGACTCATTGAATGGATCTGCTTCGCGATTGGACGGTGGATGAACGAGCTGAGCCGGGCGGGCCGTGCTGATGCCAGGCTTGATCCCTGGGTTGGTGAGCTCGTTGGGGAGTGTGAGCAGTGGATGGCGACGGCACAAGGCAACAACGAGGGCGGCATGAACATCCGTGATTTGCAGATGCAGGTCCGTCAGACAAAGAGGGCGTTGCAGGGCTTCATTGAGGGCCTCAGCCTTGGTGGCATGCGCCAAAGCAGAGGCTTCTACTGAGATGCCTTGCATGAAGAGCGCCGTGTCGGCGAATTTTCCTCACTACGCCTGCGGCGGATCAGTCGATACCAAGAGATCTCTCCGCGAGATGTGGAGGGCGTTGGGCAAGAGGGCAGAATTAATCAGTGTTCTGCGTGTGGGATTATACTAGAGCTGGCGTATTTGGAGGCCGGGGTCAGTGTACAAAGACTTGTGATACATTTGATGAAGTTGTTGATAGTCATGATGGGACAATGAAATGCCTTGTCCGATGGGTTGGATTAATTATCAATCTTGTTACGATGCTCAAGGTTGTCTGGCTATGTGCATATTTGAGCATGAAGATCGGCCAATGGCACAATTGTGTTGCACAATTATCAGTGTTCTGAAAGTCGGGGGTTTTTGAAGAAGCTTAATTCTCGATGCGGGCAGTGGTTGTTGGGCAGCCTGAAGCTGGCAGGCCGATGCGGCACCCGGCCCGCCCCCACAGGGATCGCCACTGCCTCAATTGTGTCGCGCTTGCGCTAGAGCTACTTTTTGGCAATTGGCCAGCCGTGCATGCCTTGGCGACTGACGGCCTCGCTCGACCTGACATCACACAACACTCCGCAGTGCCTTTGACGACATCAATTGCACAGCGCGGAACGGCTCCGTACGACATTGCACACTTCATGCTGTGAGCACAGTCACCAGCGCCTGCCCGCCCATCATGGCCTCCAGCAATCGGCTCGCTGGACGCCTCGTCCCGACCGCGTTGGCCTCCGCCAGGCCACGCCCGACATTCGCCGCTCGCCAGCATCTCAGTCGCCCCAGCCAGCTGCTGCCCTCCGGCCCCCGCCGTTATGCATCGTCGTCCAGTGCCGAGTCGCTGCCTCTCTCGCGCCTCAAGGTTGCCCTGTGGTCCACCTCGATCGCCCTTTCCGGCTTCGTTGTATATCTCTACGTCACCGACACCAGATCCTTCATCCACCGCTACGTCGTGCCGCCGGCCCTCCGCGTCATCTTCCCGGACGCTGAAGATGGTCACAACATAGCTGTCTCGGCGCTTGGCACGCTCTACGATCTCAAACTCAACCCTCGTGAGCGCTCTAGCTCCGCGGATGGCCCCGAGCTGTCCGTCTCAGTCTTCGGCGACGACCTCAGAAACCCCATTGGAATATCAGCCGGCCTCGACAAACACGCGCAGATTCCGGATGCCCTGTTTGCCCTTGGCGCAGGCGTCGTCGAGGTTGGCGGCTGCACCCCCCTCGCCCAGCCTGGTAACCCCAGGCCTCGCATGTTCCGCGTGCCTGGCATTGACGGGCTGATCAATCGCTATGGCCTGAACTCGCATGGCGCCGACCATATGGCCATGAAGCTGCGCGAGCGTGTGCGCCTGTACGCCAAGTCGATAGGCCTTGACGAGGAGAGCGTGCTCAATGGCGAGGCCAACGTGCCACCAGGAAGTCTTCTGCCTGGGCGCATGCTACTTGTGCAGATCGCCAAGAACAAGGACACTGACGGCAGCAACGTCGAGGAGGTCTCGCGCGACTATGTCTACTGCGTCGAGCGCCTGGCCAAGTACGCCGACGTGCTCGTCGTCAACGTCAGCAGCCCCAACACCCCTGGCCTGCGCGACCTCCAGGCTGTCGAGCCGCTCAGCAAGATCCTTAGCGCTGTCGTGAACGAGGCTCGTCGCGCAGATCGCAAGACGAAACCCAAGGTCATGGTGAAAGTGTCACCGGACGAGGACGACGAGTCGCAGATGCAGGGCATCGTACAGGCCATCTTCTCTAGCGGCGTGGACGGCGTGATTGTGGGCAACACTACGAGAGACAGAGCCGGTGTCATCCCTCCCGGAGTAAAGCTCGATCAGCAGGATGCCAGGACCATGACCGAGACGGGCGGGTACTCCGGGCCCATGATGTTCGACCGCACGTTGAACCTGGTTGGTCGGTATCGCAAGATGCTCGACAGCTACTCGCGGCAGGTCAGGCACCAGGACACTATAGACAAGGAGGCTGTGGACTCGAGCCTCGCAGCCATCGAAGGCACGTTGACAGGAATGGTGGAGGACAAGGCGCCCACAGCCAAGAACAACGGACCCACGAGTCTACTCGGCAAGCAGGCAGACACTCCCAAGGTCATCTTTGCTACCGGTGGCATCACCAACGGCGAACAGGCTCTCAAGATCCTCAACGCCGGTGCGAGCGTGGCCATGATCTATACGGCGCTTGTCTATGGCGGTTCTGGCACGGTCACCCGGATCAAGAGCCAGATGAAGGAAGAGATGAAGGGTGGTGCGCAGAAGAAGTAGTCTGTGGGATTTAGATGCGTGTACAATGAGGTCCGATGGTGGTCCAATGAATTAAAAGGTCGGAAGAAAAGAGTTTTGGGGGCATCCGTGGGGTAGCCTTGATCTGTTCAAACACTGCTGTTTGCAACCACAAGAAGCAGAGCCTGGGAGGTCAAACGGGGCTCAGGGTCATTATAGATCTCTAGACGTTTCAAAAATAAATAAAGAGGGCGTGTGTATCTGTTGCCGAGAATGACTTGGAGGTTGAGATCTGTCGTAAAAGTGCAGGACGGTCGGGCACGACAGGGAGACTTGTAGTCTTCTTTTACGCGCTTAAGAGCTGTTGCGAGACCGTGCTGCCATCGGACCAGCAGGCGAACTCCATCAGCTCATGCTCATGGCTGTAACCACGATCGGGTTTGGGCTGGCGCTCTCTTTTTGTGCCTGAGCCGGGTGGGCCAGATATCTGGGCTCACTGGCATAGCGTGCCTAGCGGAGATAGACTGGCCAGCCGTGGCCCAGTCTGCGCCGCAGCCATGAGCATGCATGCGCACTGTTTTCACGTAGTTTGACATGATGTTGTCGCTCCGGTTCATACGAGAGCTCGTGGAGTTGTTTGCGCCTTTGCAGGACCGTGATACTGCAATCGAGTCTGAAATGCCTGGTAACTCAATGTGAAGCTGACATGTTCGACCAAACTCCGAAATGCTACAGCCTTGTGTCCTATCTGGCATGCGGGAGGTGTACCAAGCAAATCTCTCTGGCGAGGTCCAACTTCATGTTTCGGAGAAAGAACACAAAACCGCTTCGGAGATGCTGTCATCACTTCCCCCCCAGAGATATAAGCAGCCCATCCTCCCCTGCTTTCTTCTGCTCCTCACCCCTGAGATTAAGCTGGTCAGACCAAAGGCATTCATTCCGAAGCACTCAGAGGTATCAAACCCATCTCGCATCCTCCAGCTATCAACCACGACTGGTCCACTACAACAACTCTTCAATACTTCCTCAAGCACAAGATCTGCCGTCCACCATCTTCACAACAGCCTCCCACAAACCTATCTGTCAAGCCATACAACTGCCCTCCATCACAGATACACTATCAGATATTTTCATCATGGCGTCCCCGACCACTTCCCAGGCTTCGCCGAGCAATCCACAAACGACCGAGCCGTGGACTTGTACCATGTCCACAGTCTGTATAGCTGCACACCGACACGTTCTCCCATGCGCCATGGCCCAGCACGAGGCCGAGACGGCCGCATACATCAGACGGGCCTGGCACCAGGTCCTCGAGAACCGCGAGCGAGTCAGCGAGCGCCTCGTCGCCGCCATCCGGGCCGAAGCCGGCAATGCCACCATGCACCGGCAGCTGCACATCTGGTACCAGGAGTATCTCGACAACAAACAGAAGCTCCAGGAGCTCCACTGGCAACAAGTCCACCGCGAGGTCCGCTTCATTCGACTTCAAGGCGAGGCGCAAGAGCACTTCGAGTCGCGCTTCAACTACTTGCGCGAGCAGCACCGCCAGCTTGTCCTCAGACAGGAGCGGCTCGTCGAGTTCCAAGGCCGGCTCGCCCGGCGCGAGAGAGACCTCGAGGACCAAGAGAGGGACATTGTGCGCCGCGAGACCAGCGTCGAGGGCCGCGAGGCCAACGTCCGGAATCTCACCACCGTCCTCGAGGACCGCCACAAGCAGCACCTTGCCGCCGTTCAGCGCCACTTCCGGGAGATTCTCGACCTGCCTGGTTTCTACGGCGTCGTGCAGTCGTACCGCAGCCAGGACCCTTCGTTCCCGTTCGGCGAAGCGTCCATTTTGGCTGCAGCCGCCAGCAACGATGACGACAGCGACAACAACGACGACGGCTACGACCAAGAAGACGACAACAACAGCAACGAGGAGTACGGCAACGACGACGACGATGACGCTGCTAGACCTGAGTCTGAAGCCAGTGTCTATCCTGCTTCCGAGGCCTCGACAACTACCACACCTCACATGGTGCGCTTCATGCCTTGTGCCTCCGACATTCCCTCTTGCGGACACCCAAACACAACATGGAAGCGGGCCCGCGCACCATCGCCATATCCTTGGCATCAAGTCGGAAGCGAATCGTCGGACGACTCACAGCGAGTGGACTCAACAAACGACGACGACGACGACGACTACGTGATCCCAAGCGCCTCAAGCACGACCAACTCTACCGCCGCCATCCCTCGCGTCGTCCGGATCTCGCCGTCGCTGCCCAGCATGAGCTCGGACGACTCGGACTGGGCTCCTGTCCGCCAACCCACGCCACATCCCGGTTCTGGCCGCACGAGCGGAGAGACGGACTGGGTCCTCGTCCCCAACTCTACCACCACACCACCGCCACCACCCTCCAGCCCGGGACATGCGAGCGAGGCACCCAGCATGGCGGACAGCCTCGAGTGCCTGGCCAATAGCTCTCTGTCCTCCCCCAGCCTCGAAGGCGCGGGGAGATGTGATTGACGACGACTGCCACGCATAACCAGCTGCCAATAGCACAGAGCAGCGAGATATTAGGTGGAAAACTTCGGAACAGCAACGCGGACAAGAAAAAGGCTTTAGCCTGGGCGAGAAGACACGACGACTTTGACGACGAGACGAAGACAGGTCATGGAATAGATTGAGATGGATTGATTTGGAGTTTCGGGTTCTTTTTTTGGGGCGAGTTCTCTGCATAATGGTATCGTCGGGTATGGAAATGGTCTGCTGATTGGCATTTATCCAGTTGACAAAAACATGATGTTGGAGTTTTCAATGGCTCGGGAGGAAAGGGTATGTTCCCATTTGGTTTTAGTTTTTGAGCATCGAAATTGAAAAAAGTTTTAAATCAATCTGCGAGAATAAGAGGCGTGACAAATGCATGACCTTAGTATCGTAAGACTTGTTTTATTCCGTCAGCTTGGGTGATGGCGGCGATGGCTGCGCCCGAGCGATTCTTCAAACCTTTGCCTGGTAAGCTTGCACAGTCATTCACCTTATTCAGCTTGTTCATCTGAAAACAAGAGCACACAGGCCTTGACTGGGAACTCAATGATCCACAACGCGCATGCGACCCATGCTTGCAGCAAGCCTGCTGCTGGTGTTGCGCGAGTTTAATCCACGAGTTGTGAGATTCCCCAAAGCGGTAGGAGGGGCGTGTCTCCACCAATCCCAGTGAACATGAACCCAGCAGCCAAAGCAACGACAAACTTGAGCAGTGAGAGAGGCGAATCGTGATATTACCGGCCTGGGCCCCAATGAATGTTGCGCATTGCGTTTCTACACACGGATTCATTGGCTGAGGAATTGGAAGCGCAGCGATCACATCCTGGCGTATCTGGTATAGTGCCTGGCTTCAGTGGCGAGTGGTGTTCTTTAGTCGCCGAATGGTGTACAGCGGAGACTTTCCGGCGACAATTAATGGCGATGGCTCCGGGCGTCGGTGCACCCGGATGGCCACCATTCCAAGGCACGGGCTCAATGTACTACCACTTGAAAGGACATTGATATATATTTGCATGATAGCTTGTGTCTGACCACAACTCTTGAGCCTCGGAACAACAACTGCTGCTCCCGCGCTGCCCTGGTCCAGCTGCTTTGCTTTTCCAACACCACCACCATCACCACCAAAAGAACCTCGCGTGCTTCGCCACCAGACCTTACCGCAGCAAACATGGCTCACAACAAAGCCCTCAATGCCGAGTTCGCCGCCTTCGCAGCCGGGCTAGACACTGCCGCAGTCAAGATGATCGCCTCGGGCGAGGCCATCATGAAGTATCCCGGCACCGTACTACTTGCGCAGATGGGCCTGATCCCAGAGCCGGCACCACCATCCTCCTCCTCCCCGGATCCTTCGCCGGCTGCAGCACTAGTACAGAAGACCCAGTTCGAGCCGTTCTCCTTGCTCGACAACGCCTGCGGGCCTGGCCTGATCGCCGGCGTGCTGCAGGAGGAGCTGCCCAAGGACGTGCTGGCCAAGAGCCGCGTCCTGTGCGCGGATGTGAATGGGAATCTCGTGGACATTCTCAAGCAACGAGCCAGTATCGAGGGCTGGGTTGGTGTCGAAACCGCGGTCCTCGATGCGCAGGTGAGTTGCATTTTTCCACTCCAGAATGGCACATCTTGTCCGTGTTATTTCTTTAGGTTCATAAGCCATTTGCACGAAAGAAGGTTGTTGTTGAGGACCAGAATCCAGAACGCGATGCTAAGCCCTCTCTCTCAAACTCAGAACCCCGGACTGCCGGAAAACTCATTCGACTACTCCACCGTCAACTTCGCAATGCACATCATCCCAGACCCAGACGCCGTACTGACAGGTCCGTCACTTTCAAACTCCCCCCTCCTTTCTTGAGTGCCCTATTTCGAGTGAGATAATCTCCCTCCGCTCACGCCGCTCACGACTAACGCTAACACCACCCATTGTTAAAAAAAAAAAAACAGCCACAAAATCCCTCCTCAAGCCCAACGGAGTCATAGGCATCACAACAATGCACTCAACCACAAAGGGCTGGACGGACGACCTCCTCGCGGCCCTCTCCTCTCTTTCCTCCTCCTCCTCCTCCTCTGCCCCTCCCATCCTCTCCTTCACCCCGGAGCCCCCGCTCCCGGCCAAGATCCCCATGACGGTCAACAACCGCCCCGAGTGGGCCGAGGCCGACGGCGTGCGGGACCAGCTCGAGGCCAAGCACGGCTTCGAGGACGTCCGGGTCCGGCTGCTCCCGCACAAGAGCGCGTGCCTGTCGGGCGCGGACGCCGTGGAGCGGTTCGGGATGATGGTCAGGATGGTTACGGGGACGTACTGGAGCGACTCCACGCGGTCGCGGGTCGAGGCCGAGCTCAAGGAAAAAGGGGAGGAGGGGGGCCTGCTGGGCTACGTGGAGCGGTTCCTGGACCAGAGGCATGGCGGACAGGCGTGGGAGCTCGAGTGGACAATGGTTGTGGCGACGGGTAGGAAGCCTGGTCCTTGAGTGACGGCTGGGGCTGCTGCGTGCGTGCGTGCGTGCGACCATCTGCGTGTCGTATTTGAGCGGATTGCGCGAGATCTTTCACATATAATGAGGGATATAATTTGTCTATTGTTCTGGGAAGTGGCCAAAACGGAGACATTCTTCTACCGGAACCTCGCTCTCTTCACCGTGGACTTGTCGCTTTTGCGGCAGCCATGCAGCATGTGCTACTTGTCACAGTATCAACACCACAAGTACAGCTGCTCTAGGCCGCGTTGATGATGTCGTTAGAGGGCAGCCAAGAGGCTGATTGTGGCTAAAGACACCCCGCGGTAGCAAACACCTGCACATAATCTATCCTCAGCCGTTGTGACATCATTTTTCGAGATTTCAGGAGTTTCATGAAGCAAGAAAAAGAAAAAGAAAAAAAGGAAAAAAGGAATTGCACTATCCGCAGAGTAAACACAAACATTTCTGTTGAGAACTACCACGTGAATAGAAAACGCGCACACCCCACAGGACTACGCTTTTCACAAATTTCTTGCTCCCCATCATGGCCAGGTATGGCAAGCACCGCAAACAGTCAAGATGCGTGCCTTTGACATGGCGTGGTCACATCCGAGATCACATGCCGGAGGCGCTCCGTGTCGGAAAATCCATCGCCGTTCCGGCTCGAGTCGCGGTTGTTGCGCCGGGAACGATTTGGCATGTGTCTCGAGCATGAGGCGGACAGTCGCGGCAGTCAAGGCCAATTTGTGGCAGGAGAATTCAAACCTATTGAATGAGCAACACGGCTCTGTCGCTAGAGTGATTGACCCTCGTGGCTGCCACATTCTGTCTGGGCGGGCCTGAGCGAACTCGGGGTTGCCGGGAGCCCAAGACATCATGCAGGAGAGTAACCCTTTCCACGAAACATGTGAGACATCTCGGGCTGATATGCGCGCTCCCGCCCAGAGCAACGGCCACTTCCGCGACGGAAGGGAGTGGCGATATTGCTAGACCTGCCTTACCCCATGCAGGCAGGGCACCCGACAAGTCTCGGTATAAGTTGGAATTGAATCGAGGGAAGGGCCCTTTCGTAGCGCGGAGCGGGAGGTCGAGTAATGATGACATGGAGTGGCGGTAACAACCATTTTCGCCGTGGCCTGTCAGCACGGCCGAGAAGGAAAGAAGCATAAAGCAAAGTTGGTCCTAGCCTTACCATTTTTGTCTCATCGCCCTAGGACCCTCTTGATGGCAGAGCCTTGTCCCGCTGCGAATGCGTCCTTGGGCTGCAAAGCCATATGCTGCCATACCGCTACGAAAACGTCCCGTGTTCAATTGCCAGACGAGCCATTGGCCGTTGGGGCAAGGTTCCAGCAGGAGCGCGCCATACTTTGATCGACTGCCAGAAAACCATGTGAGCCGACGGTCCAACGCTGCAAGGACACAAAGCCTGAAATGCCAGCATGTCGCTGTTCTGCCGACGGCAAGCGAATGTGCACTGGACGTGATCGCGCTTTGGAGGATCGCAATAGGAATCGCGCCGTACCAGTCAATCATCCATGATGACGATCGCCGACTTGTCCGAGCGCAGTCAGTGCGACGAGAAGGATGCGCAAATTGCAAGCAGGAACGGCACCGGCTTCTGGGGCCCGGCTCCGGAATCCGGCCGAAAACCTGGACAGACGAGCACTGGCTAATAAGAAAGTTGCAGAGTCCACTGGCTCCACTGACAGAGTGAACAGAATCGAACCTGCCACGGGAGTCGACATGAAGTTGCTGTTCCCAATGCCGTGAAGCCGACTTTTGAAGGGAATGGTCGAAGGCTTCGTGCAATCCTTACCCGGCGCTGGGTTCAAGAAGTCGAGGCGCAATGCCAAAAACAGGCTTCCTGGTTTATAGAGTGTACCCCATTCGCTGGATAATATCAGGGCTGAGCAAGCTGCACCGGGGGCCAGCTTTCCGCGCCTTACTGCACCCTTCTGATGGACGCCGCTTTCACGACTTCAAAGGCTGACTGGAATCAGCCTTGCCTTGATTCATCCTCTTGAAAAATGTCAGCAGCTGGCCTGTTTGGATTAGCCTCTCGATTCTGCTCAAATGCAGGTGAAGGCTAGAGCCGTCTTCCAGAAATAGCTCCTGCGTAAGCCGCATAGCTAGTGCATGGTGCGAATGGAAAACACGACTTGCCTCGCGTGAGGAGGGCGCCACGTTGACCGACACCAGCACCGACACAGCCTCTGCTGCATTAGAGCTGAGTGCGCCACTTCCAGCCCTAGCGGGCTCTGGGACACAGCTATTACTTGGAGCATGTTGTCGGACTTCACAGCACGGGTGCCACTCTTCTGATACGCTGCACGAACGCGACATGAAGTGTCCTGGAATTCGGGGTTGGCATCTGCACGAGGCCTCCGCCAGCCTTCCTAGACATCTGAAAGTCTGGGGTACGCGTCTGTCTGTTGCACTGTCGGATTCGCCACGACCAAGCCTCGAGGCACTGTCAAGGCCGATGGGGTGGATTGGGTGTCCCACAAGGCAGTGTTCGCCAAGAAAGCTTGCGCGGCAAGAGCTTTAAATCAAGGAAACAGTTCGCGTGCTGCCACGTATGACAGGCAGCTGCAGCACGAGGCACTTGAGCCAACTGATGCTTCCTCCGCGTGACGAGTATGCATTGCGAAGACAGTCCTTCAAAGGCAGAGCAAGGCCGAATGCCAAGACATGCGCAACGTCTTCTAGGTGCGTGGCCCCCGTTGCTGCCGTTCTTGATTCTAATTACTCAAGCTCTCAGTAATACTTCGTAAGATGAAGCGCAATTGCCGGCCCTGAGCAGGAGCTACAGCGGCGACGAGCATGGAGGCTAGCTCGAGGGGGAAGAACTGGAGGTCGGCCGGGCCTCTGTGGCGACGAATAGACTTCTTGCGACCCCTGCCTGGGGAGATTACGCGTAACGACAAAGGCGCTCAAGCTTTGGCCTAACGTTAGCTGACAGAAAGCCGTAACCCATTCTATCCGAGTTGCCAATCTTGGGGCAGGCGAGCACCACCGCACCACCAGGACGCCATTCGCCCACATGGGCGGCAACAGCGGACGATTGGCAGCAAGGGGACGACCAATGCGGCTGCGCAGAGGGTGCCAAGGCGGGACATTCCCAAGCAGGCCTGGCAGTGCGGGGGCTGCGTCATTGCCGGACAGGGGCTTGCGCCATGTCACTTTCCACAGCTGAGCTTCTGCTGGCGGGCTCGGCGGTCGTGAATGTCAGCCAACCGGCAGTCTCGAGCAGTGATTTGGCCAGGTGCCTGCGGGTTTTCCTGTCGATCACGGAGCAGCGAAGTGATCCTCCAGGCGTTGGAAGAAGTGCTCCAGCAGATCGACCCGGCCGTGTCTCGTCGGGGCATATCGACTGTTCCATGACTTGCAAAGTTTACAGGAGACGGCGTAGTCCGCAGGCATGGGAGGAGGATGGAAACTCTCCGGCGGTCGCTGGAATGTACATGACGGGGCCCGAAAAAGTCTAAGTGGCCACGCGAAGCAAGAGGCGTGGATTAGAGTTGGCCAAGCAGCAAGGTCGAGAAGGTTGAGCACGAGCAGGCTCATGTGCAAGGGACGTGCGGGCGTCAATGATGCGCACACCAATGATGTGTTCCTAGGGCCGGAACACGATTCAGCGAAGGTGACGGCGATTGTGAAGGGAGTCGACTCGATGGGAATACTGTACGGTGTAGGGAGTCGAGGCATGACAAGGGCCGGGGCCTGATGGGATTGGTTCGCCCTTTACGCTGGAAAGCCGTCTCGACGGAGGCTCTAAAAGCCTGGCCGTTTGCTGGATGACTGACGCTGCTGGTGCTCTGTCGTATATTCGTCCCAGTGATGGCGCGGTGCGTGGACAGTCGCAATCCCCACCTCGGGCGTACTGTAAGCATAAGCGTGCGTAAGGACGCGAAACGGACCGGGGTGCGTGTGGTGCAACGATGGTGGTGTGGAGAGGCGGGCCCCCTTGCACGCACCCACCCGCTGGCTCGATCGGAGCTGGGTCGTTGTGCCGGGGGGGAGGCGAGGGCATCGTCAGGACTGCTGATGAAGCTGTTGAGCAGAGGAGGGCCGGAGGAGGACTAGCGCGGCTAGTTCAGGGGCGCAAGGACGCACCCGCGCGCTGGCTCTGGGTGTGGGCGCAGGACCAGCTAGCTGGGCGCTAGGCAGAGGTCGCAGATTGAGGTGGGCAGGCACGCACAGCCCCCTCGGCTGGCCACGCCACTGCCTCAAGCTGGAGCTGTCCATCCACAGAGCAGGTGCTGCTGTGGTGGCGATGGGGCTTTGCGACAGTGGCGTCCGGTACCTGCACACCACCACCCGCCCACTTACTGGGACCTGGGCAGGCACGCAAGCCTGCTGCCCAGCCAGCTACGCCCGCCTAGGCCTGCCTCAGGTCGTCGACGGCCCCGTGCGCCCAGCACAGGCACCTCGAGCTCTCAGCCCTGGGGATCGCGCTGCGTCGTTCCAAGGTTTCCCAACGAGCGAGCTTGCTTGGCCTGGCCAGGCAGCGAGGCCCCAGATAAATACTTCGCCCATGCCCGGGCCTGCCCACCGTTATCCTGCCTCCTGCTGCTTCTCTCTCCATCTTCCCTTTTGCTCTAATATCATCGGTGTCTCTATATAATATCGGCTGCAACCAGTCCACACTCGTTCTTTGCCCAACACCAAACAACAAACAACAACAACAACCCAACCACCACCTTGAAAATGTTCACCAAGGCTTTCGTCGCTGCCACCCTGGCCGCCGCCGTCTCGGCCAGCATCCCCGACCTCAAGGCCCGCCAGGACCTCGGCAGCTTCGGCCCCGAGTGCCAGTCGGCCATTGCCCAGGTCCTGCCTCTGTACAACCAGCTGCCTACTCCTCCCACCGCCCTCATCACGGCCATCCCCACCGATCCCTGCGCCACCCCTACCCTGACTGGCGCCGCCTCGTCCGAGTACGCCGCCTACACTGGCTCCGTCCTCTCGTGGTACTCGGCCAACTCGCAGGTCCTCCTGTCGGCCCTCGGCGCCTGCACCCAGCTCGCCTCGTACGCTGCCTCGGTCCCCATCTGCACTGGAGGCGGTGCCGCTCCCACCGGCGCTCCCAGCGTTCCCGCTACGCAGTCGGCTCCCTACCCGACCACCAGCGGCTCCGTCTCGCACGCTGCCTCGACTCCCGCCGGCACCGCCGGCACCGGTGCTTCCACCACCACCACCCCTAAGCCCTCTGGCTCGAGCTCGGCCAACCCCATCCCCACTGGTGGTGCCGTTGCCCAGCAGGGCGGTGTTGTCGTCGCTGCCGTTGCTGCCGGCGCTGCCGTCCTCGGTGCCCTCGCTCTCTAAGCGGCCTGCAAAGGCTGGGAACCCAACATGGGCTATTCTCTCGTGGAAAGGAAGGAGTAGAATCTGGCAGGCGTGCTGCGGCCATGTCTGGATGTCGGCTTAGACGGGATGGAGAGCTCGGTACCTTTTTGGATTCTGGAAAAGACCTGCAGGGTCATAATAATACTAGTTTGTCAATATGTAGCATGGAATAAATAACATGTCGACCAAGACTTTGCGAGGCCCATGTCTCCCTGCCCCGTGCGTGATTGTCAAATGTTTTCCCGCTGCGTTTCTTTTTTTTGGTTTGTTTTGTTTTCGCCACGGGAGGACCAGTGCCGTGCTGTTGTTTCCCGCGCGCTCTGCAATGTCGCACAATGCGCACAGCAGTCCGTAAATCAGCACGTCCCTCTGGCTGGCCTGTCGCACACAATTTCTGTTGGTCCCGGGGCAGTGGGTTTCCCCGGATTGTCGGCGAGGCTGCGGCAGGCATGCCAACGATCACGATCGTGTAGCCAGGTTCTCGTTCCATGAAAAGCGGGGACACTGTGCAGGTTGCAGCCCTGGGACCTGCAGCACCTCCGGCTTGGCATCGGCCCTGGCGGTGGGTCCACCTCAGGCGCAACCTTGTCGACCTTTTTCTTCTTGCTGCTTCACTTCACAAATACAGCCCAACCTTGGGAGCCAAGACAGGGTGGTCAAGGCCGACACTCGTCCCAAGCTGCCACGCCCGGCTATGAGAAAACAGGCCAATGGTCCTAAAGAAATGTAACCGCTCTGCAAAGTGGTGCTAGGCATTGCGCGCATTGTTACACGCGCAGCAGCAGCTCCTCTCTATCTGCAGATTGACTTCTGACTATCTACTAGCTGCGCCGGTCCAAGAACACACACACACCAAGCCCTCGGTGCACTAGCGCTTATGGGGAAACCACGTTTCTTGTCTCATTCCGGTGCCATTGCACGTTTGCTTGGGAATGTGTCCAGGCGGCCGATGAATAGATACTCTACGATCATTAACGTGACCACGCACGCATCTGCGCACGTTCTGATGACAGCCTCTTCCTTGCCATTGCGGTCCAGACAGGGGTGGAGCTGACGGGCTGCGATACCGGCGTAAGCGGCGGCGGGCTCACCACGACGGGGCCGCCCGCCGCTGCTCATGTCGGTGGGCTTTTGCGCCGGGTCCAAAGGGCAAACGACAACCAGAATCGTCAGCTCTGTCATAGATGAAGCCGCAAGAAAACGTCAAGTAAAGCAACGGGCAAGGTCTTTCAAAAACAACCGCCGCATTCTTGCATAACGCATCCCACATCTGAAGAGGCGAGGACACTCGGCCCCCATGCCCTGAGAAGTGTATATAATCCCAACCGCACGATTCGACTCACCATGGCACTTCCAAGCAGTGCCATCCCGGCGGTCCTCGTCCCACAGTCAACAATGACACCGCCGCCAGCGGGGAAGTCCTCGCTGCCCGGAGCCGGGCCGCCACCACAGCAACACCAAGCCCCCACTGCTCCGGCCCCGGCGCTGTCGACAACAGCGGGTCATCACGACAGTAACGGCAACGACGGCAGCAGCAACGACAACATCACCGTCTCGATGGCCACGCCCGCCGATGCGGACGACCCAGCCCTCGTGCAGACCCTCACGGACATTGTCAACGCCGTGTACGTCGAGACCGAGAGCGAGATCTGGGGCTCGGGCTTCCAGCGCACCACGACCGACGAGGTGGCCCGGCTGATCCGCGCGGGGGAGGTCGCCGTCGCACACACAGCCCCGCGGCACTGCCGCCGCCAGAGTGCCCACTGCGGAGGAGGAGGAGGGGGCGGAATCGACATAGAGAAAGAGAGGGGAGGCAAGCAGGAGATACCAAAGGAAGTCGCCGCCGCCGGCGTCGTGGGCTGCGTGCACATCGAGCGGCTCTCTCCCACGCGCGCAGAGTTCGGCATCCTCGCCGTCGACCCGTCCCTCCGGGGCGGCGGCGTGGGGCGCAAGCTCGCCCTGTTCGCCGAGGAGTACGCGCGGAGCGTCTTGTTCGGTGGTAGTGGCAGCAACAGCAACAGCAGCAGCAGCAGCAGTAGCGGCGGTAGTGACGGTAGCGGCGACGGCGGCGACAGCGATGGTAGTAGTAGTACTGCCCCCTCTGCTGCTGCTCCTGCAACGGACAGCAGGGGAACAATGCAGCTGCTCCTCCTCGTCCCCTCGGCCAACCCGGACCACGACTTCAAGAGGCGCCTGAGGCAGTGGTATGAGCGCATGGGCTACGTCGAAGCCGTGGCCAAGAAGGGGGATCTCGCGGACGGGTATCCGGCCCTGGCGCCGCTGCTCGCCGGCCCGGCTGTCTTGCATTGTTTTGAGAAGGACCTTTTCTGACTGGCTTTTCTTTTTTTATGAAGTAATTTCAACCAAAGGAAGCACACAGAGCTGTAGGGTCGCATGACACGGGGACGTAAAGAGAGACATAGATTAGACGCTCGTCCAGCATTGCTTTCAGGGCTGCGTGCGAGGAAATAGATAGGTGGTGATATAGGCGGCTTGCTATGACATGATACCGTAGAAATACTGTCTACATTTATACCATGTGTGCCGGCACGCCTATTATCAGAGGAAACACTTGCGCAATAGTGATCAGGCTCGGTTGGGACCTCTGCCAAGAACAAACCAAACCATCTGGTACCACTAATGCTATACATACATGTTCTGCGTGGACGAGCACTACTCGTCGCTGTCACAACAAGACAGCGCCTCGAACCGACTACACCTTCCCGTCAAGTAATCAAACCTGTCCGCCCGAGCGCGGCTACCAGGGCTACCATCCTCCTTGTCCTCCGACCGCAAAAAGTCCTGCACAGCCCATGACACCCTCTCCGCGCCTGTCCGCGCCCCAATCAAGTTGCCGCCGCCGGGCCCGAGCTGCAGCGCCGCCAGCCGGCCGGTGATGTACAGCGGCACGTCATCTCGCCAGGCCATGTCCTCTGTGATGCAGGGGAGGCCACCGCAGCTCGCGATGGGGTAGTCCCTGCGCAGGGTCTGTAGGCAGGGCACGCCGTCCAGGGTGCATGAGACTCCTGTTGCGAGATAGATATGATCGATAGGTGGGAGGTCTCTCGTTATCTGGTCCTGAGAGGCGCTCTCTGACTGGATTCCAGCCGGGGATGACGAGGGCAGCGACGATGATGAAGAAGCAGTTGACACTGACACCTTCCACGCCCCGTTCGCTGCGTCGCAAGTCTTCTCCGCGATGGTTGTATACAGCAAGAGCTCGACCTTGCCCTTGGCAATGTGCTTGTCCAGGATCTTCTTGTACGGCGGGGTGATGCTGCCGCCGTTGCGTGCAGCGAGGATCTTGCCCCAGCGCTCTTCGTGGTCGTCCGCGGTCCAGAACGCCGCCTGCTCAAAGTTGCGGAACTTGCCGACCCATTCAAGGCCGACATCAAAGGGCTTCACCTTGAGCGGACCACGCATCAAGAGATACACTTTGCCCACGCCGCGCCGGACAGCAAGATCTGACAGCTGTGCGGACGTGAGACCGCCCCCGACGATGACGATGCTTGTGGGCTTCTTACTGTTGATCTTGGCACGGACTCTGGGGCACGGCATCTCCTTGATCTGCATGGCGTGCGTGATGGCGGCGGCCGCGTCGGACACTGCAGGTTTCGGAAGTGACGGTGGATTTCCACCCAGAGCCAGGACGGCTGTCTTGGCATAGTACGTGGCCTTGTTGGTCTTGATGGTAAACAGCTTGATGTTCTCCGACAGCTCCCCGACATAGTCGTAGGAGACGTCGAGCACTGTCTCGTTACGGATCATGTTTGAGCGCAGGCTGTATCGATCAACGAGGCACCCACAGTGGGATGCGAACAGCGGCGTCGACGGCACGAAGTAGTCTTGGCGATCTCGCTCGTCGACAGTAGGCTCATTCTTTGGCCTAGCCACCTGTAAGCACGACCGACGAGAAAACTGCTTGGAGAAGACAACTCACTGTCTGCCAGACTTGATCCTCTTCTTGCGCTGGTACTTGCTGACCTCCTTGCCCACACAACCACGGATCTCTGTCAGCTCGCGCTCGCGCTCGTGGCTGTAGGTGTAGCCAAGCAGCCCATCGCGCTCCGCGGGATCAATGTGGAAGAACATTGGGCTGCGCAGGTGCGAGATGTCAAAGGTCTTGAAGAGCCTGTCCCACTTGGCCATCCAGCGGTCGGCCGTGGCATCAAGCACCAAGAAGTCGGGCTGCTTGAAGCCGTGGTTGGCTCGGCGCGTCTCGTTGCCATTCCGGTAGTTCTTGACGCTGGCCTGGTGCCGGTTCTTGCGAATCCAGTGGTATCGCTGGTGCTCCTCGTCGGTGAAGTTGGCGGCGGGCATGCCCTCACACAGCCGTGCTGCCACTGCCAGGCCACAAGGGCCGGCACCGACGATGATCACGGCGCGAACATCCGCAGTCGCACTGTCGCCTTGAGCCATGACAATTGAAGATACAAGAGAGTCTGGTGGGCGTGAATTTGCATCTTCGAGGCCAGCTGCTGAGACATCGTCGTCGACGGGATAGGGGTGGCTATGACGCTGAGGGGACCTTGAGGGCCAGGGACCGGGCACCCTGATGGGCACTTGGAAAACGGATCGTCATTGCCCTTGGAGGACCTTAGGTGCAGTAGACAGGAAGTGGTAGCCTCTGGCAGACTGACTGCTGCTGTCGATGCTCTGATTCATGACTGTGCTATGCCCTCACACAGCTATCGGAACTTGCAAGGTTGGTTGGAAAGCCTCAAGCTGGGGAAGGTTGAGGAATTCATCCCGGCCAGCCTTGAGCTTCAAATTGTTTGCACCAGAAACATTATTCAAAATGAGCCGCAACATGATGGGCGACGGCGGCTTCATCGCCCTGGAACGAGTTGCAGACAGGACAGGTGACATTTGCAGACACGACATCGTGTTGGCGCAGTGGTTCCGAGCCCGACCCATCATCTGCAGAGCGTGCCGCCGCGGCCTTCTTGCCTTTGCCCCTGGGCCGTGCAGGCACAATGTACGCACTCAGGTCGGTCTGCTCAGGCGGCGCCTCGAGGGCGTCGTCGTCCTCGCGGACGTCGCGATACTTGGGCCCCCGTCGGCGAGTCTGCTGCTGGATCTGGAGGTCGCGTGCCAGGATCGCCGCTGCCTGGTCGTCGCCCGCGGCCGCGGCCGCAGCCACAGCCTGGGCGGCTACGGGATCCGCAAGGCTCTGGACACGACCGATGCGGCCATCGACAAGGCGGACCTTGATGCCGCGGTGGTGATCGCCCCGAGTGAGGACGTCTCGCACGGTGCCTGAGACCTGACGACCAGTGCGCTGGTCGGCCTTGAGGACAATGTTGACGCACGCCCCCGGTACCACCTGGGCGGTGCTGGGCACGGCACCGCTGGGAGACATGCCGTCGATGGCAGCGGCTGGACCAGGAGGGTGGAACGGGCTCTCGGGAGTGGCCTCTCTGTCTGGCCTTGTTTGTGGTGTTGTCTGTAGTGGGTGTGCTGTTTGCGGCTGGAGGAGGTGGTGGTGGTCTGCTGCAAGAGCGCGTGCTCGCCCAATACGGCAGTGGCTTGCAGTAGTGTTTGGGGCGGTCCCAAGCAAGTGGAAGGCCCCACTGCGGCGTGCCGTGTGCACAGGGCTGCCAGTGCCTGGTGCTCCAGACTCACCACCCTCACCTCTACCACCCCATACCCTTATTTACACTTTCAGCAACAACTCCAGTCGCCCGCAGCCTCCGGTGCCCCTTCCAGGTCTTCTCAATGATCTGCATCCATCCCACATTGGCACGGTTGCAACGGAGCAGAACTGCATTCGATCCCTGCGTCGAGTGCTAGCAAAGTAACGGCTGGGCACAGCAACTTGTACACAGACCACACACGGCTGTGACACCAAATGACATCTTTGCACTCCTCCATGACCCAAGCTATAGGGGCTTGCCGTCGTCCCTTTTCTGACTGAGGTTTTACCCCGGCCTCTTGAACTTCACTGTCTTCTCGATGCCTGCTGTATCATAAGTAGTGTGACAAAAAGAAAAAAAGAAAAGACCACTGCTAGACCGACAAGAGCTCTACTTGGACACAGGGGCGTCTCGTCGAGACACTCACGAGGACCGACCCACCAGGCACTTGGCATAAGAAGACTACCGCTGGACGACAGAAGCCAGTAGGAAGTCCAACTCAATGACGTCCACACGGACTGCTTCCTGCTCGCTGCCGCCAGAACCCCCGGTCTTGTCCTCCCGAGGCCACGTCAGCTTATTTCAGAATGTCAACGCCCCGGGCTGGCTGGCAACTTGCCATGTCTGCCGTCGTTCCACAAGAAGTAGTCGCACATGGACGGGAGAGTCATCATCATCATCACGTGGGGGATTCTTCATGTGCAGAGGGCACCGATAAACGTCCATGGGGCCGGGAAATTGGCCCAGCAGTACCACGGACCAGGACCAGCCGCCCTGCACCCGCCCAGTAGCTTCCATGGCCACCACATGGGCGTGCGTCTTCTCGAACACGAGCTGATCTGGTCTATACTGGCTGATGCAGAGATGTAGATCGTGACGCCAAAGTGGCGGCACTCCTTCCCACAGGAGTGCTCAGTGATCAACTTGCTGGTGAATGTGGCCCAGACTATTATTGAGACGAGCATTGGTTGTGGCTGCGACTAATAAACAAATGCTCCCTTCTCCATCGGTCCTGAAGTGCTTCCTTCGGAGCCAGGAGAGCTGGGAACTTCTCGCTCATCTGTGACCAGCCAGGGCAAACCACTCACTCGTACTCACCGGTATGGCCATGATAGCTGCCCCCTGTCCAGCCCATCAAGCCACCCTGCCAGCCGCATTTGTGCGGTGGAAACACGATAATCCTCGTCGCCTATCCTACTGGGTCTCCGATGCGATGGACCCCTGGGCGTACCATGGACGATCACCCGCACAACCCCCGGTCTGCGATACACATCACAAAAAAATGTTGATGAAACAAGCACCCAGGAATCCGGAGACGCCCGCCTTGACAGATCCAAGCATCCATTGCCCTTGTGCTCTCGAGCAACTCCAAAAAGGCTCTCTGTGCAATCTGCCCCAGTTGCAGCGAATACCCCCTTTCGTGCGCCGTTACAGCTGCCGCCCGAGGCACAGGGACAGCAGAATCCCCGGCTCCCCGACGCGGCCAGCGACAGCCAACAGGACTCGCCTATCGAGCCATCAAATCTCCAGCCCCCCTGGCCTGGCCAGCCCGTTCGGGCGCTCCTTGGCGTGCTGATCTCGGCAGGCCACCGACGGAGAACCCTTGCCGCACATGGCCTCGCCTTCGCTGCTACCCGAGCCACCCGCCGGTGTCGTCGCATTGGCAAGCTTCGGTCTTGCTGAATCGGGCCATCCGCACGCATGAACTATCTATTGCCGACGACCACCAGCGTAACAATGACCCTCCCCCCCTTCGGTTCTTTCCGGCGTTGCTGTCCTCTCGTGTCTGGCAGACTTTCCCAGTGCCAGCCATCGTCTCCGGAAATAGCTGAAAAGTAGTCAGTGGTACCCTCCAGGTCATTGATCTTCGTCTTCCCTCTCGCCACGTATCGTGTACTTTCAAGTCGTTCCAAACAGGAACAAGCATCACTCAGGCAACATGTTCACAACTGTTGATCGTTATCCACGTCCCCCCTACGACCTGGAGATCCAGCCGGCTGTCACCGCAGCCACCTGCAATGGTCCTCAGCAAACCCATATCGAGGTCATTCGCAGTGAGGCTCTCCACCGCGTCCACACAGACACCTTACTCGTTCGCAACAGCCCAAACATCGCCGTCGAGGACAAGGTCATCCCAGGTCCGCGCGGTGACCTGCCCATAACGATCATCCGCCCCCTCACCACTCAGTCTTCTGGGCGGCCCGGCATCCTCTTTATCCACGGTGGTGCCGTGATCCGGTGCAACCGATACTCGGGGCTCGACAGCAGCATCGAGTGGGCACGTCAGTTCGATGCGATCACTGTCAGCGTCGAATATGGTCTGGCCCCAGAGAATCCCGGCAAGGGTCCGGTAACCGATTGCTTCGCAGCTCTGCGGTGGTTCGCCGAGAATGCCGAATCTCTCGGCGTGGACCCCGGTCGGCTCATGATATATGGCATCTCGGCCGGCGGTGGTCTAGCTGCCGCCACCGCACTCATGTCTCGAGACCAGGACGGCCCGGCTCTAAGGGCACTCTTTCTGGAATGTCCCATGCTGGATGACCGCAACCAGACTGTCTCGTGCCAGCAGTTCGCCACGGGTCCCATGTACAATTCGACCTTCAACAAGTTCGCCTGGAGCTGTCTGCTTGGGGACCGTGCCGGCTCGGACGATGTATCATACTACGAGGCTCCCGGTCGAGCTGAGGATCTCGCTGGGCTCCCACCGACGTTCGTGGACGTGGCCTCTGCCGATCCCTTCCGCGATGAGGTTGTCGGGTTCGCCTCGAAGTTGTGGAAGGGAGGAGTCGCAGCCGAACTTCATGTTTGGCCTGGGGGGCCCCATGGCTATGACCGTATCGTGCCGAATGCTGCCATTTCGGTGCTCGCCAGGAGGGCCCGGTGGGCGTGGATTGCTCGCACTTTATAGCTGGTTCATTTTTGTCCGGCGTCCTGCTTTTCGGTTCAGCGTGTTGTATCAGCGAAGTATTTATGGTAAACAGCGGCGTTGCTCTCTTCCCTTCCTTATTTCTTTTAGCAGAAAACGAGCCTAAACATCTGGAAGTACCGTTGTCATTGCCATTGGCCAGGTTTCTCATCTTTGGAGAAGCAGGAGACTCTAGAGTCGTCTGACAAGGAGATTAGAGGTTTCATTTCAGAGCCAGTGTGCGTCGTTGCGTCGGAATCTAACTAAATATAAAGGACTTCATTGTTATTAGTCATTCCCTTCAACGTTTACGATGAGTTGCAGCCTGTTGGTTGCAATCCGGTCTCCACTGAAGGCCCCGGCCCCGGCTTCGGCTTCGGACTTGACCTGAACGACGTGTAGGCAACAAAACTCTACAGTGTGACGGCTTGGGCGATATGTACTTCCGGCACTCATAATCCGGCTGTGGATGATTCATTCTGGGTCACGAGACGTCCACGGGGTGCCTTCGTGAGTGAATTTGCGGACACCTTTGCAACCCCCGGACTTTGACTCGTAAGCCGAAATACCCCGCTTGCATATTCCGCGCAATAACGAACTCACCTTGTAGCACAACCAAAGAGCAACGACAAGCTTATGGGTGTTGTTGTATTACGAGGTTGGATAGAGCGTCCTTGAGCACGACGACGCGGCCCCCAGCAAATTACAGAAAACATGGCGTCTCTGGTTGGGGTTGAGATGCCGCTGCCGCCCCCCAGCAGCCAGCGTCGGCGCCGGCGCAGCAGCCTCAACAAGGACAGCCACTGCGTCTGCTGCCGGCGACCCTTGCGGATTTGGAGACGTGCACACGCCTCGAGCTCGAGGCGATGCTAGCGACGTCGCAATTGGCGCGGGTGCTGCACCCGGACGGCATCACGGACGCGGTGGTGGCCGAGCAGACGGCTGCAAAGGCCAAGAAGTTTGGGATTCCCGAGGTGGAGTACATCAAGGGCGTCCTGCCTCCGCAGGCCGGGGATAACGATGGCGACAACGGCGGCGACAATGGGGCGGTCATGGTCGGGTACCTGAGAATGTATACCTGGGCCACTGACGAAGCCGCGCGGATACAGCCGCCTTATGGCAGTGCTGTGGACGACGACAAGACGATTTCTCATGGGGCTGAGAAGGAGAGTGCCTCTGCGCCTCGACCAGACAGCGATGCCACGAACGCTGCTCCTGCTTCTTCCGATGATGCAACGGGGTTGCAGAAGATAAAGATCCAGGAACGGGCCGTGCATGACGGACTGCGAGAGAGGCACGTTTCTGGCAAAAAGGCCGTGTGTAAGTGCAACTGCCAGCCCAGCCACCGCATCTTGGGAGCCTTCTTCTGCTGACAAAGAATGGGCTTTGCAACAAAAAAGACGTGTCCGCGCTCATGGTCCGGCCCGAGTACCACGGCAAGGGCGGTTATGGCCGACAGCTGCTAACCCACGCGCTCGACAGGGCGCGAGATCTGGGACTGCTGGTGTTCCTGATCGCGCAGCCGACGGCGCTGGGGTTCTACCAGCGCATGGGGCTCCGTGTCTTGGAGACTGCTGTGGTAGATTTTGGGGAGTCGAGTGGGCTGGGTGAGCATCGGCCCTCGCTGATGTGCTTTGATGCTGGATCTGGATCAAGGTGAAGAGTTGACGAACCACTGAGAAGAAAAAGAAGCACGGCCCATTGGGCAGAGACTCAGGTGTGTGTTGAGGCCGCGTGGGTCCTTGTCGATGCCAATTCTATCATTGTTGTCCCAGCTTGCCGCATTGGCTTGTGCATGAATTCAAAGATTTGCTGCATGTCGCTGGATTCAAAGAGGGAGAATCGTCACGATGCATCATGTGCAGTCTATCAGGGAAAGAGGGAAGGAAGGAAGCACTTCGGCGGGGCTCCCGAGGCGAGGCGACGGCGGCGGCAGCGACGACGGAGCCGGGCCAAGGACCGGGGCGCTCCTTCCCCCCTGTAAGAACGGCCGGGCGGACCCCTGGATCCGCCTGTCACTGATTCCCGCCAGGCTGGCACCACCCACCGTGTATGGCCGTTGCTCGGCCTGGCAAATCCCCAAAACCTCCACGCTAGGAGCATCACCACAACGACCAGGCCGGGTCCTTCTCTTCCCACATCCACTTCCGCCATTCTCGACGCCTTACCAGCTGCCCGCACGGCAGCGCCGCCCGCCATTGATCGCCTGCACCCATCGCATCTCGATCTCCCGTGCCTGGCGACTCTTTTCGACACTTGCGTTGGCGGCATGCACCTCGACCAGCTCGCGAAACTCGCGTAGACCATCGCCCGTACACAACACCTTGGGCACCCAACCATCGGCGCATCGCCCCTTGCGCAACTGCCGCGTGCCATACGGCGCAACGCCAGCCGACCTATCCTCCTCGAGCACCGCGCCTGCGCTACACAAACTCCTCAAGATGGGCCCCTCGCCGGTGTCAACCGCCCTCTGCAGCGCGCTGCTGCTTGCCACGGCACGGCTCGCCTCGGCCTCGTCCGAGAACGGAAAGGAGGCGCTGCTGCCCTCGTACCACTACGGCGCGCCCATCCCCATTGAGTGCATGAACCGGAGCATGTTAGTTTACCCCCATCATCATCCTCTCCGTCTCGAGAATCGGCCAGGGAGCGAATACTGGTTGGAGTACAATTTGGGCCGGAATAAACACTAACCAGTGAGAACAACCCCAACAGAGAAACGGGCGAACACATCTCGGACGAGAACGAGCAGATCCAATGGATCCCCTTCCCTGAATGCTCCGAGTCGGGCAGGTCCCTCGAGTTTCACTACGGCGTCGAGACGGAGCTCAACTGCACCATCCCCATGATCGACGACCCCTTTTTCCACCTGCTCGAGTTCTACGTGCACAACGACGCCCCCCTAGCCTGCCGCCTGCCCTCGCGGCCGGCCGCGCAGGTCGAGATCGTGGGCGAGTCCCCGCCCGAGCAGGAGTATATCCCGCTCGTCTTTGCGCTCGCGGGCACCCTGCAGAAGTCGCACCTGCACATCAGCACGCACCTCAACGTGCTCCTCCACTCGGTGCCAAAGCACCACCTGCACCACCATGACTCGGGCGTCCTCGACTCGGGCGCCGCCTACAGCACCAGCCCGCTCAGCCACATGGCCGGCACTGCCTCGAAGCGCCTCGTCATCGGTGATCCCCTCCCGCTGCAGTTCAGCGTCCGCTGGTTCCCCACCCCCGCCCTGCCCAAGACTGAGGGCACCGTCGAGTGGCAAGGGATGGGCGGGCATGTCTATGCCAGCACCATATTCTACGCCCTCGTCAGCTTCACCGCTGGCACGCTCGCGTCTGCCGTGTACTTCTTCGGTGTGATCCTGCCAAAGAGGCTGCGCGGCCGGGGAATGGGAGGAGCCACGCCGCTGGGCTACGGGGTGAACGGGGTTGGCAACGGCTGGGGGATATCAAAGAGGATAGACTGATGGCGGGGGAGGAGATGGCGAAAGGGGGAGATACCCCCCGGTTACGGTGTGCGAAATATGTGTCGAAAAGGGAAACGAAAATGTGTAATGGCGGAGGCCTGGGCCCGGCCCGGGGGACAATACGTGTACAACTTACGACGCGACGATAATTTGAAAAGAAAAACTGCTTGGAGTTCTGGCTCTTGTCTAGTTGAATATACAGGGGATGTGGAGGACCACGAGGATTCAATGTTCGAACGTGAAATCGTCTCACGCATGGGGATGCTGCCTGACGATATGCTAGCGTGTGTATGTATGGCGTGTGATGAAGACAGTTCGAAGCGTCTATACCGTCTGGCACTTGCGTCCTCTACATAGCCAGATTTCCCGAAATCTTGTATCAATACGCAGAGGCAAGGCTGGTGCACTGACAACCATGTCGCGGCCTCTAGAATCCAAAACATACTGGCAAACTCGATGCCCTTCTCACGCCTGTACAACGTTCAATGCTTGCCAGGCGTGTCTAGCAGCTTTTCATCCAACGAAAGTGAGGGCCCCGAACAGCACCCTCCTGGTCTTTCCTCGGTTCAATGATCGCCCGGGCTCACCGCGCTGAATGAGATCAGATGGGCTGCAGGGCACTACTGCAGCTTCTTTGCGATATGACCAGCCGAGGAAGGGCTGACGCGGTTGAGAAGCCGGGCGTACATGTCGACACTGAGGAGTGTGGCTGTCATGTTTTCAAGGGGACCGAGGTCAGCACGTCTATTTTCTCCTCTCGATTTCCAAGAAGCGTATGCAGCTCGGACGAACCAGCCACCAAGGACTTACCAACAGCGAGATAGCTCCCGTACAGGGCCGTGAGCAACATGACGCGCTGCTCGCTCGTGACGAGCGCGGCATCCCAGTGGTACGCCTCGAACATGCAGCACGCGGTGGTCAGGACCGTCTCGATGCCGTACACCAGCAGGACCAGCTCGGCGGCGCCGTCGAGCTGCTTGCCGCCGAGCCTGCGCACGGCCCAGACGGAGACGGGGAAGTGGAACACGAGCTCGAGGAGGGTGAAGAAGGTGAAGAAGGCCGGGGCCACGGCGGGCGGGGCCGCGAAGAACTGGTCCGCATAGGTGGCGAGGTACCAGGCGCGCAGGTCGTGGAGGAAGTGCAGGGGCGCCGAGGCCGGGACCCAGAGTGAGTGCGGGTAGAGGGGGACCAGGTCGACGCCTGGGTTTGTCGTGGGAAGAGCCCAAGTGTTAGTTGAAGTTGGGATGCAACTGGCGAGAAGGACGGGGGAGGGGGAGAAACCACGTACAGAGCATGACGGGGATGTGGATGGCAAAGTAGACGAGGTAGACCTTGTCAAGCCATGATGAGGTGGGCGGTGTTGTCGTTGAGGAGGGCGCCATTGTGTGATGCGGCGCAGAGGAGCGGGCTCTACAGCTCAGTCTTTGCACGAGGCGATGCGAGATTGAGCGTGTTGCGATCGTCAAGTAGACGGCTGAGCTGTGAAGTGAGTGAGACGCGCCAGTTGTGAGATTTGGGGAAAAGAACAGAGAGGGAGAGGACCCCTGAGCGTGCCTGCCAAGAATCCGGGGTTTCCGTGGTGGGGCCGCTGCTGTGGCCTTGCAGTATTGCACAGGGCATTCCCCAATACAACAAACAACGGCTGATCCCTCCGTTGGCTCTCTAGTAGCCGCATACATGTGGAGGCTTACATCCACGGGACATTTCGTGTTTATCCCACTAAGGACCGAATTGTCACAATGGAAAAGTCGAGTAAGGATGCCATGAATCAATACGCGTAAATAGACAGGCAGAATTCCATAACCAGTCACGGTCATGATGCCGGGCCAAAAAATTATATCGGAGCCAATGGATCCATTTCAGTAAGTAATCTTTTCGAGCTTGCTTCGTACAACACAAGATGAGGGCTTTTTGCACTTGCTTTGAGCGTTTCAAACGTCGCGCAGGCTCTCAGTGCCCCGTCCGATGCCCGCCTCGTCCGAGATCATGCCAGACTGCCGCGCCGCCTTCATCTCCTCCCTCAGGCCAGCCTGTTCCTGCTTCTTCCTGCAGAACGAAAACGGAATTTGGGGTCAGCACAGCCTCTTTTCACACACACACACACGACCGACTTCAACGGCTCCCTTACCTGTCCAAGTCACTAGCAAAGTCCGGCTCCTTGGGCCCAGCGCCGGGCTTCCGCTCCACAGCGTCCGCGACGTCGCCCTCTCCCGGAGCACGCATCTGCTCGCCCTCGAGCTCGCGGTGGCGCCCGACGTCCTCCTCAGACCGGCCCTTCGTCTCCTCTCCCCGGACGCGCGCGCCCCGCTCGCCGAACCCGAGGCTCGAGGGCACTGCGTCCTCCGTGCTCGAGTGCTGCTTCGTGCCCGGCTTGCGGTCCTCGGTGAGGAAGTCGTCGCGCCGGTGCTGCTGCTGGAAATCGTCCTTTTGCGCTGCCCGGCGCTGCTCGCCTGGGTTTGTCTCGGCCGGGTTGCCCTCGGTCTCGTAGGCCGTGCGCTGCGAGGGCTGAGATGGTCCGGAAGGGTCCATGGCTATGGTTTTGTCTTTCGGGGTTGGGACAAGGTGTTGGTGATGAAGTTGGTTTCCCCGAATGTCGAGATTTAGTATGATGATGTCTTTGGACAAGTGGGAAAAGTCAATTGCAGTGCTGCATGCAAGAGGAGGAATTGTTCCGGAGGAGACAGGACCCGATGTCGGCTCAAACGTCACCAGACATGTCCATGACGTAGCGTGCCCCTCTAGACTGCACTGCTAGCTTCGACACAACGACAATCACCACTTTTTATTTTTGACACTCTGACATGTGGCCCCCCCGCGCCAGCCAGCTGTGTGTGTCGATTTCGGTGTTGTCCGGTCCGTGTCCCAAAGCAGACCCAGAGCATTGCGTTGTGCTTTCTCAAAACTTGATGCTAGTTTTGATGTACAAACTTGGGCCAATTGCCACGTTCGGCGTGCTGGCACCGATGCCACGGTCGTGTCGAATTGCGCTTTTGGCCAGACTTCGTGAAACACGCCTCTGTGGTTGTATACCGCATAGATCCATTGGCTGGTGCACCACAATGTGTCCTAGAAATGGTGAAAGCCACAGTGGTATGATCCATGTTTGAACGCATTCGGTCAAAAGTAAAGATATCAATGTCGTTTAAGTCTTCGATAACGGGTTCTAGATCTCGCAGCTATAATAACAAAATGGAGTACTACTAATTCACTGCGCTGTAGTGCATAGAACAACGAAATACCTCTATGTGCTTGCGCATGTTAAATATGACATTGGGCGGCTTATCTCTTGCGTACATATATACACCCACACAGATATATAAAGCTCAGGTAAAAGGCTACATTCTTTGCCACGATCCTAAAAGATGTCTCAGCGCTTGATCAAAAGAAGAACCTTAACTCTTCACCAAAAAAGAAAAAGAAGGGGGCTTGTAGTTACGGGGCAGCCAGTCAGAATGGTTATCACCTTGATGTACTATCCAATGGTACCACCAAAAAGTCTCACGTAGGAACTTGTTGCTTTCGTGACCTAACGAGGATGTTAAGAATATGTCTGTACGGACATTAAAGTTACGGTTTTAGATACTTTGGTTGGCATTTTAATGGATAGTATCGGCTGAAGCTAAAATATAGAATAGGGCATCTAAATCAATTCCATCGTCGGTGCTTGGAAGCGTGGCAGTAGTGTCGAAGTGGTTCGGCAGGTCAAAGTGGTGACTATGTAAGGTAGGATGATGTTGGTTGGGAAAGCTTTGCAGAGTCCAGAAGCGACGATTGCGCGCGGTAGAGTTGTTGCCAGCTCATTCGCACTATAGTAGGTCGTGAGTATCTGCCTGGCATCAAAAAGCACGTTCAAAGAGTAGCTTTAATTCACGCAAAGGAGATAGCCCTGATATCTTAACCCTTTAAACACATCATTTCCTTTCAATCAAACATCGAATCCGGATCACGCCACCCCATCGTCTCTAAAGAGCACAGAAAACCAGTATCAAAACCACCAAGTATGAACTCCTCCTCCTCCTCCGCCAAAGAAAAGAAATCGAAAGAGGAAAGTCCGACAGAGGTGGATGGGACACTCACTTTGATACTCAACCCTCGCCTGATCCACCACACCCACATCAAATTCCGGATCAGGTAAAGGCGCCCCGACTTCTTTAACTCATTCAAGAGTCCCAAAGCTTCTTCAGCGTCCAGAACTCTGATAGTACCATTGCGCGGTTTCTCCGGGGGTAGATCTACATTTGGGCAGGAAGTTGAACCTTGGAAAGTATCGAGAAATGCCCGCATGCCTGCAAACATGTTGGAATGCTCTCTTTGATATACCTGAGGAGGAGCGTCGTGGGTGTCTCCTGGGACTCGTTTGGGCTGCAACGGTTTGTTGTCCTTGGTGACCATGTGCGGATCGGCATCCACCGAGGCTGCAACAGCAGCAGAAGGAGCAGCACGAAGAATTGAATATCGTGCGGAAGGCGGGGGCCCCAATCTTGCTCGTCTAAGCCCTGTTTCCCGAGGAACCTCGAGAGAAACAACTATCGTCCAGGCCCCCGGCTCAAGCAAGTCGGGACAAGACAAGAGACACTGCGGACCGACCATGCTGGTCTTTCCCCTACGGCGGTCTTCAGCCTCGGGCATAATGGGGACGAACAAGTTCTCGATGCTCCAAATCACGCTGGGCGACGGCGGGGTGTAGTAGTAGTTGTAGTCGCAGTTGTCGTGATGGCGACGATCAAAGGTTATGGAAATAAAGCGCTGGAGGCCTTTGACGATGCCCATGGCGTGCAGGGGCGCGTCGTAGAGGGGGAGGTGTGTGTAGTAATGCTCCTGTCCCTCAAGTTGATATTTGACGAGCACGTGTCGGACGGGGAAGATCTCCACGGGAAGTCTAGGGAGGAAGAGTAGTTGTCTGTGCATTGGGATGGCAAGGAGCCCGGAGAGTAGCAGACGGGGCGACTTCAGGAGTCGCCAAGCATGGTCTGATGTCCGCGCAGAGCCGAGAAGGAGTTGAAGGAAGCGTATGCTGGCGTTGTTGTCGGGTCTCCCCGGTCCTTCGAGTATACGGAGGTGGCTGAGATTTCCCGCCTTTGTGGCTGGAGCAGACAGGATCACCTCGAGGAATTGTTCGGGTGTGGTGTGTAGAGTACCGAAACAGATTGAGAGCGTCATGGCATTTTCCAGTTCTGTTCTTGCCAGGGCGAGCTGCAGCTCCTCCATGGAGATATCATATGAGGCCCAGTCCAGCTCCGGCTCTCCGCGATATGCAAGATAGAGGAGCTGGCCTGATGCTGAAGAAGGCCCTAGAGAATGCGGAGATGCTCGCATTCGTGCGAGAAGTCTTGCTTGAAAGTCGGGCAGCTGTTGTATTGTGGCGAAAGTGTCGGTGTGGAAGTGTCCCATGCTTGACACGTTGGCCAGGAGGCTGTCTATCGCCATGTCCTTCAGATTTCTGGGCGTGTAGTTTATGGGCTGAACGGTCAGTGAATCAACAGGATCACTGTTCGTTCCGTCGTCCTCTTGCTCAAGGCTCCAGATGGCTGATTCAGATTCTCATCAGTTCGAAAGTCTCTACGTGCGAAGGACCAAAGCCCCCTTTTCTTTCCTCTTTTCTCTTCTCCTCCTTCCTTTTTGTTCGGGGTCAGGGGAAGGGCGGCTGGGTTCAGACAACAACGTACCCTTAGTAACAGAGGCGTCGATCAAAGGGATCTCGTCCAGCCAGTCAATAACGAGCTCTACAGACCGTGGCCAACTCTGCCGATGAAGCTTATCGAGATATCCCCTCCCAGACAGCGGCACCCGCACATCTGCCGTTTGTTTCCCGAGCATTGCCCGCGACTTATTCACCGGCGGCTCGTCTTCCACGGGGTCCCAGCCAGACTCCGAGCTGTCATCGACCCATCCCATCCAAAAGGCGCGGAAGGCATAGATCCCATATCTCGGCCGACCGCACTCGGTAATATCAAACACTACAAGTCCCTGCACGAGGTTGTGATGGCTGTTTCCCGCCCCGAGAGGCCAAGAGCGCAGCCGATACTGCTCTCCGTCCTCCGGGTCGAAGCGGAGAGCCGACAGGAGGCACCTCGATGTGCAGGGGAATTCCAGCCCGCCCTCGGGCACGGGGCGGAGGAAGTCCGCTGCAGTATCATCGTCGGGAGGGTCGAGTGTTAGGGGCGATGGTACTTGCACTCTCTCATACGGAGGATGTTTGGCGCGGGAGTAGAAGCGAGTGGCAATGGCTACTTCGGCCTGCAGAGTGGACGTATTGGACGCAGATGCGAGGGACTGGAGCACCCGCTGGCATGCTCGCAGTAGGCCGGCCTGCTGGATGCTGATCAGATCGCCCGTTTTTGGATAGCTCTGGAAAATGGCCATGGGCAGGTACTCGCCGTTGGGACCGGCCCTCGCTACCGCGTAGAAGAGGAAGGCGATTGGAGCCTCGCTGTGAACGCTGCGGTAGGTCAATTCTGTCCCTCGAGGCATGGTTGGTGCTAGCTGGTTCGGTGTAGCAGCTGCAATGTAGATATAGGAAGGCGTTGGGGGACAACTTGGAAGTGGAGGTGGGGGGATGTGGAGGAAACGAGGAAGGCGACAGAGGGGAGCCTTTGCCTTTTTATCCCTCCAGGGCTGGTTGTTGGTCGTCAGGATCACGATCACCTCATGCTCCACCACATCCCTACCTGTCACTTTCATTCCTACAAAGCCGCAAGCGCGACGAAGAGAACCGTGGAAGTATTCGCTGGGTGCATGCCAAGAGATAACAGCAATGCAATCCGGAGATTCCTTCGATGCTCCCAAAGGCCTTTCGCGCGCGGACAAAGTCTACATAATATATATGTGACGGACCGCACCTAAGCGGAGGACTGGGGTAGTCCAGAGGACCTGGCTGAGCAAACGAAGCTCTCCCGGAGCATATAAACGGGGGACTGGCGGTCGACCGCGCCATTCAGAACTTTCCTTTGCTCTCTAGGTAGCTATACATGCGTAGGTAGCCCGCTGTATCACCCAATTCAAGTTCTGCGAGGACCTGATCCCCATTGGCACGCCACAGTAATATACAAGAATCAGGGCCATTTTCGACTAGTTTACTTGGTGCTCCAGTCACAAATAAATGAAAAATCATGTACCCATGAGCACAATTGATGAGTTAACGGGTGATCAACCCGAGACGTCGAACGAACCACTCTGAGTGAACTATTGCCTAAAGGAGAAGGGGGGAGAAGAGGGACTCTCAATGGCGTTAACAAGAAGATGAACAGAATAGAAGCAGAAGAAAAGAGTAGCAGGTTCATCACACCCTCCTAGGCTGTTAGAAAGGAAACCAGTCCTGCCTACTTCTCTGGAACAAACAAGTCGCTCCCATGGTCTGCCACGCGAAAACCTCACAGTTCCTGTTGGACCCATTCTTCGCATAATAGGTCTTATACTCGACCCCGGCGTATATTAGGGCTCACGGAGAAAAACCACCAGCATTGCAACTGAACATACTTCCCCTGTATGTAGTAACGGTGGAACTAGAACATCGCGGGTGTCAAAGAAACCGATTCTCCTTGGCCCTGCTAGCCTTCTCTCTAGCTCCAGTCGGGAATCCATCACTACTCTAGATTTGTAGCTGACGTCGATGTGCTTTTGTACCTTGAGAATCGTCATGCAAGCGAGGTGTTCCCGGTGGCCAAATCTTGGTCTTTTCCCAAGCCCGGCTTCACAAGCTTTTCTTTTGCCCAGTTGTTATAGTCCCACGAAAATTTGCATCAAGTAGGAGCTCGTGGCAGTATACTGCGCTATGTAAGTGCCTACATGAGACTAGCACTTGAGCTACCATGTTCTGTTTTAGGGTCAAGTTTTGAAGTTCATCTTCCGGTGCCATGTTTCCATGGATAATACTCTGTATTTATTCTACTTTTCGAGAAACGGGAGGGACAATCTTAGTTGACGCGAAAGACGTCCAAGCTCAAATTGTAGCCCTTTCGCGGGCGGGTGTCTATCAGTATGTGCAGTATACCCTGGCGGCTGAAGAGTAGAACACGTACAGGCAATTGGGGAACCCGAAAAGCTACACAGACCTTGCGCTTCACTCAAGAAAGCCACCTCGTTTCGACGGGCAATTCTGACGAGCCGAATAGCTCGTGCTTTTGCTATTAGGCTGTTACATGTCGTGTTGAGCCAGGATCCGCCGCCCGGGGTATATGGCCTATACTCGGGCACTGCGCACCAACCCCCACCAGTCTCATTGTATGGACCACTTCGTACACTTGATCTTTAAAACAAAGGATGTCCTCGTTGAGGAAGCAAGTAGTACTTGTTTGCACTGGAAGGACTTGGACTTCTCCAGAGGCTGCAACTCCGTACTGTGCGATGGATGTATGTCAGCTTGCTCGTAAGGACAAGCAATAGCAGCAAATACCACCAGGGCTAGTACACGTGCATTGTTGGCGCGACTATTCCCAAGGATAAATGAACTAAAGCATACAGCCAAAATCGGGTCGACGCTAAACCAGGCCTGCCGCTTCACGGGTCGACTCTGCTAGTGGCTCTCTTCATAGCTTGAAACAACCCTCCATCCAACGTCTCACGACGACCCAGCCACAACGTGAAAGCACACTTTCAGCACCAAGCGAATCATGAATTGTACGCCGTCTGGCATGAGAGGATCGATCAGGCCTCTCACACAAGCACGCCCCTCATTGTCTCCACGTCTCATAACAACACTCGATAAAGGTCGACAGCAGCCCAAGCCCAAGCTCATCCTATTCCGTGTTCGCTCTTCACGCTCGCCCGCCCCCCCCCCCCCCCCTGCGACGAATGTGCCATGGTATCCGCGGGCACGACTCCGTTGGGCGGGGCGGGGAGGGGGGGCCGGCGGAGCCTTTGCTTTCTCACAGCTGCCCGGCCTTTTCAATCTTGATTTCCTTGACGGGGGCGGCATTGTGGCGGCTCGTCGGGGTGTTCTCGATCAGATCGAGGAGCCGATGGTTGTCGGGCGTGTCGATGACCTCGCCGAACGCGACGTGCTTCCCGTCCAGAGCTGGCGCGGGCCCAAAGGTGATGTGGAACTGCGTCGTGTTTCTGTTCTGGCCGTCGTTCTGGTTTGACGGCGAGTATTCTCATGGTTACCCAGTGCTCGGAGGGAGTTTTCTTTCGTGAGGCAATAATGAACGGTTATGCATGAAGGCAAGAGAGAGAGAGAGAGAGAGAGAGAGAGAGCTTGTCAGCAATGGCAGACAGTCATGGTCCGACAGTACCACAAAAGAAAAGGAAAGGGCAGACTCACCCCCATGGTTAGTATCCCCCGCTTGCTGTGCTTGACATCGAAGGTCTTGTCCACAAAGTACGCGCCATAAATGTCGTCCTCGCCTCCCTGAGCCATGAACCCGGGGATCTGGATTTGTTTTAACATGCGTTCCTCCACAGACACAACCCATACCACCTTCCGTCGGGCCAAGCTTTCTTGGACGCTTGGCCTGGAGTGGATATTGTCGGGCAGGGGCGTGCGTGGAGTTCCAGCAAGTAACATTCAGCACTTACGACACGGTTGAAAGAGGACCCGGCATACTTCAGAGGCGTCTTGTTGCCGACGGCTAGGGCGCGGAAGTTCTCGGATGTGATGGGCACAATGTCGCTGAAGAGCTCAAACGTCATCCTCCCGGCAGGCTCGCCTGGATAGTTAAGTCTCCATATCAGTAAGGGATGTCCACTAGCAGAGAGGACGAGCTGTGCCGAACTTGAGCACGATCCCGGCAGAAATGCTTCCGGGGATTTGGGGCACGTGTCTGATTGCTTCGAGAGTCTCTGAACTTACCACCGATGGAGATGTCAAAGTAGACTTGGGGTCTGCCGGTCATGGTGACGAAGCTCAGATATTATTTTTCTTCTGCCGTGGTCTCATCAAAAACTCTATACCCTTGGTTTTACCTCATAGTGGAAAATATCGCGGACAAATAAGTCAAGGGGTTGGAGGGAACGACTTGGCAACCATCGGCTCTCCATGACCCAGATCTCAGGCCCAGTTATGTAGATCAAATCCCATGTATTAACCTGGCAGGAAAGCTTCTATCTCGATTCGCAGACGTCAGTGGCCGCCACGTCCGATTTTCGAAGAAGCGGCACATGCATGTCTCAGCCTCTGTCTAGGCCATCAGGGTCTGGCCACGATGATGCAAAGTCGGGCGATCTGATAAACTCGGTCGAAAATGTTTCACAAGTGGGCAGACACTGTTGTGTCCTGCTGCTGAAGAGGATCGAGGGGGTTTCAGCGTCGCGAGACACCAGTCTCGTAGCGGAGACGGCACACAATGGAGGTGTGAAGTAAACACTCAAAAGCAGCATACCTACGCAACTTGAATCGTGTCTCAGACCATGTTTAGCAAGAAGCAGCTGGTTGCCAAAAGACCATGCCCCTGCAAATCGGTCAGTTTTGGTGACTGCTTTGCTAGCGCAACCGAGCCTGTGGTATAAGAACTTGAACGCCGTCCAGTCTCGGCTGTCCGGGAACCCTTCAACTATGATCACAGTGGTAGCAACTTTGTTGACTGAGCTCGATTGTGCACAATAGCTTGTCTCAGGTCCCTGCAGGCGGACCATCTGTCTGTCGTGCCTGTGATGGCCACGGCTTGAGACTGCCGCCTTCCCCGGTCTGTCGTGCCTGAGCTGGCGGGTGGTTCTGCGCCACAGAGGAACTTCTGCCAATGTCTCACTCTACAGCGCTACTCGTCTCCAAATTGGATGTGATGCGGACTAACACTACTACCACTACTACAACTACTACTACTTCCACCAACCTCAACCACGTGAAAAGCTCCGACCGTACTTGCAAGTGGTGGTGGACATGGGCAAAGGACGCAGGTCCAGGTTATGTAAGCGGGCCCCAATAGCCCTAAGAGTCCAAGGCCTGGACCGACACCTGCAGTGGCTGCGGCGGGCGATCGGCAGAGGCGTTTTGTGGCTTTCCTGGCGTTTCCAGGGGTGGGCGGACAGAGCTCGCAGTGGTGTGCGGAGGAGTTCCAAGGTTGGATTGGCGGCCGCGCATGTGCATCGACACAAGGCCACAGACGTGAAAAGGTGGGCTGAACAACTGATGATGGCCCAGCGTGTACCTCGAGGTACAGAGGGATCTCTGCCTGGGTCCCAATATGCGGACGTGGCAGGTGTGTCAGACCTGCAAGTCAGATGCGCTAATGGGATGGATGTGTTTGCAAGTGTTGTCTCTGCTCGGCAATTGTGTGCCGAGGTCGCGCAAGAGGGTACACGGCGCAACATCCATACGGGCCATGCAGGAGTACAGTGCGACGGCGGCAAACCTCAGAGGCACCAACCAATCCAGAGGCAGACTCGCGGCGCAAACAATCATCACCTCATCTCCAGTGTGTGTGTGTATGTGTGTGTCCGTGTGTCCGTGTCAGCGTCCCCCCGCCCAGACTGCCCGAGCACCTCTCAGATGACTGGAAATGACAGTCTGACCTCACGCAGATCAACACATCCCGTCGGGCGGACGCAACACGGCGACCGCAGTCAAAGGCAGACAGACGGACACGAGCGTGGTGCTTCTATTCTCGGAGCGATCGGCACGGGCAAGCCACCGACCGGAGCAAAGTGGAACAAGGCTTCCTGCCAAGCTTTTAGAGTTATCTTGTCCTTCTTTTGTTGCTTGGAACTTCCCGATGGCATCCCCCCGAGTGTGAGTGTGTTCCTGGCCTGCCGTGTATCCGGTCCAGGCTCCCCCGCAGATGACAATGGGCGCTGGGCACAAACGCAGAATGTCGTCATTTCGGACTTTGCCCCTGCAGAGTGGCTGGGCTGGCCCGCGGGTGACAACACACTACGTCCATGTAGGTACATACATTCTGCATGGTCACGTAGAACGACATGGGGAGGGATGGGAGGGGAGGCATTGCATTGCACGAGGCGGACAGGCTGGGGGCAGGGGTTGGGGGAGAGAACACTCCGCCTTTCTTGAAGGCAGCAGCACGGCGCAGTTACATTGCGGAACATGCCTCGACATCCATCCAGCGGCACAGACATACGCTCTTGGTTACAGCTAGTCGTGCATGCGCGCTGACAGGGTTTCCCTCCTCCGCTCGGGTTGCAGTGGATAAAGAGTCAAAAAAAATTACAGGTGCACCAAACAGGGAAGCGAGCCTTTGCAAGGTTCTCTCACCCGGCCAGGTGCATGCGAGTGGACCAGCATGAACCTCGCAAAGTTCAACTCTCCACAGATCCAGTCCAAGCAAGTTGTGCATACCGTATTCCCAGTGGCTGGACAGGACTGGCTGGAGATAGGAAATTATTCCGCCATCGGGATTCGCATGAAATCGATTTGGATATCTTCCCGAGCCCGCTCGCGATGCAGCCCGAACCCGTCACCAAGAAGTCAAGTCGCTCTCATCCCGTAAGCTTCATGAACATCTCACAATGACTGCAGGGCAGCAGCAACAACAACCATCAGACTACTGCAAAGCCCGCTGCTACTTCTGCTTCTGCTGCAGCTTTTGCTGCGGCCACCGCTGCACCTCTGCACCTTGACTCTCCGCTTCGCAAACGCGCATGCGAGCTTACACTTTTTTTTTTTTCTGGGGGGACGCGACCCCGTAATATTGTTCTTGAGAATGTTTCTCACTCAGCCTTCAAAATAACTCTTTCTCCAACTCGTTAGCCCAATTTATCATTGGGCGCACGGGAGCGGGAGCCGAGACCCTGTCCCGTCGCAACGGTTCTCGTCATACTTTCATCTTACGCGGCGGGTTTACATACTTTAAGGTAGGCTCACTCACTGTTATTGCAGGACTGGTCTCATCGGCTTCAGCCCCCCCCTCCGCATGCAAAGATACCTAGGTACTTAGAGAGGGCAAAGAACCGAACAAACCCCAGGACAAGGAACTTGCATGCGCGGTAACAGATCCTGGTTAATCTCATAGAGCAAATACAAGTCATGACAATTCTTCCTCGCGCATAGTAAGGTACACTCTATGACGTGTGTGACGGTAAATGAGCGCTGCGCGACAAGCCACCACAACAACACGAAAGTAGACCCCACAGTATTAACGGTTCCTGGTTCCTGGTTCATGGCTCATGGATCGGGGATATCGTCCGTCGCCTTGTTTTGCACGCCCGCCCGCCGCAAAAAAACAAAAACAAAAGGAAACAAAAAAACCTGATCGGCTTCTTTTCCCCCATCGCATGCTTGTCCATGTCTGTCGTGTGTGGTGGCCGAACGCTTTCTCGTCCAAGGTTAGTCCTGGCTAGCGGCCTTTTTTTGCACACCCCTGACCCCCAACTAGCCTTCGGGACGGAACCAAGCAATCGCCGACCACCGATCCGGGCTTACCTGTCCAACTGGCACACGACCCGCGCATGTGAAATCACACACGATCAGACAGAGAGACAGATCGATCGGCCACTTGTCAAGGCATCAGAGATCGTGTGAAAGGGATCAAGTCTCATTGTGGGTTCTTTCATTACTAGGAGCCACAAGGCTTCTGTTGTGGCTCTCTTGTCTCTCTCTCTCTCTCTATGCTTGAAAAATCCCATGGACCAGGCATCTCGGCCCCCCCAGCTTGTGACACAACAAGCCCATCAATCCGTAGTAACCAAACCAGTTCGCTTTGCAATGCACATATCGGAAAAATGCTCGACACTCGGTGCTCAACAGGCACGCGAGAAAAAAAAAAGATCTATCCGTGACGCCGTCCCCCCCCTCCACTCCTCTCTTTTACGCGATCTCGGCCCCACCCTGGGACCGGGACCAAATCTACATGGTCAACCTGGATGACGAGGCAACACCAATGGCCTCTACCCGGAAGCCCAAGTCCTCCAGCACGGCCTTGTCCACCGTGTTGCGGCCGTCGAAGACGTATGCCGGCTTCTCCATGAGCTCACCCACGCGCGCCCAGTCGACCTTCTCGTGCTTGGGAGAAGGCTTGGCGGCGCCGCCATTGGCCATGCCGCCCGCCTCGTTGGCCGGCGGCGCGAGCGTCTTGGATGCCTTGTTGCTGAACATGTCCCACTCGGTCAGAATGACCACCGCGTGAGCGTCCTGGCAGGCGTCGTAGGGACTGCTGGACACGGTGATCTGTTTGTCGCCCCGCTCGACCTGCAGGTCGGCCATGATCTGCTCCTCCCGAACCTGGGGGTCGAAGATGTGTATCGAGGCATTCTCGGCCATCAGGCTCTTGACCACCGTGATGGCAGCACTCTCTCTGGTGTCGCCAGTGTCCTTCTTGTAGGCGAAGCCCAGAACGGCAATCTTCTTGTTGGACAGCGTGCTGTACATCGAGTTGACAATGCGCTTGACAAAGCGAGCCATCTGGTACTCGTTGACCTCGACGACCATCCGCCAGTAGGCGGCGACCTCTGGCAGGTGGAGTGACTCTGAGATATAGACTAGGTTGAGGATATCCTTCTTGAAGCAACTGCCACCGAAGCCAACCGAGGCATTCAGCATCTTGGGGCCGATGCGTGTGTCGAGACCGACGGCGTACGCCAGATCCTGGATGTTGGCATCCACAGCCTCGCAGATCGCAGAGAAGGAGTTGATGCTGGAGATGCGCTGGGCAAGCATGGCATTAGCTGCCAGCTTGGCCAGCTCGGACGACCACAGGTTAAGGGTGATGAGCCTCTCGCGGGGCACCCAGTTGGCGTACACATCGGCCAGGGCGTTGGCGGCAGCATAGCCAGATTCGGTCTCGAGGCATCCGATAAGGATGCGGTCGGGGTGAAGCAGGTTGCGCACGGCGGTGCCCTCGGCGAGGAACTCTGGGTTGGACAGAACCTCAAACTTGACGCCGGGCTGGGCATTGGCAGCCAGAATCTCCCGCATCATGTTGGCAGTGCCGCAGGGGACGGTGCTCTTCTCGACGACAATGGTGTCCTTAGTGGCGGCTCTCGCGACGCGGCGCGTGGCAGCCTCAAGCCAGCTGAGGTCAGAGGCCTTGCCGGCACCCAGACCAGTCTTCTTGGTGGGGGTGTTGACACCAATGAAGACGAGGTCAGCCTCTCTGATCTTCTGGTCAATGTCAGTGGAGAAGACCAGGTTGGGTTCGCGGCCGCTGCTGCCATCGCGAGCAGGCTGCACGAGCTCAAACAGGTTGGGCTCGTAGACGGGAAGCAGATCCGAGTTCCACGCAGCAATGCGGCGGGCGTCAATGTCGACGACAGTGACAAGGAGGTGTGGTGCCTTGTTGGCAATGACGGCAGCGCTAGGGCCGCCCTGAACGTAGCATAAGATGTTAGTGAATGATCAAGGACGGACAAGACAGGACAGTACAAAGCAGAAAATCGGATGCATCCACGGATCGTGTTGTTGCAGGAGGGGCAGGCAGGACCTACGACGTAGCCACCGCCAATGCAGCAGATGGACTTGACCTCGCGCTTATGCGAACCGACGCTTTGTTGTGTCATGGTGGCAGTGAGATGCGTGTCTGCAGTGGGGAGGTAGGGAGTGATCTCGGAGATGGAGACGGAGGATAACAGGGTCGACCTCGGGGTATCTTGCAAGGAAAACGACAATAATAAGCAAGTGGAAAGGGAGGAAAGATAGGACTCGAGGAAGAAGCAGCTTGGAATAAAAAGTCGAGATGGAGGACCGAAGATCGGAAAGATGGGGATCGAGGGGTGGAATAAGACCAGGGCAAGCTCAGCGGTGCTCCTAGACCAGGATGAAGCGCATGGGCAGCAGCGGCGGTCAATAAGCCAAGCACTGCGAGGTCCAGGAGGGGTCACCACACGACTCTGCTAAGGCCATCAGAGCCGTGCCAGGAGGGACGCATGTCAGTGGCTTCGAGGAACGTGAGGGCTTGCTTGTCCGCCGGCACGAGGGCCCAGGATGGGGGCGATCGCATGGGTGCAAAGGTTGGGATGGAGACCCCGACCACCAGGCTGTGTGTGTGTGTGCAGGCCTGGACTGGACGCGTACAGTATCAAGGCCGTGGGCGATGGCGCCATCCGTCGCCTGCCCTGCGCTACACCCCATGTGATAGCGAGCAGCCGTGCCTTGGGGCAGCCCGGCCGCTGCTCGCTGGACAATCTAGCAGTGACGGCAAGGTGCTAAAAACCAGGGCGCCGCCTTGGGGCGAAATGCGTGCGTGCGCGCGAGCTGCGCCAACGGGGACGAGCGTCTTGCCCACGCGGCAGCAAGCTGGTTTGGCGCAGGCTCCTGTCGCTTGCGCGCGTGCGTGGTTGCCCGGTGCTGAATGGCCGCGGGCCTGTGGGATCCCATGGGATTCCTCCTAGTCGCCCATCTGCCGGGCCTAACTAGCCCCAGTGGAAGCCTGTCCAGCTGACCCTGATGGGCATCTCATGTCATTGCAGAGTCACGCCCGTGGCCGTGGCCAGGTGAGGTGGTGCAGGGCCTGAAAGAGGTCTGCTGACAGGGGCCATCGAAACATCGTCTTGACTGCGCCATCTGAGGAGATCAGGGCAATCTTGTGACGAGGCATTTCCCTCCATGACGAGCCATGGTTTTTGAGCTTGGAAACAGGAAGGGACGAATTCCATCACTGCACTGCGCCCGGGTGGGTCGGCTGTCCTAGGCCCCGATAGGCAAGGGCGGCCAGGCACAAGCGAGCGACGGCCAATCAGGGCCCGCCTTGTCGACTACGACGACGAATCCGAGTCAAACCATGGATGCGGCGCATGCGCAAACCGAGGGCGTGCGACTGGACAGCCCCGTGGGTGGGTGGACAACACCACGCTCGGCCACCATCTCTTATCTGCTTCCAAGTTGCGCTCGGAGACAAATTCTGTCTGTCGCAATATCGAGTCTGGAGAACCCAGCTTTCTTGTCCTCAACCGTTGGCATATGTGGTCCCAGCTGCAGGGTTGTCCCCCATAAGAACCTGGAACTATTGTATTGTCTATCTCTCGGGGGGTGCACTGACTTCCCGAGCATAGCGTAGGCACGCATGTATGCATCTATGCGAGGACCGCAAATAGATGATCGGCAGACACTGTTGATCTCTTGCCAGCCTAGGCATCGCATCGTGCTATGGGTGGTGTCTGCTAATGTTTGGCACATCGCTTCTGTCAACCGAAGGCCTGACCTACCATACCGGCTGCGCATAGCCTGGTTGCGAAGCTTTGCGCGGGCAGACCTCTGGAAACCTAGCACGCCTGTCAATTCCAAGGCCTCCCACGAGCATGAAGAGGGCTCTGACGTAGTGGCATCCAACGTGGGGTCACAAAGCCTAGCGTCAAGGTCCCATCAGCAGGACCTGGGACAGAATCAGAAACCAAGGCCCCTTTTTCTGGAAACTCTACTCGTGCCGTGCCAAGCCCGAACGGACATCGTCAGCGGGATTGGGCTATCCGAAAGCTGCAAACTCCCCTGATTGAGCTGAAAGGCTGGCACAGTGTCGCATAGACGGTACGGGCTCCCAGTGCCGTGGACGGACTGCCCCTCTTGGCTATGGGGCTGGCTCCACCTGCCCAAGCCGGCAATCTTGCGAGCGTTGAGTGGTCGATGCCAAGGCCCAGCGGCAGATTGGTGCACGCCAGAATCACAAAACCTCACCTTGGAAATGGTCTTCAACTCCGGATGGATGGGGTCACGAGCCTACCGAGACACCGTTGCACCAGCACTCTCCATATGCCGTCTGTATGGCCTCATTGCCTTGTCAGGGTGCATCTCGGGGAGCTCGAGATGTCTGGGGGCTGTGCTCTGTCTGTGACTGTCGATTGCTTCATGGTGAGATGGAACTGACAGGTGCCTCAAGGGAGGGCATCGCCAGAAGTGCCGGGGCGGCGGTACAGTAGGTGCTGCACGGTGCCCGACTGCCCCTTCTAATCAAAGATGGTCGGCGAGCACGGCACCCGCAAAGGCCTGCCAGATGCACATAGGCGTCCGCTGCATACTAGGTAGCGGCTTGGCGCGGCCCCACGGTCGTGCCGTGCTAGCCAACGGCGGCCCTTTGGTCACTTGCAAAAGGTGCCGCGGTGCCGTACTGCCGTCCAGCCCGGCGTGGCGCTCCTGCCCAGCACCACCACTGTCGCAGCCTCGTGCCTGTTGCATCATCGTCATCGTCGTTAAGGTTGCTGCTGTCGGCCTCCCGCAACGCCATCGTCGCCTGGTTACAGCACAGCTCCAGGGCTGTGCGCCTATGCTTCTCCCGTCGGCTCCTGCTCCGCCGGCCGCGGCACTGCCACAGGTACCACCTGGTACTGTCTCGCGGCTCTGCAACCAAGGAGAACCTATTCTCGTGCGCCCCCAAGCATTTCCTGTTACAGAGCCACGCCTTGGCGGGGCACGAGATGGGCCTGACCGAGTCGTACTATGTAGGCGCCGCGCAGATCTCCATACAGAGGGCATTGGCCGTGCTCTGCCACGAACAGAGGAAAGGGTGCCTGCCTGCCTGCCCCTGCCGGCTTGACGGTTGCGGTGGTGGTTGTCATGGTGAGCTAGTGATGTAGCATGCCCAGAGGAGTCGTTGCCCTCCCGCCTGGCCTCCAGCGAGAGAGGGAGAGGTCGGGGGATTATACCGTAAATTATCGTGGCAAGGGCTGGGTGATTGCTGGCAGGGCCTTCCTGGCTGGCCGGCGCCCACTCGTGGCCTCCTGCCCGGCTTGGCAGCGCTCCCGCTGTCGCCAGCCAGGTGGGACTGCATTTCTGTTGTCGCGTGCCTGTGCTCCACGCAATGCCTGCCTGCATCCAAGGTACCTCGCGGTACTTCTCCAGAACCGCCCGCCTGGGGATCGCAACTGCCTGCCGTCATCAACTCAGGGCTGCTGCCCGCCTGGGCAGCAGGGCAGGGGGCCCGGGGATGCGCAAAGTCCTCGCTGCACACACCTTGCAGCCGCCGCTTATCGTCCCTCCCATAGTTGAGCCCAGCTGCACCTTGTCCTTGCTGTCTGTTATCCACCACCAAACTCCGTCTCCTCCGTCACTGCTGCTCGGCTGCACTTCAACACCCCTCGCCAACCTCTCCTCTCACTCCGTCCTTGAGGCTCTGAAAAAAGGCTCCTCATCCCGGCCCTTCCAACCAGTCCGTGACCTCGGTCTCATTCCGCAAACGCCGATCACTCAGCCAGGAAGCCTCATAAGCGCATATCTCACCTCCATTTCACCAAAGGTCCCTCCACGCCGGCTTTCCCTGACACTTTCGCACATCCTCGGCCGGCAGCTTCCCAAAGACTCACAACTATCATCTCGAAAGGCTTGAGTGGCCGGCGCCGGAAGCTCAGAGACAGTGTACCCAGGCCCCATTGCTAAAACATGGCGGTGGTATCCTCGTCACGCACCAGTAGCGAATCGTCCAGGCCTAGCCTGGACGGCATCGACGCCCTCGAAAAGGACAATCTCCTCGACCAGGATGTCGAGGCGCAGAAGTTCCACGAGCAAAAGCCCGCACAACCCATCAACCACGAAGACACCATTGCGACGAGAAAGAAGCTCATTGCGCTAGCGGGCTACTTTGTCTGCAACATTGGGCTCACTATCTACAACAAGGCCATTTTGGGTTCTGTAAGATCATCTGTCACAGGCAGCTCCCTTGTCTGAGCCGTGTCATGCTAACGTGTGCCCTCCCGACACAGTTCAAGTTTCCATGGCTGCTGACCGCCCTCCATGCCGGCTGTTCCTCCATCGGCACGAGTGTAATGCTCCAGATGGGCCACTACCATGCTGCCAAGCTGAACCAACGCGAGCACCTCGCGCTCATCGCCTTTTCGTTTCTGTTCACAATCAACATTGCGATATCCAACGTGTCATTGTAAGCAGGCCCTGCCATTTCCTTGACAACAAGTCTCACCTGTAGGGGATATATGCTAACATTGCGTCTTGCAAAATGTAGAGCCATGGTATCGGTCCCGTTCCACCAGTTGGTCCGCGCCCTTACGCCTCTTTTCACCACGATCTTGTTCCGGGTGTTCTTCAACCGCACATACTCGACGGAGACATACCTGTCACTCATTCCCATCATCTTCGGTGTCACGCTTGCGACATACGGCGAACTCACCTTCAGCGACCTCGGCTTCATCCTCACCTTCCTGGGCGTGCTCTTGGCCGCGTTCAAGACCATCGTCACCAACAAGATGATGACGGGATCTCTCAACCTCAGCTTCTGGGAGATCCTGCGCCGCATGTCGCCCATGGCCTGCGTCCAGTCAATCATCTATGCCTGGCTCACGGGTGAGCTCTCGGCATTCTACAAATTCTTCACCGAGGAGCTCCTGTCTCCGGGCTACAAGTGGTCGCCTTGGCAATTCTTCCTCATCATGGCCGGCAACGGCGCCCTGGCCTTCGCCCTCAACGTCTCCAGCTTCAGCACCAATAAGATTGCTGGTGCCCTGACGATGACCGTCTGCGCCAACATCAAACAGTGCCTCACCATCATTTTGGGCAGCCTGCTGTTCGAGGTCAACCTGAGCATCATGAACATGTGGGGCATCCTGGTCACCGTCGCTGGCGCAGCCGTGTACTCGTTTGTCGAGCTGGACAGCAAGCGGAAGATGAAGGCTGCCCAGGCCGCGGCTGCTGCCGCCGGTCCAGCACGCCACTGAGTGCATCATGCCGAGTCATGGCCAAAGGGTCGTCGCACGCTACCCTTGTCGCAGTGATCCCGACGGCACTGACGAAGGCCACCTGCATGGACGCCACATGGACGCCACCAGGTCTGCCAACGACCTTGTCTGCGCGTTCTCTGACGTGTACCCACGTATAGAGCCGAGAGAAATTGTGGTGGTTTCAGTCTTACCCCAGACTATTTTCGGGGCATGTTCTCATCTGAGGTCGTGGGGGATGACGCGGCCGCCCCGCGATGGCACCAACCAACCGTGCCACCCTTTCCAACAAGCGCCATGCGTTTTTTTAGTGTCGTGCATTTGCAACCGGAGTTAAGGAGATATCATTTGTTTTTTTCAAGAGACCCAGCATATAAATCTGGCAACATAACAGCACCATGCGCCTGTCCTGGTGGCTTCTGGCCAATTGGCAGCCAGACTGTACATAACGTTCAATCCACAAGACTTCTAGCCATGACGAGGCATCGGCCTGATTGTCGCAAACGTGAGCCTGTGTCGGCCACTTCTGAATATCGGCGTGATTCTATGCACGTACGCACGCACAGCTGCATACGTACCACACTTCGTCAGAGCTTAGGAGTGGCTGCCAAAGGGCACCTGGGGCCCTGGCCAGCTTTAGGCTCGGAAGCGCTGAGATTCTACCCGACGAACGGTGAAAACTAGCCTTCGCCAACCGCTGACGTGCTTAGCGGCCCCTGGGCTCCGCATGGCAGCAAGCACGTGTTGACTGAACCCCTCCCACCCCAAAACATGTCCCATATCCGTCGTCCCATACGGGGCCCGCACTATTAGCGTTGAGCTTATCTGCGCCTCATTGTGTGCGAGGGCCTACGCGTAACTTGCTCACGGAATGGCTTTTTTGAGGGGCATTCATTCGAAAGGGATCATTGGTAGTAGGGGACGGCTTCGCACACAACGCGGGGGACGCCTAAGTACGTTGGGACGCTGCTCGAGCTTCCGGTGAGGGGGCCGGGGACCAGCTAAGCTAAGCTATGGTACGTAAGCTTTTCTTGTGGCTTTTTCCCCCTCTCGGTTGCTAACGCAGCCCTGGACCCTAGTGGGCTACCTGTAGACCTGACAGGTATTACGTCTGCCGTGTTCCCTTAGGGTGATTCGAGGGTTGGGGTCAGTCACAAAGGCAGCAGCCGAATCTGCACGAGATCCGGCGGGAAAGCCAAGGCGGCTCGGGGGAAGTCAAGGTTGATAGTCGGTGCTTGTTTCTCGGGTCCACCCCAGGGAAGTGAGCGAGCGAGCGAGCGAGCCAATCGCGGAGCTGGGGGGAAAGCGGCCGCGGCCGCGGTGGTGGCTTGGCGAATTGGTGATAGTAATGAGGGTCGATGAGGATGAGGATGAGGATGATCAATGATGGAGGTGGTGGCTGTGCTTTTTTTTTGGTGTCGTGTGCGTGCGTGCGTGCGTGCCGTCTCCCAGTGATCGTCGTCGTTTACTTAGCGTATCCTCGGATCTCATTGGGCACCCGCTCGTCTAATTCCAACCTACAACTAGGTACTGACCTGAGAAAGCCTGGATTCGTCATTTAGTTCTGCAAAGTGCAAGACCACGTGGACCCTCTCTATTGTTTCTGTCCCTCTCGCGCGCTGGGCCTGAGCGCTCCGGCTGCGCCGCCTGATCGGTTTCAATTGGGGAGCTTGACTGAAGGACGGTCGGCCTGCTTGCCTGCCTGCCTGCCCCTGCCTGACTACCTGATCGAATCCGGCGACTTGCGCGTGGCAACCGTAAAGTGCTGAGACGGAAGAAAGATTGACGCATAGCCACGCACGCTAATTACAGCTGTTGCGGGTTTAAGTTCTGAGTGGCAACGCGGACGCCGTGCCGGCCCATAATGCTCTCCCTCTCTCTCAGGTTAGCGTGTTCCGCCGCTCTATCCTTCTCGAACGTCCCAGTAGTTGGTTTAGGTGGGTGTCGGGGACATTTGGGGATTGGACCCTGGGTTATCTGTTCCCGGGTCTTTTCGTGTTGCCCCATGGCTGCAGGAGGGAGGGAGGGAGGGAAAGGTGACGTCCTGCTTGCAGTATGGCACTTTCAGATACTTGCTTTGTGCATACGGGAGTTGGGCTGCCACCGGGGGAACCAGACAACTTGGCAGCGGAAGTCGTGTCTATGCACGCTGCTTGTTGTCCTCGCTTGATGTTGAAAACACTTGCTGTCGCCGCTGTGGAGCCGTGCATTGGTGGGCTTAATGTTTGTGATACATGTGCAGAGTGCATCCAAAGCAAGCAAACAGGCCTGGATCACAGGTGGAAGAAAGGGGATATCTCACATTGCCAGTGGTGGACGCTGAGAATGTCTCTTGCCAGTCACGCACAATCAGAGCATAGTATAGAAACAGAGGAGCGCAATGCAAGTTCGCCCAATGATTCCTGCCTCATCTGTCTTCCAGATATTCTATGATATTGAAAATCGTGCAATACTCCAGAAACAGCGGCTTTTCCTGCCGCGTAAATGCCCAATGCCACGGATGCTATCACAAGACCAAATCAGTCTCCATCAATAATCAACTGATATCTCTCATCCAGCTGCATCAACCCCAGTTGTTGCCGAACCCGAGCTCAGAAGGGTCCAGCTCTTCCAAGCCCTGCAGCTTGCGCTCAAACGGCTGGCACAGCCCGTCCTCCCAGTCCACCCAACCGAGCTCTTTGTCGAGGAGCGTCCACGCGCCAGCCGCCGCGTCGCGGTGCGGGCCGGTCTTGACGGGCCCCCGGCGTCGCAGGGCCTCGAGCATGCTCTTCTGGTGTGGGTAAAACCAGCTACGGCCCCACCAGATCTCGCGGTAAGCCTTCTTTCCTGTGAAGTGGACGACAGGCGGGATCGTCATGGACGCCGTATTGACGACGAGCGGCACAGTCGACCAAGAGAATAACTCCTCGGGCATGTCGTCGTTGACGTTCCTCGCGTCGTTCGGTCGCGCGCTCGCAGACAGCGGGGAGCGTGAGAAGCTCACGAGATCGTCCGGCAGGATGTAGTTGGGGTACTGGTAGTCCCATCCCATCACGCCCGGCATATACTGCTCCGAGATGTTGTGCCGCACCCAGGTGAGGTACTCATCATAATAGGCAATCGTTTGCCACAAGTTGGACTCGTAGTCGATACCGATGTAGTACTCTGTTCGCGCCCCCTTGGGCGGCTTGGGGATGTCCTTCTCCGGCCGTTTCGGCCGCAGGAACAGCTCCATCTCCGAGATATCGTAGCCCTTGGCTTGATCGGCCTCCATCTTGAGTATCCGGCGCTTGTATGATTGCTCGCCCTGCACGATGCCAAAGTAGTACTGATCTGAATCCGTCACATGGTTCTCCTCAATCTTCCTCTGAGCAGCCTCAAACACGTCGCGGACCTCGCGGACGGGCCCCATGATGGTGCCAGAGTTGAGCCAGCGTGGTCGAGTGTGCTCAAGGGCACCTTGGTCTGTATATGGACCAAATGATTTTGACGACAGACGAGACTCGGGCACCGCCCAGCAGGCAGGGCGCTCCCAGCCACCAGGCCAGCAGACCTTGTCAGAACCAAAGATGACGGTGTCGCGGATGCCATTCTCGTCCACGACATCCTGGCCATAGGAGGCGACGTTCTGACGGTGACCGGCCTCGACCGTGTCGTAATAACGCTTGAGCATGACATTGCCTGGGAGCTGGAACCAGGCATCGAAACCGTCAATCATAAAGACGAGCTCGTCGTCCTCGGACTCCGGGAGCGAGTGCAAGTAGTCGAGCACGCCAGCCACCTTTGTCAAGTGCTGCTTGTAGTCATCCTTGTCCTCGGGCGCGCCATAGTTGATAAGGACGGGCGCCGGATAGCCCATGAGAGCCGCCGTGGTGAGCAGCTGGCATAGGTGGTGGTTTGTGCTCGTGGCAGGGATGAGCAGGTGCATGCGCTTGGGATCGTACTTTGGCGGCACACGCTCATAGTTGGCGTTGGACTGCCGTGATGAGGCTGACCACGGCGAGGCCAGACCCTTGTTGGCGATAAGCTGACTGACTATGACGGTGGCTAGGAGGACAACAGCAATAGGGCCGAGGATCCGCAAGAGGCGACGGGGAAACGCCATGGCGACGACCATGTTGGCGATGGAGGGCAGCGACGCTTATGACGATGGCATATCTCGTCGAACAACGACGGCGCTCGAGTAGTGGTCGTGTGCCGAGCTGTAGCGGGCGTGGCAAGTAGCGTTTCCCACGGTGGACAGGTGGTTTTCCGAGGAGGCCTAGAACAGCAGAAGTGACGATGGACGTCTTGGATAGCAGCTATGTTTATCGATTGCAGTCCCACGAGACTTGTCTCGGCACGGCAAGTAATGCTGCACCAAAAGTTGTCGATGTCGGCCGGCCCCTGGCGCGCGCTCCATGGGCTTCTGATGATGGGAGGATGGGGCCTGGCAGGTGCAGGAGGGACAAGTACCGCGAGGTACCTGCCCCGGCGCCATCTGGCACAGTCGAGTCACGGTGTGGATGCAGCGCCCGATTCAAGGCGGGACGGACGTTGGAAGACCCACACTCTGCAGCCCAGGCCAAATCATGGCTGGCAGGGGGCCTCGGGCCTTGCAATCAGCCTCGAGCCAGGTGCAGTTGCCCCAGCCATGGGATTATGACGCAAGGTATCGCATTCTCTCCTTCTATGCGGGCAACATGACAGGACCGCCTAACCCCAATCAACTGTCTGCTGTCTGGATGATAGGCACCCAGCCTTGAAGCTCATCGCCGGCACCTTGTCAGGTCATGTCAGCCCGGACTGGAGATGGCGAGGCACTACCATCTCCACTTCATCAGCATCATCACCAGCATCCGCATCAGCATCAGCAGCATCGTCATCCCGATCAGCATTAGTTCCGCATCATCATTGGCAGTCGGCCTGTGAGACGTGCGAGGGCCTTGCAAGTGGCTTGGTCCTGCCGCAACACCCTCGCAACCTGGGCTTGGCATTTTGCACCACTGCAAGCCCGCCGCCCCTGGCCGGATCACGGCACACCCACTGCGCAGCAGAGATTAACCCCCTGAGCACGCAATCCGCACTCCCAACACCGCCCAGAGGCCGTCCGAGCCGGGCCCGTCTGGGCAATGTCTCTAATTGAGACACCGTCGCATTTGTCTTGCACGGACGGTCCTGGGGTTCGTACCCCCAAAAAGGGGCGCCTTGGTATAGTCCGTAACTCAGGGAGCAGGGCAGTCAACAAATTTGCCGACTCATTATGGTGCAATACCATTCGTCTTGGTGCAACACAGGCAGTCTTGGTGCGGGGCCATTCAAGTGCCGGCTGGGGCGTTCTGTCTAATTTGATTTAGGCCGCCCTTGGCCTCCCGGAATATCGGAGCATCGTTCTCTTCATTTTCCGGCCGTCATTGCGTGGGGATCGTGCAGGCTGTCATCTGTGATTGCACACCGTAGGGCCAGCACTGTCCCGTCTGCACACCCCGCGGAGCCTTGCAGTGAGCTGCTGTCTTTTCATCTTCCAGGGCTTCTAGCGCTCCACCAGCATTACCATCACCACAGCTACCAGGCCCCAAGCTGTGCTAGGCCACGCCACACGCGCATCTGCCGTCGTCGTTTCTGCATAGTGCCCGCGCGCCAGTGGTTACGCAGCCTCATTGCGTCGTCACCGTACTTGACAGCTACCGCCAAATCCCAATGCCGCGAGCACTCTAATTACTCATTTCTGTGCTCTCCTACCTTTGCACCTCCAGCAGTCGTTGCAGGCCTCTTCGCAAACCGCCCTTTGGGGGTCATGTCATGATGGCTGCACTGCGAGACTGGACAGACCGAGTCCTTGACAACATAGGCCTCAAGGAGTGGAACTACGACCGTCTCAAGCAGAGCGAGCTCCCCGAGCATGAGGATGACAGTCATACGTCTGCGAACAAGCCGTCTGACACACAGGCTCTGGTGCTCAAAGTGTGCGGTGCAATCTTTGTCGCAGTCATCCTGCTCTTTGCGATGTTCAGGTCAACAGTGGCGCCCACACGACCAGCAGCAGTCTCTCAGATCCAAGACCCAAGCGAGCTGAGACAGTCGTTTCTGCACGTCTTGGTTCCGTCCAACAACACGAGCCCGGAACTATGCAAGACGGCCTTCAGCGCTGGAGCGCTCGACTGGTCGACGCTACGAGTGTTGGGCTGGGAGTCGACACCCCATTTCTCGGGTGTCGACAACGCTCAGGCGCTCTTCCAGCTGCGCAATGTGCTGAGCTGGGTCAACCAGCTCGGAAGCGAGGACAACGCCAACGAGCTCATCTTCATTCTGGACAGCAACGATGTGTGGTTCCAACAACGCCCGGCCACATTGATCAACAAGTACTACGCGATCAACGAGCGCGCAAAGGCGCGAATGGCAAGCAGGCTGGGCGCAGAGGCGGCAGCGGCGGCGAACTTTACCCAAACTGTTGTGTTCGCCGCGCAACGCGGTTGCTCGCTGGACAACGAGAAGGCAATTGACTGCTATCCCGTGCCCCCGTCAGAAGTAACGGGTACCGTTTATGGCGATGCTCGCGACACGACGGAGCTTCCCCGCCATCTGAACGCCGGCTCCATCATGGGTCCCATTGGCGACGTACGGGAGCTCTTCAGGCATGCGCTCGAGATGGTAGAGAAAGACACCGAAGCGCCGCACAAGTACAAGACCGCGCAGGACGTGTTTACGAGGATATATGGCGAACAAAGCTACCAGCTAGAAGTCATCCGAGCGCGCCACAGGTCCTGGTGGTCCAAGTTTATGAGCTACTTTCGGCATGATCTTCTCGACAATGTTCTTTCAACCAAGAACGGCTGGGAGCAGATGGCGAAAGCCGAAGATCAGGAGAAGAAGCCAGGCGAGGAGGGGTACAAGGCTGCGCCCTACGACTACAAGATCGGGCTCGACTACTATGGCGAGATATCTGCTCCCACCTTGGAGCAGAACAAGGAATTCGCCTGGGTCGAATATGGCTCCCAGGAGAGCATTGAGCAGGCCGCCAGTTCTGTCGGGCTCGAATCTCCGCATAAACTCGAGGTTTCCAAAGAGCTTGCTCAGTCCGCCCCTCCATTCTGGACTCCCAGCTACACAGGCTGGCTTCCGCTGCCGTACAAGACTTGGTCCGAGGTTCCGCTCTTCACCAACATGTTCACTGGTGTTGCGCCCGTCACCGTGCACCACCAGGTTTTCCAAGCAGGCGAGCGCATGACGCTCGACACAACATGGAACCAGACGTGGTTCTACCACCACCTCCGGCCCATGCTCATCGCAAAGGGGAGCACTGTACGCAGGCCTATTGCTGTGGTGAACGGCCCCAACGGAACAGAGGAGTGGTGGAACCCGCACGAAGAGATCGGGGGGCTTCGCTTCGAGGATGGCGGTAACCCGGGCGGCTGGAGGGTCTGGGAAGACGTCTGCAACGGGCCGGAGATGGCAGACCACCTCTTCTCTGACGGCAAGGGCCCTTGGACGCAGCCGGTGTATGTGCCAGACGACAAGGGCCAGGCCCACGACGTCCTGCACAGGTGGATGGTCAAGACGGACGGGAAGCTCGTTCAAGATGTGATATAGGGTGTGCGAGGGTAGCATCTATGCCAGTATTTGGGCACCGGCGCTTTGGAGTATCGAGGCATCGGCATATTGGTTTCTGTTGACTTTGTTCTTAGATTGCATCTTGGTAGCAGATAACGATATTTGTGTGCCAACTTCGAGATGTTCGTAATATCTGCTCTCGTGACTTGACATTTCACAGCCGTGCTCCTTAAGTGCTGGCCAGCAACCACGGCGATTGTTTCATGACCATATATGGTGTCATTTTTTCTTGACCGAGCAAGTTCAGTTTGGGTGCCATATAACGTCGTGGCCGTGGTTGGACGCTCATGGTGTGCACAGTTTCCATCCAGCCGGACGATGTAGCCCGAGCAATGCATGGCGCCTTTGATGCCGGTACGGAAAACCGCGGGCCCTACACCAACACATTGCGGGTGTTTCCGTGCTCCAAAGCTTGATCGACCACCGGCTCGCCCGGTGGAGGGGCTTATCACATGCCAAACCACCAACGCCGCCCGTTTGACATGGGGAGCGAGGAGGCTCAAAATGCTTAGCCCGATTGTGGGACCCACGCCATAACGCGACAATGATGTCATTGCGTGTCGGCACCTCAGCTCTGATACAACGGGCCTGCATTGCGTAACGGCGACTTCATTAGTTGGATTGGTTATCGCCCAGTAAATGACACGGTCTGGCGCCCACGGGTTGTCCCGAGGTTCCATCACAGGTCTGCCTTGAGCTTCTCGGCGTCGTGATCTCGATCCACGCACGACCTCGAGACTGTCGCAACTAACCGAGACGCCTCGGAACACTCACCGTCACAACTGGGCACTCAAAGTTCCTCTTTTTCTTCCCTTCTCCCAGACAATCCAATTCTCTCCTCCACCAAACAAGACATCACGACTCATTTCGCTACCGAGCAGGATGGCCTCGTCAAGCGACACCCGGGTTGCACACCCGTTGTTCCACCCCATCGTCTTTGTCTACCAATTGCTTCAATGGCTCATTGACCTCGTCCTCTCGCCGACGCCGCCTCCTCCGGGCGCCAACCTGAACCGGCCCAAGATCGCCATCATCGGGGCCGGCATCACGGGGGTCACGTCTGCGGCACACTGCGTGGGCCACGGCTTCGACGTGACCATCTTTGAGGGTAGCGACGAGAAAACCAGTGTTGGTGGCATCTGGAGTGTAAGACCTCGTCTTGTTCCATTTTCATGCACAGCAACTACCCCAATACACAGCGCTAATCAATCCTTTCGCCTCGTAACAGAAGGTCAACAGCACCTCAAGCCTCCAGATCCATTCCATCATGTACCGCTTCCACCCTTCTGTCAAATGGGACAATGGGTACCCGGACAGGCAGCAGATCCTGAGCCAGGTGCGGCAGCTCTGGGAGAAGTACGGCCTCCAGGACAAGACGAAGTTCGGCGTCAAGGTCGAAAAGGTGTACAAGGACGACAAGGGCCGCTGGGTCGTCAACACTCCCTCCAACGGGTACTTTGCAGGCGTGATCGCTGCCGTGGGCACTTGTGGCGACCCCAAGATGCCGCACATGGACGGCATGGACCGCTTCCAGGGACCGGTGTATCACTCGAGCAAGCTGGATGGGTAAGGCTCTGCAGTTCCCTTTGGTCTGTCCTTCCCCGATATCATGCGGCTAATCTTCACCCGTTTTCACAACAGCGTCGAAGCTGAAGGGAAAAATATTGTCGTCATTGGAGGCGGCGCCAGTGCCGTCGAGGCTCTCGAGTTCGCCGCGGAGGAGAAGGCCAAGAAGGTCTACATCCTCTCGCGCAGCGACAAGTGGATCATCCCACGGAACCTCATTGTCGACATCCTGCTCTCGCTCAACATTTGGGGCCAGGAGACCATGTTCTCCTTCATCCCCGAGGGCCTGCTCAAGAAGTTCTTCTACCGCGACCTGGCCGACATCGCACCCAACGACAAGGGCATCTTCGAGGACACCCCAATGGTCAACTCGGACGTCATGCACAAGCTGCGCTCCGGCGAAGCCGAATGGGTGCGCTGCGACATCGAGGGCTTTTCCGACAAGGGCGTTATCGTGAACCAGCGGTCCAAGGGGGTTCCCAAGGGCGGACCGGGCAAGCACCGCACCATCGAGGCCGACATGGTCGTCATGGCGACGGGTTACAAGCGGCCCTCGCTCGACTTCCTGCCCGACGACTGCTTCCAGGACCCCTACGGCCCGCCAAACTGGTATTTGCAGACCTTCCCGCCGGGCCACCCTTCCGTTTCGGCCATCAACTGCACCTACCTATCGGCCATTGGCACCGTGGGCAACTGGCACATTGGCATCTACACGCGGATCCTGCTCATGTTCCTGTCCGACCCTCTGACGCGGCCGAGCCCCTTCTGGATGCGCCGCTGGATCGACATGACCAAGGTCCTCAAGGCCACCGCGCCGACCGCCGCGTTCGACTTCTTCACCTACCTCGAGCTCGTGTGGTGGTTCGTCTTCTGCATCACATTCAACCCGTTCCGCTGGAAGTGGGCATTCTTTGTCTTCTTTGGGCTCGGGTTCGCACTGCCGAACAAGGTCGTCCAGGTTGAGCAGCGGGTCAGGAACGGGCTCGGGTTGGTCAACCGGGATGAGCTGAGTGGCGGAAACGGCAGGGATACTGGCCACAGCTTCTAGTCTAGGCGACTGTGACCAGAACAGGAGAAGTCAAATGTACGAGAGAGCCAAGAAAGTACGCAGAGCACGAGGTATGACGCCTGTTATCAAAAAAGTGAGCTCAGCAAGCGGGCAATGTTGGAGAGTATATAAACTCGGTGGATTGTTTAACGGGTAAGGGGACACGGCGCAACTGATAGACGACCCAGAATGTACAAGAAACAATACTTTTTTTGATATATTCCGAATGCTGCGCCAGACCATGCAATATGTGTGTTTGTTATTCTCCTGATGTTGGACCCGAGAACTACCTTCTCTTTCCGCCCCGATCGCGGCGACCACTCTCGAGCGTCTTGACGCGCTTGTTGAAGCGGTCTCCAATTTCCCTCGTGCTCTCGTTGAGGCCGCTGCCCCTGGCGCTGTCGGTCGTCTCGCGGCCGCGCTTGCGGCTCTTCTCGAGCAGCGCCCTCGTGCCTCCGCTCGACGAGCCGCCCCGGCCGCGCGACGTGAGCCGCGAGATGCGGTCCACGCCCTCGCCCAGCTCGCGCCAGTCCTCGCCGCCAAACTGGGTCCGCGCGCTGCGGCCCTCGATCTTGTTGCGCTTCGCCCGGTCCTTCTTGCTCTCCTTGGGCAGGCGCACAAAGTTGGTCTCCTCGTAGTCCCGCCGGCGGTCCTCCTCGGCCTTCTCGCCCGCAGTCTTGGTCTTGCGGCCCCCCGCCACGATCGTCGTGCCCACGCTGGGCATCGCCATGGGCGCGCTCGACAGCTCCTCGGCAATGTACTCGTCCATCGTCGCCGACTTCATCGGCCTGCGGTCCCCGCGCGCCTCGCGGCGCTCCGTCGTCGGCATGACGGTCGGCGCGATCTTGGGCGGGCGGTAGATGCCCGTCTTGTCCTCCGCGGTGGCGGCCGCGGCCATGCCCACGGCTGCGGCTCCCGTGGGTTTTTCGAAGCCCCGCACGCCTGGCGCAAACTGATTTGCCGATGCTGGGCCGGGGCGAGCGAGGCTGTCGGCGCCATTTTCAGCTTCATCGTCCTCGTCGTCGTCCTCTTCGTCGGATTCCGACTTGTCGTCGTCGTCATCACCGCCAGCCGCTGCCTTCTGCGCGAGCTGCTCTTTCCTCCGATCGGCGTCGTCTGCAGCGCGCAGCATCTTGTCTAATTGGAAGCGGAGCTTCTCCTCGAGCGGGCGGACGCCCTTGTCCATGAACAAGCGGAGCTCTACCAGCTTCTTGACCACGTCGTCCGATAGTTGCGAGCTGGCATCCTCGTCGTCGCCGTCGTTGTTCTCATTGCCCGAGGACGAAGTCGTGCCGTCGCGCGCGTTGCGGATCTTGAGCAAGATCAGGAAGACGAGGTTCTGCAGGTACGACAGGAGGAGCTCGTTCTTGACGTCGAGGAGGGAGACGCCATCCTGCGTGGGCTGGATGAGGCCGGCGACCTTGGGGGTTGCATCGATGGCCGAGTTGAGAGAGTTTGTGAGGGAGTCGAGCAGTGCTGGCAGGGAAGTCTGCACCGCCATGTTGAGCAGATGCGTCTGTGGAATGCTCTACCGGGTGTCTGATTGACGATCCTTTGGCGACGTTCGGTTGTCGAGTCGTTTGTAATGCGACTTGCAGCGGCCGGGATGGTGTACAGGTCTTCAGGTGTCGCGGCGACCGTCCAAAAAAATAATGTCTGCGATAGCGATAAGCCACTCGTGGACCAAAGCTGCGCTGGGGGGGCCGGAGTGCTAGCGCAGCCGCAGCGACAGGGGCCTTAGATCCAGGATGTGCCTGCCTGGCTTACATAATGCCCTTACGTTAAAGGTGCTGGTGTTGTCTGTCTGTGAGACAAAGGGCTTGTGGGCATGGTTGAGCTGGCCTGTGGCCCTGCCAGCGCTAACAAAAGCTCCAGCTGGGGTGCGTGCGTACGTAACTTTCCAAGCCGCCTCTCGCATCGCAAGTCGGAGCTATCACGAAGCTGGAACCAGTCCGCACATCAGGCAGCATCCTTGTCGACATTCTTCGCCGCCACACAACATCATCAGCCGTCTACCGCCGACCACGACTCGATTTCGAGCGCGCCCCCACCGAACCATTGCAAGCCTCCCCGTTCCACCCACCTGTCGCGACGGGAGCACAGGCTACATCCAACCTAGCAATTGCCCCTTTCACCCTCGACGGCATCGGCAGACCGGAGCAAACAGGGCCGCGCGTCTGCACAGCCGGCCAAATCCTTCGCCTACGGGAGGTTCAATGGTTCACGAGTAATGTAAGCACTTGATCTGCGATCCCCTCACATCCTCTGCTGACTCCATTGGTCCTGCTTCTGCAGACCTCGAACCGGTTCGCATACACCAGAATTCCCCCGACATGAAGTCGACGTCCTTAGCAGCGCCGACAGCGGCGCTGCTGACAGCACTCTGCACTCTGCCGTCCTTCACATCCGCCTTTTACCTGCCAGGCCTGGCGCCCGAATTCTATAAGCCCGGCGCGCGGGTACCGCTCAATGTTAACAGCATCAAGCCTCTTGCATCCCAGCAAGATGCCCGCCTCTACTCCGTCCTGGCGTACGACTACTATACCGAGAAGTTTGGGTTCTGTGCACCCGAAGGCGGACCTGAATATGTGAGAGAGAGCCTCGGAAGCATCCTGTTCGGCGATCGCATCATGACGTCCCCATTCGAGCTCAACATGGCGCGAAACGAGACCTGTAAATCCTTGTGCCAGGTCACCTACGACAGACCGTCTGCGCATTTTGTCAACAAGCGCATCATGCAAGGCTATGCGCTCAACTGGCTGATCGATGGCCTGCCGGCAGCCCAGCTTACAGTAGAACAAATGACCGGGGTTACGTTCTACAGCCCGGGATTTGCGATTGGGCAAGGCGATACCACGGACCCAGACTCTACAGCGTTCTTCAACAACCACTACGACATCTGGATCGAGTACCACGAAGTCAACGGCGATCCGGAGCAGTTGAGAGTCGTGGGAGTCATCGTCCAGCCTTCGTCTAAGGACTATGCTGGTTCCAAGGCGGATTGTGGCGAGCACCCGTCACTTGTGCTCAGGGAGGACGACGAAAAGGGCACGCCTGTAGAGTTCACCTACAGCGTATACTGGACGCGTTCGGACACAGCTTGGGCCACGCGCTGGGACAAATACCTCCACGTTTACGATCCCAAGATCCACTGGTTCTCGCTCATCAACTCAGCTGTGGTTGTCGTCTTCCTCACAATCACCGTCTCCTCGGTGCTTTTTCGCGCGCTCAAGAAGGACATCGCTCGATACAACCGGCTTGACAACATCAACCTGGACGATCTCTCGGGCACCTCTGCGCTCGAGGATGATGGCGTGCAGGAGGATTCTGGCTGGAAGCTGGTACATGGCGATGTGTTCCGCGCGCCTTCGCACCCGCTGCTTCTGTCCATCTTTCTCGGAAACGGTGCTCAGCTTTTTGTCATGACCGGATTCACCATCTGCCTCGCGCTCCTCGGTTTCCTGTCGCCTTCAAACCGTGGCTCTCTCGGCACCATTGTGATTATCCTCTACACGCTGCTCAGCTTCGTCGGAGGATATGCGTCTGCGCGCGTGTACAAGTCTCTCGGTGGTGAGAAGTGGAAGCTCAACATCGGCTTGACTCCGATTCTTGTGCCTGGCATTGTTTTCACAACCTTCTTCCTGCTCAACCTGTTCCTGTGGGCTAACGAGGCGTCTGGCGCTGTCCCCATCTCGACCATGTTCGTCATTGTCGCCATCTGGTTCATTATCTCTGTGCCCCTGTCCTTTGGCGGTTCGTGGTTCGGCTTCCGCGCTCGCCCTATCGAGCCACCGGTACGCACCAACCAGATCCCTAGACAGATCCCGCCGACAACCACCTACCTCAAGCCCCTGCCCAGCATGCTGCTTGTCGGCATCCTGCCATTTGGCGCCATCTTTGTGGAGCTCTACTTTATCATGAGCTCCATCTGGTTCAGCAAGATCTACTACATGTTTGGCTTCCTCTTCCTGTGCTACGGCCTGATGATCATCACCTGCGCCGCGGTCACGGTCCTCATGGTCTACTTCCTGCTGTGCTCCGAAAACTACCACTGGCAATGGCGTTCGTTCTTGGCCGCGGGCATGAGCGCCGGCTACATCTTCGCCAATGCCCTGATCTACCTGGTCAGCAAGCTGTCGCTGGGCGGCCTCTCTGGAACCGTCCTGTACGTTGGATACAGCGCCCTGCTTTCCTTCCTGTTCTTCATCCTGACGGGTAAGTTTCATGATCCCCCCACCATTTCAAAAACAAAAGAATATTCAAAGCGTACAATTCGACTAACTTATCTCGGCTCTGACTAGGCTCCATCGGCTTCTTCTCGAGTTGGTGGTTTGTTCAGAAGATCTACAAGTCCATCAAGATCGACTGAAAAAGCTGTGGTACAACAAGATATGGGAGTCACGCGAAAACCAAGTGCTCAGAGGGTCAGCACCTTGTTGACTTTTGATTATGCCACAGCGAAGAACAGGAAGGGGGTGTGATTCGGAATACAACAAAGGAAGGGATGGGAGCCTGATTGATACATGCATGATAGACTTGTTTTTACTCGGGCCACTCTCACCGCGTGAGGATAGGCGGGATGTTTACAAAAAGGAGCCGTGCACTGAATTTGAGAGGAGGTGGAAGCTGCTCATTGCTGTACTATTGTCGTATATAGAACGTCTCGCAGACGGAGCATTGGGGAAGGGTTTGGGCAAAGCACATCTCTAGCGATTCATTTGGACCTTGACGTTCCCCGTCCTGAGCACCACTGCGATAGCGTTCGTTCTTGTCCGTCGCGTGCGCTTGCCAGATACGCCGATGGAGACGGATTCGATTGAGCCACAACAAAAATAAAAGAAGAATTCCAATATGCAACGCCTATGATTCCCATCTATTTACACATGCCAAGACTTTCTGACAGCCCACGGAAACTCTCTGCCCTTGGTGGACCTGTCATGTCCTAACTCTGCGCATGCTGACTTGTCCTCCGCGCTTTCTCCGCGAGATGCGCATCTTCCGTGTGCTACCCGAGGGATAAGGACAGGCATGACCAAAAAGCCGCGGAGGCGCTGCTGTATGCGACATGCACGACACCGAGCGAGCTTCTCATCGGAGGGCGATCGCGCCACGCCGGCTTTCGCGCACGTGGAGATACCCCTGCAGGCCGCAGAATACCAGGAAGACCTGTCACGAAAGATCACGAAATGTTAGCAGCTGGTCCCTCTGTGTGCGTCTCTGTCTCGTGTATATTCCCCCCAGGCACGCTCGCACCGGAGCATTACACAAGCTCGGAATTGCAATGGCCTGGAGCCTGGCGAGGATGTAAAGGACGTCGGAGATGGGATTGGGTGGGAGGAGGAATGCACACGCACAGCGTAGATGATGACGGCCGTCCAGATGGTGCTGGCGACGGCGGGCCCGTCCTCAGGGTCCTTGGTGCTGCCGACGAGCTCCTCGTGAGATCGCGCGAAGAAGGTGGCGAGGAAGGAGAGGATGACGATGGCGAAGGCGGAGATGACGACGCTGTTTGTCCGGCGTGGCACGACAGGCAGGAGGTTAGCTCGAGATGTTCGCTATGGGCGGCATTGGCCCTTGTGGCCAGCGGCAGTGGCGGCAGCGGCAGCAGCGACGGCCACGGCGGATGTGTGGGAAGCTTGTGCAGCGGAGAGGGCGAACTGACCAAGACCAGGCTTGCATCGAACTGACGACGGGCTTCATGGTGGGCAAGCTGTAGGAGAGCTGCTTCGAGGGAGGAAAAGTTGTCGCAAGGCCCTTGTGGTCAAGGAGGCGCGCAGCGAGAGGTCGCGCGCGGGGAGTGACGATGCAGCGGTGCGCGAGTTGAGCAGGCGGCGGGACTGAAGGTGTGAACAGAGCGACAAAAGGCGCGCAGGCGACGTCGATGATGATGGAGGTAATCGTGGTTGGGGAGTGGTTGATGATGGTGGGTGCTTGACAGGATTGGCGTGCTGGGACTGGCACGACGACGTAAGAGCTCCCCTGGTGCAAGTGGGTGGCGCCTACAGTCTGGCGCTTCGCTGCAGCCTTGGGCTGGCAGGGCGTGGGTCTGGCCCGTGCGTGCTGCCGTGGAAGCTGCTGTGGCGGATGGAGATGCGCTATCCTAGGATATCCCTCTGCGACCTCCACAGCACGCACAAAGAGCAGCATCAGACTTGTCCTCAACACACAACATCCTACGCAGCGGCGCCTCATGCAGTCCAGCAATCTCAACAAGGCCTCGAGAATGGATGCAGGGCTATCGTGCTGGCGGCGCACTTTCGGCTGCAAAACAAAGCAGTTGTAGGACTGCTTCTCCACCACACAACGCCTCCTTATCCCCTCATTGACTGTTCTTGGGCTCCTGTCACGACCCGTCGCCAGAGCCAATTGCTTCATGCCCGGTACATACAAGCAAATAAAAGACGGTGCTGAGCCCGGCTCCCCTCTCCAGGACCGTCGCCGTGCCGGGCGCAACCGCCCCACTACGGAGCCGTGCGGCAGGGATGCCGGGGCCGGGCCGGGACAGCTGAGCTTGCAGCATTCCGGGACACACTAGCTACGTTGTGCTGCGCACATGCAGGCGTCAGGCACTCGGGAGGAGATGTCATTCCTGACGCTCAGGCTGTGCCGTCTGCAGGTGCTGCACAGAGGCGCATCGAGATGCTCGGCGCGCCTGCCAAATTACCAAAAGGTGTCATCATGATGCGGGCCGCCCTGCTCCATTGTGATGTCATCACTGCCCTCCGCCAGCTGCACTCCGGAGCATCGCTCCGCCCGCTGCCTCGCCGCTCGTCAACAACGATGACAGGCGGGCAGGCACGGGCGAAGAGGGGCAGCTCGAGGTGCTCCTCGTCGTATATGAGGAGCCAGAGTTCCCATCCCAGAGACGATCCCACGCAGACCAGGCAGACTCCTTCTCCAGCACTCAGAACACCCTGGAAGTTTGAAAACCCTCGAGATAAAAAATCGCCATCATGAGTGACAAGTCCCAATTTCAACAAGGTCCGTCATCCATGTATAGCTTGCCGACCACGCGGAACCTTCGCTGCTGACAACACTCACAGGCCACAAGGTGCCCGTCACGCACCAGGACTTCCCCGGCAAGGAGTCAAAACTGCCCATTGAGGCGCAGTACGACCAGCTCCCCACCGAGGACGGAGGCTACCAGAAGTACAAGGCTTGCGGCAAGCTCAAGGGCAAGCGCGCCGTCATTACCGGTGGTGACTCTGGCATTGGCCGGGCCACGGCCATCCTCTTTGCCATGGAAGGCGCCGACGTCTTCATCGTCTACTTGCCAGAGGAGGAGGATGATGCCCAGGAGACCAAGAAGCGCGTCGAGGCTAACGGTCACAAGTGTTATCTGCTTTCCACCGACCTGACTAAGCAGGAGAACTGCAAGAAGGTCATTGATGAGGCGTTGAGCAAGCTCGGCGGCATTGACATTCTCTTCAACAATGCGGCTTACCAGATGATGGTCGAGGACATCAAGGACCTCTCCGAGTAAGCATCCGTGCACTCTGAGACGTATGAACTTGGGTAGTAAGTAATGCTAACCACACGGCCAACAGAGATCAGTGGATTCACACCTTCAACACCAACATCCACCCCTTTTTCTACCTCTCCAAGTACTCGCTGCCGCACATGAAGAAGGGCTCTACCATCATCAACAACGCCAGCATCAACGCCTACATCGGACGCCCGGACCTGCTCGACTACACATCGACCAAGGGAGCCATTGTCTCCTTCACACGCGGTCTCAGCAACCAGTACGTGTCCAAGGGCATCCGCGTCAACGCCGTCGCCCCGGGCCCTGTCTGGACGCCCCTGATCCCGGCAACCATGAGCGAGGACGCGCAGAAGCAGTTCACCGCGCCAATGGGCCGGCCCGCGCAGCCCAGCGAGATTGCGACCTGTGTCGTGTTCCTCGCGTCGATGGAAAGCTCGGCGATCAGCGGGCAGACCATCCACTGCAACGGTGGCACCATTGTCAATGGTTAGAGCGTGTGTGTATGTTCCGTGGGAGAACCAAGTCGGCTATACTTAATGTCTATGAATGGAAACAAAGCAGAAAAGGCGAATGTCTTCTCATTTTCTTTCAATAATGGCCCGTGATTCGTACCATTCGGTTTTTTTTTCTCACTCTTCCCACCTCCTCAAAGTCCCTCGACCTCCTCCGCAATAACCCTCGCGACGTCGTCCGTCATACTCAAAAACGGACAATGCCCAGCCTGCAGCCTGACCACCTTGCCACAGCCGGCCATCTCCGCCAGGGCCTCCTGCAGCTCAGTCGGGATGAGTCGGTCCTGCTCGCACAGGATATACGTGCTCGGCACGTTACGCCAGCCACAGTGCGCCACCGGCCCCGAGGAAGCCCAGTGCCTGACGGTCGGCTGGACCCGCAGCTCCTTGTGCCACCGGTCTGCCTGGTCGGGCGGCAGGTCGTGGAACAAGAGCTCCTTTGCGTCGCGGCAGGTGCAGTACGTGCCGTTTTCGTCATCCTGGCGTTGCAACACAAATGCTTTGATGTGAGCGCAGGGGGAACCTTTGCTCCGGATGTTTGCATGCTGCATGATTACGCGTACGAAAAAGGCATCACAAATACGCTATCATTATTCTGTGAAACTCGGCGCATCACAGAACATGCAAACTCGCCCAATCGTGAAAAGATGTGGCTAAAGAAGAGGAAGAAGTCGAGAGAAGGAAAGAAATCGACTTACATGCTCGACCACAAACGGCCCGCCGAACTGATCGAACCCTTCCGGGGCAACCCCAGCCGCGCAGAAGATGATCTTCCTCACACCACCACCACCAGCACTGCTCCCGCTCTTGCTCTTTTCCGCCCAGGCCGCGAAATCGAGCCCCTCCATCGCATTGCTCCCAATCACCCCGCCCACGGAATGCAGGAACAGCACGACCCCTGCTTCCCCCGCATCCTCGTCCACCGCGCGCTGGATCGCCTCGCGCACGCCGGCCGTGTCGTCCGCCAGAGTCCAGCGCCTTTGTCCCACCTCCGTGCCGGCGGCGCCGGTGGCGCCACCAGGAGCCGGGGGGTCGGCGTGTCCCGAGCTCCGCAGTGATGCCGTGGAGACGCGGATGCCGACCCGGGAGAGCGCATCGGATAAAGGCTGGAATGCGGCCGGGCCTTCCCAGTAGCCGGGCACGAGGAGGACTGTTGGTGTTGCTGCTGTTGTTGTGGTGATTGTAGTGGCCATTGTCAAGTACCTGACTTTTCGGGGATTCTGACTGATAGGTCTCGGGTTTTTTTCGTGCCCAGCGGGAAATCAAAAGGGAGAGACAGGTCGTCAGGGTGACACGTCAAGCAGAAGAAGACGTGGGAATGGCCTTGGGGTAGTTTTTAAGGTTTAGCTCCTCATGGGCTGCTCTTCGTGTTAAAGTACAAGTGCTCACAGGGCAATTAGATACGGGCGTTGCAGTTGGTACTTGAGTCACGGAACTCAGAGTTTCGGGCCGGCCTTGGTAGCGCTTACTCACTCTCACAGCAGGCATAACAGTTGCCCAGTTTGAGCAGCATCATCCGGGCCACACATGAGCTACGATTAAAAAAAAACCGAGAGATGACGGCGGCAATGGCATCCCCGTGCACAGGCACACAATCATTCTCGGCGAGAACCGGAAGATGAGGAGCCATCGGTAACAAAAGACAATGCGCGGATCCGCACGAATACGGGTTGCCAGTGGCAGGGCTGCGCGCAGGCGCTGACGCGAAAGCACCTCGCGCTGGAGAAGAGACTTAACTCCGTGGCCTTGGGATGCTCGACCATCTGTGGATAGGCAAGAGTGGGCCATACCACCAGACAACAGCCGTCTCACTCACAACAGCTCCTTCACAAGGGCGTAGACGACCTGAATCCTCATGCTCCACCCGAGATCATTCCGGTGGCATATTGATGATGCACGTGGACAGAGGGTGGCACGACAAGGGGGTTCGATGACGGGCCCAAGGATTTCGTTGCACACTGCCTTGGTGGATCCAACACGATTCAAACATATAGATTGAATGGGGATGTTGTATTGCTCGCTTAAAACAGCCAAACGCCGGACCATGATGAGATGAAGTGCTGCCGCAAAGAGAATCCAAGAAGTTAGTCCAGCTTGCCGGACCCAGGCAGCTCAAGCTAATATCAACACGAGGGCCATTGCCGACCCCCTAATCCCCAAGGAAAGTTCAGCTTAGAGAAGCGGCTGGAGATGGCAAAAGAAAGGGGCCGATCTTTCGTTAGGTGCTAAGACATTCGGGGGCCTACCCGCGCTGGAGATTTCATATGCTGACAAGCCAGTGAAGGAACAGCATTGCGCATACAACGAGGCTCGCGCCTGACACATTACCAGTCGACTGCCCAGCCGTTCTGTGCCAGGAACTCGTCGCAGGCTTGCCGCAGGCCAAGATTTGGCCTCAACTCGCTTGGCTGGAGGGGCTCGCGCGTCAGGGGATCACTCGGGTGCTTCCTCAGGTGCTCCATGAGAGATGCTCTCTCGTACGACTTGCCAGTCTTGGTCTGCAGTTGTGAGCATCATGTTAGTTCGGACGTTCCATGTCTAACGAACAGAAACAGGGACCAGCAGGCACTCACCACCACCGGATCAACCATGATGCCGAAGCTGATGTCATCAATCGCCCAATCTGGCACCTCTCGACGCTTCTCAGAGTCCGCGCGTGCCCGTTCGAACGTCTCGCGCAACCGGCTGATCTTGCCATCCCACTCCTCTTGGATCTGCTTGCGCTCAATCTCGTCATCCGCGCTGCAACTCTCGACCATCGCATCACGCTCGCGCTCCATCAGGGCAATGGCCTCGTTCTCCAGCTCCTGGCCCTCTCGGATGCGACGCTTCTCGAGATGATCCCAGCGCTCCTTCTTGCAGGTCAAGACCTGGGACGTGATGGGAGACAGGGACTTGTCATTGGTCTCTGCGGCAATAGCGTGCGCCTTGAGGGCGTTGTCCAGGGCGTCATCAAAGTTCCTCAGGGCCTGGTGCGCCTGCGAGAGGATGTGGTAGGCCTTCATGCTGCTCTTGTTAAGGCGCAGGCATGCCTGGCAGTCTGTGATGGCCTCGTCGTAATACTGGAGCTTGAGCCTAGCCATAGCCCTGTTGGTGTAGAGAGCCGGATTTGTATCATCGGCAATGATGCTGTGGGGATGTAGGCCGTCAGTCATCCATCCGTGACTGTGACTAGTTCCAGTGCTGTCAGGAGTGGCGAAAACTCACGCCTTGGAGTAGAAGCTCTCGGCGACGACCCAGTTGCCGCTTTGGAAATGCTTGTTGCCTTCAGCTTTGAGCTGGTCGGCCTTTGCCGTGTCTCCTGCCATCTCAGCCGGGCGTTGCTGGTTGTGGCTTGTGACTCGAGCAAATGAATGTTGCACGACCACAGAAAAGAGCGCGAGACGACTTTGGATACAGCCTTATGCACCTGCTGTTCTCACTTCACCGATCAGGGCGATGAGGGCGGAGTGAAGTGAGTTGTCGGTCCTGGACGACACTCGCAATCTCGTTGAAGTAGGCGAGCTGACAAATGGGGGGTTACCGTGGGGCAGCGGGCCGTCGCGAAGATGAAGGCTGTACTGGACGATCAGGCTCCCGCCGCGAAACAGCTCGAAGGACAATTGACTAGACGATGCGCGCCGCGTGCAGGCTCCTACAGCCCTTAAGGCTTTGGAATGCTTGGGTACAAGTGCATCGTGGCCGCCTGCTGGTGGAGGTTTGTGTTGGCCTGGCGTCCGCATGATCCGCACAGGCAGGAGGAGGAGACCACCGTTGGAACTTTCCAGAACCACCCCAGCGCCTCGGAACACTCTCCGCACCAATGGCGCCTCCCCCAGACACAACTTTGATTCATTGCTACCACGTCAACGTGCATTCCCGATACGGCCACTGACCATCTGCTCAAGTATGTGCTAGGTCACCTTTGGCCTGTCCTCACTTGCAAGGGCTTCTTTATCGTTGTGGTCATATGACAGCCCTGGTTTTGTGATCGGAGATCGAGCCCTTGCGAACACGGTCACGGGCTCGCTGCGACGGCGCATGGGTGGTTCGGCAAGGCTCTCTAGGGCAGGCTCTTCTCTTCCTTTTGGCCATTTTTCGAGTCCCGCGCGAAGACCAGCGAGCCTGAAGATAACACAGATTCATGTTCTACCAACAAGAGACGTCGCTGTCTTGCTGGGGCGCAAGCAACCAACAGCCCGCTGATGGGGAACTTCTTTTGTCGATGGGCTTGTAACTGGTGAGGCATTGAAGTGGGCAGGGAGTGCAAATGGAGTTGGACAATATCACTCTGTGTTGAGAGCGGTTCTTGAGATCCACTCAGAATGAGCCCTGAAAGGTATACACGAGGTCCATCCGAGCGCAGCGAAACGCATAGAATAGTTCAAAAGAGTTGGAAAAGTTGACCACCTACCTCGCTATCACCTGATTGGTATATCGATCAAGGGCCTGCGTGATTGCTTCAGATCCGTGACTGCGTTACGTTGGTTTCGCACTTAAATGATCCTTCCGAGAACCTATAATTTGTGATTCTCGGAAGCGCCTTTACGTTGCGGAAAATTCCGACGAAGGCATAGTGAGAGTGCGCCAGTACTGACACTGAGTCTACTCTGCCTGGCCGCAAGGTGTCGCTATTGTCGCTTTCGTGAACGTGGACAGAACTAGCGATCTATAGCCACAACCAAGGTCCGCCATTATTGGAAGCACGCGTCGACAAACACAAAAACAGGGACACAGGACATTTGGAGCACCCGTACTTGTAGTGTCATGATTTAGCGTGCTCGGTGGTCGTCAACAGAGGGACCAAGACGCCATGAAAAAAAGAAGAGGATTAGAACAAGGACAATTTATGTTCATTTGTTTGCTTTACATCAATCATGACTTATGAACAATAGACGCCATAAAACCAACTCAATTCGCTTCGTCCAACGCCCGGCTCTTCCCAAAAAAGCAAAGTAAATCATCAAAGTCTTTTCAAACACACCCCATCCGCCCCACAGACCAGAAGCTCAAGTCACCGTTTCGATAACCTCGGTGCGCGAGCCATCTTTCTCTCAGCACAAAGCGCGGCATCATCTAACGCCGACCGCGCCGTCTCTGCTGCGCCATAGTGAGAAGCTCCATAGCTTATGGATGATATACTCCCGCTACCATTGCCACCGCCGTACGAGCTCGAGCTGCTGACGCTCCCGCTCCTCTTGCTGCCACCTATACTTCCAGTGTTGCTGGCAGCGAAGCTGCCGAAGAACGAAGACTGTCGAGAAAAGGGGGGAAAACTCGTATATTCTGATGCCGCAGGAGTGTTGGCTGCGCTATAGTCTGAAGTGTGCGACGCGACAGATGGTCGCCGACTGCTGCTGCCTGGGTCCTGAATGCTGAGACCGATTATAGAGGCTAGGAGGGCGTCGGAGTTTTGTCCGGGAGTGTGGTGGTGGTAAATGTGATTGGACATTCCGGGCTCTGAAAGCGTGATTGTGATTGTCTGGTGTAGGTTATGACTCAAGAGTGATATTTGACAGGCGGGAAGTGCCTGGGAATTGTACTCGAACAAGTAGATGTAGTCATAGGATGTAAAGTGCAGGGGAGCTGGGCGTCAAGAGAAGTGGTCTTAGTCGAAATCTCGTGATGGTAGGTTTGGCGGGGAGCGGTTTCTAGTATAGCGTGATCAATGGTGAAACACAGCGCCGGGATGTCGCAAGCATAGACTTTTGAAGCTTATATGGCAAGAATGCAAGACAAAGGAGGAGCGGGATGGCGTGATGAGCTCTAAGAATGCTCTCATGTCCATCTTGAATTCTTGTTCTAGCTATGCGTCCCTTTTGTGTGACTTCGTACGCGCTTTCGCAGACGTAATGGAAATCCCAGCGAGAGGGGAAATACGCACATGTCTCCGCTAGGCACGTGCATCTCGTGCTGCACCCCAGACTTCGCCTAACTACACTCCTGCACGTAATCATCTTGCTTGAGGGGGAGGCCTCCTCCATGCGATACTTTATCGCCGGGCGGCACAAAGTAAATGACCTAAGCGTAAGACAAGGCCTCTTCACGCAGAGGGCATTACGAGTCACGAACTGGCGGTCAGCCCTACCTGCACGTGTCGTAAGCATCACTTACCTGTACCGAGATTCGCTGTGCGGGGGACAGATTGTCCTGGCCATTCGGGAGAATTCAATGCCATGTGCACAGTCGATCTCGCCCATTCCGCCTCCAAGCTGGCGAAGGACCGGCTACCTCATCACAGGCATGCATGGGTGAACTCTCTTCGACTTGCCTTTCACATGACAAGTTTGTCTTCGCAAGATACGTGACGAGATCCACAAGACGCGAGGCGCTCCTGCAGAGGCATGGTCAGAAAAAGGCTCATCTTGAAGTGGTAGGTCCGTCCGGAGATGAAATCGGCGAGCTTGCTGATCAGTCGCATGAAGTCGTGTGCGACAGTGCTGGAAATTCGCGCAGCCGGCGGGGATACCAGGCCAAAAAGGTGTAGCAGGCCAAGGGGTGCAGGTCTGCGTTCACGAGGCAAGACATGACACCAGCAGTCGCGAGGGAAGCATGTTGTTGTATCTGGATAACAGAGGGCGAAATATCGCGCATATATGTAGGAAGCGGTGGAGTATAGCCGTTCGATAGAAGAGACCGACGATCCGCCCTGGGGAACCCATGCAACTAGCTCAGGGCCCTTTGTTGGTCAGATGCCCGATGGCCCCGTTTTCCTGCACAGCCTCCGAGCTAAGACGACAGAAACAAGACTTTTTCCCCAATCTGAGCTTCTCCACCCCCTCGTCATGGCATCGTGTGAATCATGCGGTCAGGTCAACTCCACCCGTGAGGTGATTCTCCAATAGGTCGTGCAACAAACACCTGGCTGGCCACGAGGTCGGCATGCTGCTTTTGCATGCCTCTGGTTAGGAAAAGACCCTTCATGGCTTCTCGAGGGACGACATCCACGGAATACCCAATAAGGCAACTGGTAGTTCACCCCATCGCTCGCGAACGAGAAAGCTAGAGTGATACCCTCCATTACGACTTGCCTGGAGAGCCCCCATCTCATAATCCATGCTAAGCGCTGCAAGCCACAGATAAGCTTAAACAAGGGCACAAAAGCCAAGTTCCAAGCTGCAACCCATGTATCTCCCGGGACCACACGAGGGTGGACCCCTCAGGTCCTTGTTTGCGGGTGTTTGTCAACCTTGGGGGTTGGGGGATAGCCGTAGGATGGCATCGAGAGATCTGCGACATATCTCTGACCCCCACTGCTGAGGCGAGCACTGCGGGTGAAGCCACAGTCTGCAGGAGGGCCGAGCCCACATCGTTGTTGCTAGAGGTCAACGCAGTAATCTCCCGGAATTACCTCCGTTATTGTCACAAGACAAGGTGGGCAGCTCTTGCTCACATGCCCATTTCCCATAACTAGCAAACAGAACCACCGCTCGATCGCCCCAGGTCTATATATCCATCTAGCCTTGAGTCATTTTGTAGTAGATCTCTCGATGACAAGGTTCACTAGACGTCGTGGCAGCCTATAAGGAGGCTCCAATTAACTCTTTCACCACGCTACTGCCATTCAAGCGCCGGCCGTTACGTCTATTCTTTCTTTCCTTTCGTCACTGCCACGTGGGCACCAAGTCATCCTTTCACGGCCATGCCTCCATTGCCATACACTTTCCCACCCCCATGCATTACCCATCACAAAAAGCACAGTGGATGTGTTCTCAAGACTCAAGGGAAGCCGGAGAATATCCCCATGTCGAGCAACGGCCACGTCCAACCTCCCATTGAAGTGCCCATCCCCTTGCGCCGACACAGCGATCCTTTGTCGGCCCGCACAAGACCGCCACGGCTCAGCAACGAGCACCACCTTCTCTCTCCTCATAGCCTTCCACCCACAATTTCCCACGTCGAAGCATATCGCTCCAGACCGCCCGTGAGCCCCGGCGTGTACGTTGTCAAGGGCGACAACGACTCCCGGAGGCACTGGTGGGCCGTGGAGGGTAGGATGACGGAGATGACGTTCCGTGGTGCGAGTGGTGGCAGCGGGAGGGACGCGGCAGAGGGGCTGTTTGCACCGAAACGGGGACGAACATTGAGCAGGATGCCGGCAAGGACATATTCTCTTCCATAACATACGTGGATGGACAGTAGCACAGTGTCTGACTTTAGGACATTTTGTGGGCTAGGGCAGTTGGCGCCAATTTGGCTGAATGGTGACTTGCCTTTTGATGTCATGAGATTCAAAGGAAGGAGTTCTGGTGGCAGCATGGAGCAAAGCGACATCCTTCAGATTGATTTCGATTCCACACGCGTGCCTTCATTACTTGATCAGCTGTCCTTATGATTTCTTCGCCTGCCCCCTTTTACCTTATCTCAATATAGTTGACAGCCGTTTGCGTTTGTTCAACCCGTAATATATCAACAGATCGACATTTTGTGGTGCTTTTCGTGGCATTCTGGATGAATTCGCGTATCATAATTACTGGATAGGAGAAGAAACAGCTAGAGACTACATGCTTCTTAGCGGAAAGTTGAAGCTTTTAGCAAAGTTGGTCACTGGGGAAATTCCACTTGGCACACTACCCCCCCTCAGGACTCTTTAGACTTTGATAGATTCAGACTTCTATCTTAAATACAGGGACTTTTACCTTTTAATGCACTGATTTCATTTTGCTTCTCACATTGGTGATGACGGTGGAGTATATAAGATTATATATGATCTGGCTTATGGCCGTTGTCCTCCCTGCCAATGTCCGGTCAAACATCACTGAGTTGAAATCTGATCATACACTGCATCAAAAAGGCCCATCCAATCTACAATGGCCTGCCATTTGTGGGCAGCATCGATGTAGAAACGCTATTGAGCAACGTTGCCGCGATAGTCATGGAATTTCGCCGCTACGTACCAAACTCTACAACATTCTGGAACACCCTAACGTACACGACCACGTTTTATCTAGACCCGGGACGTACCAAGCTTTCTCTATTTTCCCCCGCACTCGCTCGTCCCACGCCGTTAGCAGCCATGGGAAACCCCTTCACTGCCGCACCGGCGGCGGCGGCTTCTGGCCTACGATCTCACATGTGCACTTCGGGAGGTTATTTACCGACCATCGACTCGTACTGTTTCGTCAAGGCTTCTCATTTTCTTTTTCCTCTGAACCATATCGTTTCGTTAAACCTGCCAGGCTTCTTCTCCTGTCAAGTTTGAGGCAGACGTTCATAACATTACCAGACTGGTACTCCTCACGCCTTTGCCATCACAACAAAGCAGACCATAGGCTTCGTTCTTCATCGCTGGGGAAGCCGCCACAGACCCGGCAGTCACACTTTCAACACCACCAGGAAAAATTCTGGGTTACGTCTTTCTGCACTAAGGACTGATTGGAAATTTTGTTTCATTCTCAAACAACACCACCAGACGACGGTACAGGACCACGACACAAGGATGGCTCCCCTGGTCAGCACGCTCGCCCGAGCACTGGCCGATACAGTCAACAGCAATACCACGACCATCATCGCCTCGATACCCGTCGTCGCTCGTGGCTCCAGTTCTGCCCTCTACATTTCAACTCTCCTCTTGAATTCACACTCGAGCAGCTCTACCAACACGGATGACAGCGGTTCGGGCGGAGACGAAAACGCCAAGGGGGACCATACGCTCGAGGCGCTCGCTTTGGGTGCATTGATTTTCATATCGCTCCTCTTGGCTGTTGCCGTCATCGGGCCCTGTTACAACTTTTTCTGCGAGGCGGTGGTCTCGTCCCTGCGATCCACCATAGACTGGAGAAACCTGTGGCCCATCAGGCTGCTGGGACCCAAGCACCCCCGGCTCAGAGAGTTCCTGAGCAAGTGGGTGTTCAGAACGACCGCCATGTTCGCCGTCCTCACCATGCCCGCCTGGGGCCCGTTGCTCCTCATCTTGTGCTGTGTGGTGGCAATGTGGCCGGAGCGGCGATCACAGACACAAGACAGTGAGCTGCGTGATCCTACCGGGCTCCCGCACCCGCCGCCCGCGACGCCGCACGGCACATCGAGCACGAGGGGCTCTGATCTCGGCCTTGGAAACACCTCCTCGGACAACAGCAACAGTAGGGATCAGTCTTCAAGCATTGTCCTACAGCCCATGGCTCGCGGCGAAGCGGACAGGCGCGACCAGATGGACGAAGCTGACGTCGCCGACGAGTTGATGGTCATAACAGTGCCACAGAAGCCAGAATACGACCCGCCGTCATACCGAGCTTCGGCCAATGACCGCTGCATTCCGCAGGGTCGTGTGCGCACACCACCACCAACGTACTCCAATGTGGCAGTCTCGGCTGTGGATTGGGATACATAAGAAGTCGTCGTCCCGTGGTAGGGCTGACACGAACCACGGCCGCAAGCCAGCACTGTTCGATAGGCTCGGACATTGATCATGTATGTAATCAAGATCAGTCATCAAATTTGCCGCCACAGCGACCACAGAACGTGGGAGATATCAATGCCAGGATCTCCTCCCGATGTGGGTGAGCCTCAAGCATCTTGTCGATCACGTCCAGCCGTAGGCACTTTGAGTTGCAGACGCCACATGTGTTTGACAACCCGGGAGCAAGAATTGGAACATTGGTAGCAGCACACATTTCTGAAGCGTCATGTTAGCATGCAGAAAGATTAGAGGGTAATAACGAAAGCTTTCCAGCCGACTGTCACTGGTGAATGCACATACCGAAGGAGTGCCCATTTGTGCATCGTGAGTGAGTACCTGTGGGTAGGACGTTCGCGTTGCAAAATGAGCACGTTTGCGAGACAGCGACATCCGTCAGCCGGCTCTTGAGCTCGTCTGATCCGAAGTCGTAGATAGCATCGTCGACACCAGGAGGCGCAGGTCCGTGACCATATATCCACTCCCATGCCTGAGCTTCCGTACTCAATCTCGGCTTTTCGACGGCGTCCTTGCCCAGATCGGCCCGCCCGGGTTGATGAGTCTGACCAAAGAGGATCTTGCAACGGAGTCCTGCAAAAGTCGACCTCTCCGGCTTGATGGTGTCGTGCTCAGTCACAAAGACTGCCATCGAGCCACCCCCGGGACTTGCCTGCATACCCCAGACACGCATACGGGTGGTGTAAACAGGACTCAAGGCGTCTTCGCCCTGCTTCGTCAATGTGTCATCACCGCCAAGTCCGTCGTTATAAGTGTCGAAAGCCCAATCTTCGTCTTCATCGGACTCATCCTCTGGATCCGAGTCATCAACCGCGAAGGACTTTCGCGGTAGGTACGCCATAGATCGAGGCAAGCTGCGCCCGACAGATAGCAAAATGTCTGTGGCCCATTGAGGGCGCTCGTTCGCGCTTGAGCCGCTGCTAGTATTCGTTTGGAACCAGTCGGCATTTGTGTGTGTAGCACTCAGACGGACTAGACTGAAGGGCGGTGCCGGATTCTGCTCCAACGTTGATGAGGGATGAATGACAAGCCCTGTGATCGGGTTCAGACTCGAATCTGCTCCTTCAGGTGCATATGTTGTTCCGCAAACTTCGGTCGTGTGGGGAGTGATATCGTCTTTCTCGCGGTTGAGGTCAAGCGTGACCTGGAATGCCTCAACACGGAAAGGACTCGCTATGATACCGCGATGCACATACGATCCGTCCTTAGGCCACACTTGATCCTCCCACGTGACGAAGGCGTCGGTCGATAGGTGCAAGCACAAACCCTCACAATCATTGCCGCCGACTTCAATGATCGGAGTCTCCATAGCTGCCCAGTCGTCCTGGACAGTGACACGCCGAAAGCCAACGTAGTTTTTGGAGACGTACGACACCAGGCAGCTCTTTTGGCCGTCATGAGAGACCCATGGGCTCCAGCTGACGCCGAACGGCGTCCCGCAGGGCACGAAGTCGGGATCGGAGGGCTGATGGTCACGACGTCAGCTCGGCTTCTGAGGAGTGTAATGAGGGGGTTACTCACGTCAAGCACTGGATGGGGTCCTCCAGCAAAGAATCTTGCAACCTCTTCAACTCTCCACTTTCCAGTCGGTTCATGGCTGCTGCTTGATGTGCCATGCTCAGCTTGGACAGCCAACAGGACCATCTCATGTGCGTCGTTTAGGTATGCCAGCAATGCCCCATCGCCTGGGGCGTGGAGCTGCTGCGCCCATGCCATCGAGGTGACGTATTCAGGATTGTACAGCGACGACTCCTCTGGCGACTCATGTTCAACAGCGGCTGTCACTGGGACGTAGCGACCACTGCCGACCAGCCAGGGCACCAGCAATGGCCGCAGAGTCCTGGCCTTCCGGCCGCGTACGGCAAGGCTGGGCGCATTGCTGGGCAAGGAGCTCTCGCAGTAGATGGTGATGATGCCACTTCCGCTGAGCACAGCCAAAACCGATCGCTTCATGCGACCGAGACCACAAGGCGACCAGGCCAATGCCACGACGTGGTTGAGCGTACCGCGCGTGCGCGCGATCGGGCCTTGGCCTGCACCCAGGTTGGGGTAGGCATCGTCCTCGTCATGGGGGAAATCCTGACCAACGACATCAAACAAGTGCCTGTTGACTTCGGGGCTGCGGGCTTCGGTCGCCGGGAAGCGAAGAGCGACTTCATTGTACTGGAATTTGGGTCCGTGGCTGCTCTTATTGGACACTTCCGAAGGTGGGATGGTGGTGAAGTGAGGCAAGTATATGTAAACGGAATCGTCGGCGCCAACGGCGAGCTCCAGATCCGGAGACCACGCAATATTGTGCGTGTTGAGTGGCAAGGCGGGCAAATCTAGCGGCTCAAGAGGTAGATGTGTAGCCATGGCTGTGGCCTTGGACGACCTTCGTCAACGTAAGTGTGCTGGCTGTCGTAGCGTTCGAGTTACACCTTGAAGAATGCCCCAGGCGGCGCATCTCTCTACCTTAAAACGCCTTGCAGAGGGCCTGATGACGCGGATATGATTTTTTAGCTTGAGCTGCAGTGATCGGGTGCTTGGGTGAAGTTATTGCCAGCATCACTCGGAATTTGTCGCCATGAGTGAGCTTTTGTGGTACCGCCGTTGAGGCGCTGAGTGCTGGACTCGTGCAAGCATTAAGAATGTTTTCACCTTGCGCGTCGCGAGGCCCCACGCCCGCTGGCGCAACAAGAATTCAGTGTAAGCGCAACTCGCACAACCCAGCATGGCAACGCTACAGCATACAGATCTAAGCAACAACTATTGATTCACACAACGCCTGCTGTTGAAAATGGAATGGAAGTTTCGCTATAAAGGGGCTATTTAAAAAGATTGCATGATCTACTGCTTAACAGTCTTCCGCTTTGACGCATCCAGGTACGACCCAAGGTACCACAGTCCTGTGCAGCCAGCAATCGCAGTTGCACCTATGAGCTTCTTCACCCACTGCCTCTCATCAGTCAGCGAGGCAGTTCTCTGGATCCTCTTCGGCGGCGAAGTGGCGTGGGTGGAGGTCTTGGAGGTATTCCTGGTTGACTCTCCCTTGGCCGCTTCCGCTGCTGCCTCCTCCTCGTCTGCCAAGAGCTTGAGGCGTGCAATCGTCCGGCTGAGGGTGATCATCTCGTCATCGATCGTCGAATTCGTGCCAGCGTCAACCTCGACATTTTGTATGTTACCAAAGAAGTCTGTAAGGAGGCGACTGCGAGCGACCTCCGCGCCTCCCTGAAACAGATCATACCGCGTACCGGCATTTGAGTGAATCTTTTCGTACGTGTAGCTGTCAAAGAGCTCCCCAATAGTCTTTTTGCTGCTCAGGTCTTTGACTTCATTCTCAAGGAACTCTAGGTTGTAGTATGTGTAGCGGTCAATGACGGCGACACCGACGTCGTTGTCGGCATGGTGTGAGTACGAGGACTGGTCGAGCTCGGAAGAGCCAGTTGCAATGATGTTGGGTGAATATAGCTTGCTGAACATTGTGTTCGCCTGGCATGTGTCGATCATGAACAAGATCTCATGGTATCTGCGAAAGCAAGCAACAGTCAGTATTTGTGTACGCGCCACAGATCCGATTTGCGAGCTCTTACCTCTTCTTCTCCCACATCTGCTCGAAAGCATCGGCAAGATCCCACGCGCCGATCTCCTCCGCATCTTGGAACTTGAGGAACTCATTGCCACCGTGGCCCGTCATGTAGACAAAGATGTTGCTGCGATCGTCCGTAAGCAGACGCTTGCTGCGCGGCATCTCGTCGCCCACACGATCCGTCAGGAGCCGGATGAAATTCTCGACTGTCACTTCGTAGCCTCTGTAGTCGACTTCGATGTTATCGCCGTAGAGGTCGACCGCGCGATCCGCGTTACTGTAGACGGTGCCGGCGAATGCGTTGCGCGGGTTGCACGCCATGTCGTCGGGCAGCATCATGATGATCTGGGAGTCGGGGATGCCGAGGCGCTTGACCGTCCGGTACATGGAAAGAACATTGGCGAGATGACGATAGTTGAACCAAAAACGTGACGTTCCGACGAGAACCGCCCAATTGCTGGTGTGCTCTGCTGCGACGAGGGATGGCGGAGCCAGCAGGGTCGCAGCCAGCAGCGCTGGAAGCTGCACGATGCTGGATAGCTTCATGGTGGTCTGTAGTCCGTATTCCGGGTATTTAGGAGACACGTCGGGCTGTACTGGCGATGCTGGAGTTGGAGTTTGTGCTCATAAGGAAGCCGCGAACGGCATTTCGTGGCTTAGACCGTGGTGTTGCGGATTACCAATGATATGAGCTCAGGGTCAACTCAGCCTTGAATGGCTGACAGATCCGTTCGTATGGTGGATCAACATTCGCCCTTGAGGCCAGGTGGGCAGGGATAGCGTGCTGAGGTAAGCAGCAATTTAGCTCTTCCCCTGGCCAACCTCGACTCCCCTGATGACAGGGCTTGCACTTCTACCATCGAGTTTCGCATCTGAGCACCAACCGGCCAGCAAGGACATGGCGATATCCCTAATGAGTGGGCAGCAGCTCGGGCGGGCAGTCTCGATGGCAACTAGACTGATGTCAGGCGCGATACGGCACTCGTGCCATATTTCACTGTGCCCCAACATCGCAGCGACCACATGTTCACTCACCAAAACTACACGCCTGGTTGTTGGCTGTGAGTGACACCTGTGCGCAATGAAAGCAGCCTTGACATGACATGGTGCCAGCAATGCTTGGAAACGTCAGCATATCCAGCGCACCACTGCCGTCAGGTCACAACACGCCACCAACCGCGCGATCGGGGAAGCATGGCCAGATCAAGGCTGGTGGGAGGCAGGGCTTGACGTCAGGGACTTCACACGTAAGTTCGTTTCCGTCATAAGTGTGCTGCAGAAACCTCACCCTGCAGCCAAGACTAGTTGTACTCTTTCATTTACAGGGAGAACCAGTACGCATGCTATCCCCTGGCAAAGTTGCGTGAGCGGCACATTGCCAGCTTAGTCTGATCATTCATGCCTACACTAAATACCTCCACGCTGGCGGGGACGAGTGTCTTGATCTGGTGACTGGGCTTGACAGCCTGTGGACTACCCTGACAGAGGCCACTAACGATTTTAGCCGGCGCATCCAGGGCTGCTGGAGTGGGCCTGAGCCTGAGTCGGGCCCAGGGGCCTGGGCTCGCGCGTGAGAGTAGGAGAGCTGGGAGCGGCATGTGACACCTGTGACTCCCGTGAACCCACTGGTGAGGACCCTGAAATGAGTCGGCTAAGGCACACGAACGCGCGCATCGATCAAGCCCGCACGCGGAAGAGGCCCACGGGTCTCGGCTGCGTGTGCGCAACTGGCCGGTAATTTATTAGTCTCAGCCCCCTTGGCTTGCCTCGACCTCCTGACTTGAACGATGCGGGGTTCGCGCTGCCGAATGACGCCTCGCCTGTGCCGCTGATCGTGTCGTTGGTGGTGGCTCCGCATCCTGCTCTCGCTCTCTAAATTTTTTCTGCCCTTCTGATAATTAGCCCGACACGGTCATTGATGGCAATGGTGTTTGCTTGCCGTGCCGTGTCTGTTCACCTGGGCACAGATGTCGTCAACTACACCTGGGTACTCTTCCCCCAGCCAGAGCTTGCTCACCTTTTGTAGTGGTTGCCTCCTTCTGTGTGTCTCTTGAGCGCGGTGCATGCTCCAACTCTCCATAATTACCCTGTCCTGTCGAGCTCCCAGAGCTCCAATATCTCCCCGTCACTCCTTCCCGCTCTCCCCGTCGGTCGCAAAGCCCGCCGCGTGGCCGCCACATGCCCACCTTGAACCGGCCAGCCAACTCTCACGACTCGCTGTTGCCTGACCTTTGCCTACGGCTGCGCCTCCCACGCACTGACGCCCTGCATATCATGTAGAGACACACCGAGCCGCCTCTTGTTAGCAAGCACATACCACGCCTCCAGCCCGGAACATCCCCCGGGCCAGCCATCGTCATCACGCCCACGCCCAAGGTGGATCGTGGACCTCAAGCACGACCCACCAAACGTGGACATCCCTGGACAAGAGAAGCTCCCCTGTCCCCTGCCCCGCGACTTCGGCCTCTGCCATCCATAAAACCAGTGACGCCTCCGCCTAGCCCGCCTGCTTCTCGAAAAAGTCCGTACAGGCGCACCGTGCTGTTCTGCTCGAACAGCTACACCTCCTCTTGTCGGCACTCTCTGCATGGTAGCCATGGGTCGTCCCCCTGCCCACGTGTTTGTGGTGAGGTCAGTAGTTCTCGTCAATTCAGCATCACCATGGAGTTCTGCCGAGGGACTTTTCAGGCTGACTCGCACTGCTCTCTCCCAGGCATGGCAAACGCCTCGACGCAGCTGACAAGCAGTGGCACTTGACATCACCCACGCCTTATGATCCGCCCTTGACCTATGCCGGCTGGATGCAGTCAAAGACCGTCGGTGCCAGAATCGCCTCCCTCATCCACGGCCAGGTCGCTGACGCTCAATCTCAACCGGCCACGCCAACCACCTCGACACCCCCGGGCGGCGACATCCTCACGCCACCGAAGAAGAAGCGCTACAACATCATCATTCACAGCTCTCCCTTTCTCCGCTGTGTCCAGACATCGATTGCCATTAGCGCAGGCATCGCCTCGAACCCACCACCAGAGCAGGATGCCAGCGACAAGAGCCCAGCCATCACAAGATGTGTTCTTCGGCTAGACGCCTTCCTCGGCGAGTGGCTGTCTCCAGACTACTTCGAGCACATTACACCACCGCCAAGATCCAGCTTGATGCTCGCCACAGCCAAGGCTGAGCTGCTTCGACGCGAACATTACACGGATAGTCCAAATATCCTCGGTGCTCGGAAGCCTTCTGGTACCCAAGGCCAACTATGGTCGCCCAATGGCGGCCAGTCCGGTCTAGAGGATCTTTCAGGGCTCAAGGACTCCTTACCCGGGGCCCACCAACGGACAGGCTCTTCACTTATCAGATCACTGAGTCCAGCCCGCGCAGCATACCAGTCACCAGTGCCTACCTACGCAGTTGGTCCGAACGACCCAATACCACGAGGTTACGTTGCCCATGCTCGAGACGCTTGTGCCGACATTGACTACCAGTGGGACTCGAGTCGAGACACCATCGGCTGGGGAGACGGGGGTCTGCTCCCCGAAGAGTGGGCTTCAATGCATCAACGGTTCCGGAGAGGTTTTAAGCGCCTTGTCGATTGGTACGCAACCAGTGATCACCCGAACCAAATGGTCACAAAGACAACGAGAACGGCATACCAGGGCACGGCCGTTGCGGAACCAGTGGAGGTAGATGGTGACGTGGACGAGGAGAATGTCGTGATTTTGGTGTCGCATGGCGCTGGTTGCAATGCTCTCGTCGGCGCCATCACGCAGCAACCTGTGCTTGCAGATGTCGCAATGTCGTCCATTAGCATGGCCAAGCGCAGACCGGAGTTTGACCTGCCAAACGACATTTTCGAGCACAGACCAGCGTCATCTCTGGATGACGGGCTCCTGAGGAAGAAGCTCACCATGCAAGAGGTCTTTGACTTGAAGCTCTTTGCCAATACTGAACATCTCCATTCGGCTGGATCGACACCTGGTGTGAGCAGGTCCTCATCTCTGGCTAGTCACGGTCGCAGTAGCTCGCGACAAAAAATCGGAACGTCCATGCAATCAGCGCTGCGAGAAATCACTTTTAGCAATTCTTTGGGTCCTGGTAATGCCGGAGCGAACAGGAGCAATTCTGTGAACGCCTCCTTGGGCAGCATGCGTCGTGGACCCGGAAGCCCATCCCTGGGCCCTCGCCCGGTTTCTGCCACTCGGGGTAGTAGCGCAGGCATCACCGTCGGCAGTACCCTGTCCAGCCTGGCTGGTTTCTCGACTGGACGAAATCGTTCCGGCTCGTCTGGACTCTGGCAGCCGAAGAACGAGGAGGCCATCGAGGATGAAGTGGAGACACCTATGCTCTTGAACTTCAGTTTCGAGAAGGACACGAAGAAAGAGGCAGGCCCAACTATAATCCTTGATTCTGGCGAAGTCAGTAGCAAAGAGTTCAACCTCAACACTCTGGCTTCGACATCTGGCAGTACTGGACCAAAGGGCACCCCAACCGACGAGTCATCGCTCCTCAAGGCTGAGGCGACAGACCATTTCGATGAAGACGTAGTGCCGCATCTATGGGCGGGCACTGGTAATGGCGGGCTGTGGGGCGCACCGCGTCCTCCAGGCGAAGCAGAGCGCATTCGCGACCATACTTCGACAAAGCGGCGGTGGACCATCACCGAGAGGGAGACAATTGTCTGAGTCTGAAACTCCCGGCCGCATCAAAATTCGTTGTTCCTGACCAAGACACGGAGCAGGCGGCGGCATCCTTCTCCTTGTGCAAGCTTATCAACTATCTCAACTCATTTCTTGCATTGGCGTTTGGGGGCATTATCATATCAGCATAGGAGAATAATTCTTCTTGTTTCTTTTATAGGGTTTCACGGAAAAGCCCCGGGCAAGTGCACCACTTTAGCATTGCTTTGGCGGGCGGGAGCGAACTGGTCTCGGTGTGTAAGCGCGGCGAATTCGCACAAAATCAATCGCAATACCAACACGATCATGGATATCTTCACTTTACTATGATGTCCATCTCGAACACAGCTTTTCGGTGTCTCTTGTGACTCTCTTGCATGCCGTTAAAATCTATGATCAGTCTAGCAAGTACCACACAGAAAAAGACTGAAGCAAGTAACCTCCGAGGAACAGCTCAAATATCACCAAACGCCAGCCGTATATGTGCTTTTCCTTTCTTTGCATCGAGACCAGGCCCATCATCCTCCCTTCCTCTCAACATGTCCAGCGGAGCCAGGCTGACGGCGAGACTAGCCAACGCTGGAGACCCTGGAACCGTCTCTGCTGCCTACCTGACTGCCTGACTGCCTGCCTAAATGGGCAGCTAAGCCGTAAAAGCCACGGACAAAGCATGGTCTGCTCTTCTTCAGGGACCAGTCCTGCTTTGACTGACCCCTACGCAAAGTCTATGTGGTCCCGGCATGCAGCATAGCCTTCAGCGAAGCGTCGCGGACGTCCCGGAGCACCCATAGTTTTGCCTTTGGTGGCAGGCCTTTCTGTGCTGGCGTTCACACAAGCCTGCCACCCACCGATGATGGTGCGCCCCAACTTTACTTCCCTTCGCCCTCTCTCTCTCTTTCTCTCTCTCACTCTCTCTGTCTCCCATGACTCAGCCAAACGTCTTGCGCATGGCCTGGTGCGCGAGCTCGACGCCCAAGAAGGTGGCCGCGTTGGCGGGCACGGCGCGCGCCAGTGCCGGGCCGAAGCCCGGGAAGAAGGCCTTGACGCCGCCCTTGCCGTAGAGCTCGCGGATGATGCCGCCGACCGTGACGTTGCCCTCGGCGGTCTGCAGCCTGCTCTTGACCGTGTCGACGGGGAAGACGGGGATCCACATGGCGATGCCCGCGGCGCCGCCCGCGCAGGTGATGGCGGTGAGGGAGAGGTCGCCCGTGGGCTTTCCCGTGACGGGGTCGCGCGGGGTGAGCTTGCGCTTGATGTACTCGTAGGCGGCAAAGTAGGCGGCGGAACCGGGACCGTCGCGGGCGAGGGTGGCCGCGGACCCGCGGAAGACGCTGCGCACTCCCCCTTCCTTGTAGAGCTGGCGCACGACGTCGGTGCCGCCCTTGTACTTGGGCTCCTCGCCGGGCTTGAGCCGCGAGCCTTGCACCTGCAGGATGACCTTGACGCGCTCAAAGGGCGCCGTGATGGCCGTCATGGGGATCGCGCTGAGGAAGCCGGCCGCGCTGATCTGGCCGATGCTCAGCTGCCCGTCGGGGCCGGGGGGCTTTATGGAGGTGACGATCTGCTTGCCGACGTCGTAGCCCCAGAAGGAGACGGCGACTGATTAAAAAAGAATCAAGGGCTGATGTCAGCGACTGCAAAACCGACCCCTACACACAAGACATTCGCCCGGTCGACCCAAGATTGGCGACTTTTGCAGTGCGCGGGACTAAAAAGGGGGAGAGGAGAACAGAAAGAAACAAACTCACACATGGGCGTGACACCAACAAGCGGCGCGCTGACGCCCGCGTACAGGCCCCTCCGCAGGCCGTCGCGGGCGATGCTCTTCCTGACGACATCGACGGCGCTCGAGTAGACGCCCTTCTCGGCGGTCTGGAGGCGGACTTTCACCAGGTCGAACGGGTGGCCGACGACGACGGCGCACACGCCGCCGAAGCCGCCCGCCGCGAAGGAGCGCAGCTGCGAGCCCAGGCTGTTGGCGGCGGCCTTGGCGTCGGCCTTGAGCTCGTCCTTGGTCTCTGGGATGTGAGGCAGCTTGTCAGCCACCGAGGCCGGGAGGGTGTCGGCTATGGCCTTGTTGGCGTCCTTGGGGCTGGCCATTTTTCCAGAGGTGTGTGTGTGTGTATGGGTGTGTGTCAACTCGTGAGCCACGGCAACGACCAATGGAGCTCTTATGCTTGGAAGAACGAGAAGAACGCACAAAAGGACAGCGGAGGTAGTGACACCTCAAGCAAAAGACAATACTGTGGGATGAAATAGAGGGCACAGAGAAGAGAGAGACACACACACAAGTTCCGGAGAAGAGGAAAAGCTTAGGAAGCCGGGCGACGTCAGAAGCCTCGGCTGGTGGGTGGATAGTGGGCGCGCCGCACGCCTCGAGTGCCGCGATTAGCGGGCCGGTGCCTGTACAGTCCCTGCCCTGCCCCCGTGCGGTTGCCCCGCGGCCGCTTTGGGGTCTCCAGATTCACAAGCTTGTGACAGACAGCCCACCACCACTGTTGTCTTTGTCTTTGCCCCATGATCCATCATCCCTGGTCACGATGGTCTTGGGCGGAGGCTCAAAACCCCCATCAAGACATCCCTGGCGCAATCCATGGAAATGGCAGGATCTGGTCGAGGTGTCAACCGCAGCAGACTCGTCAAGGTTCAGCCGCATACCTCCTGGTGTGCACGGCTGGGCAAGGTGACAGATTTGGAGAAAACCCCAATCCGTGTTCCCGGGGCCGGCAGTCTTGTCCCAGTTGACCGACCGACTGCTAAATAGGCCCGCGCTTGCCTCGGCCTTTCGGGCCAATCCCATCTTCAACCACAACGTGCCCACACGAAACGGGGCCTCTGTACCGCTGGCTCCACTCCCGTCAGTCATCATCATCATCAGACACACTGCGTATGGACGTGGGTATCATTGCTATCTCCCGATATCGTCTATGCCGCTTCCTTTCCAACAAACAGCATTGCCTATGTACATGGCCCTAGTTCATATGTCCCGTGTCCTTTGCTTGGTGGTAACCACGCATCCCTCTTCCGCTTTCTCGCATACCTCCGCCTGTGCATCAACTCTGCTAGAATCCTCCCGGCGCCTTCCCAACCATGGCATTGAGCCTCCCCATCCCGCACCAGCATGTTGAATCGCCCTCGCGTTCCGTCTGCACCGTCAGCTCCACCCCATGCCGCGCCAGGAACGTCTGCACACGGTCCCGAACTTCCTCCTGGTCCGCGCCTCGGATCACTCCCACATGTATAACCCCCAACAGCTTGCCTTTGGTCTCCCGCCCCGTCCGGTCGTCCACCCAGAACTTGGGCACTGCATACGACGCCACGCCGCGCTGGTTGGAAATCTCAGACAGAGTATCCCGGAGATTGTACTCCGTTTCCTCGGGAATTGTCAGGAGCAGTCTGCGCGCAGACGACTTCACCAGCGGCCACGCAGTGATGAGGATCAGGTACGCAATCAGGAGCGAGGCCAGCGGGTCCCACCCAGACCACGGCATCAGCCACGTCAAGATTGTCGACACAATCACCGACGCGCTGCCGAGCGTGTCTGCCAAGATGTGCAGGTAAATGCCGTGCAGGTTCTCATTGTCATGCGAATGTCCGTGGCCATGGTGGTCATGACCATGATCGTGGCTGTGCCCATGGCCGTGGTCGTGTCCGTGTCCGTGATCGTGGCCTGCGTGACTGTGAGATCCAAACGCGAAGATGCCCAAAAGGTTCACAACGAGGCCCATGGTGCTGACAACGAAGAGCTCCGACAACCTCTTGGTCTCGCGTCCTTCCAAAAGTCGCTCAAATCCCTCAAAGAGGATCTCGAGACTGATTAGTCTGCAAGATGACACCATTAGCAGCTGCTCCCTTATTCGTCACCAGTCAAATTACGTACACCAAGAAGATTCCGTTGGCAAAACCGCTGAGCGTCTCGATCTTGCCAAAGCCGTACGGAAACCTGTCGCTCGGAGGCCACTTGCTCATGACAGACGCAAAAAGGCCAACAGCGAGCGCGACGCAGTCAAAGAACATGTGAATGCTGTCACTCAACAGGCCAAGCGAGTCTGTAAGGTAGCCATAAATGGCTTGGACACCCATGAAAGAGAAGTTGATTCTGTGTCGAAAAAGTCAGTATACAGTCGTGTACCGAAGATTGGGATATGGTTCCTACCCCATGAAGTAGAAGATGCGCCTAGAGTCTTTGTCGGTCATGATGGCATGAATCAATGGCCATCTCGCGGTGAACGGCAACAATAAACCAGTAAAGCTGGAGTATGTTGAGTCGTGCGAGGGGGTATCGTGGTGGCCATGATGGTGGCCATGATGTCCGTGGTCGTGGCTATGTTGGCTGTGGTCGTGGTCGTGATCGTGGTGATGGTCATGATGGCTGTGATTATGATTGTGTTGACCATGGCCATGATGATCATGCGAGTGGCTGTGGTCGTGGTCATGACTGTGACAGCCATGGTGACTGTGATGGTCATGGCTGTGGTCGCCTGTCTTCTCGGCGGTAGTACTGTGCTCACTCGAAAGTATCGCATCATCCTCTTCAGTCGTGTGGCGTAAGGGCGATGGCCTCACATCGCGCCGTGAGTTGGAGGCTAGGGAATTGGTCCGATAATGTGACAGATTCTGTTGTGCTCGTGCCTGTGCACTATGATGTGCCTCATCATCGGAGCTGTCATGGCTGTTGGAGTAGTTGTGGCCGTGGAAGGCGCCCATACCGCTGCCACTCAGGCTGGTGCGTGAGGACCGCGAGTGGCCAAAGGATGGCGAGGAGGAGTGCGAATGTGTGTGGCCATGGCCGTGCTGGCCGTGATTGTGAGGCAGTGGCGGTTGTGGGAGGGCATAGGATGATGCCATGGTAGCAGAGTTGGAATGCCCCGTGCGGGCTTCAGGGGCGCGACTTCAGGATCCAGCGACAAGTGTTGGTGTTTTGTTTTTTTGACAGCTCGTTCAATGGAACTTGCGCATTGGGATCAAGACGCGAGAAAAGTCCGGTTTTGCGGTCTGCGTGTTTGCCGACGTGGACAAGTGCAGCGACGAGCGACGTCGGTGACCGAGGCACGGGGCGGGCTCGTGGAGTTGTGGAATCGATAGGGGCGGCGTGGGGAGCGGGCGAAGACGAGACAAGACGAGACGAGTCCCTTGCGGGCCTGGTCGGGCGGAGCGACCAGGGCCAGGTGGAGCAAACCGCGCCGTGGTGACCTGCCAAAGACTTTGGATTGTTGACGTCGTTGTTGACTTGACCAAAGGCGTTTGTGCACACGAGCGAATTGGACGAGGTCACTGGTGGTGAGGAGGAGGTTCTCAAGTTGGGGGCAGCAACTGGGGGACAATAAACGCGGCACCCCTAATCGGAAACGGAAAAGCAAGAGTGGCAGCTTGAGGCAGGAACGACGACCATCCCAATTGGGATGGTCAAGATGGTTGACTGGGGAGGCGCCTAACTAATAATTATGTCGCACTTGGCAGGGCGACGGGGGATTTGCCCCTGGCCCGGGTCTGTCGAGCTCCCCAGCGCAGGACCAGGGTCTGGGCTCTGCACGTCAAAAGGGTTGCACCACGAGGCGGCCATTGGCTGCAACAAGCCCTCTGGGCGCACAAAGGCCGCCTCTAGGTTCGCAATGACGGCAGTCACCCACCTGTGCAGAGCCAGCTGCCTGCCTGCCTGGGAAGGTCCGCACCTGACTGGCTGGGGGCTTGATATATGACCCTGCGCGTATTGTGGGGCTCGACTTGTTCCCAGAGCTGCCCAATTACTGCAAGGTCCCGCAGCAAGCAGCGCAGCGCCAAAGGTCGCATCATGTGAACGTGGTGGCTTGGTCACCCAAAGCCATTGTACCGTTCGCATGCCGCATGAACAGCTCGCGAGAGGGAGAAGAAGGGTAAGAGGGTTGGGGTGACCGCTTCTGAACTCATTCCTCCATACCATGAGCGACTATATTTCAGTGGTCCTGTTGTTCTCAGTGGCGGATCATTGGGGACTTGCTTCCAGATGAAAGCCAGACGAACGACAGACCACTTGCAGCTCCACCACTGCACAATCAAGCGGGACTCCAGGACGTGGCCTCTGCCAAGGCATCACCACGTCGTTCCTGTCTGCACCCTCCGCACACCTCACCACCAGCCCTGCCGCCCACTCAAAAGCAAAACCCCAGGCGATGCGGCAGAGCCAACCCGGGATTATCAACTGCTGATCACCAAAAAAGCATATCCTGGCTCACGGTCGACTCGCACTATGCTACAGACAACAGCCTGAGTGGACACTCCCCATACCTACTTGCAGACAGCATTTGCCAAGATGGCCGATACGCTCCGCATCGTCATGTGGTTCACCCTGGCCGGCCTGGTCATGGGAGTCATCTTTGTGTTTGCACTGCTGCCGTCCAGATACACACCTCAGGCTGCCGGGTCCCGTCAGCCCGTGTCCGTGCAAATCCTCGTTCTCGGGGACATTGGCAGAAGTCCGCGCATGCAGTATCATGCCATCAGCGTCGCAAAGCACGGCGGCCACGTCGACCTCATCGGCTATAATGGTTCGTTCCAACCAGTGTCGGCCATGTTCATATCGCTAGGGTTGTTCGTCTGAGGCTGACTTGATCGCACAAAACCGATAGAATCGTCGCTGCATCCTGACTTGAGCAACAGCGCCAACGTAAGGGTGCGTGCGCTGGCCCCTCCACCAGCTGCACTGAGAACAAAATCCCTTCCTTTCCTCGTGACCGGGCCTCTCAAAGTGCTATGGCAGGTCGGCACTTTGATCTGGATGCTTGCGTACCAGGCACCAGCGGCAAAATGGCTCCTCGTTCAGGTACAAACACTATGTCTTCACCTCAATCCCTCGAGTTGTGCTGATACCACGGGCAGAACCCGCCGTCTATTCCGACCTTGGCCATTGCGATGCTCGTGTCTATCCTACGCAACACGCAGCTCGTAATTGATTGGCACAACTATGGCTGGACTATTCTGGCTGGCACAAAGGGGCCGAATCACCCCTTTGTCGAGATTTCCAAGGTGTATGAATGCGTCATGGGCCAGGTCGCACCGACGGTCAACATCACTGTGACCGCGGCCATGGCTGCCCAGCTCAAGGAGGAGCCGTATAAGGTCACGGCTCCGATCGTCACCCTCCATGATCGGCCAGCCGCCATATTCAAGCCTGTGAAAGCACCGTCGGAACGACGGGCGTTCCTGGAGCGTCTGCCGGAGACAAAGGACGTCGCTGCCAGCATTATGTCTGGCCACATGAAGCTGCTTGTCAGCAGTACTTCATGGACTCCTGACGAAGACTTCTCGCTCTTTCTCGACGCCTTGGTCCGCTACGCAGAGATGGAGGCCGAGCACCCAATCCTGGCCATCATCACCGGCCGCGGGCCACAGAAAGCACACTACGAGGAGCAGATCAAGCTCCTCCAGACACAGGGAAAGCTGCCGAATATCCAAATATTGACTGCGTGGCTGTCGATGGAAGACTATGCCGCCCTGCTGAGCTGCGCGGACCTCGGCATATGTCTGCACATGTCGAGCTCAGGTGTAGACTTGCCGATGAAAGTGGTGGACATGTTTGGAGCCGGCCTGCCCGTAGCAGCGTATTCCAAGTACGCCAGCTTTGGGGAGTTGGTGAAGGAGAACGAGAATGGGTGTGGTTTCGAGACGAGCTCCGAGCTCGCTGCCATCCTCGTGCGGTTGTGCAGCAGTAGTGGTGCAGACGAGCTGCGCCGCTTGCGGATCGGTGCGGAGAAAGAGGGCAGTCTCCGCTGGGACGAGGAGTGGGATCGTGTTTTGGCACCGCTATTTGGGTTGTCGTCCTGAATGTGCCGGCTATAGCCGTGAACTGAAAGCCAAACAAAACACTATACCCATCTAGAAAAGGAACTGTTGATGCTAAAGAATAAAACGCTATGCGCCATGAAAATGTCTTGCACCAGGCACTCCGGGATGTTGAGCGCCAATGCAGCCGCTCATCCTATGTACAAAGTCTTCCCTCCAAAAACAATGAATCAGCCCCTCCCCTCCCAAACACCCTTCGATCGTCTTCTCGGTCTGGGGTCAAGTCCGTATTCAATCTTCGCCCAAGCTCTCCCGCACACACTTCCTCACCATCTTCCTGAAGTCCTTCGGTCCGCCTTCCCTCTCGATTCTCAACAACTTCGCAGCCTCTAAGTTTGCTGGGCTCTCGTCATTCGGCTCGCTGAATAGGCTGATGACGCTCATGAGGATCGAAGCGGGGCCCTGCATCGGGTTCCAGCGCTCCGCAGCCGACTCGTAGCCCCATTTGTCCTCGCCCGGGGGGTGCAAAATCGAGATACACAGTTCTCCGTCGCGCGAGCCGCCCTGGTAGATGTTGGGATGGAAGGGCACCGGGTTGAGGAACCGCATCTTGGGCGGCAGGATGGGGTATTCGGGCGGGAAAGAGAGACGGGCGCGGAAGTAAGCTCCTGTTGTGATAACAAAGGGTGCATGGTCAGCAAGTGGGGATAAGCTCGTCTACGCAGGAGCTGCCCTCATGGTTGGCGAAAAGAGGCGAGGGAGGGTTAGATGCTTACCGCCGTAGTACTTTGTCTCGTCGTTGATCATGAGGACCACCTCCCACTCAAAGATGTTGCTGTCACTCACAAGCCCGACCGAGATGCCGGGCAGGTCGTCGGCCTTTTGGATCTCGCGGAGCTGGTTCTGCAGTAGCCGGGCTGCGCCGGCGGACTGTGCTGATGAGGTCGCCATGGTTTGTAACAGGCTGAGGATCACCGCTTGCCCTGCTTATGTCTCTTTGACGTGAGAGAACCCAAGATCGTGGAGGGTGCAGCTATATTGCGAACTCGCTTTGGTGGGGTGAAGGGTATCCGCACGGAAGGCGAGTCACTGAGTGTGTCGCTGCTCAGCTTATCTTCCGGGTGGTTGTCCAGAAAGGCCAAACGATGCCAGGACTAGACAAAAGAAATAGTTGCTGCTGTTGGTGAGAAGTGCAGTGAGGATTGGAGGAAGAGGTCCGCAATGGGCGAGATGGAGATCATGACGGGGAAGAGGGGTCCAGTTTCGGCGGCTATCGATAGGGTGCCTGCCTTGGGAAGCCGAGGCGCGCCGATATCGCGTGTTGTGGCTCTGCAGCCTGCAGGAACGAGCACTGCAAATGTTCGACAAACGCTCACCGTAGAAGCTGCAGAAGTCCGTTTGTGACAGATCACAAGATGAAACTAAACGGATACTACCTCTCGCATCTTGTCACATGCAGATCTCACGGGGTATGATTATCAGAGGTATCTTGATCTTTACGCCAAACGCCGTTCTTGCCCAAAATGCCAACGCCAAATGAAGTGTCCTTGGTCTGCTTTGCAGGGATACGCTCCGGCGACCAGACCAAACGCTACTTCTTCTTCGACCCTCCAAACCCAGTGATTCCCATCGCCGCCATCATGTCATCCTCATCGTGCTCGCCCTCCACCCGCACGTCCTCACCATACTCGACCTTGACCTTTTCCGCCGCTTCGCGCTCCGCCTTCCTCTTCTGCGCATCCTCAAGTCGCTTGAGTCTCCTCGCTTCGCGCTCCTTGGCATCTTCTTCCTCTCTTAGCTCCAACCGCTCTTTCAGCGTTGTGGTAGCCGCCCTCTTCTGCTCCTGCAACCTCTCCCACAGAGCCTCTATCCGTGCATGCACATCGTCGGCTGTTGCCTTCTTGACCTCGCCCGTCTCGCCAATGTTCCGCAGATGCTGCATGGAATTGACATGCTCGACCCACTGGATATTGTCCTTGAACGTGAGGTCACAGGCTGCGCAGTAGAAGCCCGCGCCGCGTCCTCTCTTGCCCACGCCCGCCCCCGCGGGCACCAGCATCGTCTTGCCGACATTCGCCTCGAGGTCGAGCACATTGCGCCGCGCCGCCGTGTGCGTCTCCTCGCCCGTCAGGGGCTTGTAGTATTTCTTGCCCGCGAGCTTGGCCTCGTAGCGCGCCTTTGCCTCCTCCTTCTCGGCGGCCTCGCGCGTCTTGGCTTTCGCGGCGTACTCTTCCAGGTCCCAGTTCTTGCGGAACGAGGTGTCGCTCGCGGGCGTCCCGTAGGCGGAACCCTTGGAGTTGGACATGTTGGCTGCTGGTTATTGTTGTTTCGAGGCTGGGTTCAGTCGGGGGGCGGTGTTCGTGGTGAACTTGTGCGCGCGTGAAGTTTCTGCAAAGCTTTTCTGTGTCGGGTGATTTGAGGTTTGTGGGTAATTGGCCGCTGAAATACGACGGTGTCTTTATCTGTGTCTTTGTCTATGTATGCTCAAAGACTAAGTAGAATGCCACCTGGGCAGGCCCCTACAGCTCGACACCAAGAAATGCGCGACGGCGCAGGGATTCCAGAAGCTCCAGGCCCCACAGCGGAACTGAAGCTCCATCTTTATCGACAAGCACTCCCCGCGATCGGCAAACGATAAGCCCCTCCATTGCCCAAAAAGTTTCATTCGAGGATGGGATTGACGTAGCTGAAGCAAGAGCTGGAGCTGCTACAAGTCATTCTACCTGTGCAGTGCTCATTTATTTTTCTTAGGCCTTCTCTACTAAAGCAGACAAGATGCTGTACCTCGTTGGCCTCGGTCTCTCAGACGAGACCGACATCACTGTTAAGGGTCTCGAGATCGTCAAAAAGGCATCGCGAGTTTACCTCGAAGCCTACACGAGCATCCTCCTCGTTGACCAATCCGTCCTGGTATGCCTCTCAGACTTGGAAATCCCCATGCTCCTGGCAGTTCGCCTATGAGCCAATCTCTACATCTACAAAATTCGGGAGAGGAAAAATTAGTTCTTGAATCGCACAAGTTTTGTTATTGGATTCACTGACGCCCGACAAATGGCAGTAGGAGAGCTACTATGGCCGCTCAATAGTCGTCGCGGACCGCCAGATGGTCGAGTCCAACAGTGAAGAGATCCTGCGAGATGCGCAGACCGAGGATGTTGCGTTCCTCGTGGTGGGTGATCCGTTCGGGTATGTTCCTTTTTTTCATCTACGCCGTTGCGCAAGAACCCCCCTACATTTAAAGTCGGACACCCTCAAATAGAACTGGCCTTGATCGCTGACGTCCCTCATCTGAAAAAAAAAAAAAAAACAGAGCGACCACACACACCGACCTCGTCCTGCGCGCCCGCGAGCTGCAGATCCCCGTCCAGACCGTCCCCAACGCGAGCATCATGTCCGGCATCGGCGCGACGGGCCTGCAGCTGTACAACTTTGGGCAGACCGTGTCGATGGTCTTCTTCACTGACAGCTGGCGGCCCGCGTCGTTCTACGACCGGATCAAGGAGAACCGCGCCATCGGCCTGCACACGCTCGTGCTCCTGGACATTAAGGTCAAGGAGCAGAGCCTCGAGAACATGGCGAGGGGCCGCATGATCTTCGAGCCGCCCCGGTACATGACCGTCTCGCAGTGCGCGCAGCAGATGCTCGAGATAGAGGAGGAGAAGAAGGAGGGCGTGTACGGCCCGGACAGCCTGGCCATCGGCGCCGCGCGGGTGGGCGGCAAGGACGAGAAGTTTGTCGCGGGCACGCTCGCGCAGCTGTGCGACTCGGATGAGCTGCTCGGCGCGCCGCTGCACAGCATGGTCCTGCTCGGCAGGAGGGCGCATGAGTTGGAGAGGGACTATGCGCGTGAGTTTGCCGTCGACAAGGAGCTATGGGACAAGCTGTGGGCGGAGGAGTATGGCAAGCAGCTTTGAGTTTGGCGTGACAGAGTACATGGACACGATGGAGCTCTAGATCTGCTTTTTGCTTTTTTGCTTTATTTCATTCATCACACATGATAATTATTACAGATCCCCGGTTTCAGCATTGCCCGACACGGACGACACGCACGGGTGCGCACGCCTCTCTAGTGAGAGCTTCTCCATTGCGAAATCTCGCTCTCGCTGATCTCACGCAGCTTCGCGACATTGGCGGGTCGGCCAGTCACGGCACCTTTGGCAACCTCGATGGCAAAACCCAGCAGCGTGCTGTCGCTGACCGAGTAGGTGGCGGTCTCGGTCTTGACGCGGATGATGCCGATGCGAGGGTCGTTCTCGGAGCCATCGTGGGTGCCATCGCCGAGATCGCCGACCCAGGCCTTGAGGGTGGGCGTGTAGTGCTCCCTGATGAGGGCGCGATCCGTCTCGATGGTGCTGGTGCCCGAGACGGACGCCCACTGGCCGTTGCTGTCGAGGAAGGAGACATTGGTGTGCGAGTCGAACTTGATTTCGTCCGTCTTGCCAGATTCGGTGTTTGTGAAGAAGAGCAAGTCGATGCCGGCGTTCTCCTGGATTGTTTGGGAAAGAGAATTAGCCAACCTGTCTCGGATCTTGAGGCGGAACGATTGCGAGTCAACTCCGCCTTACCTTGGCGGCGACGGCCATGCATCTTGAGACAAGGCGGCCAGTGGCAAGGTCACGGGTGGTCATCATGCCAAACTTTGTGGAGGAGATGAACTTGGTCAAGGCAGTGATCTTCTGCTCGGCAGACTGCTCATCCTTGTTGGCGGCCTTGTAAGGGTCAGCAGTCTTGCTGCCAGTGTCAGTGTTGGAGTAGGACGACATGTTGTGTGAGAGGCGAGGGATTGATGACCGAGTTTGAGTATGTCTCGTGCAAATGGGTGTGATTGATCGCGCAGTGAAAGTCAAGAGTGGGATTCTTCTCAATGTGTTCATGTCCTGTTTGCTGGGAGATGGGCAGTTTAAGGACCATGACGAACTACGTGGGAGCTAGTGGGCTATATAGATGACCGCATCGCACAGTGCCCCAAGCCTGGCCCGTGTCTGGCAGCTCGCCCTGAGCTCGGGGGAGGCTATGAGTGCATGGCTGACGTGGAGATCGAGACATCGCATTTCATCATCGAGTGAGTGTCGACCGTAGTTGCGGCGGCAGGAGGAGCTCGTCGTGGTGTAGTCATGACGTCAAGCTGGGGTGGTTGCACGCCCACTCCCGTAGCTTTTGGCCCGAGACATTGGGGCTTTAGTGCCTGGGGCACAGGTGTGTCGAGGGCCGAATTGGTCACCGCTGCACGATTTGCAAGACCAGAGCGAGCATATTTACCTGAGTACTAGAGTGAGTAGGCAGTGCCTGAGATGTGCGGCCCATTGTCTGAACGCCGTTCGCAATGCCGCAAAGTTGTTCCTGGCGGGCTGTCGTGGATGTTTGGGCGATGCTCCGATGTAATTGGCGCATGTGCCCTATTTCGGATGGACAAGACGGGCCGCAACAGGCACCATAGTATCATCACAATTCCATCCAGCAGTGTCGATTGCCTGATCCCCGGCATGGCCAATTTTGTTGCGAGGCAGTTGCAGAAGAGGTTATTCTATGGCGCAGCTTGGTGAAGACTTGCCGTCCCACAGGAAAATGTACACCGTTGCCGGCAGCCTGGCTTGAGGAAACAGCCTAGACGCCACATCAAGGCTCATTGATGGAAGAAAGTGCCATGCCCACAATGTCACAAAGCAATCCTTCCGTGTCGTTCAGGTTTGCAAGGTGCCCACGGAGGAGGCGGGTGGTGTTGGTGGATCAGATAACCCAGAGTTGTGCTGGGTTATAACTTATCAGATCAAACAAACATGGTGCCGTGAGGTGAGTGCGAGACCAGGCCGGCCTCGGCTGGGGCTGAGCGCAGGCATCAAAATCAATCAATCAATCAATCAGCTCGGCGGCGCCGAGCGGAGCTTACCATGACATGAGCGTAGAACGCAGCCGCGTGCCCGCGCCAGCTCCCGCAAGCGGGGCCGGTGCTGGCCGCAGCGGGACGATGGAGAAATTCTGAGCCTGACAACTCCAGGGCTCTCTCGTCCGTCCAGCTACTGCAGTCGGTGCCATCAATGCGCGCCTGGCACCCTGGTCTGGCACCTGCAGGTGCCTGAGGACAGCATCGTCTTCCCACACTCATCGCCCGTCGCAACTTCCGCTTCCTCGCAACATCCTCGGACAAGTGTTTGACCGGTCGTCTGCCTGGCGGTTCTTGCCGGCTGTCGCGCTGCCACAGATCGGCCTTGCCAAAGAGCGCTTCCGACCCCCCTGCGGCACTTGACTGCGTCTCTGGTGATTCCGGCCTGCCTCAGCCGGGCTCAATCCAGACTCATCCTTCCTGTCTTTTCTCTTCCTCTTTTCACTCCGCCGTCACCTCCTCTCAGCAACAGTCAGACTTTGCCGACCTCGCCCAGATATATCTGGCAGAGCCTACTTCGCCACTTCGCTGGGGTCCATTCAAGGCATAGGCCGGCCTGCGCTCTTTACTTGATGCCAGAAATGTCATAGGCGCTCTCCCAGTCATGGATTTCGGAGACCTGCACGATCAAGCTTGGGAGTGCCGTGATGGGGCCGACCAAGCCGAGGCCTACTATAACCAGCCGCTGCGAGCCAAGAATCGCGAGCTGCTAGACGAAAACCTCGCCCTCAAGCGCCTCCTCCGCGAAAATGGCATCTCGTGGCAGAATCCGTCCGCAAAGGCTCTTCGTCGCAGGGCCTCAACCAGGCTTCGCAGCTTGGGCTCATCTGCTACACCTGCACCCCAGCGCCCCTTACCTCATCTACCTGTAGAGGTTCACTTAAAGATCCTCTATTTCGCCCTTACCAGCGACCACCCCATCATCAACCCTTTGTGCAAGTCGAAGCCAGAGCATCTGACGACTCAGGAGCGCACCCGGCCCAATCAGATCGCCATTCACTTCCTCGCTACCTGCAGAGCGTATCACGAGGAGGGTGCAAGAATCTTGTGGACCAACAACCACTTCCTCTTCACCACCCCACTGGCTGTCAAGGACTTTGCTGAGGTACCAGCGCAGTTTCGTCGTGAGATAAAGGACGTTACTTTAAGAGTCGTCGCCAAGTATTACGACGATGAAGATCGTACTCACCGCCTGCCAACCACATATCATCCCGATTTCAAGAAGCCACACAAACTCAGGATCCATATGCGACCAAAGGAGCGCACCATGGCAAGACGTGGCTTTCGAGCCTATGCATGGATGCAGCTCATCGACTTCCTCGAAGCGCTCCTCCCGCCTCACCAGGAGTCTCCACCGACCAGACGAGAGTCGAAGGCTGTTCGCCGCTTGTCTATTGATCAACTTACTCCGCGAGCTCGTCTGTTCCCAAACCTTGAGCGACTACGCATGGACTTTGTGGACTTTGGTGAAGACATTCTGTCATTTCCGCCTGGACAATTACACGACCTCGCGTGCCACCAGCTGGGACGCTCACTGAACGAGCTGGTTCTCACAGGACTTCCAGGCGACGAACCCGGCTTCCGTGTCAGCACTGAGCTGGCTGGGCTCATAAAGGATGAAGGTCTTCTCATTGACCATGCGCCACTCATGGCCAGCCAGAAACAAGGAATTCGCCACTTGCCTTGTGATGATGACAAGTGTCACTATTCTTCAAGGGTGGTCAGGGCAATGGACTCTGACCATATGCGCGGACATCACCATCATGACGATCACCACCACCATCACCACGATGACGATGACACGATTGATTTTCCTACTGCGCCTCCGGAAATGGGCGAGCCACCTGAACATAACGCGTTTTCTTGTCGCACAATCTGGAAGAGGAGACCTGTCAAGCTGGACGACCCCACAGAACGCGAATGGGAGCTGTATGACAGGATCAGCGGCCTTCCTTGGGACGATGTCGAAGAAGAGGCCACAATGCTAGACGACATTGATAGCGACGGCGAAGGCATGGAATGTGACAACTGTGGCAAGACACACCCTGGAGCAATCCTGCCTCAGGACATGATGGACTTGTACGACGATATGTAGACAACGACGAACAGATAGGAGTCTATGGGCTGGCATTTGTTATGGCAAGTGAGCGAACGATACCCAATTGCTTTAGGTCTGGCCTGGATGGGCGAGCCGATATCTGCGAGGCGCCGTGATTTCGATTCCTGCGGAAAACATTCGGGCAGCAAAGACGTCCGAGTCGAAATTTGCCCCGGAAGTCGGACACTGTATTAGCTTTGCATGCGAGAGTTATTCAGAGAGACAATAAAATTAGCATTCTGCTCTTTACTGCAAAGGCACGCGTGTTTATCCTGCCGATGTCGGCCTCGTTGAATTCCTCTTCCGTCCTCATCTGGTCATAGAGTGTGAGCTGATTGAGGCTATTCTAGGTGACGTCCACAAAAGAGAATATGATTGTGTCATGTATCCTGAAAATTGATGTTGCTTTCACGACATCAACTACTTTAGTTCTTATCCTTCTTCGTCTTCGACTTTTTCCCACTAGCTCCCCTGTCTGATTTGTCCTTGTCCTTCTTCCTGCTGCTACTCTTGGATTCTTTGCTCTTGTCCTTCACCAAAACTCGTTTCTTCGAGCTGCTACTCTTCTTTCCCTTCTTGCTCTTCGACTTGCCTTTCCTTCTTCTGTCGTTGTCGTCTGACTCTGACTCGAGATCCGAGTCATCAGAGCCCCTCTCTGCGTCACTCCCATCGCTCTGGTCGTCATCTGATGCAGAACTGGAGCCCACGTCTGAACGACCCGACGATGTGGCCGACGACCCCGACCCGGAAGCAGAGTCCGAGTCCGAGTCCGAGCCCGACTCGGAGGTCGAGCTCGAGGCGAGATCGACCTTGAACTTGGCGGCGTCGCGGTGCTCTTTGACCTCGTAGTCCCAGCGGATCTGCTCCTTGCGGGCATTGGTAGCCTCGTCGCTCCGCCCGTGCGTGTGGAACAGGTAGTTGTCAAACTGCATGCTCGCACGCGCAATCGTCTTGAACTGCTTGGTCGACATGACGGGCTGCTTCCTTTTGGCCTTTTTGCCGTTCGCGTCCTTTACGCTGATGGTGGCTGGGACATCTTGTGTATTGTCTGGAGCCGCCGGACCGTCTGGCTCAGCGACGACTTCGTCTTTGCCGGCAGCCTGCGGTCCAGTCTGACCAGCAATTTCAGAGTCCTGTGCTCTTGATGCCGAGCTTGCCTGCATCGCCGAAGCAACGTCGCGGACATCGAATTCGGAGAGGGCAATGGCGGTCTGGAAGGCGTTACGGATTTGCCGTCCGTTCCAGTTGAGCTGCTCCCAGTGGTCCTTGACAAAGCGAATAATCTTGTCGTGCTGAACCTTGAGTTCCGGCTGTCCGTCCTGTACACGCTTGGCATTGGACTCAGTCACGCGGCGTAGGTTCATCTTCCAGATCTGAATAGTCTGTCGACGATCCAGCTTAGGGTAGTACAAGCTGAGGTGGATCCGGGAGCGGAAGGCGTCGTCAAAGGCTCCCACTCGGTTTGTTGTCAGAAACAGGATTCCTGGATAGTACTCAAGCACCCGCAGGAACACGGAGACGAGACCGTTCCGCTTGACGTCATCTCTCTGTATCACGGAGCAGCAAGCATCAGCAATGGTCTAGGTTCAAGATATTCAATCGGCCCCTTACACTTCTCCGGGCAAGAAACACGTCAGCCTCATCGAGAAGCATTACGCAGCCCCATTTATGAGCAAGGTTGAAGTGTCTGTTCAGGTTGGATTCAACCTCGTTGGGCTCATAGCCAATATCGCCTTGAAGATGAATCAGCAGGTATTTTCATCAGCGTGCTGTGGAGCGGAACGTACCGCAAGTGATGGGAAAGAGAGGCCGCTTGGTGTAAGAAGCAACACACTCTGGTCGTTGTTAGCTCAGCTGCTAGCAGCCATATCCACGGGATTGCGCACGAACCGGCAGTCGAAGTCTTCCCGACACCTGGCTCCCCATGCAGTAGGATAATGCAGCCCTTTCCTAAAAGTGAGTCAGCATGTGGACAAGTGGAGGGACAGGAGTAATGTCACGACATTCCTACCTTTCCCGCGGACAATGTCAACCTCCTGAGAGCTCTTGCTGCCTCCCTTTGTGGGTCGAGAGCCAGTCGCATGGTTCTCAACTACTGCGCGCACCATTTCTTTGTGGCCAGTTGGCAGCACCAAATCGTTCCACTCAGCTTCAAGCTGGATCGGCTGTACAAGACGAACATCCAAGTGAACTGGCCGTTGATCTCATCAGTTTCAAACGTCCTAAGACCTGACTGTAATTATGTCTAGGAATTGATTGATGACTTACCCCATTTGCGGTTCCGTAAGGCAAACCCATAGACCACTCCGGGTAGGAGTAGGAGGTGTCCTTGCTTGTCCAATTGCTCTATCAGATCATCGTGTGACGTTTTCGGGTCATCGATCGCCGGATAGTCGTTTATCAAGTCGATACACACGCTCTTAGATTTCTCAGCCAGGCTGTTCTGGTGAGCCCAATACCAGTCGCCACCGGCGCGCCCAAATCGTGTTCGAGCCACTGCTTCGTGCAGCTCTGGTGACGGAGGTATGACACCGGTGGCTAAGGTCTCCGGCGTTGGGAAAGAAAATCTAGGGATCAAAGACTGCATCTGCTGGTACGCTAGCTCGAAATCAATGATGACCGCAGTGTTAATCTGGAAGTCAATGTCAGTGGCATTATAGCGTATAAATCGCAGGGAGAAAGCTAGATGTGCTGATCAAACCTGTGAAGTTTGAAAAAAAAAACATATGCATACCTCTTCCTTGGTCGGTCCTACAGTCAGACCCTCATAGAGGCGATGGGCCACCTCGCATACTCGGACAAAGCTCATACCTCGAGCTCTGAGGTTCTCCTCCACCGTCTTGCCCTGTTCGGATCGTAGATTGAATGCTGAACTAGGAACGTAGTTCAATGGGAAGCCTTCGAAAAAGACGATATCGCGTTCGCCCTCGAACGGTGCCACCACAAAGATGTCAGTGACGCTATTGAATTTGAGGCCGTCAAAATCCATGTAATAAACCACAATCTCGAGGCAGGTGTTGTTGGCTGCCTTGCTCTGAAACGGCTTTGGGTTGGCGACTGGGCGGCCTCCGGTAACTGCAACAATTTTATATGCCTGTGGTACAGGTCGTCCTGTCTTGGTGATGATGATGTTGCCTGGTCGAGCGACTCTATCGGGACGTGGTTTTGGCCCAGGACTTCTGCTAGGAGTATACATAACGTCGTCAGGCTTGAAGAGCATCCAAATGTTCTCAAAGCGGATACGGGGTAGCTTCGCCTCGCGGTACTGTCGGTAAAGGCTGAGCTCCGTTGCCAAGTACTCGTCCATTGTCTTGAGTAGGAGAACTAGCTGTGCGTGCAAATCGTGTTCAGGACCATCAGCTTCTCGTACAGATGATCCTTGGTCCTGTTGGTGGCTAGTAGATGAAAGTTCCGCGGCAATTTGAGTTTCAGGCGCTGTAACATCGTCCGGCGGATTTGAAAGGCTTTCGGCAGCCTTATCATGCTCCTCAGCGCCACCAGGACTGACTTCAGAAGGCACCGGCTCAGTGGCATCAACGACGAGTGGTTCCATGGGAGACTTGCTCTCCTGCTCGAGCTCAGCCACCTTCTCGCGAAACGTTTCGACGCTGTGGATGAGCCATCGAAATGGTTTGAAAAAGCGAATCGAGTGGTCTTGCTCGACGACACCATCTCTGTTGGGCATTTCGGGTGACGGCGTGACGCCAGCAAGCTTGTCAAAGTACGGCTTAAGGACCGGTGACTCGATCCTAATCTCGAAGACCTCCACGGCTCCAGCCTGCAGAACGCCGCGGCATTGGGTCTCAGCCTCAACATTGCTGGTTGGTGTGTTTTGGATGTCATCCCATTTGACACGGAGCAGAGGGTAGATGTCGTCAGAATCGTACAGGCGTAGCGCCTCTGGATCGCGCCTGTAGAAGTACTGCGTCTCAAGTTCAAACTTGCAGCGCTCTTTCTTCGATGACGATGGTGGTTTCGCATCATCATGATCCGCTTCCTCCATCTTCTCGCCGCGATCTTTGGCTGCAGGGCCATCGTCGCTGACGTGGGGTTTGTCGTCCACGTCGTTGCTGTGCTCGCCGACTGGTGCAGCAGGCGCTTCATGGGTGCCTGCTTCCTCCGCAGTGGTCTCCACGACAGCCTCTTCATCGTGCTTTGGAAGAACAGACTGGTCAATATCCAATCCTGTGCCTACTTCTCCCTCCTGAGATCCGGTATTGATCGGATCGAGGGTGCTGTCGCCGCCCAAGTCCGGGGTCTGTTTTGCACTGGCACTGCTCAAGCCCTTGGCCACCGTCTCTGCGCTGGGATGCACAGAGGTCTCATCGTCAAGGACTACGTCTTTTTCGCGCGTGTCCTCTTTGACCACCTGGTCCTCGTTGGCGTCTTTCGCCCCATCCGAACCTTCGAGCTGTCTGACGCGGAACTCGAGTGCTTTTATGGCCTGCAAAAGTCCTTTCACGAACTTGGTTCCTTTCTCCTCGGCATCCCCGACAGCTTCGCGGAAGCTGCCGGCGGGAGAAGAAGAGCGAGTTGAAGCACGGCTACTGTTGGTCGTGGATCCATGCCGTGCGCGATCCCTGAGGGTCGCTCTGGTGCCCATGATGGCATCCCATTCCAGCGGCGGATATGCGTACCTCCCACCGAGCCCGGGGGCACGCAAGCTTGCCGTAGACACCCCCGTGGAAGCTGACGAGAAGGTACCACTCGAGCTTGTGGACGAGCTTCTGCGGCGGCGCGTCCGCCTTCTGGTGGACTTGCGTGGTGGCTGTCCCGGCCGCCAACCCGGGGGAGGAGGAGGCGGCGGATGAGTATAGGGTAGTGCAGTCATTGGCTGGCCCTGCGCCGGGCCCAGGCCGGTGCTCAGAGGCGGTTGTGCCATGGCGTGTTGCGAGCTGGAAACATGCGATCACGATGTCGAGGGTTGGAAGGTGCAAGGGCGTTGCCGTCAAGAGTCTCGTCTGGTGTAGGCACTTGCCTACTGAGTAGCATATCCAGGTAGTCAAGAAGGTGATAATTACTGGGTTCCGCTTCCACAAGAAACTCAGAAGGTCAGATTTGCAAGCATGAGCGTACTGCACCCTGCTCTGCTGCTCTTTCAGCTCCTAACCTCGCAACCGCCCTCATCCTTGCAGGGGCGGCCCAGTCACGAAGAGCGTTGATGAGGTATATCCTTGTCGACAGACACACCATTGGCTGGCCTTGCAGTCGATAGCCACGCATGCATACATACTTGCGCTGCAGTCAGACGAGCTGCAGCAGGAGATGCAACCAGCCAGCCCTGGCCGGGGCAAGCCAGCCGCGGAGGGTATTATGCCGCCCGCCCCCAACTGCAGAGCACAATGTGGCTGAGGGGTGGTCGTGTTGCTGCTCCTCATTGTGCCCGGCGATCATGGCACCCGAGGACTGCCTGGAGCAGCAGTGAGGCTATGCAGACATTGTGGTACCATACATACTATATATCAAGCCAGGCCTCATGGGAAGAGGCTATCCCAGTCTGCTGCAATCCAGAGGCCAGTCTCGCGCCCGCCATGTCCCGGACAGAGCTGCTCCAGAGCCGGCATCGCGATCGCCTCCTCACCAACAGCGCAGCCGAGTTCCTTGAGACGCAAGCCGACGTCGCCTTGGGCCCAGAACTCGCGCAGCAACCTCCGGAGTTCGTACCCGAGCTCGACAGATTCGTACCACCCGACGAGATCACCAAGCCCGATTACTACGAGGAGTCCCAGACAAAGCTATTGCAGTTCAGACAGACGCTAGAGGCCTTCCAAAGGACTCTGACCGACAGACGGCTGGGCGAGCGTTATGATGTACAAGTCAAAGAGACTTACACCATTCAGGATGTGTTGGCCATCGCGCAGACCATCCAAGAGCGCCACGAAGGGGCAGAAGAGGTCCACAGTTGCAGTAAGTGAACTCTTCGGCCGAAAGGGTGAAATGGGAGTCGGCTGTCACATTTGGACATCACAACAGGCTGACCAAGCCCTTGCTTGCAGTGGGCAAGATCCGGAAGTTTTTCCGGGCAAGCGGCCGCAACGCCTCCACGTTACAACGTTTCCTCGAGTTTGTCCCTAATGGCGACTACACTTCAGTGATATGCGGTGGCTTCACCGTCATTCTTGGTGCAAGTAGACATCTTTGCTAGCCAATTTGCCCCGGCGATAGGCCGTGCTGATCCGTTGTGCAGGCACTTGAACGACTGGAGACCCTGAGGACCGACATGTACAAAGCACTCAGTGACATCCCCAAAATCATGAGCAGGATCCATCGCCACCTGGCTGTCCACTTTCAGTCAGCACGGCTGAAGCACTGCGCGGATATGGTCTGGGTGGCTGTTTTCACCGTGCTTGAGGCCATCATTCGAGAGCTCTCGACGAAGAGCAGCAGTACGTCCTAGCGGTCATGATCGCAAGACTTCAGGTACTAACCATTGCCGTATGCAGAAAAAGCATTCAAGGTTTTGATCAAAGGAGATGCTCACGCCACGGACGTTACAACGTCTCTGGCGAGCCTCACTGCTGCGGTGAACGAGTTCGAGGCGGAAGCAAACATCTGTGATGCCCAACGACTCGGCCAGGTTGACCGTGCCACGCAGGAGACCTGGTCAACAACACGGAGGATGGAGTCCAACGTCCAACAACTGAGTCAAGGTAGGCAAATGTGGCTTAGACCTTGCCCACACCCAGACCTCTGCCTCATAAAAATGTATTCCAAAACCCAGCAAGCCTCATCCACGCAATGCTGACTCGCACGTGTGCCAGGCATGAGCTCATTCAGTGAGAGACTTGAGGCAAGAATGACAGAAGACCAGCATGCGCTGGAGGCCAAGCAAGACAAGCTGCTTGCCAACACAGAGCAACTTCTCGATAGTCACAAACAGCTGCTTGACAACAGACGCGAAGAATCTCGAGCAGAGCAAGTCCAAGTCAACGTATATAATGTGTTTTATTGTTTCCTGACAGCCAGTCCGTCTTTTGACTCCAAGACTGGGACTCGTGAGTCCTGCCTCCACCCACTAGCTGTGAATGCCTGGCTAACCTTGGAAACTTTCAATCTCGCGCTCAGTCCAGAATCTGCAGGCCGGCAATCGACTCATACGCTCAACGACGCCACTATCAATGGACGAATTGAGAACGACCCTGTCTACAACACCACTGTCCCGCTCTCCATCTCACCTTTCGCCTTTCGGCTTCCCGCATAGTCCAAGCTCACAATACGACAGCAACAAGGCCGTGAAATCCTGGCTACGAGAAGCCCAGAGACCGGAGCGAACAGCGGCACAAGATCTCCGCTCGTGCCTTGGAGACATTACAGCACAAGCCGACCTGGACGAGCAAGACCGTGTGGCCTACATTCTAGCCTCGGACGAGCTTCGGAACTGGTTGCGCACAACGACCTCACAGGTCCTTGTTGTTGAGCTCCGCCACAGCCCCCGAGATCAACACTTTACCGCGTCCTCGTACGCTTCGGCTGTGCTCGCCCGGTCTCTAACTCGTACCGCGTCTCCCATTGTTCTGACACACCTTTGCTCCTCGCGTGAGACAGATCCAGAGAACGGCACATTCGCTGGCGGCAAAGGCGTGCTGGTCTCGCTCGTGGGACAACTCGCGTCGCAAATAGTGTCGCCTAAGCACAGATCAGGAACAGGTGTGCCAGTTGATCTTGGCTTTCTTGTGAACGACAAGAGCGCCAAGTTCAGCCGCATTTCAAACAGCACATCTAAGCTTCTGGCAGTCTTTGAAAGAATGCTAGATCTCCTACCGCCGGCTTCTGGCACGGTCTACGTCATACTCGACGGGATCTGGCGACTATCTCCGGAAAGCAAGGAGACGAAACGCGTGATTGCAGGACTCCTCAACCTCGCTGCGAGACTGTACACGTCCTCCCAGCGCGGCGAGAAAAGAACTGTGTTGAAGATGTTCATCACCGAGCCGTTTTCCACTGACCTACACGAGTTCATCTCGGACGGCGACGACCATGGTCGTAGCAGACGAGGACCACGCCGGTCCATGTCGCCGCCTTCATCGTCAAAACATCCTTATATCAAAGAGCTCTCTGTCCCTGAGCACATCCCCGGCGGCAACCGCGCAGGCGTGAATGTAGCCTGGGTCAACGAGGAAGTCGACGCCATGATTCACGAGTGTACTTCCTCGTCCTCGTCTGCCGGCTCGGCCAATGGGTCCGGCGCCGAGTCCGAGGGCAGAGAAGTGTACGGCAGCCGCCGGAGACCAGGTGATCCGTGGCGGAAAGGGAAGAAGGACAGCCAGCTCTCCGTAGGGAGCGGGAATCGGACAAGTCGTCGTGGCCTACGTCGAGATCAGGGGCGGCGGTCGAACTCATTCTCGAGTGATTCTGATGGTGATTGAGCTAGAGAACAGGAAGGGGTCTCGAACATCTCATAGGCTTGAATTTTAAGATGCAAACGAAGTACCCTCCTGATGCCACACTTCGCTACTCTCATGAATCGATCGTCTATAAGTCACAGGAATTTAAACAACCAGTGGCCGAGAAATACTTGTCCGCTGGGCGCCGACCCCGAAACCGACCATCATACGAGCATTCTGACCACTTTATTCTTCGTCATAGTTCTAGAACTCATTGATTGGCCAGTTGAATACTGACTTTTATTCTTGATCGATCGGTCATTCGCCATCATGCTTTCCACAAAATTACTCGTCATCCTCTTCCTCCTCCTCTTCTTCCTCCTCCTCATCGTCCTCCTCCTCCTCGGCTTCCTCGGCTTCCTCTTCCGCCGCACGACCGCCGTTGACGACACCGCTGGCACCCTCGAACGAGCCGCCTTCCGACTCTAACCGGATAAACTCCTCCCACTCCGGGAACAAGTCGTCGTCTTCCGTCGGCACTCCTAGTATCTTGGCGACGCGGCCCTTCTTGCTCTTCTCGAGGCTCTCCTTCCACGCCTTTGTGGCATCCACAGTAAGACTGGGCTTATAGGTCTGCGAGAACAGCACCGCCTCAGCCAGGCGGTTGGTCTTGGTGAGGACGTCGACGCAGCCGGCAGCGTCGCCGAGGAGCCACTGTGCTGTAAACGCGACGTTGTGGGCACCGGCCTCCTCGGCCTGGGTGGCGAGCGCCTCGAGACCCTCGCGGTTCGACGTGCTCGAGTGTATCAGCAGCAGAGAGCCCAGATCCTTGGCGTGTGTGAAGCATTCAGAGGCCAGAGTGATATCCCAGGCAGCAAGGGCAGCGTCGCCGACCGTCTTCCACTTGTGGTCGACATCAGCTTGCCTGGCGAGCTCAAGAGCAATATCGAGCTGGTGCAGCGCAAGCGCCAGGTCAAACTTGTGCTCAGGGTCCGTGGCAACTTCGAGAGCCAGCTCCTTGTGGCCCTGCCCTTCGAGGAATCTCGCAATCTTGTTGAGCTGGTCGGCAGGGATGGTGGGCAGCAGCTCGGCGGCTGTCTCCATATCCTCGCGCAGCACAAGGGTCTGGTACTCCAGTACGGGGAGGGACAGGGCAAAGGACGTGACGTTGACATCCTTGTCCGCAAGGTATATCCTTGAATCGCGCTGAATGTAACCCAGAGTGTACATGGGCTGATCGAAGTGCGAAACGGTATAAGTTTGGTCGCCGACGAGGTAGTTCAGGCGGTTCGTGCTGTTGGTGTAGATGAAGCAGTCTCCCACCCATTCACCAGTCCGTACGCTATCCGGTGGTTAGCATCCTGTTGGTATGGCATATCAAGCAAATGGCAAGTATATGCCAGGCAAGCTCACCTCTCTGCAATGTCTGTGATGACTTCGAATGCAGCCTCAACACCATCCTCGTCCATCTGCCCATCTTGGACGGCATCGACGTAGGCCTCTCTCGAGAATCGAAGGACGTAGAAAGTGTCCTCACAAGCCAACGTGACAAGCTCGCCGCTCTCGGACCAGTAGACCTGTCTGGGCTCGACTTCGATGCGTCGCACAAGACCGCCGGTCGCCCAGTCGTAGAATGAAACACCGCCTTGTCCCTTCACACCAAGAAGGACGCCGCCCGTAAGGCCCTCGGCCTGGAACGGGATGTCGAGTCCGCCAGATTTCTCCTGGAAGTTCTTGTAGACTTTGACCGAGGTAGCGCTCTCACGGATGGCGAAGTCGTTGCTGTTGTCCTTTGATGCCCACACGAAGTCCAGGGCGGAGCCGAAGGCCTTGTTGCGCCAAGCCAGGGCCGTGTAGATAATGTACTCGCCGTCACCGCACACGGCGACGAATCGGCCATTTGGCGAGTGGATCAGTGTCTGTGGGTATACTTCACAGGTGCCAAGCTCTTTGACGGGTAGCGTAATGGCCTCATTGTCCTTGAGTTCTGTTCAAAGTCTCGATTAGTCAAAATGTCCTCGATCGTGGTGGTTGATCACAAGTTCTTACCACCGCCCTTGATGATGGACGAGAGGACCTCGTTGTGTCTGGCCCAGATGAGCTTTCCAGAACCATCCATGCTTACTGCCGGCTCCTCGCGGCCGAGCTTCACAACGACGGCGCCATCGTCAAAACCTACAGCCACGCCTTGCTTGCCCTTTTGGTAAGACACACACCAAGCGCGCTCAAGGCCATAGTTCAGAGATTGCTCGAAGCGGTATGTGTTGGCGTGCCATATGCGGATGGTACCCTTTCATGAATTAGCATGATTCCTTCTGTGTCCAAGTGTGGTCTCTCTCACATCTTCGGAACCCGAGATGATGATGGGCAGCTCTGGGTGATAGCACGCAAATGAAACATTGTTGGTGTGTCCCTCTAGCGTGGCAATCAAACTCTTGGTTGTGTAGTCCCAGATCTTGATTGTCCGGTCGTCACTGGTGGTGAGCAGATATGGTTTGTCGGCATGGGGATAGTAGTCAACCCAATTGACACCCTTTGTCTCGTGCCTGAGGAGAAGCTCTACGTCAGCAAGATAGCCCACCACATCCTGTAGCTTGTGCATTTCGCTTACGCCTCCAGAGTAAAGTTGGGTGTTGAAGAGCCTAGTGACCATATTTTCACAGTCCTGTCGAGACATGCCGACGCGAATGCTAAAAAACTACGAGTTAGCATATGACCATGTAGTGTCACACCAGATATGCCGAAGTCATCCTTCTGCAAATCCACCTACTGTTTGTGTCCTTGGGGTTAATTGCCAAGCCCATGACGTAGTGTGAGTGACCCTCGAAGACCTGCACACATTTCCAACCCTTCTCCCAGTCCCAAAGCTTGATGGTCATGTCATCTGACGCGGTCAAGACAAAGGGCTGTGTAGGGTGGACGACGATCGCTCGGATGTAGTCGGGGTGGGCCTCGAAGGAGGTGATGCGCTCGGAGGTGTTGTAGTTGTATACACGCAACTGAAAGTCGTCAGAGCCGCACACGATCCAGTTCTTCCTCGCAATGAAACGACCGGCTCGGACGGGGACATCGGTCAGCTCGAACGTTTTGATGATTTGTTGCCTAGTTCCTCCGCATTAGCTGTTTGTCCCCTTTTCGCCGCCGTGCTCAAGAGAGCGTAGTTGCTCGGATGACATACGTTTCATAGGACCAGATATAGACATGGCCTGGAAAATTGAGCCGTCAGTATAGGTTTTGGAAAAGGCGCGACCTTGATCTCGCCGATGCGTAGCAGAGTGAATCGAGAGTCGGAGCTCACCGCTGTAAAGGGTCGTGAGGATCCATGGCTCGTGAGGATGAAAGTCGATGCCCTTGACGCGCTCGCTGCGCGCGAAAAGCTGACGCTATTACCCAGAATCCATTGTCAGTATCGCAATCTGATAGTCTCGTTTACCCTTGCAGTAGTCATGACTTCCAACCCAGCTAGGCCCCTGGCCGTCATTGGCGAAGCGGGTTTGAGCTGGCCAGCGGCATGCTTGGGGCTCTACGGAAGCATTGTGAAGTAACAGGAGCTGAGCGCACCTTCACATCAAGCCTCATGATGGCGATTGTCTGTGCTGCGCACTCGAGTGGCTGGTGTTGGTGCTTGGAGCAGACAAGTAGGCAGACGGAGCCCGGACTGAGGCTCGGGGCGGGGTGATGTTTGACAAGGACGTCGTTGGGAGGCTATAAGGACGCAGGTCCTGATGTGTCGTCGGGTTCGGAATTCGGGGGAACAGGCTGGCGGTGCCGTCGCCAGGTTCAGGACAAGGTTGTCGTGTTCACTGCTGCACTTTGTTGGCATTCGGGAGCTGCCTTGCTCTATGCAACCTTGGATCCAATGCTATCTCGTCTCCTGGCTATTTTCCCAGGTCCCCAAGTTCAACTGTGGACAGGTCTCATCGACAGAAAGAGTGGGGCATTGTGGCTGAAGCTCCCCCTTATTTCGAGCCACACCCCACCACGGCTCTGGTCAATCCATTGTACTCACGCCTCGTGTCCTTCCCACTTGTGGCGGAGTAACCGTCACGTACCTGGACAGAATTATCACAAGAAGTTGTGGAATTAACTTGCATCGCATACCAATGTTCCCATTCTGATACCCTCTGGAGCTGGGAATGATTTTGCTGATGCATCACTTTTGCTGAGTACAAATTCGATGAGGTGCAGTCCTGATGCAAGGTTTCCGCCCAGAGATCCTCAACTTGGCCCATGTCAATATGATGGGCTTGTCTGGAACTATCGCTTGCGCATGCACGTTGGGTTGCACCGACAACACGAATCAGATTCAATAATCTTGATTTGTACAGAGCACAGATGATCAATATTCATACTTGCAAGCTTGGAGATAGTGTGATGGGTTGAGATCTTTGATTCTCAAGTCCAATTGAACTTTTTGCAATGGCTATCTCCCTAAATCAAGTTCCGACCCTGTGGGTATTTGACCCGGTGTATCAGACACCAACGCCTTGTATCATGCCATGTCCCGGTAAAAAAGCAGTCGCTACCAGTTTGCGCCTAATTCATAACTTCGTGTGAAAAGAAGACTTCGAGTCGGCCAGTCAATCCTCCATGTCGGCCTGGACCTTCTTGATGACCTCGACAACCTTGGGGAACAGCTTGTCCGCAGACTTAAGCCCACAGACCTTCTCCGCAACCTGCTCGGCGCTGTTCTCGGCCATGATGGTGGCAAGCTCCTTGCTCTCATCGTCGCCTTCCACGTTCTGGAAGCGGAAAGTCATCTCAGCCGCCTCGAGAAGGGCAGTACATGTCATATCTTCCTCAGCAAGCTCGAAGGCCGGGCCGATGAAACGCTCGTTGCGGCCAAGCTTGCGGAGAGGAGCACGACCAACGCGCTCGACAGCATCGGCCAAGTGAGGGTTGCTGATACGCTTGATAATCTTCGCCTTGTAGGCGTCCTGCTCGGCTTGCGGAATGCCGTGCTTCTTGACAATGATGGAGGCGGTCTCAGTGATGGCGGCCTCGACCTGAGCCTTGATGGCCTTGTCCCGCATGGCGTCATCAACAGTCTTCTTCTTGCGGTTGTAGCCAAAGTAGGCAGCAGTGGCATGAGACGTGTTGACTGTGAATAGCTTGCGCTCAATGAAGGGCTTAAGGTTGTCGGTCCACTTGATGCCGTCGATTGAGGGGCGAGAGCCATTGAAGGGGGGCTCCTCAACGACCCACTCGTAGAACTGCTCAAGAGTGACATCGAGGCCAGCGTTGGGATCCTGAGCGGGGACAATGCGGTCGATAGCAGAGTTGGCGTAGGCTGCGCGGAGGTGGTGGGTGTCAAGACGGTCCTGGGGGCTGTTCTTCTTGATGTGCTCGGCGAGGGCGTCGGTAGCTCCAATCATGTTCTCGCAGGCAATGACAGCGAGAGGCTTCATATCCTCCGAACGCTTGTCGATGCCCTTAGCAATGACGGGGGCGATGAACTTGAGGATGTTGGGTCCGACCGAGCAGGTGACAACCTCAGAAGTGGCAATCTCGTCGATGAGCTCAGCCTCGTTGTACTTGGAGTTGATGGCACGGTAGTTGGTAATGGTCTTTGTGTCTCCACCGTCAACGCCGACCTCGTTGACCTTGTATGAGGGAGTCTCGTTGAGCTTGTTTACAATGTCGTCCATGACATCGGCAAACGTGACATGGTAGCCAGACTCGTGGAGAAAGCAGGCAACAAAGCCACGGCCGATGTTGCCGGCACCGAAGTGGACGGCCTTCTTGTCTGTGCTCGCCATGGTGATGGGCGTGTGAGTGAAGAGTGTGGAGAGAAGTGGAGTGAGAGACTAGGTGTATAGGTGCAGGAGTGTGCAAGAGACCGGACAGGGGAGACTGGTATGATGGTCTTGGGTCGAGGAGTGAAGCCGTGATGTATGGGATGAAGATGGATCGTGAGAAAGTCCGAGTGTTGGAAAGGGGAGAGGCAGGAGTTATATACAACTGTGCCGGCATGAGCAGGCTGGGTACTCTGGATAGACCCAGGCAGGCACGGGGAATCGAAGCCACGATCGATGGACTGACGTTATTGTTTCGAGGGGGTCCGCCGCATGGGCAGGAGCCAGGCTAGTCGAGCAGGTCAGGCCAGGGCCCACCTGCCCATGTGTGGTGACGGATGCAGCATGAGGGCCCCCCTCTGCTCGCTGCAGCAGGGATCCAGACGCAAGAGGGGCGCGGGCTTTTGGCGCCGTTTCAGTGGTCAGTTGGGGGTCCTGCCCCGCCTCCTCCTGCGCCGCTGAACCCTTTGAACCCGCCAAAACGGAGGGGCCATGATGTCTCGCCTCCGTCCGTTTGACGACATCCGAGGATGAGCTCATTATTTGTGTTGGCCCTGCAAAGCTCGGGGCCGTTCCGACCCGAGAGCTGGCCGGCCATCTCTTTCAGCAGCGACACTGTTCTCTAGAAAAGTCCAGCACGTTTCTGACAAGGTGGTCGCCAGCCTCAACAGAATCAGAAAGAAGGCAGGCTTGACATCGTCAACGTCACTGCTGTCGATCTTTTGCACTCGCAACTGCCATTCTCAACAGTGAACACCAGAGGCATTTGGCTCGCAGGCCCGGCGACGCACAGAGAATGCCGCGTAAGAGGACAAACAAACCCCTGGTAGGGGCTGTGCAACGTTGACCAAGTGCCTGGCGATAGATTGGTTGTAAAGGCTGGCCAGAGTGGTCAAGTGTGGTGGGGTCCAGCTTGGCAGCCACTCAAAACGCTCAACGCGAATGTGCGATACGTGCTCCAGTATCGGGTGCTTCCTACCATCAGAAAACACAGTCAGGAAGTTAGTTGGATCCCGGATTCTTGAATTCCCATCAAATGCCATTGCTCCCAAATGAGCAAACGTTCTGCGCCTCACCTCTGGTTATGTGGCCATCGCCTGGGCTGTCCCGTTTCGCCCTGACCATCCTGTGCCGTTTTGGATCATGAACCCTTATCTTCAGCCAGGTCTCAGGGGTGGGGCGCCATGAGCCTTGACGCCTGTGCGGCCTTGCACTCTTTGGCCAGCCGTGCAGCCAGTCGCCCCCAATCACGAGCAAGGGGTCACTAGTCAGCATCGTGATTGGTGCTGTGCCCTTCAAATCCTTTGGTCCGGTGCTTGAGGTGCGCACCGGCGTCCTGTCCACGGTCTTTGTCGCAACAACATCCTCCGGGCCTTCGACATGGCACCCTGGAACGCCTCTAGCACGGGCTTTTTGACTGGTCCTGCCGTCTAATTGTCTGTGTTGCCGGGATCACAACAAACACGAGGCGATGGCTGCTCAATGGCTTTGAGGATGGAGAACGTCACCGCGCACGAGGCGTGAGGGGGAGTCGGCAGCCCCTCATGAAGCCAGGACCCTTCTTACAGCAAAAGGGCAGAACCTGGGGAAGCACACACGGCAAGCTGGAGCTGCATGCGGCAATTTCCATAGAGAGACTGGAATGATGCCGGGTCTCATCTCCAACCTCGAATCAGGTACGCAACATGAACAACATTATGGCTTCCCACAAGGTTGAGACTAAGGGCCGTCTAGTCGTACCTGGTACACGAAATTGGCTATTGCAAATACATCGAAGCTTCATGCCAGACAAGACAGGTATCTCAACACGGTCCAGCCTGTTGGGAACAGCTCCGGCAACGATTCCAATTACCGTGCCCCCAAACGAGGACCGAGGCAGACGGTCAAGTAAGCGCCCACGTGCAGCCATTGAGGCCCCTTGCACTCGCGATGATGCCAACAAGCAGCGCACAACTTCGGGCAATCCAGGAAAACGTTGGCCATCCACCTTTTGAGCTCCACCCCCGGCTTTCTGTGTGGGTGGATGCCCATCCCATGGACTTGACTCACTGGCGGCTCGAATCACAAACGGTGGTCCGTGGCACAAGCGGGACTTCTCTCCGGTGCTCACCATCGCCGACACGTTGAGGACACATCTTGGACAACATGGGGTCAAGTATTCAGACAATTCCGTGCCATAGCCAATACTACGCGCCGCAAGCCTGGGAGTGAATGTGTCAATCAGCAGTGGGTGGAAGCTTGGGACGACCCGGACCGTCTCGCTGAGGGTTGTCCACTCCTTCCCAAACTGTGACCGTTACAGGATTATCAAACGGAATACCAGGCCCACTTCTCGAGAAAGGCCCCTGTCGATGACCTCACACCCACCTGCTAGCTGCCACTACGAAAAAGCCGCGTCTGGTCAGTGATCGACACTGGGCCAATCATGCCTCACTCTGGCCGCCTACGAGGCGGGCGCGGTCACTCATCGCGGCTTGCCGCTCAAGGCTGCTCAGCATCTCAAACTCAACGAGCGCAGTGACGCACGACCTGCGTCTTGGCCCACGATGCACCACCACATATCCCCTCGACCGGGTTGGAGTCGATATTGCACCCGCACTTCCGACAGCAAGCTGACGCATGACGATGCTGTGGCAGGATTCGAGCAGAGCAAGGTGCAGAGATGTCGTCGATGGGAATATCCCTTGGTGATGCACAACAAGCAATGCCTGCCATGGGTAGTCCACGACAGTAAGGCCCATTTGGGTTTGCTGTAACGTTTAACACACGCCTTGTGATGTCCTACCACATCGCGGCAAGCGCCCACTGGCTGCATCTGAACAGCCACGACTGCGCTTACATGTTGAGGTCAAACTTTCCTGTGGAGAGAGAGCACTGCTCGCTTAGCGTACTTGCTCAACGCTGCACGACCTCTTCGAACTTGATCAAGACAGCCGGGCATGGATACAGCGTCAGGGCTGATCCAATCAAGCTGCGGGTGGTCCTGAATATCACTTTGATACAGAGCTGGCCAACCGTCGATCTCGCCTGCTTCCTTGTGCCTGATCATCTCATGGCAATCTAATTCTCCGGCGTCACAAACTCAAGGATTGGCTTTCACGACGGCATGGGATTCCCAGAATCGCACGCGGATCGAAGTGTGGTCTTTTCGCCACCACGTCACCTGCCAGTACGGCTCATCAAGCTCAGAATGGCCAGCACGGTAACGGTTCTTCAGAGCGAGGATCATCCTCTCTCCATGACACATGCGCTTATCGCGGCAAAGAGCACGCACCGTTGCTTGTGGCTCATATCCATGTCAGTTTGCGTGGGCGATGGCGTCGGATTGCAACAAGATCCAGCATTCAGCATCCCCACTTAGTCTGGCACCACCCCGAGAGACCTGAGTATGAATGAGCCCCTACTTTGGGCATCGCGATCCACACATGCTTGAAGGGGTAGGTGTTGCCCAGACTGTCGGGCGCGTGTGCGCTGCTTGGCTGAACAGCCGTTGCCGCAGTGCCGCTCACAACCGCCTACCGCAAGAGAAATTCTCGAACGCGTACTCATGACACACTCGGTTCGGGCATCACCGCAACATTAGGAGCGCAATTTCCATGAAGTGGTCCGGTCAGGTAATCGGATCTCTCGATCGGTATTGGGATGATCAGACACGTTGGTGACAGGTGGATGGCCTTCAGCTGTGGACAGACATCTCAGGCCCTAGTCAGGCGCAGCTGTCCTTGAACATCAATGTTGCGCAGGCGAGAGGAATTTTCCACGACGATATACCACCAACACGTGGCCCGCATGCATGCCTTCGCACTCTTCTCAGAGCACAACAGGTTGACCGTGGAGAGGCCTCCTCGCAACGGCTCGAACCCCAGGCCGACGTCCCCAAAGTGGTTCTTCTCCGCTGACTCCGCCTCACCCACCCAATATGCAGGAAACTGGAGTGCACTTCCTCCCATCCACTCGTTGACCCCATGAAGGGCGAATGGGGCCCCACGATCCTATCTGCTCAGCGCTGCGTATCTCTCGTGGACGACGAGAACCGCCAGGGTGGCAAAAGCTGCCGCCCCCTAGTGCCTGCAGCACGATGCATTGGGAAGGGAGGAAGTCCCGGCCCTTTGACCACGGGGCCGCTGGCCGCAGTCACGAGCGCAAACGAGAAAGTAAGCCAGCACAAGACCGTGCAGGGATCTGCGTGCTGTGTAATTATCAGCGTCTGACCAGAATAACCGACGCCGCCGATATGCTGTCGGAGAAGGTGTCTTTGACTGGCGCCGCTTTGCAAGTGTGTCTTCGGACACGGCACGGCCCAGGGGTGGCAGAAGCGGGGCCGACTTCCTCCGAATGTGCTTCCGTCCCGGGCGTCAAGGGATTCAGCTGCCATGTCCACCAATCCACTGTACCGACGACGAGAGCGGCGGCCCCAACTTGCGAAAGCAGCGATTGGGGCAGGCTGCCTCGGTCACGATGTGTCGCACCAGAAGTCGTCTGTCAATCCCTGGCGTCACATTCGGTTGGAGTCAACCTAGTCATGCAAAGGGACAAATGCCTCGTCTCGCCGCTGTTGCGCCGAAATGCATGATTTGCCGCGGGCGCTCGAGGCTCTCACGCGACGACAATGGCATGTGACGTGCGGCAGATCAATCTCAGCGTATGGCTGCTTCAAGCAGCATTCTCTACATGACCTATGGATATCTGCGCCACCCAGATCCTGTGCTCTGTTGGATGGGGCCGGGGACTGGTTGGAATACCTTTCTGTCGGCACTTTCCTTCTCGCACGAGTGATTTCCACCGAGGTCTTGAATCGCCTTTCATCCCGGCTGACCTGTTGCTCACGGCTAAGGCGGTGCGGCATGAGTGGACGGAAGCGCAGAGTCGCATAATTAGAGATCGAAACCCAGGCCTTTGCCAATCAGCCCTTGCCCATCGGCCCTGCCTTCCGTCTCGCTTAAGCAAGGGGCAAGCATCATGTCGGCTTCTGCTCTCGAGCAGCCCGTGAGGATATTTTGCCGCGGCCCTGAATTGCGAGCAGATAGGCATTTTGCTTCTTTGCATAGCAGATGCTGAGACCTCAAGTCCAGAGCGGGACCTCAAATCCCCGGACAAAGTAAGCCAGCCCCTGCTGCTCGGCACTTTGTCAGCGAGTCGCGGCTCGAGTCAGCTCCAAGTGCCCACCTGACAGGCCCCCGTCGTCGATTGAGGCTGATCTGACGGCATTGAAACCGGTGAACGGGTGATAGGCTGGTCTGATATTTGGGGGGTTTTTTGACGTGCAGCCTCCTGGCTTGGACTCTGAACGGACTGTCCCCGGCCGATAAAATGCTGTTTTATATTTGCAGAATGGCTTTTGCAAACGCCGTGTCCCCGTTTGACTGGGCTCGAAACATTGCCGTTGTGCCGCCTGACTCGGTGCTCAGCAAGAAAACCTGCGGCAAAGCAAGACAAAGAGTCTAGACCACGTGTTCCTGTAGGGGGGCTCCCAGTCTTCTTTGGAGTCCTGTCCGTTGAGTGTCACGGTGGCACTTCATATTCGCGGTGCGACCGTCTGATTCCCCCAAGGGCCGAGACCGTTCCGGAAACAATCATCTAGGCTTGCGAAACGCAGTGATGGCTCAGTCGAAAACGGCAACACACTGCTGAGTAACTCCTGCGGCCACTACCTTGCTCTCGCGAGCAGCGCCCGAAGAGCCGCCGATGCAGGCCAGCACCTCGGTGTCCGGCCAAGTACCATGCAAATCGCAGCACCAGTGCGCCCGTGGAAGCGAGTCTGCACCTAGCGAAGACCAGGTTATCCTCCCAGCGATACAAACGGCAGCTAGGACGTGTTTCATGTATAATGCCTCTATGATCAGCATCGAAAGAACCCCATTTATTCAGAGTCCAACCCGGTTAAACTTGCCGTCGTATCTGGGAAGACACAGTCTGGCCTGGAAGCCGAGAGGACCATGGTGGCCACAAACTGCCATGGATGGATGAAGCGTCCATGTTGGTATCAGCTGCGCAGAACCATTCATTCATTGCCACAAGCTGTGGCCGGGGGACTCTCCAGGACCATGACCATATCATCAGGACACAGTGTTTGGCGCTGTAAAAAGGTCTCAATCGATGCGGCGAGTTGACTAGTTCCTTGTCGTCATGTCAAACGGTTGAATTTTGAGCGACGTCTAGGTGATATGTTTAGCCAACTAGTGACATGGGCTTCCCGATGATCGCAACACCATGTCCGTACATGTGAGGACAACGTCATTGTGGACACGAGATGCGGCACTCTTGATCATTCATTCATGTCACCCGAGGTTCATCTGCACTGCTCTGTGAGGCTCGGGTCACATATTCTTACGTATTTCACTATGGCAAGTCGTCAAACAAATATTGCTTTATTTATTTTTTATCCAAGTCACGCTCGACAACCAGCAACTCCCCCAATCATGCAGCAGCAATCCACTTCCTCCCCGTGACCGAGACCCTCAACGCCACGAGGACCACGGAACACGCAATGACCGCGACACCCGCAAACACCTGCACCGGGATGTAGTCCCCTCCCGCGCGGTCCAGGATCGCCCCGGCGGCGGGGGGTCCGATGAGCGAGCCAAACGCGTTCAGCAGGCTCGACATGCCCAGCCTCGTCCCGATCCTGCTCAGGTCCCTGGTGATGGACGCGAGCGTGACCGCGGGCAGCGCGACCATGCCGCCCGAGAAGAAGCCCATGGCCACGGCAAAGGTGATGTTGCCCCACGCCGTGGTCGTGCCGATCCAGCTGAACACGGCGACGCCCGTGAGCGCGCAGCTTAGGAAGAGGGTCTGGACGGGGCCGATCTTGCGCGCGAGCAGCGACGGCAGGAGGCGGCCCGGGACAGAGCCCGAGTTGTAGATGGCGTTGAGGTACAGCGCGAGGTTGTCTGCCCGCTGCATACCGTGCGTGAGCGCGTACGGCTGCAGGTAGAACACGGGGACCCAGAAGCCCACGTAGCTAAGCCACATGGCTAGACAGTACAGCACATAGGGCCGCTCATGGAAGGCGGACCTGTCGAGCAGGGTGCGCACAGGGCCGGCGATGCCCGCCGTGCGGCGCCGCAGGACGGCAAGGGAGAACAACAGGACGGCCAGCGCGATGAAGGCTATGATGCGGACGGCCCAGGCGAAGCCGAGCATCATGACCAGGCGCTGGAACACGAGCGAGTAGATCACGCCGCCGAGACTGCTGCCCGATGTGACTACGCCCGTGGCGATCGCGCGGTGTTTCTCAAAGTACTGCGGTATCAGGGCGAGGGCGGGAATATACAGAAAGCCCGTGCCGATTCCCACACACACGCCTTGCGAGAGAAGGACCTGCCAGTATGTAGTGCAGAGGCTAAGCATCATGAGCCCCAGGAAGACAAGGGCCGTGCCGGATATCAGGAGTAGTCGTAGGTGTCCTGCGTCGTACAAAGGCCCGGTCACGACGCCAACAACGAGCAAGAAGAAGCCTTGGATCGAGCCGATCCAGGAGATGGCTGATGGGGACATGTCTGCGAGCAGTTCGCGGCTGTAATATGTCTGGAAGACGCCGAATGTGTTGGCCATGCCCCTACACGGTCGTGATTGTCAGATTCGGCTCCCAGTTGTTGTGACAGTGCTTGTCCTCATTATTCAGACTGACCATGTGTTGAAAAATAGAATGAAACAGCCAGCAACCTGCAACCACGCCGTCAAACCGCCATCGGGCACTGGGTCTGCAGGCCGGATAGAGTCTACCAGAGCCAATGCGACTTGTTGTTGGGCGTCCTCGGGCACAGACGCACTGCCAGAATCGAGACGACTGTTCTTTTCATCATCGTGATGAGGTTGGCCTGCTTGTGACTCTACCGTTGGCGATGTGCTGTGCTCAGCAGATTGTGTGGTCGACATGCTCTTTTGCCTTTTTGTAGTCTTGAAGATGAAGTTATTTCCGTCTGCATCCCAGAGTCGAGACGACTTTTGGCAACTAGCAATGCAGTGCACAAGATGTCTTGACGAAGGCACGCTGCCAATGTCCTTCTACCAGCAGCTTCTGTTCGAGTTGCAGAATTCAACAAACTTGCTCCTGCCTGCAAGCATCGTCGAGAAGTCGCTGATCATTTTGCATGACTTTCCCTCTGGAACTCTCTGCTCCGTAGGTCGGAGCCTGCGAAACCAGCGGCCAGCATCGGAGATGATGTGCATTTTCATTACCCACACAAAACCACCCCCAGTCGGAGTCTCCGCCCTCGGAGGCGGCTATGCCGACTCGGCTCGACCCGCTTCCCCAGCAAACTAGCTTTAAGCAGGCGATTGACTTTGACAGCTCGTCATGCATTCGAACCCCCTCGACAAAGATGCTGGTCGATTTAGCTATATTCACACACATGGCTATTCTACATTTTGTGCTTTTGGATTGCTGTACTCCATCATCACCGCCTGGGCATGCGTTTGCTTATTCTCTCCGCATGAGAATGTAAGTGCAGGCCCGGGCACGCGCTGTGATATGGCGGTTGTGGTCATGTTTGGGTCGAAACATCGCGTCTCTTCGTGCACTTTAAGCATATGTGGGCGGGTTTGCTTGGGGTGGGATGCTCATGAGCGACGGTGCCTATTGTCTGCAGTCATTCGCAGCTCACTCCTTCTTTTCTTCCGCAGATGAGCTGCTACCCTTTTTGTACTTGGCCATCTTTTCGCCCAGATACCTCATGCTCCTGCTGACACCTGCTGTCAGGATGGCCTTGATCGACTGGCTGGTGCTCGGCCAACCAATAGTCTTTTTGATGACCCCCCTAATGGTGTTTCGCAACTCTTCGGGGGAATCTTGGGCAATGCGCTGTTCAAAACCGCCGCCCTGCTGTTTTTTGAATGAGCCAATGTCGTCGTCGTTGCTCTCCTCCATCATCTTGTTGAACTCGAGCTGAGGTATCTGGAATTTCTTCTGGTACTCGAAATACAACTTTGAGCGGAACGATTTCGGAAGGCGGCGAACCATGTTGCCTCGCCTGAACGGATCCATATCTTGCTGCAGACTGACCGTCGCATCGCCATCGAAAATCCAGTCCGGGTTGCTGCACCTCGGGTCCATGAACCTCGCATTCGGCAGGGACTCGATCAGTGGCACGTATAGACGGCGGAAGTTGACCATATTGTTGTTGACAATATTGGCGACTTTTCTGGGGTCCTCGGTGGGGAACGCCATGCGCACATCGCCCAAGTAACTGATACTGGCGATAGTGGCGTATAGCTGCTGCTCTGTGAACGACTCTGGCAACATCAACAGTGCTGTTCGCAGGGCAGAGATCAAGTTGACCTGATTAGCAAGCCGCACTCTCGGGTTGTCGCGCAGGATCTTGACAGGCTTGTGAAGGCGACCAGCAAGATACAGCGTGTCCCACTCGCTGAGGTCTCTGCACAGGGTGTCGATATTCACTACTCCATATTTGATCATGACTCCCTCGACCGTAATGTACGGATGGAAGTAGACGCCGGCACCCCACTTGTCCTGGACGTGCGAAACCGCTCCTGAGCCCAGTGAGCCAAGTGCCGAGTAGTGATCTGGATACTGTCTCATGTTCAGAGAGTGCCAGTGCTGTGTGTGGCCAACGCCAAAGATGAAGTCAATCATCTTGGGGCCGCCAGTCTGCGCCTTGACGACTGCCGCAGGAGCTTTCGGATGGATTGCCCGGATGTCGGCCTCGGTGGCGGTGTTGTTCTTGGACTGTGGGAAGACGCCTGAGCCATAGGCAAATGCGTAACGAATCGGTGCTCTGAATTTCCACAAGAGCTGGCGCATGACCTCCTTGAACTCTCTATCAATGATCATGTGCTGATTGACCCCAAAGTTCGTGTAGGGGAGCTCGGTAAACTTTTCTATGTCGTAGTTCGGCTCGTCCTCCCAGTATGTATCTGTTGATTCAGACGTTGTCGACGGGCTCGGGCCCCTGGCCGAACTGCCAGACGCAGCACTCGTCTTTTCATCGGATTTTTTGCTGGCAGTATTGCCCTTTGGAGCTGTCGAGTTTGGCTGGGAGCTCGTACTTGAAGAGTACAGGCGTATTGAAAGTAGGGAGGTCTCGGTCGAGGTGGGAGAGTTGAGTAAGATGTACGGGTGTCGCACAGCAGGAGAGAATCTGGTGGTCCGGATGCTCCGGCGGGCAACCCTCGCGGGTGTCGCCCATCGCGATGCCATTGTGAGTCAATTGATGTGGCTGGCCGAGCGGGTTCTGCTGTGTTTGCTTTCGCAAGCGTGGGTTCGTAAGCTGAATCGCTTGAGCTACGGGGGGTTTTCGATGGAGCTGCAGCAGGAAGCTGCCGGGCACAATGGCTACGAGAGATGCCGGTCCATGGGGATGCCGGTACTGCCCTGGGATAGAGCGAGGCTGGCGTGTTGTGGTGCAATGAGGGAAAAGGTGGGAAAGGCGTGGAGGCCGGCGGAGGAAAGGCTCAGGCCAGGATGACGAGATTGTGGATGTCGCAGCTTCCTGGGGCTGCGAAGTTTCCGGCAGAGGTGCATGTCGCTAGGCCACAACGGGAAGCCTGCCCGCCAGGAACCGGCAGCGGAATGTTAGAGAACAATGTACACCCACACCACTCGAGCACGCAAAGACACTTGTCAATCCATCCGGGCCATTCCCCACAGATCATCACAGTGGCATCCTTGGCACCGGCCTTAAGCTTCCACGCTGCCTGCCAGAACAACGACGTCAACGGCAGCCGTTGTTCAGGGTCCCCCCTGTCCCGTCCAATCATCCACATCCAGACAGCATCACTGCCATAGCTATCCGCCTCCTGCTGTGTCTGAAAGCTGGCAGATGCGGGCTCAAGTCGCTGACGCTCAAGATCGGTGAGAATGCTCAGGATGAGCAGAGGATGCAGGGCGTCTCTCCCCTCTTTGAGTCATCTGTTCAGTAGTGCTTGCCTCTGTGGACGCAAGGCATCCGAAGACGACGGCGGGAGCGACTTCGTTGTGGGCAAAGTGAGTGGCCGCCATGGTGAGGTCCAGCTTCCAGGGATGAAGGGGGCCTCTCATAATCTTTGCATACAGCGACGGGGTTCCCCCTTTCCGTCTTTGAGCTTGTACTTCTTCAACCATCCCCCTGAATTAACATTCTGAAGTCGTGATATTGTTTGCTTTTCAGCATGTTTCGGCAGCCTGCTTCGATTGTCAGCAAACACTGGTAGGTACCTAAGTAAACATCAGCGAGCTTGGTACTGGAGTATTCACAACTGCATGACGCCAGCATGCGGGGACTCCACGCCGGGGCGGTCCGTTGAATGCTTACACGTAACTTTTAATCCTACCAAGTCAATGCTAGAAGTGCGCACACGCATTTTCATGCCGGATTTGAACTCGTGGTAGTTGTCTCAAGACGCCATCATGGCCTTGTGGGTGGAGGCTAGCGAACATCATTGCAGGATGTAAGCGTCGTTCTCAGGTACTTGTCTTCTGATACTCCATGATATTAAGCACATTCGATCCACACCTGTACGCACTTTCTTGATTCTACCGCTTGCAACAATTCGGGAGGTTTCCAAGACTTCTATGCCTAGACCAGATCAGAGCGCAATCCGAGTACATTGCCCAAAATGCAGTTCGCAGTGTTTCTGGGGAAACAATCAAGCCAGGATAGAGCACTGGGGCATGGAAATCGTAACGTATCTACAAGACGATTTGGCGTCAGCCTTTACTCCTCTTTCTGGCCACAACCAGCGAAATGACGCCAGCAAAGGTACAAAGGCTCGGGCACTGATAAGATTTCAGTTTCGTACAGACAGGGCAACATGCAATACGTAGCAATCACAACACAGCAAGGATTCGCGAGACCGTAATGAGTACTGGCCATGAGCCGACTTTCATGCTGGACTAGCGAAAAGTATAAAGTTTCCTACTTCCGCAGGTTAAAAGAATCTTTACTCTCAGAAAGACACATCTCTTTATGAGTATTTAAGGCTTACCAGACGATTGAAAGGTATTGTCAAGCTCTCTAATGTCTTGTCTTCTCCGTCGTCCACTAACGAGTCCCGATTGAGGAACACTGACGAGCAAGATGGTGGGCGTTGCTTCCTCCATCCAGACTTTAAGTCTGTTTTGGGGCCTCTCGATGGCCGGCCCTGTTCCCGCTCCCGCTCCTGCTCCTGGACCAATTTTGTCAAACGTTACAGCGCACGACCTCGAGATACACAATGTCCAAAGGGACGACTACCCGCCAATCAAGCTTCAATATTACACCGACTACGCCTGCACCAAGTACAATGTCGACTTTACCATCCCCGCCAATACCGGCTGCTATAACTACAACTATGCCGGCACTCATTCGGTCAATGCAGTCTCGTGGCCCCGCAAGGACGAGGGGAAGGTGACGCTTGTCTGCAAATACTACGCCGTCAAGGACTGCCAAGGAGCAGGCCACGAGGTGGGAAACGACGAATGCGTCAGTGATCTCAAGCGGTTTGAGAGTCTTTACTGCATATTTTATCACTAGAAATCTTTGAAAAAACAGTCATATAGCACTCAGAGGCTCGCTCTTTTGAGCCATCCAAAGTAATCCGCATTCAGCCCCATGACATGACATCCGTGATGGAATGCACCATCAGTAAATGCAACAAGTGCCGTGCTTGAGACTTTGAGTGTTTGTGACATCCCTGTTGGAGCTCTAATTAGTGGCTCCACACATGGTCTTGGTAGGCCAGGGCCAGCCTTTGCAGGGTGCGCAAACAAAACAAAAACAACAGCAGCCAGGGGGAGCTATGGCTCGTCTCCACCTCCAAATAGCTTCACCCAGCATTCACCCATCCACAAAGCTCACAAACACACACCAGCACCGGACCTTTACTTACAGACTGCCATTGCGCCCACCGACGATCCAACCGCCGCGCGTCGCCGCCCGAATGTGCCATTGTCAACAGCAACGAGACCCATCATGAGCGGCCGTTTCCGCATCAGCGGGGGCAGCAGCGGCCTCCCGCGCCCCGGCTCCTCGATGCGCGAGTCTCGCGTGTCCAACTTCCGCGCCAGCGCCGCCGCCACCGCTCAGCACCAGCACCAGCAGCCCGCGTACGACTTCCTGACGGGCGCCGAACATGGCGGCCGGCCATCGTCGCGCCAGTCCTCCGTGCAGCGCCGCTCCTCGCTCGAGAGCTCCAAGGAGAACCTCGCGCCGCCCGACGCGGAGCAGTACGAGACCCAGCGCAAGCGCATAGAGGAGCTCAAGGCCGAGCTCGCGACGATGCGATACAAGATGGAGAACTACGAGCAGGAGAAGGAGATGGCGGCGCTGCAGCACGACAACGAGCTGCGCGACGCCCGGCGCAAGGCCGACGAGGACTTCAAGCGCAAGCAAGAGGCGGAGGGGGACAAGGGCCGCGCGCAGCGACAGTTTGAGAGCATGCAGAATGAGTTCCAGGAGCTCCGCGAGAACGCTGCCCAAGAGAAGCTCTCGCTCGAGAAGAAAGCCAGGGAGGCGGAAGACGAATCGCGCCTGCTGCGAGAGCAGATTGAAGACCTGTCCGCCGCGAAGGAAGAGAGCGAGCGTCTCGGCGAGAAGAAGATCAACGATCTCGAGGCGCTCATTGCGAACCTACGGCAAAACGTGCAAGAGCTGGAGCAGCACAGCCAGGCGGGGGAGATGCAGATGCAGCAACTGCAGGAACAGCTTGTTGAAAAGGACAGGGCCATGGGCGACCTCGAAGCCGACGTGCTGCGGCTGAAAGCACAGACTGGCGATGCGGAGACGATTGCGGTCATCAAACGCGAGCTGCAAGACCAGGTCCACCACATTCGGTCACTGGAAGCGAAGACGTCAAAACAACACGCCGAGCTGACCCACCTCCGGCAAATACACAAGGCGGTCGAGGTCGTCGAAGAAGAGAAGCGATCACTTCAGCGGCGTCTGGATGCTGCCCAAGCGCTAGAGGCGGAACTCTCCGAAGCACGCATGCAACGGCAGCGGCTCGAAGACGAGCGCCTGGCCTGGACCGCGTACCTGCAAAATGCAAGCACCAACGACGGGCTCATGGAGCTTGACACGCCCGAAGCCGTCGCCCGCGCGCTGGTCGAAGAGCGGTACAACTCAGCCTCGCTGGTGGAGAAGCTTGGCCAGATGCAGCCGCAGATTGCCGAGCGTGACGAGATGATCAAGTCGCTCGAGGCTGACAAGCAGAGTCTCGGCGAGCAGATCGAAAAGCTCAAAACAACCTCATCAGCGCCGTCATCCGTGAGCAGAGCGCTCGCGCGGGTGGAGCGCCAGAAGAACCTCGCCAACAAGGAGATTGAGTACCTGCGGGCGCAGATCAAATCCTTTGAGGACGAGGACATTACATTCAACGAGGGTGACGCGGAGAAGAAGCAGGACCAGCGCCTGGCCGACCTACAGGCGCTGGTGGAGCAGTACAAGCGCGAGGTCGAGACGATGCACAAGGACCTGTCACAGCTCGAAACAGCACCCCCGGCATCATCAGCTCCCAGCAACGGCCCATTATCTCTCGGCAGCAAGCGCCCGCACGACGACGGCGCAGAGAACAACAGTTCGCAACTCAGCGAACAGCTGGGCGAGCTGAACCGCAAGCGGCGCAAGCTCGCCGACGAGCTCGCCAAGCTGCAAAAGGAGCACCAGGTGCTCCTCAAGGAACACGAGGTGACCCGATCGCGCCTCAAGGCCGCCGAGTCGGCAAGCAAGACGCGCATCCTGTCGCTGCGGTCGAACCCGACGTCGGACTTCGAGGCGATCAAGATGTCCACCCTGGCGGCGCTCAAGCAGGAGAACAAGGATCTGCTCGCGCAGCTGTCGACCGTGTCCCGCCGCAGCCAGGCGTCTTCCTCATCATCCAACAACGTCGCCGTCATCCCCGCGAGCCAGCTGGCCGCCGCGCGGCGCGAGGTCGAGGAGGCCCAGCGCGAGACCGCGTCGGCCAAGAAGACCGCGCTCCGCCTCAAGGAGGTCTGGGGCAGCAAGTCCCAGGAGTTCAAGGAGGCCATCTTCTCGACCCTCGGCTGGACCGTGACGTTCATCCCCAACGGCAAGATGCGCGTCGAATCCCTGTTCTACCCGTCCACGAGCCCAGACGGGGAGCACGAGAACAGCATCGTGTTTGATGGCGAGCGCGGCACCATGAAGGTCTCCGGAGGCCCGCAGAGCCCCTTTGCCCGCAAGATTGCCGACCAGATCCAGTTCTGGGTCCGCGAGAAGGGCTGCATCCCCGGGTTCCTGGCGGCCCTGACGCTCGAGTTCTACGAGGAGCAGCAGCAGCAGCTCGCGCTTGAGGGTGGACAGCAGTGAGAGCGCACTGTATACGAGGGCAAGCAGCGAATAGTGTTTGTTTCAGGAGTTGACAACAACAATCGCCCGCAGACCGGTCCCCCGGTCCGCTCTCGCGCCGCGTGGCCTGTGATCTGTTTTGTTGCATGTGCATCTTTGTCGGAGTCCAGATCTTCCTTGCATGTCGGGCGCGCGCGCACAGCGCTTTACCTGATTTTCTTTTTGGTCAGCAGCAGCGATATGTTACATTACGGTGGTCATGGAAAAGAAGTCGGTCCAATAGAGAGAGGGGCGTCATGGAGTCAAGCTATTGTTTTGTAAATGGTGTAGATTACTTTTTTGTGGTTCTCGCATGAATCATATGCATACCATTCCTGCAAAGACAACGTTGTCAAAACACGGATTAGGCCACTTCGAATATTGATACCTTACCCACGTGATCGCCACCGCCATGTGAAACCAGGGCATAACCAGACAACAATTCCACGTCATCGACTTCGAGGTTTTTGCACAACTGATATAGCCTTGAATCATTATATATAGAGAGAGATATGTACGACAAGCCCGGGCCTGGCTAATGAAATCGGGGCCGTTCGGGCATATACACGGAGGACTCGAACACCCTCTAGATGCAATGGTACTGCTGGACAATATGAAAGGAAATGGAATCAAAGCGAATGGTTTTCCCCCGGATGGGGCAAATAGGGTGGGCTGCAGCGGCGCAAGCTGCTGTCGCGAATCGCCCATCGTGATATCTTTGTATGAGCTTTTGCTCCAGTACTAGGACGCAGTCTGCGTGCCCTCGTACTTGCCACTGACGACCTTGCGGGTTGCTGGGATGTCCAGCCATTTCCCTTCGGACTGGACGTCCGCAAAAGGGTCATCCTCGTCAATGACCTCTGCCTCCTTGCCCTTGCTCTCTTCGAGCCGCGAGACAGATATGATGCTCGGCTCGCCGCCACTGATCGTACCCGGACTGACCTCCCAGCGTGCCTCTACCGAGCCTGGCTTAGGTTCCTGGCCGGGTGCACCTATTATGCGGCACACAATCTTTTGCCATTCACCTCCTGCCGTGAGTGTAACATCCCCCAACCGCCAGTAGACGAGATGCTTGTCCTTCAGGTGCGTTCCAGGTGGCTTGGTCTGAGCACCAGTGGCTACACCTTCGTACGTGGTGAAGAAGACGAGGTTATGGATCAGCACTGACGAAGCGCCAATTGCAAATTTAAATGTCGGATTCAGCTTGTATTGCAACAACAAGCCTAGCTTGTCACCCTGAGGCTTCCAGACCGGGTTCAGTATTATCGGCACGTGTTCGGTAGCAGGCGTCTCCATGTCGACGTGGAGACGGTACGAGAAGCCAATCGAAGTCTTCTGCAGATGCGAAGGATCTAGGATGAAGCGTTCTGCCTGATCAGGAGTGTCGTTGGTGACGAAGATGCGGTTCGGCCCGATGACCTCGAGAGCAGAGAAGTTGTTGATGCGGATAGGGATTTGCACTATCAAAAATGCGTTAGCTTGGGAGACACATGGAGTCCAGCTGGGTGAGACCTACTCGGTACACTTGAGTCAGACGCGTTGTACGCAAAAGCGATCTCGCCATTTACTTTGACCGATTTTACTTGGCCATCTTCGAAGCTGGCGGATACTGTCTCGATTATGGACGAGTTCAGACCCGGCTCGTGCAGATCCGGATGCTTAGCGTGGATGATGCCGCCAAGTGAGGTGGCAGAACGGATAGACTGAGTGTCTGAGGTGCCGGCCACGGATGGTTCGGAGGTCAGCGCAGTAAGACCGGTTGATCGTGAGTTCTGAGTTGTGAAGTTAGGCGAAGGCGGGAACGGGACTGATGTCGAGGATCCTTGCGAAATCGGGGCAGGCACGTAAATGGTGTTGCGCACGTCACGGCGACCACGGATAGTGCCTGTTTTCCGGGTCGGCATACCCATAGCCAGGCTGTTGGCGACGTTGGACAGTGCAGCTTTCTTGGCCTCTGGATCTTCGTCGGCGACTGGCTCATTCTGGATGTTAAGCTTGAAAAGCTGGTCCGCTTCCTCCCCAGCAGCTTCCTTCTCAGCTGCAGAAATAGGATCATTGGCGGCAGCCGGCACGGTGAAACCTTCAGCGTCCTTCTCTGGCTGCCTCTGCGATGGAGGGGGACCCGCTGGAGGCGGCACATCGAGCAGATCTGCGGGCGCCGGCTTGCCATTTGTCTGTGGGCCAGGACCAGTCTCTCCAGCTCCTGTGCCGTTCGTCGTAGGTCGTGATGACTTGTCCCTGGCTTCCGATTGCCGCAGCTCATCTTGGTCTTCAGACTCTGCTAATGATCCAAGCCGATCTGACCCACCAAGGTTGTTCGAAGAGGTTCTCGGGGACACACTCGGCCCATGACTGCTCTTCGAAGCTCTGCCAAATGGGCCTTTGGATGGGGACAATTGCCCAAAGCCGCCGTGGATACTCTGCCGTCGACGGCCCAACATAGTGCCGATGCGACTGCGGAGCTTGTTCTCTGGAGGCGCCTCACGAGGGATCGAGTGTTCGCTACGATCGTCCTCCATAGAAGCGGCAGGCGGCGTAGGGGCGGGGGGAGCAATACTGGGAGTCGTCGTGGACGGTGCGAGTGAGTTGTTGGGAGCAGTCGTGGACGGCGCAGTGGTCGATGTGGTCGTTCCTGCAGTCGAGTTTTGACGGAGCGACGTGGCGCGCTTCTCCAGCTTGGGTTTCCCGGCCGTTGTCCTTGATGCAAAGTGAGAGATCTCTGTAGCAGTGCTGTAGTCGAGGAGGCTGTTGAGAATGAGCTCGGCATCGGCTTGGTGGCGCTGTGCGCGCTCGCCCTCGAAAGTGCCGTATTGCGTGAGAGCATCCCGAAGGTGGTTCATGCGCGACTCGTCGAGAGCCTGCAGTGTTTCAAAGATGAACGGGGCTTGGGATTCCCATTGACCGGTGGCGGACTCGAGCTTTGCCGCCGCCATGTCCATCTTGGCCGCGCTGGCCTTCCCGCCCTTCTTGGAGAGTTTGTCCGAGGCATGCTGCGCGTCTTCGAGCTCCTTGGCCATGTTTGTCAGGTTTCCCTGGATTGTCTGCATGCTCGCCATCTCCTTCTTCTGCTGGAAATTCCGGAGGGGAGTCTCGACGTCCTTGTCGATCTTGGCGGCAAAGGCGGAGTGAGAGCTGGCGAGAGAGTCTGTGGCGGCGAGGATCTTGTCCCATTGCGGCTGAAAGGTGCTACGGAGGTGATTGGGGTCAGTCGCGACGGTACTCAAAGACTCGGTATCGGGGTCGGAGCAACACTTACCCAAGCTCGGATTGGGCATTGGGGACACGGAACTGAGTGAGCTTGCGCAGGCTTTGCGCATACTGCTCATCGACCTTGCGACGTTCCTAGACGGGGGAGAAAGCATTGTCAGCCATGGCCGAGGATGACTCGTGGCGATTGAGTTGATTGGGGGCTTTGCGCAGTACCTGTAGCCAGTCGGCGATCTCGGTGTTGACCTTTGCGATGCGCTTGACACGGTCGTTGAGGGCGTTGACAGCTTGGCCGGGCTGGAGGTTGGCCTGTTTGAGGAGGCATGTTTGGTCAGCGATCCACAGGACGACGAGAATTGAGTGAGCAGTGTGAGTATGAGACGCACCAGCATGGCCGGGTATTCAGTCCGCGAGAGGTCGTCCATGGCGAGCGAGGCGGGAGAAGCTGGTGCGAGGGCCGGAAGAGAGCAAGCAGGTGGCAGAGGGAGAGGCGAGGAGGACGGGGCGAAGCTACGACATGAACGCGGGTCGCAGAGGCAGGGCTCAAGGGGAGGAGAGCGAGGTTGCAGGCGTGGGCGTGGGCACCGAGGCGATTGTGAGTTGGAGGAGGTTGATCCGGGAGGAAATCGAGGATTGGCGTGGTCGCGAGTCGATCGAGGCGGCTGGGCTGGGAGGCACAGGAAGGGCGGCGCTGGAGCTGTGCGGGCGAGGCGGGTGCCGAGTGACGCACGCTGGGGCGGCCGAGCTGTGGGAGCTTCGAATGGCCGCAACGGGCACGCACCAAATCAGCCCAGTGTCTCCACCGCGCATGGAACATTCTCCAGCCTCGTTCCTGGACCGTCCGTATCCAGCGTCAGCCATGTCTGATTATGGTATTTTGTGCCGCATTGCACACCAGCTGTGCCGCTGCCATTGTGATGCCCCATCCACGAGCCATTACATACCGCCTCCTTACCCGAGGCAGCAACGTCATGCTGCCGTTGACTGTTGTGGTCCGTCCCCCAGCGGGCCTCGTGCACCACCACAATTAGACTATGCCACTACTACTGTGCTGTACTCGCTGGCGGCTCCATCTACCAGGGCTCCACCTCGCCAAGTGCATAAACATAAGCTTCGGCCGCCTATGCCCAGATCGACATTCCATATTGATTGATCGCCTTGTCCACCGGTTCTCCCATTAACCAGGGACCCGTGACTTCCTGCCCTGCTACCGGGTCTGTGCCCGTGTCTGAGCCGGCACCATGGCTGACCAAGTGGCGCAACAATGGCGCCAGGGCCTGTCCGCAATGGAGCGGTACGACAACATCCAGAACATGTGCGTCCTCTCCATGTAGGCACACCCATCATGGCATCCAGGCGGTGACTCAAACCGCTTCACAGCAAGGCCATCCTCGAGGCAACAAGCCCCACAGACGAGGCCACTACTCCTACTCACCAGAGGGCCTTTGCCATCGAGACTGAGGCATACAGCAACGCCACCACCAGAGTGTGTCTGCCCGTGGCAGCCAGCCAGGTCTTCTCTGCAGCCGGACTAACCCCATGATTTGTGGCAGGAGCAATACAACTCAGCATGTCTATTGAAATCACCACCAGGGGACTCGGCCGTTGGCCATCGATCCCATGCACAAGGCGACCATGCAGAGGTCAGACCAGAGTCTCCAGGCATCACGATTGGAAACTACCATGAGTGCCACTATATCTCTGGCGGCGTCACATCACAAGTCTACAGGTGCAAAGCGGTCGCCCTCAAAGTCATTGTCGAGACTCACAACATCGAGCCGCACAACCCCCTCCGCGAAGCAAAGATCCTGGAGCTGCTCGAGGAGCCATGCATCATCCGCCTTCTCGAGACGTTCCGTGACCAGGAACAGCGCCTCGTGCTCGCCATGCCTTATATGCCTCTGACCCTGCAGCATCTCATCGACAGAGGGCCCCCGCTCGAGCGAGGGCAAGTCACGGCACACTTCGGCGCGCTGTTCAGGGCTCTAGCGCACATCCACGCGCAGGGGATCATCCATCGCGACATCAAGCCCTCGGCCGTCTTGCTCGCCTCGCCCCACCAAGGGCCAGCATACCTGTCCGACTTTGGCACCGCGTGGCACCCAGGGCTCTCCAGCACCTCCGAGCCCGCGGACAACAAGATCCTCGACATCGGCACCGGCCCGTACCGCGCGCCCGAGGTCCTCTTCGGGGACAAGTCGTACACCACGGCCGTCGACATCTGGGCCGCGGGCGTCATGCTGACAGAGTGCTGCCGCCGCCGCCCTCGCGGCGGCGACCCGGCGGCGGCACCGCTCGGGCCAATCTTCGAGTCCCGCGCGGTGCACGAGGACGGGAACCAGCTCAGCCTGATCCTCAGCATCTTCAAGACGATCGGCAGCCCCACGCCCGAGACCTGGCCGGCAGCCAAGAACTTCAGGACCCCGCCGTTCGAGATGTATCAGTCCTTTGCCGGCAGGCCCTGGGCAGACCTGCTCGTCGGTGTCGATGAGGATGTCGCCGGTCTGATCCAGTCCATGTTGCGGTATGAGAGCAGCACGAGGCCGTCCGCGGAGGAGGTGAGTTTCGGCGGCTGGATCTAAAATACCTGTTGCACACAATTTTTCCCACTGACCGCGCTTCCACAATGGCACAGATACTTGCGTCCAAACTTTTTGACGTACAGAGCGCCCCGCCGTGAGCGATGAATAGTTGCTTGATGGGGAGGCCGCAGCTTAAGTCAAGAGCATGCTGTTTTGTTGCAGCACAGGCTCAACCGTTCGGCGGGCAATTCATACAAACTCGCTCTCCTTCGTAAATATACTTGGCACCGTATTTGAACGATCACAGCAGACTTCTGACCATGTCCTCGCGCTTCATATGTTTGATGTATGAATACCATTTATCCCATTTATGAACATGATCCATTGTACCGTTTTCCCCTGCATCCGTCCAGCCGTACATGCCACCCACCAAGGTATACAAAGTTATATACGTGTATGAGAAATGAGAACCAGCAGAGAAGGGGCCGCGGCCAAGTCAAGCAGCGAGCCCGGTGATGAAAAAAGACACGACCACGCACAACGATAACAAAAGAAAGACCAACGAGCCCGTGACGAGCTCCTCAGTGGATGAGATCCTCTTAGGCATCAAGCCTGATCTCCAAAACGCCTTCCTCGCCCCTGGGCTTCCTCGCGAAGCCGTTCAGCACCCTCCACCCGGCACCACATCGGCGCCCTTCTTCCACGATGCCGTGCACGCCCTGCAATGCTGCAGCGCCTGCCTCGCGGATCTCCTGCTCCGGGACGATGGCGGCATTGAGTCGTCCCTCGCACACAACCTTTTCCATCTCGCAGCGCAGCAGCCAGCGCTCCCAGACGAGGCTGCCCGCGAGCCCGCTCACACCCGCAGCGGCCTCAGTGCTGCCCTGCACGAGCGCCTCGAGCTCCAGACTGAGCTCGACGCCCGTGGTCGAGTCGCGTACAATGAGCTCCCTTTGGGCTGCGGACTTGGGCGCCGCACCCATGGGCAGACAAACCCACGCACGCTTGGTGTCCGCGAATCCGGCTCCCGCGACCTTGCTGAGGAATGTCTTGGTCGGGTTGGGCTCGTAGCCCATTGTGCGCAGGGCGAAGCCGAACTCGACGGACCGTGCGAGACCAAGCGGCCCAGCGTTGACAATGTCGGAGTCCATGACGCTGAAGTCGAGGTAACCTCCCGGCTTGAGTACGCGGTAGCACTCGGCCAGGCAGGCGTCCCACTCGTCCTGGCCGCCATTCTCGCCAACAGACTTGAGGACGGATTGGAGCTCGCGCGCGGAAACGAGGTCAAAGTGCGCGTCCGGGAAAGGCAGCTTCGTGAGGCGCTCGACGGCCACTTGGCGGTGGTTTGGCGGACCACGGATATTGCTATTGCTGACCTGCCTAATCTTCTTGGTCGTGACTGTGTACACCTTTGCGTTGGGGTAGGTAAAGGCGCAATGCCACGCCCAGTCGCAGGTGATCTGACCGCCGAGGTCGAGAATGCGGGCGCGCGTGGATGCCACGGATCCCATGCGCGAGAGCCGGGCGAGGCGTTTGGCGATGGGCGCGGAGAAAAGCTTGCCGCCGTTGAGCGCCTTGGTGGCAGCGACATGCCAAGTTGAGATCGCGGTCTGAGTCATGGCCTCGGCCTCCTTCTCGCGCTTGAGCTTCTCAAAGTCGTCGACGAGGACATCGTCTCCGCGGACGACGTTGGCGCTCATGCGCTTCTTGGCGGACTGTGGTACCACCGACAGCTGGAATTTGCCGAGCAGCTGGTTTCGATGTGCATCACGAAGGCTCACACGCTGTGCCTGCAAAGCCTCGAAGCGCGGCTGGCGGTGGACAAAAGCGTCCTGCCCGCGCGTGCGGATCAGGTAGTCCTGGAATGCACGATAGTAAGCGGACTCCTGACGGGAGAGGCGGCTTGGGAGGCTGCGTGGGAAGTTGCCTGGCTTGGGAACCTCGGAGAAGCGGACGGTCTTCTTCGCAGTAGTCTCGGCAAGTGCAAGGAACGGCTCGGGTTCGGGAGCCTCCTCGACCTTGGCGATGTCGGCATTCTTGCTACTGCTGCTCACAAGTTCCTCATCAGTCTCCTCGGAAGGCTGAACACCCTTGAGGTAAGACTTCTGTGCCATGAGCCACAGCTCGGTGCGGTCGAGGTTAGAGAGCGCCTCATCCTGCAGCTTCTTGGTGTACTGCGGATCGTATGTGGTAACGATCTCAGTGATGTCTTCAGACGCAGGCTCGACCAGGGTCTCGGACGAAACTGAGGCTTCAATCCACTCCGGGATACGGCGAGCGGTGATGGGTTCTTCGAGGTTCATGTCCCGAGCCTCGACAACCTGCTCCAGGATAACAGGTCTGCCAGTAGGCATCCCATCAGACATGGTCGATCTCGCCTCGACGAGCTGTTCCGTTGTCACTGGCAACGGTGGTGGCGGTGGCAGCGGAATAGTGATGTTCGCAGGCCGAGGAGGTGGCGGCGGGATCGCCATACGGACTTGCTGGACCGCAGGCACAGGCGGTGCAGGCTCCGCCCAAGGACATCGGTAGAATTGCTCCGCTGTGGTGGAAGTAGGCGGCGCGATATCGTCGTCATTGCCTGTGCTGCTTGTGTGCCATGTGGTACGCGAACGTGGTGATAGGTCAGAGAAGAATCCTCCCGGGGAGGGAATATCCAGAGCACTGAGTCCCGAGAAGCTGGGCTGAAGGCTCCGCTGCTGTTCTTCGCGAGAACCTGTCGAGAGTCGGAGCGCCGGTCTCAGGAGCGAAGTAATGGCTCGTGGGGTTTGCTGCGACATCTCGGGCATCCTCTCCTCGGGAACCTCAATGACCTGCTCAGGCTGGTATTCGATCTCGTCATCTCCAGCAGATAGGGCGTGGAGTGTCTCCAGAGCACCAGGCTGCAGGTGAACTCCAGACCAGTCTGCCGTGGGTGGATCGTCTTCAGCACCGATGACTGGTGTCGGAGGGGCGGACATGGTAGCCATCTGCTCAGAGCTCAGGCTGCCATCGAGCGACGGAGGCGCCGATATAGTCGGCACATCGTAGATCTGCTGGGCCTGCATGAAGGACTTGACCGCCGGAGACATCTCGACCTTGTTTGAGGGGGTGACGGGCACAGGGGATGTGAGCTTCTTGAAGTCATGCGCCTCAGCCCAGCCCTCGATGATGGCGCTCTCGCGCTCCTCTGGGATAGTGAGCGGAGTCAGGGTTCGCTTCACAGAACGGCTGCTGTTGAAGCGCTTGAGCGAGCCGCTCCTCCTCGATGATCTCCTCGCATCCTCGTCGTCCGACACGTCGTAGATGTCATCGAATTCAGTGACCACGGTGCTCGAGCTCATCCGGTTCCATGGGTTGGAGGAGAAGGAAACAGACGGAGAGTTGCTCTCCTCGTCTGCGGACGCAGTCGACGGTGACTCAGGCAGGATCGGAGCCGACATGAAGTGGAAGCCCCTGGGCGTAGGGAAGTGGTCGCTCTGCGGTGAGAGCCACTGGGCAATCTTTTCTTGCGAGGACTGGGTGGCGAAGCTGGGCCGAGCCGGCAGACTGGTCAGTTTTAAGCCGGCGTTGGGTCGCTGTGAGTCCTCTTCCATTATCGTATTAAGGGCCATCCCGTGCCTCCGAACCGGCGCAGACGCGGGAGGCTGGTATGTTGTCGCGGGGAGAAGAATGGTCTGGTCCGCCATTTTTGCGATGTGTGGATATTGCAAGCCGAGGGGCCTGGAAATAAGAGACGCCCGGCGTCGTTGTCGAAGATGGAGAAAGCGATAAACAAGGGGTATCAGCAAGGAGAAGGCCGGTAAAAGACTGGAATGCCTCGATCAACGAGAGCCAGGGAGTATATGGAATAGGGCAACCTCTAGGAGGGCTTGAGAGGGCGCAGAGGAGGCGAAAGAAAGGAATGCCGACATTGAGGACTCGCGGGAAAGCGCCGGCCAGGGCGAGATTTAATGAGCTGGGCATCTATGGACGCTGAGCGGCTACGCTGGTGACGGGCCTGAGATTGAGCGCTTGCAGGGTTGCGGTGCGTCTGCGGGCTGCCTGGGCGGCACGCCGGCTCCCGAGGTCACTGCAATGGTGCAGACAGGATGTCAAGAGTCATCCCAACCATGGATGCCACCACCGCCGCCTTGTCGCTGCGTTTGCGGGCAACGAACGGTGGAGGGCCGGTGGGCAGCCAATGGCAGGAGCGAGGCCGTGGTGTAATTATAGAAGCGCTGCAGGGCTGGCGAATCGCAGCGGCACCTAGTCCAGAAGGGGGGACGAGCAGTGCTCTGATTGGGTGGGCGTGCATGGTCCCCCAGCCAATGACTGCGCTTCTGCACGCCCGCCGCACGTCAGGCTCGAGGCTCTAAGCGCCGGGCCTGCACTGCAGATGAAGGAGAGCTGGGCATCAATACGGCGGTGGTCCTCGTCCGGCGCGAAACAGGAACCCTTTAGAGAAACATCTACACGTTCTAGACTTTGTCAGCAGGATGCACGCCGCGTGCTCGACGTCACAGTGGGCTTGCAGCTCAAGGTGTAACTGCACGTGCAGGCGCTTACACGTGATAAGCTGTGCACGTCGTTCAGCCACGAGCGCTTCCATGAGAAGAAACAATGAAGCTTACTCAATATCGCAACCTGGAGGATAAAACCAGACATGGCGTTCCGAACGCCATGGTATAAGGTGAATTTCGGACACAACAAGCATCACAATCCGGACACTATGGTTCTGCAGCCATGGCGGTAGCTCCCGCCGGGCAGCGGCACCCCGGCGGCGATTCTGCAGCGATAAGCTACCCCGCCACTCTTTATCGTGCCGGATAGTCGCGAAGAGCACTGCGCGCGCAGCAACACCACCCCACCACCATCGTTGCTGGAGCTCTGTTGGCAGCATTTATCGCGACGCGACAACTACTGCAGGCTTTGACCAGGGGACAAAGAATCTCTCCCACATTCCATTCACAACCTAGCCTTTACACGTCTGTTCGGAATGGCGGACGTTGAGCAACCGAGCGAGCCGCAAGGCCGCATCGTCACATACTGCGGAGGTAAAGCTTCCATTTGCACCTGCACTTCCACTTTCTTGGTTCTTAGATCATAACGGAAGATTATGATAGCTACACAGACATGGCGGTACTAACACTCTTCTTCTTTGATTTGATAGTTTGCACTCTGCCCCCAGAGGTACGTCAGACCGAGACACCCGCCGAGCTTGGCCTGTATGAATCACGCAACAACGATTCGAGATCTCCCTTTCATATCTGTCTTGCCCGCCAATCCTTGCCTCCAGCACGACCACTTCAACACCTCCGGAGGCTAACATGAGACTTTCGATCTACGAACAGTACTGCGAGTATGGCGGCACAGTTAGGAAGTGCCAGGAATGGTTGCAGACAACACACAGTGACCTCTACGCCCAAATATGGTCTGCCGGTACGATCCTCCTTCTCCCCAAGCCTGCCCGACGGTTCCCAACCTCCCTCCTTCCCAAATACAAGAGCTTCCGGCAATCTTGGACAGATAAAACGAACCACAGTCCCTCGGCTAACCCGGATCTTGCTTCTCTCTCCTTGCGACAAACAGAAGCATTAGAAGCAGCCACCGCCTCTCTCTCCGTCGAGGCGCAGAAGCGCGCCGCAAAGGACGCCCAGAAGAAGACGGCACAGGCGGAAAAGGCCGAGCAGAAGCACGCCGACAAGGTCGCCAACAGCGTCGTCACCATCAAGCGCATCGAGCGCAACAAGCGCAAGTACGTCACCGCCGTGTCCGGGCTCGAGGCGTTCAACCTCGACTTGAAAAAGGTGCGTAACACACTCGAGAGATGCAACGCTTGTCCCTTGCCCCTTTTGTGGTGGTCAGAAGGGGGGCTATGGCCAAGGTCTTTTTATTACCGCGGTGGGTTGATGCTGACCCGTCTCCCCGTTGCTTTGCGTTTTAGGTCGCAAAGGAGTTTGGCAAGAAGTTCGCGACCGGCTCGTCACTTACGAGAGCGCCTGGTGGCGGCGAGGAGATTGTGGTCCAGGGTGACGTGAGCCCCGAGATTGAGGAGTTCCTGCTCGAAAAGTACAAGGAGATACCCGAGGACAACATCGAGCTGGTCGACGACAAGAAGTTAAAGAAGAAGGCGGCGGCTGCGGCTGCCTCGGCGGGCACGAGTGCTTAGTGGTTCCAACATGTACAAACCCCCTTCATGACTGCGAATAATGAATCAGATGCATGGCGAAGAAAAGGCAAAAAAGGCAAAACGGAACTTGGGCATTTATTGCCTGTCCAAAAGTTTGATACGTATTTTCCTTACGCCAGCGTGATACCATAAAAGCAAGCCGGAACTCCATGAACCAATATTTCCCACGCTAAACTCCGTCATCATATTTGCCAATCGTCCAAGTTCCTGCCCCTCATCGATACGCCTGAAGGCTTTGACTCTCTACACAGCAGCCCGTTTCCTCAAAGTGCGCCCGGTGGCCGCTGGTGTAGTAGCCGTCTTGACAGGTGCTGCCTTTTTGGCTGCCGCCGACTTCGTTGTGCTCATCGCGGTCCCTGGTCGTTTGACAGCCGCAGCTGCCTTTGTCCCTGTCGCGCGGGATGCCGGCGTCTTCTTCACTACAGTCGCAGTGCTGCCTTCGCTGGACTCGCTCGCTGCGCTGATCTTCCGCCTGCCACGCGTCGTCGCGGGTGCCGCGGTCGTGCTGGGCGCAGCAGCCTTGCGGCCACGCGCCGTGGTTGCCGTGGTTGCAGCCGCTGTACTAGAACTCGAGCTTGCCGTCGAGGACGCAGTGGTTTTTCGGCTGCTGGTAGCTGCGCTGCGGATGCCCTTTGCTTTCTCAACCATGTTCGAGAGGAGGTTTGACGAAGACTTCGCGGCGAGCGACTTGACGGGCGAAACTGGCCGGCCAAGCATGGACTTGGTGGGAGACGCGGGCCGCTCGCGTGCAGGGATGATGCGCGCGTTCGAGGTTGTAGGCGACAGGATCTGGTGAGTCTGCATCGTCTTCGCGACGGCAGGAGCCGCGCGGACTCTCTTCTTAGGATTATCGACAGCGTCGTTCTGGTTCTCCTTGTTGCCATCAAAGTCCTCGCTGCAGTGTCGTTAGTGTGGCTTCTTGTAGTTTCAGCACGTCCAGATTTCTTGGAGGGCCTACCTCAGGCGCTTCAGTCCACGAGAAGCAGCATTCGTAGCCACAGTAGTCTTCGTGACAGGCTTCCGGGCTATTTGCATCGGCGAAGTGCCGTCCTTAGCAGGTACTGGCGGTGGCCGTGCTGTGAACGCTGGCCTCGTGGGCTTTGGCTTTGGTGGCTCAAGGGACTTGGCCAAGAGTTCGCCCATGGTTGTCTTGCGGAGGGCAGTCGGTATTCTGTTGATGCGCATTTCGACGCGTGAGCGCAAGTGTTGTGCCTGCACGTTGTACTGTGCTCGCAGTCTTCGGGCGCGTTCCGTGACTAGGCAATGGGTCAGCACGTGCAGCCAAGTGTTTGACGCGATCTTGTCACGTACGTTCTAGCTGGAGGTTGTCTATCAGAGCCTGTTTCTGGAGCGCGGAGAGCCCCATCTTGCGCTGTTTCTTGATCGGGCTGGCTGTTGTTGGCGACGACATGTCTGACTTGCGCTTGCGAGTTCGTGTGGGCGCCATATTGTCCAGTAGATTGTTGTGGGTTGCTTCTAGTAAGGAATGCTTTGTTCTGCGGTTGTGTGGGATTGCTGTCGTGCGCTTCGTGTGGTGGAATCTCAATATCGCGTGTTGTGGTGGCGTGTCGTGGGCGTGGATGATGAGACTGGCCAGGGCGTGTTGCAGGTGGTGCAGCAGGCAAGGTCTGGTTCAAAGTAAACAAAAAGCGCCAAGCCTGGAGCTCTGGCGCCAGGCCCGGACCGGAGAGCTGCCACCATGACATGGCTGCTTCAATGAGAGAGAGGCCCGAGCTCCGGGGTAGCGACTAGACAGCTGTTAGTGGTGCCCCACCAGGACCTCACGCCAAAGCCAGCTGATTGTGAGCATAGTGCAGGCCCTGACTTGGGCAGAGCCTTAACGCAGCACAAGTACCCGCCTTGGCCTGTAGGCTGCATCTCTCTTACGTCGAGCTGCGTGGGCTGTCCGTCCCTCTAGCCTCAACTACAGCCTTCGTCACACACACCCGCCGCCCATCCTTGACGTCTCTCCAGGGCACACATCATCGTCTCGACCTCAGCCCATATTTCAAGTCTTGGGCTGCGCACAAACACGCGGAAGCCTTCTCACCTGGTGCATCAAGCCAGCTCTCTGCCGACTCCCACCACCACCCAATAGCTCCGTCCACGGCCGTCGACCAGTCGACCACAACCGCCACGATGCCTCTCGAAGCGGTCATGATTGTTGTCGACAACAGCGAAAGTAGTCGCAACGGAGACTATGCGCCCAACCGGTTCGACGCCCAGGCCGACGCCATCAACATCATCTTCGACCACATCACAAACTCCAACCCGGAATCGTCCGTCGGCCTCATGAGCATGGGCGGCAAGGGTCCCGAGGTGCTATCCACACTTACCACAGAGAGAGGCAACCTGCTCGAAGGCATCCACCGGACAAGGAAGAAGATCTCTGGCTCGGCACACCTCGCCACGGGCATTCAGATTGCTAGTGTGAGTGATTGCGATCTGAAGACTGGTTGTCCAGAGACGTGAATTGTGGACACCCCTGTGCTAACGAATGGTCTTGTTCCCAGCTCGCTCTCAAGCATCGTCAGAACAAGTCACAACGCCAGCGCATCATTGTGTTTGTATGCTCGCCCATCCTCGACGACGAGAAGAAGCTTGTATCGCTAGCGAAGAAGATGAAGAAGGGCAATCTCGACATCGACTTTGTCCTGTTCGGCGAGATTGAGGACGACGTGCAGAAGAAGCTGGAGGCTTTCAACAACGCCGTCAAGGGCAACAATGACAGCTCACATCTTGTCGTTATCCCGCCGAGCGGACAGCTCCTAAGCGACCAGCTGATCTCGACAGAGATTGTCATGGGTGAGGCTGCTGCCGGCGGCTCTGGCGGCGGCGGAGATGCCGGTGGTGACTACGGTGGCTTCGACTTTGACCCCAGCGCCGACCCCGAGCTGGCTCTCGCCTTGCGCATGAGTATGGAGGAGGAGAACGCCAGACAGGCCAGGCAAGCCCAAACAGAGGCCAACGCGGCAGGCAAGACGGAGCTGGAAGGCATCGCTGAGGAGGACGGCGAGAGGCAGCCACTGCTGGACAACCAGGGCGAGCCCAGCGGCAGCAAGAAGGACAAGAAAGACGACAGCGATAAGATGGATACATCATAGTAGATGAAAATCCGCGATAGACGCATGCGATGCGCGATTCTCAACCACGACACTACTTGTAGAGTAAAGCAATAGACCCAAAAATCTGGGGTACCGCGACAAATGCAGAGCGCACGCTTGCTGCAGTAAACTATTTTTTTTTTGAAATGGATATCGTATTTGGTATCTTGTGACCCGATTGCAAGCTGGCTCCCGATGTAGACGGTCTCTGCGTTCTATCTACTGAGAACACCCGCCAGCACGATGCAGACGCCAGACCCTGTCAGAAGCCAAGACTGTACATCTGACCCATGCTCTCCTCTCCGAGGAAAACTGCCGCTACAGGCGTAATGCTCACAACACCAACCTCCCTACTCGCCACTCCCCTGTTTAGTCTACCGTGACGAGCTGTTGATCTCCCGGATGTACGAGTTGAGCCTCCTGTCAAACATCTCGCACCGGACGGGCATCTCGAGCTGGTAGAACGGGTTCTTCATGACATAGTCGGCGTAGTACTCGTAGATCCTGCGCATGGCGGCGTCGGCGCCCGCGGGCCCGCCGCTGGACTGGACCGAGTCGGTGAAGAGGAGGAACTTGAGGCCCGTCTGCGTCGCGAAGCACTGCAGCCGGAAGTTCTCCGTCTCCATGACCTCCAGGCCCGAGGGGGGTTCCGGACGCGTGAGCAGGTTCCCGTCTGCCAGCGCGCCGCCGCCGCTTGCTCCTCCGCCTGCTCCGGAGAGCGCTGCCGCTGCTGCTGGGTTGTTTGTTGATGTTGATGTTGTTGAGGATGGGTTAGTAGCGGCGTTGTGTGGGAGTGATGTGCCCCCTCCTCCTCCTGGAGGTGGTGCTATCCCTTGTGGTGGCGGGTTTGGTGTCCCCGTGCCGGAGGGGAACTGCTGTGATGTTGTTGAGCGGGTCTTGATGGGATTGAGGCGGGCTGTGATGGCGTGCACGCTGATTTCGATATTGTCAGCGTGTGGCCCATGTTCCGGTCATCGCACTGGAGGTGAACAACTGGGCAGAATAAAAAGGGCATGAAAGAAAGGCAGTCCTCACCCGTGGAACGTGCCGGCCAGCACGAGGTAGTCGTTTGTGCTTAGCTGGTTGAGGCCCTCGGCAAAGATCTTGTTGTATATCAGACCGCCGGCCTTGTTTATTATTATGAGCGCGAGGACGACCCTGCCGTAAGTATTAGTGAGACTGAGCAATGATTGGTGTGGATGTGTCTTGATCATGACGTACATTGTGAGATGTGCGCCAGGTGCGTGAACTGTGTGAGCGATGAGGTTGAAAGGAGGCAGAGGGTGTGCTGCCCCGCTCCAATGGGGCCAGTGGTGGGTGAGGCACTACGGATAGAGACGGGCCTGAACGGTCGACCGGTACAGCTGATACAGAAGCAGTTGTCAAGATCAGTAAGTACGTAAGTATTGTGATCAGGCAGCCTGGTTGCGCCTCTTGTTGATGTGCTGAAGTCAGAGGTCGAGATGCCAGTGAGTGGATGAGGTCGTTGTCTGATTGGCAAGCGGGCGGTCAGGTTCCTCGAGGTGCCTTGCCTTGCCTGGACAGGGGTTGGGCGACGAGCCGCATCGCTAGCTTCCGCTGCCTGCCTGCCACTCTCTGAATATCCACCGCCGCGCTGGTGGCCAGCCGCATGCACTTTGCTTGCTGCTTGCACAACAGCACTGCACAGTCACAACAACCACAGCCCGTCACACCTTCCGACCACACGCGAACCAGGTGGTCCGGTCTCTCTACACGCCCATACCGACTTGCTCTTTGCGCATCTCGCATCGCAGCGTTCGCTGCCTTGCCACTCCGACATCAAGCAACACTTGTCTCCCCGTGCCCGGCCACGCGCGCCCGCCGATAGCGGAAAGAAAGAGCAGGGACTCTCAGCGAAAGAAAAACACTCTCGTCCAGTAAATACAACCGCGGCAGCGGCGGCGGCAAAACGCAGCCTTCCGAAGGGGAAAATGGCTTCCCGCTCAGTGCACCCCGCGACATCGCGCTCCAAGGCGCAGCCCACGGGCAACGAGGAGGCCGGCGAGCGCATCAGCCTCGGCGAGTTCCAGGACGTCGACACCCTCACCCTCTCCGAGGCCGCACTCGTCATCAACGCCCTTGTTAGCAAGCGTCGCAACGACCGCAAGAATGTCAACGAGACCGAGTAGGTGCTGTCATTTTTTCACCTTGGGGTTAGAGGCCAGGGCATTGTGCAAGGGCAGCTGCGATAGGATGCTGGTGGAGAGGAGGGAGGGCGGTGTTCTTGTCGTAGTAGAGGCTGCGCCTATGACGCGCCTGTGCTTCTGCATGGGGCATCTCCTCGCTGGTTCAAACGAGCTGGAAGCGTAGGCGGCCAAATGCAACCCGTGCTCCTGCAAAGGATTTTGTCGGAACAGCACCAAATGTTTGCCAGGCTTGGTCACCAACGGAGCGCTGACGTCTGTTCTATTTCTTTCGCTCTGCAGGATGTTGACAAAAACCATCGACTACCTCGACGCCTTCTCGCGGTTCAAGCAAAAAGAGCACGTCGAGGCCGTGGAGCGGCTGCTCAGCGCGCACAAGGAGTTCCACAAGTTTGAGCGCGCGCAACTCGGTAAGTGCTCCTTGCAGCCCCCCCCACCCCTTTTATCTGGCGTGCCATGGGAACTACTAGAGGCAGTAGGGAAGTGCTAACTCGATGGACGCACGACTGGGTGCAGGCTCACTCTGCTGTGAGACGGCCGAAGAGGCCAAGACCTTGATCCCCTCGTTACAGGACAAGATCAGCGATGACGATCTCCAGGAGCTGCTGGACGAGATGTACAAGCTCATGCCGAGGTGACAGAACTCACCAATGGCCTTGTGGAGCATATGTGTCTCTCATGATTGTCGGTTCAGCACAATCAATATCATGATCTTATCCGCGGCCGAAAGGGCTCCTATGCGGCTGCATCAAGAGCCTCATTGTCAAGGCTCCTGGTGACTGGCTCTCTGGCTTTGGGGCAGTTGCTCGTATCTTGAGGCACAAAAACCGTGGGAAATGAACGAGGAGTCACCACCAAGGATGGTCAGAAGGCACTCCACCGAGACTGTACAGCACGAGAGACCACGATATCTTGCCAAAAAAAAAGAGAGACGGGGAGAAAACAAAACAATAAATTGCATCAATGGGCGGCGTCATGGAGTACTAGATTAAATCGTACTTGGGTAAAACAGCTACAAACAAGAACAACCAAGAAATAGCAAAACATAAACGGCAGATTCCCCAATCAGTGATGCTGGATTGCAGCCGGGAGCAAAAAACAAGGTCGACAAGGAGTCCAGCCGGCGTCGTTTACTGCTGGTCTCTCCTTCAAGCTTCCCCTTCTTTTTTTGGTATTTTCGGTCCGTCCAAAGTGGTACATTGATGGAAACGTGAGGCAACCATATCTACTCTAGGTATGTTTGCACGCACAGGCCCGGTTTAGTGAAAGTGCATTTCTTGTCTTGTCTCAAGCCAGTTCGCAAAACTACATTGTCATAAAATATGTGATCGAGGCACTTGTGTTCCGGACAGATCAGTGCAATTTGGTGGTTTGCCATCCTCTACTTTCCCCTTCGTGCCGCCTTAACCGACCAAGCGTTAGGTCCCGAGTCTTACACGATTGTTGGCGGTGCTTGCCCTCAAAAACGCATCTTCTCCACCGCATTGTGAACATGTGCAATATCCCTTGAAGAAAAGGATGTGGCTACGACGTCTCCAGAACCGAAAGCGCCTCAGGGAACCACGTCTCCCACTTCCCAGCCACGCCCAGAACTCCATTCTCGATGCCGTTAGGGCATTCAATTCACAACTTTTGCCAACTGTTCACAAAATGGTCATCCCGTCTTTCGGCATCGGTTGCGTTCATATCTGCGCGCAGGCTGGCTGGATTGCCGTGGCCTCCAGTCGGCAGTGCCCGCTGGTGTTGAAGGTAGCCAACAGAAGGCTGGCTGGATTCGTTCGATCCTGTAGCGAACTGCTGCTGCTGGATTTCCTGTGACCTGAACTTGGATCCATGGACATTCCCCTCGTCCGAGGAAACAGCTTGTCCGATACCTGCATATGCCATACCAATTGCGCTCATCTCCCTCAGTGGAAGCTCGACGCCCGACGCCGGACTGGCTGCCCGACCAACATTTCTGAGGCTACTGCTGCTGCCAATGTGCACGAGGCGTGGTCTGGTCTGAAGCGACATCTGTGGCACTTGTGGCTGGCCTTGACGACTCGAGTATCGAGGATCAGCGGTTGTAGGAGTGGCAGATCGTGCCTGACCAGGCAATATACGGTCTTGTGAAAGCTTCTGCGAAAGCATGGACGAAGGAGGCGGTGTTGTGGTATGAGTACGATTCTGAACGTGACCAGCTGTACGGGGGAAATAGCTCGAGTTGGCACTACTGCTGCGACTCGCTCCTGGTCGATAAGCAACGTACGGTGAGGGTCCATGGGCGGCTTGCTGCGAATACTGAGGCTGGAATGCTGCTGGTTGAGAGACGCCAAATTCAGGCGAGAGGGGGGAAACGACTCCTGGCAGCTCATAGCGGCTCGCATATCGGGCAGAATTATCCGGCCACGGGATATCATGCTGTTCCCCACAAGGAACTCCACGAGCTGGTCTCTGATGTGCAGAATATGCACTGGCCACACCGTATTGCGCCGGGCTCTCTGTATGTCTGGGTGGAATATGAGCCATGGTCTGCTCAGCAACCATCGAGGTATGATCAGATCCGTAGTCCACGGGTGTCAATGGCGACACGAGCGGTGCAGTAGGCTCATGAACAGCTACGGTATGGCTCTGGGCCAGATGGGCATGTCCTCTATTATTCAAGGAGCCAGCCCGAAATGCCGGGGGTGCGGCTGATTGCAAAGTGGAAGGGATTGTTCTGTAAGAGTGGCTGTGGGCAGGTGCCACGTTCACCGAGTTTGCATGCGCGGGCAAGAGTTCCACGGGACCAGGTTCAACTGGGATATTAGTGTAAAAGTTAGCAACTCAAACTTTCATGAGACAAGCTTATTGAGCAGTCGAACTGACCTCGAAGAGATGAATGTGCAGTCATGCCTCCTTCGGCAGTGCCCGTCTTGTCGTCGAAAGGAGGAGGTGACGAGCCTCGAGTAGAGGACATGCGCTTCGAGTGGCGGCGCTTGCGAATCAGATATCCGAGGGTGGCCAGGATAAGCAAGACACCTATTGCGCCTCCGACTCCAGCTGCAATCGCCGTTACGTCTGTGCCTCTGGCTTCCTGGTTTGTGCCCGGCAGAGGAGCTGCCGTTGAAGTTGTGTTCCCACCTGTTGGCATCAAGGTGCCCAAAGACGAAGGTGATATTGCCGAAGTACCACCTCCGGTGGGCGTAATTGTAGGTGGAACAACGGTCGCTGTGAGAGTGGGAGGTCCTGGGCGACTCGATGACGTTGTAGCAGTTGGGGTTCCATCTGGCTCGCTGGTCGTGATGGTCGCCGTCGACGAAGGCTTCTTTGTGGTTGTCGTCTTCTCAGTGGTCTCAGTCTTGGCTGTCGTAGACGCTACTTTCGTTGTGGTGCTGCCGGCGTCGCCATCGTTCGTCGTGGTCGTTGTCTTGGTCTTGGTAGACGGCGAGGTCGTTGTCTCGTCCTCATCATCTTCCATCCTGATAAGGGACAAGTCTGGGGCTTCTGCCGTGTCAGAGCACATGCCAGTGCTAACAGCGTATGAGTCAGGCGAGCAGGAGTCGCGAGAGCGCAGACACGACTGGCCTAAGCTGTCAGTTGCACAAGCGAAGCTCAAGGTGTTGTTGCCCATCGTGTCGATCTTGTCGTAGAGGGTATGTTTGCTTTCTTGAGTTGGAAACACCACGGTCAAAACAGGAGGGAGGTGCTTTCCGCGAAGGCTTGAAGAAGGTAGGCAGGTGAGATACGTGCTTCAGAAACAAGAATGCAAGTTAGCTAATAAACACAGCGTTTTTGTCTCCGTGGTGCTGAAAGAAGACACGGGCCGGCTGGTCGAGGACCATTTGATGGCGGTAGGTCGGAGGATTGGCATGTTACCCACAGCGTGGTGCTTGAAGCCGTACGGTGGCTCCTTGATTCAACCGGAGTGGAAGACTCTCAGTGCTGACGCCGTAATGAGAGCCGGTTTGGCATATGCGAGTAGCTAGCGATGAGCCAGCGTATTGTTCAAAGCCGCGGAAGGATTGTGGAAGTCCTCGGTTGGCGTCCAATCCAGGGTCCTGAAGGAGGAGAGGAACTACAGGAAGTTGCAGTGGCGGCCTCTTTGCCTTCTTGCCACATGGATGTAGGAGATTCCAGATATGTCGAGTGGGAGTTAAATTCAAGGGTGCACGTCCGGCTGTGCGCGTTTGCCGCCGTCAAGATCAGGCTAGGACGGCATCGAGTTGTAGCCTGCGCGGCAGGGACGACGAGGACAAATGTTGCTCAGCAGCGCGCCGAGCTCCTGGTCTGCCCGGTTTCACTGTATGACAATCAATTTTACGGAACCAAAACAGTGGGCAGACTCCAACGCGCCATGTGAGCTGATTGTGAGGGCGAGGAGCTGGCACGCCGTTGCTGTGGAAATGCGTTGCTGCTCATTTTGCACGGCATGAATTTGTGCCTCTCACTCACTGCCAGCCATCCGAACACGACTACCAATGCCTAGACAAGAGAGTCCTGGAATTCATCGTTTCCTGCATCCTGCAGATGGTCCATCTGCGTGGCCACAGACATCTTCTTCTTGGAGTCAAAGACTGCCCAGATGCTGTCTTGTACGACCACAACCCTCCACCAAGTGGTGACACCAACGTCCTCCTGTGCCACGCGAGTAGCCGAGTGTGAGCCCCTGATGTATTCGCTCGTCCAACCTTGTGTTTCTGTAGGGTTCTGACCGCCTGCATGGTCAGCAGATGCCTACGTTCGCAGCCGGGGGTGTATGAATGTCACATCCAGACCATCAATGATCCCTTATTGATCTGTCCGAGGCTCGCCAACGTTCGCACCTTACTGTCAAACTGTCACCGTGTCACAACGAAGACGAGGTGGAAGACGAATTCAGCTAGGGTGCCATGTAATTAATCATTTTGATTTTGCCTGAAACCTCAACGCCAGCTATATGCAGGAAATACCCATGACAGGTTATACGACAGCTTTTGACAAACAAATCAAGCCTTGAGCTTCTCAAGCAGCAGCTTGGCGCCAGCATTGCCGATAGGGCGGTCCTTCTTCACCGCGGCCTTCTTGCCCTTCTTGGCTGGCTTCTCCGCGTCAACCTCGGTCTCGGCGGCCTCTCTCGCCGCCTTCTGCTCCGGTGTCTCTTCGGTAGCCGCCTTCTCAAGCGCCTTCTTCTCCTTCTTCAGCAGCTTGCGCAGCTCGTCCTTGCTTGAGAAGTCATCAACCTCGAGCAGGCTGACAACAACGAAGGAGCTGGGACCAGTAGCCCAAGAGATAATGTTGTCTTTGATGACTGGGTAGAGGATGTCGGCAAAGTGCAGCGGAGGGTCAACCGGGACGATCTGCTTAGTGGCCTTGTCGAAGTGGCCGCCAGCAATCAGGGTTTTGAACATCCGGCCGCCATGCGGGGCCTTGGAGATGTGTGACTGGGGAGCAAACTCGGGCGCCGTATCCTCGGCACCTTCCATCTGCTCGTCTACCTCGTCTGGGTTGCCGCCGGCTGCAGCTGCCACGGCCTCCAGAGCTTCCTTCTTGTCCCCAACGCACGACAGGAGTGCCTCGGCCACGAGCTGGCATCCGAAGGATGTTGAGAGCAGATCCGAGGGTGCCGACGCGATGGCCGCCAGGAGGAATGGTGAAAGTGCTGCAACCAGCTCCTTCCTCCTGATTTCAGCATCCTTCTTACTAGTCGTTTTGCGAATCTCCCAGATCTCCTCGAGCAGTTGCAAGTCCGAGGCGTGGCTGGCCTGGAACAGAGCCTTCGAAGGACCTTCAAGCAAGTATCGCACAGTAAGGCGGGCATTTGGGTCGTTGGCGCAGATGACAATGTTTGAAACCTGGTTGTCCTCAGACTTGCCGAGGATCTCGGGAATGATGGACTTGGACGTCAGGACAGTATCATCGATGACATCGTAGGCGGTAAGGATGATCATATGGCCGTGGGGATCCGAGGCCATGAGCTGGAAGGTATCCTTGTACGTCTTGAGAATCTGCTTGCGGTCCTTGGCAGTTCCTTGGGCAAGAAGCAGGCAGACCAGCTTCGCGCCAGATTTCGTGAAAGCCATGTTCTTCAACAGGTCGTTCTCGTCCTCCTTGATCATCTCGATGTATTCCTTGAGTTCCTCTGTGCCCGGCTTCGCGTTCAGGAAGTACTGCAGCATAGCGTCGTGGAGCATAGTAAAGCCAGTAAGCTTCTTCTGGACAAGCTGATTCGTAGCCTCACGGAGGTATTTCATGATTATGACTCGCTTGCTAGGCTCGGCTTCAAGGATTTTGGAAAGCTCGGCTGTAGGCGCCCCTTCACCTGTCGTGCGGAAGATGGAGAACTCGGGCCCGTACCACTCTCGGAGCAAGATGGACTTTTGCTCAGGAGTGGCCGCGCCACGGTAGATGTCGTCCAGAATCCAGGACGCCTCGGGGTGGTTGATGAGCTTCCGGACCTTGCCATAAAACTCGGGCACGATGAGATCCCTGACCTCCTTGTCGCCTTCCACCATGAGCTTGCCGATCAGGAACTTGGCGTACTTGCTCTCGGCGAGCTGTGCATAAGTGCCCTTGAGTTCGGTCGCAATCATCCGCCGGCGTTCGGGGGTCGAGTACTTGATGGCGGTCTGTACCACACGCACTGCGTCGTGCTTGAGGGCGAAGTCCTTCATGCGACCGGTCGTGATGGTAAACAGCTCCTCCACCAGCTTCTGGCGCTCCTCCTTGGGCACGTGCGACTTGCGCCGTAATCTCTCCCACAACTTCTTGGTCCGCTGCAATTCGTCGGCGAGGGGCTTGTTGGCTTTCCGCTCTTGCGCGATTGCCTTCTGCTTCAGGTGCGACTCTCTCGAGTTTTGGCCTGGGAGGAACACGGGCAGATTGTCAGTCGAAATTTGTCGTACTGCCTAATCACGGTGAAATGCACTTACCCTTCTCGAAACCCTGTGCGCCAGAACCCTCCTCGCCCTGAACACGGCCCGCCCGATCGGGATGCAACTGGGCGCCTCCATCGTCCTCATTGTCGTCTGAGAATGCGCCGGCGTCACTGGCGTCGCTGACAGACTCAGGCTCCTCGCTCGGCGAGGGCTTCTCGAACTTGGTCTTCTTGCTGCCCGTCTTCTCCTTGGCGCTGCCGTTGGCAAGCTTGCGCTTGTTGCCCGTCGTGACGGCACCGTTCCGAGCCATTGTGGTCAATTATGTGCTGTGCAGGACCACCTAACAAGAAAATCGTGGTTTGGATGTTGTAGAATCTGCTTTCTTTGGACCCCAGGTCCTATCGCTGGGAATTATCGGCGTGCAGGCGCATCCCAAAATTTCAGTGGGTCCGCTGGAAAACTGGAAAATTCTGCCGGGCGGTCGGGGAACAGATCCACCATGGGGACGGTTTGGCACACCTGGACCCTTGTCTCTGAATGATACATGCTTCCGGAGCTGCGACCATGGAAAGTCAACTGCAACCATCATATCGACCATGTTCTTAGGTCCATCTTAGTACATTGCAGAACACCTCATCCTAAACCCTGGCTTGGGCGTGAAGAGCCCAACGAGATATGTAATATTTTATTCTGCAAGGTATCCAAGCCGGAGCAAGTACTGGTGTGCGATTCGTACTTTGTGCACATCACCAAATTGGAAGGGCACTGTACTTTTGGATCACGTTGAGTTGGCAGATCTTTGCAATACCAGGCCCAGAAGGCCAAGGTACTGTCATGTTTTCCTGCAAGGAAAGCCCAAAACTCACTGCTAGCTATTCCCATCCATCATAGACAGGTGTTTCCATAATGTGAGACCCTGCTTCCTTAAATGCTGCCAGGGCATGCAGAACCTCATCTGCGTGTGCGTTAATGAAGAAGGGTTACATTGTTGGATTGACTATAAGGAGTCGAGAGGTGTGACACACAATAGGAGGAGGAACATTGATGAGCTTCTATGAGCCCCCAGGAACCGATACCCCCCGGTTGTAGCTACACACATGTGCGTGTTCTTGATGCAAATATCAGCATCGGCCATCAACCATAGCCACGCTCTACGGGGCTACAACTCGGTGGCGTCTGTGAATTGCAGCGCGGAGAACAACTTCCAATCAAAACGGTCCCCGTCCTGAAGGCTACGCACATGAATCACTGGCCGTCAACGTGGTGCTGGTTGCCAGAAACCAGACGATAGACTCCAGACGCCACGAGAATTGATATCCCAGTATATGAGTAAATGCTTCTTTCCTTGTTGTATTTCAGCATCGTCTTGTGTACCTGAAAAAAGTCCGAAGGTCCCCACTACAATACTGGTCCTCGCAACTAAAGACCCACCAGGCTGTCCAACCGCACACTGGGTGCGCCTCGTCGTGCAGGCTGGATCACAGCTCCAAAAAACACCAAGGACTATCGACACCATTGCCATCTCAACCAGACGACCGCCGTTTTGGTATTGCCGAGCCGCCACACACGCGCATCATGGGCAAAGAGGAGCAAGTCGAGGAGAGGGAAGTCCTCGACTCCATCTTCCCGGACGAAATCACAGGTCAGTCCGCAATCAGTCCTGGCCGCTCCATGGTTGTTGCGTTGCCCACTACCCCGCCAAACTCCCGACAAGCACCTTGTGGTTTGCATTGCCTGAAACCTGGCGCTAACACATGCACCTCTTGCCGCGTCCTCAGATGTCTCCGAAACAGAGTACCGAATCTCGATAGTCCTCGATCTCCCCGATAATCTGCTCGACCCGCCCGTCGAACCGCCGACAATGCTCCTGCACGTCCGGTACCCGGACGACTACCCGGACGTGGCACCGCACCTGGACCTCTCGCCGCCACAGAACAACACGTCCCCGCACCCGTTCTTCTCCGTGGCCGGGGACAAGGAGCAGCTCCTCGAGGGCCTGCAGGCGACGGTGGACGAGAACCTGGGGATGGCCATGGTGTTTACGCTCGTGTCCGCAGTCAAGGAGGCCGCCGAGCAGCTCGTGCTGGACCGCAAGGAGGCCGCGGTGCGGGTGCAGGAGGAGAAGGCCGCCGAGGCGGAGCGCGAGGAGAACAAGAAATTCCAGGGCACCCCCGTGAACCCGGAGACGTTTATGAAGTGGCGCGAGGACTTCCTCCGCGAGATGGAGGAGGTCCGGATACGCGAGGAGGACGAGCGGCTCGCGGAGCTCAAGAAGGCCCGCGTCAAGGAGCCCGTCAAGCTCACGGGCAAGCAGATCTGGGAACGCGGTCTGGCGGGCAAGGGCGACGAGGGCGACGAGGACGACGTGCCAGGGCTCGAGGAGGGTGTGGACAAGCTCAAAGTGGCGGCGTGAGCTTGGGGTCTTGGAGAGCACCATATATGCATTACACGGAGTTTCAGGCGCAGTCCAATCCATATCACCTGTTTGAACCACATCAGCCTCGTCTGGTCTGGCGCCTAAGAAAGTCAAGCTTGACGCAATAGGCGTATGACAGCAGGCACAAATGCTGGCAACAATGGTGAAGGCTACGCTTTGATTGTGCTTAACGGGATTGATACCCAACAATAAGTGTCGCTAAGCCTTTTCAGGATTCCGAAAGGAAAACGCAATCAACCATCGCGGCTGGGGGGTGTCGCACATTCCGATATCAGAATCGCGTACAGTCTCCAGGGTTCTCGCTGCAGCAGCTCACGCAAGTAAGTCGCGGTCGAGAACAGCTCACAGTTGCGCAGGCTGGAGCCTAGGCCCAATCTGAAATGGCCAAGGTTCAAGACTCTATTGGGCCATCCTTGCATTCGGCTCAAAAAGCCTGAAACGTTCTCAGGCTGGACACGTCCTGTACCACCGCGAGGTTCACGTAGCCGGGCGCACGTAAGCTGACATGCCGCCAGCCGAAGACCGGACTCAGCCAATAGGACTAGTACAGATCCTAGGGAGTTTGATAGAGTTAACCACAAAGACCAGAAATAGAACGTAGATCTGTTATCTTTGGTTTCGGCGAATGTAATGCGTGAGCTGATCCATGTCGGATTCTAGCCGTGTACGGGCCAATCCTTCGTGCTCTATTCTTTGTGCATTTCGTTGGTTCCAGGGCCGCCTTGCGCTGCAGTAGTGATTACTGTGACAGCTTTTCACCATGCGTGGCCTAGTACGACCATGCCTGCTAGCCAAAACGCCATGTCTGTATGTTTGGGGCTCACAACTACGCAAAGCAAACGCATTATGCCCTGTCACTTTGCCGGCCGATGATGCGGATGGTGGCCCATCCCGAGGCGTTCGCACAACATGCCCTGGACCATGCCTGCCGCGCCAATGTGATGTCGAGGTCGTTGGGGGATGACGACACAAAATTGTCGTTGCCTGCTTTAGCCAGGCTTGGGTAAAGGGCACACCCGCACTGCCGCACTTCCGCCCGGGCCTGCTAACGCCATGGAGCCCGGGGTATTTCGTAGGGGAGAGAAGAAGGAGGGTAAGAGTGGGGCCTGGTGGTTCCTTGACCAAAGATCTGGGAAGTGACCGGTTCCCTGGCGGGCCCCCCAAGATCCCTCCATTTCCAACTGGGCAGTAGATTGGACCCTCGGCCAAGCCATCTGGAAGCTGATCACTACTGAAACAAGACCTGATCGTGTACCTGGCGGCGTGGCCGTGCCCATGCAGCGAAAAATCTGCTTACGGGCAGATCTATGCAGTGCCACGGCACAAGTTCGCTGGCGGCTCGAGTCAGGGTGTGCAAACTCAGACGCAGGTCCGCGAGATCCGAAGGCCCGAAGGAGGGAAAGTCCCGCAGAATGGGACGAACCTTGGAGTAAGGTAAGCATTATAGCCGAAAGAAGCCCCAGATAGGTCAGAACACTACCTGGCAATTCCAAAGGGGATCAATTCTGGAAAAGAGATGTGCCCATGGTCGTGGACAGGCATGACTCTGGACGTTACGACCAATGCGACACAGGATCCTGGAAGAGGACGGGGCCTGGCTGAAGAGCCGATGGCAGCGTCATCGGCGCATTGCTGGCAGCGCTAGCACCGAGCGGACTGCTACTATGTTGAGACCCAGGAATGCGGGCGTAAAGAGCCCTGGCTGGTCAGGCCCGATGATGCTGGACCAAGCATGGCCAAAGGCAAAAGGGGCACGACAACACCACCACGATGGCTTCTTGCACCTCATTTTGCATAGCTTTGAGAGTCGCCGCGCGTGTGCTGGGCCCACCGTCACCCTCGATTAGGAAACCATTACTGTTGCTGGCTGGCGATGCTCAAGTGTGTGGTGATCGGCCGCCCCCATCATGGCCGCGAAGTGGATGCAGGCGGGCTATGTACGAGCTGGCACTCCGTGGCTGTCTGTCACCTGGACTCGCTCCTCCCGTGGCCCGCCAGCGTCATAGCCGCGGCGGGCCCAGACGCCCACCCGCCGCCCGCTCGAGCTCCACTGGCACGCTACCACTTCTGGCGGCACATCCCCAGACAGACAGGATCGCACGGCTCACACCACACCACACCACCATCCCACCATTCCGTTACCGCTGTCTTATTAACCCCAGTGCCCCTTGGCCAAACCCAATCCCTCCAGGGTCTCCCTTCTTGTCTATTGCTTCATTTTGGTACCGCCAACATCAACACAACAAGAACAGTTCCCCCGCGACATCGCTACCCCGCCACCAGTGACACCGTCTACCATTCAGCCTTCCCTTGTCGCACATCCACACTCTAGCGGTCGCCCACCATGCCTGACTTCAAGATGCCGATCCGCAACCCTTTCGCGAAGCGCCTTGTAACCGACGTCCAGGACGAGAACGCCCGCCCCGCGCTATCAAGAGATGCATCCTCTGGCTTCGAGAGGGTAGACACCGTTGGCTCAAAGGCATCTTCAGTGCTGAGTCTGCGCTCGAACCGCAGCCAAGACACTGGTGACTACAAACTCAGTGGTACGGGAGCCCAATCTACCTCGACTCGACCGTCCACGCAAGATCGTGTATTCCATTTCAAGGTCATCGGAAAGCTAACGCCGTTCGTCCAATCAAATTAGTCGTCAATGACAGTGGTGTATTCATCCCGGTACGTCTCTTGGGCATCGTCGCATGCAACACAGCCACAATCCCTCTGCTAACAGCTCCAATCACCAGCCATCGCCGGCCGAGGAGAAGCACGAAGCTCTGTGGCCCCGCCGGCCCGCCGCCTCAGCCCGGACGTCAGTAGACGGCCGCAGCAGCATTGGCGACATTGAGCACTTTGGCATCTCGCGAGAGTCATTCGACTCATACCGTCGCTCATTTGTAAGCCTGCACCACAGCCCCTCTTGGCGCTCTTGGAAGTAGCACACACCGCTGACAGGCCCCATTAAGGATATCTCGGCCAAGTCGCCTGTCATGGTCCAGGAGAGGCCTCGCCAGAGTCTAGACTCTGCTCGCTTTCCCCGGTTTCCCCGTGCGAATCACCGGGGCCCGTCCATCGACATTGACCAGCCCACACTCGTAGAGGAAGGGTTCGAAGACGTGGGCCTGCATGACGAACACAAGCACGGCAACCACCAGGGAGAGCAGCCCAAGAAACGCAGCTTCTTTTCCAAGCTCACAGACTCGCAAGAACCGCACAACAATGCAGCTGCCCCCTCACAGGGCATGTCGAGGTTTATCCCTGGTCGCAAACGTGCCCCAAGCACAGGCCAGGAAGCCGAACTCGGCAGCATGCAGCGCATGAACACTCTTCCCCTTGTGGACGCCCAAGAAATGAGGTGATTTTACGACTGCCCACCAGATCCCATGGCTGGGATATAGACAAGAAAATCTGTTTTTCTGCATTATAAACAAAGGCGTTACAGGAACAAGGATAAGGCGACCACCCCGGTATACACACGGGAGTTTGACATCTCGCCAGGCTTCACTCGCTTTCTGAGTGCTTTTGCGCGCTACTAGATATCCAGGACATTCGCTCCATGACACTCGCAATGGCTTTCGGGACAAATTTGGGAGGACGATATATTACTCCACGAAGTATCCACAGCGGACGTGTCGATCGCGCTGTATAAACGTAATGATAATAGCCAAGGTATACATCGGCTGTTTCGACCCCATTCTTTGGCAATCCTTTCATCATGTGTATGTGGCGTGCTTGATGACTGCTTTTGCTTCTGGATCCACACCTTTTTCAAAGTCCAGAAAAGAAGGCACGATCCGCGGGGTCGAGCCTGACGAGAAACTATTGACCAACAAGGATCAGCCAAGTCGTTCAGCACACCTGTGCTGCGCGGCCTAAACCATGAAAGATAATCACAATTATATGAGTCTCGCCATTATACCTAGACAGATTCTGTTCCGTGTATTTGAAAATAGCCCAAACCATTGAGCCATAACCGGGTCCACGTCAAAAGGGGTCATGCATGGGGTCAAATTTCCCGTCTCTGATGCAGCCGTGAGTGAGGAAGCGGGTCGAAGGCAGAAAACTCCACAAGGATGGGGAAACGTTAGTCATGAACCCCGATGTTATATGGCCTCGGCACGCAGCAACAGATGGCATTGCGCCAGAACGTTACTGAGTGAGTCGGAATAAGATTGGCAAAGGAGCCGAGTTATAGGATGAAAGGGAGACTGTGCTGTGGAAAGGCGCAGCTAACCGAGGACTACTCGTGGGACCTCCTCTGGCCCTAAGAGTCCCTGAATCTGGAGCGACCAGGATGGACAGTGTCGGTGGCAGCCAATCAGCGTTAGTGCTGGCCACCCAATGTGGAAGTCGCTTTTCCTTTTCTCTATCTCCCTCTGAGGCGGCTGACTTTTCGCACTTTTGAGACCAGGGTAACCGACTCGGGATCTGTCGTCTCCATTCCACCGGCGGTGGTTCGTGAGGTATCCCGGATGCAAAGTCTTGTAAGATACTGTGTTCTTCCGTGCTGCTCAAATATGGCGCGGGAGTTAAGGCCAAAACGGGTCATAAGAGATGGGGATTTCTCACCAAGGGTCGATCCTCTTTGCATCTTGTCTTCCTATTTGCAAGACTGTTATTCCGTAAGGTACAGCTAGTTTGAGGATACCAAAGACTTGAGATCTATGATTATTTAGTGGGAGACATGACGTGGCGCTTTGAGCATGGCAAGCTTGTGGACGTTTCGCAGAGACCAAAGCAACTGGAAGCAACAGTCCCAATGGCTGATGGAGAATGTGTACAGATTCGTTTGAGTGAGCAAGTCAAAGAATCCTGGTTGTGCCACTGCCGACTTGGCCCATGTGTGGGAATGCTTAACATGCTGCTCAACGCAATCCAGGGTCCAGCTTGGGAACAGTAACTCAACAGGGCAGCCCGCCGAGGTGTGGGGTTGCCAAAATCTTGGGAACAACCACCATCTCTATCTAGTTACCCGCTGTGCCCCGCCACCACGTCAGAAGCAAAAGCTGACTTATCGATTAGAACTTTTTCTCGGGCGACGAACCACCACCAGAACGTAGGTCTGCTACCTGCCACTTCACGGCTCTGTAATAGACAATCGGAGACGACAACCCACCAGGTCGAAGCTCCAAGATAACTAACGAGCCAATCCAGAGCTGCTTGCTACGCCAGGGCGCCCAATTCCCTGCCCGCGAGCTCCCCGCACACCGCAACGCATATCTCAACCCCGCCCGAGAACCATACGAAAAAAAAAAGTACAGTGCAGCACAACACAGCACACGAAACCCAGACAACACAGCCATGGCGCCCCGACGCCCCGACAAGAAATCCAAAAAGCGGCAGGGCATCTCGCGCGCCGCGGGCGGCGGTAGCGACGCCGCCAACAACGACACCACACAGACCATCTCCCCCTCAGTCCTGCTCAAGGCCGCGGAGCACCACCTGTCCGAGGGCAACGCCGGGGACGCGCTGATCCTCGCCAAGACGGCGTACGACCAGCAGTCCGCGTCTGACGACACGGCCGCCGACCCGACCCTGCTGCTGCCCTCGCTCAGCATGCTGGGCCAGATCAACCTGGAGCTGGGCGAGCTGGGGGACGCCAAGACGTGCTTTCTCCGGGCGGCCGAGATCGACCCGCAGGGCAGCGTGCCCGAGGCGCTGGGCGGCGGCGCGGAAAAGTTCCTGTGCCTGGCGCAGCTGAGCGACGAGGGCGGCGCGGACAGCGTGGGGTGGTTCGAGCGGGGCGCGGCGGCGCTCAAGGTGCAGATCCAGCAGCTCGAGACGGTGACGGCGGCGGGGAAGAAGCAGCAAAGCACAACATCAGCCGCGGCGGCGGCGATACGGCGGAGACGGAACGGCGGGGCCGCCGAGGAACAACCGGTAGTCGACGAGGCGGCGCTCGAGCTCGCGCTGCTCAAGAAGAAGCTCGCCATGGCGCTGTGCGCGGTCGCAGAGGTGTACATGACGGACCTCTCGTGGGAGGCCGATGCGGAGCAGCGGTGCGAGAGCCTCGTGACCGAGGCGACCCTCGTGGCGCCCGACTCGGCCGAGTCCTGGCAGACGCTGGCCAGCGTGCGGATATCCCAGGACCGGCGCGAGGACGCGCAGGCCGCCCTCACGCGCAGCCTGGACCTGTGGAAGGACCTGGCCCCGGATGACCTCGCCGTGCCCGACTTCCCCAGCCGGGTGGCGCTCGCGCGGCTGCTGCTCGAGGTCGAGATGGAGACGGCCGCGATCGAGGTGCTCGAGCGGCTCGTCGGCGAGGACGACCACAGCGTCGAGGTGTGGTATCTCGGTGGCTGGGGGCTATATATTCTCGGCGAGAAACAGCGGCAGGAGGCCATTGCCGCGGGACAGCAGCAGACGAAGCCGAACGGGAAGGATGTTGTTGTTGCTGCAGGGGCTGCGGCCAAAGAAGAGGAAGACGACTGGCAGTCGTCCTGGATATCCAGTCGCGTCTGGCTCAATCAGTCGCAGCACCTGTACAAGATGCAGGAGTACGAGGACGAGCGGCTCGGCGCGCACACCAAGGAGCTGCTTGAGGCGATTGCGCAGGAGCTGGGCGAAGCACCGGAAGGTGAGGATGAACTGGGTGACGACGACGAAGGGTGGGAAGATGATGACGATGAGGAGGATGGGAGTGACGATGAGATGAAGGGTTGAGTGGCGCACTTGTCCCAAGTCGATATGAGCTTTGAGTTGGTTCGGTTGTCGTTGTTGTTTCTGGTGCTTTCTGGCATTTACACGGCGTTGCGGAATACCAAAAGAGAGATGTTCACGTATAGAAGAATGTTCGCATGCTGATCTGCGTCCAAGACTCTGCGAGCAAACTGTGACTGACCGTTCCAAGGTTCCCTTGATGACAACCCCCATGCATTTTTATGAAAAGAGGGAACGCCCATCTGGCTTCGGTGTTACAGAGACTCTTCCATGGCCTCTGGCAAGTCAGCCGCAAGAACCGTACATTGTTGGAGTGATGGGTCACTCATAGTTCACCCCGTATTGCTCTTTTCTTACCGATACAGCCATCAGCGAGCAATCATAAAGTTTTATATCATGCACCAAGGGCCGTATCCTCAACGGTGTGCGAGCAACGCCTGCGAGCCGTGCTGCCTTGGGCTAAATCAATTGCTTTTGTCTTCCTTCTAGCGCCTACAAATCTCGAAATGCCATCACTCTTGCTTCCAAAAAGGATGATCCCGTCCACAAGGCCTCCAAGCACGCGGGTATATACCGTCCACCAACGCCCTTCTCTCCCTGCTACACTTTGGCAGGATATGTTTTGCTCGTCGTCTTTATATATTCCTCATTTCGTTTTTCGTGGACCGGAGTTTTGCTCTTTTCGTCACATTTCTTGCCGCCTTTTCTCCCATCATCTCCTCCAAACGCCATAGCCTAGTTGAAGACAACAGTCTTGTGCCCATTCTGGAAGACCCTCTTCTCGCTCCACCACTTGACGGCGGCGGCCAGGACCTGGCTCTCGACGTTGCTGCCCTCCTCGACGAGCTCCTTGGGGCTCATGCTGTGGTCGACGCGGGCGATGCGCTGCTCAATGATGGGGCCCTCGTCAAGGTCGGCGGTGACGATGTGGGCGGTGGCGCCAATGATCTTGACGCCGCGGTCGTAGGCCTGGTGGTAGGGCTTGGCGCCCTTGAAGCTGGGCAGGAAGGAGTGGTGGATGTTGATGATCTTGCCGCTCATGGCCTCGCAGAGGCCCGGGCTGAGGACCTGCATGTAGCGGGCGAGGACGACGAGGTCGATGCTGTTTGCGCGGATGAGGTCGAGGATCTGCTTCTCCTGTTCGAGCTTGGTGTCCTTTGTGACGGGGAGGTGGTGGAACTCGATGCCGTAGGACTCGGCGAGGGCCCTGTAGTCTGGGTGGTTGGAGACGATGATGGGGATCTCGATGCCGAGCTGCTTGTTCTTTGTGCGGAAGAGGAGGTCGTTGAGGCAGTGGCCGATCTTGGAGACCATGATGAGGACGCGGGGCTTCTTGGCGGCGGGGCGGACGTCAAAGTCCTCGTCGGCGGCGGCGAGGGAGGCCTTGAGGGAGGCCATGTCGGCGTCGAGGCTGGCGGTGGACTCGGTGTAGCCAAAGTGGACGCGCATAAAGAACTTTTGCGACGTGGGGTCCGAGAACTGCTGGAGGTCGAGGATGTTGAGGTTGTGCTTGGCCAGCAGGCCGGTGACGGCGTGCACGATGCCGGGCTTGTCGGGGCACGACAGCGTGAGGATGTGGTCGACGCCAGCCATGGTGGTTACGGTGGTGATGGTGGTGGGATATAGAGTTCCGTGTGAAGCCGAGGTGGTTGTGCTGTGCTGCCTGTCAAGAGTGTTCTGTCGTGATGCACCGGCCTGGCAGAGTAAAAATAGGCACGTAGTTTATGGTGGTGGTGGTGGTGTTGAGTCAAAAAGTGCGAACGGTGCTAGGATCGGCGGCCGGCCCCGCAGCCGGGCCCCGCCGTTTATGCCATTGCGGCTGCTTATGCAGCTAGCAGGGCCCGGTCTCGTCCGGGAGTTTATACTGCCAGGCTTCTGGAACTATGCTGTGCTGCGAGTGCGCGGAGGCTGTCGTCCGCGGCAGGAATGGGAACATGAGAGCAGTCTCCGGTCTTGTTGTACATACATGAGTACCTAAGTATATATGTGCCGGCTGTGACACGCACAGGCATGCCCTGCACGACAGGACGGCAGACCCCTGGGGGAAACCAGTCTGGGGAAGAAGCAACGACGGATGGCCCCCACCTGCGGTTTTGGGACAGGCGACTCAGACACTGCATGGTCTTGTTCTCTGGGTCCCGAGAGATCGGCAGAGACATCAGCTCGCGCTGAGTTCCAGCGGCCCGGCGCCAGCTCCGAAGTCTCCAGGGCTGCCTGAGAATCCCGCTGGTTGTCCCAGAGTACGTACCCGAAAGTACGTACCTCCAGGGCTGAGCAGGCAGCACAGAAGACCCCTGCCATGGCCTGGCTTGGCCTGGAGTTGTGGAGTTCAACTACCAATCAACCGTGACACCTGACAACACGGCACCCCCAAGTCGCGTGCTTCTTGCTCGCAAACGCAGGCAGGATCGAGTATGGCGTCGCCCTCGCGCAACGTGCACCTGACATGTGCCAGCCTTCATCCGTGGCAACACTTTGTACAGGACGCCATGTCCCACCACAGGCTGTTCGGCCTCGAGTGCAAGACGCTCGTTCAAATCATCACCCTGCCACCTGGATGCCTCGGCTGCCATCTCTCAATGGCTCGGGCTCATCATCCCCAGGCGGCATTGCACCTCGCCTGCCCCAGTGATCTGCACAAGCCGCCATGTTGCAACACCCCGGCCGTCGCTTGCGGGGAAGATGACCAGGTCCTCCATTGGCCAGAGTCCCATAAGCCTCTCAAAAGCGGCATCAAGTCTGACCTGGCCTGGGGTAAGCTGTCAACAACACCCTCGATGAGCGACCGGCATCATGATCTGGCAAGGTATCATTGCTAAAAGCGGCGGCGTGGGGGAATGGCACTGCCAGGGCACAAATACTCCGGCTCTGTCCCAGATCCGAGTTGCATGGCTGCTATGCGTGAACCACGCCTTGCGATCCATGCAGCATTCGTAGCAAACACGACAGGGTACCCGTCCAGTTCTCATTGTCGCGAGCCAGATACCTCTGGATTTCATGCACAGCTCCCGAAGCGTAATATCTCTTCATTATAAAGACGCCGTTGACGACGAAGCCAGCTATCATCCAATACAAAATGCTGGCCGACGTTGATCTCGGCAGTGCCGTCATCCTTCTGGGCATCGCGACTGTCTCGTCCGGTCTGTACTACATGGTCCAGTCCATTAGGCACGAACAGAGGATCAGAAGGACTGGAGGCGTCCGAGCACCTCAGATCACCTCTTATCCGGGTCAAGGCAAGTCGGCTCTCATGACCGACAATCGTCACGACTGCAAGGAAAACGCGAAGCACTAACGGGCCATTTCTCACAGCGATGATCAACTTGAGAGAGGCTGCGAAAGCCACAAGAGAGAATCGTCTGATGGAGATGTTCAATGGCTTCTTCGATCGAGCGAACCCAAAGGGGCCCGAGGCCGTCGAGGTTCAATTGCTCGGCCGCCAGCGCTACATTATCACAAGGGATCCAGAGCACATCAAGACCATCCTGACGTCCAAGTTTTCCGACTTTGGAAAAGGCGAGGATTTTCACCGGATCTGGAAGCCCTTTCTCGGAGACAGCATCTTCACCACCGACGGGCAAATGTGGCAGCAGAGCCGCAGCCTCATCCGGCCAATGTTCATTACCGAGAAGGTCTCTGATCTTGACACTTTCGATCGCTGGGCGCAGCAGCTCATTACGAAGATACCCACAAACGGTGCTGTAGTCGACATTATGGACTTGTTCTACCGCATGACTCTTGATGTGACGACCGACTTCCTTCTTGGTGCCACCACGGATAGTCTCAACAAGTACGCGTCTTGATTCTGCTGCCGAAAGTGTTTGAGCTGATCACGTAAATGTAGTCCGAGAAATGAGTTTACAGTCGCGTTCAACGATATCCAGACTACAATGACGTTGCTCACAACCATCGGGTAAGCACCAGGCAAATATAGCAACTCGAAATCCTTTCAGATTTCCTCTTTAACTGACCGGGAATGTTCCGAACCCCCAAGACCCCTCGAAAGATTTGTGCCACGAGGCAAGCTCTACCGCGACATAGCCAAACTCGACGAGTTCGTGATGCCCTTTATCCAGCAGGCCCTCAACCTGCCGCAGTCCGAGCTGGACAAGCTCTCCAAGGCCGACAAGGGCTTCACTTTCCTGCACAGCGTGGCCCGGCAGACCCGTGATCCGCAGGTCCTGCGCGACCAGATCGTGGCTGTGCTCCTCGCCGGCCGCGACACCACGGCCGCCACCCTGTCGTGGGCGTTTTACGAGCTGAGCAACAAGCCCGCCATCTGGCGACGCCTCCGGTCCGAGGTCCTCGACGCCGTCGGCCCCGGCGGGACGCCCTCGTACGAGAACCTCAAGAACATGACGTTCCTCCGGCACACCATCAGCGAGACGCTCCGGCTCTACCCGGCCGTGCCGTACAACCTCCGCACCGCCCTCCACGACACCACCCTGCCGAGCAGCAGGGACGCGCGCCAGGCCCCGATCGGCGTCCTGGCCGGCGACAACGTCATCTACAGCGCGTTTGTCATGCAGCGCCGCCCGGAGCTGTACCCGCCCGTGTCGGACACGTTTGCCCACCCGGCCGTCTTCTCGCCCGAGCGCTGGGAGCACTGGACCCCGAGCCACTGGCAGTACGTCCCGTTCAACGGCGGCCCCCGGATCTGCGTGGGCCAGAACTTTGCCCTGACGGAGATTGCATTCTGCAGTACGTATGACGGGCAGTGTCTCGTGTTTCTATATATCTCTAGATCCCCCTTTGTGTAAATGCCTTGCTCCTTACTGCGACTTATCATCTGCTGACACCTGAGACGATCAAAGTGGTCCGCATCCTCCAAAAGTACGAGCGTATCGAGTATGCAGGCGACAGCGATTGGGCTGCGCAGCAGCATGTCGCCGAGATTGTCGGTCGGCCGAGTGAGGGCGTGCGGATCCGCATGTTCGAGTCTGGAGGAGCTGCTGCATCCCACTACCAAGTCTAAAGTCAAAAATTCTAGTAAGTGATATCTGGACGACCATTAGATGCTGCTGCATGGCTCGAGGAACCTTGAATGGAGATTAGGTTATATTTTTGATCTGGTATTCAAGAAATATGAAAGACATATTGTGCCTCGTGGATCCGTTTTTTTTTGCGTGTACACGGGGGCTCGAGGTGACTCCTGCCAAGATTCCTCTTCCTCTATCGTGGCATCTCAATGTCTGGACTGGTGGATATGCTGCGCATGACCACCGACTCCTTGCATGTCCATCCTATCTCTGTGGCCGTGGCTGAACCTGACATCTTCGTATTCCCGACCGCGATTAACATTACTGCTGTCGTCCCTGGCCATTGCAGGGCTATCAGCGCCCCCTGTACTTCGCCTGCGTGAGTCGTAGGAATCGTGTTCTCGGGGTGCTGCTGACTGCAAGTAAGGCGCTCCGAGCCCTTCCCGGATAGACTCGCCGCCACTGCCACTCCCTGCACCACCTCCAACGCTGCTCGCCAGCATGCCTCCTGGGGTGCCAGATTCTTCCTTGGACTTGGGCGTCGAGGGCACAATGACGTTGAGCACACAGTCGTCAAGATGTTCGTAGAACTCCTGAGCCGATAGGAAGCGGATCTGGCAGATGGAGCACTTGGCATCGCCGCCGCCTTCGATTGGTGTGCCCATGCCTGCCCCGCTGGTGCTGGTCATGATGCCACCAGGTCCCGTTGTCATGACCATCTTGCGGCTGTTTGGCGGTGTCTGCTCGACATTGTGCACGGCCGTGAGGTGCCTCTTGAACACGTCTGCGCGGTTGAATGCCTTCTCGTACGCTGTGCCGGGACCCGGGCAGAAAGGACAGACCATGGTGCCTTTGTAGTGCGTGAGCGCGTGCCGATTCTTGTCGTACTTACGCGCAAACCCTTTCACGTGGTACTCGCAAGTCTCAATCGGGCATTTCTCTGGTCGTTCCTCCTGGTGAGTCAACATATGTGCTGCAAGGTCCTTGAAGACACGCCCACAGTCCGGGTGCGGGCATCGGTTACGGTTGTCCTCAACCTTGGGCGTGACTGGGCTGCTTTGCAGTATGGTACCGTCCATGGACGACACCGCCGACGGGCCGAGATGACTTTGCAATGGGGCAGGTGCGAGTCGCGGCGCGTCCAGATATGACGACTGACGTATCCCCGAGAACTCCTCCTCAACCATGCGGGCGTCCGCTTCCTCATCTCCACTGTCAGTGTCATTCGGGTCGTTGCTAACGTCAATGGACTGCCGGACCTCCCGCATCCAGTCCTTCAGAATGGTCATCGGGGGCCAATCGCCACTAGCCTTGCCGCCCCGATGAGGGTTGAAGTGTGCTCTGCGAAGATGTGCGGCTGCATTATAGTATGCTCCATAGCGTTTCTGTGTGACGCATGCCTTGCACTTGGCCAGCGGTATTTGTGGCTGCGGCGAGTTAGGCCCAGCCATTTGTGGTTCCGTGCAAACCCATCGCTTGACCAGCGCCGCATGCTTGGCGTCGTTGTGTCTTCGAAGCTCGTGTTCGCCGCGAAATCCTTCCGGATACTCATTGCACTTGTTGCAGAAGACTCGCCGGAGCGGCGGTCTCTGGTAGTTGGTTCTGAGCTTGCTGGGCGATGCTAGTCCCCTCGCGATGGCGCGCGAGAATGCCGGGCTTTCCCCAACGGTATGTCGCCGTGGCCCGTCTAGACTTAGACCCGACTCATAGCCCTCTGCTTCTGTCTTTTGCGCCGCCCAAGGATCGATCGGCACCCATTCATGTAACGGCTTTCTCATCCCCTCCATCGCACTCGACGGCCCATCCTGACCGTAAGCAGACACATCTCGGAAGATGGGGGTCCGTTGGCGAAAGAACCCGTTAAAGATTTGGCCCTCCACAAGGTAGCCACTACCAAGTTGGAAGAGAAAGTCCTGGGTAGATGCTATCCTCCAGTCTTCCCAGTTCTCTCTCTTCACAGCGGCCAAAGTAGCGCTTAAAAAGTCCCGATCGTGTGGCTCCATATACTCGGGGTTGTCATCCAGAAGCATGGGGGACGATGACGCGAAGATGGAGACAAGCGCCTTGTAGACACTGTGCATCGCAGCAGCGCCAGAGGTTAGAGCGACGCCTGTCTGGGACTGGCCAGCAATATTCGGGTCTGGCGTGGACACGAGATCAGTCAGTATCGTTCGGACGATGCTGAAGATGCACAGCGAGAAGAATAACGCGAGCCAGCTTGGCAGGTCACTGGGGCCGGTCCGCAGCGTGGCGTTCTCGAAGGCTTGGAGGAACTGCGTCATGCAGTTGTATATCAGGCGATTGCGGTTGTCCTGGTCAACGTCATCCGGCAGGAGCTGCGCGTCGTTGACGTTGACCTGGGTTCTGATTGATGGCTCCTTCTGTTGCAGGTCATAGAAGAGGATCTCGCGCAAGAGCAACTTGGCGCGGTAGAGCACCGGAAACCTTGCCATCTCTATCGCGCGACTTTCTGTGAGATGACCAGTCAGTCGCAGGAGATCCCAGAACTGGAATGGTATCCCTTCTGCATTCCAGCTCGCCGCCAAGACATTCAAGACAGGTGGCGCTCTCCCCTCCCAGCGGTCGTGTGTATAGATGGCGGACGTGGGCGTCGGCGCTGTCATGGCCGCAGAATCCTCTGTCCACCAAAAACTGTCATCAAAATCAAGGTGAGCGTGAACCATGTCTGATGTTGCTCGGGAGACAATGTACGTCCGCTCAAGGTACTGGTTCATGTTACGACGCTTCGCCATAGGTGAGGTCAATGGCGTCTGAACTTGTCTGGGCGAAAGTGACTCAGGTAGCATCCAGTCTGCGAGCGTAGATACCGTTCCACGATGACAGCCCAAAATACTCCAAAAGTCATCGGTCATCGGGTCGATTGGCTCCGAACACGTGGCACACTCTCCATCTCGTGAGTCGCACTAGGAAACAGACTGTCAGCAGACTAGGCATAGATACCAGGAGAAGGGCCGCTTACTGGCTTAGCATAGACTTTGCAACGAAGGCATGTGCCATGCTCACGAGGCAGTCTCAATTCGCCTATCGACTCCAACCTGGAATGTCCAACCCTGCTTCTCTTGAGCGGTGGCAGAAGCGGGTCGACGGCTGATTCTGCAGTAGCGGGTGACTGTGCGGGAAAGTCGGGCGGTGGTGGAAGCCCAATCACTGAAGTCCGGCGCGCTGGTTCTCGATTCGAAACGCTAGTAACAATCGGCGGTAGTGCTGACGTTGATGAAGTGCCCGGCGCGACAAGTTCGCGAGAACCGATACTGCTGGCTGTCACTGGATGGGACGACCTTGCATCCGCACGGGAAGCCGATGTTGTTGCTGCGTGACCCGAAGTGGCCCCTCCGGAGCGGAGCGACGAAGATGCATGATGTTGCTGGAAGTGGTCCTCTCTTTCTTCTGCTGTGCGGAATCCGTAAATGTAGTGGGAACAGTCCTCTCTCCAGCACTTGAAGGAAGCTTGTCGTCTTGAGATGTGAGGCACAGCACTTCTAGCCTTGCGATCACGGAAGACCGAGTCGTAAAACGAGATGTTCTTGTCCAACCATGCTCCATAGCCCGGTGGCGCTTCGTGATAAGCGAAGAGCCTCAGGTGTTCTTGAAGCTTGACATCGAAGAGATCCACACCTAAATCATGTTAGCAGCATGTCCGAGTGAAATCACCAACGGTGGGGTGCAGGAATCAGGTGTACCTCTTTCTACGAGAGAGGTTTCTAAGCATTCGCACCGGTACTGAAGATATCTCGCTTCCTCGGCATCGGATAAGCTGGGCGTCGATGGCGTGATATCTAGAGGAAAGTGTCAGTAAGCCTAACATGGACAGGCAGGACATTTCTGCAAGGACAAGGGCCAGGAGGCTGGCGGTATCTTACGGTTTGACTGCACAAAGGTTTCGAGCGCGCGAAGTTTGTGCTGTAGCAAGCCGAGCTCGGCACGTTCTGTCATCGTGTAGTAGGCAGGCAGAAGGTTTGCGAGCCTGGCCTGAATCTGGGCCTGTTGTTCAAAAAGTCCCCGAATAGTGGGGTCCAGGGCTGGATCGGAGCTGAACGTCGGCGGTTCCTCCGGCTGAACATGCAATTCACTCTGAATAGTGGTGACAGGCATTTGGGAGCCTCGCCGTTCTGCATGTGGCTCGAGCATGCTGGCGGATGAGGACACTGGGGCCAGTGGTGCTTGTGGCAGTGACGAAGAAGAAGGCATGCGCACGTCGGGCGGCGCAGGCCCGTGAGGGCCGGAGAAGGCCTGGTAGCGAAGAGCTGAGCCGTGCTTGGGCCGGGTGTCAGAGGCCTTGATGTCGTCGCCCGGCTTGCACGGTTTCTGCAGGCGGAATCGGAGCTTCTGCCTCCTCATAGGCGACTCTGATCTGGCGACAGCTTCCATGGAGGCGGGCCAGTGCCTCAGGCGACGGCTAGCTCGCCAGGCAGGTAGCTGTCGAGGGGCCCGGGACGAGAGAGCCGTAAAGCAGGAGCTGGCGAGGGGAGCAGCCGCCCAGGTCTGGCGATGTAGTCGGCTGGTGTTTATGCCACCGGTAGGAAGTCCAGCCCCGTCATTGTCCACGCCGGGAGAGGAGCGTGTGATGGTTCCAAGGAGACCCAGGAAGCTGGTAGAAGAAGGTCCAGGCAGGGTCGGCTGGGCTGTGGTGGAGCCCGAACCCGGTGATGGGGGCGTGGAAGCTGGCAGGCTGGCAGGCAAGCAGGCGGCAAGGTGCTTGTGTCTGAGTGGGCGAGCACAAGACAGCAACGCGAGGGTCTAGGAATAAGGTAAGTCGGGTATCTGGAGGTGGATGCTGGGCGAGGCGAAGATGTGCAGAAGAAGGAGGCAGCTAGCTCGAGACTCCTGCAGTGCAGCGCAGCGCAGCGCCAGAGCCAGGTGGTGGTGCAAGCATCAAAGCTGGAGCTGTGGCAGGCTGAGCAGGCGGTTGCGCACGCAGGCAGGCCCAGCCCAGCGAGAAGCCAAGGTGCACCCAGTTGCAGCTTGGCGCAATCAGTCAGGCCCCTGGTCGCGGTCGGGTCCCGCCCTGCGCCTGCCGTGCCCTGCCCAGGTGTCCTGCCATGCCAGACCAGGCCATGCCATGCCCTTGCTCTGCACTGCGGCGTTGCGCCCGCAGCCTGCCTGCCTGCCCGCCTGGCCATACTAAACTTTTGCATACATGGGAGTGGGTGCGCAGCAAAAGTGCCGGCGAAGAGGGGCCCCCCAGGCCTGACCAGGGCGGCACTTGCTTGAGGCGACAGGCGCTAGCCGTTTCGCTGGCGCAACCCTGCTCCTGCACCCTTCCAGCTCACTAGCCCCAGTGCGGCAGGCGGGCGCGCCTTCTTCTCAATCGACTCGTCTCCTCCCCGGCCTCGACCACGCACCGTGCCACAGTCACCCGCAACGCATCCTCTCGGCACTTGGTCCTCGCCCAGCCTCGAGCGCCTCGAGCAAGCCTAGCACCTCCGGAGCAAACCCGGCCAGCCCTCACCCACAGAGCGACGCGCGGCGGTCCGATGCCCTCTAACAAAGCTCGCGCGGTCATCCAGGCCACCCCAACCCAAGGACCCCCTCCTAGCTCCTATGCTGCTATGCCCTTGCCCACAGTCAATCTGTCAGTCAGTCAGTCAGGCCTCAGCCGTTTCAGGCCCCCGCCATCGGCAAGCCTACTGGCTCGAGCTGGGCGATCGCAAATGCCAAGGCTTGTGCTGCGGCGTGGGGATAGGACGGCAGCTTGTGGGCACCACCGTACTGTCCAGGGGAGGGATGGGATGGTTAATGGGTCGACTACAAGGCTACTGGACGATGGCCCACCCTGGGCGCGGTGCTAGCCTTCTCGATCGTCAAGCACAGCCTTGCAGTGTTCGTCGCCATCTCGAATGAGCCTGCAATGGTCGGTGATCCTGGCCAGACGTGTGGCGGGAGGGTTGCGATTGCAGGCAGGGTGGTGGTCTCGAGCTACAGCAAAGAAGGACAGCCTCAGTCCATTATTACGGTCCTACCTCTGTGGCCGTTCATGACTGGCATTCCTGCCACCTGCTCCTCACTTCCGACACGAGATGGGTCCTGCGAACCCCAATTGTCTGCATTCAGTTCCGTGCCAACACATTCGCGCAAGGGCGCGCGGCGAAAGGGACCATTTCACGCCGAGGCCCGAGGAACTTTTTGCGCCTGTACAGTCTTCTGTAGGGAAGCTAACGCAACCAGGGCGCGCTGGTCTTAGGATTTTCTCAACTAATATTAGTTCCGAGGCACTGGACACATGGAAAAGTCCCTCCACGCCCGTCGAATGTCTCAACCCCTTCCGTCTACCCACAGACCCGTTCGTCCCCACGCGGAATACGCCCTAGAATGCGCCAAGGCATGGAACCATCCACTCACATACCACGACCTGAGCCGTCCGCCAGGCGTCTTTGGCTCACTTGGTTTGTGGCACGGCTGAACTGACCTACTGGTTGCGGGAGCTAGGGTAGCTCCCTAGCGTGCACAACCCCCGTCCTTTTTTTGCCCGCCAGTTCTGCCCTTGGGCGGCTTGATTAGTTTTTCGTCGTTGCACACATGGGAAGCGAGCTGACAAGCAAACAAAGGCCCGGGCTCCATGCGTAGTTCGATCGCGATGCGTGCGAGATTGCTTCAATGACCACCCATGGAAGAGGCTAAGCGGACAGTATCCAGCGAGGCCCATCGGCACATGGCATGCGTGTCGATTCGCCCTCCAATGGTCCCAGTCGTCGTCCCTTTTCGCCCCCAACTGCTCTAGCCATCCCGGCCGAGCGCCGAAAGGCCGGGCTCTGCCGACCAGGTCGATACCACGGTCCAGGTGCGCCACTGAGTCGACAGGAGTCCGCAACCCCGAGCGACAGGTTTACGGTTTACTGCGACCATGGTGTCCGATCCGCAACGCACCACAGGTGTGGCTGCTTCTTCGCGTGGCTCAGAATCACAGACCTCGGACGTCCCTTCAGATGATTCTGATAGGCGCGGAATCAAGTCGCTCGGGTGCACAAACCCCTCTTGCAGCCACGCTTCAGCAGGCTTGAGTCTTGGCGGATAGCTTCGACCTTTGTCAAGGGCTGAAGTGAAGGCCACGGGCCGTTGCAAGGCGCCACCTGCATGACCAGAGACTAGCCAAGCTGCGGGCTGGCCAGCGCGTCGAACGGTTTTCATGACCTGAGTTCCAGCTGATTGGTGTCCGTACCCCAGACCTGCTACCTATGTCCGATAGCCACTGGCAGGGTCGCGTCTGACAGGGGTGGTGCCGGCTGGTGTTTCCAAGCTTGCTCGCGACGCCCAGGGGACCCAGTCAAGGGTAGATTAAATCCAGCTCATGGACGCAAGCCTACGCGAAGAGCTAGCCTCAGCTTGTCGAGCTTGAGGAGCTCGACCGACTAAAGCAATGGTGTCGCGCAAAAGATCAACTCCTGCAGTGAGTCGGTCACTTAGGTTCATCATGCAGCTGGAACAGGGTCAGGCCTCTGCTTGGATGCCTTACATACCGCTGGACCACCAAGCTTGGCGGGTCTTACTGGCATCCCCAGAGGAGAAATGAACTCGCGTATCATGGCAGGGCCCCTCGGCGTACTTTCCGAAAGGAATTGGAGTCTGGACAGCCTTGCCGCTGGGAGGACATACTCCGGTTCTCGGGGCACTGCAAGGCGGCCCTTCCAGCAACCCCAGCCGGAACGTCAATGTCGAAAGCGCCAAGGAACCCACTTCTATCACGTAGCATTCGGCACAACTTGTTCAACAACAGCAATGGCCTGGGCCCTTCACAGTATTAGCGCAGAGCTGCAGCTGCGGCCAGCATTTCCGACCAAGCCTCCACCACGCACAAACATTCGTCCGCGGCCGACAGCTGTGACCGTGTTCATTGCGTACTACCTTCCCTGCTCGCACATCCATCTTGCAGGACACCTGCCGTCCCGGTAGTGCATGACCCATAGCTCAGCACAAGCGGGCTGCGAGGAAACTGGCCTGGACATGACCATCAGCTGCAATCCGTCTCGCCAATCGGTCATGTGTCCAGGTATGCCCCCTGGCCCGGCTAGCGCAGTAAGTCTAGGAGAGCTGAGAAAACCAGACGCGGTCATGTCAGCTCCAGTGGATCAGCTCGAGCAGCTGAGAAAGCTTCCTCACAAATTCAGCCGGCTATCCGTAAAGTAAAATAAGCAAATCAATGGCAGTGTAGCAGCGTGAAGGCACGGACAATCAAAAATGCTCGTCCTGCGCACGGAATCAACCTGTCAGAGATCACAATGAAGCAGCGTCGCGCCACTGCGGGCAGCAACAGTGAGTGAACACGATATCTTTCACAATCACAAGCCAAAAACAAATGCGTGCTCCAGGCCCCTGCCATTGTGGCCGCCTGAAGGCCTTCTAGCTGTAACTTGACAAAGCCCAGGGTTCCACGAACAAGTAAAGGCCGTTATAAGAACAGGGATTCGGGGGCTCGTCATCAGAACCGACGAGCCCACAACGTCCTCGCCCAAGCACGACAGCTGCCTCTGGCCCTGCACCTGTTCGCTTTTCTACTGTGATGCTGCAAACACGAGGAAAGAACATAAGGCCACCGTAAGCGGTACGCTGCCGTGCATGTCGGGGTACACATGGAACGCGTCGCTTCCAGCAAGAGCATGGTTTGCAGATTTCACAAACTCGTCGTCATCCTTCCGCCAGCGACATCTGGAGCATTACGATCCGAGCAAATCATTCTGTAGCGAAGGCTTACGGCTGGGCCACGTATACATTGTTTTCACGTCATATCGTTCAAACTACCAAATATCCGTTTGCGACGGAGCCGTCCACCCGGAACGCCTGTGCTCAGCACCTGGCCATGGCTGATGGGGAGCTCTGGCCGCGCATGGCTCGTCCTGCTCGCACTGGCATTCAATGGAGAACAATGTTCGTGGGCAATGGTACCTCCTGCCGAGCCTGTCGAAAGTTCTTGCGCTGGGGCAGACGCTGGTCTGTCGGGCCGTCAGCTGCGGCAGTGTTTCGGCTTCTGCCGAAATGACGGGCTACAGCATAGGTGTCAAGCCCCAACGCTCCGGAATGGGATGTGCGAGTTGCCTACCCAAAATCGACGGGTGATGGTGTGTCCACCTACAGACGTCTGTGCTTCTTGGACCTGTTGACCTCCCATGGACAGCCTCTCTTGTCTGCCACTTGGTTCATAGAGTCATACTTGTATCTGCCAGAGACTGCTCCCGATGTGGAAGTATCCACGCGATGTAGCTAGCAGAGCATTCTCTGGAGAGCTGTGACAAGGACAGAGCGCCAGTTGGGGTTACATTGCTTCTACGTGAACACTGTCGTGGGACCTGCCGCCGTTGTGGTGCATTCTGGCTGAAATGAGCATGGTCAGTAGCTCCCTCGGCCTCATGGAACGCAGCCGACTCGGGGGCTCTTCAACACCGCATCCGGATCAAGCCAAGTCGAGGTTACGATGTCGCGGCACTGCTCGACAGCAAACGGCGAGTCATCTAGTACCTCACCCTTGCCTCGGCTCATGGCACAGTCGCGAGCGAAGCGTGTGGACTCTCAGAACCACTTTGATGGCCATTAAATCTGACCAAAGGACCAGAATTCTCGCCTGAGGAAAGCAAGAACCCATACGCCACCCCTCCCACGCCTTCCACGCTACTCACGACCGTAAGGAATTCGACAGTGAAAGGCGAAGCACAAGCGGACAAGCTCAACTGCTAACAGATGCGCACCTTATCTGGTGATGGAATCATACGCAACCGGCGCTCGCCACGGGTATGCCTGGCTTCCCACAGCATGCGAGAAGAGCTGGCAGGCATGGGAATGGAGGCCTTCCTTGCTGGTCACCTACAACGTTGTGCGTGCCGATAAGTGCGGGAGGGATGCGCGATCCGGCCGCCGCTGGGGACGGCCGTCCGTGTGGCACACTGGCCAGGTAGGAGAGAGACGAAACGGCTCGTCATGAGGTCGAGTGCGAGGCACACGCCGTTGTGGTATTCGGCGAGACTCTTGACCAGACCCTGGCGCCGTGCCAGGGTCGATGTGCCGATCCCTGCTCAAAGTAGCATCCTGTGCGCTTCTCGACTGCAGCACGCTGCGTGGGACTGTGGATCGTGGGCCTGCAATCAACCTTCAAGTGCCGGCGGAGCGCCAGACGTCAACCTTCTCGCCCTGTCCTCGCCCGCCATGTTGCCGTCCACCGTGAGGCAAAAGCTGGGCATCCCGGTCGTCTTGTCCCTGGTCGACATGGTCCTTTCTCCTGGCACTCCGCTTCCTCACTCCACCCACGGATGGACGGGCGGGCTCAGCGGTCAACTCGCCAGCGCCAGCCATGGATCACAATTTGACTTTTGCATGCGGTCGGGACTATATCCCCTCCCGCCGCGCCAATCAGACCCAACCCGCTCGGCAAATGTATCTCGAGGTGTGAGACGAAGCAGTGGGGGTTGCATGGGTCATATCACAGCACGCTGCCATGAACCATGTTCCAGCCAGAAGACCCTCGTCGCGCCCATCGAGATACGTAGCGAGCGTAGGAGTCAGCGCATGGCGATGCACACTCTCCCAGCCAGGAGCCGCCTGATCATCCAACCGCCTGCCGAGCTGCCTCCTCGGGACGATCAGCACGCCTCCCAGCCCCTCCTTTTCCCGTCAGCAGCTCTTGCCCATCCCGCTTCCTCGTCGTATGTAGAGCTCCTCGATGGAGGCGAAGCGGCTCGTTCCAAGGTTGATGCCGATCGGCAGCTGGACAGTCCAGGCTGATCTTCGAGGTATGACGAGCGCATCGAGTGCCAGCAAAAGTGGACCAGCCAGCCCAGGCGAAGCAAGCCTCGCAAGCCGTTGAGCTGGACCTGTCATAAAACGAAAGAAACCCGCCGATGACTGATGAAACGTGTGAGCCGGTTGGGCCATGCTCCGCATGATGCCCACTCCATCCTGGAGTACAGTAATTATGTCTGCAGGCAGACCTTGCGGGGACGGACGACCGCTGTGGAGCGTGACCCGGGAACACGCCCCCGTGCCACAAAGGACGACTGGCTGGCGAATGCTACTGTGCGTGCTCGCCAAGACGACATCGACTTGGGTTCTCGCAGGGAAGGACAGATGCGCGGCGGCTGTGCGTGGACGTCGCTCGCTCGCCAAACGTCGTGGAGCGCGCTGCCGGTCAGGAATCGGGATCATGTGATGCCAAATCACCACTGAGTGACTGGACAAGATATGCCTTTGTCCTGTACGGTGTGCTTGGTTTGCGTGCTTTTGACCCTGTGGCGGTGCTAAAAGCATAAACTGTACCGATCAGACGATGTGTGCGATTTATACTTTGCATAGCTCTTGGACATGTGTGAGCGCAGCAGGCGCTTCTCCAAAGTGGCCGACCGCCTGTTAAGATATCCCTGGAGAGATAAATGATTTGCCACGACACGGCAGACCTCTTTTCTTTCTGACAATGCCCCCCAGGTCCCAGCATGCCTCGCTACATGTCTCGTCGAATCCTCTTCTGCTCCAGTCACGGTTGCGTCCATGATGGGACTCAAAGACCCTTCCTCGCCGGACGCGTCATTGTGTGATGATTGTCGTCCCCAGCAGTTCTGTGCTAGATATCTATGGTGGTCGGTACCTTGTAGATAAGATCAAAAGTATGATTGCATTACACGGCTGTCTTGCCAAAAAAAGAAAGCCGCCGTGCTTCCGTTGTCCATGACTCATCAGCTCAAAGGTAGTAGTAGATACGGGCATATTGTTAGTGCTACTGCCACTGCTACTGCTGCTTCCATTTGCCTTGCCCGAGAGCTATCCCGGAGGTCAAGAAATCCCTCAATGTACATATCTTGATAGGTCTTGAAGTATCCCTTCTAGGCTTGGGGGTTCCGGTTAACTCGCCGTGGAAGCGAGCGCGCGGGGGGTTTTCCCCAAAAAACACGAAGACGAAGACGAAAACGAGGGTGCTTCTTGATCGGTGAACAAAGACAAAAAGACAACCGATTTTTGCCCGACAACTTGGAAGGCCCCCTCGATGCGTGTTGACAACGGAAATGCGTCGAGTGACTGTCCGCCCGAATTCTTTGACTCGTTGTACCACCCCATCTATCTATCATCTTACCTGTAGACACACACACACACACACACACACACACACATACACCTATCTGTTTGCCCGCGCGCCCCATTCTTCCCCGCTCCTCCCCTACTAATCCTCAAGCTTGGCAGCGGTGAGAGATGGAACTCGGAGCTGGAAGAAAGATAAAGAAAGTCTCACCTCTCGGCTTGAGACGCGGACCAGAATATTCAACAGGACATTGCACACGACCGGAATGTGATATCCCACGATGCATAGAAGCCTAGACTCCCCCAGGGAAAAGAGGGTTTGAGGGTGGAGGGGCCTTTTGAATAACAACGTGGTGAGACTCGGTTCTCTCCAGATCTAGCCGGCCTTGCTCCTATCTTTCGCGTTCCGTGAGAAGACCGCTGCTTTTGGCGGCGAGTCAGGGGCGGATTTGCGTGCCTCCGGGGGCATGTATCTGCGCTGTGTGTTCTCGTGCTTTTTTTTGTGATCGGTCCCTTCGTTGTCTTATAACAAAGAACAAAATCGCGGACATATTACTTGAACGCAACTTGGAAAGTCTCCTCAAGAACTTTAGAGAACGTCTCCTAAGGCTTTCGCCGTTTTGTTGGGCCTGTTGTTTTCACGCGATTTCTGTACATCTCAATATCTGTTTGTCGCTCTATCTCTCTATCTCCTGCTCTATCCCGATTTTCTTAGCCGTGCTCCCGCGCCTCTGCCGCTACTAAAAATGTTAAAACAATCTATTCATACCTCTTAGCCCCCTAGGGAAGCTTCTACGAGGTTTATAATATAACCCCGAAGTCGCTGGCAAATCCAGAACAACAGAACAACAGAACAACGAATAATTCCACACAAATATACTAATAACGGATCGAGAGTTCCCCCGATGATCGAAGTAAGCGGAGAACTCGGTTGAGATAACCCAAACTTACTGCGTACATCAAGACGCAAAGACACAGGAGGGCGCAGGACGGGGCTCCAAGAATGAGCACAAAACGAAATATGGCCCAAGAAGAACAGCTCGTAGTTTGTCTCGTCTCAAAACACGTCCTGCCCAGCCCAGTCTGGCAACGTCGGAATCAGCCCAGCCAGGAGCTTTCATCACCATTCCATGCACTATCACACGGGCAGTGACGTTGCAGATCCATGCGGCGTGATCCATCGTAGAAGCGTCGAGACTATGCGGCATCAACTAGTCGTTTTACAGAAGGCGACATCACTTCAGCTGGAAATCATCGTTGGCTGATAAGATGTTGGCCACAAGACTCGATCTATCATTCTAAGCTACCATATCCCGCTAGTGAGTTGTCTCTGGGCAGCATCATTGTCTCAGCCCTGCCTTAAGCAATGTCACTCGCCTTGGTGAACTGCCGCATGATCGTCTTCAGCCCCAATTCGGTCTCTGGTATATCGAACAGTCCCATCCGCAGTCCCACGCCAACGCCAATTGCCACCCCCCCAAATGTCACATGTTGAATCGTGTGCTCGAGCGCTCGCTTGCCTGAAGTTGATGCAGTAAAATGAAGAAAACAAAAACATGAGTTAGGAAACGGTCTTGAATCAATGGAATTGGGGTTCGTCGTCGGGCCATAAGTATGCCATTCAAGAATCAGTGTCCGCGAGCCATGTGTGCGTGCAACAGGTTGCCACGAGATGCTGAGTCAACCGGGATTGCTCTTCATCTACGGGTCGTGCTACCAGCGGCGTTCTGAAGCCTCGCAAGTGAGACATTGTCGTGGTCCGTGGCTTGTGAAGTAGGAATGACGACTTGGTCAAGAACCGACGGCACTTTGCTGTCCTTGAGGCATTTCATTCCACTTGCGCCCATCTCCTCTCCCTTAGGGGCATCTCCTTCCCTTGCTCTTGCCGAGACCCTGATGACTCAGCTCTCCAAGCGGCGTGCTCTCCAAGTCGGACCTCGGCATATGCCGCGTAGTCAAAGTCAATTGTTGAGATTGTTGCCTGAATCAGAGCCCAGATGCCCCAGTAGAATCCTGGCACGCCACGGAACAAGTCAACCTCGGCACACAGCTTGGCCACCTCGGCCTCTTCGTCCAGGTCGTCTGGCTTTTCGGCCACCAGGCTAAAGTAAGAGTGAATGTATTCGCGAATGAACTCGGTCCTCTGAGACACTGTTGGGAGCACGCTGAAGTCGCAGTCAAAACCGCCCCACTCGGCAAAGTGGTTCGCGATGTCGAAGGCCGCTGGCGAGGGGGTCGCATATTCATAATCGATAAAGTTGACAGACACTGGTAGGCAGCCGTTGCCATTGCCGTTGGTCACCTTGGCAGGCACCGACTCTGGCTCAATGATGACGTTGCCGCTCAGTAAGTCGCAGTGAGCGAACACGAGCTACGAGGGATCAAACACAGACTGTCAGTAATTGATATCCAGGGTCTATAAGTCATAAGCCAGCACTTACGCCGTTCTTGCCGAGCCCAGGTCGCTGGCTAAGCTCAGCTACGAGACGGGCGAGCTCCGCCTGTAATGATGCCTGACGAGCACGCTGAGCTTCCGTTGTAGTGGGCAAAGCGAGAATCCATTTCTGCATAACAGTCCACACGTTCGGGCGAGGCTTGGAGGGAGCGACATGGTCCACGAAAGGCTGCGCCTTGACGCCCTTGGCCATGGGAGAGTCGGAATCGTGAAGGCAGGGCACAATGGCGTGCCATTGCGCCAGACGACGGGCCACGGCTCTGTAGATGGGTCGGGTGCGGAGGTCGGCAGGAGATGTGACCTTGCCGGGGATGTAGCGGTACAGCATGCCGTTCTCGAAGCGAGCGAGCAGCTGGGGCGCGAGCCCATGCTTCATGAGCAGCTCGTGGTTCTGTGTCTCGCGAAGGCGGTCGATAATGACGTCGGTGCCGTTGCCGTAGGCTCGTAGCAGGATGGCGTCGCTGTCGACCTCGGCCTTTGTGAGGCCTTGCTTGGGGTTGATGGCCTTGAGCAGAGTGTTTGTGATGCCGTCGGTGAAGCGTACAAACTCTAGGCAGGAGTCTGGAGAGGCCCAGTCGGGTCTCAAGGCGAGGATCAGGCGGCGGGGCGAAGCCTCTGGATCTGTGCTGTCGTAGGCGAGAGGGATGAAGGGGATGGCATCGGCCGGACGTGAGGAGGCGCCGTTGAGCTTGCCGTTTGTGACGCCATTGGTGCCGCCGTTGGCCGTGATGGGCTCGACGGTGTGCATGTCTGCGTGTGGCATTGAGGAAGCGGCTCAGCCTTGGGTGTGTCGCCGGTTTTATCTGTATTCAGGGGGGAACGATGGTCGAGGATGGCAGAGAGGAAGTGAGTGGTGGGTTGTCGGCGGAGACTTGGCCGTGGAAGTTGAAGGCTGGCTTGAATGCTGCAGGTACCGAAGCTGGCGGAAGCACAGAGAAGGTCAAGATGACGGAGAGGCAGGTGACATGTAGCAGAAGACAGAACGAAAGAACAAAGAGGTCTGCGGTCTACGAGCAGAGGGAGGTTCAAGCACCGTTTAGGAAAGTGCTGGTGGTGTCTGAGGGGGCCGGGGGTCTGATCTGGCAGGCCAGGGTGCGGATAGAGACGGTGAAGGGGCACTATGCCGGAAGGACAATAGCAGGGTCGAGGGTGGGGGGCGCCAGGTGGGTTCAAATGTTGTTTGCGCAGTGCCTGTTTGATTGTCGTGGGCTGGCATCGACGGAGCGTGCGTGGGCAGTCGAGGCGCCTGCCCCTCCTGTTGCGTATCGGTTCGATCATGGTGCACACTGCACGCGGATTATGGCACTTGGTTGTCTCAGAGAGCAGGTGTGGCATGGCGTGATGGCAAAGGGGCAACGACCAACGTCATTCTGCTGCTGGCCCCTCGACACTGGCTGGCTGGCAACCTCAGCCCAAGGCTAGCCCAGGGGTTGCGCGGCGCCCGCAGCAACTCAAGAGTCCACCAGCCAAACCTTCAAGTCACCACACCCGCTCCCCGGTGCTAAAAAAGCCTGGACCCTTGGATCATCCTGCTTGCCTCTCCAAGCCAAGCTCCAATGTCGCCAGAGGGCTTCTGGGTTTCCCTATTGCGCGATGCCCATCAGGGTTCTTCCCTTGCCGTTCCAGAAGCCGCGCAAGCACCACAGCACAACCTGGAGGGCCCGCCATTGACGACAGGTCTTCAGAAGAGCAACTGTCAAGAGCCGGCCCTTGCCATCTCCACCAGATGATGAATCTGTCGCAAATCATCGGGACAGCGCTGTTGCTGGTGCCGGTGCCGCCCAGGGATCTTCGCTGCACTCTCGAGCAGCACTAGCTTCGTTCTGTCCCCATCACAGCCCAGCAAGCCATGCGGGGGAGGCGAAAAAAGCCATGTTTGTCCTTCCTGCGGACCCCGCTCTCCAACTCGAAAGTGCACCGTCTGCGCGGCCATTGCTCCGGCACCGCATCCCGCCAGATCGGCACGTGGGCATCTTCCCGCCGGCTGCTGTGCTCCGATCTGCCACTGTTCGCCCATCTCACACACTGTCAGTCACTGCTACTTCTCAAAGCTCAAAAGAGGACGACTTGACTGGGGGAAGCAGCGGGCGGAGCCATATCTCTTTGCTCCGTTTCATTCTGTTTGCTGTGTGTGCAGCCCACAAGAGGGGAAAAAAACACCACCACATTCGCGTCCTGCAAGCCGAAATTTGCACCGCCCAAGCTACATTCTAAAGTCGTCGACCTTTCTGGTCCCAATGGGCCGCCACTAAATACACAGATCGGGAAGGAAAGCATGTGATTAGGCTCCACATGGGCCTTTTTGGTCCCCCGACCCTCTCCGCCCTGCCCTTGCAGTGCTGTCACCCGACATGCAGGGCTTCGGATCAGGCGCCGAGTTTGCACACAGATGCTGTGCCGAAACGGGGGAACCCAAGTCCAGTCTCTGCAGAAGGACAAGACTAGCCTTGCAACTAGCAGTATACAGGCCATCATCTGCCTTGTCACGAAAGACAGTGATGCCCAGCGAAGAATCCATACAATAGGGTATATACCGGGGAGGAAGCTTTCAGTCGACCTGTGGTGGAGTACCACCCACTAACAAGGGCCCCCGTGAAGCAACAAGCCTTGTCCAAGGTAGTGCCAAGCTAAGGTTGAATAGTCTTCTCGAAACCTAGTCCTCCCGACTAGCCATGGCACGCGCCTCTCCGTCCTTCCTCCTTCTTGTTCTCCTAGCCAGCGTCGACTCTCTCATCTTAGCGCCAGTGACCACGAAGCCTTTGTTCAGCAGCGTCTCGGCCTTAGTGGCCATCTTGTCCAGCGCATCAATCATGACAAAGAGGATCTTGTTGAAGAAGAAGAGGGCCACAAAGGACACACACACCGTGATCGTAATGGCCTTCTCAAAGTCCCACGTCACCCAGGCCTCGTACATCTCCTCGATCTGTATCGAGTAGTAGCTCGTCACAAAGCTCAGCGGCAGGAAGAAGACGGACAGCTTCGCCAGCAGCGTCGCGCTACGGTTCAGCCGGGCCGTGGCGGCTGTATCTTTCTGCTGCATCAGGTTGAAGTACTGTGTAAGTGGCCGTGTTAGTCATTCCGGGCTCCGTTGACGCGCTCGATGTGTCCTTGAAAACAGATATGCAAGAGAGTTAGAAAGGATGGCTTACCGTATCCGACAATGCAATCGTCTCATCCTGATATCCTTGGATCGTGTTCAGCATCAGCCACTGCAACCTCTCGCCCAGCCTCTCGAAGCGCTCTCTGGCAGACTTGGCCATGACGATGACGCCCTCCTCGCCACCGCCGCCAGCGTCACTGCCGTCATGCTGCTCAAGCCCGGACACAGAACGGCCCAGCTGTGCCGTTGCAACGTGTTCCGTGGTGGTCTGCAGAATCTTGTGGATCATGGCCTTGTAATTCTCAAACAGGTGTTTGAGCTCGCGCAAGTCCTTGCCGAGGCTGTGCAGTCGAGGTATGATACCTGCCGTATGCGGTTTCATTTTCCGTGTCTGTTTGTGATGATAAACACAACAAGAGTCAGCAATGAGACCATCACAACCCAAGCACAGCTGATCTTCTGCCGTCCCCCGCCCTTAAATACTCACGTCGCTCTCGAGCACTATCGGAGTCTGCGATCCAGTGTTAGCAGGCAGCATGTTTGGAAGTATCATATGGCTCTCTGGGTGGGGGGGGGGCATACCAGCTCCCGCAGAGTCTGCTCGGCAGCCTGGAACGTGGCGGCCGCGGCATAGTCCTCGAACAGGTAGTAGAACAAATTACTCGCGCCCTCCACGTTGAGCATCTCGAGTTTCTGCTGCGGCTGCATCGCCGTGGAACTCTTGCCGATGCGCCGCGTGTGCTTGACCAACATTGCCTGCCGCACCGAACTCTGCGACAGCGGCTTGTGCGCGTACCTCTCGAAGCCGTGCACGGAGAGCTGCAGGAGCACACTGAGGGTGTTAGCCCGGATGTGCTCGAGGCACCGTGCCTGATATTTGGCCCAGGCGGATGACGGCGACGATGCCGAGATGCCCTCGACCTTTTCGATCACGGGGTCTTCGTGAAGCGAGAGGACCGTATCTGCAAGCACGTTTCCCACATCAGACTTTTTCCTTCCGGTTTTTTTTTTCGTTTCCCGAGACCGAAAGGCGGAGATATTGAATTGCCTGGGGAGCAAGCAGCAGCAGGAATGATAAAGGCTCGGAGCGCTATCAGATGTACATACTGTCGTTGCCGAGGACAAGCCAGAGCCAGTGCTTTGGCGGCATGAGCGAGGTGGGCTTGCTGCTGTCCGACCTGCGAGCGTTGCTGCCGGGCAGTGGTGTGCGTTCGTGTAGCCAGTGCGCGCCAATACAGAGGGCTATATTGTATGTGACGCTCGACATAGTCGTCAGCATATATAAGCTACTGTTTTGCGGGGATAGGGTCTTTCTTGGAAAGTAAGGTCTCGGCGCCGTCCTGCGTAGATTATAGATGGCTGGACCACCGGGTCGCTCGCCTACCGTTGGGGGTTTGGTCAATCGATGAATAATTGACCTTGTTCTTGAGCAGCAGGAACAAGCGCACATCGTCACCATCTAGCATCGGCATCTTCTGATCATGTGCGGCGTGGGCAGTAGCCGCTGCCGACGACGACGATGCTGCCGCGGATGACTGGGTGTTTGAAGCAGCAGTCCCCTTCTCGAGATCGACGAGCTGCACATCCTCGAGCGCAGCACCACCACGCGCAGAAGCAGCAGCGGGAGTGGCGGCAGCTGTTTCAGCGTGTGGCCTTCTCGATGATGATGATGCGGACGATTCTGTCTTGGCGGCCATGCTGCTAAACTTTTTGGCATTCTGCATTATACCTATCATTCTCTGGGAGAATTCGTATTGGTCGCCGAGGAAGTTGGTGACTTCTGGCTTTTTGCTCGTATCCCAGATGTTGCTATAACCACACAACGCAGGTGTCATTATCAGCATTGAAAGATATGCGGCACACGGAGAATCAGAGGGAGCAAGCAACGCACATCCATCTGATCGGATAGTCTGGGTCCCGCTCACGATACAGGTTCTCGAAGTGGCCCAGCTCGAGATTGCGCGCGACGCGGGCTCGGTCGTGGCCGAATTCGACGACAAAATTTGTACAGTCTGCTGTGGCAGATGAGTTGACCATCTGCTCAAAGACTGAAGCCTCGTCGAAGTCCTGAAATATGGGGCCGACCACATCTTGGGTGGTGCTTGGGTCTGCCATTGCTGCGTTGGAAACTCAGGGGCTGCGCGATGCTTTACTGATCGTGTAGACTCGACGGCAAGTCTTGGCCAGTCATTGAGTGACAGATGAGAGGAGGAACATTGAAGGGCATAGCAAGGAGTCGCACAGCAACAGGCCACAAGAAAGAGACCGCAGGAGGCGACGAGTGAGGCCGGGGCAAGGCTGACGGTGCAGTCACACGCGCGGACTATCATGGATGGTGGTCAGGGTGACACCCAGGCGAGAGTGCAGTGCACCAGGCACAAGCGCGTGTTGGCTGAAGGATGAGACTCGAGATGCATGCCGGCCCCCATGATGGTGCTGCGACGAGTGAACCAACTGCATGAGAGTCGACCAGGAGGATGGCCAGGGGCGCTCCATCTTCGCGGGCGGCCGCATCGTGCCGCCCAGGGTCTTGCGGCTGTGCACGCGCACCCGCATGCAGGCGACTAGGGGTTCTTGAAGAACTACCATAGTATGCTGTTACCCTGCTCTGCCCGCTGTCGGACCTGGCCGAGTTGAGTCAGTCCAACATCCCTGACACAACTTCTCTGCAGTGACTCATGACGACTACCCCCAGGATGCAGTATAACAGAGGCTTCCCACTGATCGAAGAGACTGGATCTACAGATTCCTTGCACAATCCCGACTTTCTCGATGCGTTGCTGAAGCCTCAAGGCTGCAAGTGCGGAATCCCGTGAACCCCACCACGTGGACCAAAGAGCCCCGTGACTAGGCCACCAATCCACGCTATTACGTCCTGTCTGTCCCTTTGACCAGAGCGCCAGGTCAACCAACTTGCTGCGACTCAGGAGGAGAATATGAGCACCGGGGAGCAAGGCCGTGGCCGCGACTGGGCCATCCAGCACATCCCCGTGGATGAAGACGGTGCTCGATTTACCCTCGACAAGCTCAAGCCGTTCCGCCTTGCAGCGCTGCAACATGATCCAGATGGTGAGTACAAGTCGTGATATTTGTGGGACCGCAGCCATTCTTGGCCTCCAGTGCGTGTAAAGCCCATGGTGGTGCAACTGGACGTTGACGTGATGCGTTTCCTCCTTCCACAGCGTTTGGGTCCGATTATGCTCGAGAGGTCGCCTTCACCGACGAAGTCTGGCTGAGCCGACTACACAACCCACTCGCAAAGACATTTGTCGCCGTGAGCCCCACGACGGCGGACCCTCGGGGCGAGCAAGGCATCGTGGCATCGACCACGGTCTTTGGCCCTCTCCCCAGCACTGCTGAGGACTTGCACTTTATGGAACAGTCTGGGCTATCTGCACCATGGTCGTTGCCAGTTTACCACGTCACGGGCGTGTACACAAACCCGGAAAGCCGTGGCCGTGGCATAGCGAAGGCTGTAATGGGGGCCGCTCTCGAGGATCTGCAGGCGACATTGCAAAGGGCTGATGCTGGCCACGAAGCTGGCAAGCCTGCAGCGGTGATTCGGGTGGATGTGTATGCGCACAACATGGCAGCGCATGGGTTGTACTCTGCTGCAGGCTTTTCCGAGGTGGAATCTCGCAATGAGGCCCGCGAATCGAGTGAGCCGGGTCGCCGCATCCTCAGCATGTTCCGATTGTTGTTGGCGTAATGGCAGAGATGTTCGCGGCAGTCTTGTCAGAGGTGAGAGATGGCCGAGTTGGACACGATATTAGGGTGTCTGTTGCTTGCGCCTGAGGAGGGAAGTCGCGAAAGCTGGGATTGAGACATGCCGCAGTGCTCCTGCCCACATGAACCCCTAGAGCTCGACACCAGCATGTTCCAATTGTTAAGGTTGCAGTAGTGACCCGTAATTTCAAGTTTGTTTCTGCTTAAGCTTGACCAGTGTCTGCATTGATCTTGTCAAGCACGCATTCGTTCCCGCGACGCCTCTTCGACTTGCACTGATGACAAGCCGACTCCGGATACAGTATGTTCCTTCGGGAGCGACCGCACCGCCAAGACGCAGATGAGACTTGTGGCTCCGGGAAGATGCACCGAGACAACCCCCAAATAAGGATCAGCTAGCGATCAGCCAGTGCCGCGACGTCATCGACGAACTTTTTGGGTGCCCATGTGCCGGCAAGCAGCTGATCTCAGCGAAATGCCAAACCGACGTCCAAGCCCAGTCTGGGGCTGCACTGCGCGGCGCTGGCCCTGTGCCCTCGACTCGACTCGTCCCCCCAGAACAACAAAGAGGATCCATCATGGATGCTGCCGGGGTCGCTGGCGGCGCCTTGCTCAATCGAGGGGGCGGTCTGCCGCTAGACGGTAGAGATCCGCATCTCAAAGGGGCAGGCCATGCAGCATTGGTCACCTCTACGAGGTGCAACGCCTCGCTCGCAGCCGATCGAAATGACAGCAGGGTCCGGCACCCAGTAGCACCCCCGTCGCCCATTGTTTCATCCCACCGCGCAAGGGTCCATGCACTTCATTTGCCCATCTCATGGGCACCCACGGCTGTCCCACTCCCTCCTGTCGATCAACCCGCTCCATGTGCCGCTCTGCCTGCCTCTTAACAGTCCAGCCGGGCCTTGCCTCTTCGTCATTCCTTCTCTGCATCGTCAACCCAAACAACATTCGCTCGCGACACCGTCTTGTCTTTTTTCCGGATTCGATATCCCACAGTTTCCAACCTGCAGTCACTCCTTCCTGCTCGTTGCTGGCCAGCCCTCTCACCAGACCACGCTCTCTTTTTCTGATTACACACATACTGCATTTGCAACCTTGATACCCCTGATCTCACAAATCACCAAACCACTCACTTCGCTCTCGACAAAATGGCTCGTTTCTCTGCTCTCTCCGCCGCCGTCGTGGCTCTCGCCTTCTCCAGCCAGGCTGCCCTCGTGGCCGGCCAGGCTATCGACCCTTGCGTCCAGAAGAGCATCCGCGAGGCTGGCTGCGGCCCGGCCGACATCAAGTGCATGTGCCAGAAGTCCGCCTCGGGCACCTTCCTGACCGACGTCCTCACCAGCATGGTCCAGTACTGCCCCAAGACGGTCGACGTCTCGGGCCTCTTCGTCACTCTCAGCTCTGGCTGCAAGGCTGCCGGCGTCAACATCCCGCCCCAGAACATCCAGGATGCTCAGCAGCTCGCCGGCACCGTCTTTGGCGGCGGTGCTGCTTCTGGCGGCAACGGTGCTGGCAGTGGTGCTGGTGGCAGTGCCGGTGGTAACGGCGGCGCCCAGCCTTCCGTCACTCCCAAGCCCACTGCTACCGAGCCTCTTGTGACTGCTGGCGCCGGTGCCCCCGTCTCCCAGCCCACCGACATTGGCGAGAGCACTGCCGTCATCAACACCGGCGCCGCCAACACCGACACCAACTCGCTCATCGTCGCCCCCAGCACTACTCCCAAGCCCAACTCGGCCGGCTCCAACGTTGTCAGCAATGGCAGCAGCGGCTCATCCTCCTCGGCCTCTTCTTCCCAGTCCACCACTGGCAGCAACGGCGCGCCCCCCAACGCTGGTGCTCGCAGCACCGCCTCTCTCGGCGCTGCTGTTCTCGGTCTCGCCGCCGCCGTCATGATGTGGTAAACTCCTTGCAGAAACGCGGCAAATTCAGTCGGGCGAAGCAGGTCCAGAAGCAGCATAAAACCACTAGAGCGTCGTTTGAGAAATTAGATGCGTAAGGTGTCAATAATATTATAATTTGTCATCGTGGGACACTTGCGCCAGGGCCATGTGTGTGTACAAGTGAGCGTGATGGCCTCTTGGTGATTGATCATGGCTACCACTGACATACCATTGATACCTTGTTCGCATTCGTGATCGTTGACAGTGCTCGATGGCAATGCGAGAGTGGATATTTGTGCTTGGGACAACTGTGGTGCCAATACATGCACATTAAGATTGATAACGCGAATCTTCCTCGTCGTGTCGCCAGATATCTCTTTCGCAAAACAGCCCGTCAATGCGGCAAGATGGAGAGCCACAATTTCATCCCCGTCCCACCAACATCCTCCTGTTCAGCAAATATCACCCTTCGTTCGACCCATAAAATAGCTTCAGGCATCACTCAACCCTACCGTGTTGTCGTTAAAGATCTGCCGCAGCATGTTGCGATATAGATCTGGCTGCCTTGCAGACGTGCTTTCCCTTGGCCGAGGAGTAAGATCCAGCTCCAAGAACCGGCGGGCAACATGCTCAGCCATTTCCAGCTTGTGGCTCTCCTCTTCTGTCAGAATCGAGCATGCGACTTCCAGATCCTCATCGCGTGCTTGTAGGAGCACGAGCTCCTCTGCTCTGGCCACGATGGCGTCGCTGATCCCATTCAGAGCCGCGCACCGGCTTCCAAAGCTGGATGTGCTTCTTCCGGGCACAAGCTTGAAGAGATTTGTTACTTGTTCCTCCGAGATGTCCGCATGCAAGTCAAGATGAATGTCCATATGGGCCAGTGCAAGGTTCGAATGGCCGTGGAGAAAGTCGCTATCGAAGATCTCGTGAAAGTGAGTTGCCGCGAGGACCTTTGGCCGTTGCTCACCGAGTGATGTGAAGTGATCCAGCAGAGCCGTCATCAAGCCAATCCCATCAAGGCTGTCCGTGCCTTTGCCAAACTCGTCGACTAAAATAAGGCTACGGGGCGTTGCGAAGTTGATTGAAAAGGCCACCTGTCGCAGATCGATGGAGAAGGCGCTCTCGTTCCGGCCGACACTTTCCCGCGTCGCAACACGGGTGAGAATCCGATCGGTGATACCGATGATGGCGTTCTCCGCGGGAACATAACAACCGATTTGCGCCAAGTAGACAATGAGGGCTACTTGCTTCAGGTATACGCTCTTGCCTGAGTGGTTTGGTCCTGTCAACACCAACGTGCTAGGATGATCCTTTTCATTATGCTGCTCCACGGAGGACGAAAGAGGTTGGTCGATCCCGCCTGCAAGGTAGCAGTCATTGGCGATGAATGAAGGGACGACCAGCTCCTGCAAGGGATGGCGCCCGCCTTGGATCTCGATAACATTGTCCAAGGTGATTTGGGGTCGGATCCAATTCTGTTGGCAACTGCCCAGCGCCAACGCAAGCATGCTGTCAAGTTCGCCGAGAACCTCGGATATCGCTACTAATGAAGCCTCGTGCTCGAGGACTGACACGCTGAGACTGTGAATGATTTCGATCTCCCTGTCTGAAGAGCACATGTCAGTCAGACCTTCACTCATCTTTCGTGGTCGATCTCGTGTTACTTACCAATAATCATGCAGTACGCATCTCCAAATTGGGCGTCCATTTCCCTCATCTGCATGTTCTTATAGTAAACGCATCCATCAGCAGCAAATATGCACTCCCATGGCTCTTCTGAACCCTCGCCATCATAACAGCCCTTGCCCGTCTTCGGCTCGAGCGTGACCACCGTCAGGAAGCCTAGCTGGGGTAGAAAACTGCAGTTCTGTATATATGTGCGGGCCCATTCGGGCAGTTGCTGCCTCAAACTAGCAAGGACTCTCGTCAGAAAATGTTCCATGCCATCATAGCTGCGCTTGAGTTCATCCAGCTCGACATCTACCCCATGCCGGACTGCGGTGCGTCCTCGTTCTTCGGATTGCTCGAAGTCGATGGTCTGCGTGATGATATCTCCAACGTGACGGACTTGAACCGGATCGATCGTTGCTGTGATCTAAGCGAACCTGCATTAGACACCTGGCTGTGAAGCCAATAAAAGTAAGATACTCACTTTGCTGGCAAGACCAAGCTCTGCAGCCCCGGGCATTCCCTGTATCAGATCTCGAATTTGAAGCGTGTAGGCCGCGAATCTCTGCAATGTCGCCTAAACATTGTTGTAAACGGAGACTTTCCGCCCCTGGTTATCGACACCTTTCCGGAGTAATCCCATGCACGACTTCATGTTGCCGATTTTACCAAGTGCCTTCGACAACGCACCAATGCTCTCAGCATATGATGGCTGGGAAAGAAAAGCGATAGCGTGCTGTCGACTTCTGATCAGATCGACGTCCAGACTCGGCCGCAAAAAAATCTGTCGTAGCTTCGCTCGTCCTTGCTTGGTTCGTGCATGGCGATGGAACAATCCATAGATGGACAGGCTTTCCTTTGAGCCCGCGTTTGATGTTCCGGAGCCTCTTTGGTGGCTGTTGGGGTGGAACTCTGGTTGCATGATCTGGAGTGCCACAATCGTGTCGGCATTGATAAACATCGAATTAAACAAGGAGAACATCTCTATCCTGCGGACATGGAACGCGCACATCGCGTCAGTGTGGTCTGGAAGATACTGCGTAGAGCGCCGGCGCTGCAAATCAGTAAGTACGGCACCCGCACATCCGATCTGTACAGGAATAATCAGCTCTGTAGCCACCATATTGGTTCGCGATGCTACAGAACGTACCGCTAATTTAGATTCGGCATTTATGGTCGCCCCTAGTCTCAGCATGTGACCTTGGTGGGATTCACCGCCTGGTTCTCCAATCGCGTGGTTGTCGTCATCGACCACGGTGGCGTAATGCATAGATTGCTGGTTGAGCTGGTCGATATCTAGCTTGGAGAGCTTCTCCCTGGCACTCTCGTAATGAAAGTCTGCTGAATTCATACTCCGAAGGATGTAAGCATTGCGAATACTGTCTGTACCACAAGGTTAGCAGGTCACCGCGGCCTGGTACGTTTTGAGCAGTACCACAGACCAAGTGCAGCGTCAGGCCCTTCAGAGTTCCTCTCAAGCGCCTGTACGAGTATTTCAGGGGCTCTCGCTGACAGCAGAATCGTCGTTGGGTGGGAATGTAGCAGCAGAGTCTCGATCAGGTCGGTGGACGCCATTGCAACGTCTTCAAGGAGATGGAGCACTTCATCGACTGCCACGTAGTATGCACAGCCAAGGTCGCCATTATGCTGCATGTCTATGGCCATAATGACCTCGTTGAGAGCATCCATCTCAATTGTGGATGCGGCCTCGTCATTTGAGGGTATCATTTCCGTGACGACGTCCGCTAACCTTTGGGACCCATGTGCGCGGGGCGGCAAATCTCGTCGGATGCTTCTCGCGGGCGTTTCCCTCTCCATGGTTCTGGGCAAGGTTCCTGCTGAATATGGTGTCTGCCTGCCACGGCTTTGAGTCCGATTGCGCTTTGGAGTGCTCGAAGTGCTGTGCGAGGACGCTTTAGACTGAGGATGTACATTGCGACCGTTGGGGTTAGCTGAGGACGCTCTGCTTCCACCTCTGCTTGACGCTCGCGAAGATCCTCCGTAGGCCTGCTGGGGGCGAGCCCGTGGCGATGGCGAAAGCCGTGGGTGTGGAGGTAGTGAGGACATTGCCTCTAAAAAGTCTGCTTTTGATGAAACGAGGCCAACATCAGTGCCCCCACAAACAGAGGATTGAGCTTCTGGAAAACAGTGCCGGACGTAGAAGCGGACAAGCTGTATCTGGCTCAGTGTGAAGACTTTGGCCGGGTCGGTGCTGGAAATAGGTCAATGAGATCACAACCAGCTCGTGCTTATGTGTGTAAGCTTTGTGTTCAGTTGGGCGAATCTGGTGTTGTGAATGCGAATATTGACTCCGGGGAGGAGCTACCCACCAAGCACACCCGCCTGCTTTGTCAGACAGCCAGTCACTTATGCCATGACGACAGAACCAGAGCATTCCCGGAAGGTATGCATAAAGTCAGATAGACCCATCGCCTTGAGCATCCAAAAAGTGCTCCCTTGTTTGAGCTTCGTTTACGAGTGTACGCGAGAGATAATGCGGTCGGAGAATGTATCGATATGCAGGACAAGACATCTGGCGAGCATGTCCTGCAACGAACCCAGTCATATTGAGACCATCACAACGGCGCTATATAACGAACGGCGACATCTACGCGCGCTGGAACAACCATCTATTTGGCCTTGACCCAGTCCGCGAATTCTTTTCTCTGCTTCCGGATGTCCACGAATCCTGGCCTGCTTTCCAGCAGGCGGTACGGGTTGCCAATGTATGTCTTGTCGACCTCGCCACTGCTATTCTTGAACCCGGCTTCTCCTTCTCTCTCAATTTGCCCAGCCCACACGCGCCACTGGATAGGGCGCAGGGTCGAAGTTCCCAACACAAGCCCAAGGCTGATGATCAGAGTTGCCACAATGGTCTCGATCGTGATGTCTATCGGCAGTGAAGACGCGGCATTTGCCTGCGGCGCTGCGAGGGATGCAAGAGATGCCGTACGGTAGGCGAGTAGTGCAGAGTGCTCGTGGGCAGAATAGCAGCTGTAGAGTCGTTTGAGGTTAGTGAACGGACGTCTCCGGAGCAGGAGGCCGAACCAGGTGCCACGTACGCGTGCGCTAATAGCAGCAAGCCAAATGCCGACGTTGATTTGGAGATCCAGCCCATGGTCGCCGATGTTGCCGCGTGAGGTCTGTTGTTGTTTGTCGCTTCCCCGTGCCCGCAAAGTGCTGATGTCGTGCTCCTGATATGATGACAGGCAATCAGTCGCATTAGCAAATAATGACAGCGCGCACACAGAGATATGCCAGTACTGCTGTCTAGCGGCATAGCGGGGCTTCTGCACCTAACGCGGGACCAGGTGCGGCAGGCACATGTGGGCCGAGGAGCAGCAGCGCGTTGGCGGAAGCTCGTAACCTGGAAGCTGCTGGTGACAACTTAGCCCCCCGCAGTTGCATGCAACAGCTCAAGCTCCCCCGCAGCTGCGGGAAGACGTCACTGGCAGAGCTGTGAGCTCCTTACGCCCGTGATTGGATTTGAGGACTCAATGCGGCCAACGGAGAATTGTAAGGACAATGCGGCAACTGGATTTACCCAGACAACCGTGGAAGGTACCCAGCAGACGACAGTCACATGCCCGTGAGCCTTGCTGGATGCTCTGGCTCGAGGTTTCAAATGTGAGCATTGTGTTGCCGGTTCTTTCCTTCGCTCCACATTTCCGGCTGGTACATCACTCGATCTCTCATTGTTCCACCTGCGCGGAAAGAGCAAGCCTGCTGAGCAGGAGCCTGTTGCCGTGCGTCTGTTATAAGTGCGCGCAGAGACCAAAACCCCTCACGCTGCCGTCACCCGCACATGCGTTCTGCTTCTCACCAACCTCCGCTTCTTCCACCAAGCCAGTCTTGTTTCTCTTTCGCACACCTCTGCGATCGGATCATTCCTCCTCTGCTTCTCTACACACCTACCAATCTCTCAGTGCCCAGTGAATAATTCGTCGCCATGCCTCGTGTAAGTCCAACCCACGTGTCTAACCCCACCTACCCTTGCACTCGATCTGTCGGCCGCGCCCGGCGGGTGAGCTCCGGCGCCAGATCAGACAACGCGGGCATTTCGTTTGACCTCTGACATGGAACTCTACAGGTCAAGTACATTCTCCTTGACTGTGACAACACTCTCTGCTTGTCGGAGCGACTGGCCTTCGAGGCCTGCACTGACCTGACCAACGAGGTGCTCGAGAAGTGGGGCAAGCCGGAGCGTTACACTGTCGACCAGCTCCTCGAGGACTTTGTTGGCCACAACTTCCGTGGCATGCTCGTCGGTCTCCAGAAGAAGCATGGCTTCACCATGACTCCAGAGGAGGTTGACGCCTACGTTGACCGTGAGCTCGGTGCCGTGACCAGCAAGCTCAGCGAGAAGTGCACCCCGTGCCCCGGTGTCCCTGAGCAGCTTGCGGCTCTCAAGGAGCAGGGCTATCCCATGTCCGTCGTCAGCACGTCCGCCAAACCCCGTGTCGTTGCCAGCTTGAAGAAGACCGGCATCGACCACTACTTCCCTGACGAGCACGTCTACAGTGCTGCCACCAGTCTCAACCCTCCTTCCAGCAAGCCTGACCCAGCCATCTACAACTACGCCTGCCAGCAGCTCGGCGTCAAGAACTCTGAATGCGTCACCGTCGAGGACAGCAAGAGCGGTGCCACCGCAGCCATGCATGCCGGGATCCCGCTCATCGGCTATGTCGGTGTCTACGGCATCGAGGAGGGCAAGGAGAAGATGGAAGAAATGGCCAAGCTTCTAACGGAGCAGTGCAATGCCAAGGTCATCATGTACGACTGGAAGGAGTTCCCTGAGTGCCTCAAGAAGATCGAAGAGAGCTTGTAAGCCGTCTCAGATCCGCAGGTTGACAGACTTTGATGCGATGGCAAGATCATTGCATTCGCTTGCTTTGGACTGTAGAGCACGTACTTCTTCAAGAAACAGGGGGTAATGAGATAATTGACCAGGAACGAAACGAAATCACCCACAACGAGGCTATGATGAGCAATCGCCTCCGAACCGGCCACTGGCCACTGCGAGTTCTACCCATCTGCGAGGAGCATCCGATAGGAGTTCAGGTAGCTGTATCTTTGCAATATCAGCCTGTGCCACCCGCAAAGTTCAGGTCTCAAGTGTCTGCGATATTGCTGCCCAGGGCATTCCTACCACGCAAGGACGCTGATGCGTTGATCGTGATGTCGACCGGGCTGCCAGCCAAAGGCTCAACTAAGTACGACTACTAAACTAAAACCATATCTGATCTTCTTGGACTAGTCTCTTGGGTTTTTCTTTTTCCTTTTTCATAGTCCATGCGGCTGCCACAGGGTTGTGCCAAGCAAATCACAGCGATATGGTGAGGCTGATTCAGACGACAATATCAGCCAGTCTCGGCTCGGAGAGCAAGACAATAGCGGCCAATGAGAAACAACCTTGAGACGGATGTCGGGGAAAGCCAATTCCCCTCATGGATGGAAGCAACAACCCGAGGTGACGGGCTGCCCGTGTATTGCTCACAGGCTCAAGACGTGAACCCATTGTTGTGCAACAATGACCCTCGACTGCGCGCGGCGTGGGCCTGACCTTACTAGAAGGGCCTCTTGAGATCTCGACTATGATTCGACTGCTGCTGAAGCTCCAACTCTTGGTGATCGCCTGCGGCACAAGCGAAAGGGGATGACAGCCCATCCACATGGTGGTCGACAATGACACGCCTGCGCCCGGCCGCGTCAGTGTGCACTAGTGACCTGTTCGAGAGGGTGGGCCACGGCATTGAAGCGCAATGGACGCGAAACATTGCATTGGACGAAAAGTGTTGCCAGCGCGCAGTTCGCCACGTTTGACGGGCCAAGGTGCTGGACAACACGATGCCAATGCGGATCACTCCAGCAAGAACCCGCACAGTGGCTCGACCCGCCTCGTATCGGCAGCCTCGACCTGCAGCTCAAGATGGTGGGCACTCCACTCTTCACCACCACCATCAATCCTCGACAACGCAGTCTATGCATCATGGGAAAGTAAGAGTACCGCAGCTTTGCTGCACGCAGCACCCCCACCTGGTTGTACTGCAGTGCCTTTGGTGCCACAGGTCAGATCCCGTGCGGTGCGAATGGAGTTCTTCTTGCCCGCACAGCCGACACCAACAGAGAGCCGACCACAGGATCTGGATGATGGTTGAAGCGTGCCTGAGTACGCTTCTGGCGGGCCGGTTCAACGTGTCGGTGGCCATGACGGCGCCAATTACTCTGATTAACAGATCACAGTCTGGCACAGCATGGAGAACCAAAAAGAATAACTGAGGAGGATTGGCCACAGACCTTTGCTACGGTGACTGGCAAGCGCAAACTCCCAAGGCTAAGCAAGGCATGCCCCATGCCCATGCACGACCGACCACACACGACCACACGACATGTTCGGCACTGTACGCGATCCGCCCCTCTTGCTTCCAGTGCTCGACTTGAGGCTGTAATTCAACGGCATAATTATTAAATCAAACGCGAGCGCGCAACGACTTCCTCGGGCGCTGGACCTCGCCATGCTGACACCTGGACATCACCAGGGCCGCCCAGACGATCACACAACTTCTGCGCGCTGGGGCTCGCGGGAATCGAGATCGATCCCGACATGGGAATCGCTTGCTGGCAAGGTGGACAGACAGGGCAGCCTGGCTCGGCGCCAGTCGGTACCTGGTGATGGGGCTTCCGCTGCGCCATAGCCGCCAGCACAGACGGCATGAACAGCGGTCCCGCTGCCTCCCTCCGAACGGCTCGGCCCCCATTTGGCGGACAGGGTGGCTCTCCATAGTATCCCTCATCTTAGTCCTCGGCACTAAGAATAACTGTCGGCAGCTTCCTTGCCCTGGCCCACCAGCAAGCACACTCCACGAGAATGGACCATTATGCAGCGGGGAGCGACTGATCGCCAGCTTCGAGCGGTTTCTCCGTCAATGAGCCACCACTCTTCGTCCCTGGCACATATCGAGACTCTTCTGAGTCACTCTCATGCTCGAAGTGGGCCACCGCTTCAGTCTCAACCCACGAGCGGCACCCGTGCGGCATAGAACGCTGATCATCCAAGCGTCAGAACTACATCAGTGCGAGGACACGTAGTTTACCGCAGCCTCCAGCAATACACGCCAACGCGCACTCGCATCTGACCTGCCTGGCCACAGCATCGACACAAGAGGAAACTGACTTCTGCTGGCACCCAATGGCCGTGCCAACCAGGACGCTCTAGCCAAGGAATTCGATTCGTCTGGGGATCGACTTCGTAATTTTAAAATGGAGCCTGGGGTAAACAAGCCACTGTGCCTGCATGCAGGGATCCCAGCCAGGCGCGCCGCCTCGGCGTCCAGCGAAACCTACGGAACTTACCAGCATCCAGGTCTTCAGAGTCAGTCGACCACGAGACTGTTGCTCAACATCCTCAACCTTTTTTTGTGCGCGGGGCTCTAGCTAGCGATTGAGTGCGGATTGCAGCACGAGGATGGCCATCCAATGACGACCTGGACTCGCCTCTGCCAGCTGCGCAGCTTTGATTATTGTTCTGATGCAGGATGGCAGTAAGAGGCAAGGGTCAGCTCTCGACTTGCGTCAAAACTTGACCTCGGGCGCTGGCATGACACAGGGGAAATTTTCGCAAAAGCATCGCGTGCGTGTCCCAGCATAACTTGGTGCACGGCACAACCAGCCGTCTTTGAAACCCGTCTCGCGCCCTCTGTGGTCGTTCTCAACCACACCCGACCCGACAGAGGCAGCCGAGAGGTGGACTACACAAACCTTGACACTAGTGCTTCAGGTACAAAGAGCCACAGGGGTCCACACACACACTTGGCCTGCAGCGACGGCGGACACGAGGCGCGTCGTGGATGCCAGAGAGCACGTCCCCTCTGGCCACCATCTGGGCGAGCAAAAGAAATCAAGGCAAAGCCCGCCAACGCAGCAAGGCACATGCTTTGTCTCATGCCGGGGATGGCCAAGGATGTTGACGCTAGTTGGCCCGCGTGCTCCACGAGCACCAGATCAGCCCATGGCCCCAAATCTCGTTTTCCCTGCTTCTTGAGTTCTGACGTCCTCCCCTGCTCTTCCTGAGGGCCACGGGCGGCTTTATTAGACATCCTCGCCCTCTCCTCTTGTACCAAACATTCCTCTCAACCCTTCCTATTCCTAACCGCAATCCACTGTCGCTTATACTCAGCATCCTTCGCTTCGTAATCAAACTTACTCGGTAATATATTAATATCAACTATTCCACGAGTCGTCTACACAACAGACCAGCCTGCCAAAATGCGTTTCACCTCTATCCTCATTGCTGGCGCCGCCGCCGCCGTCGCCCACGCCCAGAGCGCGACCTCGACTCCTGCGCAGACTCCCACCGGCACTGGCATGAGCCCTGCCCAGTCCTCCTCTTTGGCCTGCCTTGACGCTTGTAAGTCGATCTGCCGAGTTTCCTTTGGTGAAGTCTTGCGGCCTGAAGAGCAGCTACTAATCTGTACTCTTAATTTCGTCTAGGCGCCCCTGGTGATGTCAAGTGCCAAGCCGACTGCATTGCCGTTCCCTCGCCCAACGACCAGAACGCCAACGACACCACCGCATGTGCCGCTGCCTGCCCCAAGAGCGACGGCAGTGCTGGCGGCAACGAGGCCTGGGGCCAGTGTGTGTCCAACTGCATCTCGCAGAACTACTTTGCGTCCAGCGGCACCCCCGAGCCCACTGGTGGTGCCGGTGGCTCCGGCTCCGGCTCCGGCAGCTCTGCTGCTCCCTCTGCCGCCGCCCCTGTCACTTCGACCGTTACTTCGAACGGCTCGACCTTTGTCACCACCCACACTCCTACCGCCTCTCACTCCCAGAGCGGCAGCGCAAGCTCTCCCAGCACCACTCCTAATGCTGCCGGCATGGTCACCGTCAGCACTGGTGCTGGTATCTTTGGTCTCATCGCTGCTGTCTTTGCCCTCTAAGTCAATGGCCACAATTAGTTGGTAGTCAGGATGTCAGGGCCACTTTTTTGGTTCTGGATGTGCGGAAGAGTGGGAGGCAGATTGAGCGGCAGAGGATGAGGAAGGATCTAATGAGTTGAAGAGGGGGGGGTCTGTGGACTCTTCCCAATGAGATGGATGATGAGAGGAGATATCAGCCTAGTGTACGGAGATGTAGCTTACACAATAATACCCATCTACCATTTCGAAAAAAAGAAACAAAAAAGAAACAAAAAAGAAATAAAGAGAAACAAAAAGCTCCTTTGATGCCTCGTGTCCGCTGATTGCGATGTATCGCGCTGTCCCTTGGTGCTGATCCAGAAATTCGAAGACAGTTCAGTGATAGCCAGGACAAAACTCAAGCCTTATAGCTATGGCACTTGGGGCCATTCTCCTTTCTGAGCAAAAAGCAGCCTGCCATGAAACATAGAAACTGGCGACAGTGGGGAACAGCTGGACGTCGTATGTCAACTAACCCATCGACTCTCTCTCTCTCTCTCTGCGGACGAGCGGCTAGCATGGCAGCAATTTAAATGCACAAGAAGACTCCCTCCTGTGTCTTGTGTCTGTAGACCAAAACAAGTGCTAGGGGGTGGATAGAGATCGTAGGTCACTTGTGGCTGCGCGTATATATATTTATATATCTGAGATCGAGCTCGTCCTTCATCTGCATAAGAGGGATGGGCATATCAGTGGTTTCCATCCCACGCTCGTGGTCCTTGGGAGTGTGTTGAACTCGAGCTTCGCCTCGCCCCGCCCATGGCATACTCTCCTCTATCGTCGCTCCTTTGAAATATGTGTTGAGAATGGCTCGATATGTACACTTCTTCTGGTCCTGCCTTCTGGGCTCCCCTCCACACGGGATTCCCCGCGAGACTTGTTCATCTTTCGAAAAATGGAATAATCATGAAAAAAAAAAAAAAAAAAAAGATCGCCTTGCGTTATGCAATCATGCCGTCTTGGAAGTCGGCAGGGTTTCGGCAACGTCGCTGATCCACGGGATGCCCATCTTGTGCATCTCCACGGCGAGCTGGAAGAGGTAATCGAGACTGTGGTAGGAGAATGTTAGCTCTGCGCAAAGGGGTCCTGGGTCCTGGTCCTCATCATTTCAAGAAGGAATTCTGGCGTTTGAGAGAAAGACACACCTCTCGCACATGGTCTTGGCCTTGTGCACGTTGTCGCCCCACACGTACACGCCATGCCGCCGCACCAGCACCGCGTACGTGTCCGGGTACTCGTCCATCGCGGCCTCGAGGAACTCGGTCAGGTCCTCCTCGTGCGCGGTGTTCTCGATCACGGGGATTCGCAGGGTGTCGTGGTATCCCAGGTTCCCCTGCTTGCCGTGGCCCTTGCCGAAGCCCTTGATCTGCTCAATGTTGTTGATCTCGAAGAGGCGCGGGTGGTGGTTGTTGCTGCCCTTGGCGGCAGCGCCCGTCTCGAGCAGCAGGGTGACGAGCACGGCCCACTGGGAGTGCGTGTGGATGCAGCAGCCGGCGCCACGCTTGGTGAAGGCCGCGAGGAAGAGCGGGGTGCACTGCGAGGGCTTGTAGATGGGTGGCGAGCGCAGGTACACCCTGATCTTGAAGTCGGTTTGCGCGGCGAGGGAGAGGACGTAGATGTCGCTGGCCTTCATGAGCTCCTTTTGGACGCCCGAGGGGGCGAGGTAGACGAGATCACTGTGGAAAGTGAGAGGAGATATTGGTTAGCGACTGATGGCTTCAGCGGGAGAAGAGAGTGAGCAGTGTCTATCTCCGAGGGAGCGTGGTTCGAATGTCGGGACTTACTCGTTGCGTATCGAGCAGCCGCCTCCAGAGCCGGTGACCCAGCCGAGATTCCAAAACTTTGCGCAGAGCGAGGGGATGAGATTGGCGGGGTGCTCGGGGTCATCCGACTTGACAAGGTGGTGATTCCCATCCGCTGAAGTCTGGTCTGCCATGTTGCTGTTGGGGCTGTGATGGGTGTTTGGGAGGCGGCTGGCGGCTTGGGAAAAAAAAATACGGAAATGACGTCGCTTGGTGAATGTGAAACTCTGGCGATGGCTCGGCTGGCTATGGAAGAATGCAGGCCTAAAATGATGGCCTGAGGAGTATGACTTGCCCCTTGAAGTCAGAAGATGCCCGAGATATCAGGCGAATATGGACCTGGTCGAAGCAATATGGGAAACGGTCAGGACGGTAGCGAGTGCTGAAGAACTCGGGACTATGGATCGATTTGAGGAGGGACAGGATGGCGGGGCTCTGAAGCTGGAGAACGGGGTCCACGAGTAGCTTCGTGAGAGCTAGCAGGGTTCCCGCCAGCTATGGGCCATGATTGGACAATTGCCAGCACGTTCTCTTGAGCTGTCTGAGGGTCATTGCTTCAGCTTCTCATTGGTTGACCCCGACGATGCGTATGGTATCCTTGCCAATGGCAGACGACTTTCAAAGGCCAGAAGTTGAGCTTCTTGACAACGTCATCTGCTGACATGTGGAATGGCAATTGACAAGCCATCTCGAGCCTGCTCAGAATGTCATCTATGCACAGCCGCAAATCCACGCCACGAGCAAACATCGCCGTGTGTTGGTGGCCAAAAGTGGTCAAGTCCAGGCGTGTCAATCGCTACGGGTTTGCTTCCTTCTTCTGGAACATCTGGCGAATGGTCAATCATGGAGAAGCATGTGGAATGAGAAGCAGTTGGCCGGATCGATTCAGGGTTTACCTGGATGTCTGACCCTGTCTCACCACCAGGGGGAAGGCGGGCTCATTGCCAATTTTGGCTCAATGGCTTGAGATAAGACCAGAGCACCGCTTGACGCACGACTTTGACGCCTGTCATGTCATACAACATTGCGAGTTGCTGGCAATTCCCCGTCCCGTTCATGATATGTGCCTGGACAGAGTCTCGGCGACGTTACGCAACGGGACACAGCCTGTGATGCCTGTGCGAGCCAGATTGGGGGCCACATCCTGCCTTGGCCAGATTTAGCAGCGGGCGCAAGTCGACAGACAAACAGAGGTCGGAGGACATACAGTAGACAATCTGAGTCTTCGAGAATGCTCTATCGTGCGAGGTGCCTTGACCATGCGGGATGGGACCCCTGTCCTGCTCTGGTCAGTTGCTGGAGCACCTGGAAGTTGGGGTTTTGGTGGAGGCAACTGGCCACTGTGTGCGCGAGGAGGACACGTGGAGCCCAAACTCCAAGGGCCTGCCCGCCCAGATAAATCCCCTGCCGCAATCGCCGTCGGCCATTCTGTCGCCCTGCGCCGTCTCCTCCACGTTCTGCCTTCTTCCACCCGCACGAGCTGTCCTCATCACAGCATCGATCCCCCCCATTCCCTCCGCTCCAGCCCTCTCTCTGCTCGCCACCGCGGAATTGTAGCGTGAGTCTTCCCATTCCTGCCAGGCTCGCCGCTCCATTCCTGCTTGCCGTCTCGGGCCCGCGCCACCAACACCCGAGCTTCTAGCTTGGTCAGCGGTGCCACGACCTGGCCACGCACGCTGGGGGCTTCACCTGGTGCTCACCATCTTTTGGAAGCTTCCCTTGCTGACAATCGGCCTTTCATTCACAGTGCTTCATATCTCAGAGAAACTTCAAGATGAAGATCAACTCGGCGATCGCCGCGGCCATCTTGGCCTTCACCAGCGGAACCTACGCTGATGAGGACGTTCCCAAGAAGGCCTCGCCCGCTGCCGTCGACCTTCCCACCTTTACTGTGAGTCCACCGCGCTACCATTGACATCGATCGCTCCCGAGTCGCATGTTAATTCCTGTGCCACCATCTACAGCCTACCAGCCTCAAGGCGCCCTTCCTCGAGCAATTCACAGACGACTGGGAGGCCAGGTGGAAGCCGTCGCACGCCAAGAAGGACACCACCGGCTCCGAGGAGGAGTGGGCTTACGTCGGCGAGTGGGCTGTTGAGGAGCCCACCGTCCTCAAGGGCATGCAGGGCGAGAAGGGTCTCGTTGTCAAGAACCCTGCTGCCCACCACGCCATTTCCGCCAAGTTTGACAAGGTCGTCGACACGACGGGCAAGCCCCTCGTCGTCCAGTACGAAGTCAAGCTGCAGAGTAAGTGGTCACTCTCGTGGCTTGGATCATCATCCAATCGCTAACATGGCTTTGTGTAACCACAGAGGGTCTCGAATGCGGTGGTGCCTACCTCAAGCTTCTCCGTGAGAACGAAGGCCTGCACCAGGACGAGTTCGCCAACACCACCCCTTACGTGATCATGTTCGGTCCCGACAAGTGCGGTCACAACAACAAGGTCCACTTCATTTTCAACCACAAGAACCCCAAGACGGGCGAGTATGAGGAGAAGCACCTCAAGACTCCTCCCTCGGCTAGCATCGTCAAGACGACCGAGCTCTACACCCTCATTGTCAACCCTGACAACACCTTTTCCATCCAGAAGAACCACGAGACCGTCCGCGAGGGCTCGCTCCTCGAGGACTTCTCGCCCTCTGTTAACCCCGAGGCCGAGATTGACGATGCCGAGGACACCAAGCCCGAGGACTGGGTCGATGACGCCCGCATTCCCGACCCTGAGGCTACCAAGCCTGACGACTGGGACGAGGACGCTCCTTATGACATTGTCGACGAGGACGCCACCATGCCCGAGGACTGGCTCGAGAACGAGCCGCTCACCGTCCCCGACCCCGAGGCTGAGAAGCCTGAGGACTGGGATGACGAGGAGGACGGCGACTGGATCGCTCCTACTGTCCCTAACCCCAAGTGCGCTGAGGCGTCTGGCTGTGGCCCGTGGTCCAAGCCCATGATCAAGAACCCCGAGTACAAGGGCAAGTGGGCCGCTCCTTACATTGAGAACCCGGCCTACAAGGGAGTCTGGAAGCCTCGCAAGATTGCCAACCCCGACTACTTTGAGGACAAGACCCCCGCCAACTTTGAGCCCATCGGTGCTGTAAGTGCATAACATTCTCGAACTTGTCATCTTGCGATCGTCTCACTAACCGCGCCTTTGCAGATTGGTTTCGAGATCTGGACCATGCAGAGCGACATCCTCTTCGACAACATCTACGTCGGCCACTCCATCGAGGACGCCACCGCCCTTGCCGCCGAGACGTTCGACAAGAAGCACCCCGCGGAGAAGGCCATCGAGGAGGCCGAGAAGCCCAAGGAGGCTGAGAAGCCCAAGTCGCCCTCCGACCTCAAGTTCCTTGACGACCCCGTCCACTATGCTCGGGAGAAGCTTGACCTCTTCCTCACCATTGCCCAGAAGGACCCCATCCAGGCCGCCAAGTTTGTGCCCGAGGTTCCTGCCGCCATCGGTACCCTCCTCGTCTCGGTCATTGCTATCTTTGGGCTTGTCGCCATGGGTGGCAGCACCCCTGAGCCCGTCAAGAAGGTCGCCAAGGATGCGAAGGCCAAGGCCGTTGAGGCCAAGGACAAGGCTGCCGAGGCTGTCGCCACTGGCACTGAGAAGGCCAAGGAGGCCACCAAGCGCACCACTCGGAGCCAGTCTTAAACAGTCTGTTTGTATTGAATTTGCGGCGCGGGAGGAAGCGACATGAGAAAAAAAGATGGAATGACACGCGATCATGTCGAGTGAGCATGAGCGACGTGGGTGATTGTCCCACACTTTGTGCAATATTTATGTCTTTGCGAATTGATTGGCGCTCTTCAAGCATGGATGTATGCTAGATAGGCAGAAGAGAATTTCAAAAGAAAAAAAAGAAAGATCATGCTATAATTTCGCTGTAATATGTTGTGGACATGGAAACGTTGTTGTTCGTTGCGCTAAGTGGGGGGTCTCACAATGCTGATGTTATGTCGAGTGTTTGCACGAAGATCGACGACGGGCCCTTCAGGACGAGAGGCAGCACGTGAGAGTACCTATTACGCAGCTGGATCTAGCTACCTGCGACATGCTCTTCCCTAAAAGTGACCACCAGTACCAGCAACGACCTGGTCCCTGGACCGCGACCGAGACCATGACTTGACCAATCCCTGTACCTGCCTTACGAGGGCCGCTTTTGAGAGTGACAAGTAGTACCTTGACTTGACCCTTGACTCAGGCCCGACCATCAGGTCACACCACCTGCCCCCCATGCCCGAGAGCATTACGGAAAGCGCCAAAAGACGCTGTGACGAGTCGTCGTCGCGAGTGTACCTTGTGCGGCAGGCCTTAAGCACAGGGAGATAAACAGAACGAGAACGACGAATGAAGTCCTTCCTGGCAAAGATCCGCCGCTCGGCGAGGTCAGCATCATCGGCAGCAGCCGACCCGACGACTGCGGCGGTCGGCGGTGGCGCGCTGTCGGCGTCATCGTCATGGCCATCAAGATCTGCCAGGAAGACTATTGGCTCCCTACCCGGCCGAGGTTGGCGCGATGATGGGATCCACGGCGAGGACGTCGACGACAATGGTGGTGCAACAGCAGCAGATGCAATAGCAGCCGAAGCAGCAGCGGCGGCGGGGGGCCCGCTAATCTCGCGCCTGCCGTTGGAGCTGCACATCATGATCATTGCCGAGCTGCTGCTCCTGGCCGCCGAGGTGGATCACGAGGACGGCGCGGCGGACGCGTATCTCGCGGTGCTGCAGGTGTGTCGGGCCTGGAGACATATCTGGCTGAGCGAGCAGATATGGCGCAGCCTAGCGGAGGAGTGGATGCCCGGGTACGGGGAGATGATGGCGATGCGTCTCGAAAAGGCAGAGACCGCGGGAGGAACTACTCGCGAAGCAGCAGCAGGAGGAGGAAAGGGTTCAGGCGTCCCTAGTCTTGGTCGACGACAATCTCCACGACATGATGATGCTCTTGGTGGTCGTCGTGGAATGGAGGAGGAGGAGGAGGAGGATGAGCGTTCGACCGCTGGTGTGGCCGCCCGGGGCAGCCCAGACCTGCGAGGAGGAGCTGACGAGCACTTCCGGCGGATGCTGGTGGCCAGGCAGAGGCGGAGGCATGGGATGTTCACGACGGCGCTGCACTACGGGATGAGGCTTGCGGACGACCAGCTGTTCCGCGTCAGCCTGGCGGTCCCGACGCACGAGGGTGGTGTCCATACTGTTTTCAAGGATGATGACGACGTCGACTCGGACGACGACATGGACCTAGACAGGCTCTTCCGTGGCAATGGCGGCAGAAGCAACGGCCGCAGCAGCTTCCGGCCCACGGACGAGAGAGAGAGGAAGAGTGGAAGAGAGACAGCATCACATTCTCCGCGCCGGAAGCCCGCCACGCACTTCCGCTTCATGATGTACAACAACGGCCGGGTAGCGTGGTGGCCGCAGGCCTACGCGCGGCCGTACAGCGCCGTGGTCGACGACCTGCGCACCGGCGTGCGGCGCATGTACGACTTCCCTGCGCACGGGCTGAGGCAGACGGGCTACACGGCGGCGATGAGCAGCGAGCTGCTGCTCATGGGCCGCGGCTGCGTCCTGCACGCGTGGCACCTGCGACTCGACCGGCTACAGACGGCCACGTTCCCGCGGGCCATTGAGCGCGTGTTTGTCGAGGCAGATCGCGTCGTTGCCGTGGCGAGGAACAGCGACGTGTTCTACTGGCGGTATGGGGAAGAGGAGGAGGAGGCCGGCTGCTGCTGGAGGGCGTTGGACATGGGTGATGATGATGTTGATGATTATGGTGGTCGTGGTCTGGGAGGGTGTTTTGCCAGGGGCCGCGTCAGGATGAGCGGCCTCGTCGAGCTCCCGCCTACGAGTCCGCCGCACCGCATGGGCTTGAGGCTGTGCGAGGACGGGATGCTGTTGGATTTCATCCTGCACCCGGTGGTTATGGACACGCTGTTTGTGGTGACGTTTTCCACGGACCACCGGCTGTGTGTGCATGAGATACGGGACGTTGGCCGTGGTGGTCGGCGATTTGCTACGTACCAGCCGCAGAGCGACGACATGACTGTCTTCGAGGACCTCAGTGAGCATGGGTACCTCCGCTGGGAAAAGATCGACTCGCATGGCGGATACTGCCTGATGATGGTGAATGGCGAGGAGACGAGGTGGGCTCGACACAGAGACGGCGGCCACAACCTTGCTCATGCTCACGAACAAGGACACGACCATGAAGATGACTCTGCTCAGCCGGGATCCCCATGCGCCCAGCCGGATGCGGCGTACACCGTCGTTGCTATCTGCTTCAACATCTACACAAGGGAGTTTGACTTTGTCGTGTATCATCCGCCGTGGCATTTTGCTACTTCGTGGCACCTTTGGAACGGCCTGTTGTTCACACCGGACGGCAAGACGGGGCGGGACCTCGTCATCGCATCTCGGAGGTGCTCTCACCATAGTACAACGCACACATATTCGAGTGATGAAGATACCAGTAGTGCCAGGGGGCCAGAAGGACCACGCATCCCAACGTCACCGGCGATCAGATACTATACCACGACCGAGGAGACCCAGGTCAACAGCAGAGACCATGCCACATCCCATCCTAAAGAAGACCGCCCAGTCTTTGCAAGACGAAGACGCTTCGCGATGAGCCACGCGGACCAGCAATCAATCCTTGCGGACTCTCAGTTACCTGGAGCAGCGTCAGTCATAGAGCACATCGCACACGTCCTCGACACATCCCAGACGTACAGCCCCTCTGAGCCATTGCCGGGTATCACAGGATTGCCAGATCGGTCGACAGGCGGATCCAGGGAGAATGTGCCTCTCCAGCACAGGAAGCAGAGGATTTTGGGCGATGATGGGCTTTTGGTCTTTGTAGACGATCAAGACTACACGGTCTGGGGGTTTGGCCTGGATCTGGTCGCGGAGAAAGGGAACGATGGGATTCACGACGGTGCAAGTGGTCGCGGGAGGGGTGGGAGAGGGAAGGGAAAAGGCAATCAAAGTCGGAGTGCCTCCATGGCGAGGATTCTTCCATGGATCAAAAAGTGAAAGAGATAGCAAGGTATGAGAACGACTTGCGTTAAAGTTTATTAAGTGATGTCGATGGGAAAGTCTTCGTGTCATGGATCATGTGAAGCTCTGAGAGAATACATCCATGGGTCTCGGATAGAACAGCGTCGAAACATCCATCTCGCAAGCTTTGTCTCTTGAAACCCCGAATATTGCGGATACTGCTAGGGATGTGAATGCATCATGAGCAAATATTCAACCAGTTAAACGCTCTGGTGGGAGAGGAATACGAATGCTTTCTTACTCAGTTCATGAGACAGTATCCCTGAATTTGGTTCGAAGATGGAGTGGCACGGAATTGCTTTCGCGACTGGTGTAAGTCGGAAAGAAGCAGGCAGTTCAAATCGAGACCCACACGCCCTGTTCCCCGAGATCGGCCGGTCGTCAACAGTCCTGTCCTGTCCAGCCAGGCTCGGCTCGCCCAGGCTGACTGTCTAGCAGGTGCCCTCGTATTAGTCTCGTGTCATTGTGGCTTGGTACTTTTACCCCTCAACGCCAAAGTCTGTTTCCTTAATGTTTACCCTTTTGCACCTCCCGCAAAACTTCCCCCCTTCGACCGACGGAACAAGTCGTCAACACGGACTACACCCTGGACTCAAGTACTCATGATTCCAGTCGACAAAACTAAGCTACCTGCTCACTTACGGACATCACGCCTCGCACTCAACCGGTCAGTACGTCCGGTTGCGATTCGCATTCTCTTGACCATGCAACGAACGCAGTAGCCGGCGAGGGACGAACGAGTTGACAATGTGCCGAAGCCCATCTCCTCGCGCAAATCTCAAATCCCTGCAGCACGTGTAAAAACAAATAGTTAAGTGTGAAATCCCTCGCTTTTTCAACCACTGCCGACTTTGCATCAAGTCGAAGCCTCTGTGCTTCGCGTGGTTGAGCACCATGTCGCATCCCACCTCACATTACCCCTCCAAACCCGGTGCTCGCGCGCCAGGTCCGCCGAGTAGTTTTGTGCGTGCACAAAACAAAGTGGTGCGCAGCGGTGCGTAGCCCCCCAGCGCCTCGTGCAGAGAGCATCTGGTGGTGGCCGACGCCCCCACTTTTGTGGGAGGGGAATTGGCCCCAGAGGGGGTTTATAATGCCAAACAATTGGCCTACCTTTTGCCTTCGGGCATTAGTCAATTTGAAACGATACAGAGAAGATTAGCATGGCCCCTGCACTAAGGATGACACGCTACAACAAAGAGAAGCAAACCATTTTTCTCAACTTTTTTTTTGCACTTGGTTCGAGCCTGCCTCTGGGCTCACACCACAACCGGCGCACCACCACTTTTCTGGGGGTTGAGAGTCTCTGAACCGTGCAAGTCAAGATCACGCAGCACCTCTGAATGCATTTATTTTTTTTTTATTTTTTTTACTTCTTGTCTTTTACTCTTTTTTTCTCTGATCTAAAAGACCTTATGTTGCCTTCATGCATCGCCGTGACTATTGCACATCTTTTTTTTTTTGTTTTACTGGGTTTTCTTTTAATGTTTCGGGAATACCTCCACCACTCACCATTCTTTCGTGAGCGGGCACATCTTTGTGCTATCCCAGGCCCTAGGCTTTGGAAGAAGCGTCTTCCTCGTAGTGACCTCCTCATGTCATGTCCACATGTAATCTAACTTGGTGCGATTCCCAGGAAGCCTGGTTTGCTGGTGCTAGAGTTTGCCGGACACCAATCACCCTTCAACGCCCGTGAATAGCTAGGGTACCCAGCAGGAACAACCTTTGCTCTACAGGGCGAAGGCGATCAACGGCTTTCAAGGCATGCGAATTGGCACTGCATGGTTGGGTTTTCACAATGTACATTGGAGTTGGGGTATCGCTAGCATTTCATAGCAATCATAAAATGCGCCAACCTTCTACATACATAGTGCGCATATACTTCATTCTCTGGGTCTCATCTCCCTGTTTGTTCAGCACGACCGCCCGGCCTTTTACCACCCCTCCACAACCGTTGCGTGCACATAAAGACCCCTCGAAGGCCGCGCCGTTGCACCACCCTTGATGTCAAGCTGGCTCTCATCGCGATCAATCTCGTTCTTCAGTTCAAACTGGAAACGGCCGACCCAGCTAGCCAGGAGACACGCAAACTCGGCTTTGGCAAACGCCTGGCCAATGCAACTGCGCGGGCCGTGCAAGAATGTCATGTTGGAATAGTTGCTCGCGGCGCCACCGCTCGCAGCGCGATGCTTCTCCTCGGTCGTGGCTGTATCCGGGTCCGCCAGCCAGCGCTCGGGCTTGAACTCCCCCGCGTCTGGACCCCATTGTGTGGTGTCAAAGTTTGTTGCCCACGAGCACAGCATAATGCGCGTCCCCTTAGGCACTTTGATGCCTTGGATAGTGGTATCCTCTGCTGCGTGGCGCAGGGTCATTGGGACGGGGGCCCAGTAACGCAGAACCTCGTTGCAGAAGGCATTCAAAAACGGAAGGTGGTCGATCTCAAGACTGGTGACGTCCTGTGTCGAGTCCATGGAGGGCAGGTTCTTGCGAACCTCGTCGCGCAGGCGTTGCTGCATCTCCGGATCTTTGGCGAGCATGTAGATTGCCCACGTCATAGACGTGGCGGTGGTCTCATGGCCTGCGGCGAGGAACGTCATGAGCTGGTCCACCAGGTCTTCGTCCGTGAAGCCGCCAGACTCGAGGGCCACTGACAAGATGTCGACGTCGGTTTCGCCCTTCTCCTGCAGCTTAGCCTTTTTCTCCTTGACCAAATCACGGCAGACGTTACGGATGTAGTTCGATGCGTAGAGGATGTCGCTGTTGCGGCGGAACGGGAGCCGGACGAGGATCCACTCGGGCACGAAAAGTCCTATGAGGCCAAGAATCACGGCTTGCCGGTTCGGCTTGAACAGCTTGCCATAGACCTTTGTAAGCTCATTGTCAGGATCCCGCAGAGAACCAAAGTCACGTCCGAGGCCGGCAGTGCCGACAATGTCGAGAGTGGCGCGGGAGCCCCAATCGCCGACCTCGATGACTGCTGTCCGCTTGGCCTTTTCGACATCTGCTAAAGCAGTAGCAGCGGAGTCCGAGTCAATGAAATCCGTCAGGGCGTGCACGCTGTCACGGCTCTTGCGCCAAAAGACAGGGTACAGGTCCTTGATGTGGCGGAAGGCAAAAGCGGGCATGAGGTTCTTGCGTTGAACCTTGTGGTCATCGCCCTCGGCGACAAGAACTCCGTCGCCCAGCAGGCGAACGAGCACGGCCCGCACGCTTGGGGGCTTGGTGAACTGGTAGCTCTTTGTGACGAGAACCTCGGAGAGCCCCTTGGAACCGACGACCAGCAGGCGTTCCTGGTTCAAGGGGCCGAGGTAGCGGATGACGCCATCGTGATCGAGCGTGGATGTCCTTGATGGTGTTAGACCGGAGGGTTTCGGCAACAGGAACGTAAAGGGATGACACATACCATCGCCTGTGAGGAAGACCACTGGGCTCCTTCACAATGGTACCAAAGTGGCCGTTCCACCACGAGCCCCCTGGCGGTTCTGGGAGGCCGATCAACGGCGAGAGAAACTTTGGATAGACAAAGACAGCATAGATGAGGACCGCGCCAGCCTGGGTCAGCCAGGAGCCGGCAAAGGTGGCGGCATAGCCCAGGTTGGGGATCTTGTCGTCGCCATATCTGGCAAGAAGGAGGGAGACGAGGGCCGAGGAGGCGGTGATGGGCTTCCAGGGAAAATGCTCCATGCTAGGACCGTACTGCCTGTACTTGCTTGTTGCGGGCGGTGCTGATGTGCAAGTATGTAAGTGTAGGTTGTGATCTGCGGTGCCACGGCGGGATATGCACGATGCCGGGAAGGCTTGCTGAGACTGGGGGCCCGGGAACGGGTGGAGCACGGGGGTCTGGGGGGTGAGGCGCCAAGCCGGGCCGAGAAGGATTCGGCAGAGGAGCACCGGTCTGCAGCTTGGGGATGGAGGTGTCTCGACAGTGTCTGTGGTGGAAGCAGAGAGACAAGAAGGCGCTCTGTCGTCGTGGAGAGATGCAGCAGGCGCAGAGGAGGAGAGGCGAAAAAGTGATCTGGACGACGTCAGGTCTGGTCGAGGCGATGATGCGGACAGCAGGCAGGTGCGTGCGGGCTGGACCCGAGGGGCAGGAGCGAACCCGAGGGTGGTAGGCTAATTAGCAGCTGCGACGGCGGTGCGACGTCTGATAAGTCGCGGGTGGGCGTGGGCAGGCACTGGGCCGGTCGGCACAGGCAGGGCCTTTTATCTGGCTGGGGCGCTCGTACGGCGCGTCTGGTACTGTACCCCGTCGCCGGCGCCTTCGTGTGTCCCCTCTGCACTGCCGCAGGTTCCAAGGTTGAGCCGCCTGCCGTAAGGTGCTGCCTGGGGCCATCTGACCAGCCTGCGCCGGGCCCCCGCAACTGCTCCTCGTCGTCTTTTTCTCGTCTTCTACGCGTCCTCACTGACACGCGGCCTCAAGTCTCTGCTCGCCGGAGACATTCGTCGGCCCCGACCCACTTGGCTCAGGCATCTCGGGGCAACTCACTTCAATGCCTCCACGAGTCAACTTGCGAGGTTGCGCAAGTCGCAGGTGCCTGCTTCCCTCACTTTACACACCTATCTCCAGCCGCGTGGCATCCAAGCCTGTGTGTGCTAGACCAGCTGGCCCGGGATGAATTGCACCTTTGAAAGGAATTGCACTTTTGTAGGCAGATGATCCAGAAGACACACAAGTGGCCTGATCAACTGTCTCGAAAACAGAACTTGCTTGCACTAGTCAATATCCCGCCCAATTAGGCCTTGACTTGCTCTTGGTCTTGACGCAAATGTTCGACACTTGTGTGAGATCATGGCTCACTGTTCTATCAGATGGCACTATTGCAGGATGTAAAAGGATTGACATGAGGGCGAGCCGCCCATGGCATGTAATCGCTCCAGGCCTCTAGCTCGCAGAGAGAAACCAAAAAAACCAGTTGATAAACACACGTGTAAGCCCCTGCTCTACTCACCTGTACGAGGCGATCCGACCCGGAGAATCTTCAGCGGCTAACCTGTATGGCCTGTTCCAGCCGGCCGGGCAGACGTCCAGCCAATGATGCCTCCATGCAACCCCGCCGAAGTCGCAATCCCTTAACGACAACTCGCCCCAGCTGATTAATGCTTTGGCAAGCATCTCTGCATTGCGTTCAGAACAGAACGAGTTGACCACAACGCAGGCTTTGATTCGAGATCCAATAATTATAGACCAAGACTAGAGACTCGCCCTAGCATAGATAGATAAGAATGGCAGCAGCACCACTGGCTAAGATCGGCATCCTGTCCATTGGCGACATGGGCATGGGCATTGCCAAGTTGCTCGTCGCCAACGGATTTGCAGTTGCCACGAACGGCAAAGGGCGGAGGTAGGTTCACTCGCAGTCTTTAAGCGCGAGTTCCCGAGCTTCACTCGCCATATCACCCAGTGCTCCTCTTCCATGCCCACCTTCACTAACACCAGACCCTCCCAGCAACGACACCATCGACCGCGCCAAGGCCGCAAAGGTAGAACTCCTCAACTCGGACGAGGACCTGTGCGAGCAATGCGCCGTCATTCTGTCAGTAGTCCCCCCTCGGGACGCCGTCGCCACCGCCCAGCGCATCATCGACGCCGCCATCACGGGGCCGTTCCCCCGCAAGGCCACTGACGGCAAAGAGCCTCTGTACTTTGCCGACCTCAACGCCGTGGCCCCTTCGACGATCAAGTCGATCGCTGAGCTGTTCGACAAGGCCTCGTCCAAGCGGCCCGAGACTGCGGTGCGGTTCATCGACGGGAGCATCATCGGCGGACCCCCTGCTCTGGCCAAACCCGCGGCTGATGCGGCGTCTTCCTTATCCACAACCTCTCAACAACAGCAACAACAAGGGGACACCCTTCAGAGCTGGAAACGCCCCAGCATACCGACCTCAGGCCCGCACTCGATCGGCTCCATTTCGGACTTTGGCCCGAAGCTCAGCACGACCCTCAACATGCGCCACATCTCCCCTACCATCGGCGCCGCCAGCGGGCTCAAGATGTGCTTCGCCTCCCTCTCCAAGGGCTTCACCGCGCTCGCGATCCAGTCCTTCACCACGGCCTCCCGGCTCGGCGTGCTCGACGAGCTGACCAGCGAGCTGGCCACGCACTCCCCCGCGTCCCTCAAGACCGCGCAGTTCGGGCTTACGGGGATGCCCCCGAAAGCGTACCGCTGGGTGCGCGAGATGGAGGAGATCAACCGCACGTTCGAGGAAGAAGGCGGGTTCCAGGCCGGCAGGCACGACATCTTCGGCGCCGTGGCCGAGGTGTACAAGAGCGTGGCGGAGGAGACGGTCCTGGGAGAGGAGAAGATTGGCAAGAGGAAGAGGGGCCAGGACGCAGCGGATGTGGCGGCTGCCATGGCGGAGGGCCTAGAGAAGAGGAAGAAGAAGAATGACTGAGTGTAAGAGGGGGCGAATGGTATTCCAAGTGCAAGGAGCTGGTGAGCGTGACGTGGGCAAGTTTCCCGCTGGGTTGCGGTGGATAGACATGATACACATCGAGGCAGTATGGACTAGCAGCGACGCCCGCGGTCAGTCGGGGTTCGCCCAAGGCACGTTCACATTCAAATGACCGCATGACTCTTCCAAGCAGAAATATCCGGCTCTGATGCCTCGTCTAATTTTCTCTGGCCCTGGTTTTCCGTTATAAACTCCACATATGGTCTCTATTTACTCCGACACCACACTTCCCGCATCAGTCCTCTACTCAATGTTCATATCGACATCGTCGCCAGCGGGCGCGGTAGTCGCAGGAGCACCAGCTGCAGGTGCCGCCTGTGCCTCGGCACCGTTCGCACCGCCACTGAAGTAGTTGGCCATCTCCTCGTCCAGCTCCTCCTGAGTCTTCTTCGGCCTGGCACCCCCCTTGCGAGGCTCCCTGTCTTGGCCGCTGGCACCGTTGCCTCCTTCACGACGGGCACCCGGGCGACGGCCGCCGCGCTCCTTGCGTCGCGGCAGTGGGCTGCGTGAGTCGCGGCTGCGACGACCGCCACCTTCACCTGGAACATAGCGGTCTACATCCCTGCCCGGAGACAGCGATCGGGGGCGCGAGATGCGCTCGGACAGAGGCTTGCCAGGCATGTGCGCGTTCTCAAAGGGGTTGCGCCTCGGCGCGGCGGATGGGACAATGCTCAGGCGGATGGGTTGACCTGGACGCGTGTTAGTTTGAGCAGGCCTTGGTTTTTTCCCCTTACAACGAACGCATGAGTATTGTGTACCTTTGGCATTGGCTCCGTCGAACTGGCGTATCGACTCCTCTGCGTCGTCCCGGCGGTCGTAAGTGACATACGCGATGCCCTCGGAGCGGCCAGCACGGTCGTAGACCAGCTCGAGCTTAAGGATGGGTCCAATTTTGGTGAAGAGACCCTTCAATAACGTCAGTTCTGCTTCTCCCTCTGATGGGAAACGACGATGGGGCTCCACAAACCTCCAGATCCTCCTCGGTCAGCTCGTAATGGATGTTCTCGACCCGGACTTTCGTTCCTCGAGTGTCGCGGTTGTCCCTAGAGTATACCTTGTCAGCTTAGAGCTGGCGTGCGGTCGAACGTCTATAAGAACTGTGTAAGAACTGACTGTCTGCGGCCAGGCGATTCGCGACGCCGCCTCGAGTCTCGTGGGCGATCAGAAGCTATCGCGAAAGGTCAGTGTCAATCGTCGGGAGAGTGCGTTCCGTCTGTGCGGTGGACGACTGTACAGTGTGAGTCGTCGAATCTATCGTGGACCCAGTCCCTGGACAGGTGTTAGAAACAATGGCTCGGTCTGTTCTCTTTTGGATTTGGAAGGGTCGCCCTACGAGTTGAGATCCCTGGAGTCATCGCGGGTAGACTAATGGCGTAAAACGGCGCGAGGTTAGCTGCATTGGCTATCATTTCCGCAGTGATTGTCATGTCGGCAAGCTCGCTCGTTGGGACGTCGTGTGCTCGTGGAGGGTATTCGCTCGCAGTGTCTAGCGGGGAGAGGAGAAATCCACCTGGAGGTGAGCAGTAGCTGGTCAGCACCGGGCGGCATGTAGAACGATGACTGAGCCTCGCAACCTTGGAGGGGCTACCTTTCTAACGCCGTCGCGAGGATAAGCTTCACGCTCTCTGTGTCGTGGTGCGCGAGGTCCACGCTCTCGGCCGCCGCCGCCGCCACCGCCGCCGCGTCTAGGGCCGCGTCGGTCGTGCTGTGAAACGGGGAACGGGGTTAGCAATCGCAGCTCTTCGGTGGACAGAATGAGGGTAGCAAAGGCAATGCGAGGAGTGGTGAGGCTTACCTGCGACTCGGCAACAATCTCGTCAAGGCTACGATCCATGTTGGTAGGTGCGATTGTGTGTCTGGCTCTTGGAGGGTTGCAAAGCGGGAGCGATGATGCAGCTCTGGACGGTCAGTTAGAGGTCAGGAAAAGGACAATGGGGACGCCCCCAGGCGCAGGGATGCGAGCTGCAGCCTTGGTGGAGACAGTATGCGACAGCCCCTTGCGACTTGACACTGTGCACGCTTGTTGCTCGTAGCTGTGTTGAGTTTTGTGTGCTCAGTGAAGCAGGCACACGTTGGACGAGCAGGAGAGGACTTCTGCCATTCGATCGAGAGGACCTTTCCGTTTGTCAACACAGTCTTCGACTACGTGATGCGGTATGTTGTCAGTTGTGGCTACTAACTGGACGTGAGTCTACAGTGCAGTCTTGATGAGCACTGTATCGACCGCCAGTCAGACTTTCATTGGCCAATTGAGTTTGTGCCCAGGCACATTCTAGCGTGGACCATCGACTCTTGAGCGTCATCCAATTACATGCTCGTTACGCTGTCCACGCCTTTGACTCTTCCCAGGTCAAGTGAGTGATCCAAGGCATATCAATATGATACTCAGGACGACATTGCGACCGGCTAGGCTCCTAGCCAGATGCGCTACTCGCCGACACCTTTCCACCCGGCCAACGCCAACCTCGAAATTCAGCGTCCTGCTTGATTCTCCACAAGCGTCAAAGGTTCATCACCAAACCCCCGTCCCTTGTACCCTGCCCAGTTGCTGACAAAACGACAGGACAAAGTACTGCTTGAGCTCGCAAAGCACGTCACTTCGGCACGCAACGCTGTCACGGGCACTGAAGATTGCACTGCCATTGTGGCATCCCAAGACTACGCAGCATGGTTGCAGGATGAGAGCTTCATGTCCTGCTTGCTCGGCCTCCTCTCAGTATCGGATGAAGGCAACGCATTATCTAGAAAGCTGGACGTCCTGACAGCCGTATCTGATGGTATTGGATCTCCCTATGGACTCGATGATCCGCAGAAAGGCTTCTCTTTCCTGAGCGGGTCGAGGGACATCCTGCCCTCGCTTTGGGACGCTGAAAGCTTCACGGGGTCCAGAGAGCCAAACCAGGCCGCCGCATTAACATTTCTCGGCAACCCTATCGAGGGCCACAGCCGACCCCTCGAGATCACTCTGCCTTTAGCCAACACAATCTTCCAGAACGGGAGACGATCGACCTTGTTCGCCAGTGAATGGCACCGCGACGGCGATGGGCCTATGCGCCTCGGCAAACGCGAGTTCAAGCAGTCCCAGCGTATATTCACACACAACACCTCGATGCACTCGACCGCCACCATACCGCTGATGCCCTTGGCTCCGCCGAGGAAGATTGTGACTGGGCTGGGCAACATTGTTCGGCAGGTTGAGATCGATGGCGCCCCTGCCCCGGCATCGAAGGAGCTTGAGGCGCTGATCCCGCAACTCTTCGAAACGCGAGGCGCTGCTGGCATCTCGCCGCCGTCCGGACCGATTGGTGTCTGGGCCTGGGTCATTCCGCCGCACGTGGTAGAAGCAGAGGAGCTCAGTGAGGTAGCATGCTTCAGCGGCGGCTCGATCGCCAACGAGGCTGACGCTGCTCTTGATATGTCTACCAGAGCAGACAGAATGCTTGCCGCTGGCTGCCGGCTGCACAGAATCTGTGAGTTCATCACAAGTTTGACATTGGTTGCCCATCTAGAAGACTAACAACAACGACAGTGAGCGGTGGTGGCGGCTGGGGAGCGAAACAGGGCCTTTTGTCTCTGGACCCGGAGACGTCATACGCTCAGCCGGAGCAGAACGACATTGACGCCTTCGTCAAGGCGTTCGAGGAGAGGAACAGCGCCGAGCCGTCTTCTGGCCTTGTCTCTCCTGGCTCGTACGTCTTGTTTTGCGTCGAGCCATACCTCACCACGGAACAGAAGCGAAGCTTGAAGCTGCCTCCGATCCTTTCGCTTGGGGTATCGCCGCACGCTGAAGACACCCAGCACAGCCTGAGCGAGGGGCCTGGCAAGATCCGGATCCTTGACGGATACATGGGGATCCAGTCCGCCGCCGGGCTGTTTGTGAAGGCGTTGCCGGAAGTGGATGGAAGAGGAACTGGCAAGGCCGCTTCTCTCACAACCAGGATTAATGTGCCTAGATCATTTCTTGTGCCTGGCATTGTTTAAGCATCCTGGACTACAACCATAATATCTGTTGTAGAATAGAGTTGTACATTACTGTTGAGGCCCTGTATCAGCATAGTCAGAGGTGATCGCCCCGAAGCTTCCGATCGTGTGCACATTCCCAATACGAGTGAACGAGCAATCGGAAAAACCAGCCTTTTGCATAAGTCTGCATGCTTCACCGTGCAGTGCACCAACCTCCACGAATCCCATGAATACAACGTGCTTGCGGACGTTTCTGTGCCGCACTCAAGGAATCCTCAACCCCGCATAACAATCCACCCACTTATCTCACAGCCGGCCTACTTTGAGCCATAACAACCGCTGTCTCCGACAGGGCGCACCTACCCACGATTCACCATAAAAGGCAAGAACGAGCTCTTCTCGACTCGTTGGTGAGGTGCTTTGGTTCAACTATGCGCGTCTACCTCGACCCCAAGCCCCCCTTGCAAGAGGAGCCAGCCCAAGCACAAACATCGTCCACTACGTCCTCCTTCTGCCCGCCAGCCATGGCTGCGACCACCACCACCAACACGTCATCGAGGCCCAGTGGCGGCCCACTGGTCCCCTTTGGCCGCCCGATGCGGGACCTGTTCCCCTTCTCGGCGGCCTACAACCCGCTGAACCACGGCAGCTACGGCGCGCACCCGACCGCCGTGCGGGCCGCCCACCTGGCGGTCCGGGCGGAGGCCGAGTCGGCGCCGGACCCGTTCATCGTCTTCAACTTTGCCCCGCGGCTCGTCGCGCAGCGGCAGCTGGCGGCGGACCTGCTCCGGTGCGCGCTCGAGGAGCTCGTGTTCGTGCCCAACGCGACGACGGGGATCGACACGGTGCTCAAGAACATCCGCTGGGCCGCGGGGGACGTGATTGTGTGCTACGACGTCGTGTACGGGTCCGTGGCCAACGGGCTGAGCTGGGTCAAGGAGGTCCACGGCGGCGTCGACGTGCATGTGCTCAAGGTGTCCTGGCCGATTGCGGACGACGAGCTCGTGGCGCAGTATGTCGCCGCCGTCCGGGCGATCAATGCGCAGCCCGGAAAGCGCGTGCGGCTGGCCATCTGTGATACGATTGTCAGCATGCCCGGGATGAGGATCCCGTTCGAGAAGCTCGTGCCTGCGCTGAGGGCGGAGGGTGCGCTGGTACTGCTCGACGGGGCGCACGGGATCGGGCACGTCGAGATCGACCTGAGCCTTGTCCAGCCAGACTTCTTCGTCACCAACCTGCACAAGTGGCTGTTTGTGCCGAGGGGGTGTGCGGCGTTTGTGGTGCGCAAGGAGTTGCAGGCCCTGATCAGGACGACGCTGCCGACTAGCCATGGGTTCCAGCCTGTGAAGCCCCTCGAGGAAGGCAAGATCAGGGAGGATGCGTACGCTGACATGTTTGCGTTCACTGGTAAGAATGTCGCCTCGTCGTTGTTTTGTGATGGGCCGTGGATAAAGTGAGGTTAACTCGTCTGGTGTAGGCACGGCGGACTCGACGAACTGGTTGACTGTGGACGGTAAGTATGTCGATGCTCGTGTATTACTGGCCATCTAGACTGACGACTACATTTACTCAGCCGCCGTCAAGTTCCGCAACGAGACATGCGGAGGGGAAGCTGTTATCCGGGAGTACACATCCGCCATTGCTCAGCGTGCGGCCGTAATCGTGGCAGACATGTTTGGCACCGAGATCCTCGACCACCCAGGGTCGTGCATGCGCAAATGCAACTTTGCCAACGTGCGACTACCCCTGGACTATGCAGCGTTCGAAATCCCAGACACGGTCGTCTACTGGATCAAGAAGACCGCAGTCGAGGAGAGCGGCGTGTATTTCCAGCTCGTCGGCTTCCAAGGGGCGTTCTACTGGAGGATCAGTGGTATGATCTATCTAGAGGAGGATGATTATCGAAAAGGAGCTGAAGTGCTGCAGAAGCTGTGCGCCAGAGTTGAGAAGGGCGAACATTTGAAGCAAGCGAGCTCGTAGAGGATGACCAATAGACCATGTCCAGTGAATAGCTCAGTAGGAGCATCTTGATTTCCATAAATTCTTGTCAATAGCGTTCTCGGTGTCAAAAGATGCAGCTTGCGTGAATGCGGCTTGGTCCTTTATTTGTATATGTACAATATCTTCTGGTCTTTGGTCGTCCTCGTGCCTGCTCGTGTTATTTCACATATTGATACACTTTCAATCTCTTCCCTTTCGCAGGGCCTGCTGTCTTGGCCAAAAGCATGACCTCTTCTTACCAGCCCTGGGCGGTCAATTGCCGCACGCGCTTCACCGTCGCCTTGAAACCAAGCTTGAATCTCTTCTGCCACCGCTCGCTCTTGAGCCTCTTGCGCTTGAGACCTGGACGCTCGTACTCCTTCTGCAGACGCACAGTCTTGTGTAGTTTGTTTGCCGCTACGCCCTGGGCAAGCAGCTTGAATGCGCGGCCGACATCAACGTTCTTGGTCAAGTTGACCGTTCTTCCCAGGCGGGGAGTGCAGTGGAGGTCGTGTGTGAGGGGCGCAGGTATGTGCTCGGTGACCTTGGGCGTCTTGCGGAGATCGGCGAGAGAAAGATCGAGATCCAGAGCAAAGTCATCGTCGGCCGCTGCGCTGGACTCTGTCGTCGATGCTGGTGTGCGGCCGTATGCGGCCATGTTGGGCTTCTTGATCCCCTCGGGCTCCTCAGCGCGCGTTTGAGTTTGCCGCGAGGGCCATCCAGCGGCAGCCCTCGCTGATGTGGTGGACAGGCATCTCGGCGATGTCGTCGAGCGGGATAGGCTACTGGCAGCGAGAGAAATGTTGCAAGGCTGGCGTCTCGTGACGGATCCGCGGAGTAGTGATGTCGACCTCGAAGCCGCAAAGGCTGCGAGCCTGCCCATTTCCGAGGCCCTGTCGACACATTAGTACTCGTAAACGACTTGAATGGTGGCAAGAAGTTGGAGTTATGCTCACATGTCTACGGTACAGTGAAGCGACTGCGCGGCTTGCGAGTGGCGGTCACCGGTTCGGCGTGTTGAAGCTCGATTGCGGGCAGACAAATTGAATGCTTGTCGTCGGCGACACCTCTCTGGAGTCCATGTCCATAATTTTGCCGGCCCCAGTAAAACTGATTGGCGCGGGCAACGTGTATCGGTACGTTGCATAGTGGGGAGCATCCACCAGTTGACGTGGTGGCCGTGCCAAGGATCGGGTATCTTGTACTTGTTGCGACCGAGCTGCAAGGGCGCTAGGCTACCCCCGGCGCAGGCTGGAGCGTGCCTGGAAAATTCACGGGCGGCAGGCGCAAGGTCGAGCCTCGCGTGCGACAATGACTGCCTCCACCACTCCAGCTCTATCCAATCCTCGCGACTCCAAGCCACGACCTACAAGCCCTCACGGTCGATCCAATCGACCTGGCAACGAAAAGCTACCCGTATACGATTCGCAATAGTCAGCGCCAGACAAGCATTCGATAGTCTCTCTGGGAGCTCTGCGACGCCGGCTTCGGTTGTCACCGCAGGAGGCCGCCATCCCAGATCGCTGAGCGCAACGCAACCATGGCGTACAACCCATACGGCGGAGGACGTAAGTAGACACCTCCGTTTCAAATCAGGATCTTTTGTTCCTTTTACAACGACCACCAGCTAACTAATGCTACCAAAAGCGCCCGGTTATGGCCCGCCTCCCTCCTATGGCTTTCCCGGAGGATCTGCGCCTCCGGGCATGTCTGCGCCGCCTGGCCTAGGTATGTTCTCGTAGTCACAGCCCTTGGTGCAAACGCCAGTAGCTCACGCTCCATTCTCAAACAGGACCTCCTCCAGGCATGGCTGCCCCAGGAACAGCAGCACCACCTGGTCTCGCCCAACCAAACGCGGCTCATCTTCCGCCTAACCTACCCAGCGGGCTACCCAACTCCTTCCAAGCACCGCCGAACCTGCCCAATATCAACTTCAATGCACCCGTGATTCGCCTCGGCACTACAGCTCCGAAACCTCAGAACCCCAGTGTCCCCTCAAGGAAGGACAACGACACGCCACAGTCGAACGGGCCGAGGCCTGGCGTAGGAAACGACAGGAACATAGACCAGCAGCGCCAGGCAATGCGGGAGACCATGCAGGCGCTTGTACCGCCTACTCGGGACGAGGTTACGCGGACCGTGTTTGTGGACGGCATCACCGACGGACTCGGTGGCACAAAGGGCCTGGAAAGATTACTTGGCATCGCAGGCAAGTTACGACGCTTGGACCGCGCCACGGACGCGAGCGGCAAAGAGTTGACGTTCGCCTTCGCTCAGTTTGAGGAGATCGAGGCGCTGCACATCGCATCCGAGATCTTCCAAGACATTGTCGTTCCCAGCCAGAAGCAGACACCGTCGGAGGATTCGGACAATAAAGATGACACCTACGACAAGTTTGAGAAGCAGCCGATGAAGTTCCGCTTCGACGAAGCATCAACCAAGCTTATCGAGTCTCACAAGGAGGAACGTGGGGAGGACCCAGAGACCCCTGCGAGGATAGATGCCGCGAAGACGTCTCTCAAGCAAGCCATCCACCAGCTTTTTTACCCACCGGTTTCCTCAGGGGCAGATGCGGACGGAGATGTCACGATGGGTGATGCCGCTGGCAAGAGCGGCGACAATGTCGAAGTCGTGAATATCCCGCTCGCACAGGACGACGAGCTGGCTGACATCCCTCCTGAGATGCGCGAGACCGTTGCGGCGGAGATTCAGGCATTCAGAGACAGGAGCATCCAGCGCGACTTGGAGAGGCTGAAGCGCGAGGAGGAGTTCGAGGCAGCGGAGCGCCAGCGGAATGGAGCTAGTCGCGCTTTGCGGCAATCCTCGCCGCCCTCGAGCTCCAACAACATTCCCGTGGGCCCTCGGGGCATGGCGAACGCGCCTTCTGGGCCTAAGGGGCAGAAGTCGGATCTCGGCAAAGACCACAACCGATCAGTCGAGTTCGTCAACGGCGGCACCACCAATGGCAGCCAGCTCTACGACCGGGATGATGAGGACGATCCGGCCAGTGATGAGGAGCTTGAGCGACGCAGGTTAGCCAAGAAGACGGCCGAGACAGACAAGATGTATATCGATGCAGAGCGCCGCTGGTTGAACCGAGAGAAGTCAAGGACAGCGGCCCTAGAGCGTGAGAAGGAACGCGACGCTGCGGACGAGGAGAACTTCGCCAAGAACCAACAAAAGATGATTGAGCAGCTCAAGGAGCTCAACGAAGACGACGAGAACACTACGAAGCACTGGGAATACTTCCAAGACCGCAGCGCCTGGATACGGAACCGCGCGGCGTTTCGGGCCCGAGAGGTGGCTGCCGACGAAGCTGACCGGAGGGCAGAGGAACAAGAAAATGCCCGCGAGGAGGCTCAGCGTGAACATGCTAGGGGCATGGCAGACTCGTTCCTGGAGAGGCAAGCACAGGAAATGGAGGAACGACGACCCGAAAGCGCGGCCGTGTCTGCTCCACAGCCGTTCAAGCTTTCGCTTGGCGCGGCGGCGCAAAAGGCCCAGTCTCAGCGCGCACCACGCAAGACCATGGCCGAAGTTGAGGGTCTGCTTGAGGACGAGGAGGAAGACGCCACCAGCAAGAGGCAGCTCATCCCCATCAAGTTTGAGCCTATGGCGGCGGCAGCGATGACTGACGAAGAACGGGACCAAGCCGTACGGTCACTGGCACAGGAGATTCCGAGTGAAACGGAAGGACTCTGGGGCTGGGACGTGCAGTGGGACTACTTGGACGAGAGCGTCATCCGCGAGAAGCTGCGGCCGTTCATTGAGAAGAAGCTCGTCGAGTACCTTGGTGTCCAGGAGGAGCTGCTCATTGAGGTTGTTGAGGAGCATCTGCGGAAGCACAGCAAGCCGATGGAGCTTGTGGAAGAGCTGGCAGAGGTAAGTCACTGTTTTGAGAATGCACCCGTTACGACCAGCACACTAATACTTGTCTCTCACAGGCACTGGACGACGAAGCAGAACCTTTGGTCAAGAAGCTGTGGCGGATGGTCATCTTCTTCACCGAGAGCGAGAAACGCGGGCTCGCATAGCTGCGATCATAGATCAGCACCAGGATTGTTTTGGGATTGCGTGGACGACACTCTGAGGCCTGCAGGGATGAGAGAGGTTGGAGTAGACAGATATTTGACTCGCGTGGCAGAATCTCCGCTTGCCAGAACAATCCAAATGGTCATGCGCCGCAGTCAAGAAGCGAGTTCTGTTGACGTATTGACTTGTGTACAACTAGTATGGCCTTCAAACGCTCACTGCATTCTGAATTCTGGACAGAAGTTGTCTTTTCAGTCTCCCTTGTGTGTGCGGTCTTCTGAAGTCTGTTTGATTGGGAAGCCATTATCCGTGCCACAGCGAGTGTTTTTGCCGAGGCAGATGCTGGACGCTAAGGCGTGCTGTAGCCAATCGTGGTCGTTCCCGCGCACCCCCACAGCATCTCCGCCAGGCGTGTGGTTCCACTTCCCCAGAGGAGCAGTCAGCCTGCGGCGTCGTGGCGTGCGGAGAGAGAGCTTCCCCCAACTCTTGCTAGTATTTCCCCAGAGTGCTTCTCGTCGTTTGTCCCCCTTACCACTCTTTGTGACCTCCATTGCATGCTCAAACCCCCCTCACACGTGAGACCAGCGAGAATTTTCCAAGTCCACACGCAGCCACAGGAACAGCAAGGAATAGTGACAAGTCAGTCGAGACGCGATCTCATCCCAAGGCTCGCAGCGGGCACAGGCTGCTGACACACATACTCGACGAGGAGGCGCGCGGACAAAATCTGGACCGAGAGCGCTGAATACATCACACCGAGAGAGAGAGAGAGAGAGAGAGAGAAAGAGAGAGAGAGAGAGAGAGAGAGTTCAAGGCCAGCAGGATCGCCATCTTCCAGACTATCTACCCTCAGACTCCCAAGCCATTGGCAAAGTCAGCTTAAATAGCCTGACCACGAAACCCAACGAAAAGAGCAAAGCTCAAGAACCACCGCCCCCCAAAGATACATATCAAAATGGCGCCGTCCACCAGCAACAGCAGCACACCAAAGTTCACAACCCCTCCCCCCGAGGTCCCCAATGTCCTCATCACTTTCCCCACGCCGCATATCCTCCTCGTCACTCTGAACCGGCCGAACCAGCTCAACTGCATACCCCGCCCGCAGCACTTTGCCATGGAGCGCCTGTTCAACTGGTACGACGAGGAGCCGAGCCTGCGCTGCGCCGTGATCACGGGCACCGGGCGGGCATTCTGCGCAGGGGCGGACTTGAAGGAGTGGGATGAGAAGAACCGCGGCGGGGACAGTGCTGGCAGCGGCGGCGGCGGTGGTGGCCGGGACAAGGCGTCCAACCGGTTCCCGCCCTCGGGCTTCGGCGGCATGTCGAACCGCGGCGGGCTCAAACCCATCATCGGCGCCGTCAACGGCATCTGCTTCGGCGGCGGCATGGAGATGGCCATCAACTGCGACATGCTGGTCGCGTCGGAACGGGCCACGTTCAGCTTGCCCGAGGTGACCATTGGCGTGATTGCCCTGGCCGGAGCGCTGCCGCGGCTGATGAGGACGGTCGGGAAGCAGCGCGCTACCGAGATGGCGCTTACAGGGAAGCGGTACACTGCGAGGCAGATGGAGGCGTGGGGCCTGGTGAACGAGGTTGTGGCCGAGGAGAGCGGCAAGGATGGAAAAGGTGAGAGCGCGGTGCTCCAGGCTGCGCTCAAGTGGGCCGGCATGATTGCTGGCAACTCTCCGGATTCGGTGATTGTCAGCCGCGAAGGGCTCAAGATGGGCTGGGAGGGAGTAAGCGCCGAGACGGGCGTAGATGTTATCATTAAGGGTTGGTATGAGAGGATCGAAAAGGGCGAGAATATGCTCGAGGGCGTGGCCAGCTTTGTGGAGAAGAGGAAGCCTGTGTGGAAGGACAGTAAACTCTAGCTGGACTTGTCGTAGCTGGGATATGAATGTCTCAAAGAATGTGAAAACGAACAACCACTTACTCAGGTCAATGTACCCAAATCGTCTCTATCAAAGCTGAACCCGGAACCAAGAGGCGAAGGGACATGGCTAGCCCGCACGGGATCTTGTTGAGAGCTTCGCACAAGTCACAGTTCTGCTATCCCGCAAAGCTTTATGAGCAAGGTTTGTCTATTGTTTTAGTGCTGATGTAAATATGCTATGATTTCTATGTTCTCGTGTGCGGAATTGTTGGCTTGTGTCCCAAGCTCATGATTTGGGTATATGGTGAAAAAGAGATTTAAATGTGTTTATGGGTATTTGGTTAGAGAACCAGTATCGAAGTTGAAATTGTCCAGTCTGAATATTTGTGTCGCAAGAGTGAGGTAGGAAAGAGTAGATACGGGTCCAGCCCATGATTGCTCTACTCGCTGGCGCTTGTGGTCGAGTCGTCCTCCTCATCGTTGCTGTGCGCGCCACCCTCACGGGTCTTCTTGGCGCTGCCCTTGGTGCCCTTGCGGCGAAGAGCCTCGGGAACCTCGCCACGAACCTCGCCATTCTCGAAAAGGACGCCAACATCGGGACGGCGAGCGACAACCTTGGTCCACAGGCTGCGGGGCACCTCGCTCGTGGTGGTGAAGGCCTGGGTGCCACTGACAGTGCGCTGCCAAGTGACTGCAGGGTTGGCAGCCATGGCCTCCTGCAAGTTCACCCAGATGCTGATGTCTGCCTTGCTGGAACGGTTCTCTGAAGCATCCTCAGAGGAGACCATGGGCACAAAGGCAAGCTGAACAGCCCCAGCGGCGCGCTGGATGGCTCCCGAGGCGAGGATCAAGGGATAAGCCTGATACGAGGTCTCGTAGACGACAAACTCTGGCAGGTCTGGCGTCTCGGACGTGATCGGCTCGGCCTCGATCTCGAGGGGTGCCTGGAGACTGTTGCGTTTCGCTCGTAATATCCTGATCCTGTGAGGAGCTGAAGAGCCAGCAGTGGCGGTGGTCGAGGCCTGGCTCAGTTCAAAGCGAGCTTTAGACATGGCCGCGACAATGCGGCGGACATCGGCTAGTGAAGCACCGAGCTCAGAGAGCTTGGGATGCTCGAGCTACTCGGAGGAACAAGAGCTGTCAGTCTTCGATCCCATACTCATAGATATTCAGAGCGACTTACAAGATGGGCGACGGAAACCCAACCCTCGGCGTCCTGGACGAGGTTGTCGGACTCCTCCTCCTCATCCTCGGCCTCACTCTCGGTAACGGTGCGACGGAGGGCGTAGGCCATGGCCTTGCGGATGGCGACATCGGATCCCTCGATGACGTTGTAGGTGCGGCCGTTCTTGCCCTTCATGCTCGCAGCCCTGCTGCGGCCGTGGCGCGGGGCATGCTGGACGAGGGCGCTAGGCGGAAGGACGCCGCCGTGCTGGGAGATGGTGTCGATGGGGATGAGGACAGCAGCGGTGGCCATGGTGGTGATTGTTAAAGAATGAAGGGGTACAAATGACTGGAAGGAGTGATTTGTATGGAAGAGAATGAAAGCCGGTGTCGTGTCAAACGAACCGGAGGGACAGAGCGAGATGTTTGAGCGTGTGAGTGGTTGTGTTGAAGACAAGATGCCTGGAGGAGGAAGAGAGGAAATCACAGCTGGAGGGCGGGCATGACGGCGACTTATACATGACGCCTACAGGGCTGCCAGGCGAAGCAAGTCGCTCGTTTCGGGTGTGAGTGAGTGCGAGAGGGAATGCTTGCAAGGCTGGGCTAGCCCCTCTGCCTGCATGTGGTTGGTGATGCCTGCAGCTGCTCGCCTGCCTCGAGCTGTGTGAGTGTGAATCGCAGGCACGCCAGCTCACACGATCGTGCCTGCCTCTCCATGAGCCCAACCCAACCGCGACTCGACTCCACCCACTGTCACCCATGACATCTGTTCGCTCCCCTCACCAAGCCTCTCTTGGCCAGCCTGCCACGACACCTTCATCACGCGGCTTGTCTCCAGTTCTCTGCTTTCTCAACTTGGGCCGGCCTCCATCACGACGCTCTTCCGCCTCGATCTGGCCCCTCCTCCCCATCCCGACCCACAGATCTGCGAGACGCCCGCTCCTGTCCGCGTGCCGACACACACGCATACTCCCTCCAGCCAGCTGTCCCTGCAGCAATCAGGTTGCTGCGCGCTGGCCGCCCTGCTGCTGGTTGGCCCCCCAGAGGTCGTCATGCTGGCGGTGCGGGGCCCTGGAATGGCGGTAAGCCAAGGGTCGTGGTCTCGTGTCCCCAGAGACACATCCTTGTCCTGCGCCGTACCTGAACGCTACATGCATCTGACTGCTCTTGACCAAGATAACAGCGCTCTTGTATCCGAGAATGAGACGCGTCTGCAAGCGGTGCTTACCCCTCGATTCCACGTGCAGTTGCGAGCTCCTCCGTGTCAAGTGTGATCCAAGTGAGGGGTTTCCCTCTTCAAGTGGTCTACTGAACCACTTCCAAGGTTGCAGTTGACCGCCAGCCCACCGCTGCCCGCCTCAGCCTAGATGCGGATCAGGAATCTCTGCGCGTCCATCGGTCTCACTGTCTGACATTCTGATCTCATCCAACGCTGGGGCCTGTATCTGTGGAGGATTGACACGCAATGAGGCGATCCAGGCTGACTGGTCGGCTCCAGCGGCTAGCTGGCCAAGCTCCACCACGCCGACAACTGTCTCCGTGACTCGATTCATCGTGCTCGAGTGACGCACCCAGCCGCCAATCACCAGCCTCGTCTCCACCTTGGTGCTCCTCGTTTTGGCAACCTGGATGACCTGTTAGGCTAGCTCGCCTCTCCGTCTTCCAGCCCGACCAGCGCCCATCTGCAGCCCATGCGTCCTGCAGCAGTACGCGTGTAACACGTCTGTGGTGCGATAAATGTAGCCAGAGCTGTCTTGCACCAACGGTGCGGATCATGGTTCATTCGAATGTGTTCCACGGCTTTCCAATCTGTCGTGTAGGTGCATGGGCAAGTTGGACGAGTGAGGGTTCGCGCTTGAAAGCGGTCATCGGCGTCGATGAATGCATACTTGGCCACGACGCTGCTGCTGATCTATGACCCTACCGCGCTCTGAGGCGACCTGTATAGACTTTTAGGAGTCTGAGTGGGCAATCACCGTGCAGTGATATCTTCTCTACTGGTCATTGTCTGCTCGCATGCCTGATCAAGATGGCTCGTTGTGTTTCTACTTTTGCATAACAAGTACGCCGTCGAGATGGGTAGGACCTCACAAAAGCCTCGGTCTGGTGCTGGTCTAATGCAGGCATTACTTTACCGAACCTTGGCTGCTGCTCTTGTCGACCACGAGACTGCAGCTTGATGCACGAAATGCACTCCCTTCGTCAATGGTCATTGCATGAATATGTCTGTCTATGAAAAGCATCCCCAGGCCAAAGCTTGCCAGGGAGACTCACGATTCCTCTACATGGCACGAAGAGTTGGCACAATGTTTGAAGAGGGGGAAACCTCAAAATCATTTTATGATATTCTGCTCTGCACTCACACTCTGCAAACACCTGCTATCCAGCTGTTAGCCCTGCTCCTTCGCGAGATTTGCTCGCCCGGAGCCTTTCCAACATTGGCAGAGGCAAGTCCGCCACCATCATCACAGTGCCGCCGCTCTTCCTGCCCGGCGGCACTGGCCAGGGAAATCCGCGTTAACATAAACGATTCCAAAATAAAAATTGCCACGTCCAACCCCGGTTCCATGCCACGCAACCACTTCACACCCAGACAGTGCGCGCGACAACAACTCCAAACAGGATGCATCCTGGTGTGCTGTCTCCCCAAGGAGAAAGACCGCGCCAGGAATGCATCCTCCATGATGCCCATGGGTGGTGCATCATCCTCTCCAATAGAAATTAAATGTAGAAATTACTAGTATCCCCGGGCGTGTTGACCACTGCTGCTGGCTTTGGAGCATGCGCTGAGCAATTTCTCTCTCAGTGTCGACACGCTCGGAGAACTGTCTTGGATGACTCGGCATCTTTGCGGTGGGAAAAATAAAAAACGATCGAAAGCAAGATGGCTCTACGAGATGAAGGTGTGGAGAATACAAAGAGTGGATGCGAGGTGTGTGTCGCGTAGCGAGTGTCGAGAAGATTGGGTTTGGCATGACCCAAAAACAAAATCGAAGAAAGGAGACGAGAGACTGGTATTCCGACCCAAGTAAAAAGTCATCAAAAACAGCGGGTGTGGTCGTTCAGGTAGTAGTAGTGGTGGGGTGGTATATGACGAAAAGGAGATCCCAGAAAGAGAAAACGCCGCAGGCTCTTTTGGTAGCCGCCCGGTGTAAATGCCAGTGTCGGTTAGCCCAAGCTGTTTCTTCGCTATGATCGCTGCAAACTCAATTTTTGTTGGTTGATAATGTTGTTTTAATTTTTTAAAGACTGGGTTTGCGCGATCTTGCTAGTACGCCTGGCCGGGGACGGGCTTCCTGCCGACTGAAGCCTGAGGGTTCATGGGGCTGACGCCCGGGGGGCCGTTTCTGGGAGCCATGCCATTGGGGCTCATTGGACGACCATGGGCCGGAGACTGAGGGCGCATCTGGCGCATGGCGGGAGACTCAGGACGTCCGTATCCAGGGCCGCCTTGGGGAGTCATGGGGCGGCCTTGAGGAGTCATGGGCCGCTGGCCAGGACCAGGAGGACCACGGGGTCCACGTTGGCCGTTGGGGTTCACAGGAGGGCCGGGGCGAGGACCAGGAGCGGGACGAGGCTTGACAGGGCGTGTAGACAGGCAGGTTCGTGGGACAACACCCTGGACAGAGCGGTCGAGCTTGATGCACAGCGCCCAGCCATCGTCGTACTCGTGGAGCATGCGAACAAGCTGGCCAGCACGAACTTCCAGCTCGTCTTCCAGGCTGGGGGCAAAGTCAAGCTGGACACGGTGGACTGCTGAGCCGGCTGGGCCACCGTCCGCGGCAATCGCGGCGGCGCTTTGCGAGGGCCCAGGAGACTGGCCAGGACCGACTGAATGCATGCTGAACTCGGTGCCGGCAGGGCTGGGAGGGATGGGGCCGCCTTGAGCGAAGGGCCTGGTCAAGTCGAGAGGAGGAGGAGCCTCCTGGCGCGTCGATGCCTTGCGGGCAAGGCCGGCACCAGCTGCAACAGGCGCGGCAGCTGTGGCTCTGGGAGGCGAGTAGCTAGAGGTGGCGACGCCCACGACGTTTTCAGGAGCATCGAATGGGTTGGGCGAGGGCATGGCGCCAGTGGGCGTGACGGCGCGTGGGGCGTGACGGTCGTCGAAAGGGTTCTCATGACCGTGGCTGTGGTTGGTGCCTGGGCGCTCCCACAAGCTGCCGCCGGCGGCCTTCTCGTTGTTGGCATCCGGAGAGACGGTCAAGGCGAGATGGGCGCCCTTGCTGGAGCGGCGCTCGGCGAAAGTGGGCATGAACTCGGTGACGGGTCTCAGGCTCAACTGCGGCGCGTTCGGGCTCGTGCGCGAGGTGAAGGTGGAGTTCATCGAGGCGAGCGAAGCACCCGAGATCGGACGACGACCGTACTGACCGCCAGACTTCTCGTTGTCTGCCTGTTGCTGTTGTTGTTGCTGCTGCTGCTCATTCTGCTTCTTCTTCCGCTTGTTGATGATGAGGAAGATCAGCAGGCCGAGGGCCAACAGACCACCCAGGACACCAAAGGCAATACCAGCCTTGGCTCCGGCGCTGGTCTCGTTGCTGGTGGCGGCCTCGCTGTTCGTCACGTTGCTGGTGCTAGGAGTCGCATGTGCAGAGGTAGTGGCGGTGCTGCCAACAACTCCGTTGCTAGCTCCGCCAAAAACAGCAGGTGTCGTGCTGGGAAGGTTGGTGGCAAGAGCCAAGGTGCTGTCGAGCCCCGCGGTCTTGGTGGGCACGAGAGATTCAGGGTTGCTCACGGCCGGTCCAACCATGGCGATCGTGGAGCCAGCATCAGCCGCCGCCGCGAAACCCTGCGACTTTGTCTGCGGGTTCTGGGCATTGTTGGGCTTGGGGGTGGAAGTCTGGACATTGGCTGGTGGCGGGCCGTTGGCGGTGACGGTGGTCCAGCCGATGACCTGAGCACCCTCGGGGGGCTGCTGCGTCACAAACTGAGTGACGACGACCGTGGCGCGGGCCTGCAGCTGGTGTCCTTCGGCATTGTCATTGACGGCAGCGAGCGCGTTGCGCCTCTGGTGGAGGCGTTCGTGTCGTGGGATGTGCACCATTGTGTTGGATGTGAGCTGTCGTTACTCGTACGGAAACGTTGCAAAGTAAGCCTTCCCTGCGTAGTTATACTAAAATGCCGTGTCCGCACAAAAACCAGAAACCGGCGGTTGGCGCGTGCCTGGTGGGTTCGTGTCCGGGGCGAAGTTGTTGGTCCTGCGCCAGGCTGCCTGTTTGCGAGTGTCGAAAGAATGGCGAACGGTCCCGGATGTGGAGACGAATAGACGAGATCCAATGGCTCGAGGTTGTGCTTGATGTGAGGACGACTTGCTGCTGCAGTCGCTTCGGTTTCCGCGTCCTGATTGTGGCCTCTCGAGGACACTGTCGTGTGGGTTTAAAAGAATGTGGGCTGTCGCTTCCAGCGGTCGAAGGGCGTTCAGTAGAAAAGAGTGATGTCCCAACGAAACGAAAGACGACGATTGGCGTAAAGAATGGAATGAGAGTGCACCCGGCGGCGGAAGGAGAGCAACAGTCTCTGGCGGAGAGGCGAGGCGAGCCGTGAGCGAAGGGCGGAGGAGCAGCAGGAAGGAAGGACGGGAAGGGGGTGGAGGAGATCAAGAGGAGGGCGAGTGGAGGGCGGCAGCCGTGGGAGCGAGCGCTGGACGGGTGGGCGGACGCACGCAGCAGCAGCCACGCTGGAGCTCAGGAGCGGCCCCTGGGCAACCCAGCAACAGGCATTGCGCGAGCGACCAGCACAAGAGCCAGGACCCCTGTCAATGGCACCCTGCGCTAGGCCGGGTACCTGCGTGGTGGGCGCGGTACCTGCAGTTAGGGGGCTCCGTTCAGGCTAGGGTACTTGGCGCAGAGCTGTCGCCGGGTGTGGCAGCCTTGTACTGCCCGGGCATTACGGACCTCCACAGCCAGGTACCCGGAGGCATTCCATCAATGGACTGCGATGCTGGGATATGACCTCGTCAGCCATGGCTTGCAGTCTCGGGAGCTAAGTCTGTCCAGAAGGACATGCCAGATACGGCTGCTGTTCCGTACCACCCGATCGGGGCATGAACGAGGCTTCCTGGGGTACGGCCACTGCATGATTCCATAGCGGGCGTTGGTATGGATGAAGAGTGAGGCAATGGAGCTGGCAGCTTCTTGTTCTGGTCACTTGCTTGCCTCCAAAGCTGGCTCCTGTGCAGGTTTCTGCGAGGGGACCTCCTCTCGTCTTTGATTGCTGCCCATCTCCAAACTGTAAAGGCACACAGCCAGCCAGCCACGGAGACGACCTGGAGATTTGGAGAAATGAGATGGTGCTGCTAGACTGGCCCGAAGAGCAGCTAAGCGCGTTCTAGCGGCAACCACAAAGACTGCCTGGCCCAGCATGGGTAGAGCAAGCAAATCACGTCACGGACAGGAATGGACTGGCCATGGATGACTGAATGAACGATTGCTTGCGTGGTCAGTGACAGCAGCCGGGCAGACAGGCCTGCCCGGCTTGTCAAACGGCCCCCAGTGCCTGCTCGAGGCACAGGGAGGAATGCTGATTCCGCCCGAGTGGGAATGGGACTCAGATGCGTGCGCGCGTGCGCGTGTGTGCTCTCGGCGTATCAGCGAGCACCCTGCAGGGCACCTCATCCAAGGATGCCCCTGCTCAAATGTCAGGAACGGCGCCGCCCCAGCGCACATGCATGACCCACATCCTCGCAGGCCCGTGTGATTGGCTTACGCCATGCGCTTCGCTGGAGGACCCTAGCCCCTGATGGGCATGGCCGGGAACCCATGAGATTTGATTTGATTGCTCCTGCCTCGTGTCCACATTCGCTCCGAGCGCTGCTCTCAGCTCAGCCCAATGCTCGAGAATGACGATGGACATGGATGGGCGGATGGGTGGATGGTCCGCCCAAGTGCGCACAAAAAGACAGCTGCACGTCACGTCGAGCCCGATTCCAAGAGTTGTTGCAAACGCCCACCCAGCCCGCCGTGCTTTTCATGGGTTCCGCTTTGCAGAAGCAAATCCCCAGCCCGCACGCATGCATGTCGCAAGCACAAACAAAGTGCTTGTGTTTGTTCCATCCACCTGCCACACGCGTTTTTCCAAAGCGTTGTTTCGTTTCACCCTGCCGCTTGCATGTTCGGACGGGTGGTGGCGCAACGCGCTGACGCCTGAGCGGTCCTGACGCGTCCACCGCCGCGAACACATTGCTTGGTTGTCTCGACATGCTGCACCGCCTCGTGGGGAGAAGTCCTTGGCAATGCGCGGGTGGTAGCCATGAACAGTAGAGCCACTATAATCGCTGCTCTTCACAACGTCCTGACGTTTGTTGTCGATCGTGACTTGCACCAGAAGAGCTGTCGCGGCGGCGGCCGTCTATCTGTCGATGGAGCCCAGGGCCTTCAGCAGTAGAGCCCACTCACACCTCCAGGGCTGTTACCGTCGTTGCGCATATGCAGGCTGTAGTCATCCGCATTTTGGAGGGTGATCCCAATTAATCCCTGCGTGTGGACGAGTTTGACTTGGCTGCCAGCCATCCGCGACGATCGATATCTCCCACTTGGCTGCACGGTGCCCATTTGGCCAATCACAATATGCCGCAGGCACAAGTCCACGCTGCGGCACGGGGAACAGCCACTTTGCGCCGGCCTGTTTCATGGTGATCGTCCCCTTGTGCTTTTAGCGGCTGACACAACCACTGGACGGCGTCATAACGGGCTGTCCCTCGTTTTGGCGGGGACCCAACGACCATGATAGCGTTTGCACTTCTAAGGCACAGGAAGTGAAACTCGAGCCATGTATGACGTCGAGTCTGCTACTGCCTGCAGTATCTATCACAAAGTCACGTCGATCTTGACGATGACGGATGTTTGTCCTTGCGATCTGATCGGCCTGGTGTCTCGGCAGTGCAGTTTGTCACAACGGCGCTTCAAAACATTCGTTAACTGTACAGGTACAAGGGGAAATATTGGGATATCTCGCTGTCCACCAAACACGGTGGCATTGAGCATTTGTCTTTGAAATCCAATCGCTATCTTGAACTAGACTTGTTCCTGAGTCTACCCCGGGTGGCCCTGCCCAGGCCACTGCGGATGTGAAGGGTTCTGGTGGTGCGACTGTCCCTGCTGCTCCTGTTGCTGCTTCTGCTGCAGCTGAACCTGCAGTGCCGCCAGAAACGCCGGATTGTAGTATGCCCCAGAAGCGGCAGCGCCCGATTGACCCGCAAACTGCCCCGGCGGTGGCGGTGGCGGCGGTACGAAGCTCTGTGTACCTGCCTGCGGCCACGCTGGGAAGGGGAAAGGCGGCATGACGGGCTGCTGCTGTTGCTGTCCCGCTTGGAACTGTGGCGGAGGCGGTGGTGGAGGGAAGACCTGGTTTCCGAATGGCGAGGGCGGGATGAAGTTGAATGGTTGTTGTTGTGGCTGCTGCTGCTGCTGGGCATTGTTGCCAAAACTTTGAGCTGGAGGTGGCCTCGGAGGGAGCGAGTGACCGCTTCCTCCAGCTTGGCCGCCACGACCTCCTCGCCCGCCTCTATCACCTCCCCGACCACGGCCACCTCTCCCTCGCGAATCTCCACGCCCACCACGGTGGCCGCCGCGGGGAAATGCGCTGCCGGCAGTGTTCACTTCGTCAAGACTTCCAGAACCACCTTGCCCGAAAGTTGATGGTCTCGTAAGCTTTCGGTATGGCCCGTCCTCGTCATTGTCATCGTAGTTCAGACCACCACCACTGGCTGCGCCAGCAGATGCGGAAGCCCCATCCTGCCGTGACCCTTGTGCGGCATTGCTTCCACCACGTCCAGCCTTCTTCTTTGCCTTGAGCTGCCGCTTGTACTCGGCCTCCTTCTCGTCGTCAGAGAACTCGATTTCGTCCATTCCTGCCTCTTCGTCGTGCCAGTTGCTGGCATCCGTGCCCTTCTCTGTGCGAAGCGGTTGTGTAAAGACCGAGACTGCGTGGGTGGGTGGGTAGAAGATCTTTGTGCCGACTTCCAGGCCCAAAGTCTTCACCTCATCGTCTGTCGCGAACATGGCGGTATACCGAGGCTGCCTGACACTGCCGATGACATCTGCAATGGCGGCGATCACGGTGCGGTCCGCAATACAGATGGGGAAGCCCGGCTCGAGGACCTGCACCTCGCCCGTGGTGTTGGCCTTGATGACTATCGTGTTCTCGATGACGTGCTCAATCTCGCCCAGCTCGGCGATCCGCATGTCCTCGGTGATGACGAGGTCCGGCTTCGGTATCATCTCCTCGGCGAGCTCGTTCTTGGTGCGCAGCTGCGCGGCGCTGCCGCCTTTGCCCTTGCCCCCCTCGTCGTCCGAGCCGCCCTCCATCTCCATCAGTATGCGCGCGGTCTCCTCTGGGCCGAGGATGGGGTTGCCCTCGCCGTCTTCGTCCGAGTCGTCATCCGAGTCCGAGTCGCTCGAGTCGGACGATGATGACTCGTAGGGGGAGGAGTCTTCTTCCCACTCTGGGTGCTCTCCTTCTTCTTCTCCCTCGCCTTGCGCTTCAGTGCCCGCTGCCGCCGGGTCCTGGCCATCCGTCATGGCGGTGTCGGCACCATCTTGAGGTTCGGGGTCGATTCCACCCAGTAGCGCCTCGAGACCCTCAGTAAGAGACGGCGGGCTAGGCGCAGCGTCGGCGGCTGGTTCTGGACCGCTGACTGTGGCATTTGGTGCAGGTGTAGGGTCGACAGCCATTTCGTCCGAGGTCTGCTCGTTGGCGGATTGAGCAGCGACGCTGCTCAGAGTCGAGGCATCCTCAGTGGCTGTGATGGTGTCGCTAACGGGTGGTGCCGCTGTGGGCGGCGCCGTCGTCGTCGCAGGCGCTGTGGCTGCCGAGCCTGAGAGCGTCGACAGGCCGGGTATCTGAAAACCGTTGGAGGCCATCGTGTCGTCGATTGTGCTGCTGGGGCAGGACGAGCCTCGGGAGGACGTTGCCTGGGGACGAGGCAGTCGTGCCGGAGGGGCTGCAATTGATCGTGGGATGCTCGTAGTCTCCAATCGACGGGTTTCGAAGTCTTAGAGTGCCAGGACTTTCAGTGGGGGAGATCAGAAACCGCTTTGGTGGGAAGGTTGTGGCAGTAGCAGGTAAAGTCTTTGAAAATTGTTTAGATGAGGGCAGACTGACGGACCCTTGAGCGTCATGCGGCCGGGCATTCGCAGGCAGGCTCGGTCGCAAAGAAAAACGTCTTATCGCAAAGTTTTAGTGGAGCATAATGGGCTTATCATGGTTACGGCATGCCAGTGCTTGCTGGTGGTGGGCCCGAGGAGCTCCCCACCCGCTTTGAGAAGCACCTGAACCTTGTCCTAAGGCCGAGCTTCCATTTTGTTGAGTGTGAACGAGCAGACAGCTCTCCCACTCGATTGCGATTATTTCGTTCGGTCCTGCATATTTGGGTGGAGCGGTTCTTCATCTTTTCACAGGAGACGAGCAGATCAATCGGCACTGTCCATATCCAGAGCAATTCTGGTAACACCCACACCGTAGCCAGCCAGCCAGCCCAGCCCATATCCGGCGGCAAGACGTCACCAGCTGAGCTCCAATTGAGCTGGCGGAGAAACCTCCACCTGGCTTATTCACACACGGCGGTCCGCACTCGGCGCGGCAGTCCTCAAAAGCATCTGGCAGCCACCCCGGCTTGTCTGGCTCATCTCCCGCATCGATCTTTCAAAGAGCATATCCAAGCAAACATGTCGCAACCAGCGCCGGCGTCTGCCCCGCGCCGCGAATTTGTCCACCCTGAGGCGTCTCACGCCAAGAAGAAGTACGTCTGCTTCTGCTACAGGACGCTCCTGCAAACCACAGAAATACTGACGACACGACCACTGCAGAGGGCCTAGCGCTTTCGCAATTCAGCCCATCAATGCCTTCTATGCCTTCTTCGCGGCTGCTCTTCTGTCTGCCCTGTTCGCGCCGATCCAGGACTGCGACGAGACGTTCAACTACTGGGAGCCCACCCACTACATCTCCCATGGCTACGGCCTCCAGACCTGGGAGTACTCCCCTGAGTTCTCCATCCGCAGCTGGACTTATGTCCTGTTCCACGCCATCATCGGCAACTTCAGGCGCCTGCTTCCCCACTCAACAAAGGTGGGCGAGTTCTACTTCGTCCGCTACGTCCTCGCTTTCATCTGCGCAATCTGCCAGGTCTGGTTCTTCCGCGTCATCAGCTTCACCTTGAATCCCAGAATCGGCCTGTTCTTCTTGCTTGCCACTGTCCTGTCGCCCGGCAACTTCCACGCCAGTGCCGCCTACTTGCCCTCGAGCTTCGCCATGTACGCCAGTCTGCTCGGAGCATCCGCCTTTATGAACTGGAGAGGTGGGCTTCGCACGACCCAGGGCATCCTGTGGTTTGCGGCTGGAGGCATCTTTGGGTGGCCTTTTGCTGCTGCCCTCTGCTTCCCCTTTCTCGCTGAGGAGGCTCTGTTCTTGATTACAGCTGCCGCGAACCGCGATCGGACCATGGAGAGCGTACTTCGCATTGCGCGTGGTGGCCTGTTTGCGACATTAGCCTTGGTACGTCTCCGATGTGCCCAGCATAGAGCCCCATTTTACTTACAGTATCTTCGCAGCTCGGTGATGCCTCGATCAACACATTCTTCTACAAGAAGTTTGTCACAGTGCCTTGGAACATTGTCAAGTACAACATCTTCTCGGCTACCGGTGGACCAGACTTATACGGCACAGAACCCTGGACGTTCTACTTCCGCAACCTGTTGATCAATTTCAACATCTGGTTCCTCTTGGCTCTGGCTTCCCTGCCTCTGTTTATACTGCAGAAGATTGCCAACACAAAGAAGACTGGGTTCCAGTCGGGCATGCGGACCATTGTCTTTATGTCCCCGTTCTACATGTGGCTTGCCATATTCACCATGCAGCCGCACAAGGAGGAGCGCTTCATGTACCCTGCCTACCCCTTCCTCGCATTGAACGCTGCCATGGCTCTGCACATCGTCCTCTCCACGTTTGGAAACTCAGATCCGAAGACACTGGTCGGCAAGATCCCCGCCAAGCTGAAGCTTGCGGTTGTCCTTGCGACCATGTTCCTGTCATTTGATCTCGGACTTGCCCGCATTGCCGGCGTGTACCAGGGCTACTCGGCACCTCTGAGCATCTACGAACCGCTTGGTGCGGGTGTCGCCGGCGAGCAGGGGCTCGGCGTTAAAGGCGATAGCGTGTGCTTTGGCAAGGAGTGGTATCGTTTTCCCAGCTCGTACTTCCTGCCTCGCGACATGCATGCCAAGTTCGTCCGGTCAGAGTTTCGCGGTCTGCTCCCTGGCGAGTTCTCGGAAGCCAAAGTAGGGTTCGGCATCTGGGGTGGGACCTGGCTGCCCACCATCGGCCTGAACGATCGCAACGAAGAAGACATGAGCAAGTACGTGGACGTCCGGCAATGCTCGTTCCTTGTGGACACGCAGTATCCTGAGAGGACCGACCCTCTGCCGCCGAATGAGCCGGACTTCGTGGCCGACACGGAGAATTGGGATGTTGTCAAATGCGAGCGGTTCCTTGATGCCGCCAACACTCATCTTTTAGCGAGAGTCCTGTGGGTGCCCGACTCGCCTCTGGTGCCGGAGAAGTTCAGAAGGAAGTGGGGGCGCCACTGCCTGCTAAGGAAAAAGCAGAAGTAGGACATCGGGTACGAAAAGCTGTTGACGAGCCACTGCCATGGCCGGTGAAGTGAAGATTTGTGACTGCGATCTAGATACATGTTAGACCAAACCCAACTGTGTTGCAGAAAACTATTATTCGCCCTCAATGCACATGTGGCCCAAGATGATCTAGGTAATCAGGACTTTAATGAGCAAGTGCTCTGTCGTCCCGGCCTATGACATCAAAGTGACTTGGCTCTTCCAACGTCCCAAATCCCGTAGCCCCTGCACAAGCTGCCAACCACCAGCAAGAACCGACTAAGCGAATGGCAGTCAGCAATACGAGATACCACCATGTTTCTCCCCAGTGATGCATGCAGCGCGGAAAGTGCAAGAAAGTCGATCCATGCCGCCCTGTCCTGCTGTGCCCTCGCTTGCCGGCCTACTGGCTTGCCCGGCGACGCAAAAGGTCTTTACACACAATCTACCTCATCCCTGGCACATTCATGGCGGCAACAAGCTGTTTCCAACCATTTTCCGAAATTGAAGTGCAACTCCCTTAGTGGTGGATGCGCTGTGCAGGAGCCGGACCGTGAGCCTCCAGATTGTGGAGTTCTCCTTCGGAAGGAGCAGGGCCGAGGGTGCATATTCCGCCATAATCCCCAAGTTCCTATCCGGGGAAAGCCAGATGAGGATGCTTTGGGACATTTGAAAGGATGCACCTGTTCCTGCAGATCCTCTGTGTCTTAGTGGGGTGATTGTCACTTGCTTGGCGAGACTTTATCGTGTTTCTACAGGCTAAAAGAAGCATTGGGTATCGGTCGACAAGCTGTGCTCTCTGAAGTAAGTAACACATACCTACCCCATATTTTGATGAACAGAATGCCGATGACCCTAGTATGGTCCAACCGGCAATCGAATGCTGCCACAACACGGCCACAGTCGCGCGGGACAGTCGCGCGGGGACTCAGCCGCAGCAGCAGCTGAGACTTGGCCGAGAAAAGGTTGCACACATGCGAGGCCACCAACCCAGCTCGTGTTGCCCAGCTTGAGACCACGTCTGCTGCATGATTTATGCATATCTGTAGGCTTTGCAGGTGCACTTTCCAGCAAGGCGATACCCCACACGGATGCTGACGGCGGCCGAGACGCGGGTTTGTGTGTGAGACGGTGACAAGTCAATCTGCGCCCGCGGGGTTCGCTGGTCGTGACGGGGTGACATTTGGTGACGTTCTGCGTGGGCAGTCGAATACGAGGTTGTTGGTCATGGGGCAGTGAAGCTGGCTGGTATAAGAGGAGGAACTTGCTCCTTACCAGCAATGTTAGGGTCTACCTACGGGAACTGACCCATCGCGGAGTTGAAACAGCAAGTAGCCCGTTCAAACCATTCCAGAAACATCTGCGGGAGTGAAGCACTTTGGCCGTTTGTCTCAGCCATGTTGTCCACGCAGCTCGTCCTCGCCGCTATCGTGTAAGCCAAATTGTCCACTGCCTCTTAATTAAGACACATTGCGGCCTGCAATCCAGCAGGAAGTCGAGTGCGGGAAGACTAGGATGACCGAGAACACAATCTCGCTGATTACGGCTCTCTCAGCGGAATCGCCTGCGGCAAGTGCGGCCCTACGACCATCATCACCACCACCAGCACCACGGATTCCTCCTCCTACATCACCAGTGGCATCCCCACGGGGCCCAAGGAGTGCACCACCACGCTCAGCACCCCAACCGGCCCTGCAACGGGCTGCACGATCCGATGCGCAGAGACCGCAATCATCGACGGTATGTGCTGTTGTGCTTTTCAGTCATTAGTCCACTCCACATGTCTTTGCCCCCCCTACTATCGTCCCATCTCTGTGCTAGACCTCTCATTTCCTGGCTCTTTATTTGTCCAGCTGCCCAAAGGGGAGTGCTGATATCTTCATGCTGTACAAACAGGTGGTGTTATTCTCAACGGCTGCTGTGCTGACCCGACCTTCGTCGTGGTACCCTCGACGACCGCGTGCCCGACCACGACAGCGTGCGTGCAGACGGCTCTGGCTTTCGGCACGTTCATCGAGACGGCACCGTGCTCAACTGCGACTTATCATGGGTTTTGAAGTGTCGAATATGGTCGATCCAAGAAAAACGGAGGAACATCGGGAAGCAATGGATTAATGCGGTGTACATAGTTGGTGCATTGGTGTATTGGTGTATTGGTGTATTGGTGCCGTTGTCAAATGACGTCGCTTTGGCGATTCTGCCGGGTTGACCAGATGCTCTGAACAACATATGCCGACGGCTTCCCTCACCATCCCGGGACCGTGCTGGATCCAGGGAGAGATTAACAGCCCTCGTCAGAAGTTATCCTCAATAAGTTCAAAATATGAAATGGGAGCCTGTTGATGTGCTTTGTATTGCGATGAGTAGGCTGAGGATGACACTTGATCTGAGTGATGAGCTCTCTCCACTTCTAGAATTTGATCATATAAACAGGACTGGATGGTTGCCGGCCACAGAGGATCAGGCTTGCCCTGCAAAACTGAACTCCAGTTCTTCTGCATCTTCGACGATCAGATACTCTGGAATAATCTCCCGAATCACTTCGACCTCGGAGTCCGATGGCAAGTCTCCCTCCAAAAGCTCTGTCAGCATTGACGGCAGCTCTGGGGGTCTCATTGCCCAGAGCGATGCGGAATCTGGCCCTTCACCCACCGAGGCTGTGACAGCCCGTTCGTCATCACTGTTCGCAGCGACTTCGTCAAGCTGCCAATCGACATCATTGTTATTCTCCTCGTCCGAAGAAGATGTGGAATCAGGCTCACACCATGCGTCTTCTGATTCTTCACTTGAAGAAAATTCAGCGGTAGCCAGGTCTGCCGGCCAGGGTTCGTCGTTCCAGTAAGGGCAAAGGTGCTCAAAACCTGTCCATAGCCGTTCAAAATCACGCCGCTGGTAATCATCCGTATAACGAGCTTTGCGAGCTTGCCCGGATGTTCTGCGGAAGCGCTCAATATCGAACCCGCATCTTGCCAGGGCGGCATCGAATATGTCGCCAGGAGAGCCTCCGTGCCATTCTGTTCGCCAGTCATTTGCGCACCAATGATATGCCAAGTCAGCTGCCGTAAACCCTTCACAGTCGCGAGAATACATGTCGACATTCGCCTTGAGAAAGAGCTCAATTGTTTCGAGGTAAGCGGTTCCGCGGCGCTTGCTTCCCCATATGGTAAATCGAGCATTACGACACGCATGATGCAATGCCGTACGCGCTTCTTGGTCTCGGGCATGCACGTTTGCTCCAAGCCTAATAAGCTCGGCAATCGCGTGAGGCTCGGCATAGTCACAGGCGCTGCTGAAAACAGCATAGTCTGAAATGGACAGCCAAATTCCGGTGAGGGAAGGATTCCAGACAGTTGAAACCGATGCCTTGGCAGACATATTAGCGAACCACCCAGGCAGTTGGATTTCGCAGCTCACCTTTGAGACATAACCTAAGACACGAGAGAAAACAGTATCGCCTAGACTGTCCGGCAAGGTCGGGTCTGCCCCAGCTTCAAGAAGAATATGGCGACACTGGTTTATGTTTTCGATCTCGTCCGGGGAACAATCTGGATCTACTCGTCCAAGTGTCAGGGCAGTGGAACTACTAGTAATCAGCAATTATTGGGCGGCGACAAATCAACCAGAATAAGATCCCACCTTCTCTTCCTGCCGAGGAAACCCATGATGCCATCAATGCATCCGAGGTGATCGAAGTCCACTCCAGCGCCGATTAAAAACTTGCACAACTCGGGCTGATCATGTGCATACTACAAGTAAGAAAGTTAGCATTGAGTGATAAGCGCTCTCTGGCATCAAGGGAGACTGACAAGGAGAAGTGATGCTCCATATTCGTCATGATCTCTGACGGACGCTTCCCCTAGCGAAAGCATCAATCTGAAGGCTTGAAGGTCGCCACGACGCACTGCTTGAAACACCGGAGAACCCGCCGGTCGTATCGTGTTCACTGAGAGCGAAGAAATAGATATGCCGTTCTGATCGAGGACAGATGCGACAAGCATCAGAAGGGGCTCTTTTAGCTGCGATGTTGGCATAGCTCGACGGGGAAAGAAGCGCATAGCCGACGTTGTCTTCACTACGGTGGGCTTGTTCAGATCTTCTGACTTTGTACTTGCTGTCAAAGTCTGAAGCTGGATGAGACCTTCTGCAAAATCTATCTCATCTACCGTCAATACTTGGTCCAAGCTTTTGCATTTCGAAGCGACGCATATCCGTTGAACGGCTATATGGTTGAGTTAGAACATTTTGCTTCCAGCTTGAATGGGCAGATTGAGATGCTCACAATTTTTATTCAAAACCACTTTATTTCTTCCAAACAATCGTTGAAACTGCAGAAGCCGGCTGTCGGTTTGGTGGTGTGAACATAACCCGACAGCAGGGTCGGTTTCGTGTGCATGGCGGGGAAATGCCATTGTGCGGCTACTAGTCAGAAGAATCGTGTGCATATCACGAATGATGGATTGCTTTTTTATGCATGCCGACCCCAATTCATCGTTGAAAAGCGCATAGAGCCTGCCCAAGGCATCTGCTACGGGACTGTGGTTCTGGTCGTGGCCTCGATCTTGAAGAGGCTGTCTGTGGTCGCTTGCGATATCAGGGGCGGATTGTGTTGCTATGTGTGCTGTCGTGGCATGGTCGGTGGATGAAGTTGTCTCTAGGCTTCCAGCTCCCGTGAATTGTTGGATGCGCTGGCGCTTGTCTGGATAGTTGGGGGTGGATCAGACGCAGAGCACGTTGAATGGGGTCAGATGTCAAATATTCGTACCACGGTATTCATGACCTTGAGGATTCCCCTCGAGCGTGTCGTCCAGGACCCTCTTATGCCTCTGAGGACCTTCTTGGACTTGCAATGTCTCATGGTGCCCTGTAGAGTCTGCAGCGTCTTCCAGGCGAGTTTCTCGTGGGGTAAAGTAGACGACACCATCTGGCGTTGCTGTGGGAGGTCAATTGCATGACGTGTGTGGTGAGTCTTGCTGCCCCACTTACGAGCATTGGAAAGAGGCACGGGGCCATAGTCTTTTGCATAACGCTTCTCGAACGTAGCCAACCTCTCAGGCTGGATGCCATGCCCATGAAGAGTGAAGGTGGTGTCCTTGCCTTGACACTTTCGTTGGTCTTTCCTTGCGATCAAAATCTTCATGTCATCGCGGGAGAGGTTCTTGTTAAAGCCCCATTGCTCAAGTCGAGTCTTGAGGCTTCGTATTCTGCATAGGTCGCGAATGATGTTAGCGCAATCTGGCTGGACGTGGCAGTTGAGGGGAAGGAGCATATGTACCCAGTCTTGAATCCATGATCTCGCTCAAGAACCTGGACAGCCTTCTTGATTTTCAAGTGGTCGACGAAAAGAAGCCGTTCTATGATCGGCTTGCGCTTCAGCCACTCAGCGTCGCTGTGATGCTGATTTGTTGTAGGGCGAGTGCGTGCAACTGTGCGGCCTTGTGCATTGCTGTCCACAGGGCCCCTGACGGGTTTGGGGGCCAAAGCTTGCAGACTCGGGCCCATTCTCGCTCAAGAGGTCGGTTGCTGACACGAAATGGCAAAAGTCATTCGATCCTTAGATGGCATGGTGGAACAGCAAGGCGTGTGTGGTTGTGAGTGGCGAGGCAGGGCGTTCGTTTTGTAGTCTGGCAGGCAGCAGAGAGGCTTAAGGCACGGGTCGCGCACCGCACGTCTTTTGACGAATCAGAAGTGGTTACAGAAGGGCAAACCACGACCTGGGGCTTTTGCCAAGGTTGCATGGGCTGAGCTGCAGAGTGAGGCACACAGAGGACGAGTACATCTCCGTACCTGAAGTACATACGATCCAACAAGTGCACCGGCCGGCGGCCTTGGAGTACCCCCCCATGTACTGTATCTGCTCACCACCCCAACTCGGCCCGCGCACAACTGGATTGCATTGATCCTTGTCAGGTCTTGCATCTGGGCTGCGTTCTGACCCCCAGACCGCCGAACCCACGACCAATCAGCTGATCCGTACAGAAGGGCAAAGCTGTAGAGCGCAGCCGCCCATCCCCCTGCAAGGCTGCCATCTGGGTTGGCGGTGACAGTGGTTGTGGTATGGTAGCCACGGGCCAAAAGATTGCATTCCTGCCCAGCTATCCGATTGGCCGCAGCTCCATCTGCAACTCAATTTGCACTTCTGTTCTCTTGTTTCATTAGACTTCTTCTCGTCGTGGCAGCCTGACGCGCCGGGGCGATCACATGAAGTCTACCTTGTGGAAAGCTGATTGGTGACAGTTCCTCGTGATTGGCCAGTCAACTCCGTTGCACCTTTGTCTGGTGCTTTCTGTAATAGCTCTGCGACAATGCGAAGATTCCAGGTATTCCAAGAACTTAGATCATTGGGAACAAAATGCTATATAAATGCAGGCGTTGTCCACCATTCAGGTGGTCATGGCGAATATAGTGATACGATAATCAAGATATCCCACGATCGCTGGGTCGACACATCCACCTCACTGAAGATACTTCCGCATCTATAATTGCGGCTACCAGGCCTATCAGCCAGTCAAGAAAAACTGTTGGCTTGAATACGTACCCTGATGAGCATCTATCGAGCTCGCCTTGAAGTCAAAGAAGTCCATTGCATCTTCTCAAACCGTTGCGTCTCGTGAGTGGTACCACCTTCATAGTCTACCAAAACAAAAAACTAACCTTTCAGACAATCATGAGTCAAATCGAAGACATCCCTGATGAACATCAAGCAGCGGGCTTGCTGGTCTATGTCGGCACCTGGGTCGATGAACGCGCCACTGACTCCGTTGTGGAGTCGCCATGGGACATGATTCAGGATAATGTTTTCCAAAACCCCTATCAGGCAATTGAGGAAATCCCAGTTGATCCAGCTTCCTCCACAGCACCGAATTCCACCGACCGCAAGAAGAAAAGGAAGAAGGGCAAGAAGAACGCAGCACAGAAGCAATGAAACCCGAGATCAGAGTGCGGGAACAGCATCGGCAGACCACGCCATCGATATACGAGACTTTATTCTTTACTTATTTCTCTCGTGGCTTTCGAATCGGTTCAGCTTCCAGGATTTGTATAGGACATAGAAACCGCGCTCTACTACACTTTGTCACACCTTCAGCAATGTACGATGATTGATGCTCAGCGACAGTGACGTCCGGATGCATACCTTGTGCCTGTGGGTCCTTCAATCGAGATTCTTGAGCAGTCCAATGCCAATAGATGCCGACTCTGGAGCTCATTCGGTCCTGCCCTGCTTGTTGAGGAAATCATTTCACAGCTCCTCTACCGAGTCGATTTTGATTTCTTACTCCCGTTGTTGGCTATGATGTCTCTCGGACTGTCTACCTTGGCTTCATCCTCGCACTGCCTTAAGCCAGTTAGAGCGATCACACTACTACAAGGACTGCTAGTCCACTTCATTGGTATACCTAATATACTTCACTCCCTCCGAGGCACGGGCGTGCGCCTCTCTCTATGAATTTTTGCTGAAATCGAACAGTACGACCTTGAAAAGTATAAGGTTGAAAAAAACTCAACTGCACCCTAATCATGGTGGGCACACCACTTTTAGGTAAGGGTCCGGGTGTAGAGAACTCCATGGAAGGACTCTCAGATCGTGGCGAATCAAGAGCCGAGATGAGCTTTGTTGACGTCATTGACGCCCGCGAGATGGCCGTGTCAGCACTCTCCCAGTTTGGTGCCATTCCTAGTTGACCGCTTGAGAGCCGATCAAATAGATGCCGATGCCCTTGCGCAGGCGCTGATCACTCAAAATGGGGCCAATGTCCGCTTCTGCGACCCTCGGATCGTACACAGTGTCGCTTCGCAGGTTGTGCGTCTTGTGCGTCTTGCGCGTCTTGTGCTCAAATCTTCGCAAAGCATTGACGTCAACGTTCAGGCCTCGTTGTTCCGCGGCACCAATCTCGGCTTCTCTCTCGAGAGTTCGCCGGGGCCAATCCGGTCTTCGCGGATACTCCCGTGCCTTTCTGCCCTCTCGGCGCTTCCTTGACGCGAATGACCACATGGCTGAGCCGTCCACCACTCAGATGAAGCTATTTGTGTCTTTGCATAGGTTCCCGTTCCAAGAATAGCGAACACGTGGGGAATACTGGGCCAAGCTACGCCTGGCCTGAGTGCCAAGGGCACCTGATGTTCCTTGAGTGGGCCATGCCCTGACAGTCTTGCAATACCCTCACTGAGGACTCTTGTTCGAGCTTCGGCCACATGTGTAAGCACCGAGACGTCACTAGCAACCTCACCTTCTTGATTGAGCACTGCTCGTCTTCCTGGGCAACGTCCATCATGGGCACTGCGCTGCCTTCTCCTGCTTGGCAAGGTGGCAACAGACGTGCGGCCTTGTTGCTGGGTCCATGGCTGCGTCAACACGCTGACAAGACTCCGAGATCGTCTTCGGCATTGTATAAGATGGCCAAGTTAAGGGTCCATTTGTTGTCAAAAATAATCACAATGTTCTTGGCAACGAGACTTGGTGGCCGACAACAAGTGCATGAGTCTCACGACAGAAGCCGTGACTAGTGGTGAAAAAGCATGCATAAGAAGGGCTCTCGGTCTGGCTGACAATGGACTATCGAAACATCCTCCAGCATCACCGTCTTCTCATTCACAACAAGCATAATCAGCTATAAAAGCACATCCACATCTTTCTCAGCTGTTCTTCATCGAAACCTACGCCCAAATCTCGTCAACATGACGCTCACTGCAACAGCCGCGACACTGGCTCTTTTCTCCACGTCTTTGGTTCAGGCATTGCCCAGAAGCCTCGTGCCAAACGGCCCCGGAGGCGCCCTCCCTATTCGCGATGTCGCTCGCCTTGCCGAGCTCGAAGCTCTGCACAATGAGACTCTCGCAGATCTCAAGGCAGGCCACTTCAGCACGATCCAGCGCCGGGGTGAGCAGGCGCTCGACAACGATATCGAGAAGCGCAACCCGGAAGTGCTTGCAGGCATGCTCCTTTCAAGTAGACTTAGCGCAGAGATTATAAAGAGGATCTACAAAAACCTGAAGGACGTGTTCGACACAGACAACCATGAGACCTGGTTCAATGAAAACAGATGTCGCACATCTTTCAGGACCAATGGCGGGGTTACCGAGGGGATTTGGTCTTATGACAAGGGTTTCGGATATCGAGATCCTTCTGGCAGTCATGTGTTCGAGTAAGCGTTTCCCTAGTCAGCTTTCGCGGCTACCATCATCGATGGATTCCTCAAGGTGCTAATATTTTTGTTTTTGTTTTTGATTGACCCGACAGGGCTGCCTGGATTGATCCAGAGAACAATGATCCACCTGTACACTACTATTCTGACAAGGGCATCGGAGATTTCAGTGTTCAGTTCACTGCGACAGACAGTTATGCCTGGGACGGCATTGACGGTACCAAGAACTGTCCCTTCCAAGGTCTTTGCAACCCACAATTTGTATTCTACCGCGACAGATACAACATTATCTTCAGTACTTGGTGTAAGTAGTGATTCTCTTCTCTGCAGTCTGCTATGGAATGTACACCTCGAAGTAAGTTATTGAATTAGACAAACTTAACCATTTTCATGACCATATACAGAGTCCGAAGGCGCAATGTCTGAATGCCAATAGTCACATGGCGAGGACTGCGGCGCTCTTTGTTCATTGGGCGTTAAAGACCGGTTCCAAAGCGGTGGCGTGAAATGGCTCGGCAACTGCGCTATTCCCTGCTGGACCGAGGGCGGACTTGAATAGAAGACGATGGTGAATAGGAAATGGAAGTCGTACAGAGATTCTCCTGGGGAATTGGATCGAGTAGATCTTCCTGATTTTGTCTCTGTTCTTCTGGTGGTAGCATGATTTCTGCTTTGGATAGGCGCCTGATACGCCTTTCCATTCGCTACTACATCCAGACTAGGACGTACTTGAGCGATACTTTTCTGTTTAGAGAATAGCAGAGTCTCCGATAGACGAAATGAAATACTTCCCTCAATTTTTCGTAGATGAATTTATCAGAAATCTAGCATTCGACTTTGTTATGACACGAGAGCATTAGTAACACTATAGAGGTGTTAAAGACGCGGGCTATTTTCCCACCCTCCCCTACATGATAACCCTCGCTTTTTGGTACAATTCCATGTTAGGCCAAGATCTTGTATATACGTGTTGGCCTCTCGATCTTGCTATTTCATCTGGCTCTGATCCCTCCTTCTTCTATGTCATTTCTAAACCCAAATAAACGACCTGCGCATTTGGCCATCAATTCAATCCTCCAGATTTGAGGAATTCCAACGAGCACCGTTGTCAAGAAGTAGCTGGACGATCCGATAGTGACCGATAGCTGAGGCAGCCTGCAGCGCAGTACCGTATCTGCCACCTTCCGCATTCACGTCTGCACCTTGTTTAAGAAGTAGCTGACAGACTCTTCCATCGCCTACAGCTGAGGCAGCCTGCAGCGCGGTACCGTAAAAGCCGCCATTCGCGTTCACGTCGGCGTCTCTGTCGAGAAGCAGCTGAACGACTCTTCGATCACATCCAATTGAGGCAGCCTGCAGGGCAGTACCGTATTCGCCGCCTTTCGCGTTTACGTCGGCGCCATAATCGAGGAGCAGCTGCACGGTCTCTTTATAGTTCTGCAATGAGGCTGCCTGCAACGCTGTACCGTAAACGCCACCTTTCACGTTGACGTCGGCGCCGTTATCGAGGAGTAGCTGGGCGATCTCTTTATTTCCTTTCTCTGAGGCCGCGTGCAGCGCAGTGTCCCGTTCACCACCTTTCGCGTTAACGTCGGCGCCTTGATCGAGGAGTAGCTGTACGATCTCTCGGTTTTCAACCCAACAAGCGGCTTGAAGTGCATTGCCGAACCTGCCGCCTCGCGCATTGATTTCAGCGCCTTTCCTAAGAAGTAGCTGGACCATTTCTTCGTTGCCTCCGTAGGCGGCGACCTGTAGCGCAGTACCGTACTCGCCGCCTGTCTCGTTGAGGTCAGCGCTTTGAGATATGATATTGACCAGGCGTGGCAGCCCAAAAGCCGTGCACACATAGAGGACTGTCTCATCTCCCTGAAGATTAGTGAGAGGATACATCTCAACAGCGTCCATACGCAGAAGTCGTCTCCACCCCGGAAACCAGTAATTGGACTTTTGGATCCAACACTTGGGGTCCAACCACTCAATTGTGTCCAGGGACATGCAAGAATTGTTCTGCGGCAGTTGAGCACCACCCCGGACTCTTCCTACCGGTTCCTCGGACAGGACCATCTCCGCATGGTAGAATACGCCCCTTGACGCATACGCAAAAAATGGATCCGTCTTTTCTGGCCAACTCCTCTCTTTTTGCGTGGTCAACTGACTTCGTGTTTGCTCAATATATGACCAACAGCGAGCCCATAGGCGACCATGGCTGGCCCGGACGGGATCGGCCCCAAGCGTTGGATCCAACTTTTGTAGTCTTTTCTGCCGCAAGAGGAAGTCGCTGACCGACAGGTGTATGAATTGGACGATATCGTGCTCGCCTTTTCGTACCTCAATTAGGCCTCTTGACGAGGCTGTTATTCGTCGCTCAACCACGTCTATGGATAGAGGACCTATTTCCCCCACCGCAGACAAGAGCTCAACGGGTTCAAGTGGTCGCCCGCAGAAGAGCACCCACTGAAGCATGAGGACTGTCTCAGCCATACTGGTCGCGTTCGTGCTCAAGATGGCAGAGAATATGCTTTCAAGGTCAACCGGGATTTCGTCGAGCGTCTTTCGCATTGCTTCGAGCATGCCTTCGTCGCAGGCTTTGTTCAGCAGCGACACAACAATCTCAACCCAAAGGAAGACGTTATCTGCCTTCTTAACAACTTCATCAGCAATCTCATCCGTGTATATCCTCAAATTTGTTCTGACATATCTGGCGATATCAGTCTGGTGGTCCTTGCTCTTCTCTACCACTAATTCGACCACCTTTCTCATTCGAATACTTGGGTAGTGGCGGCTCGAGAGGCAAATCTTGAGCGGAAAGCCGTCTTCGAGCGCATTAATGCTCAGTGATTCGAGGAAACCGACCACATCGCGGACCTCGGACTCGTCGCATTCGTCGAGCGCGTCGATATGAAGAAGGAGAGGCCGCGACTGTGACTGCTCAGTAATAGAGCGTATAAAGCCCTTGAGCTCAGAGGTTTGCCACTGGAAATGGCCATCTAGACTTGTCCTCTGCTTCTCGCGGAGTTTAGGGACGAAGAGCTCGTATAACCCATGGTCGCTCTCGATTAGCTGGTAAACCATTGATCGCAGCAAACCCAAGGGCGTCTTTTCGAGCGTTTCGCCACGAGCGTTAAAGAAGTGTGAGAGGATGAGATGGTCCTGAAAGATGTCATTCTTGTAACGACGGTATGCATGCTTCATCAGCGTCGATTTACCAGCGCCGGGCTTGCCTTTGATCCAGAGGACTCCATTGTGCTTTGGAAGAGAGGCTGGATCCCTCCATTTGTGAAACTCCGGAGCCTCAAAGAGCCAGTCGCACGTGCTCCGATGGGCAGGATTGATGTCGTTTTGGCGAGCGTGGATGCCGGGGAACGCGAGAGTTCGGAGACAAGCTGGGAGCCTGTCAGCCTTCGTTCCATCATGGGGAGCGTCTACTAACCCAGCGCTCACCTTCTTTCTCCTGCTGACGTTGGCTCACAGCCTCGATGTGGGAACCTTGGAATGGGTCTGTGCGTGTGAATCACAAATGCAGGCCATCTCCTGTGCGATATGGAGACCTACATCCATATACCGTGCTATAGTTGAATTGCGCGCCGTAGCCGTTGTTGTTCAGCTGCGGGCCGCGGCCGGCTGCTACGTTTTGCGGCCCCGTGCTGTGGTTGCCAAAGTTGTTCGAGGCCATGGGCAGAGTTGTCCCCCAGCGCGGGACAGGACGGTTTATTTCGGGACAGGACGGTTTATTTCGGGCCGCAGACGCAGCAGCTGCGACTGCTGCCCCAGCGTACAGTGCCACGGATCTGGGGGATGGAAGATGGTAGAATTTCGAAAGAATCATGAGGGCAAGGCTGCTATAGCTGCCCAGCTCAACCCCGCTCCATGCAGGAGACTGGGGCCGAACAGCCTGGGACCAAAGAGGCGCAGGCAGGCTCGTCACGGAGTGTCAGCAACTGCATGTTGGCTGAGCACGATGCAGCCACTTGGTGGGGCACTCAGAGGCATACACAAGACTTGGTTCGCTTTAACACGCGATCAGTTGATGCCAACTATTCTTATCAGACTGTGGCTTTATTTTCATAAAGCCAATGAGGCTCTGGTATGAAAACAGTGGAGGAAATGCAGCGATCTGAGCTAATATGATCAGTTCAGTTTGGAGATACTTTGTTCCTCGGGCGAAATGACAGCATTTTCGATGTACTTGCGATTGTCACAGCCACTTGCCACTTCCGGTGAGACAGGGATGATTTAGGTACTTCGATGAGCAGCAGGATAACGTGGGACGCCTTTGTCTCGGAGCCTTATGGGCGCTGTCGAGATAGGGGCAGCAGCCGTGGCTAGCCTAGTCTGTGCAGGCGTGACGCCCGAGGACCGCCTTGGTCACGGCTGCTGCCGCCGCCGCCGCAAAGGGCTGCCATACCTTGTTCTTGTGGCTGTCTGCGTAGTCACAGATGCCCTTAACGACAATGCACGGCACCTCATCCCACACGCCGGCTCCCTCCATCTCAAAGGCGACCACGCCACGTTCCTGTGCAATCTGATCGCGGTGCTCGCCGGACTTCATCACAATATTTCCAGACGAGATGCTACCAATGATGACTCGAGGGCGTTGCTGGTCCTCTGGAGCCATCCTGCGTCTCATCTCTATACGCGTTCTTGGCACCAATCGTCTCTCGTCACAGCCGAGTTCGGTGCACGAAGCTTGAGCCGCTGTCCGACAAGAGCCCTGCGGCCCTTCGTTGCAGATCACGCACAGCTGCGGCTCGTGGTGACCATGTCGATAGTCTGCTGCGAACAGTTTATCCTCGTCAACCCCAGGATAATGGTAGTTGGTTCGACGATTCAGCCGCACCGCTCTTGCCTGTAGCTCTTGAAGATGGGACCCTGCCTTGGTTTGTAGTTGCTCTTCTCCTGCTTCGGTCTCGAAAATGGTAACCAGGTTGCGGATTTCTTTTTTCGGCCGGCCGAGAGCATCTTCAACCGTGTCTCTCAAGACAAGGCTAGCTGGGTATTGCTTGCTGATGTCATGGTAAACGATTTTGCTGATAACAACATCGCCAAGCAGCCTCTCATCAGCACCCGTCCCCGGCACACCACCACACACTCCAACTAGGAGGGCAAGACTCAAGCTAGGAAAGCTTGAACGCAGGCTGGCAGCTGACCCAGCCGCTACCGATGAGCCCATATTGGGAAGCAATACCAGCACGACATTGTGCCGTCCCACGCGGCCGAATGAATATGTGTTGGTGTCTCCAGCTGCGCGGCCATATCCTCCGTCCTGCTCGTCCCAGGACTCGTCGAACAGCAGGGACACCGCGTCGTATTCGAGTGGTAAGGCGCAGATGATGGCAATTGAGAAGACCCCGCGACGGGAAGGCCCATCGGGGCCCGGTACATGTTGATGAGCTTCGTGGTTCGACGGAACCTGGCCTGAGATCAAGTGCTTGACTAGATTGCGCCAATCAGAATCGTAATGCATGAGACACAAGGTGTTCCCAGAAGGTTCACTCTTACCTCCTTGCGTGATGGCATTGTTGTACTGGGCTCCAAGCCCATTGTTGTTGTACTGGGGTCCATTTCCCGTCGCAATATTCTGTGGGCCGGAGCCAGAATTGGTGATAGAGATGTATGGCATATCAAGTCGTGGGAAAGAAGCTTTGTGAAGCCGGATACAGATGAGACTCGTAGTAGTAACGGCAGTTGTACAGTCATCGTACCGCGCACAAGCGCTTGGGCTACTCGGAAATACAGGTAAATGGTGGTACTAGGGAAACACAGTTGGCGGAACACAACGACCCCAGCGTCTCGGGCTGAATAAGGCATTCTACGAGGCAGAATTTAGTGGGGTTGTTGGTGGGTTGCCAGCCCGGTGCAGCAAGGCTGTGTCCTGGAGCACCAGAAGGTTACAGTGACCAATATGACAAGGATTAGGACCAACCAGTGGATCGTCTTCAGGAGACACTTACGCGTCCGCCAGTATCATGTAGTCAGCCAGCTGCTTTGAAGACAAGACAGTACGTGGGGGAGATCAGTGCTATATGTAAGGCTTTTTGAACATCCGGGCATGCCGTACATGAAATGAACCTATTTAACATTATATTATTATTTATAGTACGCGTGACCCGCTAGTACTAGGGGTTTAGCGGTGCTACGAATCTATCGTGTAATAAACCGTGCCTTTAGGCTGGACTAAAAGTACACGCTGCGTCTTCTCCGCGCCTAAGCGGGGCCTGCGCTCATAGTTATCGTCGCGTGTTTTAACATTATATATTCGTGTCGACAAATTCGATATGGTGGCCTTCTGGCACTCCAGGATGTAGAACATGCGCTTCAATCACTGAATCAGGAGAACCAGGCTGGGCCGGGCCGGGCCGGGCCGGTATCTGGTCGGCTACTCACTTGGTCAAACCTCAAGCTCATCCAATCATATGAAATAGCCACCCACGTCACTCTCTCAGACAACTGCCTTGCGGCCATTTCTTACGGTGGTTGATCACATCCAATTTCACAGGCGTCTATGCTCCTGAAATCTCAGGGTTTCACCTTCATCACCGCCCAGATCTTTCCAATTCTTTTACAACGTGGATGAAACCAAATTCCTTCGCCCAGGTAGTCAAGCGGAGCATCTAACCACAGTTTTGCGACTCACCGCTGGGATGCTCTACAGAACATACATGGGATGAACGACGGTTCTCTCGAGCGAGCTCCAGTGGTTGGGGCAACACGACGAAATACGGCGCAGTAGTAATCAACCAGGCGAAAGCCTCCATTGCACACATCCTGAATGTGGGCTCGCCATAAGCGGAACGTCGGCAGGGGCGTAGTGTCATTAGTTGTTAATCCAGCTAATCTGTTCGAAGATGCTCAGGATGCATGCTAACAGGTGACTGACAGACTGATCGTGACGACACCAGCGGCGCCGGCTCCGCGGGGAGCCAGATCTTCCGCACCAACGACGGCACCACTGTAGACCGACGCCTGTATCCTTGCTCGTCCGATCTGCACGGAATCGTTACAGCAACCGCTTATTCATCAACACCAACTCCTCTGCCACGACTCTATGAGCGCTCGGCACATACTGCCATATTTGGCGTGGGGCAATATGCTGCCACACGGACGAATTACGTGGTAAAATAAGAAGTGGAGGGAGGGGTGGAAATGGAAGGGCCGGATTTAGAGACGGGTTTTGGCAGATGTGACACACACTCCGTGGGACGGGGTATCATGAAAGTGAGTAACGTAATCCACGGGTGAGCGGGTCACACGGGTGAACGGGTCACCTTCCAGTGACTCGTACGACAATGTGTAAGACAATTCAACCACAACGCCTTAAATTAATTGAAACTATTCAGAATCCTCTTCTTCAGAGGCAGATACAACTTTCTGACACGTACGAGCATTATGCCCGGGCTCGCCGCAGACGCCACATCGTCGCGCGCGCGTTTCGGGCCTCCTCGTACGACCACTATTCTGACTCGTTTCCGCCATTAACTGCTGCGTCGCATCGATTTGAGCCTTCAAATCCTTTGCCTGATCAATCGTGAGGGACCCTCCTTTCTGTAGCTGCTTTCTTTTCGTACGACGACGGCGGCTGAGGCGGTCGTTTGCATCTCGAAGTTCGGCGAGCTCTTGGCGCATAAGGTCCTGCTCGTGTACCATCATCATGACTCCTTTTCTCAGCTGCCGTACGCTCTCAACAATGGACGACGGTGAGCTATTCTGGTGTCGTACGATGCGATTTTCAATATACTTCGTCTGCGATTCGGTCTCAATTGGGTTGTTCGGCGTCTTTGAAACCCATGGGGGTGGTAGTCCAGCAGAGGACCCTGGCGGTGTCGGCGTATGAAACTTCACATCTAGCTGCGAAATCACATAATTCGGGTCGTACGGTACTAGGCCTGTCGCTCTAAAGCCTGCCTGGATGTTTGATTTGGTCATTGCAGCGTCGTACGCCTTATAAAAGGCTGGGAGGAAGTCCTCCTTTGAAACGTGGGTTACGTGCGCCCGCATTAGACCTTCGATTTCTTTACCGTACGCCCGTTTCAGAGGTCCAAAACACCCAACATCGAGAGGCTGGAGCTTATGCGACGAATGAGCAGGCATACAGAGGGTAACAATATTCTGTTCCTTGCAGTAGAGCTCGAAATCGACGGAATGGTGGCTCTCGTGGCCGTCGAGGATAAGGAGGCGGTGGGTACCCTTCGTACGACTCTTTGTATGGAAATCGAAGTGTTTTACCCATTCCAGGCCTCTCTCGTTCGTCGTCCAACCGTTTTCTGAAAGCGCGATTACCCAGTTGGCCGGTAGAGGGCTATTCGCGGTCCAGGAGTCGAGGTGGACCTTCCCGGCGAAGATAATGTACGGCGGGATTGAATAGCCGTACGACGCGATACCCTGGATTACTGTAACCCATTCCTGATTGCCTTGTTGTACGGCTCTTGGCCTCCCGCGTCGATCGGAGGTCGTAACGACAGTTTCGGCGGAGATTTTGCCCATCGCGAAGCCCGTTTCGTCGAAGTTATAGATGTCGTCATCGTGGATCCCGTATTTCGCGACTATATTTCGTACGAGCTCAAACCACGCGCGATACGCGTCCGGATCCTCGCAGAGGACCCTCTGGTAGTCGATTCTTCGATTAAAACGCGTACGGAGCTCAGGTCGTCGTCGTACGAAGGTTGAGGCCCAGTTCGTTCCAACGCGTGGCGCGTCGCGTACGCGGAGGAGTCGATCCGCCATTTCTCGAACACCACTTAACCGCGGTGGAAACGATCGCGAATCTAGGTCGATTACGTATCGTACGATACTCTCCTCTTCGTATGAGGTTAATTTCTGGCAGCGTGGTCGGGTATCGTGTTTCGCAGCTCGGCCGTGGTATCGTTGCTGGAGTGTCGTACGAGATACATTATAGATCTGCGCAGCCTTTCGTACGCTTAATTTTGGGTCGGATTGGAGCGCATTTAACGCTAGAACCAAATCACTTTCAATTGATTGTCGTCCCATGATTGGAGGTGGAGAAAAAGGAGAAGGAAGTGAACCTCAATTAAATTGCAGTAAAGTGACCCGTTCACCCGTGTGACCCGCTCACCCGTGGATTACGTTAGGCGTGATTCATTGGCCAAAAGATGCCCCACCAGGAACTGAAGCCGTGGCTGGTTTGAATTGTATCGAGGGGATTAGACATCTGGCGGCTTTATGTCCGCTAAAAACCGATGCGTGAAAACTCAGCGCCCTTGTTGGCCTTTGTATGTAGATATGTATATCATGATCGCCTGGAGGGATCTGTCTTGGCTTTTTCGAGATTGGTTTCAGTAACGGCTTAGAATTTGTCAACCATCAAATTCTAACAAAGTTGTATTATATCATCTCAGAGATCTTATCAGCATGGCTTCTGCAGGAAAGACAATTGCTCTAGTCACCGGAGCAAATCAGGGTGTTGGATTGGCAGTATCCAAGATCCTCTCGTCCGACCACGGCTATCACGTCATCATGGCGGGTAGGCGGGAACAAGCAGTTCAGGCATCTGCCGACCAGCTGAAGAAGCAGGGACTAGACGTCGAGCCTTTGGTGCTCGATCTTGGCTCGGATTCGTCGATCGATGCAGCTGTCGACTACGTACAAAGGCAAGCGTTAAAAATCTCAAAGTGTCTTTCCTCGCTTGCTGATGGGTCTCTATTAGTCACTACGGCGTCATAGACGTTCTGGTGAACAATGCCGGCATTGCTCGCGCGAGCGATCCTGCTGCAGATTCACGTACCACGTATGAGACAGTCCTGGGAACCAACGTCGTGGGTACGATGTCCGTCACCGAGAAGTTTTTGCCGCTGCTCGCAAAGTCGCAAAAAACGAAGAGGGTGGTTTTCGTCTCCTCTGGCTCCGGTAGCATGACAAATTGGGCGACGCCGGGCAGTCTGACGAGGAATTACAAGGCCCCAGCATATGCCGTTAGCAAGTCGGCTTTGAATGCCTTGTGCCTTCAGTACGCCGTGGAATATGAGGATGACCCGACTTGGAAGTTCAATGCCGGCTGTCCCGGATACTGTTCGACGAACCTCAATGGATTTTCGGGTTCGAATGCGCCAGAAACTGGTGCGCAGATTATCTGCAAGCTTGCCACGCTCGATAATGATGGCCCTTCGGGTGTCTTTATGAATAGAGCGGGCAGAATTCCATGGTAGATAATGAAGCATTACAAACCATCAGGTTCTACGGAGGTCCTTTTGAGTAGTGTGACAACCAGCCAAAAGGGCAATTTGACTGGGCCGGGCGGTACGGACAAGTCAGGAACTGTGGCTGCAGCCTCGCCACCAGACGATAAGGTAAAGGCGCACTCGGGACGAGTGGGCACAAAGTAATTGTACCAAGGATTCAAGGACTTGACGGGCTTGGTCAAGTAGGTGCTGCGAACTCAAGCCCATTGCAACGCAACCTTCTGTAGGACTCGTGTGGAAGCTGGTCGAGACTCATAAAGGTGCCGGGGCTGCGGTCAATAGAATGCTAATCGTGTCCCTGCACTTGCAAGCGCATTATTGTACTTGAGCCTTGACCACCGGGATTACTCGAAGCTGGGAGCTAAGGTGAATCCGAATCTAGGAGTATTAGCGCTGTTGAACAGCCGGCGCTACTTATTCTGAATTGCGCCACGCTGCCGAGGGGAACCTCGTACGCTTCTCCCTTTTGCGGCTGAGATTGCGCTGGTGGCCGGCTCCCGGTAGTGCCAACTGCCCACGGCGTGCATGCTACAATGATGATGTCGAAGCTTCCGAATAGGTTTCTTTCTGAGTTTAGCCTCTCTCGGCGACATATAACTTGATCTAAGATGGGACCGGTCTCCAGTGCCTATTGCTGGGTATTGTCGGGGTTATGGTTACGCCTTGCCGTACTGGTAAGGCGCTGACCGAGACTTGTGCGAGGTGTAAGCACCCGCAATTTCTTGGGTTCCCGGACAGAGATGACGAGATCTCGTGGGTCACATGGGAAAGTGACTAAGCAGCGAAGTCGGTAAAATGTCACGTAGTGTCATAACTTGCCGCTAGCAAAGCAGTGATTAGTGCATAGGCAAAGTCGTCTTTGCCTGCAGTGCCGTGAAGACGATGTTTTTCCTGGCTGCCGAGCTGATGATCATGTGTCCGAAACAGGTATAAGACGTGTTTATGAGTATCCGCGTCGCTTTCTGAAAGTGAGGGAACTCGCAGAAGCACGAGGATGCTGCCTTTAGCATATTCGGGGCAGCTTTGGCCGCGTCACCTTGCTTGTCGCGTCACTTGGCCAGGCGTTCTATTTCCCTGCAAGCTCTGAAGCTGAACGCCACGCTGATATGATCGGATAGATTTCGATGCACGGCGCAATCTAGTCCCAAGTTTCAGCTCCTCTCAACGATTGTCTAAAACCCTGGAAGCTAGCGGACGACGGAGCAAGGAAGGCGAGCCTAGGGGCCCTGTACTCCCAGTTTCTCCACATCTGGTCGGAGCTTTGCCTGCGGGGTACAGCTCAAAGCTACAAAGTTTGGTCTAGAAGAAGCGACTGGTTCGGTGCGGCCAATGCAGCTCTCGCTGGTCCTGCGACGTCGTCGGGCACAACTGGAAGCCCTCCCTCCAGCAGCATGTCTGGTCACAACTCCCGGGACTCCCACCATAAGCCATTGTGTGCCATGTGCCGGCCCCGCGCGGCGTCTACAGGCTGAAACAAGCTTTCAGATGAACCATGCTAGTAAACTCTGTTACTTGACTGAATAAATTATTCGGCAATCATGATTCGAACCGGCTGCAAAGCCTCAGAGAAATTCCTACGCAACCCTGCTCTGCATCAAATTAGAATGGAAGAACAACGAAACAAACATTCCCGATCAAACAGACAGCTGGTGTCTCCCAGTTTCCTATAAAGGAAGCAGTTCCAGCACAGGAGCACAAGAACTTACCTTTGTGGTCGCGGAAGGTTCAGACAAGATAGATCCATTAACATTAGTACAGCCAAGAACACGATGCAACTGCGCCGCATTTTCCCCATTGGCCTTGTCGGCGTTGCGGCCGGGCAGTCCGGGTCCCCAAACCTGCTCACCGCTTTACAGCCACAGAATGTCCAGTTGTCGCCACTGAACGGTAAATGCTCCCCCATCCTGCGATTCTGTCGTTTTTCAGCATGGGGCTTTGAGGACTAATTCCGAGTTCAGGCCTCATCCAAAACAGCACTGGACTGACGCAGCAGTTCTCGCAGCTCACGAATGTTACCTTGTTGGCCCCAAGCAATGACGCGATACAGAAAATCCTCGCTGGGCCGCTCGCCCCCGAGCTCAGCCAGCCTGGTGTGTTTCAACTTTTGGTTAACTACCTCACTCTGAATGGGACGTACTATGCGTCCAACTTCACGCAGAACATGCCTATGTTCATCCCAACCCATCTCACCAACCCAATGTTCGACCTTGTAGATGGCGGACAGAGAGTTGAGATTCTCGCCTCCGGCGGCAACATCACAGCCTTCAGCGCCCTCAAGCAGCCATCCAACTTCGTCACTACGGTAAGGCCGTCCTTGTTATGTCCGCAAATCCACCACGGTGTCTCTTGGCGCTGATGATGACCTCTTCTGATCCCTGGGAAACGAACAGAATGTCAACTTCACTGGCGGGACGATTCACATCATTGACACAGTCACCGTTGTGCCCTTGAACACCTCCTATACCCTCGGCGCCTTGAACCTCACTGCGGCTGCTGGTGCGATCCAGTTTGCCGGTCTCATCACAACTGCCGACACCATGCCTGACATCACCATCTTTGTCCCGAACAACGCGGCCTTTGCCGCTGTTGCCAGCGTCTTCTCCAACCTCAGCATGGCGCAGGTCGCGCAGGGGCTCAAGGATCACGCAATCCCCGGGTTCGTAGGACCCAGCAGCACGTTCACCAACGGCACCCTCACGACAGTGGCTGGAGGGAGCGTCAACATCACCGTCATCGGCAGCACCGTCTTTGTCAATGATGCCAAGGTCATCATCCCTGACATTCTTGTGAGAAATGGCGTCATTCACGTCATTGATCAGTAAGTCCCCTATCTGCAGATGCGACCTTTCCGACCTACCACCAGGAAGGGGGTTAAAGACACTAGAAAAACGGTTGCTAAGGTGGACTCTATAGGGTTCTGAACCCCGGCCAGACAGGCAGCAACCCGCAAATCAACGCCTCCACCACAACCATGGCCTGGACCAGCGCTAGCTCCGGGACGGCAGGCATCCCGTTCACCAGCGGCGTGGCGGTGCCGGGTTCCATTGTGCCCACCAACACCGGCTCCCCTGTTGCCACCACGATCCCAATGGCCCCTGCTAACCCCATCAAGACTGGTGTTGTCGTTGCGGCCGCTCTGTTTGGTGGCGCCGCGATCATGATGAACTTGTAGGCACTTCTCGCCTTTGATAGGGAGCTAAACTTGATGCGGCGAAAGAACGGCGTGTGTGTTTCGTTCCCTGACCTCGTACTTTTATGTCCAAACTGGTGTATCACTACATAATTACCGACACGTGTGTTGATAATGGTGAAGTTGTGGGGGGTTGTCTTGGCCAACTGGGCTCACGTGTCTGCCTTGGCCGCCGTTATTCCATGATTTTGGTACGTCGTGCTACACGATCCTGAAAGTGTAGATGAGCATTCATATCTGCAGCGGCCTTTAGGTATATCGACCAATCATAATACTCCGTTTACTACGAGGCGTGGGCTGCCTTGTGGAATCTGGTCTGCAGCCGCTATCGAATGCCTGAAAAACCTTGCCGTGCCCTTCTATGCTCACGAAAATGCTGCGTCGAAAACACTGCACGGTAATGAGTATACGCGTCCGTCGTTCAGGTGCGCATTGGCTGCAAGTGAGCTCCCATTGCGTGGCAGGGATCGGATGGATGACGAACCTGCGTCAGATTGTACCCTAGATGGACTACCTTCCACATTGGGAAGATTCTCACCCCACTGCATGGGCCATGCACAAGTCAAAGAATTGTCGGACCCTATTTGGTCTATTATACGATCCCTGACCCTGGGCCGGCCAAGGTTGCCTGAAGTTTCCCCAACACGCTAAGGCTTGGGAGTGTTTTTCCTTTTCGGGATCTGGCGCGGTAGCGTGGCTGGGCGCTGACGGATCCAACAACAATAGACTGGCTCCCCCCGCACGATCGGGATTCAGCCATACATTCCTTTTGTTCGCACTCTACGGAACCACGGAAGAACGCCAACACATTGTCGTGATCATCTCCAGGGTTGCAGGTAGTACATCAGCGATGGGAGGCGACCTTGACTCTTCATCGGCCCTGTCGGCCGCCCTCGACACTCTGCCATCCAGGCCATGGCTCGCCTCTGGAGGCGCTCTCGTGGCCCTCTACATCCTCTACAACCAGCTCTTGCCCAAGCCACTGCCGGGGATCCCCTACGACAAGGAAGCAGCAGGCCGCATCATGGGCTCCATCCCAAACCTCGTCGCCAAGCGCAAACGGGGCGAGGCGGCCCGGACCTTCTTCCCCGAGCTCTTCGCGGGGGCATCCGCGCCGGTGGTGCAGTACTTCATGGGCCCGTGGAACAAGGCCTCCGTCGCGGTGGGCGACTACCGCACCGTGCAAGAGCTGTTCGTGAAGCACGGCAAGGACTTTGGGCGCGGGCACATGATGCGCACCATGTGGTCGAACACAATGCCGGCACATTTCATCGGCATGGAGGACGACGACCCGCGGCTCAAGAGGGTCATGGCGCTGGGAAGAGATCTGATGACGCCGACGGCCCTGTACGAGGTGGGCAGTCTCTTCTTTGTCGTTACGAGTGAGCGCAGTATCATACAAACCTTACTGACGAGAATCACAGGTCAATGCCCCGGCCTCATACACCAAAGTCCTCCACCACATCGAGCTGTGGCAGCGCAAGGCCCGCCTGGCCGAGGGCCACGCCTTTGATGCCTACGACGACCTCGGCATGCTGACCTACGATATCATCATGGCTGCCGCGCTCAACATCGACTACAGCGACACGCAGATTGCGAGATACACAGCGTATCTCGACCGCGAGCCTTCCATCAAACTACCCAACAATCCAGGCAGCAGCAGCCAGGGACTCGCCGTGTTCCCTCCAGTCGAGCTGCCCGACATGCTGCACTCGCTCAACAGCATCGCCCTCGCAGCCGGCGCCTCCCTGTCCACGCCGTTCCCGCAGATGTACCACTTCTTCAACAACCGCAAGCCGCACATGCGCAAGGCCTACCACGACCGCGACACCATCATCAAGCGGTACATCCACGACTCCGTGCGCCGGCTCGAGGCTGCGGCGGCGGCGGGCAGCGGCGGCGGCACGGAGGCGTTCAAGCCCGGCTCCGCAGTCGACTTCATCGTCAAGCGCGAGGCCACCGCCGCGGCCAAGGAAGGACGCGAGCCCGAGTACACCTCGGACACGGTCATCCAGATCATATTTGGGTATCTCCTCGGCGGGCAGGAGTCTACCAACACGACCCTGGCATACACGGTCAAGCGGCTGGGCTCGGAGCAGGAGGCGCAGAGGAAGCTCCGCGCGGCGCTGCGCGAGGCGTATCCCGAGGCGTACGCCCGGCGCGGCGAGCAGCCGGCGCTGAGGGACGTGCTGGCCAAGCAGATACCCTACCTGGATGCGTTTATCGAGGAGGTGCTCAGAGTGCACCCGCCGGCATTTGGTACGTCGAGGCTGGCCAAGCGGGACATGGAGATCCTGGGACACAAGGTTCCAAAGGGGCACATGGTGTTCACCGCATTTACGGGGGCGACGTATAACGCAAAGGGGTACCTGGACAAGGAGAGGCGTGAGCAGCTGGCCTCCTCCTCTTCGCATTTGGCGCCCGGCGATGGAGTCGCGGACTGGGCCGATAGTGATTTCGCGGCGGACGAGTTTCATCCTGAGCGCTGGCTACGCGTGGAAGACGAGGAGGAGGGTGGTGGTGGTGGTGGTGCTGCTGCTGCTGGTGGAGGGAAAGGCAAGGTTTCGTTCAATCAGAAGGCTGGCCCGATGATGTCGTTCAGTGCGGGCCCGCGGGCGTGCTGGGGCAAGAGGCTGGCATATCTGGAGCTGAAGCTGGTCGTGACGCTGCTGGTCTGGAACTTTGACTTCCACAGACTGCCGCCAGAGCTCGAGGACTGGGTGCTGGACGAAGAGCTCTTTGTCAAGCCCAAGACGTGTCGGGTGTTGCTGTCGAGTGCTTGGGATGTATAAAGATTCCGGCAATATTGTTTGGCCAGCGAACTGCTAGCACCTCGCTTGCCGTATTCTTGCTTGCATTCATGCTCGGCACGACAAGAGTAGCGTCCCCAGCCCTGACGCTGAGACTGCACCCCAGCGAAGTGGTCCTCGTTGGGAAATCAACATCACTGTTGTAACACCCTAAAAATTCTCCACAGTATACGTACCGGATCCTTCTCGGCTCTGCAAGACACATGCCTGGACCATCCACCGCGAATCCAGAAGGCACCCAAGGACCTGGCAGTGTCGGTTTGATTGCACTGATGATCCCTCACATTCCTCACCACTATGGGACTTTGTGGAAGAGATTAGAAGGCTGGGAGGTTATAAAGCACCGCTAGGATCGCTCACCATCCTACCAAGTTTCTCGAATTTCAATCACCGGCAATGCGCCTCGTCGGAGTACATCTTTAGTCTCCGCATGATATGCAATAGTGCTGATGATGGCGACGCAGCTTGTGGTTGCCGCTATGGCGTGGGCGAAATCCTCAGCAGTCCCGGCGACAACCCCCACCGTCTGATCGTCGACCGCATGAAGGTGGTTTCAATTTCATGCCAACTCATCATGACAAAATAGTAGCATCGCCCTTACCAATTGCAAGCCCCCATCAAAAGCAGGAACCCACAAGTGCTGCAGTCACGGCCACCCGTACCGGCCACGGCGCTGCACATCCGGGCATGGGCTTCACGACCGACGAAACCAGCTTCATGCCATCCAGCAGCAGCACGAACGGCAAGAACGATGAATGGCTGACCCCGGCGCTGGTGTCTTCCAGCCAGGTGCCGTGACGCATGCAGTCTGCTGCGACGACCCGACATACGAGGTGGTCCCATCAGTGACTCTTGGCTTCGACCGCAATGGACTGCACCGAGGCACAGGTTGCATACGCCACATGACCTATCTCGCTGCAGTACTCCACATATACTGCAGGGCCATGAAGCGGCAAGCAATTGAGTTTCAGGCTGAGCAGCAGGCTTACAACATGCAGGGCAGCTGAAAGGCCTGTTCCCACCAACCAAGTCGATGTCAGCTGTTCATGTAACTGTCCTGTAATTCTCGGTCCTCGTCTGCGACTTCCGCCTTAAGATCACTTAACATTTTTGTGAAATGGTGTGGCTTTCAGTGGCGACTTGGCCGGTCTGCCTGTCATCTCATACGCTCGGACGCTTGTTTTGCATCTGACACAGAAACGTGTGGAACGGCACTCCAGCACAAACGCGGTCCGTGGGTGAGTAGCATCGGCCGAGAAGCCAAGACAACCCGTTTGCCTTTTTCCAGACTGTCGCATTCTGGAAGATCCCTTTGTGCAGATCTCATACCTAGGTAGAACCACCACCTCTCGCCCCTCCACTCGACCGGACGTCCGAAGCGGGCATGGGCGGGGCGGCGGCCGGTTCCTGTGGCGCCGGGCCGGGCACGTCATTGGCTCGGCCGGTGCCGTTGTGCATGCCGATCACGGAAACCTACGTACCATAGATAGGTAACCTGCCTGCATCGTGGGAATCGGTGCTCGTCCCATTGTTGCCAATGCTGCTGCACGGCCAACATGGGATGATCGCTTGGCCCCCGGAGATTGCTTCGGCATGTGCGACGCAGTGCAGTCAGCCCTAGTCCATCTGATGGTTTGCTGGCCGGCCCGAAGTTTGAGCGCACACAAACATTAGCGCAGGACACTCAGCTTCATGAACGACGACGACTTCTTGACATGACAAAGTATATGAAGCAGTCCGTCCATGGGCCTCGGTTCAACATCGTCCTGTCTTCACTCGACCACTAGACCACGACAGCACAGACACGAATCACCGGCCCGCTGCTCGACATGGCACCAAATGACAAGGAACTCATCCCCGGCACCGAGGTCATCTTCAGAGATGGCAATCTTTCTACCGACAGCCGTATTGGCGACCTCGTCCTGATCCCACAGCCCAGCGAAAATCTCAATGACCCTCTCGTATGTCTCTGTCCTTCTCTGATGCACTTGGTGTTTCGAACTTGCACCAACACGATCCATCAATAGAATTGGTCTCCAACATGGAAAATCATCGTCATCGTCAACCAGTTCGTCTTCGTCTTCGTCAGCATCATGACGCCGCTCTGCATAGCGCCCATGACCCTCATACTCGAGGCCGAGTTCCATAAGACCCTCCCCGAGGTCAACATGCTCTTTGGCGCCGCTGCCATTACCCTTGGCTACGCAAACTTCATCATTGTGCCGTGCGCCAATGTCGTCGGTCGCAGACCCGTCATCGCGATATGCGGCCTCATCTGCGTCCTTGCCAATGTTTGGCAAGCCTGCGCCACGAGCTATCCCAGTCTCATTGGGGCTCGCGTGATATCGGGAGTTGGTGCAGCCGCGAATGAGAGCATCATGCCCATGGTTGTGGCGGATATGCTGTTTGTGCATCAGCGAGGCCGCAGTACGGCGTTGTACTTGTGAGTGCTTGGTGTAAACCTTCTTCTAGCCCCGGCGAATTATGCTGACATGTACTGGCAGCTGGGCTTACTTTATGGGACTCTTCATCGGACCCATCATTTCTGGCGCCGTTGCATCGCAGATCTCGTGGCGATGGTTTGTGAGTCCTTTCGCCCGCTCAAATTGCTATCCCGCTCCCACCTCGAAAGGCTGACACGATGATCTAGTTCTGGATCTGCACAATTCTTCAAGCTGTAAGTCCTCGCTTCTGCCATTTCTTCCCAAAGGTCCCAATCCTGACACGCACACACCCATCCAGGTCAGCCTTATCTTCATCGTTGTCGCCCATCCGGAGACGAAGTACCAGCGCTACACTCACTCAGCGACTGCTACGGCTGGCGCAACACTCCCGGGCTCTATCAGCGCCAAGGCCCACGAGTCCGGCGAGAGAGTACCCTCGTCGTCCAACAGCTTCAACAACAACAGTGACAACAACAGTGAAAAGACAAGCAATACTGCCAACTTCGCCCACACACACATAACCACCGGCACGCCCTCGCTCAACCAATTCACCCTCAGCCCCAGCCCTTCACACTTTCCCCTCCCGCCCGGCTCGCCTTCCCGCGCGAGCCTCATCTGGCGGGACATCCTCTCGCCCTTGCGTATCCTCTTCCTCTATCCAATCGTGACCTGGGCGTCACTGGCCATGGGCTTCGCCGCAAACTCGCTCCTCGCACTCAACCTCACCCAGGCGCAGGTCTTTGGCGCCCCACACCCGTACGGCTTCACGCCCGACCAGATCGGCTTCGTCAACTTCTCGTTCGTGGTGGGCGCCGCCATCGCGCTCGTCACCGCGGGCCCGCTGTCGGACTATATCGCGCTGCGCTCGGCGCGGAGCAACGGCGGCGTCCTCGAGGCCGAGATGCGCCTGCCCGCGCTGATCCCTTACGTGGTGGTTAACCTGGTCGGCATGGTCATCACCGCGGTGGGCTACCAGCGCAGCTGGCCGTGGCCGGCGATCGTGGTGGTCGGGTACGGCCTGGTGGGCGTGCAGGTCGTGGGCATCCCCACGATTGCGATTGCGTACGCGGTGGATTGCTACAAGGCGCTGCCGGGCGAGGTCATGATTGCTGCGACGGTGGTCAAGAACACTTTCGGGGTAAGTTTGTCCCTCTTTTTCTTAGGATTTCTTTTTTTTCACTTGTTTTCTTTTCTCTGTGTTTGTCCCATGGTGCATACATTCTTTGTGTGTTTGCGAGAGTGAATCTGCTGACATGTGTGAAATTGTGATTCTTCAGTTCGGCATGATCTTCTTCTATAACGACTGGGCTGCGCGCAGCGGCTACATTGCCCCAGTCCTCCTGCTCATGGCGCTCACGGTGGGGTTCTCGGTCCTCGGGCTCGCCGTGTTCATTCCTTTTGGGAAGCAATTCCGCCGCTGGACAAAGGACTCAAAGCTGCATGCCTTGTGAAGCGAGGATGGTAGTGGTACTAGCGCTTTTCCCGGCAGTTAGCAAACACCCCGCCAGGTATCGCTTTCGCTAGTCTAGATGTAATCTTGGGCATCGCTATGTGATACAAGCCTGTTATGTAACAAGATGACTGAGCACCCAGCTCTCACAATAATCTACTGCACTTTCTTTCTACGCCGGGTCGTCCAGATTCCTAACAGCAGAGAGAGCATCACCCTAGATCAGAGCAATACAAGCCCACGTCTCCAGCCACAAGGTCTTGCAGTCCGATCCCACGGCCGGGTTCCACTTGACAAAGTTGGCGACAGATATGTTGGCGGCCTTTGCAATCGAGGCGCACGTGTCCCCGTTGACGACCCAGTGGAACGTCTTGCAGGTGCCCACCATCCCCGCCTGCACCGGGGTAGGGGTGGTCACCCCGTTGCCCTTGGTAGTCGTTGTCATTTTGCTCGTAGTCGTCGTCGGGGACGGCGTGACGCCAATGGCCTTCACGCAGACGTAGTAGCCGAGCCAGATGTTGCAGGATGAACCCGCACCCTTGTTCCAGGCGAGGAACTGGGCCGTGCTGATCCCGTACTTGCTCGTCAGGGCCGCGCAGGTGTCCCCGCTGGCGACGTATGATCTTCACGGTATGCACACTTCGCCCGTTGCTGGTCACATATCCAACTGCTCACGCCATCAGGAATGAAATAGGACAATGGGATACAGGAAACGAGTGGGCATCGCAAGGATGTGACACTGGTAATTGCCTGCGAAGCCATGGTATGAAAGTGCTGCTTCATTCACAAAACGACGATAGATGACGGTTGCTAAAAAGACATTCCTTCAATTGTAGTCAACATAACCGAGGTCAAGAACTCGTTGTCAATGAGTAAGTCCCACCGTTCTGCCAACCAGGTCCTCCTCCGCGAGATGCAAACACGACTCAAGGATGCTAACGAATCATCACCTGCAGTCACCAAAGCAGGTGTACCGAGTAGCAAGATCTATGTGGGAGAGTCTAGCTACGGCCGCTCATTCAAGATGGCTGATCCCTCTTGCACAGGCCCTACGTGCAAGTTCCTCGGCTCCAAGAACGATTCCCCGGCCATCAAGGGGGAGTGCACCGGTACGGGCGGCTACATTTCCAACGCAGAATTGCACAACATCATTCAAGACGGTGGCAGTGATGTCGAGTCCTGGTATGACAAGGACTCGGACTCGTACATTGTCACTTACGGTGGTGAGTCGCCCTGTCCATCCTGCGGGCAACGATCGTTCGACATGGACTAACACAGCCGCACCAGGCACCGATTGGGTCGCATTCATGACTGAGATCACGAAAGAACGGCGGCGAGGGGAGTGGAAGGGGTACAACTTTGCCGGGACCATTGACTGGGCGGTCGACCTGCAAGCATATACTGATGCTGACGCGACCGGTTTCAACGATCCGGGCTGGGAGGAGGTCCCGGACGCCAACTTCCCAGACTGCACGTCATCATATACGAAGCTCGAGGACATTCCTCGCGACACTGACAACTACTGCAATGACTTTTATATTGTGCAGATCCTCCGCGACGCCCTGAAGGCGTCCATTAAGCAGTACGACACGCTCATGGCCGACGGCTACGACAAAAAGTTCAACACGTACTCGGACGCGGTGGCCAAGAGCGGCAACAAGGTCATTGAGAACTTCATGTACACCAAAGGCGACGACTACTTCAGCTGCGTTATCGTCGAGGAGTCCATGTGCCGCCCGTTCTGCGAGTACAGTACGCCGACCTCGACGACATGGAGCGCATATGCAAGCACGCCTACAGCGACTGCGACTGGGACAGCGACTGCATCAACCCGGAGCTCGGCAACATGTGCGACGTCGAGACCCGCTACGTCGAGGTCCCAGGCCACTGCCCGCCCGACTTCTCCGACCGCACCGAGGACGCACCCGACTACGACGCCGGCCACTACGCGTCGGCCACCGTGCACTGGAAGCTCAAGGACGACAAAAGCGACCAGTTCTACGCAGACCTCTACACCGACACGGGCATCGCCAAGGAGAACATCAAGTGGCAGATTGTGGCGCATAAGGAGTGCGTCCCCGCCGAGACAGCCGACCAGTGCGGGAGCCACGATCGGGACTACAACTTCCCGGTCGCGGACGGGTACGACAAGGACGACGTGCTGAACCCCAAGGACGTGGTCCAGGACGCGCGCAAGGACCTCGAGGGCCTCGCGCCCAGCATGGACACGGTCATCGACATGATCAAGAACAAGACGTACACGGGCGACACGCGGGACCTCGTCGACGCCCTGACGCTGCCCGTCACCATGGTCGAGGACGCCGTCGACAACATGCAGCAGATCGACGACATTGTCGACAAGTGGGACGCCGAGAAGCGCAAGAACATCATCCTCGCGTTCCTCTCGGCCGTCTTCTTCCTGGTCCCCGTCGTCGGGCAGGTTGCCGGCGCCATCGGGACACTGGCCAACGTCGCACGCATCGCCATCATTGCAGGCACGGTGGGAAACGTCGCGCTGGGGATTTATGATGCCGTGGACAACCCCGAGAACGCGCCGCTGGTCATCTTTGGCATCATCCTCGAGCCGCTCGCGCTTATGGACCTCGCAAAGCTGTCCAAGGCTGCCCGGGCCCGCAGGGCCATGTCTGCCGACGAGGTCAAGGCGCTCGGGGCCAAGCCCGGCGGGAAGGTGGAGGAGATTGAGGACCTCATCGGCCTCAAATGCGATAAGCCCAAGAAGAGAGACTTTCCCTTTGGAAGCCTACCCATGTCCAGCCTGCGCGGAGTACAGTATGATGTCCCTATCGACGGGTTGTGGTAAAGCTAGGCATGGCGGCAGGCGTGTCGGTGCTTTCTATCGACGAGACTAAGGACAGCTGCTTCGTTTTATGAAATGGGGGAGACTCGACATCTCGTACAGTGTACAGTACCGATTCGTAAGTGTTCAACTTCGAGGCAATTCATGCAGTCATGGTCGGCAGCTTGCTTTCTGTTGCAAATGCTTTTCCTTCACACAGAGTGCGCTTACGTGAAATGGTCAGTGCATGTTCGTGATCGCAAACGTCAGTGGAGGAGGAAGAAGGTCGCAGGTCAAGTTTTCGTTCCAAAGCCGAGCAAATTTCTTTGCATTCATTGCGCGTGGAACTCCAATGGAGCGTTGAGACGCATCGCTATTCGAAGAGCTTCCGCGCTGGTCTCTGTGGCACCTTGTGTGACACCACAAGTATGCAGAATTCAGCCGACATGGTTAGACAAACTGTGATGGGAGAACGGATAACTCAGCAAGAAATATTAGCTTCAGCGCACCGTTGCTGAAAGTCAACAGTGTCGATTACGGGCAGTCGAGACGTTCTCGTCATGTCGGGCATTATTATGACCACAGCGCTGCAAAAGGGGACGGAGGGGGCTTTATTTGCTTGGCGAGTTTGTCGGGATGATGTTATCCGCCACAAGCTTATTTGGTAGACTCTTTCCCTTTTCAGCATGCTAATCAGCGCCACACAATCACCAGCGCGCGAGGTCAGCGCCTATTTGGGTCAGAGGGTAGCATGTGAAAAGCTACCCACGACGCCGGATAAACCATGTTTGGCAGATGCAACAAAACGTTTTCCAGTACGGCTGAGGTGGTCCCTGAAGTCAGCTTTTGGCAAACCCCCGGCGGACATGGGGTTAGCTCGGATGCACCCGAAATTAGGTGGGCTTGCATGGGGCGCGGGTTGTTCGGCAATGATCGCCCTCTCTCCCTCGTGCTTCTGCAGCGAATGCTTGTGGTTGGCCCCCCTGGACGACGGTGAGGGGGGACGGGGGTCAAGGGGCGCCGTTCGACGACTCGGCCGAATATGCAATATGTTTGCTTTTTCTGTTTTCTCCAACGTGCAGCCCTACGGCCCTATGGTTGATGGGATGGAAAGCGAGTTGTGTTGCACCCCCGCTCTATCGGCGCTGAACTGTGTAAATGCGGGCAGCCGAAAAGTGCTGCAAAACAGACCCCTCAGCAGGTGGCGTGCTCATGCTGTATTATAGAAAAGGACCCTGAGCGTTAAGTGATTGTGAGGTTGCAGCCAGCCTGAAACCCCGGTCGTGTGTGGAGGATGAACGGTAGACCAGGCTGCTCCTCTCTCCCCACGGAACCGTGGGGGAGCGAAACGTACCCACCCACCACGCTGAGCCTCGCTCGCTCGCGCGATGAGATGGCCTGCTTTGGGATTATCTACAAGGGCTAAAATGTTGATGGTTTCTTCGACGGCGCCCCGGGGGGAACTAGCATACCATTGACGGTGGGGATCGCGGAATTTTTTGGGTTTTGTTTTGTTTTGTCGTGCATTGCTTCCCCTTCTTGCGGACCTCTTAGTGGTAAATTTGTTGTACCCCCCACCTTTATGTGCGTCCTGCATCTGAACCGGGATGTGTTCAGGTCCATCGCGAGACGATACCAGATCTGAGTCGTGTTCTGGGCAATGATAATCAGATATCGAGAATCAAGGTCATCGACCACCTAGTGTTTGAAAACCGGGTAGCCGGTTCCCGGCTAAATCCTTTGATCGATGCTATCGCAATACCATCGCAACGGGGAGCAGGGAGAGCGGTCCGAGGACGTTTATCGCACCGGGGCGTAAAGGAGAGTTGTCCTCATCAGGTTTTGACTCTGAACGGATTAAAAGCTAGATTGGGAGCTGACAATCTGGCTATGACAGAAGAGTCGTTGACTCGAGCCAGCTAGGTAAAGGTTGATCTGAGACATCGTTGTATGCCTTGCCGCCATCTCGGGCCTAGAATGCCAGGCAGCTTCAAGGTTGAGCCGGAAGCTTGGCACTTACAGGTTGTAAGTGTGTGCAGGAGGGTTGACGCGGTGACCATCGGCACAGAGAGCTTCACGTCCCGAAAGGCGAATAGGCTCCTGTTGCGCGGTGCCGATAACTCTATTTGGGTCGTGACGAACGATGTATACGTGGAAAAGAGGCTGTACATCGCAGCCCGCACTAGCTGGCAGCATTGACATGCCACGATCTTACTGACCACGAGGACCTGCTCCCAGCTGAGAGATGACGATCCGTCACATGGGATAGATAAGCCGGGCCGCGTCTGGTCGCAAAACCTCAAGTATGACGTGAACACGACGACGCGCCCAGCCGGGGATTTCGTCAACGACCAGAATGGCTAGGACACATTGAGACGGGGTGGCTTTTGAGGCTCGAGCCTCGGAGCTATTTTGATTGATTACCTGCATGATGAATTAAAGTCTGACGTGTGCAAGGCGGGCGGGCTTTGACCTGCGCTTGGGCGGACACGACCACGAGGAGGGCGGGGCCGATGCAGGAGGAAGCATCTAGCGACAGCACTACTGCAACTATTGCGCTAGCGCCCGACACCAGACGATCTGATGTTCTGGCGCCAGCCCAAACCAAGCGTTTTCGTCCGTTCCGCTGGGCCCCCAGAAATTTCCGGGGCCTCGGATCGGAATGGGTCCAGGCTAGGGCAGACAGACCAAATTTGCCGTCGTCGGCAGAGGTGAGCCGCGTTCGCAATAGCCACAGTAGCCAGCTGGTAGAGCGGCGGGCCAGGCATGACCCAAGTCCCCACTGGGAATGCGACTTTGAGACGCAGAGCACACATCTGGACCGCCACCAGTATGAGCATTGTTTTGGGCGGCGCAGGAGATGAGCATGGGGGAGGGGACAGGATCCGCGTGCTTGTAGGGAGCATGGCCCCGCAGCTTGCAGTCCAGACTGTGAGAGACTGGGATGAGACGAGCGTCAAGAAAAGGCAAAAGAGTGTCTTGCATGTCTGAGGACTGGGAGGGCTGGCCTGTGATGAACCCTTGGCGGGGCTTGAGGCCCAGGGATGGTGCATGCTGGACCAGGGCCGCAGGGTCAGAAATGGTCTTACCCCCATGGCCTGGCTCTTGGCAGGGTGTGTGACCTGTGACGCTCGGTCCTGTCCGTGCGGTGAGCTTGTTGCTCTCTGTGGGCGGGAGGGTCAGACTTTGTTTCGAGGCCAGGACCTGACTCGGGACCACGCCAGCGGGCCCAACTCTGCCGGTAGCGCGGTGTTAGGGCCGTCCGAAGTGACAGTAGCAGCGGCGGCAGCAGTAGCAGCAGGGCAGTCCAGCCGAGGCGAGGTGGGGGGTGCAAGATGAGGTAAGAGGATGCGGAATACGTCGATGTGTTTAGTGCAATGTGAGGCGGATGGGTAATACTCCGTCCGTCGTAGTCGTCGATGGTTGCTGCTGGATGGGCCGCCCCGGCTCCGCACACGTGGGCGGCAGGCCTGCGCAGTTCGTCATGCCCCTAGTCGGACGATCACCCACCCACCCTTGTATATTGGGGGGCTCAGGCCCGGCCCTCTCGTGCTTGTTGACTGAGTGGTCCTAGTCCTACCTCTGATCCGCCGCCAGCTCGAGCGTCCCTGGCCGATCCTCCTGCGTCTTGTGCCTGCCGGCCGAGTTTCCGTCAAAAAGACGCCAAGCCCATGTCTTTCCCTTCTTGACTCTTGCCATCTCCAATCGCCTCATCGTCCAGCCTCTGCGAAGTTGGGCGGCTTCGCACCAAGACTTCACGATGCGCCTCGTCTCGGCCCTGGCGCTGGCCCTCGTCGGCCTCGCCACGCCTGCTCTGGCTGCCATCAACATCCCTACATGTGGTGTGAGTTTGTCTGGTTTCGTCCCGGCTGCCGGTCGGCTACAGACAGACGGACGTGCAGAAAAGCTAACCTTTGCCACAACCCACAGATCACTTGCTTGTTCGGCGACACCATCACCAAGTCCGAGTGTCACTCCTTCGCCAACACCACATGTCTGTGCACCAACCAGCAGGTCATTGCCGAGCTCGGCGCTTGTGTCCTTGAAAAGTGCTCCGTCCGCGACGCTCTGTGTACGTCTGCTGCAACCTGATGAGACCCAAGGTTCATCGTCGTGCGCTGGGCTCGTTTCCCACAAAGCTAACCTGGCCGTTCGCGGATGGTAGCCATGCAAAAGTTTTCAGACGAAACCTGCGGCAAGGTCATGGTCGACAAGTCGGGCCCCGCGCGTATCGTCCCTCCAATCTTTGGCGCCCTCGCCGTCCTTCTCTTTGTTATTCGCATTGTGGCACGCTTCACTTCGGGCAAGCGAAGCTGGGGCGCTGACGACTGGGCCATTGTGCCGGCGGTGGTGGCCATGATCGCCCTCGTGGTGCTCTGCGGATTTCTCGCCAACGACGGACTCGGCATCGACATGTGGTACCTCGACCCCGACCGGATCACCTACCTGCTTCGCACTTTCTTCTGGGGCGAGGTCCTCTACGTCTTCATCATCCCCGTCACCAAGATCTCGGTCCTCATCTTCTACCTCCAGATCTTCCCAGAGCGGTTCTACAGGCGGGCGACCATGACCCTGATTGTCCTCAACGCCTGCTACCTCGTCGCCTTTCTCCTGACGACGGTGCTCCAGTGCACTCCAGTCGAGGTAGGATGATCCAGCTGGATTTTTGCCATGTTTTGAAAAGACAATGACTGACTTGGCGTGCAGGGCGCGTGGCTGACCTGGGACGGGACGTATCACGCTGAATGCCGCAGCCTCAACAAGCAGGTCTGGGCGGCGGCGTTGACGGGAATCATCCTGGATGTGGCGATGCTGGTCCTGCCCATGCCGGCGCTCTGGAAGCTCAAGATGTCGATCCGCAAGAAGCTGCAGGTCATGTTCATGTTCAGCCTGGGTATCTTGTGAGTGCTCCCGGAAGCAGCGGGCAGTGCCTGATCCGAACCCTGCTTTATTTTCCTTTTTTGCTGACGAGACATGCGCGCCTCCTAGTGTCACCATTGTCTCTGCGGTCCGGCTGCAGTACATTGTTGCCTTTGCCACGACGCGCAACCCTACTCGTACGTCTGCTCCCCAAGCCCCCAAACTTTTGTGACGATGCATGCGCGCGTAATCGATTTGGATTCTTTTCTGACCGGGGCCTTGAGATGGAAACAGAGGACTTTGTACCCGTCGGCATCTGGAGTGTGGTCGAGGTGTCTGTGAGCATCATCTGCGCCTGCCTGCCGGCGCTGCGGTCACTGCTTGCCCTGGCGATGCCCAAGTCGTTTGGCACGACGCACAAGTCTGGCAAGACGAGCGAGTACACGAGCGGCATGCGGTCGAACGCGCAGTCGAATGTGCAGTCGAGCCGGATCCGGGTCAAGTCCGAGTTCACGGTGCAGTCGCGACGGCCCGAGGACGAGGACTCGTCGATTGAGCTGATCCTGCAGCGGCCACAGTCGGACCTGCGCATGGCGGGCGAGGCGCAGGCCGCCGACACGCAGGGCAGGCTGGAGCGGGACATTGAGAATGCCGTGTCGGCGGCATCGGCGTACGGGCACGGACAGCGAAGTGGTGGTGGTGGTGATGATCGACGCGGGTCGGCCTACTCTTGATTCTGGCATGAACCAGGCATCCAATCCAGGCATCACCAGCCACCCTGGCATCTGTGGGGAAGTGGGGCCGTCTCCAACCAGGCGGGGCTTCCCATAAAGCAGCCACCTCGGCTCGGGCAGACTCAGGCACCTGGGCACCTCCCAGGGTTCCATGAGAACTGCGTGCTCGTCGGCTTCTTGTCCATGGCTGCGCAGTCCTCCAAGATAGGATTGCCAAATCATGCACATCCTGCCCTCCGAGTGCTGCTCGCCACTGGTACACTTGATACCCTGCATTCGATCCTCGTCGTCTGCCGCTCGAGAAACGGTCCTTGACACGACCTGCCGCTCCCACTCATAAAGCAGCATCCCACCCGCAGGCCCATGCGAAGGCCACAGCTGCAATGAGCGTCGTCACTATCACACCGACCCAATTCCACTCTCTGAGAGACAAGGTTGTCCTGGTGACGGGGGGCTCTTCTGGCATTGGCCTTGCCACAGTCCAGCTGCTCCTTTCCGTCGGGGCAAAGGTGGTCAATGTCGACCAGAACGAGGAACGCGACACCAAGGGCAGAGATGCCACTCTCTACCAGTTCGTCAGGGCAGACGTGACCTCGTGGGTGGAGCTGCGGGGAGCCTTTGAACACACCATCAACACCTTCGGAGTCGTCGACCACGTCTTTGCCAATGCTGGTATGTCCCATCATGGACGAGCCCTGGTGTCGTGTTTGTTTTCAACGAACATCCCACTGACTGCCCCACCATAAAAAGGCATACAAGGTAGAGCGACTGCCCTGGAACACGTTTTGGATGCAAACGGCCTTCTCGCTGAGCCAGATCTGAGCTGTCTTCAGGTCAACCTCGTTGGGGTCGTGTACACTGTCAAGCTGGCCCTGTACTATATGAGCCGCAAATCCGTGGCCAACAGCGGCCGCCCAGGTCCTGGCAGTATCGTGCTTACAGCATCGGCATCCTCCTTTCAGACCTTCTCCGCGGGTGACTACACGGTCGCGAAACACGGTGTCCTGGGTATCATGAGGTCGCTCCTCACGCACCTCGCGAACGACGCAGGACCGGACGGTCAGCTCGTGCCTCTGCGCATCAACTGCATCGCGCCGTCCTGGACAGCGACCGGCGTGGTGCCGAGCTTCCTGCTTGAAAAGGCTGGAGTTCCGTATCAGAGCCCGGACGTCGTGGCCCAGTCTGCGTTACTGCTCATGGCAGATGACACAAAGCACGGCCACGTTTTGTACTCCCGTCGCGGGAAGTACTTGGAAATGGAGCAGAGCTTTACGGATCACACGCGACAGACACTACATATCCTTCACGGACAGCAAGGAATGCAAGGCACCGAGGAGGATGAGATGTGGGCCATCATGAAGGCTGGTCGGCAGCTTCAGGCCGAGGCGGCGGCGGCGGCAAGGGCGGGCTCAGCCAGCCAGGCCGAGCAGTGATGTGCCGATTGTCAGAGTTGACGCACAACGACCATGATATGGCATCCTGTCGCTGTCCACTGGATATGTGCGCCGTGGAGCCGCAAATGGACCATATGAGGGCACATATTGAAGTATCTGGCCAAACAATTGGTGCTTCCTGAGAGCACATAAAAGGCGCCTCCGGAGCGCATCTTACACCATTCATTATTCTTCTTTTGTACGCACGCAACTATATCAGTAGCTACTGTATAAGTAGCTCGCTATATCCTCAAGTCAGAGCTCTGCGAGCATTTCTTTTCCTTCAAACCTTTGCAATACGGGAGTTACGAATTACTGCATAAACGAGCAACGTGACTTTGTCTCTGTGGAACGAAGGTGATCCTGCTCCGTCCCCGTCCTGAAGTCTAATTGGACCGTCAAACATTGGCAAGGAATACTACGGCTCGGCATGGCCTTCCTGGGCCGGGGCCAATCGAGCTGGCCTAGCTGACCCGAGGTGGCTTCGAATTCGGCATACATGGTATCAACTTCGGGCTATCATCATGAAGCCACAGGAACAGGACAAGCCTTCGTCCTTCTTCGTTTCATTCGTGGACAACGTCAGACTCAGGGCTCCGTTCCGCCCGCGACTGTGCCATAGATGTTGCCGAGATGCGCCGAGCGTGATTGAGTATTATTCAGTGATATGGTCCGAAGCGATTGACGTCAGCGTGCTACAGCCTCTTCTGATTTGCCCTGGAGTGGAGCCGATTCCACCACACAGAGAAAGAGAACGGGAAGTATTGATATGCCAAGCAACTCGTGTTGTCGCATTGCTCGTTTACTGACATCATACGGTTGGCTTGGCTACAAAGAGCACGGGATGTTGCTGGGCCAAGCCAATCACGGGCCGTGGGGGACCGCTGAACGTCATTCGGGCCGTGACAAGGTACACTAGTTTGTGTGGATGCAACCTTCCAGCCGACTACACGTAGCATTGAAGGCAAGCGAATTTGGAGGTTCATCACCTTGTGAATCACATTATAATCAGATGTTGACAGCGTTGGGCACGAATAGGAGACTTTTCCATTTATATGCAGCGACCAGGTTGTAGTTGTATTGAAACTACACGTCTACCAGGCAAGTAGGCTTTTGTGCTCATTTCTCCCCATTCCTAGAGATTTCTAGAGCCGCCAGTTCTACAGGCACACTTACCTTGCGCAAGTTCGCATTCTGCCTATCGAAAACGTAGCATCATAATGCATCGGAGTGTAGCGCAGCACATTCTCCTTACCGTGGCAGCGCTAACACCAGGTCTACGGGCACAGGAGCCGGAATGGCAGAACGTCAGCAGCACCTACAACTATACCGACTTCAACGCCAACCCTGATGCGTACGGCATTGTTACCATACCAGGATTTCGCCTCTCCACGCCATACCCGGGGCTCGCGGACGGCGGCCCGCGCACGACATTATGGGAGCTCGAGACGCGCGTGAAGGAGTACATGCCCAACGACGACACACCAGTCTCGTACACACAGATTTCCGCACAGATCCGCCCACCACCTCCAAACCAGCCCGGATCCGTCATGGACCTGGAGACCGGGAACTGGACCGTCCCCGACGACATCGCGGACACGTGGCAGGTGACGGTCATCACTTTCCCCCCGGCCTTCCGCGTGGTCGTGCCTAACGCCAATGACGACTGGAAAGGGTCCTGCCCCCTAAGCGTGATGAGCGAGCAGTGCGTCTCGGAGCTGCGCGAGAACATCCTCTCGAACCCACAGGTGCTGGCAGGGAACGCCCTGGTGGATGACATCATGCCGACGAGTGGCAGCTGCTGTCACATTTGCAGGACGCAGATGCATGTCACGCATGGAGCTTATGAGGACCAAAGTAAGGCTAGACATTTTCTTCGTCGCGCAAGCCAAATCGACAGTTGTTTGGTAGCTCTGATTACTTTTTCGGGATGTCTTTCTTTTGCTAACTTCTTTTATTCTGCGCCTTTCTCTCTGAACCAGGCGTCGCCATGAACAACGACTTCAACAAGTCAACCATTTTCGTTCACAACCACTTCTATCCTAATAGCTCAACCGGTTCTTCCAGTGGCAACGGTGGTGGCACCCCTTCCAGTGGTCCGAGTAGTTCCAGGACGGAGCTAACGCCGTATGACTACATCGGCACAAAGACGGTCCCCTATATCGTTATTTGGGGTTACAGCAACTCCACGGAGTATGTGGGGCAAAGGCTGAACGATGACCATGTCACGATCGGGTGTGTAAAGGCCGATACTGCGGCCCCGGGCAAGTCACTGCCTTCTATACCGGCCGAACCGTCTGGGAGCACGCGAACTGGCCGAGACGTGGCAGGAATGCTCGCGGTGACGGGTTTTGCCATCTTGATATCACTGTTATGAAGTGTTTGAGCACGTGGTCGCAGACAGTTTCATGAGAATTTGGTGGGACTACCTGATTGATTTGGGGGATGAAAGACCATGTTTACTGTTGCTAGTAGCTCGGCACGTCGAGAATATAATTGAAGATACCTGTACATGTGGCTGTCATTGCGCACATCTCCATGCCATCCTCAACCAATTTCACGCCGGCAGCGTCCCCTGGACATTCCAATACACGACATAATTGAACCCCTGCGCATCAAAGAACGGTCCAAGGTCCACCTTCTTCCCATCCGACGTGGTGCCAGTGAACGCCAGAGCCCCCGCACCACTCTTGGGAGCCACGCTGCCCAGCGGGAGCGTCGGGGCCGCCGACAGCGCGGTGTTGCCGTAGTTGCCGGACAGCACGACGGGCCCGTACGCCACCGCAGCGAGGGACGGGTTGTCGTTGGCCGGGATGAGGCGCAGCTTCATGGGCAGGGTGATGGTCACCGTGTCGCCGGTCTTCCAGGCACGGCTGGGGATGGTGGCGTACGTGCCTGGGGTGAGCGAGACGGAAACGGCCTGGCCATTGATGGCGATTTTGGGGCTCTTGGTCCAGCCCGGGATGCGGACTTTGAGCTGGAACTGGGCCGAGCCGGTGATTGTGAGGGTAGTGGTGTCTAAGGGCGGAAAACGAAATGTCAGCGCTGAGGCATACGATGATGGCTTTGAGGCTTTTCCTCGTCTATGAGAACAGACACCATATGTGTGTCGGGGTCGCCAACAACAAGACAAGGGAAGTCACGCACCGCTTTGAGGATAAGTAGTGGTTTGAGAGACCATCACGTTGCGTTGCTTCCAGTTCAGCTTCGAGGGGATGAAGAGGTTGACGTAGAGGGACGAGGCATCGTAGCCATAGATCGAGTCCATGTACTTTGTGTTTGTCTAGGTGAACGCATGTTAGCTACTTGAGGAACACCTTCTTGAACTGGGACTGGGTTACTAACCTCGATGCCAGTGCCTTGGCAGCACCAGAAAGAATTGTCTAGAAAAACACAGATCTCAGTACGGGGCTCGTCAAGACGTTGGTCGCATACCAGAATACATCAACTCACAGTCAGTAGACCAGGTGCCGCCTCCCCAGGCGGGGCCAACACCACGACGGCCACCAGGGTTCAAGGGCGTAAAGTACGTGACATGGCCATGCGCCGAGGACGGATCCTGCTGGCCGAGCAGGTGGTTAAGCGCAGCACGCTCATGGTAGTCGAAGTAGGACGCGGCAGGATCAATGGTCCACAGCTCCCGTGTGAGCTTGAGCATGTTGTACGAGTTGCACGCCTCGCACGTGTCTTGGTTCAGGTACCCCGCGATGGCATTCGGGGGGCGGAAGTGCTCGGCCTGGCTGTTGCCTCCAATAGCGTACGTGTGGGCGCCGACGGTGAAGTTCCACGCATTGCGCGCAATGTCGAGATACTTCGTGTTGCCGGTCTGCTTATACTCGCGGGCCGCACCAATCCATTTTGGCACCTGGGTGTTGGCGTGCAGGCCGTTGAGTTTGTCCTGCTTCAGGGCCAACGGGTCAAATACAGCAGCGTGGTCGAAGCGCTGGGCGGCTGCCAGGTAGCGGGAATCACCAGTCCAGTAGTAGATCTCAGCGAGGACATCGTTCATCCCTCCGAATTCGGTGCCCATCATTGCTGTGCGGCGGGTCAGTATGACGTGCAGGAGCCAAGGGCCTGAGTGAGGACTTGAAGGACTGACCCTGCATCTTTGCGTACGACAGCTTGCTTGTGCGGACATCCACCCAGTTCGCCATGTTGAGCAACACAGTCTTGGACTTCGCATCTCCTGTGTGCCGCCACACATCCAAGAGTCCTGCCAGGGTTTTGTGGAGGGCATAGTAAGGGACGTTGCCACTGGTCAGGGTCCGATCCTCGACGGCGGTGATCTCAGATTCAGGAAATCCAGACAGGTAGCCTGCAGAAAACCCCGCGGCGGCATTGTTGCCTTGACACTTGGCGAGCTCTGCCACGAAGTAGTTCGCACGATCACGGCAGGTCGTGTCCTGAAGCGTGGCCCAGCACTGAGCCCATGCCGTCAGGAAGTGCCCCTGCATGTGCGAGCGGAACGGGAAATTTGGGGCATCCCAGCCGCCGTTGGTAGCTGCGCTGTTGGTGCTGAGCTTGTGGTTGGCACGGAAGTTGTAGAGGAGGCGCTCCACATCGACGTTCTTGAGGTAGGAGAGGGTGCGGCCCTGGTTGCCGAGCCAACGACTGCTGTCGGTCAGAGTAACCTGGCTGAGGTCAAAGAGATAGGCAGTCACACCAATCTCGGAGCGGACGGGCGGAACAGCCTGAGCGTCTGCCAGAGGCATGACGAGCCCTGAGGCAGCCATCAGGGCTAGACCGAGCAACTTTGTTAGTCCCGCCATTCTGAGGATGCGAAAGAATATGGTGGTCTTGTCCGATGCGTTGTCGACATCGCACGAACTTGTGCCGCCGCAGGCAAGTCTTTTATACCCGAAACCACGAGGAAACGATTCGTGGACTTACTTGCGGAGGGGTATGCCTTGGACGAATATAGAAGGTTCACTGTCTAGGCTTCGAGCAATGTAGCGTTGCATCCGGCATTGACGAGCACGTTCTGTATGCAAGCAACACGAGACTGAACTGCCGGCGTATGGAGGCGGATGCCCAAGGTCGCAATTTTCAACTTTCCCCAAAGGGCGGCAGGATCTGCGTGTGAGCCTGTGCCGCTTCGCAAGCTTGGCAGCATGCGGTCTGCGGAAGGTGGAGGCCGGAGGCCACAGCCGAAGCGCTCCAATCGCGGCCCGTCGTCGTGGGCTGCCGTCAGTAACATTGGGCGGATATAGATGATGTGCGGACAGGGATTCCCCGTAGTCTTGGTCTTTAGCCGAGTCCATTACTCCGGGGGATCGACGGGCGGGTGACTCTGAGCAACATCTCGAGTGGACCAGCCCGAGGGTAAAGGGGTTAACAGGGACCCGAATGTGACTCTGGACAATGGTTAATCATGGTCCTGGCTTTGAGGAGCTCCAATCCATGCATGACCCACTCACCCAGGCTCATATACTTTTGCAGGGACGTGACTCGTGGATCAGCCACTCTGCGGCCAGCCGAATGCTCACAGGAGGAACAATATCAAAGAATTCTGATCGTCTGATCTTCTTGTGGAAGCTCTGTTTCCGAGCCGTGTCAGAGTGTGCCTAGAGATGTCAAGTATTCGCGGGATTATGGGACTGCCTACATAATGGATGGCTAGTCCCAACCGAACTAAATATCATCCGCAGCCAATCGCGTCAGCATTTGTTCAAGCTGTACCCACTCCGTGATCAAGCGTACCTGAACAACCCTGAGCTTGGCGTATTCCGTCTTGCGCCTTCAGTGATCGTGACCGCGGTCGGGATTGACGAAGGTCTATACATACTAGATAGAGCAGTTCACTCGCTACTACAGTCGTATCAACAGCAAGAGTCGACCCTCTCTATTGGATGTCCTTTACCGGCCTGCGACTATTTGCCTCTAACCTTGTACAATCGAGTGCGCAAACCCTAATTATAAGCCAGGCATACTCCTCAGGGACGCCAAATCAGAAACATGCACGTACTGACAAGTGTCACAAACCCGGTGGGAGGATCTCCACAACATGGTGGTCATTCTAAAATTATGTTACGGGACATATGTACGAGCGTGGGCAAAGCTACATATTGGAAATCTTGACTTCTCGCGTCTCCCGCTCCTCCAGTCCTGGCCATTTATTTCTTGCTAGCAGCGGCCTTGCGCAGGTCCGCCCTGTCCAGATCCATGACCTTGGCCCAAGCAGCCACAAAGTCCCGCGCGAACTTCTCCTTGGCATCGCTCGAAGCGTACACCTCGCAGATGGCCCGCAACTCGGCGTGAGACCCAAAGACAAGATCGGAGCGGGTGGCGGTCCACTTGGTGGCGTTGCTCTTGCGGTCCACGCCGATCCACTTCTCTTGCGCACTGTCGCCACCCTCGCTCTGCCAGGCCGTGGACATGTCCAAGATGTTGACAAAATAGTCGTTGGTCAGCTTGCCTGGTGTGGCGGTGAGCACGCCTGTCGTGGAGCCGTCAAAAGTGGCGCCCAGAGCGCGCATACCTCCCACGAGGACGGTGAGCTCTGGCGGGGTGAGCGTCAGTTGGTTGGCCATGTCGACCAAGAACTCTTCCGTGCGCGCGCGAGCAGTGCCGTGGCCGTAGTTGCGGAAGCCGTCAACTTGCGGTTCTAGGAAGGCAAACGTGGAAACGTCGGTCGAGTCCTGCGAGGCATCGACACGACCCGGGTGGAATGGGACCGAGATGGCGAAGCCAAGGTCGGCATCCGTGATAGACTTTTCGATGGCCGCGGCGCCTCCCAGCACGATCAGGTCAGCCAGCGAGACGTTGACACCACAGTCGGCCTGGATCTTCTTGAGGGAGGAGAGCACCTGGGCGAGCTGCTTGGGGTTGTTGGAGGCCCAGTTGACCTGAGGTTCGAGGGCGATGCGAGCGCCGTTGGCACCACCACGGCGGTCAGAGTGGCGGTAGGTGGATGCAGAGCCCCAGGCGGTAGCGACGAGCTTAGAAACATCCAGATCGGGTGCCCCAAGAATAGCGGCCTTGAGCTTGGCCACATCGGCCTCGCTGATGGTGTCCTTGGGCGCCGCGGGGAGAGGGTCTTGCCAGATGAAGGTCTCAGTTGGAGCATCAGGACCCAGGTAGTTCATGTTGTTACCCAAGTCGCGGTGGGTCAGCTTGAACCAGGCCTGGCGGAAGGCCTCGGCGAGCTGCTCTGGATTCTCTTGGAAGTTCTGGGCAATGGGTCGGTAAATGTCATCGTGGAGCAGCGCCAGATCTGACGTCAGCATAGTGGCGTGACGGAACTTGGTCTTGTCAAAGGGATCCGGGTAGTCGAGGGTGCCATTGACCGCCTCCCATTGCTTGGCGCCGGCCGGGCTAGTCACCAGCGTCCAGTTGTTCTTGAACAGCGAAGTCAGGAAGTCGTTACTCCACTTGGTGGGCGTCTTTGTCCAAATGACCTCGAGCCCACTGGTCGTGGCCAGGTCAGCGTTGCCACTGCCGACACTGTTGTGCCAGCCCAGGCCCATTTCTCCGAGAGAGGCGCCCTCAGGGGCAGGGCCGATGTTGCTGGACGCGACAGCGCCGTGGGTCTTGCCGAAAGCGTGGCCACCCGCAATGAGGGCTACTGTCTCGCTGTCATTCATTCCCATGTTGCCAAACGTTTCGCGGATATCCAGTGCCGAGGCCTTGGGGTCCGAACTGCCGTCGGGGCCCTCTGGATTGACGTAGATGAGACCCATGTGGGTTGCTGCCAACGGCTTCTCCAGCTTGTCTGCGCGCTCATAGATGTCCGTGCTGCCGTTGTAGCGCTTGTCGTTGCCCTCGGGAACGAATGTCGTCTCCGCACCCCAGTAGATGGCTTCGTCAGACTGCCAAGTATCGATGCGACCGGCTGCGAAGCCCAGCGTCTTGAAGTCCATTGTCTCAAGTGCCACGTTGCCCGTCATGATTATCAAGTCCGCCCAGGAGATCTTGGACCCATACTTCTGCTTGATCGGCCAAAGCAGACGCCGTGCCTTGTCCAGATTGCCATTGTCGGGCCAGCTGTTCAGAGGGGCGAAGCGCTGCTGGCCCATTGAGGCACCACCTCGGCCGTCTCTGGACCGGTACGTGCCAGCGCTGTGCCAGGCCATACGGATGAAAAGTCCGCCGTAGTGGCCAAAGTCTGCGGGCCACCAGTCTTGCGACTCCGTCATGAGCTCCTCGAGGTCCTTCTTGAGTGCTGCGTAGTCCAGGGACTGGAAAGCCTTGAGGTAGTCGAAGTCGCCACCATAAGGATTGACAGACGGCTGGAATTGTCGGAGAACGTCGAGCTTCAGCTGGCAGGGCCACCAATCTTTACTGCGCGTGCCACCCCCAGCCTCATTGCTGACAATAGGGCAGCGACCAAAGGCGGTGTCGGAAGACGCATCGGCCCGCTTGATTGACGGCAGGTCGGCGACGTTCGCCCGCTGTTTGTTGGCGTAAGGGCAGCCTTGCGCAGAGATCGTCGCTGGGAGCAGGGCAGACACTGCCGCCACTGCCAGCACATGGCTGATGCCCGGATCTGTGAAGCGCATTGTGGAGATGGAATAGGGAGAAGAGACAGAGACAGAGGGCCACGTGGTGATCTGGTAAGACCTGCAGCTGAAGAGGACGGGACGGGACAACCAGAGCCATTGTGAGGAGTGGAACTGGTTCCTCATATACTGCCATCGGGCGAACAAGGTGAAGGCTAGATGGGCCCATTCTTGCAGGATTCTGCCGTGGTAGTCATTGTCCTATTGTGGCAACAACTATGATAGGTCAGTTTCTCGGAAGACATATGCAGGGGCGCCTCTGGCCGAGCTTGCCAAGGTTAATTTTGGATCCATAACAAGCGGCACATTCCGGTCCAAGAAAAGATCGACTGATAATCTTAAGCACAGATGCAAGGGCCCTGGCTCCATCACATTGGAAAACATGTGCCTCAGCGAGGACGTCTGTTTTCATCACGGGCGCTTACGCGTATGCACACAGCTTGGCCTGCAGACGTACAGACTAGCCCTATGAACGATGACATATAATTAGGAGTGATAAGCACGTAGTAGATCCCCGCCGCACGGGCCGTCTCCAACATCCTCCTCAAGCGGCTGACGAGATGGCTCTGCCAAGCTAGCCGGTGTTGGCCGAGTGGAGAGTAACGAGGACTCTGCGATGCAAGTTTCCTCCCATGTCAAGGACCGCACCACCTGATTGGAATAGCCTACCTAGCGATTCCTTCAATCCTTCATGACAAGTCGGAGGTTCTTTCGGTGGGAGAGTGCACAGATGCATGGAACTTTACGATTTTCTTCGGTGGGTCCCTACCCAATAGGAATCATGTACCGAATGGGATGTGTTGGAAGATCAATGAGCCACAGTGGAGATGGGGTTCTCATTTACTCAACTTGGACATTGAATGGGATGACGTCCGCTCTGGGATCAGTAAGCCTGGGGGAAGACACTCTGCATGAACCCAATTCTGTCTGCTTGTCGGGTTCACCCGTAAGGGCAGGAGAGGAGATGACTACAACTCGATGAATAATTGAGTGTTGGTGGTTGGCGTGTCTGTAGCTTAACGTTCGCGTAAAGACAGGGATATGCCCCGGAAAGTGTCTTCGCCCTTGGTAATGCCACGGCACTAGGTTTGACTAAGCCATATTAAGCATATCCACGCGCCGGCGTATCCGGGGTCCAACTGCCGAATGGCAAATGAGAACCTTCGCCAGCCTCACAAACCGACACACCTGCCGAATTGCCTCCTAATAAGCAGAGTAGAGCAAGGTTAATCATGACTACACTGTACATTGACCCACTTTATTGAAGCCGCGGAAAACAATGCCGTGTACTTACCGAACTTTGCGACGCCGTTAGCACATCCTCCTGTTTTTCTGTGAAGGCGCTACGTTTCATTATATTAGTTTCTTCACACAAACAGGAAGCTGCCATCGCGCCCCCGCCCCCTTAGGATCACGCAATATCTCTCATCGGAGCATTCCATCAATGTGACCCTTTGTTCGCAATACGCATAAGCACACCTAGCTCGCTACTTCGCCTGGATCCAGCCTTGGCGCTTCCGGGTCCGGCCTGGCAGGGGTACGCGGTGACCTGATTGATACCTACCTCACAGGTATTCTCTAAGGATTGAAGAAGTGCATCCCGTCTTGATTGGCGAAGATCATCAAGCTCTCAGGTATCTTACGAAGGACCTTGCACGAACTGACACAGAGGTCGCTCATCTTAAAGCAAGCATCCAGGAGATGAAGTCTGTGAAACGCTTCCTACGTAATCAAGATAATGGAAGCCACATTGGTCGATAGGCTAGAGTGTTAATGCTATGCTCATGTCCTAAAGGGTTCCGATACAGTTCTGCTGTATTGTAGTGCTTGCCAGAAAAGTGTACACTGGTACAGAGGTTGTCGCTGCTTTACCGCGTTGATCGTCCCCTTCTTTGCCGAAGCCCTGCCGCCTACTTCGGCGCAAAAGACGTCTCGGCGTCTCAAAGTACAAATTATCTGGTCCCAGTCCCTGATGCGCTTACCGAGGCATTCCCGACTATTCTTTGTGCGTCAGTTCGTTATGATGGCACTCCACGAACTTGGAAAGTACTCTGAACAACTAAGCATGGACAAAACGACCGGGATTCCCTCTGATGTCCGATCGCAACAAACTCCTGAGGTGGGAGGACCAGCGCAATGTGCTTGTCGCGCTCTGTCTGCAGATGGCGCCGCGTAGATGGCGACCTTGAACGCCCAACAACGGATCCGGAATGCCCTCGAAACGGCGATCACACTCTCAGAACAAAGGCAGACCAAATCTTGTATTCAAGGAATGCTTGACTGAGGACAAGGCCCAAGACTAGAATGAAGGCAAGTGCTGAACGACCGAACTCAAGGCTGAGCACTTTGTCACCGTTGCCGAGCCCGTGCCAATGAGCACCGTACCCAGAATAGCAAACTTTGAACGTGCGCGTAATCTCTTCCAAAGAAAACATGACTTTTTCTTTTAATACAGCCTTGCGAAGGTATTGGGCAAACGGCCAACGCAGCGACACTCGTTTACTGTGGCTGCGCGCCTCCCTCCCTGCAGTTCGCATGCTAACGAGTAGCGCTTCGGAAATATAGTTTATCCTAATCAACCCGAAGGAGCCTCGGCTTGGAGAACATTCTCCAAACCGATTTGTGGGTAGGGTCTTCGGTGAAATATTTAAACTTTAGACTTATTCTCCTCATCTGTAACCGTGGGTGGCTACTATATCTAGCCTAGCCAGCGCTCGAGATTTGTGAAAGAGAAGGCCAGATTCCCACTAGAACTACGTTAGCTCACAGATATACTTCGAGCCAGCATTGGCTATGGGCAGCCCAGGTCTATCCCCAGCGGCACTGGGACACCCGTTCGCCAGACTCTCCAGGCAGCCTCGAGCACGAGCCACTACTCTGGACTGCGCCCAGAGAAATGGCTCCAGCGCTTATGCAACCGAAGATGCGCTTCGGACAGAACCCGCGTGCTTGCTCGCGGCGAACCTGTGCTCGGGTGGGAGCGACTTGAGATGCATAGGCCAGCTGAGAGCCCGAGCCCCATGGTGGACTGAGAAGATGCTTCGAGACGGCTATGGACACATCTAGTACTGCGCCATGCATCTGTGAGAGGGCCTGGACCATGATCTTGTGCTGCAAGCGCCTTCAGCTTGCTGGTGGATGCAATTCAGCTCTTGACCATCCACAGCACTTCTCGCTCGCAGAGGCCGCCCGGCACGGAAAAAGCACTCAGCATGTCGTGGTATCACATTTGAGTGGAGAGAGTCTGGTCAGGCTATATAAGCAGACAAATCGCCAGGGTGTGTGGTCTCAATCGGAACAAGGCATACTCTACTTTACCCACGGGCCTAGATCATAGCTCTGCCCAGCAAACACGTCAATATGCATCCGGCATATTTCAGCCTTCTGGTGGGTCTTCTCACCCAAACATCTTCAGCCGCCACCACGAACAATGCCTGCTCCGGCGGGTTGTATGCCTTGTTCATGCCCCTGAAACCGGACCCCCAGGTCAAGGCTTTTTGCAATGCCAAGTACAAACCTGGCACCAAGACCATCACTGCGACAGCTTCTAGGACTGGTCCGACCTCCACGGGCACGGTGACAGCTACTGCGTTGTCCACCAGCACCGTGACATCCACCGTGACGATAACGACAACTACCTACTCCTCCATCAATCCATATGCTATCAAAGACAAGCGTGAAGCCACAACTACACCGGTGAACCCGAAACCCGAGGCCACATTACTGCCACGAGGAAGAGACGCGTGCGTGCCCTTCCAGCCACTTCCTTGTGGTGATGCACAGTTACTTATGCTTCAGCCAGGCTACTCTCTACTCTGTCGGCGGCTGCGGCCAGTTTTGTCACGACAGTATGCTCCTGCCTCTATGGGGGCCCTGCTACTTTCGTTGTGAGTCTTTGTCTTAGCCACTGAGCAAAGTGGACTTTTCGCCGTGCACCACCGTCCTGGCGATCTATGCAGCTGACGGACTTGATGCCAGGTCACCACAACATCCACCGCGCCAGGTACCACTGCTACTGTCACAACAACTGTCACACAAGACGGAGGGACGGTGACTGCGACCGCGACGGCCACGTCGACAAACGCAGAGCGGCCACCGTAAGTCTCCAAATCCACTCCCTAGATGTCCCAGTGAGGCTGACGCACGTGAGATTTGGCGCGAAACAGCAACTGCCTCTGTACACGGCCAGGCCAGTTCTGCTACATAAACGACGACAACCAAGTCGGCGTTTGTGCGCGCCGTGCCCAAGACGGCGCAGACGGCAAGCTCTACTGCTACTATACTTCAGCCGGCTGCAATAGAAACAACCCGTGCCAGACAGATGCAAATTGCCAAAACATCAACGTCGTTGATAGGACGTGCTTTGCCGACGTTTTGTTAGGCTGCAATGTTTGCGGCGGCAGTTTTATCTCGGGACTGGCGGCCAGTGTCTGTGATCAGCCTCCTAACAATCCCAGGAGGAAACTCAGGTGGAGGCGCGATGGGATGCTTGAATAGATGCGGAGAAGCTTCTGGTGTCCTCTTCAGTGTTTCTGATAGGGAAGAGCCACCGTGCTGGATCGGTGTAGGACAGCCCGACAGATTACATAAACATGGGACCTACGGAGAAGAGAATGCGAAAGTGTAGGATGCGCCACATAGAGAGGCTTGGGAAATTATCGTTGGTGGAAGGCAGCCACAAGGAACCTTTGCAAACGGTGTCACAGGTGTCTCTTGAGGTCGTTTTCAATGGGTTAGGGATATTAATGAATTTTCCCCGCCCATGTATCTCTTGTATGGCCGTCCTTGGTCTACGCCCTAGCTCTGACAGGCGAGTGGCGCGATCATGTATTCAAGGCAGAGGAGGACTAGTAGCCATCACGGCCGTTTCCTCATGATCACTGTGGCAGAAGAGGTCTATCTCTCGGCTCCGTTTAATTTTTTGAGCAGCTGGCAGTTGCTGTTGATCATGGCTGAAGCATTCTCGTCAAGGCCTGAGCCTCCTTGAGATGTTGACTTGCAGCTCGGGTGACGATTGGGTCATTGTACGGTGCTAAGTTGCTGACGTCATCATGTGCACGTTGCCTTAGCGCCCGCGCTCGTGCAAGCATCATGCCAATGTCTGAGGACGATCTCAGCAAACAGTTGGAGGACCACCCTGCACGCAAACCCATGTGAGAGCCAGACCAGGTAGGTGTTGGCTCACCAATGCCGAAACTTGGACCCGAATGAGACTCCGGCTGGCCAGTCTGTGCGTGGAATCTCGCTTACCATTACGATCCCACAGTCGTCCTATCGCCACGGGGTTTTCAAAGGCCAACCACCCACCACCACAAAGGCTGCTATCGACCTCGGCTGCTTCCTCTTATGCCGCCAAGATGAAGCGAGCCGCGACTTCTGGTCCTGTGGGCTCGAAGAAGGCCAAGAAGCCAAGACCGGAGGTGCCCGAGTACCACCTGACGCCGTCGATCAAGGATGCCGCGGGCAACGACATCTGGCCCGCGCCGCAAGCCCAGATTGATCGAGCCCGGGAGATTATCAGAGAATGGTAAGTCCAACCAAGCACCACCTTCGGACCCCAGCAGAGCGGATCTACATAACGTACGTAAGTATACGAACTGACCCATTCGCAGTGCCGCTGCCGGCAAAAAGACCCTGATTGTCCCAGACAAGGACGCCGACGGGCTCAGCTCGGGCGCGATCCTGCAAAGGACGCTGATCCTGCTGGGCCTCGCCCCGGAGCTCATCAGCGCACACCTGCTGCAAAAGGGTGGCAGCATCCACGACCAGGCCGAGCGGGAAGCCATGGCCAAGCACGAGCCGCAGTACATCTTCGTGCTCGACCAGGGCTCCCGCCGGGCTCCTCCCGTGGTCGACACGCCGCACAGGACGGCCCTCATCATCGACCACCACTGGGCGGGCGACGACGAGGCCGACTTCCCCGCCGGGTCCGAGCACGTCACGGCATGCCACTCGCCCCCCGTCGCGACCAGCTCGCTGCTCACCTACCTCATCTGCCTGCCCCTTCACCCGGCCGTGGGCGAGCGCTGCAGCTGGCTGTGCGTGGTGGGCACGCACGGAGACCTGGGCAACACGCTGAAATGGGAGCCCCCCTTCCCGGACATGAAGCTCACGTTCAAGACGTACACGAAAAAGGCGCTCAACGACGTCGTCTCGCTAATCAATGCTCCCCGGCGGACCGCGTCCTTTAGCGTGGGCCGCGCGTGGGCCGCGCTGACGAGCGCCGCCACCCCTTCCGAGATCCTCCAGAACCGCGACCTGCTGGCCGCCCGCGCCGAGGTCAACGCCGAGGTCGAGCGGTGCACGCACACGGCGCCCCAGTTCTCGGCCGACGCCAAGATCGCCGTGTTCCGGATCAGCTCGGCCGCGCAGGTGCACCCGGTGATCGCGACGCGGTGGGCGGGCCACCTGCAGAGTAACAAGCTCGAGGTCGTCCTCGTGGCCAACGAAGGGTATCTCCCGGGGATGGTCAACTTCTCGTGCCGGATCCCGCGGAGCGCGAGGGCCCGGAGCGGACCGCCAGTCAACATCATCGACACGCTGCGCGGGATCGTCGAGCAGAGTCCGGACCCGACGCTGCGGGAGCGGCTGGGGGAGTCGTTTGCGAGGGGCCACAAGGAGGCGAGCGGCGGGATTGTGCCGAAGGAGGAGTTCGAAGAGCTCATGGCGATCATGGAGGTTGGTAAGAAGTCCACGGCGGCGGCGGCGGCTGACGCCGGGTCACCGACGAAGAAAGCGGGTGGGAAAGTGATTGCAAAGCAGTCGAATACGCTGATGAACTACTTTGGCAAGAAGGGAACTGTATGATACATCCGTTGGGTTACATCTTGGGCTTGTTGTATATTAGTAGACACCGCATCATTTAGCGAATTGTACATAGGGAAGACTTGAACAGCGGTCATGGATTTTACGTGTCGCGCTTGACTTCTCAGAGCAATGGGTTGTGTGGTTCAAGTGAGCTGGTTCCTTCATATATCACGGCATATGAAACAAAAATACGGTGTACAGACTTCCCCCGGTAGAGGAGTTTGCCTGTCCCAGAAGGACTACAGGAACTCTCGTGCATACCCAAAGTTGTCACTACTATACTGGCAACGGAACTTATCAGAAGCGATTGAGTCTAGACCTTCACAGAAAACAGCTACCTTCAGACGATCCACCATCTCACATGACCGTGGCCAACTCGCTCCTCATAGCCCTCTCAACCCGGGCTCACAGCTTCCCCACAGCCTTGAGCCCAGCCTCGCCATCAACAAGCACGCACCAGCCCCCATGTCCCCTACTACCAGCATCGTCACCAGCAACAACCTGGCCCTGATATCTCACTCCCTCTTCTCCGCCACCGCCCGCGCCCTCTTTCCCACGGGCAAACGCCAGCACGGCGTCATCCCACGTCCCCGGCTGCAGCCAGACGGCCGGGACGCCCAGCTTCTGCGCCTCCTTGAGGACCTCGAGGGTCACTGGCGGCGGGGTGATGATGGACACGGAGGTGGATTTGGGATCCTTGAGCGCCGAGAGGGACGGGACGGTGGTGTGGGTGGTCCCGGCCGCGGAGATTGTGGGGGTCGACGGGTTGACGGGGGTGACGGGGAGGTCGTGGTATGTGTACCATGCGAGAACTGTGTGTTTGAAGTGGAGAGGCAAAGGGTTTCTGTGTCAGCTTCGGGAGTCCAGTTCTACGTGGGCGATTTGAAGCTACATAGAGAAAAGATAGGTGGTGCTGTCGGTAGATAGCGGCCGTGACCGCGACATGAACGAGATCAGTTCATGTTGGCTGACGGCAGACGCTCGACAAGGGAAACCCAGAACGAGGCAAGCCGTGTTCAGCTCACCAGGATATCAAGGGACGCTAGTGCGAACCGCCAACCAGCCGTGGGCAGGAGCACCGACTTGACTCCAACTAAGCTTGATTGAAAAAAAGGGACACACGACTCACCCTTGTGCCCAAACTTGGCGGGGTTGGAGCTGGCGCCGACCACGGCGAACTGCGGGGACGAGAAGAAACTGCGGACGGTGGCCTCGGTCGTCATTCTGAGCATCTGGGCTAGAAGATGGCCTTGTTCGATTTGACTGCTTTGCCTGCTTGTTTGTTTGTCTGTATGTCTGTCTTTGTGTCGGGTCTTGTTCCTGTGCCACGGGCTTGCGTCGACTTGAATGCTTGGTAATGATGAACTGTGAGCGAGGGTTTGTTGGAGCGGGCGAGTCGCAGCCCACTTGGGGGCCGCCCAGATGGCCTAAAGAGCCCTGTCGCAGTGCGGGGTCCGCCAATCACGGAGCAGCCGCCCGGCCCGGTTCCACCACTCGCACAGCCGGACAGGCGGGCGTTCCCCACCGATACCGCCGACCTGCCTCCTCGGTCTCCGTGTCGCACGGCATCCTCACCCGCCATCGGCCATCTATACCGAGTGTCCACACGTGCCCGTGACATTGCCGGCCAGGAGCTACTTATATCGACCCGAGACGCCCTCTTGGCATCATCGTCCAAGGCGGCGTAGAGCTGCAGCTGGGGCCCGCAATCCAGCAGAGCAGCAAACAGCAGCAACACGGCACAAGATGACGACTTTTGCGTGAGTACTCTGCAATTCCCTCGGCAGCCCCAGGGCTTCGCTACCCACCAAGCCAGCGTCACTAACACGCATCCGCAGCAAGACGGCCTTCTCGGCCAAGAACTATGCCGCCTTCCGGCCCAGCTACCCGGCCTCCCTGTACAACACGGTCCTCGGCTACCACAAGGCCGGCCCTGCGCCGCGCTGGAACAAGATGCTCGACCTCGGCTGCGGGCACGGCCTCATCTCGCGCGCCATGAGCGCGCACTTTGCCGCCGTCCTCGCCACCGACCCGTCCGCCGGCATGGTCAAGCAGGCGCAGAGCACGACCGCGCAAGAGAACAGCAACATCACCTTCGCCCAGGGGTCGGCAGAGGACCTCAGCCTCGTCGGCGAGGACGGCAGCGTCGACATGGCCGTTGCCGGCCAGGCGGCACACTGGTTCGACTATGCCCGCGTGTGGCCCAACCTGGCCCGCGTGGTCGGCAGGGGAGGCACCGTCGCGCTGTGGGGTTACAAGGACAACGTCCTGGTGGGCAAGGAGCAGGCGACCCGGATCATGGAGCGGTACATTTACGACTTTGGCGAGGTCGCCAACGTCCAGGGCGGCTGGAGCGTCGAGGGGATGGGCCGGTTCTGGGAGCAGCCCGGGCGCAACATCCTGCGGGACCTGCTGCGCAGCGTCAAGCCGCCGCCGGAGGACTGGGAGGCGGTGACGAGGCTGGAGCACGAGCCCGGCGCAGAAGGGGACCCGGACGAGGCGGCGTGGCAGAGGAAGACGATGAAGCTGGGCGAGGTCGAGGGCTACACGAGGACATTCAGCTGCTTCACGGGCTGGGCGGAGGCGTACGCGGACCGCAAGGCGCGCAAGGACGGCGGGGAGGGAGACATCATCGACGTCATGTGGGACGAGATGGTGGCTTCGGTGCCCGAGTGGAAGGCCATGGGCGACCGGTGGAGGGAGGCCGAGGTGGAGAGTGATTGGGGCACGTATATCATCATGGCGCGGAGGAGGTGACTGTGTACGAGCTGAAAGATGTTGTCATCTGGGAATCTGGGAATGGTTCTGCAAATCGTCACTTGGATCCTTGGTCATTGCCGAGTCTTTGTTTGGTGCTGTGGTCCAGTCGCATCTGTGCACTCTCGATGTGTTTGTTGTGCGGTGGTGCAGTTCTGGTTGTCGTGGGGTTAGAAGAGCCACAGTTATGTAAGCGTGTTTACATGCAGACTTCCAGGTCTAGTGCAGCATTTGTGCATGAGGCGGCGTGGTTGCCGTGTCAATGGGCAGGCGCCCCACCACGCCCACCGAGGAGCGGCAGAAACAGCCGCTAGGCAGGGGGCCGCCAGCGCATTGTTGTTTCCTGCATGCATGCAACCGCCGCCCGGACCCTTTTCATTAATATTGTGCCCCTGCAGCAGCGATGGCTGCTTTCTTCCTGACCGCAAGACCTCTTTGTGCCATCCTCCACCTTCCCAGAACTCCAAGCAAACTCCATCGCCAGTTTTCCTAGTCGTCGTCATCGTCGTCGACAGTCCAGAGACTTCCAGCCGACTACCAGTCCCCCAACGCTACCTTCACAATGGTGAGTACACACCGCTGAGACATGTACCTCCTTTGCCCCTTTCAACCCGCCAGCCGCTGCCCGCACCTGCCACCCGCCACGTAAACACTGCTTCGGCCAGTCAGTGAGCACGGCAGCAAGCTTTGCGTCGGCCAGGCCACCACCGCCCCGGCCTCACTTCGACTGCTGCGATGGGCTCTTCAATCACCTGCCGACTGCACGCAAGCCACGCCTCTCCCCGCACAGCTTCTTGACGTCTTTCAACACCCGCGATCCGCACCACGAACCACCGGCAAGCGCCACCTAAATCTTCATCACGCATCAGCGCCTACTGGCCCCCCTCATTCGCATCGCCAACAGCAGCAGCAGCACCCACGACGGCTTCTTCCCGCCCCGATCTCGCGAGCAGCTCGCACACACGTACACTTAGCACCAGCACGATCCCAGACCACTGACAATGGAGTCTCAGGCTTCTACCAACTACAAGGAGGCTTTCTCGTTGTTCGACAAGCGCGGCAACGGCCGTGTCTCCCTCGACAGCCTCGGCGACCTCCTCCGCGCCTGCGGTCAGAACCCTACCCTGTCCGAGATCCAGGACCTCGAGAAGAGCGTCGGTGGCGACTGTGAGTAGATCTCTGATGCAACCAGTGATGCGATGAGCCCGCGCACATTGTCCGTTCTGTCGAACACCTGCTGATGCATTGCTTCGCTCCCACCCAGTCGATTTCGAGACGTTCCAGCGCATCCTGAACCGCCCTGGCGGCTTCCGCGACCCGGGCGAGCCCGAGGAGTACTGCCGCGGCTTCCAGGTCTTTGACAAGGACATGACGGGCTTCATCGGCGTCGGCCAGCTCAAGTACATCCTGACGAACCTCGGCGAGAAGATGACCGACGACGAGGTGGACGAGCTGCTCAAGGCCGTCGACACCAGCTCAGGACAGGTCAACTACACTGGTACGACGCGCACGCCGGGACTTTTGCTTCAATCAGTGAACTCATGCTGACAAAACCCCTGCAGATCTTGTCCGGACTATCCTCGCCAACTAGAAGTCGAATCTCGCAAGCTGTGGTGGACGCCACCACGCTTTCTGGAACGCAAGCAATGATGTATAATGGTTTTATGGACAACAGGAATTCCCGGGACATAGCATGGGTACAGGAGATGCAGGCGTTCATATTGTTTGCTTTGACAAAGAGAAATGCGATGTTCGGTTTTTGCCATGGCCGTTGGCTGTTCTGGTTAGCAGCGTGACCAAGCCAGACACGCGATTCGTTGCTTATCGCCGCTTCATCCGTTTGACCGTTGACTTGCGTTGTTTTCTCACCCTACAACATACTACAAGCTGCCTGATGAGCCCTGCATGCGCTGTTTTGGGTGAGGACTCCAGACATGGAGGAGGCCACCTGACGGGCACCAGTCCAGTTCCACTATCTTGCGGAGTAATGGGATGAAGAGGAAAGATGGATCTATGTTGCATGCTTGGCGGTCGTCCTCCGTGTCAAAGGGATGTGCCGGCGGAGCGGGTGTGACTCTTTTCGAAGGGCGCAGCGGACGGGTCAAGCTTGTCAAAGCCCCCCCCGCCGGCCGATGTGACCGATGTGGGACCTCTTGATGGACGGACGCCGAAGCACCACCCTATCCCTCCGATTTCGAAGAGGGAGGAAGCTCGACCTTCTTGTGGACGGGCATCTTGTTGTAAAGAGAACCTCCCTCCCTCTCTCTGTCTCTTCACGGGGGCTTCTTCTTTCTTTTAAGATCTGATGAGCTAGTATCGGCCTGTTACGCGCATCGCTTGGTGCGCCGGAAGACTTACCCTGGTTCTACCACAAGAGGCGGACAGCACATCACTGGGCCATTACCTCCTGCTGGCACGACGAAGTATTCAGCCACCGTGACGGGATCGTCTATCTTTCTTGAAATCGAATGAGAATCTCGCCATCGCTGCTCCCGAGTCACTGAGCAGGATAAAGACATCCCGCCACAGAATACAGCCGCTGGAGCGAAAGAACAACGACACGGCACCACCGCCCATCATGTCCACCACCACCACCACCACCACGGCGCCGCCGCCGGACTTGCCCGTCCGGCTTGGCTGGATCGGCCTGGGGAACATGGGAATCGGTATGGCGCGGAACATCCAGAAACACATTGCCGCCATGTCAGCGACCGCCACCACCACCAGCACCGCCACCGTCACCACGGCGGAAATGTACCCGCCGCTCAAGGTGTACAACCGCACCGCCTCGCGGTGTGCCGGGGTCGAGGAGCTCGGAGGCGTCAGGTGTGAGAGTGTTGCGCAGGTCGTGCAGGGGAGCGACGTCGTGTTCTTATCTGTGAGTTTCCTTTGACGTCCTCGTGTGATCTCCGTTCATCACTGTGTAAATTTTGAGTACCTAGTGTGGTACTGGTCCACGAGCTTTACGCTTGCATTTCTTTTCAGACTCAGCATTGCTCTGGATTCGACGGGATTTTGGAGTCTCTCCCATTTGTATCGCAGAGCACCTCGCCTCACTGTTGCCCTTCTCAGGTACCGGTTGAAACCCATCAAACAGAAAAGGGCTGGATAGCTTCTGGCCATCAGGAACACATGACGCTGACACATGTCGCCTATTATCATCCATATCACAGCTCAGCGACGACGCCGCGGTCCTCGAAATGGTGGACCAGCTCGTCAACACTCCCCCGAGCTCTTCACAGCCCGAGCCGCCACACTCACAATCACAATCACAGTCACGGCCACAGCACAACAACGCACCTCCTCCGCTCCACGGCAAAATCATCATCGACACCACGACGGTCCACCCGGACACCACGGTCGCCGTCCAGCAGACGCTGGCCGGGCAAGGCGGCGCGCAGTTCGCCGCGATGCCCGTGTTCGGCCCGGCGCCCGTGGCCGCGGCGGGGCAGCTCATCGCCGCGTTTGCGGGACCGAGACACGTGCTGGATGTCATATCGCCGTTCCTCGGGGGCGTGATTGCCCGCGAGGTCATGTATGTCGGGGAGGAGCCGGAGAAGGCCGTGTTGTTGAAGACTACGAGGTAAGTGAGGGGGGCAAGCTGGGAGCAAGTAGTCCCCCGAGGGCATAGACAGTTCCTACACCATGCCCGCACTGGATTGCACGAGATTATCACTTCTCCGCAACAAAGAAGCATTGGGACACACACAGACTGACGAAACAAATACGCGCGCGGGCTGGCAAAACAGCAACCTCCTGACCGCAACAATGACCCAGGCCATCGCCGAGGCCCACGTCTTCGCGGCCAAGACGGGCCTCCCCGCATCGACCCTGGAGCGCCTGCTCGAGCTGAACCTGGGTCCTTACGCGCACCTGACGTCCCGGCGCATGACGAGCGGGGTGTACTGCCCCCCCGCCGGCGAGGCCCCGTGGTCGGACCTGTCGCTGGCGCTCAAGGACGTCGGGCACGGGGTGGACACGGCGCGGAGGAGGGGGATGCGGCTGCGTGCTGGGGAGGCGACGCTGGAGAGCTTGCGGATGGCGGCGCGGTGGGCGGAACATCAGCAAGGGCAGCAAGGGCAAGAGCAGGGACAGAGCAGGAGGTTGGACTCGAGTAGTCTGTTTGGGGCGGTTCGGGAGGAGAACGGGCTCGAGTTTGAGAGCGAGGTGGTCAAGGGCGGGATGGCAAGATGGGGGAAGGAAGGGGAGGTGGTGAGCAGTCTTCGTGACGTGTTGTCGGTGGGCTGTGCTGGTGAGATTTTATGGGCGTGGATTTACAGATATGAGTCGTTTGTAGTGGTTGTTGTTGCTATGCCGTGAGTGCTGTGCTGTGGGTGTTGTGGGAGCGGCAGAAATTGGCCGGAGGGGACGGCCCGGCGCCCACGTCAGGGGCGAAATCCGGGGGTGGGCAGTGGGCAGTGCTGGAGGGGGAAGGACCCCAGTCCAGTCCAGCAGTCATGGATGCCATCATCATCGAGTCCCAGGCGGTCCTTTTGCGTGCACTCTAACATCTGAGTATTGCTTCCTTCATCCAGTTGTATTTAGGTGGTTCTTTCATTCCACCAGCTTCGTCACCATCACATCACGCCTCTGCAGCCATGAATGCATCGTCGGCAGCGCAGACTTTCAAGGCGCAGGAGCTAGACTCGTGGCGGGCCGCCTACAACAAGCACGCTGACGACAGCGGCCACCACCAGCCACTGCTCGTCCACCTCAACGGCGACACGACGTGGCTGCTCCAGGTGCCCGTGCCCACACAGCAACAACAACAACAACAACAGCAACAACTGTCATCTCCTTCCCATGGCAGGTCACACTTCAACATCCTGCTCGACCCGTGGTTGCAGGGCCCCCAGTCCGACGTCGCCAGCTGGTTCTCGACCCAGTGGCACGTCGTCGCCCCTTCGGTCCAGACCATAGCTGAGCTCCAGGCCATCCTGGGCCAGCTCGAGACGAGGGGGGACGACGACACCAGTGACAACAACTCGTCGTCATACATTGACGCCGTCGCCATCTCGCACGAGTTTACAGACCACTGCCACGAGGCCACCCTGCGCGAGCTGCCCCCAGCCACCCCCGTCTTCGCGACAGATAAGGCCGCAGACCTCATCCGCTCTTGGAAGCACTTTGACACCGTCGTCACCACGCCAGGCTATTCCTTTGCATCGTCCTCTGATGATGGCGATGACAACTCCTCCGCAAAAGAGGACTGGCACCAGGTCCTCAGCGTGGCCCCGCTGCCGCCGTGGCTCGGCATCGGCAGGGTCGTGACCCCGGGCAACTCGCTCTACTACCACTCGGCCGTCGTCGTCGTGTTTGACCACCCGACGCCGACGACGACGACAGCAGAGCAACACCAACAGCAACACCAAAACCACCCAGCAGAAGCAGTCATCTACTCCCCGCACGGCATCAGCCCCTCCGACCTCGCCGGCCTGGGGGCCGCCAGGAACTCTCGTCAGATCAGCACCCTGGCCCTGCTGCACGGCCTGCACGACGTCCGCATCTGGATGACCAAGCAGCTCAACCTGGGCGCGCACAACGGGCTCGGCGCGGTCCGCTCCTCGGGGGCCAGGTACTGGGTCGCCACGCACGACGAGGTGAAAACTGGGGGTGGGTTCATCGCGCCGCTGCTGAGGAGGGTGCAGTGGACGGTGGGGGACGCGGTGGCGGCGGCTGTTGGGCGTGGTGGGAAGGGAAAGGGTGAGAGTAAGGGTGCAGAGAAGGAAGAGATGGGGGAAGGAGGGCACGGTGATAAGGGTGACGGGTATCTGTTTGTTGAGCTCGGCTCTGGAGACGGGCTGGTGCTCGCGCGGTGAGGTGAGATGGCTGATCTGTAACCGCGGTAGTCCAGGCCTGCTGCTGCCAAGGTTGACGGTATAGGAGGGCTGCAGTCGTCTTGGGAGCATGCATAGGGGCGCAGATGATACATTGGAAGTAGTATGGGTGCCCAATACAATAATGTAATGATGGATGGCGAGGACGGTCACAGGAAGAGAATATCCAAAACTGATGGTTCAACTTGGTGTATTCGTGGATTTATGCATAATTCCCCACCGTCCCGGTGAATCCAAACTCCGTATCAAAGACAAAACCTCAGGCCAAGCGACCAAGAACTCCTGCCTTATGCGCAACAAAGGAAAGCAGGCAGAAAATCCAGAAGTGTCAAGAACTCCAGCAGTCGTCGCCACTCCATCCAATAAGTGCACTGACGCCTGATCTGAAACGACTCCGAAAGACAAAACCTCCGTCCTCCAAAAGAAAACCTTTCTCATCACGACACTCTTCTTTGTCCCCCCATCTCATTCCAAAATTTTAGAACCCCAGAGCAGTGGTGACGTTCTGCCAGACCGTGCTCACACCTGCGCTCAGCGCGGTGCCAACCTCGACGCCAGCGCCAGCACCACCAGCGGCGTACCTCGTGCTGAGCTTCCACCCGACGGCCGCAAAGATGAACGGCGCGCCGACCTTGAGCGCCTTGGCCACGCCCAGGATGCTCTTGAGGATGCGCGTCTCGAACCGCGCGCTGAGCAACCAATCGCTCTCATTCGCCCGGGGAAACTTCTCCCCACCAGCGGGTACGGGCTTGCCCAGGAACTTGCACAGGGGCTCCCAGCCGTCGGCGTAGTTGTACTCGAGCAGGTTCTCGGGAGGGACCATGGCGCGGACCATGGCGTGGTGCTCGTCGTACACTTTGCGGGCGTTGCGCCGGGCCTGGAGGGCGTTGTCGGCCTGGAAGAAGCCGCGCATCATGGCCTTGAGGCCGATGGTCGAGTGGTGGCCCGAGAGGCCGTCGGCGATGGCGTCGAGGATGTAGACCCAGCCAAAGACAAAGTAGAAGAGGGTCGTCTCGAGCGAGTGCACCCACTTGTCAAAGTCGCGGGTGACGAGGATGACTTTGGCGTTCGGGTACGTCTGGATGAGCTCCTTGCAGAAAAAGGGCGTCAGGTCCGTGGTCGCCTGGAACTGGCCGATCCAGGCGTCCCACTCGGCCCGGGTGTAGGGCTTGACGGACTGGCCGGCGCCCCGGTTGAGGTACGGGTAGTGCCGCTTCGAGCAGTCCTCGAGCTTGTACCACTGGTCGGGCAGCTTCGAGTAGCGGATGATGTGGTGCACGTGCTTGTAGCCCAGCTTGTCGAGGGCCACGGCCAGCGAGAAGGTGCCCGTCCGGGGAAGGCCCGCGCACAGGATGCCACCGCCCGAGGCGAGCGAGTCGACAATGGTCTCTGGGGGAGGGCGGATCTCGTCCTTGATGGAGAGGATTTCGGCCTTGGCTTTTGTCGAGGTCATGGTTGCGGGTGTGGATGATGATGATGATGATAATGTGTGAGTTGTGGGCGAAGGGGGAAGAGGGAGCAGAGACGACTGGTGGATTAAAAGCGGAAATCTATCAACGCTTGACGAGACAAGTTGCCAATGGTCGGTTTCTGCCTCTTTGATGATGAAGTATGGACGAGCTGTGGCTGTTTTGTTCCAGGTCTGTTGTCAATGCATGGCCGCCCAAGTGCTTAAGTAGAGCCTCGACTGGCTCTGTGTATGCCACACGAGTGGAATCCACACAGGCCATTAGACACACAGAGACCAAAAGAACACGGCTGAGATGTGCTGGCCATGCTTGCGTAGTGGCCAGTGGATCTGCCCGTCTGCCCGCGTTTACTGTGTGTCTGTCGTGTGCTGAGCCCGGAGCCGGCGTTGCAGGGACGGAGACCGCTGTAAAACTCCGGGCCCCCCACTGTGCTTCCCTCGTCCTGTCCCGTCCCTCGCTCGTGGGGCCGTACCTGCATACAAACAGGCTCGGCCAGTCAAGTTTGACCACAAGAGGACCTGTGATTCGCTGGGGACGTCGTTTCGTCGCATGCCACTGCATTCTTGACCTTCACGTTCCCTGGCCAGGGCCTCTGTGTAGCTGCTGAGAGTGCACTGCCTGGACAAAGAGCGCACCGCACACGCAATTGTCCATTCTCAAGCCTCACAAACCGACGAGATAGATTCGACTCATCCACCCGGCTGTTGTTCCCTTGACAGCGAGGCATGAGCGTTCATGGAGTTCGTTGGGGCAGGTCCCCTCTGGCAGCACACTTCACCCGCTGAGCGAGGACAGACGGCTGCAAGAACGCCTCAGCGCACGCAGTTTCTGACCTGGGCGCTGCCACCCACATGATCCACACAGGCTCTTCAGCCGCTCGGTACGCGTAGTTTAGCTGAGCTGGAAGGTATTGGGTGCTGTATGCTTCGCACTGCAGCCGGTCCGGCATTTTGCGACGTCGACGGTCGTAGTAAGTCTGATTCACCGAGCAGCCATGGGGTGTTGTGGTTGTCCTGCTGACGTAAAGCAGCGTTAATTGGATCCGCCCGCTGTGGGCCCCTTCTATTTATGGACTCCATGTCGGGGCATGTCACCCATGATCGACACCAAGCACTCAACAATGTCACTTCTGAAGCCGCTGTGTGCACAGGACAAGGTTCTCGTTTCTCCATGTGCCCAATAAGCATCAGACCAAACTCCAATCCCAATTGCACGCCTTCTAATCCGAAACGCCACCCTCCAAAATACCAAAACCACCAGACGCCCATCCAGATCAAGCATCATGGCATCGTCAAGGTCGCTAGCACCGACTACTCTACCACCAGGCCCTCCAAGGTCTGCATCGCGCGTTGCCCCTCCCGCTCAAACGCGCTCACCACAGACTCGCACTCATACTTGAGCTTCTGCTCCGCCTGCTGTGCATTAAAGTAGATCCACTCCTCCACCGTCATCAGCTTCTCCGGGGTCGTCAGCTCAGGTCCCCCCTTGAGCAGGTTCGACGTGTTGTTGGCATTCTCCTGGTCAAGATCCTCAAAGATGGCCTCCACGTCCACTGCAGCCCACGGCTTCTCGCTCTGCAGACCAGACATGAGGTGGCGTTTTGATGGGGACATCTTCGACGGAGACATGCGGTTCGGCGTGGCAGCCACGGGACCCAGCGCGAACCGCTTGCTCTCCGCCGTCCCGGATGGCTTGGACGACGGCGGCTGGTTCTCAGCGTCCGAAGATTGTGGTGATTGAGAGGGCGAGATGGTCGCTTGCTTGGCCCGGGCCGTGGCTGGCATCTTGCTCCGTGGCGTAGCTGGTGGGTTGTTGCTGGGCTCCTCCTCGGCAGGCGGGGGCGGCAGAGACTTCTCCTTCGCGACAGGCGCGGCCTTCTTTGCCGCCGCGGTTGCCTTCTTGGGCTTCGGCGGCTCAGGGAAGTCGTCCATGTCGGGGCTATCCGACCGCTGCTGAGAGGACATCCGTACAGAGGCTTCGGCTACAGCGGCAGCCTTAGTTGTCGTGGTAGACTTCTTGGCAGCCGGTGCCCGCTTCTTCTGTGCTGGAGCCGCCACAGATGCCACGGTGGCTGCTTGTTTGCTGGCCGCGGTGGCATTGCTGAGAATGCTGTCCTCGTGGCCTTCGGCAAGCTCGTCAATGTCGTCGTCATAACGGTCATCCACAACTGGAGGCGGTGTCGGGGCCTTCTTCGTCTGCTTCGACACCTTCCTCGCGCCCGCCTTGCGGACCTTGACGGGTGCAGGCATGGGCTCCAGCTCCGGCTCCGGCTCTTGTTCCGGTTCTTGCGTCTCCTCGTCCGTTGGCTGTACACTCTGCTGCATTGTGCGGTATTCTTGTTCGATATCGTCCTCGTCAATGTCCACGGGTGAAGGGTCAAACATGGCGTGATGACCAGCAGAACCCTGCCGACTGGCGAGGCTGCTCTTCTTGGTAGATGTCTTCTTGGCCTTTGGCTGAGGGTTCGACACCTTGCGCCGCTCAGAGTCCGAGTCTGCGTCAAGATCCTCGTCGTCCGTGAGAGGACGATCAAGCTCGGCTTGCAGTTGTCGCTCAATCTCTGCATCGTCCATCATGTGATCTGACTCTCTTTGCTCTGGCAAAGCCGACACATCTGATGCTGTTGACGCTGTCGACACTTTCCGTGGCGCCTTGGCCTTGGACGCCCTCGGCTTCTTCTTTTGCACCGGGCCGACCGGCTCCTCATCGTCCATGACTGTGTCCTGCTCCGGCACAATCGTCGACTCGTCTGCTGCCTTGCTGGCCTTCCCACGCGCCGCCCGCTTCTTAGGTGCTGGTGCCTCCGCGCTGATCATCGTCGACTCGTCTACCTGATCACTAGTCCTCTTCTTGCCTCGAGCCGGCTTAGCTGGTGGCGGGGATGGTTCCTCAATGTGGTCTTCCACGGGCTCCTCAACTGGATCCTCAAGAACCTCGACAGGCTCTTCCTTCTTCGCTTTTGTCTTCTTGCCCTTGGCCGTGGTGGCCTTCTTTGCCCGAGGCTTCTTGGTACCACCTTGCGTGGCAACCGACGCGGTCGTCATGACACTATCTTCGTACTCGGCGGGTGCCTCAATGATCGATGCGGTGACGTCGGTGGCCACCGTGCCGACAGATTGTGTTGATAACCGCGACGCTTTTGATGCTCGGGCGGCGCCTTTGCCACGAGCGGCTTTCTTTGGTGCAGCAGCGGCTGCCTGCTGATATTGGTTGGTGAGCGTAAAGAACTTGCAGTCCGGGGATCGCTTGTAGTGCTCGTTCCTGCGTGGTCGCCGTGTCAGTAGGCCCAGAAGCTGCCAGGCGTGTGCTCGGGGCCGAAACTCACATCGGGTTGTCCTTGGGCTCCCAGCCATCCAGAGCAAGTGAGCAGTACGTGCACGTCGCCATGTCCTCATAGCCAGGCGCGGGCGTGTACTTCCATCCTGCCTCGACGAGCTGTTCTCGACCGTGTCAGCATGCACTGCTCGGGGGAAGGAAGACACGATATTGCCCGGTGAGCTTTGCGGTGCGCTCGTACCTGCTTGGTCTTGCACTTCCACCCCTTCTTTCCCTCGTGCGGCCACTGGTCCGCGAAAGTGGCCTTGCGCGCCTCGACCATCTGTGGGTTCGCAGGGTCATCTTCGCAGTAGTCTCCCAAGCCGACCTCGATCGCCGAGACAATGGCCCAGCCGCAGTTCGGGGACAGGCGCAAGTGCTCCTCGAAAGGGTTGTCACCGTCCTCCCATCCGCCTAACCTCCTCTCGCACAGGAAGCACACAACATTATCGGGCAGTTCTGGGGTCGGATCGAAGTAGAAACCGGCGCGGGCGAGCTATGGGGGCACGGCAGCGTTAGTTCTTGTGGTACTGGTTGGCGGTTCCGCGGTGGCTTGGTGTCCACTCACGTCTATGGGGTCTATCGACCTGTGTGGCCAGGTCAATGGCTTCGCTGCCTTGCCCTTTGCTGTCGACTTCCTCTTGGCCGCAGACTTTGCGACTTGGAAGGACTCTAACCGCGTGTCGACGGCGAAGAACTGGGCGGAAGACTCGTCTGACTCCATGGCGAATAGTGCTGGTTGAAGCAAAGGCGAGAGTAGCGTAGGTGTCGCTGCGTGCGGCAACGCGGCGCCCGCGAATGTGGTCGCGTTTGCGGAGGGAACAATGCCGCTATCGAGGATGCTGTTGGAGCGAAGGGTAGTGTGGTCTGGTCGCGCCGGAAGGCCAAGGTGCTGCTAAGGTCTGCTTTAATTGAAAGCAATGTTTAGAGAATGGCCTGGCGATATGGCTTGGAGGGGAGCAGCTGGATTGAAGCTTGACACTGTTGTTTGTTGGACTGCACCCAAAAGCATGCAGCAGGGGTTGCGCGCACGCCATTGGCTGCTGCGGCGCGTCTTGTTTACTTTGAGCACCACCCAGAGAGAGCCCCACCAAGAGGGCATCGTCCCCACCCAGGGCCCATCACTCCAGGGCCCACTCCACACATCACTCCCTTGATGTCTGGTTTCGATGGCAGGGTGGGCACTTCGTGGCTGGTGGCAGCAATCAACGAGGAGTGCGTGGCTAATCCATTGTGCATTCTTTTACTTCTCATTCACCTTCGTTTCGGCCTATATTTGCAATCATGCCCGTTCCTGGTCACTCTTCTCTCGTTTCAGACCCAGCTGCCCCCGCTGACTGCCCAGGTGTCAATAGCAGCTCTTCCAACGGAACGTAGAATGCATTCCCGGCGTCGTAGTAGACTCCATCTTCAAGCACATAACCATGGTCACGAGGGACATTCGAGAATCTCAAGAGTCTTCAGAGTTGAAGCCTGTGGCTGAGCGCAAAACGTTGACCTCAACAAATCGTTAAAACTAGAATAAAAGTGTCAAAAAAGAAAAAAGAGAAAAAGCGTCAATTTTCGCTGCATTATTCCATACAAATACGAAGAAAAGTTATTTCCAGCTCTGAACCATCAGGAGCCAAGGCAGAGAAGAAGAAGAAGCACATGGACATAGAAATAGCAAAGAGCCAGCTGTGTGCGCCACGTGCCAACCATCAGCGTTGAAACGCAGATATCACCTTAGGGCCAGTCGCCAGCGAGTCAGACAGTGATCTCACAGCAAGGAACTTGGTAGTAGATCTGGACCAGTACAACAGCGTGCAGGTGCATCTCGTCCGTACGGGATTTTGCATATTTCAGCCATAGGGCTTACTGCGCAGTATCTGCTCTTCTTGCCAGGAATACATCATCACGAGGGGCGGCCCGAACTGCCACCAGCCAGATTGATGATGTAGACAAGCCATTGCAGCGAGGCGTGGAAAAGGAAACCAGCCCAGCTGCTCATGTTGCTTCGTCTAAAACGAGGCTCTGCACAAAACTTTCCATCACGACCGGTCCTCACACTACCCAGGGTCCCCTAGAGCTCCACGACAATCTTGGTCGCACTAACACCAGCCTTGCACATCTCCAACGCCTTTTGGAGATACTCCAAACCCTTTCCCACGACAGTCGGCGGGGGCAGACATTTCAATTCGCCCGCCTCCAGCGCAGGAGTCACATAGTCGCGCCAAACGGGGGTGGCCACATCGTTCACCCCAAAGATCATGCCCGCGTGCACGCCCTCCGGCACACCCTCGGCGGGAGGCGGGTGAGAGCACGCGAGGTGGCCCTGGCCACCCAGCTTCGCCAGGATCGCCAGGTCGCGGGCAAATGTCTCGGGGATGGAGATGGCGTCGAAGATGCCGACGAGCTCCTGTCCCGGCTTGGCGTTAACGGCTGCGGCGACCTCGTCGACAAAGGCATCGACGTCGTCCGGGTGGTTGTGGTAGTCGATCACGGCCTCGGCCCCGGCGGTCTCGCACAGGGCCGAGTTCTTGGCGCTGGCGATGGCGATGACGCGGATCCCTGCTGCGGTAGCCAGCTGGGTGACCATGCTTCCAACAGAAGACGAACCGCCGTATACGACGAGCGTCTTGTTTGACGTGGCAGCAGATTTGGTGGCGGTGCCGAGGACGGGGTATGGCAGACCAAGAGCCGGGGTGGGGACGTTGGGCAGGGCAGTGCCAGGCTCCTTGACGGACAGAGAGCAGACAGCCGCTTCAAGAGCGAAGGGGACTACCACACCGTCTTTGAAAGGAATCTTGTCCGGAAGAATGGCAGCCTTGTTGGCCTTGACAACGGTGTAGCGTGCATACGCGCCATCGCGAGACTTGCTAGTGATCAGGTTGATGGTGTGGCTGGTTGAGTATCAATTGTCAGCATGAACATCCCATTGATCTTCGAGACCGATGCTGAAGACGTACCCGATAACCCGGTCTCCCTTCTTGAAGCGATCGCCAGCCTTTGCGCCCACCTCGTGAACAATACCGGCGACGTCACACCCGATGATGGCAGGGAATTCCGAGACGAAGACACCGATGTCCTGCATATGATTGTCGAGGGGATTGATGGCGATGGCGGCGTTCTCGATGACGATTTCGTCTGGGCCGGCGGTGGGCATGTGGGCTTCAGAAACCTCGAGGGGCTTACCGGCTTCACGGAGCCAAGCTGCCTGGTTCGTTGCCATTGTGGCTGATGTTGAGGTTGGTCGTTGGTGGAGGGAGGTGATACTGGAGAGACCGCGTATGACGAGTCGGTCAGGTTGGTTTGTCTGCTGTTGCGATGTTTGAGTAGCTTGATCTGGTGAAGGTCCAAGAAGTTCTTCCTCGACATGCCGGACAGATCTTCCATATATACACTTTCGATCGTCCCTCTGTCGTCAGCTCTGGATGCTCGAGCACAAGCTCCAGCCTGTAGGTCGGCGGAGCTGGCCCTCACGGAGACTTTTCTCAGGGCTCACATTGCGAAAATCGCCGAGGGCTTATCAAATGCTCTCAAATCACAATGGTTGATTCCTGTGTACATGGTACTCCCTCCACATCCAGCAGAATGTAATCCGTGTAAGTGCAGAACGGCATGTGTGGTTCCGAGCTCCACAGTGGAGCACTCGGACTGCCTTGTGCTGTGTCAGCGACGACAGTGTCAGTGTACCGTGCTTATGGGACATACACTGTACACAATGCTTACTGTCCACTGCCCAATTCGACCATGGCGGGTGTTCCGCCCAGAATCCTGCACTGTACGTCCGTCAAGCACATCGACAATGGCAGGCGACGATGATGAAGCCGAAATCATCCACAAGCTGTTGCGCTACGATGAGCGCCACAGTGTGCTAATCTGCCGGCAATGCCAGTACGCGATCCAGAAGACGGCCATCGAGAGCCACCTGCTGCGGCACAAGATCTACCGCAGCGAGCGCCGCCAGGCCATGGCGGCCGTTGCCCAGCTCGAGATCCTCGACCCGGAGCATGTGCAGCTGCCTCCTCCGACGTCATCGCCCGTATTCGGACTCCCACTCCTGCCGGGACTCAAGTGTGTGATGCCGGGCTGCGCCATGCTCTGCGTCAGCGCGAAGCGGATGAAGCGTCACTGGGCAGAAGTGCACAATACCACCAACTACCCGACCCCGTTCGCGACTGATGTCCAGATGCAGACGTTCTTCCGCGGCACCAAGAACCGGTACTTTGAAGTCAACGCCGCGATGGGAGACTCGGGGGATGCCCTCTCGTCGGGCCCTCCACATCTCCGGGATCCTGTCCTTCCGCTTTCCGCAGCCGCCCGGCCTGCATCCACCACGGCCACACCTCTAGCCGTGGACATCAATGTGCTGCAGTACTTCCACCACTACACCTCGTGTACAAGCCAGACTCTACCCCTCACTGAGGAAGTCTCCCGATCATACTGGCAGACACATGCTGTCCAGGTCGCCCTACAGCACCAGCCCCTTATGGCCGGCCTTTTAGCTCTGGCCGCAACCCATCTAGCTTTGTCAACCAGCCATGAAGAGATCAAGAAACCCCACGTTGAGAGCGCCTACGCCTTTGAAAGGCAGTTCCTCGCCGGAACTGAAGTGTTTCATCATGACGCCAATACTCCCCCGCCTGCGGACGCGGTCACCAGTTTACACAGTCAAGTCTCTGGTATCCTTGGACTCATGCGTTGGGGTCATGCCGCATCGCAACAGCACAGTGGGCCCGAGGGCCAAGTGCTGGATGCATTCCAGTCATTCCACCACCTCATACAGCGATGTGCATTCAGTTTCACTCCGTCCCAGCATCGCGAAGAAGCTGCTGGGCAAGATGAGATTCCCCATGCCGCCGAGCGCAGGGTTCCATCACCACCGCCTGCCATTTTGCGGGTACACAAGTTGCCATATCAAATGACAACGGCCTTTGGACGACCGAAGGACCCCGGTGGCGTTATCTCTGTGCTCACGGTTCTAAACTCACTTTCAGAGCGGCTGGCGCTATGCCACCTATCACGTGGCCCAACCGTCGCATGGACTGCTCTCGTCGGCTGGCTGGACAAGCTGCCAGAACAATTTCGGAGTCTGGTCGAGCGCAAAGAGGCACCGGTTCTGGTTGCTCTGGCTTTTGGAGCGGTGCTCATCAAACATGCTGCGCGGTCTTATTGGTTTCTTGAAGGGTGTGCGGAGCGATGGTTTGACTGCATCGTTGCCGACCTACCAAAAGACGACGACGCCATCAGCAAGCTCGTCGATGGCTTGCTGGATGAGTGGCCGGGAACCTGAAGACAATGGCACGACGACTGTCGGAGACGGGCCCTGCAACCGCAGCCGAAAATTGGACCGGGAAAATGGTATGCAACCTCCACCCCTTGGCTGGTCACCTACTCCATCCACGATGTCGTTGTTGAACCATATCTGCCCGTGGCGACCGACGGCACCGACCCAAAAACTAGTGGAGAGAGGAGGGGCCTGAAGCGCGATGGATGCGACTGCTCGGACACCGCCGAATATTGATATCCAACTCCAAGACGTACCTGCAGACAATGCTCACTCGTCAGGATACCGGTCCGCATGAACCCTGCAGCTGTGCCCTGCTTTATGCAAGGTACCGGTGTACCCCTTGTCGTGACGCCGTAAGCTGATTGGATCCCCAATCTCAGGGATGCTTCATCAACTATGGTTATCTGGTCGGTTGTTGGCTTGTTACATGAACCGCAACCCTTACGCGCGAAGGGATAATGACGTCGGCCCCACGTCCAGCCTCGGGCTTGAGCAAGAAGTGCCGTGTGAGAGACCAGGCCGGCGACTAACGCCAGCATTCTGCTACTACAGTAGGCTTTCATAGTGGCCCCCACGCGATCTCTCAAACTCCAAACAATTCAAGCAAGGGACTTTCGTTGTTTGGTATCCCACTGCATCACCGAAAGTAGGGGATGCAAGGATCAAAGCTCAGGTCCTTGCAAACAAATAACCACGCGGCGATTCGTCGCTTCACTTGATTGAGACTACTTTGCGGTGTTGCGCACTTTTTCATGATTCCAATCTCAACAGCCTAAGCGGTAGCGTCCATGACGGCCCAGACGAGTCCTTGTTCGCTTGTCGGCGAATGTGGACCTCTGTGATCGAGTTCGGCAGTATCAGGGTTCCTGAGAACAACCATCGGAGTACTCTCTGCATGAAGCTCGTTGCCCACACCAATGTATCATTATAGCCCGGCGCAAAGCCCCGCTGTGTGCTCCGCTACTGACTCGACCTTACCGAGAGGCAAACTCCAAGCAGTCTCATTACGCTGGTCCAGCCGGGCCTTTCATGACGGAGACAACAGACGCTACTGCGCTCGCAGCTGCATGTTCAGATGTTTGCGGGACAAACATTGCTCATCGCATCCCTCTCCAAGATGCCAAATCTGAACCTGCGTTTTGCGTATAAAGGACGAGCTGTCTGCCGAGTGTTCTGTGCTTGAAGATTCTCATCAACACAGCAAAGGCTTCTTCCTTCTCCTCAGCTCTCAGTCACTCCTTGGACATCAGTGCTAGACACTGCAACCGACATCCCGCAACACGCTCCTTGGCCAACATCAATTTGTCTCGACGACAACATTTGTCTTCTCACTACACAGAGCTCCATTCCAAGATACCCCCTTTCTATCATCTTTCTCACATCAGTCAAGATGCAGCTCAGCCTTGTGTCCATCCTTGCTGCGGCCTCTGCCGTCTCGGCCAGCACCATCCCCGAGCACGCTCGCCGTGCCACTGCCATCTCGGTCACCCCGCATGACCGTTACTCCTCCTCGGTCGGTGTCCTTGGTTGCAAGATCAACACCAACCGTGTTGCCTACTGGCCCTCTTCCGTCTCCTGCGACAAGCTTTGCGTCAGGGTCACTGCCAACGGCCGCTCCGTCACCCTTCTCAAGGTCGACCAGTCTGGCGGCGCCTACGACATTTCCTACGATGCTTGGAACTACCTCGTCACGGGCAGGGGCGCCAAGGAGAACCCCGTCTACGGTGGCGGCATCAGCGCTACCTATGAGGACGTCCCCATGTCCGAGTGCTCCAGCCTGCTCAGCGGCGCGGGCGGCAAGCTTCCCCTGACCGCAGCCAACTCCATGAACTACGTCTCCAGCTGCGGCAGCAACACCTGGGCCGGCAAGAACTACGCCCTGTTCAACATCCTCGACCCCGTCTGCAAGTGGGGATACGACGAGCAGTGCACCCTGCCTCCGCCCTCGGTCAGCAACCAGCCTAGCTGCCCGCACCAGCTTGGTGTTCCCGTCGCCTTTACAGGCAAGGGCGTTTACAACATTGACTACGGCACGGGCAAGGAGTCGCTTGCTTAAGCGATTACAGCACTCCTGGCCGGTCACGACTCCACGATCCAATCTCGCCCACAAACGTCAAACCTTGAGCATGATATGCCTCTTCTTCTTCTTCCTCGACTTCTTCGTTTCCGTCACCATCCTTCTCTTCTTGCACACCCCGTCCTGTCCATGGAAGACGGCGGCGTGCTGAGACACAACACGACAAAGTTCGGGCTTCAGCCCTTCTGTCTCTTTCCAGCTTCCCTTCGAGCACATTTCTGCATATACAAACGAAATGGCCTGTTCACTCTCGCACAGTTCTCCTTTCCCTCTACCGATATGCCATTTACCTCACTCGCTTCAGTCTCCCAGATCTATAGAATATAGAGAAAAGAATATGCTTCCTTCCTTCACTTTGTTTCTCAGACAGTGATATCTGATGTGTTCCAATCTTCGCAAGCATTCCCAACTACGAGCAATGAGCAATCTTCGCGGCCACTGACAAACATTTGCCCACTTCGCCCCTATCCTCATTCAACCCAGAGTCCGTCCTTTTGATTGGCAAGCCTGCATGGCCGTCCATTTTGTTGGTTCTGTGGCCTGCCATTGCATATGTACGCTGCAGTGCATTGATTGGTTGAGTGGTTTTGCATCCAGTTATGGCGCCGCCAGCAAGCCAGGATCACGGTTGAACACCCCCACACGGATTGTGTTCCCCGAGCGCTTGAGGGCTCATGAGACCCTTGGTTCGTATGCTGCAGCTACCACTTTTGTCACACAGCTCTCGGGATGGGAAGATTTTGTTATGCATGATCCCCTGCTCTGCAACCAACAGTCACATTCAAGCGGGCCGTGCCATGCCTTGGCGCAGAGTATGGGGTTACTTTGTATGCTGCTGGCAGAACCTCGAGGTCCTTGTCTGTCTTTTGCCAGGCAAATCAAAATTCCTTAGCGATGCGAGTGGTGCAGGGGACATGATCGAGTCTTGATAAGGAGCGCATGTGATACCACTCAATCCCCTTCGTTTATTATGACTAGAATTCTATTCATCTTTGACGATTTCTTCGGCTCCAATTGACTCCATTACACACAGCCTCTCAAGCCAGACACAAATACACAGGTCGTCCAAGTCATCCAGCAGCCCTTCGCCTAGCACTCCTGGACTTTGTCCGGTGATATCGCCGTCTTCTAGGCAGCCTGACATCCAGCATCATGGCTAGCGAAAAGTTCCAGGCCGGCGGCGTGCATATAACCGAACAGGATGGCATGTCCACGCCGGCAAGTGGCCCTGATGATTACGATGCATTCACCGAGAGCCAAACACGGACTCGCAAGCTGTTCTCATTTCCACAGCTATTAGCCTTCTCGTTCATGTACTTCATCACCTGGCTAGGAGTGGGAACGTGAGTATCGCTAGCATTCCCCCTACGTAACCCCATCCGCGAATTTCGACTAATACCCCTTCACGTCTCAGTGGGATGTATTTCACTCTCATCAACGGCGGCCCAGCAGCGTACCTCTTCAACTTCATCGTCGTCATCATCGGCGTCCTCGCCCAGGCTGCCTGCCTCGCAGAACTGGCGTCCATCGTTCCGATCGCAGGCGCGCAGTACTATTGGACATACCACTACGCACCTGCAAAGTACCGGCTCTTCATGACCTGGATACAGGGCTGGACAACATGGCTAGGCTACGTCGTGCTGTTCGCCTCAGCGCTCAATGCCAACGTCATCGTCGTGCAGGCAGTCATCTCAATCACCCACCCTGACTACGAAACCACCGGGTGGCGCACGACGTTGTTCGTGATAGTCACGCTGGTGCTATTCACGATCATCAACGTGTGGTTCTTCTGGACCGTCCCGTGGTTCGAGATGATCTCGGGAGTTCTGAATGTCTGCTTCTTCGTCGTGACGATGGCGTCGCTATGGGCGCTCTCGCCGCGGAACGGGCCAGAGTTCTTCCTCACGACGAGCAGCTTTTCTGGGTGGGACAATGAATTCATTAGCTGGAACCTGGCCATGCTGTCGCAGATATGGTGCTTCATCGGTACGTCCGTCCCCCTATCGGCATTGACCGTGTCGCGCAGGTTCTCACTCCAGTGTGTGCAGGCTTCGAAGGGGTCATCCACATGGGCGAGGAAGCCCAAGACGCGCGTCGCTCCGTGCCAAAGGCCATGGTGGGCGCCATTGCCGCGAACGGCGTCATGGGCGTGGTGATGATTGTAACTTTCATTGTGAGTCACCAAGCACCTACTGACTTTGACGTCGCTTGGAAACGACGAAACTCATGCGAGCCTTACAGGTCTGCATGCCTCCCCTGGAGGATATGCTCGCTTCTCCCAGTCCACTGATATATCTGCTCGTGCGCGGAACGGGGTCCGACACGATCGCCACCGTCATCGGGACTGGCATCGTCTTTATTCTCTTCAGTGCGACACTCGGCATGTGCTCCTCGACAAGTCGGCTGACTTGGGCGTGGGCTCGCGACGGTGGACGTGAGTATTTCCCCCTGGTGGTGCTTCACCGCTATCGACTGGCCCAGCAGCCCCGGGAACACCCTGATACTGACCTTTGACACTCATGCCAGTCCCCACATACTTCGGCCATGTCGACAGCAAGAACCGCGTGCCTGTCAGAGCCGTCCTGCTGACCTGCAGCATCGTGGCCGTCCTCAGCCTGCTCAACCTCGGCACGGGCGCGTACGTCGCGCTCAACGCCGTCAGCTCCCTGTCCTCCCTGGCGCTGTACCTCAGCTACGTCATCATCCTCAGCCTCGTGCTGCACGCGCGCCTCGCCACCACCACCGGCCTGCGCGTGGGCGAGTGGAATCTCGGCCGCTGGGGCCTGCCCCTGAACGTGTTCGCGCTGGTGTACACGCTGTACACGATGATCTGGCTGCCCTTCCCCACCACGCTGCCTGTGACCCCGGAGACTATGAACTATTGCGGCCCGGTGTTCGCGGCGGTCATGTCGGGAGTCGTTGGCGCGTGGGTTGTGTGGGGGAGGAGAAACTGGCGGGGGCCAAACAGGAAGATCGTGGAGATTGTCCTACGTCTTGCATCCGAGTAGGAGTATATGAAGGTTCATTGATGGGACCAAGGGGGCGAACGGTCATGTGGGCTTCGCTCTCTTGGCTGCAGATTGGCGCTGGTCTGCAGATTCACCTTCAAGGGCGCTGCCAAGGACGGCCGAGCTTGTACTTTGAGAAATCTGGATCTCTATCTGCCAAGCAACACCATCGGGTATCAATAATTCCTCACCAGTGTTTCCACCAGGTAACGTGACATCGTGTCTCTCGCAAGTATCCCAACTCTTCTCCCACGATCGTCAGACGCCCCCGCATTTCCGCCGACAGGAGCTTGAAGAGTTGTGCCGCAAAGCATTGGGCTTGCTCATTGTGCTGTCGTCAGAGGGCAAAGTGGGCAAGGAACGAGTTTTGCCTTTGTGTCGCAGGCTCCTGCCGATATTGTGCCACTGCTACACCGCCCAGATAGCTCGAGTCGCTGAATCTCGAATTGCCCGGAAGAGCTGGAATCCATGGCGATGGAGACAATGGAAGTGAGCGCGCTTGTACAAAAAGCATGAATGTCCGCATGTTGACAGGTCATATCCGTTAGTCTGCATGCTGTCTGCTTCTAGCCTATCATCTGCATCTGCGACCACGGCACATGCGCCACGGCACAAGGAACATCGAACGTGTGCTATGCAGATATTGTCACCGAAAGAGCCTCGCCCACCTTTTGCACGGTCCTGACGAAGTCGTGAAGAGATCCCCCTCCCCTGAGTGCTTCTCACCGGCTATTCAGACAGGAGCGGCCTCTGCGCAATATAACCGTAAACTTTTCAGGGGGACACCCTTGACCAGCCCCGCTGCCGGACGTCCGTGTTCCGGCAGGAAAGCGGCAAGATGATCAGTGTGATCCCTCCCCATAGTGCCAAGACCACTGATAAGAAAAAGCAACGGAAGACGGAAGACTAAGAAGAGTAACGATAGGTAGCTCGGGCGAGCTCTGCAGCATTGATTGGAATTCTGCTGTACAGCGAGCGCACTACAAGCCGACTGGTCAGTCCAATCTGTGACGGTCCTAGCAGCCATGATCACCCTGGTTTCCCCGAGAAACCTTGTAAGGTGCGCGTAAAGCTTAGACCAAGTTATGGGCTGTGCGCAAGGTGTGAGGAAATTGCCATACAATCCGGGCTTTGGTGGTCGATCAAAGACATCGAGCATCTGTGACGACGATGTTCCCGGTTCTAAAGAACGCTTTATGGCTTACCAAACCCAAAATGGGAAATGATAATATCAATCAAGCATGCGTTCTATGAGAATAGGGTTGCGCGATTTACATAGTATTTTGTGGTTCTGAGCCAGGCCGCTGTGAGCCCATTACCACACTCGATCAGGGCTGAAAATCGGCACTACTTTCGGCATCCACGGGCCAGCTGTGAGGTGTCTGGGGTGCTGCCGCTTTTCACAATGTCTGATTTCAATGCATGAGACATTCTGTGGCTGTGCCGCCATTGTTCATATATTCTCGACATCAATAGAATCATCAAGACCGGTTTCATGAGAGGCGAGATCACATCAGTTCCTTCGCCACCTTGAGGGACGGGAATTGGGATAATTGTTCCCGGAAACGCGCCGATCGCTCAACTACTCCTGCCGTGCCAGTGTAGCCATATCTATGCTGCTGCTGTCGGTGTCTGCCATTCACGCCTGGGACATGGATGAGTTCATGCGCAAGCTTCATGGATGCAAGGAGCAGCACCCATGAAGAAGCAAACAAGAGGGATTCAAACCCCGGCGGGCTGTGACATTGACATCCGGGCAGGCAGCACAGGGCTGAACATCACAGCGTATTGGTGCGAACGACTGCCGCTGTCGTAGCATCGGAGGGCTGCTCGATGTTTGCGTCACATGAAGAAAGAATCTGGGAATACAGAGCCGAGAAGCATTGTGAGTGGTCGGCACCACACGACTAGTATGATCGAAAGCGATCTGACAGCGTCATCTACGATAAGTATTCGGCTGGCTCGGAGTCGAAGACGTTTGCTGTGCTCCAGGTCTGTTGCCAACCCCGGGCTGCAGCTTCGCATGGCCTTTCACAACGGCGGCACTGAGGGCCGGCAAGGCGCATTCTGTTGAGCTCAGGAGTCCGGCGTTGTCCGGAGACCGTGTCTGGTCCGTCATGCTGAGTGTTATCCCATGCGGGTTTTTTTTCACCTTGCATAATGTGTCCGTATGACCAATCATCTGGCGCGCCCTGCCAGTGGCCGCCCTGGTCATTAACAATCTGCAGGGTGTGGACCGGGTCTGCATTCAGGCTGCCTCGGCTCTCTCCTCCCCACGACGCAAGGTTGGCATTGGACTTCTGTCTTACATACAATCACACGTAGTCACCCAAGCTGATCCAGCTCCGCTCCGCCAACGAGAGAATTGGGTGTCGGCTCGACAAGCCAGCGCCATAAGCACAGCCCAAGTCAAGAAGGACTAAGGTTTTCCCCCCACCCCTGCCCGTCTGTGCCCCTGTGAGATTGTCCGAGCATTACATAGAGTCGTTGGGCACCCGAATTGAATTCTGCTTCCCACCACTACACGTTTCTCAGGGCCACACACCATGTTGGCCGCAACTCTGAATCACCAGAGAAGTCGTCGCCACCTGACAACACATATTTCTTGATGACCCCGAGAAAGACAACCACATACCTCTGTTGTGGTACCATCATGATCCGATCCAGCTCAGCACCTGTCATCGCCTAGGTCTGGCATGTCCACGAAGGCGTCCTTCCCCACCGCTTGATCAACCAGAGATCTTGTCTCAATGGCATGACTTCAGGGCTTTTGAGCCATGAATCCAGGCGCAATGGATGGTTTAGAGTTTGGGTGTCGATCCATTGCAGTGTGTGCCAGAGAGCGAGCTGCAACATCAGCATGGAACATGGAGGCATCTATGCACGGTCTTGGGTCTCAGAAGAACACCTATAGGGACGGAGAAAGATACCGGGCATATCGTGAAGTATGGGGCCCATCCTTTGCCGAGTCGATCAAGATCTTCGCTAACACACTCATCTCTGTTAGCTATGAAGTATGTCGAGCTCAGCAAGGTCTCTCGCTATAGCGCCTTGATGATCCTGTTGAGACACGCTTCGGCGGCGGATCCGTTCGCGCTTGAACATAGCAAATATGATCATGATTGCTATGTGACGACATTTGAACTTTGGGTGGTTCGCGCCCCTTCGTATCGATGTCGCCATTTTTGACTATACAGTCGACCAAGCCGTCAAGACATACAAAGACGATGTCCGTAACAGACTTGCAATATCTCTTGCCTGGCGATGCCAGCTGTTCATCGATGGAATCGTCTTGGAAGAGCTTCTTGCAGAGATCGGCTGTTCGCATACTCGTCGGATTTTCGTCTGCAAACCTTGCTCACAAAAGGGGGCAAGTTTGACCGAGGATGTTCCAGCCAAGCGGATCTAACATCACTCGACTCAAAATGCCAGCGCTCTTCGTCTTCATGTTTGGTATGACTTGACTGGACTCCTGCAGCACCGCTCCAGGTAGACACGCGACGGCGTCTGGCTCTGGGAGGGGGGGGGGCTTTTCAACCACGATACGCTCCATGTTCGCTGCTCTCGATATTCTGCGGCACTAAGAGCATTGCCAAAAGCAAGGTCTATCGCACGACTCGTCCGGCGCTCCAGCAGAGATTGAGGATGTCCGCATATAAGGCGAATATGGGCCTCAGTCTTAGGCTACAATTATGGTCCCAGGGGCTAGGCATCATGCCAATACTTTGTGGCCGAATGGGTGCATGGGCTGCGACTTCCACGCTTGACTCGGACGAAAACTGGAGTCCTCTCTTGGGATTGCCGAGTTTTCGAACCAGTCTGGTTCGGCCACAGAGCTTGGAAAGGAATATCCCGAGGCATGGCTTGAAAGATGTTTCTGAATGTACGAGACGATCAGGTTGGAGATGATGGTTCAGAGACGATTCCACGGAAAGAAGTGCGCTTCAGCTGTCTTACAGCGACTCCTCCGGTCACGTTTACACTGCAGCAGAGGTAGCAAGCAGGTGGAAAAAGAGATACCGCCATCAGAATTGCACACAAGCTCTGTGTGGCTATCAAATCCATACGGTCGTTGTGTCTTTACCGCCTGCTGTCACATGGCAGCGAGCCAGGAGACTGCATTGCGGCCAAAAGCATCCAGCACGACGCAGTACCGCAGCAAAGTTCGATTCGGAAAATATTGAATACGGCCATGTAAGTAGTCAGCGAGTACGGTGCCGACATTCTGGAACGCTTTCTACTATCGTTGACAGCATTGTTGAGCTCGTTTTCCAGCATCCGGAGTTCGCAAGGTCTTGCGTGCGGATCATGATCTGGCAGCATCTGTTGGGTTGTGAAAGAGGACATTCTGGTGTCTACAACTCTCTGGATCACGGCTGACTTGTTTTACCTGCAGCAAGATCGACACCATGATAGGTGCATGCCCGCCTCACAAGTTTTGAACACCATGGACGGACTCGTTTGGCCAGGCAGTCGAGGAACACATCCACGGCAGTCCTTTGTGCGTCTTTGGTGCGGATGTCTGGATCTGGACACTCGGAGTGGTCCTTGCAACGGTCCCATCGAGATCTTCGGGAATGTGGGATCTAACGGAAAACCGCGAAACGAACGACCAAGAGGACTGTGCTCTGCAATACCAGCCACCTTGACACCGTCACCAACCAAAGACGAACGCCGTTCTGCGACGCTGAGACGCTGAGACGCTGAGACGAGACCGACTTACTGTCATTTAGACAATCCTGAATCGGCAGCCAGACCCGGCGGCATTTTGCGACTTGGAGCTCCAGCTACCGACGCCCAGGACCAAGGGGGGGACACCAATTGTTGAATCGCCAAGCACTCTCCCAACGTGCCAACAACAGGGATCCCTCCAAATGACAATTAGAACGTTGGGAAAGCTGCCCTCGTCCGCAAACACGCAGCAGCATCCATCAAGGACCTAAGGCACATCGAGACGCACCGCGGAAGCACGCGATAATCTCTGGCAGACGACAATGCCGCATGACGCTGGATCTCAACCGTTTCGAAAGGCATGGACATATCTGGTGGTGCGGAGGTCTCGCCTCAACAAAACGCTGCTTCAGGGGACAGTCCAGGGATTCAGACCAGGGGTGTTTTTCGACTTCTGCTTGCACGCTCAGTACGCTCAACGTGGACGCGTTCGGGCTCCGGCCTCACGGCAGGGATCATTGCAGGGTTGTAAGCAGCCACCAGTTTCACACGAACGATCGACGACCAATTACTTTATCTGCTCCAGAGGCCGACGTTTACAGCTATCGCGCCATTGTCCCGATCGATCGCGGCCTCGCCGAACTGCAAAGCCATCTAGGACTTGCAAGGTACCGGATTAGAACTTTCTTTTCTTTTTCTTCCAGTACGGACCAGCTCTGACCGAAATCATGCGTACCGTAGCATGGGCATGTCACAGCATATGCGGCCTGACGTACGGGGCAGCCAGCTCACTCACCAATTTCCGCAATGCAGCACAGGCGCGAATCCGGATGCCCAATTTCCTGGCACTGCAGCTTGTTTGTAGAAGCAAACTTCCGCAAGGGGTCCACTTTACCACAACGATCCAAACGATTGTGAGGCCGTCACAGCTCACTCTCAGCAAGCCAACCCCCTGTGGCACCACAACCCTCGGGCGGCGCCCGTGGTTGCCTGCTACCAACGAGGCTGCGTGGTTAGTCATCTTGTTGCGACGGCTCTATCCGCTTCCGCGTTCCGTTGACAGGGACGCAGGCCACAATCAGGGTTTACGGGCAACGAGGCGCTCTGGTCGCCTTGCCAGCGGCATGGCGGCAAAGGGGCCGCCCATGACAAGTGCACATTTCTCGCCAGGATCACGGTCGTCTTTGCAGATCCAGGAACATTTGTCCCTAAGGTGATGGCATAGCACCTGCCACCCTGGCCGCCGCCGCGGGTGTTCCGCCACACCGCAATATGCAGAACGTCTTGCCGTGCCGTCGCCATGCCTCGTCATCGCCGGCACAGCCTCCGCCCCGGCAAGTGCACCACTTGCAAAGCCTGGGCTGCGTATGCTGCTCGCATGCACAGAGCCAAGCATTTTCTCCACTACGTATGGCTGGGATCTCGCGTTGTTGCGACACCCCCATTTCCCTGGACGAATCTCTGGCTCGGGGCCGCGCTTCAGCCCATTGACGGCGTTACGAGGGTACTTCCCCTTCGTCAGGTCATTGCTGTGCTGGGCTACGACTCTGACTTGGGCTTTCGTCATCTTCTTTCCGAGTCCTCCAAGCCGGGTAGCCTCCCGGTGCAAGGATACCGGATCTTCGCCCCGTTAAGGCTTGATTTGACTTGCAATGCCCACAACCCGACTCCGAACGACGGCTTTGCGGGAGAGCAAATGACAGCTGCAAGGGAGAGTAGGCGTACTGCAGAGGAATGCCTCGGCATGAGGTTTTCCGACTGGTCTGCGCAAGGTCATCCACCGCAAGCCTATTCGTCGACGGCTCGTGATCCCTGCAGGCCCGAATCTCGACCTAACCTCATTCGATGCAGTAGGGTGAAGGCACTGCTGTGCTGTTCAGAGGAATGATTATCCCTGGATCGGGCACGGTAACAGCCTCTGCAAAGTCAGTAGTTGAAGCAGGACTATGCACCGACCACCTCGGAGCTTCCAATCTTTGGAATTTCTTCGAAATTGTTCTGCCAGATGACCCCTGACATCTCAATAGTAGCCGGAGCTACGCTACGGTCATCGAGCCTGCGAGCAAAAGCCTTCTGGGTACAAAAGCCTGGCCCGTACGCCCTCGCTCTTGGGTAGTCTATTTTTCACACCTACTCACGCGAGCATCCCGACCCAGCCGTCCTTCATACCACGTTGCTCTACTTTCGATCCCTCTCGCAAGAAACAGCACACCGGGCCCGCCGTGTAGCCAGACACAGTGGCGATGATCTTCATCTTGCATGCTCCACGAACAGACCTAACCGACGGTATCTCAGAGGACAGCGATGAGCACCTCAGCCTCCCTTTCGCCAGGCCGGGCATTTATTTTGCTATCTTTGTTTGCTTTTGGGGCTTTTACGCTTTGCTGCGTGTACTGTCCTGGGGCAAACAACGCATCGTGCGGTGGGCGAGGCACGCTCGTGCTGAGACGCAGCGATCTGAGAACATTGAACTTGCTGATGTCGCTTCGGCCCAACCTGAGCAGTCTCGTACGAGCCGTTTCAATCAACTGCTCGGGGTCGCTCATGCCTCAGTTCTCAGCCTTTGGGACACGGCCCTGTCCTATCTGGCATGACATCCCGTCACAACTGAGATCGCCGCCTGAGAAAACTGAATTGCCCCTGGCAGAACAGATCACAACACCAATTGCGGAACTGGAGGTAATTGGCATTTCCATCCCTGTTGTTTGCTTTTGACTGGCAGCTGGGTCAAGCCATACTGATTATCTTGCAGACTGCAGCGAATGCTCATGGCGACCCGTACTCGACGTCCACAAGAGAGACTTTACCGGACCAACAAGATCGATTGCACGACGGATACCACGTACCACTTTTGTGACTAAAGGTCTGAGAACGAAACTACAAGGCGAGATACGACAGCGCAAATGTACAATGCTGTGACGGGTTATCTATACGGGACATTCAGCTGTGAGCATCAGGACTTCGGGACATTAGCATTAAAACAAAAACCGGCCGTGTTGCCCCATAGACAGGTGAATGGGGGGAAGTTACTCTGATGGACCTTGTATGATCTGGTGGCGCAGAGCATGCTTGGGCAAGTCCCCATTTCTTTCTTATGCTTGAGGACCCTAGGGTCCCCAAGCAATCCATATGATATTAGACTCAGTTAGAGCAGGAACGAAGAGTCTTTCAATCCTCTCGCTCTGATATGGACCCGGATGCATGAGTTCGTTTTTGCCGCGAGATCTTGCTGCCAGGACATGGTCCCCAAGACTAGCTGGCACTTTCCTTTAGCGCTGTTTGGTGGCAATTGCTCCGTGGCGCACGATGCCACGGGCTAAGCATGCAGCTTGGGTGGTCGCCTGGCGCACGGTCGAATGCAGGAGCGCCTGGCAGCGCTGCGCGTGGGTTGATGCAGCCAGACATATGGCAGCCCTGGGCCTCTACACGCAGTGTAACAATCCTAGCAGAGGCATTCACATTAACATAGCAGTCCCTACGGGAACCCTCTTTTAGGCCGCCCGGGACTCAAACAGTCCACATTGCCGCAGCGCGAGGGCCGTTGCAGATACCCGCATTTACTGCTTGCTTGCTGGCGAACCTCGTACAATCATCACTCCACTTCAGCCCTCTGTAATGCGCCCCGCGCCGTTAGTGGCCGGCTTTGCGTGGGTCGCGCTTCGGTCATCCGCGGAGCCGGCGTGATCGGTAGGCGTCGGAACCGGCCTTCCGGCCGGTGCTGGTACTCGCGGGGTACAATACCTGTGAGTGGAGGTGAGACAATGAAGTCCAGCATGGGTAGTGGCATGCGACGCCCGTGGCAGCCACGCGAGTCCTTGCATTACGCCAATTCCAACTCGTGCCTGACCAGGGCGATATGACGCAGACTTTGTGGTGAGACGATGATGCCCTGCCCGAAAAGGCATGCACCTGTGCGCGTTTCTGAAGATGGGCCCTCGAAATACCTATGCGACGTTGGGGCGGTGCTCTGTCGTCGCGCGGGTAGTGTGGCTGAGACAACTGTATCCCGAGCAAGTGGGCGAATGATAGTACCCATTTCACAGCGTAAAAGCGCCCCAACTTTCCCCCCATCCCTTCGCGGCTTGCCCAATCGTGGAGCAGGCCCGTCAATCTGCCCCTGAATTCCAAGGCCACCCAGCCCTGTACCCATCCGTCCCTGGTCTGCCTTGTACCAGTAGGAGGTCAAAACCTAACCATGATACAGTGGGGTGTGCCCGTATTTAGCGTAGAGGGCACCACTGGCGAGTGCAACACGGCATTGTCACCCAAAGTGGCTGTTGCGATTTCCCTTCGATACTTTCCCCTCTTTCTTTGGAGGATAGAACTCTGCGACCATTGCTTTTAAGAATGAGATACTCGCTTGCAGACTGCCAGTTAGGTAGGTACACAACGAAGTCGTGCAGTAACCATGGCGCGGCTCCTCATTGCCACTCCGCTGCCTCCTGAACTCCGGAGTTGCATCTAGGGCTCAGCACAACACTATTAGCCGAACGCATCATCACACGTGCTCGCTCGGCTTCCGCGTAGGCGTGAAAGGTGAACGAATGGAATAGGGGTAGCCATGCAATCAGAATTACAGAGGCATGGACTATTCAAATAGCGTCTAATATATCCGCCCCTGAGCACGGCGCTCTAGATCTCGGTAGCCAGGATCTGCTCAATCGCCTTCACAGCAAGTTCCACGCTGCAATTCACTATTTGAATGAGCCTCCAGTCCTCTTCTGCTTTAAACTGTGGACTTTATAATGGCATTTACGGAATACTTGCCTCAATTCTCAGCAACTATGAACAGGAATTTCCAGATCCACACAACATCTTCGAGGAACCGCAGCGTTGCCCCGGAACACTCGTATCACAAGAGCCTTAATCGACGACTACCGCCGGATCCGACAACGCACCCTGCGCGCCTGCTGATGCTTGGAGTTGCAGATGCGTGACACTCCCCGTCTCCCCGCGAGCGGTGATCTTGATGCTAGGAGCGCCTGTCATAGCGACGGCTGGTCATACGTGAATGCTGCGTACAATCTCCAGACGATTTCAGCTGTGGCTGAACGCGCAAAGGGGCGCGCAGGGTGAGATTCGACCGCAGAACTGATGGCTGTCCACCCGCGTCCAGAAAGAGGAAAGTACAGCGCAGTGACTTTTGGAAAGCAGCGGAGAAAACTCGGCACGTTTCCACCCAACGGTGAATAAGAGAGGCGTGTCGGGTGGAGGTTAACCGCCTCTGCCTGGCACCCCGCACTTCGTCAGCCAGACAGAGTTTGATATCTCCGCGGGATACGAGATTTAACCCTTCAGAACGCACGCCGCATTTCGTCAGCCAGACAGAGTTTGATGTCTCCGCGGGATTCGAGATTTAACCCTTCAGAACGCATATGCACCGTTTGCCGTCACATCTTACAGTCGCAGCAAGAGTTGTGGTGATGTCCTTCGCCCGGTGGCACAGGGCGCATGTCGTCGCTCTCTGACTCTTCGCGACAGCGTGGTCTCGTCTTGTGCTTCGGAAACTTGACACGTACAGTAGGCAATACCGATAGACGAGCAGATGTAACATCCAAACATCTAGTCGCCTTGTCCTTCAAGTATAACTCGAGGGAACGAGCGATGCGGGATCCGGAGTGGTTAGTAAGCAACGTGCAGGGAGTCGCGGGGACTGAACCCGAGCCAGTTCCGATCCCGGCTCCGTCGAGAGGCAACACATTTTTTATTTAAAGATGTGACATGCTCATTGTGTCTACAAAACCCGTTCAGTATCTCCATCTCTCAACCACCCAGGAATTGCCAGCATAGTTACCCGCAATGGCCACCGAGTCGAGACCACCTTTTCCACCATTCACTCTGGAGACGGCGCAGAAGAAGGTCAAGGCTGCTCAAGATTCTTGGAACACCAGGTAAGAGCTTGACAGCCAGACACAAATACTGATGGAAACAGCGATACTGACGAGTCTGACAGAGACCCAGAGAAGGTCAAGATGGCCTACACGCCCGACTCCATTTGGCGCAACCGTGGCACATTCCTCCAGGGCCGCGACGAAATCGTCAAGTTCCTAACCGACAAGTGGTCCAAGGAGGACGGCTATCGTCTGAGGAAGGAGCTGTTCGCTTTCACCGACAACAAGGTCAGTAGAGTCAAGCTCGAGCACTGCGTAACCTGCGACCTAATAACAGCAACAGATTGCGGTGCAGTTCTGGTACGAATGGCACGACGAGTCTGGCCAATGGTGGCGCACATATGGCCTCGAAGACTGGACCTTCGCCGAGAACGGATTGATGAGGAAGAGGCAGATGAGCGGCAACGATGTGCAAATCGACAATGAGGCGCGCTGGTTCAAGGATGATGTGGATGTGAACACGGTCTCTATCGGCGAGAAGCACTGGTAGGTTATCCGTCGAGGTGACGGGAGGCATACGGCCGGGTGGACGTCAACATATATTCATACGGCATTCCCATTGCCTGGAACAAGCATAGCAGGGACGAGGCGAGGACTGTTGTGCAGACTGAGACAACTCAGCTAGCCTTGGTAATTTAGAAAGGGTGCGAAAAGGACGGTCACTCGGCTGCCGTATATGGATGGACATCCGCTCGTTATGTCAACGTCAAGCACGCTCAGTCTGTTCATACAGACGGCTGCCTCCGTCGCTCAATCGCTTCTCTTCAGCTTCGTACAATATCGCCCCTGGAGAGAGCCTACACACCGCTCTCGCTGTGGGAAGGCACCTGTGAACAGTCGTGAATATCCTGCCACGGCAAGCCCTTGGTTCTTAAGCTTGACTGGAAGATCGTCTTCTTCAGGCGTAAAGCGAGCTCTTGTTGACACGCCTCGCTTCGTAGTAGGGCGCTTCTTGACCGGTGACTGGTACTGGAGGCGTTCAGTCGTAGGGTTTTTGCGTCTGTGGTTGACGCAGGAGTCCCAGACAACCTGTAACTGGAAAGTCGCCAGGCCGTACGTCGTTACACGCTTGCGAACCACGTCCCCAAGCGCATACTCCTCGAACTTTGCCGTAGGGACCTGGGCGCTCACATCTTCATTGCCGGAACCTTGAGACGAGGGCGGGCTAGGTATGCTGCGCCGGCCAGAGCGCATCCGACCGGAAGCCGATGTTTGGACCTGTTGCGATCCGGAGGTGCCATTCAAACGAGTCCACCGTCCGTTGGACGTCCTAAAGGTTGGCTTGGTAGGAGTACTTATCTTAAGGCGCTTGCGTTGCGGCGGGCGAATATCGCCGTCTTCCTCGTCCAGACCACTTTCGCTAGCCGAAGAAGGATGGTAGGCATCCTCGTCCTCCCTATTGCGGCGCAGACGACGGCTGTCCTGGCCGTCGGATTGTTGCACAGCTTCGTCGCTATCCTTGAGGTTGATCTCGGAGGCCTTGAGGGAATGATGTTCCCCGTATTCAATTACACTCCTCCTCCGCCTAGGTCTGGGCCTGGGTAAAGGCGGCTCAGCTTCGTCATCTTCCTCGCTATCACTGTTGTCGCCATCCATGTCGTCACGAGAGTCGCCATAGTCGACGGACTTGGACAAATACACACCAGACACCACGGGCCCTCGGAATCCCTGTGCGACATTGGAGTGATGCTCTGTCGTAGCGCAGGTAGTGCGGCTGAGACAACTGTATCCCGGGCAAGTGTGCGAATGACGGTTGGAACGCAGGGGGCGGGGGTGGGTGGAGTACCCATTTCAAAGCGTAAAAGAGCGCGAACTCTCCACTGCCCCATCCCTTTATAGCTTACCTAAATGTAGAGCAGGACGTCAATCTGCCCTGATCTCCTAATACTTACAGGCTACCTACCCCTATACTAATCCGTCCTAGGTCTACCTTACGCTAGTATAAGGTCAGGACCTAACTATAATATAGTAGGGTACCTGTATTTAGCCATAAAGGGGCAGCGCCGGGAGTATAATAGGATATAGGATTGTTACCTAAAGTGGCTTTTGCGATTTCTCTCTGACAGGGTTCCCTCCATTCTTAGGAGGCGTGATTCTACGACTGCTGCTTCGAAAAATGAGATAATCTTACAGTTGTAGCCCTCTGGCAGCATGTCGCCCCCTGATGTAAACGCGACTACCTTAAGGTAAGGAGCCCCAGGACGAGCACGCAGTGCAAAGTATTCCCAGAAACTACGAATCTAGTATGTGTTTGAAGAACACGTCTACTGCGGCTAAGTTGGCTGTGATATGTTCCAGAGTGCTTGCGTGCCGTTGCCCATTTGTTCAAAGATTCGATTTATGTGCTTTACGTGACAGTCGTGCTGGACGTTGCCGAAGAGCGGCCGGCAGTTGTGCTGCCCCTTACGTTAGTGCTCCACACTTTGCAGGTTCCACGGTGACATTGCAGAAATCTAGCCCAGATATAGCCACCCTTCGTCCCACAACTCGGAGGAGAGTGGGATGACATGACTCGTGACAGGCGGCCGTTGACCACAGCCGCGCAGCCGACACGATCCCACCAGCCCACCCTTCGGAGCAGGGTGGGATTTCACATGGGTCGTGACTGGGGCTCATGCACGTCTGCGTCCGTGCTTGGCGAGGCATCATCCCACCTGGCGGCGGGATGTGGGATGGGCCGGGTGTAAAACGAGGAAACAACCGCGTCTGCGCTGCGACTCGGGCTTAAACTTTGGCAGACACTTGAGGGCTGGAGCGATCGAGTTGTGACCACCTGAACTAGAAAGATTCCTCTCACCTCTCCTGCCTGCATCTCTAAATTTCCTCGTCTTCCCAGCCTGTCGAAAGCCACCGAATAAACCACCCATCTTGATACCTATTCTTCCACTGCCCGCCACAACCATGTCCAAGTGAGTTCCCTACCACAGCCAGACGTCAAATCCACTACAGCCTCGCTTGCTAACACTGTACTAGCTCCGATTTCGCCGCCAGCAGCCGCGAGGTTCGTTCTCCCTCTCCACGGCCCGAAGTCTGGAATCTACAATCTGACTACGTCTCAGCACTTGTGCGCTCGCATGGACCGGTTCCTCGAGTTCATCAACTCGGGCGACGAGACCATCGGCAGGGAGGTCGTCTCCGAGTCGGCCGAGTTCCACGTCCCCTTTGGCGGGGCCCCGCTCAAGGGCCTCGGCGGCTATATGCAGATCCTCGGCAAGATGCGCGGCGCCTACCCGGACATCCAGTGGTCCCTGCAGGAGGCCATTGTCGAGGGCGATAAGGTCGTCGCGCGGTTCGCCATCTCGGGCACGCACCTGGGCAACTTCCTCGGCACCCCAGCGACGGGCAAGCAGATTAGCTCGCAGGCCTTCAACATCTACAGGTTTGCCAGTGGCAAGATTGTCGAGGAGCGCGGTCTTCCGGATATCTTTGGCATGCTTGCTCAGATTGGGGCTATTGCGATCCCCGGGCCACCGCCCGCATAAGTTTATTTCTTTTCAGGCAAGGCCCGAAACTGTAGCAAGTGTATTTCACCCTAATTACAAATATGGCGAAACATCTGTCAGACGTGACGATGACCCGACACTTACTGTATATTTGCTAGTGATGCAGCGTTCGGCTCGATAGGAATGCTCTTCGTTGTACGGCGGGCCATTCATGCGCGGAGGTCAATCATGGGACCCCGGGCATGATGCTGCTGGAGCCGGGACAATATGGGATAGGCGATCACATCGGCTTTGTGGCTCGGTGGGCGTTGGACAGGATGCGGACTATTCATCGGCTTGCTGTAGCTGTATTTCTGCTTGTGATAACTCTCTATTGTGAAGATGCGGTGTACTCAATATGCCACATGCGTATACCGCTTGTATTGATATATATCCCTCCTTGTCCATGTTGATTGCCATCTCAACGAGGGCAAGGTTGTATCCTGGGCAAGCAGCCAGGGTGCTTCGCGCAATCAGGTAGCGGAGTCTGGATGTCCAGCACCGATGCACAGGAATACCCAACAGCAGACAGGTCGACTCCATCCTCGAAGAACCGCAGTGCTGACCCGAAACCCCCGGGATAACAAGGGGCTTGATCGATGCCCGCCGCCGGATTCGCACCCTGCGCGCCTGCTGATGCTGGGAGTCGCAAATACGTGACACTCCCGTCTTCCCGCGAATGGTGATCTTGATGCTAGGAGCGCCTGTCAGAGCGAGGGCTGTTCACGCATGAATCCCGCGTACAATGTCCAGACGGTTTCAGCTGTGGCTGAACGCGCAGAGGGGTCACGCAATGTGAGCTTCCAGGTGGTCTGCGGCCTCTGGTAAGGTGCTGCCATGAAGAGAGTAGATGCTCGCGCGTTCTGAGCTTGCAGTTGCGTCCGCAAGGCAGGCTCGAGATGCGTATCTGTGTGCCGATATAGTATTAAATAGTACTTGGGCTGGGACAGGCCTGTTTGCTTTGAAAGGAGCTTTCTCGCCGCGGAACAGCCCCGCCTTGACAGTGTCCATTTAGAGAGGCTTATAGGTGACCTGCATAGGCACTAGTATCTCCTCGACAGATATGCCGAGACTACTCGGCTTAGAGAGGCATGTATCACACTAGACGGGGTGAATTTAGAGGTAGGAGAAGAGGGGCAACCTAGAAGAGAGGACTTTATATAGCCTACAGGAGGAGCTCTACTGCCCCAGCACATCGCCTCCGGTCGGAACATCCGGATCAAGGCCATTTAGGATTCGAGCACGTTGAAGCGCACGTGCCGATTAACACAGGCAATGGCAGCCAGTATGAGACCGCAGCTCGTGCTATTCACTTGCTAAAGGGCGCCAAGCCAGCGGGGATGCCGCCAGCGAGCACGCTTGTGCTGATTGTGCAGCACAAACTGGGCCAGCTCGCAGCTATGCACTGGAGCATGGATGGCATGGGTAGGTTATGCTGAAAAGCGCCCTCTACAATTCCCAGGGTTGTGTCGTCGCTTGCCGACTGGATAATCAACCAGGAGACACTCTGGGTAGTAACAATCTTTTAATGCCTATTGTAGACTATAGGTGGGCGTAAATGTGAAATGAAGATCCAACGAAAACGAAACCAGCAGGAATATTCAAAACCCATGTTCGTCGTGGTAATGTAGACCAAGCCGTCTTGATGCAACGGGCGACGCTTATGTCTTGCCCCCAAGACTGTGATTCGTCTACCACAGCAATTAGATACACAAACCCCAGAGAGGGCCAGTGTTAGACTCTGTGCTTTTCAGACGGGGTTTTCAGCGTTCATGGTGTCGCATCACCCCATCAGGCCCGCGTAATCGTCTCGCCTCCGTCAATGAGATAGCTGCAAGTAGGCAGCTGCTGGACGACACCGCTGACGATGGCGACAAAGACAGCCTGTGCACTGGACATGGCGTCTTCAACGGGGCCGGTGACGGAAGGGGCGATGGCGGTGATTGTATTGAGGGCGTTGACCAGGGCAGTTTCAGCTTCGATGGCCTGCGAGGTCAGGTCAGGTTAGCGATGGATCTCGGGGAAGCCAGGCCAGGCTACTGAATCGAAGAAAGCTTGAACTCAGGTGAGGGCTGCATACCGGCTGCACATTGACGCATATCTGTTCCTGCACATCAGGCGGGAGCGCGGTGCTGAGTTGGGGCACCTCCAGGACGATGGTGTCCAGAAGGCCCGAGATGGTGCTGATCCCACCAAGGATAGACTGTGACAGACTATCTGTAAGCATCGTTCGCAAGTCATAAAGAGCATGCAGTGTTGTAGGGATGTCGAAGCAACTTACTGGAAGGGCAGTGATGATGGTGAGCTGGTCCTGGGCGAGGCTTGTGATACCATCGGTCACACCGGTGATCACGGAAGCCAGGTCACCCACATCGCTGATGAACTCGGCAGGGTCAAACTGGCGTGCCTGAAGTGAAGTCGGAGAAGCGTGGGTGCTGGCGACCAGCAATGTGTAAGTAAACGGAAGATTCACGTGCATGTTTGCAAATTCTTAGAAGTCAGGCTGGTGGAGTGGGTGTGAGGGGAACAGGTGTGCTTTGAGGGGAGTATGATGTTGTAAGGGATGAAGGCTCCTGTGCTGCTGCCAAAACTAATTTCCTGCTGGGCATGGTGATCTGACTTTATACTCGAGAATATACACATGGTTGCGTGGAGAAAGATAATCTGTCTCGTGCATCGTTCTACATGAATAACAGCTTTGCGATGATCTTTGTCCCCGTGATGTATCAGTTGCGCTTGGCAAAGGCATGCATTTTTAAACCTTTGGGCAATAGCCTTGGCATGGCTGTCTGGTTGGTCCGTCACAGTCCATCTTTACTTGAACCAGGCATCCCTCGTGAGGGACTGTCTGAGAAGCAAACAACGTAGAGGGTGTCTTATATACACACAGGAGGCACACCATGTCTCGGCTTTCTCGGATAAGACCGCATGCTGAGTTGCGCTGAGACCATGCGTGACCGAGCTTAAACGCAAGGACGACGGAGCATGGCCTGTCCATAATCTTGCGGAGAATGCCGATTCGAATGGCTCATAGGCGGGGTTGCGCTGCGAAGAGCAGTCCAGATGCAATATCTGATTGGCGGTGAGTTGAGTCCGGGACATGAATACTGGGGATTTTGCAAGGTTTTAAGCCAGTCGAATAGTAGTGTGCGAATCTACTTGGTTCTGCGCCAAATTTATGCCCGATAATATGTGCCCTAGGCTATAGTAGGTACGGATCGATCGGTTGCAGCTGAGCTCTTAAGTTGCTCCGAGATCCCCGCGGTACGTAGTAGCGCCGCACACCCTAGAACTTCAAGGATATCGTCGGTCTTGAAAGTATTGGAGTCAACTCAAACACAAGAAGATATGTTGTGGCCAAGAACATGGCAGCAGCAAGATGCACGTTTTGACTAGGACCCGACAAACGTGCCTCTTCTATTTGTCTGCAACCGAGTTCGCAGCATTAGATTCGGGCCCCCAATTAGCATATGATAGGCCAAAGCAGATCCTGGTACACACGAGCACCATCCCATCGGTCGAATCATCCTGGTCTTGAACCACAATGGCAGTAAACGGTATATATTCGCACAACGGACCATGGGCAGTCCCCGATCAACCATCATATCTATGCAGCTTGGATCTTGTCGAATTCACAGATTCCTGCCCGTCTCGAGTAGTGATAGGCTCCAGGGGTCTGCTGGCAGCTGGAGCGTGCCTGCTGGACATCAGGCGCCCCTGGATAAATGCCGGTTGCCTGTTGAACCTTGCGACCCCGTGTACGAAGGGCTAGGTGAGGATTGACTGTAAGAGGGTGATGGTGCAAGCCACATCAGGGTCGGTTCCGTGCATGAGTAGACGCACTGTCACAACGGCCGAAGCCAGGCCCACATGCTGCCTTGGCCTTGATGACGAGTATAACCAGATGGTTGATGAGCCCCTCGGCCGCGCTAATGCCCGATCAGGCTTGACCAAATACACGTAGCCTGCGTCCCATAGGTGGCTCGGCCGAGCAGTGGCCGTGGGCCATGCAGAGGCACCCGCAATGACTCGCTCGACGCCCCTATTTTTCCCGGAGGGCCCTGCGGCGGGGGCGGAGGCGGGCATCCCCAGACAACCACTGAGGGGCACCCTCTCTAGCCCCCCAAGGTGTGATAGGCTGCATCATGGAATGCTAGGTGTGTAGAGTTTGAGGTGTGCGGTGTGCGCGGCACACGGCCTGCTTGGCTCGCGACCTTCCGGCCAATTTTCTTCCGCCGACTTCTCCACAACCACCCCCCCGTTCTGCGACGACGACGACGACCAAGACGCGTGCGCAACGACGACAGCGTCACATCCGCCCGCGCCCAGCACTCTTCGCCACCAAGAATGCCGGAGAGGAAGAATGACAAAAAGAGCGCCTTCTCATGCCACGGATGCCGCACCCGCAAGGTCCGTCCATTCTGTGCCAACTTTTCCCCCTCGATGCCGGGCCCCCTTGCTCCCGTCCTCCGGCAGAGCCGGGCCGATCCCGCGAGGTGAAGCAACGCTGACTCTAGACATATTCATCCGCAGGTCAAGTGCGGCGCTGAGCAGCCTGCCTGCCGGCGCTGCGTGAAGCGAGGAGAGGAATGTGTTTACAAGCTGTACAGTGCCGCGTTCCCCTTCAGTCTCTCCACCTCCCCCGTCACGTCCACTGACCACAATCCACAGAGCCCCGACGTTATCATACACCGAGCGCCTGGAGCGTCGAGTTCAGCAGCTCGAAGCTCAACTGGCTAGTCAGCAAGGCCCCTCGACCAGCGGCGGCCATGAGCAGCCCGCGGCCTCGCCGAGCGCGTCGTCGAGCGGCCTCTCGCCAGGCACTGCTGCAAGCGGCGGTCACGCGGTCCGCATCGAGGGCCTCAAGGTCGACGACAAGGGCATGATCACCTACCACGGGTCGACCAGCTTCTTCCAGGCAGTCTCCAGCCATGCCAAAGCCGAGACACGCCAGCAGGAGCAGGATGCGGCTGGTGATGAAACACAGGCCTCGCGAGACATCGAGCGACGCGAAAGACTTGTCAACAATGCGTGGCAGCAACGTGTCATGGAATCGTACTCTGGTATCCCAGTATGTATCATCACCAAGACACCTTATTATGTTGTGGCCGCAGGCTGTCCCGATGCTCATCAGACTGACATGGCCGCACCTGTCATAGGAGCCCTTCCAATATCTCCTGGATCTGCACTGGTGCTGGATCCAGCCACTCTTCAACTTCATATATCGGCCGGCATTCACTCGTGAGCACACTTGAATCCTCTTCTTATACAATTTCTCCTCGATACTGAGATATAGTCCTAGGCGACATGCAGACTATGGGACCTTACTACTCTCATTCACTGATGAGTGCCGTCATGGCGCATTCTGCACGATGGGGCCGGAGAGACCCTGCCATCAGGGTCAAGCTTGACGAGTTCGATGGCGGACGCCTCTTCAGTCGCCAAGTGAGGTCCCTCATATTCGAGGATCTCGAAAATGGTGTCGGAACCGTCCCGACAGTGCAGACACTGCTGCTCCTGAGTGCCCAAGAATGCGGCGCAGGAAACACGGTGCAGGCATGGGTATATAGCGGAATAGCCTTCCGGCTCGTCGACCACTTGGGCATCTGTATCGACGGACAGAGGTTCACGAGCGATGTCCAGCTTTCGGATGAGGACATGGAGATTCGTCACCGACTATTTTGGAGCTGTTACTTCTGGGATAAGATCATCAGTCTCTATCTTGGCAGGCGGCCAACCTTCAAGTACTCTGACGTCTCGCCACCCCCATCCATGTGTGAGTTCTTTTGCCAGTCGCCCATATCTCTCCCTCCAAGTCATTCTCTAACATGAGGCTAGTCGACGACTCGACCGAGACCGAGCTGTGGGTTCCTCACGGAGTCACATTTCCATCTGGTTTCGAGTATCCACCGACACCGGCACACTCCACATCGTGCTTCATACGCATGTGTGAGCTATCAGTCATCTTCAACGAAATCCTCAGCCACATCTACGATCCTTTGGGACAGAATACGCAGTCCGAGATCGAAGCATGTGTGACCAGTCAAAGCGTCGCTCTGGACATTTGGTGGCGCGATCTGCCTCCGTTCTTGAAGCTCGAGCCCACGAACCTGCCACCAGTCGCACCGCCATCCCATATCGTGGTCATGAAGTAAGAATACCCGACCAGTTCCAGTGACCCCTTGCTAACTTCTGCGCGTACAGCTGTCTCTACCACACGTTCCGGATACTGCTCTACCGGCCCATGTTGACTCGTCGGTCAAGTGACGCCACCAGGACAGAACCGAATCGGTTTCAGGGGTACCTGGAGCAATGTGTCACCTCGGCTGTCGCTATATCAGCTGTATTTGACCTCTTTGTCCGGTCGTTTGGCTACGGGCATTGTATTCTATCATTATCGTACTCGGTCTACATAGCCGTGTCTATATTTCTGCTGCAAGTGCAGGCACACGAGGGCGGGAACGAGGCCCTCCATCGTTTGCTGTTTTGCGTAGACTGCCTGGAGCAGGTCAAGGACGTCAATCCGGGTAAGTCTCCACCTCACACTTGCCCAAGAATGCGTCCCCTTTTGCGACAGTTTCTGATCGTTCTCTAGTCATTGTCAGCGCCCTCAAGCCAATCCACGAGATCCTCGAAAAGGCAGGCATCAGCACGGCGCAGGCCGCACTGGGTCTGGCATCGATAGGACTGAACGACAAGATCCCGGCACACATCACTCACACGGCCGATCCTGGGGGCTCGTCGGCATCTGCAGCGTTCATACATAACGCAGCATCACAAATCCAACAAGCGCCGCCAACCGGCGGTCCGCCTCTGCTGAGTGCCGAACAGCTCCCGCTGCCACCCATGAACACGACAGGACAGCTTGCCAACCGACTGCAACCGCAGGGACAGCAGCGGTACGCATCTGTCTTGCCGGACCATCAATTGAAGGATGGAGTTGTGGACCAGTTCCCGGACAAGATCTTCGATGCGGCGTCAACGCTTGACGTGCTGAAAGTGAACATACAGAGCCTCGACATACCGCATGACCCTGTTCCTGGCTGAAGGGCGAGGGCAGGGAGTTCTCACATGTGCGAGATTTCCTGGATTGTGTTTGCATCTCTGGCAATCCTTGACCATGCCCCCATAGACTCCTCGCCTCACGACTCACTGCTGGAGTTGGACCCTCGTCGTGCATTGAGTTTCGGGTCGATCATAGTTCTGCTTGACCTTGGTGGTTTTCTCGCGATGGCCCTTTCGCGCTTTGCTGGACGATAGTTTACGTGCAACATGAGATCCACGTTTTGTTAGCATAGCCTTTGAAGAAAAATACACTCGAATTCAGCCAAACGTGCTCCACGGCTGAGCCGGACAGACCGGAGCAGCAGGCTCACATGTCGCGCCTCTAGTTTTGTAAGCCCTGGTTGCTGGGGGTTGGATCTAAATCTGATCTAGTGGTATTGAATGTGTGTTTAGGCGCATGATGGGACCGTGAAGTGTCTCGGTTCTATTGCTCTATCAACTGTCTGAAAACTGGACTTCAAGTAGCTTTGCAATCAGAACGAAAGCTGTGAGGTCCATCAGTAGCTTCGGGTGTTACATTCAGCCTCAGTACTCGGAATCCAAGATAAGGCTCTTTGCCTCGGCCGGCTCAATCCTCGGCTCAATCCTCGGCTCAATCCTGGCCAGTCTCACGGGTACTCGATATCAAGCCTATCATTTCATAGTCGCCCCAATCAGACAATTCAATTGCCTCACAGTCCGGCCTTCAGAGGAAAGGTGCACGTAGCAGGTGTCTGGGTTTTCTTGTCCCGGGGGCGTTCCGGTAGGCTGCGGGATATACCAGAAACCATCACACGAGACGCCTGTCCCCATTGGCGCAAACGCGATAATCTCTCCCCACGGCGGATTGAATCAGAGAAACAACATCTACTCTTGTGCTCTAGTACAACAACAGGGAAGGCGTGGGACCAGCCAAACTGGTTGGTTGCATAGCTCTATATATATGGTCGTTAGTAGACTTTTGATTCCGGCCGGCGGTTGACAAGGCATTGTTCTTTAAACGCTGTTCATGAGCCCTCAATTGAGACTCCTTGCCCTTCCTATGCGCGGGCACCTGCCCCCCTGAGGCGCTCCCCTCTACTAATCCCAGCAAAGGCTAAGATACAAACAAATGAGACGAACGCACACCCCGCAGGACGCCCTCTTACTTTCAAATGCGTCCCATCTTCCAGGAACCGCCATATGCCGGGATGCGCATCGCCCCGGCGCCAAGGAGCTCAGCTGGATGGAACACATTAAAGATGGCCATGACGATCAGCATGAGCACTGCGTCGAAAATGTACAGGTATTCTTCGTGGCGGAGCAGGGAGCCTCCATTCCCTTGGAGATATTCGATGGCGCGGAACAAGGATCGCACCATGATGAGAAAGCTGGCTACGTATAGTACCCAGACGTGCTTGCGCCAGGCTACGCAGTCGGGTCCGTTTTGGCCGGAGCGTGCCGTAGGCTCCCGGTTGATTTTGAGGTGGAACGACACGGAGATAACAATGAAGGCGCCGAAAAAAAACAGCTGTACGAAGAGGCCTACAATGATGATCTTGGAGCCCAGATCCAAGGCCTCAGCTGTGCCGGATGCCTGATAGCCACCGCCTGTTTTCCTTCAAGTCAGCCACGGCATGGTTTGATTCGTTGTTCATATCTTGTTCGATTTTGTTGGGACAGGGAACTTGGCGTTTGGGCTGCCGCATCTCATACTACTTACCGCCAGCCTGTAGGATGAACGAGAGGACGTCTCCTGTGACGAAGATCTTGGTCATCCATTCTTTCCGCATCATAAGCCGCGACTCTCCGTCAATAATTGAGACGATGCGCCCAATCTCCATATATATTGTGGCCGCATATAGGGCAGGGGCCACAAGGAGCAGGATGGCCTGAATGATGTATGGCCCAAGAGTCCAATCCGGGCTCTCTGTGCCTGACTTGGCGCGGGAACCGTAGCCAACGACCTCCACTTCAGATCCCCATTGTTAGCACAAGCGCACACAATGGGAAACGGATGATTGCATATTTTTCACGCTCGGCAACATAATACGGAAAGTCCTTGGCACATCAGCAGAGAAGGGAGGATAGACTCACAAATACCGCCCAGCGCGAGGGGTATCATGAACCAGCATCGCTTGCGGGACAGCTGCAAGAAGTGGAAGGCCGTCGTGGCGATGAAAGCAATGGCTATAATGACTGCTCCTGCAATTGTTGGGTGGTAGTGGTAAAGAGCGAATGCGTTACTATCTGTAGCAGCTGCCTCGGCCGTCGCATTGCGCCATGTAAGCCCCATATTGGTCCAGCTGTGGTTTGGTATGGAGAAGTGGAGTATGAGGAAAAAGGCCACAAGATAGACGATAAGACAGACGGCAAGGGCAAGTGTCGTGGTTGAAGATATATAACGAGAGAAGGGGTGACTTTGAGAGTAATTGGGAAAAGTGTAGCAAACGACGGCTGCGGATATACCGAGACAGCTCCATGCATCCATCTGTCAGGCCAGGCAATTCCTTTTATATGACGTTGGGCCCATCCAGGTATCGCTCGGCTGGTCACTGAAAATTCAAGGCTCAACAGAGGCAGGCTCCGTACCCATTACGAGATCTTCGGCATCGAAGCGATGACCCAGTCTCGCCGGGACAGCGCAGGCAGCAGCCTTTGCTGAACTAACGAAGGAGCGAAAATGCGAGAAGCCCTAGCCAGCCGCCTGAGGCCAGACGCGATGGGACGATGCCAGGGGTCTGGTATGCCCCTAGATGTGGCTGTGGGTGAGGGTAATCTCCCACGCCCCACCCGCATGCCTCGTATATCGACCGTATCGGCTCGTATATCAGTGCGTTCGTCCCTTGCTTTGTGCCTTTGCGGCAGTTATCAATGCCGCAGAACCACTCTAGTCTACGGTTTCACCATGCTCAGAGGCAGCAGCTTAATGCATGACATAACCACGCATAGCCATCGCCGCACTGGAAAACTAGTCGCTACCTGCACGTTTGAGCAAGTATGCTTGGAGCGCCGCGGAATCCCATAACCCGGGCTGCTCCCTGGGCAATACGTTTCTGCTTTCATAGCTGCCATGGCTCACTCATTCGATAACGCGATGGAACTGATCAAATCAGGCATGTCATTGCTTCTTGCACCCAAGTTCCCATGCGCATGGCCCACTCCTTGCTGGCGTTAGCGTAAAGGTTGCAGTGCCGGACTGGCCCTGAGCTAGTGGTAGCTTGCCGGAAGTTGACGCACGGGGTTGCCGGGGCAGACGAGGGCAGGGTACTATATATAGCTCTGCGACCTCGGCGCCCTGGACTTCGTCATTGTTCGTTATATTCATAATCACGGTGGCTATGGTAAATCATGGGCCAGGAGGGCCACATTATATCGGAGGACGTCGCCAAGAGCATGCCCGCTTTCCGACGACAGTAGACCGGCCTCGACTCATGGAACGGCGATCCAATCGTTCTTGAGCTGACCTCTATGAGACATAGAACACGCCAAACTGCCAACTATAGTCCATTTCTCAAAGAACTACAGAAAAACGAGAGAAATTGCTGTTGGTAACGCTAAATTCGGTTAGTATATACCGCCACTTTCCGCGGCGTAAACAGAGCGGGCTGTTCCTCCTCTAAGTACTAGGTACTTAGGGACCCCCGTAGGACCCTGGTGTCACGATCCTGCAGACAGGGTCAACCGCATGCAGGAGGGTTGTGGGTGTATGTTCGAATAAGGTAGGTAAAGCCTTCGCAATACTGACTCGCAACGCTGTCGTTCTCTCTTGGGGTGTGTCGTGTCTCTTGGAAGAGATACCACTCTCAATCAATTGAGTGACTAGGTCAAGTGATGGGTAGAGAATGATACTTAGATTGATCGCTGAAGTGCAAAGGAGTGTCTGTCTGAGCTATGGGAAATCCTCCTGTTTATATCCTTTGCCCTTCATCGCATGTCTGTTCCTGGTGCGGTGCCGCTCATCATGTCTTGGCACCGCTCCTTGTCCTGCTGACCAGGTCCTTACATAGTCCTGGTGTCCCGCCATCCGCATGATCTGCCCTTGTACCTGGCCCGATCCTGCGACCTTGCCTGCTGTCACAAGCAATCGACCTGTTGGCTTGGGTCGTCACATTGGGGTCTACCCCGCATCTCTATGGCCAATGACTAATGCGCGTCACCATGATGGACTGCCACCCTCTCTCTGCTCGCCTGCGGTTGGACTATACGAAGGAAATTGGCTCGTGCCTGATATGGGCATGTTGCTGTTTATGTGGTAGCAATCCCCTGACTTCTCCATGTTGAAGGGGACTGTCGTGAGAATTGTCACGATTACGTCGTCGCCATTTGGAGGCGCGTGGAGGACACGTGCACAGGGTCTGGAGAATAACAGCACACTATTTCCATGTATGAAAAATTCCCGCAAGCTTCCGTTTTGCGCTCCTTCCGGGAGTATAGTCTCTTTGGAATATACGAGGTACCGTGTCTGTTAGAACTTAGGCTTATGGAGGGTCCAGTTCTCACCCCCCCCCCTCCTCCTCCCCCGCAAACCAAACAATGAATGGTCCCTGATCTCCACCAGCCGAGTTCGGAGCTGACTCCCTGGGAAGACACAACAGGTCTTGGTCCAACTCAACGAGAGCAACGAAAATAGCCAAACCCCTTGGGTTGCACAGCGGCTCTTGAAATCTTGACTCACCCTGTGCGCGCGGCCAGCCAGCCTGCCCAGAGCACTCCACGCATCGTCCAGGTCTTTTGTTCTTTTTCGAATCTATCAGCCGTCTCGCTCCCCGTGACTCACCCTCATCAGATAAGAACTCCTCAGTTACCCCGTCAGAGCTCTCGTGAAAAGACAATCTGAACCAGTGATCCCGCCCTGATCACACACACTCCTGCACCTCAGCAATCCCGAGACACAGCCTGGCCCAAGCAAACCACAAAAAGATGACGACCCTCTTCCCAACCACACCCCTCGGCCCGCCCGTAGCCGACCCGTCCCCGGCGCGCAGCCCAGACCGCGGGACGGTTCTGGAGGGCAAGTACGTCGCGCTCGAGCCCCTCGACGCGGACAAGCACGCCGCGGGGCTGTACGCGGCCCTGTGCGAGTACCCGGCCCGCATCGCGTCCAGCGCTGGCAATGGTGCTGGCAGTGAGGGGCCCAGCAGCGCGTGGGCCGGATGAGCGTACCTACCCGTCGGGCCGTTTGCCAGCAGGGAAGAGTTCACGAGGCAGATGCAGGCGTACAGCCCGAGCAGAGACCCCTTCTTCTACGCTGTGGTCACGAGGCGGGACATCGTCACCCAAGACAACGGCAGCGCCACACCGACAACCGCAATAAAAACGCCCGCAGGCTCGCCGGTGGGCTGGCTGTCCCTGCTCAACGTCGAGACGGCCCACCAGAGCCTCGAGGTCGGACACGTGGCCTTCTCCCCAGTCCTGCAGCGCACCGTGGCGTCGACCGAGGCGCTGTACCTAGTCATCCGGCACGCGTTCGAGGCCCTGGGGAACCGCCGGGTCGAGTGGAAGTGCGACGTGCTCAACGCGCCGAGCCGGCGCGCCGCCGAGAGGCTGGGGATGAGCTTCGAAGGGGTGTTTAGGAAGCACCGCATCGTGAGGGGGAGGAACCGGGATACCAGGTGGTACTCGGTCGTGGATGATGAGTGGTTTGGAAGGGTTGGGGACGGTGAGGGTAGGGGGAGGGGAGGACTGAGGGCTGGGTTTGAGGAGTGGTTGCGGGACGACAACTTTGGCGAGGACGGGGTGCAGAAGAGGACTCTGGAGCAGGTCCGAGCCAAGTGTGGGAGATAAAACCAACGCAATGAGGTGCAGGCGGGAGATCATTGGGAAAACACTAAGCTTCAATGGTCAAGAATGAGGATTGAATTCACAAACAGGCCTATTCTTTTTGCAGATCAAGCAACTCCTGGATCTTTGACAGTACTTTGCGACCCTTCTCTGTCTTTTTGAACAGTTCTTGCTGTTCTTGAATCCATTGGTCCACTTTGGCGTGTATACCAAGACGAGGAAGCATATTCCCTAGAAACGCACGAGCCTGAGCCGGTGACGAGTCGGCATCAGGCCCAAACATGAAGGTTCGGACCAGATCGCCCACTTCCACACACTGGGCCAGACCCTCGTGTCCCCGAGACCGCAACGCATCTGCAAGCTTGCGGTCGTCCTGCGTCAAACCGCCTTTCCCGGAGACCAAGCGGTCCAAGTCCGACGTGAGGATGGACGGTCCAAAGGCCTCGATAGCAGGGACAATGCGAGCAGACTGCCAGTCTATGATGCCCGTGATGTTGTGGTCATCATCGACCAGGAGGTGGTCATCCTTGTCGTCAACGTGCTTGAGGAAGAATCTTGAGTGCAACGCATCCATATCAGTGGCGGCGCCGGCCTTGGGTGACAGTTCTTCGCTGCGAGACAGCAGGAGGGAGTAGAATAGATATGCCTCCACCGGACAGCGCTCGTGCAGCTGTCCATCAGCAATGAGATCGAGATATTGTCGTGCCGTGTCAGCGAAGTAGTCAGTGGGACTGTTATGTGGTCCAGAGGGGTACAGGTGTATGAAGCGATTGCTTGAGACGGGACCAATCTTGGTGTTGCCTTCGGACGACGTAATGAGAGAGCCTGCGGCAGAAAAGGGCAGTTGGCTTAGCTTAATCATCATATCGGCAATCTGTTCCAGCACGTGATTGCTTTGCCCCAGCGTTGCATCTCCGCGCTTATACGGGCGACCGGGGAGAGCCTGAATGAGCAGGTAGTCGATGCCAAGTTTGTTGGCCGGATCTGAAGAAAGACCGAAGCTGAATGCGCGGGGTGCTGGGATTGAAGTCGTCTCGAGGAACTTGAGCGTGGCGTATTCGCTAGTGACAATGTACTCAAACACATCCGGTGGCACGAGGTCGAGGCCAACCCGTGGGGTCCGAAGAAGCCATCGCTCTCCATCCTCGAAGATGAGCCATGCATGATAGTTGGTCCCACCCATGATCGAAGCCGACGGCGGTGAGTACTGACCAGGTTCAAACACACATAGCTTGTTGTCATTCAAGCTTTGAGCGAGGTCAAGCAAAGCTGGTATGTTCAGCTTGGCGAGGATGTCCGCAACCTCATCAGCAATGCGCTTGTTCCAGTCTTCGTCACTAATCTGAAGGCGAGATCAAGTCAGTGATTCGGTTTGATGGAAGATGTCAACTGGAATTCTGGTGGCATCATTACCTCCCCGTCAGACGGGCAGTAGTGGTACCGGCGAGCTTCATGTCGCGCACAACGGTGCTTCTTACAGACAGCACATCTGCGACAGCGAATGGCGGGTTGGGTACATGATGGAATTGCGCACGTGTAGTATCTTGGGATATCAGAGAAAGTCTGCATGTTTGGTGAAGGCGCGAAAGCTGCTGCTGATTGTTGTATGCTCGGATGCTGCTATGCTCCTTCTCTTCAGAATGAGCGCGTGGGAGACGAGTTCTTATAATTGGATTGCATAGAATTTGCAGGCCCCAAACCGGCACCACTAAATCATCCATGGGTGTAGCGATTGGCTCGGAGCCCTTAGGACATCAGCGGACGGGAAAGACGGAACATGCCTCAAAAGCCACGCCCACACAGTCCTGCTGCCGTCGCGTCGGTAGGGGCCGTAGCGCATGCGTCATGGCCTGCATGCTTGTTGGTACACCGCCTACGCATTGCATAAGCCTGCTCTCGACTTCTAAATTTAGTAAGTTACCAGAAAGTGATAAAAAGGGACATGGATCCGTGAAGTTGGAGGCCAACTAAATTCTTTGCTCGCGTGCCTGCAAGTCGGGCCCACATGAAAGTTCAACACGTCTTTTTCACATGCCATCGCTCCCAAGAAACACGGAGGCTGCAAGGGCTCTCACGGGTCCCGGGACAAAGAATGATGTGCCGGGCCCGAAGCAACATCTGCGTGAGCGGGTCAGTGCTGTTACCAAAGGCGCAAAGCAGCCGTGAGCGGTACTGGTCGCCTTTGAGACGGCGGCCAGACGCTGATCTTGTTGGCGCCAACCCCAATTTCACGCATGCACGTCGGACGTGGCAGGGTTGCTCCCAACGTGATTTGATCGTTTGTAATCACAAAGAGTGAGCCAACAGCGCTAGAATGTACACGCACGACAAAGACTCAACTTTTCGGATGTCGCGCAGAGGCGGTACGAGCCACGGAGCCACAGGACTGTTGGACAATGGGACCTCTAGGGTGGCACACCGTCTCTTTAACGCAAGTTATATTTGCTTGCCACATGTACTCGTGACATCGCCAAGTTGGCCTACATGGCCTTTATCACGTGCCAAGAGAAGACCGGTCGCTGGATGCGACTACGCATTCCGCCCTCCATATTAGCTGCAGAGGTTGGTTTCTACAGATTGCTGGTCCTTTGTTGGGAAATTCAATGCTGTCTCGTCACCTGGCGTAGTTCGACAGTCCTCGTGGACTGGTGCAGCGCACCGTGGCGTTGGCATTGCACAACAACTATCCATAGATCTGGGGTGTATGCGGAGCCCGCCGCGACGGCAGGCAGCATCGGGGCAGCCCATGCACATGTACTCCACAAGGCACCGTGCCGTGCTCCCAGCCACACTGGGCAAGCAGATGTGTAGAACGCAGCGTGTCCCTGCAGCTGAGCCAGATTGGGTATAGTAGCAAAGCGGCAACTACGCTAAGCCCTTTTAGATTGCCGCCAAACCCTGTGGGGACAACAGGACGTTCTCGACTACGTAGCATAAATCGGGAAACTATGGGGAACGTTGTGGATTGAATCTCCCAAGACATTTTGAATCTGCATCGCTTGCAGAAGCTAACTTGTATTTCGCACAGGATAAAGGGATGATAATATTGACGAATGTAATACTAGACTCAGAGCGCTATCAGGTGGGAATGCAACAACAATAAATCACCGCCAGCCATCTCCCGCTACACGTTCAGGTGCCTCTCGACCAGCCACGCGGCTGTGCTAATAACAACCATGTCGGGGGGTTCTGATATGTCCACTTGAGAGCGCTTTGGCCGCATCGGGACGAGGCTGGAGTAAATGGACAAGTCTTTTCTGCTAACACCCGCAACTGCCACATTGTCCTTGGCCCTCAACAAATCGAATCGCTCAATTACCTGGAGGACCACACATCCACAGTTACATATTAGCCAACACCGAAGAGGGCCGGGAGATCACTTGCGAACGGGGTTCTTCCACCGTACCTGGTTCCGCCGTCTGGCTTTCCATGTCGCAATTAATATTGAGTTCTCGTATATCTCGTAGTCCGCGGTTGCAGTCGCCGCGGTGGTAATACACGTTCTAGCTGCACAGAACCTCCACTCGGGCGAGTTCCTGGCCGTCCTAGCTCCTGTCTTGATCGCGACAGTCACAACCCGCGAGGACGGAGTGGCTGACGGCGCGGGAGCGCCAGGCATGGCTGGAAGCATCGGGGACGCGATGGGACTACTACTGGCGGCAGCACCATCGATATCCCAGGAAAAAGAATCCTCTTCGCTGTCCAAGCCAGAGTCGTTGCGGTAGACATCTCTTGTCCACACGAAAAGCGGCTTCTGGCTGCCGTGATGCGAGGCATGTGCGCAGGTCTGACGTGATTGCCGTCCATGGAGGATCGAGGCAAGATAACCCACGGACGCCATATCGATTGTCTCAGCCAGGTGTCGCTCATCGTCGAAGCGCTGCATCTGCAGCACGAGCGAAGGTTGGGTAAGCCACCGCTTGCTAGAGCAGGGGCGTACTGGTTTCGCGAAATACCAAGTCTGAATAGGCTTGCCGCGGTGATGTTGGTGCTCGTCGTCGGAACCTCCCATGTTGTTGTGTCCTGGCCGTTGTGACGAGAACGTGCCGAATCGCTGCTTATGTTGTATGTATAACCCGATGTGATGCTGGAAGTCGTTATCTACAGGTCTCGTTTCTTCGTCCATTGGGGAAATAGACTATTATATCGAGCCAGAGATCATGTCCTCTAATGCCTCACTGTGGACTCTTCCACGCCATTGTTACAATTTACCTCTGTGTCCCCAGTAATAGTAGGTTGCCGGCATGGACCCCAGGCAGGCCCCATGAGTATATCGCGAGCTGTACGAGGTTCGTATAGTAAACGAGCTGCACGCGCACGGTAGACCTGAGAGAATCGGTCCGTGCCGATGCACTAGACCCTCTATGATGCGCACCCCGCCCCTTCCAATCCACCTAGATTCCCTTACGCCAGGCAGCAACATATAAGCTTTTGGAGAATAGCGAGGTAGCTCGCTTTATTTGTATAATACCGCGGCGCGGGAAATAGCTGACCATCATTCCCCGAGGAACTTGCCTGGCGCAGTCAAGCTCCCCTGGGGATTGCGTCCAACCTCCTATCAAGGACGGTACGGCTGCGAGCACGTTGCACTATCCCGAGCCAGAGGCTGGCTCAGAGACAATTTCTAAAGAGAAAACATAAACGTATACGACCTCAATCCTGTCGAGGGTCAAATCGGACGGCGAGGTGCTGCTGCTATTCGTAAAGTGATCGCCAGAAGAGTTTTCGAGTAGCACTCGTGAGAATGGAATACGACGCTTACTTGAGCGGTGCTGCCCACTCGATATGAGAGGCATCCCGTGCAGTAGCCTAGACTGCTTGTGAATGCTGATTTGCTGGGACAGAAAGTTTGGATGACATATATCTCTTCACCTCATCGTTATAGCTCTGAAGCGACGTGTATATGAAAGAACCAACAGGACTGTGCTAGACTTTTCCAGGACCTCTAAAGAACAAGCCACGGCCAATGTGATGCCTCACCTTTGAAAAATCTCTCCCTTTTACCCGTAGTTTTCGCAAATTGCCCTTCCCTGCCGCCCGCCAAAATGGCGATGCCCTACCCAGAAGGCGAGGTCTACTTTCAGCGTTCCACACTCAAGTGCACCGACTCCAATCCGGAGAACATGATTGAAATCGCATCCCACGTCCTCGTCGAGTACATTTACAATCGCCCCCATGAGGGCACCGGCGGTCCGCGCGCCCGCACCATTTACGCGGACTACAAGACCACACAACACGGCCACCCCAATAAAATCATACTTATGTTCAAAGAGAACGCGGACGACGAGAAACCCCGCAGGATCCTGAGGGTCGACCCGTGTCCGGACGGCGAGGCATACGAGCAGGGCAGAGGTGGTGTGGACAGAGTCCTCATCCGGCCCATCTCCGTCACCCCACGTGACGGGTACATGTTTATGGACCTGGAGGTGCCTCTGCGCGCCGTGTACCTTCCCCTGGCGCCGCGCGTCGACTCCAGGTACCCGGACCTGCGCACGTACCTTATGGTCACCTTTCGGTTCCGCAAGGGCGCGCACATACTCAGGGACAGGTGTGGGATGTACACGGTAGGGAAACTGGCAGACACTTCTTCCGGCTCTACGACGGTGGAGCAATCGGTCGCCCCAGTCCCGCTCCCTGGAGTAGAAGAAGTGGCTTCCGAGTCGACCATGGCCGGCTCTGTGGCAGAGGAGCTCCCCCTTGCGGCCCCCGTGACAACAATCCCATCAGGCCCTGGCGGCTCAGTAATGGGCTTGACGCCGCTATGACGTCTCCAGAGGAAGCTAGCATGGGTGGAATGATGATTGACCAGGGGTATGTCAATAAGACGGGAGACTTCCACTGGCACGACTTCAACAACAAGGACGGTCTCGGACTGCGCAGTCGTGAGACCATCCGTCTCGACCTGAGGGGCATATTCAACTACTTGGTGCTCCCGCGCCAGATGCGCAGTGCCACGAAAGCTCTGTTCCGGCCGGAGAAGAAGTGTGACTCGCTGATAGTCTTTGACCACATAGACACACATCGCGTGATGGAGAAGGACTGGATCACCGACACACAGTCCTGGGGGTCCAAGGTAGAGTACCTGGACGTCATCAAGGACAACTTTGGGATCGACGTGGTGTGGAAGCCGTATGAATATCAAGAAGAGGCGAGATCGCTTATCGGCAACCTGGCGAGCACGATTGGCGCCACGGGCCTCAGCCTGATCCCAGTGGTCGGCCCACTGGCCTCCGTGGCCTGGGTGGCGTTCATCGACGCCATCTACGACCCGGAGGGTTTCAAATCAAGGAATGTGCTACAGTTCGACGAGGACCTGCTCGGCTCGATCCTTGACACGGCCGCCCAAGTCGCTGAGAATCTCCCCAAAGCTAAGAGCGGCACCACGGCGGTGAAGTTCTCCGGCGCAGCCGCTGCAGCAGTTAAATAGAGAAGAAATGAACGTTTTCTTTTTCTTGTCGAGGTCAAATTTCACCTTTCTATAAATCGTGATCTTGAGGGACTTGCAGAGGAATGAAGCTCGGAAATCAAATACACAACTCATTGCCAACTCAAAACGTCATGACCTTTTGTGTGACAACCCACCATTGCTCCCCCGTTTACTCCTTCAAGGCCCTCAGGCTCTTGACAGTGTCCACGATGGTCTTCTCGAGTGGCGTGAACTTGATGCCAAGCTCCTTCTTTGCCTTGCTGTTATCGATGCGGTACACGGGCGGGAGCGGCGCGCCAGCCTCGCCCTCGGGTGTGGTGGCCTGCAGCTCGGGGAACTCGCGGCGGATGATGTCGACGACCTGCTGGTATGAGTAGTTGCCAGTCGTGGTCAGGTATCGTTGGCCCGCGGCCTCGGGGGTTTCAAAGGCCAGAACATGGGCGTCGGCAACTGTTTCGTGCAAAATCGTTGTGGTTAGTCACCGATAAAAAAAAAAGAAAAGCCCTCGAAGGGTCGTGCTACCACGTGATATCGGCTGCGGGGGATAGCACTCACGATCTCGCACATCGACAAAACCCCAGAATGAGGTCGTGGGGACTGTCGTCTCGGAACCATTGAAAAGGCGAAGGATGTCGGTGGAGGAGGTGTTGAGAGACTTGACGCTATCGACGTGGTGTCGGACGGGACCATATACCATGGGTGGCAGTAGCGTGGTAACCGTGAACGTCGGCTGTAATTGTGTGGCAGCTTGTCAGTCTACCTTTTCTCACAAAGTTGTGTTCTTTTCATCATCAGGCTTTGCACACGATGGTGCCGTACCTTGTTCTTCTCCACATAATCAAAAGCGGCCTTCTCAGCCATGGCCTTGGAGGCGAGGTAAGCCAGCACGGGATCCTTGGCTGCAGCATCACCGATGACGGGGTTCCAGTCTGCCTCGGTGTATGTGTAACCAGGGCGCGTGCCCTGGTTCGGGTCCAGAACAGAGGCGAAGGATGAGGTGACGACCACGCGGCTCACGGTGGGGGCATGCTTCTGCGCTGCTTCCAGGATAGAGGTTGTCCCTTGAACTGCCGGATCGTACAGGTCCTTTTGGACGTCCTTGGCGTCGAGAATGAATGGCGAAGCGGTGTGGATGATCTGTGCCGCAAAAGTTAGCAAGCTGAACAGTGCCTTTGTTTGCGCGAAGCCACTTACTCCATCTACACCCTTGACAGCCTCGTCAAAAGCTCCCGGCGCAGCCATGTCCGGCACGATGGCGAAACTCAGCTGCTCTGGGTACTCGGGGAACATTTTGCGAACGTTTGCAGCGGTCTTCTCGGAGCGGACCGTTCCGCGGACATTGTAGCCCTTGGCGAGGAACTTGTCGAGGACGTGGCCGGCAACAAAGCCTGAAGCGCCGGTGACTAGAACGGTGGGTGCCATTGGTATTGCGGTTTGGGTCGTTGTTGTTGGGGCGGTCGGTGTGTTTGTGTCGATTGATGGTATTCACAGAGGATTGGTGGTTGGTTGTGTCGTGCGAATGCTGAGTGTGAGGTCGACAACAACCAGCGAGCGAGAGACCCGAGGTATATATAGCCACAGGCCAGAGTGAGGCTGGAGGGGCAACGCTATTGCACGTGGCGTGTGCAGGCTGACATATTGTTGTGACGTTGGTCGATGCCGTAGAACTTGATCGATTGTCTCTGGTCACCCCATGCCATCCATCCATGGTCGGCGTTAGGCGCAGCCGCACGCCACCAGGAACTCAATCCTCGATGCAGTATCATGCTACATTCCCTTATCAGCGGGTTGCATAAGCCAGGTGTCCCGCTGATGGATGGGCTGTACGACCAGTCACCCGGGCGAGAAAAAAGTTACACATCGTGGAAGCCGTGCCTGGGAGGCACTCGGAATGTTAGCGACCCAATCTAATGCTACCCCGCAGGCCGCAGCGTCCTGCCGAATCATAACGCCAAGTACGACGCCAGCAGGGCAGGCCGGGCGCTGATTGAAAGAGCTGGGATGCAATCTCCAAAGGCTGAAGTGTAGCACAGCGGCCGAGGCCAATCACCGCTGCAGGGGCCATCGGACTTTGCTGCACCAATCACGCAACACATTACACTTTTGTCTCGAGATGTATGCGCCCCAGGGATATGCTGGAGGTTATTTTTTCCGAGGGGCTTCTCGGCAGTGCGGGACTAGCTTGATAAGCACCTTGGAGGCTCTGTTCTGGCTTCGGCAAGGGCCCCGTGTGGCCAAGCCACAAGCAACACTTTGTCAAGCACACACACCATTACCTTCAAGCCTCCCGTAACTCCGGAAAATAGGGAAGGTGTGCGGCACTCGAGTGCTGACTAAAAAGCCCACGCATGATGTTGCAGCATTTTGAGCAAGCGAGCCACTCCCAGGGGCTGAGGAGCTTTTTAAGTCCGATCTTGCTGGGCCCCAGCCTGCCACAACTGTAACGCCGATATGACATGGCCGATGCTGTCAGCATGGCCCGGCCAGGGGGGTCTGGCGGACAAGTGTCCGGGCCGGCTTGCACAGCGACGCACGCAACACGCCGGAGGACCCTGAATCGCGCGACATCCAGCAAAGTATTTGCAGCCACTCTCCCCAGACACGCAAACCGCATTCACTGACGTCATTGCATCGATAGAGCTGCCAAACAACCGGACCACATATGTAATCCGGGGCTATTTTATTCCTCTGCGTAAATTGCCATTGTACCCAAATTACCAATTATTCCCTCTCATTCTTTTTTCCCCCTCCCCCGAAGACTCAGGGCGTGCTTGTCACTATTTCCTGCTTCCGAAAATGTCGGCGTGCATCCATGCCACACACACTGCTCCAAACGTTTCCCCATTCCAGTCCCGTGCCTTCCTTTCCCCCAACAACTTCTCCTCAGCCGCTTGCCTGGTCGAATCGTCTCGGCGGCCCGGGCTCGCTCGGGGTTTCAAGCGGCTGTGTAGCCGTTGGAGCCGGCAATGACGATTTGGAAGTCCTCCTCGTACGAGCCGTAGTTGATGGCAGTCGTGTTGGTGACGGGGCTGGCCCACCAGGCGCAGCGAATAAACGTGGTGGACTTGGGGTTGCGGCAACCAGTACCGGGGGACTGTGGAAGTCGAGGGACGACTGTCAGCAGGCGGCGAGGGCAATTACTACACGGGCATGAAGAATTGCTACCCGGGCATGACTCTTACACGGGCATGACTTCTATCGCCTCTGATTCGCTCATTTTTTTCCTTCGACCCACAGGTACATCAGTGCAAAGGCGGTGAAGCAAGCTCTCTTAACAAGGCCGTGCTTTCGGTATAGTTAGAACCAACCAGGTCAACCAGGCCTCTAGAACAGGTCTTAGGCGTATATCAAAACAAGGTCTGGTTTTCAATACAGAACACGGCCAATTCCAGCACGCCCTAGAGGGCAGCTATCTATATCTCTATCCTCTAACTACTATAGATGGAAGAACCTCCTCGTCGCTGTAAAGCAGCTCCCACTGACTCCTTCGCCTGCGAATGCTAGATTGCGTCTTCCGTCCGTTGGCACGTACTCCTGTAGTTCTTCCAGCTCCAAGAACAGCTGACCGGCTGCGCGTCTGGCGCTGGGATGAGGCACTGGCCTGGCTACTAGCCTGGCTGCTGGCCTGTTGGCTCGCTTCCAGAGCAAGCCTAGCTAGCGTGGACTTGTTGTGACTTCCTGGTGGTCGACCTCGTCTGCGCCCTGTCGCTTGGCTTGCTGGATTGCTGGCTCGTTGGCCACTCGGCTGGCTGCTTGCCTCAATGGCTAGCCGCGCTGGAACAGCCTGTGTGGTGTTCTTAGGTCTGCCACGGAGAGCAGTGGCGATCTTAGGGTCGAGGATTCGTCGGTATGGATCTCGAGAGGATGGCTCTCGTAGGCGCCACCGAGGATGGACCTCCCATTTGGTGAGAGGCGTGCCACTCACCAGCTTTGAGTAGATTGTGTGGCAGCAGGGGATTCCAAGCTCGGTCGAAACCGAGCAGTCCTCACTGCAATCGCCAATGGGGTCAGGGAACGGATTCTTCCCCGTCGGCATTGCTTTCCTTGCTAGCCGATATTGTTTGTTGATAAGCCCGAGACCCTTCGAAGAGAGTGCTGTCCGGGGTTCGCCTAGATACTCCGAGCTGGACCCTATGTACTCTCGCGCGGTAAGTACCTCGTCCGCTGCGCAGGCGTCGTTGAAATCTCGCTCCTGGTCCTTCATCATGTCCTGCATAGCCTCGATAAGCCGATAGAGATTGCTCATACCATTCAGGAGATAGCTCTTAATGTTGTTGTTGCTTGCTTCTGTCCCAGATGTGACGCGGATGCCGAAGTTGCGATAGTTGCGAATGAAACATCATGCCCACTGCGCCCTGACAGGCATGTAGGTTCCATGGAGATACCGCAGGATGGCCCGCTGATCGTCAAATTCCCTACAGAGGCTTCCCCACGCCTTCTCGTGAGCCTCCTCTGTCTCCGCAAACAAGACGACCTTCCACATCATGAGGACCCCTCGATGGCTATGAGGGACGACTTCAGCTGTCTGCGCGTTAACCAACTGTCCGTCTTTCGGGCCGAGCTCAGCCTGTGCCTGTGGAGCGTAGTCCTCCCCGTTGCTGCTGTCGGGACTACTACTGCTACATTGGCCCTTGACCCACTTCTGCTTTGACTTGAGCAAGACGTTAGAATTGATATGGTGGATGCACAGCTGCTGCTGTGCATCAGGGAACTGATCATTCAGGGCGGCCTTCATCTGACCGTCGAAGTCAGTAATGATAACGTCTGGTTGGCGAATAGAGTGCTGCTCTGAGATCTGTCGAATGCTCTCAGAGAGGAACTGGAACCCCTCCCGTCTCTCGTTGTCGATCAGACCGAACGCCGCATTGTAGACAGAACCAAGGCAGGTCTGTCCTGTTGCTTGGAATAATGGAAGCTTGAAGCGGTTGGTGTTGTATGTGTTGTCGAAGCTGATGACCTTAGGAAACCGCTTCCACATCTGGAGGCAGTACGGAAAGGTCCAGACAAGACCGACGAGGCGGTTTGGCTCATCATCCGCCCACTTAACAAGATAGGGAATCTCCATCTCGTCGAACAGCTTGATCAGTGCTGCAGTAGGAGTGTGGCCGCTCAACTTGTCTCGGCTGATACGAGACCTGGCGTTATAGATATCCTTTCGTGTAAAGGATGACTCGGGATTCTGCTCCAGGACGATCGCGCGTACGTCACGGGCCCGAATTCCGATCCGACGGCTTGTCGATTCGGCTGTTGCCCTGATAGGTGTAGTGAGTCGTCTGTGGGAGGGATGGGCGGATGGTTTGATACTGGCCCCGTGGTTATGCTGGCTATGCTCGGAATTATCGTGGTGTCGTAGAAGCCATCTACCCTCCTCCAGTGCTTCGGCAATGACCATCCATTTACAACCACACTTTCGAGACTTCCGTTGCCGAATACCGGTACTCTCTGAGGGGCGTGGTTCTCCGAATCGATCGCATTGGAAAGAGTACCGGATCTTCCGACCCTTATATGAGTAGGCATTTCGTCGAACAATACCGAAGCCATTAGCCTTCGCGAAAGTATTCACCCACTCGAACAAGACTTCGGCTGAGGGCGCTGGGTCGCCTGGGATAGGTGGGTTCGGGATCGGGTCAGGGACAGGCGACAAGGGGTGGTCGGGCGAGGGCGGCGAGGCGATAGGCGGAGAGTGCCTTTCTCGGGGAGGCGAGTATGGCGGAGATGATTCGAATGCAGTTGAACTGAGCGGCGAGTAGCCCCATATCTCGCGCCATTGGCGGACTCGTTCGTATGACCGGACGAGCTCGATGGTAAGTCTTCGATCTGTCCCAATCACCTCGCGCACTAGCCTAAGGGCGGACTGAAACTGGGGTCTTGTTGGAGAGAATTGTTCTTGTGCTGATTGTTGTGGAGAGCAGGCAGGTGGCTGGTCGATTTCCGGGCCTGGTATAGGCATTCTTACTCGTTGCGACCGTCTTCCTCGGGTTGGGAAATCATTCGATAGGTGAATCTCATGATCGAATCGCAGCTCCCATGGTGGCTCGTTCAGCCCACGCGATCCATGGGGGCGTGGAGCGGTCGTGAAGGTCTCTGGGTACGAGGCGAAAGCATTATAGAGTGCCTCGTCGTCTCCCACGCCATAGTGTGGGCCAATGCTCGTCCCTGTGCTATTAGACGAAGGTGGTCTTGAACTCTCAGATTGGTTCTGCCGCTGTCGTTGTCGGGGACGTAATTGATAGCTTCGTAGTCGTTGGTTGCTTGCTGAGCTAGATCGAGAGTCGGGCTGGGACATAATGACGGCCTTGATCGCGACAGGAAGAGTGTCGCACGCACGGATGAGAACATGGTTAAAGGGGCAGTTGATTTGACTATGAAAGAAGGAAAGAGGGGACCAATTTCAGCACAAAGGAATGACCTGCTTTGTGATGCAGATGCCTTGGAAGATGAGGCTATTGGATATTCCTGATACAGCGTGTGTATGAGTGTTGGTCTCAGCAGGGGGCCTAACACACCACGCCTGGAGCCCTGTGACCTTGACAAATATGGTATCTTTCACGAACAATCATTATCAGTAGGCTTGACATGCGACAAGAGGTAATTGGTGTAGTAGCTAGCTAGTGAATAGCTTCCATATGTCTCGTCGATCGTCGTGGTGGAGAGCTAATCCCGAGGTACAAGGGAAGCGTTGGCAGAATCTAGATTGACTAACAAAAAGGGATGGACCAATCAGAGGCTGCAAAAGGTCATGCCCGTGTAAGAGTCATGCCCGGGTAGCAATTCTTCATGCCCGTGTAGTAATTGCCGCGGCGAGAACTAATGTCGCCAGATTCCTCTTTCATGTGTTTTGTTGTTTAGGGACTGGGTTCAAGGGAACAACTCTTCCACTGACCTGAGTCGGGTCGCGCTCAAAGTAGATGTTGAAGCCCACACAGCTCTTGATGCCCTTGCACTTGGTGGCGCAGGTGGTCGCATTATAAGTCGTTAGGTCTGTGTAACCGAGGTAGCCGCTGGTCTCGGTCGTGGCGCGGAGGTCGAGGTAGGTCTGCTTGAAGCCCGGGGGTGTGCCGGCTCCCCTGGCGATGGTAGAGAAGTTCGACAGCGCGAGGAAGGCCGAGGGAGTGTCGGGTGTGGGAATCGGGCCGGTGCCAGTGGGCAGCTTGCCGCAGTCACCGCGCTCCGCCAGTCCCTCGGGTGCTGGCATGGCGGTGGCCACGGCGAGGAGGGCAGCAGGGAGGAGTGTGAACTTCATTTTGTTCGTGCGGGTGGTGTTGTGGAACAGATTCTTGCAGTGGTGATGATCTTCTACTGGCGATACTGACAGGATTCGAACAACTATTTATGGTTGTGGACCGTGTATGAGACGAATACTCTAAGGCGGAAACCACACCATTGCTCAACTGATGCCGGACATCTCCAACACGGTCAACTCCAAGGGAAGATGAGCTATAGCCCAGTGTTGGCGTCTAGACCCCTCTCGCCTCTGGAAGCCATTATCAAAGTGTTTACGATATGTACTGCTCAACCTTAACTTGTGAGTGCGAATCCTCGTGAACGGGTCCTTGATGCCACGGAATACGGCTTCTGTAATGGTTGTGAGTGTCTTCACTCTTGATGAGGCAAGTCTTTCAGAATCTCGTGGTGAAGTGGTGGGTCAAGAGGTTGGAAAGAGCCCTGGTGCGTCCACGAGTTCGCACAGATAAGCACAAGTGGGCATTCACAGTCGACTACAGTTTGCGCTGCTACCTACGTGGAACCTAAGGACGAAAAAAGATAGCAGCGAGACGCTGATCAATCCAAAGCAGCCACAAGGCATGTGTCAAACATATAGACTTCTATAGACTGCGAACCAAAACAAATAGTATATAAGCTTAGTTATGTTATTCCACCATTCCAACTCCACCGTCGAAATAAAGTTATCATGACCCTTGCGTACAGTTCCCACATGGCCCGGACACCAAGACACATTGGCCCTGTCCATCACCTGCTAGTGATGCTCCTCAAGCTTTAAACTTCACCTGCATAGTCTGTCTACCTTGACAGATGCCCCGGAATTGCCCCGAGTCTAGGCTTCAACGACACCCAAACCAAGCGCGATACCGCCGCGCTTCATCCCAGCGCCCGACCACATCCGTCCAGCGCAGCCTCACCCGCCTCCACCACCCCCTCCGGCAGCATACGCACGCATCGAACAAGGCCGCCCGGGTACTACTCTCCGCCCAAACACCCTCCCCAGCACCACCAAAGTGTCTCGCATCGATCTGACCGACCGTCCCATGTGCAACTTTGCCCAGCGCGTCCTCCACAATCTCAATGTCCCGCCGAATGCCCCACGCACGCGCCTTGGTCTTGAGATAGAAGTCGCAGGATCCCATGGCGACCATGAGCGATAGTGCGTACGGGATGAACAACCATCCGAGCCCTCCTGTCGGCGAAGTAAAGACGACCATGCCGAGGAAGCCTATGAGTCCGCTGAGGTCGAGTCAAAAAGGAAAAGGATCAGATGTCAGCTGATGCTCGCTGATGGGTATGATTTAGAGTGAGCTATGCAATGCGCGAGCCAAGTCTGGCTTGCGCCAGATTTGAAGCACTCCGCAGCTTGATTGGGGAACATCCGGCCCCGCGTGTGTCGGGCGGGGGAACATGTGCATATGCTTCCTTTCCCCGCATAACACAGGTACACACGATGACAGCTCAGAAGGCTGGGGAAGTGGACGGAGGGGAACGGAGCGCTTACTTACAAGATCAGACACCGCCGCCGGACCGTAGGCCCGGCCCGTTCGCTAGCAACGCGGCACGCTTCCAGGTGCTCGCGCAAGACGGCAAGGTCCCTGGCGAGGATCTTGCGCTCGGCCGCTGGTGCATCGTCGTGGCCGTGGACATGGCCGCCACCGACGCCACTGTCTCCTTCTCCTTCCAGATCACGACCGGAGTCCCGAGACAGCCTCCCTCCAGCTCCTCCTCCACCACCAACACTGTCTTGATCACAAGCCTCGGTGCTGAGTGCAGGTGAGCGTCCGAGCGACAACAGCCCGGTCTCTTCGTCGGCGATCTCCATCCTCATTCTCACGTAACCACGCCTGTCACCACCCAGAACACCTCCCTCGGCGGCGCCGTTCCCCGCCATCGCCTCGAGTCTCCCCTTCACGGCATCGCGCAGCTCGATTACCCTCTCCTGTACCGTTGTCGTTGCTGGTTTCACACCGGGATATACACTCGGCAGCGCGGCCGTTGGGACCGCAGGCCCAGTCGTAGTTGCCGTCGCTGGCACCGGCGCCGGCACCGGAACCACTGGTCTCGTCCCTCCCGCATCTTCGATATCGTTGTCGTGGTCGTCGTCGAGCGTCATACGTGATCCCCTCATGGGGCCGGTGGCGGCGCTGCCGGTATACTCCGGCGATGGCGACGGTGCTACTGCCGCCGCCGTCATGTTCTGACTAGCTAGCCACAAGAACAAACTTGGATGCACAGAAAGTGCAACTCTGTGGTGCACCAGAGCTGCAAAGGGGGGGGGGGGGGTGACTGCCTTGCGCGTTGTGTGGACGTTACAAGTGCGTATGCAGAGTTTGGAAGGTCGTACGAGAGTATGCAGGGAGTTGCCCTTCGCAAGCCGAGTGGCCCCTCGAGATACAGAGGTTGAGCAGGCAAAGTGTGAGTATCCTAGAAAGAGTATACCTGCGCAGTGCGCCCTTGTCGACGGAGAGGCCATCTCAGGCGGCTCACACAACCCACAGAGAGCCAGTGGCGAAAAGGCACGTACGCGCGTCAGCCCTCTCGTGTTCGGTGTCGCTTTTGTGAGACAAGTCGAGTCACCACCCGTCGCAGAGTGTGTGTGTATGTGTGTGTGTGTGTGTTCAGCTCCCTTCCCCGCTGGCTAAGACTAGGCCCAGATCGGGGACCGATCTTCCCGCCCGGCCGAGTCACCGCACGCGCGCGCGCAAGCGCTTGTGATTGGAGAGCCGGCAAAGTGTGTGTGGTATGTCTGATGTTTTGATAGTCATGCACACACGTGACCTGTGTCTTGATCTTGTTGCTTCACTCTAGTATAGTGTTTTCATGGGGCCGTATCCGTACGTGTTAAATATCCATCAAGACGACCCCGGTTCTTATTGGTGTGAGTGTCTAGACGATGCAAGCCGTCAATCGGTCTGGAGTGCGATGCCATGGTGCATCTGCTGACGCTTTTGAAAAGCGTGATCCTCTGCCTGTATATATGTATATATGTACGTATGCATTATGTCTGATCTCTTCTTTTTCATACAACCGCCCCATCCCCATATTGACACGAGGGACTTTTTTACCTCCCTCGCCTGTTCATCACCGTTTCACCCCCAAGAGCAACGAGTCGATCGCCGCGCCAAGCGCAACGACACCCCGCAGCATCCCTCCCTCGATGCGCTCCACGACCTGGTCGCAAGCGTGCCATACGGAATCCGCAAAGCCCGTCTCCGAGCCCGGGTTTGATGTTGTGTCGTCAATGTCGGTGGTGGTGGTGTTGGGGTTGAGATAGGTGTTGAGAAGGAACTGCTGCCTCTGTCGACTGCATTTCAGGAAATCCTCCGCCTTGACTGCGCGAACAGAAAATGACAAAGAAACAGGAAACGAATTAGTCCAACCTGGAGAAGTGCGCAGAAACACGTAAGAGAATAAACATAGATAGATACAACACCGCCCGTCCTGGAGCTACATTACTCGTTGGAGTATTGCTTTCGCGCAGATGGCAGAAGTGGGTGGCAGTGCAGACATGGAATTGCAAAAAGAAAAAGCAAAGCAAAACCCCTCACATGGAGGCGATGACTACGGCTTTACCTGCGTGTGTGACCTGCTGGGCCAGAGATCTCTCCAGGCTCAGCAGCAAAGCATTGGTCCTGACCAGAAGCTCTGTGGGAGAGAAAGAGAGAGAGACACGGGTTAGCGACTTGCCAGATCTACATTGAAAAAGGCACACCGACTTGCCTTCATATTGTAACGTGTAAGCGACGGGCGGCTCGTCGTTGGGCCCGACGAGCAACGGCGGGTTTTCGATCGTCTTCTCGACGACGCGGAACTTGAGGCCGACATTCTCGGTGAGGACGTCGGTCCACAAGATGACGGAGTGGCCTGTGCTACCGGCGGGGCTTTCCCCCACGGGTGACGGTTTGGACCCCCCCTTCTCGAGACCCTGCCGTGTCGGAGACGACGCCGCCAGGTCTGATACTCGCGACTGGATCTGCAACCACTTCCGCCACACGCGGATGACGCCCTCAGTGATGCTCGAGATGCTGAGGAACAGGCCCCGGCTGGGATCGACCTTGATGATGCTGGCCTGGGTGCACAGCTGGGAGAAGAGCTCGCCAGAGTCGAGAAAGAGGTCGTGGGCCAGGCCGGTGCTGTCTGAAGGGCCGCCGTAGATGTTCCTGCCGGCGATGGGGGGCGGCCCCCTGCCCGTGTCCGCGGAGCCGCTGGGTCTAAAACGTGAGTACAAACTGTGCAGGCTGGCAAGATGGACGCCCTTGCCGGCCTCTTGGATACCATCGGTGCCGAGATACTCGCAGTACAGGGTGGGGGTGGAGATCTTGACGCTCGGGTGGTAGCACTCCAGCACCATGACGTGGTCGTCGAGCCGGGAAGCTTCGAGGAGGCGTGAGTAGTGTAGTCGCCCTACCAGGTCATAGAAGCGGCGGCTGAGTGTCGCCAGGCTCAGGAGCTGCCGCGTGGGGAAGTGGGCGAGGATGTGGATGAGGATCTTTGCGGGCGTGTCAGAAGTGTGTGCATGTCAAGAAATACATGGCCTATGCCATAGGCCGGGCGACATGGCATACCTCGGTGGGGAGCTGGCCAATAGATGATGCGTCAAGGCGCTGCATTTTGTCGACTTGCCTGCCCCCGTGTGGGCGTGATATAGACGGACGGCAGGACGGATTGCTTGGCACAGGGGGGGCCTCGCGGGATGATATAGCGGAATCAGGCCGATATGTCAGACGGGCTGGGGGCCAGACGCAGCGTCAGACCCAGATCTGGCAATGCTGACCAGGCGGCTGGGTCCAGCCTGGGTGGACGCGTGTTTAGGGCTGACGGAACGCAGACGATAGGGGGAAGACGCTTGTCGTGTGGCTCCAGTGGGTGAGATGGCTGCCAATGGCGAAGGGGACCGTGATTGCTTTGGTAAGGGGAAGCTGAGTTGCGCAGGTGACCAGAGTCAAGCCCAGAGCGTTGTGTTGTGCCTCGTTGCGTCAGCAGTAGTGAGAGCCGCGGATGGTGAGATGGCGTAGGGCAAGCGATGATACTTGGGCCCCCATGGGAATAGGAGCGGAATAGAAAGTCATGGCGGCGGCCCTGAATCATCACCACCGCCTCTAACTGGCATGGCCAATCACAGGATGGCACTAGATAACGCCAGTGGGTGGAGGGAGTGACGAGATGGGATGCGGGCCCCTGAGCACCACTGCTAGCCTTGGTTCCATGGCCATCAGATTTGCGTCGTTGGTGTGATGGCGTACGTACTGTACTTGGCTTATTGCGCTGCTGTGTGCTGCTAATGCAAAACACTAATGCAAAACATCCCACAGGGGAGGGGGACGCACCAGTGCTCTTGTGCACGTACCTTGAGGTAGGTAGTCGCTACCTGCCCGTGTCCACCTACCTAGGTATGCCTGGCGTGGACCCTGACATTTCCCACGCGACCGGATCGGCAGAGATAAACTGCTGGCGCCCCGCAGCCAGCGCGGCGCTGCCCCTCGCCGGTATCGCTCTCTCCGTCTCCGGTCGGCACTCATTCGCTCGATTGCTCCTGATAACGTCCCGGCCTCCGACGTCACTCGTCCCTCGTTTTCCCTCCTTTCCCCAAGTTCCTCGACTTCACCGTGACACGCCCAACAACAACCTCGCATCCCACGTCCCAGATCACAGACAGACACACACACACACACACAAGATGGGCTCAGCACCCCCAGCCCCGCACAAGGTCCGCCTCGCCATCCTCGAAGCCGACACCCCCGTCCCGGGCATCCAGGCAAAATACAAGACCTACGGCGGCGTCTTCCGGCACCTCTTCTCCCGCGCCCTCTCCCTCGACTCGCTCGACAGCCCCGACTCCCCGCTCGCCATCACCCACCACGACGTCGTCAACGGCGACTTCGCCTCGGCCTACCCGGACCCCGAGGACATCGACGCCGTGTTGATCACGGGATCCAAGCACAACTCGTTCGACGCGGACCCCTGGATCGAGCACCTCGTCCAGTACACCCGGCGCGTCCTCGAGGGAGGGCGCGTCCGCGTCGTCGGCGTGTGCTTCGGGCACCAGATTGTCGCGCGCGCCCTGGGCGCAGAGGTCGGCAGGAACACGCGCGGCTGGGAGCTGAGCGTCGTCCCGCTCGAGCTCAACGACGAAGGGAAGAAGGTGTTTGGCAGGAGTACACTGGTGAGCTTCTTCGATTGGTCTTCTTCCTTGCATTGACACCCCGCACATCGCCCAAAAGAAAACGTCGCTAACCATATGCTTCAAAACCGGCAGAGCATACACCAAATGCACCGCGACGCAGTCCTCACCCTCCCCCCCGGGTGCACACCCTTGGCCAGCACCGACGTATGCGCCATCCAGGCAATGTACATCCCCGACCGGATGATTTCCGTCCAGGGCCACCCAGAGTTCACGGCCGACATGGTCCGCGAGATCCTCGAGCTGAGAAAGTACGGCGGCATCCTGGGCGACGACATCTTTGCCGACGGGATGCGCAGGGTCGGGGACCACCACGATGGCGTCGAGATTGCCAGGACGTTTCTGAGGTTCATCGGGGCTGGCGAGGAGAAGGTGGAGGCGTAGTAGCTTGGTGAAGAGAGAGAAGGACAAGGAGAGAGAGAGAAAGAGCACTGCTTATCACACCGCCACGATGCCTGGGCTGCACGACGACGGATAGAGGGTTTGGAGCGTTCATGCATGAGCGAAAGTGTTGTTGTTGTTGACCTGCGCTGCAGTAGAACATAGATATCGTCTGCTTGACTTTGGCTTGGTTCACCCGAAGCGCGTACACTCTGATGCTGGGTCCCTAGGAGGACGGGAGCCCACGCTTTGCGCACATTGCGAGCAAGATACACCCATAAATCTGAGTTTTGGATAACTGTCAAGAGCAAAAATACCTATCCACCCACCATGCTATATGTAGTCGCCATTGACTACCATGCCATAAACGCCGCGCTAATGCTCTGACAATATCATGTGTGTGCCGCGCCACAGCAATGCATCACAAAAAAGGCCGCCCCGAGTGTCCAAATGATGCAGCAGTCCCTGCCTCCCATGCAATCGCTCAAAATGCCATGCCATGCCATGCCATAAACCATAACAAAAAGAAAAAGGACGACGTGCTGCCGGCTCTATGCCAAAGCCTTCGTTATTGTTGTAGGTCCCTCCGGGACTCTGACCCGCCAAGGTGGTACGACACGGGCCGCCTCCCATCTCCTCTAGAGACGCCGTCGATGTCCATATCCACGTCATCCCACCACTCTCGTGGCCGTCGTGGTGGCGCTTTGGACATGGCTGCCGCCAGTAAGCCCCGATCAATGTTTTCCTGTGCCCGTCTGAAGTGTGCCATGCGGGCATCCCGCTGCACGTGAGGCTGGAAGCGCTCCGACGGTGCGAAAAAGCGACCTGCCGAACCAAGCCGCGACGCCAGGCCTTCCCAGAACCCACCCTGCAACTCCCGCCACGGCTTCTCCCATCCCATGAAGAAGCAGCAGTCCACTGCGGCGCCGATGCAGAAACTCGCGATGCTGGCAATCTGGAGCTCCAAAGGACCGCTCCTTGTCGCGCTGGCATAGTCGTCATAGCCAACCACGTGCGACACGAACGGGGCGATCCAACTGATGACGTAGATGATCGGGTACACGACCAGCAGGCGCAGCTGGCGGTGGGTTCGTTCTCGGGACCGGCGCATCACCTCATCCGTCGCGTCTGCAGACAGGTGAATCACCCCGCCATCGAGCGGTGTTGTGCCTGTGGGCGTCTTGTGCCAGGGAAAAGACGACGGTGTCGTGGTGGTGTCTACTGGGGCCGATACCGATCGGGTCAGTGCTACCAAGGCGGCCTCGCGGTGCTGAGCAACGGCCTGGGATTGTGTCGCGCTTCTCTGTGCTGTGCGCGCCGGCCGGGTCGGCAGAGCTGCTGGTTCGATCTCCTCAGGCCCATGGCGAGAAACAGGTTGGGTGCGCGCCTGACCTCCCTCGCTTGAGTCGTCATGGTGCTGCTTGAAACTGTGCAGATTCCAGGCAATCGCATCTAGCCCAGGTTGTGTAGGCCGCCGTCCCGGATTCTGTCGTTCGCTCATGTATTTCGTGCTCGCCGTGGAGACGACAGAGTCCTGGCGCTCGTCTATGATCTTTCCTATGCTCTTGGACAAGCTGTCCCGTGCGGAGTCTAGCAGACCATGATCCATGATGGATGGTGTTGGCGGGACTTGTAGGGCCAAATTGGCAGGCTGCGCGACAAACATTGGGCTCATGGTGCTTGTGCTGCGCTGCACCTTGCCGAAGCGACGGAATCGGAGACCGACATATAGGTAGACAGAGGCGTAGATGACGGAGATGAGCCCGAAGATGAAGTAGCGAGGGCCCCAGCTCAAGGCCTGGCGGTACCACTCGGGATGCACCGGCAAGTAACAGTTGGGGCCGTTAGCGGTGAACTGGCCGCCGGAGATTGGGACGATGGCGGCAATGACGATGGGTAGGACGGCCCAGATGATGTAGGCGATCTTGCGATATGGATAGAGGCCGCCTTCGTGCGAGTTGAGGACGTACAGTGCCTGGTGCACGGCAATCATGAGGACGGCGATGTCCGAAGCTTCAATGGCCGCCGTCAGCAGGAAACCCGAGACCTGGCAGAAGTAATACTCGTTGTCGAGAGAGCTTGTGCTGAAGTAGACGAGAGGGCACAGAACCAGCCACATGGCCTTCATCATGTCGCTCTGGATCAAAAGCATGATGAGGCTGGGGGTGTTGTTAGTGTGTGTCATATGAGAGACCGAGGCCGCAGAGGCAGCCGGGGTTGTGGCGTCAGCATGTACTCACTCCTGACGGAAGCTTCGCCGCATCCGCACAAACCAGTAAAAGGCCGAAAAGGCGGCGAGGACGCTGACCGAGGCGAGTGAGATGGAGATGGTCATGAGGATCTTCTGGCGCCTGTGGTACGGAAGGGTGTCGCCGAGGCTATGGTCCTGGCCGAGGATTGCATCTGCCCGCTGCAGGACATGATGGACCAGGGTGAAGCCCGGGTTGGGGCTCTGGGCTGGAGCCATGTGAAAAGCCAGGCCGCTGGCGAGCAAGCGCCCAGCAGGATCTAAAGGTGTTTTGCGTAGCTGTAGCTATGCTTGTTGTTGTCGTTGGTTGCTGTCGTTTGAGGTGTTCCCTTACAGAACAACCTGTCGTGGTTACCGCGTCCTCCAAGTATGGTCTCGCCAGTGCGAGAGTGGCCGCATGCTGACTGCGAGGCTGCTGTGGTGAACGCCGTTGTTTGCCGTGAGCTGCAGGCCGGCAGAAACTGACCCCGGTGCCCGATGGTGGAGGCGGCGAGGATCAAGAATGCAGAGGCAAGCAGTTGTGTGTAGTGCTGGGCCAAGTCGTGCCTTCCTGGCTGTACCGCAGTGCAGAGGAAGGAAAGAAGAGGAAGAGCGAGTGCTGACAACAACAACTACAACAAAAAAACGGGAGGACCCGAGGGACGTGACGTGGACGCTCGAGGATGACGGACAGCGCAGGTGGTGCGGGAGCGGGTGCGGGTTAATTAGAGGCGGCGGGAGAAAAAACAAAGTTGTGTTGTGTGGGCATCGGAATCAGGTCCGGAGGCGGAGGAGGCCCAAAGCAGGCAATCCTGACGAGAGGGACGGGCGTGGACCTGCCGGGGTGGTGGTGGAGAGCAATAAGGCAATATTGTCCCCAGGATGGCATGTAAGACCAGCTGATCACGGGCGGGCGGGACAATGGGAGAACAATCGGGACAATGGGCCGCAAGGGCAAGCGAGGGAGACGAGGCGCGGTTCCTGGTTTTGACGGGTTGGAGAGTGAGAGTGGCGGTCGAGAAAGAGAGAGAGAGCTGGCTGCGGCATATTCCAGTGGATTGGTGGCTTCCCAGCTGGGCCCCATCGCAAATCGCGGCGAAGCGTGACAAAAGTGCAGTCGGGTGCTGTACAGTGTGCTGTGCTGGCAGCAGCTAGGCGGGGCGCGTGAGCAGCGTGCGTGAGTGGGTGCAGCGTGGGCTTGCGGGCCGGCGGAGGGCCCGATCAGCGATGGGCATCCCCCAACCCGCGATGCGCGACTGGATGGCGAGCGACGCCCTGCCGCGGACGACGCCCAATAAATGAGAGGAGCCGCGGGGGCAGTGCTGCGGCGGGCGACTGGTGATGCTCCAGTCCTCATCCTCTGGCGGTGTGCTGGCCAATTCAGACGTTTAGCACCGCCCGTCAGATCCTGTTGGACTGCAACCCTCGTCCACCGCCATCCGGAAAAGCACTCGAGCAGCCCTGACAGGTCACAGCAACCTCGACGGAAAAGTGACACACGACTGGCAGCCACGAGATGAGTGGTCCCACGTCACAAAAACCCCCATGCCCAGGCGCCTGCTGGGGCACACCTGGGACCTGTCAGGCCAGCCCTGCACGGCTCCAGCGCCTAATCCGCCCTGGTGACGGGGCCCTCAGGCGACGACCGGACCAGGTATTTTTGCCAGACGTTCACATTGCAATGCCGTCCCTCATGTTGCAGGGCACCACGCCCTCCCTCGTAATGGCCCACCACGCAGAGTTCTGGTGCCGATCCCCATTCCAGACAGCCATCAGTCCATGCAACCGTCCATCAGCTCATCCCCTCAGTGCCGTGCGTCCCAACCGCTCGGGACTCAACATCCTGCTCTCCCAGGCGGTGAATGCCACACTGAGATGAGAGCTGCCTTCCGACGGAGATCCGGGCGGCGTGGGTTGCATGCTACCCTGGCGCCTACGTACGCAGTAGTCTGTCACCCGGCCTTGTCCGCTGCGGCTGGATGACACGCAGCCGCACCAAGCCAATCGTGGATGTCAGCATGTCTTGCGGCAGGTTGATCGAGGCTAGGCCTGTCGTCATGATGCGCACAGGAGGACTTTGCTGTCAGGTTTGTCCCTCACGTCGCGGAGCTCCCGCCCGCCACCCCAACTCACTCACAACTCTGGGGCATGCCACAACCAACATCTGCCGCGCGCCAATCGTGACAGATCTTGAGGCAGAGCGCAATTTCCCCGCCCTCGCTGCCAAACTCGGCAAACAAGCGGTGACAGTAACCGCAACACCGGCATGAGAAGACCCATGCTGGTTGCCGATGGGAATGTGTCCTTGTGGGGTCAGGGCAGCGACTAGCGCCGCCAACGACAGACTGGCGCGCAACGTGCCCTTGGTCCGGTACAGTCTCGGGTTGTTCAGGGACCTCGGGGTGCAGGCCCTAGCGCTCCTAGCTCGCGGTTCTCCCCGTTTGCACATGTTCACATGTGGACGGATCATGTGTTGGGCGCTCTTGATTGATCCGTTCGTTGCCTCGGACTACCGAGCCGATCGCGCGAAAGAGCGGTACTCCGGACGTTATTGTGACTGGCAGGGTTCCCCATGCTTCGCGTTTGTGCATCGTGACAAATGAACTGCGCACGGTATCGATTGTCGGGATCTTTTGGATGGTGGATGCTGCATCGTCCCCGGCTTGTCGTGGTGTGGCGTGCCTAGAAGAAGGCGTGAGGTTCCTAGTCAGATCTTTGGAGCTTGCTGTGCTCAGCGAAAACCGCGGTAGCTCACGCATGAGCGGCTTGTGACATTTGTCGTCCCGAGCTGTGATGTGGCCAGCCCACGTGATGGCTCCTTGTTGCAATGAATCGTTGTTCCGATACTGAATGGACGGGTACAGTCTAGGGATAATCCGACGTGGACGAGGCGTGGAGTGGATGTGAGGTGGAACTGAAGAGAGTGCGCTGGCACGATTTGATGCGTGTAGTGTCGGTGCTCTCCATCCATGGATTGCGCTCATTGTGTGTCGAGAGTTGGTGGCAGCCACGCACGCTCACAAAGGACAATGTACTGACTGCCTCATCTTCGCTCCTGCCTCAGCACCCCCCCCCCCCCCCAGCCTGCGAAATCGATTGTTCTGCCTGCTCTCTTCCTCCACCGGCCTACCGCAACCTCACAACATCCATGCTCTGATCCCACATTGCCAAGTGTCTGCGTGGCGTCCACAAACACCCTTTGACAAGTTCAACGAGGCATCAACATTCCACCTTCCCCAGTCACCGGCAAACAGATACACATGCTATCAAGGAGAAGATGGTACTCTGCCTCCTCAACACCACATCCACCAACTGCCTTCATCAGCATCGCCCTTCCTCTGCTTGATCTGTCTCACACCGTCCTTCCAGCTTCGGCCTCCTTGTCATTTCTGCCTTCCACTGCCATCACGGGCCCGCCGCAAACTGCATCATCAGTCTTGAATCATCCAGCCATACCGCAAACAATCGGTGCTACACAACCTCGAGATGGCCGACCAGCCTCACAATCAACCCCCTTCTCGACTGACGGGAACCGACCCGCGGAGACAAAATGCACTCGAAGCCGACTATCAGGGATGGCCTGTTGAGATCAGCGCCCTCCGAACACCGATCGGACCAGCAAGGACTCTGGCATCGGACTACACCACGCGTGTCTCGGAGCTTACACGTGGCTTGCTATCCGGGCCCTCTTCCCAAGTCGTCCCTGGCAGCGTCACACATCCCGGGACCATCAGGCATCCCTTCGAAGCTACTGAGCTCAGTCGCCTGGGCACCTTGGCTACAACAGCACTACAACCGCCAAGTGTTGCGCCAGCGAGAAACACTGGTAGGCACTTCCAAGCTGCGTCGTGCATAGACTATGCCGCTTGACACTGACTATATCACCAACCAGCTCCAGTTTCACCTGGATTTCCAGGTCCCGCCACCTTTCACACTTCTCTCCCGGCCCGAGTTAATTCTGGGCCTGCCGCGGCCCCAGCAAGACCAGCTCCTCCTCTATCCGGCCTTGACAGGACTTAGGGAGTCCCGCGAGAGCTACGAAAAGATGAGGTTGTCTGTATTGTCTGTGAGGAACGTGTGCCCAGAGACAAAACGCTTCCGTTGGCCTGTTATCATTCTCAATGCTTCAGCTGTATCAGGGAGAATGTCTTGGCGGCGACCCGAAGTCTACCCTTTACGCCCGCCAGATGCTGCTTCGTCATCTCCATTGACAAATTTTACGACTTGAAGGTCGTTCCCCCCGAAGAGCTCATCCAGTATCGCGAGAAGCTGGAGGAGATGACGAATCCACAAACCAAGCTGTACTGCCACAACTCTGCATGCGCGGCATACATACCACCGCAGAACCGCGGGCCGCGGGTCGGCACATGCCCCAAGTGCAGCCTCAAAACCTGCAAGACATGCTTGCACAAGTCTCATTTCGGCAAGTGCGATTCTGGGCGGCTCGCAGAACTCAGCGAAGCAAGCGATACGATCATGCGATTGGCGGAAGCTAAAGGCTGGAAGCGGTGCCCGAACTGCAACAACCTCGTTCAGAAGAACGGTGGCTGCGACGAGCTGATTTCTACGCCTTTATGTTTCGTCGTTCCGGACTTTCGGGAAGGACTAACAAAGTTGTTCCAGGTGCAATTGTGGCCAGGTCTTCTGTTATGGCTGTGGCCAGCCTCGCTCTTCGAGCCACGTGTGCGAGGCGGGAGTAGCTCGAAGTGGCAGGCGGGAATAGATGAGGTCGAACAGGACTCGCTCTCCACGTCTCTTGATCACCGGATTTGCAGCGACGAGCAGCACGAGTTTTTAACCCTGGCCTGTCGTATATCCATAAAGCTTGCAGCACGATTAACCGGCATAGCAGATCTTTGAATAAGGGTCGTTCACGCCCATGTGTATTGATAGTTCCGGACGTTCGTCACTGGAACGGCTTGGATCTTGAATCAAAACGAGAAGGGCGTACCATAGCGTTTCCACGGGGCAGACGCTGGGATAGAAAAGGGCTGCGAGGATCCAAGTGTAATTATGATACAGAGACTAATTACTTTCTAGACACTTGACTGGACCACGCCCGCCTTCTCACTGCAGTCCCTCGTGATGTTGTTGTGCATGACAGGCTTTGAGCCACCAGACGAAGACAATGACGCAGAGCGGTGCCCATCAGCGCCCGACGACGACGGTGACGACGACGACAGATCGACCTTTGCCTTCCAGCCCATGTACCACTTGCAGTCGAAGAGCTCCTCCATCCTCTCCATGGGCACGCCCTTAGTCTCGGGGGCCCACAGCCACAGGACGACCAGGCCGATTGCGCACACGAGCGCCCAGAAGACGTAGGCGCCCCAGACGTCGAGGCTGGCAAACATGTTTGGCGTGACGCGGACGACGGCGAACTGGAAGAACCAGTGGCAGGCCATGTTGAAGGCGTAGCAGACGTTGCGGATGCGGGTGGGGTAGATCTCTGTCGAGTAGAGGTACTGGACGGTGCTGGGATTACATATATCATGTTAGATTTTGACGGATTTGCAACGCACACGGGGGGCGTGGGGTGAGTAAAGGAATTCAAGTGAATGATGATGAGGATGGTGATGCCGTTACCAGAGAGGCCTCAGTGAAACAAAGAAAAAAACGAAGAAGAAAAAGAAAAGAAAGGGACTACTCACCACAACCCAATCGACCAGCCCACCGCGTAGACAAACACGCTAGCAATCGCCGCGTCGCTGGCTGCCTTGTTCTGCACGTCGCGCCACACGGCCATGTACACGGCCATGTAGATGTGGGTGACGCACTGCAACGCCAGGCCGGCGGTGAAGCAGACGCGGCGGCCAAAGACGTCGACCAGGCCCCAGGTAAAAGCCATGGTGAAGACGAGCTTGACGATGCCGTAGGCGCCGCTGGTGATGAGGGACGTGTTGTTGCCCGTGACGCCGGCCAGGGTGAAGATGTCCGGGACGTAGTAGGTGATTCCGTTGCCGCCGGTCCACTGGGCGATTAGTTGCATGATGACTGTTGGTTTGAACCCCATTTGTTAGTGATCGGGCCCCCAGTTTCGATGAAGAGCACATATGTGTGTAGTAGTAGACAGGTTGCTGGTTAAGGGCAGCAGGAAGGGGGGGGGGGGGGGGGGTCAATGTAACTTACAGCCCAACAGGAACCGCGTCCGGTATGTCCGCAGGGTGGCAATCTCCTTGATGATGATCCACGTGGTGGTGCCCTCGAGGGCCTTTGCCTTGTCGTCGATCTGGCGCTGCAGGTCCTCAAGCTCAGCGGTGACAGCGGCCTCGATCTCCTCGCGGTGCTTGCCCGCTGCGCTGCCGTGCCGGAGCTTGGCCAGCACGGCGACGGCCTCGTCCGAGCGGCCCCGGGAGGCCAGCCAGCGGGGGGTGTCGGCGATGAAGAAGGACGCGAGCAGCGCGAGGCCCGTGGGGACGAGCGAGATGGCGATGACGAGGCGGTACTGCATCCTGGACGAGGGCAGGCCCCGCTCGGCGCCGTACGAGATGAAGAAGCCCAGCGTCAGGACCGACAGCAGCACGACCATGTATATGCTGACGACCATGCCGCGGCTCTTTGCCGGCGCAATCTCGGACAGGTACAGCGGCCCGACGACCGTCAGGGCCCCCGCGCCGAGGCCGCCCCAGATCCGGGCAAAGAGCATCAGGCCCAGGATGCCCGACGAGAAGGTCTGCATCAGATTGCCCGTCATCCACACCAGCATCGACAGCTGCCAGCAGCGCAGGCGGCCGAGCCTGTCGCACACGGCGAGGATCATGAGGGCCCCGATGGCGGCCCCCAGCACGCCAAAGGACGAGATGTTGGCTTTGCGGTCGGCCAGGCCGCTGGGGTCGTTTGCCCACAGCGCGGGCAGGAGGCCAAAGTCCTGCTTGAAGGAGGACAAGCCCGTGGAGGAGGAGAAGCCACCCTCATCGTAGCCTGGAAGGTGGGTTGTCAGATAGAATTGACCGGGAACGAACAGTAGAGAGGAAGGCTGAAAAGTGATGGGTGGTGATGAATCTCAAAGGGAGGGGGGTAGGGAGGTATGCAATTGCCTTCTGGCTGTTAGTGAGGGAGGAGAGCTTACCCTTTGGGATAGACCCGCAAGCAATGACGATGATGGTGAAGTAGTAATACCAGTTGATGCCTGCCATGGTGCCGTTGGAGGGGAGCCGCGTGCAAATGCGATGTCTGTCCTAGCAGAGCAACTGTAGCTCGCCTGCCCTCGGCCGGGGATGCCGCGTCTGATATAGAAACGGCCTAGGACAAAGATGCGGAGGAACGAGTGTGGGGAAGCCGTGCCTGATCCTGGGGGAATGGCGCAAAGGGGGTGAAGTCCGGAAGCAGTTGCCAGTCGTCGGCCGGCAGGGGGAGCAACGCCCGCCCGATGCAGTCTGGGGATTGTGGGGGTCGTGGGTGTCGTCGGGGATGTGTGCGACGTGCCGCAGTCGTGGCCAGAGAGTCCCCGGGCCTTTGCTGTGTCGACTGAGGTACCTAATGGCGAGTGAGCGCTGTGATTCCCCACGATGTGAGGGCGGGAGCAAAGTCGCGAAAGAGGCGAAAAGGGGATCCGTCGCTCTCCACCTGCAGCCACGAAAAACTCGACACTAGGCCAAGCGAAGCTTAATGGGCCAGTGCGGTCTGTGGAGTGTTCCCTGTCGGGAAGGGAGAACCACACACGGACCAGAAAAGCAAAGACAACCACACGGAACTTGACCGAGGCATGCTTGGAGTTGTCTGATTCCGTCCACCTCTCAATTGACCTACCAGCGCATGCGGCCGTCGTCCGCCCTCCATCCACATCGTCATCCATCGGGCTCTACATCGGTCAACTTCCGCACAAGGTCACATTTTCTTCAGCGCTGTGCCTCTTCTTTTCTGGGCATTTCTCTTTTGCCAAACAAAGGCATTTCTTGGTAGCAAAAGCACCGGTTTCGGCGCCAGGTGGTCCGAGAAGTAAGTGGCCCGGCCAACTTCCGCGTGAGAGCTCCTCGGTCTCCTCGGCCATCGCAGCCGAACATCGAGCTTCGGCAGGTCCATACCGGCAATAGGCCCCTCCAAACCTCCTCGAACAGCAAGAGCCCAGTGACAGGAAGCGAGAAAAAGCCAAGCATGCATTGTCCCGGCGCCCTCGCCGTGCCCCCACGCTCGGCTTTCTTCCGCCTGGGACCACTACCGCAGACCGGCCTAAGCCCGGTCACTCCTCTGATAATGCTCCGCCCGAGACCAGACATGCAGGAACTGCGTTGCAATGCTCTCCGATTACACTCACTGTCCACTTCTTCAACTAGTTCCCTTCCTCCCAGTCGTCCAGACTCAAGGGTACCCAATCCACTCATACCAGAAAAGACAAAGGCAGCAGTGCTCCCACCACCTCCAGTATCACCAGCAGCTTTGAGTTACACAGACTTGGCGAGTTATGAGACAAGCACCACTGTCACCTCCAGGTCCCGTTGTCAATCCACAAAAGCCTGTCACACACTACGCGCCAACATGCTCGACTCATCCCTGAGCCACACCAGAGCCGCCCTCGACCAAATCTTTGGTCGCTATTCATCCAAATTCAGGCATCTCCGGTCCTCCTCATGGCTAGCCACCGCTACCATCGAGGACCCCACGAAAATCTCAGACTATGCAGGCACTGGTGATGCGTCAATAGCGGAGCACGTTCCCTCTGCAACGCAACGCAGAAATTTGGACTTCAGGTCCAGGATCCCGCCCGGATCGTGGGACTCGCACATGCATGTCCTCGATCCACGGTTCCCATTATCTCCGCAGGCAGTATACACGCCGTCCCCGACGGCACCGACCAGGCTGCAGCACGCGAACGCGTTTGAGGCGGACGTTGGCCTGGACAACATTGTCCTCGTGCAGCCGTCCATCTACGGCTACGACAACAGCTGCCTGCTCGACGCACTGCAGAGTCTCGGTCCGGACAGGGCCAGAGGCGTCGTGGCGTTCGAGGACCCTGCTCTGTGGGCCGCGAGGGAAGGTCTCTCGGCATGTTCCTCGTCGTCCTCGCTGTCATCCACGTCGACCGGCCAGATGAGCAGCGAGTTGCTGAAAGAATGGCATGAACTCGGCGTGCGCGGCGTGCGCATCAACCTCCAGTCCCACGGGCAAAAGGACGTCTCGGCTGACGACTTCCGCTCGCTACTACGGCGGTACATTGAGATTGTCAAGCCATTCGGATGGGTTGTGCAGGTCTATGTCGCGATAGACATGGTGCACATCCTCGAGCCGCTAGTGGCCGAGTATAAAAACGGCAAAGACAACCAAGGCGTGAAGCTGTGCATCGACCACATGGGCCACCCGCACTTGTCCCAGCTGGCAGAGTACCAGGCCACGCGGGATCCGTACACGATACCCGGGTTCGATGCGCTCGTGCGCCTCCTGGAGACCGGCATCGTCTATGTCAAGATGTCAGCGGCGTACCGGTTCAGCGCGGAGATGGAAGATGCCGCCACTTCCCCTCGCGATGCGGACACGGCATCGAGGGACGTCTGGCCTATTGCGAGCGAGCTGCTGCGGGTTGCGGGGATGAGCAGGGTCGTGTTCGCGACTGACTGGCCGCACACAAGGTATGACGGGCTGGACATTCGGCCGTGGATGCAGAGTGTCGTGGACTTGTGCGGCGCGGATCAAGAGCTCGTCGAGAGGGTTTTCAGGGGTAATGCGGAGGATCTCTGGTCTGTGAAGAGGCTCGAGTAGGGGATTTTGTTTTCGACACAGGCATAGCGATTTTGTACTTCTAGCCAGTGCATTGCATGTAGACGGCAAGCGATGCATCTTGATGATTGTGTATACACTGATTAGCGACGAAACGAAGCTTGTGCTCAGAACCCCTGTGAAAAGCGGGTAATCCCGTGTCTAGTGTGATGAGTGCCGGTGTCAAGCAGTTGACAGGTAGTACATGCCACCACTTCATGTGGCTGTGTTGCTGCGGGCGGCGCAGTGCAGGACGATGCCCAAGATCTGCAGTTGGTTGGCAGTGAGACTACATAAAGCGTACCCAACTGGTCAGGCAGACTGCCCCTCTTTGTTGGTTCCTATCATTGCTCCTCCCCTTCCCACCAGCGGTTATCTACAGAATCCCGTCACAAACTCCAATACACAATCAGTTTCAGACGCCCACGGAGCCTACCAAGCCGTTATGGCCGAGGCGGCAGGATTAGCTCTCGGAGCCATCTCGCTTGGCCTCGAGGTCTGCAAGGGCATCATCACGTACGCAGATGCAATTCGAAGCCAGTCAGACGACCTGGGGGCGCTCGAGCGCCAAGCGAGAACCTTGAAAAACAGTCTCGACATCATCAGCCAGATCTTGAATCAATTCGACGACTCGACGGAGAAGAATACGACGGCGAATACGCGTACCGCCGCCTGCCGGGCCGTCCAAGAGAGCATCTTGCTTTGTGAGGGCGACTTGAGGGCTGTTCTCGGCTTTGTCACTGAGCACGCTCGCGGCTGTGCAGTTGAAAGCGCGGGCTTTCGCGACAAGTGCAGAGATGGATACAGGAGCCTGAAATATGGCTTTCGTGCTTCGAAGCGACAAGAGATGGAACAGCGTCTGGCTCACGTAAACACTATACTGCTTGTCAGCATGCAAGGACTAGGCCTGTGAGTTTCCTCATCTTTTCTTTGGTTGAGCCTCTGCATGCTTTCGAGTGTGCCCATTCACTGACCCAAACATTAGTGCGGTAGCTTTCAATCAGTCTGTACAGTTGGCACCACATCTGTATGGCAGGAGCCAGGGTGTCGCGACCACAGAGCTCGGGGTCCATGGCATCTCCTCATTTCAAAGGACAGAAAGCTTCGACGAGACGACGGTATCCTTCCGGCAGAAGGAGAGCAATTTTGTCCAAATGCCACACCTCCACTCAACAAGCACAATCACGGAAGTAAGGGAGTCCTTTACGATCGGAACCCAAAGCCTTCGGGAAACCGTTGCAGAGGACTGCTCGGTACCACCCGCAATGATAGATCTGATGCAGAGGTTGGAGAGACGGACCGCATTTCTGGACGATATCAATACCAGTCCAGCGAATACCCTGGCGCTCGCTCGCCTGCTGTCGGGACCAAGCGAGCTCAACGAATTCGTGGTCGACATTGGCGATCTCAAGAAGAAGCTTGCCGCGCAAGCCGGCCCGGAAGTCAGCAATATGCCCTTGACACCGCAATCGTTCCTGTATCGTTGCAACTGCCGATCCTACAGAAACACTCAGATGTGGTCTTCTCGTTTTGCAATGGCAACTGTCTCGTCGAAGACCATCAGTACAAGTAAACATCACCCTTGGTGCAAATACTCGAAGAACTCGGCGACACAAACCAATAGTAGGAGTCGCGTTCTGTCTGCGCGATTGGAAGGCTTCAAGGCCGTAGTGGACATTGCTCTGAACGTCTCGTCAGAATGGCGCAATGGTACCGCTTGGATGTGCATCAGCCCCTCCCTATCTTATAACACTCGCGTCGACAGCCGAATAGCACCGTCATTCCAGGTTATGCAGTTTCTGCAAACACTGCTTTTCCACCGAACTGTCTTGTCCGACCATGCCTCATCTCCGGCTCTCTATCAACAGCAAATCTCTCACATTATTGACCAAGCACTATGGAAGCTGCGAAAGACGTTCCATTCCAAGAAGGGAAGTCCAAACGATATAAACGAGCATGGAGATAGCTTGGTGCATAGATATGTAAACTTGGTAAGTCAGAACCAGACGTACCCTGCAGAACGACTTCGTTGACTGGGCCACAGCTCTCTCTCAGTGGTCCATACTGGGCTCACCAGACTGCCGATATTAGCACGACCCTTGTTGAAATGGGCGAAGAACTGGTCGGTCAACATGGCACCCTCTTGAATCAACTGAACGACAGAGGAAGGTGAGATAGCCTAATTACCCCAATATGACAAGCAGAAGGATGGCGACATGGTTAACGGAAAATGCAGCCCGCCTTCGGACTACGCTTTTGGTGCTGGCGACCCGGATCGAGCGCTGTGCCAGATCCGTCGCCTGATGCCCAGCGAGCTCGAAGGGAGTGTCGAAGGTCCAAGTAGACTTACTGGTGCTTGGAGCCTGTATACTGCACTCGGGGGAGACCCGACAGCATCCAGAAGTGAGTTCTACAAGAGAATCCTCCTTCATTACACATTTGATACACAGGCGGCTGGTGCATGGACTGACAGTATTTGATCTCGATCCGTTGAGTGAGGCCATTATACGGAATCAGCCAGATTCCATTCTCCGTCTGATCCACCAGGATCCCGAATCGGTCACACAGCTGGCGCCGTTCGGGTATCCGAACCTCTTTTATCTTGCCGCAGACATGGGCCGCTGCGCCGAGGCTCTTGTGCTGGCAATCGAGTCCGCGCCACAGTGGAGCGCTCAGCACAGCGGTCTTGTGCTGCGAAACCTTCTATCTGTTGAGTCGCTTGCCGAGTTCACTCTCAGTAATTGTAAAAGCTGTAGGGATAGCGACGAAATATCGTTGCCTTGGGATTGTCAGTCAAATGCAGCTTGTCCGTGGGCCGCCACGCTATCTGTCTTGTTCAGAGCAGGTTGTCCTCTGCGTCCTCACTTGACCTCAGCATCGTTCAGAATCCCCTGCAGCCAGTGTTGCAGCCTCTATGCCCAAGAGGTCAGGCTTCACTGTCAGGACTCCGGCTGGCTAGCAAATGATCGCCTTCCACTCACGCAGCTCGGCAACAGTGCTTCAAAGCGGAATCTTCAGTTCCGCGAGGGTACAACGTCAAGTAATGGTAATTCGACACAGGCCAACGTTCCGGCGCTGGAGCGACCAAGGCTGTTACGCGCGAGCGATAACTTGCAGACACTTTACCACAACACTGAACTCTTCCCGATGTTGGCAGAAGCGTTCTGGTCTGTCGGTTTCCAGGATATCCGCGCTATCGATGGCGATGGATTACAGCCTATCGAGAAAGTGCTCGCTGGCCGAGACTATCCGAAATGGCGCATGATCCAATGGCTTTTGCTGAAAGGAGTTGACATGACTCGCACAACGTCTTTAAAGTGCAATGCCCCTCGCAGGTTTTTGATCCCGAGTCATCTGCACATAACCAACAGCACGACTATAGCGCATGCATCTTGCGAAGTCATGGGGCACCAGCTCGGCGAGGACCATGGCTGTTACGAGCATCCTTACGCAGTGATATTAACGACAACATTACTAACCTCAGCCATACGCGATGATGCAGTATGCCTGTGTGCACCAGCGGGCCGTAGCCCGTTCTCTTACCTCCTGCTTGGGAGCTTTGACCTGCTTCCGAAGGGCTCGTCTCCTAAACGGATAGCAAGACGTCTTGAGAGAGTGCTTACCGCCACTGCTCGTCGCCTCCACTTCGAGGAGTTTATTACAGCACTACGACTCATTACACTGGAGGCTTTGCCAATCAGTCACACTTGTGGCTTCGGTGGACATGAAGATGACACGGAAGACGATGGAAGAAACGGCGACTCAAATTTTGTACCATCCCAGCCAACGAAGATTCTGGCTGTATTCGAAAACATCATCACTCATTTCCAAGACGTGGTCAAGAGCTTCAACATCCCGGACGATGAGGAAGACCTTGGTATCATTAAAGTGCGCGATGAATATGCAAACAAAACTTTTCTCAAAGATTACGATTGGCGGCGCGATTGGATCGACCTCAGCCGAGAAGTGAGTTTTGGCTGGAGAGAAATGCTCGATGTCTGGGTTCAACGGCTTAACGATGAGCTGGAAAAGCTCGCCCAGGAGGACTTGGAGCTGCACCCTCGAGCTGCTGCAGAGGAAATTGGCGTGATGTGGTGTGATCCGCCACCAGGCGAGGAGAGTGATGAAGAATCGGTCTACGGGCAGTTGGGACAAGTGGAATACTGGCAGAGGAAGTTGGACGAGATTGATGTTTGATGCCTAGAGAAAGACCAATTCTGCATTACTGCTTGTTTCTCGCAGGAGAAGTATCTGATCAACGCAAAACTAATCAAGATTTACCCGTGAGTAGGTCGAGGGTTGATACCTGAGGGCTACCCATCAGCCACCATCCCTGTGACCTTCGCAAGCGCGAGTATCAACTGCTCTTTGTCTATACCGTGCCTAGCGAGGGAGGGCACCCAACGCAGCCAATAGAAACTGCATACGAGCAGGCCTACTATGTATACAGCTTGAATTGCTTGTTATGGTGCACCGGAAAATCTTAAAACCTTATCGGACCCGGGCTGAACCTTGTTCCTGGGAAGTGTCCAACTGCCCGTTCTGGCCTCGGCCTCTGCGCGAATCCTCAGCCACAGGATACCAAAGCCTTTGGACCAGGGGTCAAATGCCCGCCCGCATGCATATATTGCTGGAGTCGCGTGCGGGGTTTCCTAGTTTCCGAGCGGGATTTCGCGAGTGTCGTCGCACGAGGTCCGGTCGTTGTCGGGAAAAGCGTAGCCGCCACCACCTTTTGTTTGTAAGTCTGATGACCGCCCCGTCCGTAGTGCATTCCAATCCTCTTGCTGTCGAGGTGCCAGGGCGACGTCTTCTGTCGCGTCCCATGCCTGGCACGAGCAGACCCAGTTGAAGCTCTGGCGTCTTGGCCATTGCCTTTCCCGAAATGCTGACTGCCTGGTTCATAGAAACATGTCTCTCACGCAATCATAGTGTCACCATTTTCTGTGACGGGCGTTGTGTATATGTATATATTGTAAGCTAGCAGCTGAGCTCGCGAATCTGTGGCGCAAGAACTTTTGTAGCCGTCAGCTGGACTCCAAGACCGCCTCGTTGACGACTGGTAGTATACGGTCCAGACCAACAGTCTTCAAGGACCCAAGATCCACGGGTTGCACCAGTGGCCACGCGGGGAGGCGCTCCTGAGTGTCTGCATGGCACACCTCGCGAGATCTGCAGGCTAAGGAGATGTCCAGCCAGCCACAAATCCAGGTTACATATGCTAATTCCCTGTCTATTGAATCTTACTGAGACTAACCTGATTTCGTCAGCCTCGTTAGTGAGAAGAGGGCTGGAGATGGAGGATGGCAGGATGCCGAGTTGGGCGAAGCCTGCGTGTGTTGAGTTGGCGTGGGGAGCGAAGATAAAAAGGTCGCATCGACAATACCCATCCGAGCTGGTGTTTGGCATTGCATTCATTGCCTGGTCTGCTTTGAAGACGAGAACAAGGTGCGGCTTCACCCTAGGCAATGGCACGCCAGACGAACAAGAAGACCATAGCTCGCGTCCTCTTTGCTTGTTGCCTCGTTTCCGGCGCCATGGCGGCCACGAGATCATGCCCAAGCACACAATGCAAGGGCATCGAGGCCATCATTGCCGGCATCTTTTGCGACTCTCCTGAAGTGCTTGCCTACTGCTCCTCGAAGCACCCAGTGCCGGCGTGACCAGCAGCTCAACGGCGCCTACGTGGACCTCGGTGGTGACGGTGACACAGACCGTTGCTGCGACCGTCGCCACCCAAACCTTGACGTAAGGTGGCCCCTTTTGATCTTGACGACGGGGTAGCATGCTGACAATGCGGCATGAGGATATTTTAGCGCCACCGCGGCCACTGCCACGGTGCTCACCACGCAGTCTACCACTGTCCCGACGACAAGCACCGTCACGACCACGTCGACGACGGTGACGACGACGACGATCGGCACGACAGTGGAGTTGACCAAGACGGCGACCGTGCTGACGGGAAAACTGGCCCGGCGCACGGCCGCGGCGGAACAGAGGGTGAACAAAGGGGTGAACAAAGGGGTGCTCAAAGATCTCCTGTCGTATGCCAGCACCGTTGTGGCGCGGGTCTGCACCTGCATTGAGACGCCCAAGACGGTTGTTGTTTCCACGACGCCGAGGGCGGTGGCGACGGCGAGGGCAACGGCGACGGCTCTCAGGACCGTCACAACGAGCGTGTGAGTACCAGAGTAGAGTATCAAGACTGCTGGCTGCTCACGCACCACTAACCCACGCGGGCAGGACCACGACGCCCACGGCCACGTCGACGGTTGTCTCGACCGTCCTTACCACGGTCGAGACGACCGTCACCACCATCGACCAGACGACCAGCACCGAGCCGAGCACCACCACGCTCGTTTCGACCACCACCGTCTCGTCCCCTTATCGGTATCCCACATGCACCACCCCCGACACGAATATAGCAGGTGAAGGAGGCTGCTCCGCCAACTGCTATTGCGACTCGACCACCACCAGTGGAACAAATGTCTGTGACAGCGATGGTTGCGGCCCTTCCTGCAGCACAAATGCCGATTGCCCCGTCGGCTGGGCCTGCACCAACAACAACTACCCCTTCACTAGCTGCGGAGGCCGCGCCGTAAGTCTTTGCTTGTCCCGCTATTCTTCTCTACCCCATCCTGCAACCACCAGCACTAACCCCGAGTCCTCTTCTCTTCTCCTCTGTTCCAGTGCGTCAACACCATGGGGTGCTCGTCCTCTGCCGGCACCGTCTCCAGGCTGCGCAGAACGCCCCTCGGCCTGCCCGACCAGTTCCTTGCCGCCCCGCAGCCGCCGCACAAGAAGAGATATGGCCCAGTCCCAGGCACAAAGTCGCCAAACCTTGGCCGCCTGCGCAGGGTCCCTCCTTCTCGAGGAAATCGACGACTTGGTCCCCCTCAAAAGCCGTTGTAGGCAGGTAGAGGAGGTGTTGCTTCTTCTGCCCATCACACAACCTGTCAGATCGACTTGCAAAACACGCGTAGCCATTCTCTTTCCAAACCAGTATGTAGCAGCAAACTCGTTCGTGTGCACAACGATCCAAGCATGACGCCGCATCTCTGTAATCATGTCCGTAAGCACCCTTGTCCCAGTAAAAAGGGTGTCCGACCGTTTCTCGTTGAAGGCTAGGGATGCCATCATTTCGGCCTGTGCAGCTGACATCGGTTACGCTGTTGCTCACAGTCTTGCCGAGGCCGGGGCCAGCGTGGCCACTTGGTTCCAGAGCAACAAGTCCGCGCCAGAAAAGGCTCGGGCCATCGAGTCGAGTCAGGGTACGAGATCAGAATTGTGCCTATTTGACAACTTCCACCAAAACTCCCAGTGTCCGGGCCGGGGTCGTTGATGTGGCTGACAAAGGAAGATGGATCCCTCTATATGCTACACATGTATCCTAGCTTGTGCAGTATGTTCCCCTTCGCGGCAGACCTATGGACTCCGGGCACTACATGCTTAGTGAACTCATTGCTACGTAATTGCCACTGCAAAGCACAAAGCGGCACCGCACCGACATCCCTGGCTTCCCCACCGAATGCCACGACTGATCGGGATGGCCCTAAGCGACTCCAGTGTAACCCCCAGAGTCCATCGTGCGGGGAAGAAAAACGCCTGGTTCTCGCTGCGTCTTTATCCCGAGGGTTCCACTGCCGATCGTTAACCCACCCTCGCCCACATTCCCGCAATCATAACTGACCATTCCACCAACCATTGCTTAGAAAGAGCAGGAGTACTTCTGCAAGCCGAGGGTCAGCGCACTCAGGTCAGCCGAGGCCAATCACGTTCAGGGTTCGGGTTAAGCTTATTTAGCCAAATCGGCATGTTGTGCTGTCCTGCACTTTTGCACTTCTTGCAGCTCGGCCGCGTAGAATCAACTGATCGGGATGTTGTCCTCGAAATATTTGCTTGTCCTTGTCGTGCAGGTGAGTTGTGCCATCGCTGCACCAGCACAGTTGCCTCCAGATGGGACATCAAGATTCAGCTGGGACGAGATAGAGCACGTGTAAGCCGCCCAGACAGTACAATATGAAAACAACCAGCTGAAAATCAAGCCTCTTGACCCAGAATCGCCTTTGGCGACTCGTACACATACATCCAAGGCACTGCCGGCCGGCAAAACTATAGCTTCATAGGCGACTATCTGCCCGGAAACTTCACCTTTAACCCCGAGAAGCTCCTAAATGACAAGATTGTCGCCAACTACTCGGGCACATCAGCCGGCGGACCCAACTGGATCGAGTTCCTGACCAACGGCGGCGTCGAGCCGGGCACATACACCCCTTCCTCATGCCGCGCCAGCACCAGCACCAGCAGGATCCCTGGCCACCGTTCCTCGAACCAGAATGGCAGACAGCCGCGGGAGCTGTGGGACTTTGCCTTTGCCGGGGCAAACTATGCGGAGGAGTTCCTCCCCTTGCATCACGACTACACGGTGCCCATGGTGAACCAGACGCGGCAATATCTGTCGTACGCGCACCCCGTCCTGAGCCCGCGGTTCCGCAAGGACAAAAAAGATGTTCTAGTCGCAGTGTGGATCGGGATCAACGACATCAACGACATCAAGCTGCCAACCGCGGATACCACTCCCACTCCCACTGCTGCTGCTGGTAGCACCACGCTCAGTAGGGGCGGGGACCTCGCATATCTCGCTGAGAAATACGATGCCATCAACGCCGCGTTGTTCGAGCAGAGTATCACCCCACTGTACAAGGAGGCCGGGTTCACCAACTTCCTGTTCATCAATCTACCGCCGTACGACCGGACGCCGGGGAATGTGCTAGCCTTGAATCCGTATCCGAGTAAGGCAATGGTCGACTTGTGGAATCGGAGCCTGGAAAAGCACATGACTGCATTCCAGCAGCGCATCAACGGCCCACAGCACGGCGATACAAACATACCCAGCAGAAGCAGCAGCAGCAGCAGCAGCAGCAGCAGCCCGCCACCAGGACCGGCAACACGCAGCCGACGCGCAGTGTCGACGCTGCTGTACGACGCAAATACCCTGCTCAACGCGATCCTGGACAACCCGCTCAAGCACGGGTTCTGGAACACCCTGACGACCTGCCCGGACGCCAAGAACCCGGAAGTCGTGGCCCACCCGTGGAAGTTTGGCTGCCTGCCCGTGGAGCGGTACTTCTGGTTCGACGCCGGGCACATGTAGGTCCCTCCTCCTCTTACTCCTCCTCCTCCTCCTAATGCGCGTCTGTTCCCCGCCACCATCCAAAGCATCGTTGCGGGTAAGGACGAGACAACGATGTTTGGTTTATTATTCTTGACATCTTGACATGCTCATGCTGATAAGATCTGGATCCATAGCACGAGCCGTGTACACAAATTGCTGGCAGAGGATCTCGCAAAGTTTCTCACAAAGTCGGGATAGCGTAAAAAAGCCGACCATACAAGGCACAGCATTGGCACAAGCTTCTGGAGGGGGAAACACTAGTGGGTATCAACTCAACCATACATGCCTCGCATTATCATGGGCCAGGCAGGCGAGCGGGACAAATTCCCAGGCTCGCTAGCGTAGAGCAGTCAGCACATGCTTCTTGCTCGTCGAGTACAAGTCACGCCCCGGAGAGGATGGCATGGTTCATGTGTGGTCGTGGTTCCATAAATGGATGAAGCCGCCGTTCTATGGATTTTGAAATATCGAGAGCCCCGCTACCCAGGACCAAATTATTATAGTTCGCTCAATCTATCAGAACCTTTCTCTGTGTAAATTACTCCTCTTCAGCCCACAGCCTCATCGGGCTTGCCGCAGGACTCGTCTTGATCTTGGGCCTGCTCCTAAACACGGCCTCGTAATCCGGAGCACCGCTGTCCACCTGCAGCAGGAGCTCGTCCACGACCGAGGTGTCTCCCACACCGTTGTTTTCCTCTTCGTCCAGGCGCGGGAAGTAGCTGCCGTCCCTGCGTGGCGCCACTTTGCTCCTGCGCTGCGAGCGCCTCCGCTCGAGCTGCGCCTTCTGCCGCGCGGCCTCGAAACCTGCCATGGATCGCCGGGTACGCGCGATCAGATCCTCGTGCGGGTTGCTCTGGTATGCCCCAACATCATCTTCTACGGGGTCGGCGGACTCTTCAACGATCGTGGGGTAGTCTGCTTTCGTGGGCGACAGACGGCTGCTGTCGACCTTGTCTGCTTCGAAGGGCTGTGTGCGGGTCATAGACAGGCGCGTGCGCTCGGCGAGGGACAGTGTATGTCGAGACTTCTTCAGCGGGGAGGGAGATGCGTTGGACATGTACGCAAGGATCTCGTCGGCCGCTGCCTGAGTAGGCGAGGCCGGAGGAGGGGGCGAAGGAGGCACGGGAAGCTCGGGCTCAGGGCGATATAGATCTCCGCGCACAGGACTGTGAACTTGGTCGTAGGAATCAGGGTGGGCATACCGCTGAAGCGGTGTCGGCGTCTCCTGAGCGAAGTCCGTTTCCTGATGAATGACGTCAAACGCCTCTGGCTCGGGAGGGGAAAATTCAGCTTCATATTCCTGTACACTCGCTTTCCTGGGCCTCCCAAGTCGGTAACTGTTTTGCCGAGCAGGAATGGACCTGACCGACAGCCTCCGTTGCGGCGAGATTTCTCGCTTATCTGTTTGCGTAGGCTGTTGTGTCATGTGCTGCTCGCTCGCCACGTTGTGTTTGGGAGCCGGCCTCTCAGGCTCGTCTTCCCACTCACTAAGATCCGAAACTTGCTCAGGCACAACTGGCTCTGGGGCTAGAGCAGTGGCGCCCAGCCGGGCAGCTGTGGAACCAAACATCTTTGCAAAGTTCGGAATCTTTGCTTGCCCAACATTGCCCAGCTCATGATCCATGTCCAGCATGATTTGCTCGTACTCAGCAGGCATCTCGTTGCCTGCCTCGCGAAGTTTATGCTTGGCCCCGTTGAGTTGCACGTGCTTGTGGGAGCGGAACTCGATGATACGTCGAGGACGGTCATCCCTCCGCTTTGGTGTGACAGGGGCCGCCTTTTGTGCGCCGAACATTTTGTGGTGGAATGTCTCCCATTTCTCCAGCCTGCTTCTGTGCAGGTGCACTCTCGAGTCGAGGTTCCCCAGCAGATCGCTGCCTTGCTCCTCAAGGTCGGACAAGCGTCCTTCCTGCACGCCTGTCCAGACTTGGTCAAAGGGCGCATCGAGCAGAGTACTCGGGCGCACATCAGCACCGCCATAGAGTAAGGCGTCCACCCACGACTCGTTGCCAGTCCAGTTCGCCCTGAGAATGTCCCGCGCCTGTTCTCGAGTCTCGTCGTCGAGCTGCACAGTGTCGTCCTTGAATGCCGAGACCTTGACCTGCTCGCGCCTCCGCACGAGCCCGCGCTGCTTCAGCTCCAGCAGCTCCTCAAAGTCGCGATACCGCTCGCGCATCTCGTTCTTGCGTGCCAGCGCGCCGGCCAGCACCGCCTTGTGTGCTAGGAGCAGACCGTTGAGTTCCGTCCGCTCGCCCGCGTACCCCCTGTTCTCGACCGCGAGCTTCTCGGCGACCGGCGCGTGGTACTCGGGCCCGCTGTTGAGGCCGCGCTCGGCGACGAGCTTCTTGAGCACGGCCGAGGAGAATGCCGCGAGTACTTCTTCGAGCCGCTCCCCTTTGCACTCGTCGAGCATTGTCTTGCGGATGATGGCGTCGCGGCCGAGGGAGCCATTGCGCTTGAGCTGCTCGAGGGATCGGGTCAGGGCGGCGCGGAGGTTGACAGACTGGACTTGGTCGAGCGGCGGGAAGAAAGGGCGGAGTTTCTAGTTGACAAGAACACAAAGTTAGTTGGAGGGCCTGAACGGAGAGGATGAGCGGTGTACGCACATTGTGTGTCTCGCTGGGGTCCCAGAGCACGAAGAGCTGGTACAGAGTCCACTCGACGGCCTGGATGCGTTTCTTCTGACCTCCGGCGGCATCGCGCGTGGAGAAGGTTGCAGCCGTGATGTCTGGCCAGTCCGCTTCGAGGTCGAGGTCGAGTAGGCGCAGATTCGTCAGGAAAAGGGCGAGGTTCGACGTAGAGCTTGGGATCGCGGCGGCATTGCTCTGGCCGCCCGATTGGCCTGTACCAGCGGTTCCGGCTGCTGGAGCATGACTGTTGAGAGGACTTGGCGGTGGTGGTTGCTGCTGGCTCAATGGAGCGGTCAAAGGGTGTTTGCCTTGGAGGCGCAGCGAGCGCGTGCGGGAGAGCGAGGGATTGGAGCTGGCAGCGAAAAGGGACATGACGACATCTTTGAATTGGGTTTAGGCGTTGGGTGGCAGCAGGAACGCTGCTTGTTGGACAAGAAAATCGTCAAGTGTCACTGCAACTACCTTAAAGGCAAGGATAGCGTCACTGTTGTTGTTTACTTGGTAGCGCGGAAGCGGTGGGCAACGGGCCCCAGAGAAGGCTTGGATTATGTCAGCACAGTGCGCCACAGTCAGGGTCTCACATGGCTAGCGTACGGTGGACCCTTGCTGCAGGTTGCTGACTGGCACAGTCTCAACTATTGGCATTCGCCACGTGCGAGCCGTCTCCAATTATTATTAATTACGCGAGTCATTCATCAATGTCGCAAACTATTATCTTTCTGCTGTTTCGGTATGGCCTGGTGGCTACCTTGCCCAGACCTGACGACTCGCAGCACGGCGCCACCATTCTTAGTACACGTCGGGCGCACCAAAGCTGACGGTAGAGCCGTGCAGCCGGAGCGCCAGGTTGTGCCTAGGCATGTTGGGCCAGAAGTTGGGGTAATACTCGTCGCCCACGGCATTCTTTCCGGTGCTCCCAATCTGGTCTCCCTGGGGGCCCTGGTACACGTCCAGGGAACCCACCGACGCCCACGCGCCCGAGACTCCAAACTGCGTGTTGGCGTTGCGGCTAGTTCCCACCAGCTCGCCGTACTTGCCATTTCCCTGCGGCAGGGGAGGCGACGAGAGCTTCAGCACGTCCAGGCCAATTCCATCGAGGTAGGTGGTGATGGCGGTACTCAAGGGAACCCTGACGAGGCCGACGATGGGCGGGAGCGTGAATGTGCCCTGGAAGAACGGAAGTTCCGAAGGGCCCGCCTCCTCGTTGAGCAGCGAGGTCGTGTCGTGCGGGTAGATCTTGACCGACTCAGTGCCATCTGCATGCGAGCTCCAGTCAAAGCGCGCAATGTGTTTGGGGATGTTCCAGTCTGGAGACACGGTGTCAGCATGAACCCCAGAGACATACTTGCGAGGACGAGTGGCAACTTACTCCTGCGGCCGTTCCAGGTCGTGTACTTGTGCGAGACGTAGATTCTGCTGATGCGGAACTTGCGGAGCCCGGTGTCGCCCGGGTTCGAGTAGAGGCCGGGGATGATGATGAACTCGTCGTAGGGGCCGACTGGGCTGTCCTTGTACCGGATAATCATCATGAGACCGATTCCGGCCAGGCAGGAGCCGCTGGTGGCATAGGTCGAGTTGCGTTCCAGTGGCGAGTAGGCCTTGACGGGCAAGTCGTTGGAGAGGCCGAGCATGGGGATGACATAGGCGACCTCGGCCTCGAGGTTCCATGGCGGAGGGGCCTCGACGAAAGGCTCGGTCGACTCATTGGTACAGTTGTTGCAGACACGGGTCATGGTGTCGGCAGCGGTTGTCGAGCTGACCCAGAGGGCCAGACTGGCGAGAGCCACGATGATAACCCTCATGGTAGACGATGGATTTCCAAGAAGTACAGGACAGAAATCGTTGGCCAAACTCTCACAAAAGCGCAGCTGGCACCAGCGGCATCGCGAAAGGCTGGTTGATATATATGTATGGGAGGTGCCGAGGCGGAAGGCGAGCCGCGCTTGGGCCACAGGGAGCGCCGCACACGGCAGACATCGCATTCTAGCGGCGATTCGTATGCCTGATCGAGATTGGTCGCGATTAGTGACACGCCGATCTTGTCTGGGTTTTCGGCCATGGCGTGGTGTCCGAGCGTTTTTTCGCCGATGGCGAGCAGGCCACCCCAGCGGCACGGCACTGAGTCGTCAGCCCGTCAGCCAACAATTTACCCCGTGGGCCGTGACAGCTGGAGACCCGCCTGCCGATCGCTATTATGGCGTACAGGGTCTTTATCTCAGGTTACTAAAAGGGATCCAATGCTCCGGACTTCGCCGCCGACTAGCGGAATGAATGGGGACAGCATAGCACGCGGCACCTGGCTTTTGTGTGGGGGGGCGCCGACTAGTCACTGCGCTGAGCGTCACCGCGTCCGTGCGAAATCGAGCGATGCCGAGGGCTAGCACACGTGAGAGACCTCGGCACTGGCGAGACTGGCGAGACTGGCGTCGAAAAAAGCAGCGTGAGAGGCGGGCCTGGCGTGTCTGCTAGAGACGGTCTCCATTTCGAAAGGCGGTTGATTGAAGGATAGCGTGGCCTGTTGTCCCCCCACCCATCCTTCCAGAATGGCATCTACGAGGGCAGAGGTCGAGGCTGCATGGGCTAGGATCTCCAGACAGAATCGCAGGGCTCTTGGAGGTGGATCTGGCTGTCAGACTGGATGATCCCTGGCACAACCCTTGAGGGCTGCCCAGATTGCTCCGGCTGTTCCCTGCAGCCTCACAGGGCAGGCTCACGGGGCAGCACACTGGCTCGTGCATCCCAGCTCGACGTAGTATTCGAGTGTCGTCGCACGTGGTTGGGGTCCGTGGATGGGGATGTCGTCGTTTTAGAGTTCCCAAGCTCCAGGCACAGCCAAAAGTAACAGGCAGGAACAACATCAGGCCAGGCCAGTCCAAGTTTGTGAGAAGCGAACAGAGAGCAAGCCTGGAAATGCGTGTGCCGGGTCCGTCTCCTTGGGCTGGCGGTAGTGGCGTGCAGTGGCTGGAGTGGCTTGCCGTGGCTGAGAGGTACGTACCCTTCCACACGGCCAAGGAAGGCGTGGCTCAGTTCAGCTCGGCCCCGAGTGGCCCAGCGGTGCCCGAGATGGAAGCCGCCCGCGGACGCGCGATGCTGGCAGAGCTGGTAGTCGTGACGTCTCGATCCTGCCGTCTCGACATTCCGCAGCCCTCATCCAGCTCCATATTAGCCTGCTCAGAGACATCCCGTGATCCTGCAGTGTTGGCCAGTCGAGTCGGCTCTAGCACTACCCGATACTCTTCCTTGGGGCACACCCTCTCTTCTCCACCTTCACCAACGCTCCAGCTAGTAGTGACAGGGGGTCCACGACCAACAACAACAGGCACGGCGAGGCAGCCAGCTCATAGAGGCTCCCTCAAGGCTACACGGCATGGATACGGACAACTCGGATGCCAGTAGCCCGCGGGCGTCCGGCCATCCTCCAGCAGGTGGCACCCGCCTCGCGGTACGTCCCGTCTGCCCGCCATCCCGCTCTCCCTGCTGGCTTACATGATTCTTCAGGCGTCAACTGCCTTGAAGTCAGAGCTGAACTAACTAAACCCTTGTTGCCCTTCGGCAGTGTGACTTGTGCCGGAACCGCAAGGTTGGCTGCGACCGCAAGAAGCCCTGCAGCAATTGCAAGCGAGCCGGCGCCGAGTGCATGACCACTCTCAAGCCTCGCACTTCTGTTCCTCGTCAGAGAGTCCGTGTTTCTACAGGCTAGTACGCCAGACCTCTCCTTTTGCGTTGCGTGTTTTTTTTTTTTTTTTTTTTTTTTTGGCGCTCGTGAGTGCTGAATAGAGCCGTTACAGCGACCAGAAAATCACCAACATCGAGGACAAGGTCGACGAGGCCATTGGCCTGCTTCGACAGCTTACTACCACCTCTCCCAAGCACAACCGTGTCTATCAGCAACAGCCATCGCCAGATTGCCAAACTTCAAGCTCATCGGCTGTGTCGACCAATCATGGTACCCCCGCAATAGTTGCCAGCCTCGGTTGCTCCAAGAGTAATGAGCCTGGTCTTCCGAACCGTGTTCCATACCAACCACCAGTGGAGGGCGACAGTTCCTTCGTGGCACAGACGGCATCCGCTAGTAGCATGATCGAGACATCCTTTGGAAACTCTACGCCTCGAGACGACCAACGAGGCGGCTCCGACCTCGACAGCGCCCTCAAGGCTTTGCGCGACATCATGAGAGCGCAAAAGGAGTACAACGCCGTGCACGACTCCTCGTGGTCATCGACTGAGCCCACAATTGCAGATGTGCCGGCAGGGACCTACGACCCGGCCGATCTGATTCCAGTTGATGTCGCCATGACGTCCGTGCGCCGGGCTCGAGGTACGCTTCACGGATCTTCCCCTTGTGAAATTCTGTCTCGCCATGGTCATCCATGCTGACTAGTAGGTCTAGAAGATCCACGATTGCACCAGGTGTGGTTCATTGGCTTCAACGTGCTCACCTTCGACCAATTCATGGAGCATCTCGTCCGAGTCTACTTTCCGGGCCCATATTCAGAGGCCGACTACATCATCGCGAATGGGGCTCTCGGAAGTGTATACAACGAACGGCTAATGTGCGAGGATGACCCTGAGACACGTGAAACACTCCGCGAGTACCGGCACGTCTGTGACCGGAATATGGAGAGGGCGCTCTCGAATTTGAAGGTGCAGATGCCAGCTAGCTTTGAAAACATCAAGGCGCTCACCTTTGGTGTAAGTAAGCCCTGTTAACTATGGATCACCAAAACGAAATCGCATTGACCATCAATGCCACCCCAGGCCATGCGCGCTCTATTTACGGCACGGCCAGCCATCCTGTGGACTTTCGCATCGCAGGCCCTCAACATGTGCCAAACGTTAGGCTACCACAAGAACCAAACACTCAAACTCGACACACCACTAATCCGCCTGCAAAAGACATGGATGTTCTGGACCATGTTCATGATGACGCAAGCCGTGTCACTGCGGCTTGGGCGCTCTTCTGTCATGCCCGACTACGACATCAGCGTTCCCATCCCCAAGCCTGACGAGGACACCTTCAACCGCTTCAGCAATGCCATCATTCGATGCATGCGCTTCTCTCGAGTCCAGGGAAAGGTATATGAGGCGTTGTACAGCTACACTGCCCTAAGCCAGCCTGCGCATGTCAGGGCGCAGCGAGCGGCCATGCTTGCAGATGACCTCAAAGCTGTTCATATGCAAGTGAAGCGCGACCAGATGGTGGTAAAGGAGAAGTGGGGTCACGCTCATGGCTTGCAAATTCAGATTGAAGCGTTCTCGAGTGAGCTCACTTACTACATTCTTCTGACGCTGATCCTCCGTGCCATCCCGGTCGCTCCAGGATCTGCCACAAGTCTGTCCCCAGAATGCCTGGCAGCCGCTCGTGCGACTTTTGAGAAGCACATGGAGTACATGCCGACGATGTCCAGGTTCTTCTCGGCAGACTTGTACTTCAAAGCGTGAGTCCTTGGATACCTGGCTCTCTCATGAGGCATCTCGTGCGCCCCACTGGCTAAAGTTTGGTACAGCATCCTTTTGTACATGCCTTTCACACCCTACATTGTGCTCTTTTGTCACGTCATCGAGACATTGGACACTTCGGACTTGGAGCGCCTTCGGCTGTTTAACGAATCGGTCGAGCCCTACGAACTCAAGGCAGACTCTTGTAAGAATCTCCGCCAACTCTTCCAGTCCTTGTTCCACGTAGCCAAGGTCTATGTCGAGTCTCGGGGTGAGCGCTCTTGTCCCTCTACCGAGACTGGCCAGAATCGGATGGCTGGGACCAGCCAGAATCTAGATTCAGCAGTAAAGACATCGTCCATCAATCACGAGACCACGTATAGCGGTGATGATAGTGTGCAGATGGACTCATATCTACGCCAGATGGGCATGCTGCCGCCACAGAACTGGAACCAGATTCCTGATTCCACGATGTCGCCGTACCAGACACCTGGTAACGGCACCACGGCAAGCAACGAGAATAAACATGAAGGTGCCGGCTTTAGTGGTAGCTATGTCCCCTTTGCTGAGGGCATGATGTTCGATCTCGATGCCATGGCGGAATCGGATGATTACTACACCATGAGCGTTGGTGGTGAAGGTCTTGCACAGCAAGCGGCCTACCTGGCGGATTGGTTCAATGGGAATCAACAAATGATGGCGATGATGGACGATAATGGCTTTTGAGTAGCGAGGTAAAAGTTGATCGCCATAAGAAGCAAGGGATGGCCCGCACGGTTGGAAAGACAACTATGCCACAAACAATTTCGTACCCACGGAAGAACAATGTCACATACAGGCTTGGAAGTACGATTAGAGAAAATTGTCTGGGAGAAACAAATCCACGCGGGTGACAGTATGGGAGGGCTTATAGAGTACTCAAACGACGATCCTGCATGCTGGTTTCAAGTCGCGAATGCCTAGAGTAATATGTCCACTGCCGTTCTGCCCTCAGATGTGTGCTGGCAAATTGCTCAAATCAGCACTCTTCAGCCTCTCCTTGGACACGTGCAGCTCACGCGGCAACCAATCCAAGACACGACCAGCAGGCCGTCCCGGTGCGGCAGCAAGTTCTTCCCCTTCACGGCCGCTCATCATGATGCCCAGTGCGACGCCAGCGAGCCAGCACCACACCATGCCTTCGCCGGCGCAACCCGCCACGATCCACTCCTGACGTGACAGCATCTCGCCCTGCCCGGAAGGATCCCCGACCCCGCCTGCCGGTGTCCTGCCCGTGACTGCCGTGTCCAGCTTCCCGACGAGTGGCAGCAGGTCTCCCGTGAAGCCCAGGATCCCGGACCACGCCTGTCTGAGCCCGCTGCCAATACCCCAGTTGGGCGAGAACACGGCGGGGAAGACGCCCGCGATGTGTGCCAGCGTGACCGCGTCCAGGGGCGCCCCGTCGTCCGCCACGGCCACCATGTCGATGCCCTTCTTGAGCGAGCGGTCGAACCCGCCGCCAATCATCAAGTCTCCCTGATGGTCCTGCTGGACTCCTCCTCCTCCGCCTCCTCCTCCTGCCTCTTCCCTGTCGTTGTCGCCGCCGCCGTCGCCGCCCCTGACATCTGGCGGTCTCTGCGTGACGTAGTCAAAGTTTTCGCCATACACGACGCTCCACGAGCGGTGCGCGCCGTGGTCCGCGGGAAACGCAAGCCCGGGCTTCTGCGCAGACATGTGTGCCCGGACGGGCGTGATCTTGCGGCGCAGGCCCGGCACGAGGTGCGAGGCGTGGCCGTTGGTGGCGTGGACCACGTTGCGCGCGTAGACCGTGCCGCGAGGGGTGTGCAGGGCATAAGGGTGCGTCTCGGGAGCAGGTCCGCCGCCCACGCCGTCGTTCACGGAGATGCTCTCCACGGGCGTGTGCGTCTCGATCGAGAGTCTGTCCGGGTGCGCGGCGAGCAGACGCTGCCAGATGGAGGTGACCATGCGGTATGGCCAGAGGGCGCCGGCCCGGTAGGAGATGGCCCCGTAGATGCTCGGGCCCGTGCCGAATTTCTTTGGGATAGCCACAGTAATCAGTATTCTCCTTGTGCAGTGCTTTGTCTGTATACCGCACGGGGTACATTGGTGCACAGTTTTTGCCATCGAGGGGATCTCACCTTCTGGGCCTCCTCTCGCTCCCACACCGTCATCTTCTCCTCGGGCAGTGCCGCCGCCGTCTCCGCCACATCCTTGGCCGCGGCCGCAAACGACTCCGCGTCGAGGAACAGGTCCACGGTCTCGACCTCTCGCGCTTCCGCCGCGTCGCCGATCTCGGTGTCCCTACACAGCGCGAGCAGGACATCGAGGTGCCGGCGCTGGAAGCGCGTCAGGACCGCGGCGCGCTCTTTGCCGACGTGCTTGGCCAGGCGCGTGTAGGCTGCCCAGGGGGCCGTCTTGATGTGGCCCCCGTTCCGGGCCGTTGCGCCGCTGCAGATGTCCCGGGCCTCGAGCACGGCGATACTGGGTCCAGCAGCCGACTCGCTGCCGGAGTGTGGCAGCAGGAGGAGCGAGTGTGCCACCGCGGCGCCGCTGATGCCGGACCCGATGATGGCGACGTCGACGTTGGTCGGCAGGCTTGAGGACTGCTGCTTCACCAGCTCGGGATGCGGCGGGTCTCTGGTCCAGTATGGCGTCGTGGGCTTGAGCACCGGCAGGCCTGGCGATATCCCCGCGCGCTCGAGAGCTTTGGAAAAGCTGAGCACGGGCTCGAGGAGCATGCGCAGGGCCGAGGCGGCGCCGGCCAGCGTGGAGAGAACGACGCCCATGGGATGTTGTCAGGCCACGGTTTATTGGGTTGTAAACAATGGGGTAGAGGTAATACTATGATGGCGGATCGATAATAGATAAGGCACTGTGGAATACAAAAATGCTCATCGACCGCATCGCCTTACATCCCTGCCTTGTTGTGGTGGGCCACTTTATCCCAATCGCCATGGAGCTTGTGGAGGGCCCCCTGCTAAACATTCGGACTGATTGCACACGATTGCACGCACCAGGAGCTCGATTCTCGAGCGAAAAACTTCCCAGGTGAGTTCGTGGACACCAGGGGTGCAATATTGAAGAATAATTCAAAGTACTTTTGTTGAGCGGTAAAGAAGCCTGCACACTCCAATTTTATTCAAAAATTGACTGCACCATGGGCTGTCTGGCTGGTAGTATTCTTGCCGTATGAGCTTTGCCGCTCCACGGTATCGTCAAACAGGGTGTCAAACGCGGACATGGCCATATCGTATTCAGCGCTGCTCTCGAGAGCGGCAATGTTGAGTTGTAGGGCGTCCTCGTGGCTGGCCACATCGATAAAGTCCGGCTCGGCCCTTGCGGCGGCGGCTCGGGTCGTGGACGGAAACGGCATGTGCGATGCCGGGGCTAATACTGACGCCGAGAGAGTGTCCGACTGAGATCCGGCACCAGGTAGCGAGTTGCTCGCCTCGGCGCTCCAGAGACCGCAATCGCGTGCGGCCTCTTCGTTGTGTTGCAGTAGAGACAGATGCTGGTCAAAGCCGAATATCTGCTCTGGGGGCTCTTCGATCTGGTCGACGGTGTTGGAACCCCGTTCTGAGGTCAAATCGGGCAATGATGTCTGTGAGCGGATTGCACCCGTTGTTGACGCCTGGTCGTGGCTCGCACTGTCGGTGACATTTCCTGTCAGCACTTGGGCCCTTGTGGCAAGTCGGTTGGTAAACATGTGCATTGCTCTTCTCCCGCAGTCCACAAACAGTGTGGACAGGAGCCGTTCTTCGGCGGGAAAGTTGTACGGCATGTCTGCCGTGGCGAGCTGGTCCGCAATGATGCTGCGCCCGTTCTCCTCCCAGAATCGCCGAACCATGTCTACCACTTCCTCCACTGCGGCGCTGACATATGGCGACTGTGGGCGCGAGGCTCCAGGGAAGATGATGTCCCAGACCGAGAACCACTGTTCGGTGCCAGAAAGCATCTTGCTGACCCTCGACGCAAACTTTTCCCGATGGTCTCTGGTTATGCCAGGGGGGCGGACGAAGGTGTCCGGCCTCGTGCATGAACGTTGCAAGAGGTGCGACTCTTGCTGGTGCTGTGTCTCGAAGGTCTGGCCACAGGTGATGCAGAACAGGGGCTGCTGGTGGCGGCGCACAAGGTGCTGCTTGACATCGCGGACGCGGCGCAGGGTGAGATTGAGGCATTTGTGATGCGCGGCGAAGTCGAACTTGTAGAACGGGCACGCGAAGCAAGGGCCCTCGTCACCAGGGTTTTCTCCTTTGGCACGTTTCGAACCTCTATCCTCGTTGTGGTCGTCTTCGTCTCCGGAATCTCTGCTTTCGCCAGCGGACCTCTTTCTGCGTACACCTTTTTGGGAGCCGCGACTCTTTGGGGCGTCGGAGTTCTGCACACTGTTCGAGGATCCCGCCTGTGAGCCATTTGCAGTCTCGCTGTTGCTTGGCTCTTTCTGATGGCTCTGGCAGCTCCATGGCGCAAAGCGATGGAGTGCACTCCGCAGTATCGCTGCGGCTTGTCGCGGATACTCGGGGAAGTCTTGCAGACACCCCGGGTCATATATGGCCCAGAACTCCTCTTCGGCACTGTCCTCGGCGCTGGTCGACCAGTCGTGGTCTGAAGTTGTTCGCGTGGCCTCAGAGTCGATGGACAGGGTTTTTGGATATGGCGAAGGGGCGGCCGAGGGCGAATGTCTGACCACCGAACTTTTCGTGCTTTGTTCCGGGGAGGTGCGGCCATCGCCATCAAGGCTGCACGCAATCTCCCATGATTGTGGCGGATCCCAATCCTCTTGTATCGGTCCTATCAACGCCCGTCGAGGCTCAGCTCGAATACTGACACCAGTCTCGTGACCGCCGCAGCTGGGCGTTCCGGTTTGTGGCTTGCTCCGGCCTGAATGAACGAACAATGGGCAAACCGTCAATTCGCAAGGAGGCGACGCAGGTTCCGGGGTGGCTTGCTGCACGTCCTCGTCTCCCAAGAGCTCCTGATTTTCTTTGGCTGTGGCTTTTGTCGTATCAGGCAGCGGCCACGGTAATGTAAACGGGTCGCCCCATGAATTTATTGGCTCAAATCCCAATTCCTGGAAGTGATCAAGACCAAGCCATGGCTCGATGAATCCGTGGTGTTCGTGGAGTGAACATGTATCCACATTTTCATTCATTGTCTCGCTCTGATCCGAACTTCCACCTGAAGAATATGTCAACGCGGAATCGCTCTGCTTCGACATGCTGCTCACCGAATCTGCTGTGAACATCAGCGGATTCGGAAGGAACGATCCAGCATTGGTCCAGAGTTCTGTGCCGCTTCCGAAGTTGACAAGATTGTGCACGGCGTATTCGATTGTGGGCACCACGTTGCCACCAGAGGAGCAAGAGGTCTCCAGGGCTTGCCTGGGCTTATTATTGGTGGAGGCCAAATCCTGAGCTGCGCCATTATGAACAGCAGGATGGTCCTTGATTGGTGCTCGTTGTCGTTCACGTCGAAGGTTGTAGCGCGAATGCCTAATCTGCTGGGCCCTCGACGGCATTGGATACGACGACGGGTTGCGAAGGAATTGTTTCAAGGCGCGTAGAAGAGTCGTAATTGGGCTGAGGTCCGGGCTATCTCTGGCCTGGTGCTAGCGTTGTCGTCGATCCGGGCTCAAGCAAACAAAACGTCGTGCTAGCGTTTGGTAAGCCTTGTGGCGCACGCGGACATTTGGAACAGGTAAGAGACGGAAATGGGTGGGGATGGCACGGCGCTTCCAAAGCGCAACTGATGAGCGTGCGAGATGGCGATAATTCGTTATCAGCAGTGCATTGGACGTTGTGGTTTGCTCAAAGTCAAAAATGAGGACGAGAGGTCAAGGACACTGCTGTGCCTGCCCAGTTGCAGTTTCGACAAAACTCAGCCGCAAGCCATTGGAGGCCCCCCTTCCATTCCCCTGGGGTAGCGACACGTCGATAGAGCACATGTGTGCCTTGCGCACGGCTACAGTACCCTTTGCCTCAACAGGCCTCACCAATCGAATTCGTCCAAGGGAGACAATGCCCACGCCCACCCATGCTGACCGACGACCTCTCACTCCAACAGCATCGCTAACCTCCTCGTCATGGCGCCACCGGACCTGCTTACTGCCACAGCGCATCAGCTTGAGCGTGCTCTAGCCGAGGGCAAAGCGTCAAGCACGCAGCTAGTCACGGCGTACCTCGGACGCATCGCCAAGTACAATCCATTCCTAAATGCAATCATCTCCACTGCTCCCACGAGCTCGCTATTGTCCATCGCTCGCCATCTTGACCAGGAGAGAGCAGATGGGCATGTTCGAGGCCCGCTTCACGGGATTCCGATCCTTCTCAAGGTGACCGACCCATCTCATCCCAGTGGTGTCACCTGACGTGTATGGTCACTGAGCATGATTCAAACAGGACAACATCGCCACGCGTCATGCGTTGGGAATGGAAACCACTGCTGGCACATTTGCGCTTGTCGGGTCAGTGGTTAAGCAGAATGCCCCGCTCGTTACTCAAGTAGGGGCTTTCCGACAATCCGCAGCATGTCCTAATGGCTGCTGACGAAAGGCGCCCATTGCGCACATTTTTCTAGCTCGAGGAAGCTGGCCTCATCATACTTGGCAAAGCCAACCTCAGTGTGAGTCTAGTGCTGCGAGCAGAGACTTGTGACTGTACTGACACCACTCCCTCACTCCACAAGAACTCAGCAATTACCGGTCAGCATAACTAACCCTCCTCCCTAGCCCGGACCCTATCCACATATCCAACTCACTGCTCACTCACGTCAGTGGCTTTTGGATGCCATGTGGGTGGTCGGCTGTAGGTGGCTTGACTCAGTCGCCGTACGTCGTTGGCGGCAAGCAGTGGGACGATGGATTTGGTGGACACAGTGTAAGTGCTTGGGATACTGCCTCGCGAGTCGAACCTGTGGATACAATCACTCACCAACGCCTTTCAGAGCTGTGGCGGCTCATCTTCAGGGTCATGTGTTGCAGTTGCAGCTGGCCTAGCCCCCCTCTCCATCGGCACCGAGACCAACGGCTCGTTACTGATGCCAGCCACTCGCAACGACGTCTATACAATCAAGCCAACCCTTGGACTCATTGACGCCAGCGGAATCGTGCCCATCTGTCGCGAATTCGACTCTGCTGGCCCGATTGCTCATTGCGCCACAGACATCGCTTACCTCATGGACATCCTAGTAAATCCCGAGCTATCTGCGCATGTGCCTCCAGGTGGATACCAGAGCCAGCTCACTGGCTCCCTCGAGGGACTCCGGATTGGTGTCCTTGACCCGAGAGAATGGCATTTACCAACCGTGGTGGCCAAGCCCAGTGACGAGTTCGACAAATAGCAGGTTCGGTCTTGGGCCGCCAGATACCGCGAAAAGTTCACGTCTGTGTGCTGACTCCATTCTAGGAATCTGACATCCTTGAAGCATATGGCAAATTGACCATAGCCGTTGCTGAGGTCCGCAGAGTTCAACTTCCGTCTTTGGATGGCTTGGAAGTTGACGGCATGAGCCACATTGCTCGAGTCATGAGTGCGTTTTCTTTGTCACACCCGAAAATGGCAAAGTTGCGGGGCAATGCGTTAACACTCCGTCTCGCAGATTCCGGGTTCAAGACTGACGTCGAAGGCTACCTTGCGGGTCCACAAAGCTCCACAGTGAGGACGCTTGACGACTTGATGCAGTTCATGACCGACCATGCGGACCAAGAGTTTCCACCTGGTAAGTCGACTTTCGACCGACCGGTGAGACACATGGTCCGAATTGAGCTTTGACACTTTCGCAGAGTCGCCAAACATGGCGCGTCCCGAGGGAGCGGCGAAATTTGTCATCTCTGCCGAAGACCGCCGGAATGCCATTGCCGAGATCAACCAATTTGGGTGAGAGGCCATTGACGAATGCTTGCAAAAGCACAACGTAGATGTCATTCTTGGACCAGCGGACAGCGAGCTTGACGACTACTATTGTGTTGCAGGTATGTTGGTTCTGTCGTCGCCTCAGACTCCGAGTGCCTCATTTACGCTTGAGACAGCCCTCACACCTATCCTGACACCCTTGCAGGCTACCCGATGGCACATCTCCCGCTTTCGTCTTCCAAGCACAGTCTCCGTCCTTTCGGAATGTGTGCCATGGCTTCGGAATGCCAAGAAGGTCTTCTTGTGCGGGTGACGAGTGGATGGGAGAAGACTGTGCAAACAAGTAGACAGCTACCAAAGTTTCTGGAGGAAGGCGCTACCTCGCCAACCCCGCACCCAAAGCAGGTTGGCGACCGATCGGCTGCAATCACAGCCACAGCAACTTCATCGGATGGTGCAGACTAGATCAGAGGATATTGAAATGTGAAACCAGCTGCGCTGAGACTCTTCGCAGCGACAACGCCATTCTCTTCTGAGTTGTAGAAGGCTGTGCTTAGGCGCCGATCAGGTTTAATAGACTTGTGAGTCTGTAGTATAACTTGTTCACAACAGAACAGGATTGTTTTCCGTGTCAGCTGTAAGATGCTGGCGCACTCATAGGCACTTGAGAACGACAGGGACCTGTGTGCAGGGCTTCCCTCAGCCATGGCCAGGCGCGACTGCCACAGATGTTTGGGCCTTTGTTTCCCTGCTTCGGCCAGTGGAAGACGCCCGGTAGGAGTTTTAGCGCCTACAAGCCCACGATCTAAATTTAACGTCAAAGGTCCCATCGCACGAACGCAGGGACCGAGCAGAGCTGCCATTCCAGCGGTGCCCGTCAGCCCTACGGCAACGGGGAAAAGAGGCAATAGGCTGTAGTGCTGTTCCTGCGTCGTATCCGCAAAGCTTATGGGTCTGAAAGAAGCAAGACTGCCACTTGAAGCAGGTCGACCGATCGCCTACGGACGAGAAGTCCCGACTACCAGAAGGATGCCGGCTTGGCATGCAGGGTTCAATAATTACCCGCAGGCCCCGGCACATCTCAGTCAGGCAGGTAGGGCCGCCTATCCCAGGCTTTGAACACCGCGCCAAGCTGACAGTTGCAGCAACGGCAGACAATCCTCCATCTTACATATTGACTCCGGTGAAACCCGCATGGAACTTGCAGCATATCAGCTTAAGCCGGGTGTATATGGCAAACTTTCCCGCCCTGGTATGGTCCGGGGCGACATTCGCGTGAGCAACAACGTGCTTTCGACGTGCGTGCGCATACCATCCTTGATGGGCAATCTCGCGACTTTGGCCACGATCATTCTGCTGCCTTGCAACCGGGCTGGAAAAGCTACGCAGAAAGGTGTGGCAGACTGCAGTGGGTTTGGCATGGTAAAACTGTTGCTGATGGACCCCAAAAGTCTGCTGACCGCCAAGCCTCCGGAGACTTGCGGGCAGATCCGTGTTTGCCTGGCGTCTCGCAGCACGCTGTTCATCTACCGCGCGATCTGGCGCCCCTAACCAGACAACAGGGACATTTAAACAATGTTCAGGCCAGCTCCACCGCCAGGCAACACCAGGCTTAACGAGCACACGTGCATGGCTGCGACCTGCCTTTTCTGGCTTTATTGCTTGATGTGGCTAGCCTTCCCTGTCAATGAGCTGGTTCTAGGCCAGGAGTGCCTGCCAGGCAGGAGTTGGCATGAATACAGCGTATGGCGAGCGGCTCCAGATGAAATCAGCATCCTCATTGGTTCGAGTTTGCAAGCGTGTGTGTTTGGGGGCGAAGGATTAATGTGGAGGAGACAGAGAGGAGTAGTTGTACCCAATGCGCTCCAGCCATGCTAAACAATCCATGCCGACAGCCATGCGTGTAAGACGGTATGCGATCCTTCGCTGGCCGGACCTTGGGAAGATGCTCCGTCTTTTTCTGGTGAAAAGAGCCTAGTCAATATCGTCGGTTTTGCCAACTATAAAGACCTTATGGTTCAACTGCCCAATATCCGCCTGAAAGTCTGCTCTGTGTGCTCGATCACAGCCTTAGAACCAATCCATTTTCTTCTCCCAGGCACAAATTTACACGGTCTCAGCAGTCAACAAGATGGTCAGATTCTCCTCCGTTGCAACTGGCCTCGGCGCCACTGCGACAGCAGTCTCGGGGCTCGTCATTCGTGATGCCCACGAGACTGAAGTGCACAACCTCATGTACTTCGACCCTGATGCGGCTTCCTCTTTTACCGAGAGTGATGTGCAGGCCGAGACGGTGCACTACGATGCCGCTGCCATGCTCGCCATGGGCTCCTTGACAGCCGAGGCGAGCAACCACACCGACGTGGAGCTTGCCGAGCGCACCATCTACGGCGTCGATGATCGCCAGGACTGGACCAACTCGGACTACCCCTACTCTGCCATCGGCAAGGTACTCTTGTCCAACGGTGGTCGGTAAGTACATCGGATGTCAACGCCGGACACTTAAGATCTTCCACTGATACTTTGGTTGCAGGTGCTCGGGCACTCTTATTGGTGAGCCAAGACCTTGCAGTAGCGTCTCGACGTTTGCGTACATGACAGGACAGTACTGACCTTGGAACGCAGGTCCTCGCCACGTTCTTACCGCCCGGCACTGCACGCCCAAGGAAGGGGAAGCCGTGAGCGTCCGCTTCGCGCCGTTCTACTACAATGGTGAGACGCGTTTCCCGGGCTCACAGGTGACTACATACATCTACTACCCTGGAGGCAACGCGAACACCTGCGAATTTGGTGAGTTCCAGTAGTTCTCGCTCGAGCAGAACAAAAGCGCAGGCTTGCTGATGCTGTGTGTGTGTGTGTATTACGGCAGGCTCCGACTGGGCCATCCACATTCTCCAAGACCGCCTTGGCGACCAGCGCGGTTACTTTGGCGCACGACCCATGACTTCCGACATGCTGAACCGAGACATCTACTATAACGTAAGCTATTATGTTTTCTTTCCTCCGATCCGTGTCGCGCCCTTCAAGAAGACTGCGCTGACCCTCACCACGCAACAGTGTAAGCATCTTTCCCGCAGCTTAAGCGCATCTATTACGCTGGGGTGGGATCACTAACCCGCTGGGCAACAAGTCGGCTATCCTGGAGATCGTAACAACGGCGAGCGGCCCGTCCGCTCTGGAGGTGGCCGTATTAATTCACAGGAGTCCTGCAGTAGTGAGGGTCCGTGGTGGAGCAACATTGATGCGCAGCCGGGCCAGTCTGGTGGCCCTGTCTGGTAGGCCTTGCTCCCTCGTTTTCTTTTTTTACTCCTTCGCCTTGATCTATCCTCCCTTCAACATAATCAACCTTACCCTTCTCTTCAGAAACAGTCATGCTAACCATAGAATCTGTAACAGGGAGTACCCCGGCACTGGCGGCCGCTATGTCCAGGGCGTCCTCACCGGTACCGCGGCCACTCAGTCAGGTACGTTGTACTGTGATCCTATCGTCCTTCCAAGCCCACATGTTCCTTTGCTCTTCTATCACTCTGTGGCAGTTCTCCCCATCGGGATCACTGTGCCTTGTTCTCCCAGCAACTGACATGCCGCCGTATTCGTACGAATTCGAACAGTGGTCACATCTAGCCAGCTTATGGTCAACACCATCGTGGCGGTTCGCAACGACTTCCCCTAAGTACGCCGCTACGGAATACAGCACTCATCTATCAAGGCGAGCGTGGGGAGCCACTGCACGTTGAGGCGGGCTGTATCTGCAACATGCTTCTTGTAGAGCACAACATCGTTCGACTTATCAATGGGCCATTCGCGGTAGAGTGTAGGCGCAAGTCTCGGGCTGGTGCTATAAAGGTGTGTCGGGCTGAGAGAAAATGGAGGATGGTTGGGTAGAGCTTGGCCATGCTTAACGGTTTGATAGGGTTGGAAGAAATAGTGTGGTATGAGACATCGTTGCGCCAATGAAGTGCTTCTAAACACTTGAGTCTCATATAGAGATGCCACGAGATGTGAGAACTGGCGGTGACATTGCTATATGAAGAACAAGAGCGGTCTGCTTTCTGACTTGGTCAGCAGACCTTTCGTCGCAAGGCTGACAGGAACGCGAGCAGCAAAAGACTACAAATGACCTTCTATGTGCCTGCTTCCAGCGTTTATATGACGGGGCATATGTGGTCAAACTTCGTGTCGGCGCTCATCCTACTGCCGTGTTCGCAGAGGGCCAACTCGAGGCTGCGAGTTTCTCATGTACAGTCCGAGAGTCGAAGTACACGATCCATACTCATGAAATATTCACATTGGAAATGAAGGTCAAACTGCCCCAAGATATTTACAAAGGCCTCCTTCCTCACCCGTACACGCGTTATTCTTGTTCGGCTCCACCTTTGCAACGCCCGGCCCCACCTTGCGAGTTCCGGCCCCGCCTCGGAACTCTAGCCGCCCACTTGGCCCGTGGCAACTCAACCAAGCTTGCTCTTGATGAAGTTCAACGCCTGGCTTCCGTACTTGTTCACGTACTGCTGATGCGAGTTCGCATCGTTGCCATTGCAGCAATAGGGGTCTGTCGAATCGCAGTATGATTGGATGAGCGACGGGTTGCCAGGGCTGCACTGGAAGCCGGCCGGGCGAGCGGCGAACTATTGGTGAAACACACAGTGTCAGCAACCACCAGATCAAGGGTTCACATGGGCTCAACATGGACGCATCATGGAGAGAACTGTAATGAGGCCGGGAATGCACGCCAAGGGCTGGAAAAATGTCGAAGATGTGCGAGTGTGCAGAATAGAGACCCTGCGTGGCGGGGGAGGAGGAGAGGCAAGAAAGAATAATTTGGGAAGAGCGAGTGAGATGAAACTTACGCCTTGCGCCCGGCACGTGCCGACGTTGTAGGGGAGACCATTCCTGTTGTGTGGATCTCCGAGGAAGATGGCCGCCTTGACGGCAGCCAGGGCAGAACCGGAGAGTGTGCCTCCGCTGGACCCACCGCAGAAGGCGTTGTCCATGATCTGCCCACCCTGCGAGTAGCCGATCAGGACAATCTTTGTGTTCGGGCACTGCCGGTTGAAGTTGGTCACGGCCTGGACCACGGCTGCGGTGCCCTGGTTGGCCTGGTTTTTTCCACGCAATACCATGTCAGCATTATTCCAGGAGAAGGGCAGGTAGACAGGAAGCACAAAGACCAGGTAGAACTTACAGAGTTGTCATAGCTGACGCCTCCGCACGACGACTGTCCTCCGCAGGCAGGATACGAGATGGCCGTCGAGGTAGCGCCCGGGTACGACTGCAGCACCATGTTGACCAGGTTCTGGGAGGTGCCGTAGCCCGGCGGCGCGGTGGTTTCGCGTGCGCCAAAGACGTGCACGCCCGGACAGCTCTGGCGCGCCTCGAGCGGCGAGGCATTCGCCGAGGACGCTGCGGCGGCCGCGACGAGGAGCGCTGTGGCGGACTTCATTGTTGTGCTTGTGCGAATTGGTAGTTTGGACGGGGATGGAGGTTGGGCAAGGCGATTTGAAAGGATGCGATCGCTGGTGATTGAGAGAGCTGTCTTGGCACCACTTGTGAACGAATGTCTTGGGAGGATCATTTTGGACTATATATACATCACCACAGAGCCGATTGACCAGCAGCTTTCCTTTTCGAATTGCCCCGGTATTGCCATAAATTGGAAACAACCCTGCAGCAGCGGTCACCTCACAAACAAAGCGGGTAAATTTCCAACAGCCGATAGCCGGCCCTCCACTGCCCATCCGCGATTGGCTGAAACGACATCCCGTGGCCCGATTCGGGCTGGGGTTTGAGTGGCACTCGCCATGTTTTACCATCCCCAAAGGGGACCTTGCCTCCGCGGTAGCATTAGGTGGGACGTCCTCGCGTCCTAGAATAGATGACGTACGTTATGACAGCTGTACCTATGCGATATTCATGACCACCCCATCACTAGCTTGTCATACCCGGAATTAAGACCAAGGTCACATCCCTTTCCCCCGGGCCAATCCCGGCTGTAGGTAGCAGTGCCGGCAGAAAAGCCACGAGGCGGGTAAATCCTTGGCGTGAATAGGCTGAGCGAAGTCGACGCAGGCACAATCTAAGCGGGTGATTTCCCCGTGGGGAAGGACGCATGCCGGCAGATCAGCCGCGGTCGCCAAGCAGGGCCAAAGAGGCATAACGCCAGTCTTGTCTGCCATATACCGAAGCGGAAGTCGTTTCCGAGCGCCCGAAATCTGTCCTGGGAAATGTCCTCTCAGGCTGGAGGTGCCCAAATGCTCAGTCGCTTTGTAGGCGCGTGTTCACGCCTCGACCTTACATAGTGGCGGTAACTCTGGGACTGCATCAGCACCGTCTATCCTTTGGTGTGAATTTGCTGACGACTAAAGTAACTTCAACATTAAGTTGCTAGCATTGGACATAAGAATAAATGGAAAGGTTTCAAAAGGCCTTGGGTGCGAATAGGAATGCCATCTGATCGCGCTAGTTGTACTTGCCGGCCACCCAATTATGCCGAACGCTTCATACCCTTCCCCTTGGGAACGCGGAACAACCAGTACAGTCCCAACGCCAAGCCGATATTAGCCAGGATGTACACCCAGAGCAAGCCGAAGTTCCTCCACCGGTCCTCATAGTAGATGCCGAACCGCGCCAGAAAGTCATTCGTCGTGGCCAGCGGACAGAACGCACAAGTGTCTACCCCCCAGTGGCCAACGGGTCCAGCACCGTCCCGCCGTCCGTGGCCTGGAACGCGGCCAGGAACTCGCCGCACGTCGCGTTGGCGGGCGCCGCCATGTGCAGGATCTCGCTGGGCGAGCAGGACACCTCGTACCCGGCCATGGCGGACGACATGGCCCCGCTGATCATGTACGTCACGGGGGACACGCGGTACATGAAGAACCAGAAGTCCGGCAGGTCCGCCGGGACGACACCGACGCCGGCGAAGGACAGGCAGAAGATGTACAGCAGGCTGGTGAGCACGGCTGCCGTCTCGGCGCTCTCGATCCACGCGATGGCCATGTGCGAGAAGGTGCAGGTGAAGAGGAGGAACATTGCGATGAAGAGGAAGACGAGGAAGCCGCGCAGGGAAAGGTCGTCGTCTCCCGTGTAGCCAACCAGGCCCGCGAACCCGACGGGGTAATACCAGCAAAAGAAGGCAACGGCGGCGGCACCTACGCTCCAGACCATCTCGACAAATATGTTGGAGAGCAAGAGTGTTGTCCACCGGTACATCTTGGACGGCCGCTCGCGAACCTCGTATAGCGCGCGTTGCGGGACGAACATGGGCATGATCTGCTCGTTGAGAGAGCTGAAGAGGATGAAGAAGAGGTAGATGGCATAGAGCTGGTTCTGCATTCCCTGCAGAGTCAGGCGTGCGCTGAAGCTGAAGCCGAGATACAGGCACGACAAGCCGACGAGGCTAAGTTTGGACCAGATGTAGGTTGGCGAGCGCCAGAAGTGCTTGAACGTGCGGTTGAGCACCTGCATGAACTGCGTGCCGAAGGAGGCTGCAAACTCGTGGTCATCGGAAGAGGCAGCTGTGTCAGGAAGGTTGTGGCTGGACAGGCTGTGGAGGCGGGCCATCTCAGTCTTGACCAGTTCGTACTCGGGAGATTCTCGCCAAACCTGGTGCCAGTCGGCCCCCTCGGAACCGTCCAATGGGGGCTTGATGACATCAAGCATCCATTCAGCCGGGTTGGCCTCAGGAGGACACGGCGGGGCGCCATTGCGCTCAAGATAGCGAATTAGTGTGAGGCAGTTCTCGCCCAGGTCTGTGTCGCGAGGATTAGCTATCCGACAAGCATGAAAGAGGATCCAGACTTCATGCGCTGCGAACGACAAAGGCTCTAGAAAACATGACTTACCTCCAAAGTACACGGTCTTGCCACCTGGAGCCAATAGGAGCAAGCGATCGAACCGCTGGAACAGCATGGCCGAGGGCTGGTGTATCGTGCACAGCACAGCCTGGCCGCTACTGGTGAGGCGCTCGATGAGGTCGCAGATGGCCCACGAGGTCTGGGAGTCGAGGCCGGACGTGGGCTCGTCGAGGAAGACGAGCAGCTCCGGCCGGGCCGCCAGCTCGACGCCAATGGTGAGCCGCTTGCGCTGCTCGATGTTAAGGCCCTGTCCCGGCTCGCCGATGATGGCGTCGACAAAGCTCTCCATTTCCAGCATCGCCACGATGCGGTCGACTTGCGCAAGCTTGTCGGCCCGCGAGACACTGCCAGGCTGACGGAGCAGGGCGCTGAACTCGAGAGCCTCGCGCACCGTCATGGTCTCGAGGTGCACATCCTGCTGCTTCACGTAGCCGACACGGTGCTGGAAAGAGGCGTCCGTGGGCCGGCCGTTGATGAGGGTCTCGCCCTGGAGGACACCCGTAGTCACGCGGCCAGCGAGAACGTCCAGTAACGTCGTTTTGCCGGCCCCGGAGAAACCCTGTTGTGCGCATTAGTCCCTCTTCGTCGTCTCGATAGGCATGATCGTCATCAACAACAGACGTACCATGAGTGCGGTCGACTTGCTAGGCTGGACCCAGCCGTCGACTTGAGACAGAATGCGGCGTGTTTCCCCCTTAATGTCCACATCGTAGCAAACATCGTTCCAATGGAATACGGGGGGCTCTCCTGACTCAATTGAAGATTCCTGGAGAGAAGCCTTGGCACCTTTTCCCACTCGGGTCAGTTCGTGCTGCGATTCCTCGTCGTCGTTTGCCAGGCTCATCAGCTTTGAAGGGTGCTTGCCGCGCCGGAAGACCAGCACTTCTCCCTTGCTACGGGGCGGCCGAGCAGTCTCAGCAGCAACGACATAGGCAAGGAAAAGGCCGCAAAGAAAGGCGCACATGATGCCAATATTTCTGTTCCGTGTAAGTATTTTCGAATCCGTTTCAGCAGATTTCGATTGCAAACTCACCTCCACTTGTTCTCGTTAAGATAGCCAAAGGACTCGGCAATGTAGCGGTCGCCATTGACGGTGGAGAGGCCGGCTTCGGCACCAACTGACGAGCATATCTGCGACTCGGGAGACAATCCCTCATATGAAGGACCTCGGGGCACCATATTGGAGCAGGAAAAGTCGCGGTCGTGGAACTCGTTGGCCATGAGCGCCTCAAAGGCGTAAGACAGCGGGTTGATGTACATCATCCAGTGCGACCAGTCCGGCACGTAGGAAGGGGGGATACAGAAGCCCGTGTAGATCATAAGCCCGAGACTCAATAGGGAACTTGGCACCATGGCCTGGGCAGGCGTGCGTGTCAGGTATGCCAGCGTTCGAAAGAGGCTTGACATGACGAGGGTTGTGAGGTATGTCGTCAGGCAGAAGAAGAAGAAGCTGCCGGCGTCGCGCCGGAGGCCAGTCATGAAGTAGACTGTGAGATTGAAGATGAACATGTTGGCCGTCTTGTAGGGCAGATCGATCAAATAGCTCGCGACAGCTTGCGTCGACTGCCGATACAGGGCATATCTGTTGTGCTTCTCAATGATTGGCCGCTCTGCGTACACCGTGAGGACCTGTGGATACTCTGTGTTAGTATTCTCTTAAGCAATATCCTGGAGAAAGCCGGCAATCCCGCTCACCTCCAACTGGCTGGCAAATGCATTGAAGAGGAGGGAAAAGAAGATGATGCCGCCGCGATAGTAGAAGGTCGACGAGTCAGCCTTCATGTTGAAAAACATGCTCCCCAACATGAGCGCCATGACCAGGTTGTACACCAAGGAAGCAATAGTGAAGAACGGGTCAGCCACAAGCCGCCGGTAAGCACGCCAGAGGTTCAGCTTCACCTGCGTGGCGAAGGAGATGAGGTAAGTCGACCCCGACCGCGCGTGCTTCTGCTGATCGGCACGGCGTGACTCTTTGTACTCGCGGATTCTTTGGTCGCGTGGATGCTTCTCTTGGTACTCCTCTATTTCTTCAAGCAGCCTTTGCCGCTCCTTGCTGTTTAGCCACCGGCTGGCGAACTCATCGGGCGTTTTGGGGACCTTGTCCTCAAATCCTGGCCGCACGACGCGCTCGCTCGGGCTGGTCATGGATGTGAGGAAGTCTGGCGTAGTCTGTCTTTCAGGGCCTACCGGTCATGTCAGCTCGCTTGCTTCCTAACGGCTTCAAGGGGTTGGGAAACACTATACGTTCAAACCCCAGGTTCTCGAAATAGCTTGATGCCTCTGAAACCTTTCCGAAGAAGATCTGCCTCCCCTTGTATAACAGAGTGACGCGGTCAAATAACTGCCGGATCGAATATTAGTTGCATGTCTAGTATCACCATTGGAGGATACCAACCTCGTAGGCACTCTGCGGGGCTTGGTAAATGGCCACTGCGCCCGAGATGCTCAAGATATCCGCCTGGTCGCGCAGGCTCTGGCAGAACCGGACAGCGTTGGCACTGTCCAGCCCGCGCGTCGAGTTGTCCCAGCACTGCAGCAGTGCCCCTGTCAGGGCCGACTCGGCGATGCTGACGCGCTTCCTCTCGCCGCCGCTGACGCCGCGCACAAAGTCGTCGCCGACTCTCGTGTTGACCGTATGTGAGATGCCGAAGACGGACATGACGACGTCGCAGAGCATGTTGGCGACGTGGTTGGATGAGTACCCCTCGGGCAAGTTCCGCACTGGCCGTGACGATGCTGCAAAGCGGAGTGTCTCCCCGACGGTGAGATGCGGGAGGTGGATGTCCGTCTCGCCATTGTAGAGGACGTCGCCTCGAAAACGAGTCTGGATGCGGGTGGCATCGATGCCTTTCGCACGCCATTTTTAGTCAGTAGGCTGGCAGCTGAGCGTCTTTCAAGGTTGAACCGCCTACCTCGGTAATTCCACTTTGTCTCAGGGCTCACCCTCAATCCTGCCGTCTCACCAGCAATTGTCTTGAGCAGGGTCGAACAGCCCGAGCCTGGCGGGCCAAGAACGAGCAGGAGCTCGCCGGCATCAAGCACGCCTTCAAAGTCCTGCAGAATGGTGATCTTCTTGCTTTGCTGAACGCCACCAAGTCTTCTCGCGACGGACTCAATGGCAGACAGAAAGACGTTCCCGGCACTGGCCTGGTACTGGGCACCTGATGTGTCGCCAAGCACAGTCAGGTCGCGGAAAGCCACACCTAGGCTCCGTGGCCGTGTTGGCAGGCTCGAGTTGTAAAGATCGAAGAATGTCTTGACCCACAAACGACCGTCGAAGATAGGCGAGAGTGGATCGAGGAAGCTGCCAGCCTTGGGATAGAGGACTTCGTGCCACTGGCCCTCTGGTGAAGTACAAGTCGCTGTCGCTGTCGCTCGCAGCGCCAGGTCGCGGACTTCAGATTCTAGGTTGGCAGACGGTTGTGTCGCATCGCTGGAGGCTGTGGCAGGCATAGCCTGCTCTTTCAAATCGGGCGTCATATTGGAGGGAAAATGACTGTTGGAGCTTTGAGGTTCACAATTCCTGTGCCAGCCATGCGCTCGTCTTTGGCGCGGCAGCATCGTGATATAACTACGTCCCCCTCATAGTGATGGTCTAGCTCCATGAGACCGTGAGGCGCGTGTCGGGCGGCCGTGTCGGAGCCGGTGCTCATACGCCCCGCATGATCAAGGACATGGATCCCCGTAAAAGGGCCAGAACTGGCAAGTCTAGCAGCAGCCACATTTCTGGGGTCTTGATACGTTACTTTCCGAGTGAGTTCAGCCTGCAAGTGTCGATACAGGGGCCAGCATCATCTAGGTGGCGCAGCGTACACATCGCTGGCCGCGGGTTCCGCGGGCCTGAGCAGAAGCCGTTGCTTCGTGACCCTGGTCAGTTATCAAAGTTTATTTAGACTTGAGAAGCTCGACCCCGTTGACAGATGACCAGGTCAGTGGGGCAGCGTGCCGATCTGGTTTGGTTGGGCTAACGTTTCACCTCATCAGCCACTTTCATGCTCACCTTATAAGGTTTTATTAGTGCAGACTAAAGTACCTCTCCAGGCGCAACGCTTGAGCGCATAGTCAAGCCACGATTCAACCGTCTCCGTTGTCAAAAAAATATACCACGATATGGCCTGGTAGATTGCCAGAGCTAATGCACGGCTCAACTCGACGCGCGTCTGTTAAACAGCACTTCTCTGCCGTGGTCCATGACTCGTAAGTCGGGGCTGAGACAATTGGCTTGGTGCCTAATGCCTGGACGCAGATCTGTAGCAGGCTCCCACCCATATGGCGCTTTGTTGATGACGACCTACCGTGAAGTGACACGGGGATATGGTTTAGAATATTGCCCGGGCGCGGGTGAAAGCTATCCACTAACGGCACTTCCGGGTCACAGGAGTCGCCGCGACCACATACATTGTTACTCGATAACCGCCTTCAGCGGCTCCAGGAAATTTCAACCTCGCATCAAAGCTCAAGTCGAGACGAGAAGCACAACACCAAATCATCAAAGAACAACTTCGAACAACCAAACATTACTGTCTCCGGTAAGGCAGAAAATTCTTACGGCTTCCTCACGATGGAACTAGTCCCTGGACAAGCTTGTGCTGAGCAGCTATTCCCTGGTGCACGACCAGAGCCAGATCTGTCACCTCCATCGCTCAACTACACGCTGCGAGACAAGAAGCTGCGCATAGCGGTGTTCTGGTGTTTCGTCTTCTTCGACTGTGCCCTCGTGCCCGTGGGCCTCTACCTCTTCCTGTGGTACAACAATGGACCGGGGAGCGAAGAAAGAGATCCGCTGAGCGCGAACTTGGTTCTCAGCATTGTCACTGCAACGATAGGTGGTACAGGCATCATCGAGTTCGCGATTGGGATGTGGAAACTGTGGAAAAAGGGAAGCAATTGCCGGGTGAGTCATCAGACAAACATGTCCAGGTTTCGATCACCGGAATGCGATCTCCGCTAAGCCTCCACAATGCTCAAGGTCATTGGCGCAAAGAGTCGGTGGTACTTTGATTGGTTCCATTGGTGGTTTGGCTTGTGCTTGCTCATAGTTGTCGCCGAGCTCGTGGTGTAAGTCTACTCCCTCTGCCTTTCATTTCCCACAAACATGTGTAGCTCATCTCATTCAAAGAGGGACCGCGTTCACGAAGCCGAACCGCCGACTGCTCGCTATGCCGCTCTCGTCCGTTCTGGCTGTGTTTGGGGCCCTGCTTCTGGTCACAGATGTTCTACACCTCTTCTCTGTGCGGACGCTTGTGCGTATCTCGTCAGTCCCTCGTGGTGATCGAGTGCCCGTGGGAATCTACCCTATTATAGAGGACGTCTGTGCGGTCAGCGGCTCCGGAACGACTTTATTCCGCGAATCCCTCGAGCGACGCTACAAGGCCAGCCCGATCTTTAGGATCATGTTGCGACGTCTTAGTGTGTTCTGGACCCTCGGTGCTTTGGGTTGTTCTGCAGGAACCTCGTTCATGATATGGCACTTTGACGACATTGACCTGGCATTCGGTTGTGGGTGGATGGTGCCATTTATCTGGGCGGGAGTTTGGTGTCTTGCAACGATAGTTTACGTGCAGCACATGTTGGCAAAGGAGAAAAGACTATGGGCTGAAGTTATGGCGCTGAATGTGCGCGCAGAGCAGTCAGATCAAGTGTAGCCACCGAGATGACATTATGGGATGCACTGGGATCGAACTTTCATGTCACGATGGGGATAGGTCAGCAGAGAAAGATGGGACGCTGACATGGGGCAAATGATGCACGCAGAGCGTCTGGTCGAGGATACGGCGTGCCAGTTGTCTCTTGGCCTACCGACAGAACAAAAAAGCTTGGAGATGGTACCAAGTTCACTTCCGAGCGTCGTTGAAGTGATCTCATTGAGTCCCGATTTTGCGTGCGTTCACGTAGTTGACACTGCCGCCACCAATTGCTGTGCGCTCCAAGAATCAGCACGGCTTTGAAGCTGTGCAGGTCCATGGCAAGACAGAAGTCGGCCCTGCCAACTTCCAGACAGCACTGTCTCAAGAGAGTTGTATTTTCTCGGGACATCCGAATCCGTCCCTCCCAATGCACTACGCTGTCCCAATCTGTGTGTCCTGTAGATCATCAGAGGTTGGGACGACCGCATCCGTTGTCTTGTGGCTTTTGACTTTGTGGTTGTTACTCTTCTCGTATGATCATGCTGATGGTCGGACCCACCGGGACTGGCCACGCTGTCAGAAATACCGTTGATTGCCAATGAGCTGTTAGTGCTGATACACCCCGCTGTCTGCAGTAGAGTTTGCAGGCCTCTATTGGTGCTTGGCAATTGAAATGCGTAGTGACACCCAATGGCATAGGCAATCAATCACACAAGTGTGCCGGCCGGTTGGAATGGACCCTGGCCGTCGTGACCGCCATCCCGGGCTCCGTGACGGCCGACCCCCGGCCAACCTTGATATCCACTCCTCAGCCCTGCCACCGGCACCCGCGGGCCCCTGAGCCAAACCCCCCATGGGCACCCCTTGAATTACGCAACGTGGTGAGAGCACTGCCACACCGGACAGACTCGACAGCCTCATCCGCGGATGCCCCTTGACGACGTTGCGGCAGCTCTTGGACGTCGTCGACGTCGATAAAGCACAATGCGCGCCCTGCTGAGGAAGCATCATCGGAGCCCGGCCCTGCCAGACTCACACACACAGCACATCACAATGAAGCCGGAGCAAAAGCACAGCAAGAAAGAGAAGGCGGCGGCGGCGGCGGTGTCGGCCCAGGGCCTGCTGCCCATACCCCAACCTTCGACCGCCCCAGTCGTGGGCAACCTTACCAGCATAGACTTGGAAGACCCATCGCGCTCCTTCTCGCAGCTGGCCGCCCGCTATGGCCCCATCTACAAGCTAGCGGTTCCGGGACTCGACATGATCATCGTGTCCAACTGGAAGCTTGTCAACGAAGCCTGCGACGATTCGAGGTTTCAGAAATCGCTCAAGGGCGACCTCGAGGTAAGCAAAGGAGCTTTGGTCAGCCTCATCTCATGTATGCTGACAGCATTCCACAGGAACTACGAACTGCAGTACATGACGGACTCTTTACGGTAAGTCTATACACTCCAACGTCACAGAGACTCAAATGCGCGGATTTAGCAGGCTGACATGGACGCAACAGTCCAAAGGAGAGGAGGAGGAGAACTGGGGCGTGGCGCACCGGGTCCTAGTGTCGGCCTTCGGCCCGCTGGCCATCCGCGGCATGTTTGACGAGATGCACGAGATCGTCAGCCAGCTGGTGCTCAAGTGGGCGCGCCAGGGCCCGTCGGCGCGCATCGACGTCGGCGAGGACTTTACGAGGCTTACTCTCGACACGGTAGCGCTCACCTCGATGGGCTTCCGCTTCAACTCGTACTACCAGTCCGAGATGCACCCATTCATCACGGCCATGTACGAGGTCCTCAACGAGGTCGCCAAAAAGGGCATGCGCTTCCTCCCCTCCGTTTTCTACACTTCCGAGAGCAAGAAGTACCACAAGAACATCCAGCTCCTGCGGCGGACGGCGCGGGAGGTGATCGAAGAGCGCAAGGCGAACCCGGACGGATTCAAGGGCCGCAAGGACCTCCTGACGGCCATGACCGAGGGCGTCGATCCCAGGACGGGCCGTAAGATGACGGAGGAGAGCGTCATTGACAATCTCATCACCTTTCTGGTCGCAGGGCATGAGACCACTGCCGCGACGCTTCAATTCACCATGTACAACCTGCTGAAGCACCCCGACAAGTACCACAAGCTCCAGGAAGAGATCGACTCTGTGGTAGGCACAGGGCCCATTTCTCTGGCCCATGTGACAAAGCTAAAGTATTTGGATGCGGTAAGCGACAGTCCTCCCACGATCAAGTCACGATCCGTCGTTTTCCTTGTGCATTATGATGCTGATAGTTCAATCAAGTGCATACGAGAGACCCTCAGGCTGAGCGCACCAATCTGGGCCTTCGGAAGAGAGCCTCTGCAGGACGAGGTGCTCGGGGAAAAGTATCTCATCAAGAAAGACCAGCAAATTGTGTGCCTCCTGGCCAAGTCTCACCGGGATCCCGAAGTCTGGGGTCCAGATGCCGACGAGTTCGTTCCCGAGAGGATGCTGGACGGAGGCTTTGATCGGATCCAGGAGCAGTACCCGCACAGCTGGAGTCCCTTTGGCACCGGCATGCGGTCCTGCATCGGGCGCGCCTTTGCGTGGCAGGAGATGCTGCTGGCCTACGCGGCGCTGCTGCAGAGCTTCAGCTTCGTCATGGACAATCCTTCGTATACCCTCCAGACGCAGACATCGCTCACCATCAGGCCTAAGGGGTTCTACATCAGAGCCATTGCCCGCGGCGGACTGACACCTCTGCAGCTCGAGGCACGTCTGGTTGGCGCCAGTGGCAACGGGGCCGACGCGAAGCCGTCCAAATCTGCATCTGCTCAACCAAAGCCGGCTGCTGCTTCCGAGAATGGCGAGATGGAGGGCGGTCAGAGGCTGGCGATATACTACGGGTCCAACTCGGGCACCTGCGAGTTCATGGCGCGGAGGCTGGGGACAGACGCCTCAGACCGGGGCTTCGTCGCCTCTATAGAGCCTTTGGACGTGGCCAAGGGAGCGCTCCCCAAGGAGGTCCCTGTCGTCATCGTGGCTTCTTCGTACGAGGGCCAGCCTACCCACAATGCCGGACACTTCGTCCAGTGGATTGAGTCTTTGAGCAACACGAAAGAGCTTGAGGGTGTAAGCTATGCAGTATGGGGATGCGGTAAGTCTGGATGAGGTGTGTCTTTTGGCAGAGGATCAAGTGGCTGATAACAAAACAGGGCATAGCGACTGGACAAAAACGTACCAACGCATTCCCCGGCTGCTGGATGAGGGCCTGAGCAAGTTCGGAGGCGAACGACTTGTGCCCATGGGCGAGACAGATGCAAAGATTCGCGACATGTTTTCCGACTTTGAGACGTGGCAGGATGAGACGCTGTGGCCCGCTATCCAGAAGAAGCTCAACATCAAGGTGAGCCAGGACGACACGACCAACAACCGTCTCAAGGTCTTCTTCTCCACACCGCGCACATCGATCCTGCGCCCAGACGTCAAAGAGGCACTCGTTTCCAGCGCCCGGAGCCTGACTCCGAGGGACGCCGCCGGCGAGGAGAAGCGCCACCTCGAAGTCCAGCTACCGAGCGGCTGGACATACACTGCCGGCGACTATCTGGCTGTACTGCCGCACAATCCCAAGGCGACGGTGGCACGCGTCATGCGACGCCTGCATATGGCTTGGGACGCCCACGTGACCATCGAGGCGGCCGGCACAACAACGCTGCCGACCAACGCGAGCTTGCCGGTATCTGAACTACTCAGCTCCTATGTGGAATTGGGCCAGGTGGCCACGAGAAAGGTGAGCTAGAAACATTTCACGTATGCACTGTACACCCTATTAATCCGCGAACACCCAGGACGTGGCAACACTCAGCAAGCTGGCCGATGACGCCGAGATGAAGGCCAAGCTGGAACACATGGCCGCCGACGGCTTCGAAGAGGAGGTGCGAGGCAAGCAGCTCTCTGTCCTCGGCATCCTCGAGGCGTTCCCCGCTCTCATGGTACCTTTCCACGTATTTCTCTCGCTCTTGCTGCCCATGCGCGTGCGCCAATAGTGAGTTAGCCCTGCCGGGACAATGCATGCCTGAGACCTTGAACTAACTCAAACAAACAGCTCCATCTCCTCTTCGCCGCTGGTCAAGCCCGGTCTCGCCTCGCTGTCATACGGCGTCATCGACCGACCCGCCACCTCGGGTACGGGCCGGCACGTTGGCGTAGCGTCGTCGTACCTCGCGTCTCTACAGGAGGGCGACAAGGTGCAGGTCGCGGTCCGCAGCGCGACCAAGGGTTTCCAGCTGCCCCTAGAGCCCCAGAAGACGCCCATCATCTGCATTGCCGCGGGCACGGGGCTGGCTCCCTTCCGCGCGTTCATGCAGGAGCGCGCGGTCCTGAAGGAGAGCGGTGCCCAACTCGCCCCTGCCGCGCTCTTCTACGGCTGCCGCGACCCGGCCGTCGATGACCTATACCGCGACGAGTTCGACGCCTGGGAGGCGGCTGGCGTCGTCTCCGTGTTCCGCGCGTACAGCCGCGCGCCCGAGCAGGCCGAGGGCTGCCGGTACGTGCAGGACCGGCTGTGGCACGAGCGGACGTTGGTCGGCGATCTGTGGAACACCGAGGGTCGGATCTACGTCTGCGGCGCCAATCGGATTGTGGAGGGGGTCAAGCAGGCCTTTGTGCGGATCCTGCAGAGCGAGAACGAGAAGCGCGGGGAGCCAATGTCCTTCGAGGAGAGCCTGGAGTGGTTCGAGAAGCATCAGACAGAACGTTTTGTCCGGGATGTGTTTGACTGAGCAGTGGGACGTGGGTTTTTGGAATCTGGTTCAGCAATAGAAGCGTTAGAATACACCATTTGAACAACTTGATTGGTTTGACTCTTGTCCCTTAAGTCCGTTTCAGCTTGGTGATCGATATAACCGGATGTCAGGCGCACCATTACGCTTCGTCCGTCGAGCAAGGTCGGTTACACATAAAAACTACTACAAGTCTGCAAGTAAAAGAAGCTTTCCGCTTGCTCAAGATTTTGCGTCCGTCTTTTTGATCGCGGGGTACAAGAAAAATAAACATAAGAAACGGAAACAAAAATTGTAGCCATCTGTGACACGGAGGAATTGATTCTTTTCTTCCTTTGATGGTGTTCTTCCGCCTCCAGGGAGTCCATTACGGTATGTCTGAAGAGTCTACTTTCTATTTATAGACAAGGTCACCGTCTTTAGCCCCAGCTGAGATCGGTTGAGGCAAGTCATTGTAGGCACTCCTCAAGCGAGCTGTGTTCCTTGTGGAGCGGGGTAACTTAAGGCCAGCACTCTATCCTGGCAGCCCATACGAGCAAAGCAATCCATACGAGCATAGAAGCGAGTGTTTCTGGACTTCCCGGCCGCCAGAATACTAAAGTTGAAGTGAAAGATCACGCTGGGTTAGTCAGCGCGGTGACTCACAAGTTACTGTGCACAAATTGCGTCTTGTATTGTGCAGCACTCCGGCGGGTTCCATCCTCCTTCTTCTATCAACAAAAACGTCCCCTGCTTATTCTACCTCAACTTCAACGTCAAAAGATACAATTCCCAGCTTGATAATCCCGCAATATGGCTAAGACACGTAAAACAAAAAAGCCAGATCCGAACCCGTTGACAAGCTGGACGCGTTTCTACCTGCCTCTCAACCAGGAGTTCCCAGTATGGGCCATAGACCACGATTTTGTCCATCGAGGCCCACTGCGTGGCGTCAGAGGTTGCATGCCATACTACCTGGGCAGAATGGTTGACAACCCTGAGCAGGCTGCCTACGTCATCCATGAGTGCTGTCTGCACTCGGGCAAAGTTGGTCCCAAATTAGCCTGAACTGACCTTGGTCCCGACATCACGCAGAATGGGACGCCGTAGAGGCCTTAACGGCATTCCAAGCCTCACCAGCATGCGCAGAATTCTTGGCCAACCTTCCCGAAACCAAGGAGGACGCGATGCGAGCCCTGGCACACTCCGAACGCGCACCAGAGAATCTAGTATTGGCCGATCCCCCCCAATCAGCCGCCGTGCCAGCGTGCTCGCGCTTCCTTGTTTTGAAACATTTCAACAGGTCAGCGGCGACCGAGGTTGAAACCCGCGTGACCTTGACCGCCTTCTCGGTGCCTAACTTGGACGACAACATGGTCAAGATATGGTGGGAGAAGCTTCTACCCGTGTTTGCTTGTTTCATACCTCCCGGCTACGGGATGAACCCCATGGTGTTTTGACCACATGTCTGGTTCAAGGGGATCGTGGAAGACAGCTGGGTGGAGCAGAGGTTTGGGAAGCTGGAGCAGGTACAGGGCAATGACCAGGGCCGGACAATCATGTACGATTTTCTGGTGTGGAAACCCCTATGGGGGCTCACGTCGGAGATGGAAGAGGCATCGGCGGCGGATCCTGAGTCGGCTAAGGCGTGGAGGGAGCGGATAGCGCAGGCGATGCCTCCAGCGACTGCATGGGCCCAGGAGCGCTAGGGTATCCGGCGACTGCCGTAGCCCTAGAATGGATGAAGACGAGCTTTTTGGGGATGAAGAAAAGTGACAGACACAGGGGCAGCTACTTTCGAAGCTCATGGTCACACGAATGACGAGGACTCTGAACAGAGTCCTGGAATTGGCTAGACATCGACAACATCACATTATATTCGCAGGAAGGTTTCCTAACACGGCGGTATGAGTCAGGTTTTCGTCAAGCTGGCGTTTGCAACCTGGTGGAAGCGCGGACAGCTGATACCGCCAGGCATAGTGGCTTCACCAATTCATGGACAACTACTCTCCTGGCCCCAGATTTGTACAGCCCCTCGATTCTTCAGCCCATCTTGACCGGAGCAGGCACGGCCTTTGTATTGAGTTGTCACGTCGGGGACCATAGTAGCGTGGTTTTCATAATCTTTATTCCACAGCACCTGTGGTGTTTTTCCATCATCCCTCGCAAGGAATTCCGACGAGTTTCTTGAACTCGAGCAGCCACTCCGGGTTATCGGCGGGCGTCTGGTTCCACGGATCGTCGCTGTTCGCCAGACAGACGCACAGGCGGGCTGGTTAGCTTCATATACTTGGTATACAACCAGTACCCAGATCCCTGACAGAGGGAAGCATGACATAGGTGCGGGACAGACAAAAAGTGGCAAGGAGAGAGTTTGCAAGACTTACTCATCATAGTCAATCCACCGCGCCTGGTACTGCAGCTCCTCATCGGTCGGCACGTGCCGGTTCGGGTTGTTTGGCGACATGCACATCGCGACGAACCGGTACAGCTCCTTGGTCAGGTGGCGGAACCCGAGCTCCTGCCAGCCGATGGGGACTTGGAAGCCCGATGGGAGACCGGGGGGCATGTCGCCAGCAGCAGCGGCCGACGTGGAGGTAGCGCCACCAGCGACCGGGCCAGGGCCGGGCCCAAGCCCGGTGTCTGGGAGCAGAAGCGCTGGCGAGGATGCTTGTTGGGGATCTTCAAGGAGGGATTGGTGCTGCTGCTGCAGCCACCGGGATGGCGGCGGTTCTTGTGTTTGTGTTTGTTGTGGTTGTTCTTGTCGAAGTTGCTCTGGGATTAGAAGATCGGCAGTACCCGGGGTGATTGGCAAGGGCTCAAAGGGAGGGGCGTTGATGAGCCCAAGAGCGGCGGTAGTCCATTCAGTCCGGGAAAGAGGATCAACACTCGCCCCCAGCATCGTCCAGGGGTAGAACGACGTGGGCTGTGTCCAAGGGTAGCAAGACTTGGGCTGGATTTGCGAATCTGCAGGCGCAACATGACCATCCATACCGTCCGCCTGGAGCATATTATCTGAAAACTGACCCAGACCAAACAAGTCCTGGTCGTTCTGGGCAAGGAGAGACGGTGGGTTGAGCAGGCACCGCTCGCGGAAAGGCACCAGCCACGCGACAGATCCCTGCACGAGGGTCTTGATGAAGACCGCGAAGCGCTCCGCTGGCCTCAGCGAGGTCGCCTCGATGGCATCGACGATGGCAATGGCTTGTTGCTGTAGCTCGGCGTCCGTTGGTGCAGACCCTGTGGCGCTTTTTGACGCAACGTACTGCAGCAGCCGTGCTTCGAGCTGGCAAGCCTCGAAGATGCTCTTCTTGCCATGGATGCGGAGGTGGCTTAGTCGTGCCTTGGACACCCAGTTCAAGGGCTGCAATGTGGCCTGCTGGGTGATGTCTGGGGAAGAGAGCAGCAAGAGGTCTTTGAGCCAGGACTTGCCGTGCTGCGTGGCGGTGTCACTGCCGTCACCAGTGTTGGCCTCGGAGCCAAAGATGATGCAGCAGCTCTCGTAGTGGAGGAAATCGTCCGAGTAGTACTTGCCTCGCATTCCTATCGTCTCATGCGGCGCGTTGCTCTCGACGTAGTGTCGCAGCTCGGATTTGATGAGCTCGTACGAATTGGCTGGCGCGAGGTCGACACCCGGGTCTGTGACGTCCATCAATGCCACGTTGAGCGGCAAAGGCGTGTTGCGCTCGTAGTGGATGAGGTCTGTCACCATGTTAGCTGACATTGGTCTTGCAGACCGCGAAGAATGAAAGCTTCCAACCACTTACACGGCGGCATGGCATTCTCCAGCATCTCAAGCACGGCTGGCTCGAAGCCCCAGTTGCCCTTCCACGAAGCCATGGTGGTGCCTGCCTTGAAGTGCGCGGCAATGTGGTTCAGCCGGGCAGTCCACGTGTCCAAGGTCTGGTCGCAGAAGCCACAGCGCGAGTGCAGCTTCTCGGTCGTCGCCTTCCAGCTGTCCATGGAGGGGAGGAACTGTGCCTTGTGCACGAGGCGCAGGTGCTGATGCAAGTGGTCTTTCCGGTAGAACGTGCGCTCGCGGACCACCTTGTCCACGCACATAAGATGGTTGTGCCCGGCCAAGTGCTGGTCGTCCGGCCCGGCCAACCCGCAGTATACACACGTGAGTTGCCCTTCCGCGTCCGTTGCGGTCGGCCCCTGCGGTGAGCACACCCACTGATCCAGCGAGAGATGCATCGACTTCTCGTGCCGCTGCCAGTCGTACTTTGTCTTGTACGTCTCTGGGCAGAACGTGCACTGGTAGATGTGCTGTGGCGCCGCCAGTGTCGTCGTCGTCCTCGCCGCCGTCGCCCCTCCGCCAGCATGCCGCCGCTTGTTGGCCATGCGGCGCCGCCTAGACCCCAGGTTGCGCATCCGCTCCCGCAGCCGCAGCGAGTCGCGTGAGTCGCCCGAGTGCGCGGAGCTCGAGGACCCGCGGCTCGAGTTGGACGTCTCGAAGCTGCTGACCGAGGACGACTTGCGCCCGCTCCGGCCGCTCCGGCCACTCCGGCCACTCCGGCTCCTCCGCAGGCGCATATACCCTGCCTCGTCGAGTTCGTGGTCGCCGCCGAGATATGCGTCCGAGGAGGCGGACACGGCCTGGGCAATGGCGGTGGCGTTGGCGGCCTCGTGCTCCGGGGGTGAGTTCTTCCAGCGCTCTAGCGGGTGCATGCTCTCCCAAGGGATTGGCGTCGGCCGCCGCGCGGGGATATCCATGCTTGCCCGAGGAGGAGGACCGCCAATGCCTCGCTCGCTGACGGGAGTCGACATGCCCGAGTTCGGGGCCGACACGTTCCTGCGCCTGGTGTTGGCGAGCCACATGAGGATCTGCTTCTTCTTGAGGCCCGTGGCAGCCTCGAGCCTCTCGAGATCGTCGTTCTTGGCAAAGGGGTGCGCCTCGTGCGCGACGAACCAATCCTTGAGGATCTTGATGGCCGCCGGGCTGAAGTTTGCGCGGGTCCTCGAGGACCTCCGCGACTCGGGCTCGGGCGTGTTTGTGGCGGACACTCGGGCCGCGGGCGTCAGGGACTGGTGGCCAGCCAGGCCAGACATGCCATCGTCGGGGCTCGAGAGACCCAGCAGGTCCCCGCTCGGGCTGGCCTCCAGGCTCGTCATCGTCGTCGTCGTCGCTGTCAGCACACCATTGTTGTTGATGGCGTTGTTGTTGCTGCCGCTGTTGTTGTCCTGCCACGGCGAAACACCTAGAGACCCGACATCGGGCGTTGCCTGCGCCGAGTCCCTGCCCCAGGCTGTCAGCCAGGCGTCGAGGTCTGCGGCCTCGGACACGGGCACCTCGGGACCCGAGTACAGCTCAGCGGCATGTGCCTCGAGGGGCGAGTATGGTGTCGAGTGCTCCGAGTCGTCCATGGCGGCCAATGTCTCGACGCAGTGCGTGGTGAGAAGAGTGGACGTTGGGAGGGATGACTCGAAAGAACGCCAAGCAAGTCGACTTTTTAGTGGACTCGGAAGCTCGCGAGGGGAGCTTAGCTCCAGGACTGGCTAGAGCGAAGGAGGGGCGGGTTCACACCAGCAGGGCTGGCAAGTTCTCCGCATTAGGGGGGACCCAACGAGGCGGGGTGCCCCGACTATGCTCGGCCCGGCTCAGGTCAGCATCCAGGGTCCCTCTCATTCTATAGCAACTGAATGTCTTGCGGCTGAGAGGCAGAGCCCCAGGTCGGATCTGCATGGCGGCGAATCACAATGACCCCGGCTGCCGGATCTGGAATCGCGCCGTCACAGTGAGGAGTGGTGGTCAGCTACATTCATCATCATCCCGTGCGTCCTCTTCGATCGTCCAAAGCCATGCATTGCCTACATTTGCTTAAAGTCCCCGAACCTCCGTGCTGACACTGAAGATGTCCTCGGACGGGCGGGCGCATGGATGCCTTGCATAACTTTCGAGTTTGCAGATGGCAACAGTTTGGACGGCTTTTATCATCCACAGCCAAGGAAAGAGTAATTGCGTGTCACGCCTGGAAGAGGAGACAGAAACAAGGAAACACTAAAAGAACTCATCAACAGATCCCCAGAAGAAAAAGAAAAAAACATTATCTCCCAAGACAAAACATGCCAGCAGCGGGAAAAACCTCAAGAGTCGCCGAAAACCGCCAAGTCTATCCCTATTGGGTTTCCTTGGTGCCTTGTACCGGCATTTCAGTGGCGCCTTGTCCTGGCATCTCAAACAGCTGACCAGGGGACAGCTCCGCGACCAGAGGCTGTTGGGGCGCCATTGCCATCTCCGGCCACCCATACTGCTGCTGCTGCTGCTGCTCCGGCGACACCGGCAGCGCCGGGTGTCCGTACAGGGACGCAGGTAGCATCCTCGTCTCGCTGGCAGTCCCGTCCTGGCCCGTGGTGTGGGTGCTAATCGACTGGACATACATTGACGCCCGCCCGTCAGCTGATCCCTGCGGGGGGTAGTACGTCTGCTGTTGTTGTTGCTGCTGCTGCTGGAATGCTTCGTGATCCTGGTACTGCCCGGCGAGCTGTTGGGCTGCCTGCATCTTGCGGCGCGCGAGCACCAACAGCGCTGCGCCCACGATGGCAAGGAGTGCAGCGATCGCAATACCGGCGCCGAGACCACCTTTTGCACCCGGGGAGAGATCCGCATTGGCAGCCGCCGCATCGGGTCCGGGTGTTGAAGGTGAAGACGAATCGGCGGCTGGTGGCGGAGTTGGGGTTGTGCCTGTGGATGTGTCAGTCATGCGTGGGTTCAGTACTGCATTTCGTCCACCAGGTCTTCCCAGACTGTGGATTCCAAGCTTGCACAGGATTTAACCTACTTGTGCTCGCCGTGCTCGACTCGGGGGGTGGTGCAGTGGTGCTGGCTGTGGACGACGCCGAGATTGGTGCTCCGTTGTTGGCCAGCTTCCACGAGTTGCTGTTGAATCCTGCCTCCTTCTGGGTGCTCAGTTGGAACCAGCAGCCGTCAATATTGACGAGGTCGATCGTAACAGCCTTGGTGCCGTTGTTGGATGGCACGTTGGTGCTGCTCTGGTACTTCACTGCAGGTGCACAAAACACACAAGAATTAGAACATGCCAGCTTTCAAGTGTTTTGCCACCTTGGCGACAGAAAGGAAGCCACCGATTCGAAATCGAGGAGAAGACCCGGCTGAACACGTACTCAGGATTTCAGTGCTGCCTGGCGCGCGGCACCACATTGTGAGTGTCGGGCTCGTGTAGTTGGACTGCCACTTTACATTCATCACGTAGCCGTTGGAATAGACCTCGCCAATCGAGTCCGGAAAGAGAAACTTGTTGTCAAAGCCGGCGACCTGCGCGGCGGCCGACGCCAACACGGCCGATAGTCCGGCTAGTCCTTTGAGAGAAACCATCGTGTCGACGAGAATTGCTGTCGTCGCGCACGCTGTCGTGATTGGAGTAGCGGCGAGGCAGAACGGGAAGAGGTCGCTCGCTAGTTGGTTTGGAGAGATCCTGTGGCGCCGGTTGCTTGGCTACTTGAGCATGTCGGGAAAGAGTTGTTTGTCGAGAAAGAGAGTAAAGAGCAGATCGACAGTCGAGAAAGAATTCTAGAAAAACCCCGACGCGTTCGGCTCCGACAGAGGAGATCCGTGGTAATAAACCGATGGATCGTCCGCAAGGTTACACCCTGGGCTTCTTTGAGATCCGTCCCTTCGATGAAAAGGATGCTGACTGTGCTGCGCCCCAGGCAGTCGATGCAGGGGACGGCGCTGCGTTCCCGGCAGGGATGCTGCTGATGGGCTGCCACAAGACTGGGGGCATTCCTGGTGCTGGGTACGGCGGCCACCGCGTTCCTGCAGCAGGGCGGTCGCGCCTCAATCCTAAAAGATGCCAAGATGCCAATTCCGGCCTACATCAGGTCGAACGTGGACATTAAATGGCACGATATGCCTAGGGCGCCTGGCTAGTTTGGCACCCGTAATTCTGGCCACCCGTGCCCAATAACAAAACGACCGCGGACATATGTCGTCCGGCGATGACATTCTCGCGAAGCACGGGGATGGATGTTGAGAGAAAGGAACTAGCAGGAAGTTACCAGCGCGTCTTTTTGTCCTTGTTGAAGCTCTTTTGCTCATGACCATTTCTGATGAATGTTTATACGGACGAAGTGCGGCTGGCGATCACCCCTGCGCACAGCAATTTTAAGCTCTAGGGGACACAACCCCTTGTCGTAACCTCGACCAATCGTGGCAGTTCCCTGTAGAGTAAGGCACGCCAAAACGAGCCTATTACAGATTGGTTGCCCAAACAGAGAGAAAGATGTCCCCTCATACCCGCCCAGGCATAAAGTCCTAGACGCGAAGCGCAAAAGCCAAGCGAGATTCCACGGGCAAGGGCCCTCGCAGGACGTTCAATACCTCGAGGTGATAAAGCCCCGAGAACCCCAATCCTGCCGCCAGCTCGACTCAAAGGGGCTCCCGACCTTGCTTCATGAAGTGGTTTACCGCTTGAGATATCTCAAGTGTGGACCCTTGACATGCCAGTCTGTCCCGAGGCAGAGTGGAACCGTGACTTTGAGCTGTCATGTTGCCACCCATGCGTAGCTGACTCCATACCCAATGGATAAATAGATCTGACGTATGATGCCATGCCCGCTTTCAGCAATGAAGGTTACATCTGGTTTGGAGTGCTTGGGGAGTGGAACAATTAATCAAAGAATTAGGGGTTCCTGGGCATACATATGGCGCCAGGGAGCACACTTGGATATCATTCTCATCCTTCCCATTGGAGGTAACCTGTTATCATACCCGCACGCTGTATTCTCAGTTCGTTGCACTGCGCGCATTGTTTCTTTAAGGTCACAACGCCGTTACATAAATTTAACCATGTTTTCTGTTGCGTTCCAATTTAACATAGTCCGAAACTGTTTCCTCGATATCGAGTGCCTCGCAATGTCCTCTTGTTTAATTTAACACACGCGTCTTCATCAGCGTACGCGTCGAGATTGGCATATGACAGTGCTGCATATGGGGACTTTTCCTATTTTTGACAACATTGAACCCGGGTGGGACTAAATCGTTCGAGAATTGGAAACAAGACTCGTCTTCTGGAAGGACGATATGAACATAGCGAGCAGTTTTAACCTAACTTCAAGCCGCGTGGGTGGCTGAGCTCGGACTGGCATCAACATTTAATTTTGAAAAGGTACCCCATGACCACTCTTTTCTGTGCACCCCCTTCAAGCCAAACCATGCACTACCGATAGCTTGAACAACCACCCTCCGTGCGCTCGACGTATTGCATAGAACTCAGAAGCTCTTTTTTATCTCAAAGGTCTTCTCCAGTGATGGGAATGTTGAATTATTTGGTTCCTTTGGACTTTGTTCCCCCAAACATTTCATCTTACTAGCGCTTTTATTTTCATTTTTATTTTTTATTTTCATCGGAAAGTGTCGCGTCCTCCTCAGCAAAGTAGCTATTGGTCTTAATTCGGGTAAATGGTAAATCCGGATATCGAAATCCTCCAGCTGTGAGCTTGCGTCCGTCGTGAAATGCAATGAATATAGCACGCATTGTGGCCGGTGATGAGGCTATCGATTAACCCGCTCGAGATTTGAACGTGAAAGCTAGGGCACTAATCACAGGAAACAATGCTTGCAAAGCGCTTGAGGGAGTGTTGCCGCGAGCTACTTACACTAGCGTTGCCTACGTATCAGGAAAGCAATCCTAAATAGTGAGAGGTGCTCTCCGGTGCCCCGTCATCCTCCCTCGCAGGAGCCCTAAGTACTAAGCCCATTACTCCTACGCGCGACCGAATTGTGACATTGCTAGTTCATGTCACAAAGGCCAAAATACTTGGTAGATGCGTGATGCACGATTCAGTGGCATTTTTATCACGGGGGTAATCTGGTGTTACGCGGCAAAAATGCACGTATGTGCTGGCTGAGCCACCTGAACGAATTCAGGTTGCGTTGACGTGTTCTTCACAAGGTGTACCCTACGGATCCGGCAGATCTGTAAAACGAGCCAACGACGGGTGAGCGACGGAGCCAACGACACGGAGTATGCCGTATGCTGCCAGCACTAGGTTCCATTTCCAGTGACCTGTGCGCACGGTTGAGCCCTGGATGCCTTTCGAGGGGATGGCGTCGCTGGTGCGTGCTTGGTCATGTATCGCCTTTGCCACAAATTTCTGCGGACTCCGTGGCTGAACATCTTGGACGCTTCCTCGAAACATAGTTATGACCAGGCTACAAGGAGGAGGGACTCGAAAGTGGCAGTATTCTTGACGTTGTGTCTCGCGTGCTTCTGCGGCCCAACATTATGACATGCAAAAACAACGTTCCAGTATGCACAAATTAATTCAGCTCACAAAGTTCCCGTTGCGTCCGAGCGATGTAGGGGACACGAGGTTCAAACATGATCAATAACGCCATAGAGTTTGAGCGCCTGATCTTTAGGCGTCCTGGTAGCTTTACGAGCCGTGGATAGGCGTCCACGTGCCCAGTGTGCCTCCAAGCTCGATGCAAGACAAGTCAGTGGTGCCCTGTCGGTGGGGGCCACGGGCCAGGGGATGACTCTCTAGCGATGCAAGGAAGCGGCTTGCCGTATGCAGGCACGGACGGATGCCTTCTTGCCCACACAAAGGATCCGGCAGTTGCGCAATAGCGGCAAGCCACATGCGTCGCCTATTGGCCTGGCTCTGGCATCAGGTTGATTTAGCTCAACCTCATGTTGCAAAGAATCTCGGTACTCGAGTTCGATCGTGTCCCGCGGCATCGATCGGCTCCGCAATTTGGAGAAAGCCCTGTGCCGCCATGGGCCCATGCCGCCCTGGCCCTCGTGTTGACAACCTGGATAACCCCATTCATGCGCCCTAGGGCCAGAATAGGCAGTTTGGACGGGGGATCGCGCGCTGCACGGACGCTAGACCCAGGCGTTTTTTGCCCGCTCGAGCCGGCATGCCCACCCGCCCTGCGTGTGCCGTTGTGAAGGCCAGGGCAACACGAAGAGCCAGGGCCTCCATTGACAGTGATAATCAAACTACCTTGCATGGGGGTATGTCATGGCATAATTGGCGATTTTCTAGCTATATCTTCTACGTGCCACGGCACCACATCAGTCACGATCTTGGCTTTTGCTTCAGCAGTTCTCGCCCTCTCCGAACTCCCGAGCAGCGCCAGATCTCAGCCATGGCTACCAGAAGCATCTTTGCCCTCGCGGCCGCTGTGGCCGCCGTCCAGGCCGCCAGTGATGTGCCCACTGTCGCGATACCGCTAGTGCTGCGGTACGCCCAGGGCAAGCGCGTGGCCACCGACATTGTCTTGCCATACGCGACAATCGAGGCCGTCTACGACCTGGGCAGCCCCGACTTCATCATGTTTGAGGACAACTCGACCATGAACTGGGGCTGCCAGTACCTGGGCTGCCAGGGAAAATGCAATGCCTCGGTGCCCGACACCATCAGCTACAACCCGGACCTCTCCACCACCAAGACGGATGAGGCTCCCTGGAACGGCGTCTACGGCTACGGCGGCGGCCTCACCAAGATGTACACCTCGGACAAGACCATCAATGACACCTTCACCTTCTCGAATGCCGTCGGGCCCACGCTCGAAGTGCCCAATGTGAAGGTTGCACTTGTGCAGTACCTGCAGCAGCGCATCTACGACGCCAACGGCACCTGCAGCCCCGTGCCCACATACTCGCAGTCCATCCTCGGCATCTCGCCGCATGTCGAGAACTCGGTAACAGGCCCTTCGTTCCGCCAGAACCTGCTCGACTCGGGGGCCATCTCCGCCGCCGTGCAGAGCCTGTGGTTTGACAAGCCGCCCTCGGACAACATCACCTCGGGCGAGCCCTGGATCGGCACGGGCCTCCTCGGCGGCATCGACACCTCCAAGTACACCGGACCGCTCGTCCGCATCCAGCGCTCGTTCCTCGAGTACTCGCAGGACCAGTACTACACCTCGGCGGCCAACATGACCTTCTTCGGCGGCGGCGGCGTCCCCGGCGTGGCCCTGCCCAACAACTACTCGATCGAGCTCACGGGCGTCAACATGACCGAGTGCCTGATCGACTCGGGCGCCGGCTCCGAGAGCTTCTTCCCCGCCGACGAGGCGGCCTGGCTCACCGCGACGGGCCTGCGCTGGAACCCGGACCGCACGCAGCCCGGCTCGGACCTCGCGTTCCCGGGCCCCTGCGACACCATCCCCGAGGACAGCTACTTCGAGTACAGCTTCGTGGGCGCGCGCGAGGGCGAGAGCGTGACCGTCAAGATCCCCCTGCGCAACTACCACCGCTACCAGGACCCGCTGGACGAGCAGCGCGGCTGGTGCACCGTGGCGATCTACCTCCGGGGCTGCGGTCTCAGCAGGACATTCAACACGGCCGTCTACTTTGCCGCCGACGACGAGCGCTTCGAGATTGCCATCGCGCAGGGCGGCATCTCGGAGGTGGGCAGCGGCGTCGACCAGGACAGCGTCGTGCTCAGGATCCCCTGAATACAGACGATAGGAGCAGTCTGACCAAATGCAGAATCTCAGCTGTATGGACGCCGTGAGCAGCGTATGAAATTGTACATAGGCATGATAATTAAACTTGGGATACCAACCATGTCCTTTGGTCACTCACCTTGTGTCTGTGCCGTGAAACAACCCACTCACGGCGTTATGGCTGTGGCATCGCTGTTCCATCGAGCTGAGCCAGCAGTGGGTCAGGTCCTGAAGCCTTATATCTACTCTTTTGTGCCAAGGGGAATTTCCTCCTGCCAAGTTGGCTGGGCAAAGGAACCCTCTGAAATGTCGGTAGAGAAGTAATTGTGTGAAACAAACGAAAATGTGAAGCCGGTGCGAATTGAGATTGCCCCTTGATGATTCCTCCTTGCCGTGTGGCACATGCTCCGCCACCAGGGCATACAGCGGCTAGTTTCTTCGACGAGGACGCCTCCTTTGATAAGCCGGTTTTGCTTGTCCGGACTACCCCTCCGTTCCATCGACTCGCCCCTACCAAAGATGTTGACTCCGGCTAGGTTGTTCGCTGCGCGAGTAGACTCGAGCTCTTCGACTTCCACTCGTGCCTCGATCTCCGCTTTGGCCAGTCAGTCCCCGTCGCTGAGGAAGCATCTCCAATCGATAGAGAGCCCTGTCTATTCAGCGGCGCACGTTCAAGATGGTCAAACATGGCTTGAATGGAAAACCCCCTCGGGTGCTTTGCGCTCGTGACTTAGAGTATATGTCATACCCTTGTGAGAGACCCTTGATGGTCTGCCAGAGGTTGGCTGGTCCATACGAGTGTCCACATTGGCAAGGATTCCGGCATCGGACCCATGCTGGTCCTGCCCCGCCCCTGCCCCGAAGACATGCGCAATCAAGCCTGGACAGTCTTCAACATAGATAACACAAGCCTCGGATGGCGACAAGCACGTGTCATGCGTCGCTTCGTGTTGTGAAGCCTTGTGGTTGAGTGCTGGAGGGCCTTGGCATGGCGTGGTCGCTGTTGATCACCCTGCTCTTTTCTTTCCCTGCGAATCAAAAGCATCCAGGCACAATTATTTAACGTAAGGCCGAGTTGGGGTGTTTAACCGCCCTGAGGAATTGGAGGGGGAGCAGTGCAGATCATGGCCGGGGCCTGTGGACGGTGCCTCGCACTAACAAGGCAAAGGCGTTGGAGTATGGCTGTACCGTTGCATTGTACCTAGCGCTGATCGATACTGACGTAGGATTCGGGACAGCTCCCACCGAGGCAGGCCGGCGCAATGCTGGGTAAAGTCGCATTGTCGCTTATACGAATGGCTTGCACATGTAGTGACGTACGGTGCCGGCACACGGCCGCGGAAGCGACCCGTCGCAAACAAAACCACCATGCAGCGCTCATGCGCAGGAACCCGTGCCACTACCCTCCCTCCTCAAGACCTTTTGGAGTCTTGACAACCAGGTCCTCCTGCCATGATCACTGTCTTCCACAAGATGGCTGCCATGCGGTTCATGAAGGTCGCTGCGCTTGGGCTTCTCACCCTGACCGGCAACACCCTGGCTTATCCCACGACCAACGCTGACAACTCATCGCCACGCGAACGTCTCAGCATAAACACGGGCTGGAAGTTCCAGCGCTTCACCACCAGCCCAGACGGCCTGTCCTACAACGGCACTCTCAAGCCATGGATCCTGCCGTCGGCCAATGACATGCTGGTCGACGCGCCCAAGTACGTGCGACCCGAGGGCACACCGCCCGGGGCCGACGTCCCGTATGTGCAGGGCTCCTTTGACGACGCCAGCTGGGAGACGGTCAATGTGCCGCACGACTGGGCCATCAAGGGCCCCTTCGGCGCGCCGGGCATCAGCGGAGGAATGGGCAGGCTGCCCTCCGATGGCATTGGGTGGTACCGCCGCACCATCGCCATCGACGCTGCCGACGAGGGCAAGAACATCTATCTCGACATCGACGGCGCCATGTCGTACTCGGCCGTCTGGCTCAACGGCGTCCTGGTGGGCGGCTGGCCGTACGGGTATACCTCGTTCCGGCTTGACCTGACCCCATACGTCAAGGTGGGCGAGGACAACATTCTCGCCATCCGCCTGGACAACCCTGTCGAGTTTTCGCGCTGGTATCCCGGCGCAGGCCTGTATCGAAACGTCTGGCTCGTCAAGACCAGCCCTGTCCATGTGGGCCACTATGGCTCCCGCGTGCGCACACCAGCCGTCTCAGCCGAGGCCGCCACTGTCGAACTCGCGATCGATATTGTCAACGCCGGCAAGGACGAACAGCAAGTCACCGCCGTCACCGAAGTCCGCGCCGTGGGCAGCCAGGACGTCGTCGCCACGTTCCCATCCACATCCGACACTGTCGCAGCCGGCGAGAAGCAGACTGTGAATGCCTCGGTGACTATCCTCACTCCTCAGCTCTGGGGTCCGCCGCCGGAGCAGACGCCCAACCTCTATGAAGCCACCACCACTCTCACGGGTTCCGACGGCCAGGTCCTCGACACTTACACCACCCGCTTCGGCATCCGCTCCATCGTGTATGATGCAAACCAGGGGCTGCTCGTGAACGGGGCCCGCGTATACCTGAAGGGCACCTGCAACCATCATGACCAGGGCGCCCTCGGCGCCGCGTTCCACGTAGCTGCCGCCCGCCGCCACCTCACGACTCTGCAAGAGATGGGCTCCAACGCCCTGCGCACGACACACAACCCGCCCGCCCCAGAGTTTCTAGAGCTAGCCGACGAGCTAGGCTTCCTGGTCCTGGACGAGGCCTTCGACATGTGGCGGCAGGCCAAGGTCGACAACGACTACCACCTGGTGTTTGACGACTGGCACGAGGCCGACCTGCGCTCGCTACTGCGCAGGGACGGCAACCACCCTTCTGTCTACGAGTGGAGCATCGGCAACGAGATCCCCGAGCAGCGCACAGCGGCCGGGGCGGCGACTGGCAAGATCCTCGTCGACATTGTGCGCAGCGAGGACCCGACGCGCCCGGCGACCTGCGCCTTCAACAGCGCCGGGCCCAGCGACGCGCTGCCCGGAGTCGTCGACAACGTGGGCCTCAACTACCAGGGCGAAGGGCGCGGCGACTCGTTCTCCTCGCCCTACCCTACCTTCCACTCACTGTACCCGGGCAAGATGATCTACTCGTCCGAGACCTCGTCGGCGCTCTCGACGCGCGGCGAGTACATCTTCCCCGTGGTGTCCAACATGTCGGCCATCGTGGCCAACGGGCGCGGCGCCAACTTCAGCGCCCTGACGGTCTCCGACTACGGCCTGTACGGCCCCAGCTGGGGCTCGAGCCCGGACAAGGTCTTCTTCGTGCAGGACCGGTACCAGCCCTACGCCGCGGGCGAGTACGTGTGGACCGGGTTCGACTACCTGGGCGAGCCGACGCCGTACGACGACTACGCGCTCGCGCGCAGCTCGTACTTTGGCATCGTGGACCTCGCCGGGTTCAAGAAGGACCGCTTCTGGCTGTACCAGGCGCGCTGGAACCCGGACGTCAAGACGGCGCACATCCTGCCGCACTGGAGTTTCGGCGAGGACCGCGTCGGCAAGGTGACCCCCGTGCACGTCCTCTCGAGCGCCGACGAGGCCGAGCTCTTCGTCAACGGCGCCTCGGCCGGCCGCGTGACCCGGCCCGCGAGCGAGTGGCGCCTGCGGTGGAACAATGTGACGTACGCGCCGGGCGAGCTCAGAGTCGTCGCGTACAAGGGCGGCAACGTCTGGGCCGAGGAGACGGTGCGCACTGCGAGCGCCCCCGCGGCGCTGCAGGTCTCGGCTGACAGGACCACCATCGCGGCAGACGGCTATGACCTGTCGTATGTCTCTGTGAGCGTGGTGGACGAGCGCGGCGATGTGGTGCCGACGGCGTCCAATACGCTTACTTTTGCGGTCGAGGGCGCGGGCGAGATCGTGGCGACTGACAACGGCAGCCCGATCGATCAGACTGTATTTCCCTCGCTCACGCGCAAGGCGTTCAATGGCAAGGCATTGGCCATTGTCCGGACGCTTGCCGGCCAGACTGGAGAAATCAAGCTCACGGTCAAGGGAGATGGGCTGGCTGAAGGTACCATCGCATTGACTGCTGCGTAAGGAGAGATTCCTCAATGTGCTTGGCTAGGGTACGCGGTTGACGATGGCTACACGGTATATAGGTTGTCGCAGGCGCAGTCAAAATGGTTCAAGCCCTCCAACATAGCGCCTCTGCAAATGATCATGTAGCCTGATTTTTCGACTGATAGTCGGGTTGCCATGTTTATCTACAGAGTACATCGCGATGAAGTTAAAGTCATAAAATACTGCTTCCTATCTGAGACCGTGATCCTTGCTTATAGATTATATCATGTAACAACCACCACAGCTCATCTCCTCGCAATCAAGGGGGGTGAGGGGCAAGCCGAGCCACGAGATGGTACTGAGCGCGGACTGGTTGATGAGAGACCTATCGCCACCCGGACCTCGTCAGGTGCGATTCGAAGTGGCGCGGGCAATGGTGCCCCACGCGAGGCACTGCTTCAAGCTCAACACATCGAGAACAGGGGCATATTATTGGTCCACGATACAATGTTCCGATCCAGGCAGGAGGAGAGCGTCATGGCTGGTGGTCAATGCAAGCGCCTTCGATGGACATTGTTCTTTGAATAGATACACCAAGTGAGGATACCGATGCCAGGGGAGGCGCGGCAACAACCTCCCCAATATTTATCTTTCCAGAACCTGCTCCAATCCGCCATCTGCCTGAATCGCCTTAGTCGTGCCTCTGAATGCCTGCTCCTCGACTGAGTTCGTCTGGGTCTGCAGAATCGCCTCCCGCAACTTTCTCTGCGGCCAACGCTTCAACGCAGTTGGAGCGCCCAATCGAGGTCAGCGCTGTGAGCCATGTGGTCTACGTCCCGCTGAATCTTGCCTAGAGGTCGAAAGTGGCAAACAGCTCTTCGACCTCGGTCGAGTCGGCATTCGCATCGAAGAGTCCCATGCTAGAGATACAGGCTTGCGTCAGCTACTAAATCTTTTGAAAAGGGGCACCACTGTCACCGTCCCCGATCGAAGATGGTCAATAGAGGAAGTGGCGCGGTTGACTTTCGATTGAAACTCAGACAGAGCGCTGTCTTTCATCCGTCGGGTTTCAACCTTTGCACTCTTGACTCACTAGAACACAATGCACATTAGCCATGAACGAATTCAGTATCCTGTTGCTGCCGAGGAGCGATCTTGTCAAAGACCCCGTCACCACTCGCACGACATACCACTTTAGCGTGTTGATCTTCAGTCAGGCCGTCCAGCTCGAATCAAGGCCCGTCTGTGTACTCGAGGAAGTCTGGCTTGCGGCAGCCCTCCCCCTGCTGCGTGCTGTTATAGGCCGCGTTATAGGCCGCCTCGGCCTCGGCCTCCTCGCCACGCGTCTTCTTGGCGACGAAGCCCCAGCCGCCAGAGCGGAAGCTGTTCCAATCCCGCGAGACGCACTCGTCGGTCCAACCGTAAGCGTACTCGTTCCTCTGCGGGCCCCAGCAGTTCGAGCCCTCGTAGGCCCGGCATTCGATGTGCCAAGCGGTCGGTATGGCGTTGCAGGTCATGGTCCAGCCATACGCGCCGCCGGGGCTGCAGCACGTGTTTGGATTCACGTTGGTGCAGCCGGCCGATACCTTGCCTCCGCAGTATTGGTTCTCTTCTCCATTATAGAAACGGATGTCGATGGCAGTGGAGCTGGCGATGAGACCGGCCAGGGCTAGTATTGTGGAAGAACGCATCGTGACGGGGAGGGCGATTGACGCAGGCAGCAAGGCGCGCTACTATACGAATGAAATGCTCGAGAGTGAGACAGCAAGAAACGCAGCCAGGAATCAGTTCTTGTGTCTGCCTTTATAGATTTCTGTCCGAAGCCGGGAGCATGATCGAAGCAGGATCAGAGAGTCTAGCCCTGTGGATGTAGACAGGGGATGAAATCCTTTTTACCACCCTCGTCGGCCAGTACTACGCTGGATAATACCGATCTACTCAAATGGACATGATTACCAGATCCGGTCCTGTAAATATCAGGACGCCAAGCACGAATGACGGGAAGGTGGAGGTGCATTGGCCACATCAGCAGTGCGACCGCGAAGCTGGTGAAAAGGTGTCCCCATCAGGCGAGGGCTTCATACCAAGGTAGGCAAGCCATACACGCTGCCTGATCACGGCAGGCAATATGAAGCCTCATGTGCCAGAGCATAGACTTGAAACTCTGCTCCGCCAAACAAACATTGGATCGCAGTAGAAAAGCGCCGCTCCCTCTCCATCGCAGAATTGCCTTGGAGTGAGCCGCTTGACGAAGATCCCCATCAAATCCTTCCGCTCCTCCACTGCAGGTTGTGCATCCAGGGTCCGAATAGTGGGGTACAGAACCTTGCACTACTACACGTAAGGGGAAGGTCAGACCCTTATATTAGACCCGAAAGTGCTCTCCCCAGTGGAGACTGTGGCTAGGGCACAACAACCGAGTGAATGTGGAAGTAATACCTATCTCACTGCGGAGGATGCCCGCTCCAGCTCCGATCCTTCGTCGGCGCAATAGCCTTCTGCGTCATATCAACCGCCTAGGCGCCAGATCTCCGACGAACAAGCATTGCCGGCACCTCCAAGCGCCATGGCTAAAAGGTGGCTCATCACAGCCAGGGGTGGGGCGACCCAGCCTAGACCTCCAGGGCTGGCAAAGTGCCGCCGTCATCGGTGCACTCCGTTGACCGTGATTTGTCCGCTGAGCGGTGCACAAACACGTGGGTGGACACTGGTCTGTGCCGAGGCTCGCCCTTGGACCATCGTTCGTGTCTCTCCAACATCAATTGGCTGGACTTGGCCGCTATGCCTGCAACACGCTTCCGACCGTATGAGTGACATCGGACTGAGCTGTGCAAGTGCTCAATATCGTTATTTGAATCGACGTCACGTAAAGCCCTGCACAGACACAAAGTCACCCCAGGTCCCTGTAACTCCTGGAATGTCCAAGCCCTGTCCCTGAGGTGACCGAGTAAGTCTCGGAAGTTGTTCCCATACGTTGATCTTGAACTTTCGATGCAGAAACTGAGCGTTCTCGTTGCTGCTACGTCTTCATTCCAAGCCCACATGGATTTGTGGAAGAAAGAGCCTTCCAGAGCATCGATATCCATCGTCAGCTTGCGAGTGTATATTCCAGTTGCGCGGGTCCGGAAGAATCCCAAATCATCACCTTCGGCACAGCTGGCCGAGATCGTGAGGGCAGCCTGCTTATGAACAGAGTCCATTCGCCCAGCCTCTCGATTCCAATCCTCCGAAGAATTCTGCAAGGTACAAAGTCTGTCTACTCACAAAGGCAAAAACCCAAGACTCATAGTGACAGTGCAGGCGTCTTGCAGGTTGCCTGGAAGATGCGAGATCGGGGGTCCAGTCCTTAGCGCTTACTCTGCCGCTGTCGTCAACATTGCTGGATGGTCATTGATTTTGATGTCGCTGCTCGCGTGGCAGGGCGATCTCCACCACCGGTAGCTCAGGGCCAGGAACCGAATCTCGGGGACCTCCGACTTAGTGTGCCTGGTGTTCTCACCATCTCTGGCGACGCTGGCTGAATCTACAATTCGAATGGTGCCCTCAGATTGGCTGATAAGAATTAGTTGCGCGGGATACTCGGTAAAAACGTTGTCATCGCGCTTGCTTGAGGCGTGTGACGTCTCGCACGTCGTAATCAAGCTCTTTATATGTGAGAATGTTTATGGCAAAGACGTGCTTTTGGAGAGCGGATGATGTTGGCCATTAAATGTCCCTGCGATCCGCTATTTCTTTAGACAATTCACCAAGAGGGAGCGAACTGGCACGCCTACAATGGCCGTGATACTGACCTATAGTCAACTCTAAGCCAAAAAACTCTCGTCTCGCGATGCCGGCTGTCCGCAGGCTTAGCACGATACCTCTCATGTTCTTGTCGTGCACAGCATGGGCCATCGTCACAACGCCATTGGAGTCCGGTAAATGGGGCTGACTATCGCTCTTCTTCCTTGACCCGGTATGTTGACATCGATGCGCGAGGTCGCAACAGACTCCGACCCAGAGCGTACCGCATAAGTAGCAGGCTTGCTCATGACCGTAACAGCAGTCAATGAGCTCGAACAGCGTATCATGATGCCGACACCAGCGGTCGAGCCTGGATATTCTCTTGCGGGGATTTCGAGGCTTTGGTGGGTTCATCGTGAATGACTTGCAGGGCCGACAAAGCTGTGACGTAAACTCGAGACCGACTTCACGACTGACCGATGTGAAGACGGCTGGAACGTATAACACCATCAGTGCAGCCGACGCAACACCTTTCGAGTATATAACGTCATCATCAACCAGGAAATCCACGCGGCTCTCAGCCTGTTGAAAGAATCACGGAGTACTGCGTGTCCAGATAGGCTGGTTACTTGGAGGGCTGCATAGTCTCTGACGTGGATCGAGAGCGGTAGCGGGAAGCTCTAGCGGGAAGCTCTAGTCCGCAGTAGGCGGCCACAAGCTCGTGCATCCGCCATTATACACTTTGAGATAGGTTTCGGGCACCTAGGATATTCAGGCAGAATTGTCTTGTGTCGGGAAAGCCTGAGCTGACCCCATAGCAGCCTCACCTGCTGACGCAATATTATCACGGATACGAGCATATGCAGCTAAGACAATAATACATAATGCACCGCAAAGCCTAATGTGGCGGCGTCTTGCATTGACGTCCGTACGCGTAACCAATGGAGCGCTTCATACAACACATCTGTGCAATTAGCCGTAAGCTCTTCCGAGGCGGGCGGGTGATCAATAACTGCATCACTCCATGGTTCAAGCTGTTTGCAATCACAGAAAGCCATATCGAGTCATTTCTAACATATTTTCGTTCACAAAACATTCAAAATGCATTCAAAAAGAATCCTCAGCCAAGCCACAAGCAGAGTACGGCTAAAAAATTCCCCTGAAACGCAATAAGGATGGGGCGTGGTTTTTCCTGTCTTTCCAGCTCAGTCATCAAGTTAAACCATTGGCAATTTTATTTCTGAATTTTCGAAGTATCTTCCTCTCCCATCCATGATCCGGGCAATTCAAGCGGTAGACGTCAGTGAATATCTGCACAGCGCAGTGAAGGCGGCTCTTTCAGTACCACAAGTAACCTCGTTATAGTGACCCGAAAATGCCATCTCCCATTATTCGCTAGAGCCGTGACCTGCTCCACTGCACGGCACAGCTGCTCTAGTTTGCCCTAACGTGGCGCACGGGACGGCCCTCGGACGGCCCGCACCTGGGCGCGAGGAACTAACCTAGTGCAAAGACGCACTTGATTGAGCTAGGAAGGACTAGTTTGGTGGGATAGTTGGAATCGTTGAGCACGAATTCGGAGCGCTCTGGGGCCGCGAAGGACTCCACCACAGCCACGGAACGGCCGAAAAGGGGCCCCTTGACGATAGCAACGACCAGCAGGTTTCCGTGTCGGGCTAGGTCCTCCCGGGAAAGAAAATGCCGTCCAGTCTCCGCATTTGATGGATGGTTGCAAGATCGCGCGGCTGAGACAGATCGGGTTGCATCGGGGCTTCTCCCAAAGGGTGGCATCCGCGGCGGATTCTTCTCGGGTGCAATGACTCGAGCAGTATGTCGATCTGTCTGCATGAGAAAAAGCAAAGCCTTGCTTTGGCCCGCGAGGCGAGAAGGCCCAGCATGGTGGTTGTCCGTGCTTCGCTGCGAAGTTTCTCGAAAATCATAGGCGGGCGCATGATTCTAGCCTGAACTCCAATGGCTACCAAGTCTCGATATCGGCCTTGCCGCTCCAACGATGCAGCTTATGGCTCACAATCTGCTGCATTGCGCTGATATCTCCCGCCCAGCCACACCTCATTCGCCCAGCCTTCGTTCTAGATACGCAGGTCAGCATGGCTTGCCGTCGCCTGCAAAGCCAGTGGTTGGCTAGTCGAGGAATGCTCCAACGCCACGAAAGCACTATCAGCCAGGAGGAGGACATCGTACCGGCCAAACTTCTGGCCGTGATAGAGCCGTGGCAATTGGCCTCATCCTGCTCACCTTGGTTGACCAGGGGTTTCCGTGAAAACGACAGGCCCTGTTCGCCGGTGGGCCTGAACTTTATTTCATCCGGCCCCTCACACCCTCGATCTTTGTCCGCTCCAATGGCGTCGTCGAAGAGTAGTCAAAGTCAGCATGTGATCGGCACTCTCCGTCTGCTTCCCTTTTGCGAGATGGGCGGTGAACGCGCCATATGGATGGTGCGTGGTCGCAGGGAGTGGTTGTATTGAGAGTGATATTTGCAGGCCAAGAAATAATTCATATAGTGCCCTGATCAGCGACATTATCAACCATCTTCACTTCCAAGACTGAGACTCCATGAGGCCGCCAGTGTTCTGTACTTTCATATGTATGGGATGGTCACGAGGGCCGAATTGCCTGCCGAACCCGGAAGCTCGGGCTCATATGCTCGGCGGGATCCAACTGTGGGGGAAGGAGGGGGGGGGGGTGAGCACGAGTTGAACGCGTCGCACATATGCATGCACCCATGCATTGCCACCGTCTGTAAGACAAGCTTGAGTATGTTGGACTGAATATGCATGCAAATAAAGTGTTGCCACGTGCCTGTGTCGGGGATCTTGGCAAGAACGGGAACAATACAGATGACGAATAGCTAACTGCATGCAGAGGGCCGTGCAGGGGGTGCCTTCAGGGGTACTCGCCACTTTTGCGTTCACTATTCCCCAGGGCCAACTTTACCCGTGTCTTGGCCCGCGAATGCTTCTAGATTCATCGGAACAAGTAAGAGACAGCAATTGGGAGACGGCAGAGGTTCGGCTCCTCTGGCATGGACTACCAATCAGGGAGCATCATGTTGCCGTCTAGTGGCGCGGATCGTAGGCTGCCCAGTCAATAGATACCAAGAAAAAACGCACCTGGACGGGGTGGGCCGCTAAGCATGGCGTGAGCATGGTCTATCAAGTATTTCTGTGCGCGATGATCTGCCTATCTTGCTATCTTGCTCGCCTTACGCGCTGGCCTGTCAGCCAACTTGCCTCGGTCTAAAAGCTTTCCTGGTGCAGTGCTGATACGATCCTGGCACAAAAGTAGGCTTCAGGAGAGTCAGTGCTACCAGGGAACGGTCCGGGCCTCCTGACACGCGAGGGCAGGCCGCAGACGTCAGACTTGGGACGACGGGCGTGAACCGTGAATCCTTGTCCAACGGTCAGTTATTCAACGGTCAGCTATCGTTGTCTTAAGCGAGCCGCTTGCCCGGTCCTCCAGCAAACCCTCTGTTCTCCGCAGCACGATCCACACAGACGCCCCCCAGCGGATCAATCCAGCTCCGACTTCGCAATGGAAATTCGTGTGGCTCCCCGTTCCCGTCCGGCGGTGCTGCTGGTTGACTGCACACGCTCGTATCTTTCCTTGCGCGCTACCGTGCAGGCAGGCAGGTGCATGGAAATCCCATGCACCTCGTATGTCTGCACCACCAAGACGGGCGCCCTGCATCCTCAGCCCTTGTCGCTGCAGAACAGAACCCCATGTTCTGGGATAAGGGACTTTTCAATATCCTAAGTCCGTCTCTCTCTCTCTCTCTCGTGTGGGCGGCAAGTGCCGGCCCGGCATAACCCCAAATCAACGCGCGTCTGCGCGATCAGGTGACAGCGCATAATACTGCAACCTTGCGGCAGAGCTGCATGCGGCTTGCATGCGTGGAGCGGTCCACCTGTTCCCGGCCGCACGGACGGCTGGGACGGCAAAAAAAACGTGGTTTTGATGGTACGAGGCGCATGTCTAGAAGCATACGAGCAGCGTGGTGTTGTAGAGTGACTGAGCAGCACAGCAGATGTTGAGCACTCTTCGCATTCAGGTATAGGACGGAAAGTATTTCGATAAGGGCCTCTATTCGGGTATCTGAGCCACTCCAAACGTCTATCCAAACTCAATGAACATAAAGCCAGATGCGTCATCAATGAACAAAGCCCCCCCCAAAAAGAGTGGGGTGTGAGGAGGGGGGGTGTGTGCAGACCATAAAGAACCAGGACAGGAGTGCTATCTTTGTACAGGGAGAAAGGAGAATGGGAAAGCATGACCTTTGATCTGCGTGCGCATGAGTCTCATGGACCTGGTCGGTCGGACGTCTGAAAACGTGTTTCGCTTTTTTAAAATGAATGATGGAAGAAAATACGCCCCTCCCCGCTCTGAAACTTTTTTTTTATTCATGCGTGCTGCCACCACCACTATCCGCCTTTTTAGGTAGACCCCGTGTCCCGGCTGTCGTAACTGGGCGCCATGGACCGGTTGAGGCCTTCGAGCTTCTCCATGGCCTTGCGGCGCTCAAACTCGTCGAGCAGGGCGTGGATCGTCTCGAGCGGGAAGTTGTGGATCATGGGCCGTGTCTCCGCCGGGCACACGTTGGATGGGTAGTCCTTGAACTCCTCCATAGCGAGGTTGAGCCGCAGCAGCTGGTTCCAGGAGACAATGGCGTCGCCGATGAGGAAGGTGGCCACTTTAGCGAGGGCCATCTCCTCGATGATCCAGCGGCGCTTGAAGAAGGAGCGGTTGAGGAAGTCGGCGGTGCCAATGGCTCCGACGGCGCTGGCGTCAAAGTGGTGGATGACGGCCTTTGCCCATTCGTGATGCGGCGAGTAGTGCTCCGGGTGCAGGACGCGGTCGCCGGGCTCGTGGAAGGACGCGGGCATGGCGTCGTCAAAGTCGCGAATGAGCCGAATGCCCGCGTCGGTCTGGGGGATCTTGAGCCCGACCCAGCCCACGACCGTCTGCGCCTTCCAGTACACGCGGCCCATGATGCTTCGCTGCTGTGCCCTCTCCCGCCGGTCCTCGGGGTTGATGCAGAGGCAGTCGATCCAGATCCGCAGTATCGGCTCGGCATGCTCGCCGTCGCCAGGCGAGCTCTTGCTGCCAAAGTGCCGCATCAGCTGCGTCAGCCACCGCGGCCGCGAGCTCCCGCTGCCGCCGCTGCCCGCGCTGCCGCTCCTCTGCGTGTGTGGCGCAAAGACGGCGCGGGTGTGCCGCAGGGCCTGCGCAATGTGCGCGGGGATGGGCACCGTCTGGCTGTTGATCTGGATCTTCTCCGTCTCATCGCCGTCCCCAAGCAGGGACGAGATGGCGATGAAGTCGACGTCGTTGTCGAGCGGGATCTGCACCATCCGGCACACAACGGGGTCCTCGATCAAGCCACGGGGAGTCGTCCGCAGCTCGAGGAACCGCATCTCGGCCTTGCTCCAGTCGAGCTTGCGGTAGTGCAGCCGTGGCCGCGGGCCTGAGGGCGCCGGCATGCTGGTGCTGGTTTCTTGGCCGTTGGGCTTTCCTCCGTTCAGGTGGTCCTCCACGAGCCGATGCTGGTCGGTCCTAGGCGGCACACTCTGTGCCATGCCTCGCCTCTCCGCGGACCAGGGCTCTGTGGGACGGACGAACGGCCGGCCTATCGACGCTCGCCGCCGTGCTGCGCCCGGGCGGGCGTCTGGCTGGATGTGGTTGAGAGTGGAATTGAGAGGTGTCAGCGCGGCGCGGGTTTTGCGCGACCGGCTGGGTCTGTTTTCCGGCGCTGCTTACAACGGTCCGCAGACGGAGTGGCCAGTTGCGGATCAGCCGAGACGGCGGTGCCGAGCGTACGTACAACTGTTGGTTGTGTCTGTCTGGAAGCTGAGGACAAGAGGCCCTGGGAACCCCGCCCGCCCGCAGGAGTGCAGAAGGTGCGAAGAAGCAAAGGTGCAGCAGAGGGAGCAGGAGTGTGTAGCAGGAAAAGGACCCTGCTGACTGCGGTGGCTGTTGGTTGTATAGTTACGGCAGGAGGCTTGGGGCTGTGGACCTGTTACGACACTGGACTTTCAGGGGCGGATCCAAATGTTAAAGTTGCGGAGCACAGCTGTTTTCGTCCATGTGCTAGATCCCGTCAGTACAAGAAGCCAGGGCGGAATAGGCAAAGGGCAGAAAAGTAAAGTTTAGCTCTTGCAAGAGAGGGGCTCTAAGGCTCGTAGGAGAGTTTGGGCTTTCCATATTCGTGCGGTTTTCAAACGACGGGACAGTCGTGGGCGTCCCGAACCGCTGCTGGTGGTCAGAGTGCTTGCTCAACACTCCGCCTTGAGAGGCACAGCACCACTCCGTCCAAAGAATTCAGAGACACCACGCACGAATGCAGTCCACCAGCCAAGCCCGATGCCCCATCCGGCCCGGGATCCCCTGCCAGTCCCGCCGTTGGAGAGTGTCCCGCAGCCAGAGCCAAGACATGGCCGGGGCGTCCCTTGGAGCTCCGCAGCCGCCAGCATCTCTAGCGGCAGACTATTCAAGCGAGGCTTGTCGAGCCCCTGATGCTTGCTGGTCTGTGCATGGTGCCTATCCTGGTCTTTTCCTCATCAAATGGGCTCAGAAGAATTCCTTCCATGAGACGACTCCTGGAATCGGGCCTTGCCTACCGATGCCAGCATCGGGCCATTGGCTCGAATCCAGTCGGCATTTCCGTCCTTTCGGCCAGGATTCCACGCGTACTGGGCACAATGTGTTGGGCATTTACCACGTGCCGCGCTGACAACATGTGTATGTATGCAGACAGTCCACGCCATTAGCAACAGGCGTGTCAGCCACAGGCCCGAGCTGACACAGGGGAGGAGTCTTGGTGTCTTTTCACGCAGCGCATCATCGCCGACTGATGCTGGAGCTGGGCTGGTGCAGCGTCAATCAGTACGACGAGTCCTTTTCTTCCCGCACAATTCTAACCCCTGGCATACGCGTGCAGGGGTTGTTGGCAAGCAATCTTTGGGACGCTCCACCACCGCCGAGTTATGCCGAACTGAGTTAGCATGCCGTTGGGAGAACCCCAGCTAGCTCTGCGCATGAGACAGCCGTTCTTGGCCACTGAGTCGTGATTTCGTGGCCTGGGCGACGTGGACATTCTGCAGCATGGCAGTCCATTTCTCTGGCTGCAATGCCGTCGATCTCGTGCGCGTGTATGTGTGTGTGCCAGCGGCGCGCAGTCCACTGTTCTAGCCTGGAGATCTGGAAGTTCCTGACTCGTGTATTCTCCACGCATTCCCGAAGGGGAACCACCGCAACTCGGTCATCGTCGCCATCGCGATTGGCGTAGCATGCCGGTCCTGACGCCGTTCCGAGCTGTGGTTATCAGCCCCTTTCGGCCAAGATCGACCCTTGTGTCGTGCCATGCCAGCGCGGGACGGGCGAGTATTTTGGGCCAATCTTGACCCTGGTCGGTCGTGTGACGGGTCCCTTCGAGACCCCTGTCAGTCGTGCTGGTTCTTGGGTCCTTGGCACCCTTTGCCGTCTCACTGCATGCCGCCTGGTGTGGTTGCGGCCCAGGCTGACGGATCTTGCCTCTCGTGGCCAACATCACCTCCAACGCCCCTTATTCAGCCGCGCCTTCTACCCTGCACTTTCAGGTTCGAGAGGGTTCGATCTTTTGCAGGACAACCTGCCACGGCGAGCACGACAAGACGGCAAGCCGCGTGTCTGATCTTCGGCCGTCGTGATGCCATGTGGAGGTAGATCCTCGGGGGAAGGCCACACCTGCCCTTTCGTCTCATTTTCCTGTTCAAGCTGCGGCGGGCTCACGATGCTGTGTTTTCCACCAATGGAGACAGATTTTATCTGCCAGGCCACCCTCTCATGCTTTCTTTGCCCCAGTTACAAGTTCCTTGAAGACGACAAAGATGGAGCGTATCAAGCATCAAGGACCAACATGTTGGTTTGACAGCCTGACTTTCGGCGTCACGGCCCACAACAGGGCCGCTGGAGAGGGGCCTTGAATGAGGTTGACACTCGCGTACGGAGATGGACCCATCGCGGGAGAAGACTGGGCCGATGAAAAGCCCACCCACCGTCCACGGCCCCGTAGACACGATATCAAATGTCCACGTAAGGAGGAGCTTGCGAACCCACCCAAAGCACAACGAATTTCGCTCACCCAGTCGAATAAGTGCGTGCTTTGGAGCTGGACTTCCTCACTATCACGAGCTAACTCCCGCGCCCCGACCCCAGGCGCTGCTCCGCAGAACGACTCCAGATTGGCCTCGTAAAGCGGGCCCGCTACGTTGCTTAGACTCTCGACCGACTCCTCTGGCGTCGACCTAGTACCGTTTCAACCTGATTGCGTATTGCGTACTGCGTACTCGGACCGGGGGGGGGGGCACCACCCTGCGCAGCACTCTGACAAAAAGTTGGTCAGTCAGTCGATGGAGTCTCGATATCTCTCTCCACAGCTCCCATGCACGACGCCGTTGCAGGCGATGCAGGTGGGTGAAGATTGCTTAGCAGGGACAGGGCCTGCACCACCAACATGCAACCAGGAGCTTAGCAACCAACAGAATACTACTGCAGATTCCACCATTGCCACTTTTTCTCCAGATGCCAATCCGGCAGGTTGCTTGGCCTCGTTGGCCGTCGTCGTGGCTTGTGACTAAAGTCGGACGATCCGGGGGCTGTCCGCGGTCATCTATAACGACCATCCGTGCCGCTCTCTTCTCTCCCCGGACCTACAGCACTGACTATTACTTTCTCGCCCGTCCCCACCTGCTATTCTCCCGCAGAGCATCAGTTCTTAGTGTGCCAGGGAGTACCGTGTACCCTTCCATCGCCTAGGCAGATACCACGCAAGGCAGCCAGCCAAGTCTTCGGAAGCGGTCCCCCGGCAACCACTGGCCAGATCCGGCGAAAAGTGCCCAGGCCATAGAAGCAGCGAGTTTCATCGACACGGCACGGCAGAAGCTGTCAAGCAGGATGGATTTGGTAAAGGAGCCCCCAGTCCTGGCAAAGGACTGCTACCCAGCCATTGTGGCGGTGCAATCCCACCTGCAGGACGGGCTGCTGCCAAAGACACCCGCGCACAAGACCACGCCGCCTGGCGAGCTGCCCACCCCGGAGTCCTCGTTACCGCCGTCCGAGGATGGAGACCGCTGCCGACTGCAAAGCAAACCTGGCTGTCATGACGACGACAACAACAATGACTGCCGGTGCCACAGCGATGACGATGACGCAGTTTCAGACGCCGAATGGCTGCGGATCCCGGACTCGTTGTTCTACTCCATCATGTCCGCCGAGCCGGTCGTCAACCCCAACTACCACGAGTCCAAGGCCATGTCGGATCCTTGGGTCGCTAGGTGAGTCTTGACTCTTCTTAGCCCAATCGTCATTCCCAGAACAGTCTGTGAGCTGTAACAAGGCCTCCCGCATTAGTTGCGGCGACTAGTCTGTAAGGGTCCCCCCCTGCCTGCACTGGTGAGTCCCGGGAGAGTTCCCCGACCCGTGTGAGCAGCCCCGGAATTCGCAGCGCGCCAGATTCCTTCCTTCATCCATCCATCCCTGGCAATATCGCACTGCTCGGCGAGCAGGAATATTCTAGCTTGGGGGCTTTGTCTCATCTTGAGGCAATGTAAGCTTTACCCAGGGGACGAGCTAGTGTGCTTGCTGCGTTCGTTGGGCTTTGTCGTTCGGGGACCAGACAAGCCCAGGGTTCTCTCCGCATTGATGAAAGATGACGGCGGGAAACAAGGATTAACACGTTCTTGAAACACCCCCTACAGGGCATTAGGGCTCGACGAGAAACAGGCCCGGAAATGGGCCAAGCTGGACATCGCGTACATGAGCGCAATCTGCACGCCGCGGGCGGACTTGGAGGTACTCAAGCTCATGAACGACTGGAACGGTTGGGTGTTTGCGTTTGACGATCGTAAGTGGCTTCCCCCCTTGGTCTTTGGGTCTCTGGGTCTTTGACTCATGAAGCTGGGTCCGATTCCTGCTTTAACGCCATGCAAAAAAGCGCATGTCTGTCGTCATTGTGTGAATGGAGCAGGGCCGGCGAAGCGCCCGTGCTGCCCTCTCCGACAAAGGAATTTTCAGGTAGCTCCGACTAACAGCGCCTGCCGTGCGGCATTGATTCACAGCATTCGACGAAGGAGCCTACACCTCAGACCCCATCAAGGCCGCCGAGGAAGTCATCGCGACGCTCGCCGTGCTCGACGACCTGCACCCGCCAGTGTGCTCCGTCCAGCAGCCCGTGCGGCACGCCTTGCAGTCATGTTGGCAGCGCTTCTCGAAGCTCGCCCCGCCACAGCTCAAGTACCGGTGGAAGAGGCAGCTCACCGCGTATGCCGTCGGCGTGCTGCAGCAGGTCGGTGTCCAGGCCAGGACTGCTGCAGGAGAGAGGGAGGGCAAGGCGGCCAAGCCGCCGACGATCGAGGAGTACATGGAGTACCGCGCAGGATGCGTTGGCGCTTATCCCTGCTTGGGCCTCATGGAGTAAGTGATTCCGTCTCTTCGTCGCGACCCGTGGAATGACGGGGGAAACACGCTGCTTGCACATTCTCGAGAGGTCGATGTCCAGGCCTATAAGTGGGCCCACCAGCCTAGCAATCCTTTTGCAAAGGAGCATGCCTGTTCGTGTCAATCTTGACGGAATCCGGTCTGGGCTGGTGGCGTGTGCGGCCTGCGTCTTGTGCACGTACCATGTTCGTGAGGGCGAGCCGGCCAGGGCTCTCGGGTCGGCTGTTTCCGGTCTCGAGAATACAGTCCAACTCGACTCCCGGGGAAGATCTGTGTTTGCCGACGGCATAGCCATACGGCGGCGATTCTCTGTGCTGCTGGCAGGGAACCGTCAGCCGGGGGGCATCGCCCAGTCGAGCGACTGCTGCCCACAACAACGGAGAATTCTGGCCGGGCGCGACCCACGTGGATGGATGTCTGTGCCAGCCTGGTAGCCATGCTGCCAGGTCCTCTTTTGAAGGCTGGCGTGCCTGAGGAAGCCTGATCATGCAAATTTGCTCCTGTCGATCACTTCGCTGACCGTGTCCTTGCCATTTCCTTTCTTCCAGATTAGCAGAGGGCATCGACCTGCCACATGACGTTGTGGACCATCCATCGTTGAGTGGGATTGCCAGGGTCACGGTAGACCTTGTCACGCTGTAAGTCACATCGCTCCCTGCAGAGTGCCATTGAGAAGGATTCACACCCCTGCGTGTGCATTCATCACACACGTTGTCTGGCTGCGACCTTCTCTGGCTCCATAGAATTCTCCCCAGGCTAACAGGAATACCCCGTTGCAGGCAAAACGACATATGCTCCTTCAAGAAGGATATTGACTCGGGCGAGACTGCCAACATCATGTTCCTGCTCAAGGACCAGGGCATGACCACCCAGGAGGCTGCCGATCGCGTCGGCCAGATGCTGCACGACTGCTACCGTCGCTGGTACACCCACCTCGTGGCTCTGCCGTACTGGGGCGACAGCATAGACCGCCAGGTGCTCAAGTACATCGAGGGTTGCCGGAACTTGGCATTGGGCAATCTGACTTGGAGGTAAGAAATTTTCCGAATCGGTGATCTTTGTGCGTCCACGGGGGTCCTGGGTCCTACGTCTACCCCTGAGTGATCTTTCATTGTCCAGCGCTTCACAGCGGGAAATCTTTTGGGGACGACGATAGCAAAGGGGGCAATGGAGGGGAAAAGCGGCGGTCCCCTAAGCGACGGGGCACGAGCGACCTTTTATCCCGCCTGACTCCCCGACTACCTCCGTGTTCTTGCAAGTCCCACGTGGGGGTCTGCTATCGTCGCCATGCCGCCCACGCAAGGCCCCACGGACTGCCACCCCTCAAACAGACACGGCACACTAGATTTTTGGCATTGCCCAGTTCGGGTTAGCCTGGCCATGAGATTGTTGCTGACGTGTTACTTGCTTCTTGACAGTTTGTACACGCCTCGATACATGGGCGACCAGGGCCAGCGCGTGCGGGCCACGCGCATGATCAAACTGCGGTGAATCAGTCACCCGTGTGGTGTCGCCTGATCATGCGCCGAGCATCGTAGGATCGGAGAGGTTCGATATCAGAGGCGTCCACTTGCGTAAATCGCCAAGTAGACTTGCATCATGGGAGGACATAGTGTTTTTTTGACATCAAGTTCTGAAGCGTCGGAAACGGGCCGCATCGCAAAGGCAAGCAAGCAAGCAAGCAATCAATCGCATTTTGAACCAGGGGCGGGGGGAGGCATGCAAGAATGTATTCTCGGAAGCAATCGCATTATCTATCATGTCTGGCCAGGCCAATAGAGCCTGGGCTTTGCTTGATATGACGAGTTATGATGGAGTTGTGGTTTCGCTAGATTTAGATAGCATCTATCGTTGGCCACTTTCCTAAATTTTAAAGATTTTCAATCCTGATCATCTGGATCTTGATAGCTGAAGGTGCTCGCTTTCTAATTGATCTGTTTTGATGCGAATCAGCCGATACTCATGCGTTTTGTAGGCTATGCCTCTTAGGACCGCGCAAGCGCTCCGAGAATCGCATCCGGGTCAGGGGCATCCATCCACCTGGCCCCAACTGCTTTTCTATCTGGTGCAAGTGTCCCCTGATCACCGCCTACACTCTCCATTCTGCCGTATACTCCAGCAGAAACCGCGAAGAAAGACTGTACGAACAGCAACTCCGTCCCCTTCGGAAGCCGTACACCAGCGCTGTGGTCCACTGCCGGAATCAAGGTCCTCTGGCAGGCGAGGTTGGTATTGGAATCAGGCTTCAGAGCGTAGACCTCGGTATCAAGCTGCGCCAACGCCGACGAAAATGACGACGCGGCACTTGTGACGACTGCCGAATGCGAGACAAGACCGCTCATACCCGCCGACGAGGCCACTAACACCGATTTTCGCTCTTTGTCTGTGAATACACCCTCCAGGGCGCCAAACTCGGGCTTCAAATCATGTCCAAGCGCTTTTGACAAGGCCTCATCGCCTTCAAACGCAGACAGTGGCCGGCCATCAGCCTTGCGGCGGTCGTTGATCGCGAACCCGCCCTCGACGGTATGGAGTGTCTCCAGGTCCTCATGCACGACGATCCTGTGCACCCGTACATGCCAGTCTGGCCAGCGGTCCGTCGGCGGGACGAGGGTCGTGGTGACGGACACGCACCGGTCAGCCGGCCAGGGGTACCACTTTACCGTCGCGATGGGGACGTCCTCTGGGTCGGGGCCACCGGCGCCCAAGGGCTCAGTGGGAAGCCGTATCGTGGAAGCGCACACCTCTTCACACTTCCACTTGACGGCCCAGCTCTCCCCACAGTCGCGGCTCAGCCCGAGACAGTTATCCGGCGCGATCTGTTGTATAAGCGGGCCTGTGGGGACAGAGAATGTGAATGCCGAAGAGTACGCGAACTTGCAGTATTTCGCCTGGGTTGCCTTCATTGGCCACGGGACGAACTGGCCCGGGGTAAGCATAAAATGATGGTTCGAGGACGGATGGTTGCATAGGATCTGCTGCGGGCCCGGGAGATACGCGATCCCACTGACGCCGCTGCTGTGGTTACCCGGGTCTGGCCGTGCAGGTGCGCATCGTGAGCTGAGTTGTGGGTATGGTAGCTCTTCGGTGGTCCAGAACGGGTCGTCTTCAGGGAGTCCGATGGCGATGAGCGACTTGAGTGCCCAGTATGGAGACTGCGGGGAGTTGTAGTCCTCCGCCATGTAGTAGTTACTGCATGCCAGGCCGCATGTATGTCAGCTTTCCATCCAGGGCGTCAGTGGAAAATCCGGGGTGAAGAACTTACGGATATAGCCACCCAATATTGAAAGTGCCGTCGACATGAAAGATATTCTCCGAGTTGCGCGCCCACCACCGGAGATGTCGGAGCAGGAAGCCCTTGCTCTCACCAGGGCTTATGGCCGAGCCGGGCATATCTGCAACTTTGGCGAGCGCCAGAGCGGCATAGAAACCCCCGCAGGCGAAGCGGTATGTGAGAGACCTGCCGAATGGGATGGCCGCACCTGATCACACGTTCGTCAGCCTCTGGAAACCTCCCACAATATGGTAGCGATCAAGAATGAACAGCACGTGTGACCTACGCAGACGCGTGGGAAATGCACCGTCGCAGTGGAGAATAAACATCAGACTCACCATCGGCATCAAAATACCGCCAAAATCCTCTTCCAAAGTCTCTCGCCTGCGCGCGATACATCTCGGCACGCTCAGGCCACACGTCTCCGGCGAAGCGCGTAAAGAGGAGCTGGCTGAACTGGATCGCAAAGCTGCCCGAGTAGTAATCGGCGTGCCTCCTCCCACCCATGAACAGATCCCTCCTCTTCTTGACTGATGGCTGGCCGTCAGTCGCAGGACCTCCGCTCATCGCCTCCGACTCCGCCTCTTGTTCCGCAGCAGTCGACCAAGGGCCGTCGCCAGACCACCCGTCCTCGCGATAAAACCCATCAAGGATTTGCAAGTCAGCCTCGATGTGCTCCTTTACCGGACCCTCCAGCGGGTCCCCGCAGACCTTGAATAGGGCGAGGTTGGCAAACACGCGGAACCAGCGCCAGTTGTTGAGCGGCATGGGCTGGTCGTGCAGCTGCCTCAGCCAGTTGCGCACATTCTCCTTCTGCTTCTCCGACAGCGGGTCGTAAATTTGTTGTGGCGCTGCGAGGAGCGCGAAGGAGAGGATCTCCGCCTCGACCATCCGCTGGTCTATCCCTTCGATGGTGCCCCAGTACTCGGTCGGGTACGTGGTGGGATCAGCCCCTGCGACAAAGCCGAGGATCCATGGCTGTATCGTTTGCACTATCTCACTTGCCAGGGCCGGATTGTGTGCAGTGGTGGATTCGAGCCCGAGGAGTAGCGCGCCGACGGCCCAGAGCGGCCGGGCAAAGCCCTCGAGCTGGGCGGCAGTGTCGTCGAAATGCGCTCCCGTGGCAGACGGGATTCGGATCCGGGCCTTGCCTGGGGAGAAGTACGGCAGAAGGGGCTTCAAGAAGGCAAGGGTCGCGCGGATCACGTCAGAGCGGGTGCGGAGGGGGTTGTCTGAGAATCCTGGAAGGGGAGGCATGGTCGGTCTGTTGTTGGAATCAACGCTGTGGCCAGTGAAGATGAGTCTGCCTTGACTAAGATCTTCTCGCAGCGAGCTCAAGAATCCTTTATGGGTAGGTACTGGCAGACTCAGAGGCAACGATCTGGCGGCAGTATAGCCCGTGTGGAGAAGTCTCCGAAATCGATTCCCCGCACGTTGACTTCCGACTTCCCCATGCCGATCACGGCAAGCGGGCAGCGGGCGGCGGGGGATTGCCTCCTCCGAGCCCCTGTGATTGGAGGACATCGGCCTCGGTGCCCAGATGCCCCGAATGTCCATTCTCAAAGGAGCAGTCGCGACATGCAGCAGTGTCACTTCTGAAGAGACAGACCCCACTAGCATGCATCGGGTGAGTTTCCTGCCCACGAGCGACGCGTGGCAGGTGACTTCGGGCAACGTAGTGCATGACGAGCTTGATGTTTTCTTCAGAAGGAAAGATCGTCTAGACTTGTGTGTCTGCTGGACGTGGGCGGAAAACCCACAAAAGCAATTCTAATCCCGTCTCCTACAGCTCATAACATCTCTCGCCGAGAACGCGATCACCACGCACGAAGACCCGCACGCAGCCTGTCGACAAGATGGCACCCGCAGCAGTGGTAGAAACAACAATGCCGGCTCAGAATAAGCCCAAGCTTGCAGCAGACCAAATGTCTGCCAAAGTGTCAGGGATAGCGCTCGATGAGCTGTTCGAGGAGAACATTGTCGCCAAAATTCTCAAGACTGCCCTAAACGACCTCAAGAACAATGTGAGCATTATCCATTGATCTTACATCGGACCCCTAGTAAGCAACTACATCATCTCATCATTAATCCAGGATCCTCCGACTGCCTATCCCGAGTACGTCCTACAAAACGGCCCAAACGCCGGCAAATATATCCTCCGCGAGGCCGATTTCTGGACATGCGGCTTCTTCCCGGGCTCCATCTACTCCCTCGCAGAGCGCCTCGTCAAGTTCCCTCACACACTACCAGGAACAACAACAAAAACCAAGCAGGCTCTGCTCTCTCAGCTGTGGCGCCTCGGGGACAAGTGGTCGCAGCCGCTCTACGAGACCGCCAAGCGCACCGACACGCACGACATGTCCTTCATGATCCAGCCGTCGATGCGCGTGCTCTGGGAGGTCGTAGGCCAGGCGCGCGCCCTCGAGGCGATCGTCACGGCCGCCAGGGCCCTGTTCACGCGCAACAACGAGACAGTCGGGGCGATCCGGTCGTGGGACGTGCTGCACCAGCAGAACGTCCTGATCGACTCGCTGACCGACGACTTCCTCGTCATCATCGACTCCATGTGCAACCTCGACCTGCTGTTCTACGCGTCCGCGCACACGGGGGATCGGGAGCTCTGGGATGCCGCGGTGGCGCACGCGCGGACGCTGCAGAGGACGCATCTCCGTCCCGAGACGGACCAGGACGGCGGCGCTGGGAGCAGCACAACGACGCCGCCACCGCGGCAGCAGCAGCAGCTGTACAGCACCATCCACGTCGTCAACTTCGACCCAAAGACCGGCGAGATCAAAGAGAAGCGCACCGGGCAGGGGTACAGCGCGACCTCGACCTGGGCCAGGGGCCAGGCCTGGGCGATCCTCGGATACGCGCAGACCTACCAGTGGACCAAGATGCCCGAGTTCCTCGACACCGCGGTCGGGCTCGCCGAGTGCTTTGCCCGCCGTCTCGAGTCGTCCCCGGCAGAGGTCGAACTGCCCGAACCGCGGCGGCCGGGAGAGACGATCGGGCGCCATGTGCCGCTGTGGGACTTTGACGCGCCGCTGGAAGACACGGGTCGTGGTCCGCTGCGCGATTCATCCGCGGGCGTCATCGCCGCCAATGGGATGCTGCTGCTCTCTCAGCTGCTCGCTGGAGCGGGTCGGGTCGAGGAGAGCGCGAGGTTTCGCCATCTCAGCATCACGATCGTCCGGGATACTCTGGATCTGTCGCTCGCACCGGAGAAGGCGAGGCTTGTAGTTGGTAATGGTGGTGGTAGTGGGAACATGGTCACGGCAGAAGACGTGCATGCGGAGCGGCGATTCGACGCGATCCTCAAGAACGCCACGGCGAATCGCAACTCAAAGGATCACAAGGTATACTGGGATCACGGGCTCGTGTATGGCGACTACTACCTCATTGAATTTGGCAATAGGCTGCTCAAGATGGGGCTGTTGTAATTATGAGGCAAGAAAAACTCTATATATGCTGAGGCTGCACCTTGCGAGCCATGCTGGAACCCTCATCATTGTGGCCAACTGTGACCCAAACCTGTCGAAGCCCAAGGCAAAAAAGCCTCATCGACAGTTTGTGCTGTGAACATCATATCGTCGAAGCTAATGACCCGATCCATGGAGAGGAACTGCTCTTCCATGAGCATATGGGAGATTGCAGACAAGTCATCATGCTGGGTGGGTGTTAGTTGTACTCCCGGCAGCAAGCCTGCAGTTTGATCATCCGGCCGTGTTGTCAATGACTCTGTCATTATTGTTGATGCGTTGCCATGAGTTCTCTGCATGCCTTTATCCCGCGCCACGATGTCCTCATTCGGTCGTCTATTGTTCTTGCGTGGGCTTGCTCGTACACGGGCTCTGGGGCCTGTTTCGTTCCCGGCAAGCCCATTGCCTGTTGCAATACCGGGCTGCGACGATGGCAGCTGCAGCATATTTGTGTAGCCGAGGACGTCGATCGTGAAGTTCGGATCTGCTTGGCACATGGCATGCAGGTGTCTCAACTGCCTCGCATACGTGCCCGAGATGCACTTCACGTGGGTGACGCTTGCCCCCGCCCAGCGCTGTGCGAGCTCATCAAGGCCATCAAGGAGCTTCCAGAACTCTGGCGCAAGCGTGGTCTGGTAGTGCCGCCAGCGTACTGTTGTATAAAACAGTCAGCATAAAGTTCCGGCGTCTGTTACAGCCAGCGGCTAATGAAAGTGATCCAGTAGTGAATACTTCATCACTTACCCAACAGCACCCGAGCACTAATGAAAACGCAGAAGGAGAATTGGCTGGAGGCCAGACTGTTCTTCGGGGTATACCTCAAGTACTTCTCCATGATGGTGCACGTCTCGGTTGCAGCCTCTTGGCAAGTGTCTGCGCTAGATAGGCTGGGGAGTTGGGCCAGACTGACCCACGTGGGGTGTGGAAAAGCGATAGCTTGGTGCAGAAGGATCATCGAGGTGTTGTGCGTGATGTGTGCCAGGGTGAGGTTTGGGTCCATATTGATCAAAGCTGGTTGTCGTGATATGTTGGAGTCTCTCCACTTCTGGGGAAGAAACATTTTCCAGCTTCGCCAGACAACGTCAGCTTGATGCGAATAAGCCGGCACAAGAACGTTGGAAGCAACTTACTGCACAAGCCTTAGATCGAGCTCCTTGAAGCGAATAAGCCAGTCGCTTAGCTCTTGTCGATCCTTGAAACTGATCTTCTGTTGCAGAAAGTAAGTTGTGATCCGACTTAGTGACTCGGTCGCCTCGACGCGGTATGCGAACGCTCCCACAGTCGACATGTCAATTGCGCCGTGTGTGCTGGCAGTGGGAGGAACCGCGGAATGTGCGCTGTCTCCAGTCGTTTGATCTGGCGATGCATAGTGGCTCGGCATGAACGCGATGGAGTTGCCGATCTTGGCGGCGGATCGATCCCATATCCCAAAGTATGGCGTGACAACTGCGTCCTCTTTGTGCCAGAGGCCACCATCGGCCGGTAGCCTTCGCTGCACATCGGCCGATGTCAAGCTGATGTTCCATCTACTGTATATCAGTGATGAGCCTGCGATATGGACGGAGATGTAATGCGTACCCTGTTGAAACAGAACAAAATCTGGCATACTCATGTCAGCATTGTGATCAGTTATAACCAGCGCAAGGAAAATGCCTACCTGTCCAAGCAAAAGATGGTCCAGAAGACGCGCCGTCTTTCCTCTTCCTCTGTCCAATTTCGGCAGGGCGCCAGCAGGGACAATGGGCGAAGAAGCGGTTCATGCTCGCGCTGATCCGGCTCGATGCTGAGCTGGAGATACTCTGCGGTTCGTGTCAGGGAGCCCACAACGGACCATGCCTTGTGAGTGTCCCCATTGCCAATCTGCGTGCCCGTCAGCGTCTACATCTCTGTCTCTATGCAGCCGAGACGATAGAGCTCCTTCGCATTGAGACACTCACGTCAGTGAAGGCGATGATAGACAGGGCCTGGAGGTTCTCCACGCTCAAGTTGTTCATGGCTTCGAGCATGACTGCATTTCTGGAGGCTTCAATCATGGCATTTCTTTCAGGCGCTGGGATTCGTCGATCAATGTTATCGACCAGTCTCAGAGCAGCCACGACCATAGCATGCAGAACGGGGACCATGGCTGCTTGTCTGTCTGGGTCATGCAGCTGCCTCCAGAATCCAGTCTTATGCAAAATAGGTATCCATGGCTGGATGAGGTTGAAATATGCTGTAGCGACATCTCGCATGACTTCCGAGGCGGGTAGGGCGGGGACAGTCTCTCTGAGCGCTTCTAGAGACTGAAGAATATCAATGTCAAGGGTTCCGTAGTTATCCAGTCGTTGGCGCTTTCGAGGCTGCTCCGAGCAGGCAGATCCTCCCGGGCTGGCTTCGAGAATGCTTCCGTGCGAGATTGAACGACGCTTGGGGCGAGTTAAACGCGCTGACGGCAATGGATCCGAAGTGGAAGAGGCAGTCACGACACATGACGCAGCATCATCGGATCCGGGCGAGTTGGGCGCATTGGCTGTGTAGGAGTTGCGGCGCTGGATCGCATGGTGGTCAACCAGCTCACCATGCCCGCCGCGGCACTGACCCTTGGATAATTGGATGACGGCATGTTCGAGGGCCTCTGGAAACGGTCAGTCTGACCGACATGTAAAATCAAGGGCATTGATACATCAAGGGCAACACTTGCCGACACGGCGATTGAGGCTCTCGACTGCGCCAAGCCTGATGCCGGGCTTGTTCTTTTTCGTATCGTACACACACTGTACGGCTGAGGACCAGGTGAGTGAGCACAAGCCATTCCGTGCAGAAGCAGGGAGGTGCGGTGCCTACGTACCGAGTCTGCTGCAATGGGTGCATACAGGCTGCTCGCGGGAGCATCGCAATTTCCTCCGCCGGCAGCCTTGGCAGGACGGCAGGTCTGTCGCTGCTGGAGGCGTGCCCGGACAGCCGTGGTCGATCATGTCGGGCTCCATGCCCCGATAATACCCTTAGCCCTTGCCGTTTTCTGGGATGGGGATGGGGATGGATGTGTAGAGGGCATCGGGCCAAGTGGCGGCCGCGTGATTGCTGCGAGGCCCGATGCTGGAGGAGAAGCCAGGGGCCGTGGGCATCCCCGCGTCATCCTCGGCCGCTGCTGATCCGGGGTCAGCCTTGATGATGGGCATGACGGTCCTCCACCTTGTGCACTTTGTGCGGAGTTGACTTGGCCCGATGCCCGACGCACCAACATCTCCTCGCGAGCCAATCAGCGCCCACAACAGCCCCCAGCCTACAGTGTCCATCCGGCTGCTGCCCCAGAGTTACCCCAGGTTTCGTCGTTCGCGGGACCCCAGGTTCCACAGCCTTTGGTAAGAGGCAATGGTTCTGGGCAAGATCTCCCTGGTCTGCATCGGCAGCCCATTGCGCAGATTCTACTGCTTCAGGCACCCCTAGCAAACTTTTAATTGCTTATAACCCCGTGTCCTTCCCGGCTCCCCTCGTTCCCAGCTTCAAGTCATGACAAGGACGCTTTGCCAGGCCTTGCGCACTGATCTCAATCATGGCGACAACCACCACGATAACGGCCGGGCCTACTGGCGAGCCTCAGGAGGCGGCAGCCAAGCGTCTTGCGGGCGCCGATGTCGCTACTGCCTCAGATGCCCTGGGTGCCGAAACTCCTCAGGCTCGTGACCTCAAAGAGGCACCGAAGCGGTCGCTCTGGGTCGCCTGGATGTACATCTTTGACTGGTATCCTTCGCACTACCCCGACGACGAACGCAGATTCCTGCGCAAGCTGGACGCATACCTCTTGACTTTCACCAGCATCGCCTTCTTCCTCAAGTGGCTCGACCAGAGCAATGTGAACTCGGCCTATGTCTCTGGTATGAAGGAGGAGCTCAGTCTCTATGGCAATGAGTTAGTTCTACCATCGCCTCCATGGCCATCCACTACGACGGCACCGTCGTGCTGACCAGCTTTTGGGCAGATATTCCATGTTTCCCATGTTCTACAACATCGGATACGTGATCACTCAGATACCAGCCATGCTCTTTCTCTCGAGACCCAAATATACGAGATGGTTTCTGCCGACTTGTGAGGTGCTGTGGAGTACCTTGACGTTTGCTCAGTCGCAGCTCCAAAGCGCCCCTCAGATCTATGGCACTAGGTTTCTCCTCGGAGTCCTCGAAACACCTGTGGCGTCCGGTAGCCTTTTCATTCTTGCATCGTGGTACAAGCCGGAAGAGCTCTTCAAGCGAGCCGGCTTGTGGTATGTGTAAGGGACTACTTTTCTTTTGCCTCCGGCATTGCCAGATCCAATCATGTCACCTCCGTGGCGCAGGTGCTGACTCAAATCTCCCCAGGTCCAACAACATCGGCGTCATGTTTGGAGGCTACCTACAGGCAGCCGCTTACACCAACCTGAATGGCGTCCACGGCATGGCAGGTTGGCGCTGGCTCTTCATCATCGACGGCTGCATCTCGCTCCCGCTCTCTATCATGGGGTTCTTCATCTTCCCCGGAATGCCGTCCAGCAAGAAGATCTGGTGGATGTCCGAGAAAGAGCTCGAGCTCGGCCGCCTGCGGATGAGGGAAGCTGGCGTCGAGGAGCCCAAGAAGATCGGCAAGGCCCTGCTACGCCGCATCTTTTGTCACTGGCACTGGTACGTCGGCGTCATGGCATACATCCTGTTCCTCTCAGGCGCATACCCGCACGGCCAGATGGCGCTGTGGCTCAAGGACGAGGCCGCCAAGCACGGCACCTACTCTGTGCAGCAAATCAACACACTGCCCACCGGCGCGCAGGCGGTATCGGTGGTATCAACGATCCTCGCCACGGGGCTGTGCATGATCTACCCGACCTGGGCCATTTTCCAGATCGTCATTGCGATCGTGGCGTTCGCCAATATCTGCATGATGGTCTGGTTCATCCCGAATGCGCTCAAGTTCGTGTGCTTCTATCTATTTGGCACAACGGCGTGCGTCACCCCAATCTTGGTGCCGACGGTCAATGTCTGGCTCAAGGACTCCGCGGAGGCCCGCGCGTTCTTCAACGGCAGCATGATTGTGAGTATTACAGCTTCGTCACACCCCCAATAGTGATGACCAATGCGTGCGTTCGTGACTCGTTTGCTTACGCTTTCTTGCCACAGACACTCGGGTTCGCGATCAACTCGTTCTACCCCCTCCTAGTCTTCCCGCAGGTCGAGGCTCCGCAGTGGAAGAAGGGCTACATCGTCAACTTTTTCTTCGTGATTGGGTGCTGGGCGTTCCTGACCACGGGATACTGGCTGCACAGCAGGTGGGAGAAACGTCAGCAGGCAAGGCGAGATGTGGAGGCCATTGAGCAGCAAAAGCTGTCGTAGATACACAAATGACAGCTCGACCGTGAGATTAATAAATTCCTAGCCCGCGATCGCTTTCAACGAGGCCTGGGTGTGACATCACTGACGTCAAAAATCGCCCGAATTCTGCCATAGAACAACGCACGTAAAGTTGTATTGATGCAGGTCATCGGACCTGCTGCTGGGCAGAAGAGACCAGAGCTCTACGTACAGGCGGACACCAGCTTCACCGCAGCTCAAAAGCGGCCTCGATAGCACGAGCGGATAATAAACATGACCCTTGACAGTTGCAAGCATCACGAACCGTGGACAAGGATCTACCCCGCAATTCGACAAGCTTTTTGAGCAGCGTCTACAGCCATGCCGCGGCAAGTCGAGCAGCAGGACAGGACAGGTGCTTAGGAACCCCTGACTATCCCCACGAGAAGGGCGGGGCTGCTGTGACTTAGAAGAAGCACTTCTAAATAAGCTTAGGAGCGACTGCTTCCCATTGGGCGGAAGACAAGGGAAACTGGAATCCTCCTTCACATGTTGAAATCTTGTGCTCGAGTCCCCCGGTCTGCTTCCCCCGCGCAAGCCAGGGTCTACCCCGGATCTTTTGCTTGATCACATCACGCCAGCAGCCTGCAATGTAATGCTGCCTTGCTCTTTCGAGCCCTTCCAGCTTCGGCTCGGTCCTTTTGTTCAGGCTGCTGCAAGTCGGGTCGCCCGCCTTGCCGCCAGCATCTGTGCACCTTCGACAAGCTTAATGTAACAGTCGGCTAGGCCGGCGCCGCCACAAATGCTACGCTCACGCGGGGTACACGGCCGAAAGTATCATGGGTTTCCGAGTGCATTTCCTCTCTGCAGGGCAGGTGACAGGTTACAGGCAGAGCAGTTGGCAAGGGCCAGACCTCACCGTCTAGGTTTCTTCCGTGTGGTGCAACATCCTGACCAGCAGCACGCAATAACAGTCACCGCCAGCGCTATTATATAACGTGGTTCCCTTCCTCTGTTCAAGAACGGAGAGCATTTTACAAGATCAGCTGCATCAACTTTCCAGCCGAACCTTCTCAACAATATTACGACTACTAGTAGTCATCGTTTTCAGGCCTCATTCCCCAAATTGCCACCATGAGATTCTCCCTCGTCGCATTGGCGGCTCTGGCCTCCACCGTCGTCGCCGACCTGGCTTCGATCCAGGCCGCGCTGAACGACGTCTCCGAGAGCGTGACCGAGACCAAGGCCAAGCTCGACGCCTGGAAGGGCGACCTACTCGGCACGCTGCCCATCGTGGCCGGGTCGGCCGAGCTCGTCATTACCCTCGAGATCAACACGCTCAAGATCAAGAAGTCGGCCAACCTCACCGAGGACGAGGCCCTGCAGGTCTCCGAGACCACCGCCAACCTCATCTCAAACACCCTACCCGTCCTCGACGAGCTTGCCGCCCTCCGCCCCAAGTTCGACAAGCTACTCCTCCGCCCCGTCATCTACCTGGGCCTGCTCACGCAGAAGTCGGCGACCCTCGACCTCAGCGCCGCCGTGGTGTCCAAGCTGCCAGACGTCTTTGCCGAGATTGGCGAGGCGCTCATCGCCGAGTTGTCTGCTGCCTTTGATGTTGTCATCACGCAGTACAAGCCATTTTGAAAGTGTTGAAGGAGATCGTTCAGCAATACTCGGCACTGCATCTTGGCAAGGGCCTTTCACTAGGATGGATCGTGTGTTGCTCGCGTTCGGGGCCCGCTCTCACCCCCTTCTTTGTACATAGTCCTATCGACAAATGCGAGAATGAATTCCTCTCTGCTTGTTCCGACACCCATGGTTCCTGATTGAGCTTCTCAAAATGAGTTCTTTCTACATCAATTGCCATGTAGTTGGTGAACGGTGCTTCGACACGAGTCAGCTCAATTTCCCCGCTAGATCACGCAGTGCATACGGTTCGACTCTAAACTCAAACTCGCGGACCAAAGTAACGGCTATTCCTCGGATGTCAGCTCGTGGTGGTGCTGGAGATCAAGATTGAGGCTCCCGGCTGCATCTCGCGAAAGAAAACGCGTCCTCCATCCGAGGTGCCAATCAACTGATCATCATCTTCAACATCTGCCGAGAGGATCAACGAACCGAGAGATGCTGGTGTGTAGAGTGGAGATGACACAATATTTGTAGCTCCATGCTCACGTACACTCCACGCCGGTCATTTTCCTCCCTAGGTGTGAAGCAGACGCTCGACATCACAATATTACATCATGTGCCTTCACGGCGCCTTAACCTTTTCCGGACGCGGGTGTGCGAAGGCCTCGGCAGCGGCAGGGACCCTGCGTGATGACATCCTGGACGAGCCGAGCGAGGAGCGACGCACCGACATCTGTCCATCCCCGGTCCGCTCTCTGTTCACAAGTGGCGCCTCACCCGGCAGCATGATGGCCCGGTCGATGCTATATGGCAGACAGCGGTGCCTTCCGCGAATCATCATTGCGCAGATGACGAGCTTGCCGAAGACACCGAAGAGGCCGCAGAGAGAGGTCGAAACGCTGGGGTGGCCGAGGGAGAGCCCGACGTTGCCACTAGATTAAAGCGGCGTCAGATGTGTTATTCATAGGGAAGAGTTGATGGTAAATGAAATCAATGTAACAGATGACATGACCGGACCGCTCAGGACAGGACCAGGGCGGGATGGGCTTACTATGCGGACACTACTTCGAAGAAGATGGAGAAGACGGAGAAAGCCTGATTGGGCGAATCTCTGTTAGCTTCACTGGATTTTAACATGCTACGAATGACAAGACAGAGGAAGGTTACAGAGAGAGAAGAAAACGGGGGAATCAATGCCCGCATTTAGATCTCAATCGAAGGGCCGCATCGGTGAAGAGGATGGCGGTCTAGATAGAAGAGAGATCCGCGGAAGAGTGGTACATACCGGTTCTGAATTATCAGCGATCCTCCCAGACTCAGCGATGCAGAGACAAAATGTACCGAGAAAGATGTACCAGAGGTCGAAGCTGAGCTGGTTGCGGACGTGCATCATGAAGTAGCTCGAAGTGCGGGTCTCATCGAGAGCTTGGTGCTCAACGGCGTAGATGCCCAGGGACTGTTCCTCGTACGTGTTCGACGCACGGATGCTGATGGCTATGGGCAAGATGGCAATGTACATTATGACGACGAGGCTGAACTGCACAGCAGGGTTTATCTCGGCCAGGTTCATGGTAGATGTGCCCGTGTGGCGGGACGACGCGGCCTGAAAAAGCGCCGCAAGAATCCGGGGGCCCATCGGGAGGTCTGTGATGGTGGGGTTGTCAAGGTCCAGAACGATGATAAGAATCACATCGACAATGTTGAGGGCAGCGATGATACCGAAGAGGATCCATGTAGGACGACTTGGAAACAGAAGGGTGTAACATCGACGAGGATGGTCAAGGAGGAACTTGAGCGTGGCCTTGGTGGGCGACTTCGATGAAGTGGTTTTGTACATTACCCAGATGCAGAAGCGAAGCATCACGGGGTACAAGGTGTTGCCAGCGAATGCCAAGAACGTCATGAGGAGCATAGGCCATGTAGCATCCCGAAATGAGATCATTGAGTCAGGAGTCAAGGTGAAACCCAGGTTGTTGACCATGGTCTGGGTTGAATAAATAGCCCTACAAGGATAAGTCAGACACAATTGCGGACTCTGCAGTGTTGAGCTGATTGAGGCGAGGAGAATTCACATACCACCAAGTCCAGTCTTGGCCACATTCGACCAAGAACTCCCTGTATTGATCCGGCGCGGTATGGATCCACGGCACCAGACCTATGACACCAATAAGATGCAAACCAATATAATATCCTGTAATGAAGGGTGAGCTCTAGTTTATCCTAAACATCACTGGCAATCACCTACCAATAACAACCTTCAGCAGTAGTTTGAGTGCGACATACTCGATGCCACCAAGCCTTTCCTCGTCCTCTTCACTCAAGTCGTAGAATTTGGAGCTGCGCCCAATGGTGACCTGCTTGGATAGCCCCGGCAGATCGTTGGGTCTTGGGAATTGCGAGGCATCGGATCGCCTGCCCTCCTTGGGTCGAGAGCCTTGCACAAACATGGAACCGGCAACATTCTCGATTGACTTTTCTTTGGACAGTCGATGATTCCGACTGTGACTGCTCAATTGGTACGTAGGCTCTGAAGGTTCCCCTTTGTAGATTTGTCGTACTTGCTTGATCTCCTCGCTGTCATACTCGTTCTCCAGGTCCTCTACAGGCACAGTTTGAGACGTCAGTCGTCTAGCATCCGCATTGCTGGCAAGGCACAGCTGGATAGGTCAACATATCGAGATCAAACTTACGTCCAGTCAGAGGACCGTTACCATGGAAGTCTGTTTCCACGAATGATCGTCCTAAATAGCGAGTGCGCGTCAGTCTGCTCTTGAGGAGACGATTTTATGCGTGGTGGGTGGTCATTTGCCAAAAGGCAACGGGAAAGGCATGACTCACCATCATCGCGCTCATGAGGAGGCGAGTTATAGAGCACATGATGAGCATCATTCGATGTGGCTGCTTGTCTTTGAAAGCCTGTCCCGTTGGCAGTCCCATCAACTTCCAAAGACTCGACTTGCACAGTGAGATCCTGCGACGGATTACTGCGCATTATCGACACATCCATCTCGCCTGTTGCGTTGTTACGCGCCTCTGAAGCCGGCACAGCTTGATTTTGGGCCTCAATGCCGTCGCCCGTGCGTCGAAGTGCGAAGACGACACCCTTCGGTTCGGCCCGGATCAGCGTGAGAGCTTGTATTGTAATAATGGTCAGCGCATCGTAAGGGCTGATCAGGATACACGAGCTGCTGAGCAAGACCTAATGGTCTCATTCTCAGGCCGGACGATGTTGTGTAGGAAAAGGAGTGCCCCCTTACAAGCTGCGCGGAACTTTCTCTTAAACCACAGTATCCTCACAATAACAACCATGACATTGATGATGCCGAGGTTGGTGATAGTAGGGACGACATAGAGGAAGACCTGTTCGTAGGTGCGCAGTTCTTTGACATCAACACTTGCAAGCTGGATCAGCAAATCTTCGTATGATGTCCGCGCGAATTCATGATACAGTTTGAAAAATCTGAAGTGGGGACGAGGGACGTACGTGTTCAAGCCAGACTCTGTTGAGGCACTTGCGCCAAAGAAGTAGGCATCGACAGCGGCCATGTTACCTTCTGGCGCAAGGACAACTAGGCCCATGAGGCTGCAGACGATGATCCAAGCGTCTGTTTCGCAGAGACGCTGGTTAGCTTAGAGCTCTTCAGGCAAAGCGAAGCTGCAAACGCTCCAGGCGTGAACTAGAGACCAGAGATGGCATACAGTGGACTACAATGAAGCTGGCACGCCTCTGTACTGCTTGAACTAACCACATCATATCGGCACACTTGGGGAGCTTCCAAAAGAATGAGGGAATGGCAGTGATTGAGGAAACGCGTGAGGAGTGTGCCGCTGGGTGCAGAGGGCCAGTCCTTCCCCCCATCGGAGAACAAGCAACAATCAGGCAAGAAAACAGACGCGAGTGCTGCAGCTCTCTTGAATATTTAAGCCCAGTCGCGTGCAACAATAAGCTCATCGCATCGGACATCACCTGGCCTATCCTGATCCTGGCTTTTAAAGGAAGTTGCAAATTGCTGGGTGGGGGGCTTCGGGGGCTAGCTGGAATGAAGGTCTGCAAGGCAGCGGCAGGTATCCTCCCTGGCAACGCCACTGGCGAGTCGGTGCATCAATGTGGATATGAGCATTTTGTCGCTCTACAGCTCATATTGTTTACTTCAAGCTAATTATCGGCGGAGATGTATTGTTTGGCAAACATTGACGTGCCTGGGGAAGCAGGAGATAGCTCGACTGTTGGGCTACCAGCAGCAATGGTGCCGATCATACTTGAATGACTGATTGCCGTAAGTACGGAAGTCCGGCCTTGGTAGTGCGTCGATTGGGACGTAACCCATGGAGGGCATGCTCGTCAGCCGTGCAAAACATTCCCACTCCCTCAATACCTGACCCTCCTCAGGCCAGGCAGTTCAGCTCCCCGGGAGAGGCAACCTATCCGATCCCTGAAGCACGGAGCCTCGGGGACACGAAATCACGCTTGTAAGCAGACTAGTGGGGCGGCCCGTCACTCTATTGTGCTGACACCCCGCCGACAGTCATGGAAGTCGTCGATGTGGTCGCTCCCTCGTTCCCGGACGTAGCCAATCAGATCCTATAGAGCCGGGACCATGTCCCGCGGCGAATAGACGTCAACAGCAAATCCACCAATAAGACCAGAGGAAGCCGGCTAATGAGGCCGGAGCATGCCGAGCGGTTGGGGGTTCTTGAAAACTCACTGCTTGTTCTTGCGGCCAAGCTGATCTAAAGACGGCTGTTTTATGCCGCTCGTGCATGTGCTCACTACCGAAGCAGGTAATTTCTTGGCTTTCCGCATTAGCTGCCGCCCGGAGTCATCGCCAGGCGGTGTGCGTGAGCCATGTTCAGGCAGATATTATGGGTAGACTGTCTCGGACTTCGAGTCTCGCGGAAAGCGAGATCCTCTTTGATCGTCGGCTGACGCTCCCCTCAAACGCGACGAACAAGTCTGACACCGTCTAAAGCTTGCTAGTAGAAAGTATGCCCCCCACTGCTTGTCTGGCTTTGGCGTTGTTGCACGTATGACTCGAGTTCACAGGACGTCAGTCGCAGGAGCGCCACCAATTGGGCCACAGTTTGTGATAGACAGTACATCACAAGGCGGCCATCGTCACAGCTATAGTGCCACCACAGATCTAGGAGTCAAGAAGAGCCGCTACACATCTCCGGCCCAGGTCGACAACCGGCTCGACAAGTTCAGAAGCCTGCTGACCCGGGCCAATCAAAAGTTTCGAAGCTTCCAGCCCGAGCATCACCACTTCGGCTCGGGAGAGAACCTCTTCAATTCCGTGGAGGCCAGCAGCATCGCCACGCTCGAGGGATGTGACAGGGCCACCCGCCGTCAAATCGGACGGGAGGCCTTTGGTACCGTCAGTGTTGTCAAACGAGCTGCGTGGCACCGAGATCGGGACACGAAAGACGCCCCTCTACTCTCAACGGAGACCCTACCACAAGTCACACCAAGTCCGAGTCTCGACTCATCGAAGAATGAAGATCGCGGATTAGGCTTAGAGAAAGACAGCGCGGACGCCAATCTCGAGAAGCACGAACTGGTTGCGGTCAAGCAGTTTCGCCGGCGTCCTGGCAAGTCTCTGGAGTTATACCGGCAGAACGTTATACGCGAGTTTGAATTGGCAACAAAGCTACGGCATCCAAACATAGTCTGCACCTGGGAACTCATTGAAATCAACAGCGCAGACTCTGATGAAAATGATGGGAATCTCGGCGTCGTCATGGAGTACTGCGAAGCCGGGGACCTGTACCAGCTGATGCGGTCGAGGGCGCCAGATATGCTGTGCATGGCTGAGGCCGATTGCCTGTTCAAACAGCTCATGCTGGGGGTCGAATATCTCCACGTCTCTGCTGGGGTTGCACATTGTGATATCAAGCCCGAGAACCTGCTCATTACGTATGATGGACGTCTCAAGATTGCTGATTTTGGCTGTAGCCAGCATTGTCGGCGAGATGACCAGCCTAGTGTACTAGGTAGTAGTGGCGCGAGCAGTGCTGGTCCCGGCCGGAACGGCCTCGTATCTGGCGCTAGAGGCTCAGAGTATTATAAAGCCCCTGAACAGCACGTTCAAGACCAGTTTAATGGTCCGGCTGCCGACATCTGGGCTTGTGGAGTTACGTACTTGGTGATGCGGGTGGGAAGGCGGCTCTGGCCAACTGCCAGGATGGACGATCAATATTATGCCATGTACATAAAATGCCGCCAGGAGGCAGCAGGATATCCGCCTATAGAGGTGTTGGAGTTAGTAAGTTCACCCATTTCTTGCGAGTGGTTTCTTTTCGTTTGCAATGTATTAACAGTATTTACAGCAGGACTGCCGGAACATAATCTACTGTATGCTCGATCCTGTAGCAAAACGGCGGATCACAATATCACAAGCCCTGAAGACGGACTGGGCTCGTGCAATCCAGGTCTGCAATACACCCGGTAAAGGCAGCACCCCGGGCTGAGAAATCTGCGCACTGGGAATCGGCGCTCGTCTCAAGTTCACAGACCGAGCTCGAGGTGCTCAGTCTGGGCGACGGGGCATCAATGTGCCGTGCGACTCCTTCAACATCCATACCTGCAACTAAGAGCCCGAGGATTTATTTCTCCTGGCTCAGCGAGGTATTCAAGTTCACGCTAAACCACGGAAGTCGAGAGTACGGCCAAGCAGGTCGGAGAGAGGAATTTGATAGCCGAGTGAATGGGGATGGGATTCCATTGAAACACATAAAGAGCTACAATCAATGCGTTACACAGAAAAGCACTTTTGCTTAGTTGAACAGAGTTTCCTAGACTGGACCCATCGCAAAAGGCAGAAAAAGCAATCCCTCCACTGCCCGCATTCAGAGACACCAAGTCCCGGACGAACCCTGCTGGGAGATTAAGTAAGCAAATACTTGGGGGGTTTTGCCCCTGGCCCCAACTGCAGGGGACAAATCGCGACTGCCTTCAAACTCACAGCGCGTCCTTCTTCAAGACTGTACTTGGAACGCGCGAACTGTCACCATGGCCTCCCCGCCGCCGTCATCTCAGTTACCACCACCACCACCAGCATCTCAATCTCACTTCGCCAAGTTCGACAACTTCACCCCTGACGACCACGCGCCCTTCGACGACGAGTTCGCACGCCTCGCGTCGTCGCAGCAATGGGTCCCCGGCTCTCAGGAGTACACAAAGGAGCGCACGATCGCCATGCGCGAGGAGCTCAAGTTCAGCTTCTTCTCCCTGGCGCTGCCAGCGGCAGGGGGTGGTGATGATGAACTCACTCCGCAGCAACTACTAGAAGGATACCAGCTGCTCTGCGATGAGGTCCGCATCCCCCGAGGAGAGTCTGTCCCGGAGTGCAAGAGGGCGCTGAAAGCCACGCTGGTCAACATAATTGACCTCTTGAATGTGCGGAGAACTGGTGGCGCTGTCGAGGTGTGGGACAACTTTGACGCATTTCGCACGTACACCCTTGCGGACGGCCAACGGATCGACAAGGAGGAGGCCAAGGCGGCGCCGGGCATCCTCGCGTCGCTGTTGCAGAATTTCGGGCGCGGGAGGAGTAGGAGCCGGCGCGGGAAGCAAAGGGCTACGAATCTACCGAGGGTGCTGGAAGGGCGAGTGGGAAAGAGAACCAAGGCAAAGGCAACAAATCGCCGCTTTGCAGTTCATAGCGGGATCGTATAACGACATGAAATAAAGGGATGGCCACTGCTACTTTTAAAGCCATGGCCACACTGACTAATCTAATTACTATCTAGATGTGTGGGTCCTCATTAGTCCCTAAAAGCTTCGCGTGATACTAGTTCTGGCGCGGCCATGCTAGACTTGCTTGGTACCGTCGGCCAAGCTCAAGGTCTTGGCGAGCTGGATCGGCTGAGCAAGAGCCGTGTCGTCGGTCGACTCAACGTCGCCGTCTCCAGCCTTGTTCACGGCGGCGGCCTCGGCAGCAACTGCAGTAGCGTCGACGGGATGCTCCGGGACCAAGAAGACAGCAGCGGTGGTGGTGGGGATGGTGATGGAGAACGTGACAAAGGCGATGATGAGGTTGACCATGGGCGCCACTTTGGCCGCGCCGATGCCGAATGAGACGCAGGAGCCGATCGACTCAAAGGAGCGCAGCAAGCCGATGGCGAGCGTCAGGGTCTCGAGGTCGTCGAAGAAGGCGCCCACGAGCCAGTAGACGAACATGTAGTGCGACTCGTTCATGAAGCGCAGCAGCATCTGGACGGCAAAGGCCCGCCCGAACTCGGGACTGCTCCAGTCAATGGTGATCTTGGGGACCGCCTCCGAGTACAGCTTCTCGTTGGAGACTTGCCAACTCAGCAAGGCCAGCATGAACACGGAGAAGAAGGCCCAGGTCCCCTTTGCGAGCGTGGGCCGGCTCCAGCGCCTCTGGTCAAGGAACCAGCCCCAAAAGATGTTGGCGATGGTGGCGGCTATGCCAGAGGTCAGGGCGCCTAGGGTCCTGGCGCGTACTGAGAAGTATTTGGTCATGTAGATGCCGAGGTACGTGCCATTCCAGTTGAAGCCGACAAGAACGGGGATAAGCAGGAAGAACTGCTTGGAGCAGAGCAGCTTCCACATTTTCTTGGTCTCGCCCAAGATGGCCTTCTTCTTCGTGGGGTCCGGCACAGGCACGCCGTCAGAGCGGATGACCTTGTGCGGCGGCGAGACGAGCAGGGCCAGCGGCAGGCCCAGGCACTGCAGGGCGATGAGAATCAGGTACGTCTCGTAGCCGACTTTGCCGCGCTGCTCGTTGGTGGTGTTGAGCGACAGCTGGATCGAGGATCCGATAAGCTGTCCGAGCTCGCGCAGTCCCAGCCAGATGCCGGTGTACTTGCCCCGATCCTTGATGCCGCCGTACCCAAGCGCAATTGCGCCCTCAGACGCCCAGAGGGCCGAGGCTGCAATCCCGCACGTCACACCACCAAAGAGCACGAACCACTCCACCCCGTAACGGTTGTTGACGTACAGCGAAGCCGAGTATCTGTTCAGGGAATTTGAGGAATCAGCATCTGCCGGGCAAAATTAGGGTGGGCATGGGCCCAGCTCGTGCTTACGGAGCGTATCCCAGGGTACCAATGATGAGGACCGGCACCAGACCAATCTTGTTTGCGACAACGGAGAAGATAGAGCACCCAAATGCCATGATGCTACTCGGCGTGTCAGCTAGATCCATAGATGCCACAGCCAAGTATCTCTCTTCCATTCTTACCCAAACGTCAACGAGTTGGCGCCATTCACGAGGTACGGCTCCTGCTGTCCACCAGCACCGGTGTCTAAAACCTGTCAGCGTCCCCTCTCAAAGACGCGGCAAAGTCAAATGCCAACTCACTATTCAAGGCGTTCCAGATGCCCGGCTGGGTAAAAGAGATGAGGCCAACGACGATAACATTGAACAACGGGCTGCGATACACGCGTGCCCATCGCGACCTGGGCTTTGGCGGCGCGACTTGACCGCCGTCCTCCGGCCCGTGGCTGGGTGCAACTTCGACCGTTGGAGCCATGCTTGGAAAGATCACCAGAGGGTGATTATGCAGTCAGATGGTCACTGTTGGTAATGAAGTTGGGAAGAAATTTAGTCACCCAGCAGGGGCAGCAACCGTCGTGATTAAATGCCCAGCCCCAGGTGGAGTTCCTCGCGCGGATCGAAGAAAAGTCAGCCATCCTAGTCCGACTCGTGGGCCCGAGGTCGGCAGTTAGTCCCCTAAAAATGCCCCCGGGGAGGGCGACGACGATAACGGCATAATTCGTGCTGCAGGGGTCCGATGACGATATTAGCTCCAAAGGGGTCCGGAGCCGCTCGCCTTTGGACTTAAGCGTTTATCCATATTACACAGGGTTACCTCCTCAGCCTATTAGGCTCCAGGTACGAAATAGTGGAGAAATCCCTGGGGTTAAACATCGTCGTCTGTGTTCGAGGGTTGTTTACTTGTGGCGGAGAAGCGTCGCACTCTCGAGGTACTTGTTATCGTCCAAGAAACTTGCACTTTGAGCTTAAATAAGGATTACCCAGGTGCTTTGATGAGCACTAGGATAGCGTGGGGTTCTGCCTCCTGGTCTCTTGCTTAGTGGTGCAGCGGTTACCTTCCTGATTCTCTCCCCAGGGGCTCCTGGTGACAATTGGGAATCATCACGTAGCACTTAGGAAGTCGTATCCAATCTTGCTGTGGTTATCTGGGAACAAGTTAATGTGGTGATCGAGCACAACAGCCCTTAGACTTTACAACAAACAACGCGGGCTGTCAAGATTTTTTAGTCATGAGGGCATTATATATGCGACCCAGCACACCAACGTCGTTCAGTTTCGGGGTTGTCCATTGTTTGTCCCCATATCGCTTACAGTTCGGACAGTAGTAATTCCAGCGCTTCCCGTTATCAAAGTCACCCAAACCGTCCACGTGTTTGGCGTATCGCCCGTCGGGAGTGATTGGGCGTCTATCCATGCACTCGCAGCATTGCTTAGACAGGTTCTGACACTTTCGCGGGGCCCAGTGCTCGCATGGTCGTGCTCCAGCCGGACGAGCGCGCTGGCGAGGAGGTGGTGGCGGCACCGCCAGGGCCGTCAGGCTTTTCTCTGTTTTAGCTTGCCTTCTTGATCCTGTCGAACCGGGCTTTGATTGGTAGTCGTCCAGGACAGCGGCCATGTGAGCAGCATGATCTTCCTTTATGACTGGTGGTGCACTTCGGAGATTCTGCTCCAATTGTTGCTTTTCCGCGCCCACGGCCTGGGCAGGTTGCTTCGTATATCCGTTTCGATGCAAGTTTGAGTTTTCGAGTGGTAGTTGATACCCAGTGCATCCCTTTGGCGGGAAGCTCTCAAGCTTTTTACCAGGCACAGGAGGTTTGGCAAGCTGCTGGTGACTCCCCACGTCAGGTGGTGTGTCAGCAGGTGTCACTATGCTGCTCTTATCTGCCCAAGGCGGCACAGGCCACTGCTGGTATGAGGAGCCTGTGGTAGGTCGTTGGCTGCCCGGAGGCGTCAGCGGCGGCGCAGCATAATCCGGCTGGAAATACTGAGGTCCCAATCTAAGTTCGGCTTCGTGATTAGGTGTTGAAGACGATGAAGCTTTCCATGGATCGGATGATGCCGGCGATGTAGCAGGACTGGGCTCGGGGTTCATGGCCGCGGTCGCTTGAGCGGAAGGGAATGTGTTCTCCCACTGACTTGAGCTACCAGCCCCTGACAGCCCCCATGACGGCTCGGGACTGGACAGTGATGGTCTATGGTCAATTAGCAGTTTGTGGTGGAATGGACTATAACTGGGACAATAACCTCTGATTGTTGGATGAACCCTCTCCAAGCCACGGGTGGCCGAGCACCATTTCGATACTCGGCCTGTCATCTGGTTTCGCGGCCATAGCACTCTGTATGAATCTGGCGCACTTGGCACTCGAATCATCCAGTGGCTCGATGGGGAAACACCTTGGGTCTCGGGCATATTCCATGAGTGGGCATGGAGACTGAAATGGAGGCCTGCCTGTGCGGAGGCAATAAGCGACGCAGCCGAGTGCGAAGATATCGACTGCCGGAGTGTAGCTGTCCGCTCCGTCATCGAGCTGCTCCGGTGCAACGTAGCCGTGGGTACCGATTCCGTGCGTGTCAAGTGCCGTACCGTTCAGATTCTTCGACAGCCCAAAGTCGGCAATCTTGACATGCCACACGGGACCGGGGTGGGAGACGAGGATGTTCTACAAGACACCTGTGAGCGAAAGCTGTTTTGGAGGAAGCAGTCGGGCCTGATAGCGTACAAGTGGCTTTAGGTCCCTATGAACAAAGCCTTTTCGATGCATGCACTGCAAACCCGTTGCTACCTGGGATACAATCTGGGCTGCCTCTGGTTCGGAGAGAATCGTGTGGTTGACGTAGCGTTGAAGGTCTCCATGTTCCATAAACTCCATGGCAATGTACAGGTGCTCGGTATCCTCGAACCAGCCCAGGCAGGACACGAAGTGTTTTGCGTACTATTGTCACACTGGTTAGTGGCTTCGACAAGTCTAGCAGTCTTCATTGCGAGGGAGTCTCAATTTTCCATACCTCGGGGACGCGCATGTCAGAAAAGGTGATCAGGGCCATGAGTTCTCTCTCTGAGAACTTGGAATGGCGCTTCGACACATGCTTGACAGCACGGACGGTGTTGGCAGCTGCACCAGATCGACATCGTTGTTTGTAAACACTACCAAACGCGCCTCCTCCTAGGTGCTTCACCAGCTGCCAGCAGTCTACGCCCCCGTCGGATTTGTGGTGATGCTCACCATTGGGCTGAAACTCGGTCTCGAGCTTCCACGCCTCAAGAACGTTTGCGAGTGAATGATCGGCGGGCATGATTGTCTGACGCCTGGACTATCACCTCCCAAGGAAATGCCCAGGAGGTGGACTGAAGAACCGGGAAAATCAGCAAAGCCTCGGCGGGCTGTAGAAGCCTCGAGTGTTATAAACTTAGCCTTGTCGCGAGTGTGTGTGCAGTTAAACTGTGAGACTGCATGCTAGCCTGCAGGACGCTGAAGCGACGTGGTGCTATCACAAGGCCGAGGAAGGGCGGCAATGGCGACACCACAGCGCGCCGAGTCGACTTATTGGCCAGTCCACACACTTGCGTAATGCCAGAGAGGCGGCCGTGCAAACTTACACTGGCTGTGCTCGACGGCAGGTATCTCATCGCAGGCTCAGCTGCATCAGGCCAGCCAATCTTCTCCCCAGCCCGCACACCCTTTGCTCGGGGTCTATTGTGGTCGAGGCACTGCCGCCCCCAATCCGTGTCGGCTAGCAGGGCTCCCATGCTCAGCGGTAGGCCTCCACGTCCTGAAAATTGATCTGGACACCGCAGCTGTTGTTGTACATGACTTCCATCCACACTTGCAGCTCATGCCACGCGTACCTGCTCACGATGGACCCGTTGTCGATATTCGGCCTCGTTCAGACTTGCTACGAGTGAGTACACACACATTCCCAAGCTCCCCCTTCCAAAGACGGGCCTAACGAGTGCAAAAGAGTGGGCGCAAAGCTCATTGAGATCTGCGATTGTTGGAAAAATGCCGAGTCTGAAGTCCAGGCTCGCCTCCTCAAGGTCAGGAGCTGCTGGTTCCGCTCCAGGAGCCAGGTCGAATTCATGAGGCGCGTCTCCGCAATCATTGAGGACGATCTGCGAAGGCTGTTCGGGGACCTTATGAGACAACTCGCGACATGCTTGCGCGAGGCATCCGCGCAGCTCAATTCCGTAATTCAAAGGGGAGAGGATGCGAAGCCGGGATTCCTGGTGTTTGGCGGGCGTGCGAAAAAGGCTGCGTATGTTTGGAAGAAGGAAGCACTGGACGGTATCATTGCGGACATGGAAGAGTGGCAGTCCCGATTCGACCCAAGCTGGTTTCTCATCATGACCATCGCGAGCCCGACGATTGACAACGAACTCAGACGAGCCAGAGCCAGCGCGGGAATGATCGAGCGGGCCCCTGGAGGAGCGCCTAGCGCGGCAAACAATCCTCTGGCACTTGCTTCAGGGCTCCGGACCACGCTATCATCTGATGCAAAGCCGCCGAGTTTTCTCTCGTCGTTTCCGATGGAGACAGTGGACATACCTTACTCGGCTCTGAAAATTGCGCGCCGGACCGGGGACTCGAAGTGGTATGTCGTCGACAGCATCGACTGCAGCCCTTATCCCGATGTCAAGGCTCTGGCTCGTGATGTTCGCGTGCTTGCTGCCAGGCTCTCCCAAGCTGACCCTGTTGCATTCGGGCTCCTCAACTGCAAGGGCGTGATCGCAGCCTCTCAAACACAGCAACAGGGTGTTCCTAGCCTGGACAGCTCCTCGCCACCTCAACCGGCTGGCGCCAACCATCTCGCCCCCCTGAACACCTCGAGAAGCATTTCCCGCAGTCCATCGCCTAGCAACTACCGCCAGATCAGCAACTTCACCCTGTTGTTCCGGTTTCCAGAGGGCATGGAAGTGCTGCAGTCACTGCGGCAGATGCTGCTCAACTCGGACGCAAACATCTCGCTGGGCCGCAAGGTGCGCATTGCCCGGGAAATGGCAAAGTCGGTGGCCTACGTGCACACATTTGACTTTGTCCACAAGAACATACGACCCGAGTCCTTTCTATGCTTCGAGCCTCCCGATGGCGCAAGTAGTAGTGGTGGTCTGAGCAGCCACGCTTTCCTCGCGGGCTTCGACGCGTTCCGTGCAGCTACCGGGGCTACAATGATGCATGGCGACTTAACCTGGGACTGCAACGTATACCGCCACCCGCTGCGTCAGGGCTACAACCCCGCTGAAAAGTACAGGATGCAGCACGACATCTACAGCCTGGGTGTGTGTCTGCTCGAAGTCGGACTGTGGGAGCCGTTCGTGGAGTACTCGTCACCGGAGAGTGGCGGACGCAGCGTGCACCCAATGGCCGGCAAGTCATTCCATCATTTCAATGCGTGGCTCGAACAGAAGAATGCGGCTCGTCAGGATGGTAGTAAGGCCACATCAACCGAGCGGCAAGGGTTCCTCGACCTGCTGGCTTTCAAGCTAAAAGACTATCTTGTAGAGCAGGCTGAGACAAGACTGCCAGCACGAATGGGGGCAAAATACACCCGAGTTGTCCTGGCGTGCCTATCGTGCCTGGATGAGGACAGATATCCTGGCGACGATAGGCAGGTGGCAGTGCAATACATTGAGGATATCATGATGAATCTTGGTGGAATATCCGTCTGATACTCATATCCCAGCCATGGGCCCTAAAGAGTGTTCCCTGAGCCACATCAATCATCTCCAACTAAAACGTTTCTCTACGTGCCTCAGGGAGTTCGTTTATCCCTGAGCCTGATACAATCTACAGGTATAGCTCGAAGACGAGGGAACGGCTGACACACCATCGCAGCGCGTCTTAGGAGCCCTGGATGGCGACATATGGCGACATGTGGTGGTGTGGGTCCGGTTGCATCGGCCTTGGGAGCAGTTCGTTCCGACGGGCGAGACATTATGCAGCATGAGATGCCGATCAAGGCCGTCGGAAGCACATCCATTAGCTTAAATGTACAGATTCGCGCCTTCGCTCTGTGCCACAGCTCGTGTCCGTGTTATCGCAGAGCACTACCTCCTCCTGTGGTGACCTGTACCGAGAAACATGGCTTCGCTCGTCGCAAACCCTGTGGCTTACAAGCCAGCCCGATCCTTGTCTGCACCGTACCAGCCAGAGGTGTCCTTTCCGCTGGCACTGGAGCTATCCAAGGACGGGACATCCACTGCCGAGCTGACTGATACGATCCGAGGCCTCGCTGCCAACGGCACCATCCGGAAGTTGTTGGACGCCCACGGCGCCATTTACTTCAACAACCTTGGGCTTACGTCGCCGGACGACTTTTCAGACTTCGCCCACAGTTTCGGCTGGCTGCCACATGAGGACATTGGCAACCCTGTGCGGCGTACCTTGTTGGCAAGAAACGTGGCGACTGCAAACGAGGGCCCCAATACTCAACCTGTCTATCCGCACAACGAGTTCGGTCTGAGCCCTCACTATCCCGCCTATGTGTTCTTTTATTGTGTGTCGGCTGCTGAGAGCGGTATGTAAGATTCCCTCGCGCACCTGCATTCAACCGTGCGCGACAATGTGAGTCACAGGCTTATGCCAAGTGCAGGAGGCGAAACACCCATCAACAACTCCATCATTCTGTACCGCCGGCTGAAGGAGCGGTATCCCGAATTTATCGAAGAGATCGAGCGCAAGGTGAGGCAAGAAGAGAGAATAAGCGACATATCATACGTTCATGCGTTTGAAGCCCCAATTCATGCAATATCGTCCCTTGCTGATGAGTTACGATATGAGACAGGGTGTCAAATATCACCTGTTCTACCCCAACGCGCCACGGAACCAGACCGACTCCCCTGGGACGTCCGTCTTGCAAGCATATGGCCCCCAAGTCCTGGACGACGACGACACCGAGACCGCCCGCAAAAAGATCGAGCGTGAGATCCGCAGGCTGCCGACCGCAAGCTGGACGTGGGAGAACCAGTCGGACAAGAACCCGCTAGGCGATCTGCGGGTCTGGCAAGTTCTACCTGGTGAGGCTACGCTATATCCTCGCGGCCAGAAAGAGTCCAGCTGTCAATCACGGAACTGGAACAATTTGATAGCTGACAAAACGTATCAGCTGTACGCCAGCACGAGCAGACCGGGCACCCGGCTTTCTTCAACAACGTCGTCTCCCGCTTCCTCAATGCCGTCTCCGCCGGCTCGCTCCTCCCACCGCACATCAACAACGACGGCCAATACCAGCCCCCCGCTTTTGTAAGCAACCCGTTGTTGGCGTTGGGAATCTAGGGTGTTCGAGCGCTAATTGTGTGTTTTTTCCTTGTGGTTAGTATGGCGACGGGTCTCTCATCCCGCGCGAATACCTCGATTATGCCGTGGCAGTGATCCAGTGAGTACTGTTACACCCGGCTGGACATCCATCAGGAATCAAACTTTGTTAATCCGCGTGAACATTCTAGCGAAACTCGGGCGCTCGTCACATGGCGCCCTGGAGACGTATTGCTTCTCGACGTATGTGCCTACACGAAACAGCCGCGGAACCCTAACCCTCACGACCCTTTGTATATCGGAAACACTGACAAAAGTCGCTTCTTACTCGTGCAGAACCACGCCGTGCAACACGCCAGAGAGCCGTGGACTGGGTAAGCAACAAAGCCATCCTCGCTCGCAAGCGGGTGTATTATACTTGACTGTAAAGCTGACACTTTGAGGGTCAGAACCAGGAAGCTTCTGGCCAGTCTCTGGGACGAAGTCTAGGTGAGAGTGGAGACATGGATTTGAGGGTGGGACTTTCTCATCACCGAGGGCAAGGTACAGCTTGTTGGAGACAAAGATGTGCTGAGGGATAATTCGACCAACCACGAATGAGTACAAAACTACAGCACACTTTGCAGGAGGATTTCATGCAGTCGAATGTCTTACGTCACTGCGAGTCATTACTGGCTGGAAAACGCCGCCCACGAGCGCAAACTGAGCAAGTCCACTTTCTCCACAACCAAGAATTCACGACGATACACGATGGATATACAGGTACGATACTATCTGGGCAAGGGTGAAGGGTTCTACAAAGTTCTTTCCACGTCAGAGGCAGCCTCCGTCAGTCCGCCAGAAGTCACAGCCAAAGACGTCGGCGAACGGCTTGGAGCTTCTGGACTCCCCACCCACCCCATGACCTCGGGCCAGCGGTGGTCGGTGAACGAGCGGAAGAAACTTTGCTCAGAATTGATTATAGATTTCCACTACTGTGTTACATCCTTGAAACGGGGCTATTACTTAATAGTCTACGAGTAGCCTGCTTTCCTGGCGGTTGGGCAGTGGCTTAAAAAGCGCATCGTGAAAATTCATCTCAACTTGGGTAGCGTGTCGGAGTCAAGAGAGACTCGTGTTGGAGCGGTGTATCTCAAGTGGACCTGCCAGGTCTTTTTGAGTCTCTTCACCAGTCAGCCACACGCTGGCTTCAGCTCAACGTCGTGGAACCACCTGCCGCCGCTGATCAAAGACGGTTGGAGCAGACTGCCAGGGCGTCATTCCGGGGCAAGATCTGCATCAGCCCTCTCTTTCAATGGTGTGACCTGTCACACAATGCAGTCCTACCCAATGGAGACAGTGCCCCAGCGGCGCATCTTGGCCCTTCTTTGCATTCAGCCTGCATCAAAGGGAGCGACGGACCAACTCCCCGCTGTGGGGTGATGTGGTACAAGAGGTCAGCGGCCCCTGCGCCACCTGCAACATGATGCTGTTTTGACGTGCAGAGGGCGGCGGGGCCTCCCGCTAGCTGCCTACAGTGTCACAATAGCATTGGCAGCGTGGTCCCTACTGTATGCCATGTGCTGGCAAAATTCTGAGGTCCTACATGAGCTTGAATCAGCTGTTGCCGCCTACGTTCCAACTAAACCACATGGACGACTGGGGCGAAAAAGCTGCCAAGCCGGCTTTTCGAGTGGCAACGCAGGCCCACAAGCGCCTGAAGAAACGGCAGCGCATAATATTGGATTGGACATGAGACGAATCAAGCCGCTGGCTGCCTGGTGGACAGGTTGATTCCAAAGTCCCAAATACTCAATCTTTCTTGGTCTCTTAGCTGAGCCAGCGGACTGGCTTGTTCGAGAATCCTTCGCCCAGCAAGCTCTTTCCGACGTGCTGGCGCACTCGTGACAGGAGCTAGATAAGCAAGCTGGAAGTGAATAGACCTTGGAGCGATCATCGTCCTCTGATTGGGCTGCAAGTTGTGCATTTATTGTCTACTAGTGTGGTTGTGCATTAAGCCTGGACATCCGAGCTTTCGCTAGCTAGTCAAGCGGACAAAAAACGGCACTGGGGGGAATGGGAGTGGCTTGGGTCACGGCACGCTAGCCAACTTCTTGTTGGTTTGCCCTGACTTGTCACATAACGGCCGGAGTTTGGCTCGTTGGGGCCACTTGGCAGCGCTGATCATGCCCAAAATCTGGTTTCTTTACTGCCCTGGAGGCTGACTACACGAATGGTTCTTTCAAGCCAAGACTCTCGCAAGATATGTCGTTTGTGCCAGGTCCAGCGACGTGGCTGACTTGCTCTTTGCTCTTGATGTCCTCCCGTAATGGGGTGGAGCTGCCCAGCTGCAAGTACAATCACGGCACTAGCGCCACTCCTGTTTATGCCAACTGCCATTACGAGGGCCGCCACCAAGGGTCGGCGGATGGGGCGGTTGGTGGCTGGCGAATGTGTGGTGGGTCTCATAAGGTGGCCGACTTTCCGGATCTTTTTGCTTTTGCTTCCCAAGCCTCTGGCTCCGGGCGTTTTGCAAAAGCAAAGGCAAGTCTCAAGCTGACGTCCTTCAACGGACCTCGCGGAATAACAAGTTTTAAAGTTTGTCATATGCACGGCCCTCCTGTAGTGGACTTGCCCTGGCGCCTTATTGTCCATGGAGCGCTCTATTGGTTGAGCCGCTTGGATGTTTCCTTTTCTGTCCTCTGCGTTAGTCGCTGCCGAGCAAGGAGACACAGCTTTGCGGTATCAGTCTAGCAGGAGGGCGAAAACACACCGACGACGCAATGCGACATCCTTTGACTGTGGTGTCTCGCGCGTTGCTGGGGGACGCAAGGCGAATGGGAACGTACTTCTCAGATCCGACTTGCGTTGAATTTTGAGCAATGATCTCCCATCCTGAGGTGCGTGTCTATCCTGGTCTCACGAGAGTCCGTCGCATTGAACAACTACTGAAGTGATCAAAATACTAACTGTGTACTCCAAGAGCTGCGGCGCACGCCCCCATCTCTTCAGCTCGGCTGCATGGATGCCTGATGAAGAAGTCGTAAATCCCTGAAGCTGCATCTACTCCTCACGAGAAGAGCAGGATTCTGCAACGCAACGAGCCGTGCCTGCAAGCCCGCCTTGAACTACACTGTGTTAGTGCCGAGCCTTTGTATTGACAGGCGCGATCTCCCGCGGCCGAGGACGGGCCGCTCGGCCATGCCGATTACTATTCAGGCTCTTCGCGAGCTCAGATGTTTGCGAAAAGGGGCGTCATTGTCCGCTTCGTTGAAAGAAGAGCCCTCTCAAGTATAAATGTTCCGATTTTCCTCGCCCTCTCTGCATGTCTTATTTCCTCTCCATCACCAACAACAGCAACATACAGCTCATCGCCTTCCCAAGCACTCATCCTCCTCCCAAATCTGCTTCACGGCTCTCCACAACATCAACTTCCAAGATGAAGACCTCTTTCGCCATCGCCTCCATCCTCCTCGCCGCCAGCTCCGTCCTGGCGGCTCCCACCGACGCTCGCCCGCCCAAGTACACTCCTCTTCCCTCGCCCAGCGGCGGCAGCTACGACCCGTGCTCGGGCCTCTACGATTCCGCCCAGTGCTGCGCCACCGACGTCCTCGGGGTCGCCGACCTCGACTGCGACACTCCCCCCAAGGCTCTGACCTCGGCCAAGCAGTTTGGCGAGACTTGCGCCAAGATTGGCCAGCGCGCCCGCTGCTGTGTCCTCCCCGTTCTCGGCCAGGCTGTCCTCTGCCAGACCCCGGCCGGCCTCTGATTTCGTATCTGTCAAACAACACCACCACCATCAATCACTGTGGGGTTTGCGGATAGAGGTCCTCTTGTCACGGACATCCAAAAGTTATTGCTTAGTGGTGGTTTGATGCGAAGTTTGGCCACTGTCACCTGCATGATACTGCAGGAAGCAATGTTCAAGCACTGGGCAAGAGCACCAAAAGGCCCTATATGGATTGTCATGACGTCTCAGGCCTGCAGTTCCTGTGGCTCTCAAATGGCGGTCCTTGATTGATTGGAAAAGAAAGGGGTTTATTGTGCTACTTACATTCATGTGATGGAAATTGTGGAGGGGTCACTACGAGAAAACAATATGACTGGCATGGGATTACGCAGTGATGTTCTGTCGTTTCTTAATATTAGACTAGTTTACAGGAGAATGTCACCCTTGGTTGCAGCTTTTACGGATATAAAGTCTGAGTGGCTCATGTCTTACTGCTGTCTTGTGTTTCTTGGCTAGATCTCAGCTTCTCGTTCTCCAAGGTCTCCTTGCCAAAGGCAATTTAGGCCGGTTCTGCGTTTTGATATTGCGTGAGAAGCCTCCCAATGTGGCTTTTTTCGTGCGTGGCATTCTCTTTGCACAAGGACGAATTAGCCGTCATTTTTGGTTGGAATTCAGCGTCAAGTCTAGCGTGATTGCCGATTTAGAGAATGAGGAGAATGTAAGATCAAAGAAAATGAATATTCGGTCCTGGCTTGGGCATAGTCTGCTTGTATTGGGTTTTATTTGGATAATCAATGCTCTTTTTGCACATTTTTTGGCCCAAAATGTTGTTTTGAGCTTCTCGGATAGGATGTTTACTGACGACTTCCACTAACAAGTCACTTTTCCGTTTGACGGCATGCCCTAGGGAAGAACGTTCCCACTAAGGCAAGTCGTCCCGCCATGAATTCAGTATATTACAGATGTTGCGTAGTGATTCCTGCAAGCCTGCATCCGGGGTATATCAGAAGGTTCTCCTGGCTATTTGCGAACGCCTCATCGTTCGACTCTTGTGTCCTCCCGCATCCACAAAGATCGTCCATACTGCATACAAATCGCCTCGAGTCCTCGTCCGGCTCGGATGTGCCTTGGCTCGGGTTCCTGTTCGAATTACCGGCCTGCCGCCGCCGCGATTTCATCCCTCTCCTTCCTGCCCTGATCTGTTGTTTCCCAAAACGCCGGGGAACTTCGTCACCTGCTATTGTCCCAGGTTTTCGTGCTTTTGAGAACTCGCAAAATGACACTTGAGTGCCATTCTCATCAAAGGGCGTCACTCGAACAACCCCGTCACGAGCGCTTCCCAGGTACATCACTGACAAGGAATTAACAGACCCTTGAGAACTCGCAGCTTGTGGTGCCGCTATTTCGATCTCTTTCGTCCAGGTTACGATGGTCTTGCGATGTGGCACCTCTCCTCCGGAGTTCGTCGTCAAGCGCAAGCCTAGAAGTCCACCACCGGGTTCGGCCTTATTTTCTTGTAAACATTCATTCCAAGTGGAATCCAGGAGGAACTGGAGTGCGCTACACGACCGCGTGAGCGTGAACATGCAGCTCTCTGGTACGCCTCTCTTATGACCCCTTAGGCTTTTCCCAACGAGTAGTGCGAGCTTGGGCATTGCCGTCCCCGCGGAGAGTATAATTATGCTGTCTGACTTCCGCGATCTGATATCAAACACGTCGTCCGCCGTCTGTTGAATGAATTCCCACGGTGGGTAAACAGAAGTCACCGTCCAACCATGCTCTGCGAGCTGGCGAAGATCGAGCCAGGTCCGGGAAAGCTTGGATGTGTGGGGTGGGAAAGTCTTTTCTCTCGTCCGAATGTAGATCTTGTGCACTTTGGATGCATCGGTGATCCACGTGGGCATGTCGACTGGACCGAGGCTGGGGACCAGTTCGAATTCGTTCGGCATTTTGTGCAGGCGCAGCGGCAAGGCGATTAGGCGAGATCCACCATCCGTTGTGCAGTCAAGGATGGCCAATTCGATGTTTGTTCCCAGTATTTTGACGAGCGGTAATTCGATGAGCAGGCCAGCATTCGTGAAGGCAAAATGCGCGGTGCGGTGTTGGCCCGGTCTCGATCTTCCTGAGACACTCGAACAAGCTCCGTAAAGAAGCGGAGACTGTGGGAGAAGGTGATGCCGCAATGACTCCTTTCGAGGCATATTTCTGAGTGCGATTCCATACCCAGCAGAAAGTATGTCGTGGCCGTTGTCCTGCTCGACAATCTTGACAAGAAGCCGCTTGAAAGCATTTTCCCCTTCGCCGTAAAGCAGTGGCAGATGAACGTCAAAGAGTCCCAGCAGGCAGTAAGCAATATCCTCCTTTCTTGTAGTTGTTCGCGAAGAAGCCCAGCTCAGCCTTTTTGCGACGCTTGCGCTCCGCCACGGAATGCTAAAGTCGATGCCGGTGATCTCGCCCATCAGTGTGTGGAGTTTGTGGAGGTTGAGGAGGGGTTGATGCTCTGTAAAGGAGTTGAAAACGTCCCGCCACCCGTATGCACTGAAGTTGAACAGAATCCCCCAGTCTGAGCCAAAGAAGACATGCATCTTGGGGGCGAGTAGTTCTTGGAGCGTCCAACCACGAAAGTGCCACCTGCTCCGTCGGAACGCGGAGTTTGCAGCATGGATGTTGTCCTTCTCCCACGATGGCACGTCTGCTAGGTACACAAAGCAGACGCACGCATTCTCGTACCATCGGAACATCGAGTTAATTGCCTCGCTGAGCTCCGCGCTGCTGGACTTGTCGATGCAGCATGTGTCAATCCACACCTGCTCGCACCCATGCCATTGTAAGCGAATAACCAACACAACAGCATCCTACACGTCCACTTACATACTTATAGCCGCGGGCTTGGGCTAGTCGACATGACTCCGTAATTTTGTGATAGCCTGCATGGCTACTGAGACCCTCCTTCTGTTGGAAGGCCTGAAAGGTGACCTCGCCCTTGTCCCAAGTATGTGACAGGATCGCATACTCGGGCAATTGTTCATCGAAGAACTCTTCAAGTGTCATGGATTCTGCATTTAAGAGACGCATCGTGCCGTCCGAGAATCTGGGAGCTCGGGAAAGTCGTCGTGCGAGGGACGTCGGGTGCCTTTCGAGAAAGCCGATTTGCAAATAGGATTCAAGTAGAAACTGGACAAGGCCTTGGTCAAGTATGCACGAGGCAATTCATCAGCACAACACCGGCCCCAGAATAAGAGAGAGAAAAGAGGGTGGGAATCAAGGGATCCTAAGCGGCGGCGCGCGGCGATTGTGGCATTGCTACTCGAGCAAGCATCAACCAACAAAGACGAAGGGCTAGCCTACGCGCGCGCCTTTGGGGCTGCATGACGGCTGCATGAGACCGGGCCGAGCGGCTGAGCGTGTTGGTCGCTGTTGTCTGTGGGATACTCTGCCTGATGCATCAGAAAGCCTTGCCAGGCGTATCTCAATGCGCTCCGCAGCCTTAAGTATGCCTCGAGTCATGTTCCAAATTCATCAAGGGCGAGGTCGATACGCAGGTGATGCGGACACGGCGTCCCTTGCTGCAAGGTAATGGCGCCTCTCCCGTGAACTCTGTTCGTCTCCTGATCTTTCAGCAGCTGCCGCCAGCCTGTCAATTGGACATGAAGCGCAGAGCAGGGGTGGCCATAGACACGACCCTCTTTCTCTGTGTGCCTTACATCTTCCGGAGCCTCTCGAGGTCTTTACGCGTCGCTCGGCGTTGAGCAGGCAGGTAGGTGTGCGATTGGGCCGTTCCCCCGCCTCGCCATGGCATCCGTGTGCCGGTCCGAGGAAGCCTTGCGCCATGTCACATTGTGATGCTTGTGTCGAAGATCAAAGGCCTCGATTATCACTCATTCAGCGGAACGCTTCATGGAACAACCGGTCCCCAAATCACCGAGTCGCACCATTGTGATTTGATCTTGTGCCGCACAATAGTAGGTATTGTAGTCAAAGTAATTACATCAAAGTCTTAAATACAACAGTTTCGTACAAAGAATATACCGCAAAATCGCACTGATGCCGTTTATCCAGCATCCTTTAACTCCTTTCCCATGGGTCGTACACACACACACACACCATCATGTCCTCTCAAAGCAGCCGGGACGCAAAGCCACAAACTGGACTTTCAGTCGGGACCCAGCTCGCCCATGACGTATCCAATCTGCCTCCTGCCATGCACGCCGTTGCTCCCAAGCGTGCCGGCGAGCTGGTTCTGGCTGTCGACAAGCTTCTTCTGCTCCTTGAGCCGGTCCTTGGTGCGGTTGTCGGCGGCCTTGTCGAACTTCTCCACCTCCTCGCGCTCGCGCAGGCGGATGCTGCTGAGCTGGCTGGCATTGCCCACGCGCTCGTTGCCCATGTCGCGCTCCCACGCGAGCATGCGCGCCTGGTTCTTGGTCTCGAGACCCGCCTCGACTTCGCCGACCTCCTTGACGCGCTGGATCGACGCCCGCGTCAGGGCCTGCTGGTGGCTCATCTCGACGTTCTGCTTCATCCGCTGCTGCCGGAGTAGGGCGTTGAAGTTGTCCTCTTCCACACGCGCCCGCTCCATGATGGCAGACATGTCGCTCTGGTGGGCGCGCTTCTTGCGTGCGTCTTCAAGCTCCGCCTGGTCTGCCCAGATTTGTTGTTGTACAGCCGCCAGCTCCTTGCTCCGCTGCACTGCGAGCAGGTGCTCCTCGGCTTCCTTGCGGTGGCGCTCCACGCGAGCGCGACGTTCCTGTTCTTCAACTTGGATATGGGTGGGCATGCCGACAGCGTCGTCGGGCTGCGGGCCTTGGACCGCGTAGTAGACATCTGTGCCGCGGTTGTTGCGGAGCAGCGTGGTGAGTGGCGCCTTGAACTCCGAGTCCGGGAGGACGCGCTGGACGTACATGGTCGGCGAGTATATGAAGGTCCCGTCGGAGTACTGGTTGAATGGCTTGTTGACATGCTTCCACATGCCGGCTCGCAATAGTACTTTGGTCGTGGTCAAAGGATCAGCAGACTCGAGCGCCAGATGAAGCACAGTCTTGCCTTCAATCTGCAGGGTGATGTCTGTATCATTCTTGAGCAGAAACTCGATTGCCCTCTCCATTGCCTTCTCTCGTGCTCCAGCGATGGGGCCGTTGTCGGCAGCGTGTCGACATAGCTCCCCAAGGGCACTTCTGCCACCGTGTATCGGGCTTGGAAAGTCCGGGTCGTGCTCGTACTCCATGAGGACCTGGATCGCTTGCAGATTCAAGTCTCTTGCCGCGTTGTGCAGCGAGCCGTCGTTCTTGGACGCCCCTGCCGCCAAAAGGTTCGACATGATCTGTATTGATAAATCCCCGCCGATTGCAGATGCCATGGAAAGAGGCGAATTGCCAACGAAGTCGGCAGTGTCGACTTCAGCACCTGCGAGGAGTAGTGACTTGACAATGTCCTGCCGACGTTCTTGGATGGCGATCATCAGTGGGGTGATGTGGGAGACACGGGTCTCGAATTGTACATTGGCTGTTTCTCATGGTCAGCAAGAAGCATAAATGCCACATCCCACTTCTTTTGTCACTTGTTACTCGTCACTTGTCACAAGAACTCACCTCCGCGCTCAATCAGCAGCTGAATCACTGCACTGCTGATCTTCTTCTGCGGCTGAAGCAGGGCCCACATCAGCAGCGTCACCGGCTCCTCCTCATCAACTTGCGGCAGCACCTGGTAGTTGATCATCTGTTCGTGGTAGTAACCAGCGTCAAGCAGAGCGCCAAGAATCTTGGTTGACCGTGGAAACTGCGACAAGGCGCGGTACAGCACCGGCTGGGATCCTGGCGGCACCGACATGACATCAAGCTGATGCTTGCCATCGCTGTACTCGGTAAATAGGGTGATGAGCTTGCCCACCTCATTCTCGTTGACCTCCGCATCGAAAACGCTGGGGAACGCCCAGGTCAGGGTTTCTGAATTTGGCTTCTCCTGCAAGAGTCGTCGCAGTATGCCAGCGTCGCCGGCTCGCGCAGCCATCCGGAGGGTTTCGCCGTCGTTGTAGTTGACATCCGCACCACCATGCAGCAGGACCTCGAGGAATTTGAGCACGAGATCTGCCGTGTCGTTTTCCCGAGCGCCAACACAGCCAGCAAGAGCAGAATTGACCTCGGGCCCCTTGGCGCCATGCTCAAGCAGAAGTTTGGCAACTCCATAACCGCGTTCGGTCAGCCATGATGCGACATTGTCAGGCCCGAAAACACTGCCGAACGCGAGCGACGCATCAGCAGGAGAGACCCTCGCCTCCATGAGAGATGCGAATGCGGGCACCGGCAGGATCTTGGCTCCATCGATCAGGGTCCTGCAATCATTGACCACGGGAGACGCCCGGTTGTTGACCAGGACGTGAATGAGGTCCGCGTCAGGCTCCTCCTCATTAACAGCGCGGCCCAGTGCAGCATGCACGGCGCTTGGAACAGGCTTCCCTGCCTCGAAAATCCACTGCACTACCGTGAGTCTCGTCTTTGGGTTGAGGTCCCAGCTAGCGTCCAGAGCGCGCACCAACGTGTGCGACGATGGCTTCTTCTGCGTCACGGCAGGGTTCTCAGCAAGACCCAACAGGATCTTGAGATTAGCCAGTGAGGCAGTCCTGGCAGCCTTCTCGACAGCCTCACCATCGTTGTAGTCCGGGCTCGCGCCATATTTGAGCAGTAGTACGAGAAGGTCGGTGCCCAGCTCGCCATATCTCGCAGCGGAGATAAGTTGTGCGTGAACGACTTCGCCAGTGACACCCAGCTCCAACAGCACCTGGAAGATTTCCTCGCGTTTTTTTAGATCGCCAATCTCCGTCGCAGCCTGGAAACACTGCTGCAAGATAGCCTGGGGGACCTCTTGGTCGCCAGCTAGCAGCATCTGTAGCACATCAGTCGAGCCGGACTTGCACGCCGCAATAATGGCCTGGCCATTTCTGTGCTCGACACTGCCGCCGTTCTGGACCAGGATGGTGCCCAGATCGACGTCGCCGTCAGACGCAGCGGCGAGCAACGCGTCGGAGACGACTTCCCCTGAAGCACCGGCTTTCAGCAAACTGTTGCAAGAGAGACTGCGTGTTCTCCTGTTCCGACCAGTGACTGCCTGGGAGAAGCCCATGTTCAGGATGTCCTGGGAGAATTTCTTCTGTGCGAGGATCAGCTCCACTACATCGCCCTGCTCCGATTTGATGGCCTCGAGAAGGACTGTGCCGTCTTGCGTGTCAGCCACAGCCAGCATGGCTTCGATGAGGGGGATGTCATCGCGATACGTCTTGACCGCGAACACCAAGGCACGGTTGACTTCGCTTGGTGGTATGCCCCGGTCCAGAATCTTCTTTGCAAACGCCAGCCGTTCCGTCGGCTCCCGAATGCGCAGCGCGACGGGCATCGTGAACGCCATTGATTTCGCGTCTGGCTTCACTGACAGCAGAAGATCAAACAGCGGCTCGCTCTTGGCCGCGACAGCCACATGAAGGGCCTCGCCATGCTTGTAATTGACATCGGCGCCATTCGCCAACAGTGTTTGGACAGAAGCCAGATTCCTCTCCTTGGCTGGCATGTTGACCACTGCCCGCAGGTCACTGATCAGCAGCTGCGCAATTACTTCACGATTTTGCACAAGTGGAAGTAGGATAACCAGCTTTTCGCTCTTGAGACTTGAGGCAGGAACCTTGTGAAACCGCCGCACGGCATGCTCCAGTGTCGCCTGGGAAGGTTGAGTATGGTCAAACACCATCTTGAAGACCTCGAAGTCTGGGTTTTCCACGGCATGGAGAACCACGCTCCCTTCGTTGTTGTTGATGTCCATGCCGCTCTGTAGTAGCAGCTTCAGCAATGCCTTGTCGGTGGGTTGCTTTAGGATGACGGACGCCGCCGCCGATGCTACCGCGGGCCCACCGTGCGCAGCGCCAGCACGAAGCAGAAGGTCTACCATCTGGTACCGTATTTCGCTCTTGTCCGTGGCCACAGCCTTGAGGACTGCAGATGCTATGACGGCTGGCGGAGGTCCTGCGCCCAGCAAGCTTTCAAGGAGGCCCACGTCCTGCTGTGCGATTGCAGCATTGATAGCTCGTCCATCATTGACAGCGGCGTCTCCTGCGCAGGCTCTGAGCAGGATACCAAGAAGCTTGTCATCGCGATGTGGTGGAGTCTGCATGATCGCGCTCTCCAGTGCGGATTGCACAGTAGGTCCAGAGAGACCAGCCTTGAGGAACAGCTCGGTGATCTCGTGTCGTGCCGGCGGCGGAAGTTGTTGTGTTGTCAGAAAGATGTGTGCAAGGACGTCAGGTGATGGAGCATTGTTGTCCAAGATGGCCTTGGCGATGTCAACATTGGGTTTTGACAGGGCAATCTGCAAACCCAAGCCCCCTTTGTGGTTTGCTGAAGGCATGCCGTGAGCACGTGCAGGCATCCCTTCTGGAGTGAGGGAGTCTGGGTCGACAAGAAGCAGCACGGAATCAAGATCATCTGCCTCGACGCATTCCACCAAGGTCTCGTCGAGCTGTGGTCCCACTGCTCCCTCCTTCAAGAGCAGCTTGAGAAAGGACAGCCTGTCTTCCGGGCCGACATTCTTTGGCAGTAGCTCCAGGCATGTTGATGCTTGCGCCGCCTCCAGCCTTGAGCTGCCTCCCAACATCACCTGAAGCAAGTCCAGATTGCCCTTGGAAACAGCCCTCTTGGCAGCTTTGGCATCCGCGTAGTCGAGTGACGCCCCATAAGCGACCAGAAGACCGACCATCTCGTACAGCTCATTCTCACAGGCCGAAGCCAGATATGATGCCACGGGATCGCCGTTGGCCCCTATGCAGAGGAGAACCTCGACCATGGCCATCTTCTCGTTGGGTGAGATTGTCTGATGGTCCAATAGCTGCTGGAAAGCTTCATTGAGCCCAGGCTGGATCGGTGGCCGATTGCCCAGCGCAATGGCAAGCGCAATGTCTCTTCGGCCCATGGCCACCGCCGTCTTTAGCGCCGCAGCGCCATCATGGCTACCGTCTGCTGTCGATTGGCTAAGCTGCGCAACCGTCTCGGCACAGCCAGCCCTGGCAGCTTCCACCATGCATTGCGACACCCAAGAGACCGGCGGTCGGCCATCGGAAGAGAGGATGTGCCCGATGATCCCAGCTTGTCCACCCACGGCGCATGCCTGACGGAAGGCGTCTTGGCCGTCGGCCGTCTGCGCAGCGCCAGCGCCATACCGCACGAGCAAGGCCGTGATGGGCTCATGCTGCGCTCGTATGGCGATGGGGAGCGACGTGTCCAAGCTCAGGGTGTCGGCGTAGGGCAGAAGGACCTCGACAAGCTCGAGCTGGCAGTTCTTGACTGCCATCTGTAGGATCTGGCTGCGCTCAGCCAAGTCCAGGCTCTTCCTCCGGCTAAGCAGGCCGGACCGGCTCTTGTTCTGCTGGAGGTTGAGGTTGCCGCCGACCATCTGCAGCTTGGCGACGAGGGCCTCTGCGACACCTGGGGAGCCGCGATCGGCGACGTGGGCGACGAGGGCATTGTAGATCTCCTTGTACTCCCAGCCCTTCTTCTTGGTGGTGAAGGCGCGCGAGATGCTGCCCCTGGACTGGTGGTCGGCATGCGACTCGACCATGCGCTGCCGCTTCAGCAGCTCCTCAGCCAAAGTGTCGTCTTGCGGGGTGCGGTGCGAAGGCACGCCCTCGGGCCTGGGCAGGGGCGAAGGCGGGGGCTTGGTGAAGCCGATGCCCCATTGGTGCGACAGCTGGAGGAGACGGCGATAGCGGTCGTCGACGCTGTGGCCGCCGCCGCCGTTGTTGTTGTTGTTGTGGCTGCCGAAGCCCGGGCTGGCCGGAACGGGGCTCAGGCGGAGCGCCGGACCGGGCACGGCCAGCGTCATTGCTGCTGCTGCTACGGCGGTAGAGAGCCAAGGCGAGGCAGGCTTTGCATGCTAAGCAGCCGTGTTGCGCAGCAGAATGCAGGATGCCGGCTCGCTGCGCACGCTTCGCTGGATGCTGCGACAGGCGCGGGCGGGCGGCTGGGGGAGGCCCGGATGGCAGCACGGGAGGCAGGACTCTGGCGGCGAAGCCCTCTTAGCGAGACGGCATGACTCTGGCCGGCTCCGTGAGGTGGTCGCGGGGCTGCAGATCAGCGATCTGTGCGCAGTCAAGGCGTTTGGAGTCTGGGTACTCCGTGATGAATGACGCGACGACGAGTGCAAGCAGAAGGGCACGTGAGTCTCTGCCGCCTGGCGGATAATTTTTTTGAGCGCCGACAGACGTCGCAGCGTGGCTGGTTGGGTTTCTGAAACGAATGCAACTCTGAGCCGGGTCGCGAGGTGGGCGGGTACCGCGAGGTGGTGCTTCTTGATGATTAGAATGCTAGGAGATGCGGCTAGCAGAGAATCAGTCAGTGGCTGGGGCATGATGATAATATGGACGACGACACGCAGCGAAGAGCGAGAGCGAAAGGCATGGACGGACGGCATGCTGCAGCTAGCCTGGGGCCAACACCAACACCAACATACGACAAACGAGAGGCGGGGGACTGTGCTCACAAGATTGCGGTAATCCCAACGTGCCGTGTCTGGGCGACGCGCGAGCTTCCACGCTTCCAACGGTTGTCTGTCGAGAGGGAGAGAGGGCTTCCTGAGTCACGGTGTCGATGTGGTAGGATCCGGGGGCAGGTGCGCGTCTCGTAATCTCAGGATCGACCTGGGTACGTACGCTTAATGTCGCTCCTTCTTCTTCTCTAGATTAATGATGTGAAGTCGAAAGAGATCAAAGTCGATATGGATTCCTAGCTCTGCTCTGCTCTCCCTGGACCACCCGTCGGGCCATGTCAGTTAGCTAATTAATTCCAACGGCTCACCCGCCGGGCCATGCCATAAACTTTAAAGGCAGGAACTGACCCCAGGCCGAAGAACGCGGCAGCCTGGCGGCGTGCGCAGCGCAGCCGCCCGATTCGGCGTCACAGGATGCAAGTGATCTTCGCAAGCCTGCTCGTAACAGGAGCTAATTTGCACTGCCCAATTCCGCGCAGCAGCGGGATGACACCCCCCCTGGTCCGGCACACACACACAGTCTACGGGTAGTGTAGTGTTGGCGCGATGGGGTGGCTTGCGCGGGCGGGCGGGTGCTGGCGCGCCGCAAAAGCAAAAGACCTTCCTTTTTCTCCCGCGTCTTTGTTTCTTGCTCGTGCGCAAAATGCCCCGGGCGGCAGCGGCGGCACGTCATTTCTTCACCGGTAGAAACAAGTTAAAAACAGCTCCTATCAAGTGCAAACGTTGATAAACACTGACCATGCCCATGCCCAGCCCATGCCACACCCAGGGGATCACGCTCATGTGCCTGAACCCCCACTGAGAGCACACTCTCTCCACATTCAAACGCTCATGCCGTCCGTTCCCCAGAGATCCCAGTGGCCAGTAATTAATAGGGTGCGGAGTCTAAAGGAGCCATCCCATCCCATCCCATCCCATCCCATCCCATCCACCCCTGGCAGGACCGTCTTCGACCAGTGCGATGGTGCCTGGGCACTGCCGTCGACGCACGTACGTGTGTACGTACTTTATGCACCGCCCACCAAGCTGACGACGACTGAGCTGCAGCAACTTTCGGGATGAACCCAAAGGCTTCCAGAAAATGCCGTGTCCAGCCTGCCAGTTCAGTCGTGCGTGCAAGGACAGTTGACCCGATAGTCGGCCCCAGTCCTTCTGCACACACTATCATTTGTGTTCTCAATCAATGCTACGTCAAGCAGGGATATCCGATGCAGACTGAGGCAGGCCTTGCTCAGAGACCGATAAGGCAATCACCCAGATCCTAATGCTTGTCAAATACTTGGGGGATCTATGCTTTCGGATTTTTGTATGCATATCTATGGTCACCACGTGGGCTCTCTCTACGACAACTGCTCATCCGCTTCCAGCTCAAAATCTCTTCTTTACGACGAGGGGGTCTTGATGGAAGCAAGGAGCTCCGCCGGGGGCTCCTGGCGGTAGCCCTGAGGGTTGTTGGACACCCACCGCCACAGGTCGTTGCAGGCCTGCTCCACGCTCAGTTCCGTCTTCCAGTTGAGCTCGTTGTTGGCCCGTGTCGGGTTGGCCGTCAGGTCGAGCACGTCGCCCTGTCGCCGGGGCACAACCTCGTAGGGCAGGTCGCGACCGACAGCCTTGCTGAAGGCCTTGACAATCTCAAAGACGGTGCTGCCGCGGCCGGAGCCCAGGTTCCACGCGGTGACGCCGGGCTTCTTCTCGCGCAGGTAGTTGAGGGCAACCAAGTGTCCGCGGGCGAGGTCCAGCACGTGGATGTAGTCACGGATGGCGGTGCCGTCGCGGGAGGCGTAGTCTGCGCACAAAGCCAAGTCAGCGGGTTTGATTCCTCAGTGGCGCGCGTGTCCGCCAAAGGCACTCGGAGCTTGTAGTGATTCTTACCGTCACCAAACACCAGCAGCTTCTCGCGCTGGCCGGTAGCGACCTGGCCGAGGAGGGGGAGCAGGTTGTAAGGGACTCCCTGGGGGTCCTCGCCCATGATGCCGCTGGGGTGGGCGCCGCAAGGGTTGAAGTAGCGCAGGTTGGCGCCGTTCCACTGCTCGTACGGCTTCTCGGCCTTCTGGGCGTTCTGGCGCTCCGAGTTGATGAAGTCCTCGATGATCTGCTCGACAAAGGCCTTGGTGTGGCCGTAGGTGTTGGTGGGGCCCTTGGGGCAGTGCTCGGGGATGGGGATCATGTTCTCGAAGCGCGTGGCGTCGCCGTAGACGGTGGCCGAGGAGGAGAAGACAATGTTGGGGACGTTGTGCCTCTTCATCGAGTTGAGAAGGTTGACAGTGCCGCTGACGTTGACGCGGTAGTAGTCGAGAGGGATCTGGCCAGACTCGCCGACGGCCTTGAGCGCGGCGAAGTGGATGACGCTGTCAATCGCCGGGTTCTCGTCAAAGACCTTGTCGAGAGCCATCTCGTCCGTCAGGTCGGCCTTGTGGAACTTGGGGCGGCGGCCGCAGAGGAGCTCGATGCGGTCGAGGGCGACCTCGGACGAGTTGTAGAGACTATCGACAATGACGACATCGTAGCCATTCTCGAGCAGGGCGAGCGAGGTGAAGGAGCCGATGTAGCCCGTGCCACTGGAGGGGGTTCAGGGGTGTTAGCGAGGGGTCTTGCTGGACAACAAGGCATTGTTGCCGGTGCTGGGGTCTGGCGAAGCATACCCAGTGACGAGGACGGTTCCGACAGGCATGATGGGCGATTGCAATGGGTGAGGCTTGTGCAAAATCTGAGGTTGAGGGGTAGAGGTTGGGAGGAAGAGGGAAACAAGAAGCGAGAAGCTGGCTGCGAGGTGGACACGGACACGGCGCCGAGGAGGTTTAGCAGACGGGGGGAGCACACCACCCTGCCGCACCACCTTGAGTGATCGCCATGGCAGCAGCACACAGCAGTGGCAGACTCTGAGGAGTGCGACGTCGTGGCGGCAACGTGTGCAGGACAATGCGAGCCTGTTGGCTGCGCGCCTGGCTGCCCCTCCCTGAACCGGCCACCACCGCGAGCCCCTCCAGCTTGAGCGCCATGCCACCTACAGCCGTATTTACCCCTCTGGAGCAAGCAGGCAAGCAGTGAGCCGTCAGGTCAGGGGGAAAAGGGAAAAGGGGTCCACCCGGCACGGTGGGTCGACCCAGGGCGTAATCATAACTCTAAGATGAATGGTCTTGTTTTCCACCCGCCCGTCGCCTCGTCGGGCTAGCGAAGTCGACGGCTTTTATTGTTCCAGAAGACAGCCGTGCCGAGCACCTGGCGGTGTCTCAAATGCCATGCGGCAGCTCGCCATCTGCGAACGGCAGCACTGGTTGTGGGACGACATGGAGAAAGGAGAGCACGGCTGCAGGAGCACGCACATCCATCTCAGGCATGGAACCGGGGGCATGGTTCTTCACCGCCAGAGCAAACTGTTCCGCTGCGGCCATGTCTGCAACTCTGACGCAGATGCCACGCGGTGCGGCATGCTGTCACCGGCGCCACTGTGAGTGCTTCGAGGGCTTCCACGAGGCACGTCCGGGTTCAAGGTCGATTTGAGCGGGTCGACAGAACAAGATGATGACTTGGGACACAGACAGACGTCCGGCGGCCGTCCTCGAGATGCAGTCCATGATGCCTTTTGGGAGAGAAGCAATGTCCAGAAACATGCAGCTTGGTGGCCATGATGTGATGCATGGCCCAGAGGTACCTCGACCTTGAGGGAAGTGGCCTTGGGAAGGTCTCCAGGGCTGTACCGTGGTACCTAATGTACTTCAGGTGCGTGTACTTGGCCTATGTAGGAGGCTGGGTATGGAGTGCAAGGCCTGTCACCGCCAGATTGGTGAGTGAGTTGTCTCAATGAGGACAGCGCAAAGTGGGCCCTGGAGAGCCGTTCGCGCCTTCCGCCCAACCATCCGCCCAACGGGGTCCACATCAAATGTGCACTCACTCTTTGGCGCCCCACTGTGATGCGCGCGACCTCTGCCTCCCGCGACGCAACTTTGACCCTCATTTTGCGAGGCGCCAGCGCGCGCCAGCACAGGCAAGCAGTCTCTCCATCCCCACGATCCGCAGAGCTCTCTCCGCCACGGCCCTCCCGGCTGGCCGCCTTGATCTCGACAGCTTGCCCCTGTCGCAGAGCCCGGGCTGCTTTCGCGACTTTTGTCTTTCTCTTTGTTCGTCTCGCTGTTGCCTTCCCGCTTGCGCCGGTGCTTGGGAGTCTGATTGTTGCTGGCTGCTTTGCGACTCGCCATTTCATTGAGCTCCACTGCCTCATCGCCTGGTCTTGCGCGCGCAATCTCAGCTCACTTCACTTGCGCGCCGAAGCTGCTTGCTCTCCTTTGGTCACGAATACGCACGCCCATTCACAAAAGGCGGTGCAAAGTGGTCTATGTAGCCGTCACTTTACAGCAAGCCGCATCAAGCAGTACAGCAAGCGCAAACAAAAGAAAAGCACAGCCTTTGCGACAGATTGGAAGGCCCCATTCAGTCGCATTCACGCCACCACACACAGCAACAAAGAAATTGGATTATCGCATTTTCAACCTGCAAGCTGGAGCCCCCGTTGGCCTTCATACAGCGCGTCTTGCAAAATCACGCCGCCGCCCCTCTCCAAATCGCCCTTTACACGCGGTTTTGCTCAGCTCTCTCCGTCGACGTTGTACTTGTGCCTCACATGATCTTCACGACGACGACAGAGATTTGATTACTTTTGATTTCAACCTCGCTTCACAAGGGCTCTGTACCAGCATCCCTGCCAGACTATAAAATGTCAACGCGAAGGACAACACGGGCGACCAGCGCGCGGCTGCCCACGCCCGCAGCTAATGGAGTCCAAGGCTCACCCGAGAGCCCATATGACTTTGCGGCCACCCCAAGACAGTCCGCATCATTGCGGGCAAGACGGGGCACCACACGCCGTGCTAGGTCCCCAGATGCAGTACAGCATGTCGTCCTGCGTGAGCCAAAAGGCGCAGACACTCCAGACATGCAGTCCAGGTTTGACAACTCGTACGGCAACAACTCCTTCATCGGCCTGGAGTCGGCGTCCAAACGACGAGGGACAGGCGTCCGCGCCGGGTTTGATGACGAGGACGAAGAAGACCGGCGCTTCCAGGAGCAGTTGCGCGGAAAGCCGGGCAAGTACATTGCGCAACAGAACCTGAACGACGCCATTGATGAGACGAGGAAGGAGGCTGCGCGTGAGACCGAGCCTGTCGAGGATGTTGTCCAGAATGACGCTGCGGACGCCGCCGAGGACAGCCAGGAGCTTAGTGACCCTCTGATGCTTGACGAGCCTGAAAGCCCAGACGACCAAAATCCCAGCCCGCCACAGAACGGAATTCTCCCTTCGCAGGGCCAGATGCTGCCACCGCCAGTACCCGCCAGTCAGATGCAGATCTCGCCAGAATCGCCCGCTCGCCTGGACTCTTCAAGAAGCTTCAATCACGAGAGCGGCCTCTTCGAGGATGCCACCCTACACACGCCGGTCAAGGAGCCAACGAAGGCGATGCCCTCGGTTCCAGAAAATAGGCCGATGAGCAATGGCCTGTCACCTAGAAATTGGCTGCCCAGCGCCTTCTCGCGCTCGACTCTGCCTTTCGTGAGGTCAAGCCTGAGAAAGACCACAGCATCTTTGCGCCACAACGCACCGCTGCCACAACTATCCAGGCCTGTCTCGGCTGCTGAAGCGCCCGAGCAACAGCAGAACGGGATCAACACGAACAACGCCGACAGTAAACCATCGCAGTCGGAGAGCGCGTTGGCGGATGATGAGCTCAAGGAAGTGATGAGGATTGTCATGGGGCGCAGGGGCCAGTCAAGCCCGCGCGCTGAAGACATACACCACCCACTGGACGACCTCTCTCGTGAAGAAACGGAAGAGGTAGTCACCTACATCACGCAAACAGGAAGAAGTCGCGCTGCGGCTCGCCGGCTTTGCAAGACATTGCCAGTGTTGGCGGAGCGGATAGCGAGGCCGACAGCGAAGTCTCCTGCACCCCGCCAATCAGAAGAACGTCATGTGACACGAAATGAAGGGGCTACTGCGATTCAGGCACCCTCCGAAAAGGACACTTTGGGAAGCCAAGCACGCAGTGGAACGATACCACGCTCACCAGTGTCCTTGGGAGAGGTGCCCAGTAGACAGGAGCAGCGTCCCCGGTCTCGGGGGTCCACTCCAATGTCTCCATCCGTCCCAACCTTTTCAGATCGGGTACTCCGCCAATATTCGATATGGTCTGGCAGGCTGGGGTCCTTGCTGTCTGTTTTTGGCGTGTTCCTCTTGGTCGGGCTGGCTTCATCTTTGCTTCTGATGTTCTTGCAAGCGGCGATCGCCCCAGCGGACGCCGAGCTGAGCACATTGACGAATTTCAAGCATAGCATCGCCGAGGTCCTCCCGACCCCTGTGCAGCAGATTCTTTCTGACGGAGACTTGGGCCACATCTGGAGCCGGCTCAGACAGCATGACTCGAAGATTGCGCAGCTGGTTGGCGACGATGCCTCCATCAGAAAGACCGTTGAAAGTCTGAAGTCGAGACTTCCCGAAAAGATCTACATTTCCACCAACAAGGCCGGCAAGCCGGAGATAACGCAAGACTTCTGGCACGCTCTTAGGGACAAGATCAAAGCGGACGATCTTATCGTCACCTTGGAGAATGCCAAGCAAAGCTCGCCAGAGATCTCGGACACTTTATGGCGGGCAGTCAAGTCTCGATTTGAGGCAGACGAGGTGTTGGGGTCCATCAAGAATCCCGCAGGCTCTGGAGTTACAACAGAAGACCTTGAGAAAGTGGTGGACAATAGGCTATCGAAGTCCTGGGAAAGCTGGCAAGAACGCAACGACGCAGCCTTGCGCGACCTGCTTGCAGATACGGTCAAGGGCACCGCAGTGCAGCGTGACGAGTTCATCACGCTGTTGGAGAAGGAAGTGTTGGCGTACAAACAGGAGATCCAGCACGAGCTTGTGGCGGTAAACAGCCGTCTCTCCGCACTGCAGAAGGACTTGGACAAGATTGGAAGCCAGACGCCGCCGGGCGGTATGACGAGGTGGGACGTGCAGTCCATGATTTCAGCCACCATTGAGAGCCTGGTCAACCAGGGCGGTCTCGATGCGATCGCCAATGGCCAAATCCGTGGACATGCCGCTTCCGAGCTCTACAACCAGGTCAACTTCTTCAGCCAAGGTAGCGGTGCCGTCATCGACCCCGGCCTGACATCGAAAGCATGGACGCCTCCGTCCAGTGCATTCAAGTCCAAGAAGTACATGGATCGCGACGGATACAAGCCCCAGCCAGCGAGCGCCGTCTTGAAGGCTTGGACCGACGAAAACGAGTGCTTCTGCGCCGCGCCGTTGCCAGAGAGCCGACACCACCAACCGAGCGCCGACTCCAGCAAGCCGGCACAGAACGCCATCAGCGTCCTCCTCAGCCGCGACATCGTGCCCCAGCATCTCGTCGTAGAGCACATCCTCCCCGGCGCCACGCTCAACCCAGGTGCCACACCGCGCACCATTGAGGTGTGGGCCTACATCGAGGAGATGAACCTGCGGCACGAGGTCGAGGTTTTCTCGCGGACCCAGTTCCCCAGCACGCCGGCGGAGAAGGTCCTCAACGAGGGCTTCCAGAAGATCGGGCACTTCACGTACCAGCAGGCCGGCGGCAGCGGCGGCGCCCTGAGCGACCACGGCGTGCAGGTGTTCAAGATCTCGGACGAGCTGAGCCGCATGGGCGCCGTGACCAACCACGTCGTCGTGCGCGCGCTAGACAACTACGGGGCCGACCACACGTGCTTCTACCGGCTGAAGCTGTACGGCGAGAGACCTGGACAGCAGGAGGGCAGGCGGGGTTGGCACGAAGAGGACATGCGGGAAAGCACCCACTACTCCTACACAGGAAAAGAGGCCAGAGGCTCAGAGGAGAAGAAGAAAGGGTGGTTCTCGTGAGCCGCTTCAAGGGGAGCGAGCGGGTAGTTCGTTGGTGGAAGCAAAGCTTTAGGCTGCGCGCGTTGTGTACTATTTCTTTCAAGATGAGCCAAACAAAAGATATGACTACCTTTTTCTTCGTTTGTCTTCGTTTGTCTTCGTTTGTCTTCGTTTCATTACTTGTCAGGACCCCCGCTGTCGTGAATGGATGTGACCAACGCGCTTGCTTGCTGCATGCTTCTTGTGTGCACGAGCATTAAATTGGACTGAGACTGTAGAGTTGAGCTCAGTCCTGTGCGATGGCGAGCATATTTGCTGTGAGTTTGATCCAAGCCCGGCGCCTTGTGGACGAGCGTGCCTGGTTTCGAGCTCTCCGTCTTCGAGGACTGGAATGTTTTTCTACTTTATTTCTCTTTGTCCTGTAAAACTTCAAACCGAGACAAACGAATGGCACATTCTGCATGAAACAATCATCATTCCTCATCACCGGATCCTTTATTCTGTTTTTTTCTTTTTCGTATTGTATTTTCCTTTTAACATAGAAATAAATAGATTGTGTTTTGGTCAAATCCCCATCTTGCCTTGTTGTTTACTGCAAAGAATACCCCCCCCTCGCCCGTGGTTGATAAATAACGATGCAAGATCTGGCTTGCGAATTGGCTGGATAATCCCATATAATCGTACAACTCCTTCCAAAGGAAGCGGGGGAGAAAGAGAAGGAGAAGAAAATATGTATGAAGCCTGGGACGCCTATGGCATCCCTTCACTCTCTCCACTCATTGCGAAGGCCCCACACATCTTCAGCTTCGATGAGTATTTTCAAAGAAAACCTTCCCCTCCGCATTTGTAAATGTTTTTTCGCTACTGAAGATGAAGAATATCTTATTGTTGTACGCCTTGTACGCCTGCTAAGTGTAGTATGTATGTATGGATATGTAGTCTATACATCCAAGATGATGACCAACACCACGATGCCCCTGAAATCTGCCCCCTTTGCAAAATGAGCCCACATGAATTTGAATTGTCGCTTTATCGTGCCGTGGGAATCCTCCTCTATCTCGTAATCCACGCCGGGGTGCCGGGGACGGGAGGGAGGTACGCGAGCCGTCCGAAGCGCCATCTCGTGTAGTTGGGCAGTCACCCTTGCTATATTTGTCGACGCCCGTGCCGTCGCCGCCACCGTCCAGGATGGGCCCATCGTTCTTGACGGACATGTGAAGCCTTTGCAATGACCTCTGGCAGCATCCTGGCTGTGTGTATTCGGGCGTTTGAACCATCCAAGAAACGTTTCTGCCAGCTGGGCGACAACTACACCTTGCGCAAGCTGTTTTCTTCCCACTCCCATGCAAGGCACGGCCCGCGAAGGATCCGTATCCACGTCCCCCGCCTGGCTTCATCCTCTATTCCCCCCCTTCTCTCTTTCCGAGCCTTCTTTGAAAACCAGTAACCCGCTTCTTGACGTCGTCTTCCTCGCGTCCCTCTTCTTCTTCTTCTTCTTCTTCTTCTTCTTCTTCTTCACTGTCCAGGGCAAGCCCATCACGGCTCATTCCCTACCCAGACGCTCCTCATCGTCGTCCATGAGCTCATATGCCGGCCGGAACCCGGTGTTTGTGGGCTTGCCCTCGTGCGCCTTGAGCGCCGGGTTGGGCAGGGTGTCGTCGGTGCCGCCGAGCGAGGTGTAGCCCATGTCGTAGAGTGGGCAGTAGGGGACCTGGAGGGCGCGGATGAACTACACGCCGTTTGGGCAACATGTTAGCAGAGCGCCTTTCTGTGTTTGCAACGAGGTGGGCAGTGTGAGGATGGCCGCGCCGCGCAGAAGGTCAAGTGAAAAGGGAGAACAAGGGGGAGAGCTCGCTCGGGAAACTTACGCCCCAGATCTCGCGGTAATGCCAGTCAATGACCGGGTGTATCCGCATGAAGCGCGGCCAGTCGCGGTCCGTCTCGTCGAAGAAGGTGAGCTTGCCGCCGTGGGGGTCGGTGCGGCGGGTGCCGACGAAGACGGCCTTGATGTTGGGCTTGTCGGCGAGGTAGTCTGCGAGGGCGGGCTTCATGGGCTTGTCGCTGGTGGCGAGGTCGAGGTGGTAGTCTTTTGTCGACGAGGCGACAAAGGCGTCGACCTCGGGGAAAGGCTGCGGGGGCCGGATGTAGAGCGCTTGTAGGGATGTCGGGAACGCGCTGGGAGCCGAGGGTGAAGAGAAGTGCGCGGGCAGGCGGGCGAGGAGGAGGAGGAGCAGGACGAGGCAGTCCTTGCCGCCGTTATAGGAGAGGGAGAGCTCGTTCGGCTGATAGCGGCGGAGAGCGTCGTCGACGACGTCGTTGGCGATGCGGACCTGGGCCTGGACGTCGCGCAGGATGGGGTCCTGGGTGGGTGTGCCCAGGAGGGCCTCGACCCTGGCGTGGAGGGCGTGGCAGAGGGCCTCGAGGCTGTGCGATGGCGGGACGGCGGCGACGGAGGAGGAGGAGGAGGAGGTTGTGCCGTTGAGAATGGGCGGGGCGCCGCCGGGGGCCGAGGCCGGGTCGTCTGGCGAGGTCATGGCGAGGCGATGGCAGGAAGGAGGAAGGAGGAGGAAGGGGTGGCTGCTGCTGCTGGATCTGGACAGAGGAATGCGCCGAGGGCGGAGAGGAGCAAGAGTCGAGGAGGAGGCCGTCGTCGTCTTCAGGAGTGGAAAGTGAACGAGTGTTGTCGAAGAGGTGTCTCGTCAGCGCCGGCGTGCCTGCGTGCCTGCCTGCCAGGGCCAGGGACAGTCTGCAGCATCAATGGAGGGGTCGTCGCAGTGCCGGGCCAGCACATCCGCAGCCGGAGCAGCAGCAGCAGCAGCAGCAGCAGCAGCAGCCGTGCGCCGGCCCGCCCGGGAGGACCCTCGCTCTCGTCCAGCCCATCACTTCTCCCGCGTCGCCTGCCTGGCGCAACAAGCACTCGGCTCATGGGTATCATCATCATTACTATCAACAAGGTGGTGCTGGGGCACAGCTCCATGCCAGCCAGACACCTAGGTAGGTACCAAGGTAATATACTTCAAGTACAGAGCCTGCCGCTACGTCGCGAGAATCAAGGGCGACAGACACCACGCCACCAGCACAACGCCCACGGCGACCACAATCCACCACACCTCGACCGTCAGCGTCGCCCGCAGCCATTGCTTCCACCGCTCACTGAGCCGCCGCCGGTGTGTGCACGCCGGCGTGCCGTACACCAGGCAGCCGAGCCCCGGCCGCGACTCGCACTCGAGGTGCTCCCGTCGCCGCTGCATCAGCAGGCGCACCGAGCCCCGGCAGAACTTGAGGTCGGAGCCCAGGTCGCACCGCCGGTCGTTGGGACACTCGAGGTGCAGGCTGCGCCGCTCGATCAGCCAGTCAATCTTGAGCCGCACCCCAGTGTCCACCAGCAGATACAGGTACCGGCACGTGTGCTTGAGAGAGAGCGCATCCGGGTAGATGAGGTACCTGCTGATGGCCAGGTGGATCTCGGGCGGCAGGTCGTGGAATGATGCTTGGTGGTGGTGGCCATCAGTGGTGTTGGCAGCCGACTGTCTGGAGCCGTGGCTGGCGCTGGCTGCTTTGCTGACGACAGGCCTGGTCTGTCCAACCCTCTCTTTGCTTTGCAGGAAGCCTCGCATGATGGCTGAGAATGTCAAGAGGTCGTCTCAAAGTTGCTTTGACGTGTGGTGAAGATGATTGCTGTGGCACCGACGTGTGGGGGATGTTGGAAGCGTGTCTTGTGTCTCGACATTCGGGGTGCCGTGCCGGTGTCTGGAATGCTTGACGCTGGCAAGAAACAAGTCCAGAGGCTGTCCTTATATGAGGGACGCCTTTGTCTGCTGCCTGTCGATGATGAGCGAGTTGCGATCTGTACTGTTCTGTGCTGTCCGCATGCGAGAGAGAGGGCGGCCGTGCTCGCACAGACGTTGCGCCCTCTGTCCCACCACCTGCCAGCCGTGGAGGCTGAGCAGTTACGAGCTGAAGACCCAGGGTTCGCCAGCCGCCATGTTTGCCTTGCCCTTGAACGAACGAATGAGCCCTCGACTGGATGAGCGTATGCCGCACGAGCGAGGCTTGTGTGGTTTCCCCTGACTCGACCGGACACGAGGAGCGGCACACCGCGTGCTGACCTTGAAGCGCCGCCCAAGTGTGGGAGAGAGCCACCGTGGGGCGTGCCTGCTCCTCCTGCAGGCAGCAACTCACCCTGGCAGTTACAGCCCTAGAGCGCTCTCCACATCGCTGAGCTGAGGTCAGTCCTCGATCATCCATGACGGACTGCAGACAACACACAGCCAAGGCCTTGCTCTCCCGTTTCTTTCAAGGTGGTGGTGCATGGTTGCCTCATGCCGTCTTTGCTTGTTGTCAAGTGCCTGCCTGCCTGCGGTCACGTGCCGACGCGCCTGTCTGGCGGCCACCACACACCACCTCCCCGCTTCCCATCGCGCTCCACGGCCAGCTTGCCTCTCTCTGCCATCATGAGTAATGCATGATCCGCACACTCTGCCCCCGAGCCTACATCCCTCCCTTCTCAAGTCGGCCATGGTCTCCTCAAACGTCCCAGCCAACTGCAACGACAGTGACTACGGGTCCGACTTCTCCGACGGCGAGGCCGACATCGTCAACAGCCTCCTCGAGAGCCTCCACGCTGTCCGTGCCGCTACAGAGAGCCCGGCCCCCGTGCTCGCCTCCCCAAGCGATGCACCAGTACTCGAGGTTGTGCCTGCTGCCCTGGACCCGTCTCCCGCTCTCCCAGACGCATATCTTGCAAAGAGCTCTTACAGCCTGCGCAAGAGAGCCCACGGCCCGTACCCGACCAGGTCATGGCATCGCACGCCGCCGGAGCTCGTCCAGCTCCCGGATCGTAAGTACTGCCCTGCATACATCTCGTTCCTGGAGTGTCACCCACGATCCCACTCGGCGTGTCTGACTGACTTCCAGCGCCTAGTGAGCCGCTCACCACCCGGCCTGCACGGCGAGTTTACCTCGAGGCAAACCCAGGCTGAAGTAGATGCCCAACCGGAAAACCCAGAGCAATTAGCAGCAAGGTCGCCCTTGGAGCGCTTCCGGTCCTTCCCCAGAAAGCCTCTGACGGTGACGGACCTCTCCTCTGGTGCCTGGTGTGAACTCCAATACGCCTACGTACTCACGCGGCTTCCAGGTGGCCGTAAAACTCGCACCGCGGCCATGCGCGGCGGCTCCGCTGTCCACCAGAAGCTCGAGGACCAAGTACATACGGCCGTCCGTGTCTCAGTAGCCCGGAAAGAGGAAGCCTTTGCACTCCGCATGTGGAATGTTATTCAAGGGCTACGCACCCTCCGGGACACTGGCATGACCAGAGAGTTCGAGGTCTGGGGCACCATCGACGGGCAGCTTGTCAACGGTGCCATTGACGAGCTCAGCTTCGCTTGTCCTGTGGATGAGGTCGAGCCACTAACAGGCGACGCACGCTCCCCAGCACCTGTGGACAGATCTGGTAAAAAGCAAACCCCAATCTCCAAATATCTCGGCTCTCATCACCGGCAGGTATACCTTCTGGACGCCAAAACCCGTGGGTCAACAAAGCTCCCCACCGGAGCAGCGTTGCGCCCCACCAAAATACAGCTCTTTCTCTACCACCGTATGCTTTGTGAGATGGCAGCCGGCAAGCTGGATCTGCCCGCCGTCATGGCTCGTTATGGCCTGGAGGCCGAGGTCAGGTTCTCAGACACGTTCATGGCCCAAATAGGCAGCCTGCACGACGACATCTTCGACGATGCCGATTCAGATAGTGACGGGTCTGAAGCTCCGGAGGATCGTCAGGATGCCCGGCCCAGCCTTGATGCAACCCCTGCTCTCGCACCACCCCTGTCCATTGCGACAGACTTTATCAAGTACCGCTGCCTCAGCCAGCTCGTCCCGCTGTTGCTCGAAGAGATCAGCCTCACATTCCCCCAGGGCGCGAGCAACGTTGCAGACCTTCTCTGTGTCCAATATAGACATCGGGAAGATGGTCGGGTCGTTGGGTCAACAACCTTTATGGCCGACACGGGAGCTCTTGACAATTACATCGCAAAGAACATGCAGTGGTGGCACGGTCGGCGAGAGCCGGAAGGCGTGCCCATTGAGGAAACATACAAATGTGGCTATTGCGAGTTCGCCGAGACCTGCCAGTGGCGGATGGATAAGGAGAAGGAGATCTACGATAGAAAGCGGGCCAAAGCAACAGACAGGACAGGCAAACAATAATTTTTATGTCAGTCCGCCCTGACAAGGCTGTCAGGCATCGGTATGGTCGATGCATGCACCAACATGCATGTCTTGTGAGGATCGAACTGGCACCGTCACGGTTTTCCTTTTTCCACGCTGCAGAAAGTCGCCGCCCAACGGAAGGGATTCTAGAACGCGACTCTGAACTTACCGAACCCCTGAGTGTCATCGGGATGTCGCCATGCTAGTCATACTGCCATCATTTAGCCCGGGCTTTGGCGCCTTCCATGCGAACTGCTGGATGTCGCCGTCGGCGGGGCTAGCCAGCAAGAGTAACGCCCGCTTAAGCCTTCTTCCCGACTGAGGGCAACCTCCGCAGCCAGCCCGCGCACGGAGCATGCTCAGGGGCTCAACACTACCACACGTGTTGGCCTTCTGGGTGGCGCTAGTGCCATGCCAGAACCGCTAGCGCCCTCCCGGGGATCTGTAGATCGTCAGGGTTCCGGTCCACTCCCCAGACCACGATGACTCGCTGATCGACCATGGATGTGCTTGGACTACCAACTCAGGTGGGAGACATCGTGAGATCTCCCACTTGTGCGGTCCACATTGCTAGCAAAGATACTTAAAAAAAAAAAGCAATACTGGCTCTCCCAGCGCGCGTTGTCGCCTAGCATCATGCGCACCAAACAGGCGTTCGGCTTTTCGTTAGCTTTGCCACAAGCACGACTAGCCAGCTAGCCACCCACCTTGGGCATTGCAACAAAGAAGCTTCATTATTGCAGCTTGTTGGTTGCATGCGCAAACCTCAGCCTCACGGCAGCATGTCCGGCGAGCGGCGAGAGATGGTCTGCAAGAGCGTCAATCATTGGCGCCTGTTCGAGCCCCCTCCCCAGGCACCCTGGTCCTCAGCCCTCTGTCATGCTCAAGCCTGGCTGCTGGGGCCTTTGAATGGGGTCAGGTCACCAGGCCGGACCTGAAAGATACGATACCACACCAGAGCTCTACGATCATGATCTTACACGGGCGACCCTTGGTGCTTTAGCTCGTTTCTCATTGAGCGCGCGGGAGTGCACCCTCCACCGGGGTCCACTGGGCAGGCGAGCTAACACGACAGGCGAAATGACGCTCGAGAACGCCAGGTTATCGGGCGCAAGACAGAGTGTGCCTGCTCCATAGGCATGCAAGATCAGATCCACTGGCCATAGCACCTTGGATCGGTAGCGCGGCGGCGTCCACGGGCGTGCGCTTTTGACAATATACGAGTCAGGAGCTAGCGGCACTAGTCTGGTTCTGCTGGCAGTGGCTGTAGAGCACGAACAACCGCGGGGATGCTAGAACAACAAAAGGCCCCTTGGCTCCTCGTCTGCAGTAGGGTGCTGGGTTTTCCCGGTGCATCCTGGGGCGACTTGGCGACCTTTGTTTGTTTCCTCGTTGTTCGCTGAAAGTTGTGTTTGCTTCGTGGTCCGTGGCTGGACGACCTAAACTGAGACTCTACTTGGGGGTTGGTGCTCCCGCAAGATGCTCCCCTGACACCGAAACGCTTGGAAGGCACTATCGTACGCAACAATGGATCAAGGGCGCTGTGCCTCGCTGAGTGGAATGGATGGACGCTTTCATCTCCCCATCATGCCAACCAACGTCAACTCATTGAATGCGCTGCCACCAACACCCCGGATCGCGTCACCACAGCCTTCAACGAGGGGTTCCATAGCGAGTGTCGACCGCCTCTCGCTCCGTCTGCGGAGCAATTCGGGTCTTGCCCACCACACCAACGAGGCTGCCTTCAAGCAGTATGTAGATTACGGCGCGAGCAAGTCTTCCAGGCCGAAGTCGTTCAACCCCTCGGGGCGCACCTCGACTCTGAGCGAACGACTCCCAAGCACCTATGACGAGCTGCCGGAGCTTTCACCACGGAGTGTGGCATTCACGACACATACCTACGATGTCTTCCCACCGTTTGTGGATATCCTTTCAAAGGACATATTCTCCATGATGCTAGAGAACTCGAGCACGAGTCAGCACTTTCTCAACTACTGCGAGGATCAAGGATGCGAAGAGAACATCGAGTTCCTCATGCGTGTAGGTGCCGATCGTAGGCTCTGTTATTTTATCTGCCCTGACTGACAAGGGCTCTTCTTTGTTTTGGTTTGCAGGTCAAGGATTTCACACAGACGACGGACGAGGTTGCGTCGGTCCTGACTGCAATATCGACGTCGTTCACAGCGATGGGTGCGGCGAAGCCCATCAACTTGCCGCCGCTGGTCAACCGCGCACTCAACACCGACCTCAAGCGGATTGCCCGCTCCGTCCTGCCCAGCGTGGAGGGCGTCTTCCACGAGGCCAGGACCTATATCGAGACGCGCACCGCCAAGGACATCTTTCCCGGCTTCGTCAAGTCGCAGTTTGCATACTGTACGGCCAACGCCCTTGCCACTTCCAGCCACTCTCTCGCGTCAGTCAAGCTCGAATATCCTGGCCTGGGCGAGAGCTTCTGCCTTGTGGATGCGACAGATCCGACAAAATCGATTGTGGCTGCGTCCGAGGTCTTTGCACGGCTGACTGGCTACGGCGTCAGTGAAATGGTATCCAAGAGCTGTGGCTTTCTCCAGGGCCCCGCGACGGATCAGCTTGTGGTCGCAAAGATCCAGGCGGCGCTGGAGGGCGAGGAGGAAACTGTCGAGCTCCTGCTCAACTACCGCAAGGATGGCGAGCCCTTTTGGAACCTTCTATTCCTGATGCCGCTTCGGGACAACCTCGGTCGGCTACGGTACTGGCTGGGTGCTCAGATCAACGTCTCCGAGTCAGTCAATTCCCGCAAGGACGTCTTGCGCGTGCTCAACTGGGGCAAGAACCCATCAGCCGACTCTGGAGTGTCGTTTGGGAGCCCCGGCAGCCAGCAGACGGCCGTGGAGAACAGCCACCACAAGGGCAGCGGCTGCAAGGGTGAGACCGAGTCGATGCTGCGTGGCCGCGGTGCGGATAAGCGCAAGTCGCGGACCCGGTTCATGTCGCCCTTCCGCAAGAACTCCACCGCGTCGACACCGCTGACGAGCAACCACGACCCGTACGAGTTCATCCCGAGCCACGGGCACCGGCAGCCGCGCAACGGGCGGTTCTCGAGCTCGCGATACCAGTCGAGTGGCGGCATCTCCATCTTTCCGACGGCGTACTCGTACTATATGGTGCTAAGCTGTGCGACGGCGGGCCAGCTTCGGAGCAACCTGGCAGTGCCGCGGATGCCGACGCCGAGCGGCAGCGGGCGGAAGAAGCAGAGCCTCAAGCTGCCCATTATCTTCTATTCGGAGGCGGCGGTAGACCTGCTGGGGCTACGATCGGACGTCTCCCAGAGCGGCATTTTTGACGTGCTGACGGAGCACGCAGGGTCGCCGTCTATCACCAAGTCGTTCAAGGCGACAATCAGGGAGCGGATCCAGTTTGGCAAGTCGACGAGCACAGAGATCCTGGTTGACAAGCCCAAGGTGTCGAGCGGGCGGCGGAGCACGGTGGGCGGGCGGCCGGTGACGTCGGACCGGGAGAGCAGCCGGGGGATGGCGGCGGCGGCGACGACGGAGGCGCTGGACCGGCTAGAGCGCCGGCTGGCCAAGTCGGCCAAGCTTGACCGGGTCATGACGCACTGGTCGCCACTGCACGACGGAAGCGGCGCGGCGCAGTGGGTAGTGCTGGTGCTGACGCCGCTGTCTTGAGAACAGAGACGTGAAGGTCGCATGATGGTGCTGCTGCTACTACGTCGATGACGGCAGCCCATGGCGAGGATGGCCACCAGACCGATGAGTTGCCCAGCACTGATACCCTGATGAGTCTTTTTGGCGCAGAAGCCGACCATCTCGACTCGGAACCGCCATCGGTTCTACGTTGTATAAACTTTTCGAGCACACGGCCGCAACTATCGCCGCCGGGTGTTGCTCTTGTCAGATCCTGTCCACTCTGATTTATAATTTCTTGATATTTGTTGGACACACGCCTCTTGCACGTGTCAGCTGCGTTGTCTTAGCCAGATGGCCAGATGAGGAGGTCTGGGGCTGCACGATGCATTAGGTAGTCGGAGAGGCCGGGCGAGCTGCTTTTGTGTAGCGCCCAGGGAGGGACTAGAATAATGATGGGTGAATGACTTATGACCAAATTCCAATAATTCTCTTTGTTGCGCAAGGCCAGCTTGTTCTCTCTCTCTGAATGTGATATGTGTGTGAAGAGAAGCGCGAGCACGGGTCGGACACAGGGCGAGGAATGCTGCCTGGTACTTGTGGCCCCGTGAACACGAGCATGAAGCTGGTCCGAGGAGGTTCATCATGTCTTTGGCCGTATGGGCTGGCCAATGGCAGCCTCAGGCCAGCGGTCTTGCAAGCTTGCTCGTGTTGGTTGGTTGGTTGGTTGGTTGGTTGGTTGGTTGGTTGGTTGGTGCATTGGTGCATTGGTGCATTGGTGCATGGCCGTGGGCCCTTCAGGTTTGTTTGACGGCGGCCTGGCCCCACAAGGCGTTCTGGTGGTGCCTGCCTCTCGCTGTGTCTCCTGCCTCCTGCTGCGACCCCTGGAGTGACCCGCCAAGGCAACGCCTCCACAGCCAGACATTTGATGACAATGGTGCTCTCTTGTTCCTCTCTGCCCCAATCCCACATGAATTGGACACCATAGACGGCGGCCACGACGACGACGACGACGACAACACGAAGACAAGAGACACGGGCACGGCACACGAGAGACGCACGACCCGAATTCCGCAGGCGACAGGCGAGGCTTCTCTGATTACAATCCGCTACTGTTGGTTGCTGCTAGGGCCTCATTGCCTGCTCTCTGCGCCACGTCCTCGAATCCATCCTTGCGACGGACGACGGACGACGTCTACGACGCCAACGACGACACCAGCGACTCCTCCACCAGCGTCTTGCCACCCGCCATGAAGACAGCGTCCTCGAGGTGACCTCGCCTTTTTGCCCTGCAGCTCCGCGAGACGCTACCACCACGACCACCACGCCATGCTGCTCTCGCACCGCCTCGCCAGCCTCCCCGGCAGCCGCTACTGCTCCTCGGCCATCCTCCTCCGCTACGGCGGCATCGCCGCCATCCTCGTCGTCCTCCTCTACCTCTTCTCCCTCTCCCACTCCGCCGCCGGCCTCCTCAGCTCCGCAAAGGCACACTACTTTGACTACTTTTCCCCAAAGAACGCGACACACCCCATCGAGACCCTCATCACCGAGGCCCGCAACCACCATGCCGCCGTCCTGGGCCGCCAGCCCAAGGACCTCGCCGACGCTGCCGCACAGTACCGCGAGCGCCGCGGCCGCCACCCGCCCCCGGGCTTCAACGCCTGGTACGACTACGCCGTAAAGCACGACGCCCTCATCGTCGAGTCCTTCTTCGACCGCATCTATGCCGACCTGCGGCCATTCTGGGCGCTCGACCCAAAGACCACTGCCGAGCGCGCCGCCACCTGGCACCACGTCATCAAGGTGCGCAACGGCCATGCTGAAGGGCACGGCAATACCGAAGGGCTCGTCCCCTGGCTGCAGCTGTGGACGGGTCTCGTCGCCGATGCCGCGCCGTACCTGCCCGACGTGGACATGCCGATCAACATGATGGATGAGTCGCGGCTGCTCGTGCCCTGGGAGGAGATTACGGGATTTGTGAAAAAGGAAGGCGAGACGCGGTCGATGCCGCCAGTGGACCAGGTCATGACCGAGTACACGGGCCTGTTCAAGGTCGACGCCCAGGTCGTCGAGCTGCAGCCCTACGACCCGCAGTGGCTGCACGACAACCAGTACTGGGACATGACGCGGGCAACGTGCGACCCGACCTCGCCCGCGCGCGAGCTGCCCCAGGTCGCCAACCTGACCGACTACCCCAAATTCCCCGAAAAGTACAAGCCGCCGTACCAGTACTTCGGATATATCAAGAACTTCACCGCGTCCATGGACGTGTGCACACAGCCGCACCTGCGGGAAATGCACGGAACGTTCATCGAGCCGCTGTCGATCGCCACGAGCAAGGAGCTCATACCCCTCTTCGGTGGGTCCAAGCTGCCGAATAACAACGAGATCATCATCCCCGGGGCCATGTACATCACCGACGACCCATTCTACTCTGGCGGCAAGGCGCACGGTCCTCCCTGGGCCGACAAGAAGGACGGCATCGTGTGGCGCGGCGTCGGATCCGGCGGTAGGCACAAGGCAGAGAACTGGTCGCACTTCCAGCGCCACCGGCTCGTGCAGATGCTCAACGGAACCACGGTGTCGGGCCTCGAGGGCGAGGCTATGGCTGCAGGGGGCGGCGGCGGCGCCGCCATGACCCGGGCCCCGACGTTTGAGATGCCCTCGATGCAGAAGTACGACTTCCCCAAGCGCCGCGAGGGCGAGGTCGGCAGCTGGCTGGCCGAGTTTGCGGACGCGGGCTTCGTCGAGCTGCTGTGCTTCCCCAAAGACCAGTGCGAGTACCTGGACCCCTGGTACAGCGTGGTCAAGTCGATCCCGATGGCCGAGCAGTACAAGATCAAGTTCATCCCGGACGTCGACGGCAACAGCTTCTCGGCGCGGTTCCGGGGCCTCGTGTCGTCCACGTCGCTCCCGCTCAAGGCCACCGTGTACGCCGAGTGGCACGACGACCGCCTCGTGCCGTGGCTGCACTTTGTCCCGCTGGACAACACGCTCCAGGACCTGTACGGGGTGCTCGACTACTTCACGCGGGACGAGAACGGGGACAGCGCGGCACAGTTCCTCGCGGAGCAGGGGACCGAGTGGAGCGCCAAGGCGCTGCGGCGGGAGGACATGGTGCTGTATACCTGGCGGCTGCTGCTCGAGTTTGCGCGGGTGTGCGATGTCAACCGCGAGTTTGTGGGGTTTGTGGACGATCTCAAGGGAGAAGGAGGTGGCAAGAAGGGGGCCGGCGGCAGCCACCGCACCAGTAGGTCAGAGGATGGGTGGTAAGCGCGGGACGAATGAAGAATGCTGCCGTCCTCATGGCTAAATAGATGGACTTTGGAGGCACAGAAAGGGCGCCAGATATAGAGATTATTTGCAATTATTGTTGTACAGCATTTTTTTGTTTTTATATTTCCCCTCCAGAGGAAAGCGCAAAGCGTCGAGCGAGAAGCAGGAATAGGAAGCCCAAGATGAAGAAGGCACAGTGTCTGGTTAATGAAAATCAAAATACATTTAAATACTTTGGCCTCAACCTACTTAGGTAGTAATCTTGGGGTTTCTTGGGGTTGCACAAAGGGGTGGTTGTGATTAGTTCGGCAGGGGGCAGGGGAACGAAAAAGTCGTGATTACAACTGTGGAAACAGTCTGTGGGTTTCGAATAGAGTAGCTCTTGATACCGGATTTATGTGCATGTCGGCAGCAAACATCAGGAGGGAAGAGCGGAAGGGGATGAGGTAAAGACAGAGAGGCAAGAGGAGAGAGACGCTTGGGTTTTAGTTTTCTGTGGTTGGCCGGGCATTGGTGTCTTCTCTCCTTTGGTTTCTGGCTTTTCGGAGGGGAAAATGAACACGTACACGTACACACACACCGAAATACTCAAAGTACACGCATGCGGAAAAAGAGAAGCGATGGCCATGAAAGAGGAAAAAAAAGAAGACAATGGGCGATGTCCATGAAAAGACAAAGGAAACAAGAGGAGGAGGATGCGGGTGATGGGGATGTTACAGTGACTCTTTTCATGTCTACGTGGTCCAGCTAAATGTTCTTATAAGCAAGAGGGCGTGCGCCATGGGTTCAGGACGATTTCTTATCTCGCCCCGGGTAACTTTTGGACGGGTTGTGTTGGGCGCGTGTTGTTCCTTGCTCTTTTGACGCTTTTCTGAAGCTGTCTGGCGATAACTTTTTGAAACTCTTGGAGCCTTGACTTGCTTACTTACACGTAATCTCAAGTCTGCTATTCCGGTGAAATGACTTGGCCTTCGCGATTCCCTCTAACATACCAACTTCCCCCTCCCCCGATTGCCTGGCTCCAACGAAATGTGTAAGCACAGGGAGAACAGGTACCCATGGACAGACAAAAGTCCGGACCAGAGAATGTGTGCGTGCGGGTAAGTCGGCGGCGGTCGATGCGCCGAGGAGTCAATCTCCAGAAGACAGAAGGAAAAACAAAAGGGAGAAATCCATCGGTGATGAGAGATAAAGGGAACGAGGGCAAGAAAGAACTGCGGCCTGTGGTCCGATTTGAGTTGTCCGCCGTTCGCCGTGTCCCCCCCGGTGCAAGTGCCCGCGCTATGCCGTGCAGTGCAGCCGTGTTCCCCCTCGCATTCGTTTTCGCAAAAGGGGGCCTGCGCCGGACCTGTTGCAGAAACGAACCGACAGCTATTAGCTACTGTTTGTGTCATTCGCCGGGCGGGACAGTGGCCCGAAACTCAATCTACATACAGGGTCTTTGGGGGGGGAGCTTGAAAGGCAGAGAGAGAAGCTTCTGCGGAGGTGCATGCATGGCAACCTTGGAAGTACGTACACTTACGCTACTTACCTCTTTCGAACGACCAACTAGCGCGATCCATCCATCCACCTGCCGCCGCCGCCCTACTGGTAAAGGTACAGAAGGACTGCAGGGCGGGCTGTCTGGTCCCTGTCTCTCTCTTGGGTCTCTAGGTGTGGGCTCGCAACATACTTCCCAAGACAGCCAAGTGCATGCCTCGACCGTGTCTGTCACTTCCAAAGAGGGTGACTCCTGTCTTGGGGCTGCCCTGTCTGCTGAGTTGTGCTTGTCCGTTGTCCCCCACCGAGGAGAAGCCTCATGGCACTCTTTGCGTGTGCACTTTTCGGGCACCACACCTAGACTCAAAAGGCAAAAGGACCGAGAGAATCTGGCACTGCTGGCGTCGTGTGTGCATGGGGGTGAAATCTCACGAGACTACAAGATCCGACTCTGTGCCCAGGGGCGCCGCTCAGCAGAAGCGATCGCGCCGGCTCGGCCCACTGGAGCAGTCGCGGCATGCCTACGTCAAGTCCCGGCCCAGATCGTATACCCGTACACCTATAGACGCAATCGGATGTAGGTGTCGCATGCAAGGGTGGATTGACTGGCTGGCGTCACCCCCGGGGCCCGGCATATCCGATCCCCCACAGCCGCCAAGTGATGGGCGGCGCTGGCTGGCTGGTGCATCCTGATCTTCGAAAAGGTGGAGAGAAGAGGCGCCGAGCTAGACGGACCATCTCGGCGGGTTGATGTCCGCTGTTTTATTATTATTTTGTTCTTAAAGATCAGGGCTGCGCCGTTTCAGGGTCCATCTCTCTTGGTTGTCATTCTCCAACGTCGTTGCATATCTGTAGAGGCACACATCTTTTAAGTCCGGATTCACAAGAACTTTGGTCGCAAGTCCTTTTGGAACAAGACACTAATACATCCGGGCTCCAAGTCTGCCGCCGGTAACTTTGTCACACTTAAACAACAACCCCTCACATAGACACGATAGATTCACACAACAAGGACCACAGCAATGTCGTCAATAACGACATCGGCATACACCTCCCGCGAGGCCGTCGACGAGTCGCACAAAACCCTCTTTGCGACTTTCGCCACGGGCCGCACAAAGTCGCTCGCCTGGCGCCGGTGGCAGCTCAAGCAGCTGTGGTTCCTCGTTGCCGACAACGAGGAGCGCATCGTCGAGGCCATGAAGACGGACCTCAACCGCCACCGCTTCGAGACCACGCTCGGCGACATCGGGGTCGTCAAGGGCGACGTGCTCTCCCACCTCCAGCACATGGACGAGTGGACCGCCGACGAGGCTCTCGACGCCGGCTTCCTCGCCCGCTACTTTACCGGAGGCAGGATCCGCAAGGATCCCCTCGGCGTGGCGCTCATCATTGGCGCCTGGAACTTCCCCTTCGCCTTGGTGCTGCAGCCCATGATTGCCGCCATCACGGCAGGTGAGTTTGCGTGATATCAAGACCCGTGGGAGATTGAGTGGACCTGATGGTAAAAATTGGTTGGGAGCTGACGTTCGTGGGTTTCACAGGCTGCTGTGTCATGCTCAAGCCGTCCGAGCTGCCGGCCGCTTCACAGAACCTGCTCGCCGAGCTCGTTCCCAAGTACATGGACCCGCAGGCCGTCCGCATCGTCACGGGCGGGGCCCAGGAGACGGCATATATCCTCGAGAAGCGCTTCAACCACATCTTCTTCACCGGCTCGACCACGGTGGCCAAGTTTGTGGCCGCCGCCGCCGCCAAGCACCTGACGCCGACGGTCCTCGAGCTGGGCGGCCAGGGCCCCGGCATCGTGACCAAGAGCGCCGACATTGAGCTGGCCGCCAAGCGCATCACGTATGCCAAGTTCCAGAATGCCGGGCAGATCTGCGTGAGCGTCAACCACGTGTTTGCCGAGCCCGAGATTGCAGACCAGCTGGTGGAGCGCATGAAGTACTGGAACGGGCAGTACCTGAGCAAGGGAAGCAACATGATGTGCCGCGTCATCAACGACCGCAACTACGGTCGGCTGCAGGGGCTGCTGGACAAGACGTCGGGCAAGGTGGCGTACACGGGCGTGAGCGACCCCAAGAGCCTCTTCTTCCACCCGACCATTGTCGACAACGTGACCATGGACGACAGCCTGCTGTCCGAGGAGCTCTTTGGGCCCATCTGCCCCGTGGTCCGGGCGTCGGTCGACGAGGCTGTGGCGGCCATCAACCGGCTGCCCGAGCCGCTGGCGCTCTACATCTTTGGGCGGGACCAGCAGGTCATCGACTCGGTGCTGGACCGGACGCTGTCGGGCGGCGTGACCATCAACAACGTGCTGTTCCACGCGGGGATGCCGTCTGCGCCGTTTGGCGGCGTCGGCGACTCTGGCTCGGGCGCGTACCACGGCCGCCACGGGGTCGACGCTTTTGTGCACCGCCGCGCCGTGGCACACCCGCCCAGCTGGATCGACCGACTCATGGGGTTCACGTACTCGCCGTACGACGACAAGTACCTGAGCTGGATCGCGACCAAGGGCGGCAAGGGCTGGAAGCGCGGGGCCACGCTCGAGGACGAGGAGCGGGCAGGCAGTGGAGGCTCTTGGGGGAAGCTGCTGTCGTCGAGCGTGCTGGCGGTCGCAGTGGGCGCGGTGGGCTATGCGGCGCTGACGGCACAGGGCCAGAGCAGGGTGGCAGCGGCCTTTAACAGGTGAGGAGGGCTGGCTCTGGGCGGTGTCCAAAAAAAAAGGACTTAGGTGATGGAATGTCGATACCCCGTAGCTTGATTTCATGCAAAGTCAGTCTGAGGTCACTGATGATGATAATGATGATGTCGTGGACGAGCCCAGCACCGCGTGGCTTGGAGATGGACACTGGCGTGGTGCGGGTTGTTCCTTCCTTGAAATGCTGTTCCTCTGCCACGCCTGGCACGTGTTTGTCAACACCCCCTCCCCTCCAACTTTGGATTTCGACTCCAAGCTGCTCTGCCTACAACCAGATCTCCATCAACTCTACCACAAATCAGCTCCCGAAGGAATACGAGACGATGCAGGCGACGACACCGGCTCTGAAAGTGCATCTTTGCAGCACTTTGCCCCATCTGGCAGCCTGCGCCCCGCTGGCCCTGGACCCTACAATGCCTTGTATGCACAGCGCTATCCATCACCACGCCACAGGGCACAGAGACGAGAGCCCATCACCGGCATGAGTCACCCTCAGCGACAGCAGCCATCACAAACGGCCGCTCGTCAACAGTGCCGTGGGCCACGACTGTGATGCTCACACACTCAGCACGGACTGGTGTATAGATGTGTGGGAACCCTACTGAAGAGGACGCTGCCCTAGCCCGTAGCACGTACTCGTCGCACATCAATTGCCACTCCGCCGGCATCGAGGTCATCCACGTTCCCAAGACGCTGTGCAATCGGGCCTGTGCCCGACTCACACGACCGACGCCAGTCCAAAACCATGCACCAAGACGCTCTCCTGGACCTCGGCGCCAGCGAGGTCGCCGAGCCAGCTGCCGACTTCGATATCGTCTTGCGCGATGCTGTCCCCGCCCCCTCGGGCACCGGCCGCACCCACACAGAGCGCATCACGGCGCTCCGGCAATGGCTCCAGCCCACCGACTACCTCTCGCCTGGCAATGAGTACATGAAGCATCTCCACGCCCACGTGCCAGGCACGGGCTCCTGGATGCTTCAGTCAGACCACTTCCGCATGTGGTCGTCGCCTCAGCCAACCGCCACCCCCTGTCTCCATCTCAAAGGTGTCGCCGGCAGCGGCAAGTCGGTTCTTGCCGCCAGCACCATCCGCCACCTTCAACAGTCTGAGCCAGCCGCGCCCGTCCTCTTCTTCTTCTTCCGCCAGATCGTCGAAAAGAACCACAGCGCTAGGTATCTGATCCGCGACTTTGCTGCCCAGTTGTTGCCCTACAGCCCAGCGCTGGTCGATGCCATGGAGAGTCTCAGCACGACACGGGGCGTCGCTGGTACTGAGCACGAGGAGCTTTGGCAACTGGTCGCTCGTTCCATAGGCCAATTGCCTAGGGTCTTCTGCGTGGTAGATGCCTTGGACGAGATGGATGAGGAGGATTTTGGCCTTGTAGCACAGCTCACCAGCCTCGTCGGCAGCGATGCAGCCGGGGTCCTGCTGCTCCTCACCAGTCGCCCGATTCCAAAGATCGAAGACGCTCTCAAGAGTCCTTTTGTCCTGCGCGACAAGCTCGATAGCTCCCTGCTGTATCCGGATGTTGCCAGATACGTGACAGTAAGCATGAGCACTCTCGAGCCGTCCCTCAGCCCGGAGACAGAAGACCGCGTCAGGGATACCATCTGCGAGCGAGCCAAAGGCTTGTTCCTCCACGCACGCCTCATGACCGAACACCTCACACAGAGTCTTCGAGACGGCCTCATCACAGAGGACGAGCTGCCCGAGCGGCTAGAGACTTCGCCACGAAGCCTCATTGAGGTGTACGAACAGCTCCTCACAGAACACGCCCGCAGAAGTGCCGTGGCCAGAGAACAACAGGCAAAGATTCTGAGCTGTGTCATTCACGCATCGCGACCTCTGCGGCTGATCGAGCTAGGAGCCCTGATTGCTCGCATGCGTGGAGATGACGATTTGAAGGAAGGCAAGCGTCTGATCCGTGCAAGTTGTGGCCGGCTGCTGGAGATCCTGGAAGACGAAAGTGTAAGCGTCATACATCATTCATTTACCGAGTTCCTTCGCAACAAAGACCGGCAACAAACACCGGGCGCATTCCCTGTGCTTGACGAAAAGACTGGGCACTCTATGCTAGTGGTTCTGTCCTTGCAGTATCTTCATGGGTGCACGATTGGCGCTGCGGCTGAAGATTCTACACTTCAGGATGCCGACGACGATGACTACGAGCGCTATGAAGACAGGGAGGCCAGATACCATCGTCGCACAAAGGCTTATCAAGCCTTGCAGCTCGAACACCCTTTGTTGAAATATGCCATCGACAATCTCAAACACCACCTGCACCAGGGCCGACCGTATGAAGCTGAAGTTTTGGATGCTCTCGACGCGCGGCTCGCACCTGGTCTTCCAGCTTTCGCCATCCTTGGATATTCCAAAAACCAGTGGTGGCATGGGCCCACGTACCGGTCGTTCAACACGTTGCACCTGGCCATCAAGGAAGGCCTGGCAGAATATGCCCTGCATCTCATCGCCAAGCAGCCATCATGGGCCGGCTCTCGCGATGGTGCAGGCTTGACGCCACTGTGCTGGGCGGCGAAGCAAGGGATCTCGGAGGTGGCCGCCACTCTGCTGCGCATGGGCGCTGATCCTTACGTCGTTGATGGTATCGGCCTATCGCCATTGCATCACGCAGCTAGCAATGGGCATGCAGGAGTGGCCAAGCTGCTGCTCGACCACGGCGTGAGCCCCATGATACGGAAGACCACGTACACTCCCTACAACATGTATCATTTCCAACAAGATGACACGGGACAGACCGCTTTACAGTGCGCCATGAAAGGAGGGAAGTTTGAAATCGTTCGCCTCTTCCTTCCATTGATTTCGCCTATAGACGCAAATACTTGTTTGCATTGGGTCAGCGATGTAGAGAGCCTCGAAGCCATCCTTGAAACAGGGCATGCCCAAGTGGACTGCTTCCTTGAAGGCTCGACCCTTCTTTTCAATGCTGCAGCCGATCACGATGGCGAGAGAATGCGAGTACTACTCAAACTAGGCGCCGACCCAAATAAGAGATGCTTCGGACAGCCGTCATACTCGAAGAGCGGGCCTATCACCCTGGATGACGCGTATCCTCGAGGACCAACTCCCTTGCATGCATTCGCAGGATACGACAGGAATCTTCACCTCTTCGATGAAGGTGACGTAGAGAATGCTGAAGAATGCTTCCAGCTGCTGCTGGATCATGGCGTGGACATTAACGCCACGACCGACGGCGACGGTCGCTTTTCCTATCCACCAAAGAACATGACAGCCCTACACTACGCAGTACAAAGACGGCATGATGGCATGTGGTCCGACTACAGTATCAAAGGCCGCACGGAGCTCACAATCGCCGGGCTGTTGCTCCGTGCGGGAGCAAATCCAAACTCCAGGACACTCGATGGGGAAACCCCCCTGTTCTATGTCAACACGCGCTGGCCCGCCATTGTCGACCTCTTGGTTGAGCACGGTGCCGATGTCAACGCAAGGGCGAACAAGGGCAGGACACCGCTTTTAAGCCTTATCCTCCGAGGAGCACAGGGCGGCCTTGACGCTGGCATTGTTCAGAAACTGATCGATCACGGTGCTGATACAAACATAGCAGACGAAGCTGGCAATACGATATTGCATAACATCTTCCGATGCTTCGACAATTTCAAAGAATCAAACACCTCGCTGCTCAGAACGTTGCTTTCCGCCGGGGCCGACTTGGCAGCTGCTAACAAAAAAGGCCAGACACCACTTTTCGTGCTCAACATGGAGAGACCCGAGAAAGCACTTCTCGAGTTCCTGATACAAGAGGGACTTGACCTCAACGCCAGAGGAGCCAATGGCCAGACTGTGCTATTCAACCTCGTTAATGGATCACAGGACAGGATCAAGGTCTTTGAGGTGTTGCGGAGTCTCGGAGCCGACCCTAGGGTCGTCAACAACAACCACGAGACCTTGCTCCACGTTGCGATTCAACGTCAACTTTCACTCGAATGGGTGCGTGCACTACTCGATGCGGGAGTCGATCCTAGAATCAAGTCCCGAGAAGGCTTGACGCTGATCCACTATGTTCTGGAGAACTGCAGTGTGCAACAGCAGACTTTCGACATCATCAATCTCTTGGCCGGACTCGGTCTTCCCCCCGACCAGGCGACCGCCACTGGGCGCACACCGTTGCACTTCGCTGCTTTGAGAGACCGAGACAATCCTCACGTCTACGAGGGAGGCAATACCTGGATCGAGCTTGTGCTGAGAAACACAATTTTTGGCAGCCCCGACATCAACACACAGGACCTTGGTGGGCGAACGGCACTCCACCTGGCCTCGTCCGTCTCCGAGTACAATGTTGGAAAGCTCTTGAAGGCTGGAGCTGACCCTACCCTACTCACGAAGAATTGTATGTCTCCTTTGCATGTGGCTTGCACGACACGACAGCCAGGCTCGATAGCGGTGTTGCTAGCCGCACTTGCAGAGCGCGGCAGCCTGCATGAGTTCCTCGACCTTCGCGACAATGATGCAAACAGTGGACAGACACCTTTACACTTGGCGTGCCAGAGCGGTTGCTCTGATAGCGTCTATTTACTGCTTCGGCATGGTGCTGATCCTTCGGCACGCGACAATCGGGGCCGAACCCCGCTGCATGTGGTCGCAGAGAGTCGATGGGGCGCCGAGTTTCGTGTGTCCATGAAAACTGCTGGAGAGAAGGCAAGTCTTCCTGGCGGGGACGAATACGAAGCCTTTCGGCCGCATCAGCCGGGACGCTGCCAATCTTCTGATGACGCGGCGCCTGAGATCATCGCGGCGCTATTTGAGGCTGGGGCCGATCTTGATGCACGCGAAGATATCAATGGCACGGTTGGTCGGACAGCAGAGGACGTGGCGCGGGAGACTGGATATGCCAACTTCATTACTGCAATGGCCCATCTCAGGCAATTGCAAGCGGGTAGCGTTCGCCACGATGACATGGAGACCCAAGACGCGGTGCGAGTACTACAGCAGATCACCGACAGCACCGGGATACCACACAAGGTTCGCATGCACTTAAGAGAAGGACATCAAGCAGTCGTTAAGGAGTTCGCACGTGTCGGTGGGGACCTCCTCGCTCTCAGTAGCTTTGGCGATGACACCAGCTACCACCACATGATTGCCGAGGGTCAGATACAGTTACTCAAGCACTTCCGAGAAGAGTTGAGAACCGTTGATGAGCAGGCATGTGCACGCCGCCAGAAAATGAGAGAAGAGGAGAAAGAAAAAGCAAGAGCGACTCGCGTTGGTGAGGATGCAACAGACGGCACCAAAGAGACCCCAGACAATGTCGACGACCATGACTCCGGGGGTCCTTCGAGCCTGCTGGGCGAGGCATGTGAACGGCCCAAGCCAAATTTGGCCGCCATCAAGATACTTGTTGATGAGGTTGGGCTTGACGTGAACGCCTACTCCCATGTTCGCGGGTTTGCTTACAAACTCAAGAAAGCAACGCCGTTACACATTCTCGCCAGTGGTCAGTATTTCTGGCAGGTCGAGGCTCTCGAGTATCTATTGGACCGTGGAGGGGCAGACATCCACGCGACAAACAGCGGTGGGCTGTCGCCGCTACTCGTTGCCATCAGTGGCGAGCACCCCTGCGGCTTCTGGAGGGAAGAGACCGTCCGCCTTCTACTGAAGCACGGCGCCGATGTGAACTCGGCAGACCCTCGGAGCGGTCAAGCCGCGCTCGCGATGTCGAATCACATTGGTGTCACGCGTGCGTTGCTTGAGCATGGCGCGGACTTGAGCCGGGCACCTGGAGCTTTGGCCAAAGCGAGTGCGAGCCTCGACACAGAGCTGGTACAGACCTTGCTGCGTGCCGGCGCTGACGCAAATACCTTGACGGCAGCGAACGATACTTGGATCTGCGAGAACCATGAACCCGATGAAGATGTGGCCGTTGCGCGACCTGACGAGCCCAGGTACATAATGCATGATGCCGCAATTCAGATCCTCTCCGAGAACTCATACACCCTTCGAGAAGAGTGGGATTTGCGCAAGGCGGACACCGTTGGGGCCTTACTTGATCATGGAGGCGATGCGACCAAGACGTATGGAGACGGAAGTACTGTACTTCACCGGATAGTTGAGGACGATGGACTGTTGAGGCCATTCTCGAAAGTCCTGGCGAGCTTTGATCTTGAGCGCAAAGGCTCTGAGGGCCGCACGCTGCTGACGTCGGCATGTATGCCACGCAAGCCACGCCATCATACTTGCTATGCGGCCACGGAACCACCTATCACGGTCCACATCGAAGCTGCCAACCTGCTCCTTGATGTCGGTGCGCAAGTCTGCGCCACAGACGAGCGAGGCCGGACCCCCCTTCACTGGATGTGCACCATGGCACGACCATTTGAAGACAAGCATAAGGAAATCTTTGAAAGACTGATTGAGAAAGTCGGCGTTTCGACGCTGGAGCACAAGGACGACGATGGCCGTACGCCGTTGTATCACTGCCTGAGGTCGCGACAAACCTGGGCGGCAATGCGTCTGATTGAAAAGGGGGCAGCACGCCTAGCGCCAGACAGGAACGGCGACGGGGTTCTGCATGTTCTCGCCAGCGCCCTAGTAGGACCCAAGGCGCAAGCCGAGCCGGCGAGAGCTTTGTTCGAGAGGCTGTTGTCTCTCGGTGCATCCATCGATGCTCGCAACAAGCGTGGAGAGACGCCCTTGTTTGTGTTCCTGGCGGCCTCCTGGAAGGCTGGAGACACCAAGACGGAGGTCATCTCCCATTGCGACGCGTTGCCTGTCTTTCTCCACGCGAGCGCCGACCTCGAGGCGGTGACGGATGAGGGACTGACGATGCTGCATGCTGTCGCGGGTCAAGAGCCGTGCGAGAACCACTATGGGGACTACAGGCAGTCACAGGATGTTGGAGACATCTTTGCGAAGCTGCTGGAGCTGGGCCTGGACCCGCGCCGAGAGGACAGCAAGCTGCGCACCGCGCTCGACCTGGCAGTGACTCGGGACTGGAGGAATATTGTGGACCAGTTTTCCGACGAGGGCAAGCGGAGGCTCGAGGAACAGCGGAGGCGGCGCCTGCAGAACTGACCCTTGACACCAAGCTTGGCTAACAGAGCAATGATGAAGACTGTTTCATTCCAATGCGACAAGTAGTACCACCCAGAGTTACCTGTCGACGATGGACGTGCCTGAAGTGCCAAGGGAAACCCCTAGCTCGCGATGCAGCCAGTTGTCTGATAGCAGATTGCAAACACTCGCGTAAGAAATGTCCAACGACAGCCGCCCCTGCAGCCATCACGACTTGTGCCCCAACCACAAGCGTTAATGCCTGAGACCATGCCAACAGCCCTTGTATATGCCGGCCACAGCGGCGTTTCCCTGAACTAGATCAAGTGAAGCCCCTCCCCCACAACGGCGCCTTTGAGTCTATGAGCGTGGAGGGCAATGATCTGCCCAGGCCCATGATGATGCCTCCACTTGCCCTGAGCAGGGGTCACACTGCCCCAATCATCGGAGCTTCAGCATGCCCGTGGCTCTCGGCAATGGCGCCCCAGAGCTCCTTGGCCGACTCCTCCAGGGAATCGACTACGACCCCAAGCTCCCCAATCCAGAAGGTCGCGCCCACTGGGCTTTCATGTGAAAGCGTGGTCAATGCAAGTTGCCAAGGGGACTGCCCAAATGGGATGGGCCGATCGCTGCTTTCTACAGGACTTTTGTTGGCGTGTTGACTGCACGATGACAACCAGCCGGCCCCAGCTTGCAGATTATGCCCAGCTTCATTATACTCTAGCCTGCAAAGGGACCGCAAAGTCCCCTGGTCCGCCCCTGGCTACTTGTCGATCCAGCCCCGGATCTGTCCTGCCCTGGTGATCGAGCAGTCTTCATGCCCAGGGACCATTGTCGTCTCCACGTGCATTTCCAGCGGGTCGATGATTAACTGTGCAAGTGTACGTGCCCGGAGACTGGGCGGCCTTGACTACAAGATGGCGAGACAGCCGCCTTCCTTCCTGGTGCAGTGTTGTTCTGGCTTGGTCACCGACATCACTAACGGACAATACGACAGCCTGGACTGAGACTTTTGCTAGCTTCTCATATAGCGCTTTCTGCCCACATCGTGTTCACATTCACTCTTCACGATGCCTTCGTTCACCACCTCACCCGCTTCGGCGGCCAAGCTGCTCGCCCTTCTCTCATGCCTGGTGGTCCCCATCTCGGCCCGGACGACTGGCAAGTTCAGCTTCTTGACGTACAACGTCGCCGGCCTTCCGGCCTTCCTCTCCGGCAACGGCGTCCCCGGCGACAAGGGCACCAACGCCAACTCGATCGGCCGCCTCTTTGCCGAGTACGACTACGACATCATCCACGTGCAGGAGGACTTTGCGTACCACGCCTACATCTACGCGACCGACGACCACCCGTACCGCACGCCGACCACGGGCACCGTCCCCTGGGGCTCCGGGCTCAACTCGCTCCTCAACTTCCCCTACACCACCTTGAACCGCGTCAAGTGGGACAAGTGCGACCTCAACGAGGCCGACTGCCTGACTCCTAAAGGCTTCACCATGATGCGCACGCAGATTGCCAGCGGCGTCGAAGTCGATTTATACAATCTGCACGCGGATGCTGGGTGAGTTCTCGTCTGGTCTCTTCCATTTCTTATTTTTTCCTCTGCAACCCACGAGCTCTCCCGTCAGGCATATTCCTTGGTTTAGAAAAAGACTCGCGTGTTGACTCTCCATCTCCCCCCGCCCTTCATACAGCGGCAACAGCGGCGACTTTGCGGCCCGCTCCGCGGGCATCGACCAGATCCTCGTCTACATCAACGCCAACTCGGCCGGCCGGGCCGTCATCATCGCCGGAGACACAAACGACCGGTACACCAACTCGGGCCGGAGCATCACCAAGCTCCGGGACGCGGGCTTCAAGGACTCGTGGGTAGAGCGCATTAAGGGCGGCGTGTACCCGACCGAGGGAGCCGCGGCTAACCCCTGCCCCGTCCCCGCCCCGAACAACGCGTGCGAGATTGTCGACAAGATCCTGTAAGTCTTTGGTTTCTTTTTACTGCTCCGCTCCTCCTCCTCCTCCTTCCCCTCCAAGAAGGTTGATTCATCGTCCGTCACGCGAGCAACAGGTACCGCTCCGGCACCACCGTCAAGCTCGACACCACGGCCTTTGACTACGAGGGCGACATCTTCCTCCAGGCCGACGGCAACAGGCTGTCTGACCACAACCCCGTGCGCGTCGAGTTCACCTACTCTGCTTAGGCGCCTTTACATTTTCAGCCATGCCACTCCCCTCCCCGTCCAGCACCACTCACTAGCCCTCGCCCGTAGCAATTTTGTGGATGGCGAGACGCGAATGGAGAGCTTTATGGAGTTAGGCAGAGCGTAAAGGGGGGGAAAGGGAACCCTAGATGACATGAATACAAGACTGGACTGAAGCCTTGAAATCACATGTTTTCGATATCTATTCAAGCAGATTCTTGGGCTCTTTTCCCTGTCTTTCCGGGACAGTTCTTTAAGTGGTGGATGTGTGTTAATGCACGTGGATCAGATGATTGCGATGAATGGGATTTGGAAATATGCCAGGTGGAATATCTTATGACAAGCCCCATATCGAGTTATGCCGTTGCTAGAAATGACCTTCGGCCTTGACCAAGCTTTGAAATATCGGGACCCTATAGAATTGCCACGCAGTTCCCCGGCGAGGCGACGCCTTCTGGGATCTAAATCATCATGAAGAATCAGTATGTCGTATAAGTTGGCAGGCCATTGAATCACGACGGCCAGCTGCTTGGTACGGTCTGGATCACGTATCAAGATCACGGCTACTTGTGGGCACGGAAATATAGCCCAAGAGAACAAGAAAAAGAGAAAAGAGTACTTACCCTCATAGGCAGCGAACACACAAAGAACGTCCATCTGCCCCTCTCGCGACACGCCTCGGCCAGCTCCTCCAGATCAAACATCTCTCCCAACGGCAGTCCCCACCCGGCAAGCCCCCACTGATGAAAACTCACGTCCGGATCATTATACGGCCCGTTGGTGGGCCCGCGCTCGAAGCTGGGCGAGTCCGACGCCACCGCCGCGAACCCGGACTCCCAGACCCATCGCAGCGAGTCCATGGTCGCCTCGAGCCCCAGCAGGCCGCCGGGCTGCCTGTCGGGGAACCCTTGCTGCTCCTGCGGGGTGAGGGAGTTGTACTTGGCCGTGAACCCGACGCGGATGAAGAGTATGTCGCCCTGCTTGAAGGAGAGGTCCTGCTCGGCAATGATGGCGCGTATGTGGGACATCTCGACGGCGCCCGACTGGAAGGGGTCCAGGTGGATGTCGTTGCGCTGGGCCCAGGAGAACCAGTCGATCAGGACGCCGCGGCCGATTATGCCTCCTTTCTTTTGCGCCCAGGCTTAAGAAATGGATGGCATTGGTTCCAGTCAGCAGGAGCAGAGGCATAAAGTCTCGAAGTTTTCTTCAACAAGAAACAGGGGACTTGACGTCTTCTTACCGTCAATGCCCAGCTTTGTGCTCCCTTGTGCAAAGTCGGCCCGCGTGTGGTTCATGAAGAACTTGCCTGACTTCTGAAACGCTGCACCCCGAAAAGAAAGAAAAAGAATCAGCAGCCGATTTATCAGAAAACTCATCATCTCCCATCACTGTTACGGCCCAGCTAACGCACCAAAATGCCGGAAGCCATCCCACTGGGTGCTGCTCTGGGTGTTGATGTGGATGACGTCGTCGTTCATAACCTGGGGGCCCTGTTCCAGCACGCGGTGCTCGAAGCGCCGCCGCTCGAACGTCGGGTACGAGGGCTTGTCGAGCGGCCAGTCGAGCCGGATGCGCAGGCCCTCCCTGATCTCGGCGGCTGCCGCGGCCGTGGTCTCCGGTGTCAGAAGGTTCAGCCGGCCGAGCTCGTCGTCCGGGCCGTAGAGGCCCCACGCATTACCTGGTGGGCCGGACTTGTCGAGGGGAAGGTCGTCGAAGGACGGGATGGGTGGTAGATTCGGCGCCATATTGTTGATTCTTGTCTTGCTTCTTGTGTGACTAGAAAGACTGACGAGATCTCAAAAAGTGCCGGAGATTGGAAGAAGGGTCCTGCGTGACGGTTTGTGTCGGCGAGCCATGACTGATCCGTAGGCTCCCGAAACCGGAGAATGAGGAGCATGGAACCGGGGACCCCACAGTGGCGGCACTGGGCGTGCCGAAAGTCGAATGCCACAACTTGGATGCATATACCTGGGTTGATGTCCACCGGGCAAATCGCCGTGGCATGGTCCCCAATATCCACCGAGGAGCTCAGCTTGATCTACGCTTTCATTACCATACGGCACGGGAGAACGTTTAGCAGCATCCAGTCATCGCCAGGAGCACAGCTGGAGGAAATCCCTGGACACTTGGTTGCCAAGCCAGCTAATTCCGCTGTGCCGCAGACACGGAATCAGCTGGTGGTCCCCGCAACAGCAACAGCTGAGCTCCAGCTTGGCCAGCTTGCCAGGTTGAGCTTGAATGTCCCTCGGCCCATCCCTGCTTTGCATGTCGGGACGGGGTACTGTCTTGGTTGCCCCGTGGCAGATTGCTTATCCGGGACAAGCCACATGGTCATGATGGCCAGCACACTTCCCCGCATTTCCCCATCCATTTACTCTCGCTTTGTCCAAGTCTCCATCTGGCTTCACCTGAGGATCCTTTCTCCTGCTAGATAGGATTCAACCTCGTGCAGACTTCGAAGGTTGAGAAGAGTTCCATGTTCGATCAGGGGGTTCAAAGTTTCAGCCGACCGGCCTATGCGCCTCTGCTTCAAAGCACTCCAGCTTTTGCCCTTGAGTCCATCGTGCCGCTTGCTGTGTGCCTCAATCAAAGTCCCGGGGTATACGCGGGGGGACGAGGTGGATCCGGGGCCGCCATAGGACGTCGGAACTACGGCCGAAGCGTGCGTCGGTGCCGTAGCGACTCATGTGTCCCGTGTTTGGCAGCGCCACACGAGTCTGACGGTCTACTGTGGCAGAGGTGTGACTGCGGTTAACTTGAGTCCCTGGAAGGCTCCACGCACTCTCCGCCCTCTCTCCGCCTTTTGCCCATGGGGAACGACACCCCCCTGTCGGGAGCTTGACCCGACGACCGGGAACCATCAAAAGAAGGAGCAGCCGCAACTCCACTTCTCTTGCTTCCTCCCTGGCTCCGTTCCGCATAAAACCCTCCCGCGGCCATCCCGGACCGACTGTTTCTCGTGGTGCATCACTTAGGCACTTCTTGTCCTTTTCCTGGCTCTCCTTGCCCATCTCTATTGGCTCGCCTGCTCTCCATCCCGCACACGACATGAGAAACCCATTCGAGCTCAAGGAGCGCCCGGGCGAAGAGGCCCCTAAGGAGGTCTATGGCCATCGACCATATCTCCTGGCCTTTGCCGCCTCGTGGGCATCTGCCATGTACGGGTACGTATATGTATACCTCCAACATCCCTTCTCACCTGTATCGGCCCTTTAACAAGCTGGAGACTAACGACCTATCTGCCTGCAGTTATGACTCGGCCTTTATTGGTGGCACCATGAGCCTGCCGTCCTTCCAGGCCGCCTATGGTCTTACCAACGTCAGCAAGCAGGCCAGAGCGGCATTGTCCTCCAATATGTGAGCTATCTCTCCCCTTTCACCAAGACCTTAGACCACAATTGGGCACTAACGTGGTCGATCTTCTCCAGTGTCTCGACCTTCCAAGGCGGCGCCTTCTTCGGCTGCGCCATTGGTTTCTTTCTCGCCGAGCGCTGGGGCCGCAAGATCTCTATGCTCATCTCGGCTGTGGTCTTCATGGTCGGCGCGGGACTGCAGTTGGCTGGCAATCTTGGTTGCCTGTACGCGGGCCGCGCGCTCACCGGTCTGGGCGTCGGCGCCTCGGCCATGATCCTTCCCATCTATGTCTCCGAGTGCTCCCCCGCGCTGATCCGCGGCCGGCTTGTCGGCGTCTTCGAGATCATGTTGCAGGTTGCCCTCGTCTTTGGCTTCTGGGTCAACTACGGCGTCAACCAGAACATCCCAGGCGACACGGACGAGCAATGGCACATCCCCGTTGCCGTGCAGTTTGTGCCCGCGGGCCTCCTCCTCATCTCGCTGGCCCCCATGCCCGAGTCCCCTCGCTGGTATGCGTCAAAGGGCCGCATGGCCGAGGCAGCCAAGTCTCTTTCATGGATTCGCCACCTGCCCGAAGACCACCCATATGTCCTCCGCGAGCTGTCCGTCATTGAGACGGCCATCACTCACGAGGTCGAGGCCACAGCCCACGGCGGGCGGCGCACCTACGGGCAAATGGCACGCGAGCTCACGCAGAAGGGCATCCGCAACCGGCTCGTCATCGCATTCGCCATGGTGCTCCTGCAGAACCTGACGGGCATCAACGCTGTCAACTATTACTCGCCGTCCATCTTTCAATCCATCGGGTACACGGGCACTTCCACAGGCCTGCTCGCCACGGGAATCTTTGGCATCATCAAGATGTTTGCGACCATCGTATACGCCGCCATCCTGGTCGACCGCTTCGGCCGCCGCCCGCTGCTCATCTTTGGCGGCATCTTCGCGGGCCTGGCCATGTTCTACCTGGGCGTCTACAGCAAAGTGAGCAACTCGTTCGTGTCGACCCCTCCGCGGGACGCGGGCGCCAACACGGCCGTCGCCATGGTCTACATCTACGCCTTCTTCTACGGGTGCTCCTGGAACGGGATCCCCTGGCTCTTCACCTCCGAGGTGCTCCCCACGCGCATCCGCACGCTCGGCATGACCGTCACCATCTGCTTCCAGTGGCTCACGCAGTTCATGGTCGTCTACTCCCTGCCCTACATGATCCTGGGCATCAGCTACGGCACGTTCCTCTTCTTTGGCGCGTGCACCGTCGTCGCCATCGTGTTTGCCTGGCTGTTTGTGCCCGAGACCAAGGGCGTCCAGCTCGAGGACATGGATTTGCTGTTTGGCCCGGACGTCTCCGTCTTCGCGAAGCAGGCGCATGCCAACTACACCCGCGCTGTCGGGGCTAGGGCGGTGGTCAGGGACGAGAAGATCGGTGCTGTCGTGGAGGAGGCCGAGGTGTGAGAAAGTGTGTGCGCGCGTGTGCGCATTATGTGTGTGGATGGCCAAGCCGGTCATGAGCCTTCCTGAGAATAGCTAAGCATTTGATACTCTGAATAAATATCCTGCTCCGGAAATGGGATGCTGAAAGCGGCACAGGACCCGCTTATGTGTTGATGTGCTCGCCTTCCATGTTTCAAGACTACACAATCCTGCGCCTACGTGCCAGAAGCTGGGCAAAAATAGAGTGAAAGCAGTAACGTGAAGACACCATGCGTTCACGACCTCTCCCAGGCCACATCTGGCAGGCCGCAAGGCAAGACCTTTTACGCATTGCCACACGAGCCATTTTCATTCCGGCCTAGACATTTAGACAAGCACCTGGCTGACTCATAACATGAGCTGATTTTGTACCATCCCCGCAGTCCGCGCCGTTGCGCTCATTGGCTACCAGTACTAGGTTCAGGTGTCTGCCTGGCAATCTCACCTCCCAGGCTGGGCGGGGTAGGCAAGCCGGAAATCGTCCTTGCGACAACACCACCAACCTATGATCCGTTTGGTCATTAGCCGGACCTTTTTGGCCTTGAACAGCCATGGAACGGTTCAGGAGCGCCAGAAGCGCGCTGCTCAAAACCGCAGACTCCGTAACGGACTCTTTCAAGCAGTTGAAGATTGTGCAAAACGTTGAGAGGGAGATCCAGGCAAGTCAATTCCAGCTGCGGGGGACCGAGTAACCTACACTCCCTCGGAACATCATGCAAGGCAGCCCGAACAAGATCTGTTCTGTCTGGTGTGCGCTCTAGCTCATTTGACACCTTCTTGACAGGAATGGAAGGCTGTCGACCCCTTCCCGTACGAGCCACTGCCTACGCCTACAAGCATCCGCCTCATCAAGCTTGCACCTTCCAAGAAGATGGAAAAGGCTGCACGGTTGGGGAAGCCGGTCAGCGGGGATGCACACGACGACGACGACGACGACGACGACGAGGATGACGACAACAATGTACAGTTCGTCATGCACATAGCAGAGCTGGACCGCAACCCACAATTCACAGCGTTGTCGTACACGTGGCGTCAACAGCGGTCAACACTCGGCGCCTTCACCAGGATTTTGGCGTCAATTTCCAAGCAAACACTGAAAGATGAGCCGCTGTATCTCGAAGCCAAGGACCCCGACGAAGACCTCGTGGCGTCACGCAAGGTGACTTGCAACGGACATAGGATGATGGTGTTTGAAAACCTGTTCGAGGCACTTAAACGGCTGCACAGGACCATGCCTGGCGTGTGGCTCTGGATTGATGCTATATGTATGAATCAAAGGTGTGGTTGCATGCTTGATTTTGAGCCCTGACGAATATTTTCATTACCTGGAGACCTAGTTAACTAGATGTACAGCGATCTAACGGAACTGACAGCTCAGATCCAAATCATGGGTCGCATCTATCAGTCTGCCCAACTTGTCGTTGTCTGGCTGGGGCTCATTTCCTGGGCGGCTGAAAGAGGACTGAAGGCCCTTCAGGAGATGGCTCGAGCAGACAAGCCAATGCCACCGTATCCATGGGACAGGTCCAGGGTCAGCATCGGGGAAAGCGCAGCCGATGACTGGAAGCTGTTGTGCGCTGCCTCAACGGCCTTCCATCTGGCTAACAGGTCTTGGATGAAGCGCGTGTGGGTCGTCCAAGAGCTTTGCCTTGCCAGGAATATCACGTATTTACACGGCAAGCACGAGATTGGCCTTGAGACCTTATTGTTCTCGTGTGAGTGGTATCTGGATGGCCGCGGTCGTGGCGAGGCTGCCCTCTGGTCCGACTGGCAGAAGCCCTTGGAGCGGATCCTTAGTAGCCACATGCGTTTTCTTCCAACAACGCTTAAGGCCCGTGAAGAGTTTGCCAGAGGCAACAAGTGGACTCTCCTTCAGTGGTTTCAAGCGTGTAAAGGGCGTTTGGCGTCCGTTGGGAAGGACTACGTCTTTGCCGGGCTGTCTCTGGTTCAAGAAGACTGCTTGTCCATTGATCAGCGGTTACAAATCGCACCAACCCTCCCTGTCAGGGGCGAGGAGACAACGGATGCTTCAGCGTCGCTCAATCTACCCATTGAGATATCACACCAGGGATCTCTTGATAGCCAAGGCCCCATGACTCGAGCGCTCTGGCCGGCACTCGTCCCAAACTATTCGGTTCAAGATGTGGAGGTATTCGTCAATGCTGCTGCCTGCATCTTGACACATGCTACTCTGGAAGATCTGCTTAGAGTTGCATCGCGCCTTCGCGATAAGCACCAGTTCAGAGCGGCTTTCGAACCGCAGCCCCACGAGCCGGAAGCATTTTCTGGCCTACCTTCCTGGGTTCCCGCGCTGGGTTCATGGACGGTCAGTCATCTCCTGCATACCCCCCGTGAGATTAAACAGCCTGTTACCTCATCACTATTTGCCTCGTTCTCGTGGCGCATTCTAGTGACACGGTTTGGCTGATCTGACTAACAAGCTGCAGTCTGCTCTGTTGGCAGATTTGGTCCCGTCCACTGTGAACAGCCCATTCGCAGCTTGCACGTCTAGCTCAATGTCGAGATCCCATACCAACTTGAGAACTGTTTTTACCGGCCCCCGGATCTCGGCAAACTGCAAGATACTCCAAGTTGATGCTGCAACTTTCGATGAAATCGCCTCGGTCGAATTTGAAATAGACATCCCTCCCGCATACGCGGAGCTCAGGAAGCTTATGCGGTTTCTACCACGCTTCTCGGGCAGTGAAAGGCGATCCGGCGACTCCGTCGAGCAGGGCAAATACGACAACAACTCTCATCATTCGCCAGAAGGAAGCGCATCCTCCCTGTCCTTCTTGGAACTTGTCGCGTGCACCATGGTTGCTGGGCAAATCGCCGGGCAGCAAGTAACGCCGGCGCAAGCCGGAACGCTGCTTTGCGAATCAATCACGTCCAAGGTACAAAAGGTCATTGCCGGCAAGCAGCGCCAGATTGCCGAGGATCAGAACGCCCAGCAGCGATTGGAAGTAGAAGCCAAAAAGCGTGGACACGATATTGACTACCTGCAGACCACGCTGGAAGACAACACCATGGCTAACAAATGGAGAGCAAAGCGCAATGCCATCGATGCAGGCTTGGACGCAGTGAGAGAAATCACCGCCGAGCTCGAGGCACTCAAATCCGCCTTTCCAGACCTCAACTGGCCGAAAGAAAGTGTTTTGGTGCTCAGAGAACAGGATGTGGAGCGCGCCAGAGCTGAACGAAGCGAGTCCCGTAATAAGAGGCTCATGGAACTTCGGGAGAAGAGGCCTTTTGATATTAAGTCAATCAGCAGTGTTCCTGGTACCTTGCTGGAGCGAGGAAAGATGAGCGCCAACGACTTACTTGACAGTTGGAATGACGTGGCTTACTTGTTCACCTTGGCCCCTGAGGAAGCATACCGCCGGGTTGTCTCAGACGAATGTCATGCCTTTGAACAAGCTTGTTTCGAAATGCTTACTTGGCGCAGGATCTGTCTGACCAAGCGTGGGTATATCATGCTGGGACCACGCTGGGTTGATGAAGGCGACAGTGTATTGCTGTTGCCCAATAGCACTGTTCCATTCGTATTCGCTCGGGAAAGGGATGATCTGGCGAGAGAAGAGGCTAGGATCAAGGAAAGATTATCACACGAGGATACGTCCGACGACTATTACCAGACATGGAGGGCAGTCAGGCCACAGCTGGACATGAGGCTGGCTGAAGTGCAGGAACGGCTACAGCAAATCGCAGAGCATCATGACGACCACTGGGTGCTCCTAGGTGAGGCCTATGTACAAGGCGTCATGCAGGGAGAAGCAGTCGCGGAGGTGGAATTTGGTAGCGTCACGATAGCATAAATTTGAACACTTGCATAGTCATCGGTCCGCTTGCCTGCGCATACCGTCAGTGAAAACGTTACTGTGTGAACCGTAAAGAGAGGGCCAAGTCCTCCAAGATGGATCGTGTTCGTCGCATTGGTCGCGATCTTTGCTGGTTTGTCCAAAACTATATGCCATCTCCACGTCGATTCGGTTGGTACTGTGAACGGCAGATAGAAATTGGCAAACGGCTGACCCTTACCTGCAGACGAGATTCGACCCTACTAGGCGATGGGAACTGTGGAAAATCCTGAGCCAATGATGGGCCGTCTCGGCCATTCCGAAAGGCAGGCTCGGCTGCTAGGAGACACCTGCATCAGCCTTGCATCTCGAGGCAACCACAGTCACGTTGAGCCAACCAATTTTCTTGCATCTTTTCGTTTTAAAAGTGATCCTGGCAGTGAAATAGACACAGATTCAGGACCCAAGGCTGCAAAGCCTATTTCTGTACAGTCCCGGAGGAATAAGCTGACCAATCACATCATATGACGTTGGTGCCACTAATTGCAGTCATAGGCATGTCATCAGTAACCCGTTGGGATCATCTCCAAATTTTGGAAGTAGCTGATGTCATGACAAGCGAGGTAACACATATAATGCCATGCAAAGACCTGCAACTCCACTGTTCCAACTTCCCTTTGCCAAGCTTTTGCACTACACACATCATGAGTGACGCACATAATCCAAACATCAAGGCTCGGGAAACGCCCCAATGGGGTCTGCTGCAACGGGAGATGTTCTGGGCGCCAAACGAGGGCCGCCACCCACCCTTGAACACAAGTCCTGACAAGCTCAAGAAGCTTGCCGAGGAGAGGCTCAGCGAGGCCGGCTGGCTCTACTCGTCCTGCAACGCTGGCCAGTCATGGACGCACTACGCGAACAGGATGGCATTCTATCGCCACCAGATCATTCCCAGAACGCTGGTGGACACCAACTCCAGGGACACGGTGACCACGCTCTTCGGCCAACGCATGTCAGCACCTGTCGGTTTCGCTCCGATCGGCATCAATCGCATCTACCATCCCACGGGAGAGCTATCGCCCGCGAAGGTGGCTGCCGAGCTCAACATCCCGTACTGTCTCTCCTCTGCTGGGAGCTATAGCATCGAGGAGACAGCCAAGGCAAACGGCAACGGCCCTCGATACTTCCAGCTGTACTGGAGTCCGGACGACAAAGTCGCCACGTCCATGCTGGAACGGGCTCACAAGGCTGGCTACTCAGCCTGCATACTGACGACAGACACATGGCAGCTGGGCTGGCGCCACGATGATGTGGCCATGGGTAACTACGCCTTTTACCACGAACACGGGGCTGGCGATCTCGGCCTCAACGATCCAGCGTTCCTCCAGCGGGTCAAAGAGGCAGGGCTGGACCCGGCCAAGAACCCCAAGGAGGTCGGGGCCAAGTGGATCGACGAGAACATATGGCACGGCCACGCCCGCACCTGGGACGAACTCCCGGGTCTGATCAAGCAGTGGAAGCGCATCTCGGGAGGCAAACCATTCTGTATCAAGGGCATACAGAACGTCGCCGACGCGAGAAAGGCCGTGGAAATGGGAGTCGACGGCATCATCGTGTCCAACCATGCCGGACGGCAGGTGGACGGTGCCATTGGCAGCCTGGACGCGCTCGAAAAGGTAGTCAAGGCAGTGGGGGACAAGACAGTCATCATGTTCGACTCGGGAGTCCGCGGCGCAGCCGACATCTTCAAGGCGCTCGCCCTCGGGGCCAAGTTTGTCTTCGTTGGCCGCCTCTGGGTCTGGGCACTCGGCGCAGCTGGAGAGGAAGGCGTCCGCCATGTCATGAAGAGCCTTCTTGCCGAGTTCGACATCCTGATGAACGTGTCCGGATACGCGAGTATCGATGCCATTGACCGGGAGGCCATTGACTCCCTCCCTAGAGGCACCTACTTTCCGGCAAACCCCGATCTTACCTAAATGGTTCCCAAGGTTCAGCAGGTTGCCGGATGGGCTGGATTCTGAGCAGAAACTATCATCTGTAAGCCGGGAGGTTATACCTGTGTCGATGACCTCAGATACATGAATCGAAGTTCTGAATCTCGTTATCCATGCCGAAACTGTAAACTGGTTTTCGCTCTACCCGACGTTGAACTAGCCTGTGTCAATGCCCTCGAGGTCTCCATGGCATTCTGCGGCACATTTGTTCATGACAGGGATATGTATGGTTGGCAATGTTGATGAAGGGGTCGCGATCGAGTAAGCAGTCATGAAACAAATGATATAGTCCGAAATCCCCCAACAATCAAAGTGTGGTTTGGTTCCCATCTCCTCAAGTGTAAAGATAGAACCGGATCTTAGGATAGTCTCGTGGTCCCATCACCTCCGCCCAGGTGGAGAACCATATTGCGGCAGAACCTATGCTGCACAACGATACTTGAATCATGCAGCGGTGCGCCGCACCCGTAGAAGTCATTGGCCCACCTGGGCATGTCCAAGGGTTCATGGTCAGGGGTGCCCTGACGGCGCAACACTCCGCACCAATTTGGCAGGACCCAGATTAGACCCGAAAAAAAAGGGAGCAGTATTCAACAAAAGCTCCAAAAGGAAAGGCCCGCTCCAAGTCGGAGCAGCCAAGTGAATGCATCAGCCGTGAATCGAACACGGGGCCCATCGATGGCAACGATGGATTTTACCACTAAACCACTGATGCTGTTACTTGATTGGTTGAGGGATCTCTCATTACACGATTATAGATACGTGTGCACTAACGAAGGCGCCTGGCGAGTTGGTGTTTCCGGTAGCGATGCGTTGCTTGGGACAAACGAAAAGAAGCCAAATCTACGCCTGTTTACAAAATCTTTAATCCAGCATTGATGCGACTTTAAACATTTAGTTTCTATAGAGTCGTATCCTCCGCCCACGACTTGCCTTCCTTCTCCTGCATCTCCCGGTACTCGCTCTCGAGCATCCCCAACTCCACAAAGTCGTGCCAAGCCCCGCGGAACCAGACCTGCTGTCGGCGTCGGCCCTCCGGGACAAAGCCCAACTTTTTGTACAGGTAGATGGCGCGTTCGTTGAAACTGACTGTCTCAATGCTGACGCTGTGCATCCCCGCCATGACGAATGCGTATCCGAGAATCCAGCGGATTGCCTCCGAGCCGTACCCTTTGTTCTGGAAATCCTTGTAGATGCTAATGGCGATGCCCGCATTGCGGTCTGGTCTCACAGCATTAGTATGCAAGTACGATAGAATCGGTTGATCCAGCCGAACCAGACGTACTTTGAACTCCATTGGGATGCGATTTGCTAAGCGCAATGATTCCAATCGGTGTGGCCGTAGCTCCGGACTCATTGCCACTGTCAGTGGCTGGAGGTAGGCAAATCATGACCGCGATCAAGGCGTTGTTCCTGAGGATGTCCGAGAGCTTTTTGGTATGGGCCTTGCCCTGGGGAACCAAGAGATGGATGGTGTTGCCTGACAAGGACACTGTGTCAAGCTGGATTGAGTGGAGGAAGGCTTCATCCTCGGGATTGTCTTCAACCGCCCGGTAGATTAGGTTCTTGGAACGAAAAGGGTCGAAAGCCATGATGTCACTGAATCCGAGGTATCGGCCGTTCAGGAAGCAATGCACAAGAAGTCAGGCGCGTGTGATTCTGGGACATCCAGGCACGATGGGCGGGTTGAGAAAAGCCGCCTTCCTCTATAAATACACGTTTGTGCGTAGAAGGTACGTATGCTCACGGTGGAGGCAACAGGGACAATGGCTTTAGGCAACGTCGTCTCAAACGCGATCCCTGGCCACCTCGATTGGTCCCTGCGTCCGGATTGATAGGTTATACGCGTGTAGACCCAGGCATCGGCCAACCTGCTTACTTGCCAAGAGATAATCCCCACAACAACTTACGAGCGTCCCGCACCTTCCAATTGAAGCTAAGCTGCCGTTTCGGTATGTCACTGCCTTCGGATGTTGTCGAGCGAGCTTCCGGCGTCTCTTCCAAATATAGTATGGGTTTCGATGATCTCCTGCCCTGCCTAGCCCTACTCGATGGGCATGCCAGGAAGCCTGGCATTGCGAACTCCTCAATACCAGTTTTCTGTACCATCCGGCTCCAAGGCATGGAATAGGGCAAAGTTACCCTGGGCAGTGCTCAACCATAGCTTCAACATTCCGACGATATGAGTATGTCTGTGCCTGTATCTGGCACGCAAGGATGGGCGACCTGGTCCGCTCAATGAAGGCACGTGCCGCTTCGTATCTGACACCGTTCAGAGGAGGGTGACTCAAGCACCTTGGAATCTTCGCAAGCGATATGCGATGCTCGATTGTTTCATGGACCGCCTCGTAAGGCGACTGTGGCTCGACTGCTGAGTCGAAGGCGAGCAGTCGCTTATTATAAGTTGCATCAAACTAGGCATGAGTACGACTCTGGGCCAAGCCAGCTGACTGGCGGTGTCTACGGATCCCTGTCCACCTGCTGTGGTTCCTGCCTATGGCTACAGGCACACGCCATGTCGGTGTCCGCTAAGCTTTTTCCGACAGGGGCGAGAGCTGAGGGCTATCGTTCGCAGTATGTGGGCCAGGTATATTATGGAGCACCGTGGGTTCGTGGACCTTCTCGCGAACTGGCAGGATGCGGTAAGCACGCGGCTGGGGGGTATAGTTGGGGAATTAGGAGATATCCCAGACAGCGGACGTGACATGAACAGCAAGACGGCCGCGGCTATCCGAGAAATTCTCTATGTGGCTCGTACAGCTCTTGGGCCTGTCAGAGGGGTCCCTCGATATGATGGACACGACGCGTGAGTGCTGGACTGGGCTAGGACAATATAAGAAGTGGCGCACCTTTTCTGGCGGTTCTGTGCGACGAGATCTTCGGCGGCAGTCTGGTCTGGGCTGCAAAAAGAATCACCGCTACCGTCAACAAGCACCTCCAGCAGCGCCAACGACAACACTGATCCCCGATTCCCCCGCTTTCTAGCAGCAGCCAGCATCAACGGCGAAGGTCTCTGCCAGACCGAGTGAGATCTCGTCCTGAAGACCATACTCCGCCCTACACCCCAAAGTCTCGCCAAGTCCTCCTCGATCTCGACATCCCCTTGCTCCGCGGCCCTTCACCCCCGTCCATCACCGCGAGTCAAGTAATCTTCGCAGCGCAATGGACGCGCTGCCTGACGACCGTCGCGCTGTGGTCCTACCGCATGCAGACACGCATACTGCGCGCACAGGAGCAATACCACGCCCACTCAAACTCCCACTCCCACTCTCACACGTCAACTTCGACACCACACGCTTCCAAACAAGCCACCAGCGCGAAGCAGCGGAGATCCAAGACTTCCAAGGGAAATGGCAGACGACTATTCAAGCGCGCCAGCGGACATGCTCCGGCCCGGAAGAGCACGAAATGTACAGCAGAATCGCCCATCGCGATACACGGGGCATAATACTCGATCTGTACCGTCTTGGATCCTTCGGCGGGTCATTGTCGCGAATGCAGCGAGTGGCAGGAAGAGGCTTACGACCAGCATGGTCTCCTCGGCATCGCCGTCGGCTTCATCATCATCGGCGGCAGCAGAACCTAGCGGGTCGCGAGTATCGCCGCCCCCGCTCGTCCTTTGCGACCAGAGCGTGATGCACGAGCCCGCCCTGCCAATCGTGAGCCAGATCGCGCCGCAGAATCGCAACCCCGCGCTTCGCCGTCGGGCGATGCACTTGTGAAGCCGATGTGTGAGCAGGGAGCACTCGCATTGGGATGGGCTGGGGGCGCATCTAAGGTCCAAGGCGGTGATAGAGGCCGAAGAGGATGGGCGGGTTGAAAGGAGGATTGTGGTTATGCCAGTGGGGGACGGTGAGGTGACATTGGTGAAGACTCGTTCGGTGCGTGGATCCACGTTGGCTCAAACAAGGCCCGATTCGGGGGGTATGTGTCTTTAAACTTGTGATTTGAGCTCGCCTTGCATGAGCATTATTTTCCGGTGTGGACGTGAGAACATAAGCTTAAAGGCCTCAAAGGATGCAAGTCCAGGTAAGAGTATTTTCGAATACGGCGCCCTCCTTACCCAATGGTATTTTACAGATCGACCGCATGGCGGTGTCGCCGGCCAGTTCCAGTAACATGTTGAGCAGTAGTCTATGAAACGAATCGACGACTTATGGAATAGCTATATTCAGGGAGCAACTGTGTTGTGCGCAACGTGTCTGCATCATCGCGAATCACATTGAACACCATCAAATGTGTGCAGCTTCAATAACGACTAATACCGCCAACGCTTACGCCAAACCTCGTCGTTGATGTACGGGGCTGAAGTAAGTACCTCTACCCCAGTCGCCCGATCCGCACCCTGATTCGTGCAATCAGTTACGATCTTGCATATTCGACCAGGGTGCCGAGGGGAAGTCATCAGCACGAATGGCAAGATCGTCTCCCCGCTCAACTTTTCCCATCACCGGACTCAGCGCTCGCGTATCCTCTGCCCGCCCTGAAATCTGGTTTCACAGGCAAAGGACACAGCACAACGGCCCATGGCGACAATGATAGTGTCTGAGTTATGGCTGCAGCATCAGCAAGAGCAGGACTTCCACAATAGCCACGCAGCCGGCAAGCGGCTAAGCACGCCGAAAGTCAAGACTGGTGAGTGACTATTATGCAAGCTGTGCTCGACTGAGCCACAGCGAGGTCCTCCCTCCCAGTCCGTAATTTGGTGCTGAGAGACGCCCTTTGGTCGCACAGGCTGTCGAGGATGCAAGGCCTCACATCTCAAATGCGACGAGCAGAAGCCCTCCTGCGCCCGGTGCCAGAAACGTGGAACAACATGCCATTACCAACCGACACCGCACCTCAACAAGGGGACAGCGCCAAGGAGAACAGCCCGCAACACGAGGCCCGCCAAGCCGTCTCCTGTGACGAACAAAGCGACTCAACCGCGTATTCTGCAACCTGCTGCGTTGACACATGCCCATCACAGAGCACGACCCTCCCACCTGTCTCCCCACCCACCCAGCACAACCATCCGGCCCTGGGAGGCGCAGTACTTTGATAGCTTCCGCTACCTGGTCGTCCCACACCTGCACTATCAGCAGAGCGAGTTCTGGTGCCGCACCGTCCTCCGCGAGAGCCTGCGCGACGAGTGCGTGCGGAACGCCATGCTCGCCCTGGGCGCCCTCGGCCGCGTCCAGGCGCAGCAGTGGAACATTTCTGTCCCGCTATACAAGTCACAGGTCGGCCTACTCGCGAAAGAGGGGAGTACAGGCAGGACGGTGCTGAATCATTACTACCAGGCTCTGGTGCACTACGCCAAGGCCATCAATGCGTTCCGACGACTTCTTACCGAGGCACAGGACAAGAAGCACACCCCCCGCTCGATTCTGATTGCGACGGTGCTGCTGAGCCAATTCGAGCTGCTCCAGGGCAACACCGACGCAGCAGACCAGATTGCCGCCCGGAGTGTATCGCTACTCGGGAATAGGATCATGCGTGGGATTGTTGTTCCCGCACCAACCACCACCAGCGACGACGACGTTGACAGCATGTCCCTGATAGCAGCCGCAATCGACGACGAGGGCGTCTGGGAAGCGGGAACGGAGCTGGTTCTCAAGACTATCCTCAACGCAGCGTGCTCCGCGCTATATCCCAAGGCAAGGGAGGTCATTCTTGCGCTCAACCTTCCTGTCCCCAACAGTGCAACACCTCCAAGTCCCGAAGAGACCTCAGAGAGCTTTGTACTGCTGTGGAAGAGGTGCCTCGCTGTTGTGTGTGTCTGGTATTTCCGCCTCCAAGCACGGATGCTTATCACCCAGCAGCAACAACAACAACAAGACGGCGTGATTTCTACTCCTGGGAACGCAGCCTTCGACGTCTACCCCTTTGTAGTAGCGCACCGTCACGAACAGCGCGCACTACTCGACCTCGTGGCCTCATGGCAGGTCGCTGTCCGCGCGCGTCTAGCAGCCTGCAAGACCCCCGGTCCCGCCGCCACTGCCACTTCCTACAGTAACGCGTACATCGCCTACAGCAAGGCTGCCGTCGCCATACACGCGACCTGCTACTCCCTCCGCACGGCGTTCGACATTACTGGCAAATCATGGGACCCCGACGATGACAGCAGTCACAACCACCACCATGAGTCATCGACACGCGAGTTGCTCGACCAGTGCGAGGCGGTCGTCGACATGGTATCCGAGCAATTGCGCCTCAGCAGCAGCGCCACCGCTGCCGCTACAAGCCTCCGCGACCAAGGCGTGGCCTACGACGGGGTGATGTCTGCGGTGATGCAGATCGCACACCAGGCTCGGCACCGCGGCTTCCGGGCGCGGGCCATGGATATCTGGGGCCGGATGCTCGGGGGTGATGCGCACTGGAATGTGCTTGCGACGTACCTTGCTGCGGTGGCGGTGCATGATGTCGAGGAGGAGTTTAGGGACCCGGTGACAGGGGAGATACCTGTGGACAAGCAGTATATGTGGGTTGAAGGGAGTTGGGATGAGGCGTATACACATTTCAGGGCTGTTGTGGTTGGCAAGGTTCCCGGAGTTGATGGGGTGAGTGATAGGAGAATCGTCATGGTAGCAGCGCCGTGGAAGGTAGCATGATGTGGGAGATGGAATGGGTCAGGTCGTGAAATCACGAATCGGAAATGCCTCACTCATGATCTCGCCACGTTGCAGTCTCATGACAGCTCGAGGCCGCAGAACTGCGAAGAGAGCGAAGAGAAGTTCTGCTCTGTTCAACACCAACGAGCAATCCAAAATCTTAGCTGAAATGAACGTTAATTTGCTAGTATCCCTTTAGAAACGACCCAAGCTTAGACCTTTCTGGCTCTGAGAATTGCTCATCTCATACAAACAACCACTAGCCATCCGTCGACTCACTTGAGGACGTTCCAGCCAAACTTAGAGTCGTAATGGCCATGACTAGTGTTGCGGTTGACGGCAAAAGACGGTGTGAGTATCATCCTGCACAACACCCATAATACTGGTTCAGAAGACTCACAGTAGTGATATTAAAGCATACCCCATGCAAATTATTGTGCCACACTCCCTGTCCACCGGACGCAAACACATTCCCTAAGCTCGTATAGACCTCGGTGCCACCCTCATCCAGACAGTTTTTACCCAACTTCCCCGAAGACCAGAGCCGTCGGCAAGTCGCCCCTACATATAAAGGCTTTGTACGCTTGGTCCGCGGGGAAACTATTCGGCTGATTACTAAACTCTCCCGCCTTGCCCCTGCTTGAGAACAACTACTACATGCCATTCTCAAGCTATATAACCACCCCTTCCTACGTATGAATGGTGGCGTCTACGTCTCGATCGAGCGGTCTCAATTGTTCAACATTTCAAGGCATTCAGAGAGAATGCGCATCGAGTTGATATCCTAGCTGCATCGGCCATCATTTGATGACCCAGCCAGGTCAGAGCTGTTGCTTCTCTTTCAGTGCCATCATAATGCTTCGCACGTAATGGCAGACAGATCCCCTCCCGGTCGTGAATCCCACTTCCCTTCAGGATGATCATGACTGAAATCCGTAGCGTCAGCGACATTGCACGGCCAAATCAAGCCAAAATGTACCGAATGAGCAGTGTTAGTGGGGAAAGGATCTGTACAGTATTTGACTTGGTGTCCCTAGCCTCTTAAACTGTGGCGATTCCCGCCAGATAGCGGATACAGATGGCCGGCTCACTTGATCCACAATCGCGCGGGTTTTCTGTAGCGCTAAATTGCCCTGTCCATCAAGGAGACTAGCGCAAATTAATCGAGGTCCACCTGGCGAATGGGGGATTTGTGAGATGCCGATCCCTCTGGCGCACGTCAACTCACTCCCGGTCCCCGTCCGTGCGGGCTGCGAGGTATGAGTCGTGCAATGTGGAGCTGAAGGACGGAGCAGACATGGCATAAATGACTGGAAAAGCCCCAGAAGCTTGCTGTAGTCGTCTTCGACCACCTCAAGCCCGCCTTGGGCAGTACACTCCTTTGAAGAAAGATGCGCATCGCCATTGTCCCAGCCCTTATTCTCGGCTGCACCGCCGCTGCGGCTCCTGGTCTCGTCGGCGGCCTGCTTGGCGGCGTGACTGGCGGCCTTGTCGGCGGTCTGACCGGCCAGCTCAAAAACACCATTGGCAAAATAGAGCAGCAGCTCAATGACGTGGGCGTCACCGGCTCCGCGCTGCTCGCCCAGCTGGGAGACATTCAGCCCCTTTCGAAGCCCTCGTCCATTCAAGATGTCGTTACAATTCTCACCAAAATCGGCGGTGTCAAGCCGGCAACTCTGCTGGAGAGCACGGTGCAGCTGGTTCTTAGCGGACTTGGCCCGAGCAACCTTGCCACCGTGATGAACCAGTATTCCGCGGGTGTCAACAGCGAAAACAACATCAACCGGGAGCCCGCTAGCCCGGTCTACCCCGCTGCCGCTGGCGACGTACCCTACTCGATCACGGAGGAAAAGCTTCGAGGTGCCATATATATCCCTTCGACCTTTACCTACGGCAAGAAGCCTCCGGTGATTCTTGTCCCAGCGACCGGCACCAAGGGTGGCTTCACCTACTACAACAACCTCGGCAAGCTGCTGCCACAGCAGGAGTATGCGGATCCGGTATGGCTGAATGTGCCTGGTTGGCTCTTGGAAGAGGTCCCGTGGAACTCGGTAAGTTGTTCAGCAGGGCTGCCTCGTTGTTTCCGCATGAGAAGCTCGATACCATCCTCGGCGACCTCAACTGGATGTCGTGAGTACTAATGACTCTTTGCAGGAGTTCGTCGCTTACGCTATCAATTATATCTCGGGTATCACTTCACGAAATGTGTCCGTGGTTGCCCTCTCCCAAGGCAACCTCAACACCCAGTGGGCACTGACCTACTGGCCGTCAACCCGGGCCCTTGTTAGCGACTACATTGCCGTTTCCCCCGACTATCATGGGAGTGCCATCATCGAGGCGATGTGCCCGTCGCTCGGCCTACTCTCCTGTACCCCGTCGCTCTCTCAGCAGACGTACACATCAAACTTTATCCAGTCCTTCCGCCAGCGCAGCGCCGCCGCCTTCGTCCCGACAACCACGATCTACACGGCTACCGACGAGATCGTTCAACCACAACACGGCACCGGCGCCTCCGGTTATCTCCTCCAGGACAGCAGCCGTCCCGCCGCGGGCGTCGTCAACGTCGAGCTGCAGAAAGTCTGCCCACTGGACAGTCCGGCCTCGCTGCTCAGCGACCACGTCAGCCCGCTGTGGGGTGCGGCTCTGCAGGCCCTCATCAAGGACGCCCTTACGCATGACGGACCTGCCGACATCTCACGCATCCCAAACTGGACTGGCGAGTGTTCCAAACTTGCTGCTGATGGTTTGACCCTGGCCGACGTGGTCGGCACTACATGTAAGAACTCCCTCCCTGACGCGCTGTCCGCTACGTGGTCGGCCGGTTCCTGCCTGTCATTTTGCTCTCAGCACTTGCCAACCTCGCGCGATGAACCTGGTTCTAATATCTTCCTTGTGCGAAAACAGCTATTGGACCGATCGCAGTCGCCTCCTGGCTACTATACCCGAAGCGTGTCACCACCGAGCCTGCGGTGCCCGCTTACGCCCTCTAATGATGCCGTCGCTTCCGCATTGACACTTGAGCTGGAAGTTGGACGGGGTAATAGCGTTCAATGGTCACAGATGTTGCACATAGGTCGTCCTAGCCCTCGCAAGTTAATCACCACAACCATCCAGTCTTTTGTGCAATTGCCTCACGATGTTGACGACTTCGCGAAGGGCAAAACAAGACTACCAGTGAACCTAAATCTTATGATAGCTCTTCTTGGTACTCCATGCACGGGCCCGAGTGTCAAGATCCGTTTGAGCGGCCTGATGAGTTGCGCGGATAGCATCATAGTCATGTCGCGTCTACAATTGCGAGATCTCACAAACGTGGTTGACCTATCAATTTGTCTCGGCATACGTCGCAGTGCCGATCAAATTCGAACTTCATGACTATTTTTGGAGTCCGGCATGGGATTGAGTGTTATGTCAGCAGAGCTTGAAAGTCATGTCTGTCGGCCAAGACAAACAGCCTATCCCTGAAGTGGTACTTGTCTTGGAAGGATATTCCAGTCGCAGGCTAAGAAAAGATATGGACATGGTTGGCTGCAGCTCCGGGATCACGACACCAGCACCTTACGCAGGGCTCAGCTCGGCAGACGTATGGCTTGCCTTGGGTCGTCGCCACTGAAGTCCATTGTTTGAGATGCCTCCTGTCGCAGAGCAAAAAGACAAGGCTCATATGACGTAGTAGAGTCAGGGGCACTGTGGTGCTGTGTGCTGTGTGCTACGCCACTGGGTCGTACTCTGTCAGACTTGCGACATCGCCCTGGTCGTCTTGGCAAATCCCACAGAGATTCACAAGGTGCGCGTGCCGCAGACGCGATCAATGCACAACAATCAAGTGGATTCGGATGAGCTGAGTGGAAGCTTCGAGTGTATCCCTAACAAATACATGGATTCACAAAAGATTTCCCCCTCGGAAAGCGTTGGACATCCAACTTGGAAGCATGAGAGGCTCCAAACTCCGTATGAGACATGAATGCGTCACCCGCGTATCCCGGGGGAAGTTCCGAACCTGCAACTTTCGAACCAGACCGAGGATTTCTATGCGTCTGCCGTATTCAGCTTTCTTCCCTTTCGCAAAAGTGATGCGCGGCTGCAGATGGGGATGAAGTGCGTCGATCCGCACAAGCGAGGCTGAGGTGAGGCGGCAAACCGGGGCAACCGGGATGGATCTGACGCGTGCTGATCTTTAACCGAAAACTTCTTTTCAAAACCTGGAGAACAACATGTGCCCTAGAAATAGAACAACGTCTCCACCGAGGTCGATGTAAGTGGAGATCATCGAAGTATCATCGAAAGATGTCCGGGGCTGCTGTTGATAGAAGTAGACTAACAAAGCCGCCGTAAAAGTATAAAGGAAGCGGGCGTTCAACATCGAAGAACGTGATTTCGAAATCACCAGAGCAGTTCGATCATTATCAAGCCATCCCAATCACCAGGTTGCATACTTATCCATTGAAATTTACTTCACTCAGAACCAATCTTCACACAAAGCTTGTTAAAGCGACATCATCTATCAAGATGCAGTTCACTCAGTTCCTTGCCGCCATGGCTATGCTGTCTGCCTCTGGTTTTGCGCTTCCCGCGCCTCAGAATGATGAAGGCTGCATTCGGAAGGAGTACGTCGACATCAACCACGGCGATGAGTATGACGAGCCGGCCGAGATTGTATCTGGTCATGGATACATCTCGGATAACATCAACACCTGCTCGATCGCCAACTCGGCCACCCGTAAGTCTGTGACTTTTTTCTGATGTCCTCTGCGACATGGCTGCACCACTTGATGGACACAAACTAATGGGGTTGTTCCTCCAAGACACAAAGACAATGTCGTGGTCCATAGGGGGCAATTCTGGAGGCAGCATGGACTTCAAGAAGATCTGGTCCGCAGTGTCCGGCCTGAGCTGGGACGTCTCGTAAGCTCACTTCCTGCTCCCAAATATTGGCCCTGAAAACCCAAATGACTTAACATCACCGCTTCGCCACACAGTTTCTCCGAGTCCGATGCGACGGGCATCACTACAACGGCCAACTGCCCTGCCGGTGGCATCAAGTGCGGCCTACAAGTCGTTGTGCGCAGCATCAAGATCACTGGAAAAGAAGTCACATACAAGAAGCTGTTCTCTGGCAACTCCGGCACCTGCAGCGGGACGGAGAGGGAGATCAGCCGCGAGGACTGGGAGACTGTCAACACGGTGCTCGATGGCGACGGCGAGCACAATGCGCGCATGGACTTCCGCGCGTGCCACCGCGGCTGCGCCGACGGCAGCGACTGCTAGGGGGCGATTGACAAGGCTGGCATTCCCAAGTGCCCTGGGGCTTAAGCGTGAGCTCGAGATCTGGGGCCATATAGCTTAATGGAGTGAAGGGCTTCTTCACCACGCTGTGCACAAGCACAACTGAGTGCAGAATTGCATTGCGCAGCAGCCGAGACCAGCAAGTTCATAATGCCCCTCCTGTACAGATAGACAAGGTCGTGGTTGGCGGCGACACAGTGCTTCCTTCGAATTCTTTCTGTACAATATCACACAATCAAGTCATTACTTGTGCCTCTCCATGACACTCACCCGCAAGTAACGTGCTGACAACCCCGAGGTATACAAGACGAAGAACTCTATTCCTCTAGCTACAGAATGCGAGTGAACCGAAGAGGGACAAGGAAAACAATTCCAAGTACGACAAATCATTCTGAATCTAGGCGACATGTTCTGTGTTCTTTGCCACTTCTCTCAAGTTGTCTCTCATCTCCTTCCCATCGTCGATTGCCTTTCGGATTTCGTAGTCCAATCACCGGCCCTTTAGTAGACGTAGAAGTTGAGCTGCTCGTCCTCGCTGGCTCGGAGCTTGGCGTTGCGCTTCTTCATGATGACCTTGACGATCCAGGCCACGGCAGCGGTGCCGAGACTGAAAGCGCACGAGGCGGACATGGCAGGCACGTAGCGCGGCTCGGAGGCCTTGGTCCAGAGGTACGGGGTCCAGATGAAGCTGATGTTCATGATGGTCGTGACCATGCTGATGGCGGCTGCCTTCTTCTCCTTGGTCTGGCCGCAGACGCTGCCGCACCAGCCGAGGATGAGGGAGTTGACGCCGTAAGTTCCAATGGTGAAGATGACCATGGAGACATAGCGGCCGGCAAAGTTGAGGGTTGCCGCCGAGGCAGCGAAGCCAACCGTGGCGATGATCTTGGAGATTGTGATGTGCCAAGTGCGCTCGTTGAACTTGCCCGAGCTCCAGGACACCGCAATGGTGACGGCGCCGGCAATGAGGTACGGAGGGCAGGTCATGACCAGCGTCATCGTCTCATTCATGCCGAGAGTCTTGACAACAGAGGGGAAGAAGTTCTTGAAGCCGTTGGCCGCCAGATGCAGGTGGGCCATGAGGCAGAAGAGCCAAACCACGGGATCCTTGGCCGCCTGCTTCAGTCCTTCCATAACAGACGTCTGTCCGGCATTTTCTGTGGCGTCTAACTCCATGCGATTGGAAGCTAAGTCGCGCTCTTCCTGGGTCAGCCACTTGGTGTTGTGTGGAAAATCCGGGAGGAGGAAGTATCCTGTGGTAGTAGGTAGCGTCAGCGGGGGTTTTTTGGGCGTTTTCGGGCGATCTCAGCACAGGCAATGAGCACTTACCTGCAATGGCAATAACAAAGGTAACAGCTCCCTGGAGGATGAAGAGCCACTGCCAGCCAGCAAGACCTGAAAACAAGGTGTCAGCATTTCGAGGAAAAAGACGAAACAAGAAAAGTGGGGCCGGGGAGGGGGGGGGTCCACGACGTACCGAGACTGCCGTCCATGCCATGGAACACACCAGCAGCAATGAGACCAGCGAAAGCAGTCGCTAGGACATTGCCCGTGTAAAGAATGGCAATGCGTGTTGCGACCTCCTTGCGGTTGTAGAAGATGGAGAGGATGTAGACAGCACCGGGGTAGTCTTGTGAGAGGTCAGCCAAGAGTCGTCCACTTCGCGGAAAGGGCGAGTCCCGCAATGGGGGTACGTACAAGGCGCCTCAGTGAGACCGAGGAAGAAGCGGGTGAGCAAAAGACCAACGTAGTCCTTCGAAAGAGCAGTAAGAGCGCTGACAACAGCCCAGAGAGCCATGCAAACTCCCTACAGACTGTTAGCCATGGGTCACTTTCGTGGTAGGATACACAAGCTTACCATGTACCGAGAAGGGCGAGTTCTGGTGAGGAACATGTTGGAGGGGATTTGGCCAAGAATGTAACTGCAGAGATTGTCAGAACCTTCGGTTTCGAGCTTCGAGCCAGCCACGTGTGTTATACGACATACCCGACGAAGAGGATGGACACGCAGGTCTGGTATTGCGTGTCCGTGAGGTTCAGGTCTTCCTCGAGTGAGTTGATACGGGCGAGTGCGATCGCGTTTCGATCAAGGTAGTTGAGCCAGTACATCGACCAGAGCATGGGCTAGGGGAGGAGCAATGTCAGATTTGTTTTCCCAAGTGTGTAGAGATTTTGACGTACCATGATCCAGCGGTCGAGCTTCTTGACAAGGGCGATTTCCTTCGGGTCGGTCTTCTCGTCTGGTGTGGAGTATCAGCATCCAGTCATCACCGCAATCAGCCCATGAGCCACTTACGAGCACCGAATCGATCGACATGCTCCACGCGGGGAACTGCCTTCTCGGAGGAGATATCATCGTCAAACATTGGGCCCCTGTTTGGGTGCTTCTCAACGGCGATATCGCCTTGGGTGTTCTGAGCCGCCATATTGATGAGTGCGACGGTGAAAGAGACACTGAGGTTTCAGGCTCAAGAAAAGTGTTGAAGAATGGAGATGGCGAAGGATTCACAGCCTGTTGGTGAGCAAGGACACAGCCGCGCTTGCTTGAAACAGAGGGTTGATCATGGTGACGGGAGGGACAAGACATATATAGGTGTCACGGCGCCACGCCCCGGATCATCACCTTCCCCATAAAAGCCTTGGGGAACTGCTTTCCCCATGCCAAGAATAGACAGTCTGGAGCACTCGGGGAACAGACCATGTTGTTCTCGTGGGGAAGCGCGGGGCACCCGGTTTCTCACCGTCTGCGTCTTGGCCATTCTACCCAAAAGTAGTCTTTGCCAAGGGGCTACTACATGATGACGATCACACCCATGACATGCACTTGGCGAGAACCAGGCGGGTTCAAGGACTTGGCCAACCTTGATGGTGGGCTCGTGCTATCTGTCCTCGGACAAAAAGCTGGTATCCGAGTCCACGATGGCGTCTCTCTGCACACTGGAAGCACGCTAGGGGCACTTCCATTATGCCAAGCAAAGCCAGCCACCCTGAGAGTGACTCGGTATGATTGGTGGTACCTTCCGCTAACCACTTGCCGTGTGCCTTGGAATCAAAGACATCTGGACGCATGGAAGAAGTATGTTCACGTTAGGCGAGAAGCCAGTGCGATAGCAAGCTCCCCAAGGTTGCCAGCCAAGACATGCGCTCGGTGTGCTCACCGCGACACGCGCCCGCCGAGTCTTCCAAGGCTTCTAGGCCTCGCGCCAGCACGAGTCTTGGAGGTCCACCGTGGCTTGGCCGTATCTCCAAGCCATAAGCTAATTGGCCCCCCAGGCCTTGGCTCATACATTAACTCGGTTCCTTATGATCCTGAATCAGCCGCTCCCGCCCAAAGACGCTCACGACAATGTCTGGGGCGTCCGGGCTGGGCGCCGTCGTGCTACACTTGGCAGAAGCTAGGCAGATACTTGGCTAGTCTCGGAGAAAGGGCAAAACAGGCTGGACTCACTGCCCCCAAGACCGGAGCCATGCCTCTTTGGCATCAAGCGCCGAACTCTCAACAACAGGACCCTTGAATAGCGTCGTTACTGTTGCGTAGCGCCAAGTCCCGCATGCATTGGCGTGACTCGCGCCAGTCCAACATCACAAGACCAGTTCCCCGCCTCCGCTCTCTCTCCCCCACACAACCCCGCAAAGTCCCATCCGTGAGATTGGCGTGGAGGTCGGAGAACAAAATACCTCACAAACGCCCTCTCACTTGCAGAGCAGTCTAGACCAGGAGGCCGGGCACTGTTGGTGGTGCGGGGAAAAGCGGGTTGTTGAGGGCACCAGGGCCAGGGACAAAGACTCGTAGCTGGGGGCGCTAATTTGTCCCCTGCATGGTTGCAACTTAGTTGTGCCTGGTTGACTAACCGGAGGACAAGTACCATGACCAGATTTCTCGGCAGGGCAAGCTGAGAACCCATTTTCGAGCTTCTGTCGAGGCTGACGGCAAGTTCCAGGACAAGCGCCAACCACTCCGCAGTGTTTGACCCCACTGAAAGGAATCCTACAGCCCGACTGGCAGCCTCTCACTGGGGGGGTCCTCCCTTCCTCACAGACAAATCAGCGTTTGGCAAAGAATGTCTTTGGCCTGCTTCCATCGGGGACATAGCGAGACGATCCGGGAGATGCCGGGTGGAAAAGTGTACTTGCTTCCTCGATATCGGGATGCCCATGAGCGCTGCCAGTCAACCACACCTTCACGATGACTGATTTCAAACGTCGGTGCCGTTGCTCCCGTAGCGCTGAGTCTTGCATACAAATCAGGAGAACAATATCAGCCCAACCATGGAACAAAGAAGTATCACGAGATGCAACTCGGAATGTCCGATCAGAGATCCTGCTGGCAACGGCAGCCATCGGAGCCCAAACCTGTTGGAGCATGCTTCTAGAAGATCGGATCGAATTCTTCTGTCGGAGATCAACCTGATAGCCTCAACTCTAAAATGCTTCGAAGCCTGGTCACATCTCTTTGCGGAGATCAGGCACGTACATGAGTAAACGGGGCTGAGATGCCAGATTTTAGATTCCGTGTCCTGCCGTAGTGCTCAAAGTAGATGGTGGGTGGTTCAGGTGGTTGGCTAAAGTTGCTCCAATATTCTCGACAAAGGTGATTGGGCAGGTGCTTACTGGGTACTACGCCACGGTTTCTTTCTTGCACCAGGGTACTTTCGCATCGTCAGAGGCCAGAAACTGATTGGAAGCCATGAGGTTTGGGTGCTCTGGACATAATCATTTGTCTTGTGGAATACAGCTGGCTGAGTGTTCCGAGCCCATCAGCTCCTAATGGCATCTGGCAGTTTTGGTATGAGAAGCATGTCCTGATCATCGGCGAAGCCCCTAATATCAGGAGTGGCGCCATCAGCGAGCACGGGGACAGCCAGATCGTCGACGGGCCACCGTCACTGCGTCTCATGCCGCCTTGGGACCAATGGCTTGGTAAATTATGCACGAGCCCACCTCAGACAGGGGTAGTCTACGCTTTCAATGTGGTGCAATGCGTTGCATTTGCTAGCTCCAAAGCGGTGGAGTCGATAGCCAGTGGCGTTGGGCTCGCAACAACGTCTTCCAATATCTGCAGCACTTGTCTGTGTTCGTGTCGCTGCAGGCATAGCAGTGAAGTGCAGCTGCCTGGTGATAAGACAAGAGCTAAAACCCATGGCGGTTGCCCCGGCGCATAATCGCGTACTTTGCAGCTAGGGAATGGAGCCCTGTCCGAAAAGCAACGAAAAGCGATCGCCGCCTCGTTCCAGGCGTCATTGGGCAATCGTCCCGCATAACTCGATTTCCAAGGTTTACGCCATTATGATTGCACTTACTAGGGTGCTTTCTTGGCAACGATATCGTGGTTGGTGACCAGCAGCTCGGAACATACTCTTGTCCCTGGTCAATGTACTGACAACTTTCGTCCCTCGCCGTGATAGAGGAAGGCATGCCCATACCGCAAGCCGTGGCTTGGAGATCGAGCAAAATACGGGCCAATTAATGCGGGATTTCTCGGCATTCTCAACTTCATGAGGTCGAGAAGAACTAGCATAGAACGCTGGGAGCCACATCAAGGAGCAGTTGAGCCCGTCCCGCCGCGGAACGACACGGATTCCATCACTACAATACCGCTCAATGCCACAGCAGAGGTTTTATCTTGATGTTCTCGTGATCCACAAAAGATCCTCCTGGAGGCTTGTGACTACTACATAGCGCGCGAATAGAGAATAGAGAATGTCGCATACGTTCGCTCGGTGGAGGCCGGCCTCAGTCATTGGGCAAGGTGGATTCGCACAACAACGGCAGGCCCTCCATGGGCGATACAGAATGGCCTCATGATGTGTCTCTCCCGTTGACGCCGTCTCAAACAAACTTTCAGGCTGCTTGTACATTAGCAGCAACATCAGCATCACGCTTTCCTGGCGGTGAGATGACACATGTCTGTGTACAAAGGATCGAAAAAGCACCAACTACCAGTCGGGCTGAGCATTAATGCCTCATCTGTAGAGCATCTCGTGACCGGACCATCGAGCATGAATGTACAAGGCCAAGCCCCTTGCCCCCTGAGGGCGGCCACGCCACCTGACTTTGCGCTGTCGTCACAGGCTTCGAAGACTGCGCATAAATCACAACCTAGAAGTAGAGTACACAGTCGCCCTAGCCAGTAAAAGGATCTTTAGACGAGTTTCGATCCACCCCCTGGTCAGGCCTGCCGCCTGTAAAGCCTGAAGCCTATCCCGCTAACCGTCGAAATCTGGGGTATCATCGCTTCGGACCTAGCCAACAGGTGGCGATCCTCTGCAGCCAGACTCGTATCGACCTTGGAGCTAGTTCCAGCACTCTCTTGGCCAAGACTGCCCAGTTTCGTCGTAGAAGAGCTTCTCGAGCGCTAAGGTGCCAGATACATGCCCACAAGAACGACTGGTAGCCCAAACCATGCCCTGATAATGTGTCGAACAGATTACATGGCAATATCTTTGGGACACCAGCTGAGAAGAGAGCCTTTCCATATATTTGGTGATCCGACAACTGGTGTGATCACAAGTTCAACCGAGCGGGTGTAAAGATAAGGAATATCAAAGAAGTTAGTTCTTGCCAACTCTGTCGCTGTGATTCCGTCCGTTCCTTTCTGCACCTGGACAATGAAGCCTGCGGGCTTCCTACTCGGGTTCCACCACACCTCCGCTCCATACACCTATTCGAACCTCAGCCCCACCCATATGTGCCTCAGCCCTTCTGAGCCTTTGTACTTCTAGACCTCTGGACCAGTTATCTTTTACAGCCTGAGCAATAAGAAGCTGTCATGCAGCTACCTGATGGCTTATCAGTGGAGCATGGCTCATCTCCAAGAGGAAGGCCAAGATACCACCTCGGACACGAGGAATGCCGACCAAGAGAAAAGCTTCTTGCTTCTCACTGGGGGGTGTTTTGAGCTACAAGCGGAAACGATACGGGCGGTGTGTTTGATTTGACGCGCCATTTCTGGGTGAGTCCATCCTGCTTTAGATAAAGCCAGCCCGTGTCTCCACCTCTCTTAGCCCCATATATGTCCCAAGCATGATCTCGCTCTTACATCAGTGTCAAGTACCATCGCGAGAAACCACGATTGGGGCCAAAAGTGAGTCATAAGTCGTAAGTCATATCTACTGATTATTAAACAACGCTTCTAATTTTTATATCCGGGACCATGTGTAGTCTCAAACGGCACTGCTTTGATGCCACGAAGACCCCAGGGAAGACTCCCGACCTTTCGTCTTGCGCCTCTCGGAAAGCGCCATGGAGAAGAATATCCTCGCCCCGTGTAGCTGCGCGCAGATCCACAACGAAAAGATGATGGGCGTGACGATCCTCCAGTCGGTGCTCCAGCGGTCCCACGACTTCTGCAGGAGGTATATCGTGATGCCCGTCTCGGCGCAGGCCATGGCCACGGCCCACGCTGCGAGCCCGAAGCCCAGCCATGAGAGCATCCGCGGGTTCGTGTCCCGATATATACGCCAGATGATCATGACCACGTGCATGGGGATCTCGGCGACGATGTCGAAAGCCCCCCAGACCAGACACATGTAGAACTCGATCGTGGCCTCTGGGTGGCGCTTGAGGTCGAGGGAGAGGACGAGGGCGATCTGCGAGATGAGAAGGAGACCGAGGTGATGAGCCACGTTGATGGGGCTGGCGAAGCGGGTGCGGAAGGCCAGCTCGAAGAGGAAGTAGGCCGAGTACAGGTGGAAGAGAACAAAGAGGACATCGCCGATGGTGCCGTGCCGCATGGGGCGGCTGTTGAAGGCAACGTCGGAGAGGTCAGAGCTTCCAAACAGGAAAGCTGCTCCAGGTTCCAGGCCGACGAAAAATATCGGTATCATGAGTGCGAGAGCAATGTGGTGATATACGAAGGACCTTCTCTGGCGGTCTTTGCCTTTGTCCTGCTCGAGCTCGGCATAGACGCGTGGGTAGATGCGGCGGAGCACCCAGCGTTCGAGGGCGATGGCGATGAGCACGATGCCCGCCAGCATCGAGACCAAGATGATGGCTCCATACGGCAGCAAGGTCGATATGGCTTGGTTCTGGACGTGGACGATCTTGATCCCGCCCATTGGGAGTGCGTGGCCCAGTAGCTGAGTTGGCGTCTCGGACGGCAGCGCAGCCGTCGATATGGTTGTTGTCGTGGCCATGCTGGTGGGTGACTCTGCCCCACGATGAGCTTTCGATTAGCCGTGCATGCTGTTGTGCTCGTGAGAAACAGTATCGCCTGGGCACCCCGCGACCGGCGGAAGGGCGCCTTTTCAAGCCAGACCGCTGGAGGCCGTTGTTGAGGCTTGGTTCTGGACCGCGACAGCCTCAGGCTCAAGCTAGGCAGGGATCTATGATCCGTCACATGGGCCAGCGGAGGCTGGCCCGCCTGTGCGCTATTCATTCCCCAGGCTCTGAGCTAACAAGCTTCTGGAGATGGCGCCAGCTCGCGCGACTAGGTCAAATTAGTGCTTCTGCAAGGCACGAGCCGACTTGCCTGCCCGGGGGCGCGGCCAATGGCACCACTGCAGGCGGCTGCCCCCTAATCTCTTATTGGATGAGGCGTCTGTGCGGATTTCCCTGCTGGTGCTTACGTATCTCGGCGTGTCCTGCATGACGAATTCTGATTGACGCGTCACTCCATAATTAGGTGGAGGTGCAGACACGGTCGTACTCTGGCGCATTGCCGTTTCATTCGTCGTCAGGCACCACCTGTACGAGCAGACCCGTCGCTCGTTATTTTGGGGTTGTTTTGGTGCGAGGCATCTAATTACGCTTTGGCCAGCCATGTCAGACGGTGGCCAGAGGCATCAATCAGAACGATGAGATGGACCTGTGCCCCAGGCATTCCTTCCTAGGACCCTCGAAAAAGAGCATGGTCACAAGCTTACAGGCACTGGGTCAACAGGGCTCTGTTTATATAGATCGCGCTGCTCTATACATAGGTGGTGCTTGGCGGCTCATCATGCCCCTCATGGAGACCACAGAATCTGGAGGCCTCAACGCAGCAGACCCAGTGAATTGCTGCTCAAAGAAGCTCACTTGACTTGCTCCGGCCCTTGCCACCACGAAAAAAATCGAATCTGCGCAGAAACAGATAGATATGTGGCTGCAGCTCGAGGACTAAGGGTATTGTTTACTTGTCCAGCATCCTCTACGTCGCCATCGGCAGTGAATCTAGCCACGAGGCGTGGTGGACCACGCAGTGTATTGCTTTACGTAACTCAACTTCGCACGACTGCATGTCGTGTTGCCTGCCTCAGACTTCCGCGACCGGTAAATGAAAAGCCTAGCGAGACTTTCTGGGACATTGTTCGATGGTTCAAGCGGAGGAATACGAATTGCCGTCAGCCCTGAACTCAATTCGAGTCGGCCCGCTGACAGTGGTGGCGGCGCACGAAAGTCAATGCCGGAGCTAGGCAAGTATTTTCCGGGTGGCGGAGCGCCTTGATGCTGTGCTCAACATTTATTTTTGTCGCGACATACTATGACTAGATCGCAAGCTAGCAGTGCTCTGCACGTGACCCGTCCTTCGTGTCGTATTCAAAGTCGTCGTATATGCTCTAGCTAGAGGCTGGATGCTCACATCATCTCGAACCGTTATACTCATACGCAACAGCAAGACTGAGTCATATTGCACTGCCGCGTCTAGTGCGGCCAAATCCCCTCCCGACATAAAATCAGACCAATACGATGGCATCGAGTGCCGGCTCTGATATGTCCTCGTACCAAAATCCTTCTCTTCTTGCGCGCTCGCCGCGGTCGACTGAAGCAACCCCTATCAGTCGATACTGCATCGGACGGCTGCGCTTGTCTCTGCGAAGAATGAACGGGTAGGCACCACCCGCAAGCTGGAACATTTCATCTCCAGCTTGGACATTGCCGCGGCAGAGCCCCAGCAGCCCACATTCTGTCAGAAACAGGGTCGAACCATCGTACAGGTCGTCAAATCGCCTCTGATCCAATTTTCCACGATTTCCACGGTATACGGTTTCACTGGGAACCATCATCTTCCGTAGTAGGTCGCGGACTCTGGGCTGTCTCTGTTGTTGTGCCTTTATCGAGCTGTCTTTTGTGTCGGGCGTGCTCCTGCCTGGTTCGTGACGGTCTCTGAGATAGGCCAGGAATGGAGTTAAACGCTCCAAGACGCCCAAGTAAGTCTCACTGTGTTCTCTGTATACCGATTGGTCCCGTTGGGTCTCAATGTCAAGCTTCAAGACATGCGCTGACCATTCTGAAAGGCACTCGAGGCGCGCATTGTCGTACTCGACATCGTCATCCCCGCTCTTGGAAATTGGGATTTCTGGCATTCGGCAAAAGGTCTCCAAGACTCTAGTCATCCGTCGGCCGCTGACCCTGAGGATCCCTCGGCAATTTTGCTCGTGGGCCTGCGCCCAACTTTCGTCCTCATCCAATGCAGGTGTTCGCGACAGTCCGCTACACCATGTGCGTGGACTGGCAATCAGCCTAGCTTCGCGCAAATCAGGCACCCAGGAAGGCCAAGCGCAGGCATCCTGAGACATGGCAGAACCAGAAATGTGCTCCAACGGCCACAACGTGCCGCCGCTGCGGATCATGCAGACTGCAAACTCCTCGTAGACCTCGACGAGAGACTTGGCGTAGTCGACATCCGGGACGTACATGTCATCGCACAACATGTCGATGAAGGCCAGCATACCATACACCTTGTCCCGCGCGTCGGTGGCATCGCTCATAGACGCCATCTGCAGCGCGCGAGACAACATGTTGTGCAATCCTCCCCCTGGGGGCATGTCGTTGAAGCGCATGGTGTGAGAGAACCAGTGCTTTCCGTATCTCTCTTTCTTCTTCTTATCCTTGCTCCCCCGGTTTCTGGTCTCCCGGATGAGTCTACTCTCACCCGGGTGGTCGTGTGCGCTCGGTTCGACATCGCTGTTGTCGTCGTGATCCCTCACCTCGTACATCTCTTCCATCATGAGGCTGCGCATGCGGAACAGCCGGCGCTCGTGCGAGTCGGAATCCTGCAGAGCTTCGCCAATGATGAAGTACGTGTACAGCTGCGAGATTGGACACTCGGCTCGGCCAACCATGAATATGGCATGCTCAGCGAGGAGATATTCTTGCACGGTCCAGATCCTCTGAAACCAGTTGCTCTGGCAGATGCGTCCGATGCGCTCAATCTCACTCACCGCTGGGGAGCAAACACCATGTCGCAAGAAGCGTTAGCAAAGTCACAGCTCAATTGGATTGCCAAGATGGAGATCATCCACTGTGCGGAGGGGATTGACATACGCAACAGCTTCTGCGCCCAGGCTTTCTCGGTGTCACTGAGCGCACAGTACCCCGGCATTGTCCGGAAATGCGCAAAGTTGGCGACCGTCTTTGCACGGGACAACGTGCCAGCGTCGCCCGGACCTCCCACCCCTAGCCATATGACCGTTCGCGTCGCCTGGCTGTATATCTTGCCCATCAAGGGGACCTGCTGATTCTTTTCTGCCACGCTGGTCTGGTCTATGCAAATGGCGTCGACCCATAGCTGGCGGACGCTGAGCTTGTACCGGAGATGTCGGAGTGCGGCTTCGCAGTTGGGCGTCACCAGGATCGTCTGGCGTAACCCCCCGCAGCGGATCGGGATGCTGCCATGTCTTTCACCCCAGGTGTATGACAGCGCTTCGTACGCGAGTGAGCCAGGACCACTCAGAGGTGCTTCGTAGAGCTCAAGCTCAAGCGGCTGGCTGTCGAGAAGAGCGGGCTTGAGGAGGATGATGCGGATCGATGTAGGACCAGAGAGGGGGCGATATTGGTACGCGGTCATGGCGCACGGGGCATCGCATTTGAGCATGTATGATATTATCCTCTGCCAAGTTTTGGAAGCGCAGAACGGCTTGCACCCACGTCTATGTTCATCATAAACAGAACAGATAACGAGCTCTGAAGAATCTCGGAAGATCTCGCGTTTTGGGAGGCCACTCGTGTACTTTGTTTTGCATGGCCATCGGCAGACGCCTTGCGGTGTGCCTTGGTGCGGCTGAAGTCTGGGCATCTGCACGTGCGGCAACCTGGCAATTGTACCCTGCACGATACACAAGCAACCCGCGAAAGTTGCCTGAGACAGAGTGGAGAGGCGATGCAAGTCGGGGATGCGAGGCTGAAGCGGCAGGCCTTTCAGTGACAACTGTAAAAGACATGGCTTTCATTACTTTATGCACATCGTACTCTGACATTCATGTCACGTGAAGCAGATGCGACGTGTTTGATTCACATTGCTATTAAGAAGCACAGTCTTGGTGCCGGTTGTAGGCTTCGGCCAGGCCCAGCTAAACCTTGACTGTCTACTGTGATTCAATTGCCTGGCTTCCTGAGTCATGCTGCGATGCGGTCTCGGGCCCTCCCCACTCACTTGCTTCCTTACGGCTGCAGATGTGCAACAGCCCGACCATCCCTGATGATGGTAATGCTATGCTCTTATGCCATTGCCCTTCAGCGCCTATCGCTCCCGGCGCTGAGCTATCTCTCTCGACAACAAGCCGCTCGCAACTCGATGCGTGCGAGATGGGTGCCCCGCTTGTTTGGATCAACGGGTTTCCCGGCGTGGGCAAGCTGACGATCGCAACAGCTCTGCAAGCAATCGACGAGCACATCATACTGATCGACAACCACAAGATGATCGACCCAGTAGAGGCCAAATTCTCCAGAGACCACCCCGACTACCAGCGTGAACGCCGTGCCCAGCGCGAAGCTGTATTCGCTCGCCATGTCACAGCGGATGATGCCAAAGACCACACGATTGTGTTTACAGGTATGGGCTAGCGACGACGGGTGATTGCACACAACATTTGTCATTTCCCGAAATCCCAGATCATGAGTCCGAGTACTAAACATCATGCCGAGACAGATTGTCAATCAGACAATGATCTGGGCAGAGCAGTTGCCACTGAATATAAGCTTGCTGCAGAGACCGCTGGCAGAGACTTTATACCGGTGTACCTGAGCTGCGACAAACACGAAAACCTTAAGCGAGTGTCCAGCGCGGAGAGAGTGGGGAGCAAAACAACCAAGCTGACCAGCAAGGCTATCTTGAAGGACATTCTCTCCAACAACGAGTTATTTCGCTTCGAGGGCTGCTCGAGTCTGACCCTCGACATCACGCAACTGTCTCCAGCAGAGGCAGCTCTTCAGATTCGAAGCCATATCCAAAAGTGTGCTGGGGAGACTGCCTGAAACGAGGAGCTCATACAAAGAAGCCCTATCTCCTTTTCTTCTAGGACTGATTTGGGCAGCCGACCATGTTCCCATGGCGGGAATGCTTGGCATCGAGGCAAGTAGACACGGAGAAGCGCATACATATCGAAGACCACTCCAAAGGAGGCCCTATAACCAATGATATCTGAAGGAAAGATTCTGTCTGCCAGAAGTTTCCTTTACTTTATCACCTTCGTTTGTTTCCCTTGCCTGCATCTTCTTTCAGTACAGTACTGCCAGGGAAGCACAAAGCATGCATTCTAGATACCACGACAGAATGGTTGCATCAGGTCGAGGCCAGGGCTCTTTCTATAAATCTGTCACCAGTCATGATGATCATTCTGTGTTTCGCAGCTACAAGACTTAGATATCTCACACGAAAGGCATCGTCTTATGGACGGCAATACACCCCTCGTGCTCAGACACTGCGTCCTCGGTGGAACTTCAAGGAACCCCATGCAGGTCCCGGCTGTCCCGTGACAACGTCATACGTAGCATTCTCCGGCACGACCTCCCACTGCACAGTAGCATTCCCCTCGCGATACGTCGACTTCGCCGGGCCGATGGTTCTATACGCAGGATCCACATCCACCCGTCCCGTGGCAACATCCTTCGCGCCAATCACCCGTGCAAACATTTCGAACGCCGTGAGTGGCTGGTAGAAAGGCACCTCATGGCCAGCCAGAAACACCCTGGTGAAGCTGAAGCTGCCCGCCTGCTTGGTCTGCGCGTGCATGACACCGTCACTGGTAACGACATCGACGTAGCCCGCGCCCGCAAACCCCGGCGCGCCCACCTTGTCAGCAACGACCTCCCCGCCGAGCCAGTTGCAGTTGTAATCTGCATCGCCGGCGTACAGGGCGACCGTGATGTTGCGTCCCACCAGGAACCGCAGGGCCTCGATGGCGCCGACGTCCCGCCCGTCGTCTCCGGTGTTGGTGAACGCCTCGAGGACGAGCCTGGGGCTCTTGCCGGTAGAGTTGACAAAGACGCCCAGCGTCTCCTGCACCTTGGGCGTGTTGATGTAGCTCTGCCAGTATCCGTGCGGGAACGGGTCTGGCACGAGCTCGCGCATGTCGTACTCGTCCCGCCCCGCGACGTCGCCGAGGATACGCTCGACGTTGTTGTAGCAGAACGCGTCCGCATGCTTGCACACCGCGTCGTCCCCCGTGCGCTTGCACTCCGCTAGCCCGTCCAGGCAGTTGCCCGGGCCGTAGAGGGCGTTGTAGAACCGCGCCTCTACCGAGGCGTTGAAGGGCGCGTAGTCGTACGTGTTCCCCGGCCACACGGTGAAGTTGTAGTATGCCTGGTAGTGGATCACCGGGTCGTACCACCCGTTGCCGATGAGCACGGATTTGACATCGATGTGCAGGGTGCCGGGGGCCGCCAGGTCGTTCTGCTTCTCGATATAGGCGTTAAACACGGGGCCGTAGTGGCCTCCGTAGCTCTCCGAGGCAAAGTGGTACCCGTTCTGCGAGTACTGGGGGAAGGCGCCCATGAATCCCTGCAGCGTCTTCCAGAATGCTGGAGCGGCGTTCTCGGTGGAGTTGGCAGTCGAAGTGATGTTTGGCAGAGAGTACGTGCCGCATGAGCCTGGAGGTGCATAGTCTGGGCAGACTGGCCCCGGGAGCATGGTGAAGTCGCCAGTCGGGGTCCAGTAGGCCGGAACAGGGGTTCCATAGGAGAAGCCGGTGAAGTTTGGCTGGTCGACGAAGAGCAGGTTGCTTGCATTAGACCAAGAGTTCGGATTGTTGACAACGTTGCCCTCGGGATTGATTGTGCACGGCCCGACCTCTTCAAACAGGCCAACCATGGACGTGGTCCCAGGCCCGCCACTGATGTAGACGGTGAGAGGTGCGTCACTCGGATTCTGATTGCGAGCTTCGAAGAACCACCAGAAGATATGCTGATCCTCCCCTACGTCGCTGTATCCGGAGTAGCTCTTGACGTCAGGGTCGAGCTCGCAGATTCCGGCTGGTACTTGCTTGTAGCGGACTGGGATCCCTGCGGCCCCCATGGTTTGTGTCAGTGTCGTCGGTGGTGTGAGGAATTGGCCCAACGCCATTGACACGAGTGTGCTGCCCACTATTGCGCGAATCATCTTGAAAGCGTCGTTCAGTTGCCTACCATTGTGTCCCCAAAGCCAAGGTTCACATAGGTTGAGATGCCACAGTTTTATACTAAAAAGCCCAGGCATAGTACATAGGCTTCAGGTAGCACTGGGAGAGGAGCTGCATTTTGGCGACCGGGATGGCAAAGCTTGGAATGCTTGTTTAGAGACCCGTTTCTCGGTCGCAATCGTCCTCTCCAGGTTTGTCCAGTTCTCCTGCCTCTTTCGGCAGACGTCATATTTTGCGCTCGCCACAGCTGGCCATTCACAATGAAGCAAAACCGAGCATCTCACGTCACTCCACTGAAAGCAATATGCAAGCACCAGGAGGTTCCACGATGCAGATCCTGCTGTGTGCAGCCCTGCCCAACCTTGGACTCCAATAGAAAGATTTTGACGGAGTTTCGATTGTAAGCAGCCGCTTTTTCGTAGATGATCCTCTAGTTTGTCTCATCCGAGGTCCCAGCCTTGGCCAGGAGGGCCTCCAATCGGCTCATGTCCCTCGGCGCCTCGACCTCGGCTATAATCTCGTCCCTGGTCCTGCCTGTATCTCTCTCCACCTCTTCAGCATATAGCTTTTGGATAAACTCCGTAACCCTCCCCCTCTTCCCATCGCCAATCACCCGTCCATCCACATTCGTGACATGCAGCTGCGAGGGAAACGTTCCGGTACAGAACGCCTCGTCAGCGCCGTACACCTCGGTCAAGGTAAAGTCCAGCTCCCGCACCGTCAGCCCCGCGGCCCGGCACACGTCAATGGTCTTCTGCCGCGTGATCCCTTGCATCTGGTTGTCCTTGGTCGGCGCCCAGACCTCGCACCCGTTGCGGACGATGAAGAAGTTGACTGAGTTGCACGTCTTGACGAAGCCCCGCAGGTCCAGCATCAGCGCCTCGTCGACGCCCATCATGTTGGCGCTGATGCACGCCTGCACGTCCGTGGCCTTGGAGATGTGGTTCCACGCCTCGTCCTTGACGTCCGGCGGCCCGCGGCGCACCCAGGTCGTCCCGAGCTTCAGCCCGCGGGCCTTCGCGGCGGTGTCGACGGCCTTGATCTCGGGGATGATGACAATCAGGGGCAGGCCAATGTTGACGTGCGGGTTCTGGTAGGGTGTGCTCTTCAGGCCCCGGGACACCACCAGCCGGATGTGCACGTGCGGCTCGTCGGCCATGTCGTTGGCATCGAGGGTCTGGTGAATCAGGCCGAGAAGCTGGCCCTTTGTCAGGCCGAGCTCCATGTACATGGCCTTAGCCGACTGGAAGAGGCGGTTAATATGATCGCGTGCGAACTGCACGCGGCCTCGGACCGCGCGGATGCCCTCCTGTGGTGGTGATCGTTAGGTTTCGACGTTGTACCATGTGTCACTCTCCCTGCGTTGTAGCTGTTCTCGACATGACAGCGGGAAGAATACTTACCCATATCCCGTCGCCCACCAAGAAATTGGAGTCAAACACTGACACTACTGCCTGCTCCCTTGGCACGAGCTTGAATTCACCCGTGACGCCATCCCGCATGCCAATCTGCAATAATGTCAGTCTTGGACTGTCCATTTCATGTCGAACATGAGGCCAAGACTTACCCGGATGGACAAGTTCTTCTGGTTATACACGACTGTATGGCTGGTCGCCGGAGGCGGCGTACCGTTCTTGCTTGCAGACATATCGTGTGCTGTCATGGCGGCTAATACTTCTGGCTGGGCGCACGTCGTTCTCCCTGGAAATAAATATTATGAAATGAGAATGTAGCAAATGGGCGACATCAAGGACATTCAAAAGAGTGAGTGTATCAGCCCGCAGATGTCGTATGAAGTGCCTGTAGCCGGCCCGCCTACCCCATTGATGCCGCTGGCGAAGACTGGCACCACACGTCTCGGACGCTACCGAGCTTATCTTCGGGGCCCCGAGGCGAACGAAGGAGATATCCCCACTTTCGGGACGAATGGCCCTCAGTGGAGCGTAGCGAGTCAAGCCACCACGCGTAGCTCGTTCTTATGGGGCTTGTCCATCACGCTATCGTGTCCCTACATTGCGTGTTCTACAATCTCACGTATCCTGCGAGCACGCGTGCTGTCTCGATCGTATGACTGATGTGCTGGCAGCTATGCGACAGCATGCAACATCAGAATCAACATGCCACTGTGCAAACACTAGTAAAAGCCATCGATCAGACCATTCTCTGTTCAGCCGCGACTGAGAGCACGGAAGCAGTGAATTTCGAATTCAGTCTCCTGCAAGCCTATTTGTTCGTATCTCGTCTAAGAACGCGTCATGCCAGATCGTCAGATTCTCGTCGAGCCCTACGAGTGTGCTGTCGAAATAGCCAGAGATCTGATTGAAATAAGACTCCATGCCGTGGCCAGGGTTGAGGCTACTATCCGGACCGCCGGCATAGAAACCAAGCGGCTCAGAGAGGTTGGAAAGGCCAGTGTCTGGGCCCATGTCTGGCTCTGGCGGCTCCGGATGCGCGTTAAGCACAGTGTTGAGGTTTGCCCCATAGACTCTGGATCTCGCCGCTTGCAGCAAATCTCGACACCTCACGAAGGACTTGTCCAATGGTCGTAGCTGGGCAAGGCTCCGCTCTATGAGGTCGACGCACATGTCCACATCAGTCCCATGGCGATACAGTAAGTTTGATCGTGCGCTTAGCACTTTTGTCGACTGCCTACCAGGTTTGAAGATACACGCCAGATGTTAGCGCTGCCGTTCTTACGCGTCATGATGGAGGCCGACGCGCTTGAGACTTACCAGTCGCAATAGAGGCCTGCGAGGCCGACCATCAACATGGAATGCAGCTGGCGAGAGCATCTGGACACTGCCGAAACCCCATATTGGGATAGAAGTTTCCGCCAGTGGCGCACTATACTGGATACGGCTTTGGAACAGACACCGATCATCTCGGCAGAGGGGATCATAAAGGTGGGCGACGGCCGATGCATGATCAGCAGCAACTGGCAATATTCAATCTTGAGCTCTGAGTGTTCGCGCGTTTCCTTGATATCGAGTGCGTCGAAGCTCTGCTTCCACCCGTCCAGGCTCTTTCGTAGGCTGTCAAACTCGTCACAGATTTGCTTGAACGACGTCAGGGGCGCTCGCCCGTCAGGTCCCCTGGCAATGTAGACAGACTCCAGGATGCGCCCACCGATGCGCCTGAGTCGGATGGCCAAGAGAAATAATTCGGATCCGACTCTGGAATAGGCCGGCGCAAAGTGCGCCTCGGCTGGCATTAGCCTGTCATCTCCCACTGTAGTTGGCTGGGGGGCGTCAATGGCATGTTCGCGGATTGAGAGCACCCGGCCATTGATGACGGCCACGCAGCGCTCCAGGTTATAGGTACACCACCAAACCCGGTTGCGTGTTTCCAAGTCGTCTTGGCTGACGTCCCATCCGGGAACTCGGCGATGTATGCCAAGCTCGATGGCTACAGACATGATGTAGCGACTGTGATGCCAAATGTCGTCGACATGAGTGTCCCAGCCGGCTTCAAGCATCCAGAGGCCAATCAGCAGCAGACATTGCAGTGTCTCGAGATCGCGTGGACCATCCGCGATACTTGAGAACAGTCTCACGGCAGTCTGAAAGTATGCGGAAGAGCTGTTGAGATCGGCCATTGACTGGTACGCCTTGTCGTCAGCACACAACGCTGACGCCAGAGCCATCACCATGAAGACCTTGAACTTGTCACGGGTGCTGGATCTAGAGGGACTATGGTAAATAGCCTTGAACACTTTTCTTAACGATGGCAGCTGCAGCACTGGCCAGAAGGTGTGGACTTGTGCGATGAAGGTGCGCATGAGATGGATGGCGATCTTCTCCGGCGGCAGAGATGCGTATTGACAAGTGACGTTGTGCTCGAAAGCCGCATCAAAGTCACCCGAGCGTGGTAAGGGGGACAGGCCGAGCTGCTTGAAGAAGATGCGAGCAAACGTTGTGCCCGTTGCACTTCCAACTACACCAGTGCCTGTTAGTCGTTCAACTTATCTGGCCCATGCCTGTCTAACAACCTACCATAAGAGGCACGCATATCATGACGCCTGGGGCCACCGACAGCAAGCACACCCAGCTCCTCTGCCTCTGAGCGAACCTGCTGCTCGGTCATGGATTGTTCTCGCGGGCCCCGGCTTTCGGCCACATCGAGGCGGCCCCGGAGCCGATGCAGCTCGTCAAGGAGGGTTTGTACTGTGCTGTGCGAGTAGGCGACGCACTCGGTGATGTTGCACTCGTCATTCTGTTTCTCGCAGGCCGTGCACCGGGGCACCCTAAGGTCGCACTGGGTGATACCATCAAGGAACGATCAGCATTGTCGCCTGCTGCACGCGAGGCCATAATGGAAAGCAGGTGGACCGCTTACCTTGACCTTGCGAGCATGGCAACGGCTGCACGCCCGCGAGAGCGAGGGCACGACCTGTAGGTTGTCAAAGCTCGATGTGGCCATGGGGGTCAATTGCCTTGTGGACGGACGGTGCCGAGGGTAAGAGAATAGCTCGATCGAAGCCACCACGGGGACACACAGGTGGGCGTGATGGTGAGGGCAATACTGTATCAATTGTGTCTATGGACTGTGCCGAGGACTGCCAGCACGCCACACTCATTGCAAGCACGTCACGCTCGGTGGCGCCCGAGGTCCCTTGCCGAATCCACTCTTTGTCCCCGGCCCAGAGTTCCCGCTTGGTGGCAGTCGTCGAGATAAGCTCGCCCAACACGCATACGGTCGGTATGATCGGCTCCGAAGCTGGCAAATAGCCTGTCCACTGTTCTTCTGAGTCCAAGAGATAAGAACAAGGCGTTGCCCTCACTTGCAAGGAGCCCCGGTCGCACAAAATGGTAGCCTGCATTGTCTTCTGAGCCAGGAGTCCAGCTGCCTGGTCACTACGTCAACCTCGGGGCCCAACTCAAGTAACTACGACAACAGCGACAAGGCCCAATATGTCAGACAAATCCAAGGTGCACGACCTTGAGCGGACACCGTCGAGCCAAATGGCTGCGCCAGACGACGCTGTGGAGCTCACCGCTGCCCAGAACCGCCACATCCTCCTCAAGACGGACCTCGTCATCATGCCCCTCGCCATTGTCTGCATGACTCTGGCCTTCTTGGACAAGGTGAGTCAAGACTCTCATCAGCGGACCTCTCTGCTGCCCCCCAGGCCTTAGAGTTCTCGTGAAGTCTTCACTGACATGGCGGCTCTACAACAGAACGCTCTCGGATACGCCGCCCTCTTCGGCCTCAAGGAAGACAACCATCTCCAGGGCCAGGACTACAGCTGGCTCGGCTCGGTCTTCTATTTCGGCTACCTTGGAATGGAGCTACCAAGCGTGTGGCTGATCACCAAGGTGCCCATTGGCAAGTTCATCGGGGTCTGCATTGTGCTCTGGGGAGTGGCGTTGTGCCTGATGGCCGTGTGCCACAACTTTGCCGGCCTGGCCACGATCCGCTTCTTCTTGGGTGTCTTTGAAGCTGCGCTCCTGCCGTGCATGCTCGTCATCAACGCCATGTGGTACCGCCGCGAGGAGCAGCCGCTGCGCACCGCCTTCTGGTATAATACCTTTGCTGGTGTATTTGGTGGCATCTTGTCTTACGCCATTGGCGGCATCAAGGGTTCCCTCTCCGTCTGGAAGGTGAGTCTGCCAGTTGCCTGCAGGCATATGGCCTACCCCTCGCGTACCGCGGCGACTGACAAAATTGCATGCAGTACATCTTTTTGATTTACGGAGCAGTGACTGTGCTTTTTGGTTTCGTGTTGTTCGTTGCACTGCCAGATTCTCCGTCCCAGGCGTGGTTCTTCAACGAGGAGGAGAGAAAGCTGGCCATTGCCCGCCTGGCCTCCAATCAGACCGGTACAGATGTCCGCAAGGTAAGCGTAACCCGAGCTTTTCCACGCCTCATTCCCCTTATCAGGTCCAGCCCTGAAAATATACTGACCCTGCCGCCGGACAGAGATTTAATTTCAAGCAGATCTGGGAAGCTTTCCGTGATCCAAAGTGCTACTGTGTCTGGGCCTGCGTGTTTGGCTACGCCATTGCCAATGCAGGCATCACCAACTTCAACCCGCTCATCATCTCCGGCTACGGGTTCACTCCAACCAAGACGACGCTCATGGCAACTCCCCAGGCTGCCGTGGCAATGGTGAGCGGCGCGGTACTGACCGGCATCTCCTACTTTGTCCCCAACCTCCGATGCATATTCTGGGCCGCTTCGGCTGTTGTCGGCCTCGCCGGCGCGGTCATGGTGCACTCGCTCGACCCCGTGGCGAGCAGGAACGCGTCCCTCGCGGGTGTGTACATCATGGGCTTCTACAATGTCCCGTGGGTCTTCATGTTGAGCCTGCAGTCGTCCAACACTGCTGGTGCCACGAAGAAGAGCTTCATGGGTGTCTCGGTGGCTATCGTCTACGGTAAGTTATTTTTCCAGGACACAGGACCACATCCGTCACGCACATGCTGACATTTCCATGCCTGGTCCGCAGCTGTCGGAAACATTGTCGGCCCCCAACTCTTTCTGTCGACTCAAGCTCCACGCTATCAGCTGGGTATTGGCGCCATGATATTCGCGTTTGCCCTCATGGCGGTGGCCGGTATCCTCTACTACTTGTTGTGCGTCGCAGAGAATCGCAGGCGCGATTCGAGTGCGCAAGAGACAGCCACAACCGAGAGCGGAGCTGGGCATTCTGATGCAGATGCGGAAGACTTGACCGATATTCAGAACAGGAAATTCCGATACACATACTAGACGTCAGATCGATAGACAGCTACACTCAGGACGTGTGATCACGTAAGCGGATGTGGTTTGGTAGACAAGGAGTCATGACCTGTTGCTTCCAAGAACAAAGCGTGAAGAGCTTCAACTCGTTCTACATCCACCATAATAATGTTGCCCGGCCATGGATATATGTTTCCAAGGACGTCGATCGCCAGTGGCGGAGAGCCTCTTACGACATCGAACCTCTCGCAAATAATGGTCTCATAATACCATCGGAAAATGTCACTCATTGGCCCTGTTGAAAGGTTCGCGGGGGAATTTGAAAGCACTCGAGATCCAATAGTTACTAGAATTAAGTCATTACAATTACCTCTCTTCCCATCTTGCTGACAGGGAAGAGGAGCCAGGAGTAGAAATCTTGTCCTCCTCAGCGATATGATCCCCTGAACGAATTCCATTATAACAAAGCTCCGTCGAAGTGCTCATACTCAGCACTTCTTCTTGTCGCCAAACTGGCCGCGGACGGCACCGGGAACCGCCTCGGACGAGTGCACATCGGCGTTGAACGCCTTGGGGTCGTCCTCGAGCATCTTGATGGTGAAGCCTGCGCCCGTGTCCACGCCATCGGGCATGACGCCAGTCTCAAAGGGGCCCTTCAGGCAGCCGATGCTGCGGCGGACGTTGCTGTCCTCGCCGCCCACGGGCTCCGGGTTGGGGAACGCGATGCGCGGGGGCCCGCTGCGGCCGGGAGGGCTCTGGTGGATGTGCGTCGCCGTCCTGGCCGGGGACTGGTACTCGCCGCGGAAGCCGACGAGGGTGATGTTGTAGCAGATGATGTCCTCGTCCGAGTTGAGGCCGAACTTGTAGTAGCCCTTGGCGCCGGGCAAGCCGCCGGTGAAGAAGTTGGTGGTGTTGACGACCTGCTCGGGCGTGGCGACGACCTCAGAGGTCGAGGTGAAGTCGAAGGGGCTCCAGGTCTTCTTGTAGAGGATCTTGTTGATCAGCGTGCGCGACTCGTGCGAGTTTGCGGGCAGGCTGTCGATGCCCAGGTCGCGCGTGGCAGGCGCCGCAGAGGCGCCGATGGCCAGGAGGGCGGTGACGAGGGTGCTGGAGATGTGCATCTTGGATGTGTGAGAGTGTTTTATGTAGGTGTTATGGTAGGCGTGGAGTGGGGAGAAGTATTACTGGAGAAGTGATGGAGCTCTCTGCTGTCTAGATGTTTCGAGTGTAGTAGAGTTTGCGGTGCAGGGCATCTTCTTATACCCATCATCAGGTCGGAAAGTATCCATCGTCGCCGACTGTGGCCGCAGCGCGCCAAGGAATCCTCGTGAGCGCGTTGTAATATCAAAAGTCCTTGGCTCACGATATGGCGCATATCTAGCTTCGGCGTTGGGCATGTTTCAAGAGCTTGGCCGAGTGTGTATTTGTGATGGTGAGTGAGACAAGGTGCCCAACTAGTCCGAGCGATGTGCCGGCATACCCTGGGTCAACCGTGGCTGTCTCCCTTGGCTGATGCGATCAACTCGAGCTTAGCTGGATCGGAGCTCAGCCAACGCAGCCAAGACCGACAGGACCCAAATGAGGCCAAACGGCTGTCATCTTGTTTCCTCATCCACGGGCCCTGTCAAGACGCTGCGGGCCAAGACACCGCAGATGCCGTGGGCCAAGCAGTCCGACGAGCCGGCTCGAGAGCTGCCCGGCTAGGAATGTGGAGAAGCCAAGGCGCCCAATCAAGACAACAAGCAGGTGCGATTGGCGCGTGCTGGCAGATCGTCGGGGGGTTTTAAGCGCAGGCATAGCCACAATGCCCCAGAGCGCGGGGAATCGCCAAGCCCTTCATCTCAAGTAGTGAGGCCCGGATAGTTGGGGATCCGGGCGACAGGTCCCGCGTGCAGCCTGGCCGTCTTGTGATGACCCTTGAGCCACGGAAGTCCGCTGGGCTTGTGTGCGAAGACAAATGTTCTGGGACGAAGCCCACCTGTCAGGTGGTCCCTGGGAGCTGAAGGTCATTTGCTGCGCGATTTCCAACACGAACATATTGTCTTGGCGCGTGCAATTGTGGCTGTACATGTACACGAAAGCGATGACTGACGAGGACTGGCGTTACCATTCGAAGTAGTCTTCTGCTTGGAGCCGCGCGCACGCACACAGGGGCAATGCACGCCCGAAAAGCCCGCAACAGCCACTGGATCTTAAATAATTACTGCCGCTTCCTTGGCGCATCGGTAAGTGCCGTGCACGCCCATGAGCATCAGTCAGTGTTGTGCCTCGTCACCATCATCGTCATCCGCTTGCCCGCTCGATCCACAGACTGCTGGCCATTACCTTCGGCACCGAGCTGCCATTAAAGCCGCTGTCAGCAGATCACATTTCTCGGGTCGACGCTAGCTCTTGTTTTTTTTCTTTGGTTCCCCTTGATGCGTGTATGTCGGGGAGGTGGCGGCGATTGCTAGTCCACTCATCACAGCCTCGTTTGAAGGCTGAAGAGCAAACTTTCAATTGAGTCTCAATCGTGGCCGTGCATGCAGCCAGCTATCTGGCAGGACTATCTTAGCCCTGATTACTTAGGCAAAGTAAGATCACAATAGCTTTAGCTACAGTGATGCTGAGCTAACAGAGCTCTCCCACCTGTCTCACCCCTCTCAGCACTCAATTGAATTTACCTAGCATCCACCGATCCCAGAGCTTGCCGGCCAAGGGGCAGACCACTGCCTAATCTTCCGGCTTGACTGTGTCTGCTGACCTGTGACAGGACTCCTGGGGCACGTCTAGGTAGTCTGACGGCTCGCCGAACGTGGCTTGATGAGAACGAGTAGTGGGCACATTGCCCTGGACGCATACGAGGGGCGCTAATTGAGTGAAGCAGCAGAGCACACACATAACGGGCAGCAGCTCCGACGATATCAAGGAGGGTATCATTGTATTGTTTGTCCTCAACAAAGACGCGAAGACTCATTAATTACTTTTTATGTTTGCGCTTTGTCGGGTGCGCGTTGGCCAGGCCCGTACAACAACCCTGACCTGGGTGGATTCAAGTACCAGGAGACGCAGGAGGCATCGTGAGCTACATATATGCCACGACCATTCCCGACCGCCCTCCCAAGTCAAGGATTTCTCACAAAAGCACTGTCCCAAAGGACAGCGTCATGGGATCAGAAGAAGCACCTTTAAAAGATGTTTCCGCGCTGAGCTCTCTCTTTCTCCTGGACCTCCTTGACGTTCTTGCCGCGCCAGATGATGACGGCCGCGACAAGTAGGGGAATGAGGCAGACGCCGGCGATGACCATCTTGTGCATGACATCGCCGTACGCGGCAATGACTGCGTCGCGAATCGGGCTGCCGATGGGCTCGGACAGCTGAACCTCGATGCTGCCATAGATCGTTGCGGCCTGGTCCTTGGCGGACTCGGGGAGGAACTCGGCAATCTTGTACGGGAGGATGTTGGTCCACATGCCACCGGCGACGGCGAAGCCCGCGGAGGAGCCGATGGAGCCGAACAAGGAATACAGCGCAAGACCGATGGCGACATCGGCCTGGCTGATCGAGTACATGAGCGCGAGCTGCGAGGTGAGCACCAGGACGCCGGTTGAGAAGCCGACGAGGATCTGGCACATGGCGAGGTAGCCGACGTAGGAATCTGGAGTACGGAAGTAGACAAGGAGGCCAGTGCCGAGGATGTAGATGGGGACGCCAGCCATGCCGGTCCACTTGACCTCGCCGGTGTAACGCACGACGAGCGCAATCAGCGGACTCATGACGTACGAGGTGAGCGAGTAGGCGTTGAGGACGTAGTTGGCCGTGATGATGTCGAGGCCGTGGACAACCTGAAGGTACGAGCTGTAGTATGCGTCCCAGATGCTATGCGATACCCTACTGTCAGCTTGTGTCCTGTTTTGGGGATTAACGCTGTGCTCTTCGCGGGAGGACTTACAAAGTGCTGAGGAAGATGATGAGGTAGACGCAAAGAGCGCCGACAACGGTGCGGTCCTGCATCAGCTTGAAGGGGAAGAACTGGACGGGCGCGAATCTCTCCCACACGCCAAATACGGCCAAGGTAGCGGCACCGCCTACGATGAGGCCGATAATGGTGGAATTGGCCCAGTCACCAGCAGCAATGGTGTCGACGAGACTGAAAGGGAGGAGCATCATGGACCAGCCACCGCAAAGAAGCAGCATACCAGGGACTGTGAGAAAAGAAACCATTGGCGTTAGCAAAAATAATGCAAAAGGGTGAAGAACTGAACCACTCACTGTCAAACTTAATGGCATAGTACTTGGCGCTCTCGGCCACGGTGCGGCCAGATTTCGCGCGCAGGATACCAGCTTTCTTGGCCTTGCGCTCGTTCAACCATAGGATAGCGATGACGGGAAGAGCGAAGACGACAAGGACGATGACGAAAACGATGAATGCCCAGCGGAAGTTGAGCTCATTGTAGAAGGCACTGGCGATCGGCGGGCCAGCAAAGGTTGTGATGAGCGATGAGAACGAATTGAGCGAGAAGATGAGCATACGGTTACGCAGGGTGGTGATATCAGCAACGAAGACGTCGACAATGTACAGAGTATTGACATGGCCGACCCAATAAAAGACCTGGGCGGCACCGTAGGTCTCGATGTTCTGGCAGGCCGCCTTCATAATCATGCCCATAATAATAAGGCTGATGCCGAAGATAAAGCCTTCCATACGGCCTCGAAGGTTGATGTATTTGCCGACGGCCAGGGCGAAAACACCACTGACGATCCGGCTTGTGACGCTGATGGCAGCGAGAAGTCCGTGCTCTTCGAAGTACGAGGTGATGTAGGGAGATAGTGCGCCCTCGATGGAGCTCAGGAGGTTGGCAGCGAAGCACAGGAACCACAGACTGTGGCGGGGATAATAGCCAAGTTAGCGTGCTGCCATGAGGTCTGATCCCAGTGCTCGGTCGCCAGATCTCGCTGCGATAAACAAATGAACAAAAAAATACTCACAGGACAAAGGTCAGCCACATCATCTTGCGTGTCCAGACGTGGGTGACGGCCTGGACAGCCTCGACACCCTTCTGCTTGCGAGTGCCAGCATCATCGTCCGAGTCCGAAATGGAGTGGGCGTGGGTATCGGTGTGAATCTCGTTGGCGCCCTGAGGACCTTTCTCCTGGTCGACCGGGCGCGGGTCGCTTGTGGCATCGGTGACAGCCATTGTGATTGAAGTTGTTGGTCTTCAGGAATGATCCTGCTTGGAACAACCTCAGAGCAGCGGGAAGGGGACGAGAAGTCAGCTGCGGGCAAGAGGCAGGCTTGGCTGGAGAGGAGAGGAGAAGGGAGATCGCCACGAGTGGGCAGGGTCTGCAGGACGAGGTGGTATTTATGCGGGCGCCTCGGCGGACCAGGGCCGATTCGGTCCTGCTGCTGCTGATCAGATTGATAAGATTTGATCAAAGGAGGCGAACGACCAGCCAGCCTGGGCCTAGCTCCATGACAACCCCTGGCCCCTGGCGGCCCCTCTCCATTGACGAGTGAATGGAACGCAGCCAGCCGCGTCCGTCACCGCACGTGTGTGCCACGCTCCATTCAGCCGTGTCCCATCGGCTCGCTCTGCCTGACTCGGTCGAGGGATTAATTATGGCATGTGCCACACACATAGTGCGGTAGCCCGTGCATGATCGCGACGGATCTGATAACTTTGCTGTGGCGACCTCGTCCCACCCGCCCGCTTATTGCCCACCGCTGCATGGATCTGCACCCTTGGTGGCTTCAGCTGCTCATTAGAGCAAGCTCCATCGTAAGGCCCAGCGGACCCATGGAGGTCGGCCACAATATCTTGTTCAAGAGTGTCGGCCGAGCCATCTTCGACTGCTTGGTGAATCCACCATGAGCGGACTACAGGATCGAGCCTCGGGCCGGACAACAGGGTGTTTCGTGTGCTGAGCGAAGTCATCTAGCTGGAGCACATGCACAGGATCCCCAGAATCACAGAAACCGTCATCGCTGCTTGCTCTGGATCGCTCCGTGCCGCAGCTGTGACACCTTGCTGGCGCTATCGAGCACTTGTGGCGTCGATGCGGACCACTTGCCAGCGAAGTCGTGGACCCCTCCCTGTTCCGGGTTGATGAACGCCATAATGAAGTGATGGCAGCAGCCGAGTCCCAGCCTGGATATGGGGCAATCTTCACCTGGGAGACACAAAGTTGCTACATAGATGCCTGACATTGCATCCAAGCCCCTTCAGTTATGCGACTGCATTTTCCCGCCGTGTCACCACCAGCAAAGCTCAGGGGGCCCCCCGTCCACGAAGGCGGCTGTCCCACCCGTCCCACCCCACACCCGCGAGGCGGTCCTCTTTCCGGCATGGCGCTTGTGATAAAAATTTTTATCAGATGATCAGATTGCGCGCAATTGACACATCGCGCGGCGGCCTTGTGGGGTCACGCACCGGTGAATCTTGGTGTGAACCCCTGTCCCAGCCCGTGCTCAAGACCCTCCCTCCCTCTTTTGTCGTCGTCAGCTCAGCTTTGCTCCGGTTCCGGAATCGCATCTTTGGAGTGAATGCTTGTGCTTAACCCGCTTGCTAACTAAGTAGCCGAGAGTGCTTCGCCGTTGGTCGTCGGAATCGGGAAGAAGTGGTGGGGGTTACATCTGTCCGTCACATATGTACCACAGCCCTGCGGTGGTAGGCTAACTTCCCTCCTGCTTTCGAAAGCATGCAACGCCTGCCTTGGCAAGCGCTCCGGTAATCGGGGCAGCAATGCCGTGTTGGACCGTAATCATCCTGGTCGACCAACCAACCTCGGGCGGTCCTGGGTCGGCTCAATGCTTGTCTGTTCCAGTCATGTACTTCAGGTATGTCCGTTGCCCTCTTGGTATGTCCGCTGCCGTCCTGGGATGTCCGATGCCCTCCTGATATGTCCGTCGTACCAGGAGTGCGTGGCTTGGGATTGATCCTGCACGTGGAAGGAGCTGGGCAAATGTTTGACCTACACATGTCTCTTCGCAGCGATGTGAAAGCCACTGGACTCGACGCTCGTCCTCGACAAAGGCTCTCAGATGTCTCGCCGTTCATCTGTCAAGGTCAGTACAAGACCAATTTGACAATTTTTGATTTTCTCCCAGCGGGGCGCCGATGGTCTGGGGGCAGACCCAGACCCCTACCAGCACCAACCCATGAGCGACATGCATCCGTTGACCCGGTAGCCAAAGCCATCGGCCCACAGACAGCACGAGCAGCGCTCGTCGCCATCTTTCGGCCCCTTTGCGGCATTCTAGATCTTGCTTGCCGAGCCGGGACTGCCCGTTGCGCAGGCGTTGTCTCCATTGCCGTATCCGTTTCCAATACCTCGTCAGTCTCAGCCTGCAAGGGGGACAAATCATCCTGGTCCTGCTGGGAAAGCTTGGCTGTTGCCCGCAGGCGACAAATTCGGGCTACGGACGGCTGCGACTGGAAATGATTTACGTTGATTTGGGGTTGTATAGGTAGGTTACGTATTCAGCTTGCGTGTCGGTACTGCACACCCACGTTCAGCATGCAGCCGTGTTGTGACCTCTGTGCCGCTCGTGTCTGACCGCGACCTCCCAAATCACACACACGAAGAAGCCGTTTCATTCACCCTGCAGTGATGCAGTGTCTTGATTCGCTCTCGTGGTGGAAGTTCCCCCTTCCAGCTGTTTACCCCTTTCACAGATTCGCATTGATGATCAAAATAAATATATGACTTGCCCTTAATTTGCGAAGAGGCAAGAAACAGGCATATCCAGGCCGTAGGACATCTGGATGGTGCCACACGCCGTTCTATATCGTGACTGTGGATATATTCAAAGGCATAATTCAAATTTTTTGCGAAGACTAGTGAAGCTCAATCTTAATAACTCCCTATGACCAGTCATGGTACGAAAGATAGTAATGTTGGTGTCAATATGTCTACATGGAAAGGATCAAGCTCGCTATTGAAAACACTGTCTAATGTAACACCCGCTGGAAGCGCATAAACCATTAAAAACCATATATCGTTTCGAGCCAACCCAACTGCACCCATGTGCCGTGTTCAAACCTTCACCACAGTCGGGGCCTTCATTTGCTTGATCCATGGGACGCTGCCACCCTTGCGGTCCACGCCCTCGATGAAGCTGAAGACTGGCGTCTTGGCAGTATCCCTCGTGGCGCCCATGAGCGCCAGTCTCCGCTGCACGAACTTGAACTGTAAGACGTAACGGTCCACGAGCCAGCTCTGCCAGTCAGCCCAGGATGAGCTCTTGGTGACCTGCCCGGAGTAGGCACACCCAGCGGTAACCGCGCCGTGGCGCTTGCTCTGATATCGCTGCAGGGCGGAGGCGACCTCGTGCTTGCCGGGCATGGGGCGGTCCGGCGAGGCAGACGAGGGGAGGATGGGGTACAGCTCGTTGACGAGCGCGACAATGTCGACGATGCCGTTGTTGCACCCGGCCCCTGTGCTCGGGGTGAACTTATGCGCAGCGTCCCCCGTGAGCACGACGCGCCCGTCGAAGCTCCAGTTCTCGACGACGCCTTCCTCGAGGTTCACGAGGCCGCTCTCGGTGCGTGCCGCCCAAGCCTGCGCGATGGTCATGTCGCTGCCCTTGGCCGCGAGGAGGTTGCCCCAGCGGGCGGCCACGCTGTCCTGGTCGGCCTGGGTGTAGTGGATGCGGTCACGGGTCGGGGTGTCGAGGCGCTCGTAGAGAGCCAAGACGGTGGTGTCTTCGGCGGCAAAGAGCTGCGTTGTCGCGATGGGCCCGTGGGTCTCGCTCGTCGTGCCGACTGGAATAGCCGAGACGGAGGGGAACCGCAGCCACAGGCAGCGGAAGGTTGTCAGAAAGGGCTGCTCGTCGTTGACGGGCGCAGGCATGGAGTCGGCAGGGAGGGTGGCGTTGTGCTGGACGGCGAGCTCGCGCATCTGCTGGCGAACGATGCTGTGGGCGCCGTCGGCCCCGATGACGAGGGATGCCTCGTACACGCTGCCATCCCGGCAGGTGACGACGACGCCATCGCCGTTGGCGTTACTCGCAAGGCTGGCCACGCGCTTGTTGGGTAGGAGGCGGGATTTTATAGATCCAGGTAGACTGTCGTAGAAGACCGCGCTTATGTCATGGCGGCTGAGGACGCGGGGAGCCAAGCCGAAGCTGGAGGAAGAAACTCATGGTTAGTTGGCCGTGCTCGGACACGGCGAAACGAGCAGAATACTGGGTGACTTACAATTCTTTCTGGTACGCGAGAAAGTCGATATCGCCAATGTTGCGGCCCTGGTGATCAACGCGCTGCATCACGTCGAGATCTGTGCTCACTTTGTCGAGGGGTTCGAGGAGGGCGAGCTGGTTGAGGACCCGCATGCCTGAATTGGTAAGGACAAGGTCGGAGCCGGCGTGGAAGACGATATCGGGGCGGCCCTCGAGGAGGAGGAAGTCAACACCAGCACGGGACAGGGCGTGGGCGGCGACGAGGCCAACGGGGCCGCCGCCAACAACAATCACTGGGTAAACCATGTTGTCTCCTGGTCGTGGTATGTTTGTGTGGGATTCCCGTGTGTCAGGTCGCTTTAGCGGACGTAGTGTGGTGTGGTGGAAGTTGGCACCTGGGGGGCTTTGGACGAGGGGCGATACGTTGATGATGTTCAAGCTGTTGTTCTTGAGTGTGCGTGGGAACAGACCTTTACTTGCTTATATCGTTTGGTTCTGTTCGTGGCTGACGATGTTTGGGCTGCGGACTAGTATTTGTGACAGTTTGTTATCGTTGCCGGCGTGGCGTTTGTATGCTGATGGAGTCACGACTTGGGCACCCTGTTCAACGGACGAGAATGACATTGTTATAGGCATCATGGCGTATAAGGCACCGTCAGCACTTGTAGACACTCCCAGAGCCCTTCATCAAGACAATGGTCGCATTCGCACCAGGCTAGGCTTGACACCACCAGCCCTATGACTCTGAAGTGGTTCGCATTCGGGCGTACAATCTGGCCAATAGCCTGCCACAAACAGGGCAGGAGGCGGGGGCGTCGCACTCGGTTCTCCATGCTGACAGCGGCACAGTCCCGCTGACCGACGACGGCGCAGCCCTAGGGCGTGAGCATGCAGTACTAGACTAGTCCCCCGTCGCCTGCGAGCGCGAGCATCGGCTCCACCCAGACCGAGCCACTGAAGGGCGGGCGCTGATTGAGCCCAGATCGGGGTCGTGACTTGATATTCATCCTGGTGGCAAGGACCCATGCCACGCTGACTGCATCTGGATGCCTGTTTCAAAATTGATCGCCCTCGCACCCGCACTCTCTCTCGAAAGTACGACACGTGGACCCGTGGGAGGCATTCTACGCATTCTTTCATCGACACACTGACGATTCGACCGTGATCGAGGGACCTGACAAGTCTACCTCGACCCTCCGTCACGGAACAGTGCCAGCCACATCTGTACACTATTCGCGGGCTTGGTGGTCGGCGAATATCGTGCTCAACAGTCGCCCAGGAGCTGTTAGGGGGAGAACGCTGTTCCGTTGCCTTATCAACAACCCAATAGCCTGTAAGCGAATTCAACCGTGACGTTGCACCCAACGCCTTGGCACCAGCTCTTTGCATTACGATTTGGAATCGAACCGGCCATCTCAGTCTTTGAGCTATCAACAGGCTTCAGGGCCCTTGGGACTTTTGGAATTGTGTGGTCCACGATATCCTCCACTGGTGCTTACCTCAGATTGTGGCTGGCAGCCACATGCTTTAAGGGGATGTGTCATGCAGCCGACTCGTTCCGATTGGTGCTATGTGAAAGAGATCCACAGATTCACTTGAAACTGTGCTTGGTACAGTTTGCTGTTGCTCATGAGGCCAGTCAGTGGTATGACTAGAAAGTCACTGGCCACCCAGAGGCTAGGGGACAGCTTTACCGTCTTCTTGACACCAACATCGTTGAGATTCCTCACCTTTTTGTCTCATCTCTCATTCCATCAACAACGGAAGGTCTACCGTCATGGCACCACAAAGCCCCACGTAGGCAACATTACAGAGAACTCGTCACGCCACGAGATGCGGCCACTCATGGCAGACTGACCGGCAGTGGAACATTAACCGTCGTGATACTAAACAAGGTCTATACTGATGCTGGACCGCTGTTGTATCCTCGACCCGGTATCCTTATGTTCCGCTCCTCCGGGTTGCCTAAGGCCTTGTGGGTCAACCTCACCAGTCTCGAGATCGTCCAAGGGCCGCTCGCCGACAGCCTCTCCAGCATTGCTCCAGCACATTGCCGTGTGACTGACATTCTCCCTCCCTACATGATCGTACCGCTGGAGTTCCACCTCGCTGATGTTCGTGAGCTGCCAGGTATCCAGGGTGCTCCCGCCGCGGCCACTCGTCGACCCACCACTTCCGCTCGTCCCGCCGCCACTCTGAGCCTGAGATGCCGCGTGTTTCCGAAATACATGGCTGATGCTGCCGCCCCTTGATCTGCCGTGACCATTGTGGCTGTCCTTGTCGTGCTGCCCCCGACTCGGGTTGCTGTTGCTGTGGCTGTGGAACCGTACGTGACCGCCGCTGGTCCTCGAGCGCGGCTTGGGGGTGATGGTCGACGACATGCTGCGCCAGACGCGCTTCATGAGTGGTCGCAGCGCCATGGAGGAGACGATGATCTGGCTGATGGAGAATTCGGCAGTGGCCCATATGTCTGTATCGGACGAGTTAGGATATTACGTTAGCATGAGAAGCCCAATATCAGGAGAGAGGGGGGCGGGGGGTTGACTGTCGAGCATCTTGATGGCAAGCGGTCGGCAGGGGTCCTTCGCGTTTTCTTCTTGATTGGAGGCTGGGACGTACACAGGCTTATGTCATTCCCGAGCGTGATCATGGTCGCGAACCGGCCGGAGCTGACGCCGAGTGTGATTATGCCAAGGCTGAAGAGGAATATGAGGCCTGCGAGTTCTTTGCGTTTGGCTGTGCGAAGGGTTCGGAGGAGCGGCATCGGAAGCAGGAACACTGTTGTTGTTCATGATGTGTTAGCAGACGAGCTTTCGTGACAAGTGAGTGATCAAGGGGAATGATTGGCGGAACGCACGCATTGCCTCTGTGCTAAAGCACAGCGACCAGTTCAGACGGAACAACAGCTCTGAAGAGAATGATGAGCATGCGCCGGGCTCGGTTGACCAGTTGACCGATGGATCCGCCCCGCACAGGAACGTGTCCATGAAGATGGTGACGGCAAAGGAGCTGACCGTGAAGACAGCCACACAGTACAGTGCCCAGCGCAGTAGCCTCTCATGTCGCGGCATGATGTGGAAGTAGATCGTGAGCATGCTCATCTTCGGAAAGTACAGCCCAGCGTCAAAGAGGTAGTTGGTCGCGAACCGGACCTAGCGAGGCAGCGTAAGTACCCAGTTTTGATGGAGAGAGGCTTGGATGCATCCTGGCCAGAGACAAGTCAATTGACGAACCTGCAGGATGTGAACGGTGACCGTGTTGAAATCTGACATCGCGCCGGCCTCAAACGTGAGTGTGTCGCAGATGACCAGTCCCAACAGCCATAGCGCGCCCAGAACAAGCCATACTTCGGACCAGATGAGGCTTGTCTGTCGCTGTGTGATCCTCACGGTCAACCGCAGGCCAAGAAAGACGTAAGCCAGTGTGACCAGGGTCCATTCCGCCGCCTGGGGAGAAGTGCGTAGTCAGCGGGAGTCGCGTCAAATACTACCCGTGGATGGTGTGCAGACAGACTCACAATCACCGCCACTGGAGACACCATCCTGGCTGTCTGGAGCGAGACGCCTCGACGGCACGGTTTCGACAAGCGAGCACCGTGGAGGAAGAGCCTCGCAAAACTGCGGTTTCGCCTGGTGACATTTCACGGGGTCCTGTCAGAAGTCAGCAAGAGTGGACCAGCTACGGCAGCTGCATGTATGGGCTGGCGAGCAGTGCTCCCCATATATTACCTTCCACAACAGCGGACGGATTTCGCCGGACGTGGGGTAGGGGCCACGAAGGTAAGCACATGTCCGCATCATCTGGTCCGGGATCCTGGCTAGCACACGCGAGCCTGGCCTTGGGGGCTGGGCTGGACTACACCAAGGTGAACCTAATCTCAAAGCGCTGGCCAGCCGCCATGCAATCAATTTTTTTTTCCGGCAACGATGCGCCTGGAATGCAGGGCGGCGGGAGGACGCTCCCTCGTTTCACAGTACAGGCAATCTGGGCGTGTCGACCATTCTCCCCCTCACCTGATGTGACAATGCTCAAAATCTTGAAGGACGCACAATTGAGTACCCAGCGCTGTGGAAGATCGGGGACCACTTGCGGGCTGGCCAAGCCATTGAACTCTATTTCCCGGAACATACCTTGGGTATGGGCTCCGCTAGGATCGCTTGCCAGCAAGCGTCAACCCGTGTCCACGACTCGCGCATTGCAGGCCCAAGCTCTCCACTTGGTCTCCGGATCTGCAACCTCCTCACTGATTACGCAGCGTACGTGGGGTCGTTCCGGGCTTCCGAAGACTAGCAAATCAGCAGAATGTGTGCACCATACTGTAAATCTGAAGCGAGAGTCGCCGCCACGCGGGGATATTTGGGCTCGACCCTGTGGATAATGCCGACTTGCCAACATTCAGCCACGAGCCTCATTTTTCACCATCAACGGATGCGGCAAATGCTTTCACCAATCTAGTGCTTGGCACTCCATAAATGCGCCCGCGCTGGCGGTGATCAACTCCTGTCCATGTTCGTCCTTGCTAGGCTTCTGCTTCTCGGCTGGGACTGGACCCATCGAATGAGATGGGGTGTTGTTGCAGTGATTCGAATCGCTTAGCCATGGAGAGCCGTGGCCACTACCATCAAACTTCGGAGGAACTCACCGACACGATACGTGAAGCTGTCAGTGCTGCATGACGATCCGCCATTGGAGCCTGGGCGGCCGATAAGAGCGATTCATAAAAAGCAATCGCCGCAAAGTTCCTCGTGTTTTTGTCCAGACTGGGTTAGCTCTTGAGCGAGGCGTGACACCTGGACCATCAAGCGGCCTGTCCGCTATCTTGGCATTCTCGACAAGGAAACGCGGCAGGGAGGCTGATGCAGATCTTGACCTGGCGCCAGGTCAGGTCCCAGCCGACGCGAGAGCGCAGCTCCGGACCTGCGTAATACTAAATCCCGCAGGTTTTGCTCCGAGCAGGCGCTGAAATTCGACAGCCCAGATGCGGTTTGATTACGCCGTCCTTTACTCTGATGGGGTACGTGCTCCACGTGCATCACCCGTTCAGAGCAACATGACGTGCTGTGGTTCAACGTCTGGAGCCAAGTCTTCTCCTGACACATCTGCCTGGGTCGCCCTGTCGAAAATGCGATGTCTATACCGGACGGGCTTTGGCCGAGTATGTGGTTTCCAGCTGCTAGCACTTACTTTTGCAACTTTCAAATCCAAGCCTGCAGCAGTGCCTGCCATGAATAAGGGACCGTCAGCAGGAACACAATTGCTTCCCGTGTTAGCCTACCGTAACGATATAAACAACGCGACCTGCACGAACGTTGGCATGCCTTGCCCTCGAACCTAGCCCGAGCATGAAACCGAAAGCAAGATTTTGGACCTTTAATCTGCTCATATGTGGGATTGGGCCGCACACGGCTAAGTGAAAGCCTGATTATCGGCTCGAGTGAGACACGTTGCGAATCCGGCACTTTGGACGTGCAAGCCTGAGCCGTTGTGGCCGCAGCCGCATTGAGGTAGCGACTATCCCGTGCCATGACGTATGCAGCACTGCTACTGTCTCTGACTCGGTTTGGTCTACCAGCTCGCCTCACCTTGCGCAGCTGTGGCCGCGTGACGATGATGAGTTACACATCTCTCCCGATTGCTAGGCGTACTGAGCTTCACAGATCCCTATACCGGTAGAAAGGGCACTTCTCAAGTATCAGTGTCTTATGCTTTCGGTGGCCGGCCATGATTACGACACTGCGAGTGACCGTTGTTGCGACAATATTGCTGAGTCTCATGGGCAAAGCGAGCGGCACAGCCACTGCCGACCTCACCGAAATATTTCGGCGACCGCTCATGACCCGGGTATGGCAGTATCAGCAGTATACGTTGGCAGCAGCTAGCACGGACGCGGAGGGCACGATCTCGGACGGCGACGAGCGCAACATCAATCGCGTGGATATCAGTGCAGTGGCTGCCGCGATCGCAGGAATGAGGCCAACCTATGTCTCTTCGATTCTGCGGCTGCGGTATGGTATGGATCTGACTGACAACATGGTTCGTAAGGGCAAGACGCAGAGCTCTGGTCGTGCGCGGTCCTGACTATGTCGCGGCTCCAGATTAGCGACTTCAACACGATCCGCGCGGCCGTTCTTGCCGAATCGCCTAATGCCAAGTTCGACGTCGAGCTGAATCTGAATCCCGGCAAGAGTGGGAGCCAAAAGGCCTACCCTGACGCGGACGCCTTGGTTGCACAGATGACGCAAATCGACAATATTCTCCACCCAAACGGATGGTGGTTCGACTACTACTCGGCTGCCCATCGGAAGCGACCAGACTTGATCGCGGCGATCAATGAATACGCAGCAAACAAGGGGCAGACGGTCGGCGGTAACATTGGCGGGGGAGCCGAGGGCGAGAGCTGGATTGTGCCGACTGGAGCCAACGTAGTCGCGTTCGTCGACGGCCCGGACGACTCGACAGGCTTCGGATACGGGATCGACATGGCCAAGTTGAGCGCTACGAAGGCATATATCTCGGATACAGGGACGGGCACGGTTCTGCTGGGGCATATACATTGCAATCCGCAGGACGGGCTCTCGTCAGAGCCGTGCGTGTTCATGCGAGAGTGGAACGCAACCCGTCGCGCCGCTTTCGTCGAATACTGGATATCACAACAGAGCGTGCTGGGGTACACGGCCATGTGGCCAGTGTTCTTCCCCCTGTGTCCCGGAACAGTGGCGTATGATGCGACCAGTGATTTCTTGGCGCCTGGTTCTCTTTCGGCTGGCGTGCCAGCTGCGAATGGCACCGTTTATGACTATATGCGTGGTCTGGCACTCGGCGGAGAAGCAGGGCCAGCGGTGACGGTCGTGGCAACATCAAGGTCTGCAACGGTCTCAGCTCCAGAGGCATCAACAGGGTCTTCTGCAACATCTTCTACACAACCAACGTCGAGCGCATCGCCACTAGAGACACAATCGCTGACAGAATCTTCCAGTACACAACACACCCTCTCGCCAATCGATTCAACGACAGGCCCGACATCGGAAACAACAACCCCATCCTCATCCAGAATGACATCGCAACAAACAGCAATTTCGACGAGCCATGAACCGTCACAGTCATCCACCGCACCCAACACGGAGGGAGCTACACAACCAGCGACGCCATCGCAGACAGAAGCCTCAACACCATCGGAGACAGAAGACTCATCTCAGACCGAAGTATCATCAGCATCTCAAACAGGAGCCTCATCATCATCGCAGACTGCGACTGGGAGCAATGCAGACCGGAACACGTACGAGCGGTCTCTTATGGCATTTGTCCCATTTTACGTGGCTGCCATAGTTATGGGACAGATTCGTGTATAGTGTTTAGAGCGTGTTAGTCACTAGCCTCAAGCCTTTGGAAATACCAACAGCGACATGCGCCATGTGCACTCATTCGTGTTTAGTTTTATATCGCAACGCACCGCATGTAGGCGGCGGCGTAGTGCCACCTCGGGGCAGAGTACCGAGGGTCATTTTTTCCCCGTTGGCTGAGTAATATCAGAGGTGGCTGCGCAATAAAGAGCAAATAACTGCTTTTCCTCTTTGCCACGATGCAGAATCCTGTGGCATGGTATGGTGGATCTCTCTCACAACACCCGGACCCCTGGACAGAAAAGCCCCTCAAACCTGCTCAAACCGGTCTATACCTATGAAGGAGCCAAATTAGTTCAAAGTACGCACACGGCAAATATTTTATCAGAGTATACATGTATGAAGCCAATCAGCAGCATGTTGCCGTTGTAGAAAGCCATGCGTGCTGGCTGAAACCTGGCAGGTTGCTTCACTATATCAACCGGCAACCATCGTTCTCACTATATCCGCCATGCCACTCAGAATATTCCGCTTCCGCGAAGAAAACACGGCGCTTTATGCCTATACGTTTGGACTTGGCCTAGTCGGCATCCCGTTTGCCGTGTTTGGCACATATGTGGTGTATCAGGTCCAGGTGACAGGCTTCACCATTGGCAGCGATGGCAACGGTGGGTCATGCCTCGACTTCTGTCTCGTGCCTTTGGGCAGCCAACTGGTTGATCTCAACTCTGTCCTCCTCTACCTGAATGCCATTGGCTTCGCGGTTGGAGGCGCATGTGCTGTTCTTGTGACTGCATATGCCGACTTCTGGAGTAAGTAATTCGGTGTCTAGGAGGCGGCGGAGATCCTTGGCTAACGTGGAGCCTCCTATCGCGGCTGTGACAGAGAATAAGGCCCTGCTGGTGTCCATCATGGCTATTTTATACGGAGCAGTATGCACGCCAGTCCACTGGCTGCGGGTTTCAACCGCTTCCGACTTCGACGCCTTGTTGGCGCTTTACGTCGTCTTCGCCGTCCTCAGCTACACCATAATCGTGGGGTTCAACATATTCATACCGCACTGTATGCGGACCGCCGAGGAGAACGCTCGAATAATCGCACCAGTTGATCGGGATACTACATGCAATGGGGGGGCGATGAATGACCAGAGTTTTGGCAAGATATTGCCTGAACCCACAATATCCGCGCCGTCTCCTGCTCCCTGGAAGACACTGTCAACAGCACGGTGGCACGGCTTCAAAATGTCCATCATGGGGGATATCGCAGTGTCAGCCGGCGGCATCCTTTCTCTCGTCGTTGTCATAATTCTCGCACGGACTTTGCCGACTACGGCTGCTCAGACTGCCGGTCTGCTTGTGACCACAATCGTCGGGTTCGTCACCATCGCAGGATCGGTCGTGTTGTACCTAGGGCTGCCACAAGTCGCGGCCAAGCCCCCAAAGCATGGCAAGGCATTATGGCTAGAGCTCGTTGTGCCCTTGAAGGACTTGCTCGCCCGCAAGAACATGGCGATTCTGCTTCTCTCCTACACAATCTACGTCGATACCACGTTTGCCCTTAGGTCGGTGACCTCGCAGCTGTACTTTGTCGAGATCCTTCCAGATACGCTGGAATACTCGATGTACTCGTTGGCGGGCAATTTGATGTCTCTACTAGCACAGTGGCTATTTTTCGGCGTACAGTCGTGGCGGCCGGTCCTTCGTCTGGAAGCATGGCTGATTGTCGGCTATGCCCTGGCGCTCGTAATCCCGATCTGGGGCTGCATCGGACTTTCCGAGTCAGTAGGATTTGGCTTCAAGGTGAGTCTGGTCTCTAATACCCTCCCCATAATTGACTATGAAAAAGATTTGACTAACCGCGTGGCAAACTCCGGTTCTCCACGAAAAGCATCGCTGGGAATTCTACGTTCAAAACCTCATTTTGGTCGTTTCTGGTGCCATTGTCAACTCCTCGTTTCGGGTACTTTACTCTGAGCTAATGCCAAAGGGAAACGAGGTGCAATGGTTCGGATTGCAGGTTGTCCTCTCGTGCGCTACCGTGAGTATCCGCTCTGTACCGACTGTCTGTGGACCGGGCAAAGATTTTCTGCCATGACGAGCTCAATGTCCGCGGCCTGAAATCCTTTGTACCCACAGTTTGGATGTGTTCAGTACTAACATCTTGCATTTGAGTGCAGGCCTGGGTTAGCTATGTCGCCAACGCACCTATTCAGAACGCGACACACCAACTCCGATTTCCTCTGATTCTGTGCCTGTTGATCCTAGTCATCCCCGTCGTACTCGAGGCTGCAAGGTCACAAATGGCTATATTCGCTCGTGATAAGTCGAGGTGGCAGGAACACGATGCTGGGCAAAACCAAGAGCAGGTCATTGCTGCATGATATGGGCTTTCTTTGGACATCAGGTGATGGACATGATGGTAGAAGTCAACATTTGTCCGTTTCCCAGTTTGTCCAACGAACATGGCGTTCTGCGCCAGTCTCATGTGCCTTCCGCTTGGCCAATACGCGCTCGATACCACGCGGCACGCTCCCCGAGCCAGGATGGAAATCGACTCAAATCACCAGGCCACCTCGATGCATCAGCTCCGAAAGCGCTAGCATCTAGAGCAGACAACGAAAGCCGCTCAGAGGATGGCGCAATGTAGCACATGACCGTAGCTGTGCAGGAAGTCCATGTTTCGGGTGTTTCTCGACCAGGAACAAATCAGTGAGCGTTCACCAGCATTCACAACACTAAACCAGGCAATACACAAAGCCGTGCCAACATCACGGTTTGCCTTTCCACAGTATTCTTGCAATGGCATAAGAACATCTTGAAGGACAGAACAGTATGGCACAGCATCGCGCTTACGCACTGACACAATGTCGTCGGGTTACAGCTGTCCATCCCTGGCCCCGCACATCCAGGAGGCGGGCCTCGGGGACCTCACGAATCAATCTAGGCAATCTTGCCATACCTGGCAACTTTGCTCAGATCTCGGGGTCTCACCCCTGCCTCGCCATCCACTCTCGGGGTTCTGACGCCATACTTGAGCGCCAGCCGACTTGACAAGATCTCAGATCTTAGTGGGACCCGTCGTAGGGCTGAAGGAGCCGCCCTTGCGTCGAGGCGTTGCATGCACGGACTTTGAGGTTGTCTACGCCACGGTAAGACCAGGTGTGGAGTGCGCGCCGACCGACCGAACGAACCAATGCAACGTGCCCGTGCCTGAGAAATGTGCATTACGTGACGGGGGAAAAAAGCCGTGGGTACTGCATCGTTGTTGTATGTGCACTTAGCATTATGGTATTATGATGATAAGAAAGTCTAGCGAGTATATCCAAGAGGGGGTATATGTCCTGAGTCCTTCTCAACCCGACGCAAGGCATGCTGAACGCAATGCGATGCTCCGTTGTATGTTTTTAGCCACGACTATATGCATTTTGTCCATTCTCCTTGAAAACGGGATCGTCTCCGACCGAGTGCAGCATGCTTATTAGTTGCAGCGGCCGAAGAGAGGCTGGCAGCCAGCACCGCAGTACTCGGTGGTGGTTCCGCAGTAGCCGTACTGGCTGCAGCACTGGCCCGAGGCGCAGTTGTAGCGGTTGTTGCCACCGCAGGCACCGCCGGGGCCGATGTTGCCGCCGCCATTGGAAGGCGGGTTCTGGGCCGGGGGAGGAGTGCTGGTGCGGGCGCCGCGGTACCAGTTGGCGACCGGGTCGCCGAGGCACTCGCCGACCGTGACGGCGCGGAGGCCGCGGTTCTTGACGATCTTGATGAGCTCGGGCAGGATGTAGTTGACGGTGCCGTAGTGGATGTCGTGGGTCAGCGAGATGGAGCCGCCGGCGTTGAGCTCGGTGCGGAACTTCTCGACGGCCTGCTGGAAGTTGTTCGGCTCGTGCCACTGCCAGTCGAGGGTGTCGATGCTGGCGTGGATGACCTTGTAGCCGAGAGAGCCCATGATGTTGAGCGTCTGCTGGTTGTAGTCGAAGTAAGGAGGGCGCATGTAGGTGGGGATCTTGCCAGTCATCTGGAGCAGGGTGTTCTCAAGCTGGAGCATCTGGGTGCGGACCTGGGCCTCGTTGAGCTGGGTGAGGTAGGGGTGGCTCCATCTGTTGGGGCAAAGTCAATTTCAGCAACTTGCATGGCTCAGATGCTGCCGTGCAGAGTAGTGGGGACGTACGTGTGCGAACCGAGCTGGTGGCCCTCGGTCATGATGCGCTGGATGGCAGGAGCACGGTTGGTGATGGTGTCCTGGTGATGTTTATATTGGTCAGTTACTGATGCCACAGTCACGACTGGTTGGCCATTGGGTTGTACGTACGACATTCTGACCGTTGACGAAGAAGGTGGCACGCATGCCAGCGTCCTTGAGAAGGTTCAGGCACTTCTGGGTGTAGGCGTATGGGCCATCGTCGAAAGTGAGGGCAATGGTGCCGGGGACTGTGCACTTGAAGATGGCCTGGCCGACGGGGACTGCGCGGCCCTCAATGTCCCGGTCCTCGAGGATGGCGACGGGAGTGGCAACGGCACTGCTCACGAGCAGGAGGCTGGAAAGGATGTTGCTGGTGCTGAAGTGCATCTTGAATATTGGTTGTTGTGTAACGACTGACTGTGGTAGGTAGATACTGGCCACGAGGAGTGAAGATCAAGAGTTGACTCTCCCTTTGATGTTGAGGCTTCACGGCTGGGTGGAATAGCACAATAGAGGCGCTCCTCTGGCAGCGGGCGGCCGTTGTTGATATACACTGCTTCTCGTCCTCCCATCTCCGCCGTAGCCGACGGCCGACTCTCCCAACCCGAAAGCCAACCACCCTTGTCGCCTCATGCAGGCAGCGTCCGGTACTGGGAGCCCCGGCCAGAAGTGGGTGGTCGGAGAGGAGCCTCGCCCAGCCATGCATGGCTTTTGTGGGAAGCCGACGGGGTGTGGCATCATCCTGCAGTTTTCGTGCACTTTTGAACGCACAGGCGGCTGGGGATCTTGGTCTAGCCTATCAACAACAATGGGACGCAGTGGCACCGTCGATGCAGTGGCTAACCAGGCTAGGAAATGACTGAACCTTGCCCTCATCGGCACAACGCTAACTGCCCTAGCCTGCCTGGAGCATACAGATTCAGCTGGCAAGACGAGCTTGCCAAGAGCTACGGTCGACTCAGAGCACCCCGCCCACGGATCAGCAGTCCATGTTGTTATGACGAGAGGGGGAGCGGAAAGGAGCTGTTGATAGGTCCCTGACCATGTACGAGACGACATGGCCGCGCCACAGCCGGTCCGGCGTTTAGTTATTGCCATCTCTATTGTTCCTTCGGAAGTGACCCGGGCCCAGCGGTCAGGGACCCGCCATACTTAAGCAGCTGCGGATGAGGCGCCGACGTGCCAGTTCTTTTCCCCTTCAGCTGAGCGCCTGATCCAGCCCCGGTTAATACGTCGCTTCGAGACTCGCCAGCGGGTATCTAGCTGTCTGCTCCGGAGTACGCTTGCGCACGGTTGTGGATCCAGCACCCACGCTGTTTTTTGTGCGAAGCCCTGTCCATTCATTGACGTCTGAGGAAAGCTCAGGACAACGGATGCCCCAATTCAAGTCCAGCAAAAATCCATCCCAACTTGACCAATGCAACTTGTCTTTATGCGCTGAGAGGGAGGCGGGGCACGATGCCAATACTGACAAGGGCCGCAGGCCCAGGGGTGAGCCCTTGCCCATGCTCCGAAAGGTCCCTAGCCGCAAGCCCCAGACGCGCCAAGAGCCGTATACAACTGTGCCCCGTACACATCGTTTAGGTGGCCTATTGGACAGAGCGCGAGTGCGTTTTGGTTACTGAAAGTCCGCCCGTACGGCATCGCCAAGACGTCCTGAGTCGTATTAATTTGCTTTCCAAGCTGCAAGAAGGGTTTGGGAGCCGAAGCTCAGGGCCCTTGGCCAACGGGCACCACGCATCTGGTGCCTGTTTTACTTGAGCTTGTCATGAGACATGCCTGTTCCTAGCGTTGCGAAAGCTGCACTCACTGCCAGCACCATACCATCAGGACTCTTGGTTCTCCGGCCCCGTGGGACGCTGTTGAGACAATTCCGCCGATGGGGCAAGGCTGCCACGATCTTGTCTTCCAGGACAGGCGTTGAAACTGTTCTTGCGGTGCTCTCTTAGCGCATCGGTGCAATTGCTGGTGCAGTAATACCCGAACGTGCCGGTGCTCCTTGCACACTGCACCATGCGTCATTTCCCTCACATCCGCTTGGGAGTGTGCTCTGCAGATGCGCACTGGTTTTTCGCCATAGCCTACTTCTCCAGCAGGTCGGCTCGGCAGACGTGACGCTGCATAGAGCTGTGCCAATATACCTGGTCTGTAGTCAAAGCTGGCGGCTCAGCCGGGAACCAGGATTACATTTCAGCACATCTCGGGACATCGGCCAGCCCTATGACGCATCTCACGAAATGAGTGGGCGAGACACCGAGTGCTTGCTTGCAGTCCTGCCCGTCTTGCTCGGGTGACTCGCTTTGCAGTCATACAGAACACGCTCGAACCGTGCCAGCGTTGATTCCCTCGATTTTCGTGCCAGCTCGTGTTTGTACGACCACGACTGGCCCGTGGGCTGCCAGGGCATCCTTATGCCTGAGTAGCTGGTCCCACCCAAGCCCCGGCCCGTGTCGTCCCGGCCCTGCTGCCCCTTTCCATCGGCTGCCCCCTCGCCTCACGCCATTGTGCGTGTTGTCTCTGGATATGTCCATACGAGCAAAGGTCCCGCTTCTTCTTGTCAATCTTGTCGAGCTTCAACCCGGCACCTCACTGAAACGCCTGCACAGGGTTCCTTGCGACAGCATCGCGGCTCGACAAGCCGGCACGGATGGTACGGAGAGGTCCCGGCACGGTGAGCGAGCGTGCCATGACGTTAGAACAACGTGCTGAGCTAATGGAAACCTCCGGACAAAGGTACGGACGGGCTGGGGTTGAAAGTCAAGTTTGCCTGCCCCAACGCGCGCCAGGTCCGCCCATCCCCATGCTCGTACAGGCCCCTTAAGTCATGCTGCGGCAGGCAGGCAGGCACCACCATGCCCCTCTGAATGTGTAACATTGGCATTGTCAGCTGTCCAGAGTGAACGAGACATGGTAGCATGCTGATGCACGAACTGCAACGTACAAACCCATTGTCCGTAGCATCGTAGTGCAGAACAATCGCCATCAGGAAAGCACATAAACCACCGGGCTGTTCCTCGGTGGTCCCATTTCGATCGCGGATCCGATGCGATCGCGCACCCGCTTGGTTGCTCATCATTGCCAGAGTCGGCGTGGTCTCCTCAGGACTAAGACCGCCAAGCATTGTGCGAAGATACCAAGTGCTTTTTCTTGCAGACCGCAATCTCGACAGGCCAGCTGTGCGAGATGATCACGGTCGTCGGATCATCCTCGCCGCCGCCCGCATTGACAACGCAACAACCGCCAACATCCGGGTGGATCACGTCGATCGTGCGGTCTTTTTTGGCTGACTCTCCCACCCGCGCGCGGGCAACCCGAGCGCGGGCAACCCGAGCGCTGGAGAATTAAAGTGCTGAGTCGGCCAGGGGTCCAGACTCGAGAGCGGGGGTGGCGCGGCGAGCGCTCTCATGCCGAGTTCCGTGTGGCTCTCGTACCCGGCTGCGCCAACATTGGCGGACTGGCCTTCTGGGTCTGGGCGGCGCTGCAATACTGTCACGAGCTTCATAACAGTATCCAAACACATGGCATTTGAACTTCCTTGCGTACAGCTTGGCAGAGCACGCGCTGCATTTTTGCACCCATGACGCAAAGCAGGCTCAGTCAGTCACCCGATGAAGGTGGATATTGGCGCTTAGTGATGTCCTCTTTGGGCAGGCCTCGGCATGGTAGAACCGCAAAAGGGTCAGGCATATGATGTGGAGTTCTAGAAGGGTTGAGCGGCAGGGACCCCTCCCCTGGATCTGCCCACCTTGGGGGGCTAGACCAAAACTCTATACGATAAGGCAAGGCTCGCGACCCGATCCGACACTTGCCTCTCCTGCTTGTCTGCTTGGCTTGTGTGACTAATTACTGCTCCGGTGTCTGCCTGACTCGTCGGCCACTTTGTGACACTTCGAATGGGTCATTCTAGGCGAACATGGTGGTTAGGCCTCGACAGTCTCGACCTGGACACGCTTAAGTTTGCACATCCTTGGAACCACCAAGTTAGCTGGCCTTGGCAGTCCGTTAGCGGTTCGGGCGCCCGGAGCAACCGCATTCGCTTGCGTTGGTGTCAGTAATTCCGTTTTTTTCGACCTCCACTTCGCCCTCCACGGAGCGTCATCGATCATTTTTTCCCGTGGAGGACTCTGGTGAAATGGTCACGATGCTCCATGCACTTTGACCTTGGCAGTGGCTACAACTTGAGACGTCAGCGACGGCTGGGATGGTGGAACAAGTCCTCGAGCCCGGTTATACGACCATCGGTGACCCCAGATTAGCATTCTCGTCTAGTAGTGGCTCGGAAGCACAAACATCGCCATCAATGCCTTCTAGCAGTGTCATGGCACGAGATTAGAGTGGTCCAAGCTGCATCGCTTCCGCAATACGCACATCAAAGCGCAGCATAGCGTGTTGTACTCGTTCCGAGAGATGTCATGCAAGGCCCGAAAGCCATGAATTCTCGGCATGGCCGCCGCCCAGTGTTTCGAGAAAACTCAATGTTGCCAGGTCCTCAAGGGCTTGGGCTTGCTCCGGTGCCTGGAAGATTGGCTTGGCAGGTACGGGAACTTTCGTGTCTTGACTGTTGTTCTGGAGAGTTCTACACTAGTCATTGTGCCTATCTGTCGCCATGTGTGTCTTGAAATGCGAGACATGAAGAAGCAGGTACAGACTCTATTCAGTGGAGACGGTCAATAATTGTGTGCGATCGCCGACTCAAATCAAACTTTCCCCATGATGGGCAACACACCCCAGACTCGACCAGTGATGAAATCTCCGGGCTCGAGCACCCTCATCTTATGCGAAAGCAATGGCCATTACTCGCGTGCCCCCAGAGCAGTTCAACGGCGCCGGCAAGACCGGATATTCACAGAATATAAGGTTCTCACCGTCCAGGGTGTCCCTGCCTCTTGACTCGAGGGCAACAATATTCCGAAGGGTCTTTTCTCGGCAGTCTCACGGCATGCAAGGCCGTTTTTGGGATGGTCTGACGCCCGATGTGGCGACTTGCTATTATCATATCCCGACATACACGCGCGAATTCTATAGATATCTCTGCTACTCTATTTGGACACTACTTGATTTGTAATCGCGTAGGTGATGCTGTCCCCGCGGGGCTTGGCGGTACTTTGAAATGGCTGAGCGTGGTAAGCGCTTCAAATGCTATGCATCATCTGGTGCTGCCGAGTGGATGTAGAACGCTACCTGTCCCTGCTAGTGTTTTGTATATTTGACGTTGTCTTTGTCCTCTCGTGAACCTATTCTGATTAAGATAGGACTGTGAAAAGTTTAGCTATATTGTGTACTGCATCCACTAACCCCCATACTTGGAAACTCTCTACTACGTAAGGAACCAAGTTGCTATCTGTAACTTATCCTTTGGTAGCTAGACTAGCCAGCCGTGCCATTTCTCACATTCAGACCAAAGGCTGAAGAGATACTGAGAAGCCAGATCTCTCTCTTCAATATCTCTTATGTGTTATTAGCATCTAACATGTAGCTGCAAAGAGCGCAGCGCGTGACGTGCCATGCGGTACTAGGCAATGATACAGTAGAGGTGAGGGCTGAAGGCACACTCAACCCTTGACGATGTTCTTGATGCAGTACCTTTGCCATATATGGTACTGAGTCGCCCCAGTGAACTTTATTACGTCCATGACACGCCCTTCTCTAGAGCTAGCTAGGCGTAGCCTTCCAATTTTTGAACCTCTGAATCTCTACACTTCGCGTTATGCGAGTCCACGGACGATGCTTGAGTGACCGGCGTCAGGCTCTCCCGCACGCGAGCACAGGTTACGAGTGTGCTGCTCAAGCAAGAATTTCCTTCCTGTAGCAATGAATTAGCCACAGCTGACATAAGACTGTTGGTCGCGTCACCTGCTAATAAGAGGGAGAGCTGAGAGCTGTTCATGAGCTAGAGTTTAAAACAACGTGGCCACCAGCTGCGCCCTCGTTGAAACACTCGCCTTCACCAATGAGGTTTCATGTTCGAGTCGCACGCGAGAAACGTGCTGTCATTGAATCCTGGCGGATCAATGCCTGGTGCTGAACTCTTACAAAGTGCATACAAGGTTAGAAAAGCCCGAAGACTACATCATACGTTGTTTCTTCAAGAGCCTTGAAGAAGAGGGGTCCTCCGATATTGCCTGCGGGGCGTGCGCGATGGAGGGTATCCTTGTTATGGGCACCTCGCTCGTGACAACGCCCTAGTGTTTGGTCCGCTCAAGGGCGAGCGCAGGAGCGGACGGAACGAAATCCGTGCAAGCATGATTCTGGTACCGTAGTTCGCGGCGCCACCTGCAACCATGAGGAGTAGCATCTCGGAGTGTCACGATGACGCGGAGCTGGGCCTGGCCAGGAAGGGAACCATGGGGAGGCGAGGACACGATTTTCACGTGCTAGATTACGCGAGGTATGCCTGATAGAGTTTCCACAATGTATGCCCGCCTGCAGGAATTTGCTTCCCACAGCGGTTTGAATTCAGTAACTGTGCCAGAAGTAGATCTCCGCAGCGCAGGACACATTTATACAGGGGCTTCCGCGGCGGAACATGTGGTCTTTTACCGCATTCATCAACATAAGCGACGCTCGCATGATACGTAGAGGCTATCACGACCGGGATGACGTCAATTGTATAAGCAGCACACAAATTTATTTTTAGTGCAGGAGGATTGCATGGAACGTAGCATGGTTGCATGCACCCTAGGTGATGCAATCCTACGGTCAGCAACCTTACTGAATCTGGTAGCATTTCATGCGCATCCTCCCCATAACCATGTCATACTGTTCATGTACTCATGAATGTAGGCTCTGCAGTGAGTCCCATGGTTATACAAATGGCAGGGCTGGCAATCTAGTTTCGCGTTATAAGCCAAGATCCCGAGGCTGGTAGCTCACAGCACTCGTCGTTCTTATTCAGCGCAACAATTGAGACCTTTTTCCAACATCGAAATCATGAAGCTCTTCGGTTCTGGAATTTCCGCGGTCGCAGTGGCGACTCAATTGATGGGCGTCAGCGGATCCCCAACAAGCAATGGAGGCGCTGGTATGTACTTGTCTTTTCAGCCCGGAATATGCAGCTCAACACTTGGCTTGCTCCTCGATCGTTCATAATATGAAGCTGGAGCCATCGCTGACTGGACGGATGCCACATTTTAGACACTTCCAACAACGTCCTGCTTGCGGCCGGACAATGTGCAGTACCGAACCGACAGCGACCTGCGTTGGTGCTCGAGCACAATTTTGCCGATCCGTCTCTCGTCTATGATCCCATCGACTGCAGCTATTATTCATTCTCAACCGCAAACGGCAAATACAGCGTGCAGATGGCCAAAAGAAACGATGCCACATTGAAGTGGGACATTTTGGACATCGACGCATTTCCGAATCTTGGCGCCTGGGCGGCCAACGGCAACATTTGGGCCCCGGATGTACAGAGGATTGGTGACAACTCCTGGGCCATGTACTACAGTGCTCCAAGCAGGAATGACCACCCTGAAGGGCAAGGCAGGCGATGTGTTGGTGTAGCCATGGCCAAGTCTGTGCGCGGCCCGTTCACAGGACTTCCCGATCCTCTGGGATGCTGGCCGGCCCAAGGCGGTTCCATTGACGCGGCCGGGTTTTACGACCCAAAGACAAACACACGCTGGGTGACATACAAGATCGACGGCAACGCTGTAGGACCATCTGGTGGCCCTTGTGGTAATGAGCCAAGCAATGGACAGCAGCCTCAATCAACACCCATCATGCTGCAACAGGTGAGTTTTATGCTGCGAAATTTCAGCCCGCTGTGCATTCTTGTAGCAGCAAAACACGCTCAAGAGATCTGTCCACTAACGTGAAAATCACTGGCTGTAAGGTTGGTCTAGACGGTTTCACCAAAATTGGTCAGCCCACCCAGATCCTCGATCGTAGCCAGTACGACGGACCCCTCATCGAAGCACCTCAGATCGTCTACGAGGGCGGCCTGTACATCTTGTTCTTCAGCTCCAACTGTTACTCGACAAAATGGTACGATGTGTCTTATGCCACAGCCACATCTGTGAAGGGACCATACACGAAGGCGGCAGTGCCACTCCTACAGTCTCCTGATTTTGCAGGCCTCGTAGGCCCCGGAGGCGCCTCCAGTAATGGGGCTGGATACCTGGTCTGGCAGTAAGTTGTTTTCTGTTCGAGAAGCAATTTCGTGGTTTGTCTCTCATATGCTAATACTGTATGCCAGTTCGTGGTCTGGACAGAGCGGAAACAGTGGCACAGGATCGCGTTACATGTGGGAGGGTAACTACCGAGTCCAGAATGGTGTTTTGTCGATGGTTGGACGATGAATGCTGAGGTTTCTGGCTTGGTCGAAACGGCGAATTCCTCGTGTCGAGGTGTCTGTGATTCCCTTTCACTTTTAGATTGCACATGACGGATCGATGACAACAAAGTTCAGCTTCAATCGAGCCGCTGCGACAGAAAGCTCAAGTATTGCTGATCGCATTTTCGGGGCCGACTGGTTAAAGTCAAGTGACATATGCGCCAGAATAAGGCCATATCGAGAATACTAAAACTCACCATCAACCGACCTAAGACATTGAATCGCAAATAACAGGACAGCAGTAGACTAATTTCATCGCTCCCGCCAGGCGTCGTCAGATAGTCGAGCCATCTCGTCTTGCACAAACATTATGACATCAAACCGCCAATTTGACCGAGTAAGCGAGCATGGCCTGGCATAAACAGCTGCATAATATCGTACGAGACAATAATCGACAATAGTTCCCATACCGACTTGGTTGCGTGTGCATGAGCTATTTTCGGATGGGGTTCATGCCATTTTCAGTAACTCGTACGATCCGGCGGCTAGATCGTCTAGTGCATAAGGTCTCCGGGAATAACGAAAAAGCCGCGGTACTTCCCGTCTACGCGAGCGTGAGTGGATTGACCGCACAGACGATGCACGGGGACTTGCGATGTCAGGCAGAAGGGGGAAATGGAAAGCACCTAAACCTATCGGTGAATAATCCTCTTGCTTCTCCCGTCACAAGCAGCACTGCAGCCAAGTACAATCCACGTAGTGCAGGGATTTGGCAGGCAGGTCTATACATTTCAGTACAGGCTTTTATACCTTATGCAGCAGCTTACATTCACGGCAAACATGGCTATAATCCATCTGAGCCGCAGCTGTAACGCTGCTAGTGAGTTCTTTTAGAAGCAGAGATGATCAATGGAGGTGTCGCCGTGCAATCGAGTCGAACCGGTGCGTCTCGCTTTCGGTACAAACCCGATCATCTTCCGCCGGCCAAGCCACAATTCCGCTATTGACGTTGCTGGCCAATCGCCGGCTAGTCAGCTCAGCTAGCTCACGTCTTCACCAGGCAGGCAATCTCCCCATCTCAAGCTGAGGGAAAAGCAACATTTTCGTTCAGGAGCCGTTACTGAAGCGCTAAGAAAGGGCAAGAGATTCGTGACCGTAGGTTCCACGATGTGTGTGCAGGTGCTTCTTATGGCGCCATGCCCCTTTGCCTAAGACTGTGGAAGCATCAATCAGTCGTTGCAGATTTAAACCGCCACACTCGTTAAGCACTACCACCATACACTCGTTTACAACATGCGTTTGACCCAGGGCCTCGTCGCCATCGTCGCGATTGGCCTGCTTGGTGATGTCTTGGCAGCCGCCTGCTGCGGCAGAGATGCCTGCGGCAGGGCTGTCCTGGCTGCGCGCGGCGCCAAGGACTCGTGCTCGTCCAGGCTTGTCGAGACAGTCACAGTAACGCCCACCGCGACTGTTGCCTTGACCAGTACCGCCCGAAGTACTATCACGTCCGACATTACGCTCACCCAGGTACAATCGGACACCGATCTGGAAACGCTCACCTCGCTGGCTACCTCCGACTTTGTCAGCACCGTGACGGACATCCAGACCGTGGCGCTCACCTCGACCGTTGTCGCAACTGTCACGGCCACCGCGGACTCCACCGTCACTATAACCGTCACGCCTGGTGCCCCAAACTCTTCTCAGCCACCAGTCAAGCGCGGTGGCAGTGCCTATGGCGTCTGTGACGATACCGCTTATGTTAGCGCCTGCAGCTGCATCGGTGTTCGGCCCACGACCGTCACCCAGACGGCCTCGGCCGTCACAGTCACGTCCCTGCAGACCATTACCCAAAGCCCGGACTTCCAGACCAACACGCAGGTGTTGACGCAGACCAGCTCAGTGACCTTCTTCACCACCATCACGGTCACCACCAGCATCACGCAGCTCGCGACCGTCACAAACACCTTTTCAACCGTTGCCAACACGGCCACCTCGCTACAGACAATCGTCGTGACCCCGACCGCGACCGTCACTGCCATCGCCCCCCCGCAATGCACCGGCGGCGGCTTCAATCTCCTCTTCACACCATCCGTGGGTGGACGGTATGGCCTGGGTTACGTCAATAGCATTGGCGAGGGCCTCTTCCTCATGGCCTTCCAAGGCAGTAGCCGCTTCACCGTGGATGCCAGTGGCCAGATTACCAACTTCTACGCCAACGACTTCCAGCCGGTCGTCATCTACTCGTCCGCACACCCGGCCTATTTCGAGCCCGCCTTCAAGTCTGTTCAACAAGGCTACAGCTACGCCGGGCAGCAGATATCCCCAGTCAACTGCGCCCTCGGCCCAGCTCCCGCTTACAACTTGCAATGCACTGTGGAAGGGGTCAACGGAGGCCAGCCGCTCGTCGCCGCCATATGCCGAAATGGCCGCTTCTACCTACACCTGCCTGGGGCGGCTGCTCCGACCGACATGTCTTGCACAGATATCTCCGTCGCGGCCTCTTGTCCACAAACTTGAGTGGGCAGGAGAACAGGGGGCGGCATATAGTTCTGAGTCTTCAAAGTATACAACGTTATATGAATAACCATGCATGTTGCCCTCAGGTGATATTGCGAGGTCCAACATCATTCATGGAACACTCCCAGTCTCTCTGTCGAGAGGCGTTGCATGATCATTCACTTATGATTGTTCGAACTGCCTTGATTATTTTTCGGTGGCAGTGCACGGATCTCGCATAACCTCATCCCCAACAGGGTCTATGATGTGATTTTGTCAAGGTTGCCAGAGAGATACTACTTTGTCCTTTGCGGCTTCTCCATTCCCCGGCATGGTCTCTCAGTTGCTATTCATTCCTGTTCCTGGGGCTTGATCGGTTATGGTGCCTCTGTGTTGATAGGCGATGTTCACAGCATGTTTTTGGAACATTGAACGAAGAGGCAACCGGCAGAGAAGCGCACATCCGTGACCGCAACCCTTTCTGACTTAGATAATGCCTCGCTCTGTCGCACACCTCTGCAATGAGAAACAGTCTATCATCGTCACCATCATAATCAACGAGACGAAGTCGAGTTCTTCTTGCCGTTCATCATTATCGGCCTTTTCTTTCGTGGAAAACCACAAATCACCCCAAGCCCCCAAACTCCGAGACGAATCCCCATGGGCAACGCAGCACTGCTTCTCATCGATTCACAAGAATATGTGCCGCTTGGCATGATCGTGACGGATAGTCTCTCGTGCTTTAAGCATCTGTACAAGATCACCGGAGCGGCCCACGCAGCTGGAGGCGGGATCATAATAGCACGCTGTTCGACTAGAAGGGTTATTATAACAGACAGTCGATCAGCAGTATAGCGAGACCCATTACTGGTGCCGACAAGCTTATGTTTCTATGTTTCACTGTCATCAATCGGACATAGATCTGCGATGGCCGAGTGGTTTCCATGTTTTCGGCCCGAGGCAAAGCATCACCTTGCCGAGTATCCAGACAGGCTAATGGCGATGCCAGGTTTGCCGAGAAGACCGGACTCGGAGCTTATCACCGGTTATCGTGCATACAGTCAAGCTTAATCGCGAGTACAAGGAAGAAGTCGCCCGGCTCGGGAAAGAAAAGTCCGACTGGTCCTTGTGAGCCCACACTTCGGGGAGGAACATGTCCTTTCATATCCACGGCAGGCACCCGACATAAGACCCTTCGGGTGCCGAGTGCTTGCTGGCAACTGAAGGCGAGCTGAAGGGCTAGATTTGCACACGGTCATCTCCGAGGCGGGCGCGAATCTGGCCCCGGGCTTGGGGGCGCACGTGGTCACCCGTTGTCTCTTTTCGGCGCCGACCAAATCAGATCATGAGATGCTTTTTTATGTGGGTTAAGGGGAACTGACGGCGCATAGTGAAGAAGCGGGAAGAGGCGGCCGATGTCACATTCGGGAAGCGGCCAATCGTGGACAAGCAAACCTCGCGCTCCTCGCGCTAACATCGTGAAGCTATCGATATTGCTAGTCCGGTTTGACGTACCCCGCAATGCAAGCAACTCGGCTCTGACAGCGCAGCTGATGTAATTCAGGGCGCAGACTAATGACGCCACCTCATCTCCCCATGCCAGGGACCAATACGCGCGGTCTAGGCCCTCGGCTATTTGCACAGTAAACCACGTTCCTGACTATGGCATTCTCTTCAATACGGTTCAGGGGCACTCTGGCCGCAAAACCGGGTCAGTTGGGTGCCCCTTCTCTCAAGATCCATAGTCGTGGCCCGGGTCTACGGTTCTTGTGCACATGATACTGATGCATAGACATCACACTCGGCTATGCCACTCCGACGTACGTAGGTGATTGGTACTATTGAGATGCTGGTTGTCTACACCATCCGAGAACTACAGCTGTGAAGATCATGTGCTTGGTCGATCACCACAATGCGGCTCTGGGACGATCACTCTAGGGGATCCGTGCAGATCTCGAACGATCGATCCAGATCTACCCAAGAACCCTTGGAGTCGGGACTGGCCAGGCCCCGACGGAAGATCTTGGGGTAGCGCGGCAACAGCAGCGCCGGCAATTTCCACGTCCAGCTCATGTGGAGTCTGGCGTTGCTCGTGGCTAGCTGGGTGGGAATGAAGGGCCCAAGCATCGTCAAACAGCCTCAGCTGCGCGATCACGATACCCGACGGTCTCATGTGTCACATCAATATATAACTGCGCTTGTTTCTGCTCTGCATTGCTCTCACTTCCGCTCCTCAGTCCCCTCACTCCCAAGACACTCACGCAACTCTTAATCTAATCCCTCGTCACTCTTTCAACTCAACACCGCCACAATGGTCCAAATCACCGCTGTCGTCCTTGGCCTCGCCGCCGCCGCCTTCGCCAACCCTGTCCCCGCCCCTCTTGTCCCTCGCGGCCTGGCCTGCCCGGCCAACAATGGTGCCAGCTTTATCTCCGGCGGCCACTACTACACGCTCCAGTGTAAGCATGCACACAAACCAACTTCCACGCTCTGCCCCTGCCCTGTGCTAACCATCGTCCAGGCGACAAAACCGTGTACGGCGGAGACGTGGCCAATGGCTACAAGGCCGCCGCGACGATCGAGGACTGCGCCGCGCAGTGCGAGGCCTCGGCGACGTGCGTAGCCGCCGCCTGGCAGGCCGGTTACTGCTTCCAGAAGACCACCATGTCCATCACCGGCGCCGGCGGCTGGACCTCGGTGGTCAAGGGCGCCGCCGTCAACCGCCCGCTCAACTGCGCCGACAACTCGTCCAACGGCGCCGTCTTCACCAGCGGCGGCTTCACCTACGACATTTTCTGCCGCGGCCAGTACTACGGCCGGGACGTTGCCGTGAACCCCAAGCGCTACGCCGCCACCCTCGAGGACTGCATTGCCTTCTGCTCCGGCGAGTCCACCTGCGTCGACGTCGTCTACGACGTGGCCAAGTACTGCTACCTCAAGGCTTCCAAGGATGGCAACTTCGTCGCCAGCGGCTGGTACACTGCCATTAAGCGCACCCTCTAAGCGCCCGCCACAATGATATGGGCTGTGATCAATGATGGGGGGTTGGGATAGGTGCTGGTGGGGTGTGCTTTGAATAAGCAACTCAGTCTGAGCGAGCGAGCGAGTTTCGACAGCACATATTTCTCCTACTTCTTCTTAACAACGGCACGGATCTGATGTGTTCATAATATGTAATTATCATACCAGGCGCCTGTCAATTTGACTACAAGTAATTCTCCTCGCCTACTCAAACTTGAAGAAAAATAAAAACCCAAAAAACCAAAAGCAGAGTGCAAATGCCGATACGTATAGGACTTTCAATGTGCACGTGATGGGTCCTGGGATGAGCTTGGGCATCTTTTGCCAATCTGGTTTGTCTCTGCAGATCACGCATCTAGGGAGGACGACTTGGTTTGAAAAGTTCTATACCCTCAGGTCGTATGCTCCTTCAATCACCTCTTCACATCTAGTCAACAGGCAAATCGTACAATGTCTGCAGTTCCGCGGGCGCTACTCGCACAACCAGAACACTATCATTGCCCTCATGTCACCACCCTATGGACCAAACGCATACGATGCTCAGCACACGAAACAGCACAGTCAAGTCGTGAGCCCTCACCACGGGTCAGGATCTTGCACCCACGCAAACCGTTTTTTTAGCTTCTTGGCGACGAGTTCTCGGATTTATCATCTAACACAGGTATAAATGCAGGTAGGGCTCTGACACCGAGAGCCATTAGATATATCCTAGGTCTATACATTACAGCTAGGTGTGGACAAGATTATGTAATTAGGAGATGTCATCAAACGCGCGGCTTATTTCCCGCGCTATGTCTTTTCTGCGAAAACAGATTTGTCTTTGCACCATTCTACGCCAGTCTGGGAAGGAACGTGAAACAATTATCAAAAGTCTATAGGATGCTGAGCAGAGGGAGCAGGAGATGGCCCGCCAGCTGTGTCGAGAGGGGCACAATGGCGACAAAGGTGTTGATTGTCCTGGAAATCCGGGCTTGTTAGCAAGGTATAATCAACGGGGCGCAGGGATGAGCAAACAAAAAAGAGTTGTCAAACTTACCAATCGTACGGAGCGAACTGGCCGAGATAGACCATGCCGACGCACAGCGGCACGTTGAACATGATGACCCACTTGTAGGTCTTCCACACGTTCTCGATGCTGACGAAGAAGCCGCCAGCCTCGATCTCCTTTGCGGTCGACGCCCACTCGATTGGCAGCGAGAAGAGATGCGCAAGCAGGGCGTAGCTGAGATGCCAGGATAGACCGCCAAAGAAGACGACTGTTTGAAACACACATCACGTTAGCAACCAGCTGCTGGGAAGAAACGAACAGGGCAATGAAGAAGTAGATAGTTGAAGAGGAGTAGACTTACTGAAGAAAGCATTCCACTTCAGACCCTCCCAGTAGGCCCGGAAGAAGTTGGCATCGCCGACACGATGCCGGTAGATGGCGTAGCAGATGGGCGAGATGACCTGGAACATGGCGACGAGGGCGGGGAAGAGGCGCCAGCTGTCGACGTAGACCTGGTCGACCTCGGTGGCATACCAGCCGATGACAAAGTAGTTGAGCAGACTGAGCGGGAAGGCCGAGGCGATGGCGTAGTAGGTGCCAATGTAGCCGAAGATGGTGAACTTGGCCGTCGTCTTGATGTTGGAGGTGAGAATCTTCCACACCATGGGCGTGAAGATGCCCTTGTAAATCCACTTGTGGATCGGGTTGAACAGCAACTCTGAGCAGCCGTAGGCGTACTTTTCCCAACGCAGCAGCTCGTCGAAGATGGTCAGCGAGACACCCTCCTTGAAGTCGCCGTTGTGGTACGTGGCCAAGCGCACAATGAAGCCGTTGGTCTGCAGGCGCAGCGCGACGTCGAAATCCTCGGACACGTGCGACTCGGACCAGAACAGGTCACGGGTGCCATCGTCCGACTTGAAGCGGATCGACTGCAGGGCCTTCCAGCGCAGAAAGGCGTTGTGGCCAACAAAGGCAGCCATGTCGCCGTTGCCGACCGAGAAGGCGATGGCCTTGTACACCAGGTTCGTGAAGTAGGTGATGGCGTTCTCGAACCAAGAGTGCGTCACCTGCATGACGCCCGAAGCGTGCTGGATGATGGCCACCTCGGGGGATTCTTCCATCTCGAGAGCGGCGAGGTGCAGGCAGTCGACGGGCACCTGAGTGTCCGAGTCGACGATGAGGATAATGTCACCCATGCGCACGTTGCCCTCGGCCCAAGTCTTGCCCTGGTCGTCGGCGAGGATCTTGGCCATGGCGTCGTCGTACAGCCGGTCCTCCTCGTCGAGGTCCAGCTGGTGCTCAAAGTCGTCGTCGGCCCAGCCCAGCTCGTGACGGCGGGCAGTGATGCGTGCCGTCAGCTCCTCTTCGAGGCGGAGAGTGAAGTCGAGCGCGTAGTTCATGTTGGAGGCCTTCTTGAAGCGACCGGCTCGCACAAAGCCGTCCTTGTTGTGCGGCGGGCGGGCAACCCAGCCAATACCGTTGGCCTCATAAAAGTCCTTGCGCAGCTGGGCGATCTCGGGCGAGACGACCTGCATGCCGTCCTCGCACACAAAGATGTTGGCGCTGCCGCCCATCTGCTCGTAGTGTGCGATGGCCGGGAGCAGTGAGCGGACCGTGGGCTGGATGACACCCTTGAGACCCTCCTTGTAGACGGGCATCTGGATCGTGATGTGCGGCCACTCGATGTTGGGGTGCTTCTTGCGGTCGGGCTTGACGGCCGAGTAAAACTTGCTCTTGCCCGTCTTGATGTCCTGGATGGGGCCGACGAGCTGGAAGACGCACACGACCAGGATGGTGAAGAAGAAGAGACCAAAGAAGAGGAAAATGGGCACCGTGGCCAGCATGGCCAGGCGGTTCAGCCCCTCGCGGCCCAGAGCGTGGACCTCGAGGAGGATCTGGCCGACCTCGACCGACTGCGCGGCGATGATCAGACACGACGCCAGACCAATCATGAGACTGTGCGTCAGGATGAACGGCCGCTTGATGGGCCCCAAGGCCTCCTGGTCCTCAGCATCCAGCACCGACATCTCATCCGTGTCCAGCGTCTTGACGTCGACTTGGGGGGTGTTGGTCCCCATGAAGGCCTTATCTGAGGTGTAGTGGTACGTCGACGGGACGGTGGGCACTGCGAACGAGTTCAAGTCCCGGCTGGGCGCATAGTCCGAAGGTGCCAACGAAGGCGCCACGCTGCGTCTCGGTGACATGGAGTCCATGCCGCGCATCATCCTTCGTGTCGGCATAGCCACGCCCCAGAGAGAGCCCATGAGGGTGTCCTCCATCTGGCTGGCATGCTGCATCAGGCCATCCATGCTCTGGGCCCAGAGCAGGACCACGCCTTCCTGGCGCACGAGGCAGGCATAGTCTCGTTTTACCACTGACGTGTCGGTCGTCGCGAGCTCGTGCAGCGACTCGACAACGGGCAGGATGGTGTCATGGCCACCCATTGCCATTTCTGTCTGGCCCGGCTTGAGCTTCTCAAGGACATGCTGGGCGACCTCGCAGCGCATGGTGAAAGCCGCGGTAAGCTTCAGTTTCTCGCATGCTCCAGCAAGTTCTGGGTATGTGTTTGCTGGCCATACGGCCGTGGCGGAGCTGGTGCCGTGCGCATCACGCAGACAGACTCCGGGGCCCGACCCTGTCTTTGAGTCTTCGTCCAGCCATAGTCGCTCGAGCACCTGTTGGTGCAACTTTCGAGCGGCCTGGATAACGGATTAGTCCACTGACTGACATGGTCGCATGTAGTTCAAAGGCAGGGGGTCGCCAACTTACAAGACCTAGACGCTCATCGGTTGTTGCCTTGGAGTCGTCGAATGGGTTTGAGTGTTGCGACTGCTGCATCCTGTGACTCCTTGTGTCACCACGGACAAGGGCAGTGGCTGGTCGAGATGGCGCCGGTGACTGGGAAGCACCGTGGTCGGCCATCGTGGCGGAGGGGGCTCGGCCACGAGCAGAGAAATTATGCAGGCTGGTGAAGGAGTCTCTCAAAGACTACCACGAGGGGATACAATGAGTTCCGAGGTGGTGACCGAGGGTGGTGACGGAGTGTGTCTGGAGTGTGGTGACAGGCTCGTGTAGGATGATTGAGCAACCAGACACGAGCGAATCTCTAAAGATTAACTATGTTCGAGGAAGCAAGGTAACGAACGGATGGAAAAGAAGATGATCCTAGGGCCGGGAGGGATGGCCGTCCAGACTCGCTTCGACACTTGGTCGTGGGTCAATAGCTGCAGGGCCACGCTTGTCTAGGCCGGTGTGTCCAGGCAGTCGCCCAGGTTCTAGACAGGAAAGGTTCAGACGCACTGCTCTGTTATCAGTTTTCTTTCGGTCAATTGCATTCCCATTGTGGCAGTGTGGCGGCCATCCCGGCGGATCCTAGCTCAGCTAGAAAGTTCAGCTGCTCTCTATCTGCTCCGGCTGGTGTCTGGGCCCTTGTCTTCCGATGGGGCCATTTTCACGATCAAGAGTCATGGAATTCTGATACGATCGGGCCCGACGAGGACGCCACACATCGTCGACGGTCAAGCCCAAAGAAAAGCGCCTCATCGTCAATAGTCCCGGCGACTAGGTGTGGTACATCTGAGTACAAGACCCAGTGCCATGCACGACAAGGGACTAGCTCGGATTCAGCTGGTGGTGGCTCGATGGTGGTAATGAGACTGGTGGAGATGTTCTCGGCTAATCTGGACATGGGCTGGCATCGGAGCCGGGAGGCCAGTCCGCACTCGCCAGGCCTCGACGCTACGAGCCCGGCCAGCTGTCATAGCTTCAGCGGTAGCGGCAAACATTCGCGTCGTTTGCCGTTATCGTGAATGCTGGCGCTAAGCACCGGGTTGCAAGGGTCAAGGAGATACGTCCGCAGGAGCTGAGCTGCGGCCATGGGGGCACGCTCAGGGATGTGAGAAGTTTGGCGCCATGTCACATCATCCACTGATACCCGGACGATTGCTGGTCCAGAACTGGGTAGGCCTGGTCACGGCTGTCGATCTGATGGGTGACCACAGGGTACCGCGATCAGCACATGCCCTGCAAATCCCACGTGGGCGAGTCCTCGAGCTGAGAAAGGCCGGCCCCTTGGCGATTCCCAGCGACAAAGCGCTCCTCCGTACGCACAGAGCTCCCTGGTTCCGCCGTCGCCGAGATCAGGGTCCGAGACAAGGGCCCGGAGCCCAGCTCATGATCCGGGCGCGCTAGGAGCACTCCGTTGTGGCTGGCGGCAACGCCAACGCATCTGCAGATTGACGCTAGGGACGCAGGGGCAAGGGGGGCCTGGAAAGGGCGTGTCTCTATCACGCCGCTAGTCCATGCCGCCAACAAGCCTTTGTTCGCGTCAGAGTGGGGGGCGCTCTCGCGATTCAGCTTCACATGCATGGCGACGACGAGCAATGTCGGATCGAGGGTCCACTGCCGCTGGGTTAGTGCTCAAGACAATCCAGGCTCTGGGCAGGCCGCTCTGGCGGAAAAGCCATGAGCTGAACGGCCACAGTCTAGATCGCACGCGGTGCAGAATACAAGGTCCCTCCTTTTCCCGTGTTATCGGTGGGCAGCCCGCGGCCGTGAGCATCCTAAGCCAGTCTTTAGACCGCCCTGCGCGAGGTGAGAACACACAATACCGACCTTGACTTTCACCCTGCTCTGTTCTTGAACAACCCCAGTCTGAAAAGATCACACTGCTTCTGAGCGCATTTGCCCACACTTGTATCTCCTTACACCCACAATCCCCATCTTACTCACTTGTTGCAAATCCAAACCAACCCCTTCTGCAACCCTGCCGAGTCAAGACTCGGCTCGCCAAGCGGACACCATGGCATCCGATGGCATAGCCATGCAGTCAATGAAGAAGCATGCCTTCCTCTCAAGAGATCCCGCTTCGGCGCACCGATCCTGGCAAGGATCTCGGCCCGCTTCATTCGGCGGCGCTTCCTCATATGCGAGTTCAGTCTTCGAGAAGGACTTCGCAGCTCGCAAGGGCGTCAGCGAGAAGCCGGTCGAGAAGCCTCGAAAGAGGTTCAGGAGCTCGAAACTGACGGGCGACTACGAGAAGCCATGGCTGAAGAACAAGGACCCCCGTGAGAAGCTCGACAAGGTTTTCTTCTACGGCTTGTCCTTGATTGGAGCGGGCATCGGGGCGTACATCTGCTGGGACCGGTGGAACTCTGTTGGCAATCAAAATGTAAGCAGCCCAACATCTCGATGGCACAGCATTCTCTGCTTTCTGGGACTAACGCGATCGCCCTTAGTACTGCTTGGCGTGGGAAGATGACTTCAGCGGCGGAATCAACAAGGACAGCTGGAACTACGAGGTGCAGATCGATGGATTTGGCACCGGCTCCTTCGACTGGACCACGACAGACCCGCGCAACGCGTACACAGACGCCAATGGCCTGCACATTGTGCCGACGCTGACGACAGAGGACATTGGCATCAGCAACAACCAGCTGATCCACGGCTACACATTGAATTTGACGTCAGGTGGCGGCGACGGCACGTGTACGGGCACCAGCAACTCCGCCTGTTCCATCGCGTCCAACTACACTCTCAACTCGGTGATCCCGCCGATTCGCTCCGCGCGACTCAACACCAAGGGCAAGCACATGCTGCGGTACGGCAAGGTCGAGGTGACCGCCAAGCTGCCCGCTGGCGACTGGCTGTGGCCGGCTATCTGGATGATGCCCCAGGACAACGCGTACGGCGACTGGCCCGCGTCGGGGGAGATTGACATCATGGAGGCGCGCGGCAACAGCCAGTACGTCTTCAGGAACGGCGGCCGCGACACCGTCTCGGGCGTGCTGCACTGGGGCCCAACGGCCGAGCTGGACCGCTTCGTCGAGACGTCCAACGGCCTGTACATGCGCCGCAAGGACTTCACGCAGGACTACCACACCTTTGGCCTCGAGTGGACCAAGGACTTCATCTTCACCTACTACGACAACGTGCTCAAGCAGACCCTGTACGTGCCCTTTGGCAGCAAGCTCGGCGACATGTACAGCCGCGGCCGCTACGCCCAGATTGCCAACCCCAACGGCTACGGCGCCCCCAACAACCCCTGGAGTTCCAGCTCCAACCCCAATGCCCCCTTCGACCAGGCATTTTACCTCATCCTGAACGTCGCCGTGGGCGGCACCAACGGCTTCTTCCCCGACGGCTACGCCGGCAAGCCGTGGGTTGACAAGCTGAACAACTCGGCCAGCGCCTTCTGGAATGCCAGCTCGGCGTGGAAGCCCACGTGGGGCGACGCCGACAGCCGCGGCATGACTGTCAAGTCTGTCAAGATGTGGAATACTTGCTAGATCATCACGAGGGGGGGGGCTTCTTTGGCTTTGTTTTCCTTGTTCTTTTACGTCTCCTGTCTCAATCGGTTGGAAAGAATACGTGCGGATAGATTCCTAGGCATTTCGTGCACTGCCGTTATATGGGTACAATTTAATATACAAACCGGTAATCAAGAATACATTGTGTGTCACATTGATTCGCATCTCACGGTAAAGGGTGTGTGCATCATCACGTGTTGTTGCTCCCCCGCACTTGAGTATAGTAGCTCAGCTGCAAGACACGTCGCCACGTGCCTTGCATTTCGCACTGGCACGGCACATCTGCGCTGAGGATCAGCTCGGGATTTTCTGGCCCCCAAGTGACACACGGAAAAGAAAAAAGCAACACGGCTGAGACATCAAAAAAGCTTCTATTAACGTGGGGTCTCCACTCTTTGTGTGAAATAGTTACTAAGGACAGAACAATCATATACTAATGCGCCATTCTATTCTATATACGCCAAGACCCCACTGCACACCGGTATTACTTATCTCCAGCCCTCGAACCCGTGATTAATAGACGATAGAAAGTATGGGCATCAGCAAGTGCCCGGCGACCTGCATGGCCAGAGGCACGATGCACAACCAGCTGTTGATGACCTGCAAGAGTTGTCAGTATTGTGTCAAGAGACAGGTGCATAGTAAGCACAAAAGCTTCGACAAAGTGACTCACCCAGTCAGAAGGCGCGAATTGGCTGAGATAGATCATGGCGCCGATAATGGCCAGGCTGAAAGCAGTAGAGTACTTGTAGTACTTTGTGACGTTGTCCAGACCAATGAAGAAGCCCGTCGACTCGAGCTCCTTGACGGTCGACGACCACTCGATGGGCAGGCAAAGCAGATGGGCCAGCAGCGAGTAGGACAAGTGCCATGAGATGCCGGAGAAGAAGATGACTAGGACGCGCGCGCATCAGCACATGCATTCATACAAGGCAAATGTTGGAGCGAAGAATACTTACTGAAGAACCAATACCACTTGAGGTTCTCGTACAGTGCCTTCCAGAACGGCATGTCACCCACCCTGTGGCGATAGATGGCGAAGCACACAGGCGAGATGCCCTGGAAGACGACGATGCAGCCCACCATGATCTTCCACGAGTCGGTGTAGATGGCATCCAGGTCGGGCGTCAGCCAGCCCACGATGAAGTAATTAGCGAGTGACAAGGGCAGGGAGCAGGCAATGGCGAAATAGGTGCCCATGTAGCCGATGATGGTGAACTTGGAGGTGGTCTTGAGGTTCGAGAAGATCATGCGGTAGAACATGGACGCGAAGGGGCCCTTGTAGATCCATTGGTAGAAAGGGTTGAACAGCTGTAGGGGCAAGTGGGTGGGTCAGATCAGGTTTGGTATAGCGAGGGGAGGGCAAATGTGGGGGATTGGGGGGTTGTCTTACAAGCTCGGAACAGCCGTAGGAGTACTTCTCCCAACGCAGCAGCTCGTCCATGACGGTGAGCGAGACACCTTCCTTGAATTCTCCCTTGTCTGTGATGAAAAGCCCGTTAATGAGATTCGATGGAAAAAACTATTCGCGGCCACTTACCATATGTAGCAAGACGCAACACAAAGCCCTTGGCCTGCAGCCGCAACGCGACGTCGAAATCCTCCGAGACGTGGTTCTCGGACCAGAAGAGCTCGCGACCGTCCTCTGACGTGAACTTGATGCTCTGGATTGCCTTCCAGCGGAGGAAGGCGTTGTGACCGATGAAGGGGGCGACATCGCCGTTACCAACGGAGAAGCGAATGGCGGCGTAGATGAGATTGGTGAAGTAGGTGATGGCATTCTCGAACCAACTGTTGGTTACGTTCATGACACCTGAGGCGTGCTGGATGATGGCAACCTCGGGGCTTTCCTCCATTTCCATGGCAGCCAGCGAGAGACAGTCGACGGGCTATAGCAAATTTAGGTCAGCCATTAGCGATCCCACATTGTTTATGATGTTCTGAAGACTTACAACACGCGTATCAGAGTCAATGAGCAGGATGATCTCGCCAATGCGGACGTTGCCCTCTGCCATCGTCTTGCCCTGGTCGCCCTCGATAACCTCGCGACAGGCGGCTTCGTAAAGTTGCTCCTCCTCCTCGATCTCGAGCTGCTGCGCGGGGTTGGTGAAGCCCCTCGCCTCGCGCTCGTCGGCAATCATCTGGAGCAGGCGGTCCTCGACGCGCAAGCTAAAATCGAGGCAGTAGTTCATGTTGGACGCCTTCTTGAAGCGTCCACCACGGACGAACCCGTCTTTGCCGTGGCCAGGACGGGCGACCCACCCGATGTCATGCTGCCGGTAGAATTGCGTGCGCATCTCGCGCACGCTGTCCGACACGAGCTGCATGCCGTCCTCACAGATGAAGATGTTGGCAGTGCCGCCGAGGCGGTTGTAGTGCTCGATGGCGGGCAACAAGCTGTTGATGGTCGGCTGGATAACGCCTTTGAGTCCTTCCTTGTACACGGGCATCTGAATAGTGATATGGGGCCATACGATATTGCCATGCTTGCGGTGGTCAGGCTTGATGCTACTGTAGAACCGCGTGCAGCCTGTTTTAATGTCTTGCATTGGGCCGATCAGCTGGAAGGCTGCCGTCACGAGCGTTGAGAAGAAGAAGATACTGAAGAAGGCGAAGATGGGCACGGTCGCGGCCATGGCGATGCGGTCGTATGCCACGGAGCCCACTGTGAGTGTTGTGGTGGTTAGCACGTTGAAGCTTGGGAGGGGATGCAAGAAGAACCAAACTTACAAGCCTTGACCTCGATAATGATCTGGCGCACATTCAAGCTCTGAGTGATGACGAGCAAGCACACGGCGATGCCCGCCAGCACCGAGTGTGTCAACACAAATGGCCGCTTCCTCGGGCCCAAGTTGGCCTTCTCCTCGGCGTCAAGCTCGGACATCTCGTCGATCTCGGGTGTGCGGAAGCCTTGGTTGGCTTTCCACTTCTCTAGGTCGGCAGAGGTCTCGCGGGTGTGCATTGCGCCCGTCATGACGTGGTGTCCGCCCGGAGTAGGAGTTGGAGCAACGTCCGTTGTCATGCAGCCCTCTTCTACGTCGGCCGCGTGCTCGAACAGACCGTCGGCTGTCTGACTCCAGATGACCAGGCAGCGCTCCTGTTTTACCAAGCAGAACAAGTCGCGCATGCGCACCGAGCGATCAGTGGTCGCCAGGTGCCTCAGGCTTTGCACAATGGGGACCGTGATGCCACTGGGGAGTGTTATCTCGTCCTCGTGCGCGGAGATGGTGTCACATATTTGGTCCGTCAGCTCGCAGCTCATCGTGAATGCTGCGGTGATGTTGAGCCGTTGGCAAAACTGCATGAGCTCCGGGTAGGTGTTGGACGGCTCCGTCACATATTCGGACCCGTCTTCACTCTTGATGACCATGCCAGGAACCGACGGGCCCGACTTTGCGTCTGTGTCGTTTCGAATCCATCCGGCGTCAATGATGCGGCGATGGAGATAGCGAGCCAGCTAAGGAAGCATAATCAGTATCTCTTGCCTCTCACCTCTAGAAGGGCCTGGGGAACTTACAACTTGCGTCATGCTATCGCTAGGACCTAGTCTTCTCCGTGGCTCACTGCCTTTGATGACCACAGGGGCCGGAGCTGGCAACATGGTGACTTTGGTTGTTTCGGCCATGACGAACCCGTTGTCACTCGAGCTCGTTGCTCCTCTGTTCCCAGTGAAGTGAGGAAGAAATGGGTGGTGCTTGACTGCTGCCAACCGTGGCAGTGTCGTTGTATGTTACCAAGATATGTCGAGCGACAATGTTGACTTGCACGGATTTGACCAAGGCACAGGCAGAAGCGGAAGTCACGGAGGTATTAGCCGTCGGAACGAGTGTGATGGGGGACGGCTGGACTAGGACAAGGGAGGAAACAGATCGGCGACGACTGGGCGAGACTGGGCTGGCCGAGGGAGGCCTGTTACAGCCTTCGTGTTGCCCGAAAGAAGCGACTGCCTCCACCGGTGTAATAGTCGCTCTTGCAGCTCGAGACTCCAGCAGACTCGGCGCCGCAGCCAGCCACAGTCACGCCCGGCGATAACTAGTTTGTTGCAGGTCGGACAGATACCATCACAACAGGGGTCCTGGCAGCCGAGAAACCCTGGGCGTCTAGGCCATCGTGAGGGTAAAGAACAAGGATCTGGAGCCTAGAATCTAGTGCACAGGCCGTCAATGCCGAGGAAATGAACAAGCTGAGCTTAGCTGCATCTGCCTTCACTCAAGAGTGGGACCATGAGGAACTTCGAGGTACTTAGGGACTTGGGCTAAGAGCAGGCGTGTCCAGGCCGCCGGCGCTTGCGGGTCTGACATGGGTCTGCTAGCTCTATCTCTATCTCTGGAAATGGCCAGCACTTCAACGCCAGACCAGGGGTCCCTGAAACTATTGAGAAGCTGCAGCAGGCTGGAACCAGGGCTGTTGCGTGAAAAGATAAGGCAAAGTCTGCGAGCACACAGAATGGCCAAGATGTCAGCTGGGTTCTGGACGCCGTAGACCTGAACGAATGGCGCCATGCTGCTGACCTGATGCATCGTGAACCAGGCCAGGATCACAGGGTGGCCGGGACCCCTGGCCGATAGGTCTGTCTTTGGGGGGTGGCAAAAGAGCCAAGGGATTCTGATCGGACATTCCTGGCACGACAGAGATCTGCTACAGGGGTGCCCGACTGGGTTCGTCGTCATTACCAAAATCGTAAAGTTTGCCTTCGTTCTTTGGCTACGCAATACTACTCCTGAAATCAGTACGCGCCAGAACCGGTGCAAGCCATCTAATTTCTTTTTGGCCACGCCAACGCAGGTACAACCGAGATTACTTGCATCCACCCGTTTCTGAGATAATGCGCCACAGAGCGCGGAGGTTTCGCGGAGCGCAACGGTGCAGAGATGGCCACTCTGGGCCACATGGTGGGGAGGGGGTGTGTTTAGAGATCCAGAGCGAGAAAAAACTGAAAAATACGAGAAAAGGACTAGTCAGGAACTGGCCTTGCCTGAGTGGGTACCGATAGCAGCACAGACGAGCTGTCACATCTAGAGCTGTCAGCTCGTCCCAGGGGTAGCTTGCGGCCGCGCGCACTGACAGAGTTCGGCTAGCCAGGCCCTCGGGGGTCCTGTCCAGATCGGGCCTTCAGCTGCAGACGCTATCTTTGCCAAGCTTTGCGGCGGCTCGACACGTTGTCATTCGCAGCTGAGGCATATGTCACCGTGCGGCGGTTGACATCTTTGGGGGGTGCAGGTCTAGGCCTTGGTGCTGGGTCATCGAGTCCGCGGTAAAAGTCCATGCCGAAGCACTATCACTGGCCACAGCCGCCGCTGAGCAACTTCCCAGATGACAGCGACAAACTGCCCGTTTCTTCAACATAATTTCAATCATCAAGGCTTCTCAAGGATTGTGTTCTTGCCCTAGGATCAAACTGCTACTTGGACCCAACGCAAAAGTCTCTACAATGGGAGCCCCGTCGAAACGACAAAGCACGCACAGCCGGTTACCGTCCGGGCATTCGATGAGCATGCTGAGCACACGCATACGGGAAGACCCCTTTGCTACGCAACCGCCCACCCCAGAAAACAGATCTGCAGCAGGTAGCCGCCTGTCTCGCCCACCAACGACGTGGGAAAAGGGCACCCCTGCGCCACCCAAGAGACGATTCCAAAGCAGCAGGCTCGTGGGCGAGTATGAACAGCCATGGCTCGCCAAGCGCGACCCTCGAGAGAAGTTTGACAAGATCTTCTTCTACGGCTTCCTCGTCATCGGCCTTGCCGTGAGCGCCTACTTGTGCTACGACGGATGGAAGTCAGTGGGCGACGAGAAGTTCTGCCTCCTGTGGGACGAAGACTTTTCCAACGGCATCAATCCTGCAGATTGGAACCATGTCGTCCGTATCGACGGCTTCGGCACGGGCAGCTTTGACTGGTCAACCAACGACAGCCGCAACTCATACACGGACCATGACGGCCTGCACATCGTGCCCACGATGACGGTCGACGACCTCGGCATCACGCCAGGCCAGATCATCGATGGGTACTCGCTGAACTTGACCGCGGACGGGACGTGCACCGACTGGAACGTCACCAATTGTGCCGTGACGTCCAACAAGACCACCGGAGCCATCATCAATCCGGTGAGGTCTGCGCGTCTGGATACCAAGGGCAAGCGGACAATGAAGTACGGCAAAGTCGAGGTCGTGGCGAAGCTGCCTGCTGGCGACTGGCTGTGGCCCGCGATCTGGATGATGCCCCAAGACGACGTCTACGGCTCCTGGCCGGCCTCGGGCGAGATCGACATCATGGAGTCGCGCGGCAACAACCCGGCCTACTACAAGGACGGACGCAACACAGTCGGCGGCACGCTGCACTGGGGCCCCAACACCGACCTCGACATGTTCGCCAAGACGACCGACAGCCACTGGATCCGGCACACCGACTACAGCAAAGACTTCCACCTGTATGGCCTGGTCTGGACCGACACCCACATCTACACGTACGTCGACAACGTGCTGCGCCAGACGCTGTATGTCGGCTTCTCCGAGAAGGCCGGAACGCTCTACCAGCGCGGCGGCTTTGACAAGATGAACATTGGCGGCGGCGGCTCGCCGTTCAACCCCTGGGCCGGCTCCAAGAACTTCAACGCGCCCTTTGACCAGAGCTTCTACCTGATTCTCAACGTTGGCGTCGGCTCTACCAATGGGTACTTTGCCGACGGGCGCGGCGGCAAGCCCTGGACGGACAAGGCCAACAACTCGATGGCGCAGTTCTGGAATGCCAAGGGGGTCTGGCAGCCTACATGGGGAGGTCCCACTGAGAGGGGCATGACGGTCAAGAGTGTCAAGATGTACAACCTCTGCTAGACGTTTTGCCTTGTATGCTTTCCTGCTCTAACTGGTTTTATTGGGTTTTCTTTTTTTCGTTACGAGTGTAGGCGAAGTGGCGATACTACAAGGGTTCTCATAGACTCATCGTAATTTTGGTGCAATAATTCATCACTTCCGTCTGCTTAGTCTTCCCACAACGGTTATTTGCTAGGTGACTGACTGACATGTCTGACGGTGAACCAGCCCCGACTGTGTTCTCTGTTGCCCCCCCCCCCACGTGTTTTGCAGATAAGCGGGCTGAAAAAAGAAAAGTCTGTGCACCGAAGATTCACAAGCTCTAGAACCGAGATGCGAGCTTCCCAGGGTGCCTGGTTCCGATCTGTCGGAAGTGTTTGCGCGTGGGGGTTCAGTTGTCTGAGCACGCCACTGACTCAGTGGCTCGTGGCGCTCGGCGCCTGCGGGCTCAGTCAATAGTCTGCTGCCCAGGGGCAGGGGGCAAATTGCCGGGGTCCCTGTAGACTGCTGAGGTGGAGCTTACGGTTGGCCTGGACAAGGAGCTATGCAGTAAGCGAAAGGAGTGGCTTTTCAGCTAGCCCCGTCGTGTCATGTCTGCGTTAGATAGCCAACAGGTTGCTCCTTTTGTCACTCTGCTTCAGCTCCTGCATTGTTTGCGTGATGGCCCTGCGTAAGCTGTCAGTCCGGCCACGTGAAAAAAGTGGACAAAAGGTGCCAGCTCCAGACCTCTGGCGCCCACACCGTTCCCAGCACTATCAGGTTGTGCAGGCTGGGCATGCATGTCCATTAATCGCTTGTTTAAGCGTCCAGAGCTCTCTTTTTCGCTGACCAAAAAGTGACGTGGCAGCATCCCAAAAGCCCAGGCACGTCTAGGCAGTATTTCCACAACTCTCGGCGGTTCTGGGCGCTCATTTCCACCGCTCCGGTGCTTTGCCCCCCTGCGGTTTCCGGCCCGTACAACGTTCAAGTGCTAGCTGCTCGTATTCACTCGTTTATTTGAGATTCGGACGGGACGAAGCGTCGCCGCGTTTGCCGGATCAACGCCACCTGTAAATCTGTGCCGCAACTCCCACGTTCGATATCCCCAAGTAGCGCTTGCTTGATCACCGCAGTCGTGACTGGATAGCGAGGCAGTACGCCAAAGGGCTCACAGCAAGTCATTAACAACAACAAAAACAACAACAACGGAGGGGAGCTGGAGTATACGCCGCGGTCAAGATGCGTGTCACTGAGCTCACCTGGTTCACCACGTTGGCGATTGCCACCGTCGCTGAGGGAGCGGCGTCATCACCAAAGCGAGGGCTGGTTTTCACGCCCAATGTCACTACGCCTCAAGACGACCAAATCTGGGCCAAGGGGACGGATCTGACCTGGTATTACAACTACCAGCCAAATCCGTCGCCCCAGTACAGCTCGTTGCCGCAATCAAGCTTCGAGTTTGTGCCCATGCTGTGGGGGTACATCAGCGATAATGCCTTTTACAACCAGGTCAACTCGCTGATGCAGCGCGGCATCAACATCAGCCACGTGTTGTCCTTCAACGAGCCAGATGGGCCCTACAACACCGGCGGCAGCAACATGCAGCCGTCTAAGGCCGCCGAGGCGTGGGTGCGCAACATCGTGCCGCTGCAGGCCATGGGCATCAAGGTTGGCCTGCCGGCCTGCACGGGCGGTCGGGGCGGTATTCCCTGGCTGCAACAGTTCCTTGGAAACTGCTCACAGGTGCTCACGAGCAGCACTGGCGGCGGGGAGACGAAGAACTGCACGTACGACTTTATACCGCTGCACTGGTATGGCAACTTTGAGGGCATGGCGTCGCATATTGGCGAGTACTCTGCTGCGTAAGTGTCATGACCTTATTCCCAGGTTATCACTGTTTTGAGAAGGGCAGGTGAGTACTAATACGCGGTGTGTGTAGCTTTCCCAAGCAAAAGTTCTGGATCACAGAATTCAACCTGGAGCGGCAGGACCTGCCCACAACCCAGGCTTACTACAATTCAACCATCTCGTACCTGGACTCGCTGGACAGCATAGAGCGGTACACCATGTTTGGCGCCTTCCGCTCAGGCGTGAGCAACATCGGCCCCAACGCCGCCTTCCTCAACAACGACGGCAAGCTCACGGACATGGGCTCTTGGTACCTCGGCGGCTCGGCCACGGGCGTCCTGCCAACCTCGGGTAGCTTGCCCGGCTCGCCCTCGGCTGCCAACCGACTGAGTGCCAGCATTGTGGCTATTGGCGTGGCTGTCACTGCCACTGGTTCCATGTTGATGTTTCCGTTTTGGGGCTGAGCGTGTCCCAAATTTGTGTTTCTTTTGATTTTGCTATCATGGTCGTAGTTGGTAGACATAAATGCGCAAATATAGAATTTTGAAGCTTCCTCCCACTTCCAGCGTTCAACAGCGAGCCCAGAAAATCAAGGTGATTCTCAATACAGGCTTTGGAGCATTCTCAGTATTGATCTCCATATACCATCTCTGTCTACCGCCGACGGACATATATCACAGTCAAACAATTCGGGGATAGGCAACAGCAGACACTCATCCTTGGACCTTCTTCTTCGCGGCCATCAGGGGCTTCGTACCCTCATTTCCTTAAAGCTGCTGACTGTGCCCAGCTCATGAGATGTCTAGTTAACAAAGATGCTCTCGAGCGCGCGTCTTGCCTCATACACTTCTCTACAGGTTTAATATGCCTACTTGGAGATCTCGAATACCTATACCCCCTCCTCCTCATGCTTACTATTATATTGCTGCCCGCCGCTTATTCAAAAATGAGGTACATCTTGCGATTCGGCATACATAATTAAATATGTGCAGAGGCAACTGCACCAGGGTAGTCAGACAATAACCAGTAACGCTTATGTCGGAAGAGAGTTTTTGCGAGGGCGAGGTTAAGCTTAGGGGTACAGCTTCACACGGTGATCGGGCGGAAGGCGGACCGAATCGGTTCCTTCAGTGGGCATGAATTTGATGCACATATCAGTTGGCCAAACGAGTGCTATAATTTAGTAGCTTTCAGTCCACGAGAGGTGTTCAAGCATATACTTCCTGCAACAGTGCCGAAAAGCACAGAACCAAACTTTTCAATCTTGCCCAACAATTCTCTTTCGCTTTTCAACTCAAAGGCTATACCTCCCGAGTCTCCTCTCATCTGCACGAAAAGGATCGTAAATACAGCACTTTCCCCAAGTATATTCTAGCTCATGGCCTCCGCGTCAAAATGTTCAGGATCTCCTTCCACTAGCAGCCAGCTCTGCAGCGTATTTAGGATTCACCCTGTCTTCAATGCCGGTTAAAAAGAAGAAAAAGGTGCCTACTTAACTCCATGAGTATAATAATGCCATTCACCAGCGGCGTAACCGGTGAGGCCGACAGAGTTCCAGTTCGCTGGGGTAGTAATCACGCCAGACTACGCACTCGCCCAAGTTCACAGATGCCCCTATCAGCAGATATCACTATGGAATTGAATCCTCCCTCCTGAACATCAGTAATGAGGGCCCCTTGGACTTCATGACCAGCCGAACGCATCGTGGTCTCCCGACTGTACCCCGACAAGTAGTACCGCGATGTATCCTTAGCGTAGTCCAGCTATACGGCGGAGCATGGCCTGGACTGTGCTTATGGACGCGACGCATGCGACTGCCGGCGGGGTAGTAGGGAGATCGCCGACTCATCTTTAGAAGAGACAAGGCGATCCGCGCGGATCAGACAAAGCCAATTTGCAAGAGGGTGTGTGGAAGGCAAGGCTATCGAAGACCACCTTCATGCCCTGGGCTAATTCAGATTTGCTCAATAGTCAGGCAGACTAAGGAAGAGAGGCAGCCGCCATGGGAGCTTATACTGAAAAAGGCCATAATGATATGTTGGTTGTCGATATGGAGCGAGGGATTGGAGGCACAGTGTTGCCATCAAGGGCTGGGACCTCCGAGTTTAGTGGCTGAAGAGTAGCCTCGGAGAACTTACATTGAACAGAACTTCTGCCGAAGTCGCCGAAACCACCAAAGTGAAACCCTCCTCCACGAGATGGGCTTGGCACCGACATGTCAATAGAGACCTCGTCCATGATCAGGATGGGGCTGGAGAATCGTCCGAACCGGAAGTACTGAGCCGCAGCTTCTCAGAATAGGAAGTCTGGCATAGTGGCCTCTAAGTCACTCTGTCCTGTGACGTAAAGCTCAACGAATCACATAGTCTGTTGACCATCAGATGGAAGGGCAGGTATGCATGAGAGGGGAGGACGAGGGGAACTTATACAACCAGGCACCCATCTACCCTCGGCCATGGCGCCAGCCCAGGAAGAGGGTTTCGGCACGGGTGGGTAGGCGCGGCGTGTTTCCCTTCAGGACGGCATTGAGGTACTTGAGTTTGCTGGCGGCCTCGATAGTGACGTGCTCTTCCGCGGCGAAAGCTAAGCGGACCTTATAATGTAGTGGCGCCCCCTTGTCGGGATTCGTGGCAAGTAAGTACGAGGCCGCAGTCAAGAGCGTGGCAGTCGTTTCGCTGCCCGCGATGTTGAGTACGCATACGTGGTAAAGCCACAAGTAGCTGTCCATGGCATTCTCGGGGAGGGGTGCTAGCTGAAGTCCTATGATCGGGAAGAGTTTGATGACCTATCTGTAATGTAACCTCAAAAACCGTCCGTGGATCTCATTGGCAAATTATCCTTTGGATAAATCTGCAGATCATATACGCCAACGTCGTATACAAGCACTGAGCCTCGCGCAGAGGCTGAAAACACTGTGAGCAAAGCGCACAATGCCAGCCATCAGCTTCCCTATCTGGAAAGGATCCCAGCACCTGACAAGCATGAGCAAAGTCACCATTCCTGCCACGTGAGCGGTCACCAGTGGAAAGACCGGTCACAGTGCTCCTGGTGAGCCACACGAATCCGGATGCACGGGATGTCCAAATGGAGTCGACCTGGGGCTTGACACTCGAGTGGCACCGATGTTCTCCTCACGAAAGGGTGGGAGCAGTCCCGAAGGAGACGGTGTAGCTTTCCCGAGAGCGGACGAGAGCGCGACGCCACTCCGAGGATTGGCTGACAGATAGCTGACTCGGGGTTGGCGAGGATTCTGAGGCCTGGAGCTGCATAATGCCCGGTAAGCAGTGCAGTGTAGGAGCAAGCCCAGCCGTTGTGGAGTCTGGCTCTGGTGGTGACAGGCAGCGACAGGGGCGAGGCCTTGGGCCAGAGCAGAGCAGAGCAGAGCTGGAGTTGAGCCTCGAAAACAAGTCGAGGCAGGTGCAAGCCACGATAAACCGCCACAGGTACAAACGCCGTGGTCGCTGCCTCAGGTGTGCATTCATGTCTGCTCCCTCCCCTCATCGCCGCCTCAGAACACTTGGCCTCGAGACCAGCCTCATCAACATCTGACGACGATGGCAGTCGCCTCGTTATTCTGCAACGGAAGCGAAATGAGCAGCGGCTGCAGCCGAGACTCGAGATCCCTGCCGACGCCTCCCCCGCACTCCACATTCCACCTTGGCCATTGTCACAACAATCATGCTTGCCGCCACGCCACGAAAACCACCATCAATGTTCTCGACCTGGGGCCCTCCTCATCGTCCGCTTCGGACAGACGCATACCACCCTCTGTCCATGTTGCTTAGCAAGCCGCAGCAATATATCTGCGCGCAAAGACGCCGCTTTCGACCGCGACCCCGTGGGTTGACGTGCAGAGAGAGGGAGCCCGCCCACGCGCTCCCCTGTCCAGGCATGCAGGCCATGCTGCTCAAGGACTGTCGAGTCGCCGCTTGGCTGCCGCGTTGACGGCCCGCGGCGAGCGCATCCCGTCCTCCGCGCCCAAACAGGAAACTGTGGCTTCCCAGTCCGGCTCGGCTCCGGCCCCGTTCCGCAAACTCTCGCCCTCTTTTCGATTATGCTGCAGCCAGGGCCCAGCGTCGCATCGTGCCTTGTACCTGGATCACTACCAACAATAGCTATCTCCGCCATGCACGGCCACTCTGCGGCCTGCCACTCCCAGGGCCGCTGCGACCCTTCTGGCCTTGGCCAGCCTGGAGCCTCGTTCCCTCGCCTTGTGGCTAATTTGCTCGCCCCCGGCCGGATGCTACCGAATTTCGAGTCGTCGACAGGGGTTCCGGATGTTTCTTACCACAGTCTATCGTCGCCTTGCCCTCCCGTCGAGCCGCCCAGCATACCGCAAAACAATTCCCTCCAATCACGACAATGAGGGGGTTTCGCCAAGCTCGTCTAGTCGAGATGGACTAGGGGACAAGCAATATCGGACGGTCAGTCGCCCGAGATCATATAAAGCAGCCCCAACACGACGAAACATGTTCATCGCCAGCAATCTTTGGTCCCTCACCGCGTATCATCGATTCCTCCTTGACACGTTGAGCCATGGGTCGCTTCGGAATCCTCGCCTCGCTGCTGCTGGCAGTTGGGCTCAGTAAGTGGCACTTGTCAACGAGCATACGCCTGACTTACTTCTAACTGTGCAACCCAGATGTCCAGCAGACCGCTGCACAGGGCGCCGCACCTGCCACTTACAAGGATCCTACCACCGGTATCATCTTCAACACCTGGAGCGTGCCTGATCGCAATGTCGGCGGCTTCGGTGGCGCGTATGGTGGTATGAAGATTGGTATGGCTCTCCCTGCCAACGCCCTGACTGTCAACGCCAACGAGTTCATTGGTATCCTGGTACGTTGGCCTCACTCCATTTGTGCGCAATTCAATCTAACCAGAGACGTCCACAGGAATGCCCCAAGAACAGCACTGTGCTCACGGGTTACTGCGGTATCTCCCTCGGAGGTGGCATGCCTACCAATCTGCTCCTCACTGCGTGGCCGTCTGGCAACGACGTCCTGACCTCGTTCCGCTGGGCCACGGGTTACGTCGAGCCCGAGCTGTACACCGGAAACGCCAAGCTCACCCAGATTTCCTCGGCTATCAACGCCACCCACTTCAGACTGATCTACCGCTGCGAGAACTGTCTTTCATGGAACCAGGACGGTACCACTGGCGGTGCGTCGACATCCAACGGTGGCTTGACCCTCGGCTGGGCCGCCGCCTTCCAGCCCCCGACAGGTGCTTCGTGTGCCAGCAGCGCTCGCTTCGTCCAGCATGACAACGGACAGAGCATCTGGGGTGCCGGTCTCGACAGCAATGCTGCCAACCCGTCATACACGTCGTGGGCCGCCTTGGCCACCAAGACGGTCACTGGCAACTGCGGTAGTACGCCAACAAGCAGCTCAACATCGGTCCCTGCCCCAACTGGTACTCCCGTACCCAACAAGCAGTACGACTACATCGTAGTCGGGGCCGGTGCCGGTGGTATCCCCATCGCAGACAAGCTGAGCGAGGCTGGCAAGAAGGTCTTGCTCATTGAGAAGGGCCCTGCGTCCCTTGGTCGCTGGGCTGGCAACGCCAAGCCAAACTGGAACACTCCTCCGTGGCTCGAGGGCACGGGCCTGACTCGTTTCGATGTCCCCGGTCTTTGCAACGAGATCTGGGTTGACTCTGCCGGTATTGCCTGCTCTGATGTCGACCGGATGGCTGGTTGTGTTCTTGGCGGTGGCACTGCCGTCAACGCAGGTTTATGGTTCAAGGTAAGTGCATGGAAGGCGTGGGGCACGACATTGACAAGACCATTGCTAATACGTAGTGCTTCTTAGCCCAATGCGATCGACTGGGACTACAACTTCCCAAGTGGCTGGAAGTCTTCCGACATGACTGGCGCTACCAACAGAGTCTTCTCGCGCATCCCAGGCACCGACACACCTTCCGTAGACGGCAAGCGTTACCTCCAGCAGGGCTTTGATGCCCTTGCGACTGGCCTCAAGGCTGGCGGCTGGACTGAGGTCACGGCCAACAATGCGCCCAGCTCCAAGAACCGTACCTTTGCACACGCGCCCTTCATGTTCAGTGGCGGTCAGCGCGGTGGCCCTCTTACCACTTACCTCGACACTGCGTCCAAGCGTTCCAACTTTGACTTGTGGCTTAACACGGCCGTGAAGCGCGTAGTGCGCACGGGTGGTCACGCCACTGGTCTCGAGGTTGAGCCCTTCCGCAACGGAGGCTACGTGGGCACCATCAACCTCACTCCAGTCACTGGACGTGTCATCCTGTCCGCTGGTGCGTTTGGAACGTCCAAGATCCTGTTCCGCAGCGGCATCGGCCCCTCGGACGTTCTTGGCGTCGTAAAGAACTCGACTGATGGCCCTACCATGATCTCGACGGACCAGTGGATCCCGCTTCCCGTCGGCAAGAACCTCGAGGACCATACCAATACTGACATGGTCATCTCGCACCCCAACGTCGTCTTCTACGACTTCTACGAGGCCTTTGACGAGCCGATTGCAGCTGACAAGACTGCCTACCTCAGCAAGCGCTCTGGTATTCTTGCTCAGGCTGCACCCAATATTGGCCCAATGGCTTGGGAGTCGATCAAGAACACTCCCGACGGCGTTGAGAGACAGCTCCAGTGGACTGCTCGTGTCGAGGGCAGCTTGGGCGCCGAGAACGGCAAGACCATGACCCTCAGCCAGTACTTGGGCCGTGGCGCCAAGTCCCGGGGTCGCCTGACCTTGACGCCGTCCCTCAGTGTCACTGTTTCCACCCTGCCCTACCTCACCGACAAGGGCGATGTTGCCGCCGTCATTCAGGGCATCAAGAACATGCAGGCTGCACTCAACAAGGTGCCCAACTTGACCTTCGTGTCGCCAGCCCCTGGCCAGTCCGCCGAGGATTACGTCGCCCAGTACGTCGTCTCGTCCAACCGTGGTTCCAACCACTGGATCGGCAGCGCCAAGCTCGGTGTCGACGATGGCCGCAGCAGCACGGGCACCTCGGTTGTCGATGTCAACGCCCAGGTCTACGGTACCGACAACATTTTTGTCGTCGACGCCTCCATCTTCCCCGGCCACGTCACCACGAACCCTTCGGCGTACATTGTCGTTGCCTCTGAGCGCGCTGCCGAGCGTATCCTGGCGCTTGCTCCGGCGGCCGCCCGCAACCAGTTCGACCAGTGCGGTGGCCTCAACTACAGCGGCAGCTTCCAGTGCAAGACTGGATACACCTGCAAGAAGCAGAACGACTACTACTGGCAGGTGAGTTTGGGCAATCAATGCCAGAAACCATGGCAAGTCTCGTCTGGGCTTGAACGCAGTAATCACTAACACTATCTTCTCCCACAGTGCCTGGCTTAAACGCCTCCGACTGCGAAGTATCGGGTCTTTGAACCATGCTGAACAGCTAGCGACAGGGACGCTTCTAGAGGACATAGGGCATTTGTGCGGGGCATCCTGAGGATCGCGCGCATATACGAAATTCCTTTCTGTGTATATGTACTTTGAGCATCGTCTTATGTCCGCTATGAACAAAGGGGCTGTCTATATGCCATGGGCGTTAACAGTCTATCTGTGATGTATGCGTCTGTGCGATGCAGTGCTGTGGGAGGCCCAATGCAGGTCCATTTATGGACCCAGAAACGAATAAATACTACCGGTCGGGACATTGCCAGGTAAGGCAGCCTGCCGATGCCATTGTCACCATATGTAGCATCCTCCCCAAAACGCGGAAGCGAAAGCTGCAAATCCCACCCCCGGCGCATATGACTGCTTGCGCGCGTGCGTGCTTGCGCCGTTCTATCCTGAACTCCTGATACGATGGGAATAGAAACAAAACGGGAGAAGAAGAGAGGCAGTGTTGCCGTCCCGGACGAGCTCTTCGCCGGAATCGGGGTATATCTCGCATGATATGCGAAATCGACAAACGAGAAAAGGAAACTACTGTTTAGTATGTGCAAAGAACGACATGAATGTATCAGATCAGCACGCGGCCGGCGCGGGAGCCATTCTGCTGCTGCTGCCACTGCTGCCCTCGACAGCTCGCCCTCCTTCTCCTGTCTGGCACGCCTTGACCGCAGCGGCAGCACCAGCAGCGGCAGTCTCCCTGCGCGCCGCCTCGGCAGCCTCCTTATTCAAAAAGCTCAGGTACGCCTGCCATCCGATGGCGATGCCCCCTGCGAACAGGCTGCGGAACTCGATGGGGATGAAGGCGAAGCTGAACGCGGTGACGGCGGGCCAGAGCTTGAGGCTGTTGACCATGCTGACGGGGACGGCACGGCGGATGCGCTCGAGGGCTTCTTCGGCGGTGGACCCGGAGAGCAGCGAGTGGGCGCCGAAGAAGTACGAGTTGAACAGAGGGGTGAAGAGGGCCTGGTTTATGGCCACCTTGGTGAGGATCGAGAGAAACCGGGACTGGGGGAAGTTGAAGTTTGACGAGAGGAAGAGGAACCAGTGCCACCCTGGGATGGCGGCGAGGCCGCCTATCGACATGGAGCGGAGGGTGCGGATGGGGTCGTATTGGCTGGAGAAGGAGGGCGGTTGTGGTTGCAGCGGCTCGTTTGCTATTGATGTTGCTGTTTTTGTCGTCGTTGTTGTCGTTGTCGAGGGAGTGGTGGAGGAGGACGACGACGATGCGGTCGCGACAGGAGCGTCATCGCGGCCAATGTACTGGGCAGCGACGTCGCCCGCGCAGTAGATGACGAGAGTCGCGGCAGTCTGGGTGAGGTAGGGATGGCGGCGCTGGGTGCGGGCGTAGGCCTGGCCGGCGCGGGTCAGGGGCCCGAGGCGCTGCCAGAAGGTAGGCGGCGGAGGGACGGTGTTTGGGACGGGGATCGGGTCTTGGGCCTTTGGCGGCGGCGGTGGTGACGACGACGATGATGTGTCGTGTTTTGGGGGTTGTGAGTTTGTTGACTGTGGTCGCTTTGGTGCGTTGGGTGTCTTTGGCAGGCGGGCCTGGCGCAGGAGGTTGAGGTGGCGCCGGAAAACGGCGTGCAGGGGCGAGGAGGGTATCATGGTGGTGGTGTTTGCGTTTGGCAGTCGCAGGTGTCGCAGGTGTCGCGGCCGTGGGGGATCACAGTCAATGTCTAGATCATGGCCGTGGTCGAGATGCTGGGTGGTTTGTGGTGGTTGAGGACGAGTCTCGTGAGCATGTGGTCTCGTGGGTCGGCTGAATGGATGGATGGATGACTGCAAATTAAGGGTCCCCGCGCGTCGGCTGCCATCGGCAGTATTAATACCAGCGCCGGCTCTGCGCTCGCCCGGCGCCGTTTTGCGTCGAGTTGCGACGCTCGGAAGGCCCCGGATGCTTACTCCAAAAGAGGGTCCCGGTACGTACCTGCCGATCACCAGGCGCAAGACAGACAGACAGAAACGTCGACAGGTGAGGTACCGACTGTACCAATGACCGCCTCAGATGCAGCATCTTGCAACAGTCAACTCTCCGCCTCTAGGCGGCTCATGATTTCCATCGACGCGCGGCCAATCCTCTCTCTGTCAATGTGAATTGTGCCATTCCTCGGCTCCACCTCCGCAACCGGAACTTGCAAGCAAGACAGCCCTTGGAACCCCTCCCGCCTGCCATGCCAAGCAAATACAGACTCAGGTCTTAAGCCAGATCTTTGTTCAGAGATACATGTTGATCGAGGCCGCGCCGAGTCACACAGAGCCGCTATGGTCCCCCAGCATGCCCTCGTGCACCTACGAGACTGGGCCCTTGAATGGCGGCCTTCAGTAGAGATGGAGTCGCACGGGCACAACTTGCGACGGTGCTGTGATTGGCCAGGCCAGCCATGCCTGCACCAGTCTTGGACTTGGAGCTCGACTCGACCCCATCAGGCCAGGGTGGCCGCCTGGTTGCACTCGACATCGCACGTCAGATGCGTAGCTTCGTCACCTCTGATTCTACGTTCTAGATTCCAAAAGCTCAGTTGCTGGAAGCACGAGGCCCAGTATTATAAGCTGCTGAAGACTCCAATTGGGGCGCCCTTGGAGCACTCTATTCTCCCCTGATGGACCACTACCAGCACCACCCGCCCCTAGGCGGCAGCCACCAGGACATGATGGCACACCACCACGGCCACCACGACCACCACCATCATCACCACGCAGCTGCCGGTCATGCTGCTCACCACGGCCATGACCACCACCAACACCACCACCATCACGGCCATGCAGCAGCAGCAGCAGGAGGAGGGCCCCAGTGCAGCATGAACATGCTCCTCAACTACTCCACAAAGGACCTGTGCATCTTCAGCCACCACTTCCACATCCCCGGCGACAGCTGGGCCCTCTGGGCCGCCGGCCTGCTCTTCGTCTTCCTCTTCTGCGCCGGTTACGAAGGCTTCAAGAACTGGGCTAGGGCCTATGATCGCCGCGTCGCAGCCGAGTACCTCCGGATCCTCGCTGCCGAGGAGGATGAGGAGGAAAGTACGACAGCCACGCCATCCACATCATCGTCGTCCTCTTCTTCTGGGCTGGAGATGAAGAAGAAGAAGACCTCCTACTCCTCTGCCCCGACCCAGCGGCGCACAGTCACCACCAACGCCACGTCTGCTCCGTCATCACCACCACCATCACCACAGACGACGAGAGCCGCGGCGGCATCCTTCGCCCGCGCCAGAAAGCCCACCCGCGCCCTGCTCTACGCGGCGCAGTACCTGTACGGCATGCTCGCCATGCTGCTCTTCATGACGTACAACGTCCAGGTCATGCTCGCGTGCAGCGCCGGCGTCGGGGCCGGGTTCCTCAGGTGGGCCGCGGATCTGCCTCCCCTTGGTGGTGCTGCCACTGCTCGCCGCCGGGATGTCAGTGATGTTGGGGAGCAGGAGGAGGAGGAGCAGCAGAGTGCAGCGTGTCATTGATTAAGCATGGGGCTCAGGTTGGCGCAATAGTAGTATGGAAAAAGATAGTTAGTCATCCTAGACAAGTCAAGAATTGTCGTATGCTTGCATATCACAACTGCCACGCGGGGGCGATTAAGTAAGGAACCAGTGAAAAGGACCACAAAAACAACAATAAAGACCGCTCGTGATATCATTTCTGCACTTTTATACACATACAGCTGGAATGCAATGCATCCTCCTCGAACCGAAAAAAGAAGAAGTGCTACAGCTTCGCAAACACTGTCGCAACCTCGCCGCCCATCTCGACCAGCGTGCTCTTGTTCCGCACCCACGCCTCCAGGCCTTTACGCCCGTTCTCCACTCCCAGGCCGCTCGACTTCCACCCGCCCACGGCCATCTCGGCCGGCGACTCGCCCCACGTGTTGACCCAGGTGATGCCCGCCTCGAGCCCCTGCACCACCTGGTGGCACGCGTCAATGTCCCGCCCGACCACGCCCGCCGCGAGACCCAGCTCCGTCGCGTTGGCGCGGGTCACGGCCTCGTCGACGCTGTCGTAGAACAGTATCGACATGACGGGCCCAAAGATCTCCTCCTTGACAATCGCCATGCTGTCCGTGCAGTCGGTAAAGACGGTCGGCCGGACCCAGTACCCGCCCCGGAGCTTGGATGGGACACCCTCGGGCGCGCCGTCCGCGCCGCCCGCGAGCAGCGTGGCCTTGTCCTCGTTGATGCCCTTGCGGATGTACTCGAGGACTTTTCTCTGGTGCGGCTGGCTGCTGAGGGGGCCAAAGTTGGTCGCCATGTCGAACAGGTCCCCCGCGCGGACGTGCTGCATCTTGCCGAGCAGCACGCGCTCAAAGTCCTTCTTCATCGCGCGCGGGACAAACACCCGCGTGCCGTTGGTGCACACCTGCCCGGTGCTGAAGAAGTTGGCCATCATGGCAACGTCCACGGCCTTGTCCACCTCGGCGTCGGGGAGCACCACGAGCGGGCTCTTGCCGCCGAGCTCCATCGTCACGTACTTCATGCCGCCTGCCGCCGATCCCGCAACCTTCTTGCCGGTGCTGACCTGGCCCGTGAAGCTGACCTTGGCGATCGCCGGATGCGAGGTGAGATACCCGCCGACCTCGCCCGCGCCGTACACGACGCTGAACACGCCGTCGGGCACGCCTGCGCGCCGGTAGATGTCGGCGAGGTACTCTGCGTGCAGCGGGGTGTACTCGCTGGGCTTGTAGATCATGCAGTTGCCCGCGGCGAGGCAGGGGCCCGACTTCCACAGGGCGATCTGGATCGGGTAGTTCCACGCGCCGATGCCCGCGCAGACGCCGAGGGGTTCCTTGGAGGTGGTGACGGAGGCCGTGGGCCGCAGGCGGAAGGACTCGCCGTTGAGCCCGCCGCTGGCGACGAGCCCGGCAAAGTACTCGACCACGTCGGCGCCGGTGACGATGTCGACCGTCGAGGTCTCGGAGTAGGGCTTGCCGGTGTCGAGGGTCTCGATGACGGCGAGGTCGTCGTTGCGCTCGCGCAGGAGGGCGACGGCGCGCTGGAGGATCCGGGCGCGCTCAATGGGCGGGGTGGCGGCCCATGAGGGGAAGGCCGCCTGGGCCGACTTTATGGCGGCGTCGATGGAGGACTTTGGAGACGAGTAGACCCTGCAGATGGGCTTGCCGGTGGACGGGTCGAGGGAGTCGATGTGGCCGGCCGAGGTATCTGACGAGGGCTGGGGCTTGCCCGCATAGATGGTGTGACGGTCAGTCTCCCTGATGGCCATCGTGGAGGTGTTTTGCTGTTGTTGTTATTGTTGTTGCTGGTGGGCAGCAGGTGGTGGGAGTCAAGGTCGACTGTTCCTGGAGGTGGAGGGAAGCCTATCAGGTGGACCAGCACAAGGCATTAGCGTATGTACATACGGAGTAGTGTATCTAGAGTTGTGCAGTGCAGCGAGTGCATTTGTCTCGAGCCGAGCAGATTGCGATGGATGCCGCCACGGCAGATGGTGCCGACCCTTGCTGTCTGTGCCAATGACGTTGTGGGCGGGCCCTGGGAGGTGGACCCCTGCTCAGTCGCAGCAAGAACTTTGGAGCAACCAACGAGAAAAAAGTTTGTGAACAGGTGGATCTTTGGCTTTGCTCTCCACACCGGCCTGCCATGCCATGCCATGGGAGCCATGGACACCACGCGGCCAGCCAGCTCTGGTCAGCTCAGCCCTCGGACGCACGCGGCCCATGTTTGACAAGTCCATGCGAGAGTTTGTGCGTTATCGGTCGTGGCAGGGCTGCCCGCTGCATCGACGCACCGTTATCCGGCAGCAGCGGCCCTCGATCGGGTGCTTTGACCTGCGGGGGAGGCCAGCTACTGCAGCCATACGCATATCTTAGCTATCTTTTACGCAAGCATGGCGGATAGCTGGGGACAGACACAGACCGCCCCAACAGCACAGCCCATCTGGGGCAGACGAGGAAGCACTCTGGACAGATCCTGCCACGCCCGGGCCGAATCGGCGGCGCGGGCGGGGGAGGATGGATGCCATCCTTCGTGAAGCCTCGCTCCTTGTCCTTGTCGGCCTGGCACTGAGCCAGCCAGCCAGCCAACACTGCAGATTCTGCCCCTGCTGGGTTGTCTCTCTGATGGTACGGTCATCGGCCGACCGACGTCGCAACGTACCCCATGGCGTCATGGTCCACGATGTGCTGAGGGTGCACGAGTCAGCCGCACGGCGCTGGGGGTCGGTTGTGTCGTGAAGAGGTCTGGAGATGGAGATGCGGGCCCCGCTGGCAGGCACCGCGGTGGCCTTGCCAGTGGAGCAGTGGAGGCTCTGGCGCTGCAGGGATCCGTCGAACCTGCTGCACCCGCCGACTCGCCATGCCGTGCGGTTGGAGATCGCAATGCACACTTCTGGATCGGTCACCGTTGGCGACACACACACGACACGCAGGGCCTCGCTCCCAGCCTAGCGCCCTCGCGCCCTCGCTCGATCCGTCTGCCACATGGGCAGCGCAGCTTCAACCTTGTCCACTGCCGGCCGCGTCTTATCTTTTTAAACTTCATCGCGAGCCAGCTGAGCTGTTGCGTCCCTCTCCGCTTACTACTACTACGACGCCTCCTCCTCCCCCGCGCACCACGACAGCTCTTATCGGAGCCATACCTCTCTCCTCTCTCTCTCTCTCTCACTCTCTCTCTTGTCGTGCTTGCTGTCTACCTCCCACTCCACCACACACTACAACTTAGTGTAGGCATCAACTCCTCACAATGGCGTCTGTGACCCAGCTCCCCCAGTCTGCTGCTGGCCAGTACGACTATGTCGTCGTCGGCGGCGGCACCGCTGGTTGCGTTATCGCCTCCCGCCTGGCCGAGTACCTCCCCCACAAGAAGATCCTCCTCGTCGAGGCCGGCCCCAGCGACTACATGGACGACCGCGTCCTCAACCTGCGCGAGTGGCTCGCCCTGCTTGGCGGCGAGCTCGATTACGACTATGGCACCACCGAGCAGCCCATGGGCAACTCGTATATCCGCCACTCCCGCGCAAAGGTCCTCGGCGGCTGCTCCTCTCACAACACCCTCATCTCCTTCCGCCCCTTCGAGTACGACTTCAAGATCTGGCAGTCTCTCGGCGCCAAGGGCTGGGACTTTGAGACCTTTATGCGCCTCATGGACAAGCTGCGCAACACTGTCCAGCCCGTCCACGGCCGTCACCGCAACAAGCTCTGCAAGGACTGGGTCAAGGCCTGCAGCACTGCCCTGGACATCCCCGTCCTCCACGACTTCAACCACCACATTACCGAGCAGGGTGCCCTCAAGCAGGGTGTCGGCTTCTTCTCCATCAGCTACAACCCCGACGACGGCAGACGGTCTAGTGCCTCGGTTGCCTACATCCACCCCATCTTCCGTGGCACCGAGAAGAGGCCCAACCTGACGGTCCTCACCAATGCTTGGGTATCCAAGGTCAACGTCAAGGACGACGACGTCGAGGGCGTCAGTGTCACCCTCCAGGACGGCTCCAAGCTCGACCTCCGCCCCAAGACCGAGACCATCATCTGCGCCGGTGCCGTTGACACCCCGCGCCTCCTGCTCCTCTCTGGTCTCGGCCCCAAGGAGCAGCTCTCCCAGCTCGGCATCAACGTCGTCAAGGACATCCCCGGTGTTGGTGAGAACCTTCAGGACCACCCTGAAAGCATCATCATGTGGGAGCTGAACCAGCCCGTCCCGCCCAACCAGACGACCATGGACTCGGATGCCGGCATCTTCCTGCGCCGCGAGGCCCCGAATGCCGCCAAGAACCACAAGCTCAAGTACCAGAACCCTCAGGGCATCCCCGACGGCGACATTGCCGACGTCATGATGCACTGCTACCAGATCCCCTTTACTCTCAACACCACCCGTCTCGGGTACCCCGAGATCCGGGACGGCTACGCGTTCTGCATGACGCCCAACATCCCCCGCCCCCGGTCCCGCGGCCGGCTGTACCTCACCTCGGCCGACCCGTCAGTCAAGCCGGCGCTCGACTTCCGCTACTTCACCGACGAGGAGGGCTACGATGCGGCCACGCTCGTCTACGGCATGCGGGCCGCCCGCAAGGTAGCCGAGCAGTCACCTTTCAAGGACTGGATCAAGTCTGAGATCGCGCCCGGCCCCAAGATCCAGAGCGACGAGGAGCTCAGCGAGTATGCCCGCAAGGCCGCCCACACTGTCTACCACCCGGCCGGCACCACCCGCATGGGCGACACCGAGAACGACGAGCTCGCCGTCGTCAACGAGAAGCTGCAGGTGCGCGGCGTCAAGAGGCTCAGAATCGCCGACGCCGGTATCTTCCCCACGATACCCACCATCAACCCCATGCTTACTGTGCTGGGTGTTGCTGAGCGTTGCGCAGAGTTCATTGTCGAGGAGGCCAATGCCGAGAAGGAGAAGGCGAGGTTGTGAGTGGAAGTCCGGGCCAAACTGTTTTGGATATGTGTATGAGGTTATGACCACTTTTTGTTATTTAAACGGTCGAAATAAAATCGAATACTACAGCGAAACTGAATTCAAAGTTCCCGGTTCGTTTCAGCGTGCGGAGAGGTGATGGATACTTTTTATTCCATGGTTAGCAATGTTCAGGTCAACTGTGAATCCAATCTGCCAGAGACCCAAAGACCCATATAAGCTATGTCAAAATTGTTTCGTACGCCATCCCAGAGGTTTCTTTCACCTCATGCTGTGACTCTGTAATGCAAGATGTTCAGGTAGTCAGCTCAGTTCGTGCACTTCCCTTACACGCAGCTAGCGCCAACCTGGCCCCACCCAGCAAAGCCGGCGCCCATGCAAGGTTCTCCACTAAAAAATTGCACCCTCCGCCGCCGATAACTCCTCCCAAGTTTCCTTATCGTCAACACTTCAAGAGAGGCGCATCTCTTCAGTCTCGAAAGCTCTTGTACAACAGCCTGCTGAGGTGCACTGTCGCGCCCCTCGCAACTCGTTTCTCAAGGTCAACGGTCCCTCCCAGCACAGTAGCGACGACACGCACACATACACAGCCATTGGCCCGCCATGGCCGCGCCCACAGGAAAGGCCCCCGGGGCCAGGAAACAGGGCGGCAAGCCAAAGGCCAAGCCGCAGGAGACCAAAACGCTCAAGCGCAAGAGAGAGCAGGAGGACCTGGCCAAGCTTCAGTCATCAGTAGACGAGCTGGTAAGTTGGAGGAGGAGCAAGAGCTCCCAGGTCACCGCTTGCGACGATGGGTGTGCCCACCAAGTCAAACTTAGTAGTAGTAGCTGACCAGGAGACTCTTTTTCCCCTCCAGGACCCCAAGAACCCCGAAAACACCAAGTTCTCCAACCTCCCGCTGTCGATACCGACCTCGAAGGGCCTCGCCGCGTCGCACTTTGAGACGCTCACCGACGTCCAGGCGCGGGCGATCCCGCTGGGCCTCAAGGGCAAGGACATCCTGGGGGCAGCCAAGACGGGCTCGGGCAAGACGCTCGCGTTCCTGGTGCCGGTGCTGGAGAAGCTGTACCGGGCGCAGTGGACGGAGCTCGACGGGCTCGGGGCGCTGGTGATTGCGCCGACGCGCGAGCTGGCGGTGCAGATCTTTGAGGTGCTGCGCAAGATTGGGCGGTACCACTCCTTCTCGGCGGGCTTGGTCATCGGCGGCAAGAACCTGCGCGAGGAGGCCGACCGGCTGGGGCGGATGAACATCCTGGTGTGCACGCCGGGCCGGATGCTGCAGCACCTGGACCAGACGGCGGGCATGGACGTGGACAACCTGCAGATGCTCGTGCTCGACGAGGCCGACCGGATCATGGACATGGGGTTTCAGCACGCCGTGGACGCGCTGGTCGAGCACCTGCCCAAGGCGCGGCAGACGATGCTCTTCAGCGCGACGCAGAGCAAGAAGGTGTCGGACCTCGCGCGCCTCAGCCTAAAGGACCCAGAGTACGTCTCGGTGCACGAGGCCGCCGCCGCCGCGACGCCCTCGACCCTGTCGCAGCACTACCTCGTCACGCCGCTGCACGACAAGATGGACACGCTGTTTGGCTTCATCAAGGCCAACCTCAAGAGCAAGATCATTGTCTTCCTCTCGTCGGGCAAACAGGTCCGCTTCTTCTACGAGTCCCTGCGCCACCTCCAGCCCGGCGTGCCCCTGCTGCACCTCCACGGGCGGCAGAAGCAGGTCGCCCGGCTGGAAATCACCTCGCGCTTCGCCGCCGCAAAGTACTCGTGCCTGTTCGCCACCGACGTGGTCGCGCGCGGCGTCGACTTCCCCGCCGTCGACTGGGTCGTGCAGGTCGACTGCCCGGAGGACGTGGACACGTACATCCACCGCGTGGGCCGCACGGCGCGGTACGAGCGCGACGGCAAGGCGGTGCTGTTCCTGGATCCGAGCGAGGAAAAGGGCATGCTGGAGCGGCTGGAGCAGCGTAAAGTGCCGATCCAGAGGGTCAACGTGCGCGAGAAGAAAAAGGTCACCATCACCAACGCCATCCAGGACATGTGCTTCAAGAACCCGGACCTCAAGTACCTCGGGCAGAAAGCCTTCATCAGCTACACGCGCTCCGTCCACCTGCAGAAGGACAAGTCCGTGTTCGACCTGTCCAGGCTCGACCTCGACGCGTACGCGGCGAGCCTGGGCCTGCCCGGAGCGCCGCAGATCAAGTTCCGCAAGGGTGCCGCCGGCGCCGAGGACGACATCAAGAAGCTCAAGAACGCGTCGCGGCAGCAGCAGCAGCTGTCCAGCGACTCGGAGTCGGACTTTGACGAGAACGGCAACAGGAAGGACAAGAAGAGCAAGAAGAAGAAGGCTGAGGTCCGGACAAAGTACGACCGCATGTTTGAGCGGACGAACCAGGACGTGTTCACGAGCCACTACAACAAGGTGCTCGGCAAGGATGGCGACGGCGGCGACGACGACTCGGATCAGGATTTCCTGTCTGTCAAGCGTGTCCTACGTGGTGACGACCTGGACGATGTCACTGGCGACAACAACAACAACAGAAATAACAACAACAAGAAGCACGACAGCAGCGGCGACGAAGACCAGGATCAGGGCCACAGTGATGACGAACAGAACGGCATATCACAACAACCAGCTTCCGCGGCCGCGCTCCCCACGGGCGTCAAGATCATCCAGGGCCTCGGCGGCGACCAGCCGCTCGTCATCGACTCGAAGCGGCGCGAGAAGCTGCTCAAGTCCAAGAAGCAGATGCTGCGCTTCAAGGGCAAAGGAGACAAGGTCGTCTTCGACGACGACGGGGTCGCGCACCACCCGTACCGCCTGCGCGACGAGGCCGACTTCGCGGCCGAGGGCGACGCCGAGGCCCAGCGGCAGAGGTTCGTCGAGGGCGAGGCCGCCAGGGTCAAGGAGGCGGACGTGGACGACAAGCAGACTGTGCGGGACAAGAAGCGCGAGAAGAAGGAGCGGCGGAAGGCGAGGGAGGCGGCCGAGGCGGCGGGCGTGGAGTGGACGGGCGCTGGTGCCGGGAAGAAGGACAAGGGAGGTAATGTCGTGGTCAGGTTGCAGAGCGACGATGAGTTTGAGGATGAGGACCCGCTTGCGCTGCTGCGGTCACTGCCTACGGCTGGCAAGGGCAGAGACAGCGGGGGTGAGGAGGACGAGGAGGACGAGCGGCCGAAGAAGAAGGTCAAGAAGTGGTTCCAGAACGACAGCGACGTCGAGTCCGATGCCGGCGGCAGGAACAGCAAGTCCAGTACGAGCAAGAAGGGCAAAAAGGGCGCCAAGGTCATCGAGGTCACCGAGCAGCCGGATACCCTGGAGGACTACGAGGCGCTGGCTGCTGGATTGCTGGACGATTAGAACAAAACACGGAGAGCAGGGAGTCGTGGAGGCTTGTCGTGGGTCTGCATGTCGCATCGTCTATTTTTTCAGGGCATTTTGAAGCGCAAAATCTCGAGCGAGGATTGCATATCTCACAAGCTGAGTCGTGATTTGTGGAACTCTGACTGTGTGACTCGTTCTTCATCGTTGCCGAAGTGCTTGAATAGTAGCAAGCAGGACATCTGATAGCGCACACTGTCGATCACCCGCCACGAACGTGAGACGGGATGGCCCCATGCTCGGCTGCAAACATGCCGAGGCTTTCCTCGGTATGTATCAGATTCCAAGCATGATATTCAGGGGGGCGACAGTACCTTCGGCAGCCATGGTTCAGCCAGCCAGCCTGGTCCTCGACAAGAATGGTTGACTTTGCGAGCTCTACATTTTCAATACATAGGTACTTACTTCACTCATTCAGAGTCCTGTTGAGCACAAACAGCGAAAGGAGTTCGTCACAGCCCAAAGTGTCCCTCTTAAGTACAGCTTTCCCTTATTGTCGGACAGAAATGCAGACTCTTGGACCGCATTGGCCAAACTCAGTGCGAGTATCATCTGATACAAAGATGCTCGAGGCACGTGCCGGCGGCTTTATTTGGGTGAGATTCGTCTCGCAATGCCCTACCGTCGTCGGACAAAGGGGAATAATATCGCTAGTGGTATCACGGACGTGACACAGTGCCCCAGGCTCACTGGGACAACATAGGTGACCCGGTCGAGAGCTTTATGCCTACTTGCGACAGTGTCATTGACAAGTCTGTGGCAGCCACAACCATAGTATGAGATCGAGAGCATGGACCGAGTACGGTCCCGCATGAGAGTGACGACGGAGCACGGGCAAAGGGCTGCGTGGTTGGCGAGGGTCGGAGTAACTGCTCCATGTGACCCGCACTTCTGCCTCGAGCACGTGGTCAGAAACTTTGCCGTCTTGAGGAGTTGTAACGACGGCTTTGCGTTTCTGGGTGGTTCTGGCACTTGAGAATGAACGCTCATTTGGGTTCTTGCACGTAGCTTTGCTATGGGCAGGGAACCTTGTCTCTCTACATCCACGGCATGATCTCTTGTGGGCATATTTTGTAGAGGTCAAAGCTGGCGATGTGATCGATCTGGTGTGGCTTATTGTACATGAATTGCTTGCGGTTTCAGAGCTGCGTGGCGTCCGGTGTGCTCGAAATCGTTTGCTTCCTCCCCTATCCTCAGCATTTCTCAGGTCGCTTGCTTTCGTGCTTTCTTGCTTGCTTGCTTGCTTGCTTGCTTGTGCAAATACCCCCCGGCGAGCCCGGCTCATGTCATTTCTTGGAATTTTTGTCAGCGGGACGAGGTTGCCGACATGCTGAGCACGGGGCACTTGGATGACATCCTGTGCCCCTCGCATGCTGCTTGTCTGCCGGTGATGTTTATGCTACACAATGGCGAAACAACTCAACCACAAATCCTTGATGAAGCAATGTGTGCGTGAGCGTCCGACGTGAGACATAAAGACGTGACAACCGCGCCTTGGTCAAAGCCTGACTGCCTTGTACTCGCGATCGCCACGTATCTTTTGCGTATTGTTGTTGGAGTGGTATGGAAGTCCAGGGTGCGATATACGAGAAGTTGCTGTAGTAGACGGAAATAGCGAGGCTCGAACGGTGCAGGACTCTGAAAAGGGCAACAAGGGACCTCAAATCACAGGCCAGTCACTCAGTGAGAGGCTCACTTTCTGTGCCCGGTGGGTGGACGAAACGGGATATATCGTCTCCTCCGCCCGAGGCCTCATGACTTTCTGGAACCAACTTCGCAAGCGGCATTGGGAGGCTCTAGCCAACCATCAAATATTCATCAACTCCAACTCCGCTTGCCAAATCAGTCTAGCAAGGGAGTCTCAGACGCTTCAACATCACCCGTGCTGCCGTCGCATGGTTCAGCTCCTGCTGCGACGAAAAGGACGCTTTAGCCAGCAAGTGAACTCTGGCGTACTTCCAGCTTGAATGATGTGAGCAGACGAGGGCGACCACCGTGCTGGTCTTCTTGGAATCGTGCTCGCACCCTGCAAGACATCATGCCCGTGCGCAAGATGAGTTTGCTCCTTGGCAGAAGGGATACAGCCCGGTTCCTCCTGCATTGCCCCGGTCTACAAGAGCGTCACAGGATCCTTTAAAAAGGATTGTCGTTCTTCGGTCCCGAGACACGGCCTGATCAGCTTGCAAGCGAGGCCCCGAGTGGACTGTCCCAAAACAAGCCGCGTCAACCTCCCGACAACCGGTCACAACTGCCCGAATTCAGCCGCTGCCGCCCGTCCAAGAGACGAACCATGTCGTGCGTCGAGTCTTTTGTGCTCCTCGGCATTGCCATTTTCATCATCGTTGTTCGTTCAGCATACCGATGGCATCAAGTCGGCTTCCGAGGCTATCAGCTCGATGACCATCTCATGCCTGTATCGGGTGTAAGTGTACGAGCCGTGGGGAGACCCTGGTCCAACTACTTGCAGCGCCTGCACTCCTTGCGTTCTTCACTCGCAGTCTAAGAGGAACGAGCTAATGTCCGGGTGTCTCAGGTTCTATGCGCTGTGCTTACCTTCTTTGCCTATGCAGTAGGCCAAAAGTACCACGGGCTTAGCAATGGCTTCATGACAGATGAGCAACGCGAGACCCTAGACCTGAACTCAGAGGAAGCATTCATTCGCATCATGGGCTCGAAGATCCAGGTGGTCGGATGGTCTGTGTATGCCTTGGAGCTGTGGCTGATCAAGCTTTGCATCACTGCTTTCTATGCTCGCTTGTTGTAAGTCTTTGCGACCGACCAGGGCGAATGCCAGAGAGTTCATATCGGAAAGTGTCTTCTTGCCTTGGTGCGTACTGACGATCATCTCGCACAGCACACGCCTTAGCAACCTTGGCATGCAGGTCAAGATTGCTTATGTGGCCATTGGAGTGAGCTACGTTGTTGTCACCCTGGCCGTCTTGCTTGGTTGCCAGCCCTTCCGCCACAACTGGCAGATCAAGCCTGATCCTGGCCCCCTTTGCCAGCCGACCAACTCGAGACTCAACGTGCTCATGGTCTACATCTTCAACGTCTTGACAGACTTGCACTTGCTCTCGATTCCCTTGCCGGTGAGCTGCCCTTGTGACCCCATCTTGCTGGTCCTTGAGATCATCGCGGTGCATACGCTGACACGTTGTGCAGCTCTTGTGGCATGTGAACATCTCGCTGCGCAGGAAGCTGACACTGATGCTTCTGTTTGGCGGTGCCGTCTTCGTCATTGCGGCTGCGACGGTGCGTGCGGTGCTGGTCCTGACGGCAGGGCCCGAGGGATCGCTCTACGCAAGCCAATGGGGGTGCCGGGAGATATTTGTGTCGATTGTGGTTTCGAACCTGCCAGTGATCCAGCCCATGCTGCGCAAGCTGGCCAGCAGAGCCGGCATGAGTGTGTTGTTCAGTCACTCTGGAGGCCGTTCCGTTCACCACGACCGGGTGGTGGGAGGAGGAGGAGCTGGGGCCGCAGCACGCAGGGGCTATCTGATGAGCATCCGCAACAACAATGTGCCAATCCAGGATCATGGCCTGGTGTCGACCGTGGGCAGATTCTCCACGCTGCCGTCACGCAGTGCGAGCCATCGCGGTGGCAGTGGCCCGGCCAGAGGATGCAATGACACGCGACAAGCGCCGACCGTGTCTGCAGCTGCCTGGGCCAGCGACGAGCGGATACTGGTGAGCGACTTGGGCGAGAGGCCTGGGGGCGACGAGCCCTACGTTGGGCAGGTCCGGGGTGGTCATGTGGGGGAAATGGCCATCATGGTGGGCAAGGAGGTCCGCGTCATGAGCGAGTGTGTTGATCTGGAGAGCCAGTCCGTTTCGATTTCGTCTGAGGACAGCAGGACCGAGGAGGGTTGGGACAACAACAAAGGCGACGAGACGAGATGAAGGCGAGGGCAGGAGCTGTGACTTGGAAAAGATGCACGATGCAAGGCATTGACAGAGGACGTCTCGATGTTTCTCGAAGGAATGATGGAAGGTTACTGTGGAGCGGCATGGCGCCTCCCTCCAAAAGCCCCCCCTCTCTCCATATTAGAGGTCATACTGCCATGACAATCTTTATCCCCCTCTTGAAGTCCCGTCCTAGCGATCGAGTCGAACTCTACCCTGGGATGACTGCCGTCATTCGTTTTGGACCACGGGGAGTGAACGTGTTCTGTGTCTCTCGTCGCTTGGATAACCCCGTTGTTGCCGAACCAGGAATCTGGGAGGCAGCCGGGTCGCCCGTTGGGAGAAGTGGAGCAGGACTGCGAGGATTGCGAGAATGCCTCCCAAGGCTGTGTCGATGCAATCAGCAATAATAGGGCCGGAGCTGCGGCTGTTAAGACTTTCCACGGTTGGTATTAAGGTGGGCGGCGCGCGTGGAAGGCGGCGCAGCAAGCTGCAGGCCCCCATTCAATCATGCACACGCATGGGATGGGCGGCACACGGCATTTTGACAGGCGGCAAGCGTCGTGTATTGCCGCATGAGCACCTGCGCATGGGCATCAGCAGCGGCAGGCGCCACGGGCAGGACTAGCCCAACCAACTGCGGCGCATGGCATGCCATGCTATGCCTCACTATTGAGGGTCAGCCTGGCCTGACAATCAACCACCACGACAAACGACAAACGACATAATGGCGATGACGAGCTGCGCCTCGGGGGGGACCCCCAACCACCACCACCACTTACTCAGTGTCCCTAATATAAACCGGCCGTTCCCTGGGTCAATCCAACTCCCCCCTGACGCATCTCCTCGACCGCTCATGGCCCTTAAAGAGACTCACCTCGCTGTTTGTCTCCTCATGTGACCTCTGCCTGCCAGCTCACCGCTCCCGACATCATCAGCTTACTTCCAAGTCCGCAGTGGGCGTCGTGTAGCGAACAGCCACCCCCGGCCGGCCAATCGCCCGCCAGGATCCAGGGCCCTTCCAAGGTTTGCGCCTGCGTGCTGCCATCGCCTTTCGCCACCAGGCACCTCTTAGCGCTGCCGCCGCTCCCGATCTTGATTCCAGCCCGGCTCCAGCACGTACCCCTGAAGCCAACCAGCGCAAGCCTTGACGCCAACCGTCTGGCACAGACACCACTGCCTGCTCCGCCCTGCCGATTGACGTCGCGCTTCCAGGGTCCGCCTCCAGCTCGGCCGCCTTGCTGCGCTGCGCTGCGCTCCCCTCTTGCGTCAGGGGCCCGCCCCCCTCCTTCGTCCTGCTCCCGCGCTGCCGTTGCCGCTGCCGCCGTCCTCGCTCCTCCGCAAGAAAAAGGTCAAAGCACCGTCAACCAGCCTTCTTGACCTCTTGGTCCGCGCCCGCTGCGCTACTTCTGCTTCTCAGGTGGCTCTGAATCGCCCGGGCATCATCGCTGCCTTCCAACGACGCCAGGCGGTGCTCCCTCATTTCTCATCCCTCATCCCGGCCGTTGTTGTCGCAATCCGAGGGTCGGGTATTGGCACTTCAGCCCACCATCAGCCCCTCCACCACATCCGAGCCGCCCAAGCGGTCTCTTCCCGCTCCTTCTCGATCGCACAACAACCACAGCCGCCAACATGATGTCCAATACGCGCGACGCCAATGGGCGGTCGCTTTCGGCAAAGGATCGTGAGCTTCCCAAGCAGGATGATCTCGTCGAGTACAACTTTGCCGTCGCGGGCCAGTGAGTCATCGCACCAAAGGGGCCGCTCTCTTAGAAGCCGCCGGGCTCGTATCTTGCGCTAACCATGGCCGTCATCCTACGTAGTGCTGGAACCATGTGCGACGCCGACGGTGAACTGTTTATCAAACCATGCACCAAGGCCGAGGTCGACTTCTACGAGGTGGCGCATGCGAAACATCCAGACTTTGCCGAGATTATGCCCCTCTATATCGGCACCCTGATCCTCAACGAGAACACGAGCGAAGCGCATATTCACGCACAGATCCCCGAACTGGTCGAGCATGCCGACATACCACAGGCGATCAAGCACGAGATACAATCGCATCTGCACCTCGACAACCGGGCAGCTTACTATCCGCCTCCCACAGATCTCCCGGCGCAAACAGCGCCGAAGGCGGAGGACGCGCCCAAGACTGCGCCAGAGGACAATGAGGAATGGAAACCCAAGGAGGGAAAGACGCGGAAGATCGACACGGATCGCGCGGTTGTGCTTGAGAATGCATCATTCGGCTACAAACATCCCAATATCATGGACGCCAAGCTAGGCCTGCGCCTGTGGGCTGACGATGCCCCCCAGGCGAAAAAGGACAGATTCGACAAGATCGCGCAGGAGACTACACACAAACACCATGGTTTCCGCGTTGCCGGCATGCGGACGTGGAAGGGCTCATCTGACCCGAAGGAGCTGGATCGCGCAGACTATCGCATCTACGACAAGGACTGGGGCCGGCTTGATGTCAACGACGACAACATTCATGAAAAGATTGGGTCCTTCATCTTCAACAAGGACGCTGGCATCGACGAGGACCTCGGAAAGACTGTTGCCGGTCTCTTTGCTGAAGACCTGCGGCGCATCCAGGAGGTTCTCGAGCGTGAAGAGTCGCGCATGTACTCTGCCAGCCTATTGTTTGTCTTCGAAGGTGATGGCCAGGCCCTGCGCGAAGCAATTGCCGAGGCAAAGGCTGGGACCGTGGCGGAAAGGAGATCCGAACGGGCCGCGTGCTCCAATATTAGGATCGACAGTGGCATCAGCATGGACAAAGACGAGACTGCCGCAGCAGACCAAGATTACGATGACGATGACGAGGATGAAGATCTGAGCACATTCCCCCGAATCTACTCGGTTCGGCTTATCGACTTTGCCCATGCTCGGTTCATTCCGGGCGAAGGCCCTGACGAGAATGTGCTATTCGGAGTAAGGGGTCTGAGGAAAATCTTTGAGAAGCTGGCCGAATGAACTGTCGGTCTGGTCAGAGACGGGTGATTAGAGAGTCATGAGGAGGATAACGCATGGCCAGATATCTGGCTTATGCTTTCTGCATCAGGAATCACGGATCTGCGGCATCTGGGCGTCATTGCTTTACAAGCATGGAGGGTCCTTGAGCGTGTCTGGAACATGTTTTGCGGGAGGCCCGAGATACCCCCTATACCATCGTTAGACGTTGAAAAACATTTACAAATGAGGCACTGAACCTACCGAAAGAAGACGAGCCGGGGCCCAGCCGTGGTTCCAAGTGCCTGGCTGATACAGTGAGGCTTGGTACAATTCGTGTCTACAATGCAACACCACGCGAACCTTTATGCCGCGCTCCCTATGGGTTTGCTTACACAATCTGCCACGGTGCATATTGGAACCCCTTTCCGCGACCTAGCGATACTGCAACCTGGACACGTACTCGGCTTTTTTGTCACAAGTGTGTAGTAACAGCAAAGTTGTCCTGAATATCCCCTTCGTGCCTGGGGTAGCTGCGACTCGTCCACTCTCTCCCTCCTTGATATCATGGGAAACATCACGGTAAGTTCCAGACAGGGGCGTTCGGCGGAGTTGGTTTTTGGAACGGAACAGGAGAGAGAGAGAGAGAAAGAGATCAGTCGTGGCTGTCTGGCAACTACACGTGCGCGAAGAAGCTCTGGCGTTGTGGTTTCGCGTGACCTCTTTTTTGGCTCGTCTCGTCTCCTCTGGTACCATGTCTTGATAGCAAGGCCCGACACCGTCTTTGTGTGGAATGGATTCCGCGTGTGAGGCTTTCTTTTTTTTTCACATGGTCGTGAACACGCTGCGGTGTTCGTGGATTGAGCTCGTGGTGTAGATTTGGCTGGCTGGTTGAGGTGAGCGAGCGGTTCTGTCTGTCTGTGCCTCGGCACCCCAGCCGCCTCGGAATATTGCTGTTCATGCGCCAAGTAAGGATGACCAATGTAGGAAAGCAAACCCAATCTCTATCACACTGTATGAGATCAAGCGACATTGCAGACGCAGCAACCTATAACACATCACACCCATCGCCGCTCCAAAGGAGCTCTGGGCTGCGAATGTGATTGAGCCGGTACGATTTGATGAAGACCGAGTACGTGCATGTTCACAGATGTTTTCCATCGCTCTTGTGTCCGAGATCCGGCCATTGATCGATATCGCAACAGTCATTGAGGAGAACATGTATCCTACCAATGTGGTTGGGATGCTTAGGTCTTAACCCGAAAATATGGTTACTAAGAAACTCGCCCAGAAATATGCGAAGGCTCGTGTTGTAACGACATAGGTGGCTGCATCGGAGGGTGAGCGGGCGGAGAGTATGATGAGGCTGCACAGAGCCACTTTCGTTGAGCAGACGCAATTGTCTCTGGTAGGCTTGCATGTCGAGGCATAGTAAAGGTCAAGAAGTATGGTCCATTGATGGACGCTGGATCTGCTGGCTACGCAGGTCATGGTTCAGAAAGCACATTTTACCACGGACCCAGTGGGATCGGATTCCCGGCGAACATCTGTTTCTGAGGGATGATATGGTTCGGTTATTGAGTAGAGAACGTTGAGCAAGACCCTTAAAGAAACAAATTGTCTATTACAGTTGTGTTCGGGTCATGTCAAGGATGCAAGGTTGTCTGAAGATTTCCAACAGTACTTGCCAATCTCAAGTGGGAACAATGAGAACCCGGAATTTGCCGTTCCCGAAGAAACATTACGATCTTTCAGCATTGCTGAGCTTTTTTAAAATGTGGCAGGCCATGCAATGAGCGAGATCTGAGACCAGCTGTCGTCGTTTCGACGACTTCTGTGTGCAAGTGCCACTGAAATACAAGAACGAAGGGTCGATGTGGAATGTGCTGGATGGGAGAAGCTCCTCCCCATCCAAGCCTCTGCCATAGGTTGGATATCGTGGAAGCTCGGTACAGCAAGCATATCACACAATGCTCCTGGCCAGAAGCGTTGCTGCACAAGGACCAAAGGGTGAATAGCACACCCGCCCCCCCCCCCGGCTCCCCCCTTTCCATTCTGGTCAATGTTCTCGAACATGGCTGCTCACGTAGGCGCTGACATGATGGCAAGATCACCATCGGCCGCCCGATCCTCGTGTCTCCTGGGCCAAGCCATCTCCTTCCTTGGCAAAGATTGTCACCTCCTGAGGAAAGCGCTGGATAACAACGACAACTTTGCCACGAGAGGCCCAGTCTGCCATGGAGCAGCACCAATCGGATCTGCTGACGTGAGGCCGGGTAGTATCCAACACACCTGACAAAGTACGAACGGGCGAATAAAACAGGGCGACGAGTTGTCGGTAGAGACAGACTTGAGAGTTTCAGGTGCCGGTGAGCCCGGCCCAGCCCGGACGAGAGTGATTCCTTACCTGCTGCTCCGAGGACATCCACCAGGCACGGCCAGTTGCGGCCCAAGAGTTATCGGCCCTTCCGTTGAGGGGATTGGTTCGGACCATGGCCAACTATCTCGAGGCAAAGCCCGTGGCCAGGCCCCGGTTCCTTGGAAAGCTTCCACCACGCTTCGATGCTCACCCAGCCTAGACCTAGAGCTGCACCCCATGCCCAACCCCAACCTGGGATCGTCCGAGTCGCCTCCCTTCTTGGTCGTCGCCAAGATAAGGCCATGGAGCTTAGTGCCTGTTGCCCCGGACCCTCTCGCCTGGACCCCCGCGCGCGCTGACATGTCGCCAAGATAAGCAACCCCTGCCTCTCGGAAAACCAGTCTTGCCATTGACTGAACCGGGCAACTGCATCAGCACGATGCATCCCCGTGGCATCTCATGATCATGCTGGCAATCGCCGTCGACGCAACGTAGCGGCGTGGCCAATCTCGTGTCTTTGTTTCCCTCAGCTCATTTCCAGCAGGGGTTGGCCGCCAGCCCTCTTTGACCCGGGACTTCCAGGTCTCGCCCGCGATACTTCTCGTGTCGCTGCTGCTGTGCCAGAGGCGTTTGTACTTGCTTGAGCTGCCCTGGCCGGTCTCTGGCTCTAATCTCTTGTGGATCCTGGGCTGCAATGGAAGGAATCGCGACAGGCTCGGTCGCCGGCTCCGATTTCGTGTCCGCCACTCATTGCGGCTTGCTGGTGACTTCCACTCCACGTCGAGGGTTGGGAGCTTGGCGTTGAAGCACCCGCAAAGAAATAGCCTATCAGAGCCACACCCGAAAAGCTTGTGACAGGCGCCCAGACGGCGCCGCACAATGTTTGGTCTGTGACCCAAAGTGTCCGGCGAGAACCTCGCTTGTGCTCCGTGGTCTAGACACCAGTCGTAGTCAAATTGTATGCTTCCTCTCAGGGAGAGGTTGTCCAGCAGGGACAAGGCTTAATTCTACCACGCCGTTCATCTTGTTCCCGGAAGTTTTCCCTTAAGGAGTTTTGTGGCACCCGGCCCAGCGCCTACCAGCAAGGGGAACCCAGATGCCTATTGATCCAGGAGAGATGCGGCATACCCAATTCGTCCATGCCCGGCTAGCACGCACTAGCTCTGGGTGCCATCATATCATGGTGGTTGGAAATGGTCCCACAATGCTTATCTCCAACCTCTGCTCTCAACCCTATGGCAAGACTGCCAACCTCTTCACGATACCTCCCAGAACAACAGGCCCCCGTCCTCTTGTCCCCCATTAGAGCTCTTGTCTGCCGCCTGTGGCGAGTGACAAACGCCTGTCGAGCAGGTGTCTCGCCTCTCTCGCAGACACCTTCCTCTGCTACCCCTGACAACCCCCCGGTGATACAACCTGCCTCTCCTGATTGGGGAAAATTGAGCCAGCGGGTGGTTTTGGTGGTTCGAACTGGGTGGTGTTGCCCATCATGCAATCTGGCGACATCGCAGGGGTGGGTGGTATCAACATGCTTGGCGAGGTGGCCCCCTTGGCTTCCGCCACCGACTATCAGAGCCAAGAACACCAAGACGGCAACCCCAGCGCCGAGAAGACCCAAGCGCTCCAAGCTTTCTAGGCAGCGGAAGCCAATTTTTGCGCACAGCGGATAGGTAGCGCTGCCCCCAGAAAATGCCATCCGTCAGATGCGACCTGGAGGCTTTTCGAGGTTGCCCGGCCTCTTAATCCACGGCATCGTGACGCCTCTGGATCTGGGTCACACTTTTTTTTTGTCACTGCTAATAGCACCAGGAGAGCACGGAGATGGCCCAGGGTCGAAGTGGCCCACAACTTTAAGCATCTTGGTGTCGGCGTCAGCATGATACTGATACCGGGGAACGGTCCGATGGTCAACAAAGGGAAAAGGGTCTCGTCGGGTCTTTTCGAGCAGCCTCCCCTCACGGACAGGGGGTTCAACTCGGCCTTTGGAGGCGCACCACTTCAGGCTTTCTGTCCTTTCTAGGATTAGCGCCGGCCGGTCAACGATGAGAGAGAGACACTGGTGGTGGTTGTACATAAAAACGCGCTTCAAGATGCACAGACCCCTGCTGATTGCCCCAGATTATTTCTGGAACCGTTCCACAGAGCCAAGAGGGACACACGAGGGCTCTGCATAATTCGATCCTCGGTCGCCCTTGGGGCATCCACGGCCGGCGGGCGGCCTTGGCAGCGGGCAAGGAATAGCGCCACCGTGTAAACGACCTGCCTCATAGAGCGCCCTCGCGCTTGTGGCGCTGACAATTTCGACGTCCAGAGATCCGGCACGCGAAACTCCCCGGTCCTGCTTTGTGAGTCCTTTGTACCTTCTGCCACGAGATGTCATAGACATGACCCTGGTGATGATGGTCTCTATGTTCGACTCTCGGATATGTGAACGATACTCAAGGTGAGGTTTGCATCTGATTCGTGATGGTGTGTGGTGGAATAGCCTTTTATTCTGGCTTGCGAGCCACACCTAGGGAACACTTACACCGCGACCATGTCAGCGGCCAGCTGAAGAAGACGAAGATGAAGAAGAACTGCCCATTCCGTGGTCGATGCAAGTAACCCCCCGGCCCTGCATGGGTCTGGACGGACAGGTGCGGAGCGATACCCTTGCATGATAGGCACGCAACCTCACGACATGGTGGTGATTGGCCCCTAGCATGGGACGGACGTGGGATCGGGTGTGCAAAGTTGTAGCCCATCCCTCGGTTGCCACCAGAGGAGCTTGGCGGTGTTGCAGTCTGGCAGGCCGGTGCTCACAAGCTCGTCAAGTGTCGTCCGGAATTTTCATATTTGAGGCGATCCCCCCAGCGGCGTTCCCTCGTAGCTTGTCCTCTGGCCAGTTCTCCAGACTTTCGTTTGCTACCACCTCAGTACGCATACGAGTCCTGACCTCGCCTCTGCAGCACTCATCATGGGTATGTGGCTACTTCCTCCTTTGTGGCGTCTCTCAAGAGTGGCCCGGACCTAGACTGAGCGAGCAGAAACGCTAATACATACAACTATGCAGCGGAGAACGCTACCCAGATCGCCACGCTGGCGGCACCGGTTGGTGCCGTGCGGACATCTGTAGACCAGGAGGCCCTTGACCAGAAGTTCAACTCTGAGATTGTCGCCAACGCCACCGAGGATGGCCATGCCACGTACCACGGCTTGGTGCTGCCCACCGAGGAGGAGAAGTCTACACTCCGACGCATCGCGGGCAAGATGCCTTCGACCTGCTACTACCTGTGTGCTGTCGAGTTTGCCGAGAGAGCCTCGTACTATGGCTGCAACCAGGTCTACAAGAACTTCATCCGCGCGCCGCTCCCTCTCGATGGTCCTGGCACGGGTGCGACCGCCCCTGGCTCGCCGTACACCGCCGGCGCCCTGGGCAAGGGTTCCGTCACTGCCTCGGCCATGACAGAAGCATTCAAGTTCCTCGCCTACGCTCTGCCCATCTACTTTGGTTGGTTAGCAGATACCAAGTATGGACGCTTCAAGATGATTTGCTGGGGTGTTGGCGTCTGTGGTGTAGCCCACATCATTATGATCATCTCGTCCATTCCTCCGGTCCTGCAGTCTGGCAACGCCATTGGCCCTTTTGCTCTTTCCTTGTACATGCTGAGCATCGGTGCTGCTCAGTTCAAGCCCAACATCTCGCCCACCATCATTGACCAGAGCCCCCACAAGGTTGCTCACGTTATCACCGAGGAGAAGACGGGAGAGCGAGTTATTGTCGACCCCGAGGAGTCTATCAACAGTGTTATGCTCTGGTTTTACCTGCTGATTAACGTTGGTGCCTGGTACGTTGTAGTCTTGGCCGTTCTACTCAACCCCCCCCCCCCCCCCCAAAACCACCACCACCACCACAACAACAACGCACAAACGCATGGAATTCTTTGTCTAATCGTTTAAATGGAACAGCACTGGTATAGCGACGACCTATTTGGCCAAGCTTGTAGGCTACTGGGCTGCCTATTTGATCCCAACCATCCTCTACCTTCTGCTGCCCCCTCTGCTCTACTACCTCAACCCTCGCCTGGTCAAGCAGCCCCCGGGCGGATCTGACCTCGGCAACGTCTTCAAGGTGCTTGGAGACGCTTTGGCCAATGGAGGATGGACGCGGATCGGCCGCAAGGGCTTCTGGGACCACGCGAAGCCCAGCGCGTTGATCGCGGCCGGAAGTACCAAGACTTTCGGATACGAGGACGATTTCGTCAACGACGTTCGCCGCACTTTCCAGGCCTGCGGTATTTTCTTGTTCCTCCCAATCTGGAACATTAATGATGGTGCTCTCGGTGCCGCTGCGAACGCGCTCAGTGCCGGTATGCAAACTGATGGCATGCCCAACGATTTGCTTGACAACCTGAACTCGGTCACTGTTGTTTTCAGTAAGTAAAACCTAACTCAGATAATCCCCTGTCTCAGTGTATCCTTGGACAGATTTACTGACGTTCATGTTACAGTGGCTGTCCTGATGAACCAAGTGGTCTATCCCTTCCTGCGGAAGCGCGGCATCCGCTGGGGTCCTATCTCGCGCATGTTCTTCGGCTTCCTGCTTGGCACTTTCGGCTCTATCCCCTTCTCCGTCCTTCAATACTACGTGTACCAGACTTCCCCCTGTGGAACCAACGCGACCACCTGCGCCGAGATCCTGCCCGAGGGCGAGAACCCCCTCTCGACAGTGCCCTACCGGCTCTACTCCATCCCCATCGTCATCACCGCCATGTCCGAGGTCTTTGTCAACGTGACGGCGTACGGCATTGCGTACTCGCGCTCGCCCAAGAACATGAAGGGCCTCGTCGCCTCGATCAACCTCTTCATGACCGCCGTCTCTGCCGCCATCGGTCTGGGCACCTCGTACGTCATCCAGGACCCGTACCTCATCTGGGCCTTTGCCGCGCCCACGATTATCGGCTTCGTCCTGGCCATCGCCTTCTGGTTCACCTTCAAGCACATCAACGACGAGGAGTTTGTACTCAACACCGACTTCACCGACATGAAGCGCGACTCGGACACCGAGAGCAACGGCGGCGTCGTCGACACCGACGAGAAGAAGGCCATCAACTAGACTCTCTATTTCCGTAAGGGGGGGTTATGGTTCCTGCAAAAGAAAACCTGGACAACGTGCAGCAGCCCCTGGTTACCCGGGCCTCGTAAGCGATTAATGCACGCACGCCCTTCTTCTCTTGGTTATGGGGCATCTCGGGATTTGTTCGTCGTGAGGGATTTGCTGCCATGGGAAGTGTTTGCTTCTTTATGATACCTCGAGCATTCATATGCTGTCCTACATATATAGTCATCGCCATGCTCCATGTATCGGCTATAATGAAACTCTTTTTGCTGATTGCACCCATGCCTTGTCTTGTGGAGCCACTATCCCCGAGTTAGCGCTAGATAGGAGTTGTGCCAGAGTGTGATTGCATCAGAGAAACCAAGAGACAAATAATGTCGGTCGTGATGTTTCTAACGAGTGCGGCTGGAGGCCCATCTCAACAAACTTCCATACTGGCACAAGGTCACTTGGGGCTCTATTAACTACGTCTTGCCCGTCCATCGGAGTTGTCAACATTGATTTACTGGTTGTTTTCACTGTGTTCTTCTCATGCATTTACTGCATACGCTGCCGTTTGATGGTAAAGCAAATTTAATAGGAGAAAGTCGATTGAAGCTCTTGGGACGGACAGCCCACGTGCTATTGATAACATCTCCGTCCTCCGATTGGTACACACGCGCGAGGTGAACGGTGTGCATCCCACAGTCCTGAAGCGCAAAGGTGATCGCTGATATCTCTCTATATATAAATGAGCGTGCTGAGCACGGCGCTATCTGCGCGAGCACTTCTGTTCGCGCAGGCAAGCATCATCGTAAGCAGCAGCTGCGGTTTTTGAGCCACACCTGACAGTGAAGAGGAGGATCGGCTATCTACATTCTGAAGAGCATGTGGACCAACAATGCATCATTGACTCCCAGGCTTATACCAAACATGTCTTCAAAGTCCTCGCCACCCATATATCACGCCTTCCATATGCTCTCTTGCCAACGGAAACACGCTCGTCGCGCTCGAGAATAACTGATGTGATATATGCTGTATCGAGTACAATGCGACCGAAAGGATGGTCTTCGAGGTAGCCCTCAGAGATCTTAATGACTCTGGCGCGGATGTCGTCAGTGCCGGGCTCGTGCAGCAGCAGACTGAGCTCGAGATGGTGTGACAGCGTTGCGACCCAAACACGGTCTCACGTCCAAAGGTGAGCTTAGCCCTTTGCTCGGGCCCAGCTCGCGCAGGTCACCAAGGTTTGCGTCAAGTCGTTTTCTTTCGCCAAAGACTTGGTCCATCTCCTTGAAGATGCCATCGACCACGCTCAGAGACATTCCAAACTGGCCATCGTTCGCGAAGATGCGGCTCTGGAGCAAGGTGTAGTGCGCCTCTTGGCGCGTGAAGTTGTCAGGTTTACGAGCAACCAGCTTGCTAAAGGCGACGCCTGAGAGTCGACGTGTTATGCTGGCCTCTGGTGGTTCTCCTGGCCACGATCCCAGAGCAATTTCCTGAAGTGCCAGGATGAGCTCCAGGGCAAAGTGCACCGGGAGAAGAGGGAACTCTTCGGCATGATTGACGGGAGCTCCATGGTTGAAAAAGTCGTGCATCAGCAATAGGCCACGACCCTTGAGAACTTGGCTTCTGGACGTGACCAACTGCGAAGACAGTGCCAAAGTTAAGTTCTCCAGGGCAAGACGAAGACTTCTGATCTCCTCGACAGTGAGCAGGTGCGCCAGGGACGATCATAGAGAATGATCGCGTCGTCCAGGCCTCTCTAACTCTGGGGTTTGATGCCATGTTGTTGGTGGCGGGAAGCAGCAGTCTGAAATATCAACACCATTAGCAGCGTGTCATGGTGGAAGATGATCCAAATTCTGTGATTGCAGAGAAACACGCACCACGGCAAACGCCGATCTTTGCCACGATGTGTGGTGACACCAAGCCGGTTGATTGACTAGGAAGTACAGAATGGCCGAGCTTCGAGGTCGCAGACACCCAGTGGCTGACCAGCCCATGGCTGAGCTGACTTGGGGGGCTTGACGGGGACTACCAGGCTCATAACCTGAAGAAAGAGATGAAAGGTGCAATATGATCATTGACGCTCATTTGGCTCCTGGCAGGCAGGAGACTCTCTTCTTATAGAAGCTAGCATCCTGACATCTCGGCGTGGATGCCTGGCATCGCTGAATCATTTTGTCCTCGAAACCTGAAGAACACAAACGGAGGATGAATCATTCAAACGATTTACAATCAAAGAAATAAACAGCAGGGGCGAAGATACCTGGGGCGTGATGAATCGTGTCTCACACAGACTTCCGCGCGGATCCCGGAGGATAATTCCTCCACGGGTAGTAGCAGCAGTGGCAGATATGGAAGAAACTAGCAGAAGCAGATCATCATTTGTACGAGCCAAATAGTCGTCTCCGAAACAACCAAAGGCAGAGAGATACGTGTCGACATCGTTTGTCCGGCTCCGGCGCAGGGAATGATGCCCAATGAATCAGGCACGACAGAGCAAGAGACGCCGGAGGTAGTCACACATCCACGAGCCGAACTTGGAAATGATGGTATTCTCTTTTAAACAAAAGGCTCACACCCGGACAGCCGTGGGTGATCGCACACATGTGATGGTTCTTCAAATTGGACGCCTACAGACGCTTGGATGGGGACTAGGCAGCTGCAGCAGGCTTGTCATGCTCAAGTAGATTTTCGCGTTTTAATGCTGTGTGGCATAATGGAAAGATCATTGTCGAGGTAGTCCTTAGGAATCTTGATGACTCAAGTGCGGACGTTGCCCGTGCTGGATCGTAAGGTAGGAGACAGGGAATCAAATGGTGAAACGACATTGTGACCCAGAACAATCGCTCATTCAAGGGTGCGCTTGACTCTTTGCCCGAGCTGAGCTCGCACAAATCGCTGAGGTTCGGGTCGAGTTGCATAACTCGGTTCGTCTCCCTGAAAATGCCGCCAAAAGCACCTGCCCGCTGAAGGTAACGCTCGAGAGACGGCACATGATGGCAGACGTCGGCGATCCTTCTGGACTTAATACTGTATTGATATTCCCAAAGTACTAGGATAAGCTCTAGGGGTGAAATGCACCAGGGGTAGAGGGAACTACTCGGCACGATCGTTCTCGTGCTTCAGCATTAGGCTATGACTCTCAAGAACTCAGCTTCTGACGGGAGCTCACTACGAAGAGAAAGCCAGGTTAGTGTTCCCTAATACTAGAAAAAGGCGATTGATCTCTTCAACGGACAGTAAGTATTCGAGACAATCATAAAGAGCGATATCCTCATCCAAGCCTCCATCCGGGGTTTAATGCCACCGTAATGGTGGCGGAGAGCAGCAGTCTGAAGTAAAAAGACCATTGGCGGCGTGTCAGCAGAACCATTAAAATCCAGTTTTCCTGACCAACGACAGATACATACAGGTGTTGTCAGACATATTGTCTGGTGGAATGAGGTGAGTCGAGTACATGACGCAAAGACACTCCGGAGATGGGGTTTGTGGTCTCGAAAAGCCAGCAGTTAGTCCACGACTGAGCTGGGTTAGGTTCTTTTCTTACATTGGAGATGTCCTGTGAGCCAGAGCTCATAGTTGCTGAACATTCCACATGACAGAATTAATGCTGTGCCCAAGGTTTCCATGTAGGGCTGTGCGACTTGTAAGACACCTTCCGACATCTGGTCTTGGAGCATCATTTCTCCACGGGTAGCAGAAGTGGCACGTATGGTAAGATTGTCCATTGCATGAGCCTACTACGAACAAACAAGGGCAAAGTTGGTCGTCGACATCACTTGTCCGGCTCCGGCGCAGTGCACATGCACCAGGCACAGAACAGGTGGTCTCTGACGCAGCCTTCCGTGCCTTCCTCGCTTTCTGTGTGCTCCTCACCCCGAGGAACCATGGTTATTCGTCCAGCCAGCGCATCATAACTCACACCACCCAGTCGCTGCCTTTCACCACCCAAATTCTTTTCTCGTCAGAGGCATTCCCTCCATTGTCAAGTCCTGCAGGCTTTGCACCTTCCCCTTCCTCTCACCACACTTCAAGCCGGTCAGCATCTTGAAACCTTCATTGCGCGTCTGTCTCGGTCACTTTCCATGCCACAGAATATCCCGACCTGCCTCCAGCCTTGACCATGCCGCCTGGTGACGCTCCCCATACGATCAGCGAAGATCCACGCGGACCAGGACCAGAGGTCCGCATGGTCATGCGGCGTTTCTACCGGGAAGCTCTCTTTGCCTTCGAGGCCGGTGACAAGGACAAGGTCAGTTTCTTCACTTGCTTTTCACCATACACTCACGTATTCACGACCCATAAACCAGGCATTCAACATTGCGTACTGGCTCCTCTACCAAGCCGAGACCCCGGTAATGGCGCGCGCGGGCGCCCGCCTCATCCTCGCCGAGTCGCCCGAGTTCAGCGCATACCACGCCCGGAACGCCCTCGAGCTGTACACCCAAGTCCGCGACCAATACAGCGAGACGGGCCCGCCCAAGGAGCGGTCACTCCGCGCGGACGTCCAGTGCTTCGTCGATAAGGCAGAGTACCTCGTCGAGAAGACCCGGGACACTCCGGACCTCCCGCCCCAGCAGCCGTCCGAGGAAGAACTCCACGCCTGAATGGTCGATGACGTACGCGTCACGCCCACCTACTTTGGTGACGCGCCGGGCTCGAATGTCGACGACTGGGCCGAGGCGGCCTTTCCCCGCGATGGGGCCGATCAGGACGACAGTCGGGGCGATATCTCCATGACTGGCACTGGCGCATCGGAGCAGAGCGGCGCGTCCGAGGAAATTGGTAGTGACGGTACTCGGGAGATCACCAACAAGCCCAGCAACATCGGCATTCCCACTCACATCCCTTCTCGCCCGGGCAACGGCCAGTCTTAAAGTCCCACGAGACAGACTCAGTCCCCATCGCCAAACACCCCTGAAATGCTGCCCGCTCTTTGTAGTAACTTTGAAGGTGTCGTTGAGACTAGATCTTATTTGAACACAATGACATGGTCAATGGCCATATTATGCACTATAGATGAACCCCATATTTTGAGATTTGACCGCAACGTGACGGCGTCACTGTGCTCTGTCTCGCAAAGCATGCCTCGAACTGGGTTACGGAACGCAGGTACTGAGAGACACAATCGCATGATGCTCGCGGAATTCATAGACATGACTTGTCAAGTATTAAGCTCAAGATAATATCACAAAGTGGGGCAGGTCCAAAGTAAATATGCGTCCCATCCATCGAAGAATTCAGGACGGTAATAGGATGATCACCATGCATGGCCGCATAAGGAAATACAAGCATGGTCAGATGGGGAACATATAATCTTCCGCCTTCCGCTGTCTCCTCTCTCTCTCTCTCTCTCTCCCCCCCCTCTCTCTTGGTGTTGTCCTTAGAACTTGATAATTTTCTTGCTGCAAGGCGATGCTATGTCACTGTCGACTCGGCATGTCATGTACTTTGCTCACTTCATAAACATACAAGGCAGCCGTGCACTGGGGCAGCGAAGAAGAACATTTACGATGGTGAAGAAAATTAGAGGTCATATGTACAAATCTTCTTTTAAGGTCTTGCAGGAGTAGGAAATTTTGTACAAACAAAGAAATAGGTAGACGTCGCAGAACTCATTCACGGCTCGCTGGAGCAGAATGAAAACTGCTCATATGTATGTGTGCTCGTTCGCCATCGATAATCACGCCTGCACAACAAGTAGCAAGCCATCCCGGGCCATCTCCGGCCCCATGCGTAACCGCAACTCTTGTATTAGTACATGACTGACCTCGCCGATCCACTGACCTGGATGCCCGGAGTGGACGGGTCCGAGTCCGGAGGGTACCCTGTGAGTAATGTTAGCGAGAACGTTCTTCTTGAACTTGAGATGTTTGGGCAACTTACACCAAGAGCAGACGGCGATGATGAAATACAAGCAGATCAGAAGCATGCCTTCGAGCCAATGGCTCTTGCCGTCGCCAATCAGATAGTTGACAAGCAGCACGGCGATGAAGAGGACGGCGACCTGGAACTCGTCAAAGGACAGGTTCATGTCCTGGTTGCCGAGACCCCAGCCGATGATGACGAGCAGCGGAATCAGGAAGAGCGCAACCTGCATGGAAGAGCCGATGGCGACACCAATCGCAAGGTCCATCTTGTCCTTGATGGCGACCGTGACAGCCGTGGCGTGTTCGCAAGCGTTTCCGACGATGGGAATAAGAATAAGACCGACAAACTCCTCGCTAACACCGGTGGCAGTGATGGCCTCGATTCCTCCAACCATGCCCTCGGCGCAGAACGCAATGATGACGGTGCTGATGGTGAGTGTGGCAAAGGCGACGGCGGTGCTCAGCTGCGGCTCTTCCTCCTCGTCATCGTCCTCCGACTCGTGGGTGTGGGGGTTCATCATCATGGTGCTGAGACTGCCGTCCTCCTCGCGGACTCCAGCCTGTCCTGCACCGGCCCTGGCCACACCGGACGCCACGGACAGGTCCTGGCTTCTCTTCTTGAAGATCGGCTTGCTCGGCACCTTTTGGCTCTCTTCGTTGAACACGCTGCTATGCGTCTTGAGCTGGAAGAAAAGGTAGCAGATGTAGACAATCAGCAGGATGACGGAGACTCCATGCGACAAGGGCGGCACACTGCTGGCGCTGTGCTCCTGGATGCCTGGGGTCAGGGAGAAAATGGTGGGGATGATGAGACTGCCGACAGCGAGCGCGAGTAAACTGGCCGCGGTCTGGGCGACCGTGGTGTTGAAGAACTGCTCCCTGCGGTTGATGCCGCCAAACAAGAAGCACATGCCCAGCACGAGCAGCAGGTTGGACAGGATACTGCCGATCAGCGAGGTCTGCACGACTCGGATCTCATTGTGCGTCAGCGCAATGATGGCGACAATCAGCTCAACGGCGTTTCTGACGTGGTGTTAGTATATCTCAATTGCGCATATGTATTTGTGGAGAAGGTACGAACCCGAATGTGGCATTAATCAAGCCACCAACAGTCTCGCCGGTACGCAGCGCAATCTCCTCGGTGGCGAAACTGAGCATGGCGGCAAGCGGGACAATGGCGATGAAGTTGACAGCAAAGACAATGCGACCATCCACCCCGAGGTAGCTGATGGCAATTCCAGGCGGCGCCGCAAGGAGGAGGACATTGATCCACGAGTTGAAGAATGTCCGCTGGAGTTGATTGCGCACGGTAAAGGGTTCCTTGGGCTCGATCTTCTTGAGGAAGCCCGAGTGCTGCTTCTTCTTGGGCTTTTCGGGCTCGTCCGCACTGACATTGCGCTCGGCGTTGCCACTGCCGTTCTCGGTGCCATTCTGCTTGGCCTTGACATTGCGCCGCACGAGCGACGAGTCTTCAAATTCCTTTTCGCTCGCCCGGCCGCCGCCGATGCTGGGGCTGTCCGTCATGGTGGCTTGCGAATCAGGGACATCGCCGCTGGCCTCTGAGTTGAGGAACGGGTTGTGGCCGCTGGTGGGTGACCTTGACATGTCGGCGGGTGCCGTCTGGGAGTGCACTACAGCGCCGCCGTCGGTGCCGTCGCCGGCGAAGCCACCTCTGCCTGTCTCGGCGTCGTGGAAGGTGTTTGCGCGGCGGGCATTGCCGTAATCGACATGGCGGAAGGGGTTGTACCTGAACGAGTTGGTTGAGTCGTGGCGGCCGAGGCTGTGAGCCTGGCGCTTGATCTTTGCAAAGTTGACTGAGAAGTTCATCGTGTCAGTCTAGGCGCGGGTGGTGGGCATGCCTGCGAGGGAGGGCATTGGCGGCTGCTGGGTCGTGAGAAGGGGTTGTTGTGGAAGCGAGATGCGGCCGCAGCAGACGGCGAAGCATGGATTGAAATGAGAAAGGAATGGAGACGCAGGAAAGCAGGACGCGAAGCCTAGGTGGTGGCTGCAGGGACAGACTGGGGCGCAGTGGATGACGATGCAGGGCGCGAGTGGAGACGGGTGGAATGGCAAAAGGCCGGGGCGGCAATGCAGTCGAGATTGGGCTGGCCACACAGAAGGGAAGGGGGCGGGGAGAGGAAACACCGCACCAAGGGCGGGTGATGATGATGATGCATGCGTGCGTGCGTGCGTGGGCAAGCAGGCGGAGCAGGCGCTAGCCGGCAGTTTTTTTGACGTGGGAGGCAACCAGGAAGCGGGAGCGGAAGACGGGAGAGGCAGAGAGGTGCGACGTACAGTTTGACGGCGCCATTTCCTTCGACCACCCTCTTGGGGGTTGAGTAGTCGTCGCCGGTGCTAGTAATGGCCCAAAGTCTGGTTGGAAGTCTCCGTGGACAGGGGCAAGACAGAGTCAGCAGCAGGCGAGCAGGTGGTGTTCAGTCTGCAGTTGCCGTGGGTGGTTGCGCAGCAGCAGGTGGTGCTGAGTCGTGCTCGGTCAAGCCCAGGGACGGCAAAGGCGAAGGCAGGGCGGACTGGCAGCCCAGTAGTAATCGAACCGTGGCGCCGGGGCCTGCAATGGGTTGATGCCTGGTGTTGAAAGGTGAAGCTGCAAGAGGGAGGAAAGGAGTCGACAGAGAGAGAGGCAGGAGCAGAAGACGAGACTAATGAGAGAGGGCGAGACGCGCACAGGACTCTTCTGGAGGCAGCAGCAGCAGTAGTTGCACCACACCGCGATCTGACAAACAACGTGCACTTGGGGGATTGGACTGGATCAAATTGGAGCCCTCCCTGTCTGTGCTGGCGGCGCAGGGGCTGCTGCTCCGGGCTCACTTGGACGGGCAACCAAAGCTTGTTTCATGGCAGTGTGTTGCTCCAGCAAGGCAAGCTTATTTCCCCCTGGCCGTGCTAGTGACGCCCAATGGCATGTGTGGCCGCCCGCCTGGGGGGGGGGGGGGTTGAGAGATGGGCACATTGTTCTACGCGCGTGTGTGCGACAAGACGACAGCTGGGCAGGGCATGACGTCGTCGTCCCTCGTGGCACCACCGAGGGGACAAAGCAGTGCGATGTAGTGTGATGCCATGCAGTGCCATGGCATGTCGTCGGAGGCGTCCACTGCCAAGCGCACCCAAGCTTCGCTCGTCGTCCCAGCCAAGCATGCCAAGTGTCGACAAGCACTACGTCCAAGACTCTAGGGGCATGCATGCACCCAAAGGCACGCACCCTTGCGTCATCTCCACCAACCAACACTGCCAAGGTTCTTGCCATTGGCGCAACTGTGCGAGTGCTGACAATTTAATTGATTGTGTCGACCTAACAAACCAACATCCCATATCCCAAGTAAGCTTATTATCCCCGCCTATGACATCCCCAACAGCACCTCTCCAGACCTCTTGCTGGCCTTGGCATTTTCCACAGTGAATGTCGTCAGCAGCGGCCGTCCCAGCCTGTCAGCACCGCTGAGCAGCACCCGGGCCAACTGTGCACCACACAACCAAGGCTTGGCAATGACATTCCTCCGCAAGCTCAGGCATTGCCAGTCTAAGCCCGGTACACTAGGCACACGTATTTGTCAACATGCTTGTGGTCACTGCCTCTCCTGCCTCGTCGTCCACTGCGCCCTCGCCCACTCGACATGCCCTGCAAGCTGCTTCTCCATCCCCGCCGCACGTCTCCGCATCACCAGCTGGCCATATGTGACCTGATACATCGCCTCGCCCATCCTCCTCACAAACCCTTCAACCCCGCCGCTGCATCCTTCCTTCTCTCCATCTTCACTCTTGGCCCCCTCGTCCTCTTCCTCCTCCTCCTCCTTCTTCGTTCTCTTCTTCCTTCTTTGGTCCAAGAGTTCCTGCCGCGCCCGCCGGCAGTGCATATCCACCACGGGCCGATATCTCCCGCCGAACCGGGGACGACTCCGCCGCGCGCGCTCGCGCATCTCGCACTCCTGCACCTGGCGGTAAAGCCAGCGCCGGAAGCGCTGCTTGATCGTGTAATTCTTGGCGGTTGCGGTGGCACCAACGGCAATGGTGGTGGCAGTAGCTGGTCCGTCTTCACGGCTAGTCACCGCAGACGCAGCCGCAGAGCCAAGCCCGTTGCTGCTATGGTTGTCCTGGTCCAAGAGCGGGACCGCCTCGAGATACTCAAAGTTCTCGATGAAGCGCGACGTCCGCGGCGGTGTTGTCGAAGTGCCTGTGGAGTTGTTCGTGTTACTAGCGTTGTTGGTGTTGTTGGTGTCCCGCGACTTTCGCTGGCTGGCCTCGTAGTACTCAAAGAACCGCCGTGCTGTGGCCTCGCTGCTGTTGTGATCACCTCCGCTGCGGCCAGTCGCAGAGTCTTTGCTGTTGTTGATTCTGGGAACGTGGCTGCCGCTGACTCTGTAGAAGCCTTCTTTGCCCTGCCCATTACTGTGCCTGCCACCCTGGAACTTGTTGCTATTGGTCTTGTCACTGGCCGCGGCGTCACAGTTGTTTGCCCTGGCGTGGCTTGCATCTTCCGTTTCTTCCTCCACAATGTCGTGTGATTCAGGATAATTGATTCGGTGAACCAGCTGCTCTTGTTCGTTGATGGGACCCGCAGCCGGAGTAGCCCAGGGCTGTTGTGCTGCCCGCCAAGCCGCTCGTGCTGAGCACTGGATGAACTTGACCAAGCCCATTGTGTTCTCAGGGATGAGGCAGTATATAATTCTTGTCCCTGGGTTTCCCGTTCGTTGCTCTTCATTTGTTTTTCCGGTACCACAACTCCGGCAAGTGGGCAATTGGCCCGGCGTGCTGACTGGTGTGCTGACTGGTATGCTGTGTCGAAGCTTGTAGCTGGGCTGCTGTCCTGATGTCAAGAGCTGGTTGGATGATTGCCTTTGCCTTCCTGGGTGATCAGTAAGGAGTTGTTGTGTTTGCCTGCTATTCCGCGCGCAATCGGCTTAGTAGTAAAGCCCGCGTCTTGGTTTAGATGTGATGGTCGACTGGTTAAGTTTTGGTAGACAGGCATATGGGTGACCTCTATTCAAGCTTGGGCAACAGAGACTTTCGCCTGTACATTGGATGCCTCTATGTATGGTACTCCCCCTTCACTCAACAAGCCATCTCCGTTCGCACCTGCTTTCCACAGTCCTCACGTATTGAGCTCATCCCGAGCCCGATTTCTTCCCACAGCGGTAGAGATCTAGGTATCGGAGATAAGTATTTTAGTGTCCAACTCAACACAGAGGTTGGGATTGTGCGTTTTCCCCCTCTCCTATGGAGCCAGGACGTGATGAAGCGCATCCTTCCCGATGGAACGCATTCTCCGTATCGATCACCCGTAGGAGGGACCGATTCCACCCAGAAGCATACCGTCACTAACCCGCACCACGGGCAGGAATTGCGGCACTTTGCAATGTCACATTGATCCTATACAAGACCTTCGCAATCACCATGATCAGATTTCTGTCATCACAAAAGATTAATATCAGCGGGTATTAGTACATATAGGGTGACAGAGTATATATACACATCGCGATCAAGATCTGCCTGGCCTCCACCTCTCCAACCCTATATATTATATATATGCAGACACGCGTATGGACACAATGACCCAGCGACATCCGACGACATCTAATTGTGCTGCACGCTCGCCCTCCTCAGGAATAGCGATCGCGGCTCTGGAGGTGGCCCAATACCGCCACCAGTCGTCGAGTTTGGTGTGCCCGACCTCGAGCCCGTGCCCATCGTCAGCAGCGACTCGCCGCCACCCAATAGTCCGCCTCCCCCGGCGGACCCAAAGGTGCTGCTCCCGCCGCCTCCTAGACCACTGCCGGAGCCTCCGCCTCCAGTATAATCGAGCACTCCCGGAGGCAGGCCTAGAGCGGGGATGTTGATGTCCGCGAGGCTGTTGTCCCCGCCGTCCTCCTCAGGGATCGTGGCAGGCACGCTGGCCGGCGTGGCTTGGGTGCCGTGCTCGAGCGTCTCCTTGTAAAACGCTTCGAGCAGCTTCGGGTCTGCGCAGAACCGCGCTAGCTCATTGATGCGTGCCTCGGCCGTCAGATCCGAGTATATTCCAGACGTCGGCAGGGGCTTGGCTCCAGGGTGAGCTCCTGGCCCAAAGCCCGGACCTGCATTGGCGCTCGCCGCGGGGCCACCCAGGGTCGTAGTAATGTCTGCATACTGCTGTGCGCGATTGTGCGGAGACGCGAAGAGGACCGGGCGGAACATTGGTGATGAGATGGGCGTGCCTTCGACTGCGCGCAGGTTGGTGTGCGCGGATGAGTGCATAAGCTGTGCCACACGATCATTGGTCGGTGGCTGAGCTTGTACATCAGCGCCGACTCGGACCTGGCTTGTTTGTTGCGAGGTCGCCCTGTTACTATACAGGCGGTTCGCGGCAATGTAGATGTCCCCATTGTCGCCAACCTGTGCGAGCAACATCCCGGAGCGATGGATATACTGAACGTATTTGAAGTCGGGTGCGCCCCAGGAATACGAGACACTGACGTTACTCGGGAAGGCGGATGCAGCCTCGTAGTCTAACACGTAGTCAAACTTGCGCAGGAGTGCTCGCTGGTAGTAGTGCTTGCCGGGCTGCTGCTGAGGAGTGGTCATGTTTGGATAATAGAAAGTGACTGGGCGCTGGCTCGGCGGCGGCAGCGCCAGTCTGACGTGAATCGGTCGTCGGAACGGATTGACATCGGAGATCCTGCAAGCTTCTGAGATGGGTACCTCGACGAGGCGAAGTCCATGCTGGCTGGCTAAGCTTGCCCAACCCTTGAGAGCGTCTTCGATGAGTTTGGCAGTCACATTCACCCAGTCCAGTCGGATGTGGTAGCAGTTGTCTGGGTTGTGAAGACGATCATAGTGCAAGTTGACTCTCTCTGGGCGGTACGACCGCCTGCGGTGATCGACATCGTACTTGATCATCTTGCTCAGCATGACTCTGGGTCTCCTTCCTCCTACCGACTGCAAAGTGGGCGTTGTTGCATCGGATCTCGGAGAGTTAGTCTCATGAACAGACGTCGGCCGTGATGGGTCTGCAAACCCAATTCGTGGCGTGGGCTGCGGCAGGTTCTCGGCGATCGGGGTCGCAGGAACGGAGTGGTCCTTCTTCCGCGAGTTGAACCAGCCGGGTACGCTTGGTTTAGAGTAGTCGCCGACGATGCGGTAAAAGTATTGACCATCGCGGAAATTATGTCTCCGGTCGACGTGGACAAAGATGCCACTATCACGGTCTTTCTTGCTGTCCTTGGCATTGTCCTTGTCTTTTGATCTGGTCTTGTCGTCGTCAGAACACATGAGCGAGTTGCCAAAGTCGATCGCTTCCTCGCGATTTTCCAAATCTTCAAAGTTGGTGAGCAGCCATGTCGTCATTTCCGAGCCGATGAAACAGTTGGTATAACGCTGTAGATGCCAGCGTCGAGTCTGCATGCGAATGCCACCGGATTCGACCGGCTGCTGGATGGCCTCCGCCAGTTGAGCCAGGTTGAAGTTCGTCTTTGAGAACCGGTCCTTGGTCGATACCAAGTGCGGTTTGCGCATCGACTGGTCTGCACCTTCGACCAGGGGCAAAGACTCGAGCTCAGCGGCGATCACGGTCGAGGCGTCCTCGGTGTTGTAGACGATATCCAGCGGATTTGGATCTCCACCACTCTGGAACTGCCGTTCCGATGGCGGCAAGTAGCGATGCTTTAGCCAGAGCTGTGACAGCTTCCTGATGCCTTCGAGGCGGGTTTCTTCTTCGTCATCGACTCCGTGTCCCGCGCTGTGCTCCTTCGCCGCAGAGTGCCCATTCACAGGAATCAGGACAAATCTAGCCCTCCAAAATCGCAGGTTGTCCGTCATCTCTTCCGTGTGCCCAGCCAAGAACGAGTCAATAAAGTTCCAGTTGCGATCGGGCTGCGTGGCCCAGATGTCGCGCTCAGTGGCAACATAGCAAGGATCATAAAGTGTCCTGATCGCCGGCTTGTACGTGCGGTACGTGTCGCCGCTCTGGGTCGACGTCGTGGGCTTTCGCGTATAGATGTTCACGTCGACCTCGGTCCCATTGGCACAAGACAGCTGGTGTATTGTGTTTCCAATGCTCATGAAGATGCTAGTCCCATCGTCCAATGGTTTCACGCGCGACAAGAGATCTGCTGCTTTCACTGTCTTCTGTCCAAAGGCTTTGGCCACGGAGGGACCAACAACGACCTGGAAACCGAGCGCGAAACGAGCATTGATGAGCTCCCTCAGAAGATCCTCACGTGATCTCGTTTCATCACCATATTCGTCGTCGAGATTCTGCGATACCGTGTATGGCTGCCGCTGGTACTCGGTATCGAATTGCTCCTTCGCAGGGAAATACTCCGTGGTCAATGGCACTGCGGCGGGCGACGACAAAGACTTCCACTTCATCACGCTCATCTCGCTGGGCCGTGGGAAGACGTGTTGCCAGCGACTGAACAGGACTGAGTCGTCGACCTTGTTTGCCTCGGGATTCGAGGGATTTAAAACCACAAGCCAAGGTGCAAGGGCAGTCGTGGGGGACAATGTCGAAGGCAGCTCTGTTAGACCACCGGCTCTGAGCTTGGAGTACACCATCTTCTGGTCATCCTCGGCTCGTAGAACGCTCGAAGACCTGACATCGCGGTCATCCGGCCGCGCGATCCGTGCAGGAGCTGGCTCAGCCGTACTTCTGAGGGTGCGTATAGGGTCGATAGCCGAGACGGAGCTCTTGATCAGAATTGGCCGGCTGGGCGTGCTGGGCGCAATGTCGTCAAGCTGATCTGCTAGGCTGGAACCGGCGTACGTCAGCTCGGGTGCAGCTGATACCCTCTTTGGTGACTGTGCTCTCGAGACAGTCTTCATGGACGTTAGCGTTGTCGTGGAGGGCGATCTTATCATCCGATCAGTAATCGGCGTCGCAATCACCGTCTCGGTCTTCAGCTCGGCAATCGCAGCCTTGGGCGCGGCGATGCCAAAGCCACGCTGACCAAGACTGATCTGTCTGATGAACTTTGGAGTTCGCGGAGCAAGGTGTTTCGACTGTATGGTTGCTGTGGAGTCTCTCCGTGCCGAGGGTTTGAACATTGATAGCGTCTCAGAGGTCGATCGTTCCAGTGATCCCATACGGGACGTAGTGGATGATGCTACGCTGGTGGACAAGTTGACCGTTGGAATGTCTGTTTTCCGGCCATTTACAGATGTGCCAAACAAGCCGGCGTCCTCGCTCAGCCGCTTCCGCGTACTCTCCTCCAGATCGGCATACACCTTGAGCTTTGTCGAGGTTGCCCGCGAGGCTGGCAGTCGTGCTCTGCTTTCGTCAAACTGCTGAAGCTTCTTCCACAGTGGAGCTTCCGCACTCTTGGACATTCTCTCGGCATTGAATTTATGAAAGCCATATACGTGCTCAAGCAAAGTCTCGTGGTTTTTCGTGGTCGCGTGCCCATTGCCTGCCACCGTTCCAGGGGCAAGCGACTTGCGATCTCGGTCTCTGTCCCTTTCCAGCGTGCCTGCGATATTCGGAAAAGCCGGGTCTGTGTGCAGCTGCGGCGTCTCAATCTCGTTGGTGTCCAGCACGCTGCGCATCTGGAGATCATACAGCCTGCATCGTACAGCGAACTCCTCGTCGTTGCCTGCAATGTCGTGTCCCGTGGTGGTCAAGGCGATACCCTGATATGAAAGGGCGCCCTCTGTCTTGCCTGTCCAATACGAGACGTGCAGCCATTGGGGTATCGCGAACGCCCATTCTTCATTGTTCAGCCTGGCAGCTACCAGAGCATGCCTGCTAGAGCTTTCTCCAGCTTTTGTAGGGGACACAGACCCAGAGAGAGTCGTGTAGCTGCCGACTAGCGGGGTCGGCTGTTTGGGCGTGCTATCTCTGCTGCGCAGCGATCGGGCTCTTGACCGCTGTTGCCCTACATTGAAGTGTGGGTTACGGTAACGGAACAGAGGCACAGAGTGCAGAGGTATACTGCCGATACATATGAGATCTATGCCAATGCCGTTGCTAATCAACGCTTCTGTCGACCGGCGAAGCGCCTCGTGCTCAACTTCAAAGACTCCAGAGCCTGGACTAATCACAACCACCGAGATGCCCGTCCGCAGCAAGTCACGGTCGATGTGGTCTCGCGAGTAAACCAGAGACGCCAAGTTGATGGCTTCGAGGAAGTTGCCATGCATCGCAAGGGATGATTCAGCCCGAACCCTGCTGCTTGACGCGCTCCCCTTTGCATTGACATCCTCTGGGATTCCCATGGCCTGGTTTGCAATGTCCTCGTGGTGAATGCTAATGTCACGCCGGAAGTTGTTGTGTTCGCGCTTCAACGTGCGGAGGATCGTTGTCCATTCACCACTTGACATCTCACTGACTACGACGCGATAGAAGTCTTTGTAGGGCCGTTTGTTGCCGGTTGTCTGGAATCCCGTGTAGTAGTCGTGCATGTTCGTGTTCGCCAGGTCGGCCGTGATGCCCACGTCGTACTCAACGCGGGCGAAGAGGACTATGCTGACGAGATGCTTGACCTGCATCATAGCCCACTTCTTGAACAGCGCAGGGAGAAACCCGTTGACGACCTTGTAAAAGAGAACCTCGCCTGACCCATCCGCATCAAAGTCCCACATCTCACGCGCCATCTGGATGAAGAGGACATAGCGGGCGGACTCGCTGCGGAACACTGGACGAGTTTCTTTGCCAAAGAATGCCGAGTGGACCTTGCGCCCGTCGACAAAGACCGTCGACACAACCGCCTTGATGGTTCCCATGAAGTATATCACCTGGCCCTTGTACACTGTCCGCTCGGCGAGGTCGTTGACTGCGAGTCTCCACATATCGGCGCGGGACAGATACATATCCTTGAATGTGAGCTCGACGTGGGACGCCTCGACAGCCGGTGCATCTTCGTCGACGAGAGCGAGAACGACCTGGGTGCCCCGCCGCATATTGAACGCATCGCCGATATGCTTGGCAATGTACACCTCGACGCTTGGCTGCGATGCCTTCATCTGCTTCGACATGTCCTTGGCCACGAATATGTATTTGCGGTCAGGATCAACCTCCGGGTTCTGGTTACGAGCCGCATTGATCTCGGCTTCGCGCAGCCGCTGGAACGAGATTGACCTCGACGCTCCGAATATGCCGGCCCCGGGCCGCTCCTGGTCCGACTTACACGCCGTGATGGACATGAGCATGCCGGGCTTAACGGTACCGCCAAAATGGTCCAGGTTGAGCAGGATGTCATCCTGGTTGATTGACTCGTTGATCGTGACGGTGCAGACCCTGTTCGAGAAGCGCCATGGCGCCTGCTGTTGCTGATGCTGCGACTCTCGTATCGTCGAATGGCTCGAGACTGTGTCGGGCGACCGCGGGCCCTCAAACAATGGAGCGGGAGGTTCGGTGCTGCCTCTGCTCGTCTGCCGTAGATGCGACGCCCACTGCGACGCTCGGCGGGGGATTGAGGCACTGGGATGGGCGTGTCGCGACATCTTGCGCCGTTCATCCCATTTCTGTTGGTAGATTCAGAGCGTTGCGCATCATGTAGGTGGACACAAGCACAATCTCCCAGGCGTACTGCAAGACAATCGAGCCACAGCTGCTTGTATTTTCGAGTTGTGAACTTGGATGTAGACTGCTGGACAGACCTCGGGAAGCTCATTAGTCGCGTCCGGGGGAGCGCCTTGGACCTGGCAGAATGCGGAGCTTCCGTTCCACCGCCTGCCATTTAAGCCGCATTCCATGCCCCTGCTCATTGAAGTCATCGACCACCTGGGCAGCATTTAATTGGAGTCATCCTCCGCCACTACACTACATTTCGATGGCTAAGTAATTGTTATACATGGAGCGACTCATGGCAAAACTATGGCAATACAGTCTAATACAACTCAAAGTCCTCCAGTGGCTTGCCGTGCTCTCTCGTCTTCTCCACGATCGTCACCCGCGTTAGCTCCATCAGCCGGTCTGCCAGCGCCTCGTCTCGCGACATGTCACTCCCCGGTTCCGGGATGGCAGGAGGGCAGATGTACTGGCCAGACTCATTGGTCACAGTCGTGACATACATGGTCGGTGTGGCGCCCTCGAACTGGTTCTTCTTGAAGGGTTCAAGGCCGACAGCCATGCCATAGCCCGCCAGGGGATACGCCTCAAGGATATCGACCTTGCTCATGTGGGTGCTCACAATACCTGGATGTGTCGCGTTAGCCAGGATGTTGGGGTGTCCTCCATGGGTGAGCTTGCGCGCAAGGTATCGTGCGTAGAGGATGTTGGCAAGCTTGCTGCGTCCGTATAGCGTGTTGGGGCCGAGATCGCGGTTCAGCTCCTCAAGGCTCGCAAATTTTGTGTCGCTCCCGGGAGACTGATGGACGTTGCTGCCCTGGCAAGAGATTCGGACCGTGTTCCCATTCTCGGCCGTCTCCTTGAGCAGCGGTAACAAATACGACGTAAGCACAACATGGCCCATATGGTTCACGGCCATGTGCCGATCGACGCCTAGGTCGGTGAGCTGGTAGGTCATGATTCCGCGGGCGGCGTTGTTGATGAGAATATCGAGCCTGTCCGTGTCCTTCTTGATTTCCTCTGCGACGTTTCTGACCTGGTTCCAGTCGGCCAGGTCACATCGCAGCCAGCGAGTCTTGTTCGCGGCATCTTGGCCGAGCTCTTTTGCAAGAGCCTCCTTGGCGCTGTCTACAACTCCGGCATCCGGGGACAAAATGTATAGCTTGTCAATGTTGTTCTTGAGAAGTGTATGCGTGCAGCCATAACCGATGCCTTCGCTGCCGCCAGTGACCACGGCTACTTTGCCGCTCAAGTCTGGGACCTCATCGAGGGAGAATTGGTGGGTTCCCAGACGTCCAGCGCTGCCAAAGTTCTCGGCCAACGTGTTCTGTTTTCTTAGTATCAGCAATGTCTTCATTTGCAGCAAGGACGTGGCTCTCGTACCCTGATAGTATCCATTGGGTTGGCAAGTTGTTTCAAGATCGAGGTGCTGAAGTGCCGATACGGATTACTGCTAAAGAGACGTTGTGTGCTCGAATTATATCTTGAACTTGACAATGCGATATATCTATGTGATGCCAGAGGGTTTCTGCAAGCCAAACGACATAGTGGTACTAACAACGTCTTCTCCATAACAGCCACGTATGAGATGCTATATGACGGTCGTTGCGTATTCAATATCGAGTAATGTATTTCTCTTTATGGCAGTAGATTGCTATTAAAAGTCCCCGGTTGCTGCATTGAGGTGGTATTGCCCCCTCTTGGACCCTGGAATGCCATCATCATTTCGCAGTCATTACAGAATATCGGGCCTTATGTGTTGTTTTGATTGGCAGCAGCGCATGCGATCTCGAGCCGCCGCGATGCATGACGCGCTCATCGATCCCGCTTCGGTTGTCCCAAAACATACTAGCGGTGTCCCAGGCAGAGCCGCCGCGACAAAAGCTCCGGTGATGTGACAATTATACGAACACATTAAAGGGCCTTGGTCTTCTGTATTGTCGCCCAGTGTCGAATATCTGGTAGGATACACTGCACTTTGGTGTTTGAGAAGAATGCGGGTAGTGGTGAAGCAAATACTTTGGCGCTACTCCCAGGGTTTGGGCAACAATCCCACACTAGAGCTATGCCATGGCGAGGGCGGCGATGAGCGACGATGACGTGTGCAGACCTGCTCGAAGTCCACTAGGTCCAATACAACAAGATGTGGTATGCACACTCATGCCCTATGGAAATGAAGAGCATGACTCAGCAGGAAATTACCAAATAAAATTCAGGAGCTCACTAAGCACATCTGGGCTGTGTGGGCTCACAGCCGTGAAACGTTGTCCAATACCATCATGCAGAGTCAAAAGTTGTATTTTAAACCATCGTCACAAGTCAAAGAAACAAAAAAAACCCCCCCAAAAAAGTCAGCATGCGTTCTTGGCGATGCGTGTCGAGCCACAGCATGCCAAGGTTCAAGACAATGCACGCACTTCCCGTCAGGTCGTTTGCGTCGGATAGTGCCACCTCATCTCACTGCCGACACCGCATCGACAAGCGTTTGCGGGGTAATAAGTCTGAAATGTCTTGTGCGATGGAATGCAGAAAAGAAAGTTTGGCACCTTCCTGCAATGGAGCGAATGAAAACTCCAGCTAGAGATCAGCCTGGCTTCTCCGTGCATGCTGGCATCAGAACTAATGCATCCGAAACATCGACGCACTGCCCGCAATCTTGATTGTGACGAACCTTGTGTCGGGGTCGCCTTCGTCCTTTTGCATTGTCTGGGCTGAGAGAAGCTCGACCTTGCCTGGGCGGTCAAACTTGTCACGCCGTGGCTGCATTGATCCAAAGCCAAAAAACGATGTACACTGGCGATACCTAGTTGGGCAGCGAGGTCTACGCATAGTCCGAGCTCGAATTAAGAACCCAGTCACTCGAGGATGGGCATCTTGAGCTAGCAGAAGTCAGCTCGTACTCGCTCCAACTCAATGTTGCTATTCACTCGCCCGGAACCTTAGGGAGGTCTTCCGCAGCCTGGGCGGCGGCCTCTCGCTGAAACACTTATTGTAGGCGATGAGTAACGCCGCTACTAGACACCAAATGGCCAGGGCACTAGCTTCGAGAGTGCGAGCACAGCTCTTGCTGGCGACGCTATCGTGAAGATCAGGGTCCAGATCAGTTATGTCGGTAAGCCATTGGCCGGGAGTAATGTCGGCAAGGGCTCTTGGGCGGATCCTCAAGGCTGGCTTGTGACCATTACGGCCGCTCAAGCAGGCACTGGCGGATACCCATCAGGTAATGAATTGCTAACTCGTGGAAAAGACGGCAACAGATCTGGGTCCTGGCGAAGGGGCCACTGATTGCATATGGGGCTTGCCTGCCTGCCTGCCTGCCTTCGAGGTCGAGATGGAGCGCATGTTGCGTACAATGTCATGATCGGCGCCCCCTTGGCACGGCAGTCGCGCATCATGTGATTTGTATGCTGGAGCAAGGCGCGCGTCAACCGTGCATGGACAACGCTGCAGCTGCATGCATGCGAGCACGCGCATCAGTGGCCTGGAGCCAGTCGAACAGCTCGAGGCACAATGGATGCCTGTCACGATGCCTAGGCCGTGGATCGCCGAGCCCGCCTTGTGGAATCCGCTAATCAGGGGGTCCAGTGTCGGATCCCACTGCCGACCAGTGTGACCATGGGCGGCGCACCGGTCAACGCGAGCAATCAGTAAGAACCCTGGACGCCTAGACGATGATGGTCAGCACGCAATCTTGTCATGGCCAGGATCCGTCCGTGTGCACTGATGCTGCCCGCCAGGGAACCTACTCAGCGTGTCGAGAGCCTGGCTCTTGAGGAAGCAACTGCCGGAGGCACGCTTAGGTTTGCCAAACGTCCAGCAAGTGCGTTAAGACAACGGCCTTTGCTCTGATGTAGCAGCGAGCGTGTCCTCGAGAAATGTCAATGCGTGACTCGTGACAGTGGACCCTCCAGGACAAGCCCCTGTGCTGGCGGCGCCCCAGCTGCGGCCTTTTGCCCCTCCATTCACCGCTAGTTCTGGTCTGCCAGGCCTGCCCGACAACGGAACCCGCCCGCCCGCCTCGCCCAGCTTTCTTTTTTCCCAACCGTCGCAGCAGGGGGTCCAGGCTAGGCCGGCCACCGGCCCCTCCGCGTGGGCTTCATCGCGCCTGCCGTTGCCGCCACCACTGGCTTGCACGCGCGATGGCTGCCCCCCTCCCCCAGCCCATCACTGATGCTGGGCAGGCAGGGCTGTCCGTGGATGTTGACTTCACTTGACAGGCCCCCCGCTGTTGCTTGTCTGGTCTCTTGCCTTCCCATTCTCCTCTCCGACGCTGTCCGTGTCTCATGTCTTGGCTCCTGGGCGTCATCAGGGACGAGACGGCACGAGCAGTCTTGAGACTTTGACCTGGCAAGACATCGAGCCGTCCACAAAGCCGCCATATCCAAATCCGTCGCCATATTATTTTCCCGGCACACCGACAACGGCCTTTTGCCCCTCGACGACATTTCGAGCCCGTCCGCGGACGCACAGCCGACGTCATCTCCACGAGCATAAGACGACATCCCCGATCTGGCTAGCAGGCTGCCTTTTGGTGCGACTCGGCAACGATTGAGATCATATTGGCCGTCCTCACAGCACCCGATATCTGCAGCAGCGGCATATTCCGAACCGTGCAACCCGGCCCTTCCACCCGCACCATCCAGCTGACAGAGCCTCGCCCAGACGCGTTCCGAGGACTTCGCCTCTCGACTTCAACAACCACCGCAACTGTCTGTATGCCATAGGACCGGCCTTGCAATGATGTCTTCGTTTAGCGCTAGAGTCCTCCCCGTGGGCGCGTGTTGAACCCCAACAACACGTTGAGCGAACAGTCTCGAGGAGCACCAATCTCTGCCCCTCGCGACTTTAGACAGGCGGCACAATGTTGGGCAAGCTCTTCAATCTAACAGCAGGAGCTCCAAATTCCATGCAGGGCGCCCCAGGACAGACACCATCGAGTCCTTCTCCCGAGTCGGTCCAGGAAGACGTGCATACGCGCAGCCTCTTGTTTCCAGAGGCGGAAACTCTCTTCGGCCGAACAGATCAGTTGTTTCCTCTCCCGTCCGCGTCGGCTGTTCCTCTGGCCGCACTCGCGAATGCTTTCGACTACGATGGCGACCTCGACTTGGATGCCAGGGACGTGAGGGTCATTATTATGCAAGATAGCCTCGGTTCTGTCCACCCATCATTACTTTTCGACAGTCACCCTTGCCAACACGCGGAGGCGACAGAGCGGTCGTCGCAAGCGGCCCCGGTTACTACGCCGTCTCACAGAAATCCAAGCCTGGACTTGAGGCGCGGTCCAGTGCCGCAACAACAACGCAAAGGCAGCCTGGGGCAGTCGTCACGACCTCTCGTCATACAGCCCGGAAGCCCTCAGCCACGGCAAGGGGCGTTCGATCGTCGGGGCTCGATTCAGTCTCGATCCCAGAGCTACGTCGAAACCGCAGCACAAAGGTCAGCTCGCGAATATCGTGAGGAGCTGGCCAGCTTCTCAAGCTGCATATTCGCGAACAGCGAGGTTTTGTCCTACAAAGGAACTTCAACCAAGGTTCATATCGTACCTTCTGAGCAGCGTGCAGCCGATGTGGCCAGCACGTACTTTGGCGACGGGCGAGGATCGCTTGGCCGGTCCAGCATGAGGTCGAGCAGGTTGGCACAGAGCTTCACTTCGGACACCAAGATACCGTTTAGCCCGGGCTCAGGCTCCGCAAAAGTGAGTGATCGGAGAAAAATCCTGATCACGCGCCTCTTCCCGGTCAATCTCCCTCTTGATGATGCGGATTCGCCTACTGGTCAGATGGGTCGTGTCTCGGAAGATATGGGAGGATTCCCTTTCCCATATTCACCGGATGAGAACAAGGCGAAGAGGAAGAAACTCCAACCCAAACAGAAGAGAACGCCGATGTACGCAGTCGCTCTAGTGCTGCAAATACCCAGCAACCCGATCAGCATGCGCGACTCGGCCCCGCGGTCAAGTTTCCGCGGTCCAGGCTCATACGGCGACCACGCCGAGCAACTCTCGGCATCCTACGGTTCGGCACGCCGTTCTGGATGGACTATGGTTGGCATAGGGTCTGGAAATGAGTCGACAGACTATATTCACAACCTCGAGATGGACGATCGAATGGACTCCATCACACAGCATTGGGATGTCATTATGCGAGCGTTGACCCACTTGCAAAGCACGGTCGCGACTGCGTTGTTTCCTATGCTCAAGCAGGCGGATCTTGCAACCGCCGATCCTCTGCCACCGAACATTGCCGCCGCGCACCTGGCGAGAAGCGGCTCACTGTCGGGCAGGCGAGGCTCAGACGCGTCCCAGATGAAGCCGCCCAAGACCAACGCAAAGCTGATCACGCTGCAGCCAAACTGTTTGATGCAGGATCACCACGTGGGCGTCGAAGTTGACGATGCTCGTGTTCGCATCGTGTCCGGACTGCGTGCTACGAGAGTCGTCACGGGCCAGAATCGATGGGGACCCTGGCGAGATGAGGCTCGATGGGTCTCGAAATGGGCCGGTGGTAAAGAGCACGGGTTCTTTTTCTTCAAACTGTTGACAGGCTTCCTCGCTACTCACACCGACTGGCTGCAGGCTCTAGGCCCAGCCTGGTATCGTCGACGACACTACCAACAGCAGAAGAACCGCACAGAGGAGGACACATCGCTCTCGTCTCGGACCATCATTGTGGCTGACGACAAGATGGCCGCCCGGCGTCTTATTTTTCTCCTGTCGGCTTTCCTGCCAGCAAACCAACAGCTGCCGACCGTGCGAGCTCACCGGCCAGGTACTTCTGCGTCCTTCGCGAACTATGGCCAATCCCCTCCCGCTTCTTATATCATCCCAATTCTCAAAGAGGAATCACTGCGGCGGAAGATCAACCGGAGGCCCGGCATAAAAGGAGCATCTCACCATCGGAGCTTCAGCATACAGTCGCAAACAACGAACCGATCGGTGACAGGTATACCGGCACAGCTTGCTCACTTGAGCATGGACGGACGACACGGCCGTCGACCTTCTGATGCCGCATCGATACGCGCTGGTAAGCTCACTGGTATTACTGCTGAGCAGTCCACCAGGAAGAGTAGCGCAGCAACGACAAACACTGTCATGCCAGAGGATGCGGTTCCTCATTTCACCACGCTACAGAAAACCGAATCTCATCATAGCGAGCGGCCCGGGAGCAACAGTAGTGTTGCCGCCAATGATCTCAAGCGCACTTTGACACGAGGTGACAGCAGCCGTGCCAGTCACGGCAGCAATGGCTCAAGAAGTCAAAGCTCGCGGTGGGGAAGTGTGATTAGTGGGCTATGGAGCACCCGGCGGCGAGACTCGACTGCATCAACCTCTCAGACTTTCGACGTCAATAGTATAGGAGAGGCTCTGGAGGCAACTGCCCACGGAAGCCCCAGCAAAGGGAACAAACTTGCCGAGATGGTGAAGGAAGTGCAGGGCCTCGACACTAGTGCTCCTCTACGCCACACGAGCAGCAGAATCCCCGATGATGAGCTCCTGCAAACGCCAACTTCTCCGCGGAAATCAGACATTGGGCCATTCAACGAACCGCTGGAGCCGAGACCAAGAATACCTGATCCATCAGGGGCGTTTGAGTCTCCAGTCAAGACCTCAATCAACCACGATGATGGTGTCATCGATGTCGACATCCAGTTCCCTGACTACCTAACCTCCTTTGAGACTGCCGTCAGCTCGCCGTCCAGCAGTGGCTACTTGTCTACCCCAGGTCTTGGCAGTGGGCTCGATAGTTTCGAACACTTCTCTAGGGTGGCTATTGATGGAGACGTTCCCCAAAACTGTGCTGGGTGGCTGCGCGAGTTTCACCCGGACTTTATGCTCCAGGCCATTCCACCCCAGGCAGATCTCATCGAAAAAGTAAAGGAATCGCTACGGTCCGAGCCGACGCCTATAATCTATGCAAATACACTGTCCGTCGAGTGGCCAGCCGAGCAATGGGTTGACGTCAGCAGTGCTCTTGTGGCCGACACCACAAACTTCACAATCAAACGCATTCGCTTCCGCCGCTTGGTGAAGCCCAAGGTCATCATGGACCGTGGCAGTGGCAGTGCTGGCTTCCTTACTGCGGCTGCGTCGGTCATGACACCTGCGCTCTCCCCATACGAGAAGCCGATCAAGGAGCACTTCGAGGTGGAGGAGCTCTTTACCTGGGACGAAGATCTGATTGACGCTGTGGAAAAGGTCATTGCCCACGGCCTTGACTCGAGCAAGCAAGGCTCCACGACGTCCTCGCGTTCTGCGAGCAAGAGGCGGGATCGGCGGGACAGCGAGATATCAGTCCTTGACCAGAACGAAAACAATGCCAGTAGCCAGCTTGGCTACAGCGAAGTGCCGCGGGCAGAGTGCAAGACGGTCGTGCTGTCGGCGCTCAGCGGCCTGGTGCAGAGCATTGTAGACCGTCGCGAGCGAGACGCCCATAACACAGAGGACACGTCTGAGTTGTACAGGAGCGTAAGGGAGCGAGAAAGTGTGCTCCGGCTTGCGGTCAAGTCTTGGCTTGAGACCGTGGAGTCAGGAGACGGTGCGCCGTGAGCATCCTGCTGCGCATGGCGACACTGGGCGTTTGGTTTGCTTCCGAGGTGGCTCAGCGGAGGTGGCAGGGGATGAAGCGTTTTGAATTACCACTTAATCTGGACGGCGGCTTCCAGACATGATACCCCCCTTCAACAAATGACACACCGTGCGACATCGTCGTTGCCGCTTTTTCTTTGTAACGGGCTTTTCCTTAATCCACCTTGAATTTCTGGATGCTCTGGCCACCATTTGTGGTACCTGGAGCGATGACGGCTGGGTTTATAGAGCTTACGATGCTTATGATATCCCTCTATTAATGACACAGAGAAATATACTTATGACGATACTACATCTGAGAATGTTGAAGAGTTCCGCAGACACGCTGCTCAGATGAATCGGGCTATGAGGTACATGGTGGTAGTTGAAAATTGGTACGCACGAAGACATTCGTCTTGATGTTGCAAGTCACACCACCGCCATTGGCCCATGGAACGGCAATCCTTGCCAGTGGCTGGAATGGTATCGTCTCAGAACGGTGTCTCCTCTAGTTCCATGATATGCAATACGATATTCGTCGGTCATTCTTGTTCTCGTCTCACCTCACGTCCTACCACACCCGCCTTGATTGGCACTGAGCTAGCCTTGCTGCGTGCGACACCTACGCCTCTCACCCCTTTGCATCACCACTCACGGAGCCTGGATTCTCCTGCCATAGTCGTCTTTCAGGACCAGGTGCTCACAACTTTCTTGACATCCTCCAGCGGGACCTCACGATCCAACAGCTCGGCCTTCTTCCCGCCACTCGCCACCCCGACCCTCTGGAAAGTCCACACGCTGCTCACGCCCAGGCTCTCCAGGTACGCAATGGTGCGGGCGTAGTTGGTCCCGATCTGGGCGATGCCGTGGCTGTCGTCGGACAGGGTGAACCGGCCGCCCATCTTGACCCACTCCTCGGCAATGTCGCGGGCCGGGTACGGCTCGGCGAGCCCCTTGCGGAGGGCGGCCGAGTTGCACTCGAGCCAGCCGCCGTAGCTGGCGACGAAGTCGAGGTTGCGCAGGATGCGCCGCCACACGCCCGCCCAGCCGCTGGTGCGCATCTCGCGGTCGGGCTGGGAGCTCATGAGCCGGATCAGGTCGAAGTGGCCCACGACGCGGGGCTTCTGGGCGCGGAGCATGTCGAGCTGCTCGTCGTAGTAGCGCTCGTACATTTGCTCCTCTGTGGGTTTGGGTGGTTGTTCTTGTGGTGGTTGCTGTTGCTGTCGGTCCTGTGTATATTCGACGACCACGGACTCCAGAGCACGCTGGTAAAAGGCCTTGTCAAAGTCGATGGGGATGCCGTTGACGTGGTGGAGGCTGCCGATGAAGTAGTCGACGGCCTCGTGGGAGGCGAGGTCGAGGACGAGGGCGGCGTACTCGTCGCGCAGCCACTCGCCCTCGAAGCCGACGAGGAGGTGGATCTGGTCTGCGTACTTGTCGCGCAGGCGCTGGGCCTCGGCGACGTACGCGGCGTGGCGGGGGAAGAGGACGGCGAGGGAGGCGTCCGGGTCGTCGAGCTCCTCCGGGTAGAGGTCGGCGTGGGCGGTCCGGGGCATGTGCTCGGTCAGGCCCATGGTGGTGTACCCCCGGGAGATGGCATACCGGATGACCTCCTCGAGCTGGTCCTTTGCGTGGCCCGGGCAGAACTGCCCGGAGTGGGAGTGCATGGTGAAGGCCATCTTGGGTGCAGGATGTCTCGTGCTTTGCTTGAGAGACAAGAGTCGCAGTCGGATTATACGGTAGCGGCCGTGGCGGCCGTGGCCGGACCGGGCTCAGCTTGATGATATTATATAGATCGCGGAATAAGCAGGCGGCGGCTTATCGATGGATGGAACCCGCGGACCTCGCTCGCCTGGGCACAGCACATGCAGCAAGCAACAGGCGACGGCCAATCGATGCCACCCGTGCGTGTGTGTGTGTCAGGGCGGTCGTCTCCAATGTCACGACGGCCTCAATGGCACCCTGATAGCCGGATCCAGCTTGTGGTCGACCAGGGCATCCATGATTGACTGGGACCTGATCACCACATGCAGCCACGCATCTCCTGCCTCGGCGCTGCCCCTCCCCCCACTGTCCGTTGATGTCCGTTTGCCCTGTCTGTCTGCCAGGGCCGGACCCACATGAGCTCACTGCTGCTGCTCCACCCCAGGCCAGCCGAGTAAGTGGACCCTTGCAGCCAACCCAGCCCAGGCGCGTGCGCCGCAACGCCAGCCCGGGGCCGAACGGCGGCTCCAGTTATTTTTGTCGACCCAAGAACAGCAGCATCCAAGGCCGCCTGGCATCAAACAACCAACACTCACCCACGCCAGCCTCGTGACTGTGCCAAAACTCTGATCTCTTGTCAGGACGACACTCCTACTCCGTCATCCCGCCTCCGCGAACTGCGCTGCGCCTTTCCGCGTATCCCGGCGGCCACGATGCTCTTCGCCGAGGAGGACGAAGGCCACCTCAAGGCGTGGATCGTCAAGCGCCTTGCCAACACGTGAGTCGCTCTGGTCTCCCTCCTTTCCAAACAATCAAGGACTAGCTGACACCCGCTTGTTGATCCACAGATCCGACGCCGACTCGGACGTCCTTGCCGATTATGTCCTTGCCCTCCTGCGCCACGACAGCGACCAGGCTACCATCCGCAAGCTCTTCGAGTCCGAAATCCCCGACTTCCTCAGCGACGACTCGGCCGCGTTCACAAACGATGTCTTTCAGGCCATCAACTACAAGTCATACCTCCCCGGCGCGCCGCCAGCGCCTCCCGCTGGACTTGCGCCTACGGCGGCGCCATTCGTGTCCCAAGCACAAAAGTCCAGCACGGCTTCAAGAAAGCGGAGAGTCAGCGACCGCGACGAGGACGACGTCGACATCATCCTTCACGACGCGCCCGGCCGTGGTGGCGCGCCTGCCCAGAAGCTGCAGAAGACTGGCAGTGACTTTCAAAACAACGGGGCACTGGGCAACGGCGGCTCCGGACAAACGAACGGGCTTTATGGCCAGCCTGGTTACGGCAGTATGCCGAACTTCGGCCCCGGCAACGGCTTCGGCACAAACACTCAGGCTTTCCCTCCCATAGACCCGGCCATGATCCTTCAGAATATCCAGATGCTGCAGCAAATGGGCATACCCATACCAGACCCCACGGCGTTTGCGACGCCTGGGCAGCAGAAGTCCTCGCGGAAGAAGAAGAAGCGCTGCAGAGACTACGACAAGAAGGGCTTCTGTGCCCGAGGCCACAAGTGCAAGTGGGAGCATGGGAACGAGTCGGTGTTTCTACCGTCTTTCATGCCGCCGCCGCCGCCGGCTGGCGACGCGGCGCTCGACTATGACCCAAATAGCCCAGCAATGGCCATGGCGGCCATGTTCGGACCACAGGGGATGAACTTCCGGAACGGACAACCACACGACAGGACAACACAAGCGAATGGGCACGATTCCAAGAAGTCTAAGAAACAGAAAGGGAAGCCGAGTGTGGCCGTCGTCAATGGTCCAGTGCACGATCGGTCACGAACCAAGATTGTCGTGCAGAACATCCCCAAGGAGAACCTCTCTGAAGAGCAGGTCCGTGATTTCTTCTCGCAATTCGGACCAATCTCGGAAATCACGATACAGGAACACAGGCGCCTGGCTGTTCTCAATTTCGAGACCTGGGAGGCGGCAAATGCGGCTTGGAGCTCGCCCAAGGTTATTTTCGACAACAGATTTGTCAAGGTGTTTTGGCAGAAGGACGAGGCAGATACTGTCTCGGGCAAGGACGAGAACAACGCCTCGGAGGAAGCCGACTTTGACTTGGACGCGTTCATCCAGAAGCAGGAAGAGGCACAAAGAATCCACGAGGAGAAGATGAAGAGACGAAAGGAGCTCGAGAAGGAGAGACAGGATCTCGAGGACCGCCGGAAACGACATCTCGCCGAGAAGAGGGAGCTGGACGCGAAGCTGCGTTCTGCGTCGCCGTCGGCGCACTCGGAGCGGAAGTCCAGCGCGCAGACGGAGGCGCTACGGGCTCAGCTGGCTGCCCTGGAGGCCGAGGCCGACTTGTTGGGCATCGATCCGGACGCTGTCCAGGAAGATTCACAACCCTGGAGTGGTCGCGGTGGCAGGGGAAGAGGTGGTTACCGTGGACGAGGTGCATGGCGTGGTGGTTACGCTCCGCGCGGCGGTCGTGGAGGCGGCGGACCGGGCGCTATCGAGGCCCGGCACGCGGCGTATGCACAGTATTCGCTCGATCTGAGGCCCAAGGTCGTCATTGTCTCTGGTGCCGATTTCACGCTGCCCAGCAACGATGAATCCTTGCGGCAATACCTCTTTGTAAGTTCGAATCTGACGGACCCGTCTACAATCTGCCATGACACTAACAGATCCAAACAGAGCGTCGGCGAGTTTGAGAGCATCCGTGCGGAGCCCGAGGCCACCCATATCACCTTCAAGGACCGCAAGACGGCCGAGCAATTCATGTCGGGTCTCGCGTCTTCGGACAACACCCTGGCAGGCGTAGACGAGAAATTGGAGCTGGCGTGGGGTCAGAACCTCACGCCCGCTGCGGCGGCGGCTAGCAGGCAACAAGCAGCGGGATCTGCTGCTAAGACAGACGGCGACGACGCGGGCAGTGAGGCTGGTGGTTCTGAGGACGGCGAGATCCAAGACGATGGCGACGGCGACCACGGAATGGATGGGGACTTTGGGATGGGCCATGGTCGCGATCAGGGCGACATGGACTATGATGCTGGAGATGACTGGATATCATAAGCGCGCATGGCAGGACAAAGATACCCCAGGATATGCTGGCTCTTGCTCGAGAGTGTGAAGCACAATGGTATGCTCCGCGATATAAAACTCGCGAATATACTTTGCTCAAGAATGAGCCCGATATGACTTTCTTTGTATGCACGGCACACGTCTTGACCTCACCGTGCTCGGGGAAGGTTTCACGTCTGTTGTGTTTAGTATTTACTCGGCTGTTTGCGTTGAGCCGAGAAAGAGTATGGAGGCAGCACACCAAGTCTCCTCGGTCTCTGCTGCCCTTGTCCAAGTGTGCCCCCCTGTTTTCTTCTGATTTACCGGATGTACACAATGCCCATCATCTCGTACTCTAGCAATCCGGCCTCCTCCCCCTCCAGGACTTTTACCTCGACCGTTTTGTTACTGACCTCCTTGGCTGCTGGCGGGCGCTCAAAGCAAGGCTGGAAGTCTTGCCAGTCAGCTCGCGGGCCGAGATATATGATGACTTTGACCGACGACGACGACGACGACGACGACGACGACGACGGCGAAGTTCTCGATGATAGAACGGTATCGACGTATTTTTGGACCAGCGACGGGAGGCGCGGGTATACAAACATGAGGGCGACGACGACGACGCGGCGTTGCGGAATCGCACTCAATGCGTCGTTGTTGACACCATCATCCCCGTTGTCGTCGTCGTCGTCGTCGTCGTCGTCGTCGTCGGCATCACCATCTCCATCGACGCTTCCGAAACCATCGCCACGGCCACCGCTATGGCTTTCGTCGGCACCCAGAGCGTCAGAGCTGAGCACGACGCCCAGCCAGACCTCCCATGTTCCCCTCACGTACGAGCGGCTCTGCTCAGGGAGGTACCGGTTCAGGCCGTGTTGTTGTCGCCCGTGGCTGGGTGAAGAAGAAGAAGAAGAAGAGGCCCAGGAAGAGGAGGAAAGCTGGTGTACCTCGACGCCTTGCACGGTTACTCTCGATTTCCCACGCGCCGTCCTCTTGGCGGTGTTGACGATGGTGGTCTCCCAGCTATCCGGATCGTCCCCACTACCGCTGTCGCCTATGTCGTCAATGTCGTCCATGTATCGCTGCAGACACGCCTCGAGGAGTCCGGACCCAGATCCTATGGATGCAATCACGTCCTCTCGCTCCACGTCTGCTTCCGCCTCGACATCATCTGGATCCCGCCGCCCCTCTCCATCTGGCGAGGGAGTAGTGCCACAGCTCCCTGCCGGGTCTGCCGACGCCACTAGAGCCTGCCTGACCTGCGAGACGATGATGTGCAGCAGCGTGGTAGATAGGCTGAGGCAGCAGTCCGGGTGGCGCTGGGGCGTGGAGGTCAAAGCAGGCAGCGGCAGCGACAGCTGTTGTGGCGGGATACCTGCTTGTGGTGGTGATGTGGATGAGGCCATGACTTTAGCCTTTTCCTCTCTCTCTGTCTCTCTCTCTCTCTCTCTACTTTTCCTTCCCTCTACGTTTTTTTCGCCGGCTTTCTTTTCTTCCCTTTAGACCACTTTGTCTAGTTTCTTTGCTCAGCGATCAAGTTGTGCTGTGAAGTGCAAGCTGCCAGGCCCTAGTGATGAAGCGATGGACCAGCTCGAAAAGCGTTGCCAGGAAAAAAGACCCACCAAACCGCTGCCTGTACTCCACGGTTATTCGGGAAGCTAACCCGCCAATGCATGCAGTACGCTTGTGAACATGGCGAGCCAGTGCTGGCCTGAACCACTTACGTGCCCCAGAGAAAGATATGTTACATTGTCTCGACAAATCAAACCCGGCTGTTTTTTACACATAAAACTGATTGCAAAAAGGAGCTGACATAGTTCTGCATCAGTGTGCTTAGATCACTAACCTTTGTTCGCATGTGGAGACTTACACCAGACCCGTGTGCCGTCGATGTCGTCCCTTTTTTGGCTTTCTCAACGTCATCTCAATGGGCTGGAGTAACAAGTATCCGTGTGAATTAAACTGGAGCTCTTCATCTTTCACACACACAGAGTAAGTTCCCCTTCGTATTAAAGCTTAAGCCATATGTATATGCCTTTCTCAAGAGTGCTCCATCGTAGGGGGGGTCCAGGCAACACGCAAAGAATCAAATGTCCTTGAGCAAGTCAATCTTCCACGACGTCTTGCCCCGCGTGGCCCGCTGCATCTCGTCCCGCTGGATATAAAACAGCCTGACCTCTGCGTCCCACGACGATGCGGTCAGTGTGCTGTCCACGGTCTGGCCGTTGGGGGACATGCCCCCTTCCCACTGCGAGCCGACGCCGTCCCTGTCGTACTCCATGATGGCGCCCTTGTCGGTGACGTGGTAGATGCGGAAGATGTTGGTCGAGGGCTCCCAGCAGGCCTCGAGCACGCCCGCGCCGCGGGCCCCAGCGGGCGGTTCGACGTCGATCGCGGCCGGGTCCGCCCAGTGGTCCGTGGTGATGAGCTCGGTCATGCTACCCGTGGCGTCAAAGTAGTACAGCTCCATGGTGTAGCCCGGCGCGAAGACGGACGTCAGGCTGGAGCCGTTCTGGGCCTGCACCCCGAGGTCCTTCTCCCCCCAGCCCGTCGTCGTCGCCGAGTCGCCGCTGAGCTCGATGATGTTGCCCGAGCCCTTGGCCTGGTAGTACACGCGGTTGTTGTACTTGAAGTTCTCCTGGTCGCGGCGCCACACGGCGGTTATGTCGGAAAACGTGTCGACCTCGGCCGTCGCGTTGGCCGTGATGAGCGTGGTGCCCTTTTCCGTGCACGTCTGGTTGTGCGTGCACACCAGGTCGGCCATGGCGATGTCGAGCCTGCCGCTGGTGTCGGTCTCGAGCAGGTAGTACAGCTGCACAATGGCGTCCTTTGTGCTGTTGTTGTCGACGAACCACGACGTCGCCGCCAGCGAGGTCACGTTCTTGGGCGGCCGCGACAGCTCTAGCTTGTTCAGCGGGCCGTAGTCTGCCCCGTTGTTGTAGACGCTGTAAGTGATGTCCGTGGAGCCTTCGTTCTGCCAGAAGAGCTGGATGCCCTGTGTAAAGACCCCGTTGCCTGCAGAGCGAGCCGTGTTAGGATGACTCTGAGATTCCTACCACAGGCCAAGTCTTTGACATACCTCTGCTAGTCGATGCTGCAGACCCGGGCCGCCTGGCTGGAGTCCAGACCGCCGTAGCGCTTGGGGTGCTCGATGGCAAAGGCGCCGAGGGGGTTGCGACAGCCGGCGGGCCAGAGCCATTGGCAGACGACGACGTGGATCCAGAGGACGACTTTGCCTTCTGACTTCCCACGACGCCGCCAACAACGGCACCGACAATGACAAGCACCAGCACACCAGCGGCAGCCAGCATCACACGCTTCCTCCGCCAGAAAGGGGCACCCTTCGCCGATGCGTCAGCACCGGCACCGCCTGCTCCTGCTCCTGCCCCGGCAGCCGTGCCGTTGCTAGTCACCTCATAAGGAGCCGCGGTGCCACCTGCCGCACTGCCCTTGTACTCGTCTGCCTTGTAGACAGCCTCGGGTGACTGGTCATAGTACGGCTGCTGCTGCTGCGGCTGCTGATACTGGCCGCCATACTGGTAGTGTAGTTCTGGCGCGTGCTGGGGTCCCGAGTTGACAACCTGAGGCGCATCGGCGTACGGGTAGTGGCCCGGGTTCACGACCTCGGGCAGCGATGACCCGTTGTCAGAATACTGAGGCGGTGGGGAGCCGGGAACTATTTCGCGAGGAGAGGCGTGTCAGTGCCTGGCTAATAGCCCGCTTTTCCCAGCCCCAAGGTAGTAAGCGAAGGAGTACTCACTCTGGGACATGGCCGCGAGTTCCGATGCCAGTCGTGGCCTGTCGCTGTGCCTCTAACGATGGCCGTTTACTCGGCCGGTTCCCAGGCCACAGTTCAGGGTGGACAAATGAAAAGAAAGAAGAAGGGAGGGAACGACAGGGACGGATCACGACCAGCAGCCGGAGATCATGCCGGGCACGACAGATAAAAAGAACGATCTGGGCTGTCTCCATGAGCCATGTTCAACAAGGCCGGGTCGCCCACCCATGCCAGCAGCCGACGGGCCCAGCAACTACTATTGCGCCCCAAACCTGCCCCGGTAATGACAGGTGGAACCACTGGACCGGGATGAGCTTCGCAGAAACCGGGGAGATTGGCTGGTCACCACTGTATACCACCCCAGCACTACCAGATCTGTGGCTTAAGGGGGCAAGATGGTTTCTCCGGGCGCTGCTTTAGCTCCGCCGGAAGTCTGGAGGGCCTCCGGGGCTCATGTCAGAGCATTAGCACGCCACGAGCGGCCCGCACGGGTCCCAGAGTGCTGGCCGTCTGGCGTGCTGAGTGGTCAACCACAGACGCCGGCACCTCAAATAGCACCCACAATAGCACGCTACGTCGTAACTGTGTCCAATAGCACTACCCCCTGCCGCCGGCGACAAAGCAAAGGGGGGCCGAGTCCGAGCCCTGCATGTCAGATTTTAGAGATCGGATGTGGCGCAGATTCGAGATTGGGGTCGAACACTATGTGTCTTGTCTTGTGCTGTACCACGGTATCGGAATCGAATGCGACAGCGGCGCGTGGTACCACCGATCGATGGCTGGCTGGCCGTCTTAACTGCTTCCCGTCTTTTGAGTATCTGCAGATCGTCCATGGTCGCTGCAAACCGTGGGATGTTGGACAGGGGTTGTTGCACAAGTCCTAGGCGAGCATGAATATCGAGCTCGCTTACACGTCGTGATTGGACATGTTTGCTTTGCTCGGCGATCACCCTGTGCCGAAGCCCCTGCCCAGGCCTTTCTTCCACTGGCGGTAGTGCCTTGCAGCAGCACCTCTGAATACTGCAGGGTTATGTCACAATGCAACCCATCGCCACCGGGCGCGCGTAGAATAGTGAATGAAGTGGCATGCGCGAGGCAGGTTTCTCCTCGCGGGCCGTCCTCTCCTTCTCTGCCAGAGAATATCCACGAAGCACGCTGTGTACGCAGAATAATTTCGAGTCCTAGACTAGCAACACTCTGCCAGCACGAGGACCTTGAAGTCCTGCTCCGCCCGTCTTTCGTTATCATTGGGTATTCATACTAGCCCGTCATGTTTGGCCCCCAACTTTCATCCTGGCTGCTCGCTGCAAGCCTCCTGCAGCCCACCATCGTGGCTGGCGCGGCCGTCGGCACAACAACTCCCTCCACCACCACCATCACCCCCGGAAATCACCACCAAGACAATGTCAAAAGAACTACGGCCGGCTGCGGAAAGACTCACTACTTCAACGGCCTGACGCACTTCCACAGCCTCACCAGCAGCGGCCGCGAGCGGAAATACTCGATCCAGCTACCTGGCAGCTATGACAAGGATGCCGCGTACCCGGTGGTGCTGGGGTTCCACGGATCCGAGAGCATCGGGACGTGGTTCGAGCTGGATACCAAGATGAGCGAGGATCGGTTCAGTGCCGGGGTATTGCTCCCTTTTATTTTGTTTTGGGTGTCGTGGCTGCCATACTGACCCGGAATTAATATGAAATTACAGAAGATCATGGTATACCCCGACGGCGTCGATGTAAGTCAAGCAGCCAAGGGATCTTTTTGCTTTCCCCTTCTAGAGATTATCAATTACAGCACATTCTGATATATCACCAACAGGGCTCATGGGCAGGCGCCAGCTACTCGGCCGTCTCTGTCGATGAGGACCTTCAGTTCGTCTCAGACCTACTCGATACCCTGCGAGCCGAGTACTGCATCGACGACAGCCGGATCTATGCCACTGGGTGAGTTCTAGAATCCGCAGCGGAAAGACTGCCCATGAAACTTCCGTGTCTATGTCAACGTGAGGCAGAGTATCTGCATCTTGAGAGGCTCTAAAGGCGGCAGACTTTGCCAAACTTAGAGTCGCGAAATTCAAGGCACGCAAGCTGCACGTTGATGTTGACGGCTGTATCACCGCCTAGCTCATTGTCACATCGCAACCACCATACATTCTACACCCTCCAACCTCCAACCTCCGTGTGGAAAACATCATTTCCACCAACCTATCTCCACACACACACACACACACACACACACACACCCCCCTACTGCTTCTGTTTCCCCAATCATCGGAGAAAATACGAGATCGAAATCCCTTTTCAAACGCCCGCCACTAACCACTGCCCCTCCTCTTCGGTGCAATTCCCATAAATACAGCATGTCCAACGGCGCCGGCTTCGTAAACATCCTAGCCTGCTCCCCTCGCCTCTCCGCGCACTTTGCCGCGTTCGCTCCCCACTCGGGCGCGTACTATTACCTCCCTTCCGGTAGTGGTGCGTCTTCTTCTCCGCCGCCGGCAGTGGCACAGTGTCAACCAGCACGCACCCCGCTCCCGATCCTCTCCTTCCACGGCGGCGCCGACACGAGCGTCCCCTACGCCGGCGGGACCGGGTCGGGAGGCGAGTTGCCCCCGCTGACGGACTGGCTTGCCGACTGGGCGGAGCGGAACGGCTGCGGGGCAGAGACCGTGGAGGATGGGTTCGGCGGGGATGTGCATCACCATCGATGGTCGTCTTGCGGTGCGTCGGGGGGTGGAGGAGGAGGAGGAGGAGGGAGAGGAGGAGCAGGGGGTGACGATCAGGTGGTGATGATGGAGCACTACAAGATCGACAGCATGGGACACTGCTGGGCGTCGACCGAGATCAACTTTTCGCAGATCGCGGCCGGGCAGTGGCCGACGCACATTGACGCGAGCTCCATCATCATGGCGTTCTTTGACCGGTTCCAGAAGCCGTAGGGCCGTGGTGAGCGAGGACTGCTGGTTACCCTTTTCACCAATATTTGTATGTATGGTTGTCTCTGCCTCGAGATCGTCCTTAACGAGGTTGTTCAGTTTTTCATGTCCGTAATTCTACACTGCAGCTTGTATAGAAACATGTCTAGAGTAGCTGGGGTTATGATGGGAAATGACGCTCACCCTTCCCCAAAACCCTGGCATGTTTCCTTCAAAAGTGCCGCCCATGCCACACTCGTGTCCCTAAATACACCAACCCCCCCAGTGCACCAAGTATCCCGACCCAGACCTGCGCGACGAGCGCCAGGACGGACTTGGCCGTCTCCGCCGAGGCCGCGGCGTCATTGGCTCGCGGGAAGGGCTGGTTGGGCACGGGCGCGCCGAGGAATGTGCACAGCGGCTCCCAGCCGTCGCCGAGCTCCATCTCGAGGAGCTGGTCCTTTGGCACGGAGGCGCGGACGCGGTGGTAGTAGTTCTCCAGGGCGTCTGTGTGAAGGGTTTCAAGTCAGCTAGTCTGCCTTTAGAGTAGAACCTTATTCAAAGGCGAGAGAGGGAAGGGGCTTCAGTGCAAAATGGAGGAGAATCGAGAGGAAAGAGACGGGAAACCACTCACGCGGCCCCAGCGCAGCCTCCTCCACCGTCAACAGCCCGGTCCCGTCTCCCCGCGGCCGCCTCTTGAGCTCATTCATGCCCGCTGCAAACTCGTCCATGAGATACGGCAGCCACCGCCAACCGGGCACCGGCCACATGACGAGCCGGAGCCACCAGAGGGCGATCTGGCCGCGGAGCTCGTCGGCACTGCGCCACCAGGACACCGGGTCGCGCTTGACGAGGACGACCTTGGCGTCCGGGTACAGCTCGAGCAGCTCGGGGATGTAGTCGATGGTGGGGAGGTCAGTCGTGCCGACTGAACTCGCGGGTCCCGTTCCGGACGTGCTTTAGGACCGCGTCCTGGTCGCAGGCTTCCCCGGCGTGGTAGGCAGAGAGCCAAGTCTTGCAGTATGCTTTACGAGGCGGACAGAAGGAACAATCAAGTCAGTTAATGTCGCTTGGGGGTTTCAAAATTGGGTGCGTGTAGTATTTACAATATCCGAGACAAACATGTGTTTTCCCCGTGGGACTTTCATGAAAGCAAGAGCCTGACTACATGGGGGGGAGAAGAATGACCGAGACCAAGAGCCTGGTTGGGACTGCCAGGAGCAGAAAAACTTACCATCTTCACGAGTGATGAACTGCGTGCCACCATGGAGGACGGGACCCTTGAGGAGGATCTCGAGGGCCATCTGCATGGACACGGTGCCGGTCCTGGAGAAGCCGGCGCCGATGACCTGGACGGTGCGGGATGAGTCCGTGGGGATGGAAGGTGCGGCTCCCATATTGTGAGTCGAGCTGAGTGCCGCCTCAGGTCTGCTGGACACAAGAAAGCTCAATCATGGTGGCATTGCAGGTCGGATGGCAAAGGAGAAACCATTCTTATGTGGCATCTGGGTCGCGGGCCAAGCGGCATGATGGTTTGAAGTCGTCGAACCCCTGACCATGCGAGGACAACAGCACTGAGAGTCGAGACTAAGACGAACGAGGCCGTGCCGTGCTTCGCGCTGGACCTCATTGTATAACATCAAGCATTCTTGCATCTGCTACGTACCTTAGGTAGGCATGGGCTCGATCGTGAGTCGAGCAGGACGCTGTCGCGGCCCAGGTGGGTGGTCCAGTACTGAAATCCTGGAGCTAGCTGGGGTCCGCTTTTAAACCGTGGATATGCTCCCCCCACACACAAGCAGGCCCTGGAGCTTTGACAGAGCTTCACCTCCAGACTATCACTCACAGCTTGCACCACCCACTCACTCTGTGCGTCACCACGACGTCCTCTCTCCCGGCTCAATCGCACGTGCCAGCCTCACTGCGGCAGTCACACCGGCGGAGCAATGAGCTGAGCACCCTGCGACACCGCCATCATGTCCATCCCCGGCATTCCTGGCCTCGGCCAGATTGCCCCAGTGGTAAGTCGCCCAACATGCCCATCGCGGGCTCGTCACTCCCGCCACCGCTGGGCCGTTCTAGTTGACTGATCGTGACCACCTCTATCCCCCAGGACGCCCCCTCACAGGCCGCCGCTGCCGCCTCCGCTGCCGGCGCAAGCCAGATCCAAGATCTCCAGCCCTTCTGGGAGTACCGCTTCGAAGTCCCCCACGGCTCAGAGCTCACCATCAAGCTCGTCTCCGGCACCGCTGAAAAGGACGGCACGGAGCTCGCCCCGGGCAACGCCTACTCCTTCACCGCCACAAAGTCAAAGATCAACACCTGGCACGGTTGCTCCCTCGAGGTCGCCTGCCCCAAGGGCTCCTTCGACGCCTACACCGCAGAGCCCTCCGCCGCCGACCAGACGCCCTCCGTCAGCCATGTCAACCTGCACTTTAAGCTCGAGGGCCTCCGCTCCGCCGCCGCCTCTCGCCATGCCCGCGGCAACACCGACGCCATGGGCCCTCGCGTTCTCGTCGTCGGACCGCCAAATTCCGGCAAGACGAGCCTGGTGCGCACCCTCACCGGCTGGGCCACCCGCATGGACCGGCAGCCGCTGGTGGTCAGCACCGATCCCAGCGAGGGAATGCTCGCGCTGCCCGGAACTCTCAGCGCCGCCGTCTTCGCCACGCTCATGGACATCACCACCGAGTGGGGGTCCACGCCGACCAGCGGGCCCAGCCCGATCCCCGTGAAGCTGCCACTCTCGTACTACTATGGCCTCGAGCACCCCGAGGACAACGCCAAGCTGTACAAGCGCGTCTGCAGCAGCCTCTCCGTGAGCGCGACCGCCCGGCTCACCGAGGACCCCGAGGTCCGGGCGGCCGGCATGCTCATCGACACGACCGGCATCGCCAACCCGGGCGCCGCCAAGGACGGCTCCGCGTACGACGCCCTCGCCCACATCGTGGCCGAGTTCTCGATCAACATCATCGTCGTCCTCGGATCCGAGCGCATGACGAGCGACCTGCAGAAGCGCTTCGGCAGCCACCGGACGACGCTGGACGAGGAGGTCACCGTCGTCGGGCTCGACAAGTCGGGCGGCGTCGTCGAGCGGGACGCCACGTTTATGCAGCAGGTCCGCGAGGCCGCCATCCGCGAGTACTTTTTCGGCGACGCGCGAAACACCCTGTCCCCGTTCACGCAGCAGGTCGACTTTGCCGCGCTGTCGCTGTGGCGGATAAATGAAGGTAAGACGAACATTTCCTGCATCAGCGGCCGTAAAACCGCGCGCCGAAGTAACCCGCGGGCATCATTACTCGTTCACATATTTTCCCCCTTATGTACAATGTAGGCTAACCCGATCCAATCAACCAATACAGGCTCGTTGAATGACGACAACGACAACGGTGGGCAGCAGCATCATCACACCACGATGACGCCCGCCAGCGACGACACAGTGCAGCGCGTCGAACCCTCGCTCATGATGCAGAACTGCACCCTCGCCGTCATGTACGCGTCGGTGCACGACCCGCCCGACACCATCCGCGACGCCAACGTCATGGGCTTCGTGTACGTCGCCGACGTCGACGAGAAGCGCAAGAAGCTCAAGATCCTCGCGCCCGTGAGCGCCCGGCTCGGAGACAGACCGCTGCTGTGGGGTTCCTGGCCGGAGCCAATGGTGAGCTTGCTCGGCTGAGAAAACCCTTTTTGCCTGAGGAGGAAGAGGAGCATGGAAAAGTGTTTATTGGAATCGGCGAAAACCATATACCCTAGACATAGTAAAGAAATTTCACTGTTTTTTTTTATCTGGCTCAACGCCAATTGATGAAGACTTGAAAAGTGTAAACTTCGTGATTGAAGCGAGATGCTATAGAGGACGATCATCAAATCCATTTCTACGCTTATGGCGAATATCTACTCCCACTTTTGTCTACCCAAGTTTATCCCAAGCAATATAGGCCCCCCCCCCCCCCCCAATCGCATGATCAAATCCGCGGCCTCAACACTACCCTACCGCCAAGAGCCACCACGCTTAGTCCTGTCCATGTCGATGCTCTCAAACGCGGTCCGGCACAGCGGGCACGTGTTGTTATTGGATGTGGCAAACCACTTGAACAGGCAGGTACGGTGAAACGGGTTCTTGCACGTGCGGCACTTCCTGTCGGGCACGCCCTGGTCGCTGCCGATGAAGCTGTAGCAGATGGCACATTCCGTGTACCCGGCCATGGCGGACACAATGTTGCGCCGGAACGCGGTGATGCCGTCGATGACGCTGCCGTTGGAGAAGGCAATGATGCCTTGGGTGGTCAGCAGCCAAGAGTTCCACTTCCTCTCGGACGCCGCGGCCCGGTGGATCGTGCTTGCTGTCACGTTGTCGAGGGGGAAGTTGCTCGGAAGCCGGATGGTCATGGACGCTTCCACCTCGTCAACCGGGTAGCCTACATAGAGGTCCCTGGTGGTCCGGCTGACCTTGACTGTCAGCTCGTGCTCGTCATTAGACGGTGCTTCCTGGTCAGCGGCCCATTTCTCAACAGCGTCGAGAGCATCAGCAATAACCAGAGGCGAGAAGTACTTGACCAGCCAAGCCTCCACTGCGATGGTGGTTTGCTTCGATTTGCAATCCTTGAACCACGTCTTGAAGAGTCCAGGCAGGTATTTGAGGGTGCAGAAGAACAGATGGATAAGCAGCCACTGCATGTTCCTCTCCTCGTCTTCGGATTCAGCAACTTGAACATCATAGCTGCGGATATGCTCCGGAGTAAAGCCGGCCTTATCCAGATTCAGTGCATGCGCTGCAGAATGCCCAAGGACATCAAAGGTGAAGCCCATCAAGGGTCCGACATAATTGGCCTGCTTTAAATGGTCGGCATAGTCTTCGCGCATCTTGTGTGGCACAGCTTCGAAGATGTCGAAGATGACGTGCCATGCCAACAAGTACGACCGGATACTTGTGGGGAATCGCGCAAGCATCTCGTCTGTGTAGGCATCGAGTGTAGGTGCCTCCAGCAAGAGAGAAAGCAACTCATCAGGTAGGCGTGCTGCTTTCTTTTCTAGGAGTAGGTCTACGGCCAGATTCTCGAGCGAAGTGGGTAAAGCTCGGTGTAAGATTGAGAAGGCTGTCGTTTGCAGCGTCCGCGACTCGCTCGCAAGCAGGCTGTAAAAATCGGAAATGTCCTTCAAGTGAGCAAGAGGGATCTTGTTCGCACGACGAGAGATCATCCCGTCAACAATGTCCAACGGCTGTGTGTGTTCGTCCCGAGGAGCGTGCAGGAGGGCTACTGTCGCGGCGGAACGGCGCTCCGAGGTCGTCTCCAGAACGTCAACCAGATCATCATTTGGCTCGTCAAGAGTCTCCAGTGTCGACATCAGGCGCAAGGAAGCGTGAACGGCAGGGAGGCGTCCATTCAGCGGCTGTGAGGGATCTTTGGCCCACAGGTCCAAGCAGAACTCAATGGCCTTTCCCCAATAGGAGCCGTAGACATCCTTGATGCAAGGCAACAGGTGCCGCAAACTCCAGCATATCTCTGACGAGAGCTGGACATCCAGGTCTTCTGGATTTTCTAGCCAAGTCGTGATCTGCCTCACCGCGAACACAAGTCTGTTATTAGCCACAGGGAGATCACCCGTCGGGTATACCTCCGCGCAGATGTTGAACAGAACAATTGTGATCATCGTTTTCTCTTGACCAACTTTGGCACCAGCAAGCTCTGAAACGAGACGGTTGCAGAAAGTGTTGACGACCTTCGAACTAGCGAGAGCCTGACCCATTCCAGAGAGCACCGCAGCGCTACCGAGAGCACTCGATGGGGAGGCCTTCAAGAGGTCGGAAGCCGTCAGCCATTGTTCTGCGTCGTTCCGGACACCCTGTGCTTCAGTCAAGAAAGCAAAAATCTCGTTGAGCAGTTTCGCCGAGTAGAGAGCCAATGTGTCAAGCGTGTGTGTGCGTTCGATAAGCTTGCTAACAAGGCGAGACATCACTTGCGCTTGTATCGACCCAGAATCCTCCTGCCACCCGTTACTCTTCTCAGAAACGGCAGCCAAAGTCCTTCGCACAGAAGAGACCATTTCGTTGACCTCTTCTTGTATTGACTCAGCGGATGTTGACGCCCACACAGAGTGCGTGCTGGACATAGTAACTTGGTCAGCCGCTAGCTCCGCCGTGATCCCGAGAAGTATCAGGATATCAGCCTGCACGTCTGTAGAGAGTTTCTCAAGATCAAGGGAGGTCGGGAAGAGCTTGGTGATATACATCGCCATGCGCCCGGGAATCGAGCAACCATTTTGATCTCGGCGGATTTGGCCTCCAGGAGGCGTGAATTCGAGCGTCGGTAAGAAGTAGGCTCCAGCCAGGCTGCTGGTCAAAGCCAATGAAAGATCTGGAGTTGCCTGCGCAATGATGGACAACTCCTGTCTCCACACCGAGAGCTCAGGAAGGAGAGCGCTGATTTCTATGTCGTCCGCCGAGTCGCGGACTAGCAGGGCTTGCTGTACCAGAGTGGCAATGGTGAGTGAGTCCGGCCCAATATCGTTGATGTTGTTCTGAACAAGTCCGACGACTCGAGAATTACTTCTTTTACCACCCTGGAGGCGTTCGTGTAGTTCAGAGGCACCGGCATGGCCGCCTTCACGCTCAGAAATACTCAGAAGCGCAGTCATCATGGCCATGTGGGTTTCCTCGTCCTGCAATAAGAGCGCCGAGTTTTTGGTGGCAATGATATTGAGTGCTTGCACAACCCCGGTATTGGCTGAACCAGAGGCACTAGCGATGCGAGAGACGAGCTCCTTCACGAGCTTCTGTGCGGCAGCATCACTGATGGTGCCATTGACGATGACAGCTTGCAGCAACGGCCAACCCGCGGCTTCTCTTTCAAGCGCGCATTTCAGGCTTTCACGGACCAGGTACTCCTGTAGATCGCTCATGGACTGCGCCAACGGAGCAACTTTCTTGGTGGATAGCAGCTCGACAAGCCCAGAGATCGCCGCTGTTTTGTCATCAGCTTCCAATAACGAGCTAACTGTGGCTGTCCAGATGTCGTTGAAATCCTTCTGTCTTGTGCTCACGTCAACAAGGAGACACAGGGCGGACAACATGTACTGAGCGGATTGTGTGTGCAGTAATGCGCCGACGTCGGTGGTGGTTGACTGCTTCAACACGTCGAGAATCTCGTCTGTGGTGGGCGAAGATCCTCCAAAGAGCTGCGGGGTTGATTTCAAAGCTGACTTCAAGGTTGCAGCAGCTCCGAATGTCTTCCAGTTCCGTGTCTGCAGGACCTTGAGCGACCCTTGTACCAGGTCCAAGGAGAGATCGCTGACAAGGTCAGGTATCGGCCGCGTAGATCCTTGTGTTCTTTCGTGGGCCACCAAAAGATTGGCGACAAGCGTAAACCATCGGTCTCCCTCGCCTGCGATCTGTTGCTGCGAGCTGTTGTGGTCCTTAGAGGCCTCTGGGGAGGAACTTCGGAGGTGTTGAAGGAAGGTTTCTTGGAGGCGAGACCATTCCTGTTTCGTGGCGTCGAGAAGGGCTTTCGAGGATGAGGTTGTGGTTGTTGTGTATGCTTTGATGAGAATCAGCGGCAGAGATGCCGATGCCCACGCAGCTAGCTCTGGGCTAGGATAGAGATACGCCTCAAACACTGGGAAAATGTGCTTCTGCACGAACTCAACGCGTGCCTCGTCCGTGTCCAGCATGCTCAAGAATTGCTTGGCTACACTCATGTAACACGTCCACGCCTCAATCGCATTCGTACGAAGTTCGCTGGACAAACCCTGTCGAAGCGCCTGGATGATCCCGGACACACCCTCGATGGTCGTTGGCAGTACGCCAACGGGTAGCGATGCCAAAAGGCCGCTGAGGGCTGCCCAGAACGAGCTGCCACTCTGTTGAGAACCTTTCTCAAGAAAGCTTTTGAGCCGCGACACCACGGACTTCTTACTCTTGTAGTCGGTCGTCCAGGCACTCGGCAGCTTCCCGGTCAGTGTGCCCAGGGCAGTGACGTATTCGGTGGCGGAGCCAAGCTGAGAGCTCTTGAGGCCTTCGGCAATAAAACACTTGCTGATCAGCTCAGCATCAGCCTTGATCTGATCGAACCGGTTTTCAACGCAGACGCTTAGGAGGTGGCATGTTTGTCGCCGTACGGCAACGTCGTTCGTGAGCACGCCGGCCCAAACACTCTCGTTTTCGAAGAATTCGCGATACATTGAGTCGCAGGCCTCGGTCTCCGAGCTATCCAATCGCTCAAGAAGCCCCAGTACGAGGGAGCGACTATATGATATGACTCTGTGGTATTTTGTCTCTGCGTCGTCGGGGCTCGTGGTTCGCTCATCGCTCAAGCTGTCGGTCGTCTCGCTCAAAGCGCTCGTGGCATACTCGAGAATCTGCGGTTGGCATTTCTTCCAGAACTGTAAGATCTTCTCCTCGCTTGTGAACACTGCGGTGAGGCCATCGGAGGCCGCACGTGCGACTCCCTTGTCTTTGTCGAATGTCCCCGCAAGCCAAGTTCCGACTACCCGGGGGATCTGCTTCTGGGCCCGCTTGCGCGCGGAGCTCATGAGCTCGAACTGGACGTTGTGTGCCACCTCTCGTATCCTCCTTGAATTGTCGATTGCGGCGCGGGGGTAGACCTGGGCCCATGCTTCGAGCACGGCATCCTCGACACCACCGTCCTTGGAGTGCGGGTGTGCTTGCGCATAGGACAGTAGCTCCTCCACGCCACGTTGCCGCGTGGCGGTGTCCCGTTTTTGAATGTTTTTGAAGGCGATGATGACATTGGGATCGGATATTGAGGCGTAGTCGGTGAAGTCGGACAGGTATGAAAGATTGCTGGCATTCGTGGTCGAAAAGCCGCCGAAGCCGCCGAAGCCGCCGAAGCCGCCGGCGCCTGGCTTGGCAAGGCCGTTCCTGCCTGCCCCTCCACGCGACCCCTTAGACCACATCTTGGTGTTTGTAGCCCGGATGTTCGGCCAGTCGTACTTTTCCGGGCCCGGCTCTTCGCGACCAGGACTGGCTCGGGTGACAGTGCGTGTTGGCACTCGTCCCAAAGGCGGAAGTTGCGGACTGCGGGGGGTCGCAATCAGTGTACCAGCGCTGTTGAAATGCCTGTCGGTGGTACAGAGGTCTGGGTTCGCCTAGACATGCCCTAAGCGAAGGCAGGAGCCACGATATATATAGCAGGCGAGCCTGAGGACAACAGGTATCTCCGAAATGCGTTTGGCTGGACCGAGAAGGTCAATAATATTCTGCGGACGGTAGCGTTGAGTCAGTCCGGCGGCACCAGTTTTGATGTCATCGGCGAAAGCTTGCGCCCCGCGGTGGGGCCGTTGTCCCCAGCTCTCGCTCACTTACATAAGCAAGTCTGGTCTGTTCCTGGATGCGAAGTCCAAATTCCAGGCCTGCGCAGACGACAGCTTCGGGGTTGTACGTATACTTTCTTGTCGGGAATGTGCTACAGGCGAAGTGCAAGACAAGTTTTGCCGGGACATATCTGCTGGCTGGACTGGGGGCGTATGAGAGTCTAACGCCACGTGCGAGAATCCTCAAAAGGTATACTTCGGAGATGCGGTAAGGGTCCAGGCCGAATGAAGGCCCGGGACATAGCGAGACAGAGCGATGGTTTGTTCCGCCGACGAGCGACGGAAATCAGTCGCTGAAGTGCAATCAGCGCAGCATTTCTTGTATGTACCTAGGTAGTCAGGTACGCACCAATGCCGTTTCGCTTACAAAATCATGCAGCCCAAATGTGACCGAGCATCAAATAATGTAAGTGATGCCTCATGCCTTCGTGGGTCGGCTCGAGCTCCGCCGCGAGCTGCGGGACTGAGTTGAATAATTCGGGCGCTGCCATCCGTTTGAGACCATTGTTGGTGTTTACCCATTTCCAGGGTCTGTACCGCACAGCTTGAGATTGCTGGTTTGCAGGAGTCTTGGCTCTGAAGAACGGCTGGGCAGCACGGACAGTCCAGTCTGCAATGTGTCTCTGGCTAATTACATACAAAGTCCCTGGCCGAGACCAAGTGATTCAAAGAAGCTTTTTGGCCAAGAAATGCTTATGACGAACAATGGGAGCCGTGCACAGTGCATGGCGAACCTGCCCAGCAAGGCAAGTCCGCCCGCCTGTACAGTACGCTTAGATAGCCCAGTTGAGCCACATTCCGCGGTGTGAGCTGATCCGGCTCCCCGTGGGCCGATGATCGTGGCAGGGCCTGTTTCAGCCTGGATCGAAATTGATGCAACAAGGGTCGCGTCCCATTGTGTGCACAGTGAGCGGGGAATGAAAGATATCCCAAGGCACACCGATGAGCATACTCTCTCAGGCACGTCACTGACCAAGGCCAAGTGCCCAGATTGGGCTGGCCTCTGGTGCCCTGGCTGGCCTGGCTGGGCGGATTGGAGGCGGGATCGTGAACCAGGCCCTGTCGGGGGCCCTGCAGCGTGACGTAGCGTGGGCCGTGCTCGCGCACCCTTGCAGCACAAGCAGGGCCCGCCCAGGCCATCCTACCTTAAGGTAAGCTTATTTCGTGCTAGTCGGTGCTTGTTTCCCAGCTGCGGGAGGCCTGTTGACGTGGTGGTCCGCCCCTGGCTGGGCTCTGAGCAGGAATTCCTGCTCGGGGAGCGGCGTGTGCGTCGTCGACGACAAGGGAGGGAGGGACAATCGTCGCAGCTGGGGCCATGTCGCACCCTCAGGCACCGCTCACCCCCATGCCATCTGTGTGCCATGTGCGATGCATATTAACCTCCCGTTCCTCCTATCTCCATCATCGTAGTCTTCCGTTCCTGACCTTCTCGTGCAGCAGACTGCTTGCTTTGGGCCTCCAAGCCGTACATCGCCAACACGACTTTGCAATCTTTCGTCTCGTTGTGGAGTCTAGATACGACTGACAGCTGCTCTGGACCTTGTAGCCAGACTTTGACTCCCTCCTCAGCATACCACCTCACGCTGCAACGCTTACAATGGCCCGGTCAAGCGCCCACGACGGTCCCCTCGCAAGGGATCGTGAGAAGCACAGAGGCAGCTCTCAAGACCCGACTTTGCCCCGCACGCGTCAGGATGTCTCCAACGGCGGGCACCATCGCCAACATCGCAAGCAGAAGGGCCCCGTCAAGGTCAAGCCTGCTGGCGAGAGCGGCCGAACCGGTGTCAACCCGTTCAAGTTCATCAAGATCGTCTGGAAATCGACAAGCTACCTCTCCAGAGCAGTCAACATTCTCTGGCCTTTCGTCCCTGCCGCTATCGCCGTCAAATACACCATGCCCGACAGCCACGTCCTCATTTTCAGCCTGGCTTACATCGCCATGATTCCATGTGCCAACCTCATCGGTTTTGCCGGACAGGAACTTGCTCGCAAAATGCCTCACATGGCTGGTGTCCTCGTCGAGACAACGTACGTCGGACTGAGTACCACACATGCACTACTTGGGTCATATTTCGAACCACTGACATTTTAATGCCTTGCCAGAATTGCCTCAATTGTCGAAATCGTTCTCTTCATAGTCCTGCTCAAGGAAGGGCAGTACTATGTCATTAAGGCTGCCATCCTTGGTTCTATTCTTGCTACCATGCTCTTGTGCCTGGGCTTGTGCTTCTTCGCAGCGGGTATGCGGCATGAGGAAGCCACGTTTGATGGTGCAATCAGCGAGGTCGGCAGCGGCTTGCTCCTCATTGCGTACGTACTTAATCCTTCGGCCATATGAAAATGCACTAACACCCGTGCTATAGCGGTCTGGGTCTTGCCATTCCCACCATCTTCCACACGTCGCTCAATGCAGCTAGTGGCGACTCTGTGGACATTTCGGTCCAAGATATCACCACCAAAACTACGCAGATCTCACGTGTCGTCTCTATCCTTCTGCTTATTGCCTATGCTGTCTTCGTCTGGTTCCAGGTTTGTTTTCCCCCTGAGCTGGGTACCTCTGGGTACATCAAGTTTGATTCAATCCATTGATTAATGCGATGTACTAGATGCGAACTCACCACGGTCTTTACGATGCTGTCTTTGAGCATGACGAGAACCGTGATCGTGACGGCCACAAGGATCTGGCCAAGGAGAAGCTTACCTTGACCGAGTGTATCCTTGCACTTGCTGTATCTGTGGCGCTCGTCTCGATTATCGCCATCGCTCTTGTTCACGAAATCCCGGCGATCGTTCTCCAGGGCGGAGTATCAGATCCTTTCATGGGCCTCATCCTTGTGCCCCTCGTCGAAAAGGCTGCTGAGCATCTCACTGCCATCGATGAAGCCTGGGACAATCAGATCAACTTCGCGTTGGCGCACTGCATCGGCTCGACGATCCAGACTGCCATGCTCAATGCCCCACTTGTGGTTATCGCTGGCTGGGGCCTGAACGTTCCCATGGACTTTGACTTTGAGATCTTTGACATTATCCTCCTCATTCTGGCTATCATCACGGTCGGCAACTTTCTCCGCGACCAGAAGAGCAACTACCTCGAGGGCTTCCTTTGTGTCATTGTCTACGTCGCCATTGCCGTGGCTGCGTTCTACTACCCGACCCCTATCGTCGCGTACGAGCATGCCGTTCATTCTGCTGGCGGCGGAGGCCACTAGAATCTGAATCGTCTCAACGGTACTGCTCGCGTTGCAATTAACCTGTATCAGAGCCGGCTCCTCAGAGATCGCGTCAGTCGCCAAGCCCTTTCCGGCTTGGCGCTATGATGGACTACAGAGTCAATATGGTTGCGTCTGATTCGCAAGGAGCACGGTGCTCCGCAACAAATTTATCATGACTTATGAATAACGAAATTGAATGGATCTTCAAACTCTTTCAATATGATCCCTGATAATCAGGTTCCTCGACGTCCAGATATGGCGTCAGCGATGTGCTCCCAAAAATAAAAGTGACGGTTATGTATCGATTGTGACTCATAAAATCCATTCAGTTCGAGTGTGTAGTATGATATGATTGAAGTGGTCGCAAGGACCATGCGGGTATGAGATCCGGAGACATTGCTAATGCTATTGTGGAAACACGTCAGAATAGGTAACTGTGATTGGCTCATAACGCTCACAGTTTTGTTCGGTCACTTGCCTAAAACAGCCACAGCGAAAGTCTCCGGCTTCATGGCAGCGGAAAGTCTCCGAGCAGATTTCCCACAGGTTCATGTCAGCCAATTAATGCGAATAGTCTTGATGTGGATAGCGCACGGAGACCAGCTATCCTGGTTGTAAGGAACTAGGCTCTGCATCCTTCCATGTTTGCCATCTGTTTGAATACATGCATTGGGATTAGTACCCGAGCAATACAGGAGCTCAAGAACCGAGATGGATAAGAAGATGTCTCCGTGTGCGCTCACTTTAGAGGCAGATAGCCTTTAACTGGAGCTGTTGCACTGATCATGGATACAGCTCCGATAGGAAGCCTTGGACTTGCAAGGAAAGTGGCCGAGGCTTCGGTGAGTATATAACAATGCGGCTGCCTCTGGTTGTATCCATGGCTAGCATATCGTCAACTCTCGCACTTCACTACGACAACAGATCTCTCACTTGCTCAAATCAGAATACGCGATCTAATTTTAGTCCAGAGATTCCTGTGAAATACCTGGACCGGTTCTGTCCCATCTCCAAAGTTACAGCCGACAATACAATTAAAGGCCGAATCACCACAACCATCAGTACCAGCAAACAACGCCAACCCACTACCGCGGCAGCCATGGCAACAGCAGCGGCGGCGGCGGCAGCATCCGGGATCATCAAAGCCGATGTCCTGATCTTCGGCGCAGGCCCCGGCGGTCTGTCCACCGCCCAGGCCCTAGCCCGGCAGCTGTACACGGCCATCGTCTTCAGCGACCACACGAGCCCCTCTGGCGCGGGCTTCCGCAACAGGCTCACGAAACACATGCACAACGTGCCCGGCTGGGACCACATGGACCCGGCGGAATTCCGCGCCAAGGCCCGCGCAGATCTCCTCGCGCGGTATCACACTGTGGAGTTCCGCGATGTCGGGATCCAGAGTGTGCGGCAGCTGGCATCGGCACCGGCGCCATCAGCTGTGATTCTTGAAGCGGACGAGGAGGCCGAAGATGCCAAGGGTAGAAATGGTGCTGTGGACTTGGCAGTGGATGCAAGCACAGGAAGCCGCGGCGGAGTCGTGCAGGAAGAGGAGCAACAGCAGCAGCACGGGAAAATGCGGTTCGAAGCCGTCGACGCCAATGGCGTGACGTATCAGAGCAGGCGTCTCGTCGTGGCGAGCGGGATTAGGGACGTCATGCCCGAGGAGGAGATTCCCGGGTACACGAAGTTGTGGGGGCGGACCATGTAAGTCACCCTCTGTTCGCTTTCCCTGTCCCTTGTTTTTTGAAATCACCTACTTGGTCTTGGCACGTCCTTAGCAGAGTATACGACCTACCAACGCTGAATACTGACTGGAACCTGTACGACTGGCAACAGATACCACTGCCTCTTCTGCCACGGCTTCGAAGAGCGAGGGCACCCGTCCTCCGCGGTCCTGGCCACGGGCATGCTGGCCGGCCCGCACGGCGCAGGGGTTGCCCGGATGGCCGCAAGACTGGCGAGCACGGTCAACGTGTACACGAACGGCGACGAGGCCGTGGGCGAACAGCTCCGCGCCGAGCTGCGCGACACGACGAGGTTCCACGTGATCAACGACAAGATTGTCCGCGTGGACAAGGACCCCAATGTCGAGGGCGATGCTGGGCTGCTTGTCACGCTCGCGGGTGGAAAGGTCAACAAGGAGGGTTTCATGGTCAGTCGCTTCTTCTCCCCCTAGTGCTTCTATTGCTACCATCTGGCTTTCTGCTTTGCTTTCCATTCTATATATGCACGCTGCGATGCCAAAGTGTTGCTAACTGTCTCATGTTCCTTGCGGAAAGGCACACATGCCCAATGCCGAACTCAACGGTCCCTTTGTCAAGGATCTCGGCCTGAAGCTCACGTCTGGCGGCTGGATCGACACGGGCGACCCGGCAATGCCCATCCCCCAGACCAGCGTGCCCGGAGTCATGGCGGTCGGGGACTGCGCCACGATGATGAAGGCCGTCCCGACGGCCACGTACATGGGTGCGTGTGCGGCGGCGGGCATTGCGCACGACATCACCAACGAGGATGATGTCGCGAAGTAGATGGGCGGACGCATTGGTGCTTTGCAAAATGTTAGGGAAGGAGAAAAAACAGCCTTATGAAACGAGGCCGCAATGTGCAGAAAGGGAAAACGACATGGGACTTGTCGCTTTCAGAAGTTAGAAGGAATGGCTCGTACGCACACGCCAGAGAGTCAGAAATGGATTAAGACCTTGAGCTCAGAATGCTGTCGGAACAAGACTAAGAAACAAGGTGTTGTGGATATAATGCTTGCCATGCCATTACGCGGTCGAATCACAACGATCTCACATGTGTCTGCAGATCTCTGGCGATATTCATTCGCCTGTCATCATACCAGTTCTCTCGAGCGATAGACCTTGCTCCTATATGAAACCCACCAAAAATGAGAGCATTGATGCTCCCACGAGATGCAGGTTCAATCTCATTCTGAGCAAAGCACTTCACGAGATAGGTAAACTCCCATCAACCATTGATGTGGAGACGAGGATCTGTGATCGACGGCAGGGCCCCTCAAATCAGTGCGGCTGTGGACGCCGACGCATGTCTGGTGTAATAGACTTGACACTGTGCCGTTACTCAAAATCCGCCCATTAAAGGGTGGCAGCTGATCCCAGAAGGATGTGGTCTCACAGTCTAATCTAGCAAATCCAGACGGTGTAAGGCTGACACCGACCGCACCGAGTCCCACCTTTTCGACCCTGTTTCGTCCCATAAAATGATGTTCAGCCCGTTATGCTTGTGCGTTATGCTCACTCGTTATGGCCTCCAGAGCTCATTTCAGCTCAAGGTACTCGTTCTTCAAGCGACAACCAAGAAGATTTAAGAAGCCTTTCTTGTCCTCTGGAACTGGCCGTCATGCTTAGCTGTTATGTTTCATCCCCACCAGGGAACAGCTGCTGAAGTTGCATCGCAATTGCTGACTCACCCAGCATAGCATCTCAGATCAACCACGAGATATCCGCTTTCCGCACATCAGTGACAAGGATGTCCACACGGCAAGCCGGTGTCCCACAAAGCTCAGCAGCCAACAATAATAAAGTCATGGCCGTGGCACATGGGACCACAATTTCGCCAGAATCGCAGACCAGAGCGAGGACCAGACAGAGGCTTCACAAGCCGCCTACGCCGCTCGACGTCCCCGACATCAACGACGATGCCGCCGAGCGGAAGCGCGTCCTGAATGTCCTCGCGCAGAGGCGATACAGTGGGTTGTCCAAGAGTGCGCATGCGAAAATGGCTGCTGACGGCGTCGTACAGGAGAGCGCAAGCGGCAGTCAAAGCCTAAAAACACGACTGCGCGTGAACCCATTCAAAGTTCCCCCCCAAGTCATCCAGGTAACGACACGGTACTTCCAGAGACACAACCTGCGCAAAGGAATTCCCAAGATACCTCAGTGGAGGCGGCATCACCAGCTGTCGGCATTGAAGGTGCAACGCAAGAGACGTTACAAAGCTGCTCTGCACCTGACTCACACATATCGTCACCGTCCAAGGGCTGGCCTCTTGACTTCTTGCAAATAAGCAATGCGCAGCCTACGCTGGATCCGACGCTGCTACAGCTTGGCGGGAGCCTCTCGGAAACACCCGAATCGCTTACAACACTCGACACATCCCAGCTGTCTAGTGAAGACGAGGCTGCCCTCGCAGCATGTGCATTGACCGACCCAAATTGTTTCATCGGCCTGCCCGAGCTGGGCCCTTTCGCGGACCAGAGCGACCTTGCGAGCAGTCTATCCTGGGGTTCCAGCTCGAGCAGCACAGATACTTCACACCAGGAACTTGAACAAGACTTCCCAGACTCCTACTTGCTCCCGGTCACGGAGCTGATCCTGCTGCGGGCCTGCACACGCATTGGGGAGCGGATCCAGTGCTGCGACCGCATGTGGCGCATCGATGCCAACTCGTCGTTCGCCGACGGCACCATGACGCCGCTGGCAATCAGCATGCTCCCGCTCTCGTGGCAGCCTACAAAGTCGCAGGCGACGGTGCCGCACCACCCGATCCTGGACCTGATGCCGTGGCCGAGCGTGCGGGACCGGCTGCTACTCCTCATGGCGCTGCCGGACTCGATGAAGCCAGCTGCCGTGGCCGAGGGCCCCATGGCGGTGATACAGCTGGCCTATGACATGGAGGACTCGAGCGAGGGCCTGCGTGTCTGGGGCGGGGACGTGTATGACCCGATGGCCTGGGAGGTCGGGCAGGTCGTGTTTGAGAAGTGGTGGTTTGTGTTCGACCGGCAGGTTGTGGAACGGAGCAACTACTGGAGGAGATTGAGGGGGGCTCCGGATCTGAGAATGCCCAATCGTGTCGAAGAGGTCCATAGCTGATGGTTGCTGGCATTTGGCATCTTTGCCGACGCCACTGGCCACGAGTATCTTATGAGTGTGTGCTGGAGTGATTCCCACACTTGCATGCAGTTTCTGCACAAGCCTGAGACACGTGAACGTGCCGACGAGGCCGGGAGCAAGCTTTGCAAACGAACAAGCCTACCGGTTGAGAGCAGGTGTGCCCAACTGACTCAAATTCGCATTTGCCACGTTCGAACCCTCTTTGCTCAAAGTGTAGCACTGCGACTCTCTCGATGCCATGGCGAGAGAGTGAGAATGTGCCATGGAAACAACACAGGTTGTTTATGTCAGCGGCCCCCTTCTTGGCACGTCAAGAGCGAGCAAAGTTGGGGATCCCTGCCTGGCCGGGGTTGGGTGCCAGGCGGTGAGCAGGCAGGCGCGAGGGTGGGTGCTGCTGCAGGGGCACCCGGGGCGCAGACTGCGGGGCAGGCCAATAGATTCTGCCGCCCGGAGGCTGCCGCCTGCCTAAGGTGCGCCCGCAGCAGAGGGGCAAAAGAGGCCGTCCAGTCTCCACCTCAAAATTTGCCCAGGCCTAGCAAAAGGCTAATCCAGGACAGTTACGGCATGGACCTGTGTCAGTGACCGCCACGGCCGCCCGGGACAGCCATGTTCCAGAAGACAAAGAGCTATTGGACGGCCTCTCTGATGTGCATTGGCGTGTGAGCAAGATGCAAATGCAGTGTTGAAAGGCGGTGGGCAGCCCTGCACAGACAGCCAGCCAGGTGAGACACGTCACGGCGGCCTGTTGGGTGCTGTCCATCCCATGCACCCTGCCGAACCCGGCCCGGGCCCCGTGCGATGCCAGAGTGCTCACCTGGGAAGCCTGGCCGTCTACAGGAACGTGCTGCTGGAGTAGAAATCCAGCGAAAGACCGCCCAAGCAAGGAGGGACGTGGGGTGTCTTGGGTGAGAGGGCTGGCTTGGGCCAATTGAGACATGGCCCGCCGCTGGCTGCACTACTCGCGCATCGTCGTTGGGTGCCCGCCGGTGCGCCGGTCACCGGCCGACTCGCAGGTACCGCCGCTACCACAATTTCCCACCAGCGGTACATGGCTGCTTCCGATCGACGCTCTTGCTCTCCCTAGGCCAGGGCCGTCTTTTGTTGTCCTCACTTCTCTCCCGCCGGCTTCCCTCGTTTCCTTCCCCCTCCCACTTTCTGCTTCCCTACTTTACTGTCCTCACCTCATTCCTCCACAGTATCCTTTGCCATTGTCGGGGGAGCTGGCGTTTGCACTGACGGGTATTCAGACGGCTGGGTGACATCCTCCGCCATACTTGGGCTTTTTTGGGGGCCCTCCCTTTCCATATACCGCTCTGCTTTGCTGCCAGAGTGTTTAGATTGTTGGATTCCGGTAAGCTTCAAATTCCGTCCCCAGGAGCTATGTTCTGCCTTGGCCTCTTGGAAACGTCCCATTTGCCAGTGCCGACCACCGCCACTCACACTCTTCTGACGACAGTGTACTGTCGAACTTCCTCGCCCACGTCCACAGCACGGATCACGATTCGCGGTTCCTATCTCGTCCACCCAGTCTCTTTCACCTCGATCCATACACAACCGTAACCATGCATATCCGGGATATGGTTGCAGATGCCGAGAGGAGCGGTCAGCCTTCCTTCTCCTTCGAGTACTTTCCGCCCAAGACCGCCCAAGGTGTGCAGAACCTCTACGACCGCATGGAGCGCATGTACGATTTCGGCCCGAAGTTTATCGACGTCACCTGGGGTGCTGGAGGTCGCATTGCGGAGCTCACATGCGATATGGTCGCCCAGGCTCAGGCCTATTTCGGTCTCGAGACCTGCATGCACTTGACGTGCACTGACATGGGCGAGGCGAAGGTCAACGATGCGTTGGCCAAGGCCTACAAGGCTGGCTGCACAAACATTCTGGCTCTCCGCGGCGATCCTCCGAGAGCAACGGAGAAGTGGACAGCCACCGACGATGGCTTCCAGTATGCCAAGGACCTCGTTGCCCACATCAAGAAGCTGTACGGGAACCATTTCGACATCGGTGTAGCTGGATATCCGGAAGGCTGCGACGACAACAAAGATGAGGAGTCCCTCCTGGACCATCTCAAGGAGAAGGTCGATCTCGGCGGCACTTTCATTGTCACGCAGATGTTCTACGATGCCGACAACTTCATTCGCTGGGTCAAGAAGGTGCGGGAGCGTGGAATCACAGTGCCCATTCTGCCTGGCATCATGCCAATCGCTACGTACGCTAGCTTCCTGCGCCGTGCCACGCACATGAACTGCAAGATCCCCGAGGAATGGATGGCGGCCCTGGAGCCTGTCAAGAACGACGATGTCGCCGTGCGTGAGGTCGGCAAGACTCTGGTAGCGGAGTTGTGTCGCAAGATCATGGCTGCGGGCATCCACCACCTGCACTTCTACACCATGAACCTTGCCCAGGCCACACGCATGGTGCTGGAGGAGCTTGACTGGATGCCCACCTCCACCCGTCCCACCAAGAAGGCGCTTCCCTGGAAGCAGTCTTTGGGTCTCGGCCGTCGCGAAGAGGATGTGCGGCCCGCCTTCTGGCGTAACCGCAACAAGTCCTATGTCTCGAGAACCCAGGACTGGGATGAGTTCCCCAACGGCCGCTGGGGTGATTCGAGGTCGCCTGCTTTCGGCGAGCTGGACGCGTACGGCATTGGTCTGACGGGCACAAACGAGTCGAACCGCAAGAAGTGGGGAGAGCCGCAGTGCATCAAGGATGTCGCCCAGCTGTTCGTCCGCTACCTCGAGAAAGACATTGACTCCCTCCCTTGGAGTGAGTCACCACTTACTAGCGAGGCCGACTCTATCAAGGATAGCTTGATCAAGCTCAACCAGCGCGGCTTCTTGACAATCAACTCCCAGCCAGCCGTCGGCGGTGTCCGTTCCAACCACCCCGTCCATGGATGGGGCCCTTCGAATGGATATGTCTACCAGAAGGCTTACCTCGAGCTACTTGTGCCGCCCTACATGTTTCCGGATGTCGTCAAGAGAATTGAGTCGAACCCCGACATGTCTTACTATGCCGTCACTCAGCACGGAAGTCTCGTAACGAATGCACCTTCCGAGGGACCAAACGCCGTGACCTGGGGCGTTTTCCCAGGCAAGGAAATCGTGCAACCGACCATCGTCGAGGGCATCAGCTTCCTTGCCTGGAAGGATGAGGCTTTCCAGCTCGGAATGGACTGGGCTCACTGCTTTGATGCCAACACCCCAAGCCGCATCCTGATCGAGGACATCATGAATGAGTGGTACCTGGTCAACATTGGTAAGCATTTTGCGTCTCAGGAGTCTAACATTCATATGACTAACGTGCTGCAGTGAACAATGACTTCCACGACCAGACGTCCATATTCGAGCTCTTCGATGGCCTGGCTGCCAAAGATCTCGAGGCTCCGCCGACTCCTACTCTCTCCACAGCGACCATTAACGGATCCTTGTCCAATGGTACTCATGATACTAATGAAGCTGTTGCTGCTACTGCGTAGTGGTTTTTCAGCCATCCAAAGATGCTGGCAATCTGCCATATACTTCAACACACACTAATCCACCCCTGAACACAACACAAGCGGTGTGGTACTAGAAATGTCTTTTTCAACAAGCATGTAGCCTCGGCGTTCTCCTCTTTCTGATTCAACTTTCTGGCTTTTTCATACACGGGTATTACACAAAAACGAACTCTTACGACAAATGCTCATGGGAGCAACATTGGATTTTTCAACAAAAATTCGGATTGCGGCAAGGCGCCAGGGGAATCATTAGGCAAACGGTCACCAATTATAACGCGGCGTTGGCGAGCCGCGGAAAATAGCCGGGCCAAACAGTGTTTATGCATATCTCAACGATACCCCACAGACTAGAGAGGAAGATGGAGTTGTTCTACATGGCCGGAGCGGCATGTATGAGGAAAGCTCGACAAGCAGGATCTAGTCCTTGAGAAGGACGCGGAGACTGAATAAAACGAGCTGGGACAGCACGGAAAAAAGATAGATGCACAAATCAATCCAAATTCTGCGCTGCCACTTCCCACGAATTGTGTTGATTGTGAGAAGCATCTCAAGGGCTGCAGCTTTCCGGCTTTCCAGCTTTCCGGCAGACTAGGTAGGTATTGTTGTGAGCCCATGCCGTGACCAGCCCAGTTAATGTGTTCTCAGGATCGTTCCGCCTGCAAAACTGCAAGCTGAGCCCTCAACGTACTCTATTTTTCTGCACGCATCACAATTGTGCCACGGCCTTCGGCCTTCGCGAGCCATTTACTCCATGACAAAGACTTCGCTAGACTCATGCTTAGATCTGCAATGCCAACTCTATGCGAGTTTGAACCCAAAACTTTCCTGGCCAAGGATCATCACCTTTAGATCTCCCGATCCCCACCACCACCACCACCCTGACCACCACCCTGATCATATTTCATCATCAGCGGCACCAGCACCAGCAGCGGCCGTCTCGGCGTCTGGATCCCGCACCGACGGCGCCGGCCGCGTATTCTCGACGGGGTCCTTCCAGCGCGTCATGAGCATCTGCGGGAGGAACGTGTCGAACGAGACCCGGACGTCGGTGCAGGCCTTGATTACGCGGATCATCATCCTGTGCGCCTGGGGAGACGGCGGCGGGATGCTGCTGCTGTTGCTCAAGGGAGGCGGTGGTGCCGCCGCAGCAAGGGCGACCTCGCAGGTAACGAGCTGGAGCTTCATGCCGATCTCGCAGAGCGAGAGGAGGTTGTCCTCGAGGGGCACCTGAATTTCGTCGCTGCTTCCTTCGCCCGCGCTGGTTGTGATGGATGGTTGTTGCACCGCCCCGATGGCTCTGTCGTGGCGGCTTCGAGGAACATTGTCGTATCCGCTGTCGATCACGGTAGGGCGGAGGGTGAGCATGCCCATTGGGCCGGCGCCACGGAGAGGGTTGTCGAGCGGGCTGTGCTCGTCGTCGTCGTCGTCGTCATCGTCGTCGTTGCCAACATCGCTGGGGTGGCTTGCGACCCTTGCGCGATCCCCGGCTGCAAGGATGTCGTCGTCAATATTGGTGTTGTCGTTATCGTTGCTGCAGATGGTAGTGGCAAAGCCGAGGCTTTGCATGCGTGTGGTAAAGTCGTCTCTGTCCTCGCGCTTAGCACGTTGAATTTTGGTAATCACATAGGCCTGTTCAATCTCCTCGCTGACCTCGAGGTCCTCCGTGCTCGTAGTCTGTGACGCAAGCTTGGAGAGTTCCTCAAAGCCCGGCGTCGTCGCGAGAGCCGTCTCGACAAGCGCGAGCAGGTCCGCGAGCTCGTTGTCCGCCTCGCCAACTCTGGCACTTTCGCTCTCGCAGAACACCAACGCGCAAGCACGGTGGAAAGGCCCGGGCAGTCTATTCGACAGCAGGTGCGTGGCGTGCAGCTCAGAGGGCGCAATGTCGCAAATATGTCTCGCAGCGAGGATGTCCTTGTTGTACTCCGGGCCGACGTCGTGCGTGAGGACGTAGTTGAGGAAGTTTTTGACCAAGTTCGCAGCCTTCTCGATGGCCACGTCATCATAGAGATACGAGTCTATGATTGTGCGCGAGCTTGTACGCGTCACGCTATTTGTCAGTAAGAACGTCTTTATAGATTGGGACAGCCTTGCGCATGTGTGCCAGGGAACGACACTCATAACCAGCAAATGGACTTACAGGAACCCCTTGACGATGGCCTCAAAGTCTACGACCCAGTCCTTGCTGCCGGGCTCGTAGAACCGCGAGCCTGCGTTGCCGACAAAGTCGCGCGCCGTGGCGGCACGCATCGCGTCCTTGTCCCCGAGCTGCGTCAGGGCATCAATGTCCGCTGCGATGCCGGTGAACTGGCGCTGCTCGCTGTCGACGCCGCCCAGGAACATGTACTTGTTGAACATGAAGGTCTGTTCTGGATCCATCTTGCGACGCGCACGGTAGCGCTGGATCCATTCCTCGATGCGGCTGTGCAGAGTTGGAAATTTATGTCAGTAAGTGACGAGAGGCTGGGTCAAAGGTCCTGCTATGGTCGCACTTACTCGATAAAAAGGCGATCCCTGTCATCTTGTCAGCTTTTCGATCAGATAAAGAAACACGGGCGATTTCGAGTGTACACGTACTTGGAGTACAGCTCCTCCTCAAGGAGAGCTTCAGCTGGAGTCAGGGGGGCGTCGGCGAAGAATTCTGGCCTCTATGTCAGCTCAGTTGCCTCCACCCAAGGACTTTGAAACACTGTCCAGCGAGCTCATCCGTAGGTACGTACCCTCGAAACCTGTGACCGGGTTTCTCTTCTTCTTCTTGCTCTTGCTCTTGCTCTTCTTCTTTTTCTTCTTGGGCTTCTGGGCGTCCTTGTCCACGTCAGATGTTGCCTCGTCATTTGCGTTGTTCCCAGCAAGAAAGTGACTGTCTACATCCTGGGCTGCATCCTTGTGGTTAGACGGCTGGCTGGGGGCGTGGTCGGGCTCAGTTGTATCACAGATGTCGCTGGCAGCAGAGTTACGATCTTGCTCCGCTGTGTTTGTGCGGTGTGAAGTCGACGTGAGATTGTCGTGAGCGGGCATGCTGAGATGTCCTGTCATTCTGTCGACCGCGAGAGTCACCTTGGCGCTGCCTTGCAATAGACTCCGAGACTCTTGTGATGCTGCCTGCACGCGTATGCTGCGAATCTCTGAGTAACAAGATATGCGATTGGCGGCCAATGTGATGGAGTGTGAGCACGCCCCAGAGTCGATGGCGAAGCTGTGGGTTGTCCGCGTACTAAAGTATTCAGGACGTGAAGAGCATTGGAGGAATGATAGATGTGAAGAATCACAACTCAAGCTTGGGCCTAAAGCAAGACTGTCTATGGCGAAATACCGAATAGCTAGAGGTGGCTGAATGTCGTTGCACGGAAGAATGTTTTTACTGAGGGCCGCGTCTTCGGGTATTTGCAACGGCCATTGTCTTGTCTAAAGGGATTGATGTTCCCTCGGTGCCTGACGCTGTTGAGCGACGGACAGGTGCCTTCATCAGCTGCCGTTTGCACAGTGCTGAGGCGTTTGCAGGTTCTCGCTTGCCATGAGTGTCACGTCTCCTCCTCTCGTGCCGCTCAGGTGGCTGCCGAGGCTGTCTGATTGCAGCTTTAGCTAATGAGTCAAGCGAGACTCATCATTATCAGTTCGTTCACCTACGGATCAATTTTCCTGCGCGCATACCTCTATGAAGATAGTACGTAGGAAGCAATGAATGTGTGACGCACTCTTGTTGAGTAAGTGGCGGGCGCCTCGAAAAGGCATCTCCATCCTCTGGGACATTATCTTTCGACATTCATGCAGACGTCAATCGCAAGTCGTGGTCTCGTGGAGGCACGCGTCCTGCGATGAGTGGTGAGCCCCATCTCAGTTCTAGATTTGTGACCACGACGTTCGCACCGTTTCTACCGATAGCCTCAGGGCAATGACACAGAGCAACCTCAGCCTACCATGTTACAATATGGACCTCGGAGAGGGGGGGCCAGCAGAGAGCACGCGACCATGCCAACTCATGGAAAGCAAAGGGCCAAGCGTCCATGCACGTTGTTCAAGTTAGCAGCAATGGTTATCGTATGTGGAATATGCTCTTGACCGTGCACGGGACGAGAAGAGCCAACTGCGACTACAGCATGGGATAGTATCACACGATATACTGAAAATAGGATAGGGCCGAGCACGCACGGCTTTGTCGCGTTGCAGCAACGGTGCCTGAAACGGACACGAAAGGGGCCAAGGCCTCCCGATGAGAGTGCGAGACGTGGTCGATGGCCCGGGACCGTCAGATGGCCCATGCCGTGCAAAATGTCCGTTGAATTACAGCTCGTGGCGCAGGCTCGGGTATAATCCATGTTGCATCCCGCGACGATAGGAGTCCCTGACCCTGGCAGTTGGCCACGATGTTGAGACGGGCCACTACGAGGATATCCACTCCAGCTCATTGTGGACAAGCTGTCCGGCTGGAGCGGGCGTTTGCGTGGTGGATAGGGGCCTCTTCCTGCTGAAGGTTCACTCGACAAGTTGCCAGCACCTGCGCATGGCTGCAGGCCTTGCAAGCACGACGAGACGAAGTGGTGCAGGCGAGCGACTTCTAGAAGATTGACGTATTGAGACAAAGAAAGGATCATCCTTGCCCAAAGGACGCGAGCGGACGGGCACGCCTTCGCCCCCCTCCCAATTCGCCCCTCCCGCCCGAACCCGCCGCCCCTGCGGTTAGCGATTTAGTGTCCGAAGTTGCTCGCATGTAGCTTCGCAGCGGCCATGGGGTTTCCATGGTGGCCCTGGAGTCCTGCATGGAAGTGTCCAAAAGGCAGTATCATGAGCAGCCTCAGTCCCTGGCCGACATGGCTTGGCCCGCGTCGATAGTCCATGACCTGCTGCTGGCCACGGAGATGTTGCAGTGTGGCCATGATCGTCTTTGCCCCTGAAAATTGCCGTCTCCACGCAGGCGGACGCCAGTCTTGTGCACTGCCACGCCTACCGAGCTGAGAGATTCGCGGCCGCCGTGGTGTGCAATTGGCCCAGCCGTGTACCAAGGAGGGTCGGAGGTTGTCTAAGCGCAGTGGCACGCTCACTCGCTCGCTCGTGTTGGGCCATCCTGTTCCAGGTCCAGCTACGACATGGTGGTAGCAAGCAGTGCTTATTAACGCTGTGTCATTTCCAAGGCGGCCCCCCTCTTCGAACCCCCGACCCCACATCCACCCCCTTCCAAGCCGACCGTTCCTCCACGACACGACCATCATCGCAATCCGCTTCCCACCTAAGCCTTCTACCTCATTCTCGGCTGCTTCCATATCCTCATCCTCTCGCTTCGTACGACTCTACAGCAGCCAAAATGTCGTGGAAGCTCACCAAGAGTAAGCTGCCTCCTCCTGGCCATACCACGTTCCTCACCAGCGCATCACCTCCTGCATACCTCGCCTGCCGCTCTGTGCCCACGTTGTCAGCGTGCCTCCAAGGGTCTGCTCGACCTGCATTGCGGAACAAGCAGCTCTTATCGCATCGCAGCTCCTTGACTGGATCAGAGATGACACTGACACCATGAATCAGAATTGAAAGACACCCACCTGGGGGCGGCCCTCCCGGGCTTCTCCAGAACTCCATCGACCTCTACCATTACCGACAAGGACGAGAAGATGGTTTCCACCCCTACGACGCCGAACCCCAGTGACCCCAATGCCATCGGTAAGCTGTTACGACCAGCGCCAGCTTGCGCTTCCGCCCCCTCGAATCTTCTTGCTAACCTCAACCGCTTGTAGCCGCGTCAGAGGCTCTCGTGCAGGAGCCGGTGCTTAAGCCTCCTAAGCCCGGTATCCTCGTAGTCACCCTTCACGAAGGTCAGGGGTTCTCTTTGCCAGAGTCAGCTCGGAATGCCTTCAGCTCGCAACATGGCGGTTCCATGTCGACAGGGAACGCTCTCAACGCCGCTGGCTCGGTCAGGCCTGGCTCCTCCTCGCGTCAGGTTGCCGGTTCTTTCGCCAACGGCTCCGCCCGACCTCAGACCTCTGCTGGAGGCTTTTCCGGCATTCCTTCAAACCACGGTCGAATCTCGAGCAAATACCTCCCCTATGCGCTGCTGGATTTCGACAAGGTCCAGGTCTTCGTCAACTCCGTCTCCGGCACGCCAGAGAACCCGTTGTGGGCAGGCGACAACACGCAGTATAAGTTTGATGTTTCTCGTGTCACAGATCTTAATGTTCATCTCTACATGCGCAACCCCAACGCCCCTCCTGGTGCGGGACGAAGCCAGGACATCTTCATTGGCGCCGTGCGGATCCAGCCCCGCTTCGAGGAGAGACAGACTTTCGTGGACGATCCCAAGGCCAGCAAGAAGGACCGGGAGAAGGCGGCTGCCGACTTTGCCAACCGTGAGCGGACCCTTGGGCACTCTGGACAGGACATTCTGGATGTTCAATACGGCACCGGCAAGCTCAAGATCGGCGTGGCCTACGTTGAGAACAGGGCGGGCAAGCTCAAGATTGAGGATTTTGAGCTGCTCAAGGTTGTTGGCAAGGGCAGTTTCGGCAAAGTCATGCAGGTGCGCAAGAAGGACACCAACCGTATCTATGCCTTGAAGACAATTCGCAAGGCACACATTATCTCGCGGTCTGAAGTGGCGCACACATTGGCCGAAAGATCGGTTCTTGCTCAGATCAACAACCCCTTTATTGTACCGCTCAAGTTCACCTTCCAGTCGCCAGAGAAGCTCTACTTCGTCCTAGCATTTGTCAACGGTGGCGAGCTCTTCCACCATTTGCAGAAGGAACAGCGTTTCGACGTCAACCGGGCCAGATTCTACACTGCCGAACTTCTCTGTGCCCTCGAGTGCTTGCACGGCTTCAACGTCATCTACCGCGATCTCAAGCCAGAGAATATCCTGCTCGACTATCAGGGCCACATTGCCCTGTGCGATTTTGGTCTTTGCAAGCTCGACATGAAGGACGAGGACAGGACGAACACCTTCTGTGGCACCCCCGAGTATCTGGCTCCTGAGCTGCTCATGGGCCAGGGATACAACAAGACTGTCGATTGGTGGACTCTCGGTGTCCTCCTGTACGAGATGTTGACTGGACTACCTCCGTTTTATGACGAGAACACCAACGAGATGTACCGCAAGATCTTGTCGGAGCCTCTCCACTTCCCCAGCGCCGACATTGTGCCACCAGCGGCCAAGGACTTGCTAGCCAAGCTACTCAACCGCAACCCGGAGGAGCGCTTAGGCGCGAATGGCAGCGCCGAGATCAAGGCCCATCCGTTCTTCCACGCCATTGACTGGCGCAAGCTGCTCCAGCGCAAGTACGAGCCAACGTTCAAGCCCAGTGTGGTAAGTCCAACTTTTTGAGAATTCGTATGCAAGTTGCTTGAGGTAGACTTGAGCTGACACGCGTGGTGCAAAGATTGATGCGCTTGATACTGCCAACTTCGACCCTGGCTTCACCGGCGAGGCACCCCAGGACTCGTTTGTAGAAGGCCCGGTGCTCTCGCAGACGATGCAGAACCAGTTTGCAGGATTCAGCTACAACCGACCGATTGCGGGTCTCGGAGACGCTGGCGGCAGTGTCAAGGACCCCTCCTTTGTCGGCAGCATCCAGGACCGGCGCTAAGCATTTGTGGTGAATGACTGTGATCGGCGGCAGCGACGGGGCGGGACAGAGCACTCTGTGCGGTGATGCTTGAGACCAGGCTGCCCTTGGAACGTTGCAGGTCGCGGCGCATGGAGGGAAAGCAGAACAGTGGCATTTTCATACGGCGTTTTGGGCAGGCGTTATCTTTGTGCTTGGAGAGAAGGCAGACAAGAGGCGCGCTTTTTTGCGAGCTTGGGTTTGTGAATTTCTTGCCCGCAAGAATGGCAGCATTACATGGATGCAGGGGAAGCAACAGGGGTCCAGTAGATAGACACAATACAGTCTGTTGCGACAAACACGAAGAGGCTGGGGACAAAGTTTTGGGCGCAGCTGCTGGTTGCATCGCGGTAGGCAAGTCGTCCTGGCGCTACACTACGTGCGGCAGACGGACGCGGCCGGATTGGCTGCTTGGCCCCGCCGGTTCTTTTCCAGCTCGTGCAGGGAAGGTCGAGTCCAGTCCAGTCCAGCGAGGTACCCACTGGCTCCCGCCGGTGCCGGGCGCAGGGCAGGGCCGGACGGGGCAAATTGCCGTCATCAGTGGTGGGATCCGGACGGCTATCGCAATCGCAGCCAATCCAGCCCTCACTCAGCCCCCACGGGTTGAGTCGAGCTTGAGCACCGTCTCCAAGACTGCTTGCTCCTCGAGCGTTCATACTCTGTGGTGTGTTCCCAGTCCCACAGGGCTTCAGAGCTGCCATTGCGTTGTTTGTGTATCTTGTTGTTTGTTGGTGAAGCAGCTCGGAAGCTCTGGCGGGATGCATACATCGGAGCTCTGGCGTGTTACCCCGCCAGCATATTATGGAAGCTCATGGTGCGCGCATTTGATGTCATAGGGCGCCGGGGCAGAGGGGCGGGCCACAGCTCGTGTCTGTCTGTCAGCAACCTGCAGCTTGTGGGCACCGGCCGGTGGAGGAGATGGAGAGGAACTGCAGCAATCCATGGATGTCTGGTGTGGCACTCATTGGTGGCTGCTGCTGTCGCCATGCATCTCAAGACGGTGCCCCACCATCGTCACCATGGCATGGCGCCGCTCGTTCCCATTGCGGGCAGTCGCGACCCAGCTGTGCCTCTGGCCGTTTCACCCCAGCCCGTCTGGTCCTCCTCTTAGGTAGCCTACCACACACGTCGAGACAACCAAAGCTTTGAGCCTTTTGCTACTCCTTCTTCCCACTCCCATCTTCCCCCACTGACACCCTTCCTCCAATCCACAGCTCGGCTTGCACCACAACACACAATCCACAGCCCCCAAGATGGTTCAAGCTACCTCTCTCCCCAGCTGGGCGTCGCTCGACGACCACTACCGGAGCACCGGCAAGACCTTTGTCCTCAAGGAGGCCTTTGCTTCCGACCCGGACCGCTTCAGCAAGCTCAGCAAGACCTTCTCCGTCAACGGCACAGACGTCCTCTTTGACTTCAGCAAGAACCTCGTCACCGAGGAGACCATCGACCTGCTCGTCAAGCTCGCCACCGAGGCCGGCCTGGAGAAGAAGCGCGATGCCATGTTCAATGGCGAGAAGATCAACTTCACCGAGCAGCGTGCCGTCTACCACCCCGCCCTCCGCAACGTCGGCGGCTGGGAGATGAAGGTTGACGGCCAGGACGTCATGAACGTCAAGGGCGGCGTCAACGATGTCCTCAACCACATGAAGGAGTTCTCCGAGCAGGTCCGCTCTGGCGAGTGGAAAGGCTTCACGGGCAAGAAGCTGACCAACATCATCAACATCGGCATTGGTGGTTCTGATCTGTAAGTGAGACCTCTCAACGGGTCCTTTTGTGGACTGAGCCATCGCTAATTGTGACAATGTCCTCTCCTGCAGCGGCCCTGTCATGGTTACCGAGGCTCTCAAGTACTACGGCGCCGAGGACATGACTCTGCACTTCGTCTCCAACATCGACGGCACCCACATCAGCGAGGCTCTCAAGGCCTCGGACCCCGAGACCACCCTCTTCCTTGTCGCCTCCAAGACTTTCACAACCGCCGAGACCACCACCAACGCCAACACGGCCAAAACGTGGTTCCTGGAGAAGACTGGCGGCAAGGGCGAGATTGCCAAGCACTTCGTCGCTCTGTCCACCAACGAGGCCGAGGTCACCAAGTTCGGTATCGACAGCAAGAACATGTTCGGCTTTGAGAGCTGGGTTGGTGGCCGCTACTCCGTCTGGAGTGCTATTGGCCTGAGTGTTGCCCTCTACATTGGCTTCGACAACTTCCACAAGTTCCTGAGCGGTGCTCACGCCATGGACAAGCACTTCCGTGAGACTCCTCTCAAGGACAACATTCCCGTCCTTGCTGGTCTCCTCAGTGTCTGGTACAGCGACTTCTTTGGTGCCCAGACTCACCTTGTTGCTCCGTAAGCCGCCTTTCCCTCTTCTGGTGCTTAATTTTGAGATGTCTGGCTTACATATATGTCGCAGCTTCGACCAATACCTGCACCGCTTCCCGGCTTACCTCCAGCAACTTTCCATGGAGTCGAACGGCAAGACCATCACATCGGATGGCTCACCAGCCAAGTACACGACCGGCCCGATCCTCTTCGGCGAGCCCTGCACCAATGCTCAGCACTCTTTCTTCCAGCTTGTCCACCAAGGCACGAAGCTCATCCCCACTGACTTCATCCTCGCTGCCAAGTCGCACAACCCCATCTCCGACAACCTGCACCAGAAGATGCTGGCGTCCAACTACCTTGCCCAGGCTGAGGCTCTCATGATTGGAAAGACTGCCGACCAGGTCCGCGCTGAGGGTACACCCGAGGAGCTGGTTCCCCACAAGGTCTTCCTTGGCAACCGCCCTACCACAAGTATCCTTGTTGGCGGCACCATTGGCCCTGCCGAGCTCGGTGCCTTGATCGTCTACTACGAGCACCTCACCTTCACAGAGGCTGCCATCTGGGATATCAACGCGTTCGACCAGTGGGGTGTCGAGCTTGGCAAGGTGCTCGCCAAGAAGATTCTGTCCGAACTCGATAGTGCAGATGCGGGCAAGCACGATTCCAGCACTGGCAGTCTGATCAGTGCTTTCAAGAAGTATGCCGCCTGACTACCTGAAGATGATGAGGTTCCAGGCAAAGCTGGCGAGCGTTCTCGGCTATGAGAGGGGCAAGCACTTTGTCTGTGAGTATCTTGATATCCTGCCAGTGTTCCTCAGAGTAACATTGTAGCATAAAATAATGATGATGGCTAGAGACAAAATCTGGCAAGACAGTGTTTTGCAGACGGGCGACAGTGATTGAAAGTCAAATTGTGAGATTTAATTAACAACGTCGTGCTTGACTGCCAAAATCCTTCTCAAATCTTAAAATGGGCCCCTCCGGTTAAAAGCATTAAAACACCCATGTTCAGAATGACTGCTTTCTGAAATGGGACCTTTTCCTGTAAATCCATCTCGGACGGAAGGACTTCGCTCGCACTCTCCAGCAGAACGCCACGACTCCACGATAGAAGGGAGGGTAATTGAGGGTATCATGTTGCGCAGAAGCACTAGCAGGCGCCAGCAAGTATCAAACCATCTAATCAGTGCACAAGCAACGATTTCAGGACAGGGTATGTGCAGACAGTTGTTTTCTCCTTGCTAGATCTTGGCACGTTATATATTGTCGGCAAAACGACAAAAGGGTTTCGCGTGAAATTACTTGCTTCAGACTTTTGTTCCGTGAACCAGATCAGTGCCCCGTCTTTGAGGGATCCGTAACTGGGCTAGACTGGTTCGAGGTGCCTGGCGGAGCACCTGTCCTGGGCTGCGCAAACGAGAGCTTTGAAGTCGCCGTGAAGTGGTGTCCGCCAAGCTTCCCAGGCTTGGAGAACTTGACCGGGCTTGGCGAGGCCAGATCGGGTCGGTCGGACGTCTTGGGCTCGAAGTGAGCTGGCGTGCCCATGTTTGGCTCGAGAATCTTGACAGGGCCAGTGAGCGGCACGCTCATCCCAGGAGGGCCTTCTGGCTGATACGGAACAAAGAGGTCGGGCTCGGCTGCCGGTTGCGCAGCCGGCGTGGAGGGCGAGCTGGGGCGAAACTCTGGTACGACCTGTTCAGGCTCCGGGGAAAGTTCGTGTTTGACAGTGGGGCTGGCGTTGTAATCCAGAGGGATCGCAACGTTGTCCTCGATCTTGATGCTCGACACTGCCGGTGGTGCTGTGAAAGGAGCTTGTGGGGTGCCGTTAGAAGAACCCAGGGTATTATGGGCAGACACATCGAAACCTGGCGTCACAGGTGCTTCATCATGAGCAACGCTGCTGGAACTGCCTGCCACAGTGTCCATTGCATGTGAACCAGCTAGTTCAGTTGAGGCGCTCAATGATTCCGTCATCGCTTGCTGGCCTAGTGCTGCCTTCCTTTCGGCCTCGGCTCGAGCTCGCTCTTCTTTCTTTTCTTTTGTGAGAACATTGATCTTGATTCTCTTCATACCATTCGTGATGTTGTCTAGCTCATCTCTGCCGAGCGACGCGCGAGTCCGCGCAGGTCGCTCAGATGCAGGAATAGGTGGCAACGGTGGAGTCTCAATTGAAGGCACCTTTGTCTTTGACGATTCTGAAGAGGTGCGAATGAGTAAGGGTGCCTTAGGTTTTGTGGCTGTGGACGGTGCGCCGCTTGTGTCTTTCGGTTTGCGCGCACGAGGTTTAGCTGGGGACGACCTCGGCGTGGCCCTTGTCTTCTTGACCGTCAGTGCTGGCGGGACAGATGTTTGCACCACTGTTGCTGGTTCACCTGTCCCTTGCGTCGCTGAAGTTGTTTCGTTGTTGGGAGCTTGCTCTGAAGATTCGTGCGTGGCTGTCAATATGGTCGACGAAGCACTAAGTCGTCGACTATGATTCCTTGCATGTGTGCCTTGTGTAGGTGTCGGAGTATTGCGGCCAGAAGTCTGCAACAAGTCAGTTTTCTATCGATTCCACGGCAACTCAACCTTGTTTAGATCACCTACCTTTTCTTTTGAGGATATTGTCGCACCTCCGACAGTCTTCCTTCTGTTTCTGCCGAGATCTTCGACCTCTAGAGGCTCAGCTGCCTTCACTGGCCGTCTCTCACGCAAAGACATTCGCGTCGACGCCCGAGATGGCGTGGGTGGAGGTGGCGGTTTGTTGGCAGCATCGAGCGCGATTGCCGCAGCTTGCCGAGCCCGCCGGGCCTTGGTCTCGGCATTTAGTTGTTCCCAGGTGAAACTGGTTGTCTGACGATCACTGGGCACAAGGAGCTTGCCCAGCTCCTGTACGGCAGCGGGCCAGGGAACATCAGGAGGAGGTGGTGTAGGCACCCGGTACATGATTGTCTGCGTGCCGCTCAAGCCTGATGTTCCGGACATGCTTCGCTTGGTTTTGGCGAGATCTGTCTCCCTGGCCGTGGAAGCATGGGTAGGGGAGAAGTACGTCGGCACAATGGTCGTGCGCGGTTTTTTGGGCTCCTGTGCTGGGGGCGAGACATATGTGTCGAAGCGGTCTAGTTCTGTTCTGGACCACCAGTTCGGATCGTATGGGAATCCTGGTACCTTGAGAGCATTGAGTTCCGCATCCGTCATCGTACTCCGACGCCGACCCAAGGACGCAATCCTGCTACTCAACTCCTGATTGAGTTCTGGCTTGATCTCGTCCTTGGGGTTGATGGAATCTGTACCTGCAAGACCTCCGAGATGGCTTAGAACGCCGGAGTAGAGGGCTCGATCGCTATATCCGCCTTCTAGCACACTCATTACTCGGCCGTCCACACTCAGACCCTCTTCTGACGCAATTTTAACGACGTCTCGAGTGAGACGAGCATAGAACTCCGTTGGCACATTCACCTTGTGACGCTGCATGCCATCGGTCTCGTACTCGCTTGCGTCGAAGCCGGCAGATAAGAAAATCGCACCCCGTGGCTCCTGCCCCATCGCACGGTACTTCTCCGTCTGCGATTTGCAGTACTGGCGAGTCTTCTCCAGGAGGATGGAGTATCTCGACTGGTAAAGTTTCCAAAACTCGACCTCGGTTTTCCACTCGTGAAGGTGGACGTTCCACACGTTCTGGCCATGGGCGTTGTCTATGCAGACGCTCGCATTTCGAACCTTTTCTTCATCGCCCCATTCGCAGGGGAACGAGTTGATGTCATGCACACTGAAATAGCCGATAGACGTCTTCTTCCACGCTGCTGCGTTTTTGGTAAGGCCACGTTGATTGTGTTCCCAAGCGATTGCCTGTGAGCCGTCACCGTGATGCAGGTCAAAATCGATGATCGCAGCATGTGTCAGGCCGTGGTTGAGTATGCCGTGCATGATGCCTACATGCACGTTGTTTACCCAGCAAAACCCCGATGGGTAAGAGGCAGAGCAGTGATGGCCAGGCGGGCGTACAGCCACAAAGGCACGCTTGTGGCCGGATTGAGAGAAGATGGCATCAACAGCATCACAAACAGCCCCGAGAGCACCCTCAAAAGCAGCTCGCGACTCCGCACAGAGATATAGGTCGCCCTCATGGAACTTCTGTGGAGGCTCTGCGTCCGGGCCCCGATCCATTTCTGGTCGCTTGAGCTCATTTCCTGTGACTGCAAGCTTCGTGTCTGCAGTCTCGCACATAAAGTCGAGCTCTTCCATCCATTTCGTTCCGTGGACATTGGTAACCACAGCATCGGTCAGAGACACGGAGCGAGTGGTCTTGTGTATGTGAAAAGGAACACTGTCTAATGTCGCTGGGTCGAGATCCGGGTGGATTGGGTATTTGCCATCGCTGTGTCGATCTCCGAGACGCACGTAGGCCATGGCCACGCCAAGGACGCTGGCGGCCAGCCGCTCTGGCCTTTCTACAATGCTGAAAAGGTGGCCCTTGCTGGCCTTGGGGCGGGAGAAGCGGTGGCCGTAGCAGGCATCGTGTATGACAACGATGGTCTCCGCAGAATGGGGCCTTTGCGTGGCATGCAGGAGCTCGAGTTCCTTCTTGAAGTAATCTCGCGCGACGGAGGCTGGCGTCGCAGCAGGCTTGGGTACATAGTCGACAGCCAGCTGAGCCTGTGTGTTGAGTGGCGACCTGGGGGCGACACTTGGCGAGCGCAAGTTTGTGGCGCTGGATTTGCGGGACGGAGCACGCTGAGGGGTTGCGCCGTTGGCGGATCTGAGAGATGTGGTGGAAGCCTTCTTGAGCAGAGTCGGCGTGGCTGAGCGAGAGTGCGGGCTGCCTGTGCTACCCGCGGCGGAAGTGGTCTTGCTCAAAGGAGCCCATGATGGGCGACGGCTGGTTACTGAAGGCGAGCGTGAAGGCGCACTAGGCGATACGGACAGGTTCGATGGTGATGTCGAAAGCGAGAGCTTGTCGAGGGACTGAAGCAAGTCGTGGTCGCTATGCGACAGGGCATTGCTTCTAGCCGCCGTGGGCACATCGACGGGCACTGGTTTCCCTGGAGAGCTCATGATGTCAGGGCTAGATGCTTGCTGGAGTCGAGCAAGATATCACGGCGCGTAGCCCGATGCTAGCGCAGAAGTCGCAGCCAGTTGAGGAAGTGGCATTCAGCAGCTGCTCCTGAAATGTTGTCGGTGCGTCGCAATGCGTGTGAGAGTCGTCCGACCCGCCTTTCGATAGTTGCGGGAAGTTGTGCGCAGCCGTGTTGTGCAGAGTTGTGAAGCCGCCATGTCGTGGTCACGCGTCGCGGAAACCACAAGGCGTTCAGGGTCTGCCGCAGCGAGTGAGTGCCGCGGCCGCCTTTGGATCGACGTCAATCTGGCATGCATGGCCCTGGCAGCGGCCTCCCTGGTGGGGGGCGCGGGCACTGATTGGTGCCAGCCACGGTTTCCTGGCCAGGCAAAACAATGCACAACAAAACAAAGGACAGGGCAGCGGGCGAGTACCTATGGCACAGGCATCACGTTGTGGCTGGCGTTGAGAAGAAACACGCGTGTGCTTCACATGAGCAGACCACGGCAGCGCCAGCATCTGACAACATTGGCCTTGCGAATCCAGGGCAAAGCTTCAAAGCTGGCAGATGCGGGCACCTCGGCCTCTGGTGCCTTGCTAGAACAATTTGGATGGGACCCGCGTCTGGCCCCGGCCTTCCCAGGTCCGGAAAGCCTCCTCCACTGCCAAATGCCCTGCTGGTAAAGAACCGACGACAAATGGAGGAGGCGTTTGTGCGCATTAATAAAATACGCCCTCTGAAGATCATCCTACACAAAGTGTACCTCGAGGTAGTAGATGACATGTAGCGCCGCACGCTCCCCAGGCCGCGGAAAATACGCTCTGAAACAAGTGCATGTATTCCGACAGCGGAGCTCTTCGCCGTCCAAGTCCGCCAAATCAGCATGTGCAGGGCCCACTGAAACCGCCGCCCTCTCGGCCTGTGGGCAGATTTCTAAGCATCCCAAGTGCAAAGGGCCTTGACGATGATTTATCTGGCCTGCTTCCGACAAGCCGTTTTCCTCTTCCACCCCAGACTCCAGCGGGCACACCTATAAAGACTGTCGAAAAGTCGCCAACCCCAGCCTACAACTACGCATTGTGCAAGGCTCACTCTCACGCCCCGCGGGCTCCGTAATCGGGCAGAACCCCTCCTTCGCCATCATCGAACCGCTACAAAGTCCAACTCCAGACCGTCAACCGTACTCGGCCCGTATCTCACCATGGCGCCCTCACTAGAAGAGCCCGAAAACTTCCAGGACGTCCTCTCGAACCCTCTCAAAGCGAAGCCCCAGCTCGTCGCCCCCGAACCAGAACACTGCCCAGGTCCCGAGTCCAACGATGCCGGCAAGGCCGACTCATGCGCCGGCTGCCCAAACCAGGCCATCTGCGCCTCCGCCCCGAAGGGCCCTGATCCGGATGTTCCCTTGATCGCCCAGCGCCTAGCGGGTGTCAAGCACAAGATCCTCGTGCTCTCCGGCAAAGGTGGCGTCGGTAAGAGCACGTTCACCACCCTGCTGGCCCACGCGTTTGCCACCAACGACGAGTCGACCGTCGGCATCATGGACACAGACATCTGCGGTCCTTCAATCCCCAAGATGATGGGCGTCGAAGACGAGACGATACACATCTCGGGCGCGGGCTGGTCCCCGGTCTGGGTCGCCGACAACCTCGGTGTCATGAGCATTCAGTTCATGCTGCCGAATCGCGACGACGCGGTCATCTGGCGCGGGCCCAAGAAGAACGGGCTCATCAAGCAGTTCCTCAAGGATGTGGAGTGGGGTGACTTGGACTTCCTGCTCGTCGACACGCCGCCCGGCACGAGCGACGAGCACCTGTCCGTCAACAGCTTTCTCAAGGAGGCCGGCATCGACGGCGCCGTCATGGTGACCACACCACAGGAGGTCAGCCTGCTCGACGTACGCAAGGAGATTGACTTCTGCCGCAAGGCAGGCATCCGCGTGCTCGGCCTGGTCGAAAACATGAGCGGCTTTGTGTGCCCCAGCTGCACACACGAGAGCCAGATTTTCAAGGCGACAACGGGCGGCGGCTCAGCGTTGGCCAAGGAGATGGGCATTCCCTTTCTCGGTGAAGTGCCGCTGGATCCGCGCATCGGCATGGCGTGTGACTATGGCGAAAGCTTCTTCTCTCATTACCCGGAGAGCCCGGCTTGCAAGGCTCTGAAGAAGGTCGTCACGGGCCTGGCTGAGCAGATGGGTCTGGACAGTTCGCGCGTCCTCCCTGAAGAATGAAAACCATCATTACGTATATCAGAAAGAGCCTCATCACGCATTCCATTGAGCATTTCGACAGTCAGAGGCATATATATAATGACTATAGAGACGACACTCTCATTATATCGTGTCACGTTATGTTGCTGGGAGCGCGTCAGCTACCCAGGCGTGTTGCCAGTCTATTCGACGTGGCTTGCCTCAGGTCACCCTGCGATCGCAGAATCCTACGATTCTCGCCTAGGCCAGTGTCAATCCTCGATACATGACACACTCACGGGTTCATTTCCTCCATCTGGAGTATATATCTCACGACTGGTCCGCTCCCAGCTTGGCCGGAATCTCCTCGAGGTCCTCTGCGCTGTCAATATCAATGACCTTGCCAACCTCGCTCGTATTACGCATGAGCTCCTTGGCGCCGGCGTACATCATGCGTGCTTCGGCATTGCATGTATTGGGGAGGTAATAAAGCATGACGTAGGGTACGGATAGACGACCGGAAGGCTAGAGACGGAGATTTAGCTCATCAGTATCAACAGCAACGATGGGGTCGGTAAAGAAGCCGCTTGGAGGTTCCTAGCTTTTCTTCCGCGGATAATGCACCTTGGCAGCGAATAGCTCCTTGGACAGGAGCGCGCCTGAGACCATTTATATATACGCTTAAGAAAATGTAGAAAGACAGCACGTACAAGTGTCAAGGGGTAGCTCAGCAGAATATACCGCGGCGAGTTGTCGGGCAGGTCTTCGGCGATCTCGTCGAGGCTCTTGTAGACAACCTTGTCGTCATCTTGCCTGATTTCGAACGTCTTCTTGTCGATGAAGTCTATCCACTCCCACCAAACCGTCACCGCCCTCATGCCAGGTTAGCGGATGTCCGTGCGAAGCAGAGAAGCATATTCGGTCGATTGGCTGGTGTCGTGCCGACCAAAGTCTGTGTGTGCGGTTCTTTCGTTTGGCATCTTATTTGTTGCTCGGATGGTTTCGTGGATTGGATGAAGGGTTGGCAAAGCATGTGTGGTATCGTGTGCTCACGTACAGATGACGGCCTGTGGGCCGCTCGCTCGGGATGTAGTCAGGCGGAACTTTCGCAGCTGGTCTTTCGACTCTTGCGAGAAGGTGTACAGCCTCGCCTCGGAACTCTGTGGTTTGTTTGTAGATTGTCTCGAGGTCAGCTTGCATCGGAGCGAGCGAGGAGGGTGCAAGAGCTCGGACAGGACCCCAGGATGATGTACCATTCTTGTAGATTTGCCTTTACGGGGGCTCGGCGCTTTATCAGATGTGAGGCACCGCCGTCTTGCGCAAAACAGTGTCCGGCAGGGCGATTGTTGGTGTTTTGTTGATGAGGGGCATCAGCTCATGCCTGCCCAAGCTTAGCAAGCTGATCGGAGAGGGCGAACTCGGTGGTGGGGGAGAGGGCCGCAGCCGACGTGTACCTGAGACTTTGCCAGGACCGCAACGCTGCGCAATCGGCAAAGTATTCTGTACTCAGGTTCGTTGCTGGCAGGGGACCCACGTTAACCCCGGCTACGAGCTGGACAGCCCCGGCCTCCGGTGTGGTCCTCATCGTCATCATCCGCCCTCCGCCCAGACTCGGCAGTCAGTCCAGTTGCCTCCTTTGCAGCAAACCTCCCAGACGCTTGGCTGGGCAGTTGCGTACCGTCTACTCCGTGCGTTTCCTTTGCTTTCCTTTGCGCGTTCGAGAACGTTCACTAGCAATTCCGAAGCAGTCATATCCATGATCTCTCGGCTTGCCCAGCTCGCCCGCCACTTGTCGCACCCACTTCCGAACCTCGGCCATAGCTCTGCCGCATCGGCAGCACGAGGAGTCCGCAGCAGCAGCATCAGCATCAGCGGCGTGGCCTCGAGAATCATGGCTTCTTCATCCTCCAACTCTGGCGGTGCCAGCACGGCAGCGGCAAACCAAGCGCGGACCATTTCCACCGCCGCGTGTCTGATTATTGGCGATGAGGTACTTGGGGGCAAGGTATGTCATACTTGAAGCTGCAATCCAAGAGTCTTTGCCTATTGCAATGGTCAGGCTAACAAATATTCAGACAGTCGATGTAAGCGATTCGCAAGTTGACGGTTCCAGGATCCGGCTTTTTAATGATGTAGCTTCTGACATTCATTTATTCAGACCAACTCGGCTTACATGGCGAAGTGGTGCTTCTCATTGGGGATTGTGCGTATTATCCAGATCACTGCACCCCTGAGACTCCCTGAAACTTTGACTGATGAACTCTCCTCGCTTTAGAACCTGAAAAGAGTCGAGGTCATTGAGGATGACGAGGACGAGATCATGGAAGCCGTCAAGCGGATGAGCCAGCGCTACGACTTTGTTGTCACGAGCGGCGGTATCGGGCCCACGTAAGTTGACCAACATGTTCGAACATCCTCCAAATTCGTGGGATGAAGGTCTCGGGCAAAGAGCCACACTCACAATTCAAACAGACACGACGATATAACTTATCAATCTATCGCCAAGGCCTTTGGTCTCCCTCTCAAGCTGCACCAGGAAGCCTATGAACGCATGAAGAAGCTGAGCAAACACTCCAAAACGGACCCGAACTTCAGCTGGGACGTCGAATCGCCCACAAAGACAGCACGGCTGCGTATGGTCGAGCTCCCTAGCGATGAGTCGCTGGATTTGGCCCCCCAGGCTCTCTTCCCCTCTGATAACCTCTGGGTTCCGGTGGCGGTGGTCAATGGAAACATCCACATCCTTCCGGGAGTACCCAGGCTGTGTAAGTCCTCCTCATCAGTGACCGTCCTGGCAAAACGTGGCCACTGGAACAATCCCAACCTGAGCTGACCATTTTCTGCACAATTCAGTCGAGGCACTGCTCGACGGTCTCAAGCCATTCCTCATCGAACGCCTTGTCGATCCTGAAGGCAAGGGTATCAACAGAATTCTCATCTCCACACCTCTCGGCGAGAGTGCTGTCGCAAGCTACCTAACAGACCTAGCCAGCCGGGTCGCGCCTAAGGGTGTCAAGGTCGGCAGCTATCCTCGCTGGGGCTCGCAGAACAACACGATCACCCTGGTGGGCAGAGACTTGAATTACCTCGAGTCTCTCGTGGATGAGGTCACTGAAAATGTCAAGGGCAAGCGCATTGCGGTTGAAGGGGAGGATGACGAGCCTGCCGCTTTGGACAAAGCATCGTGATCCTGTGTAGTGAACCCAGTATGGCAGCAATATGTGGTCCTGAAAGGACCTATCAGGCATATATGGACAGACCGATCAAACCGTCTGAGACGTAACCCACCGCCTCTCGTCTCGGACGCGAACTTTGTGTGTGCCGATTGACGACATTTTGCGACAGTCCATCTCATCGACTGTGCTCGACCACGCAGGTGTCCAACCTTCAGATCAAACCTGTAGATTTGGCCTCGGAGCGGGTTTGCGTTCCGTGTCGCTCGTTGTTGGCGCAGGAGACCTCCCTTGTAGCAGGCCCGACGCTCGGAACCAACGCTCCTTGCAGTATGTTGCACACATGTGAACGCCGGCGTGCCACCCCAGTACGCGTTGCGGCAACTGCACGTGCCTGGGTGTGCTCGTGTTTGCGCTGCCTGTGTTACGACAACGCGGCTCCCACGTGTCCGGAGGTTGTTACGGGGGCCGGGAACCGTCGTGCCACGCTTAATCCTGCCTGTAGCGAGGAACTTCCTCGCTCGACCTGAGTGAGATTGCCGTACGAGTTTTGGATCACACACTTCCCGCAGGTATTTTGTGACTGCTCACATGAGCGCCTGGATGTAGGGGTTGTATCTCACGAGAGATCGGCTCCAGGTCGGGCCTTGACCCTTGCGTGATTGGCGATTGGCATCATGACTTGATGACCGGGCCTCAAGACTGTCCTTGTTGAGCTCGCGCGTTTCATCAGAGACATTCCTCACAGGCAGGTGGTGCCGGAACGAGCGCAAGGCGTGGGTCAGGGGACTCCCACGACCCCTGGTAATCGCACACAGTCGTAGACTGCAGTGTCGATCAGAACTCGTTGGTGCCCTTGGCCTACAGAACATGGAAATGCCCGCTCGTGCCGGGGTAGGACTGTCCCGTGGACGGGATCGGCAACGGCCTCGGCGGCGCGCATGCCCGGCGTTGTGGTACTGCACCAACAACTTTTGCTTTCTGGTGCAACTGCTTCAGGGATGGGAGATTGATAGGGCAGGGTCTCTTGCGCCCGGAGCCGGGGTGGCAGGGTGCGTCCTCAGCACCTGACCGACATACTGCCAAATGAGCATGCCCATTGTGGTCTTCCCGGCAGGTCCATCGGTGCTCCGTGACGAAGTCGTTGATTGCAAGGTCGCTTTGAGGCGTCGACTGTCCCCCCCTCATTGTTGGTGTTGGACCGAGGAGGTGGATGCTCATTTCGGCGGTGGTCACGGATTGGACACGGCTGTTGTAGCATTCCCGTGGTTGCCGAACGTGGGAGAGCATGCGAACTTTTGACCTATGCAAGGACCCTACGAAGCCCTTACTACCGGGCCACGAGCCCAAGGATCAAGCAGAACTGCACTTGACCGAGCAGTAATTAGAGTCCTCTTGAGGAGCGTTGTGGAATAGCCGGGAAGGGGGTTGACCCAGGGCGAGTGCGTTAGTGGAGCAGAGCTCTGATACTGGGGCGTTGTCTCCCGGGGCTTCCCGTTTGAGTTGCACCTCACATCTTACACGTACACCAGCCCCCATGTTTCTGGAAGATTTCCTTTAGAGGCATGACATGCTGGTTGCCGGCATATGCAGCAGACACATGGCAGATGTCGCGGATGCTGTCACATAAACGGCAATAGATCGGATGCGCAGCAGCCCAGTATCCTGGAGCCTCAAGAGTGCTGCGCTGCGAGCAAGAACAATGGGGCTTGGAGACATTGAGCAGATGACGTGCAATAGCGGAGATCTACTCGATGCCGAGTGGAGGACAGAGATGGGATGGGTCAGGTCGGTAGCACGGTCGTTCATTGAGATCAAAGGCACGATACGCGCTTCTTAAATCAGCAACTGTGCTTTGAGGCTAGAGACGAATGAGGATGGATTGTGGCCGCGCCTTCTGGCACATGCCGTCCTGGCACTGCACTTCCAGGTTGTCCTTGCTCCAAACCCAAGGATCACGTGCTCGCACCTCCAATCCGACGGCTGTCACAAGTTGATAGAGCCTAGCGTGGTTGGTCCAGCCACCAGTTCGATTGCCTTCCCACACGAGGGTCAATACAACCCAAAGCTTCCGCCCAGCTCCTTGGCTCCTTGCATGGTCGTCCCATTGAAGTGCCTCCTGTTGTTGCTGGCAGCGGGCACCACGCGTAGCCTGCATTGCGCCGTCACCTAGTCCCCACCATCCCTGCTCACCCGGAATCAATAGAAGCGATTACGAAGCATCAAGAAGCCCGCCCAGAACGTCCGTCGACGGCTGACTGGAGCCAGGCGCCTTATCACCGGGCGTGCGCCTCTCCCCACTCGGTTCGCTCGTGGACAAGAAAGCTCACCGGTCTCCAATCAAGCGGCCTGCCTATTTCTTCCTTGCCGTCCTTGGGCTACCCGACGGACTCGTTGGCTGGACTCAATAGGTCCTCGGCCGTCACGCTCCTCGCCGGTGAGTTGCAGTCACGGCAAGCTCAGGCTGAATATCAAGACCTCTTCTGCCTACTTCTCAATTCGTGACAGCCCCCTTTTCAAGCCTTCCCCAAAAGGCCAAGCTCGACCCCAGCAAGACCACGCTTTAGCTTGACGAGTGTGGATCCTGGTGACCCTGCTAGCAGGCAGCATCCTGGACGTGGTTTGGGAGGTGGGGTCTGCTTTTCCCCCAAGACACCGGCCGCGATCCCCGTCGGTTCTGCTTCATCCTGCTAGAAAGGGACGCTCTGGGTCGCATGGAGAAAGAGGGTGCCTGGGTCTTCTGCAGAGGGCGCCGAGGGTAGCATCCATGTGGCAAGATGACATCGCGGGTCTGGAGTCACAAGCACGCGGGGTGCTTCACAGCTGCGGCGTGGTATTTCCAGACGGAGTCTATGGAGGCGCTGTTCATTAACGCCTGCATGGGAAGTGGCTCGCGCCTCAACCACCTTTGGCGGTAAAACTGTTTTGCACATTCGTTGTTACGCCCGGTATACAATTTCCATTGGGCAACGTGATTGTGTGTTGGGCCGAATGTAGCGCCTGCTTGTGGCTGCTCCGTGGCCCGGTGTGCCCCCTACATGATAACTTCCAGCCACATGCGGCCCCCAATGGCATTTGGCACTCTGAACGTATGCAGGGTTCTGCTGTATCCGCGCGCGTACCAAGGAGGAAAGTACAATAGAGTATTACAACGTCGAGGTCGTCATAGAGTCTTGACTCGAGACCACAAAACCCTTGCCCCGGTGTTCTGGAACATGGATGCGCAAGGAGCTCATCAAGCTTAGTTCGAGATGCTAGGACAGAAGACGCCAATAGTTCCATGAAGCCCCCACAAGCGATTGCGCGCCAGCCTGGCCATGGTACGGACAGAAAGACGATCAGCTCGAGCGTCCAACAAGCCCGGCAGGGCCTTCGTGGGGGGAAGGGGGGTTCCCTCCTGGGCTCCTGGGCTCCCGACAAGCTACCCTTAGGCAAAAAGGGACGGCGACAAGCAGTACAGAGCAGCTTGAGGGTTGACATGGGACACCAGGGCGGCGACTAAGGTATGGTTTGGTTTGAGAAGATTGTTACAGGGCAGAGCCTCCCTGACGATAGTGGGAGCTGTCTAGCCCTGGCTAGGCCCCTTTTGCTCCGCGAGCTGCCACATCGCATTGGGCGGGGGCAGCACACCACAGCGCGGCTCAGTTGGGCCAAGGGAGAGGAGTCGCTCTGTCATTCTGTCAGTCACTCGGTCTGTCTGTCAATCCACGGTTATTGCAAGCAGGAGAGGGGAAGACAGACGGACATTAGACAGGAGAGCACAGGACAGGATGGGGTTGGGATTGTCACGGCTTCGACCCGTGGCTCGCCCGTGCGCCGTTCTCCCAGCAAGCGGGGCCCCCCACGCTGGCCAATGAGGGCGGGCCTGCTCTGCGCACACCCACCACCACCTGGGCTGGGCTCGCCCGCCACCCCCCTTGCCCCTTGGAGTGAGCCACTTGCACACACTCCCTTCTCCGCCGGACGCAGCAAGTCGTCCTGAGCCTGCATGGTGCCGAGCGTCCTCGCAGCTGCCGCTCCAAATCTCCCATTTCCACCGCCGTCCCTTACTGTTCCTCGATCCTGCTCCTCCTCCCACCTCGTCCCATCATCCGCCACTCAACCAACCCTCCTGCTGCATCCACTTCACCAGTCAGCTCGCCCGCCGCTCTCGATTCCATTCCCGTCGAACGGTCCAATTCCTCGACCACCGGGCCCCCGAATCGCCTCGAGCCGTCTCCTCGTCACAAGGAGCCGCCGTCGCCAGACTTCGTTTGCGCGCCCTCACACGCCATACCCTTCTGTTCCACGACGCCGTGCTCGCGACAGCATCGCGCCCATCCTTCACAATGGCCTCAAAGGTAGCTCTTGCACCAGCCCCTGCCAGCGCCAGTCGCCAGTCGCCGCGCAGTCTTTCCGGGCACGACAGCTGATTCTCCTGTGCTCCTTTCCAGTTTCTGCGCGAATACAAGCTCGTTGTAGTCGGTGGTGGTGGTGTCGGTAAATCTTGCCTGACCATCCAGCTGATCCAAAGCCACTTCGTCGACGAGTACGACCCGACAATTGAAGGTACGGCTCAATACAAATGCCCAGAACCATATGCTACGGCCGCCATGTGTGCAGGGGGTCGCGCCACGCCTCACCACACCCAGACCGATCCGCCTGAGACATGCGCCAGCTGGTGACTCAAAAGATCATAACTGACCATGTCACTAGACTCATACCGCAAGCAGTGCGTCATTGATGATGAGGTTGCGCTTCTTGACGTGCTCGACACGGCTGGCCAGGAGGAGTACTCGGCCATGAGGGAGCAGTACATGCGTACTGGCGAGGGTTTCTTGCTTGTGTACTCCATCACTTCGCGCCAGAGCTTCGAGGAAATCACGACCTTCCAGCAGCAGATCCTGCGTGTCAAGGACAAGGACTACTTCCCCATGGTTGTCGTCGGCAACAAGTGTGATCTCGAGGGCGAGCGCGAGGTCACCAGACAAGGTAAGCACTCATACCAACTTGACGACGCTTGCGCAGTTTACTGACTGCCACCTTCCCGAACAGAGGGCGAGACGCTGGCGAGAAACTTTGGCTGCAAGTTCATCGAGACATCGGCAAAGTCGCGTATCAACGTCGACAAGGCTTTCTACGATATTGTCAGAGAGATTCGTCGATACAACCGCGAAATGCAGGGCTACTCTGGGGGCGGCAGTGGCAGTGGTGGTGCCAGCGGCCCTGCCGGCAAGATGGAGATGAGCGAGGGCGAGTCCGAAGCCGGCTGCTGCGCAAAGTGTGTCATCCTATAAGCCCTCTCATCGCATCGTGCCTGTCGACTTTCGGATTGTTTGACCACCGGGCGCCTACATGTCGATTCGGCTCACGCAAAGAATGTCTGCATCATGCCACGATACACGAGACTGGGACAACGTCATCATGGCATTGGGCGGCTGCATAGTTGACCGGGAGTTGAAGGCGTTCAAACTGCGTGTTTATTCTACTTCCGTATCCAGCGTCAGCCTCGGAGGTCTTCGAAAAGTCGCAGAAGCGAGGAGCCCTGCACGATGGGCGGCATAGATTCGACGACACGCTGTCAAAGCGACGATGGACCGTCCTGACGACATACGACGGCTAGACGTCGACACGCATGCTGGCAGAAACGATCTCTGCCACGATTCTCGCGCTTATACAAAATACCAGGAACCGGACCACGAACAGCCAACACTGGCCTTGTCTCCCTTCATTTTTTCCTTTTTCTTCATCTTCGTTTCCTGTTTGAGCCATCACCGATATGTAATGTCGCCTGCTGTCTTCGGTTCTTTCTCTCCCCGTTTATACTTGGAGCTCATCCAGATCTTCTTGATCCCCCCTTCTCTACAGGCAGACAGGCAGTGGTTGGCTTTCTTGAGTCGCAGATTCCCAAATACAAAGTTGAGGCGTTTAGGGCTGTTTCTCTAGCTTTGTTTCATTCCCGAGATCGTGACTGTGCCTGCTGTAAAACCGACTAAATCTGTGTGTTATGGGTATGTACATGATGGTGAAACTCCAGTTGCCATCCGCGCGCCATGAGTCCTTGTATGCACGATCGCCGCTCAACGCCGGCTGTAGATTCGGTTACCGCCGCGGTGGGCTCAACAGCCTAACGAGGTGCCACCCGGGCACAATTTGTAGCGGCATTGCTCTAGGCATTGGCGATCCTCGACAGGTCTAACTAGCGTTTGCCACATGGCGACTGCCCTTTCTCAACGACCAGTCATCACAAGCAGGCCAGCCGAAAGCAGACACACGGGGAGACAGGGTGTGTCCTTTTTCGGACCAGAGAGTTCTCGGGCACAATATATAGCTTGAAAGCATGGCGAATCGTTCCCGAATGGGGCGGCAGAGCCTTCATCCCGGATGTTGGCGACGCCTTGGTGAATGAAGTTTCTTTTTTTTTTTTTTTTTTTTTTTTTTTTTTTTGCAAACAAACACAATTCGCCTTTCTTCTTCCTCTTTGCGTGGACTTGACCATTGTTCTCGTGCTTGGGTTGTTCAAAGACTGGGATCAAAAGTTTTGTTTCGTCTTTTGTATGGCTACTTTCTCATGTACTGTGTGGTAGTACTTGCGCTTTTTGCCTCGTGAGTACGGTGTCGATGAGGATTGAAAGGCAGGAAGGGAGGAGGCTGGCATCTGAAATATCAAGATTCACTTCCGCCACTTTCTCGAGATCCCTTGTCATATTTCGTGCTCGGTTCGTGCTTTTAAGAAAACCTCAATTTGGGTTGACCAAAGCCATGGGGACGATGCTCAGGCCCAGCAAGACAGGGAGGTTTAGACTACGCCAACAGTTTTTCACTTTTGCTGCCCGCAAGGCTATTGAGCGCGTTGAAATGGTTAACCCCCCCCCCCCCCCCACTGAAATTATATTCCGTATGCCATGCTCTGTCCTCGTAAGGTCTATGGCGGGTGCTTTGAATCAATTTCACTTGAATTATTGTTGTAAGGGCCGTAGGTGGCAGGGTTGGCATTCAGGGCAGATAATTCTAACAAACGTGCTGGTTTTTGCTTAAAACTCATTGTCCCATTCTTTTCCATAAAGGACTGTCATCTACATCCATCCAGCATAAAAGAAAAAACGAAGTGCTTGTTTTAACGCCGCTGCGGCATGAGACAAGACCAACACTGCACGACATATCCAAGCTTCATTTTCAGCGGGAGAAAACTCCATTCCCATCTTACGCTAGTACCTGTCCATAATCAATAAAATTTGGTATCTTTCGATTTGTTGGCCTCTTGAGTTGTCACTTGTGGATTCACAAATTGAACACTTCTGCCGCCATGGCTTCTAGACGCTTGCTCGTTTCGGTTTCTTTACCCCATGTCGTCAAGAAAAACATTCTGAAATTCCCATTGCATTCGAACAGTGAATCGCCATGGAGAAGCTTGCCTTTCAAAGGACACTGCACCGCAGAGGAAGCCGCAAGTGACTTCAACGATATCCCGAAGCAGGGAAACGAGAAGGGCAAGAAGGCAAGTGTGACGCCTGCATATATCAGCCATGACACCGAACTTCATTGAACTCGGTAACTACGACAACAGCAACGTCGCCACAAAAGTCCCAGAGCTCGACACGACGGAAAACAGACACTTGAACACACACACACACACACACATACGCCGACACATAGGCAGACACAGACACGCATTCACACAAAGCTTGCAAGCCAGAGACGCGTAACCAGAGTAACGACCAATACAACCAGAGAGAGGGCGACGACAACAACAACGAGTCAACCAATTCGAGAACAGCCCGAACGACGAATAACACAGTCCGAGAAACAAGAAGAAAGTCTCTAGGGAAGAAGAAAAGGGAGTGGGAACAACCAAAAAAATGTCCTTCCAACCACCAAACGAGCCACCACAGCCCCCTCCATTCTCGACGCTGTGCGGCGCGGCCAACACTCCTGCCAACACATCCAGCGGCTCGCACATGGTGACCGGCGCGCGGCCCTTCACCTCGGTCTCGTACGGCAAGCTGCAGGACACGGGTTTCCCCATCCCGGCCCAGGACACGCTCTTCCTGCCGCAGATGCGCAGCTACAACCCGGACCTGCTGTGGGAGTATCTGCTCAGCGGCGGCCTGCACCGCGAGAACCGGCGCACGCAGTGGCAGCTGGTCGTGTGGAAGCGCGAGTGCCGCCCCGGCTTGGACCTGCGGAGAACGTGTGACCGGTGCGCGGTGTACGGCCTGCAGTGCACGCGGTCGCCGGCGCTGTATGCGACCGCGGCGGCGAGGCGGGCGGCGGCGGCGGTGGGCGCGGACGGGACGTCGCTGGGCAGCGTGACCTGGCCTGGCCCGGGGACGGCGTCCGGGATAGCGGCGGGGGAAACTGCCGGGGTTGGAGGAAGGGAGCTGAGTCGGACCGGGAGGGATGACGGGCCGAGGACGATCATCATGCGCAACTCTGCCGTGCCGGTCATGCAGGGCTTCGAGATGGTCCGTGGTGGTGGTGGGCAAAACGGCGGCGGCGGCCCGATCATCTGCTGCGACCAGTGCTTCCAGGCCGGCGGATATCCGGCATCGCGGTGCTCGGCGTGGGTGCGTAATACCTCTCCGCAGGCAGGCCGCGTGGGGATCCTGAACGACGAGCTGGCGGCCCGCGGTGTCTTGGGGAACCAGAGCAGCAGGCACGACGGCAGGACGACGCTCAAGGGGATGCCCAGGTACAGCCCGCGCTGCCTGGCATGCCTGGTCGAGGATGTGGCCGAGGGCTACGGCGACGAGCACCGGCGCAAGGATGGGAGGAACTTGTGCCTCACGCTCGAGAACGATGCCAAGTGCCGTCGGTGTCGAGAACAGGGCCGAGACTGTGTCTGGGGCCGCGAGCTTATCGATCTCAACGCCAGAGACGAGCCGGGCTCCTGGCGGCCGGGAAGTGACCAAGGGCCAGGCGGCGGCGGTGATGATGGACCAGGAGGAGGTAGCGGCAGTGGAGGTGGCGGTGATGGTCGTGGCCGCGGCGGTGACGATGAAGATAACGACGACACTTCAGGTCATGGCCAGGCTGGGTCCTCGTCGCAACAGCCACAGCCACAGCCACAACCACACCCGGCCCAAGACGCCGCTGAGGCGACAGATGATGGGCGAGCAAGCCAGGCTCATAACGAGCAAGTCACCCAAGATGGCCCCAGAGACACACCAGAGCTGGTCATCTACGTGGCGTGGCCGCCAGCGAACACGGATTCCGCCCCCCAGGCATCAGCAATGCCAACGGCCGAGACTGATGACGAGGACGAAGATGACGAAAACGAGCCTCGGGCTACACATCAGCAAGTCAGACCATCGACACTGCGTCCCCCCTTGTCAACACACACTACCCTCCTAGCACCAGACCTCACTGCGACTCCATCAGCCTCCGGCCCGCCGACCCCGGCGAGCAAGACCAAGTGCCGGACCTGCGAGAACAAGATCATCGCCGGGTACAAGGGCAAGCGGTCCGCCAAGTCGTGCGAGACGGACGAGGCCAACGGCCGCGGGTGCCGCCAGTGCGTCAACTACGGCCTGGTGTGCGTGTACCAGGGCTTCGTGATGCCGCGAAACCGCGAGGCCAGGAACCACATCGGCTTCACGCCCTGCGACGCGTGCAGGCACGCCGCGGTGACGCAGCTCGCGGCGGCGACGATGCGCATCGGCACCTTGGCGGCGGCGGACCGGGCCGCGCTGCTGTGCGACCGGAAGCAGCCGTGCGACCGCTGCACGAGCTTGGGGATCCAGTGCGGCCGCTCGCCCAGCGAGAACCGGCGAGTCATCGGCCTGATAGGCAGGGACACGCCCAGCGCGGATCTGGAAGGGTTCTACCTCACCTCGGGGAAGCAGCCGGGGACGTTTGGGAGGCTTCATCCCGAGTATGGGACCGGCAGGGGCAGGCGGAATTGGGTCATGCCAGACGACTATCACTTTCAGTATCTGGCGAAGCTTGGGATACCCCAGCCGGCGTCGGCGGACGAGATCGTCGAGGTCCCGGGACGGAGAGGGCCGGTGCCGCTGTGGCTGCAGAAGCTGCGACACGACCGAGGCCAAGATGGGGCTGGTGGTAGTGCTGCTGCTGGTCCGAGCAGCATTGACGCAACACACACCGCCTCTGGCGACGACGCAGATGACGAGATGGGTGGTGTTGAGGATGATGATGATGATGATGACGAGGAAGCGGTCGAAGAGTCCCAGGAAAGCTTCTTCGCAGACGCATATTACAGCATGCCGGAGCACACTTACGAGGCGCCAGACCGGCAGAATTGGTATGGGCTATGAGAGTTGTATGCCGACTGCGATGGGAAGAAGTGTCTGCAGCAAGCTGTCAAAATCAGCGGCTGTTAGGGGGTGTATCGGGAGACTCGTGATGAAATTCGACGGAACTGCAGTGCCTTTGCGAAGCAGGGCAGGATGCAGACAATGAAAAGCGTTTTAGGCGGGGACGTGGTCTTCTTACTACATTTTATATTAGTGCCGACCATGCTAACATTCTGTGGACCTGTTGCAAGTTGAGACTGACAGCTACCTGCGTTTGATTGATTCGAGCAGTGATGCTGACAATTGTATATTGATATCTGGATTGGTTGTTTTGTTTCGGAGCAGCGCAGGCTATTGCATGCTGTGCTGTCCGTTTGCCCACATGTGTGAGGTGTGCCTTGCCGTGATTTGAGCGTGCGTTGATCTCAGCGCCGGCAACTCAGACAGCGGAGAACCACCTCCTCCGCACCCAGTAGAAGACCAAGCCGACAACCCACAGCCCAACCAGCACGACCGCCTGCGCAGGTGCAAAGATGGCACCACGGACCACGACGAACCCGCTGACAACGACAAACACACCCGGGACCACGACGAGGGGTTTGTACGGTCTCTCGAGCGCCGGCTCCCGCCACCGCAGCACGACCGCGCCCAGCACGGCGAGGAAGAAGAAGGTGTACTCGCCGAGGCCGTTGAAGGTGACGAGCGCACGGAAGCTGCCGAGGACGATGTACAGGGCGGACAGCAGGGCGGAGAGGATGATGGCGTTGATGGGCGCGTCCGAAGGCTCCTTGTCCTTTGTCCCCGCAGAGGACGGGGAGGAAGAGTCGTCGTCGGCAGCCTTGCGAGGGACGCCGACTTGTCCGACGACGGAGAAGACGCGGGGGAACCAGCCGGTGTTTGCAGCGGCGACGGCCATGCGGCCCGCGACAAACGAGTTGCCGAGCAGCGAGCCGGCGACGACGAGGCAGATGACGACGGCGGCGACAATGCCGAAGCCGCGGCCAAGTAGGCGGGTAATGGCAGTCTGCAGGTTTGTGTTAGATGGCTATGCTGTCTGAACTATAGCCCAACGTGTGGAAACAAGGGAGGACAAGTACTCACCACCGCTACGCTGTCTGTGGTAGACACGATGTTCCAAGGCAGGAGAACATAGTATGCAGCATTGGCGGCAAGGAAGCACGCAATGATGGTCGGGATGGCCGTGTTGATGGCGAGCGGGAGCTGCTTGGCCGGGGCCGACAGCTCGGCACTGATGTAGACAGCCTGGTGCAGTCTTTCTGTCAGCTTTGTCCCGTGTCTTCTGCCTGATCAGTACAATATGTTCAGCACTATGCAAAATGCTCACCTTGTCCCATCCCGAGTACGCCCAAAGCGCGCCATATAGCGCTGTCGAGTAGAAGCCCAGCATCTCCCACGTCCCCAAACCCTGCCAGTCGTTTACGCTGCCGTCCGGGTTCACCACGGGCCTCGTGGCAAACCAGTTCCGCTCGAACCAGTCACGTCCACCATCTTTGCCGCCGCCATCACCGCTCGGCCCTTTGCCCGCGACCTGCAGGATCACCACCACGAGCCCGGCCAGCACCACCGCCGCGATGGCCACAAACTTGGTCCCCACAAAGAACTTGTTCAGCCGCGTGCTCGCCTTGGTGCTGATGCAGTTGGCCACGCTGACAACCACCACGACCGCGACGCTCAGCAGCTTGTGCGTCCAGTGGCCCGCGGCGTCGGTCACACCCCGCGCCGTGTATATGCTCTCGACGAAGACGATGCTCAGGATCGCCAGGGTGGCCGGCATGACGGCGACGATCCACGTCCACGCCGCCAGGAAGCCAAAGACGTCGCCGAAGCAGTACCGGAGGTACGGCTGGACCCCGCCCTCGCCGGGGATGGCGGTGCCGAGCTCGGCCATGGTCGCCGCGCCGGTCCAGGCCAGGATGCCGCCGACGAGCCAGACCACCAGCGCGGAGCCGGGCGAGGGCGAGTTGGTGTCAATGGCGCCGGGCGAGGTGAAGATGCCGCTGCCGATGACGATGCTGATGACGATTGCGAACGCGTCGAGGGCGCCAAGGGTAGGAGTGAATGTGCTGCTCCCACCACCGCCGCCGCTGGCGGTGGTGACGGTGCTGTTGGTGGTAGTACCCTCGTATCCTGTGGCCGTGTCTTGCGCACCGGCCAGGAGGGGCTGTGTAGCTGCGGCATCACCTCCATCGTCGTCGCCGGCGTGGCGTTGCGGCGCCATCTTGGTATGAAATGTGCAGCCTGTGTGTTCAAACACACACTTTTGTCCCCGTGTGAAGTCTGTATGTGCGCCTCGACACGCGATCTCGTGGATGAGCTTACAGACCACACTGAAGCGAAGGTGCCAATGGCGGAAACGACAGACACAACCGACCGTGGGATGGGATGGTTCGTCAGTCGTGGTGGTAATCACGCAAGACGCGCACACGTACGCTAGTCTTCGGCTTGCCCCGGCTGTGTGTGAGACCGGGGAGCCTGTAATTGCGCGGCGTTGGCCCGAAAGCGGAACGCCGGCTCCGACAAGGGATTTGTGGGGCCCCCGCAGCGCCAGGCTTGATCAACGGACTCGACCACTACCCTCTCAGAGTATCTATCTGAGTTGTGCACTCGTACAGCGACCTCATTTTCTCTCCTTTTTTTTTGTCTTGTGTTTAAAGAATAATATGAGGGGTTGAAGATAGATGCGGGACCACTCACGACTCTACATCACAAGTAAACTGTGCAACGCTCAGCAAAAGCGAGCCTGTTGGTCTAACAAGGATGAGCATCATGCTCTCATATCACGTCTTGCGATGGGAGTGGTTCTTGGCCTGTTTCTCTGGCGGGCTTTGCACGGGAAGCGAAATTGGTAGATATTGCAAGATATACATGCAATTGATAGAGTGACAATATAGACAAGTTATGCTACGCCAGTAAATCAGATTTACGCCCCCCCGTCTTGTGAATCGCTTAATAACAACATCGATATGCCTTTTCAGTTTTCTAGAATAGTTTGTTGAAAGAACCATCCGCAGCACCTTGTCCAAACATTGCTGAACTAACAAAGTTCCTGGGCGGCTGCTGCTGAGGCATGGCAAATCCATCCGTGGCCGATGCAATAATGCCGCCACTCGGGCTGATCTCGTCCAGAATATCCGTCATCTCTTGTTCTGTGAACGCGAATTCGTCCATTGTCGACTCCATGGCCGGAGGAACAGTGAAATCAGCCATCAAGTTCGTGTTACCGCCGACAGACACCAACGGTGGTGCTAGAGCAGACTCAAAGTCAAAGATGTCTTCAGCATCACTTGGCTTCGGGAACGCGGATACCACCGCCGCCGATCCTTCCGAGGAGGGAGACTGCTGCATGGTCTCCTTAAACTTGGCAAGCAGAACTGGGTCGTCGCAGGATGTCCTTTGCATTCCCATGATGTCGCATGCTCGCTTTCGCAATGCTGCATCGCTCGGCATGTGGCCGGAGCGCGAGACTTCACGCCTGACAAACTCGCTAAGGCCAGATTCGAGCTCCCTGCTGCAGAAGATCTTTGCTGGTGGACCATATCGCTGGGTGAAGGTCTCGATGTAGCGGCTGGTGGTTGCCGCATTTGTTGGGAAGCGCTTGGCCTCCTCCCGCATGATCACATTTGAAGTCTCAGGACCAGCTGTAATCACGGCAGCTGGGTTGGGGTATATATACGGAGGAGCAAAGCCTGTGCCACCACGGGGCACAGTCCAGTCTGGTGTTATTGGTGTTAGACCTGGCCCGGAGTCTGCTGGCAGGAGGCCAACCTCGCGCTTGAATCGCTGGAGCCACTCGACGTTATCTGCCGCGGTCTGATTCCACGGATCGTCACTGCACAAGCAAGTCAGCACACTTTCTCAAGCCAGGAGCACAAACCAATGCAAGTAAATACTTACTCGTCATACACAATCCATCTTGCCTGGTGCTGGAGTTCTTCGTCGCTCGGGGTGTGCCGATTGGGGTTGTTTTCCGACATTGTCGTTGTGACAAATCGCTTTAGCCCCCGCATCAACCTGCGATAGCAATTTGCGTCGTTCAGGAAATAGGGTCCCGCGCCCAACGCCGAACGAGAAGATGGAGGTTGTCCCAAACAAGTGATATCCTGGAAGGCTACAGATGTATCATTCGTAGAATTCTTTGATGTCCCCTGGCTGCCAAGTGAGCCTGACGATGGAGATGCGGTTGCGGACATGCTGTTGGGGGGATGTCGTTGACGGAACCCTGCTAGCCAGCATTCGTCATCAGCCGCAGTCTGGTTCCATTCGTCGTCGACATCGTAGATGATAATGCGAGCCTGCCGCTGCAGATCTGCATTGTCTGGCTCGATGCCAATCACACGTTGGGTTTGGAGGTATTCTCCAAGCTCACGATCTAGTCTTGTGTAGTTGTGGACTGTTGAGTCGATCGTGCTGGGGTCTTTGGATCGCTGGTTACAATCGACCAGGTCCTCGATGCGCGCCAAATGAGCTCGTCGTCTGAAGTCGCAAAGCCAGTTTTGTGATGAATGGATCAACCCAATCAAGAAGTTGGCAAAGTCATCCGATGGGTGACCTGACTTCTCCTCAATGCTACCAATGATCCGACATGCCTCAGCCTGCAGTTCAGAGTCCATTGCCGTAAGCCCCAGTAGGATACGTGCACGGACGAAATCGTGAAGTTGCTTTTCCAGCTCACAACCATCAAACACATCCGCCTTGCCATTGATGCGCAGAGACGCCATTCTGTTTTCATTCTGAGTTCGAGCAGGCAGAAAGACAGGGCTGTCCGTGGTCTCTCCAGATTTCATGATGAGATCACGAAGCCATGATCCCGTCTGGTCCATGGGACACCTGGCGGCCACTTCTGCCGCGATGACGATCCGGCTGGCCTCTTGACGTTTCTCGGCATCAGTCGCAGGTCTGCCTTGCTCCTCGGCAAAGTGGGCCATCCAGTATTGCATCTCTGTCTTGATCAGCTCATACGCGTTGCTCGGTGACTCAGGGCCAGCCCGGCTCGCCATGAACGGGAATGGCGATTTCCGTTCCTCGTCAATGAGATCTGTCGAAAGCGGTCAGCTTTCAATTTCTTCAAGGGCGCTCGATCGATTTGGGTCCTTACAAGGGGGCACCGCATTTTCGACCAGGTCCAGGAACTCGGCGTCAAAACCCCAGTCACCCTTCCAGTCGGCCATTGTGTAACCAGTCTTGAAGTGCTCGGCCAAATGGTCGGTGCGGGCCGACCAGCTTTCCAGCACGATCCCGCAGAAACCGCACCGCGACCTAATCTCAGGCGAGCTGACTCGCCACTTTTCCATAGGCGAGGCCAGGAACTTGACATTGTGTACCAACTTGAGATGTTGGCGGAGATGGTCCTTCCGGTAAAATGTACGCTCAGTTTGCGTACGCTCCGTGCAGCTCGAGAAGTTATGTGAGTCGACATGGGCTTCGTCTGGGTTGGCCTCGCCGCAGAAGACGCAGCTGACTAGCCCTGTGTCCGTGTTGAGATAGGTCGGCCCATCAGGCGAGCACACCCACCGCTCAAGAGACAGGTGAAGGGATTTCTCATGGCGCTGCCAATCGTGCTTTGTGCGGAACGTCTCTGTGCAGAAAGTACATTGGAAAGTCTTGATCGCCTGCGTAGTGAAGCCCTCATCTGCAGCCTTGGGCTGCGCCCTTCTCCGCCGCCTGCGGCCACGGCTTGACCTCACAAAGGAGGGGATAGATCCACCAGAGCCGTGAGACTTATGCGAAAACGCAGAAGCAAATGAACCACCACTCGAGTGAGAAGTTCCCCAACTGGACACGGAGGACTGATTGCAGAGCGACCTGTTGGAGCCATCGTCCGAGTAATTGGAGATCCAAGGACTTGTCCGGCCCGAGCCAGACGCTCCTCGCTCTGAGAGAGACCCTGACGCTGACACGGCGCGCGCGATAGCCGTTACCGACGCGGGTTCGTTCTCTGGCGGCGAGTTCTGCCAACGCTGCAGGGGGTTCATGTCCTGAATGCGGCCTGCAGAATCGCGGCGCTGAGGGATATCAACAGCTTGAGCATAGCCTCGGCCAATGTGCGGGGATACGGCGCGGGTGACGTGGATCTTGCCACGCCTTCGAGCATTCGCCAACCAGTTGGTGATTTGTGTCTTGTTCAACCCCGTCATCTTCTGCAATGTCTCCTTCTCCTCCTCTGTTGGGTAAGGGTGGCGGCTGTGCGTGGATACCCAGTTCTTGAGGATTTTGACAGACTCGCGAGAAAACCTCGCTCCAATCTTGGGCATGTCCTGTGGCCGCGGAGGTGATTTCTCCACGGACTCATCTTGAACGGCGGCCAGGCCAGGCGCCGGCTGTGTGACATTGAGGAGGTCGTCCTCGAGCAGGATGGACGTCGCGGGCCTATCGCCCATGATCACCCAGGGGTTGGCAGGGAAGGTCTCGCCGGCTTCTGCCGCGAGGTTGTGGACTGAAGGGCCGAAGCTGCATTCGCAACGGAGGGCGACGCAACTCGTGCAGTAGCCCTTGTACTTACCCTCCTTGATGAGCTTGCACTGGTAGTTGCCGACAGCACAGTGGCCACAGGGGGAATCGGGGAGGACCCAGTACATTTGGCTCAGGGCGGGCTCCATGTCAAGCTCTGCGGATGAAGGGTCGTTGAGGTCTGTCCCCGGGAGCTGGGTTGCGTCAAAGTGCTCTAGGGCCCAGAAGGAGAAGTCGTCGCCATCAACATTGCTGAAGACGAGGTCGAGGTTAGGGTCCTGGGCACCGGCCGCGACGACGGAAGCGTCCATCATGGTGGCCATAGTGTGGTGTGCGGCAGTAGGAGGATGGAGACCGGCAGATGAGGCAGGAGGAAGGGCGTGGCCGGTGGAGGGCGCGGCGGCGTCCCAGTTGACAAAGGCGAGCTCGTCGAGCTCGTCAATGGTGGTCATGTCGGGCAAGGGCGTGCCGGAAGACAATTGGTGTCCGGCCCCGTTGTCTTGTAGATGGAAGGGCGGAGTGAGATGACAGGCAGGCCCAGGGGCTGGTGATGGGCGAGGCCAAAGTATAAGAGGCGGTGGTCAGCGTCCAGAGGAAGAGGAAGACTAAAACGACGGCCTCATATCAGGACCAGGTGTCCGTCTTGTTTAGATATTAGAAAGAGGAGTTGGCAGGTTCGGGTCCCGTGTCGCAAGAGCACAGCACAAGACAAAGACAACCTGTCCGCATTGCATTGGGGAGCGTAGATTGCAAGCGGTGTCGTGAAAGACAAGAGATGTCTGGCAAAACGCTGTGATTACGTCGATGCTGCAGCCGGGCCACTCTCTTGAGAGCGCGAGGCAGTCAGTCACCTGGGCGGGCTGGGGACAGACCGCTGCACACCCCACGCCCAGCCAGACTGCATGTCAGCAACGACTCACACCTGCACAGGAAAGCGTGCGCCCTTGGAACGACATGTCGAAGGGCGTCCCCACCGGCGAATGTGGGGCCATGTCGAAACTGAGCCGCCATGATTCGCTGGGGCCTCAGGCGCCAAGGCGCTCTTTCCTCTGTCGGGCCAGCCGCACCGGGCCCTCCGCTTTTTCCTCTCCACACTTTGGCCGACCAGTCACGCTCGCCCCGCCCCGGCTCGGCTCCGTCGGCGGCACACACGACATGGACATCCGTGGACCTCGTGGCATGCATGACTATGTGCCGTCCTTGGCTACCAAGTGCCGGGCGGCCTATATTCTTCATTCAGCCAAGTCACGCTTCTCCATGCCCAGGAAAGCGCCGCACGGGGCTGGCCTCGCACGCAAGACTAGTCCTTAGGGGATCAGACGCTCCGACGAGTGGAGCCACATGCCCCGCCGACCATCGGACCCTGCATGGCATCCTGGCGGCGCGCTTTCAGCTCAGAGTTCGGCACCAAGACTCCCATCTTGGCACATTCTTTCACATTCTGGAATTGTAAATGTGCGCCGATACGCACTTGGTTTCAGTGGCCCAGCTGCCGTGCGGGACGAGGACGCAGTCACGGCAGTACTGCTCCTTGCAGCCGTTGGTGCTGCAGGCGCACGCGACGAGCTCAACGCCTGTGGGCGCCTCGCGGATCGTCACTCTGGGGTCGTGGGGAAGCGCACTTTGAGGTCGGGCGGTCTTTTGTTTGTGGATGACTACGTGTAAGTCCAAGATATGGTTCTCTAAAAAGACACCGTGGGGAGTGGATATGTCGTGGTTGCCGAAAACTCACGTTCGTCGGCTTGAACTGTTGGAGCTGTGGAGGCAGTCTCCGTCTCCAGAGGCGATCGACGACGGTGTAGACGAGGCTGAGAATGGGCCGTCCAGGGCTACTGAGATCCATGGTGGCCTGGTCGTAGTCGCTCAAAGTAGTGCCTGGCCAGAGGGCACATTCTCCGACGACGCTGTTTCGGAGAATGGGTTAGGATTTAAAGTTGGAAGCACCAGCTGTGCTCGAAAACGGCTCGAAATCGACAAGACTACAGGAAATACACAGGGAAACATACACTCTTGCCAGGTAAACAATTGAGGGAAAGAAAAAGAAAACACGTAAGTTATCCGGTATTCCACGCCTTGCCCTTGAGATTTACTCTTTGACTATCGTCAAATGTTTCTTCTCTCTTTGACTGCTTTCAGCTTTTGAATCCACGCTCTGTCCTCATCCGATACTGGAAACTCCCAGAAACCGTGCAGAACAAATCCTGCCCATTTGTAAAGTGGTTGCTGATTGTCCGGATCGAGCTCCCGTATGGCGTGGCGCATAGCCTTGGCCATATTGACGAACGAGGTCGATGCTGTCCCTGTCGTAGAGTCGTCACCTACCTTAGCGGAGGGCTTGGCTTTGAGCTGTTTGATGAAGGAGTTGAAGAATGAGCGAGAAAACTCCGCCCCGTGCACGTCACTGATGCGCCAGAGCGTGGACACGGTAGAGCTCGCGCCGGAATGGAGAAAAGCTGGCACAAGACCCATGACCTCATCTCCAGGCTTCACCTCGGTCACCCCTCCCTGGCAGGCAATCATGTTGACATGCGTGGCAGTCGAGAGCCTGATGCCAAGCACCTCCCGAGCAGCAAGCTGTTCCACTGGCGATTCTCCAGGCTTGACCAAGTCGTGCGGGCGGGCGAGTTCGAGGTGGTGGTCCAGCGGGTCGGAAGATTTCCACTGACAGTGCGTATGGACATGCAGCAGTCGAGAATGTGGGATGGATTCCATCAAACTCTCTTTGGAGCCATCATCGTCGATCATTGGCTTCGTCTTGAATTGTTCTGCCAGCCCTCGAATGCGACCCCTCCCAGCACTAAAGCGTCCAGACTCTGGCTTCCCAGCGTCTGGCAACTCCGTTACTGGGATACCAGAGACAAAGAGAGGCTTCAGTGCCGACCGATTGACTGGCAAATGGTGCACAAATTGGGTAGCAGCGAAGCAAGATCGCAGCAGCGAGTGGCTGTGGATGTACACCAGAGAATTCCGTTGCGAGAGAGTCTTCTCGTCGACCATGTCAGCCTCTCGCGGGTCTTTATCTCTGATTGATAGTGCATGGATCGGTATGCGGTGAAGAGCTGTTGATGGACAGAGAACCAGAAAGTCTTTTGGGCGTGTGCGCTGTGCCAGTGGCGCAACCAATTCTCCAAGGAGATGGTCCAGGTCTATCCGCGCCTTAAGACTGGCGAGATTCTCCTCGGGGATGTCCTTCCATTCCGCCGGGTTCAAGAAGGTTCTCTCCCACGCTGCAATGTCTTCTGCCTTGGTCTTCAAGACATCCATGGTCGTTCGGAATTCCATGTCCGGTGCTGAGCCACATCTCGCTGTGAACAGCAGAAACTGGCCGGGTGCATCAGCAAACGTTGAGTAGTGATACATCCAGTCCACCAAGACGACATCTTCACCCGTCTCCTTGTTGATCACCGCAAGCTCAGATCCATCAAAAGGATTGCCTTCACGAAGATCGATCACCCGACGCAGCAGCGGGTCTCGTTTCATTAGACCTCGATGATGCTCCATTTTTCGGCGCAGCTCGAATCTTTCATGCTGCTCGGCCATGTCGATCTGATTTTGAAGCCGGCCCATCTCTTCATAAAGGGCTTTAGATCCAGGAAAAGCCATGATCTCGCTCACAAGCCCCGGCGGATCTGAAGCGCGTGCACCAATGGTGCGGGCAAGGGAGCGGGCTTTGTACTTCTGCACCCAGGTCCAGACTTGAGTAATGGTTCTTTCGCTAGGGCCACCCGGCTCGGCCAAAAGCAGAGCTATTGCCACCTGGATGGTCTGGAAACTCGCGTTAGAGGTGACCAGAGCGTGCCGATTGTTGACCGCCTCGAGACCATCGCTCCGTGACGCATGCAGCTCGCTCTGTGTGAAAATGTGGTTTGCTTCTTCGATCCTCTGCATCCCAACTTCCCGCAGCTCGTTGATTGCACTTAAGCGGCTGGCTTCATCCTGTCTCGACTCCGTTGTCAGTTCCGATTTTTGCCCAAGCCTGTGAAGCTTCAGTATCTGCCAGAGACAGATGCGTGCTGCATTGCGCTGTTGCACGGCGATCTGTGCCAGGTTGTTCGTCCTCCTGAACTCGTCCAGGGCGCGACTGCTCGAAGCCTCTGCCTCTCGTAAGACCACCTCGAAGCTCGCTGCGGTAGTAAGGTCGAGTTGACTTTCAAGCTTCGCCATTTGAGCAAGTGCGAGAGCACCCAGGTAAGATCCCCGGCTGTGAGGGAAGATGATGGAGATTTGTCGCGGGAGAGTCTCGCATAGGTTGAGAAGTTCCGTCAATTCGGCGATCTGCTGATCCCATAACCGCCCTTTTGCGAAGGTCTGTTGCCTTGCATCGCGCAGTTCCATCAGAGCGAGAAGCCGCCTCTTTCGTTGACCAAGTGGAGGGTTCGCCAGCCACTTGCACAGGCTTGCATACCTTTGCTCAAGAGCAGGTAATGGGCGAGGTGAAGATGTGTCAAAGATTACCGATGACAGCTGATCAAGCAGACTCTCGCCGCTGGATCTGGCCGAAGGTGATGAATGAGTAGCGCCATCCGGTTGATGGATGTCCACTTCTGCTTCGCCGGCGATGATTTTCCATTCTTCTTCGGAGATTCTCTGGCTAGTGATGTCTTCAAGGAGCCAGTCTCTCAATAGACTGCAGAGAACTTTCGCTGTTCTACTCGGATCCCCCAGTGTTTTGATCCATGGCGCAAAAAAGGGACCTTCCAGATCCTCATCCTCGAAGTCATCTCTGTCAGGATCAGCACCAGTGTTGGCCGGATCGGCTGTCCCAAGATAACCGAGGTGCATCCATTTTCTTCCCTGGACATGTTCGGGAGAATCGAGTCTGTCAGCCACCGCATCGGCTTTCTTGGCTTCGGCCGTCCGACGCAGAGTTTGCAGTACCAAGGCTTTGTTTCTGTAGAGTGAGGCCAGCTCTGTGGGTGCGGTAAAGTATACGTGCTTTTGGAGAAATCCATCAATCCATTCCAGCGAATTTTGTCGGTCGACCATGGTGCTAACTGTGGCCGAGATGAGGGTGTTTCGATGCAAGATGAGGTCGCACAGATCCTCGGACACGTTTGTGTCGTACTCTTCCAACTGGGCCTGGAATGCGAAGAAGCGCTCGCGATACGCCTTGTCCTTGGTGTAATTATAGAAAGCCCAAGAAAGATCAGCGGCAGCGGAAAGGCACATGCCAAGTTTGCCGCTGCCAAGGCGCTTCAGTTCAGCAGCGAGAGCTTCGGTGCGGTCCAGCCTTTCGGTAGGATCCTGTACGGCAGCCAGCAATTCATACGCCCAGGCATGGACGTGAGGGGCAGCGTCTCTGTCCGCCACCTCAAATTGGTCGCAAAAGGCATTGAAGGCTGCCGCCGACTTTTCCATCTCTTCTATCGCGCGGTCTCGCTTCTGTAGAAGGAAGTAAGTGCCTGCCCACTGTAGGCGTACGACTGCTTCGAAGTATCTCTTCAGGGTCGTAGCGGGCATGTTTCCAATGGACGCGAGAAACTCCTCGACGACTATCTCGCGGTTTTCAAGTGGTGTGCGGTTGAGCGTCTGGCGAAACAAGGCGTTGGCCTCGTTGAACATTCCTCGATCGCATAATGACTGTTGAAGCTGTCTCAGACCAGCCCAAGGCGTGCTTTGTTGGGACTCTTGATTTTGAGCATTGTACAGTGGGATGTGCTCGGCTTCTGCGTTCTCGTACTTGGCACTGAGCTTCGCGAAGAGGTAAAGGATGACGTATCGGCGAACACAGCTGGCCTGGGTGGTCTTGTGAGTCGCCACTGTCGTGGCCGAAGGTAGGGTTGGATTTGACTTACCTGAATATCGGAATACGCCGCAACAGGCACGTCCCCAAGCCATTGCATTGTCCTCTCGATCTCTATGATAGCAGACTCGGCATCGCCACGATGTCGAATCCCGACCATGGCCCGTGTTAATGCTATCAGTCGACGTGCCGCAGTTTCAGACTGTTGTTCGAGCTTTTCCAGTGTCTTCAGTCCAGCGTCAAGGACGCGGTAAGCTTCTCCCCATCTCCCGGCCTCGATCTCCAGGTCTCCGTGCTCTATGATGACCACGGGGCTGGCGGAAAAGGCGTCGAGTTCATTTAATAGAATCTTGCGGCCTACGTCAAACTGACCCACCAGCCTACACCAGATAACTTGTTCGATATCCTGGATGGCTTGAGGGCTCAGTGAAGCGTAGAGGGAGGTATACACCCCTCTGTAACCTGGGGACGCCATGTCGCCAGTGAATTTACTGCTTCCGTTATATCGCCACGTCGGAATGAAGTTGAGTTGCCAGGGGCTTTTGACGGACTGGCGATGTTGCTAAAACCACACGTTGACAGTTCATCGACCGCTGTATAATTGATGCACTTTTATCAGGCTCGTGTCTCACTTTGGTATCCCAGCCTGGCACGTCGCATTGGCTTCCGAGTTCCCTCAGCTGCGGGCTGGGATGCAGCTCAGTCGCTGCCAAAACACTCAGCCGCACGCCTTGACTCACATGTGTTCTGCCTCACTCTTGCTACTGATCGTGCGGGATTAGGCGCCGGGACTGGACATCCCTGCACCTGGGCACATATATGTGGCCTTGACACCCACTGATATTTGCACAGATCCTCACTGCTCCCATGTAAGCAGTCGGCGATAGCTTGTTCTGTTCAGCCTCGATGTTTCCCAGCCAATGATCAGTGCAGCCACAAAGCTCAGCTCGGGCTATGGATGCAACGCTTGCTGCTGTGCGGGGGAAACAACAGCCAGGTCGCCTTTTCTTACGTGACAGTCCATCTCAATTGTTTCTTGACTTTGGACACCACAATCATTCTACTACAGAGCCTCCGCATTAAGGGGGCAGTATTCATATCTTCTCCAAAAGTGCTTCCCATTTTGTGCAGTTACACAAACCGCTCTAATGGCGGCATTGCAGACCCTACCGCAGGTTACACATGTGCCAACAAAGGATCTAGGGGTCGAATTCGCCGCGCTGGAGGTGTCTGATGTTCAGGCTTCCCCAAAACTGGAGCCCAAAGACGCGGACGACGATGATGGCATGGAAGACGCAGATCTCGACTTTGGATTCAAGTTGCTCCTTACCGAAGATGAAGCAGACGGCCAGCTGTCAGCTCCCATGAAGAACACCAAGTCCCAAGAATCTATACCTCGTGAGATCATCGCAAGCGGCACGGCACAGGGAGAGTGTCTTCGACCAATCTACGCAGGCACCTACAGAGGCGACCATGCCTACCTGATCCGACTCCAGTTCCAGATATCCAGCCCGAGACGAAATGAAAGGTGGTTCAGCAGGATACAGACGATGCAGATCTCCATTGCTCTCGAGGGCGCTCCCACGGCGAAATCAAACGATGCGCGCGATGATTCTGACGACGACGACGACGACGATGATGATGATGATGATTCGGACGATTCTGGTGACGAGAGCGGCGATCAAGGTCTGCGCCGACATGCCTCGATTGAAAAGTACTTTCCGGGTCCCGGCGTCTGGAAAGGATCTGCCACTACAAACGAGATCTCAACAACGACGACTGGCAGCTTCCAGGCCGGCCACGAAGGCATCGCCACCGCCGGATTCGAGGCAAGCCGGACGCGGTCGAGAGTGGCCACCGGCGCCGTGTCAGTGACCACGAGGCGTGGAGGCCGTCACCGCAATGCCCTGCTCGTGTGCGTCGACGAAGACCCCGTCACGCCCAAAGGTGTGCCAGAGCACCTCGTCATTCCTCTATTGATTGTCCGCCCGGCCCATCGCTTCAGCATGACTGTCAAGCTTCACGCAAAGTATGGCTTGTGGCGTGGCCTTCCTGCCGACAAGTTCCCAATCATGGGCAAAGCGGATGCGCCGCTTTTCTTCGACCCGGGGGCACTGCAGAGGAGAATGGAGAAGCAAGCTCGCACCGGCGGCTCAAAGAGCATCATCGAATGGCGTGGAGTGTTGGACGAAATCGATCTGCAGTCGCTGAGTTCCTTGGAAGGCTTTTCGAAGACGTGAGAGTATGAGGAACAACGCTGAGGGGTCATTGAGGAATTGATCTCCGGAAAATCGGAGGGACAGACTCCGCTTGCCAGGCCATTGATATAAGAAAAAGAAAATTCTCAATCTTGTCTGCGGGTCCACATGTTACCTGGAGCTCTACTTGTTTGCCGTGATCAGATGTTCCATCCTTGCTGTCTATGCCCTCCTCTCCCGTCTGCGTCCCTCACACCAATCATCAGCGGCGCGACTCTCTCGGGCTTGATCCGTGACTTATCTTCCGCGAGCGTGCCGTGCGGGTGCGCTATAACATCCTCTTGAAGGATCTTCTATAGTCTAATATTCCTCTCGCTGTAGAATATACTATTCGCGTCAGGCCTCTTCATAATGATCGCCCCGTCTATACCCGCTCCCGCGTAGAAACCGCGGGACTTAACGTGGTACTATACGGGCTTCCCCACAGCCGCGCCGCCGCTCTTAAAGTTAATATCGGCGTCCAGCTAATCCCCGGCGCTTAGAGGCGCCGCTACTATAGCTACGTCACATCTGAGACAGAAATAAACGCGCTTAGTAAAGGCGTTAACAGCCTAGTCCGTATTAAGTTCGTATTCGCGGTTATTTGAAGCCTAGTGTAAAGTCAACGAAGAGACTATGAGATAGGGTACTCGAGGGCGGCGACTAGAACCCCGTCGGGTGGGCGGCCTATAATAATACCGGACACTCTCGCGCTACTACTATACGGGCCGCCTATGCGGAACGATATGAATCCTTGGCCTAGGCGAGGACCGACTCATGAATCTTAACCAGGGACTTATCAATAATAGCCCTATAGGTGGTCTTCTCGATACAAGGCTTCGGGCCGGGGTAGTATGGCGAGTCCGGCAATAGGATAGTGTAGTATTTTTATTATAGGAAGGGAGATAATTATATGGATTCTCATGGTAGTAATGAGGAGGCTGGTGTATCTTCTACGTATACTCCGTCTGTTGATAATACGTGGATCAATATCTATTCATATCCCAGATGTGAGAAAGAGGTGAAAGAACGACGACTTAAGGATAAAGCTCTTCAGGATCCTCGCACACTTGTTGCACTCCTTATCCAGGCAGCTCGGCTACCACGCCTCGTAGCCGAGCTGATCAGTCGCGCGGTTTACGTAGGCGCCGGCCTTAGCGCTCTTTCTCTTTAGATATATCTGTGCGCTACTGTAATGCCGCTTAAGGGGGCGGCAGAGAGCGAGGGGCTGGGTTGTCATTGTTGCTAATCGCTGCATCACTGCTGGCCTCGTTGTTGCTGTGTTCTCCTGTAACATGCAGAGCATTGCCTTCATGGAACCGAGATTGTTGTCGTTGCTGCCAAATCCATCCCCAACTCGTTGTTGTGACGATATCGAGTTTGGCCAGTGGCCGCTCTCTGCCATCGGCCTGTGCGGTTTTGGTGGTAGCGGTGGAGAATGAGTGCGGCCAAGTGCTTCGCTGCACGGCCGATTGCTCGTAGCTCTGGACGAATGTGGAATTGGGGGCTGTTGATCTGGCAGGTATGGCGGATGGAGGATCTGCCCTTCACGAAGCTCGGTGGAGTGAAAACTTGACCAACGTGCGAGGTATGAACCTCCGGCGGAGCTACAGCGGATGTGACGGCCCTCGCCATGCCTTGTCGGAAATAGTCGTGGCGTGGTTAATAATGCTCTGATCTCTGCGAGTCCGTGGCATTGCCAAAATGAACAAGTCTGGTGGTTTTCCCACGTGTACAAATATGTGGGTGATGGGTCAAGGAGCCGAAGGTACTAACAAATCATTAACCCTGCCCTGTGAGAGATACTAGAACACCATCCTGTGCCCGCAATAAATGCTGAGGTTCCACGGATCCCGAGAAAACCGCCCGGACCAAATAACACCTTGAAAGTCGGTGTTCCTTCACGAAAAGCCGGATCCAAACCTCCGATATGGCACCCGTACTACGGAGTCAACGGCGGTTGTGGCCGTCGTGATCAGTGCTTCGGGCTCTGTAAAGATAAGTCTTTGCACATAAATTTTAATCACGGAGCGTGACAATCGGTCATGGTCAGAGTCAGAATCCGTATGGAATTCAATTCGAGCACTGTTCGACACGCCCGCATACCAAGTCGAGGACTTCTCCTGAATTCCGTGTTCACGATCGTCTTGAGAATCCAAGTATTGACTGACTTGCTTGTCCATATGATATGTAACACCTCAACATTATATACGCGCTCAACGAGAGAGATGGCCCGGACCATACTCCCTCAACCATGTCCAGTCCTGGACCTTAGTCGCCAGCTGGATATCTCGTTCCAGGACGTTCCTGATTATCGACAAATCTTCAAGTACCAACACGCATGAGTTTCCAACCTTTTGCCGCCAAACGAAAACCAACACCATCCAATAATTTCATGATCTTTTGCGACCTTTGCAACCTTCAAACATCAACCTTCGTACTGAGTGGTGATCTGCGTCTTGACACTGATCTTTCCCTTTGGCGCAAACAACGCCTCCTCAGAGCTGTTGTCCAGATCAAGCTTCGAGGTCGGCTCGATGCGTGTGTTGACGTGCGGGTTCATCCTCTTGCCCGGACCACCACCATCAACACCACCACCACCCGACGAGCCCTCGCGGCGGTGCTGCCCATCGGCACTGTCCGTGTCCAGGTTCCGCAGGTCCATGATGGTCGAGTCGTGGTGCGTGTTGCGCGCCGTGCCGCCGCCGCCGCTGCGGGTCTGGCTCTTGTTGTTGCTGATCTTCTGGAAGCCGGACAGCTTGTACAGCCCGCTGCCGCCCGACGACTTTTTGTGCGACCGCGAGCCGCCGTTCGAGGACGTGCCGAGGAGTCTGGGCGCGTAGCGCTTCGCAATCGTCTTGTACGACGGGATCGACGCGGCCAGGATGCCAATGTTGATCTCAATCACCGACCAGTACATGGCGTCCGAGATGACCCATGTCGCGTCCGGGTTGACGAGCATCTGCGGGATAAAAGTGATTCGGATGATCGAGGAGATGCAGGCGCTGCGGAGGTTGAGGGGAGTCAGCTTGTCTTGTCCTGCTTCCCAATGCTTGTTCAAGGGCCCGTTGGGTGTCTGTACACAAGAATCACGTAGAGGGGGCTGGGCTGTCCATCACTTACAAAAGACCCAGGCACAGAATGACAAACAAGCCAATCTTCTGCTGCTTCGAGACCTGCAGGTTGATAATGAGCTTGATCGGCAGGGTGTACGTCAACAAGTCGGTAAAGATGTTGACCGCCGCGTTGGCCAGGTAGAACGCGTTGATGTTGATGCAGCGCTTGCTCTCCGCCGGGATCGATAGATCGTAGGCAGCAGCTATCGGCGAGCACTGGAAGATGCACGCAAAGACGTTGCCGCCCGCCTGGCAAGTGATGACACCGATCATGATCATGGCCAGCCTGCGCAGCATCCGGTCGCCCAGACGCATGTAGAGCGCCAGCACCGAGATCTTGATGAAGCCGAGAGTCGCGTTGTAGAATATGGACGACAGCCACACGAGTTGCATGTAGGCCATAAAGTTGGCCGTCCCGCGGGCCATGACCTCCTCAATGTGGTCGCCCAAGCCACGGCCAACCGCTGCATCAGGGGGAAAGGGCGTCAGTGCTGGGTTTTGTGACGCTGACCGGTCTTGAGAATGGGTAACTCACCAAGAATTGACACGACCGTGAAGGCAGTCGCCAGTGTCTATTGGATATGTGAATGAGTACTCTGTCATTGTCTTTACTTCTGCGAAGGCAGGCGCAGATGGCAAACTTACAGCAGCTATGCAGATTAAAGCTGTTGTAAGACAACGCGGGTCAGTTTCCGAGTCTCTCTATCTTCCATGGAGAACGTATGACAAGGCAACTCACCATCGTCTGTGCCGAAAGACTTGACAAGGAAGATGCGAGCCCAGACTCTGAGCGATACTGCAACCACCGTAATGACGGTAAAAGCAATAGCCACCGCAGTCACGGTCGGCCCCTGTGACTCAGTGGCCATGGCGCCTGTTGACGGAGGATACTTGGATCAAAGACGCGGCCAAGGTGTCGGAAACTTTCATCGATTGTGATGGTCCCTGTCGGTATCTGCAAAGAACAACTTTGTAGCGGAAAATCAGCCGGAAGAACTGGGTGTTGTAGCTTCGGCTCGCTCGCTAGTCGACCCTTTGTCGTGTATGATGGCCTGCAACGAGCCTGGCGTGCGATGGACGTGGGCGTAAACTACGGCAACGAATGGAAGGGAACACAGAACTCTAAGCTGGGAGCTTGTTCTAAAAGAGAAAAGGAAGGATTGGCGGCCAAGCGGGAACCAAACCAAGGAGAGTCCGGTGAGCGGACCGTTATGTATAGCGGCCGTTGCGTAGACCCCTAAAGGCGTTGAAAGAGTTATGAGCCGGCCAATTACTGAGTCGGGCCACAGAATGCAGGAACTAGTGCCGGAGGCACGTTAAGGTATGCCCAAGGGGGCCAAATCGAACCTGAAGGAGACAATATCCCTGCATGGGTTCATCCGTGATGGTCTGTCCGCAGCCTCGATGAAGCGCAGCATAGATCCTTGCGGGCTGCCTGCCAGGGTTGGAGTGACCATTGATTTGCCTCTGGGGGTGAGCGTACCCTAGAGGGACTCTTGCCGCTTCGCTTTGACACTTCAAAAGGGCCCAGCTCCAGATTTTGATCACAGTGTAAGAACGGAAAGTGTGACTGGCCTCAGACCACTCGCCGTCGCATCCCTGAGTAGGTGTGTAGGGCTACCTAGTGTGGTGTGGTAGCATCACAGCGGTAGTGTAGTGCATCATTGCTTGTCTGGGACATTCCATGCAGTTCCCGAATATGATTTTGGTTAATCGTCATGCAAGTCGGAATGCGCGCCGTTATGCTGGTATGGATTCTGCATGGTCCGTCTTGGAGCTCAGGAAAGGGGCACTGATTTAAGTGTAGATGTGCTTGTCTCACTGCCCGCTCTCTGCTTCCATACGCTTTGCACACGATGATCGCCGAGGCATGGGACACTTCGACACTGCGATGCCGTATCCCCATCACTTCTGGCTCGTGCTGAGCTGCAAGGTGGTGGGTAGAGAGGGGATTGCCTTGGGGCGTGCATAGGGCTTCGAGCAGAGCCACTTGGGATCTTCGACCAGGAAGCTAAGACGCTGCGGCGTTTTGATCTAATTATGGCCTGTTGGACGGCCAGTCAGAGCCAACAGAGATCACCAGCAGAAAGCATGGTGTCGTGGTCTGGGGCGAGGCAGTCCCACAAAGCAGACAAGATAGGCCAGCATCACATGTCCACGCACGTTGCGCTGAAACTTGCCCAGTGGCTATGTCGTCGCCAACATGTCGAAGTACAGTCGCAGAATCCCTGCTGCCAGCACGAGCAGGACGCTGAAGCAGCGTGCAGCGAATGTTCCATCTGAAGAAAATGAGCAGAAGTGCCTCCTACCCGAAAGGTCTTGTCGCCAAGCATAGCGCTCCTTCAGAAGCACGCCGAGGCATGGGTTTCGAATGAGGACTCTGGAGATGAAGATCTTTCTGCCAGGCGGGATTATTGCAGGGAAAGCGAGCCCCTGGCCCCTGGCCCTAGAAGGTTCCGATTCCTGCACCTCCCCTTACAATGCGGAGGTCAAACGAACCGGCAGAGGTGCGGCACAGTCTGTATCCGAAGACCTCGCTTCTTGCCGAGCAAGAAGAGTATGGAAGATGGGGGCAATAGTTATGACTCGTCATATGCCGACCATTGGCGCGGAGGAGACCCGGCACCTCCACAGGGCCAGTGTTAGAGGAAAAGAAGGAACATGTCCAGTTGCATTGCGAGCGGCTAGATCCGTAGCCAGTCCAGATACAGTATCATTCTCTAGCGCAACAGTTGTTTTGAGTCAGACCATGCTCCAACGTGCGCGACGTTTAGGTATGCTCGCTTGACACGTTTTTGACATCACTCTCGGCGCAGAAGCAACCAACACGTGAGTTGAGCAAGCGAGCCCCTGTCCAATAACACAGGCGTCAAAGCCAGCCACGAAACGAAAAGCCAGGTAACTGTCCGGGTGCAAGGTCTTAAGTCCCCACAGAGCGATCTGCCAGGCCGCTTCCGCATCGGTGACACAATGCCCTGCACACCGGCAACTCTACCCCCGCGGGATACAACAAGGCACCCCTGGAAAGATACTGTAATACTAATAGCGTGCTCGCGCGAGTCAGAGGAGCTGCCGAAATGCAAAGTGATCGTCGTCAGGTTTTGCGCAAATCGCGAGGCGGCGGTCGGTCGCCGCCGCCGCCCCACGGCCTGTTCTATCCATGTGTTATTCACATGGCGCAATTCATTGCTCTTTTTCTCCTTACAGGGAGTGCTCAACCCAGTGGGAGATGTCCTCATCACGGAGATCATCTGGGGGGATGCGAGACCGGGTCCACAGTTCTCGTAAAAGGATCGCTTGCGCTCTGTCCATCCTTGCCAGGCGGGACTGGAGGTCTGTCAGGCCGGATGGCAGTGGAGCAGACTGCACATTACCTTCAGGTCGTCCAGTACGCAGTACGAGGCCGATGGCCAAACCCGCAGGGACGCCTCAATGGTTGCTAGAGGCCGTTGCTAGACTGGAGGCTATTTGGGGGCCACAAAGAGGGACTACGGAAAGCTTACGCGGGCGCCACCAACGTAGTGCCCTCCTGCCCCGGCAAGCCACCGCGGGAGGCAGAAGCAACGGCGGCGCCCCCACAGCGGCATTATCCGTCGGCCATGGTGCGGAGGAAAAAGCAACAGGCCGGCTCAGCTGGCGAAGCGTACCCGCAAGGCACGCTATTCATCGCGACAAGCCAAGGGTGCCTTCAGCTGGTGGATGCGAGGGTGGGGAACTGCCGCCTCGAATGAATGGCACAATGAAAGAGTGATTGTGCACCGAGTCAGTCGTGGACAAAAGTGTGAAGCAACACGTTTTGCTTTTGCAGTGACACTCCTGTCGGGTCGATTCCTTTTTGCTAACCGAAGGTGCATGCTCCCGCCGCCACAGTACTCCTATCTCTGCATCGTATGGGAGGCCAGAATGCCTGTTATTTCTCCAATAAGTCCCTCATCACGCATCTTTAGTGGCCTTGAGAGCCCAGAATCACGTGCGACGAGGTCGGAGCGGCATGAGCTGCCCATCTATCGACTTGAATGCCACCCAGCGCAACCAAGTGTGACAGTGCAAGTCAAGAAGCAGACAACCTGCCTTTGCTGCTTCCAGTACAGTGTGTCCGTTCTTCCGTGAGACTGTCCCTTCTAGAAGGACAATGTGTGTGTCTGAAAAACTCTACATGCCAGACAGAGCCCAGGCGGCTGTGCAAGACACAATGAAACGGTTTTGTCTCGGCAGGTCGCCGCCCCTTTACCCTTTTCGGGATTATATCTGGTCCACGGGCCTCCCTGCTGCGCGGAAGTGCGAGCCGTCCCAGACCACTAGACGCCCAGAGCACAACATCGGCACCATGGCTCGCATTTGAAGGCTCGCAACCGATCCCACTGAGGGAAAAGTCCTCGGCAATCGCCGCCGAGCCACTCTCTCACTCGCTACCCACACAGAATAAAGATCGACACCGTGTGCCTGATCATTCCCCGGCGACTGCGGCTAGAGCACGTTTTGTCCATGCAGGGGAGAAAAAGGAATGAATTCGCCGTCAGCTTCAGGCCCATACCGCTGGATAGTTGGGACCGAGGCCATGAATGGCCAGCGAATGAGAGCAGTAAACGACGGTCCAAAGAGATGGGGATGAACCATCCAATGCTACGCTACATGTCCACAGCATCGAATCAGAAACCGTTGTGCCGGCATTTTCCAGTAGGAGCGCTCGCGCTCCTCTCCCTCGTCATCCGGATACATCTGCTATGCAAAAAGATCCCGAGGATGGGCCGCGTCACGGCTCACAGCTTTGAATTAGACCATGCACAGAGGCTTGTGAAAGCGAGACGAATGGAGCCGCAAAAAGCGAGCCAGGATCTACCTTGCGCTGGGGCCCAGGAACGTGACGGTCCTAACCGCAATAGAACAAAAAACAGTCCCACCGGGCAGGGGCCAGAACGGGGAAAAGGACGGGCCTGTCAGAACGTTATGCCGCCACAATGTGACCTTTGGCGAGCCTGTCTGGTTGTTGCGTAACACGGTTCCACGGCGTGGTCGGGTGAGTGGGTGTTCCTGTGTAGCCCAGCGCTTAGAACTTGACAGGCTCGCTTGTGCTGTGCCGTAATATGCCAAAGAACGGTACCGAGGTAGGGACAATGGCATGCCTTGGCGTCGTCGTTCGATGGTCTTCAAGTCCCATAGCATCCACAAGGGCCATCAGGTGGTCCTGCGTGTTAGGGCACGGTCTTGTCCCTGCTTTATCTTTGCTTTGACCACAGTCTACCGGGGCCTTTCTTGCGTGAGGCTCAAGCGGCACGCGGCTGACTTCCCACGCGCCAACCGCGGCAGCTAGCTGCTTGCCAAGAGCCAACAACCAACAACCAACAACGGTCCGAGGTCAAGGCGCACGCAATCAACGAGCTGAGAGTTCCACAAGTTGCCGAATTCTTCGCGCGACAGGCACCTCAAACCAACACGATGACGCACGGGGCACGACTTACCCGGGCCTTTTCATCTCTACAAGTACTGCCCGAGGCCCGCCCCTCACGGGAAATACTGTACAAGGGGTGGGATGAGTTCCCCGACCCTGGTTCCAGGCCGATCTTCAGCATCCTTGTTCCACGCCTCGCATGCATGAATCCATTGAGAAGCAAGTGCAACAGCAACCCCAGCCGGGACGAATAGACCGGGCTCGGCAGGGTGTTTTCGAAGTGGAGCCAGCAGGGACATGTTGATGAATCAACGAGTATTATATGCTGGAGGAGGCCACGTCCTCTGCAACTGTTGCATCTGGCACTGCGACGAGATCTGCCGAGCACCTGCCAACACCAGCACGTGGTAGCAACTGGCTGCATAGCTCAGGATGTCGATAGCCATCCCGAGCCCGTGGGTGCCAAATCTTCGGGCTCAGTGGATTAGCACGCATTCATTATCATGTGCTCTCTCTGTGTGTGTGTGTCGTGCAACCGCAAGGGTATCGTTCTCCGCAGACGCACTAGCCAAAACGCTGTTTCTGCATCGCCTCTGGTGTTCCCCCGCAGCAAGGCCGTCTGTCGAAACCCACTATCCACACAGCACGTTTTTTTTCTCTCCAGCTTTGGAGGCGGGCAGACGAGGGAAAAAAGATCCGATGGACGAATCTGAAGCTCTGGGTTACAAAAGCTGGCACTGGCTCTCGTTACTGATTACAAAGTGGAGGCGCATGCTCTGGGGCTCTCTTTGTCTCCTTGCAGGAAGGTCCTTTTCATGGCCCCCCTCGCCATTCGGCAGAAACATGCCCGACCACTGATCCTGGCCTTTTGTTGCTTCGGGATCCTGGAATCTTTTTCGGAACCAGGAACCGCATAGCACACGCTGTGCAGGCAGATAAGAAACAAGGGGGGGGGAGGCGCTCTGCGACGTTGACGACGCCCAGCGCAGACTCGAGCCATCTGTGCCAGATCTCAAGCAGGGGCAACGCAGTGAACCAGGGGAGCGGAGCACGATCACCACTATTTTCGGGTGTGTATGGGGACCATGTGGCATGCTGTGGCGATGGTGGGAAGGAGTGTGCCAGGGACGATGGGTGAGGGGGCGGAGGGCAGAGATGGGGTCTTGGAGAGAGGTAAAGTGCTCGTGGGGTAGCAGTGCTTGTTGGAGAAAGGTTGTCTCCTCCCGTGCCCTTTGTATAATTTGCGTCTCTTGATTTCTGGTTTTTCTTTTCTTCTCCTGCAGAGTGTCGTATTACATGCGTGTCCCCTTCACTCATCAAAGACATCACGATCCCGTGTGCTGCTTTGGTTCTTTTGACTGGGATTGCTGGATCGCCCCTTGTCACTGCGTTTTGCGACAAGCAAGCGAGGCATACGCTGCTGTCTCGGCAATCCACTTGAGCTAACGGCCGTTATTTCATCATCCTTTGAACTTGCTTCTTGCATTGCTTGATTCCTCGGAAGCAGCCGAAGCCATGGGGCTCTTGTCGATCACCAATCTGTTTGGCCTAGGCTTCGCCTACGTCGCCTTCAAGGCCATCTCGCAGATTGTCTACTACCGCTTCTTCCACCCTCTGGCGCAGTTCCCCGGGCCGTTCTGGGGCAGTGTCACGAGGTTGTGGCTGACATACCACAATGTCAAGGCGGACGAGTGTGAGACTGTACAGGCTCTGCACAAGAAACATGGTAAGAATGGGTTTCCCCTCTCCCTCCCTCTCTCTCCGCCAACTCTTTTCTTATTTTCACTTGATAATATGGATTCTAACACCATGTGTGACCAAAACCAGGCCCCGTGATCCGCATCACGCCCACGATGCTGCTGGTCAGTGACGCGACCAAGCTGCCAGACATCTACAGCCGGTACGCGGACAAGGCCAAGCACTACATCACGGGCTCGTTTGGCAAGACCGAGTCGCTGTTCAACATGCAGGACCACAAGGTGCACACGCACTTCCGCAAGATCGCGGCGGCGCCCTACAGCTACTCGAACATCAAGAAGATGGAGCCGCTCGTGGACGCCAACATCAACCGGTGGCTGGACAAGATGGACGAGCAGTTTGCGCAGACGGGCCGGGAGCTCGACTTTGCGCCCTGGGCCGTGTACATGGCGTACGACATCATCTCGGAGATTGGCTTTGGCGCGCCGTTTGGCTTCATCGAGCAGGGCAGCGACGTGGGCGGGCTGATCCAGGGCTTCCACGACGGCCTGGTGCCCTTTGGCGTCATGGCCCGCCTGTACCCCTTCACCAACTGGGTCAAGGGCACGAGCTTTGGGGAGAAGAACCTCGTGGCCACGCCCGAGCAGCAGAACGGCATCGGCGCCCTCATGCGCTTCCGCGACAAGCTGCTCGAGCAGCGCTTCCGGGACATTGAGGAGGGCAAGGCCGGCGGGCGCGTGGACCTGCTGCAGACCTTCATCGACGCGCGCGACGAGGACGGCAAGCCCCTCGACACCGAGTACATCAAGGCCGAGATCCTGCTGGTCCTGCTGGCGGGCGCCGACACGACGGGCACGGCCTTCCAGGCGCTCATCCGCAACGTGCTGTCGCGGCCGGACGTCTACGACAAGATGATGGCCGAGATCACGACGGCCTCGGCCGAGGGCAAGATCGCAAAGACCCCCGGCGAGCTGCCGCAGTACGAGGACGTCGTCGCCTCGTGCCCTTACTACGTCGCCTGCGTCAAGGAGACGATGCGCCTGAACCCGTCGGCCCCCAACATCTTCCCGCGCCTCGCGCCCAAGGGCGGCCTCGAGCTCTTTGGCAAGTTCGTCCCCGAGGGCAGCGAGCTCACCTGCAACCCCTGGCTCGTGCACCGGGACAGGAACATCTACGGCGACGACGCCGAGGAGTTCCGCCCGGAGCGCTGGCTCGAGGACCCGGAAAAGGCCAAGCTCTTCAACAAGTATAGCATGGTCTTTGGCTACGGCCCGCGCGTCTGCCTCGGCCGCGAGATTGCCAACATGGAGCTCTTCAAGGCGCCCCTCCAGTTCTTCCGCACCTTCAAGCCCTCCGTCGCGCCCGGCGCCGCCAAGACCGACGACGGCATGGTGGGCAAGTACGTATACAAGGGCGGCGTCAGCTACTTTGAGGATATCTGGATCAATATCGAGAAGAGGGCTTGAGCGGTGCGGCCGTTGGACAAAGGTAGTGGGGGTTGATGATGGCGCGGACCTATCGGATAAGATGTCGTTATGATTCTGTCTCGTGCAGGTCGGGGGAGGGCTCAGTGTAGTCAGTCGTTAGCAGCCGATTTTAGTCGGTCTCGGACATATCAAATGATGAGAAAGGTCTCAAAGTAAACTCGGACTCAAAGTAGAGTTGAAGTCAATATGCGTCCTTCCACGAGTTGAGCTAGAAGTTGGGTCGTCTGGTTGTTCGTGATGTCATTAGTCCTGGCGTCCTTGTATTGTACATACCTAGGTATACATGCGGACGTTGCTGACGTTAGCTGTCGTTAGACACAGATCAGAGTGAAATGCCGTCCTCTTGCGTTGGCAGCACGCTCCCGGTGCCGGCGCGACATATATGCTTCATAAGGCATGTGGAATTCAGTAGGATCCACGGCAGACATGAAGCCTGAGCCGCAGGCAGGAACTCACTGCGCGTTTCTTCGCATTGATTTTGACCGCTCAGCAAAGTCAAGAGGTATGTATAAGCTGCGATAGACTTGTATACGCTGAAATGTACAAAACTGCCCCGGTGCTTGCTCGTCCATGTTACAGTCAATCCGAAAGAAAGCGAACCCACGAGCACGTCCAGGTCGTACGTGTCCTAGAAGGCGCAACCCAGACTTTTCCCTTTATGCCCAAACCTTCCAACGCCTTGTTAACTCCGTCATGGTATTTTCGTCATCTTGCTGAGTAGGAGCAAATGTAAATGTGGATGAAGAGGCGCATCCTCATGGCCCGATGGCACCTCATTTCGGGATGAGCTGGGCAGCATGTACGGCCTGACCACCAATGTTTGGAGATTCCAGATCACCCGAAGCCTGCGGTCCAGGCTTCAGATAGCAATTCCCTGGTGCCGTCCCCTTGGTAGCAATTGTCCGATTTGTCCAGTATGGAATAAAACTGACACCTGCGCATACTGTCGTCGAGTTCGACGTTGAATTTCCGGAGAGCTTCGGCACAGTTATAGACCATGAAGCACATGCATCAATGCAATCGTCAAAGTTGCCGACAAAGAGGCCTATCAGGGGTGCATTGGGTGCATTGGCGTTGCACGAGATCCTGAAGTTGGCCAAGCCAAAAACTGCGGGGGTTATGTAAGCAGACATGCTGGAGATCTTGGCTCGATTCGCCACACACACAACTTACACGTTGAGGTATATGTAGTCCCCGTCACGGTCCCCGGGTGCAGGGAACAGCCTTTATCAATCTTGCTGAAGTCCAGCGGGTCGGGAGGCGCAGTTGCCTGAGCCAGAGCGGCGCTGGCAGATGCAAGAGCTGATTCCGCCTGGTTGGCCCTGCTTGAGGCAATGCCTGTCCCGGCAGCAAGACCAATCACCGCGACTGATAGAATGGCGATGATGACGGATAGCACGAAAACAATCAGCTGGCAGCCGAAAGGGTATCGTCTCTGCTTGGTGTCCGGCGGAGGTGTCGTGCTGTGGCCGTAGGTCGACGCCTGGTTGTAGCCGAAAGTTGAGGAGGGCGCGACATTTGGAGAGAACGCCGGGCTTGAGGGATATCCCGAATATAGCGTGCCGTGTTCAGGCTTGAAGTAGCCGACGGGCGATGTTGGCGCCTCACTGTATGTTACTGTCTCGGGGGCACTTGGCGGGTGGTGGACTTCGGGGTAGTTGTGAGGAACAGCCTCGGGAGCCTCGTCATACTGTGGCGAGGTGAATCGAACACGACGGTCAGCTTGGCGGCTTCTCTTTAGAAGGGGTTTGACCATGGGCAAAATGTCGACCATGTCAGCGGGACAACGTACTCGGGGCGCCATTTGCGACGGATGGACTTGGTTGCCGTTGTTCAAGGCGCCGGAAGTCCTCTGCTGATGGCTGATCTGGGCGGTTGTCAGTACCGCGATCCGTCCGCGACCAAGCACTGGCTGCCGTGTCCACCTCTGCCGGCCGTTGAGGTCGTCGTGGGGGACCGCAGTGGAAACACAGGCAGAAGGCGACTGGTGGTGGTGGTGTTGGTGGTGGTGGTGGAGGTTCGGAAGGGTTGAGAATCGCAGAGGCAGTGCCTGGCAGCGGAGAAAGAGTCGCAGGATCGGGTGGGCCAAGAGCGTCTTTAGGTCACTTGGCGTAACCTGGCGTGGTCTAGCCCGGGTGGTGGAGCGAGCGGGCATGTAACCTCGAAGGCGCAGCGGGATGCATACAGTGGGCGCAGGCGGGCAGGGTTGTGTCGTGTCGTGTGGAGGAGGCAGGAGAGCTGGCCCGGCCGAGTGGTCAGATTGAGGCACCCAGCAGGCAGGCAATACAACACTGCACCACCACCACCACACAGCCCCTCGCCCTCCCACTTCGACGCCTCCTGGGCATGCCCGCGCTGTGCCTTTGAATCCTGCCCATGGGTTGTCGGCCAGGACTCTCCGCCCATCCGGCAGGCGCAGAGGAGGGGACTTCAGGCAGGCGGCTGTGGGGGGTGCGGGCGTGGACAATGGACTTGTTCGCAGTGTGGTGGTTCCTGGACGGACCGTCCGCCAGCCTAAAGTCAACCAACCCTTCAGGGCACGGCCGTTTCACCAGCAGCCCTGCAAGGCGCCCAGCCCAGTGGTTCCTTCTCTTGGCCAAGCATGGAAGGAGCAACGCATGGGCGTGGATCCGGCCTTGCAAAGCTTAATGCCCCAGCCGGCCCTGGCGCCCGTGCCTTGGCCGCGTCAACCAAGCTCTCAAGGTCTGGGCGCCTGGCCGTCCACGTTACGATGCGCAGAAAGCCTACTACATCCATCCTATGACAGCGGCGCCCGTAAGCTGTCTCAGCTCACGAGCTGGGTTGCATTTATTTCGCACCCTGTCGCTGGCCCGCAGAAATCCCCCAGTCACGGCCCCCACCGCACCAATCTCGCTCGCTCGCTCCCCTCTCCGTCTTTTGCCGCCATCCCGGCACAGACCAGCAAGCAGCTCTCGACTCGAGCTTCAATCACACCACTCGCTCACTTGCTCACGCTACCACTACTGTACTGCGTTCGTACTTCGCTGGCACCGCGTGGCGGCAGAGCTGCCTCAGCCCTACCATTCCATTCCACGGCCATGGCTGAGTGAGATTCGCACATCCAGACCCTCCAGCAGTGCACCTGCCTGCGTGGCCATGCTGTACCATGCCATGCCGGCCGGTTCCGCCAAAGTCCTACCGATCTGTACACTCAGTCATTCAGTCAGTCTGCCAGTCATTTAGTCATGCCACTTGCCCGTCGTCTCCGGCCGGCCTTGCGCGGCTCCGATTCGCTGTCCGCCTTGGCGCTTAGCTAAGTCGTTATCGCCTTCTTGGCCGCCGCATTGCTCGGATGTTCCGACATCAATTGACCGGCCCTGCATGACTCCTGACAATGTTGCAGTCCCTGCCCAGCCGTCCCATGCCCCCTTGTGGGCTCTCGCACCATGACTAAGGCAGCTCTCAATCTTACAGGCGCGCCTCTCGACCAGGGCCCATGGAACTATTATGTTCCCCGGCTTCCCACTCAATCTGACAGCTTCCCCGTAGGACTCTGGACGAGTCCGGCAGATGTACACCACTGTACAGCCTCGGAAATAACACGTTGCAAACAGGGCGAAGCCACGCTTGCCATTTCCCGACGGGTCCTTACAACCCGCACTGTGGGAACAAGCCAATCGCCTTGCGCGACAAAGGTCCTTTTCCCTTTTCGTCTGGAACCATGCCCACTCCAAATCAGATTTGCCGGAGCCATCGCTCGTTAGCAACCACTCTCTTTAAATCCTCGTGGCTGTCGACTTTGACGTCGGTGTTCGCAATTTGCATATAATTGCTGTGAAGACCAAAGGTCAACCAGTGTCCCTCGGGCCACATAAGGACCGAGTGTCGGGAGATTAGTACGGGCGGAGGGCAGTGAGACGAGCATGGCATTGGCAGGATCTTCAGCCGTCCCAACCTTATCCTGACATCCCCCTCCAGGACCTTGTCACCTTGCAGGGCAGAGCTGAAGTCGCTCGAGCCAACGTTAGGTCACGGCTTCACCTTCCGATATGACCTTCCAGCCAGCAGCGAAATGGTTGTGGGGATCCGCCAAAGTCATGGTGGAACTTGAGCGGCACCTATCAATCGTGTGAAAACGTTGCTGCCGAAAGGTCCAGGCCGCGGTTGCTTCGGGAAGGACTGAGATCGCGAGAATCGTCGTCCAACTTCCAGTAAACGGTCGACGTCTCGTGAGACCTGTCGCGTACCCCATTTGAAGCTCATTACTGGTACGTCCAGGGAATTGGGACAAGCAGTCGCTGAAACACTGTGGCGTCGCGCTTCTCGACACTCCATACGTACCTAGGTACCTATCCTACTTAGTACGTTGCACCAGGCACCGAGCTAGTGCGCTCCGCGCCAAGGTCGAAGCAGCCGTAAATGTGCTTGCTCGTACGAACCGTGTCTCTGGCGGGTGCAGGCTTACCCGAAGAAGAGACGACAAGCGAAGTCCTCGGCGGCCATGCTGCCGTAGTATTCGTCGGCCTGTGTGCACGTGAAAGTCTCGACGTCTTGATTTGTTGCGCACGGCCACAACCTCGGCATGCGTGTCAAACCCTCTGGTTCGCAGCTCTCGGCGGTCAAAGTGTTCTCCGTTTGTCAGCACGATATCAGAGGCGGCGAATTCTCACGGTACGCAAGCGTTGTAGTGGCCCGATGGTCTGATGGTATCCTTTAGGTTTAGTATCGAGCTTAGTGGACAAGAACTGCAACACGGGGCTGTGTTACGAGGAAATCGCCACGTCGAAATCTTCGGAAACTGTTCCGCCTAGCATGAGTGGAAGTAAGCATGTCCACAGTCCCTATCCATCGCGAGCACTGCCCAAAAAAAAGAATTCAATAACACCGCACCCTGAACTGCAAGCTCATATTTCACCAAGTACGCATAAGAGGAGGAATCCGGGCCAGGCTAGAAAGAACAGCAGTGCACCCTGGTGCTGCTTTTTCGCCGACAGAAACCTCCAACCTGAATAGTGAACATTCATTCGTCTAGTCCCGTGAAGGAGAAAAAAAGACCTCCAAGCTCCGAGAACCTGATTTGACAACTCAAACCCCCCCCCCCCCCGGGACTTGAGCGCCTTCCCAAATAAGTTTCTTTCTTCCCTCCCAGAGAGAGATTACACTTTCAGACGTGCTCAACCTGCTCGTGCTCGCCGCTTCGCTTCCCGTCGTGTGGTCCTGCCGTTGCCGTGCCACCACCACCACCACCACCACCACCACCAATCTTGCGCTGCTCCGCGGCGGCGGTCGCTTCCGCCGTGTCTCGCGCCTGCTGGGTGAAGCGGGTCGTCACCTTGGTGCGCGGGATGGAGAAGGCCCGGCGGCCTGGGAGGTGCTGCGTGGAGTCGCCGTAGCCGCTGACGAGGGTAAAGAGGTGGTCATGGTTAGCGAGGGAGCGAATTCTCAGGAGAAGACAGCCGGAACGGGTGGATCTGGTGTTGGGTCCAAAGGGGGGAGGGGGGAGAGAAAACCAAAAGGGGCATGAAAGGTGATTTGACTCTGACGTGGGATATTGTTCTCAGCGAAAAAACAAAAAACAAAAAAAAACTCACAAGATGACATCCATCTGATCAATCGTCAAGCCTTTCGTCTCGGGCAGGAAGCAAAAGCTCCACACGCTGGCCACGAGCATCCAGGTCGCGAAGAAGAACCAGGTGCCGTACCCGAACGAGGTGAAGATGTAGGGCATGGCCTTGGTGATGACGAACTGGATCAGCCACTGCGTGAACGCGGCAAAGGTGCCCGAGAAGTTGCGCAGCGCGCCGGGGAAGATCTCGGCCGAGACGATCCAGGGGATGCCGTTGAGACCGAAGGACCAGCTGTTTGTTTGCATAGTTCCGTGTTAGTCATCTGATTCTTTCAGGGGGTTCTCTGTTGTTCACAGAAAGCGTGTACTACCGCGTTTGCGAACCAGGGCGAAGATAACAGATGAATGATGAACGGGGGAACGGGGAGACATACAAGACCGAGTAAATCATAATCATTGCCGTAGCAGCCTTTCCGCCCGCCGCGGTCGACGCGTCCAGCGTCCCGCCGGCCTTGATGACATCGGCCGGGTGTCCAATCTTGACATATGCGCCGACATACCACAGGCATAAGGAGCACGCGACGGACGAGACAATGGTGGGCCTGCGCCGGCCGAGCATGTCGACAAAGAAGATGTAGTAGATGATGGACGCGACGGCCTTGACGAGGCCGTAGATGCCCGTGTACAGCGCCACGTCGGTGATGCCCAGGGACCCAAAGAGCGTCGGGGAGTAGTAGTTGATGGCCGCGGCGCCCGACAGGTTCTGCAGCGTGAAGGCGCAGAACACGAGGGCCACGCGGTTGCGCATGCCGGGCTTGGAGAACTCGTCCATCGCGCCGCGGAGCAGCGCCCAGTTCGACGTCGGAGGCCCGTAGGCCGACGCGATGGAGGCCTCGGCGGCCAGGCGGTTGTCGATGGCCGCAAGGTCTTCCTGCACGTACGGGTGGTCGACTGGTAGCTGGCGCAGGCTCTCGAGGGCGGCGTGGGCTTGCTGGCGGCGGTCGTTGCGCATGAGCCACAGAGGGCTCTCGTGGAGGAAGAAGACCCCGATAAAGAGGGGGACCGATGGGATGAGCTGTACCGCCATGGGGATGCGCCAGCTGGCCGAGCTGTTGGCCGAAATGTGCTGCGAGATGCCGTAGTTGATCCAGAAGCCGACCAGGGACCCAGACTGGTAGGTGATTTCGAAGAGACCTGTGAGAATGCCGCGGATCGACGAGATGGACAACTCGGCAATGTAGCTGGGCACAGTGGCCGTAATGGCACCACAGCCGATGCCCGTTAGCGCGCGGCCTGCGTAGATCATGGAGAGGCTGCCCGACGTTGCCGTCATGAGGACTGCCCCGATAATGAAGATCACGACACTGGCCTGGAGCGCCCACTTGCGACCGACCTTTGCGGTCACGATGAAGCACAGCAAGGCGCCAACCATGGCGCCGGCCTGGAAAGCAGATGTGATGTTGCTGGAGACATCGTTGGCGTTGGAGGCCGTTATGCCAAAGGCATCCTTGAAGGCCTGCCGTGAGATGGTTGTGCCGATGAAGGCAGAATCATAGCCGAACCTTTGGTTCAGTAGCCATTAATGAGAGTTCCCAAAAGACAGAAGACAAGGATGGCGACTTACAAAAGTGACCCTGTGGCAATAATCATGCACTCCGAGTAGAGCCTCCAGTTGTACACTTCCTGGGGCGTCGGTCGGTCTTCGATCGCCTTGAACCCACCCATCTTGTCGATGGTCTGTCGCGTACTTCGTTCCTTGTCTCAAGGATCAAGACCACAGCCGAGCTTTGACAGTCGTATCAGCAGCTTTTTGTGGTAGGCGTCATGAGATGCCGCAGAGCTGCCTGGGCTGGGGTCACGATACCCCCCAATATATAGCCAAACCGTGCCAACCCTCTAGGGCTCCTACAGACGTGACTCGCTGACAGCGCCGGTCGGAGTTGCCGCCGGGGGAATCGTGCAAGCACTTGGGCGCTATTCCCCCGAGCAACGGCATCGTGTCGGCCGACACCCGAGGCTACGACCAACCAGACGCTCATCACGCCCCCGCCACGGGGCAGACCCGAGTCAGTGGATCCGGCGCCCCAAAGAATCCCGGCAGTCATGTCGTGGGGGAAAGCTGGGGGCGCTCCACCTGTGCTGGGGAGGCTGTTGGCCAAGCTGCGCCACGGCTAAGCTCGCGTGGCAGACGAGGCGTCGCAGTTGGAGACACCGGAACACAAGAACTCGACGGCAGCTATCGGCCATATGATTACTCCCGGCTACGTCTGGCCGCGTATCGCGGTGTTTGCTGTGGCGGTTCCGATGGATCTCTTGGGTTCTGCTCTTGTAAGTCTCTACGCTGGCGTTTCCAGCAGGTCTCTGGCCTGGCACGACAGATTCCTTAGTGAACACCCCACAAAAAGTCTGGATTTGGTCAATAGTTCGTGGGCACGCCTTATCCCTACCCCGGAACACGCCATAAGCCCGCGTGGCCACCTGACAGGAAGGTACAAGATCTTTGAACGGCAGCTTCGCAGGGGTCACCCAAAATCACCCCGTGGGGGATCCGGCCAGGAGCATATTCTTCACCTGATGACCTCGAGTTTATATACGTCCAGGACTCTCCCTACTCATCCCCAATGCTACAGTCACTCTTCAGACCAAGCATGAAATCATGGTAGATATGTCTATATTTGTCCATAGCGTCGCAAAGTTAACTGGTACAGAAGAGTAGATACGAAGAATGAGAGAAAGGGAACACCATGAAGTGCCAAACTTCCAAGGTGATCATGTGTAAAAAGTGAATTCCGTGCCTTCGAAAAGAATGGCTGCACGCCGCCAGTTCGAGGACTCTAAATGAGGTTGCTCTCGGAAATCTCAGCCGAACGAGCTGGCTTGAGGAGAACGATGATGAATTTGATAAGTGGAGCATGAATCTCGTTCATGCGGTTGTGATCGAATGGGAAGTTATGCATCCGAAGACTTCGACAACCGGCGGCCGAGATGCGCTCAGAAAAGCGTTCTGGAGGTGGTTTCGAGAATGAGTTTCCATTCGCCCTCCAGTCTAGGTGAGGTTCCATCTCATCCACGTCGAGGGTCCACCCACGCCACGTGCCTTGCCAACGCGAGCCCCCTAGTACGGCTTTGGGAAGTTGAGGTTGGGAGTTCGCAGAGACCGCTCTTTGGGGGCACCAGGCGGTGGGATGACCGGGAAGTGAATACCATCGGTGGGAAGCACCACGCCGCCAGTGGCAGTAGGCATAGGGTGCGGGACAGTGCCGTTTGGCAACGGGTAAGGCACAAGGGGAGCCGGCAGGGCCGAGCCGTTCTGTATGAGGAGGCCGGCGGCAGCAATGAGAAGAGCGAAGAAGCGAGCCATGGTGTCGTGTTGAGTCGTGACGTTTCGTGGCGTATTGAAGAAGTGCTTGTTGTGGTAGCAAGTAAAAGTTACACTGGCGAGTTGGCAAAGTGCAAGTTGTCAAGCAAGCAGCAGCTAGAAACAAAGGAAGACTTGAAGCGTCAGGAAAAAAGTGTCGCGTATGCGTTCCAAGAAAGGAGGGTGTGTACAGGTGGAAGCAACGTGAATGCAAAGAGAGCGGGATGAAGAGCGAGATATAAGAAAGTATCTTGTGAAGGCGAGGAAGAGCACGCCGGTCTTTTAATAGAAAATCTGCTCGGAGGACAGGGGCAGGCGCCACCGAGGCCTGGATGAGGCAGACGTTGGCGGGAGGCGGATGCTGCTCATAACCAAGATTGGCAAGAGTCGCCTCGGAGGATGGCAGGAGCGAGCTGGAGATCACTTGTTTCTGCTCACTGGTGCCACTGGTTGCCCGTACAATGGGGCTGGAGGCACCAGATGACGAGTGATCGGTGATGTACCCAGGGCATTGCCCAGGCGGGCAGGAGCAGACCATGACGAAGCCCCGGCGTGTCATATAACGACAAGCTCTCCTACCCTAGAACACGTGGGATGATCGGCCAGCCAGGCCCCTACACAGTCCATGGCACCGGACGTGCTTGGCAGGCGGTTGACAAAAAGAACACTGAACGAACACTCTACCACCAAAGACCTGTTATCAGCGTCCGGATTATTCTGTCACCCGCCTCGCTTGGCATGCTGCGAGCCCTTACGATGCACGACGACGCAGGGGTGTTTAAAGGATCGGCGGGTGCCGGCAGACGAGTATAAGCCCGCCCGCCCCCAAACGGCCAGCCAAAATAGCGCCGCGGGAGTGGCGTCAGGGGTCCTGTTCCTTTGCTGAGCCAGGTTCAAGAGGCTCACCACCAGGTGCCCAGCATGTCAAATGTCATCATAGCCGCTTGCTGGCTCAGGGCCGTCTCGTCCGTCCGTCGTGCTCGATGGAGTGGTGCTGCCGCGTAGCTGCAGCCTTATGCTCATGCGTTAATCCATGCCGAGGGACGGCTCTTTCCCAACATCCAAATTGAGATTTGTGTGTTTCAGTGTGTTGCATCCACCAGGATGGAAGGGCACACTTTGGGGAGAAGACATGGTCGGCAACGGACACACACACGAGCGCACATCAGAGACGTGACGGTTCACTCCTCGACCTCGACCCATTGGATCACCCAAATCTGCTCATCTCGGCAGTGGATCACATTACTCGTGCCTCGCCGAGCTTACGCACGCTGTCTCCAGTGAAATAGATTGTGACAATGAGCCGCTGGGCTTGGCCTCCACTCCTCGCCCTGACGATCACCACATGCCTTTTGCTTCTGCACGGCAAGGGAGCCCTCCTAGCGGATGCGGCTGCATGTCTGGATGCCTGCCTGCAGGGCCCCATCTGGAAGGTCGCGGGCGCGACGTCACCGCGACAGGGCAGTACAGGTTGAAGATCGTTCACGGAGCGAGGCTCGATTGGCTTCTATCAGCGCATGGTCCTCCTACAGGTACTCTCAAGGGTGCCCGCTTTACAAGGACCGGTGGGGGGCACAACTGCCGATCACCACAAGTCTTGGGAAGGCTCTGCCGATGCCACAGAGGAGCCCGCCTCCGCCAATAAATATGCTTACTTGCAGTGCCGCGATTGTCTTTGCTCCGATAGCGTAGCGTTTCCAGTCAAGTTGAAACACGCCGTCCCATCTTCTGAGCTTGGCTCAATTGGAGCACACGCTCTCCGCTACCAAAGTGGAACTGATGGACAAGACTCCACAACTGACAGGAACGAGACAGACCGTGTCCGTCATAAGCCAGCCTCCGTTGACTTGTTTCGAAGGAAGTGTCCAAATGAATACACGCTGCCATTATTGGCTGTGAAACGTGATACTCACAATATGCGGAAGGCATGGGTGATCCATTCAGGTTGCATACTTAGGCACACACACACAGGCCAGGTTGATGGCTGTGTTCCCCCTCCACCCAATCTGGCGAAATGACCATGCAGCCTTGGCCAGCATGCAACGAGACAATGCTGATCATAGTCTCCATTGGCCACAGAGAGCACGCAAGTAACGGACCTTCTCCCTTTGTGCAAACTATCACCACCATCCCTGCGTGCCGCATACATAGCAGGGCAAGCAGCTTGAATCGCGTGGTGATGGTTGAATCGCGACATGTAAACTTGCGCGTTGATCGGGGTCATGCATAGTACAACATGACGTTCAGCCAGGCACATTGAGACGGTGCCCAGCAAAGCACTTGATTACACGGGGTGCCGCAACGCATCAGGCGCACGTATCAGGCGCAAATTTGTAGATCCAGTGAGATCATCCATGTTGGTAAAGGGTTCCGATGTAATTGAGTACTCCAGTGCCTGGGCCCGCAATTGGGAGCGGAAATCAAGTCAAGTTTATGGTCACCGGAGATGTGCCAAGTGATGCTCCTTCGCCACCAAGCCGTAACACTACAGGGAGCTGCATGCTCACTGATGCTGGGATCACATTCCTTACACTGTAAATCGACAATGCTAAAGTTGGAACTCATTGACCTTTTAATGTGGCAAAGATAGATATTGACAACTTCCTACGCCAGAAATCACACCGCACCATAGAATGAGCAAGGATTCAGCGACAAAAATAAAAGCTCTGTTTTAGTCGGGTATTTCGATCCCTCTCTCCACCAACACTGATGCCTACCTACACATGCTTCCACCCAAAACCTCACTTCTACGCATGCCCCTGGCCGTCTGGGCTTGGCAACTTTTGCGCATATGCCTCGAGCTTTTGCTCATCGGTCATCTGCCGTTCCGTGTTACCCATGCTAGTAACATTCTCCGCCGCCTGACCGGCATCATCGCCATCAGAGTCAGCGACATCACTCCTCACACCTTTTGTGTCGTCCCCGATATCGTCCTGAGCCCGGGTCATCTCGCCAATGGCAGACTCCTTGATGCTGCTGGCCTGGCTGACTGAGGCGCTGTCCGGGCTCTGGACGCGCAGACCGAGCTGGCGCTCCTGGTTCGTGTCCTCGTCGTTGGCGCCCTTCCAGTCCGCAGGCTGCATCTGCGGCACGGGCTCGCCGATCTTTGGGTTCTCGACCACGACCTCCCCGGCGGTCTCGGCCGCCACAGATCCGTCGTCGTCGCCAGTCGAGAGAGACGGTCCCGTGCCGCTTGTCTTGGGCACCACGCTGCGCCAAACCACGGCGATCTTGTCCGCCGCCCGCGCACCTTTCTGCCAGCTGCCCTTGATCCCGTCCATCTTGTCCCACTCGATCTCAAACACGCCTTCCGTGTCGGGAACGCCCTCCTGCTCGGGGCCGTTGCCCTCGAAAAAGGCGTTGAACCACACGTGCGCGACAGCAGTCACCATCGTGAAGCCGACGGAAGCCGGGGCACGGCTGCGCCGCTCGAGAGTGATGTTGACGTCGCTGGTTGGGACACGCACGGGGCGGTCAGATTTGAAGATGACTGCCTTCCCGCCCGGCTCGGCCTCGTCGCTCGCGCTGATCTCGGGTGTGGACGTCGAGGGCGTGTCTGCGGAGCCTGTCGTCGGGGTTGCTTGATCGCCTGGCTTGACACCTTCCTTGTCACTCGAGGAGCCCAGAGGCTCCGAGAGGCGACGGATCAGCTTCGCCGTTTTCCTGTTGATACTGCCCTTCTTCGAAACCCCAGAGGTTGGTGTCCCCGAATCAGCCCTGGGTGCTATCGTCTCGCCTGGTTCCGTGTTGTCGGCCTTGGCCTCTTCAACCACTTCCTCACGCTCGGCAGCGGACGGGCCCGAGTACCCAGCGTACTCGTACATCATCTCCATGACGCCGCCTCCGCCAGGCGGGTCGCCTTCGACGATTTGCCGCTCGCTCTTCTTGTAAGTGTGGAAGGGCCTGATCTTGCGCCCGTCCTCGACGAAGCCCTCGACAGCGACCTTGACGCCGTTCCTCAGGCCCCAGACGTGGATCTCGACAATCTCGAGCTCCCGGTCGACGTACTTCTTCTGCCCGGCGTGCGACCACCGGTCGACGTACCCGACCCAGCGCAGCTGGCTGGGGATGCTGACGCCCGCGCCAAACTTGGGCCTCATGCGGCGCTCCGTGAACCGCGCGAGGGCCTGCTCGGGCGACCAGCCGCACTCGGCGATGAGGTAGCTGCACGCCATGGTGCCGCTGCGGCCCTTGCCGGCCTTGCAGTGCACGACGACGACGCGGTCGCTGTGCTTCTTCTTGAGCGTGTTGATGACCTGCCCCACGAGCCGGCTCTTCTCCTGCTCCTGCTTATGCTCGTCGCCGTTGTGGACCGCGTCGTCATGGGGCCGCCGCTCGTCGTGCAGGTCGTTGCCATGAAGCCAGTTGCGCATGCTGGCCACGATGAGCGGCACGAGGCGGAACGGCGGCGGGTGGTGGTCGGGCCACGGGTAGTGGCGGATACGGTTGTACACGAGCTCGTCTGGGTAGCCGGTGCCTTCGCCCCGGAACTCCCATATCGCCCAGTTCTCGCCGTGCTTTGAATCGAGAAAGGCGACGAGCCGGTCGAGCGGGTTACGGTAGGCGCGCTGGGGGTAAGTTTGCGAGGGCCCCGACCTGGTGTCATTCAACAGAGGTTGTCAGCTTTGCGTAATGTGATATGACCTCGTGAGCATGACAAAAGCAGAGGGCAGCACGGGAGTAGTAGGCATGGAGGAAGAGTCTCACGTGGCGATTATGTTATCGGTAACATAACAAAGATCCAGTCCAGCTTCTGGATGCCTAGCCCGCGGGCCTGCGACAATCTGACGAAGTAGAGACGCCATGGCGCGGTTAAGGCTGCCTGAGCCAACAGTACCAAAGAACTTCTTAGCACTGCCGAACTCGGGGGTGAAGGGAAGCGGCGGCGCTTGCAATTGGTAGGACTCCGATGATATGTGTCAAGTAACGCATTTGCTGTATGTTGTAGAACCGAGTGCGCACGCAAGCATCCTGCCTGCAAGTTAGGGGAGCGTGCTGGACGTTGTGGATATCACGGACGAGCAAGCAAGTTTGGCTTTCCAGATGATCAGCAGGGCGTCGTTGAGCGTGGGTACGTCATCAAGCATGACACCCGTGGACGTGGGGCGGACCCCAGCCTAACCTGCCTACCTGTCCGCGATACACATTAGCTATCATTCGCTGAAGCGACCACGCCTTTAAGCGACTAAGTGCAGTTATCACCAATCACCATTATTGTCAGCTTCACAGAAAACTCTGCGCGGTCTTATTCAAGCTAGAAAGCCCCTTGGTCAAGCGACTGGCCTCTGAAATTAAGAGCAAAATGAACAGACCGTTCGCGCAGATGATTCAAATCAAGGTTGGCCAAACCAGTATATGAACTGCTGAATTTCATAGGATATAATCGAATCGTCTCTCTGAACTATCGTGTGTCCTCATACTGCGTTCCCATCCACGCGGGGGGGAATTGACCCCCGAAAAGCATCCCAGTGGAAGCGCCCCCAGTACTCGATCCACGTCTCCAGACCCAGTCTGAATTTGATCATGATAGAGCTCCAAGCACTTGTTTCAACCCATCCCAATAATCACTCCCCTCTTTCAACTCTCAGCTCGTGACTCTCCGCGTCGTGTACTGGTCTAGCCATCTCAACTTTTTGGTCAACCGACTTTGTCACGCAGCTGTATCACCATATACTCCGTGACAGTCGCCGGTCGCGACTTATTGACGTCTTGTCATAGGTGTGATTGTCGATCGACTGTTCAAGAAGTCTTCTTGGGGGGAGCGGCAGCGGCGCCACCAGCGTACTTGGACAAATCGGTTGCCGCGTGGAACTGGCGGGCTCCGGTCTTGACACCATCCCAAACCTGACGAGCCGCAGGAGGGGTTGACTGGTTCGCAGCGAGCGAGTCGACGCGGGTCTCGAGCAAGCTGAACGAGTTCTGAGTGTGCGTGCTCTGAGCGACACGAGCGCGGAGGAACGCAGTGTAGAGGCCGAGCAGAATCCACGAGCGGCGCTGGAAGAAAATGGCAGCCAGCAGGAGGCGGATCCAGAGCAGGATCTCCAGACCGGAAACAATAGTCATTGACGAATCGTAGTAGGTCTTCACAAAGTTGCCAATAACATTCGCCGCGGCGTTCTCCGTCTTTGCGCCATTGGCACCAGCAGGAGTCTTAGCGGGCTGGAGCGTAGGCAGGACGTTGGCGCGTGTGTAGGTCGCAACGTGGAACACCGAGTAGATGCCGTAAGGCAGCATGGCGAGCGGATATTGGGGAGTAAACAGCCAAACAAGGGCCATGGCTATGCGCTCAAAGTCAGCCTTGCCTTTGACGGTTTCCTACAAGCTGTCGCACCGTGTGCGCAGAAGCTGGGGAGTCATACCAAGATACTGGACATTCTCGTCCGAAGCCAAGCCCATGATACTTCCGGGGTACTTGGCGCCGACCTTCTGGCGGGCGCGGAAGGTCTTGTACACGACTATGCCGTATGTGAGAGCGGCAGAAATGAAGGCCAGGCGGTATGAGAAGCGGGCCATGCGGCTGTAGTAGTTGAAGGTGATATACGAAAGCGAGTATCGAGCAATGCAGAGCAGCAGCACAAGATGTCTACACGGGAATCCACAAGGTTAGTCCACTTCTTCAGTATTGCATGTCAGAGCTGGTCTTGAAGAGGCTCTGCCCCGCAAGCGGTCATGACTGGCCGTCTTGTGCCCAGGTCTTCGATTGTCGCAAAAAGTCACACGTTGCGCTGGAAAGTAGAAGACGTACCCTGAGAACCAGGCAACTGTTGCGGCACGACAAGTTAGCTTTGAGCTGGAGGCTGGAGGCACAAGATGAGGCAAAAGGGCGGGCAAGCCGACATACACTGGAGGGTCTTGACGAGCTGGAGGACGCGCTCCTGCAGAGGCAGATTCGGTGACGGGGGAGGCGCCATGGTGTTGTCGTCGCGTATAATCTTGTCGGGTGAGGTCGGGTTGGGGAGACACCGAGAGGTAGAGATGCTTGGATATGTTGCAGATGGGAGTTTTTGCCGTGGCAGAGTCTTCGACACGAAGTGGTGAGGAGGGTTGGCGAAGAAGATGTGAACGGAGCTGAGACGGACGGGGAACGACGCAATGGGAGGTGGACTGGTTGCTTTTGTCTGGGCTGGCAGGAGGGGTGCGGGACGGGCGGAGCAGAGCAGGTTGCGGTCGGCTTGAGCAGGTGGCTTGCGGCCCTGCTCGCGTGCGTCGCACACTTGACCACGCAGAGCAAGCAGGCAGGCAGGCTGCCTCCTCCAGGGAGCTCCAGGGCACAGAGGCCTCTGTGCCGAACTCAATGACGTGGCTGGAGCTTGCTGGTGACGGGCAGCTCCTGCGAGCTCCGGCAATCCCTGGCAGCCCGCAGAGCTAACACGCCGCAGCCCACTTCGCGGGTGGTCCAGCGGGCCACCTTGTGAAGCGCCAAGATCTGATGAGCCCTCGGCCTGGCTCTGCCAGCTCGCATCAAGACTGCAATCAGAAGACTGAGTTGCTTTGTCTCTGGCAGCTGACCATTGTGGCATACAGATAGATAGATGCCCGATTCATCGCACGAGCACTTGCAAGGCAGGCAGGCAGGCACCACGCGAGCTTTTGCTGGGCTGGCGGCTCCAGGGTCGTCCCCGCCAGCACGCCCTGCCAGGCTGCCCCTCACATCACATGGGCGCGACACGAACACACATGACATTCTCATGTGAAGAGGAAGAAACAGCCCAGGTGCTCCAAAGGACCCTTTGATGGAGATAGGGACGCCTCTGGCTTTTGCTCTCCTGCAGCCCGCAACGGACCACAGTGACCAACAATCGTTCGACGCGCATCAGCAGTGCCAAATTTTCTTGTTTTCCCATGAGGCGGCGAGCACATGTTCTAGCCCAGGAACCCCACCTTGCTGACAGGAGCTCTCGCTGGCCCTTGTCTCAAGCCGGCCAGATGTCTCAGACGCCAACAGCACTAGCTCACAAGCTCCACAGCCTGGGCTGCTCACTCTCTTGCGTCATGGTTCGCAAATCTACCATATGCGGTAGCCATGATGACATCGGCGGGCAGGCAGAGCTAGCCACGCGCTATGGACATCGCAGGGCTTTTGGTAATCTGCCGATATTGGACTCGTGGTGGTTATGTGCATGGCTGGCGGGCTAGATCGCAGTGGTGCATGCCGTTGTTCAACAACAAGCCTTGAGGTTTGGCCAGATGGCTGCCGAGTGCTTTCTTTCGCGGCACACTTTCAACCCCGTCATTTCAGGCGGTTAAGGGAATTGACCCATTTCGCGACGAAATCATTCTACAAGATCTGCTCCGTCCTGTTGCACAAGTAAGTTTCCGAGCAGACCCCGATAGTCAAGGAAGTTTCTTCTACGTCGTGCATGTTCACGTATCATATCATGCCGCCGCATTATACTCCGTCGCCTGCTTTCCAGACCTGGCTTCGCCGACCGAACAATTCGCAACGACCCGAATCGGTGTCTTCAGTGCGCGCCATCCGCAGTGCGACGAGGGCGGCTGTGCCAGATCTCAGGACGTGTGCTCGTGTGTTGGCACTCTGCTTGCGTGAACTGCAGTCGTTCGTGATTCTCCCGGACACCCTGAAGCCTTCTTGCTGGGGCGTCAACTCCGGTCTTGCGCACCCAGCATGACGCACAAGATGGCAAGCATATGGCCATGATCAAGTCAGCGTGACAAAATGTCCGTCTTGTTTGCCTCAGGTGCATGGATGCGCGTCTGTCCACGAAATGCAGGCTGCAAATCCCGTCGGTGGCATTGCGTGCGAACTGCAGCTTTGGTTCAGCTCTGATCTTCCCCTCGTCCCACATCAAAACACTTCGCATCGCTTTTTAAGTATATGAGGCTCCCGCTGTGCCTTGGCCGGAACATATCGTCGGATGAGGAGGGCTTGTCGCAGTTACAAACGCAGCAAAGCCTTCGGGTTACCACCTCGCTCCTGGCTACTTGGCACCACAAGCAACGCGGGCCTACAGAGGGGACGAGACCCTCACTGCCCGTCCTGTCCTCCCCCAGGCTCCCGGGGCCTGGCTGATGCACCACCACCAGGGAGCCCACGCTCAGAGGGTCTCCCGCCTGTGCTTCCATGGGTCCCTTTCAGATTATGTCGCCCAGTGGTGCCTTGCGTGCTAGGACTATGTTTCCCAGTCCTCAAGGCCGCCTTTCCCACAGAGACATGCAATCCCCGTTCAAGCGCGACTCGAGATGGTCACAGCCCCGTCCTTGAAGTGCCGCATCCATCGTTTTGGGGGCCCGGACTCTGATCCGCTTGCACTGTCAGGCACCGGCGCGCCGCAATGTGCCGATTGTTCAGCTGCTGAGCGGGCGGGACGAACCCGAGATGGTGGGCCGGTCCGAGCGACAGGCATCGGTATGGATTCACCAGGATCTCGGAGCTGGCACGGCGCGCTGCCCCGACACGGCCACCAGGCAAGCGGCGCCCGCCCGTGGCGGCGAGATACGCTTCCCGTCAACCGTCGTGGGAAGTCCCGAGCTGATGGCTCCGCCCTGGGAGGCATCTCGTACAGGCACCTCAGCTCGGTTCATGTACCCGCAAACGCACGACAACTCCATCCTCCGCGAGAACCCTCTCATCCCTTGTATGATGAGGCACAGCTCATCTTTGATGGCATCCACTACTGTAAAAACCTTCCCCGTGACTCTTTCCTGGCTTCTTGTGGGATCGTTTCTCATACCTCGAAATGACTGCTGGGGCAATACGGGCAATGACTACCTGCTTGCAGGAGGCTTACACGATGCGTCACAGATAATGAGATGGTCAGCAGCACCCTCTTGTCCATCGGGGCACATTTCAATCCATATCGGGTCGATCTGGCTCGCATAGACAGTATACCTCGCATCTACATCAACATGCTAGTCACAGCGGCCACCTTACACCGCGCCATGCAGGATGAGGCCAACGACCAACACGAGACACAGAGGTCAGCTATAACACGCAGCAGGGAGCAAGACATCTTCCTCTTCCGCATCAGGGCACTCCGGGAGGTGAATCAAAGGCTCAGCATGCGGGAAACCCAGACGACTGACTCGACACTCATGTGTGTCTTGTGCCTCTTGTTATGCGCCGTGAGTGCACCACATTGATTAATGCAAGCTTTTGGATCCTTTGAACTCACACGTGACCTATTTTCTTTGCAGATACAACAATCTGCTCTCGGCGACTGGAGGGCACACCTCGAGGGTGCTCGGACCATCATCAAAATGCGTGGAGGTCTCAAGCAGATCGCCGCCGAGAACCACTACTTCAGGCCTCTCCTTGTAATCTACGTGGTGTAAGTCGGTTGCTCCGCGCAGACCAAGACAATGGACTGGTTTAACCAAGACCAAAACAGCATTGACGTTTCTTCGGCAACGACGACATCGACCAGGCATCCGAAAATGTCTGAAGCGGCATCCATGGCCCTGCACTATTGGGAAGCAGCACCAAACATGTTTCAGGCGAACCTGGCGATCAGCGCTCCCTGCCCCGAAGAGCTGTTCCAGTCCATCATACTCATCAATTACCTGCGCACCACGGTCTGTCGTCCATCGATGAGGTCAAGACGCCAAGGAGGCACTCGCATGGTGTTGGAAAAGGTGCGGTCGTTCAACATCCCGAAGTGGGCGGCGAGAATGAAGAAGTTCAAAGGGTGGAGGCGAAGTGGAGATTCGGTCGACTTTGAAGATGAGAGCACTCCGCCGAGGACGCTGTCTTCTTCGTCGGACTCGTCCTCGGCTCAGAATAGCCCTGGAGAAGACCACGCCATGTCAACCTCCCAGACAGGCTCGCCGGATACGACCTCGACGTCGCCACGGCAGCCAGCACCGGATATCTGGCTGGATGTCGCAGTCATGTGGCACTCTGCCGTACTGCTCTACGCAACGAGGACATTACTGCTGGATGTCGACGAGCCCAAGGACTTTCTCATTGACAATGGCGCTTACACGAGCCCCTGGACGTCTACGACGGCAGCTCAACTGTTGCAGGAGATACTTGATCTGCGGCGGGCCACGCACGAGGTGCTTCTCGAGACGCTGACTCCAGCATTCAGCGACCCAGAGACTGCCCGTGAGGTCGGCAAGCTGGTTTTCTTTCCAGCATTCACGTGCGGCATGGAGATCAGCGGGCATGTCGCTGAATCCGAGGCCGAGGCTACGCTGGCACGGCAGGAGCTGGTGTCGAATGGACTGGAGCTTATCGGGCAGGCGTGCGGGACGATGGCGCCGATATCTGCTGCGGAGGAGGTCCGGATCAAGTGGGCACTTGAGGCTCAGGAGCAGCGAACAATACGGTGGGACGACTATTTCACAGCACGGCCAGACTTCACTTTTGGATTTTAGGCTTCTAGGCCACTCGGGGGGTTATGTATGCCGGCGATACCTCGATTGGAGGCAGGGGACGTGCAAACAAGGGAGATGGAATGGCACAGGGACGGGCACGGGCACGGGCACGTCCACGAGCTCAAGGTCACGAGGGCAAGTCACAACTCTCAGGCGCAGCTTGGGATGTCCTGGACGGAAGCAGCTCGAAAACGATGCTCATTCTGATAGTATGCTGCCTTTGGCTGCCAATGTAGACACAAGCTCGTACGTCCATGACACGATGCTCTTGGCCGAGAGGAGACAGGCGCATGCATGTGGGGGGCTCTCGGTGGGCTTACCCCGAGGTGGCCGGGGTGTGCCCCAAGACGGCCCCGCAGTGGCCTGTGCTGCGCCAGGGCTGCAAGTGCTACCCCGCAAACACCCGAGCAGCCTCTACCCGCAGCCAGTCACAGGCCAGCGGGCGCTCTCCCCCAGCCTGCGGTCCAGGACTGAGCGCCTCGAGATGACATCGTTTTTGTCGACGTATTCCAGAGGACAAGTACAGCGGAATATTGTGGAGACATGCGCTGCCTCTGCTTTGCAGCCCCATCTGCAATGACCGGCGACACTGGGTGGTGCGACGCATCATGACCTGGCTTGACTCTCACCAGCGTCTGCTAAGTTCATCAGTGTTCCAAGCTCATCGGATGACGCGAAGCGCCAGCCTGGACCGGACCTAGACTTGACTTCGACCAGGCCCGCGTCGATCTCCTCGGTCGATTTGTGGGTGTTGCCGCGTGCCTCGTGCCCGCCCGTCCCCAAAACGGGCCAAGCTAGGTGCCTCAGGCCAAGCTCGTAGTGCCTCCCGGCTATTCTGCCTGCCTCGCCCTTGCCTCTTAATCATCGCGTCGCTCTTCCAACTCTTTCTCTCCTTGCTCACGTCGATTTGTCCTGGCTGCTCTCCCATCTGCTTGATACGCTTCTTGGTCACGTTCCCCAGGCCGCTTATCCTCAAGCTGGGTAGCCGTTCAGTGAGAGACCTTTCCAACGCAGGGCAAGACATTCAGTCCAACCAGCTGGCCCACCCTCAACATCTCCAAAGCCCCCACGCGCCCTGCTGTCAGCGTACTTCGGGTAGCTTCGCCACTCTCTTGTATGTGCTCCTGCGGACACGATGAATTCTGCGTGCGGCATATCTCTCCTCGATGCCATCATGAGCTGTGTCTGCAGCTAAACTGCGACTCCTCCTCCTCCTCCTCCTCGGTCACTGACAATATAACGCAGGGTGCTGTACCCCGCATTTTAGCATGTTCCAGTAGCTTCATCACCAACTTCCACGACGGAGCCATGTTGAGCAGCACAATCCTCCGCCAGTCCTCTTTGCGGCCTCGGCCCAATGCTCAGGATGCTTTGCTCAGCACCAGAGCTGTTCCTTTGGCTGCGGCGCGCCTCCAACATCAAGCTCGCGGCTTCCGCTTTGGGATATGGACTGCCCATGTCAATCCAGCACTTCGCCGTGAGCTTCGTCGCCAGGAGAAGCTCATGAGGCAGAAGTACACCGATGCGATGGCTCGTCATATGTCTTTCGACCAGACGCGATATCATCTCGACACGAGATCGGCTTTTAAGCGAATCATTAACGGCTGCTTTGGGCCAAACAAGGCAAGGTGGAGCTGGCATTTTGCCAGTCAAGACGAGCCCACTGCCCGTCGAGCATATGCTTCAGCACAGTCGTGGCATGGCAACCAGTACTCGGCCTCGCAATCACGCCGAAATGTTGAGCGAGAGGCAAACAAGGCTACCGGCAGTGCTCAAACACGGACGTATACCGATACTACGAGGACCGAGCCGAGCAATATCGAGCAGGACTACATTATTGACCCCATCACCAATCGTCGGGTCCCAAAGTCCAGCTACGGGACATTCGAGACCCCCATCCAGCCAACCGTCAGCTCGGCCGCGACAAACTTTGGGACTGAACCATCACTCTTCCCAACCTCAGACGAAGCCAAACCCCACCATTCGAACGGACCACCTCCAACAGAAGAACTGAACAAGTACAACAATGTGACCATTGATTCTGCAGAGCCTGCAGACTTTGCTGATTCTGGGCCCACACTCTTCACGTTTGACAGCACGGAGAACAGATACTCGTTCACACCATCTGCAAGCGAGGAATACTCGCTGAATCATCTCTCTGCGGAGGAAGAGGACTTTCCGCTCCAAGAAGGCGAGCTCGACAAATACAAAGCCGTCGTCGACGAAATACATGACGGCGAAGAATCGCAGCAACCTTACGATGACCTGAAGAAGTACAAGCCAGTGTTCAGCAATGAGAGCACAGAAACAAAGGAGGTGCCGGCTTACGAAGATCTGGGTGACTACAAGCCGTTTCTACACGATGAAGGTCGGGAAGTCAAGACCACGCAAGCTTATGAAGACCTTGGACAATACCAGCCATATCTTCATAACGAAGGGGCCCAGTCGAAAGACAGCCCATCATACGGTGATCTGGACGGATACAAGCCATATTTGCACAATGAGGCGCTGTCAGCTGAACCAACTCAGCCTGCCTATGAAGATCTCGGAGATTATGGCCCGTACCAACACAACGAGGGCGTCGTCGACAGCTCTGAAACAGCACAGCATGATGATCTTGACCAATATCAGCCCTACATGTACAAGGAAACTGAACGAGAAGCTGAAGCCATGGAGGACCCGCCTGCCGACGATCTTGCACAGTATCAGCCCAAGGTTTTTGATGATTTCCCAGACATGTCTGTTTCACTCGATGAGCCGTTCCAGCAATACGGAGATTTGGACAAGTACAAGGCTTTCCGCGACCAGGCCCTCGAGGGCGAGCCAGCCATTGAGAAGGATGTCGTTGCTGACTGCCTCGATGAATACGACTCGAAGCAAGAGGATCAAGTCGTAGCAGCCGGGGATGGGATTGATCTTGTCCACAAAATGGGGGATCTCAATGTTGGACAAACCGAACCTGTATGTGTTTTTGACTCCACCATCCACGGAGTCTCTGCCGAGTCCCCCAAACGGTCAGCGGTATCCCCGCAGGATGTGAAGCATCCTAATCATCTCCACCGTAAGCCACCCAGCACCGCTGATCTTGATACCAGGGTTCCCGATCACACCTCGACCAGCCAAGAAGATGATGTCTTCAACAGCCCATACCACATGTCTAGTATGACCGGAAACTATGTCCGAGACTTTCCCGAGCAGTTTGCGCAGTCATGGACCGCCCCGATGGCCCCAGAAATCGACAGTGCAGCAGCCCAAGCCGAAGAACGGGCATTTGCCGAAAGGTTAAATGCAGCCTCGACCATGCCGATCTATGCATCAGGTCGAGAAATGCCACCGAGCAAGCCAAGACTTGAGTCTGCACTGAATCGTCGCAGCACGCGAAGAACAAACAAGGTGCAGCCGCGAAGACGGCCTAGGCTAGGTGCCGATCTCGACTCGTACTCGGCTGAGCCACAAGGACTGGAGACTTCGTACGCGGAGGAATGCCGAGATCAGCCTAAGGGGCCTTCTTTTGTGCGCACATATGGCACACAGCGGCACCAAGATGACCAAGCGCCCGCACAAGTCGCCGAGCCGCCAGTTCACAGAGCTCCCGATGATGGAAAGCCATATCACCGCGATCCCGAAGTTGATGGGCAGGGCTATGTTGATCCAGGCACAACCTCTGCCGCGCCGAAACCTGTGGAACCGACTATCTACAAGGTGCTTGCCTACGATGCGGGTACGCAGAACATCAGCATCGCCGAGACGACGTCCGACGTCCCTGATCAGTCGTCGTCTTCAGCCCCTGCGGACATTCTGCTCCGCCTCACGAACCCGAGCAGATTCTTTCCCTACTTTGCACCTCTGCAGGCCGAAGGGTTTGAGATAGTGTCAGGCGATGGTGACGTTTTGGTTTTTCGCAAGGTCCGTGCGACGATGCGGCGCGTGAACCCAATTGACCTCATGGGCACGCCAATGGCTCTTCCCAATGCGGCAGCCTTCGCGTCCCCAACTGGCTTCGTCAACTATGATATACCCAGGGCAGACGAGGCCGAAACAGCGGAACAAGACGATGCCAGCGGTGCCGGCCTGGCCGGATCAACAGCTGCAGGAAAGCAGTCACCACCAGCACCAAGGAAGAAGATGGGGTTTGGCAAGAAGGTACTCTTCGCGGGGACATCTGCTCTGGGCCTTACGTATGCTACGGGCGTGGTGGCAGAATACTTTGCGAGGCCGAATCCGCGGTCGGGGCGGTTCTGATCGCGTATGGAAAGGACGGACTTTTGACAAGGACATGGTTATCCGGGACACATGCATGTGGGAGGGCTTTGTGACATTCATTCGGCTTGGCGTTTGCTGGGGGAAAGAGCGTCGTCTCTGGCGCAATGATTTTATTATGAATGGGACTTCTATGCGTTGTACCTCTTTTCCTCTTGTTATCAAGTTTACATCTGGACGGTGACGAGTGTGAAGTATGCGCATTCGACTCCTACATAACTCCTCTTCATCATCGCTGTTCCTGTACAGTATTACCACAGCTCCGAAGCAAGTGCATCTTCATGACAATACAGGAAAATTCAACTCTGACGGCTGACCCGTCATTCTCGCGCTTATACTGGTGGCCCAGGTCCGGTCCCGGTGTTGATCACGAGACTTTTTAAACCTGGTGCCAGTCTCTGTCGCATCGCGGTTACAAACACCAGGCGACGTGAGAATTGTTCATCATTTTTCTCCAACGTCTGATCATCACTGGATCATGGTGAAGGAGCGAGAAGTTACTGTTTTCCCATGGTGCGATACATACTTTTGACTCTTCATGGTCAATGTGTTGCTTTCCGGTCCGACTCGAAGAACCTTCCCTTTTTTCGCTTCTTTGCTAAGAGGTACACGAAAAGGACACACCTTCGGGACAAATTCGAAAACCACCAGTGCTCTCCGACAATTCAGGATTATCCATCGCCGCATCTCACATCAAACTCCCGTGCTTTCCTTTTTAGTTCCACGGTCCCTGCAATCAGTGCGCCTCCTCACTAAAACCCCTATCCCCGCCGGCGCTACCGCCACCGTTAATGACACCGCTACCACCCCCACCACCACCACCGCTGCTCATACCGCTCATCTGCAGCGTGTGCTTGTAGTCCTCCTTGCGGTAGCTCTGCTTGCGCCCGCCGAGGCTGGGCTTCCACGAGTCCGTCGAGCTCATTGCGCGGGCGGCCGACTTTTCTAGCTGCGGTGACGTGGGCGCTGCATGGGATGCTGACGACGATGAGGTGCCCGCCGCTGGTGGGAAGATGCCCCGGGGCAGGTCGGGCGAAGACAGGTCGATCTTCGTGGGTTGCTGGGTGCGGGAAGACGACATTGTGTTTGTTTGTCTCTTCTTCTTTTTCCTATCCTTTCCTCTCTTTCTTCTTCTTCTTCCTGCGACTTCTTCCTCTTCTTCTCAAGAGGATTCCTGGCTTTGGGGTGGTATGTGTTCTGGCAGCTGGTTTGTGGAATGGATCGTGGGGGTGTGTTTGGATGGGTTGCAGCGTCTTTGAAACGTTGGCAGCTTGGATTCTGGAATTAGCTGGGCTCTCTAAGGGCAACGTGCTTACGTGTTGCGAAAGCAACTGAACAGAAGGAGGAGGGACCGGAAACACGACAGACCAGGTCTTGCAGCGTGCAAGTTGGGCAGTGTCGTCCCCCTCAATTGCAGCGGCAAACGTACCTCGTGCTTGATGATGCCCGTAATATAATCGCGAATCTGACGTAGCCTTTCGAGATGTCCTCTGTGACGCGTGGTGTTGTATATTTTAAGCGAGGTTGCGCCAACCGAAGATGATGTCAGAGTGCTCGTGTTTCTGATTTCAAAAGTAGCAAGGAACGAGAAAAAAGATGCCAGGGTGACGAGAAGTAAACCCTTTTAAAAAAAAAAAAAAAGAACCATCCAGAATTTGGAGACCCCCTCACCCAACGACAAATGGCAAAGGAAGGGGGGCGGAAGGAGCTCTCCCCAACTAACTCGCCCTTGCCTGCCGTCCCTTTCCTGCTCTGGCCGTCCCCAGCACACACAGAAAAAGAACTAGAGCGCCACGCCGATCAGGGTCCCGCTCCCTGCTCATAGCAGCACGGCATGCAGTGCTATGCAATCAGTGGAGGATACAGACGCTTTTTATCTCGTCGCCACCGCAAAACATCACATCACCCTTCTCTTCAAATCGCCCGCTTGCCATTACAACACTGCAATTGGACATGAGCACACTAACCCCAAAGGTACGTACTTAGTGTAGCTACCATAGTATTCGCTGATCGCCCCCCCCCCTCTTCCTCCCATCTACTTCAGTAGCAACCAGCGTCCGGACAAAACGTACGTTGGTGGTCAGTCTCTGACGTCTAAAAAACTGCGTGTTTGCAAACCACTCGACGCAATCGTGCAGCAAAGCCACTTCTGGGGTTCTTTGTACCTCATATCCACGCACCCCCTACTCAACCAACCCGTCCGTCACGGGGAGGCAGAAGAGCTCGTGTGAAGAGCCGGAGCCATGCCAATGTCAAATTGGCAGCAGTCCTGTCCTCTCAAGCAGGCCGAATGAAACCACCCGCCTTGTCATAATTGAGAGCAATTGCCAACTTTTCCCTTGCCCGTGCCAGGCAGTTTTCTGGGGTTTGAAAAGCACCATGCATGCTCCTTTGGTAAGTGTGCATAGGAATGCGCTCGGCGGCACATACCAGCCCAAAGGACTTATGTGTGTATTGGCAGCCATCGAACAAACTGCTGGTGGCGATGACGTAATGGCGCCCTCACATTCCCGCCCCCCCCAAATAGCTGCTCATACGCAAATGCGCTGCCACAGCCGTGGCACACACACGGCCCTTTGTGCTTCCCCCGGTGTACATACAGACATGGAGAACGGGCCATAGTGCTTGTGAATCCCCCCACCCCCTCTCATCCCATCAGCAACACGAATTGTCGCCCTAGCACTTTGTTCTTGTCACGTTGGCCAATGCCAGCGTAGCGCTGCCTGCTACGTTTCCAAGGGAGGAGGAGCTTGTTCGACAGGGATGGCGTGCGGGGTAGCTCCATCTTGATCCACTTCCACTTGCCGAATCAGGCAAGCCTGCCAGTGGCCGTGCGCTCCCAAAGGCCTGTTTTATCCATAGTTGCGGTGCTGCACAACTTACACGCGCGTCGTGCATATCCAGAGATGCATGAGATGTAACGTCGACTTTTTGAATTGACCACCCATATCTCGTCATTGCTGACCGAAGATGTTCCTGCTTCTAATCTTCCCTTCTCTCCACGGTCTTACAATCACGCCTGTCCTCTTCCTCATGCTAGATGGTGGTCTACAAGCCCAAAAACAAAACCCATGACAACTCCAATGCAGGCCGGGTAATCATTCGACACCCGACGTCAAACCAAACAAAAAGCCCATGCAACTCCTTCAGCTATGCGAAAAGCACGGGGTGAGCTGGACCACTGGGCAGCCCAGGAATTCATGCAACATGGATATAGTATGGACAATAAACACAAGCTGACGGGGTATTGTGACAAAATCTGAGGACGATGTGGGCGGGGGGCCAATGCTGGCAAAGGTGGTTTGTGCGCCAAAATCGTCTGGCCAACCTGCCACGTCTAAGGAGTTCTTGGTCGCTTCCAGTAATATTGCTAAATCACGTTTGTTAGGCTCAAGATTGCGCAAAGAATCGGTGTGGTCCGCAGGACAACCAAGCTCAAGCTTACCTTGTGTTGTTTTCTGCAGGCACGCAAACTCGGCTTCCGCAAGCCGTCCGTGACGGCGAGTCGGCGAGAATCGTCTGTGTCGTGCTCGGGGATATAGTAGTACTCGCTTTCGAGGGCTTTGCCCGCCGCATCTTTGCCCGTTCGTGAAATTATGCCGATGCACTTGGTGGTTTCAATGATTCTGCGCAAGTCCCGCCTGCTGAGATCCTTCTTCTCCTCCACGGGCAAGTTGTTGAGGATTCCGGACAGCGGGTTGGAGGACAGTCGTGAGTAGGCCAGCTGGTTCACTACGTGGTTGGTGACGGCAGCGACATCGACCTTGGGGTTGATGGGCTGCTCCTCGGGCTCCGCCGAGGGTTTCGCCGTAGAGTTGCCAGATGGAGCACGCGACGGCTGCTTGGGAGAGTCGGTGGCGAAAGCAGCCAGGCGGTTCGAGAGATTGGCACCGAAAGGACCGAACGAGTGCACGATGGGATCGTTCTCCTCATCAGGATCAGCCTCTTCCGGATCACTCAGGTCGCTAGAGAAGCTGTTGCCAATCTCCGTATGCGCGAATGATGCATCTACATCGTGCGACGCAACAGGCAGCTCCTCCTCATCGGCACTGGCATCCTCGTAGATCTGGACTTGGTCGTCTTGTCCGCTGGCAGGAGAGAACAGGGAGCCAAAACTGTTCTGAGAGGACTTGACCCCTGGCGTTGGTGATTCCGGAGATTGCACCCGTGTCTGTCTTCGCAGCGGGCTGGACTGGAGCAGATCTGATGCAGAGCCGGTTGGCCTATGGCGAGGACGAGACTGAGGAGAATCTTCCCACGAGGAATCTGAAAGGTGAGCTGCCGAGTCAATGCGGTCCACCTTAGGCCAGTGGAGGCGCACGCGGGAATCCTGGACGTCCAACATGATCTCGGCATTCTCCGTCTCGGATGTAAAGGTATCGCCCTTGGCGAGCTCCCAAGTCCTTCCTTGGCAGTGAAGCTTCACGCCGTTCCAGCCATTGCAGATGATCTCTATCTTGCCCGGTTCCAGTGAGGAGGATCTGGGCACGTAACGCGCCTTGACGTGTACACGCGACACGAGTCTGTTAGACGAGATCTGGTAGTGAGAGGAATGGCTCGAGCGACCCATGAGGAGCATCTCGCCGTTCTCGTTGAGCTCGATCGAAGGTACCGCGCACAGAGGTGCACGTTCCGAAACCGAAGATAGAGTGCGAGAGAGGGCGGGCCGGGCCTGCGAAGACGGCTGGACGCGTGGGGGCGAGGACGAGAGAATACCGGTGCTCGAAGTCGGAATTGGCGTAGGATACTTGAGGGCAGCGGTGCCACGACCAAAGGCCGAGTCGTGGGCATGCCTCTTGGCTGGACGAGGGAGTCCAGGCGAGGAAGACAGAGGCTCGAAGGCGGGCAGAAGCGATGGCGCTGGCCGCTTGACTCCGGCCACGGGAGGAGGGACCAGAGTGGCGAGGGACAGAGGTGGGAGCGTTGGCTCTTGGTCTGCGTCCTCAGGGCCGGCCATGGCTTTGAGAACGGGCGAGCTCATGGCTGGCGGCTCTTGACGCGGGCTGGGCCAGAGAGCGAGGATTGTCCAGGGCGATGCGTACCGGTAGGTTGGGTGAGTATATAGGCTGTGTGAGAGAGTTGTTTGCGTGTTACCATGGACTGCTCGAGAGGTGTGCAAGTGAGTCTGCGTCGGACCAGAAGAGCAGAGGAAAAAGAAACCCAGGAGCGTGGACTGAGGACTGGTGGTGGAAGGGAAGGGAGGGCGGGCGAGGTTGTATGAGGCCAGGCCATTACACGCTGCGCCGTCTAAGTGGAGTTTTGGCGTGTGGTGGGCGTGGGCGTGCACCGCGTCTTAGTCGGGTCCAGTGCGGCGCGCGGGTGCGCGTCAGTGGGCTCTCTGGCAGGGCAGGCACGTCCCGATTCGGCATGCGCTGCACGCACTGCTGCCCGCCCAGCGCTGCCCCTCACCAACGCACGCCGCCTCCGCCGGTCTGCGAGCATTGGGAGACCGCCCAGACGCGAACTCGCTCCCCAACCTCTCTCGCTTGCCCGTGGGTGGGTACAGGCGTTGGAAGGCGGAAGAACAAATGACATGCACCTCGAGGTGCCAGAGCTACAGGAGCACAAGCACAAGCAGATGGGCGTCAAGAAAAATCAAGTGTTTCCGCCGTCCTTGTGAGGGTCTGACTGACCGACTGCATGCCTGCAGATGGGCGACGTGGTCAGTCAGAGGCGGGCCCCGTGGTGGCACAACTCTGGATCCAGAGCTGCACGTATAGGGCCATCTGCAAGGTGCTGTCCGGACCTTTTCCAGACAGTGCAGGCGGCACAAATACCAGATGGAATCACCATGCTTCGTCGTCAGTCTCCATCAATGAATGCGTACCACACTATATGTCGGGACCAAAAGCACGAAGATTGCCAGCAATCGGGCTATCCTCCGGCACGTTGTATAACTCAGGTATGAAGCAATCGCGCAGAAATGGCCACAGAGTTATCCAACCAAGCATATCATTATTAAGTATGCACTGGCCTGGCCTGGTCCGCAGTCCAAGCACGGCTTCCGAGGTTGTCACTTAAAGTACGTGACGCTCCACCGCTTCAGACGCGCTCCTCCTACTGCAGAAAACCATTTTTCTGCGCCGGGAACCCCTGAACCCCTGCACCCATGCCCACCCGCACGCCCGACGATCCTGTCATGTCATCCTTCAACACGACGCGTGACCCTGTGGCTGGGCGCCTTTTTTTTTTTCTTCCTTGTATTCATGTTCCGAGTTCCCTTGACGCCATCTGTTCTTTGCAATCGTGGAAAATGCCAAGCACGGGGCAGGGGGGGAAAGGGTGATGCGCGGATTGTTATCTGACTCTTTCCAGGTCTCGCATCGAGATCAGTTGTCTCGCGTCGAAATAACCGTGAGACACATGTCTCGATAGCGGCCCGTGGCCGGCTCAGCTTTTGCCGCCCACGTGTCGTGACGTACAAAATTTGCAATGTCGACTGGCTGCATGACATCAACCAAGCGGCCAGCATTGTGCAATCATCTCCCCACGGAAAAGCCATTCAGCATCGGTTTCGGGCAAACTCGCACAGTAGAGAAAGGAAATTTGAATTGAAAGTAGAGTATCGTGACATGTGATGCGAAAAGACGTTAGAGTGCTCCAAGCAGGAAACGAAAATGGGTATCTTTGTGTGTGCAGGTTTCGTCCAAATCGAGTTCCGGCCGTTGCGTTCCTGGTCCATCCGGTTCCTCAGCCCAGTGGCCTCACAATAATTACAATCCTGTTCGTGCGATATGGGGAAGCAAGGGCGTGACTATCCTCTCTCCCTTATCGTCTGTCCAGCAACTACACAAGAGAGAGCACAGTATATAAGAAAGCTCAGAGGTTGAGATTGGGTTATGGCAACCGTCCGGCATGGGTGATTAACATAAGGGGTGGGTGACCCTCTCGCAACGAGGGACGTCCACAAGCGATACTCGTCGCGCAGTGACGAGCCTGTAGCCGCGAGTAAATGGCTTAAAAGCCTTGGATACGGCTGATGCGTGTAATCCTCGCAATCTCGCTAGTCTTCTTGTCCGACTTCATGATCTCAATGTATTCACCCCTCTTGCGAATAAGATATGCAAGCGCAAGGATAAAATCGGTGTCGTACTTTTCTGGGTGGATGTGCATCAACGGCTTGATCACGGCGGCCGCGAGGCGCTCGGCTGTCATGTCGTTAACCTCCGATGCATCTGCGATGTCTGCCCATAAATTCAACAGCAGCTTGAACAAGCTTCGATGTGGTCCGCGCAGACTGCTCAATGCCTCCTCCCAGAAGTCGATGCATTGTTCCAACCGATTGCTGAGAGCACCACTCAAGGTCGACTGTCTCGCCAGTACAACCCATCGCTTGGCGATTGATTCTGACACGAGAGGCTTGGGAAGCTGTGATAGAAACAAAAGAATCAAATCTGCGGCGTCATAGACCGTGTAGTGCGACCAGTTCACATCGTTACCATAAGTCGGTGGCCGTGCGAAGGCGTCTTTGAGCCGGCGGACCCGGTGGCCATCCCCTGCGTCCGCAAAGAGGTTTGGAGCCCCTATGCCCTCTTGCTTGATGAAGAAGCAGCTCTTCTGCATGCAGAGCGGGAAGTCACGGCGCGAGGAGCCGCCATTGTCCCCGTGATGTGTCTTGGACGTGCCCTTGGCCACAGCCATGCTCCTCTGCAGTGAAACCCCAAAGACGGTCGCAAATTCAGTGCCCTCGGCTGTCTCCTCAAGATCAGTCGGGGACCACAATGGCAGCTTCTTGAGAGACACCGAGAGCCGCTTGCTGGACCGCCGCACCAGGCTGGCCTTGATAACAGGCGTTGATGGCCGGAACTCCACGGACATGTTCTCCGAGGAAGAGCCTGATTGCGTTGATTGTGTGCCAGGCCTTGGTGACAGCTGGCTCCCGGGGACGTAACGCAAGTCATCGCCGGGCATCAGGTTGAGTCGCAGCTTTGGTTTGCGTCGCTGGGAGCCAAAAATCCTGTCGAGCTTCCCACCTGTACCGGACGACTGCTTGCGGGTGTTCGACGTGATCTCCGTAAACACGCCGTAGTTGCTGACGACTGGTTCCGGGTGCCGGTCGAGTTCGAGGAATGGAGACACCATGTTGTTCCGCGCTGCTTCGAGACGCTTCACATCTTTCGGTGGTGGTGTTGGCGGCCTACTGGACGGAGTACTGAGGCTGCCCTGTGCCTCAATAAAGCCCGCCATGTCGTCCCGTGGACGAGGTGTGATTGTCTCTATGATTTCGTTGACGGAAACGCTTTCAATCATTGAAGAGCCATCGTCGCCATCGCCGTCCACGTCCAGATATGTTCCGTACTTGGGTCCGTTGCGGCGACCAAGATCATCGTCCGAATGGCTGCGAGCTTCTGCGTCGGCGGACTTGTTCGCAAGAGCCTCCTGGAGCGTCTTGCGAAGAGGTTCTTCATTAATCGAGATGGCGCTGTCCGGGCCGTCTCCTATGTATGCCGGAAAGAGCTCCTTACCCGAAACAAACGCGCCTTCGTCTGCTTCCGCGAGGTCGGCGCTGCTCAGGACGGCCTCGACATGAGCCTTGACGGTCATGATGTAGTGGTGGAGAGGAGAAGGGGCGCCGTCAGTCTCGAGCTCTTTGGTCTGGGCGTAGACATCCTCCATTTCGTTGAGGATGCGCGCAATGTCGCTAAAGGCGTCGGCGGCATTAGCACGCCTCTGGATGGTGGTAGGCCGACCGGCCTCAGCCTCGAGGCGGATCTCGCGTATGGCGGTGCTGCACAGCGGAGTTGGTCAGGAGTCAGCTAGATTGTCTCCAGTGGCAGCAGCAAAGCACAGCAGCCCCGCTGGGCAAACGGGGAAGGACCTACGCTCCCACCAGGTCTATCGCCAGGCCCAGAACTGCCCGATGTGCAGCTATCCTCTTCTGCAGGACAATAGATTCGTCTTTGCCCGTCTCGAACCACCGTCGCCGACGTTCCTGGCTCGAGAGCTCTGGCTGGTTCAACAGGGACAGATGGGCATCTAGTTCATCCACGACGCTCTGGCACCGCTCAAGTATCACGGGCGTATCGGCGGCAAGCTCCTGTGGGAATGACTCGGCGTCCTCTTGCAGCAGATCCAGCACACCCTCGAGAGAGTGAAGCTCGCGAGACAAGTTGTCGAGCACCGAGCGCGATTCTCGTACCTCCCTGACAACTGCGTTGAGCAGCCATGTCGCCTTGGCAACGGCGCTTCCTAGTGTGATGCAGTCCGTCGTGATTGCACTGCAGCAGCAAACCACCAGTGGTTAGCCAACGACATGACGAAGACGGCTCGCGATGGTCACGTCGACCAGACTCCCACTTACAGAGACTCCATGGTGCTTCCAGGCACCAGACAAGACACAGCTTGCCGGGAGAAAGAAAGCTGAACACGAATGAGGTTTCCAGCCCAGGGACCACGCGTTGTTGAGCTCAGCTCAAGTCAGGCCCAGCAAACATAACGACCTTGAACAAGCAGAGATGGTGTGTGCGGTCGTAAGCAAGAAGAGGATTACGGCCTCTGGCAGCTGGAATGCGGTCCAGCACAGTAATCGTGCTGGGGGATCCCCAACTCTTTAAGACAGGCACCTCTTTGTTCCCTCACTGGCAGACCCCGGGGCGGCACTAGGAGGACATTGGCTGCAAGCTCGGGAGTGGTGTGGCTGGACCCTCTCCACCGTCAGGAATCTCCGCATGTCCATGGGCACCATACTACGTTGGCAAAAGCACATGCTCGACAGTCATTGCAAGTATCCCTCAGGTCACCTGGCCCACAAGGGTCGGGATAGAGCTGGGGCATCTGCAAGGGCCAGCATGACCCCTGCTCCTCAAAACCCGAACGCCACCGCGAGGTTGCTATCCTCGCCATCCTGTCAGGCAGGAAAGGCGCCAGCCATGCACCGGGCAGGATGCAGGAACTGGTCGACACGACTTTCGATCCGTTCGGACAACCAAGACATTGAGACGACTGTGGCCATCACGCCAGTATTATCCCGAACCTTCAGTTGCACAAGATAGATATTTGCCGACAGCGCAAAATGACTCGCCACATCAGCCACCCAGGAACCATCAATATCTTGCTGGTGGGGTGGAAAGCAGCGCTATCGCCCCGGGACCCGCAACACTTCAAGCCAGTCTTCAATCTCAGATCTGAACCCGCGACCAAGACCCTCTGCCGTCAAGCTGCTCAGGGGCTTAGTGCCATAGTCGGCTGCACCAGTTCGCAGCTTCTGTGGGCACCTCATGTTTGACAGGCTCCGAGTAGCCGCCGGTCGAATGCTCCGCTGTAGCCACCGTCGGCAGCCAGGGCTGGCAGCAATGGCTGAGGAAGATGGCGCGCGTGCGTCCCCAGCTCCTTTTTGGACGCAGTACCTCCATGGCTGGTTTGATTTCGACCTGCACGCTAGAAAGCCCGTCCTCTGCCGTGACCTCGAACCGTCGGCTCATCTTTCTGTACTGTATCAGCCGTTTGACGTCAGCCGATTTTGCGCACGTCCTCGCTTCCTGGCAAATTTAGAAGCGCCGTTGAGGCTAAATCGCTTGGCTCGGGCTTGACCAAACCTCGTCGATGCCGCTGTTGACCTCGACCTCGGAGGAGTGGCCCTGTCTCGTGGTGACTAAGCCCACATTCATGGTCAAAGTGCTTCGCACATCGTTACAACTATGCCCGGCTCCGTACTCCCGCTCCGGAAGTTGTTGCAGCATAATAACGTGCGAAACGTTCCCAGTCACACTGCAAAGCACCTGGTCCCTGCCAGCTTGCAGCTGATAGGATTCCACTGCACTCAGGTTCTTGTTCTCCTCGTCATGACGTGTTGTTCGACCTCGACGGTACTTGACCTGCAACACAGACGGCACTCGGAGCGAAGTTTGTGTGCGCATCGCTGCATGAAGACCCGCCGTGGGCGCACCAGCAGCCGACGAGCATGTCAATACGATCGCCGAAATATAACATGCTCAGGAGGATTGCACACTTTGTGGCGCCGATTCCGCGCCCCAACAGAGGTACCTTGTCTTTTAATGGACCGCATGCAAGGGTGTGCCATTTCACTTTGTTGGGCTTGTCAAGCATCCCGTTTCAAGACGGCGAAAGTCAGCAGCAGCAGCCGTCACATTACTACGTACGCTGTAGGATGATGATTACGGCACCTTTGGTGTCTTCGGTTGCCCTTCTGCCACATGCTCGCAAGGCTCAATTCTATTCGACTGAGATAGTGGCTGTGCGCGACACTCTGGTTTCGATTCTGCAGGGGACTACCGAACGTGGGCAGTATCAGCTTTGAGGTGTGTTTCAAGTGGCAGTCGCCTTCCCCGCCCAGAAGTCGTGCTTCTACATTGTGAGCAGCCTTGAATATGATACACCAAGTTGGCCTGACTGAGTGCTGTGCATCTTGTATTGCGACATCCAGCCCGTATGCCCGCTCTTGTGCGTCACATCTATCGTCACAATTTGGGTCTCTTTTCCCCTGTCCATAAGATTTTCCTACCTCTCATACCTTAAGGTACACCGCACCCGAGCTAGGCCAGGGTCAGAATGTGGATGCTTGGCGAGCCCTCCCTAATTCGACCGCAGCCTTCAAACAGCATTTCCCTCGGCGTCTTCACGTTTGATGATTAAAAAAGATGGACCTTGAGGCGGTCTGTCAGGTCCGGACCTGAGCATGTGCACACAAACATACCGCATCTTCGGTGGTTCTGACTTCGAGCACCGCTCTCCGGGTTGTGGCCTACAGACCCTTGTGTTAGCGTCGTCACCCTCAAAGATCATCGATATTGCAAAATCCAGGATGCTCGGCAGTGCAATATTTACCCCCTGAATGACCGTCAGGAACGGCAAGCAACCACAGTGCAACCCATCAGTGGCCATTGGTATACTTGGCAACTCGCGGCAAACGGTTGTGTAGGCTGCTGGATTCGCTCTAGTTCTGGTGCATCTCGTATTATCGAATGTGCCTGGGACAAAAACCATTAACATGGCCACGCCGATAGCAGAGGCATGAAGCCGACAGGTAGGGGGCTCGATCTCTGTAGCGCGGCACACGGTCTATTATCCAGGGACAACGTTCCTTTCAACCCTTTCGTGCTGCGAGTCGGGCTCATGTATGGCCAATCAGCCTTGAAGGAGAGTGACAAACGAGCACAAGCACCCACCTCAGCCCAAAACCTTATTTCAAGAGGAACAACATGGGACAGAAAGCCTTCACACGACACTATCCCAACCACAAAATGCTATGCGTGCCTATCCGCGAGGAGATGGCCGGATCGGGATCAAACAGGGATCCACCGCCATTGAGGTCCTCCTGGATGACACCACAGTGAAGGCGGATGCAACGTGATAGTCCGCCCAACATTGTTGCTAGCTTGGGTTTGCACAAGGAGCAGCAAAGCCAGACTCTCTTCTGTTGGAGTCACGTCGTCGTCTTGCTGGTCTTGGAAGACGACGTGACTCGATCGCTCAAGAAGATTCATCATCCATGTATTGTCTGGCCATTCCGCGGCCTAGATATAAGGCGCCTAAGTATTTTGCTCTACACATCCGAGCGGTCTGGCCATTCCAATGCTGCTGCCCGGTTCTACATCTTCGATGTTATGCATGCCAATAATAGACGGCACATCTGCTTCATGGGACCACCTGAGCGAGCTGACCTGATGGCGCGAGGTCAAACCTCCCGTCTTCGCCAGCCCTGCAAGCACGGCATGCATGCTCCGTCACAAGCTCGGGTGTGCCTGAATTCTGCTGGAATTTAGTGCTGGGCATTCCTACGCACATGGGCACAAAGGTATATAAGAGAGGCCTTATAGGCAAGCATGGGGCGGTTAGTGATGGGTCTGTCCAGTTCAAGCCTCGGACTGGGAGGTGGTCGCGACAGGCTTCATGAAGAATCTTGCCGGAGACGGACTGTTCAAAAAGCCGCGATCATTAGGGGGTGTCCAATCACTGCACTCAGCAAAGCCCGATCCCCCTTGCTGGCACTGCACCATGGAGCAGTGACTTCGCACATCGGATGCATCGTGCGCGTCCCGGTCTTGGAGTCCCGCTGTCGACAACACGTGCTGGGCGGCCGCCAATGTACGGCGACGATATACTTGCATGCATAGCATAGTCTGCAGCCCAGCAACCAAGTATGTAGGTACGCTAGGGCGTATGCATGCAGGGAGATGGAGCTGAATCGGGCAGCTCTTCTCCGCAGCCACCTGCCCCCATTGGAGGCCGTTCCATCCTACATGAATCAATATCGACGACACGCGGCGCAATGGGCGTGACGACTACGGCCATCTCACCACCCACATTGGAAATGTGAGCAATCACTGGAGGAAAGAGAGGTTCTTGGCTTTCCGATCCATGGCGTGGCCCTGGTCAACTTTGTCCTGCGCACGTCGACTCCAAACATGCACAACCACCTCGGAATCTCGCTTGAGCCCCTGTGGCGTTGCTTCGGATTCCGCTCCTCACCGCCGTCCACCTCCATGTCGTCAACACCGGGACACATAATTAGTTGAAGCGCCATCCAAGGCGATACCAGACCAAGCAGCACCCGAGCAGGTACCATACGCCAGCCACGAGGCCATCCCGGGCATGGGCACGGCCAGGCTTTGCAAATCCACAGATGGCAAGTTGGGGAGAATTCACGACGGCCTCAGTCAGCGATGCACGATGGCGCACCTGATCCACTGCTCGGCACATTATCCACCCTGGTCAGGGTGTGTGAAGGATGGAGGATGATGGGCTGCAAGCTAGGGCCGAAGGGGAGGAACAACAGTCATCTCGCCCAGCCCCAAAGTTCTTGGTTCCACGTCACCTGACAAGGGAGGCGATCACAGGAACAAAGTGTGGCAGACAAGCAGCCAAGCCTTGGGGGCCAGGCCGGACAAGCAGAACAGACTGGCCAGGCCAGGGTGTCGCCACTGCGGGGAAGCACAAACCCATTGCCTGGAACAGCCTTGATATGAGTGGTGGTGCAGATGAGTGCGCTGAGTGCTGGGTGATTATGGCAAAGCACAAGCACCGTGACAAGGGAGTCAACCTGGCAGCTCATGCGGATGCAGCAGAAGAGTGCGGATATAGACAGCATGCACACAGAGCCGAGGTAGTCCGACACCCACTAAGTTTGGCCCATCTTTCGCTCTCTCAGCCTCCATCCAGAATCATAGAAGTCGCAGGCATCCACCGTTCAGAGCTGCCAGGCTGCAATGACGGCTAACCGGATACTCCGGTGCAGCAAACACTTGACCAGATCCCTGGCGAGCGGGCTTCGAGCGGGACAAACGTCGTTGCAGGGTCATGTCGCAGCGGCGGGTCATCCAAGGTCCATCCTGCAAGGATACACAGCGCTTGGCCCGCCTGACGGCAACCCATCGTGGGGGGCGGCCTGGCGAGGCAACGGCGAAGCGCCGAGGTTGCCAATGGTAAACTTGTTTTCGACAAGCGTTCCTCCTGCTTGAGGCAGTCGTTTGCGAGCGACAGCTCCGAGATGCCCACAATGCCGCTTTGTTGCACTCTAATAAAGTGCTAGCCCCCTAGCCTCGTCACGCCTCGCTCAAGCGGCGACCCAGATGTCCCCTCGGGCTCGCAAGCTCAGCAAGTTTCGCAACCTGGTCTGTAGACGATCTGGCAGATCGCCGGTTTCCACTTCCGCGGGGGACAATGCCGACAGGAGAGGAGAAGGTGCGGGATAGACATGCAGCCACGCCACCCTGTCGCTTTTTGAGCTCTAGTGCTTGTAATTTTGCCTCGCCGCCCTCGTCTGCCATCTCCACGCCGGGATGAGTGGAATATCATTGGCTCGGGGGGAAGCGTGCCACACATCCAGCGGTGGCAGATCGATAATGTGTCCGCCTCCGTGTGTTTCGCCTTTGACAGTTGCCCGTGGGGGAAGGGTACGGGGAAGGAGTTGACATTGACAACAAGTACCATCCAGGTCACTGCGAGAAACCCCCCTCCTCTGCTAGCTGACCCATGCAGACGGAGGCGTGCTAGTGTGCCGTTGCTCTCGTCCGGAGCAGTGATGACTGCACTTTGAAGCAGGCATGCCGCGTCTGCGAGTCAGCCGAGTCAACGGGCATGAAGGCATTCGTCGGTGGTGGACAGGGCGGTCCAGGGTCCAGCCTTGTGAAGCCCTGCGCACTTACGGACGGGTGCAACGGTCGGTTAGACCAGTGGTTCTCGCACGACTCCTTGCCACACATGCGCAAGTCGGGCATCGGGCAGGCAGGCACAGGAATATGCCCTCGCAGACAGAGCTGGTGTCTGCCATTCCGTATATCGACCCAAGAGGGTGGTCATCAGTATTGGTGCCGTTGTAGCTTCGACTTTCCCTGCTCCGTGAATATATCCAGGCTGACGCACCTCCATGCACATCGTCACAAGCAGCTTTCAGCATCTTCCCACCAGTTCTTGAGCCATCGCCGCCGTCATGACCATAGCACAGGACACGACCGGGCGTAATGCAGTGGAATGGGAGCTGTTCGAGGTCCCAAACTCGACTTTGCTGAAAGAGAAGAGCTGCTAGCAGGCTGTTGGCTCTGATTGGCTGGACGCGAGGTGCTGCTAGACTGGCTTATCGTCCTTATCGGCTGTCTGGAGCTCGACTTTTTGGCTGTACCATAGTAGGTCCCCTAGAAAATTTCTGCCCCACGGGCCTGGCGGCCGAGCTGCGCTGCTGTATTCAACGCTGGGCCAGTGTACTAGCAAATCGCCGGCAAAAAAAGTCGACTGCGCGCGCGACCGACTACCTGATACCTCGCGGGCCTCTTCTTCTCAGGAACAGCTCAAGTCTTCCCCCAGCCGTGCCAATTCCAACACCACAGCACGACACCACACTGCCAGTCATCATGGCGCCCTCCAAAGAAATGGCTCTGCGGTCAGACACGACCGTGTCCAAGGTCAACCCCGATCAGGTTCGTCGCTCCATGAATGCTGCCCATGTACCTCCAGTCTTGTACACTTGCCTTGCAGACACGTTTTGCTGACATGGAGATTTTCTCTCACAGACCCTCAAGGCGTCCAAGGCGTTACTGGCGCACATGAAGAAGGCTGCCAAGGAGACTGCTGAAAACGCCCCCAAGAAGGACCTGCTTGCTGACGACGACGACGAGGCCGCCGCTGGCGAGGAGCCCATCTGGCTGACGCTGACGACGAAGCGGCACATCTCGGACACGCGGTCTCTCAAGCCCGGCAAGATTGCCCTGCCGCACTCGCTCAACACCGACCCGAACCTGGCCGTGTGCCTCATCACCGCGGAGCCCCAGCGCGCCTTCAAGAACCTCGTCGCCTCGGACGCCTTCCCTGCGGACCTGCGCAAGCAGATCACCCGTGTCATCGACTACAACAAGCTCAAGGCCAAGTTCAAGACGTTCGAGGCCCAGCGCGCCCTCTTTGCCGAGCACGACGTCTTCCTCGGCGACTCGCGCATCATCAACCGCCTCCCGGCCACCCTCGGCAAGACCTTTTACAAGTCGACCGCGAAGCGCCCGATCCCCGTGACCATTCACGCGACCCGGCCGTCCGAGAACGGCAAGCGTGCGCCCAAGCAGGCCAAGTCGGACGAGAACCCGGGCAACGCCTGCACAGCCCCGCAGCTCGCGGCCGAGATCTCCAAGGCACTGTCGTCCGCTCTGGTCAACCTCTCACCCACGACCAACACGGCGGTCCGCGTGGGCCTGGGCAGCTTCACGGCCGAGCAGGTCGCCGCCAACGTCGACGCGGTCGCGGGCGCTCTGGTCAGCAAGTTCGTCCCGGGCAAGTGGAACAACGTGCGCGGCCTCTACGTCAAGGGCCCGACCACCGCGGCCCTGCCCATCTGGCTCACCGAGGAGCTGTGGGTCGACGCCGACAAGGACATCCTCGCCGATGGCTCCGAGGAGGCCAAGGCCCTCGAGGCTGCCGCCGCCGCCGACAAGGACAGCAAGAGGAAGAGCAGCAGCAGCAGTGAAAAGGCCAACATTGGCAAGAAGCGCAAGGCTTCCGGGGACGGGGACGACGAGCAGTCGGCCACTACCACCACCGCCGCCGCGAAGAAGTCGAAAAAGTCCGAGGTCGAGGGCAAGCTCCTCCCCGAGGTCAAGACTGGCGGCAAGGGCAAGGGCAAGGGCAAGATCAGCGGCGGCAGCGGTGCTGCTGCTACTGACAGCAAGGCCGCCAGCGACGACAAGCTCGACAAGGAGATTGCCGAGCGCAAGGCCGCGCTCAAGAAGCAGAAGAAGGCGGCCAAGAAGGCCGTCGATGTCTAAAAAGTCTTTACTCGGTACCGCCCATCACCAAATTGAGGGGTCTCGCTCGAGCAATGACGAGAGGCAGGGAGAAGTGAGACCTTTGAAAGCTTCGAAGTAAGGGGGAAAATGGAGACTGGGGAAGACCGATGGGGGAAGATTGCATATTTTATCTCAAAGAGACGACCACAACGAGATAAAACTCATGGCGTTGGACGGCGTTCGCGTGTTTGCTCTTCGCCCTGGCTTGCTTGCATGCATGTTTTGGTAGGGCTCATTCGTAAAATATAGTCTATATTGGTCGGTGTCACTATACAGCAGCAGCATTTTGAGTCTTCTTTTGGAGCACTGGCGAGCACATCGGGCGTGTTATATGGTCATGGTTACAGTGACAGGTGTCCGCTTCAGTCGGGATGATTTACATGCCAGTAAGGGCGTTCGTTGCTTCACTATGTGCAGAGATCCTCGCAACACTCCAGCTCACTACAGAAGTACAAGGGGAAAGCCCAGATTGCCTCCCTAAAAGGTCATGCTTATTGAACGCCAAAAATATGCAACAAAAAAACCAAAAGAACCAGGGCGCGACTCGTGCAGAAGAACCCTCAACAAGCGATAAGAGAACAAAAGGAAAAGTGGAACAGGCCCCATGCTTTCACAGCTCCCCAACCTCTGCTTGCTCCTCGGACGGGAACTTCTTGCCCTCGGGGCCAAAGAATGTCTTAAACGCCTCGGCCAGAGACTTGTCACTGAGCTGCATGTGGTCGCCGGGCGTCTTGCGGAAGCGCAGGCCGCCCTTGTCGTCGAGGGCGCGCAGGCCAATCCAGTCCTCCTTGTAGATGGCGCGGGAGCGGAGGGGGACGACGTCGGCGCCCAGGACCTCTTCGAACCAGCCCGTCTCCTTGGGGATCACGGTGGTGTCCTGGGCAAACATGTACATGACAAAGTTCTCGAGCCTGGCGAGGTTGTGCGCGTACGTCTTGTTCTTGAGGAGGCGCTCGTTGTTGATGTCCGCGAGGAAGTTGCTGTGCTCGAGGTACGAGTCGAGGTCCGCGGGGTCGCGGAAGTACTGCGCCGGCACGAGACGGGACTGGACCCAGTCGGACCAGGTCTGGCCGTGAAGGAGGGCCATGGCGCCGCGGCACAGCCAGTCGGTGGCGGTGCAGGCGCGGTAGTCGACGATGCCGTTGTGCTGGCTGCCGTAGGTGATGAGGCTGCGGACGGGCGGGAAGTTGCAGCGCTCGACGTAGCCGCGCAGGAACTGGCCGCCCTGGCTGAAGCCGACGGCATCAATGGCCGGGGCGGTCGAGAGAATGGGGTGGGAGGCGAGGTCGTCGCAGACCTTTGCGATCTGCTCGGTGACGTTGCCATAAAAGGTGGCAGAGCGGTCCGAGGAGGGCGACTCGTCCATGCGGATGTAGTAGACGAGGGTGCCTGGGTTGATGTCCTCGATGAGATCGCCGACGGACTGCAGCCCTTTGGCGGCAAAGTTGTCGCCCAGGCCATGCCAGATGACCACGGGCAGTGGCGTATCGTCGCCGTCTGAATCACGGGCGGACCACGCCGCCGAGTCGCTGCTTCGTTGTGTGCGGGTGGTGGCAGGCTGGACGACTGAGGGCCGGGCGAGGGCGGGAACGATGGCGACCGTGGCCAGCGCCGTTAGGCAAAACCGTGTCCTCGCGGCGGCAGGCATTGTGAATGGGGGACGTTCTTGGCCAGCAAGGAATGGTTTGTTGTTGATGCTGCTGGTGAATGAAGGTGAGGTTGGTCAAGGTCCTTGATAGGAGATGTGGGTGGGAGAGTTGTTGCTGGGAAGGAGGGATGTTGCATGTGCTCGACTTGAACCTGAAGTGGAAGATCGGCAGGAGAGGGATGTGCTGAGGCGCGCTTTGGCCCTCGTGACTGGCGTTGGGAATGCCTGCGACGGGTGCGCCTTGAAACGGCGCCTGCGTCAGACGTCACTGCTGGGTCTGGGTGGCTGTTTAGGGCGGGCAAGCGCGCTGGGGGCCATGCACAGTCCCCCCACACTCTCCGGTTACTGCTTCAGCATCCCTCTAGAGCTCTGGTGTCTTTTCCCAGCATCAGGCTTCAGGGCGAGGACCCAAGGATCTCGAGTCCATTGTCCAGGCATGAGGAGCATGTCCGGGTCGCGAATACTTCGCGAGGCTTCTACTGTTCCCATCAATCAGCTCACAAAATGCAAGAACAGAGCTTGTTTCAACTGGTCCGCTATGACCTGCTATGGCCAGTAGCTTTTTGAGTTCCGGGGCTTGGCCTGCTAGCGTAGCAAGATGCGCCGGGGGGGCTAGGCCCTCTGGGGCGCCGCGGACGGGCTTATCGATACCACAGAGACCCTCTGTGGGCGGCGCGCCATGATCGCGGTTTCGCAGTCGGCGCGGAACATTTCGTGCATGTGTCGCATATCTGGGGGACCTCGTCGATTTAGCACAGCGCCTGCTAGCCCAGTTGGGTGACACACCACACGGGCTCCGAAGTCATGATCTAGCTCGCACGTCAAGATCGAGCTGCCTACTGCTCCCAGCTCCGAGTCCAGCACGGAACCACCACTGTCAACACCAGTCACTCGATCCGCCCGGCCACGACCAGTGTCCGACCTCCATAGCCGACATTTGTGCTCAAACCATGGCCCCCGAACACATTGCCCGGAATAGCTCGGGAGACGTCGCCATGCGAGATGCTCCTGATGCCACGCCGATCGCCTCGCCGAAGCCAAACGACCAGTCCGGCCCGAATCCTGGCAGCCTCAAGGTCAGCCACCAATATCTCTTGGAGCAACGGATACGCAGGAAGCTCGACCGACGTGGTGCCGATCCAGCTCGTGAGGCCAAGTTCCGGCTCGAGGGTATCCAGCTCATAGACTCGATCAGAGAGAAGCTCCAGCTGTAAGAGCTCTCAAAGTGCTTCTTGGCTCCCCCTTTGTCCTAGATTGAGACTGACGTCAACCCCGTCTTCCAGCCCTGCAAAGACGTACAATGCCGCATGCACCTTCTACCACAAATTACGGCTGAAGCATCCAAACTACGAGCTCAACAACACTGACGTCGCAATGGCTTGCCTCTTCACGGCTTGCAAAGTGGAAGACACCCACAAGAAGTCCAGGGATATTGCATGCGCTCGCTGGAACCTGCAGAACCCTGACAATCAGCTCACACAAGACGACAAGGTGAGTCGAGAGCCCAGCTGCCTGAACCTGACGAGCTACTAACGGGCCGATCTGCAGACTTTTGACGCCCCATCAAAAGCAATGCTCAATCTAGAACGAGCAGTCCTCGAGGCGCTGCGCTTCGACTTTCGTGTCCGATTTCCCCAGAAGATCATTGCCAAGCTGGTCAAATATCGCCTGGGCAGCGACGAGCAGGCCGCTAAGGACTTCTTCGCGGTGGCATACGCCATGTCGTTCGACATGTACAAGACGCACGTGCCCATCAAGCACACCACATTCTCCATGTCTTTGGCCGTGGTTGAGCTCACGGCGTTGCTGACGGGCGTTCACATTGACGAATTCCGCATCAAAGACCCCAGTATCAAGTGGCACACCGATCGAAGCGTGGTTCTAGAATGCCTGTTGGATTTGCTGGATCTGTACACACTCTATCCAAAAGCAACGCGGGTCGGGCTCATGTTCGACCTCGAAGCGTTTATCGATATCAAGATCGCGGCGAACAAGGAGCTCGAAGAACGGAGTAGTCCGCGATACCAACACCAGTGCGAGGAGTGCGCACAGGCCGGCGTCCCTCCATCGCCATCGACGGGGTCGGAAAAGGAGGACGAGCGCGGTGACGCCTCCACGGCCAGCAACAACAATAACCATAACAACAACCGCGCCGCAGAGGTGAAGCGGTCCAGGGACGGCACCACCCGATTCGTCTTCGATGTTGATGCTGCATACCGCGAGCGCGACGTCGTCAAGCAGTTCACCGAGGACCATTGGGAAGAACATGAGGTCGAGGTGGAAGAGACGATTCCCGAGGATATACCAGATCGCCCACGGGGCCCCAGAGCAGCCCCTAGAGGACCGCGAGGCCGGGGCGGACCTCCTTCGGCATTCAACGGGGGAGGTATGGGCCGCGGAGGGCGGCCGGATTTTGATCCTGGCTGGACCCCGCGGAATCGGCATGACCGTCCTCGTGGTGGCCCGCGGGGTGGTATGGGTGGGCGAGGCGGAGGTCAAGGGTACTACTGAATCAGGGCAAAGGGCCATTAGATGGGAGAAGGAAACACCCAATATGGCGGGACAATGTTTCAAGAGACCTGCAAAGAATGTACTCGGAGTTTGGCAAAGATACCCGCATGCAAATACACCAAAATCAAAGGCACGGCATATTCTATCTAGAGTTCCAATGGAAGCACGACGCAATTACTCTGTGAAACCCCACTGCAATGAGATATAACCTTCTTGATTCCAGCACAGGCCTGAAATTTCTTTTTTCGCTCAGTGGTTATAGCTTGCTCAGCGGCAAGCGCATGCATGTAGAAGTAGGCTTTCGTGGGGTGATTGCAAAAAGGCTAGGCACCTTGGCTTTAAGAGGTTCCACCACCGCGCCCACGCTAGGCGTGTGTGAGTGTTTGACGACATTGCTCCTACGCCGCCACCCAACTTTACCTTCTTCAGACATATGCTTCTCGAGACTGCAACAACAGCAGCGCACCTCCGCGCTCATAGCCGATGCCGCCTCGCGCTGCTGTCCTTCAGCCGCAAGGAGAGTGTTTGCGTTCATGTAATCAGCCTGCGCCTTAATTACCTATATCCGACGAAGCCGCCATATCCTCGCGACCCTCAACCCGCCTCCACACGAAAGCCCGCCGTCGTAGTTGTCAGGCTTTGAACGCACAGGTGCCAAGGAAGAGGGGTGGACCAGCGTTTCGCGACGCGAAATCGCAAACAGAATCCTTTAACATAGCATTTCTTTTTTTGAGTGCTTGAGAGAGCAAGTGTCCCCCTTTCTCATTGCGCCCGATACATCTAATCTGGGAAACCCTGGCCTGGTCGTTGTTTGGTGGTGGGAAGCGGACACGAGGATGCCGCGCAAGGTCAGTTCCATCACTTCATCCCTCTCCCTCCCCCTTCTTCCTCTTTCCGAGCGTCGTGCACCACAAAAAAAAACACATATCCCCGAAAGGACTCATACTAAACGAGGAAGGGGGGACACACAGGTCCGCGTCCCTGCCGACCCGGCACAATCCCGGCTCAACCAGCAGCGCTCGCGCGCGCGGCGGCGCGAGCACGTCGCGGACCTAGAGCGCAGGCTGCGGGAGCGCGAGGGGCAGGCGGTGCAGGCGTCGGTCGAGATGCAGGCTGCGTCGCGGTACGTGGCGTGGAAGAACGAGATGCTGATGGGCTTGCTGGAGAGGAGATTTGGCGTGGCGAGGGGGGAGGTGGAGGGCTGGCTGGATGAGGAGTGGAAGAAGACTGCCTCGGGGATGAGGTTGGACCTACCTGGAAGAGAAGCTGTCAGAGGAGAGGAAGAGGGGGACGGCGTGCGTGGCTTATTGACGGCGACGTCTGGCCATCATCAAATTATGCGAATAGTGGCGGAAGAGGAGGAGGGAGAAGAAGAAGAAGAAGAATGTGATGACGGCTGTGTATGCAGGAATGGGAGCTCGGACCGGAAAGTCACGCCTGACTGCTATCGCACGGACACAAGAACCATGGCGACGACATCGTCACAACCCGACTCGGCGTCACAACCGGACTCAAACTCTGCTGCGATGCCTCCACCGCAAACATCGCGGCAGATGGTCGAAATGACATCCTGCGACGAGGCAGCCGACATGATCGCGAGTCTACAAGGACACGGCAACGTCAACGACGCCCGAAGACTGCTGGGATGTCCGAACTCGAGCGACTGCAAGGTCAAAAACACCCAACTGTTTCAGCTCATGGTGGAGACAACTTGACCAGCCAGGCGTTGAGGCAGATGATGAACTACAATCAGCGCGTGGGGCCGTCTTTGCAGGAGGCTACCAATATCTTATTTACAGTTCTATAATCAGAGCGACATGTCGACAATTAACGATCGCTGTATCAGAGGCAACACCGAGGATATTTGCCATGAGCAGGGCCAACACATCAGTCCTTCCACCATCTCCGCCTAATCCACTTGACAGCATACACAAGCCCCAGCATGATGGGCACTTCGATCAAAGGCCCGACCGTGGACGCGAGCGCCTGGTCGCTATGTGGTCCAAAGGTGGCCACTGCAACTGCAATGGCAAGCTCAAAGTTGTTGCTCGCAGCAGTGAAGCTCTGCGTCGTGCTGAGCGCGTAGTTGAAGCCGAGACGCCATGTTATCCAGAGCGTCAGGAAGAAGATGACGACAAAGTAGATGATCAGCGGGACCGATACGCGGCACACCGAGACGATCTGGTGAACGACCTGACGGCCTTGGTACGCGAAGAGCACAAGGATTGTGTATAGCAGGCCGATCAACGACCAGGGCGCAACGAAACGCAGAAAGACACCGTCGTACCACTTGCCGCCGAACAGCTTGCGTAGGGCGAAGCGGGAGATCATTGCGGCGGCGAGCGGGATGCCGAGAAAGACGGCGACACTGGTGGCCACTGTGTCGTATTGGATGTCGATTGTGTCCGAATCCCTGCTGATGACGCGGATGAAGAAGACTGCCAATGGGGCGAAGAGGACCATTTGCAGGATCGAGTTGACAGCGACTAGTATGGCGCAGTATTCGCCATCACCAGCTGCAAGATCGGTCCAGATGAGTACCTAAAAACGTTGTATGTCAGCACCAGCATACCAAACCTCGAATTAGCATCTCTGCTCGTGCGGACACCCCGTACCATAGCAATACAGCGACCAAGACCAACAAGGATAAGTCCCGCGCGTAGTTCGGGCTTATCTGGAAGGCACATCCAGGCCAAGGCGAGCTGTGTTGATGACCCAAAAAGTCAGCACTTTGCGTCTTGCCACTGCGTGTGTTTTGTCTCGGTCGATGCCTGTAATCACGCACCATCAGGAATGGGGCTACAACCCAGTTCATGAAAACACTGAACCCAATCTGCTTCCAGATGCCGCGATGTGAGAACACTTCGGGTAGTGTCTCATAGCGGACCTTGCACAAGATGGGATACATCATGACGAGCAGTCCGACAGCTGTGTGCATTGCAATGTGTGAGTCAAATTGCATAATGAGTTCCTAGGGTGGGGAAGACTGACCGATTGGCACTGAGACGCCCACGAATTGTCCCTTTGCTAAAGCCTCTGATATTCCAGGCACGAAGTTTCCAAGTATGATGCCAATGGCCATGGCGAGGAAGATCCAGAGAGCAAGGAGTTTGTCCAGCCAGCCGAGAGCTTTCACGACGGAGGATTTATCGTTGTTCTGCTTGGTTTCCTCTGCTGACGCCTCACGGGGAGACGCATCCTCGGGGGAACCGACGGCGACAGAGCCATTCCTTGCTCGAAGTTCACCACCCTCGGCTTGCTTTTCGATGTCATTGCCATGGTTCCACTTGTGGCCATGCGCCGTGTAAGTGGCCTCAACAGTCATGTCGCAGGTCTTTGTGGTAAGTCGTGGTCGGACGTGGTCGCTGACTTTCCTCGGAATCCACAAAGACACGCTGTATGTCGAACTCGGGAGGTGATGAAACCAACACACGATCGAGTGTATGATCTACCAGTTATATGGTGGACCAGAAAAAAGCCCCGTCTGAACAACTGCTCGAAGTCCCTTCTTGAGATGGCCACTGTGGGTCTGCTGGGTCGTCGAAAGTTCGATGCACCAATCAGAGGAGGGGCATGACAACTTTCTTCCTCGCCGCTCTTGGCATCGTTGTTCAGGCCAGGAGCGTGTGGAGAGGGCCGTCTTGTGTGAAATACAACAGAACTCACAATCACCAGACAAAATCACTTCCTATCCGTCAAATTCAAATCCACGAATAGCCATGACGACCAATGCTTCCAACGACACTAAGCCTTGGCACGCCGCCTTCCCTGCGCCTAGAACGACCGAGCCTGGAGCAGTGTCACGTGAGGAGATGTTAGAGCTTCTTAGGACTGCGACCGCAGGCAAGGACTACGTCTTGGTCGACTTGCGCCGCAACGATTATGAGGTAGGTCTTGCGCACAGCCATACGTATCTGTGCCTGAGCTGTGTGTTGCGAGTTTTATGTGCCGTAACTGTTACTGAGGACAGGCCGCGGTTGTGCATTGCAGGGCGGAACCATCAAGACATCGATCAACCTCCCTGCTCAGTCGCTCTATCCCACGATCCCCGCATTGTACAAGCTGTTTGAGACGGCGGGTGTGAAGCAGGTCATTTGGTACTGCGGTAAGAATCCCCCACCCCCGGGCCTGGGGTCCGAGATGATGTTCCCCTCCCGTGGGTTTGTGACGAGACCGAGTATGTAGTTGCTGACGGGCACCATCAAACCAGGCTCGAGCAGCGGTCGGGGCACGCGGGCGGCTGGGTGGTTCCAGGACTACATTGACAGCCAGGGCGGTGAAGTGATGCGCAGCGTCATCCTGCAGGGCGGCATCAAGGGCTGGGTGGCAGCGGGTGCTGCACACACGGCGCAGATGGACGGCTTCGTCGCAGAGGCCTGGCAGAAGCCGGTGCAGTGCGGGTAGAGGGGTGTGAAGCGGCAGATAACTTAGATCTGGATCGAGACTGCTCGCAGGCCGCGCCGTGCAGCAGGGGCAGAGGGGTCGCTCCCGGGCCGAAGCCGTCCAGTATGTAGGTGCCCGAGTCAGGCTGGAAATGACGACAGACAGACTTCAGGAGCAGTTTGGATGACTGATGGCGTGCATCCCAGCTTCGAAGTTTCCAGCAATCCGCGGGCGCCAGCTCCCAGCAATCCATGGGTGGGCGAGAAGGTTGAAATGCTGTCTGTCCATCACATGGCGCCGTGCCGCAAATGGGAGCTTCCAGTATGTCGCGCCGGACCAGGCGAACGGCATGGAAGGCGCGGCCTGCGGTCGACGGGTTGGGACGCAGCTGCGTCATGAATGCAGCCACCACCGCCGCTCCACGTATCTCTGGCACCTGCTGCAGGGTCCTTGTTCGCGCTGCCTAGCGCTGAGCCGAGCAACCTTGGACAGCTCGAACGGCCTGCGTAGCGCTCGGCCAGTGCCAGAAACCGACGATCTCTCAAGCTCCTCTCCCAGGCCTCGAGGGTAACCTCCTTGGGCACATACTTTACCTTATGCTTTTCTCCCCAGCCTCTCCGCGTTCCAGCCCCGTACACGCCGCTCTTCCTCCCGCCTTGCTCCCTCAACTCGCCGTGGCTTCTGGCTTTTGCTCCCAGTCAGATACTGCGAGCAACGACGTCGTTGTGCATCACTAGATCCTGCGGTAAGTACCGTCGCACCCCACCTGCTGCAGCCCTCACTGAGCGTCCGAGGCAGCTCTCGTTTCCACATAAACCCCCCTTCCGCTTCCTACCCCGCCCTGGGAGCTGCTGCGCATTTTCGCGACGGCGACGACTGCGACAGCCAGCGACGACGACCTCTGGGTAGTACACCACCATACTCACCTGCGACCGCGCCACTCCCAGGCACGCATTCTCCCGGCACCCTGCGATAGGCTTCCTGGCAACCATCTTTCGGCCTCCTTCCGACCATAAGCAACCATGGATGTTCGCGACTTGCCGTCTGAGGTCATCGACCGGGACACGTTTGAGCAGATCCTAGAGATGGACGACGACGAAGAGGAGCGCGACTTCAGCAAGGGCATTGTTGTCGACTTCCTGTCGCAGGCCGAAACCACGCTCGATGAGCTCGATACCGCCCTGTATGTTTTACGTCCTTCGTGCACGGGGTTAGCTGCGCGCTGCAAGCCCCTTTGACAGCTCCGAGGCTCGCACCCCGAGGTGCTCGGGGCGCTCTTTCGTTGAGTCGCTTCTGGCCGTCTTGCTGCTTGCACCGCAGAAACGCCCCGTGCCAGAAGTCTGATATACTAACATTGATTACTGTCTTGTCAGAGGCGTGAAGAACCTCACAAAGCTGTCTGAGCTAGGGCACTACCTGAAGGGGAGCTCTGCCACCCTGGGTTTGAGCAAGGTCAAGGTCGATTGTGAGAAAATCCAAAACTTCGGCAACAAGCTCGACGCGACAGGAGAGAATGCACAGCCTGATGAGGAGGTATGCCTAAAGGGCATCAAGGATGCTCTGGCGGATCTCAAGAAAAATTATGCCGAGGCATCTGGTGTACTCAAGAAGTTCTTTGACCTAGAGTAATTGGGGGCCACCGCGTGCTTGGACAACTAGACAGTAGGGACAAGCATATGGGCACCTCGATCGGACGAGACCTAGGCGGCTTCCGGTGATGACACGAGCATGGCAATGCTTCGCAAAGGATCAGGAACACCGCTTGCCGAAAACGTGGAGCGCTGGATATCTGACTTGGACCCCGTTTCACGCTCGGGATTGCACAATTAGCAACACATAACCTTGGAGTCCACACCGCTGTGTCAGGTTGATTCCACTTTCCCTCGCGTGTCGAGATAGCCAGTTGCAAAGTCGTCCATGGCTTGTAAGTGCAAAGTGCATCTGTCAGCCCTGACATTAAAATAACTGCCCAACGTTGCACTTTTTTACGGCACTAGGAGTGACCCGCCGACGAAGTGTATACAACCTTGCCGTGGTCCGTCCCCATGGTAAGCCTCAAACTCTAATCGCCCTTGCTCGGTGCGGTGGCTTTTGACTCCGCCGGTGCTGTGGTGCACTGTCCATGGCCCTGCGCCGGAGCCTTCGGAATGCGGGCAAAATCCCGGGGGATACTGGCCAAGCGTATCTGAGATATTCCGAGCCAAAGTAGCGGATTCCTAGCGCGTGTACGACTTCACGGCGGTATTGCCCGTACACTAGCACCGGTCCCGGCTTTGGGGGTTTGCAAGTTATTTTCGTGCCGCCCTTTGCTTTCCTAGTAAAGGATTGCGAAAGAGGGTAGTCAGCTGCATATCAGCATGCAAAAATTGTTTTTCTTGCCCCAAACGAAAGCCCGGCGTGGGACTGCTGTAACAGATTGCCTTGCAAACAGCTGCCCGGCGCCCGCCCAGTAACAATATGAGGTAGGGCGAGACAGCTGCATCATATTAGTATGGTATTCGCGGTGACCACATTGTTCCTGATTGCCTTGTTCTAATGCTTCCGTTCCGGACGTTGCACAAACGTGACCGTTCGCGAGGTTTGAGCCTCCAAGTCTGAAGGCACGTGCTTGGTTGTCGTCACCGAACATGCGCCTCGGGCACGGACATGAATGCAGCCTACCTGGATCGGCAGTGTTTGTATGAGGGCATCAGGCTTGAGTCATGGGCAGAGGTCGCTTTTCCTGCTCGACGTATATATGGCCGTGCTGGTCTGGCTCACTGGCGCCCAGAGTTGCATTTCATCCTACACGTGCCTTTATATTTTTGGAACTTTGGGTGCGCGCGGTCACTTGCCGCGACTAGCCACATCTTAGCGCATTGAGCTAGTCAAGCCTTTTGTTTTGGTTCCTGTTCCATCCACAGCGGCAAACACACATACCCCACCATCCATACATCATATCCTGCTCGCTCTCGCGACGTCCGCCACTCCTTTCAGACTTGTCGCAAACTTGGTCGAGGCAGCCTATTCATTTGCATCTTCGCGCGACTCGTCGGTGTTTCGTTCCATTCCTCAGCAGTCATGACGCAAGAGAACGGCTCAAGAGGTGCGGTTGCAACCTGCCTTCTGGGAAATTCCCCCACCCATTTCAAGGATCATTTTTTCGAGGGACACAACGCTGACCTGTGCTGTTGTGCACATACATAGATCCCGGCCTTGTGCCGATGCCTCAGGTCGAGGGTCACTGGACCGTCGAGAAGGTTCTCGACGCTCTCGAACCTGGCGCGGCACCCGCACAGGGTTCTTCCTCGCCCCTCCCATTCATCCACATTCTCGAGCGCCTCAAGACGACGAAACGTGAGGGTTGGCGGCGGTTTGGTATCGACAGGTGCGAATCATGGCTCCCTCCTTCCTTGTATTTGACGTTGGAAAGTTCAAAGAGGCCGGAAAAGAAAAGACAAAAAAAAAAAACAGCTAACCTAGAGCACTACCAACCACAGAGGCGAGTCTATTGCCGACCACATGTATCGCATGTCTCTCATGACGTTCCTGTGCCCGCCGGCGCTCGCGCCCAAGCTCGACCTCAACAAGTGCATGAAGATGTGCCTCGTGCACGACATGGCGGAGGCGCTGGTCGGCGACATCACGCCCGTCGACGGCGTCCCGAAGCCCGAGAAGAACCGCCGCGAGGCCGAGACGATGGACTACATCTGCACGGGCCTGCTGGGCAAGCTGCACGGCGGGCTCGCGGGCGCCGAGATCCGCGCCATCTGGCAGGAGTACGAGGACTCCAAGACCATCGACAGCCACTTTGTGCACGACCTCGACAAGATGGAGCTGCTGTGCCAGATGGTCGAGTACGAGAAGCGGGGCGGGGACCGGAGCCTCGATCTCGGCGAGTTTGCGTACGTCGCGACAAAGATGGCCCTGCCAGAGACCAGGGAGTGGGCGCAGGAGATCCTCAAGGAGAGAGACGACTTTTGGGCGGGCAAGAAGCATGTTCAAGGCCAGGACGGCCTTGATGGCGGCGTCAAGGAGGTTCACTTGACACAGCAGGAGGCGTACTACAACCGGGAGCAGTAGAAGTGTGAGCGACGGGAATGCTGACCCTCCATACGGGGCATCAAGTAGAGTATCGCCATGGAAGGAAGCTTGGCAGACATGCAAGCCGTGGAGAGATGGGCGCGTTGAAGTGTAAAGGACTGTTTGCACTGGGCGCGGATAGACACAAGGCGCCACGGATAAGGACCCGCATTGCTTTACGAATTAATGACTAGCTAGATGTGTTAATCAAAAAGACCAAAGCATAATTACAACCAGATCACCTCTACCGTCATGATACGCAAATCTCCCAAGGGCCGCCTTCTAGAAAGCATGCGCTGGCGTGCCCCACTTTGATGATTCATTGTTGATTCAGGGCCTGCACGCACGCGTGGGCAGAAGTGCGTGCTTCCCCACAGCAGCCCGCTGCTGTTGCCACCAGGCAACCGGCCCCTGGTAGTGAAGCATCCACTGTGTCGCAACAAGCCGGGGTCAACCCATCACAAGACCGCATCCTTGGACCCTGACCAACAGCTTTGGACACGGGAAATTTGATGTCTGGAGCGACGTGTGGACGTGCCCGAGTCCGTCTTTCGTCGGTGCTACAGCGCCCAGTGTTGTGTGTTTGATGCTGGATGTTGTCGTGCAGAGACTCTACCTGGCGGGACGACGACGATCAGGCTAGGCCAGTACGTCACTAATTGCCATCTCCTTGTTTGCCTTGGCCGCTGCGCCGGGGGTTTCTCTAATCTCTCTCTTCCTGATCGCAACCCCTGACGGCGACGACTTTATCACGACCACCAGCTCGAGGGCCACCTCTGGACTGCAAGGCTGTCAGGCGACAACCTCCTCCCGACCCTTATCACAAAGGCGCAAAGCATCGGCTCCCACATACTTCCACCTTGCATCTTACTTTGGTGGTGGCACCGCGCCAGGCAGACACTCCGCTGCCGCGAACCAACCGGCGCCAGCACCCGTTGGAGCTTGGAGACCTTGTCTCACCCTGCGCCAGCCGGTAGTGTGCGCAACCTTCGAGACACACCGGGCACGCATACACACCTTAATTCCAAGGCCATTGTCATCACGCGCGCATCCGTTGCGGCCACCCCCACCTCAGCCCATTCACGGCTTCCGACCGTGATAAGACCCTGCGACAGCGTCCAGCTGTCGGCAGATCTGGACGCTACGACCTGCTGATTACGACCTCACCTGCGATTCACCTCTCAGCGACACCGTTGTACGACACATCAAGCCTTGCCCCTCGGATCCAGGCTCGCTCTTTTGTAGGCGGTTGCGGATAGACATTCACTTGTCTGTACGGCTTCAACGTATAGCCCGGGGCAGTTTAAAGCCGAGAGCGTCCTGGTAGCATCGGACGCACCGCCTTGGCGATTAGCTTCGACGACCGCATCCCGTTCACTTGCAGTCGACGACCTCTATCGTCACCACACTGTAGCATCCAGCACGCAAACATGTCCTTGGCTGGACACGCTGTGATGCACAACACCTATATGGACTCAGCCGGTGGCCGTGCGCCAGCTTCAGGCGTACATCCCGGCATGTTCAGACCGCCGACATCTCCATCGATGGCCGACTCGACATATCAAGACCAAAGCGCCGTCGCCTCCGGCACCGACTCGTACTTTGCGAACCCCACCCCGAAGCGCAAACGCAATGCAAATGCGAGCATAGACCTGTCTAGTCATTGGGGCTTGGGGATTGACACGGGAGCTAGACCAGTTCCAGCTGTCTCGCAGGTACAAATAGGGAGACGAAAGATCAGCAGAGGAAATTCTCGCTACACCCTAGCCGGCGAGATTGCGACACCGGGACCCGAAGTGGAGAAGAGGCTCTCCCAGTCCATGGACGACAGCATATACTCGGATGCGGACTACCGGCGAGACGGAGGCTCAAGGCGATCTCAGGAGGAGGCAGAAGATGACGAGGATGACGTGTTTGCAACGCCCTTGTCGCAGTATACAACCGCCGAGTCCCGGCCAGAAGCGCCTCCGACGCGCTCAGATGGATGGGGAAGCTTCGCGTTTAGTGCGCTGGGCGGCGTTGTTGGCAAGGTCTGGGAGTTCTGTAAGGGTGGTGCATTCCGTGGCTTCCATGCCGGTGGTGGCCAGGGATTCCAGATTTCAACACCAACGTTATCGGCGCCCAAGGGCGAGGTCTGGTGCAATGAGCACGACGTCCCGACGCTGCCGAAATATAGCGTGGGAAGTACGCCCGGCGCCTTTCCTGACACGAACTACATGCACGAGCCTTTCTACCGAGCCGACACGCCGGACTCGACACCGCGACCGGCGGCTAAGCGGCGCCAAATCAGCGGCACGATTCCAGGAGAAGAGCTGCGCAGGAACTGGGTCATGGTGAGCGAAGACGAGAGCAACAGAAGACATTCGACACAGCCCAAGCCATCACCTGCCGTCCAGTCGCCATACCGCCCGTCCATCGGCGGACGCCGCATCAGCCGGCCAGTCAGTCGCATACAGACCCCAACGCACCCGCGAAGACAGTCTAGCAGAGCCAGTCTTGGCGGCGGTGCCGCAGCGGCGTCGACAGCAAGTTTCGCATCAACACGATCACCCGTATTGGACCAGCCGCCGAGCAGGATCCCTGTGCGCAGCCAATCGCCGCTGCTTTCGCCGAATCGCGCATCCGCACAGCAGGCGCAGTTTCCCCGGATTCCTAGCCCGAATCCGTACTCGTCTCACGGCCATCGGAGGTCAGGCAGCGCGGTGTCGCTGTCGGCCATGTCTGCTGCGCCTGGCCGGGCCAAGAAGCGCGAGTCCATGAGCGAGGTCAGCGAGAACAGCCCGCGGCTGGACAAGCAGGCGCGTAAGCTCGCGGCGAAGCGGCAGCAGGAGGAGAGACAGACGGACATTCGAATTAACGATTTCAATGCCCGGCTGCAGGAAATGATTCGGCAGGGCAAGGAGGCACTGGGCACCACGATCGAGGTCGACTTGGATGATGACGGGGATGTTGGAGGCTGGGAGGACGACTAGCCAGTCGTCTCAAGGCATGTACTGGGCAGCCATCCAAAGTGGTGGACACACATGGCTTTGCTACCATTTACACTTGCCGACACTGACGTTCAGATATCTTGTACCAAGCGAGCACCAGGCGTTCATTTGATGCGCTTTATAAAGTTGCAGCCGTTTGATACCAAAATACACACACAAAGCGTTTCTTTCCGTACATCACTAAAAGAGAATGGGAGTCGGCGCGGCCCTCTCAAGAGACTACGGCGCCGACAACGGCTCCTATGGCGTCTCCTCCACCGCCGCCGGCCGACGAGATCTGCTTCTCCTTGACCTTCCTCTCGTGCTCGACAATGCCCGTGACCACAATCTCCTCGACCTGCTCCCTGCTCAAGCTCTCTTTCGCCACCAACACGATCCGGCCGGCGTTCTTCTTGCCCGACATGGTGTGCCAATAGTTCTTGGCCCCGGATCCCAGCGACACCCCGTTCCCGCTTCCTCCATCTCCCTCGCCCACGAGCTGGCCGAGCCGCGCGACCATGCCGCCGGTCGCGAACTTGGCGAGCGTCCGGTCCCGGCTCGTGTCCTCGAGCTTGAGCACCATGCCCGAGCTGGTGGTGAGCCCGCCGACCAGGTCCTTGCCCCATTTGAGCTTGCCCAGGCCCGTGCCCGAGTCGAGCTTGCGCGACCACTTGACCGGCGGCCGGCCGTGCAGGGACAGGTCGGCCTTGAGCGACGTGCTGTCGTGGTACTTTACCGTGCCGATCTTGTCGGCCCCCTTATCGCCTCCGCCACCGCCGCGATAGATGGTCATGCTCTTGGGGCTGTTCTGGAACCACCGCGACTTTTCCGAGTCGATGTATAGCAGGGTGTGCTTGCCGTCGGTTGTCTTGACGGTGTATGTCAGGCCGTCTTTGACGAAGACGAAGTCGCGATGCTGGTAGGCCGCCTCGTGGCCCGTGTTGTGGCTGGGCTTGAAGATGTTGTGGAGGCCATGGTGGTGGTTCTGGGAGGAGGAGGACGAGGGGTGCTGCTGATGGGGTTGCTGAGGTGGTGGTGCTTGGTACTGCTGTGGCTGGGGGCTGTGACCGTAATATGAAGCCGCAGCGCCATGTGACGGAGTGTGTCCTTGATGGTGATGGTTATATTGCTGTTGCGGGGGTGGAGGTACATGGTGCTGGCTGCTGTACGAAGGTCCGCCTGGCTGCTGAGGATGGTAGCCCTGCTGCTCTGGCGGCGGTGGTGGTGGAGAGGTGCCCATGTACTTTGACATCTTGTCCTGCACTCGCGGTGACAGACGTTGCTGGATCTGCTGCAAGCCGATGCTGGCAGCGCTGCTCAGCAGCCCTCTGTCAGTTGTAGTCGAAGTTGTGGTATGTGTGGCCATGTTGTGTTGTTTGTCTACGTTGTGATGCTTGAGCCGACGGTAGGGTTCATGGCTGCTGCCAAGCGCACTTCTTATATTCAGACAAACTACAGTCGTCCCGAGTTGTGACGCACGCACAGCCTCTCCTCTATCCACGATTACGCAAAGCCCTGTGATGTCCGTTGCAGATCGACAAGCTGGGCGGTCGAGTAGGGCCACAGCCCGCAAAAGGAAAGATAGAAGGCTTGGCCATGTTCACGCTCAAATAGGAAATACGCCAGCGCTGCCATCAGCTCTCATTGGCTCCTCGGACTTCCCACTTTAAAAGGGCTGGCAGCTTGCTGATCTCTCACTCCGCCACCCGGTCGCCGGCCTTGCTGTGTAACCAGCCCAGCCTCTGTAGAGGAATGACGCAACATGGCAGCCAGAGTCTTGAGTGGGAGGGCTGTTGATCTGCATGACTATCACGTTTTGTCCGGCGGTCGGTATTGGTTCAATTGAGTCGCCTGGCTGGACTAGCTCTGCAGATCTCACATTACCGAAAATGGACAATAGGGGTCCACAATGGCCGTGCCACATTTCAAGCTTTAGGCTCTCTACGATAAGACCTGGGGAACGGCAAGAGCCCACATCCCTGAGCCTCTGAGCCTCTGAGCCTTTGCCCCTCTGCCCCTCTGCCCCTCTAAACCTCTAAACCTCTGAACCTCTGAACCTCTACATCTCTACGGTGCCACTTTTCCCGCGAAATGTTCCTTTGGCATTATTGTGTCAGTCGTCTGCGCCCACGGATGAATTTGCTAGAAAGAGCAGCACGAAGGGTGGGGTGGGACATGCTGTCAGTCCTGCACAAATCTGATCTTATCACATTTATGCGACCTGTGCGTAGGCACGTGATGGGTATGATGCCCGAGTGGTGCTCTTATAATATACCCGACTTCGTAGCACTCGTCAATCTGCTAGACCGGCAACTCAAAATTAGTCCTTCGGCATTGGATGCCAAAGCAAGTACGGGTTGCAAATGGCGTGCCTGGTTGAGGGAGAGCGAAAGCCTGGTAACAGTCATCGAGGAAGAGCGACACACGATGAAGCTCGGTACACAACGCATTGGCAGAGGACGAATGACGGGTTCACCCCAGTTTAAAATTCGTTGCCCTTCCCACGCATTGAAAAGCGTCTTCATTGCTGGAAAACCTTGGCGAATGCTGGGGTACCAGTGTGGGGTAACCACTGACGATCCGTGGCTGACGGGTGCGCCAGCGTATGAGCACCCGCGGGACGTTATAGCCAGATGCACGTCAGTCCCGCGACAGGCGGAGCTTACTGAGCAGCCCACACTCATTCATATTGTCCTAGGTGATTGCGACACAACCACGCTTTGCCTTTCTTCATCATCACATTTTGTGGACTCGTCATGGCGGTTTGTCACCTTTCCTTGATGTTCTTTTTCAGCTTGGCGGCTTTGGCTAGGGGAGTCCTCCACACGAGAGACTATTTCTACGTTGGCGGCCAATATGTTCCTTCCGGCGCAGGCGGATATCTTTTCGAGAATCAGATGTATGTCGAGCATCTGACTCCCGCCAAGGTCTCACAGCCGCACCCCATTGTTTTTATGCACGGCGGAGCCCAGTCCGGGACGGTGAGCTTGAAACAATGACTTTCGACGGCTGAAGTTTGCGCTGACTGTTCCGACGACAGAACTTTCTCACTAAACCGGATGGCGGAAGTGGTTGGGCGGACTGGTTTCTCGATCATGGATATGAAGTGTACCTGGTCGATGAGCCTACACGCGCTCGGTCGCCGTGGAACCCGGCTGGTGGTTTCCCACAATCAACTTGGACTGACGAATTGATATCATCACGCTTCACTGCGGTTCGGGATTCCACTTTATGGCCACAGGCGAAGCTTCACACACAGTGGCCCGGGGTAAGTTCATTTGTCCCCGACACGCGATGATTGGCTCTTCAAATGCACTGGTCTGACAAGTTCGGCGTACCAGACTGGCAAGAAAGGCGATCCCGTCTTCGACGCCTTCTATCAGAGCAACATGCAATTCATCGTCGACGGCACAGAGCAAGAGCGCACGGTGAAGGAAGCCGGCACCGCGCTCCTGGACAAGCTCGGCCGGCGCATCGTGCTTGTGACGCACTCTCAAGGCGGGCTCTACGGCTGGGGTCTTGCAGATGCCCGACCCGACCAAATCGCGGGCCTGATTCAAATCGAGCCCAAGGGCCCGCCGTTCCGCGAGGTCATCTTCTCGACCAGCTTCACCAGGCCTTGGGGGCTGACTTCCATCCCGCTGACTTACTCGCCCGCGCCGACCAACCTGACGAGCCCCCTTGAGACACAGGTCGTCAAGACCACGTCCGCCGACCTGGTGGACTGTATTATCCAGGCCGAACCGGCGAAGAAGCTGGTCAACATCGCCAAGGTGCCGATTCTGGTGGATACCGGCGAGGCTTCGTACCACGCGGCGTACGACCATTGCACAGTCATGTTTCTCAAGCAGGCGGGCGTGGAGAATATCGAGTTTCTGGAGCTCGGAAAGGCTGGGATCCACGGGAACTCGCACATGCAGTTTATGGAGATGAACAGCGACGCCATTGCCGAGAAGCTGCACGACTGGATATTGCAGACCGTGGAGCAGAAACATGAATGATTTTTCTTCGGGAAGAGAAAGGTTTGTAGAGAGCAGCAGGTGCTGGGTTACTTCTGGTACCTCTGGAAGTGTGGGTTGTTGTCTGGAGTGGTACAAAGGTCGGGCTTGGCATCCAACAATTGACAAGCACGATCAAGTAACAGAATCCACCGAGCTCACGGTACGGTTACCCCTGACACAATCACAATGTTAGCAGCGACAGAGTGCACACGCCTGCACATCACCTTCTCTTCGCCATTAATTGCAAGATGTCTATAAGTCTGTCTTCTGCTGTTATCACGCCGAACCTGGCATCTGTCCCAAGCCATCCTGCTCCTTTAAGCCCTCCCTTACGCGTACTTGTAGCAAAGGTTGGGGGCTGAGACATCCATGACGTCCCGAATCTTGACGGTGGGGGCCATCAGGGGGTACTCGAGGGCAAAGTCGAGGGTGATGTTCTTGTAGGGGATAGTGCCGACGTAGGGGTTGATAACGTTGAAGGGTCCGCCCCACATGGTGTCCGGGCCGCCAATGTCCGATTTGCGGGCGGGCCAGTCTGGTTGCGGAGGTGGTAGTTAGCATCTATGCCAGCCACAACTCAAGATATTTCATCCAGGAGACTTACTCTGCATTTGCCAGGTATTCCAGAGGTTATCGAGTTGGGCATGATGCAGCCAGAAGAGGGGATCTCCTGGCGAGGAATACATATCGGACATCTCGCCGACCATGCCGCCGACGCCGAAGTGGCCGGCGCCGTGGGTGGTCATGCCGGACAGGTCCGGGTTGAGGCTGACGAGCTCAACCCGCTGGCTGTACTCGGCATAGGTAGAGGCAGAGCGCTCGTACTGAACCTCAGGAGTGCTCAGCTTGCTGGCAGTGAGTGTGGGCACAAAGTCACGGCGAAGGCAGTGGGGGGTGTAGTCGGTGCTCTTGCCCGGTCCCATGGGGATCTGTCTGCTGGCAAAGGGGCCGTTGGTGACACAGCCGCCGCCAGTACGGGCCAGGGGGCCTGGGGCAAGAGAAGTGACCGGGAGGCCGGTGATGTCCTCGAGCCACTCGCCGTTGCCGCCAAAGCCATAGACGGGGTCAAAGACAGGAGACGCAGTGAAGTTCTTGACGTCCTTGGTCCAGTCTATCGCAACGATCGTCAGTAACAGGACAATAGTAAGAAGAAGAACGTGCTTCAAGTCTGGGAAAGCTTACCCCAGTAGGGCTGGGCACCGTTGTAGCCGCAGGTGTTGCGGAGCTCTGTCTCGTAGAGGGCGAGCAACTGTCTGTGGTAAGGCAGGAATTGTCCCTGTGATATCCTGTGAGCTTCGTCATGTCGACAGCAATCTAGGACATCAGACGGCTTACGACAAAGTGGATGCGCTCAGTCATGGCAATGTGCAGAGCCTGGAAGTCATCGTACCGGCTCTTGGCACCGGGGTAGGTGCTGCCAGTCTTGGCGGGCTTGGACTGGAGGCACTTGACGGCGTTGATGTACGCCAGACGCTGGGCCTTCGTCAAATCACGCCTGGAGCGACGGAGTCAGCATGCATCCGTGACTATATGGTTTCTTTGCGAGGCAGCTTGACTTACCACTCCTTGCGCTCAAGGGGCGAGTTGCACGGACCCGTGGCACGCGAGTCGAGAGCATCACCAAGAGGGGCCGGCGCCGAGAGGACTCCCGGGGCGGCGAGCAGGAGAGCAGCGGAGAGGATGTTGCGGATCTGCATGATGACGAAGTCTGCCTGGCTAGCCCGCGTGGGATATGTTCCAAAAGAATGTAAAGAGGTGGGTGATCCCTGGCGGTAGGAACAGGAACTCGAGCAGGAATTCCCCAAAGGAGGCCTGCAGTCCTTTTATGAAAGCAGCCGGTTCGTGGAGCCGTGATGGACCATCACGCATGGCCGGATGTCGCCCGACCCGGCAACGAGCCAACTGATCGGGGCTCGTGGCTTCACCCTGGAATGCTCATCTCAGACCCCTAATTCCGCATGACTTTCCAGAGACGACTCCAACGGCCACGGTCTGGACTCTGCCCAGGTAAGCCGTACTGCTCCGCCCATGCGGCTGGAGCACGCACGTGAAGGCAACATCTCCGGAGCCCGGTCCCGACTGCGGATCCCTGCCAGCCCACCCCGAGGCAACATGGACAGTGCACGATAATAGTAGACGTAGCCACGTTCGAGACGAGTATTCCTGGTCGTTGTTGCAAGGCGATTGCTGTCTCGCGAGATCGGCTCATACGACATCGACACTGGGGCTGCCTGAGTCAGGTGGTCATGACGCTCACACAAAAAGATATCCGCAGCGGATGGAACACTCGGCCTGTGAGGCGAAATATCCACACTTTCCGTGGTGTCGGGTCGCTGCCCAGGATTTCTAGAACCACAACGGTAGTATCCCGAAGTGGCGGGCGCTGTCGCAATATTATCAGAACATTATCGGCGGAACTATGCGCCCCTCATACGAGCCATGCGATATCAAGGACTCGCAGGAATATTCGAGAACAAGCCGGCGAACGCCGTAGTCTTGCCCTATCTCTGACCTGCATCGATAACAGTGGATATTAACAGATACTATGCAGGCCGTACCACGCTGTTCTCCATGCTGCCACGCAAGCTGTACCCTCCACCAGGGGTGTACTCCGACCAACACGTTGTGCCCTGGTTGGATGTCGATATTTTGTATCGGCCGTTGACACTAACCAAGTGAAGCCATATCCCGAGACCATGGTGCCGCGGTTTGAGAGGAAGAGCCAGGGTTCGTGTTCAGGCGAGGCATCAGCAAGGCCCAATTTCGTGGGAGGCTTGCCTTGCTCGTATCGTCGTCCGCGTCAGGTAGTAACTCGGCAGAGGCGGCTAAAGCACGCCTGTGCCGGTTGTCAAAAAATCCACTGATGAGGGCTCGGGCGATGCCCCGTATCTGCTTCAAGGTCCCTGACGATCAGGGAAGAAGGTCCTTTGCAGAGAATAATGGCATGGGAGCATCCGCGACCCCTGCTTGTGCTGCATGGTCGGACCCGGGCGGCTGAAGTGGCGTGTTAAGCGGTAGGGATCTTGCACTTCGCAAGCCACCTAGGTATGGGCTGTGTTGGTCCAGCCCAAACTAACAATTGCACGCTTTCTTTTGCCTAGTCCGGCCCTTCAAAGGTCAGGACATTAACGCGAACGCCCTGGACGGGTGATCGATTGCCTAAAACTTTTCGGGCCGAGGATGTACTGCCTCTCTCTATGTAGCTCAGGGTCCAACAGAACCTCCCACCTCGGCCTGGTTCCACAACGGGAAGTCTCTTGTGCGGGACAACGGGATCCTGGCTGGGCATCCTCCACTGCTTGTCAGGTGGGTGGACCAGCTTTGTCTAGCAACGCTAAGGAGTTCTTTTCCGGGGTCCCGGCGCTCCCCGGCACCTTCTCCGATGGCTGACAACATCATTGGCTCAGTAGTATCGCCGGTTCCTCCCTACCTAGCGTCAGCCCAGACCCCTGCCCCCTGTGGTTTGCTGCAGGACGGCCTGCTCGGGGTCATGCAAGCCGCAGATGAGCAGGAGCACTCGTACGGCACAAGATGGGGCCGCCCCAGGCTTTCTCAAGGGCAAGGGCTGGATGGACACAGAGGGTTGAGAGAGGCTACGCGGGGAGATCAAAGCTTCGACGTTGAGTTTAGTGCGAGATGTTCTGCCACGTGCATATCGACACAAGGTTTGGCCAGATCGACGCACAGCTGTCAAAACTCTCCTTGGTGGTCGATCACTTGTCGTGGCAGACGCCCACGTTTCATGCAGCCACACTATGTGCACTTCGCAGCGGCTGAGGGCACCCTAGAAAGCTTGTCGGCGCCCCTCCTGCGTGGAGATGCGAGGACGGTTGACAGCGGACAATGAGCGGGCCCCTTGAGGGGGCGCTGGAGAAAGTTCCAACGCCACAAGCCATTACCGGCTGGCCGGACCAGTAAGTCCCCCAGCGGCGCAGCGGGCTGCTCGGTCGAGGCTATGCCCGGGGTGGAAAAGATACCTGAATCGCGTTTTGGAGTGGTAGTCAAGGCAATGCGTGGCGCTGCGCCTCCTATCGGAAGCATCAGGTTGCCCCTGCTTCTGCTGGGAAGGCCTCGGGGCAGCTTCCGGTCCCTGTCCTCCCATGTCCAGGTGCGAAAGGTTGCATGGGCAGTCGTGACGACTCCTCATCGCTGAGTCTTCTCCGATGTCGTGCAGACTTTTGGACCGTGCTTGACCAGGTATGAGCGGACTCGACTCGATAGTCGTCAGGTACTCCGTGCATGACTCTCGATGGGTACCGTTTCTCCTACACTTGGGACGAAAGAATGTGCTGTATGCGGAGAAGCATAAATACTCGCAGATGCAAAGGACTGGTGAGCACTGTGGTTTAGAAATCTCCAACTTCTGAGACCACCGGTGAGGGCAAGGACAGCCGGAAGACCATGACAGCAATACTGATGACGGATCCTTCATCCCTGTTTGAAGGATACGGTACCTGTTGCACTACTGTAAAGGAAACCAACCGAGGCATGTGAAGACCCAACACGGCATGCGAGGCGGTCATAGCGACGGATACACTGCAGACCCCGCCAAAGAAGGCTTTGGTCCAAGAAGCCCCGAGACACGCCGTTGGCCGCCACCCAGCTGGCGTGGTTTCCAGGAAAACCCCCTTGCCTCGTACCTGTCTGTGACCGCACGGCATCGTCTGCTTCGGTGTGCGGGCGATGCTTTCCACCGTGATACTAGTATACTTCGTATGGGCCCTGTTAGCATCGCTACGACTTCAAATGACGGCCTCATGCACCTCAGTGATCGGTTATACAGTTCCGACATGGTGGTCGGGCATGGTATAAAGCAGAGCCACCGTTCCATGGTCTGAGGAAAACGTGTTGACCGGGATCTCAGAGCAAGCCTTCCCGGTCCGGTATGCTCTGGTTGGCGGTTCTAGCTGAATTCCCCAACTAGTCTGGCGCAATGAAACCCCTGAATGGCCGATGGCACCCAGAGGTGTGACTTAGGGTTTGTTCTGGCCAAGTGTTCAAGGTCGTTCCCATGGCACTCTTAGACAGGCCTTGCGACGCTGGGCAGCGTCGCACTCTGTCACGGGTGGCTTTCCGAAAACCACCGGGAGGCACGCTCGCCAACTTAAGGCCACGGGACAGGCTTGCTGCAGTGCTGGGTTCCTGGTTCCTGGCAAGGGCTGGTCTTGGCCGTTGAGAGCAACTGATCCTGCTGCAGAACATCCCCGGCAAGGAGGGTGTTGCATATATCTTTACACGAACCCAACCCGCCCTTCCCCAGAATAGTGATCGCCAGTTCCGCGACCGAGCCTGGCTGTTCTTGCTAGGAGCATTCCCGATCCTCCGCAGGCAGCCTGTGCCGCCTTGACCATCTCCGCTCACGAATCTGTCAACTCTGTGTCGATCTCCGCTCACGAATCTGTCAACTCTGTGTCGATCTCACGCAAACAGCAGTCGCAATGGCTGGTCCACCGGGCCCTCCTCTAGTGTCCAACTATCCTCCCGGGACGCAGTTCTGGGAGACGGACGACTGGGCTGGCGGCCACCAGGCCCGACTCAACATCGCCCTGGTCATCCTCAGCTCTCTTTTTGTCTTTACGCGCCTCTACACTCGGTTTTTCATGGCCAAGACGCCCGGGTGGGATGATCTGCTCGCCGTGCTTGCGCTGTGTGTTGTTTGCACACAGTCTGCCTTCAACATCCACCTGTCGTACCATGGCGCCGGCGCGCATATGGAGCTAATTCCATTACCTGACCTCATGGAGTTCTTCATTGTAAGCGAAGAACCTCTCTCTTCCTCTCTCGTCTTGGTCCTCTCTCTCGTCTTGGCAGAGAGACAATACTGGTCCGCTACTAACACATCGGCCCATCTCAGGGACTGAACAATCTCAACCTCCTTTACTTCTGGGGTGTTGGCTTGGACCGACTTGCCATCCTCGCCTTCTTGCCGAGACTCAACAAGGACAAGATTTACATGATTCTCATCTGGATCACCATCGGCATGGTCCTTGCAACAACCTTGGGATGCTTCTTCTTCCGTCTGTTCCAGTGCAGCCCAGTGTCGGCGGGCTGGCTTCCCCCAATGTCGAGTGACGCGCAGTGTGTCACCCCTGTGCAGCTCGACCAGATGATGACGGCCCACGCCGTGCTTGGCATCATCTTTGACGCCATTCTCATGGGTCTGCCAATCTGGGTCATCTACACCAAGATGCTGTGGTCGCGCAAGATGTTCCAGGTCATTGCAGTCTTCAGCGTCGGTATCTTCGTGGTCATCACTGGCTGCATCCGCCTGTACTACATCAAGACCATGGACTGGAAAACCGACTCGTACGTCTAGGACCCAAACACAACGCTGATAGGCAGTGTCTACCTCAAGAAGCACATTGAAGTTTGAAGGCTAACCGTGGCTCATTGAACCACCTATAGGACATTCAAGATGGCCACCATCGGAGTGTGGACCGACCTGGAATCTCACATTGGCCTGTGGTGCGCGTGCTTCCCCGCGCTCCAGCCCGTCATCAGGACCGTCGCCTTCAAGCTTGGCCTCCGCTCCACGCTCGACAGCTACGCCCGCAAGACGGCAGGCACGGGAGGCGTCTCGCACAGCTCGCGGCCCGGCAACTCGTCGGCGCACACGCGCTCTGGCCACCGCTACCTACGGAGCGGCACGGGCGTCGATGTCAAGACCGAGGTCTCCAACGAGAGCCAGACCAACATTGTCGACCCGGTCAGGGACTACGAGCTGTCGAAGCTCCCCAAGATCACCAAGCAGACCGAGGTCCGCGTGGACGTGCAAGAGCGCGGCGCCGCCGGCAAGGACAGGAAAGAGAACTGGATCGATATATGAGCCCCAGGGGATAAGGGGGGGGAGGGGGTCCAGTTGCTTGCGTTTTGTGTGACGATCCGGGAGACACGAGCATCTCCCAGTAACGACCGCCTTTTTTGCTGCTTCTGATTTCATCACGGGATCATGATCACGAAACAAACACAACAACCAGTCAAAGCTTTTAGAGGAGGATGATCCACAGGCGGGATAGTTTGCGCGTTGATACCCTGTGGCCCCGTTTGGGGGCCGCAAAAAAGCATAATTTTGCTTCCAAGATACTCCTTTGTTATGGCGCAGTGAGCCGACCTTCCCCGAAGCTTGCTTTGGATTACATGTACTTTTTTCAATTTCCTTTCATGTTCGCTCGGGATATAACAGAAGCATAGCGCAATCTACGTAATGGCGAGACGAATTCAATGACAGGTCAGTTGCCTTGTGATTAGGCAGGGAAAGCAAAGGCTGCAGATTCCATCACCGACACTCGCTGCACCTGGATGTGCACAAAAGATTCTAGTCACTCATATCGCAGCAAATAATCGTCAGTGCTGGTTCCGTCGGCTGGGCCTTGAATGCCTTTGCCAGGTCTGGTGCCTCGGTAGCCAGGTGCACCTGGCTGCGTATGTGACGCTACTCGGTGGGTTCACGTTACTCTGTGCAAGTCTTGATATGAACACAAACAACATGATTGGCTGCGGATAGTGTAGTCATCGGGCGAAGCAGGAGGGGACAGTAAGGCACGTGGTGCCCGAGACGGACGACGCTGGAGCAGCACGTTGCATGGATGACACACTCGTTGAAACTGGGGGGCCTTGTGTCTGTCCCTGGTCCCTGTTCCCCGTGCCTTGGCTTGGTTCCTGTCGAGCCTGTGCCTCAGGGATCCTCAGCAGGGGGAGGGGGTCCCGCAGTTTTTTTTTTTTTTTTTTTTTTTAATTATCCGCATACTACGTCCTTTGTAAAAAAATGGCGCACGCGCCAGAAGAGGCAGGTGGCAATGAGCGTGCGAGAAGGGGAGGGCATTCGGGGCTTCCGCTCCTTCAACCGAAGACACTCCAGAGTCAAAAGGGCGCCGCATCCGATGTGACCCGTGCGTTGCCATGCAACGATGCGGCCCGTCGGCTCTCCTCCGAAGGGCGAGGTGACATACTACTGTACAATGTACGCATAGATAAACGGGCAGGTGTACCAGACACTACTAAGATACGCTTCGATACGCTACGTACGAATGCGCGTACTTAAGCCGGATCTTATGGTATCGGCTTTTCGAGGTTGTGCGTGCTGCACTCGCATCTGGGCGTCATCGTGTCCGGCATGTGCCTACGAGACAAGCTTGTCTTTTCGGCGCATAGACTCCGACAATTTCCTGGAAATGGCGACAACAAAAGTGACATACCATTCTTCTGGACGGATTCACCATCTGCTCCGGTCAAGTCGCCAGTTTCGGGGGCTTCTAAAAAGGACTGGGACGAATCAGGGATGATGGTGCGCCCAGAAGGGGCAAGAGGGCGAGGTGCGGGATTCTAGACTGCACCAGCAGCTCTGGCATTTCTGATTGGCCTTGCTGTATTTGACTTTTTGGTTGGCAGATGAGGGGCAAAGTTCAGAGTAGATTCAAAGTAGACGATGTACAAACTCAAGCCATTTTCGCAGCATAATCCCATCTTGATCACTACTGATGCCAACGAGCAGCCAGCTCTCAAATGACATTGTACAAGAACGGTGGCGAGACGTGGGTAGTAGTTGGCGCCTCACGTGCACGTGGCATTGGCCTCGAATTCGTCAACAAGCTGCTGCAACAGCCCACGCCGTCGCAGGCTCCAGCGAGCCAGAAGGACAAGGATCAGACGCAGCAGCATGTGCGAGTAGTCGCTGCAGTGCAGGATCCGTCCAATGCCCCGCGCTTGTACGAGCTTCTGGACTCGCTGGACGCCAGGAAGCGATGTGTCGTTGAGGAGTGTGATGTTTCCAACGAGGACTCTCTCAGCGTAAGTAGTGCCCCGTTGAGCTGACACTTCTTGTGGCGAGGAGTATTAGAACGATTACATGTCGATTCAAGGAGAACTAGAGAGAAATATTCAAGTCGTTGTTTTATTAACTGGCTACGCTCCAGACATTCGCTGGCACGATGCAACAACATCTAGACAACGGCATGGTCATCAGTACCGTCGTCCTGAACGCGGGCATTCTGCAGTATCCCAACAGAGCGACAGAAGTGTAAGCTCGCCTCAAAAACGAAGGGAACGCCTGCACACTTTCAAACCACCAGAGAACTTCCAATCCACCGTCTCTCTCACACTGACTCTCGAGGTCGCACTATCCAGATCATTCTCAGCCTTTGCGCAGCATCTGCACACCAATACCATTGGGCCCATAATTTGCGCCCAGAAACTCCTCGAGTTGTCGCCGCTTCCACCGCAAAAGCTCGTCTTCATATCTTCCGACTCGGGCTCGACCACGAATTTCCTCTCGTATGAGGACGGCTTCGCCGCCTACGCCGCCAGCAAAGCCGCCCTGAACCAGATGCTGCGGCACATGGCTGCGGAGCTTGCGCGGTCCACGGATCGTCGCAAGAAGATGGCAACAGTCCTGGCTCTCCATCCGGGAGAGGTGCAGACGTGAGTGCACTCAACCTTTTTCCTTCCCACGGACTGCATTTGTGGCAGGAGATGACTCAAGCACATGCGAGATGCCCGTAGCGATATGGCCAACGTGCAGCTTGGCTGGCAAGTCCAGGGACAGATTACTCCTGCGGAGAGCGTGTCTGGCATGATGAAGGTCATTGCGGCCAAGGGAGTCGAGGATAGCGGTACATTCTGGTGCTGGGATGGCAGGGTAGGTTACAATTCGTCTTTGGACTCTCATAACCATCTCGCACCTCTGGCTGACATTGTTCTTTCCTCTTTCAACTAGAGTCATCCCTGGTGAAAATTAGATCATGGGTTATTCGACAAGTGCAGCTCGCGCACAAGCCTCACAGTCAATTAACTATCTTCTTTAAGGGGAGGCCCCGATGTTCGGATGCAAGCTCGTTTGGCTCGTGTGAGTGACTTGCTTGTGGGTATGTACCTTGGGGGCCAGGAGTGACGAGTGTTTCGGCATGCCAATTCAGTTGCTTTAGAAATGGTGGACTGTCACAGGAGCAGTCCATACACGGAATTGAGGTTGTGGAACCTCGAAACTCACGATCAACGGACTTCAGGGGCACGGACTATGAGAGGTGTCAACTATGTTTACAAATCCCATCTGCGTGCTTCGTTCCCATCCTCTTGTGAGTATCGTTCTTTTCTATTCCTTTTTCTTCTTTTTTTTTTTCTTTTTTCTTCTCCTCCTCCCCACGCCACTCAATCCTGCAACCTCGCCACCATGAAATCCGCCAGGTCAAAGAAGCTCTTCTTATAGTTGCGCACCTGCGTCGTCCGATTGACCGTCTGGACCCCGAAATGCGCGTCATAGTCCCCAAACTCCCAGTTGTCCGCAAAGCTCCACGCGTAGATGCCCCGCACGTGGACGCCGTCCTCCCAGATGGCCTTGAGCGTCTCGCTCAGGAAGCTCAGGTAGTAGATGCTCCGCGGCGTGTCGTACAGCTGGTCGGACAGCTCCGCCTTCTCGGCCTCGGCGAACACGGGGAAGCCGAACTCGGAGATGACGACGGGCTTCCGGAACGTGTTCCAGAGGTAGTTGAGGTACGTCCGCAGGTACGTCGGGGTGATGTAGACGTAGCTCTGCGAGCGGTAGCCAATGTTCCACCCATTCGTCGTCAGGGTGCTCTGGTTGACGCAGTACGGGAAGAACGGGTCCGAGCTGTTGCTCGCGCACGCGGGGATGCCGTAGTCCGGCGGGGACACGACGGTCGCCGTGTAGGGGTCGATCCCGAGGAAGTCGGCGGTGCCGTTGATGTAGGCGAGGTCGTCGGCCGAGAGCGGCACGTAGTCCGGGATCGTCATCTTGAAGGCCTCCGGGTAGTCCTTGCCCAGGAAGATGGGGTTGCCAAAGGTGGCGAGCTGGAAGTCGTTGAAGTGGTTCGCCGCGTCAATGTCGGACTGGTTCTTGGGATCGCGCGGGACGCCAAAGTTGTCGTTGAACTTGAGCGCGACTTGGCCTGTCCCGCAGATCTCGTCGTGGTAGAAGTGGTACAGCCGCGCATGGGACTTGATCACCGTGTTGATGCTCTTGCCGTTGTAGCTGTACAGGAGCGGCTCATTGAAGGTGTACCAGATGGGCACGCGGTCGGCGAAGTGTGTCATGACGATCTTGCCATAGTTGACAAAGGCGTCTTCGAACGTCTCATTCTGATATGCCCCGTTGACGTAGCCGACAAGCGGCGGGTCACTCGTAGTCGAGAGATTGCCGTAGAACTGCAACGGTGTGTCGAAATGAATAAGCGTCACCACTGGAATCAAGCCGCGTTCAATGGTAAAGTTGATGAGGTCGTCGTAATGATCAAGTCCTTCTTGATTGACGGGCGATCCCTCGAACACGAACGGGAGGATGCGAGTCCAGGGGATTGAGAACGAATAGTACCTGACTCCCATGGAGGCAATACGCACAATGTCTTGCTTGTACAGGTAGTAGTTCTCATTGGTCACATAGTCCTTGTTCACCGTCCCCAACGTCTCCATCAAGGTGGGAGTTCGTCCCTGGTCCGCAATTGCACCCTCGATCTGCGAGGCCGACCCAGCGACGCCAAACTCGAAACCCTTGGGGAATTTAATGCAATCCTGAGGCCCAAAGTAATCTGGTGGCGGCAGGATCAGCTCGCTGGTGGGCACAGGGGTCGGTTCCACCGTGGTGCTGTAGAGCCCACGGAAAGTAAAGTTTGCGATGTCTGCGCGCTCCCAGAGTGCGGTCCAGGCCGCCTGCCCGTATGGGTCCTGGGTGTCACTGGCTGTGACGGTAGCATTGGGATCCCAATTGCCCCATGTTGTGGTCGACAGGTTTGGCACTAGGTGGCTCAAGGAGCTGTAAGGCGGCGCATACGTCGTCGAGGGCCCCGGCGTGGCACTGATGGGAGTCCGTGTTGTTTCGGTCTGGGTGTAGGAGAACGGTGTGAAGGAGTAAGTTGGCTCGGAAGGTGTTTCTGAGTAGTTGCTACATTGGCTGGGCAGTGCTGGCCATGTCCCAGGAATGTAGACCTGTTGCGCCCTGGCAACGGCGGCGCTGAACAACAAGATGATTCCAGAAGCCATTTGTGTGCTTGTGGCAAAATGGTAAGGAAGTCAAGAGGTGAGCTCAGGACGATCGAGCAGAACCGTGATGAAGAACACTAGATCCAACGACATACCAGAGTCAATCCTTTATACAAACATCCCAGCCTGGAGATCGTCAGTCTCCCACGGCATCTGCCGAACACTCAAGATTTCCCCGGTCCAGTGCCGATCATTGTGCGATTTCCAGCGAGCCCTTGTTGCCCGTGGCGCGGGGAAGGCGTGGAGAAGTTGGAGTCATTATGGAGCTAATCCTGCCTAAGTCGCCCGGGATGACGAGGTTGGAAACCCAACCGGGCCGTTTGTGGGGTAAACTGGTGGCAGATTGCAATTTTCTTGTTCCTGTTTTTCCTTAGAGGCAACGCTGGGAAAGAAGCTTGTACGAAAGCTTGGTCATCATACGTAAAGAGTGCGGGCGCTCCTTGCCCAAGACCTGGAGGCACTACTCGAGTGGCAACCGCGCCGAGGCAATGGTTGCTGTGAATCGACGCTTAAAAAGGGGCCAGGGTACTCCATCTTATGACAGCAACCACGGACATGTACATATGGACGGTGGAGGGTGTTGTGAACAAGTCCTCAAAGATTCTCGTGGCAAGCAACAGCGTGGTGCTCATCTACGGCTCAACTAGTCTGATGAGCGCCGGAAGACCGCCGGCACAGCTAGGCCCCGAGTTCTCCGCAAGAACATATACGGAGAAATACGCCTGGAGGAGAGACTGGATTCTCTCTTTCAGCAAACTGCCAGGGACAGAAGAGATCTAGACTTGTCCCTGATTGGCCAAGTTTGCCCGAATCCCCGGCCGATCATGCAGATCCTGGGGAAAGCATCGACAACTCCACTTCTCCACGCTCCCCTGTGCGGGGGTCCGAGGCTGCCGTGCTGGGCGGGGATGACGCATGTAACCCTGGGGCGAGGGCACATGCACCGGTTCCCCGAAATTCAGCCATGGAGTGATGTACGACACTGCCGGCTGTCGGTTCGGCACTGAGACAACCCCCTCCCGTTTAGTACCGCTGAACCTTATCGACCAGGGCCATGCTAAGGACTGGCCAACGTGCTGTCCTGATTGAACCACGGCTGGGGTTCGTGACCTCGAGATCTCCGGACTGTGGCAGCTCGCCGGCCTGGACTGCTTTGACATGGCGGACCAGTATGGCAACGCGGAACTCGTGGTGGGCTGGCACAACGGCCCGTCTTCGCCTATACACTGACTGGCCCCTCTCATGATGTTTATAAAATGGTACCCTGCCGGGAACGTCATCAAGACGTTCAAGCATGCCTAAGAAGTCGTAGATCGATAATGGTGGTCGCAGGGGACTTGTCTCAACATCTCGAGGAAGCAAAACCGGACGAGTTGACAGCTGCAGTGGTATCTGGCATCCGCATAGAGTACTCATTCGGAAACAAATGGGATTATATCACTGTGAATGAAAGGATCCCAAAATCTATCTTGCGGGTTATTTGAGTTTGATAGCCATGAAGCAGGCTTGTTGCTGAGCCGTTGGCACTGGAGACATCACCCACGTGCCATGAACAACCGCAAGCAGTCCGATACCCAGTGTCCCAGTCCTTGGCAGCAGCTTCGCGGGGATCCAGACCTATGCCGTGCTTGACATCATTGAGTGTGCAAACAGGGCTCTGGGGTGGCTCGATGAGTGACGCCGGCGGCATGATGATCATCAAGACGATTGTGAGGCTGGAAGTGCCGCGCCCGGGTGGGTGCCTCGGTGCTCAAGGGGCGGCCGGTTAACACGCTGGTGGTTTCTGGGCGTGTTGGCTACGGAGTTCTCGTTGAGATTGTGGCCAGAACTCTTCGTTGTATTGTAGCAGCGCGACGAAGGCAGAATCAATTCAGACGTCGTTGCGAAGCCATTTGACCAGCTCTTGAATGCTGCGTACGCCAATTACCGGCGCCTTTTCAAACAAGCTTGCAATAGAAAAGGTGTCATGGCCAGCCTCCTCAAGCATTAGAATGCGACGGCCATCAGGCGTGCTCGAGGGACCCTCGTGGTCCAGCAGGACCGGGCGCCAGCCTGCATTTAGTGACCCCTCGACATCCTTCGCATACTCATCCCCGACGTAGATCTTCTCCCACGGCCCCTCGTGAAGTTGAGGCGCACCATCGCCTCCCATCGCCTCACGCGCAGCAAGCACGCGCTTCAGCATTGACTCTGCCGCCGCAAATATGGCGCGGTCGGGCTTCTCGACACCGACATCATATGACATGCAGTGGAAGTCGATATCGTGGCCCGCATCGCCCACCGCCGCCAGTGCCGCGGGGTCGCTGAGCTCCGTGCCGAAGCGCAGCGGGCTGACGGAGAAGCCTGCCGACGACAGTATCCCCGGCACGCGATCGTCCGAGTTCGTGACGACGCCAATGATGATCCGGTCAAACACTGGCCCCTTGCCGCATACAGCCGAGGACGAGGATTCCGAGGTCTTGAGCGAACGCAGCTGGGACACCAGATCCGGCGACTCCAGCGTGTAGGCCTCGACCGTGGCAAAGCGGTGCAGCAATCTCGGCGCGAGGTCTGCCGGGATCGTCTCGGAGGTGCCAGAGAGGAGCGGCTTGAACGTGTTGTGGATAACCTGCCGACGGCTGTGAGCTTTGGGGACTCGAAAAACTGAGTGAAGTAGGTACCGGCACGAGGGCATTTTGTGCAATCATCTCGAGCCCACATGACGTACGTTTGTCCACCACTTTGTGGCACCGAGCCCCGTCGCCCTGCCAAAGTTTGGATTCTGCTTCGACTCGGCCTTCATGGCGGCCTTCAGGCTGGCCTGTAAATCTTCGTCGCGGAACCCGGTGAGCCCGCACTGCCTGGCTACGTCCCCGTACTGGTGGGCCACGCTGTACTTCGGGCGGAACAAAGTGCCGAATGCATCAAAGCAGAGGAGAAGGTTTGGCTTCCTTGCCATACTTGCTGGGACCTCAGGCTCGGACAGGCACCGTCGCGGTTCTCAAAGGGTTAGTTCCCGGGAATCGCGGTTGTGTAGTTTGTTGGACGGGAGCTTAAATGATTGGACGCTGCGGTGTGTAAGGGGAGCTGGACAGCAAGACGGCTGCTCCACGTTTTGAAAGTGCGGGTCAATGGGTGATCGGCTCTGTAGACACCTTAGAGCTAAAAGGCCAGGCCCAAGATTACATCATTCAACATCATCCACCGATAGCTGCAGGGGAGACGGTGTGCAAAGTTTGTACTAAATGTTCATTACAAGCTATTGCCAAATGTATAAGTTACTACCATGTATTCTGCAATCAAGCCAGGCCGAAACGCAGGCTCGCTCGTCGCAACAGGATCCCAGGTCGTTTGCAAGGAAACACCTCGGCGCCTTCAATGCGAAACCCACATGGCAGAGTCCAGAACGCCTTGCATACAGTCAAATGCTTATTAACCCGAGCCTTTTTCCACTCCCGCTCTCTTGACCCTCCATTTGTTCTATCCCCGTACCGATGTCGTTGTTGCACCCATAAGGAACCCGCCTCGATGGCAACAGTTTGTCTCATAACATCGTTCAATTAGTTTTGTCCAAGCTCGCCAAAGCCCCCACACATCTGGGCCGTTTGGCGTAGATCAGATGAAAGATCCGCCATTGCCCCGCGAAGCACCAGAACTCTTCGGTGGCCCGCCACGTGGAGGCGAGGCTCCTGGTGAAGGACCACGGCTCTCCGAGCGCTCCCTCCATCTCTTGCGACTCTCCTCGTAGTCCATAGTCTCCAACTCTGATTCGTCACTCGGTCGCCGTGGGGGGCTCGTAATCAGTCGGCCGTGAGTTTCGTACGGCTGCTTGTTGTCCTCATACCTATAGCCTGCCTGCTCCATCTCATCGGAATAGAGAGGCAGTGCTGGCATGGACGCGGAGTCGCCCTTAACGAGCCCAAGTCTTTCTTCCTCAGTCGCGTCCTTAATCGGTGGCATCTGTCGATCAGAGTAGCCACGAGAGCGCAGTGCCCGGCGCGCAGGCTGCAGCGTATGTACTTCTGGTTCCTCGTGCTGATCGGGCGCGCCATCGGCTTGATGACGACGGAACACATTCTGGAACGAGAACTGCCGCCTGGCCGTGTAGTTGCCCCCATGAGGCGGTGGTGTCGGTGGTGCTAGGGAACTGGTGCCTGTAGTCGGGCGATGCGGGTCACCAAATTGTATACGCCGGCCACCATCCGACTCCACACCGGCGGCTCCACCGTAACTTATGTCTGTCAACTGGACAGGGTGCATAGGACTCTGCTGATTGGGCAGAGGTGGTAGTGGTGGGTAGTTGTCGTCCTGGTGGTTAAAGTCGGGATGGCCTGGCAACAATACACTTCGGGCGCGACTGCGTATAGTGCCAACTATGCTCGTCAGGGCTGGCGACATCTGGCGAGCACGCTCTTCCTCGAGCTCCTCCTCAGTCGGCCAGTGCGTCCTGCCAAGAGGCGGATGCGCAGGAGTTTCAACGGAGCGAGGAGTGGCGATTCGCCGACTGTGTTGACTGCCAATGGTGGTACGCCGCCGCCGCAACCCGTCCCAGTGAAATTCTGGCTGGCCATCTTCGCTGACAGGGGCGAGGCGTTCCATCTGCTTCTCTTCGTGAAGCCGTCTGAATTCTTCCTCTTCCATCTTCTGGCGTGTGGTTGAGAAGCGTCGGACAATAGCGGCCGCACCGCGAATGGCATCGGCCTTAGGCTCAGTCTCTGGTTGTTCCTGCTCCGCAATCGTCTGAATCTGGTCAAGGTCACCAGCAAAGACCGCCGTGTCGGGCACATCCTTGGCAGACTTGGACAGCTGCAACAGTACCACACCAGAGGAAATGGTGAGGAAGCCCATTACCACTGTGACTATTTGCATTGCTGTACCCTTGAACCCCTTGAAAAGGATTGCCGAGGTGATGATGGTTGTGCTTGTAAAGTAGACGTAGTAGGTTGGTGTTACCATAGCGGCATTGTAGATATTCAGAGCTTTCTATATACGGCGCAATGTGTCAGCAGACTGCTTTGTCTCGAGGGGGTTTAGAGTGGACTTACGTTCAGAAATACAATCTCGACCAGCAGTGTTCCTATCATGAAGACGAGAAGAACGTAGAGGAACCATTGGTTGAACTGTGGCGTGCCGCCAGCCTGAGCAGCAATAGCAGCGCCAAGGCCCTGAGTGGCAACAACACTGAGTGCGCCAGCCCAGCTGCAGATTGAGATGTAGGTAAACATGTTCTTGTTTCCGTATCGCGGACCCAACCAGAAGATTGCGAAGGCGATGCCAAGAATGATGCAGCCGGCATAAGCCAAAAACGCTGGAGCTATCACGAAGCTCTGCATTTCCTGGATATTGGCCACAGCCGACTCTGCCGGAGAGTTGAGGACAATGATGGTGGCTCCCAATATGCACAAGAAACATGCAACCTTGCCAATGAGACTCAATCGTTCCTTCAGAAAGATGGCTGAGAGGATCGTGGTGATAACCACGGACAGCGCTCCGAGAGCGGTGACGAGGATGGCGTCGGTGAAAATCATGGCGCCAAAGTTGCAGACCTCGCCAAAGATCATGAGGGTCATGCCCGCCCACCAGTGGAAATTCTTAAGGTAGCCATAGCCCTCACCAGCGACCTCGTTGTATTTCTCGTTCGCCTTGAGCAGACCAACCTTCTTCATGACAAACGAGACACCAATGAAGCACCCAGAGGCGATGGCCAAACCGATACCGATAGCTTTGAAGTAAGCTGGCCGGCTCATCTCTGTTGCCGGTACCGGACTGGTTTCGTTTGCCCTCGCATACAGCGTATTTGCGGCATCGAGGACAACTTCGAGCGCTCGTGGATCCATTGCGAAGGCCGTCTATACAGAGGCGGACGACAAAGTCGTCGCCTGGCGGAGGCGGAATGCGTATCAGATGTTGCACGCTGGGTTCGTAGAGTGGGTGTTCGAGTGGCCGTCTGGTTCGCACTTGGTCGACTCTGTAATTTTTTATGCCGTCCGAAATTCTTTAACGTTGCATAGAATAACTGATTGTTTAAAGCCCGAAACAATCAGGGACAGTCAACCAGACGAGAATTCAATTGTTGAGTGGGTGCGACGATAGTATGCTGCTGGCGTCGTTCTGGTCGACAGGATGGTCGCCTTGGATGCAATTGTCCCACCGGAGGGGTGCTAGGATGATGCGCTGCTTCGAAGCAACAGGGCGGGTTGTGTAGTCGGGAGCAGGCGAAGGCCTCGATACTGCCAGGGCTTCGAGTGGGCGCCAGAGACTAGGATCGGGTATGGTGTGTGGCCGAGATTGGGGAAAGTCGATCCGGGTACGAGTGAGAATAATGTGTGGTCGGCAGGACGGGGTAGGCTGCCACGGGGATTCTGCGACGTTTTGCGATTCGAAACGCTGGAAGGGTGGTCGGCGATGGTGTTGGTGGGAGGAGGCGTTTGTTGAGGGCGACGAGGGACCCGAAGTTACGCAATAAGCGCCGGTATCCTGGCGGTTGCTGTTGTGTGGTGGATGCGTGCGGCTGGCCCGGGGCTGTTCAAGACTTGGAAAGACGGAACGTGCAAGACGAGGAGCAACCAGAAGGCCTGCAGGAGATAATACAGAAGGTGAGTTGTGCCCAGGAATGCAACCACAATCAGGAGGTGACACGAGACGGCCTTCGGGGCCTTAATTGCAGGAGGGCCTGGCGAGAGCAGCAGATCCACGCAAGTTGGTTGCTGGCCGGTTGTGTGGGTTGGGGTGCCCTGGAGGAGCGATGCCATCATCGCCTGGCCTGGTCTGCTCGTGCCCCAGCGGGCGAGCCTCGACCTCTGCAGACCACTTGCGCAACCGCGGGCAGTGCATGGTCCGCTCGTAGCCTGAGAAACGGTGCCCCGAAACGGCAGCGGCCCCGCCCGCCCCTGCGGCCTCGCAACTCCTGCGGTCTGTGCGCCTTCCGCCCTCCCAGCTGCGCACCACTTTGGTCCCCACTGCCGCGCCCAGCCTCACCTCACGTGCACCAAGCTTTGTGTGGCTTCTTGTCCTCCCTTCCTCAATTCTTAACTCGAGCACAGACACGTCTGGGGCCCGGACTAAACGATGTGTGGTCTGCGAATCATTCAATCATTCAATCAATCATTGAATGGGTTGGCATCTTGACGGCATCATCCCCGCCTCCAGCCCGTCGGCGGTAGTCCCAGCCCAAGAGCCCTGCACAATTCCACCAATCAGCCCGTCCATTCTGCGCCTTTCTGCAAACACTTGTTCACCACCACCATGCACGCCAACAGAGTTGTTCAGCTTCATGTCGCTGCGCCCCCAAGCCACTCCCTCTCCTGTTCGCAACCAGCACCTCCCTAGCCTCCTTCGCAAGGAACTTGATCAGGGCGGGGTAGCGTCCAGCCCCCTCCCCCCTCCTTTGCCAATCGCTTGTATGAGGCCGTCATTCACCTCAGCAGTCCTCGTCGTTGTTGGTACTGCGGCGCGCGTGGCCCTGTCCTGTTCACGTCTCGTCAGGCCGAGAGCCAGTTCTGAAACCTCCTGCTACAAACTGGTGGCTCCTCGACTGCGAAACGACTGGAGATCACACGTCTGTGGTCTGACACCTTTCAGGGTCATGCAGCTGGCCCAGCTCCTGGCCCGCCCGCCGACTTGCACGTGTCTGCTCCTCCCAAAACCCTTGCTGCTGCGCTCCAGGCGGTACGCAGCCGCCACCACTACCCGAGGCACACTCGTCTTGTGCAAGGTTATGCTGGAGGCAGCCCACTTTTCATGGCTGAGGCAGTGCAAGTGCAGTGTGCAGCACGATTATCGCCACTATTTCGTGCGTTGCGCAAACCACGCCTGTCAGAACTGCAACCTTATCGGCACGTGCTCTGGCGTCTCACGAGCAGAAGACGATTACATGCTACCGCAGCTGTGGCACGTTACGTCGGCATGCTGCGCCAAGCGAGACACCAATATGGAGCAGTGGTCCACGAACGTGACACCAGAAACGCGACCGATGGTTTGGTTCAGACCCTTGCCCATCCATCCATGTATGTAAATCAGCCATGTGCCTACGTTTATGACAGCAGTTCGGTATGAGATGCGATCTTGTCGCCATTCGAGTTGTGACTGGCCCATTGGCAACCGTAATGCTGTCGCAGTCACAGGCGTCATCGTGGAGCCGCAAGGGGTTGAATCCCAGCGAGCTGGTATCAAACAAAGAACATGGTCCGTGGCCCAGATATTCAACAATCGCAGAACACCAGGATCAGCCAAAGTCAGCAGCGACTTTCGCACAGGCGCAGTGGGAGTCGAAGTTGTAGGAAGAGTCCGTTCCATAATAATGCACCCTCCTGACCGCAGTTAAGTCGTGACACTGAATTGCGCAAGCCTCTTTCGCCAGGTTCCCTCCTGTAGCGACTTCGGCTTCCTGACTTTATCCGGGCGGCGTGAAGCCACGATTCTGTGTGTATGTCGAGCTCGCTGCACTTGGCTTTGCGTACATCAACTCCTACATGAAGGGTGATCATCCTGGGATATTGCCAAACAGCTCCTAAGGTACCTCAACCAAAGTTTCCGTCAATCTCAGAAGACATATAACTTTTCTCTTCTCTTGCCTGTCTGGATGACTTTCACCGCAATTGGTGACCAGATACGATCGCTTCGGATCATGACTTGTGGCTCACTACTCTAAGCTATTAGTTCTAGTGTGGTGCTGTCTTAACGGTGCCAATAGTTGTTGTGGGGTTGCCAGACTCCACATACAGTCGATGCGCGTGTTGAAGCTCCAGGAGGATCTCAAGCTGGCGTAGATCCGACACCTGAACCGCCCATCACTATGGTCTGGGTGTATACGACTGCTGTGGGCTTTCACCAATGCGCGTATGCAATCGAGGATATGACGACCAACCTGAAGCCTCGCTCGATTATCGGCTATGCCCCTGTGTTCTAATATCTTGAGCAATTTCGAAGACCGGCAGGTGGGAAACGATATGGTCAATTGGTGCTCTCTCGGCGGCGTGTCATGGTGGCGTCCATTCGAGACACGATTCGGATTTTCGAGTTGCTTTTTGCACAGCCAGATTCACCTTGCGTCAACTATTACGTGGCACAACAACAAGACATGCACACAACGTCGCCCTCGCGCAATCCCCCTTTGGACGATCATTCTGGCCACAATCGGTTCTTTGATTGTCGGCTTCCTTGGACAGCCCAGAACCAACATGTGGCTGGCCGCCAAGACTGCTCAGCATGGTATGAGAAGATGACCGAGTTACTGATCTGGGCTGCAGCCTAGTCGTTAGACCCCAGGAATAACACGGCGCATTAACCTGGACGTCGGCGAACTTCCTGCCAGCTCACGAGCAATGCGACGACCAAAGATTCACGGGTTTGGAACGCCGTCACGCCATCTTGTCATCAGCGCACACCAGTGGCGGGACCGGAGGCCGTATTGGACCCACGTGTTGGTGAACCAACATACCCTATTGTACAGCGGTTGGAAGGATGGCTGCGCCAGACTGATAGCGCCTGGGTAGCCCCAGGTTGTGGCTTACCTAGAGACAAATCCGCGCGGCCTGGCCTGCCATTAGTGATGGCCATCGCCAACGCCGTGCAGTGACTTGACCAAAGCTGTTCGTATTCCCGACCGGCCATTGAGACGACAGAGGTGCCACTCTGTTTGCATTCGCGACAAAAAAGAAAATCTCGTGGACGCGACCAGCGCAAAAGAAATAGGGCGAGCATAGGCTATACGAAGTGCCGGGGGGTCGCGGGAGATTAGACCGGCGCGGATCACACTGACAGTCACGTTTTGCTGCATTTTCCGGCATGGGTTTTCGCTCAAACGGGTGCCAGGAGCCGTATCGGCAGCTATGCTTATTGGTGCCAAGCCGCCCCGGTTCCTGACAAGCCCAGGAACACCCTGCACGCCGACGCTTGGCCGGAGTCGCCCAGCACGATGTCAAACCACTGCAGGGTATTCGTCTGTCTGAGCTCATTTCGTCCTGCATGACCCTGGACCCGTGAGCACGCCCTAGCCGCGTGGGGAATACCCACGATGCCCGTATTCCCAAAGTAGGAGTTGAGGCTGAAGGACCCCCCTTGGGGACGCCGATCCGGTGTCCCCCGTGCGGCGCCTTTCCTTTATGTATTTTCCGCATCCCAAGTCGTTGCTGCGAAGCCTTTTCGGGAACATCTTCCTAGTTCTTCACGTTCCCTCGGGCTGGAAGTGTTGCCCATTCGGCTTGTCAAGATGTTGCCCACCACTCTGCTCGAGGCCATCCTCATTGCCAGTCCCCTGGTGGCTGCCCACGGATCCCACCACGAACACCGTGATCATGCGTCTATTAGTCCACGGGCGCCGCCGCCAGGCAAGGACACGTCGAAGCTGAACCGTCCAAAGCTGGGCAGTGTACCATACGGCCCAAATATCCAGAGCTGCACGATTCCTGGCAAAGTCGCCCTGACCTTTGACGATGGACCTGCGGGCTACACTGGAGCAGTGCTCGACCTCCTCGCCAAAAACAATGTAAAGGCGACGTTCTTCCTCAACGCCAACAATGTCGAGGGCCTGATCACGAACAAGCAAGTGTACAGAGATGTTGTCAAGAGGATGTTCAATGAGGGCCACCACATTGGCAGCCACAGTTATACGCATGCGGATTTCGACCTTATCTCGACCCAGCAGAGGAGGGAGGAGATCATCTACAACGAGATCGCAATTGCGGATATTCTCGGGGTCTTCCCGACCTACTTCCGGCCCCCGTATACTCACTGCAATGGCGGCTGCCAAGCTGACATCGTGGCCCTGGGTTACCACGTGGTTCGTATATTGAATCCTGCCATACTCCCGTGCCAAAGTTGCTGACACTTTCCTTAGTCCAACTATAACCTCGATACCAAGGATTGGGAAGGCGATTACAACAAAGCCCGCCAGAACTTTGTCGGGGCCCTAGCATCTGGCAACCCAGGCTTCAACTCATTCATCTCCCTTGCCCATGATATCCATGAGGAGACTGCCAAGACCCTGGTGCAGTTCATGATCGACCAGGCGCGCAAATACAAGTACGAGCTCACGACCATGGGTGACTGCCTGGGTGATGCCCACACGAACTGGTACCGCAATGCCGATACTGGGGCTGCCTGGAACGGCCGTCCTCTTCCCGCGGACGAGCCCGAGGAAACGACCACCTCGACCTCCCTCACACCCACCCCCACCCCCACAAGTGAGTCCACCATGTTCCTCATCAGATAGATCAGGCTGGTCTTGCACTGCGCAGATTGCCTCCCCAATTGTCTGGCTATTTGCCTGTGTTCTTGTGTATTTAAGCGTCGCACTAACACGAATAACCGCGCTCTAGGCACGTCCACCAGCACTTCTTCCACCTCGTCTGCTGCTCAGACCTCGTCGGCTCCTGCCTCGACCGTGACCAGCACCTCTTCCAGCGCGGCCACATCAACCGGCAGCTCTGCCTCGGTCAAGCAGTCAACCACGTCTCATGCCAACGGCAAGCCCACCGACTCCGTTTCTTCACAGACCTCGCCGTCCACGACTCCGACGGACGCCCCTCCGTCGAGCGGCTTCTCGCCTGTCCGGGACGGCGCCTCGGGTGTCGGCCTCGCGCTGGCGCTGTTTGTCGGCTTGTTGATGTTCTAAGCTGGCCACCACGAGAAAACCCGGGAGAGTGCTGGCCTCCCCATCGTCCAGCCCAAACTTGGATTGCGGGGAGAAGCGGCTCCGAGGCCCCGACGCGCAACAGAAAATGGACGAGGAGGCGGCACGTTTGCTCCCCCCCTTTCTCCCCCCCCCCTTTCTTCTCAAGGACGTCGTTCAAATACATAGACAGCCTCATCGGGCATATTCCCCTTCTAATTCCCCCCGGCCACGAGGGCCAAGTGAATCAGCATCGCAAGATACGATCCGCTTTTCTGCTCGCGGCTTGGCCCGAGGCATGGGGCTGCGCTTTAATCTATGAGCAGCCCCCGATCGCAACCTTTGTTATATACTTCTTTGTACATATGTCCCACCCTGGCATACGCACTCTGGCTACACCGCCAGAACAAATTTTCCATTTACACCATCATATCATCATATATACACCACCATATACATTGCGGCAAGAACAAGCCATGCAATATGACAGTAGAGAGCTGCTTTAGACTCAGTCTGCGAGGCTAGCATGGAGTAACGATTGTCAAGGAGGATGAGTTCGCTGCTTCATGAGGGAGGCAGGGTTCATGAGATCAAGAAAGAGGGGGAAAGGATGATACCCGCGGCGGCAAGGCAAACTGTTTGACCTGTTGAAAAATTTATATCTGACGCAGAAATGGTCTGGAGCATTGCGTGAAATGGTGTGCTAAAACGTCCCGGGTCGATGCTACGGGCTGAGTGGGCTCTTGCATATTCCAAAAAGTCATGTACGGCATCCAGCGTAACTCGGCGTGTGCCGCCTCCTTGTCTTAGGAGAACGAGATTGCGGCGCGCGACTCAGTTCGGCTCACGCAACAACTGCTGCGATGTAAACTCCAGAGCGGTTGCAATGAGAAACACATCTGGTATAGTAGGACAACAGAGAGACGTTTGCGACAAAGGCTCTATGGACCATGGACTTCCAAGTTGGGCAGTACGCCATCTGGGCAGTAGCAACAGACTGGACAAAAGCCGGGACGAAGACTTACACCCAACTTGACTGTAGCAAGCAGAGTCCGATTGCAGCTCGAGAGACTAGATAGTCATGAAAGACAACACAGATGGAATGCGAGTGCTAGGAAACACAATGCTGATGCAATGGCTAGATCATCATTGGAGATTGAGGTGGGCTCTCCACTTAGAAGAGGAGGGATCCCAGATCGCGTTCACAAAAGACGACATGGAGCATTACAGCTCGTGGGCAGTTCAACGCCTCGGCTGTGGGCTCTGGTCGTCGAGGTTGTCTTCCGCGATGATCAAGACAAGAGCAAGGACTGGTGGAGCATTGCTCGGGTTTCCTTTGGTAGGCGAGTCTGCGAAGCAAATACAGCGCCACCTGCATGTGCGCCCCGTCCGGATTTCAGAGAGAAATCTCACGGACTGCAAACTCAACGAGAAGCTTGAATTAGCCCGATGCTAGAATGTCTCAAAGTCTGTCGGACTCGCAGGTCGGGGCATTTGTTCCGTCAAACACCTTGGTACGACGCCCATGCTCGTGACCTCTTTTCAGCATGGTTATGGCTTAGCCATGATTGATTTCCACTCGAGGGTCGTGATGCACGATCACGCTGCTGAAGGGTCAACTTTGCAGCCCAAGTCAGCAAGAAACCGCGCGTTCCGATGCAGGACAAGCCATATTGCATCGCTCGAACCCGTCTCCAGGGTGCTAAGGAGACAGGTGGCCAGGCACCAGACTCTGATTGGTTTTCATCCCTGCCGGGCAGACCTTAGCTTGCTTCTGCCCGTGAGGTCAGGTCGTGGAAGTCTCTGGTCCAACAAGAGACACTAGAAGGTATCCCTGCAATGCGTCCCGGGGCCGTGAACATCATGACTGATCGCCGTGGCGCACCGTGGCTAATCTGGTTGGTGCATGTCCGCCCCTGCCCCATCTTGTTTTGTTTCGTTTCGTCCTGAGTCGCCACGGACCTCTTGACTCTGCAGTCGGTAACGCAGCCGTGCCTGTTTGAGTGGGATCCGCAGGACAGGGTGCCAAGCCACGCCAGCACCAGCACAGAGGGCACAGTTCGGAAGCGCTAGGATCGTGCCCAATCCCTTTTGGCTCCTGCGGGGTGCTGTCAAACGACGTCAACGAGGCCTTGGCCTGCCAGATGGGGCCGGAAGCAGCCTCCGTGCTCCTTTGTGCCCGGCTATTCTCGTCTCGTGGGAGCGACGGCCCTGTCTCCGTGCTCAGCAGCAAACGACTACTGGGAGGGAGGAACCCATGTGTCATATGAAACGAAACGCCCAGCCTTGGCTGACCGCATCCCAGCTGGGATGGGCGCGTCGCTGATGGCGGCAATCCCTGGTGATCACCGCTTTGAGGGCACGGACTGGCGTTCCATGCCTTCCGCAGCAGCGCGTCCCGAAGATTGATTGGGACCGCGGAGCCGAGCTTGCCTGGCCACCCAGCACAACCGTGCGGGTCTGGAGAGCTTACGTCAAGGCGCCAAGTATGGTTTGGTTGCCTGTTGGAGATATAGGGATCATGAAAGCGTCACCACCCGCAAAGCTGGACCTCGCCGACCGGATAGGGTTTGTTGGCTTGCAGCATTCTGGGTGACTGCAGGATATCCGGCTTTGTGAGACATCGACGATGGTCCCCTTCATCTCGTGGTGTCAGTGTCGTGCAGGGAATGCAGGCATGCGCTGCCGTGGCTTGGCTTGGGCTTGCCCCGTTGCGGAAGAAACAAACAGGCATTCCTCTGGCTGTCGTTGGTCGGCGCTGGCGCGGGGAGTCGGGCTAGAGACTGGGCGCCTCACCATTCTCTAGCCTTGCCGTTGTTGGTGTTTTCGCACAGCCCAGACGACCCCGGGGCAGTCAATCGAATTGCCCATTGTCGCAATGCATGCCTGAGGCTTGTTGCTGCCCTGCCCTGTCCTGCCCTGCCCTGCTGCGCTGTGCTTGGCGGACCGAGCTGGGGGAATGAACCTCCTCGGGTGCGCCTTCCAGATCGTTGCTTTCGTCCCAGGGTGTCTCGACCCAGATACTTATTGCTACTCTCTTCTTGCCGTTGTTTGCCATAGACTTCCATCCTCTCTCCTACACTTCTCGTTGCCCGCTCGTTAAGCTTCCCGCTCGGCCACAGAAGTCATCACCTTCGCTTGCTCCTCGGACGTCACCAACCCTTTCAGCATCTGCTGTCCTGAGAACCAACCCACGATATCGTCACCTCACCACCGCCCGTCATCGACATGCGTTTCTCCCAGATCTCAGCCCTTGCCCTCGTCGGCGCCGCCGGTGCCTTCGCCCAGGAGTACATCCCCGCCGACGTTGTCAGTGGCAACCCCGAAGGTGTTAACTACGTCGCCACTCTACCTGTGCAGCCTTTCTTCAAGGCTGGCTCCCTGAATGGCAACGTCAAAGGCTCCGTCTCGGCCAAGGCTGGCCCCGGTGGCGTGGGCGTTCAGTTTGATGTCCAGTTCTCCAACCTTCCTACCGAGGGCGGTCCGTTCAGTACGTTGCCTTGAATTCTCTGGTCCTGGGGTTTTGTCGTTTTCGCAGGCAACCAAACGCTGACCTACACTAGTTTACCACCTGCACGTCGCGCCCGTTCCCAGCGGAGGCAACTGCACAGCCACCCTGGCCCATGTCGATCCCTTCAAGCGCGGCGAGGAGCCTCCTTGCGATCCCTCGACGCCAGCACTCTGCCAGACTGGTGACCTGTCTGGCAAGTTCGGCAAGATTACCTCGGATCCATTCACGGCCAGCTACGTTGACCCGTACTCGTCCATCACTGAGGATGTTGGTGGCTCCTTCCTCGGTAATCGTAGCTTCGTCTTCCATTTTGCCAACAAGACGCGCATCACCTGCGCCGACTTCCACCTCGCCCCGTCTCAGCCCAACACGACAGTCTACCCCACAGGCTCTGCGCTGCCCACGGTTGTGCCCCCCACGACGGTCCCCATCGCTGCTGGAAACAGCCTCGTTGCTACCCTTGGTGCTGTTGTCGCTGTTGTCCCCGTGCTTGCCTGGACTCTCTTTATCTAAGGGGTCAATCCAGCTCACATGGCAAGCATCTCCGCCTGGGCTGGTGAGCAGCCTATTTACAAATTGTCAGTAATCAGGGTGTACGACGGCGCCAGGTCTTGATGAAAATAGGATAAAAGGGGCACAACATAATGGAATACTAATTATACATAATGAAATCATTTTGAGCATTTGAAATCGATGGCACAATGTGACAAAAGAAAAGTACTTCAACATGTGCACGAGTTGAACTGACCATCATCATGAAGTGACTGCAATTTTATGCCTCCTAGTCAACTCGTGTAGCACTGCCACGCTTCGTTCCGAAATGAAAGGAAGGTTGCGTCCGAGGCGACCCGTCTCTCCTTCCCCGGTCATAGCTCTGTTGACTGTGAATTCTCGACTAATTCAAGCCTCTATTAGGCGAGGGTGAGAAAGGTCAATCACACGAGCCAGCGAAGCGCCATTCAAGGTCACTCACTACATGTGCACTAATTTTCGTTCCGCCTTGCTCATAGTCTAGGTACTCAGCACGGCCAACAACAGCTGGCCCGATAGCCGCACGACGAGCCGACCATTGAGGCTACACACTACACCACACCATACAATGCGCACTGGGCTGGAGACGGCGCAGTGAACAATCGAAAGCCTCGGCGCCGCGGCTAGCTCTAGTCCAACGACCTGGCTGATAGAATCCGCCTTGTGAAAGCTTGTCTCGACGCCCAACAGGCCAGCCCCCACTAGTTCTTCGCTTGGTGACAGCCGGGTAAGATGTGTGGGCTGTGATAGCTTCGCGCTGAGAGCGACTGGGATCGGAGGAGCAGAGTTCAGAGTGACGACCAGACAGACCCCGGAGGCTCCGAGACATCAAGAAGCGCCGTATTCCACGATGGTCGACTGCGGTCTACATCTTCTCTCACGCAAGTGCATCTCTTTCGTCTCTAGTCAGGTCGTGGATGCGGTGGACGTTTCTCTACTACCACTAGTCGCGCCATTCACAGCCCAGAAAGCTTAGCTGATGGCACTCATCCGGTCACGAGCAAGCCTTTGCCTGGCTTCCCACGCGTGAGGCTGTGAAAGCCAATTCCCCGCTTGCCTTCTGGAGTGCTATGGAGTTGGGCTGGAGTGTGCCACGAAAGAGGAAAGACCCTGAGGGGGGCGCAGGATCGGCGCGCGGCAACTAAATTTAGCCACGCCTCCACCCCGATCATCTCCACCACCTACAAGCCGTCCAGCGTTAGCGAGCGAGGTGCAGCTGATGTCAATTCTGGGCGGCAATGAGGTCAAAGCGAGGAACAGCAAAGGCTCTCGTTGCCGCCGCCATGGATAAGACTGGGGTATTTGTAAGGCCTGCCTTGAGCTCTTGGGCGATGCCGAGGGTCACCAGCATCGCGGACGTATTCCGTCCGTCCCGGAAACCAACCTCAATGCTGGGAATCAATAAATACTCTTATGTGTCAGCACAACCACATGTCATTGGTCGGCAGCGTATCGACGTAGTATTGCAGGAAGTACGAGACCGTCATCGCCGACAGCTACAAGCCTTTCTCGCCTGCGGCATGGTGGGGAAGCAGCTCTGGAGGTTTGGGGGCCAAGACATTGATCACACTCCAACTCTTGGCTCTGGAAGGGGGATGATATGTCCTCAGCCCCAAACATTTTTACCCATTTAGTGTGGTATACCGTAAAATGCCTGGTCTCGGGCTGACCGGATGAAATGAGTGGCCAGACACCATTTGGATCTTTTGTGACGTAGTCATGTTGCCGCACCGGTCAAGATGTGTGAATCTCGACTTTCTGGGGCTGGGACCACCTCCACCTCCAGAGGCCAGCCCCTTGCCCTTGTGGCTTTTCAGCGGGGCTTGCCCAGCCTATCTCACTTGCCAGGTTTACTCAAGCCAAGCGCGATATAGCTCAGAGCTGATGCTTTCGATGTCTTGAAAGTGACCTGACCCCGAGGCGGGCGATTTGGAATACGCAACTGAGGCTGGGCCGCTAGACAACATGTCAAGGTGCCAAGCCCCATGTATGTACAAGCTCGGGGATCATGATCCAGGGCATACTCTAGTGCTGACGCCGCAGCAAATCTCCAACTTCTGTATTCATCTTAAACCACTATGGCGGAGAGTTCCGGCTGACAGGGACCAATCCCCGATGAACAATCTGTAGGTCCCACTACTAAGCGAGGGAGGCGGGCCGGGCGTGTCGGCGCGGGAGTGCGTGCAGCTCCAGGCCATTATTAATATGCTATAGTGCAGGTACTCCTCGATCCCTGCCTGAATGCATTGTGCTCAGCTGAGAGGTTCTTCATCCATGATCCCGTCTCATCTTCCTTCTGATATATCACAGCCACCATTCAGCAGCAGTTGACCGAGTCCTCGCAGTTGACCAATCACAACAACTGTTAGGTCAATGATTCCTGTGTGGCCAGTGTGGAAAACAAAGGCGGTCACTCAAGCCCTCCAAAGGTACGGCTCGGCAGTGCCATACTGGCTACGATGTCGAAAGCCTACAACGATGATGTGGAGAGACTCAGGCCAATTGAATATCCGCATATGAATAATGGTAAGCAACAGTGCCGCTTCCGGCAGTTATAGCTCTTCGAGGGGTCCTTATAGCCTAAGTGATTCGAGCTGACCTTGGCTTGTGCATGACTGCAGGCGTTTATCTTGACCACAGCGGAACCACGATTTATGCAAAGTCAGCCATCGAACGTTTCAGTCAGAAGATGCTGACGGACCTGTATGGGAACCCGCACTCAGAGAATTCCCCGGCGAAGCTTTCGGGAAATGTCATTGAGGATGTTCGCGCAAGGACGCTCAATTTCCTGGGTGCTGATCCAGAGCATTTCGACCTCGTCTTCGTAGCAAATGCCACCGCAGGCATCAAGCTTGTAGCTGAAGCCTTTCGAGATCTCGGCGAGAAGACGCGGTCGAACGCATTCTGGTATGGGTACCATCGAGACTCCCATACCAGCCTCGTCGGGGTCCGTGAGTTGGCATATGGCCAGTTTCACTGCTTCGAGAATGACGCAGATGTTGAGGCCTGGCTGAGTTATCCAGAGGCTGCCATGGTCAACAGGCAGGATCATCGATCGCTGGGATTATTTGCATACCCGGGCCAGTCAAATCTGACTGGCAAGCGGCTCCCACTGCGGTGGGCAGGGTGCTTGCGTCAGACAGATGAGCTGCAGAACACGTACACCCTCCTGGACGCGGCGGCGTTGGCCATGACGCTCCCAATGTCTCGGGTGTTTGCAGATCCAGATACGGCCCCCGACTTTACCTGCCTCTCCCTCTACAAGATATTTGGCTTTCCAGATCTGGGCGCCTTGGTCGTCCGCCGGCAGTCCGGACACATCCTCGGTCTCAGGAGATACTTTGGAGGCGGCACCGTCAAGGCCGTCGGTGTGATCGGTGACGTCTTTCATCGCTCCAGGGGCCAAGAAGGCCCCAGTGACAGACTGCACGAAGGCCTCGAGGATGGCACGCTCCCTTTCCACAGTATCCTCGCGCTCGGCGAGGCCATCGACGTCCACATGCGGCTCTTCACTTCGATGGAAGTCATCTCGGACCATACCCAGTACCTGGCGACGCGATTGCGTCACGGGCTGATACTACTGCGGCATCCGAATGGCCGGCCGGTGTGCCGAGTCTACTTTGATAGTGACTCGAGACGAGACCAGACATGGCCCGAGGATCCTGCAAAATACGGACCAGCGGTGGCTTTCAACGTCATTGATCATAACGGGCAGTTTGTGACTTATAAGTCTGTCGAGGAAATTGCAAATAAAGCCAGTATATACATCAGGTCAGGTGGTGAGTTGTCCCCCGGGTGAACTTCCCAGAAAGTGTTTGGCTCTGCCTCCCAAGAGCCGACCAAAAGCGATATTTTTGCTAACTTTGACCAACTTAGGCGTTTGCAACCCTGGGGGGATATATTCTGTCCTCGGTTATGAGCCTTGGATGATTCATCGGGCAGTGCAAGCAGGTCATATATGTGGTGGTCCAGGCACAGGTGTTCTGCACAACATGCCTACTGGGTAAGTCTCTAGCACGAGGCAGGGACGGCGAAGTCGAAGGATGCGTTCGTGATTCTCCGATAAGAGCACCGTCAAAAGACTTACGTCATATGATGTATTCCCTCCCAGCAGTATTTTGGGCTTTGCTAACCTCTCTTCTGCCACTCCAGTGTCGTGCGGGCAAGCGTAGGCGCCATGTCGACTCAAGCTGACGTCGACGCCCTCATCACCTTTATCCGGACCACATTCGTAGAAAATCACGAAAGGCCAGCCGCGAGTCCAGTCAAGACCACAAATCCCACGATTCCCCAAACAAATGGGGTAAAAAACATGGCACCGCCCACGTACAATACCATATTACTGCCGATGCCAAACGGCATCCAGACGAGGCAGGAAATTCAAAACAAGCTTCAATAGCCTGGCACTGTATCTCGCCCCATCCAGCCTCCTAGAATCTCGATAGTCTAAAAGAACGCAAGCTCGCACAGGTGGTCGTCAGATAATTCGTCATCCATGCCACAATATCATGAAGCAAAAGGACAAGTTTTGTTCATGGCATGATAACCTCGACCACAGAGGGAGGCTGATTACCGAGAGTGGCACCATATTCCGTCGCTCTGGGACGCCTCATCGATTGATTGACCGCGGAGGCCGTGCATTCCGGCACAATCCTGGAGCGCGTAGGGCGTACGTACGTCCCACCTGACAAATGGTCGCAATCCAGGAACGCCGCGCTGTTGCCCACGCACGACTGGGGAACGCGGGAGTGATGGGGAAGTCCTCCCCACCGTCTCCTTTAGGGTAACCACGAACTCTATTTGCCTCAGGCTTGCCAAACTCTGACGAGGAACAAAGAGTCCGCAGCAAGGGAGCCATGTGGCATCAGGCTGGTCGGCCTCATGCCGGATCTGCTCCTGGAAGAGAGAGAAAGTGAAGGCCAGTTTCGATCAATTCGTCAACCCTGTCACCGTTACAAGGGGAAACACCACAAGTCACCTGAGCGGCACAGGCGTTATCTAGAACGCCGAGCGTGCTAGAAGCCCTCCCCCCTGTAATGTGCGGCGTCTTTGCCAGATCTGCATCCTCCTTTGGGCGCCCGAGCAGGGGGGGGATGGACAATCATCTGTCGCGCACACACAACCACCAAAAGCTCGAGTGGCTGCCGGGATCGAATGTCGTGCGATTGCGAGTAACCTGACACAGTGGGTCACTATGGACTTATATGCCGCCATAACTACGTTCCGGGGGCCTGGACTCCTGAGAATGACGATTTTGGCGTGGCTTTTGTTTCTTTTTCCCACGTTGCTCGTATCCTGTGTGATCAGCAGCACGCAAAATACCAGTCAGAACAAGAGAGACTAAGCAACCACCCCGGGGGGCAACACGCCAGGTGAGACCATTGTGTGCCAAAATGTCCGATAGGCGGCATGTCACCTTTCGCCCATTTGGTCCCTGACGGTCAAAGGAACTAGTCCCGTCCTGCAGTCATACCGAGTGCATAATCGGCAAGCGACTTTTTGAGATGAGAATGCGAGAAGGGGGTGCGCGGAGGGTGCGCGCACCACACAAAACCACGAGCCACACCCCTGCCACAGCCCAGGTGGACTTTTTGGGCTGAAGCTGAAGGCGCGAGAGCAAATAAATAAAGTTTACGTGTCTCACTCTCCGCATTGCCAACCCCGTGTGACGGTGGCAACAGCCCCCCTGGTCTCCTCAGGCTTGCTTGCATCTGTGTACCATAGCTCAAGACTTCTCCGCGTGTCCCAGGCGGGCAGTACCATGTATGTCCCGCAGCGGAACCGCGCGGCTGGTTCGCTCTCCTTGAAACTACACCACGAGCCAGAATAGGGGCTCTCGCCTGTCAGTGAGGGCCAAAACACTGCGGCGGACATCAGCGATGCCGCTGCCAGCAGGATTGTTCCAGGGCGAGAGCAAGTGCCGGGCGCGCTAGATCGACCGCCAGTCCATTCTGTCTAGCTCCAAATCCGTGCCGCGCTTCCCCGTGCCTCCCGTGGCATTGGGCAGATCTTTAGCTTGGCTCGCTCCCTGTTCCCCGGGCTGTTAGGCGCGGAAGACTTAAACTCTGAATTGGGTGGGCCTGGCGCTGTGTTGGTTCCACGAGCAAGGATGGAGTTGCAGTCCGAGTGATTGTCCTTCCAACACGAGGTCAATGGATGGCTGCATGCATATATCTGGCCAGTCATCAGGCGCATCAACAGCTTTTGGAAACCAACTATTGAGACATGAGACGTATATCGAGTCTGCAGCCCTGGAAAAACTTATCTCATCCCATGGAGGCGAAGTCATTTATCGAGCACCAACAACAACACGCCGCGCGTCAGGAGAGAGAAAGGGGGGAGGGGGGGACCAACAAATGAGGCAAATATGTTTGGACGGTTTGCACTTTTTCAACAAATTACTCGTTTTTGCGTCCCGCCCATTCCAGAGGCGTGCTTTTCGTTTTTCCTTGTTGTTGGCGGACAGGGCTGCCTCAAGAATCACGCATTGTGCGAAGTCCGGAACCGGAAAGAACCGCCAGGGAAAAGCCACTCTCGTGTTGTGTGTAAGCCTTGAGCCAAGTTTCCAGCCAGGCGCAAGCGCAGGTAGAGCATTCTATTGGGTGCCAGAAGCCAGTCCGCGTTGCCGGGCAGCAGTGACACCAAATCGTCGGCGCTCACCTGATGGCTGATGCTGACTGGAAGGGGGCCATGGAGGGCCTATGCTGCCCTGAACCGTGCTCATTGCCCTCTAATCAGATGAACAGGGCCTCGGCCAGACAAGGTACATCTCCTGTCGGGACCTGGCCGGCTTTTGATAAGTGAAGCGTGGCCACGACGTGGGCGCCAGCGGCGGGATGAAGAAAACACGGCAGATCAGGATCGTCAGGGTCCCTTTTCCCCTTCTTGGGCGAATTAGCCGACAGACATGGGACTGGCGGCGGGCGATCCAGGCTGCTGGAAATGAGTTGGCGCAACACGGTAGAAGCCGATGGAGATGGGCCAGACACTCGCCATGGATCGAACGTGTCGAGTCGTGCGGCTCAGGCCTTGACCCTCGTCGGGATTGTTCCTCGACTCACGTGCCGTGTCATAGCTCGGGCCGAGCGCCACTCCGGAGCAATCTTGATCAGTATTATATTCCCGCGTAGAAACGATTCGCCACGGCTAGACTGGTCCGCCTGGTAATGTTGTGGAGATATGATGGAGGAAGGGCCCGGCTCCGCGCTCTTCTCTATCCCATATTTGTCTTCTGCGCCCTGGCCTCTCATCTGCTGCACTCCATGATTAGCAGTCCCAAGCTTCACGCTTAGTGCCATGAGCTGATCCGAATCAAGTTAGGCTGCTTGTTGCCACAGAGTTAATGGCCTGACTGCACAGCACCGGGGCATTCGTATGTGATGAACAATGTCACGCACGTCCCAGTTAAGAACATGATTGGCTTCACTCGTAGCACTTGGGCCTGCCACTAGCCAGACGCGACCTAGTATAACTGGTCATGTGGGTGGCGCTTGGCCACATCCCGTCGGGAAGGTCTCGTCCAAGTCGATCACGCACAGGGTGTATGTGATATTGCCGCATAGGTGCATGATGGCCGGGAACAGGACGCAAGCCCATCCTCTGCGAAACTAGAGGACTGAGATGCCAGGGCAGATCATGTGTGCGAGAATGATTCGGCTCTATCCGCCTTGCATTAGTGGATTTGTCCCTTGCTCGCATTCATGCTGCAAAGGCGACAGTGTCCCAGGGGTCCGTGTGTCGCGTCCAGTATGATATGGAAGTGCTGGGCTAAGCCAAATGTTTCTCGCAAAGTAACTCCCAACTCAGTCGACCAGATCTGGCTCGTTGGCATCAGCCTTCGCTTCCATACCACGAGAAATGCCGAAACGAACCAGGGATATTAAAATCTCAATCATTGACTGGGTTAGTCCAAGAGGTACGACCTTGTCCTTGGCTTAGGGCTGATACCGGGACAGTCGAACTCGCCCGCAACGTCTTGCGTCCCGCAAGTCGGGACCGAGTTGTTCATTCACGTGGGCTACCATACAGGCTGAGCACGGCAGGTGTCCCACAGAAGACAAGCCGTCCTTGCGGGTGATCTAGCCGAGTTTGAACAAGCCCAGGCCGACCATGCGTCACGAAATTACTGGCTGCTTGGCCGAATACGGCCGCCTCGTAGATGTGGCTGAGCTTGAAGTCGACAATTTCTGAACCTTGTCCCGCACGCTGAAGTTGAATGGTCGGTGCTGGAGACAACTTGCACACAATTTGGAGAACTTCGTATGTCGTGTTCGCATTAGTCTTCCCCCAATTCGAGCTGAATTTCCGGCATCTAGGAAATATCGCTTATGTGGTGGATAGAGCTCATTTTGGTAAGAAATACCCAACAACTGCCTGGTTCACAAATGACTTGTCAAGCAGGGAACCCGCTCCGGGAGTCTATATCGCACAAGATGCCTGGTCCGAACAACCATTGTGCGCACAGCCAAAGCCAAGCTTTGTCATGCCACTTTGCAAAATGCGTGGTTTACCAAGGAGGAGCACCCTGAGATAAGCGGACGCGGCAGAATGGCCTTTTTGGGGGGTGGAGAAGCTCTCCTGCCGGATCTCACAGAGTATGGGGCTGACCCGGGCAGGCAGGGGAGCGGCACAACCGGCGTGCCGGAAGTACGCCAAAGGCTCGGATGACTCGGTGAGGACACCCTGCGTCGATCTTGGCTCTGTTTTCTGCAGATTCTCGACTTGGTGGTGGGCTGACTGGCTCGCTGTTGGTGTCTGATGGGCTGCAGGATCGCTGCCGGGCCGTGAAACCAGGCTCAAATTGGATAGACGACATTGCTCCTTGCATGGGGCACGCACCTGTGTGAAGATGGACGGTCGAGTCTTGCTCTTTGCCTCGGATCGGACGTGTAAAGCATCATGAATCTTGACCATGACGTCCTGATGGGAATTCGCATTGCGGTGAGGTAGCCAGAGGACAGCACAAACTCCATTGCTCGCACGTGTGGAGGGAGGCCACCCAGGCAGGCCAGGCTCGGCTCGGGCAACCAGGTTGGGTCGAGTTGGCCGATTGTGGTAATGGGGCGCCTATTTAAGGTTTGTTTCTGCATGGTGACGACCCTGCACCCATGTCGAAACAGTGCACAACGGCTGGTCGCCCCAGAAGAGACTGGATGTGCGGAATAAGTCCCTGATGCCCTGCCCTTGTCGCCCACATCCCACAACATCCAGTGATACTCGTCATTTTCAGGGTGGCTTTTTCTTGGGCCTTGTCAGTTGCCAGCTGCCCCGGCTCCAGGGAGTGCGCAACACAACCCCGAACAGGACTACGGAGCACGCCCTTGGGTGAAGGTTGTGTCTTCTGGCCAAACAATGACTGTGGAAGAGCCGCCCCCCCCCTCACCAGGGCCTTCCACACGGTCGCATTGTGTTGCGACCCCAGAAAAGGTTGTCCGGCCCGACCCTTCTGGTCTGCCTGGAGGTTGCAGCGATCCACTCTTTAAACATTCCAGTCGTGAGTGGTCATTGCAGACGCACACTTTGGCACATAAGTGGCGTGGCTTTTCATGCGCGTCCGGCGAACTTGGCGGCATCACGTGAGCCAAGCTTTGTGCGGTCCTCAGCTGAAACATTGGCTATTCCGTGATTGTTGCTTTCTGCACCCTGCGAGCCTTCTCAGCAATCCTGAGAATCGAACAAGGTCCAAATTCCAGCCGCCGTTGTGCGGAGCAAACAATGCCATCTACCGTGGGTTGTAGCTTCAATGCCGACCGTGCATTCCAGGCATGCTTGTTGGCCCATCAGCCTCACACAAGTTTCACCTATGGGGGAGCCTTCCGGAGCCTGTTCCGGGTCCGCGAAGCAGTATGCTACCCTTTCAGCAAGGCCCCTATACCACCTGCATGGTAAGATGTTAAGATGTCCCTGCTCGGTGCATCGACTGGTAAAAGGTCTCCTGATTTGGTACGGTGGGGTACGCACTTTTGGGTGGTCTGACCAGGAAACTGGCCATGATGACCAAACTTCGCTCATGTAACAAAAATGCACAAATTAATGGCAGTGTAATGTGACGGCAAGGGTTGTTCTCAAGCAGACGCTGTAGTTTGACCATCTCGGAGACTTTCTGAGGGGTCACCGGTCTCCAAATTGGGGTCCTTGTGTAAGGGATGCTAGGACACCGTCATCAATCTGTGTGGTAGAGCCAATGGCATCGTAGCGCCCCTACTGATTCTCGAGGCAAAGCAATTGTTTGCGTATGTCTCTGACCGCTGTCTTGTTGCTCGGAGGATCAGAACAACGCTGTGGTGACGCAAGACAGTCGAGCTGCCGACATTCCGGACAAGCTGACTGCATGTGAGCAGTGGCGCTGGATTGCTCTTGTACTGCTTCGTCACGAAGCAGGCGAACTGTTTTGAAGCTGTCTCCGGCTTAGGAAGACGTGGATTGCATCCTTCAACGAACTGGAATGCCGCGGCCGCAAGGGCGTCTGCCCTCGCATGAGAAACCTGCCACGTCTACAGAGGTAGATGTCGGAGTCGCGCGTTGGTCGAGAGGGAGAGCAAGTGAAACATGCCTTAGGGCCGTTTGCTCGCCACTGCCTGCACAATCTCATGCTTCGGTCCCGGGCGGGCGAGCAACCCACGCCGCCACGAGGACGACAAGTGACGGCGCCCCTTTGGAAATCGACTTGATGACAAGACGATGATCCTCGCGTCAGGAGGCAGTCATTGCTGTTTAGGGGGCTACGTACGTGACTGGCAGCTTCGGGGTGCTCGCCGTGCCGGCGACGCGGACATCGGCGCGCGGTGATTAGTGATGTTTAGCGGGCCCAAGAGGCAAGTGTCGTTGGTGACGATGGTCGTGGTGGTGGATTGCTGAGTGTGCGTGTGAGGTCGATGTTGTTTCTGTTGGTGGGGGGCCCCAGCCTGCCCAGGAACGCCTCTTAGAGGGCTGTCTGTTGGGCCGGAGTAAGGGCCGCGCCGAGGTCGGTGGTGATTGGCCAGAGGGCCGTGGCGAGGGACATTGGCGAGACTGGCTCGTTCCAGCGGCCAGCAGCCATGTCCCACTCGACCGACCTACCTGACTTGCCTGCCACCGAGCACCCATCACGGGCTGTGGCCCACGGTCCATGCCCAAGACGTCGATCTTTCAGCCTGGAACCTCTCAAAAAGCAAATCCTTCATGCACGTCCCAGGTCGTCACCGCCCAGCTTCGCGGGACCCATCCGCCTTAGCCCGCTTCACGATTCGCCCGCTTCAGTCTCACAGCTCCTGTCGCGTCAGGGCCAACGCTCTTATCGCGGCAGCCCCAGGGTTGGCCATCGTCTCCATTACATGTTCGACACTATCACGGCCGCCTGGTCCCCCTTCCCCGTCAGGTAGTCGGTGTCCTTCACCTCGAGCTACCCACACACGATCATACCTAACCAGGCAAGCCCAGACCAGACGTACCTGGTCCAGCAATGCCTCGTACTGCCGAATCAGGCTGGATCACGAGGGCGCTGGTGATGCACCTGCATGCAGCTATGCAGGTATTGGATCGATACCTCACATTTGATGAAGCACATACCACGCCCAGGACCAGCCTGCCATCGCCCTCTTTCGATAGAAGCACCCCATGGTCTGGAAATGGGCCTCTTCAGCCACGGGCCTATGGCTGAGGTCATCGGCCCAGCTTTCCATACGAGGCCAACCTGAGCCCAAGATGACCGTCCTCCTTAGTCCAGTAAAAAGAAAAGAAAAGGAAACGACATCATGCCAGGTCGGGTCTGGTCTGTCAGCATGGGTACCGGCTTATAGTTTGAACAGGGAAATGATTACACGCGGTAAGTTCTGGCAGCTCTGCCTGCCTTCGACAAGGGACGCCGTGCCAGCCGGGCAGTGAGCTAAGGATCGACTGGACAGCGGCACGGCGTCAACTTTGCCCCTTGTCCCTTCGTGTCAATCAAACCCAAGTGCCGGACGTCGCTGCTCCCCGGTCAATGTTGAAGTGGGCTGCCACTGAACATCACTTAGGTGATCTGCTCTCGCTGCTCGTGCATGGAGCCATCAGATGTACAAGTATACAAGCACTTCATGCCCAACTGAGACCTGCCCAGCTTTCATGTCTTCCAGCCCTCACCTGACCCTGTCATTATCGACATATCGCGACATACACCCTGGAGCAAACCCTAGTTCTTGTCTTGTTCTGCATGGTCCAGGACACGTCTGCATCCACTTCTTACTAGACCCAATCCTTGATCACGACACAGGAAACCTAACAACGACGCTCACATGCAGAGCAAGCATTTTGCACAGAAGACGGGATACGGACAAGTCGGGCGACAGCGAACCAAGGCCAACTGATCGGTATTACTCGCAAGAGAACACCGGAAACCGCTGTGTATCGAAGCCGACACAAGACACACCAAGCCAAACGTCTGTGAGGCGAAACGATCTGCGCTCGAAGGAGTCCTGCTGCATCCACTGGGCTTTCCGCATCGTCTTGGCAAAATCCAAGAGAGCACTCGTTCTGCTTTTGTCTGCGTGAAGCCGGTCGACAAGCCATTGAGCGCTTCACTCGATCGTTTGGCACAATCGAGTGGGTAGCACAGTCTCAAGCTTCAGCGGAACAAGATCGCCCAAGTGCATCAAGTCCCCCTCATGGCTATCGCCGCAAGCCCCTTTCCGAAGCCGCCAGCTGTGAAGGGGAACTTCGGAGCAGACAGGGGATTCGGGGCCTTTGTACCGTCGAAGGGCATCATGATGTCCCATCCAGCTGGACCACCTCGTCAGATGGTGAACGCAGAGCCAGGACCCACGACCTCTATAACAGCCTACTCAACCAATCCTACCTCCTTGCCAGTGAGTGCCTCTCTCCTAGCTGGGTGCAGGACTCCTGCACCGGCTCTGCGCCAACGGCCGAGTTACCTTCAGCCCACGTCAGAATCACTAACGCTGAGTGGTAGGTCAGCAACGAGGAACGCAACACTGCCCGGAACAACAAAGCTCGCAACAAACTTGGCTATCATAGATCATCCGTGGCTTGCGGTAAGCTTCAAATCGCCTCCCCTCACCTGGGCTCTCGGGGTGCAAACGTCGAATGTGATTCAGTGGCTGACCATTTGCATTAGGACACTGTCGCCGCAGGAAAATCCGTTGCAAAGTGGACAGCAAAAGCACTCACGGTCGATGCGAGAGCTGCATCAAACTGAAGAGGGAGTGTGAGTTCCAGCCTGTTGACCTACAGCCAGACCCGGCAGGTTGCGGAAGCAATGGTGTGCAACAGTCGAAGCCAAAGAACCGGATCATCGCATCCTCGAGGATCAGGTCAACATCGTCCTCACCAGCGGTCAAACACGAACTCCCGGCACCTGTCAGCTATGGCTCCTACCCTGGCGCACCCGCAGTAGCCTCATGCCCAAACATGGGACCACCAGCAATGGGGCAGTACGAGTCAAGTGCCATCTTGACGGATCGCTCAGGTAAGCATTCGGTCGAGCGCGAGGCCTGTGAAACTATCAGTGAACTGGACTGACACACCACTGGCAGGGCCACAAGACGTGAGCGGGACGAGACATCCACTAGGATACGGTAGCTGGCCAGGCTCAGAAAATCTTAGTCCCAAGCATGGGAGCGGCTCAGGCTTCCAGATGGGTCCTTGGAAGCCAAGCTCGGAAGAGGCTCCGAGCCTTACTGGGTTCCATGGCTTCTCACCACAAACACATCATCACCCAACCGAATGGCCACAATCCATGGGAACCGTCACGTCAGGCGCTGGCAGCGTCCGGGTCGAAGATGAATGGGACCCCTCACTACATTCCCCAGCGCGGACTATGTCATATGAGAGCGAAGACAGCGCAGCGCCGCACTACGTCATGCTTGGTGGACATGACCCGCATCGAGGTTCCTTCGACCGTCGCTCTTCCATGGGCCCAGACATGTACGCTCCTTCCATAGTCTCGAGCTCCATGGCATCGCCCGTCGAAGCGCATCACGCGCAAGTGGGCATGGGACCTGCACCAAGGCCTCAAGGAATGACCGGCCCGGCCTACCCCTGGCTGGAGCAACAGCCATATCCGTACGCCAGCAAGCCGGCACCAGAGTATGGTCCGACATGGTTCGTCAACCACAACAATAACAACAGTCCGTACCATCAGCCAGCGGTAGTGAAGCAGCATCTTGAACACGGACACCATGTGAGCCACGCTATGGGGGAAGCTCACTACTATGAGGGTTCCAAGAGAGTCTGATTCGGCAAGGAGAAGCCGAGCTGGTGTGCCGATTGGTGCGGCAGGCAGGCGTGGTGCTGACTGGTCCGCGTCTCGCAAAGGCCCAGGATGCATGGAGTTATTGGGATAATTTTTCATTTTCTTCGTTACTGTCTTTTTTGGTGGATATTTATTTTTGCGACAGCAGATGATGGCGGAGGCAACAGTCCTTGAGCATTAGCGCCATCGTTCAGAGGTGGATATGTTGTAATTTTCGCGGGAGGGCCTCATTTTTCTTTGGGCGGCGGCAAGAGAGTAGATACACAGCATAGAGCAGCACAAGGGCACGAAAAACGATATATGTGAAGCTCCAAATCGCTTTGGCCTCATGGAGGATGCACTGTAGTGAGTCACTCGCCTTGTCGATGACGCATCTTTTATTGCCCAGTGCAGCCCCAAACACAATTGGCAATTGTTTTCACGCGTAGTCGGCATCAGACATTGGGATTTTCAACGCAGAGATGTCCATACACCGATACACGAAAGACAAGGCGTCTCTTTATAAGCCAAGCAAGGACACCAATGGCATCCGCATGATTGCATGAACATGAACATGAACCATACCTGGGTTGATTGAGAATCCAACGTATAGGCTTATACAAGCCGAACCCATGCATGATCCGTATAAATTCCTAAAATTTGAACGCCGAACCCCCTTTCCGAAATCAAAATTGGAACATATCCTCGTTCGCTTTTCTTTTTCCTCTTCCTCTTTTCTATCTCTCCATGCCACGCCACACACCACAAGAAGGAAAACAACGCAGGGCCACACGCCCGGTCGTCACGGCCACCGTGTTCAGATCCACATCTATTCACGTGGAAAGCTGCCACGTCAGCACGATCAGGGTGACGTACGCCGCGGCGCTGAGGCTGGTGAGGATGAGCACCGTGTTGCCGCTCGTGCGGAAGCGCTTGGCGACCTCGCCGTCATGGCCCGTGACGGTGAAGAACTGCCGGTTGCCCTGGTACCGCCGGTACACGGCGCAGACGAGCACGGCGCCGCCGTAGACGGCAAAGAGCGCGCCGATGGCGTAGAACTCGGACGTGAAGATCTTGAGGATGATGAGGGAGAAGGAGAACAGGGAGAGGGCCGTGCGCATGTAGGCGCCCTCAAAGGTGCGCTGGGCGGCGCGGATCTCGACGAGTCTATGTTTTTTCGGGGGTTTTATTAGCATGAGTGAAAATGCCATGACTCGAAACAGCGTTTCTACAAGAGCCCGAAGGGGAAAAGGGTTGACATACTCTTGTGAGGTGAGGACTACGGAGCGCGCGCGGTGCATCCGCAGGTGGAAGCGGTCCTCAGCGCCGGGCTGGCGGGGAGGTCTCGGGTCAGAACTGGTGCACAATACCACGTAGAGAGCGACCCAATGGCTTTCGTAGAGTCTGATTTCCGTACAAAGGAACCACCTGGTCGCTCGGCTGTGGGATCACGACCAGGGCATGGAACATCGAGACTCACCTGGAACATCCCGCTGCGTCTGACTGCTGGCTCAAACCGAAGAGTGGAGAGATTGGGGCTAGGAATTGAGCTTCTATGCGGCGTTTACTACCAGCAGTGTTGCCGTGCCGAGGATGTCACCGTTCAATTGGCCGCCACACACTGGGGAATGATGAAGTCGTGGTCCACGATGATCGGGATCGTGTGGAGTGACGTTGAGCCCCAAGTGCCATCCAAAGTGGGGCCCCGGGATGGAGGCCCCACCCGCTCACTGCTAAGTTTAGAAGTCTTCACTGGCTGGCCGCACCTTAACCGGGTGAGATGCGGGATCAAACGACCAGGGCAACAAAGTTGATGTTCGGCAAGGCCAGAAGAGTATTCCATTGAAACAACAGGACGATCTACTACTAATAGGATATCCCCGAGCCAAGACTGGCTGTGCATTGCTCGGCTCGCAACAACCTTTGTCACAATTCAGGTCCCACGAGTGGGCTGGCCTAGTTGTGCTTAGTCCCACCATTTGAGAGAGTGTGTGGAGAGTCTCGACGAAGAGACATTGGCCATGTCAAATGTGCGGTTGAGGAGGAAGTTCGTGCCCTTTGTGGTGACCCTCCTACGGGAAGTCCAAGCTCTGCGCATCGTGGCTCAGCGGAACCACTGCCGTGCACCAAGAAGCCACCAAGAAAGCTTGGCCTGGTGGCATTGCTTCCCGCATGGGGAGGGAAGAAAGCGTTGCAAGGTCTCTCTCCTGGTTGAAGGATGCTCATGCAGGACCCAATGATGGAGAAACACGAACAAGATGGCCACAAGGCGGATTGGTATGAGGAGAATTACGCAGGCCTCCCAAGGAGCTCTTCCCAAGCACATCTGCGACTGCTTGACGGCTCGTCCAGAGTGACATGTCCAGACACTGCCGGTATGCCTGCTGGGTGCTTCCATGACGTGGGTGTCGCAACCTTGGGAGGCATACCCAGCGATCGGCAGGTGGGATGAATGGATGAGGATCCCAGTGGAAGCATTCCGCCAGTGGAGGCAGGGCAGCTGTGGACGAGTGCCGGCGGGGCGGTGGACGAGTGCCGGCGGGGCGGCTGAGCAAGAGTGCCTTGGGGGACCCACCCGCAGGCTGGAAACGCCTTGCGGCGGGCAGACTGCAACTTCCCAAGCCCGGCGTTGTTTCTCGAGCCTCGCCCAGGGTCGAGTCGTCGTGCGACCGAGACCCGCAGGCAGGCAGGCAGACCCTCGGCGGTGCGCGCACCATAGTGCCATTCATTCCCACAGGAGTCTGTCGCCAGGCGCAATGAGTTATTGCTCCTCTGTGCAGCGCATCATCGAGTGCCAACGCAACATCTCCGTGGTCACAGCAGCAGTCTCTCCAGCCAGGTCCTGTTGCCGTGCTTCTCGCCAGACCTACCTTAGGTAGGCCCGGTTATTATTCCATTCCCAGGCGCGGGCTGAGCCGACCCCACAAAACCCTGTCCAGTCCTCTGAATACGGACCGACGACACCACCACCCCAGGCGTCGACCTGCACGGCCTCATTGCACAGAGTCTGGTGCAGAAAGCAGTGCCCGGCCTATGACGGCATTTCTGCCCTAGCCAGCCCTTGCAAAGTCGGCGCAGCGAGTATTTCCACCTTTGCGCAGGAATTAGCTCCCACGCGACCCCAATCCCTCCCTCAAGGGTTGTCTCTCGACAACAGACAGACAGACAGACAGACAGACAGACAGACAGACAGACAGCCGGCCGAGCTGGCTGAGCCCCCCATCCTCGTCAAGCTCTAAGCGCCGTCGTGACCAGCCCGGCCCCAAGGGACGCTGTCACGCCAGGCTCTGCTGGACCGACTCCGTTAGGCCAGGTCCCAGATCCCCCCGGCACACACCTCACCTACCTGCCTGCTCCAGCTCAGCCCAGCCCGCCCTCCGTGCTCCACCTGCCACCCACTTCGACTCCCCATCCACCCTTTGACGCCATTCTCCCACTCGCGTAACTCGCAGCTTCCTGCGTCCTACTTACATCTTGCTTCCCGGGTCTTGCTATCACGCGAAACGTCTCGTGCGCAACTATCTCGCAGGCCACTGCTCAAAGCACGTTCCTCTGTACCTTTCTCATCACTTGCGCCGGCTGTTGTACCATCAGCTGCTGGACACTGGTCCCCCCCACCCCTCCACTGCCAGCCGCACGAGACCATGCGATCCAACTGAGAGTTGTTGCATCCAGGCGCGGCGCGGTCAGAGGCATCCTGCGCGACGGCTCATACTTAACCCTCCAGGACCGCTCCGCCTCCACGGCCAACACACACCGCCATGTCTTCCTCATTCACAGGCTTCCTGGGCTCCCCGGACCAAGGCGATCGGAAGCAGCCCCGCCCCGCACACTCCCAGATGCCTGGCGATAGCCTCGCCAACCACCACCACACGCTCGCACACCCGATCACGCCTGCAGACTCGCACCTGCTGTCGCCGCATTCTTCCGCTCATGTACTCAGCAGTGCCACGTCTCCAGATGCTTTCTCTCACACGCCCGACTCGTCTCTCAGCATTGCCGCCTCTAGCGACTTCATGCTCGAGCACTCGGATGACCAGTTCTTCGGAGCCAGCTTTGCCGACGCTGGAGTTAGCAACACGCCTTCGTTTCTCGGGGAAGAGTTCCTGAACCTCGACGGTATCGACGACACGGTGCCTTTCCCAGATCTCGTCTCTGCCACGCCAGATCAGGCCGCCCTCTATCCCATCAGTCCAGACAAGACCCCCATTACCTATAACTCTGGTGTGTTTGGTGACACGAAATCATCCCACTCGACGACAGCCAACCCGATCTTGGGGCGCGACGCTGTTACACAGTCGGCCGCGCATTCGGTCGACTCGAGCCAGACGGCACCACAACTTACTCCAGATACCAACGACGGAGGCTGGTCCGGAGACGAGAATCCCGTCGCTTTCGCCTCATTGGCCATGATCAGCCCACGGGTGACTGTCTCGGAGTGGGAGTCTGCCGGGCGGGCACACGATGCCGAACCTCCCGTCGCTGTTCTTGGAAGTCCATTAACAGTAAGGGCTCCGCGCAGTGCTGCCGGCGACTTTGCCGGCCACATAGCAGAATCAAGCCTGTCTGGGGTGTCAAGAAACGCCCACGGCAGTGACGGCTCTTCTTCTTCTTCCGGCGGCCGACAAGGCATAGCTCCCGGCCAAAGAGCCACTGGTGAGTTGGGCCAAAGCATCAACCAGCAGGCTGCAAAGCGCGAGGTCGAGGAGAAGAACCAAGGTGTGCAAGCATGGATCACGAGATCCCGCAGCGCATCAATCGACCCTCATTTCGTCGAAAAACCAGCAGAAAAGGTGGAGCTCGGCGACGACAACGTCTCACCACGTGAGATTCCCCTGGGTGATCAGACAGTCAATCGCCACATAGAAGGGCAAATGTATTATAATGCTGCCGGGCGTGGTCCTGTGAACGAGACGGACATTCAAATCATGAGAGGGACCATGCCCTGGGAAACGGGCCTACGAATGCAGCCGATCCAGACCGAGCGTACTGTTCCAGAGACAGCACAGGAAGCTATGATCAGGCTCCAGAAGCAGCAGCAGTTTGACAGTGCCTCTATCGTGTCGAGAGCCGCGACCTGGGGAACTCGTCGCCGCAGTCTTCCAAGCGTCATCGACGTGGAAGGCGTGGTCAGCGGTAATTTCCTCAAGAAGCTCTCCATCAGTGGCAAGGACAGCCATGCTCGGCGACCCAGTCTCATTTCCAGAATTCCGAGTCTCGTCAGGAAGTCCAGCACCAATCAACGAAAGCGCAGACCAACCACCACGACAGAGACCTCATCTGACCAGACAGAACAGCACTACGAACCAGAACGCCGCGAGTCCAAAGATAGCCTCGCACCGCCGAGTCGCTCGCCGAGTTGGGGTTTCAACCGGAAGCCGGTGCCCAGTCTCGACACGGCCATTCTCGGCATGGCGGCTGGAGCAGCTTCTATCGGCTCGCAGCATCACACCCGCACTGGATCTGTCAGCGCCGCATCGATGTCTTCGCCCAAAAGTCCATTCGGTGGCTTCAGCGCTCTCGGCGTGCCACCCATCAAAAACACTCTGCGCCGACCGCGTAGTAAGACTGAGCTCACAACGAACAGTCGTGGCGACGCGCCCAGTGCGCTGGTCGGCCTACTCAAGGCGCAGGGCGGTCCACCTGTCGCTCAGCTCGCCAAGAGCCGTACAAAGCCTGAAGTTGACGATGATGAAGATGATGCAGATGAGGATGAGGATGATGACGCGCAGCTCCAACTTGACGCCCGGGTCGAGATCATTCCCACCTTGGAAGGGTTCAAACAGCATATTGTGCGTCTCAACCCAGCCATGCTCAGCGCAGACGGGCAGGTAAACGACAACAGTCGATATCTTGTGGACCGTGTCGCACATTCCATGATGATACGCTACAAAGCTCTTTGCCAGCTCAAGGTCAAACATCTTGCTACTATCAGCACGGGAAAATGTCAGAGCGGGCGCATGTGCATTGCGCAAGGAGGATCCGCCAAAATCCTAGAAGCACGGCCTGATCCTCGATCCGATGGAGACAGCCCTCTCGATGCGCTGAGTAGCGAGAATTTTCCGACCGGTATTCCTATGCCACCGACAAGCTCTCTGCCTGCAGAGTTCGAGTGTCAGTTGTGTTTCAACAGCAAGAAGTTTACCAAACCATCAGACTGGACAAAGCATGTGCACGAAGATGTTGCACCTTTCACCTGTACTTGGGACCGGTGCCGAGACACCAAGCTGTTCAAGCGCAAGGCGGATTGGGTGCGCCACGAGAACGAAGGCCATCGCCATCTCGAGTGGTGGACGTGCGACGTAGAGGATTGCCGCCACATCTGCTATAGGCGAGACAACTTTCTGCAACATCTTGTTCGCGAGCACAAGTTCCCCGAGCCCAAAGTCAAGACCAAGGCAGACGTCAAACGAGCCGGCGCCTCTGATCCAACATGGTCCAAAGTCGAGCAGTGCCACACCGAGACCGGTGTAAAGCCTATGGAGGAGCCATGTCGATTCTGCAACAAGACTTTTCCAACATGGAAGAAGCTCACTGTCCACCTTGCAAAACACATGGAGCACATCAGCCTGCCTGTCCTGAAGTTGGTGGCCGCGAAAGACCTTGATGCAGACACGCTCATCAGCCCTGTGCAAGACCCGCCTCCGGTCAACTTTGGATCTCTGAACAATGCACAGCCTCAGGTCAAACAGGAGCCCAGAGGCTATGACATGTCTGGCCAATTCGTGGCAACAACGCCGGGTGATCTCACTTATGCTCAACAACATGAATTCGGCATCGGTATGATGCCATCAACCACCTACGCGCAGCCGATGGATTCATCCTACTACGCGGATCCTGGATTGGGTCAGCAACCAGGCTTCATGCTGAACCAGGTCCCGCACGACATGGCACAGGCACAGGCACCGTACCAAATGGCAGTCACTAATGGCGCGCATTTTGATGGTACAAGCTCCTTTGTGAACATGGCCAACCCGGATATGGAGGCGTTTCCAAACTTTCAGACCAATTCGCTGGGCATTCAAAATGCGCCAGGGCAAGCTTTGGTCTACGATGGGCTCATGGCCAATCCGAATGTGCAGACAATGCACCCGTCGGTGCCACAGTACAGTCACCAGGGGTCGGCCTCGCCATACTCCCGGTCACCTCACCAGGGCCCTATGCAATTCTATCCCCAGTAAGGAAGGATGTCGTGGTTTGAAATTTGTGGGTGCGCAGCGTTCGATTAGGATTTACGGAAATGGTTTTAGATACACTATACGTTTTGACCTTCAGATGAGGAGCATTTAGACTGCACTGGGGGCTTTTCTCCAGCACATCAACAATGATGATTTACGGACTCACAATATATGCTCTTTGTTTCTACGCCGACCTGTTCGTGGAGCGTCATACAAATCAGTGAGGATGCGGGATCTGCGCAGTTCCACCGTGAATGGGGTTGAAAGGAGCTCTGACATTCACGGGCCTAAAGGCGCGCAGCGATCGCCGTCCAGGTCCGCTTTCATCAAGAGTCTGGGAGAGTTCGCGGATCATGTCCTGTTGGCTGCCTACCGCTGGGATTTTGTCTACCCATTTCCGGGAATCCCGTCCCCCATCTCCCTGCGCTGACCTTACTCGCAAACTACCTGACGAGTAGATACACGGCTGGCAGAGCAGATGTGCATGGTTGCTTTGGCCCGCCTCCTCCCCACTATAAGGCATGAGTGTTGACTGACATATAAACTCTATGTGCCCTGCTTGTATGGAGGTAGGAATGCTGAACAAGGCGAACGCTGGATCCTCCCCGTGGATGGAGAAGGGATCGTTCATGTTTGACCTGCTTGCGGACTTTTTAAGGACGAGGCGAGATGGATCTGCTTCTGGAGCACGACGGAACCCTGGACAATGGGATGAAATCTGCATGCATGACATCACGTGCGTGCTGGCATTTTGTTGAACCTACACTACTATGTACTACTATTATGTACGTGCGTGCTCCGCATCTGCAGGAACACAGACGGGATGGCTGGGCGGATGAGATTCCTTCTGGTCCAAGGTTAATTAGCAGCGAGCGTTTTGGTGATGCCTGCCTTGGTCTAAGCGTTCCTTCCCTCCCTCCCTTCGTATCCCCCCTACACGACAGGGTGAGGGAGGAGATCACCCACCCACATAAAGAGTGCGCGTGCCTTGATCACCTTGATAATCCTGGTTAAATGGTCGAGACAGGCTGGGGTGGTGCCATGAATGAGACTGAAGATCATCACTTTCTCCACGCTGCTGCTGCTGCTCCTGCACAGCCTCAGATTCGGCATGGGGGAGCATTCAGAGAGCGCGCGGCCCTTGGGAAATTCTGGGAATAACCCACACTGGGGGGATAAGCGGCGGGATGTAGCTACGAACGTGGTAGGGGCTGGTGGTGATCATCTTTGTTGGGGGGGTTCTGACGACACGACGACGACGACGACGACGACGACGACCAGCAGCAGCAGAACGAGGCTTGGGCCTGGTCCACTGCTGTTGCTTGCGTGCAGGTGATCAAGCGGGCGAATTTGATGATGGGATAAGGACGCAAATGGACGAGGACGCGAAAGCCGTGACTGGAGGCTGTGGAGCGGGGTGCGGTTTCAGACAGAGCACCAGACTTTATGCAAGCCTTGCGGCTTTGCTTGCATGCTTGCTTGCTTTGCTGTGTTCCCCTTGCAAGTGATCAGCTCCAGTTGCGACAAAGAGAAGCAAGTGTTGAAGCAGGAGGCCGAGTCTTGTCATTGTTGATACACCCATTGTGAAATAAGCACTTCCCCGAGAGCTGCTCTGCATAATACTTGGTGGACGGATGTATCCTCGTAGCCGCCTCGACATGGAAGTCGCTAGCTGGCTGGCTGGTGGTGCTTGGTGAGGCGCCGAGCACAAGGTCCAGCGTCAGAGGGCCGTTTCGCGGGCGCCTGGCGGCCAAGGGGCCGGGCCCTGGTCTTGGACGAGTGGGTCCAGGGGCAGGCGTCGCGAGGCCCGCCAGCCAATCGAGCGGACCGTTTGGAGAGAGTGCTGCGATGACCCCCCTGGCGCCGTCGGTTTGGCGACACGCCAGCCCGCGACTGGAATGCCTGGTGCCCACTCTTTAGGGCCGTGAGGCGGAGTGGGCCTGCGCGGCAGGAGCTTGAGTGGTGGAGCCTGTCCAGCACCGGGCAGGGCTGCGTGTCTGAGGCGGGCCCTCCCAGCCAGCCCGCCCAGGTGTTCGAGATGTGCACATCCAACCACAACCGCCAGGGGCATCGGTCGACGACGAGCTCGACTTAATTATGCCCAATGCCTACGTGCCTCAAGCGGGCCTCTGCGCCCAGCTCTGCACCGGTCAGAGCTTCTTTGGTCGTCATTTCTTCTCTGGTCCCGGCCAGGGTGCGAAGCAGAGGAAAAACAACCAGCGCTTCCGCTCCAAGTGGCGTCTGTCCTGTTCCACTTACACACTCTCCGCTCCTTCTCACCATCGTGGGCTAAACCCCGTCATCCTCGCCCGACGACGTGTTTCATCTTATGCTGGCGGCAACGCCATCCCGCCGGCACCCCAACCCGAACGCCCTCGCACTCCTCCACTCCCTCGTAGACGCCCCCCGACTGCCTCTCACGGCTTCCTTTCTTCTCGGTCATCTCCAACCCACCTTCTTTCTGGTGATTGCCAGCCAGCATCGTCGCCTTTCGACGCCCTCACGGCAATCCTCCTTGTCGTTTCCTTTCCGTTTCTTCGTTTCTCAGCCAGGTTGATCCTGCCGTCTTTGATCAGACGTTCAACAACATCGTCTTTTTCTCTCTCTCGAAACCTTCACGACCATCGCTTCCTTCGAAACTTCGAACCGACGACTTTCTCAACATCTCGTAGTAGACACATTCGGCATCTTGACAGCATATGAAAGCAGATTTGGACACGACATCTCGACTGCCATTCTGCTAGGGACCTTCGTTTGATTTCTCCATATACACGAACTCGCCAAGCCTGCATTGGGAATCCGAACGAGGAGTTTTGGGGACACGACACAACTGCCTCTCGCCAGCCAAAATACCCATTAAAAAGGGGTGGAACCACGACTTGTTTCCCTCAGAAACAGCAGCTAGCAAACCAATTGAAAAAATGGCGAGGTGGAACTTGCGAAGCGCCGCACTGTGGTCGGCCGTTCTCGTTGCACGAGTGGCGGCCGAGGACATCCTCACGACCAGCGGCTTCAAGAACTGCAACACCACCTCCGATATCAGCGTGGACAAGGTCGACATCTCGTACAATGCGGCCGCCAAAGTCGTCACCTTTGACCTTGCAGGCAGCAGCAACAAGGTCCAGAATGTGACGGCAACCCTCAAGGTCTCGGCTTACGGCCAGGAGGTCTACACTCAGAGCTTCGAGCCTTGCGACCCGGCCACGTTCGTCAAGCAGCTCTGCCCGGTCCCCGCCGGTAACTTCTCGGCTCGCGGCACGCAGGAGCTCCCCGCCGAGGCCGCGTCTATGATCCCAGCCATCGCCTTCCAGATCCCCGACATTGCGGCCTTCGCCTCCGTCACGCTCAAGAACATGGATACTGGCGTCGAGGCCGGTTGCGTTCAGTCTCAAGTATCCAACGGCAAGACCATGAACGTGCCTTCAGTGTCGTATGTGGCTGCAGGCATCGCTGGTGCTGCCCTCGTGCTCAGTGGTGTTTCGGCCGCCAGTGCTGGTATCGCCAGTGTTGGTGCGTCGGCGGCCGGAGGCACAGGAACCACGAGCCCGGGCTTCTCAGAGGTCATGGGCGTATTCCAGTCGTTTGCTTCGTATGGCATGCTCTCGGTCAATCTCCCTCCAGTATACCGTGGTTTTACCAAGAACTTTGGTTTTTCGATGGGTATCATCCCGTGGTCAAGCATGCAGATTGCCATCGACGACTTCCGAGGATCGACCGGGGGTAATCTCACCAGAGACAGCTTCAAGCTCTTGCAAAACACCACTCTGGTCTTCCCCGACGGCACCACTGGGAAACCTCAGCCGCCCGCCTTCAAGAGGGCCGTCCACGAATTCCTCACCCTCGCAACTCGCCAGGTCGAGACGTCGGTCAACGGCACGCTCGACGGCGATGGCGGCTCGGCGGCTCAGCCGACAGGAATCGAGTCCACAGTCTCTGGTATTGAGGCATACGTCAAACAACTATCCGTGCCTTCGTACAACAGCTTTATGACGGTACTCTTGATCACCGCCATCATCATCGCCGTCATCATCTTCAGCATGCTGCTTGTCAAGGTTGTTCTCGAGGCGTGGTCAATCTGGGGCAAATTCCCCGAGTCGCTGAAGGGTTTCCGTGAGCACTACTGGGGCTCGATTGCACGATCCATCACCTCGCTCATCATGTTGCTCTACGGCGTCTGGGTGCTCTACTCTGTGTACCAGTTCACCCACGGCGACTCGTGGGCAGCCATGACTCTGGCGGGTGTCACGCTCGGTCTGTTCACCGGCATTCTGGGCTTCTTCACCTTCAAGATTTGGTGGATTACCCGGAAGCTCAAGGAGAGCGAGGGCGACACGGCGGGCCTCTACGAGGACAAGGACACCTGGGTCAAGTACAGCCTCTTCTACGAGGCCTACAAGAAGAGCTACTGGTGGGTCTTCGTGCCTGTCATCCTGTACATGCTGTCCAAGGGCCTTGTCATGGCCGCTCTGGACGGTTCCGGCATGTCGCAGACCATTGGCCTGCTCATCGTGGAAGCTCTCATGCTCGGCGTCCTGCTCTGGAACAGACCCTTTGAGCGCAAGTCCTCCAACATCATCAACATTGCCATCCAGGTCGTGCGCGTGCTCTCGGTCGTCTGCATCCTGGTCTTCGTCGACCAGTTTGGCATCTCGCAGTCGACACAGACTGTGGTCGGTGTCGTCCTGATTGTCATGCAGTCGACTCTTGCTGGTGTTTTGGCTATACTGCTCGTATGGAACGCCATCATCATCTGCTGCAAGGAGAACCCCCACCGCAAGCGCAGAAAGCAGATGGGTAAGTTTTCCAAGCCCTACCAGGCACATTTTCGGATACATTTGCTAACCGTGTTGTCCACCGCACAGAGAAGGAGAGGCTGGAGCGCGAGGCCGAGAATCTGACTCCCCTCGACGCCAACAACGCTCTTCTCATGGGCTCGGGCAAGGAGTCGACGACCACATTTGCCGTCACCAGCACTGTTATGGACGAGAAGAAGGGCCTTTACGACCCGATGGCCGCACCGTACCAGGGTAACGCTTATGACCAGCCGTCCACAAAGGCCAACAACTTGAGTCTCCCGGGCGACCAGTATCACCGGGCCCTGACCCCGTCGCTTCCCTTCGGCCAGGATCAGAGCCAGGCCGGGTTGCTTGGTAACGCGGCGCCGATGGGGAACCAGCCCGGGTATCAGCAAGGTTACGCCCAGGGTGGCTATGGGGGCTATCGTGGCGGTTACTAAAGTTCCTCATCCAGGATAAGTGTATTTCTTTTTCCTTTGGTTCTAAGCATTCGAAGACAAACGACATCTCCTCATCGCGCTGGGCGCCGCGTAGAAGGGATTCTCGTGGGCGACTAGCTTAGCAGACAAATAGATGACAAACCGACATGTGCACAATACATACAGCTCGATCTCTTTTTTTGTTTGCCATACTCCATAGTACGATTTTTGATTTAGCTTTTATAATAGACCTTGGGAACACTGAACGCCATGAGCAGCTGTGAGTTGACTTGCTAATTACAATGAAGCGAAATGGACTGAGAGATAGCAATTTCAAGCCAGATTGGAGAACCGGCCTCCTCAGTATACAGTATATGGTGGAATTCAGGCACGCACGTCTATTGAAGGATGGGGACGGGCATGTTGGGTTCATCAGGCTCGCCATGCTGCACACTTGTCGAGCTTGAGCTGCGCCAGCTTGGCAGACCGATGCAGCTGGCAGAAGAGGGCCAACGATGAACTCTGGGGCAGGAGCTTCACCTCAAGCTGGGAGCCCCACCTGCCACAAGCTTCAATGAGTTGCCTCGCAGTACGCGTGGGACCAGCTGCCTTGAGCTCCACAGCAGCAGCAGCAGCAGCAGCAGCAGCAGCACCAAGCTAATAGCTGCAGCGAGATACCAGCAACCACACGGCGGGCTAGAGGTCGTCATCCCGCCGCCAGCCTGGGACAACCACCACACACATCCACATCCACAACCAAACCAAACCACACCTCGCCAGCCCGCTCAGCACGACAACCAGCATCCGCAGATCTCAGCATAGCCTGTGAGCACATATTGAAGTCGTCGGCCAGACTGGTTAGAGCACTTCAACGAGCGTGACCTTCGCTGCTGGCCAGCAAGCAAGCAACGACCCTCCCCGCCCACGATGGACTCCCTCGTCACCCGATACAGCCGCCCCGCGGCGCTCCAGCGCGAGACACACCACGAGGACAGCTTCGATGATGTCCAGGATGACATGGCGCCTGCCTTGTCTCTCAAGTTCGCCATGCCGCCTGTAGCCCAGGTCAGTACCTGTCCCCCACGCCCACCCCCCAGGCCCAAGGTCGTTTGTCGGTGTTTGGTGCTGGAATCCCAGAAGACCCTCCAGCATTGCTGCTTCACCGTGGCCAGTGCGGATGGGGGCGACGCTGATTTGATCTGACGACGACCTGGAGAGACATGCAATCTGTTTGAGAACCTCGATGCTAACTTTCCAACACAGCCCTCCGCCTGGCTCCGCGCCGCTACCGACGACCGGTCAAACCCCGACTGCCCTATCAAGATTGCCCACGGCACGACAACTCTCGCCTTCCGTTTCAAGGGTGGCATCATAGTAGCGACGGATTCGCGTGCGACGGCAGGCAACTGGATCGCCTCGCAGACGGTCAAGAAGGTCATCGAGATCAACGACAAGATGCTGGGCACGATGGCTGGTGGTGCCGCCGATTGCCAGTACTGGCTCGGCTGGCTGGGCATGCAGTGCCGGTTGCACGAGCTCCGCCACAAGCGCCGCATCAGCGTCGCCGCGGCCTCCAAGATCCTCGCAAACCTCGTCTATCAGTACAAGGGCATGGGCCTGTCCATGGGCACCATGTGTGCGGGCGTCACCAAGGAGGAAGGCCCCGCGCTGTACTACATCGACAGCGACGGCACGCGGCTCGCAGGCAACCTGTTCTGCGTTGGCTCCGGTCAGACCTTTGCGTACGGTGTCCTCGACGCCGAGTATGACTACAACTTGAGCGATGAGGACGCGCTCGAGCTCGGCAAGCGCAGTATCCTGGCTGCCGCCCACCGTGACGCGTACTCGGGTGGTTTCGTCAACTTGTACCATGTCAAGGAAGCCGGCTGGACCAAGCACGGATTCATGGACACGAACCCGATGTTCTGGGAGACGAAGCTGGAGAAGGGCGAGTTCAGCAACGTCACGAGCGCGCTGGAGTAAGCTGGGATTCAGCGGGCATGGGCATGGGACTAGAGATATAGAAGTCACAGTCACAAAACCAAAGCAAGACAAGAATCATGACAAAGCGATTCCAAGACTGGGTGCGAGTGTTCTGCTGCGTGAAGTGTCTAAGCATCTGACTATGAGCATGATAGTTCGTGGCTGGAGACTGGCCGTTTCTAGTGCCTGTGATATGTAGTGCCCCAGTTGCCGGTCCGGTGTCGCTTCTGCGGATGTGTTATCGTCCAGAGATCCAGAACCAGTATGTATGGAATGCATCTCGACAACGAAACCCTCCCTGACATGTCGAGGCTACTTTACGTGGCATGTACATCACGGCGAGGGAAAGCCGTCGTCGTCCCCGTGTGTGTGTGTGTGTGTGTGTGTGTGTGTAATCCAATTGCAAAAGCTGTCCGATTCTATTGTTCTTCGTAACTCATGAAAAATGCCTGATTCTTTCCTACATGATGCTCCTGGCATACTCGGAGCTCGTGATATCGTACATGTATTGATGATGATTGCAAGAGTACAGGGTTAGGACGGAGCCCACCAGTTGTCGCCTCCCCCCCCCCCCCTTCCTCTCGCCAACGCGCACGCATGTGTACAAGAGGAGGGGAAAGGTGTCTATACTGAAGGGGCTTCCGCCGCTAAGGAAAAGTAGTTTGTCGGATGGATATACCACTGGGGCCCCAGATCTTCTTCTTCTGCTTCTTCTTCTATGCCCGTGAGCCTCGCGGACACCACACCACACCACATGTACTAAGGGCCTCTGATCTTTGGGCGTCTCGCTTGTGAGCCATGAAAGCGGGCAGACAAGCCTAGTCGTCGCGGTACCACCCTTGCGCGCCGAGGATCCCGCCGCCAGCGCCGGCCGGATCGAGCGGCCACTTCTTGATGGGCTTGACGTCGAGCGCCGACCGCCAGCCCGCGGTGTACATCTCCATCCCCGTCCAGGCGATCATGGCGGCGTTGTCGGTGCACAGGGCCACGGGGGGGAAGATGAGTTTCACGTGGGGAAACCCCCGGACGTCGAGGATCGCGCGCAGGATGTGGCGCAGGTAGGCGTTGGAGGCGACGCCGCCGGAGAGGACGACGGTGTTTATGCTGGTGGTGCTGGTGGTGCTGCCCGAGGCGTGGTGGCCGCCGTCCTGCTGCGCGGCGGCGAGCGCCTCATCCTTCCTGATCCGCTTGAGCGCCATGACGAGCCTGCTGGCCAGGTGCTCAAAGGCCAGGCGCATCGTGTGCCTCGCGAGCTCGCGCCTCTCGTCGAGGCCGAGGTCCGGGTGCTCGTCGGTGACAATGGTCTTGACGCGCCCGTTGAGCCCGGAGAAGTCGTAGCGCATGGCGGCGGAGCCGTGCATGGGCGGCGTCAGCCACCAGGCCCGGCGGCACGGGGAGGTGTAGATGCGCTGCTCGTCTGGGCGGGTCTGTGGTGGCGTGTAGCCGTAATCGTATTCCTTTGGCGGGGAAAGGGAGGAGTGTTGTTGTTCTTGTTGAGGACGGGGGAAGGCAAACTCCTCGAGCAGCCTGCCGTACATGACGTCCGTGGCGGCAGCGAGGTATTCCTCTGGCAGGATGAGCCGGGCGCACTTGTCGAGCAAGTCGCCGATGGCAATGTTGTCGGCTTGGGCGAGGATGGCGTGGTCGTTGAGCCCGCGCGAGTGCACGAGCAGGCTGTGCCCGCCAGACACGAGCACCGAGATGAAGGGGAAGTCTGGCTCCGTCGCCACGGCCGTCTGTTCTTGGGGCGAGAGTCGCTGCTGCTGCCCCTGCTGCTGTTGCTTCTTCTTCTCGAGCGCATGCACCAGCCGTGGCGTGAGGGCGTGGGCCTCCATGTGGTTGACCGCCAGCAACGGGACATCCCACGCCACGGCGAGGCTCTTGGCCGTCATGAGCCCCACGGTCAAGTTGGACATCATGCCCGGCCCCCGCGTCACGCTCACAAAGTCGGGCTTCCGCCGCGCCCGCCCGTCAACCCAGACCGTCTTGTCCCCCAGCCCGCCCTCGTCGCTGCGGCCCACGGAGCTACCACTCTCGCCGCACCTAGGCAGCGCCCGCAGCGCCCTCTTCAGCAGCGGCGCCATGCTCGCGACGTGCGACTGCACCGCAACGTCCGGGTACACGCCCTTGAAGTCGCGGCTGTCGGCGGTGACTTTGTCGTTGAAGTGCAGTGTCGCTCCGCCGCTGCTGCCGGCGTCCCCCGTCGTCGAGATGGCATCCCGCTCGAGAATCGCCACGCACGTGTCGTCGCATGACGATTCTATCGCCAGGGTCAAGAGGTTGCCATGTTTCCCGCCATGCTTCCTGTCTCCCCTTGCTTGTCCACCTTGTTTCTGAGGTGAGGCCGGTTCTTCCGTCGGAGCAGCGCTCGCTAGTATGCGCGTCGTCGTGAGGGAGCGTCGGGAGGTTCGAGGTGCAAGTCTCCGGCAGCCCTGCCCGGGGAGATTCGCATCTGGAAGGACGAGGAGGAGGAGCGGCGAAGTGTGGCTTGCGGCGCAGGCTCGTACAGGAGGGGCTGTGGGCAGGTCATGGGGCCGGCGACATGGTCGCGACAGGAGGGAGCATGACCTCCTCATCAAGACAGGCACATCAGGCGTGTGAGCTTGGGGCCGGTCGAGGTTGCGCCAGTGCGGACACTAGGATCGTATTCAATGGGGTTGCGCAGTGTGAAAGGGCGCCGAGATCGCCCGCTGGAGCTATCCAGGTTAAAGTTAGCAGGTAGGCGTGGGGAAATGTTCACCCCTTATCTTATCAGCATTGGGCTCTGGTCATCGCCGCGCCACCATTAAGGAATGCAGTCATCGCCACGGTAGAAATTGAAATGTATTATCTACTAGGAGGCACAACCTGTCAATGAGTGCTCTCAGTCACTCACAGAAGCGCCAGATCATCTCATCCGTACCAACGGTTACAATCATTCCCCGACGATACTCGTGGGTACTTGCGCGCACGAGGACCTCCTCTGGCCAATCATCTTACACGCTTTCCTGCTGGGCTCTTTGCAATATACTACGTGGGAATGCTCAAACTAGACAGGTAGACACGGGCGATGGCATATCAACAGCCTTTTCGGGCATAACTCTGGAGATTTCGCGCAGAGGAAAAAATAAAGATCCCGGCACGAGTACTTTATTGTTACTACCAACCGAGCTCTGAAAACCGCCAAACCCTTTTGACACCTTCAGATATCATACTTTGACGATCCCGCCAACCCAATCACCGGGGGTAGCAGGCCTCGACTCCCTGAAAATACGATCGTACAAAGAGGCACCCCAACTGCATATAGCCAACTTGCGCTTACAGCAACCACAATGCTAGAACACCTGCGCAAAGGCAGCTGGCGAGGCTCGCCGAGATGGCGGAAGCACCAGCAGAAGGGATGATGATGATGGGCGAGCTGGCAGCAGCTGGAGGTACGATGCCACCAGAACCGCTGGGAAGAACAGCAGGAACCGCAGTAGGGAATGCGACACCTCCATTGGAAGGCAGGGTCAACAGCCCAGAGGTCGTGGGGAATGGCACGAAGACACTGGAGCTACTACTTAGAGATGGGCCAGAAGTCTGTGCTGGAGGCACGATCAGGGACTCGCTAGGCGCAACGATGAGGCTTTCACTAGGCGGAGCAACCATAGTCTCTCCCGGAGGGGTGACCATCGTCTCCCCTGGAGGACTGACCATCGTCTCCCCTGGAGGACTGACCATCGTCTCCCCTGGAGGACTGACCATTGTCTCTCCCGGAGGCGAAACCATAGACTCCTGAGGAGGCGACACCATTGTCTCTCCTGGAGGCGAGATCATGGACTCCTGAGGGGGCATGACAACCTCGGAAGGCATGGCGCCATGATCCTTTCCAGGGTAAGAGAGAGTAGGAAACACCGGCGGCGGGGCAATGACTCCATGCGAGGCAGACAACTGGTAAGGCTCAGGCGTTAGTAGAGGGTTTAAGAAATCTTCTCCTGACAGGGCACTACTCACTACTGTAGTGGACGAAAGCTCAATGGCCGTAGAAATAGACGCTGACGCCGACGCCGTCATGCGAGCGGGCTCCGCAACAGAGGTCAAGACAAGGTGAGAAGTGGAGGCTGAAGCACCCACAGAGAGTGAGGCGGAGCTGGAAGTAGAAGAGAGCGAGGCAGAGCTGGAACTAGAGGAGAAAGAGGCAGAGCTCGACAAGGACTCCGTGACAGCGAGCGTGGCCGAACTCTCGGAGACCACAGACAGAGACACGGACGCCGAGGCAGACTCCGAGAGAGAAACTGATTCGCTCGGCTGCAAGTGTGCCGGGGGTACAGGAAGCGTGCCTGGGAGAACTGAAGGAGGCGTGTGAACCGCAGGAGTCTCGATAGGCAGCCTAGCGGGTTCAGAGACCGAGAGAGTGGGCAAGGCGTACCCAGGAGGCGGTGGTGGAAGGACGAGCGGTGGCAGAGCTGCAGGAGGCGTGTGCACAGGAAGCTCTGCAGACGAAGAAACAATGATATCTGATGTTGATGTCACCTCGGGCTTCTCGGTAGACTTCTCGGCCTTCTCAGCCGTAGTAGTCTCTTCGGATTTGCTGGACTTCTCGGGCTTCTCAGTCGTGGTGGTCTCTTCGGATTTGCTGGACTTCTCAGGTTTCGCGGTAGGCTTCTCGGCCTTCTCAGTCGTGGTAGCCTCTTCGGATTTGCTAGCCTTCTCAGGTTTGTCGGTAGGCTTCTCAGCCTTCTCAGTTTTGGTGGCCTCCTCCGGTTTGCCGGGCTTCTCGGGCTTCTCTGTAGGCTTTTCGGCCTTCTCTGTGGTTGTCTCGGTGGGCTGCTGCTCGTCCTCGGCAGGCCTTTCTGGCTTTCCGGGCTTCTCTGGCGCCTCACCCTTCTCAGGTTTCTCGGGCTTCTCCGGAGCTTCGCCCTTCTCAGGCTTCTCAGGTTTCTCTGGCTTCTCCGTCTTCTCGGGGGCCTGCTCGTCTGGCTTCTCCGTGAGGGTCGGCTCAGAGGTTGTGACGACAGGCGTGACCTCAGCAGATGGCACCAGCTCCTCGGCACCCTTCCCAAAGGCCTGCTCGGCACGAGCCACCTCGTGGCTCACCATCCCCATTCTGGCCTTGCGTGCCGAGTGTGCGTGAGCCCGCCGGGCCGGAGCGGCGGTTGCCAAGGACATGGTGCCGAGTAGTGCAAGCACTACGGATGACTGAGAGACCTTCATTGGTATTGTGGTTGATTGATGTTGTTGATTGAGTGCAGCTGAGTGTTCAAAGTGACTCGACGAAAGCGAGATGTGGCACGTGCTTGGCCGTGGTTAGACGGGGTATCTACAATTCTAGCTTGTTGGCGATATTGTCGGCTCGCAGAGCTCGGTGGAGTAGGCCGTTAAAAGTCGTGAAAAGACACACAAAAAAAAGTCGAGCCGGAGGAAGAGAAGCGGAATAAAGATTGACTGATCAACAGTACCAAAAGTTGCTGGCCAGCAGGCAGTGTCGAAGACGAACCAAAGAATGGAAGAAAAAGAAGACCGAACAACGAACAAAGAACGGATGGAAACTGCGGTCAGTAGTCTGGAGAAGGGAAGGGGAGGGGAGAAAACAAACCGAAAAGAGAGGAAACGAACGAGGAGATATTAGAGGAAGCGGTCGACAGCAGCTGGTCCCGGGCAGGCACCAGGGCCCATGCCGAGAAACAGAAACGAGGGTGCTTGGCCGTGGTGGACCACCTGCTGCAAGTACAGTGTTGCGGTTGACACCCCCGGGTCTGTCATGACGGCACTCGAGATCGAACGAATCGCCAGCCCAGGTCGGACGACGGGGTCGCAACCCCTGTGTGGCCTCCGTCCGACGCTGTCCATGTCGGGCAGGGCTGGGCATCGTCAGAGCAGTGCCTGCACCACCCGGCAAGGACGGATGGTTAGAGGCACTCGGCATGGCTCTGGGGCCAGGCTTGGACGCAGAGCCTCCTGGCCGCTGCCGGAAGAGGGTCCCTTCCGTGCACATCTGAAGCGGAGACGCGCGCCCGCTGCGGGATGGCTGAAATAAGGTGTGGACCAGGGTGACGAGGTTGTCCATGCAGACCTAGCCCGTGGTGGTATAGCTGCGGAGCTATCGCTGGCACCACCCCGGCAGGGTTTCGACACCAGGCTTCCAAGGACACAGGGCCGTCGTGTTGGCTGCAAGTCTGCAGAGGAGCGTGATCTCCAGCTTTTGAGATGGACAGGGAGAGATATCAAGAAGGCAGCTGGCAGTTTGGACTGTAAGAGGGATTCACTTGGGAGTATTGTTGTTGATCCCCCGTGCCTCCTTCAAAGATCACAGTCATGTAAGTGTCGATACAGTTCTGTCTGCATACCTTAAGGGACTTAGGGTTTTGGCAGACTTGTTCGCATGGAGTATGGAAGGTCTCATCCCAACTTGCAGAACACTTGCAAGAACACCAGACCCAGCACCACCACAACGGTTCAATGTCAATCGCCCCTTCCCCGCCCAAGCCGCTGAGCTCTCCGCTTTCCCCCTGCCGAGTACCATGAGGTACGTACCCAAGCCAGCCAGCCAACCACAGCCCCCGAACCATTGCCAGGGGTCTTCATTCCATGGAAGGCCGGGGGTGGGTTGGGGCCAAAACCCCCCCTGCTGCGGCTCTCCATCCAGGGTCTGAGACACGGAGCCTTGCACTTCTGCAACTCAAAGTCCTCTCGGGGCGGTTTCAAGTCACAGCCCCTTCACAATGCACGAGCATTTGGCATCGCAGGCCCCTGGTCGTCGTCTCATCAAGGCTCATCCACCAGCACGAGCTCAACGTCATGGTTGTCGGGGAGAAGAATGAGCAGACAGACAAAGATTAGACGACGAGAGGCGCAGTCTTCCAAGATCGAAACACAGCTTGGCCGGTGTGGTTCACAACTTCACATCAGACGACAAAGTCTGAGTTGTCAAGATTTCTGCCATGACCATCTGACTATCCAGCCGACCTCCATCGTCAAGTCATTTGCATGGGTTCCCTGATCATGGGCGGCCCTCCACAGAAGACATCATTCCTGCCTTCCACGTGTCGCAACTTTTAGCCGCCGCTTTCAAACGACCATGCACAAAGAGACACCACGAAAGCAAGATTCGCTGCCTGTATTGCGACACAGCCAAGGGTTTCACACCACGTCCTGCTCCCGCCGCATCTGAATAATCTAGTAAGGGATCGACAACCACACCTAATCGGTACAGCTGACTCTGCTTTGCTCGGCCTCTGCCTCTCCCCCAAAAATAACGCCCTGATATACCCCACAAACACTCCTGCAAAACAAGCTTCCAAGCCTCCACCAAATAGTCAAGGTCCCCATATCCTAGTAGCCGCTTCGCACTCTGAACGTCCTGCTCTTAAATGTCCATGTCCGTGCCAAGGTCGAGGTCGGCTGTCATGTCCCCAGGCGTGTAGCCCGCGAGTGCATCTCCAGCTGTGTCGAGGTCGCCAAGCGATCCAAAATCAACAAAGTCGCCCGTGGATGCGCCAGCTGGCGTGCCCACGGCAGAAGCCTGCTGACTCGACAATGCCGGGTTGGCCGCTGCCGGCTTGGGCGGCTCACTGTCACCAGCGTTGTTCTCATTGTTGCCTGTGCCGGCACCTGTACCATTACTGCCTGGGGTCGCCCCATCCTTTGGAACCACAACCCAGTCACCAGACCCGGAGCCTTGGTCGGGGACGGTCCCAGCTGTCACATCGTTGCCCTTCGGTGCTTCAGAATCACCCATCTTGACATCGGCAGCCTCGGTCGCGCCGGCTTGCTGAGGCGCGGCTTGTGGCGAAGCAACATTGACTGGTGTCGCAGCGTTAGACTGCGCTGCAGACAAGTGTGCTTGCGGGGTCGGGAAGTTGTTTGGCGTCGAAGTAGAGGACATGCCGGTATACATCTGGTCCAGAAGACCCGCAGCAGTTCCGCCCATGTCGATGTCAGAATCGCCAATCATGATGCCGCTGTGATTCGAACCAGCTTGCGATGCCTGGCGCGACATTGCGTTGCTCCCGGAAGTGCCACCACCTACGGTCATTGATTCTGCAGCAGGGACAGCAGGAGTTGGTTCCGGCTCGGGTACTGGCTCAGGTGCAGGTTCTTGGTAGCCGCCTGCCTGAATTCTCCTCAACTCATTCACAGCCTGCGCGTGACGACCCAGCTGAGATTCGACCGAGGCGATGATGGCGTCGACTGTCTTCGTCGTTTTGTTTTGCCAACGGCCAGGCACTTCACCGTGCTCGTCAGGCCGCCCCTCAAGATTGAAGCCATCTCTGCTCGTGCCGTCGGTAGTGCTGCGGAGCTCTTTCTCTGACTTCGTCAAGATCGAGTTGTTCTTGAAACGGGCCAGCTTCCGCGCATGCTCGGCCTTCATCTTCTCAATTTCGGAGTTGGTAGACGCAATGCGGTCATTGACGCGCTTGCGGAATTCGGCAGCTTGCTCGGGATCCAGGCGGGTTTTGGCTTCAGCCGTGGAAGGCTGGACCAATGTCTTGTAGTCCTGGGATTCAAAAATGCCCTCAGTCAGGCCGGACAACTCGCCCTTGAGCCCGAGGCCGATATCGGCAAAGCCTATCTGGCCAAGGCTGTAGGGTGACGAGAGTATTTCCTCCATCCACTCATGGTTTTGACGATATCTGTGCAGGCTGATCTCTCGAGGGGTCAGGTGGTCGAACATGTCGCCTCTAGACGTATCTTCGTCATCATCGTAGGCACTATCCTGATGCGATAGAGCGCCCATGGGCGGCGCGCCTTGGGCATGTGCGGCTTGGGATGTTCTGGCTCGTTTTGAGGGCGGCCCGCTAGGCGTAGGTGCTTGACTAGGATAAGCCATTGATTGCGGTACCCCTCTGTTGCCAGCATAGACCGGCTGTCTCGGTGCCTCCCTCGGCCACCCAATCTGCGGCCAGTTGGCGCGGTCTCCGAGGATGAACTCCTTGCGCTGAATCTGCCCGCATCGGTAAAGGTAGCTGCGTGTCTCGTGTATCTGTTGTGTGCGATTATCTCTGGGCAGTTGGCTCGCATGGATTCTGTCGTTGGGCTCGTTTGGACCATAGTGGACAATCCACAGGCTTGGGTCGACTTGCGGCGCATTCGGGTTTGGAACGTTGGGGGGGATTAGGCGGAATCGTCGACGCGAGTGCATGGCGTACTGATCTCCATAGGCAAAGCCCGCCTTTTGCAGGTACATCTCCAGGATCTAGGATTCTAAGTTAGTATATCAGTGCAATCATGCAAGCCTCGCCGAGCTCAATGAGTGGCGAGCCCTTCGGGAGTGCACTTACGACACCATTGCCCACTTCCTGCTGATAGTACGTCTCCTGCGGCGGCCAGACATAGCCGTCACTGGCAAGTTGAACATTCATCTGCTGCAGGGGCTGCCATGTGAGGAAGATTGAGCCATTCTCAGGTTTGTCGATATAAGTCCAGTAGAACGGCGCCGTGTCGCGTGCGATCTTGGGAGCCTGCATCAACAGCGAAGTGACTTCATTTGGCTGGATGGTCGCCTTAACGGGATATCGATAGGTCGAGACCAGGTGAATGTGAGGCAACTAGGTGTCATCAGTACTGCATTCATCATGCGCCGCGAGGTCAGCGACGATAGAGCCGTGACGTACCAGGTCTCTGTGCACTCCGAAGCTAGGGTCGGCCATTTGGGACATCTTTGAAGGGAATTCGAAGTGTCGCGTCAGGGTCGAAGGCGCGCGTGTAACATCGACAGATTCTAATGCATCAATCGCAGTGATTGACAGTCGCGAAAGCCGTAGCGTAGTGGTATGCGACTTGGCGCATCGATGTCGCGGATGCAGGGTTGAACGAAGCCAAATCTTGGATGAGGCTGAGTGGTCGCGAACTTCGCGACACGACCTGGCGTTCTGGCTCGGCTAGGCGGGTTGCGGGTCAAGCTCAGCTCTCAGGTACGACATTTGGTCGCCTCAAAAACTGCGCCACAAACATCACCCAGGTCCGTGGCTGGTGTGCATGGCAGTGCTTAGTCATCAGCCATGAAACTGACGTCTAGTGCATGTCCACGCTCCCAAAGCCGCTGAGACGAAAACAGTGGATCTTTCGAACGCTCACGAGTACTGTCCGCATCCAATGCGTAGTGAGCTTAGATGCCATTTATCAAGCATTATTTCTTGATCTTCGGAGAACACAGTGATTGGATATCATAATTGCGTTTGCATTTCATTTCCGTTCTATAACCACGGCTCGGTTGTGCCGCCGACTGTTTCAATCTCTAGCTAAAGAGCTGCGAGCACGCATGAGAGCCAGCCCAATATGTTCCTCATTACAATTCATTAATCTAAGCCTGGTATGTCGAAGCAGAGACGTTACCACCACGTCCGGTCCAGTTGACGTGAGTGTACGCGCCCTCCTTGAACTTGTCGTTGGCGAACTCGGGCTTGATCTGGAAAGTGTGGGCACCGAAGTAGTCGCGCTGAGCCTGCAGCAGGTTGGCAGGCAGGTCCTTGGTGCGGTAGCCATCGAACCACGACAGAGCGGTCGAGAAGGCAGGGGTGGGAATGCCAAGCTGTGCGGTCTTGGCAATGACCTCTCTCCAGCCTGGCTGAGCCTTGTGGATGGCCTTGTTGAAGAAGTCGTCGAACAGAAGGTTCTTGAGATCGGGGTTCTTGCGGTAGGCCGCGGTGATGTCCTTGAGGAAGACAGAGCGGATGATGCAGCCACCTCTCCACATGAGGGCAATAGAAGGCTTGTTGAGCTTCCACTTGTACTCGCGAGCAGCCTGTCAAGGTGATATTGTCAGTAATCAGCACGAACACTTTCCCAATGCCAGTCACGAAGTTTTGGTGCACAGATCGGACATACCTCCTGCATCAGCATGAAGCCCTGGGCGTAAGAAATGATCTTGGAGGCGTAGAGAGCCTGCTCAAGGTCCTCGAGGAACTGCTCGCGGTCACCTTCGAACTTGGTCACGCGGCTGACGAACTCGAGCTTGGTGGAAGCCTCGGAACGCTCGGCCTTGATGGAAGACAAGCAACGGGCAAGGACAGCCTCAGCGATCAGGGTAACGGGCATACCGAGGTCAAGAGCGTTGATGGCAGTCCACTTGCCAGTGCCCTTCTGACCAGCCTGGTCGAGGATCTTCTCGACGAGCGGCGTTCCGTCGTCGTCGTTGAAGTACATGATGTCCCGAGTAATCTCGATGAGGAACGAGTCCAAGACACCCTTGTTCCACTTGGCGAAAACGTCACCAATCTCCTTGCCGCTCATGCCGAGACCGCGCTTCATGATATCGTAGGCCTAATGGATTTGAGAGTTAGTTTGCATGTCACGATCATGGTGGAAAGCTCGCGTGAACATACCTCGCAGATGAGCTGCATGTCACCGTACTCGATACCGTTGTGCACCATCTTGACGTAGTGGCCAGCACCTTCGTCACCAACCCACTCACAGCAGGGCTCGTTGTCGCTCTTGGCCGAGATGGACTGGAAGATGTCCTTGATGTGAGGCCAGGCAGACTCGTCACCACCGGGCATGATGGAGGGACCATAGCGAGCACCCTCCTCGCCACCAGAGACACCAGAGCCGACGAAGCGGAGGCCCTTGGTCTGGAGGTACTGGGTGCGGCGGTTCGAGTCGGGGAAGTGAGAGTTGCCACCGTCAATGATGATGTCGCCCTTCTCAAGGAGAGGAAGAAGTCTCTCGATCCAGTCATCAACAGCCTTGCCGGCCTGGACGAGGAGCATGATACGGCGAGGAGACTTGAGGCTGGCAACAAACTCCTTGTCGTCGTGAGCGCCCACAATGGACTTGCCCTTGGCCTCATTCTCGAGGAAGTGGTCGACCTTGGAGACAGTTCGGTTGTACGCAGTGATGGTGAAGCCGTTGTCAGCCATGTTCAGAATCAGGTTCTGGCCCCTGTGACGTGAGCGCGTTAGTATGGGGAGACAGGCATGGTCACGGAAGAAACGAATGAGGAGTTTGGACGGGATGACTTACATGACGGCCAGGCCGATGAGGCCAAGGTCGGAACTTTGGAGAAAGTCAGCATGATTCTCAAGGTCAAACGCAGCAAGTAAGACTGGGTTATGTGGCGGATTGGTCGAAAGCGGTTATATGGGAGGAGGTGCAGCAGGAGGAGGGCGCGGGGATCAGCTCGGTGCTCGCCTTGGACCTCCTCCGAGAACGGAATTGGTGATGTTTTTGAGACGAGCGCTGGAGGTGCATTGAGGCGTTTCAGTGAGACTTTGACCTCGGATTGCTTGAGAAGCCTGGGGCGGTTTTTGCAATGGCTCGCCAAGCAGCCGCATCCGCAGGTGGGGGTGAGGTGATGGCGAACGACTTGATCACAGCGGGGAGCGGCAGCACGGCTGACGATGGCTGGCTGAGGGGTATTGGAGGAGGGGAAGCAGCAGGGACTTACACAGCTCCAGACATGATGGGCAGGTGTATTTGGATTCGAGCACAGGACGTCTAGTCAGGGTGCGAGGAGTGCTGAGGCGACACAGTCGACGACGAATCCAGCAATCAATACTGGACGAAGGGTGCGATGAGAGAGTTTGGGATGTCGAGGGGGACGAAAGGCCGGATGCGCGTGGATGCGCATTTGTATGTCTGATGGGGCCCTTCCGTCACCTTTGCAATCCCACCCGCCTGCCACGCCCCTCCCCGAAATTTCTGGAGCGGCAACCACAGCATCCGCCTCAGGCTGGGCCGGGGTGTGCCCGCCCGCCAGGACTGGGCCATCGTCAAGTGTCCGATCGCCCACTCCTCGCCTGCAGCAACGGCGCATCCGGACGGACTAGAGGCCTGTAGCTCCGCCCAGGCATCAAACCTTGAGCTCGACCCAGCAGCCAGCCATTCATTGGCGAGCGTGGCTCAGGTGGCTGCAAGCTCCAACCGGCAAAGCTGTGCCCTTGAGGCTGACAAGAGGAACTGCAGGCCAGCGTCCCCCTTCGGCTAGGCAATCCGTGGATGCCATCACTCCCAAAGCCAGTCAATTCAAGGATATAGGCTCGACCATCAATCCACAGGCGGCCAATTCGTGCCTCCTTGTGTGTATTGAGCTGTTATCCGAGCATCCCGCCCGCGACCTGAAGGCTGTTGCGAATGACCTCATCCGTACCATGCATACCCACAACCAGACCCCATGCTATGCCCCAAAGCAAGACGCTGATTCAGAACCCAGAGCTCTCTGTGCCAACGCTCGAACTTCAACCACGATAGTCTGATTCCCGTGTGGCACGCAAATCCAAGCAGTCAAAAGTTCCATTATATTTGACACGATCATGGCTCATGGTTAAGCCGACACAAGCAGGCAGCTCAAGAGCGGCGCGAGGAGCCCCTAGCAGAGGTCCACACGCTGGTGGTGCATCACTCGCGTTTCGTAATCCCAACGGCATCCCTGCACTCGGCTGACCAAGCGGTACTTCAAGAACGCGACGGGCGGTATCCAGAATCTGCGTCATGGGCATCCGTGGTGGACCCTGAAGCTCGGCCGCTCACGCTCGTCTTCGAGACACGGCCCGATTCGAGATGGCAATGCACGAGCCTGTGAACACACCGTCTGCGAAGGCGGGGTTCGACAAGCTGTCTGGTGTCAGGCACGCTAATGATCCATGAGCGGCTCGATGTGCGGCCACTCGGCTCGGCAAGTGCACCAGGATTGGGGCTGAAATGGGTTGGTCTCCAGAATCAACTGCTGGGCAAAATAGCCTGTTCAACACGGGTCGCATTGCACCGATACCGGTTGATGGCACCATCTCCGTCGCCGATAATTGCGAGACCACCACTCCGTGCAGAGTTGACCCACAACTGCTCATCTCAGCCATACAGAAAGGACGATCCACACAACCAGATTATCCTTGGACGTGTGTCATGAACTGTGACCCCCACGGGCGGTAATTGGTAACAGCGACGCAGCCTCACGATATAGCCGCCATGTTTACCTGTTCGTATTGGCCGCGCGCTCCGAGCAATCGCCTGGCCGGCAATCGGACTCGTTGTACAGCACAACTTGGACAAAATCACCATGAGGGATTAACAATACCTGCATGTTGCCATATTAATGGTGGTTCCGATTATATAGAGGCTCTTCCGGCTGCTTACACAGGCAACCAAGAGCCTTAAATTGGGAGCACTGCTTATGACTACTTGAACAATGATGGCGAATACTTTGCGAGCGGACTCTGCGGTCCGAACATTATGAGCAAGATATCAGACTACCACCCGTGCATGGGATTGTATGCTGATTCCTCGCCAATCATTGTCACAACAGGCTGACCCATACGGAATTACATGCGGACGGCGAGCGAAAGCAGCTTCTATGGCGTTTTATATGACCGACAGCAACCCAGCCGGTGATTGTAAGGCGGCACCACTTTTTGGGTACTGTGCGGACAGCCACACCCGATTGTGTGGTTGTTGTCCCTCATGATACATCCAGTCGGCTTGGCCCGATTGAAGTGTTCGGGATATTGTGAACATCCCTAAGAAGAACAACAATCAGGCTTTCGGTAATTGCGATATATGAGAAAGAGATTCGCCATGGGCGTCTTAAAGGAATAGCACCGACATGTGCCATTCGTAATCAGAATATCCGCATATCTTTGAACAAGAACCTTCTCGAGCCCAGGGTGCGGACGCTTCCAGAGACGACGGGCCAGGCAGCTTATGTAATTGTCCCGCGGGGGCTGGCCACCTTCAGGGTTGCACTTGGGCAACGACCTCGTGGAGCCAGCCGCCCAGCGAGAGTGCGATAAGATAACGCAGCAAGAACCACCGGCTTTCAATAGTGTGCCCCGACTCTGGACACTCCTCATGGTCAAGGTCTTCAACCAGCAATCAACGACTCGATCAGCGACTCAGTACTGGCCAGTGAAACTTTGCAAGTCTCGCCCTCACGCCAATATCATCGTCTTATCTCGCCGTCAGGACCACTGGAATCACTCAGCGCACGAACGTTCCTTGTCGCAAGCGGGCTCACTAGGTACGTGCTGAGAGAAGAAAGCCAAGTCACCCGCGACGCACAGCAAGTTCATCATGTCGTATCCGCCGCCTCCAGGTGCGAATCCCAGCTCGCTTCCGCCGCGTCCTCCGCCGTCAAAGGTCTCGGGCTTCAAGCCGGCCTTCTCGACGACTACAACATCCCACACCCCAAGCCCAGGCATCAGCGCTTCGCCCTACAGCGCGCCGCCTTCATACACTGGCACTGCGAGCCACGCGAGCGCGCCTCCTGGTCGTTATGGATCGACCTATCAACAGTATACGCCCCAAGGGCAAAGTCAGATGAGCGCCACTAGCTACCAATACCCTGCTTCTACAGGGTACCCGGCAGCACAACACAGCTACTACGGCGCACAACAAGCAGACAATACTACATACTCGGCCACACCACAGATCCGCAATCCGTTTCCGGCTCCTGCGCCCCCCAGTACTGCAGCAGGCGGCCCCGGGGTAAGGACCGATGATAACGATCCCGAGCTAGCGGCGCAGATTGCGCAGTGGCAGAGCGCCTATGTCACCGACCCGACGGCATCGACCGCACCTGCTCCGGCACGTGCTGGGCCTGGCGGCGCTGCCAACCCCAGCGCCACATATCCTGGCGTACAGCCCACAACTGCCGATCCTCATGCGACCGGGTCCGACAAGAAGAAGACTGTGGTGCGGTCGGGTGGCGGTACGAAATGGACCGACGACACGCTGCTCGAGTGGGATCCCACGCACCTACGGCTTTTTGTTGGTAACCTTGCCGGAGAGACAACCGACGAGAGTCTACACAAGGCGTTCTCAAGGTGGAAGTCCTTGCAGAAAGCGCGAGTGATTCGAGACAAGGTGACGAACAAGTCCAAGGGTTACGGATTCGTGTCATTCAGTGACCCAGACGAGTTCTTCCAGGCGGCTAAGGAGATGAACGGGAAATATATCCAGAGTCATCCTGTTCGCGTGAGCAAGGCGACGACAGAGATTAAAACGGTCAATGTCAAGGACAAGCACGGCGGAGGAAAGTGGAACAAGAACAAGAACAAACACCGGCAAGGAGGAGGCGGTGGCGGAGGGAGTGGTGCTGGTCGTGGAGGTAATGATGGAGCGTACGAGGCACATCTTGGAGCGCACGGAGGCGGCGTAACGAAGCCCGGTCAGAAGACCAAGGGCGGGCTCAAGCTTTTGGGTTGAGGGACTGTAGGCGGTGATAACCACGCCGTGAGGCTTTTTCTGTTGTCGCTATGGGGTTCATTGCTACAGACGGGGTATTTTTTTCAAGCGCACGGCCTGATACTTCTGAAATATCATTTAAGCTTCATTCCACGAAACACGATAAGTATCCGGTCATGACCCTGACACGGACTCCGACGACATCAACACGACATGCCCAGCGACTACAGATCGAGCTGGGCAAGCGACACTTGGCTGGGTGAGGCTACGAAGACAGTTTCCATCAGAGTGCCAAACGCCGGACCGTCTAGTGTTGAAGCCATGGGGATGCCGTGTGTTTGTGTGGGGTCTCTAATGCAAGCCGTGCAAGCGTCCACAATTTCGGGGCAGCAGACCGACGTCATCGTGACCTCTTGGATCCGGCCTAGTCTGGCCAGCAGTTACCGTGGCCTCTGGCACGGCCATGGGCTCGCACGCAACCGCAGTGTCCTCGATGAAACTTATCCGGCAGCAACTGTGGCGGCTGAGTGCATGCGTGTTTGACTACAGAATGACGCCGGACACCTCGACGCCTGCAGAGCGTGTGACTACGGGATTGTCGCCCTCGTTAGAGTTGGGTCGGGCTGGGTTGGGTTGGGTTGGGTTGGGTTGGGGTTCTGTAGCCAGCACCACATTCTGGAGCGGGACCTGATCGGCAGGATCCCTGCTGCCTTGCAAGTGCCTCGCGACGTCAGCTCTTCCCGGTCACGTTGGAAGAAGCTTCATACATGCCTCATGCACCCTTTGATGGCCGCAGAGGTCTGCTCACCAGTGCCTCTTTGATCCACACCACTTCTTCTCATTCTTCTTCTTTTGCAACTCTTCTCTCGATTGTGGCCTGCCAAGCCTGTTTCTGACTCCCGACACCGCCAGGGGCTGCACAGCACCGCTCCCACACCTTCCCGCGCCGGCGCCCACTTACCTCCCGTCCCGACGGCTGGCCATTGCAAGCTTTCTGGACTGGCGCTACGAGCTCAGAACAGCGTCATCATCGCCGCCGCACACCGCGCATCCACGCACCACGCGCACCCAGAGGGAAGCCCAGCAGGCGGAGCATGGAAAAGCCTGCCCTCGAAGCGTCCCCCGAGCCCACATCTCCCGTGACCCCCAACAAGCCGCCGCGATACTTCTATCTCGGTATGTCGTGTCTCAGCCCTGCCTCTCGTCCCATTCCTTCCTGCACGCCCAAGACAACAGACGAGATGAGGCCCTGGCGGCCATGGTTGTCCTTTTAACTGCCCTTCCTGTCGCAATATTGCACTCGGCAACCTCGTCTTCCTTGACTCTGCACCGGCCATCCTCCCTCTGACGTTGTCCTGCGTGTCCTTCCTGGCGTCGCTCCGGCGTAACATCTGCCCATCATGATGGCCGACCTCCCCAATCTCCATGGCCGGCGCATCGTCAGACCAGAGAGTCTCCATCGCTCTAAACTTCCGTCCAACCGCCGTGGCCAGAAGAACAGCTCTCAGTCCGATACGCGCAGGCATTCTGACCAGTTTCCCGCTTCAGTTTCTTCTCCCAGCCGCCAGTCTAGCCACTCGTCAACACGCTCCGCAGACTTCACCGCAAGCGTTGCCACCTCACAACTTGATAGTAACGGGCGACGTGGCGCTCGAGAGTCGCCAAAGACAGACTCGTCTCGTACTTGGGTATGCGAATCCAGAGTTTCGCGAGCTAAGATACCACCAACTAACGCCAGTCGGCAATACAGGTCATAGATCCTGACAGTAATTACACCTCAAGACCGCCCACTTCACCTATTCCCACTCGCAATTCGAGCGCAGCAACACCGACAAGAACGCAGCAGGCTCCAAGGCGTGGGCAGTCTGTATATCGTCTCGACGGCACGATGGGTGCCGTTGCTCCAAATATGATGCCTTCCCCTCCGCAGTCTGTCAAGGATGATTCAGTCAAGGTCCAAACTGTCTCCTCGGATCCTCGTCAACCCGACGCCCTCAACACGCAAGGAGGCAACAGCTCCCATGAGGGATCTTTCATTCATGTCCGAGATTCAAAGTCGTCAGCCTCAAGCAAGCTGAACCTGGACGATGAAGAATTCCCAGCTCCAGGGCAACTTAACGGATCAAAGAAGAAGGACGACAAGGCAGCATTAAACGCATCGGAAGACGAGAAGGACAGAAATGACCATATCAACAGCCTCAGCAATGCTTCAAAGATCAGCTACGCTTCTGCACTCAGAAAAGACACCCAGATGGAAGAGGACGACGACTCGTATCCGGAACTAGATGACATGGGCGCGGAGATGGTGCATCAACCACCTAAGCCCAAGAAGAACGGAGGTATTAGATGGGTGCCATTGAACGTGCCGTTCAAGCGCCGAGGACAGACTCTGGCCGTGCTGCTCCACAGCTTGTGCATTGTCATTACCGTATCGTTCTTCTGCGCCTGCTGTGCTAATCCCCTGGTCTGGCCACTGCTGCTTGTGTATCTTCTACATGTGCTCAACGACAAATCAGCGACCGACGGGTCGCTGAAATATCGCAGCGAACGTTTCCGTCGCAGCTACCTCTGGCACCTCTTTGCCGGTTACTTTCCCGCCAGGCTGCACAAAACCCACGATCTTCCTCCTACTCGCAAGTACATCTTCGGCTACCACCCCCATGGCATCATTTCGCACGGGGCGTGGGCTGCTTTCTCGACAGACGCCCTGGGTTTCAGTGAGAAATTCCCCGGCATCACCAACACCTTGCTCACACTTGAGTCCAACTTCCGCGTCCCGTTCTACCGCGACTACTTGCTCGCGATGGGCATGCGCTCTGTGTCGAGGGAATCTATTGTCAATATCCTTACGAAAGGCGGTATGGACGGCGAGGGCATGAGCCGCGGTGTGACAATCGTGGTCGGCGGCGCGCGAGAGTCTCTCGAGGCCGTTCCCGGCAACCTCCGCCTCATTCTGAAGGAGCGCAAGGGCTTTGTCAAGATCGCCATACGGACGGGCGCCGACCTGGTTCCCGTTCTGGCTTTCGGCGAGAACAGCCTCTACGATCAGCTCGAGAAGGGCGAGCACCCCATGCTGCACAGGCTGCAGATGTTCATCTTGAGGGTGTGGAAGTTCACATTGCCCTTCATGCATGGACGCGGCATTTTCAATTACGACGTCGGCATGATGCCATACCGCCACCCGCTGAATGTCGTGGTTGGTGCGCCTATCAAGGTTGTACAGTCTACGACTATCGACCCTGCCGAAGTTGACAGGCTACACGAGCTGTACGTCAAGGAGTTGGAGAAACTGTGGGAACACTACAAGGACGAGTTTGCGCAGGACAGAAAGGAGGAGATGCAGCTCTTGTCGTGAGCGCGTAAGGCTTGTTTCAGTTCCGGATTGCAAGAATAGAGAGATGGCTGATTGACATGCCACGGAGTAATATGGAGTAGTGGAGTATGGTGTATTATTAATTATTAAACCAGGCTTGAATTCACGGAAGTAGCTACTTTTTGGTTTCTATCAGTTGCTAGAGACGGGGACGATGTAGTCCAGAAGTGAAGGAAGAGCCCTTTCGTTAGAGTTTGCCCAGTCGACCTCTTCATCAAAAGATGAGCCGAGACAGATCTCGTGGGGGTAAACACTGCCGGCCACGCTACTGGCGCACAATGGCGTGAGCCCGACTTTGAAAAATGGCAGCGTGCCCGGAAATGAGGCCGAAATCACATGCAATCGGCTCATCAAGGCTGATAACAGGAAATACGACTGCACGGCACCCGCAGCACGGTGAGACACTCATCATATGAAGAGGTGTGTATTTGTCGGGGCTCTCTGTCCCTCCTTCGGGGGAATGTCCCCCATTCCCTTGGTGGCCCTGTTGAGTCAGATTGGCTGCACCGATTGGGATTTCGCGTAAGTGTGTGTGCTTGTGTGTGTGTGTCTTTGTATGTGTGGGAGACGGGTGAGCCAGCTGTCTCACCTCGCCTTGCCCAGACATTTCCCGCCTCGCTGGAAATGAGGATCATACACACAAACACACACACAGCTGGCGGAGATAAGCCCTTCTGTGTTGGCATGTCGTTTGAAATGAACCTCCGGGAGGCCGGTCGGGTGTTTTTGCGAGGATCGATTGGGTCCGGGCTTCAGGGACAAACCAGCATGGACGTGGTATTTGTTGTGATCATCTCATGGGCGCATTCGTGATATAGTGAGTAGATTTTGGGTGCGTGCTGTCTCATCGTTGTCGTCGTCGTCACATGTTATCTGCGCCTGGCTGGCGGGACGGCGGCTCCTCGATCAGTTACTGCGACGCTGAAAGAGTTGTGGGCGGGCACAAGCGGTTGGCCTTCGCCCCGATCTGCATCTTGGCCTTGGTTAGCAGAAGCAGAAAAAGGAAAAGGAAAAGAAATCATTTCGTCTTCAAGGCAAAAGGAAGGGATGTAGATTTGCTAGGGGGAGGAGGTCGTTTTGGTCCAGCTGCAACTCAAGCATAGTTGATGGGGAGTGAATACCTTACACGGACGTTCCATTTCATACACATCTTGCGATCATTTCATCAAGTCCAGCGGCAGTCGTTCATGTGTGCGCAGGCCGAGTATTGGGCTCCGGGATGAAGCTGCTCGGAGTGTGTAATTGCGGTCTGAGACAATCCGACGACTTGGCGCATGATTCAACAAAAACCAGCCAGGGGAAGGCTGTCGTCCAGCAACATATCGTTATCGTAATGAGCACATAATCTGTTTTGGATAAAGAAAATAAAAATCTGAGACTGAAAATCCAAGAAAGAAAGAGAGAAAAAGTCTAAAGGGTACGAACCAAGTCTCTTCATCTCCATAGGCGCTTGCCGGCCACGACATTGTAGCATGTCACTCTCTGGTAGCCGTGGGGTCAAGAATTGACTTTAAAGACTGGACTTTCTTGCAGAGTTTCGCGAAACGAGCTACCGAACTGAAAATGGCGTCGCTAATGCTCATCAACAAAGCGCGGGAGAACTTCAGCTCAGCCAATCCATACGCACCAAAGCTACATGTTTGCGCCCTTGTACGAACCAACAAGGCCTCCCACTCCTGCTTTTCCAGTCATCTGGGAACCGAGCCGGGGAGATGTCCCCCAAAACGAACACTTCTTCCCCCCAGCCCAGGATCTTGACCTCAGCTTCGATAAACCAGACAAGGTGTGCATCGTATATAGAACCAATTAAATGCTGTGATTGTAGCTGCATCACTGCAGTGTGCTTGCGCCTTGCCAGGCACTCAGAAAGCGTTTCTCACAAGGTACCTTATGTAGGTACACGACTCTGCACCTTGACGTGTTCACACGTTTTCCTGGCTTCTGGATTTGGTACATGTGTCATGCTGGCCATCATCCGGACAACAACACCAATCACTCTGCTCTAAATACACTTCTGTACGGCTCTCTCCAAGTTATGTAACGCTCACAACACTGCCCAACCCAAAACTCGCCACCGAGTTGTCGCTTTGAAATGCAGTCGCAGTCGCAGTCGCAGACGCAGCCGCAGAGGGCGAGGCCAGAGACTCCGCGACAGAACCGCTCACGAGTCCCACAAACAGGAGCAATCATCTTGGTCTTGTCGCGCGCGTGCGGTGTCGCCCTGGCGGCTGCGAACATCGCCGTCGTAAACAATGCCAAGCGCAAACGGGGTGACTCGCGAGAGCAGTGGTGGTGGACCGTGGGTTTGGTAAGTGACTACCAACCCTCCCTCCCCCCGGGACAACAACAACAACAACAACAACGGAATACATAATCATCTGCCTAGAACTGGCCTACTGCTGACATTGAGGTCCCGTTACCGTCAGTCGGGCGTCGCCATAGCCATTGACGGCCTGGAGATCATCCCGCTGCTCGACTTCACGGGCACAGTCCCGCGCATCCACCCTTGCGCGTTCATGTGTGTCGACATCATTGTGGCGTGCGTCGCGATCGTCGTGGTGGCACTGTACTACTTTCTCGACTACAACAAGAACATGGGGGTCGTCCTGATGAATGGAGGGCTGATGATTACCTTGTGTTTGTGACTTTTACGGGCTTACTGTGGGATCTCTCTCTCTCTCTCTCTTCTCTTTTCTCTTTTCGCTGTATATCCTGTACCTGAGCAGTTACTACAAGTTGAGGGTGCCAAAGTCTGGGTCTGATATTGAGGAATTGACTAATCGAGGCGGCGTACAGAGGCATGAGGGTGTTGCTGATGACCTGGGGATGTGCTCGGACGTGTTGCTGGCGGTGGGGAGACAAGCCCACGGAGGCCAGAGCTCGTGCTGAAAGCAGTGCAAGCGTCGAGCTGCCTGCAGTCGCGCAGAAGGCACCGGCTGGAGGACCCCTGGGAACAGCTTGAACTATGGGCAAAGGCAAGCTCAAGAATACTCGGTCTTTGGGACTTTTCGAGTTTTCATCACACTGGGATGAGGTGCGACGATCCGGAACTGTGGAGCCGTCATCCTGGCGAGAGCCTGTCCGAGGCCCAGATATCACATAGAACCAAGCGGAAGGAGGAGAGGGATGAACAACAAGAGCCGGCCTAGGCCTCCCCAGCACACTCACAGGAGAAGATGTCGCAGATATATGACCTTTGGCCACGGAGACAGGTCTTGTCTTGTTTTGGACTGTCAGTACGCTGCTTCAGCATCGGGGCATTTTTTGCTAGCGTGCGGGAAGATCTGGATGCCATGCCGCGCAGACGTTGGTCGATGGGCATCATCCCGTTGCCGGCTGGGCGACAGCACGAGTGCGCACAGACGTGACGTGAGGCCTTTTGGAGGCGGCATGGGAGGACGGCACCGCCATTGCGAGACGTGCCTGCATCTGAAATGATAATAATAATAATGCTCGACCGTGGCCTCTGCTCCCTTCTTGTGGCAGCAATTCACGGGTCCCGGACACCCCGCCTTGCCTTGCCTTGTCCGGTCGTTGCTTCCGCTCGGGCCTCCGCCCCCCGAAACCGCCGGGCGCCGCAACGCCGGCAGCACGTGCGGGAGGCCCACCCATGTTTCCCATCATGCAAGGCCAGCCCGTGGGAGATGAGCCTGTCAAAGTGTCAAAGTGTCAAACACGCCTGCCGGCCGATCTCTCCCGCCTCACATCCCTGTCCTGGTTATTTGCGTGCAATGTAGCCGAGTCCCTCGGATGGCCGTTTCCCCCCTTCATCTTCTCCACGGGTTCGAGTTCTTCAATGTCGTTGTGGCCAGGACGGCTCCACATTATATTGCAAACGCAAGAAACAACATGTCTGTCACTTCTGCAGGTACGAAGCTGAGGCAAGACCAGATACGTATCTAAGGCAGGCACAGTGCACACTGCTCCCCAGATGGCCAATTGTCCCCCTTGTCCCGTAATGGCAGAACTGGAATAGAACGAGCGGAAGCCTCTCGGTTCACCAGTTGGCCCTATTGCACAGCGGGACGATGCGCGTGGGCTCGGACAAGCAAGGACCATCATCCCAAGACCGCGGGACACAGTGACACTTCCTGCGTCATTTGCCAGGCGCGGCACTAGCGCAGGGACGACTTACACCCGCTGCTCCCACTATAGACCAGACAGTCATGACAGATTAGACGTCAAAGTGCCAGAACTGAGTCCACAGCATCCACAGAGTCCATAGCGTCCACAGAGCTACCCCTGCTGCCCCTGCTCGTCCCTCGTCTGATCGCAGACGTGCTTGCCTTACTCCGCCATGGCAACTCTTCAAGCAACCCTCGAGGGTGTCGAAATGGTGAGAGAGGCACTAGTATATATTTCCCTCGTCAACCCTCGGAAAACACCAATTCCTTTCTCTCTTCCCTCCTCATCCCAACAACAGTCGGCCTCTCTTCCTTCCTTTCCACACTCACTTCCATCAACCCACTTTCAAACGCCGGCCAGCCCGTGCTTTCCAACATTCATTCTTCACGCTCCCTCGAATAACGTGTATATCTATACACATATATACATAGACGCATTCTCTATCTCTCGCATACTCTTTCGCAAGGACAGGATCCGCATCTTTTCAAGTCACTTGAACAACCAACCAAACACGAACCCAGCAAGATGAAGTACTCCGTCGCCGTCGCCGTCGTCATCGGCGCCACTTCCGTCTCCGCCATGCCCGTGACCGGCCCCGTTGCTGGTAAGTCAAAGCGAACACGCCCAACGCCACGACGCTTCACAAAAGGGGGAAGCCTAGATAATAAGGACTGGTCAGAACGCTAACAATACTGGGTTTTTTCGTTTCCGCAGCTCTCCGCGAGCGTGGCTTCTTCGACAGCATCGGCAACTGTAAGTCATCATCATCTCGCCCTGTATATTGCAAAGTTCGTGTTTCGGAATCAGCTTGGACTGACAGGGCAACGACAAACTCGACAGACTTTACTGGTGGCTCAACCAGCACCACTCCTGCCGCTCCCGTCCAGAGCCAGCCCGCCACCACCACCAAGTAAGCAACTTGCTGCCCCATTTACATCACCAAAGCCACAAACTCCAGACTAACAGCGATTCCTACCACACAGCCCCGTCGAGGATGCCCTCAACACCATCGTGGGCGGCGGTGCCCTGTCCCCGCAGATCATCCGCCTCCTGCAGGACGGCTCGCTCGCGCAGAACACGCTCGCGACCATTTCCAAGAGCGACGCCTCGGTCAAGGTCAAGGGCCTCCTCAAGGACCAGCAGTTTCTGAACAAGGCTGGCGCGCTCTTCACCAACGAGACCTTTATCAACGAGCTCGCCACCGCCACCGTCAGCACCCACGCGAGCGCCCAGGCCGTCGACCTCATCGGCAACGCCGACTACCTCGGCTTCCTGTCCGGCATCGTGGGCGACAAGGACATCTTCAACGCCGTCGCCGGCGCGCTCGCTGGTGGCAACTTCAACCTCGGCGGCTTCCTGAGCAGCAGCGCCCAGTCCCAGGCCGTGTGGAACTTGGCTGCCAGCCTGACCGGCGACGCCTCGCTCGCGGCCAAGCTCGAGGCTCTCTTCACCGACAAGGTCTTCATTGCCCGCTTCGACGCCCTTCTCAACTCCAAGGGTGACTTTGCCGCTGTCCTGACCGACATCCTCCAGGACGGCGAGTTCATCGCCCACGTCTGCAACATCCTCGGCCTCAGCCCCGAGCTTACGGCCAAGATCACCGCCCTGTTCAGCGCCGGCGCCAACTTTGGTGCTTCTCTCGAGGCCCTCCTCGGCGCTGACTTTGCCGGCCAGATCACCGGTCTCATCGGCACCGGCAGCATCGGCTCCCTGATCACGGGTGCCCTGAGCGGCCTGGGCAGCTTCAACGCCATCATCTCCGGCTACCTCTCCAGCGGCACCATCGTCTCCGCTATCGGCAGCCTGCTCGGCAACGTCAACTTCACTGGCAAGTTCACCGCGCTCCTCCAGGGCTTCCTGTCGGGCAACCTCGACCTGAATGCCATTGTTGGCAACATCACTGCCGACATGGGCTTCCTCACCATGATCACTGGCGCTCTCGGCATCCCGCTCAAGATCGTCCAGACCGTTGTCGCCAAGATCACTGCCTCTGGCTTCTTCAAGGTCTTTTTCGGCTTCTTCAACGTGGGTAACTAAGTATCTGAAATCGGCGCGAGGAAAAGGATCCGTGCTGTGCTTTTTTCTTTTCTTCCCTCCCTCAGAGGGGTAAAGCTGTTTCTGTTTGAGACGGTCTTGCCCACTCATCTTTCAATGTATGGAGTAGCGGTTGGCTTTTGTGCTGGACAGGCAGGAGAGGCCACTGCATGGGGTGATTTTCCTTCTTTTCTTGTGTTTTAGATGGAGGAAGAGTTGTACAGTAAACTGTTCAGCTGGATAGCGGGCTCACAGTTGAGAAAGCATGATCAATGACCTCGACATTGGGCCTTTCTGGCTGATCAAGTGCATGGCATGATGTCGCCGAGTGCTTTGTTTGAAAGTGATACCTGTCAGATCCTATCGACCGCGACTTTCTGGTCCGTTCATGGCAGTAAACCATCTTTTCCCAAACTGGTGCAATTCGCCTGGCGGCTGCGACATGCCCGCTTGGCGATGTAGAGTGATGTGCGTGTTTGGGAGGTTGGCCTTGCTGGCCGATCGATCGGAGCCCATCGAGGCCAATCTGGGCAGCTAAAGAGGTGCGGAGACGAAGCCGTGAGCACACGTGATGACATTGGGGTCTGCGATGGATGCGTGCGGCCCCATATTCCTGGCCCGGCGCATCCGACGCCCGAGGACCCGCGCTCGTGGGTCAGCTCAGCGTGCGGGATGCCCTGCAACAGGGATCGATTTTGCGGTGAGGTGCGGTGGCATGCACAGAACGGCTGTCTGGACGGCAGCGGGCGCCCTCCCAGCAGAGAGAGTGATCGCCGCCAAGTGCCAAGTAGGTTGACGCAGGACCTGGGGAAGACAGGGGGGGTTATTTTCGAGGGCTGCACATGACTTGCTGCGAGGTGGTCGCCGTTTGCGTGGACCAGACAGAAGCTGCTGCCAAGCTTCGACGCACAAGAAACAAGGTTGTTGTTGCCTTGCCACACCGCGACGAGTGATCCAGGAATGTCCCTGTCGCTCTGGCTTTTGACAACGCAGTAAGCCTGTCTCGGGTCCCGCCGCTGGGCTGCCTGCCACAAGGACTGGCGACGGACGACCAAGGCGCGGCACCTCCTCACAGCTGGGAGAGTCTGAAGGCGATGGATGGCATTGGGTCAACTCGCGTGTACTGACTGTCCAGCACGCATGATTCAGGGAAAGAGCGGTGATGACAGCGTGCAGAAGTAGGCACGACCAGTCCAGTCCTTGCAGCTCCCACAATGGATAGCACAAGCTAGTTGCGTACTTAAGATGGCCTCTTTTAGCGCTACCCGGTAAGCCCAAAGGGAGCCAGCATCCCGTGAGCCAGGCTCACGCTGGCTCATTACCGTGCATTGACGTGCACCACCTCACACTAACTGATGTATGTGGTCGCGTGTGGCCCTGGCGCGCGCAGCATCAAGGGATTAGGTTTCGTCCCGCAGCTGAGCGTGCCCCTGCAATTCCTCGGGTCTGGGGTTCCAAGGCCGCGCCAGAGAGCAGGGCAAGACTTGCGCCGTCCCTCTGGGATTCCACGAGACCGTCATGGGTGAGGTACGGTCCAGCCTTCCAGAACCTCTAGACTAGCCCTCCCGATCGTAGCAACAGGCTCGTACAGTCTCGCCCCGGCATGACAATTTGAGCTCCACAGATCATCCTCGCTAGGCGTCGATAGCTCCAGGCGTCCCCCCCTGCCGGCGCACAGCTTGCATTGTTCCAGCCAGAGACCCGCTAGCTGGACCACTCCACTGCCACTCAGCGACAAGAATCCCTTGCTGCTCAGGGACCAACCAGGCCACGTTGGGCATGGCTGCCCCAGCTGCCAGCAGGTCACCCGCTCCAAGTCTCCCCTACATGCTGTATGTGCATGCGTGTGTGTGTGCCCTATCCGACTCACGATTGCCAATACTCGACACCCGTCGTCGACCACAGGGCACCCGTGATCTGAACTCCTGATCATGTCGTCTTTGCTCACCAACTCAAGATCGCCATCCTCTTCTTCTACCCCTCAGCGCCAGCTCCACCTCCACGAGCAACAACAGCAGTCAGCTCACCTCGCTCTACCCTCCAACCGCCCTTCCCGCACCGCCGTCGATTCTTCCGGCAACGTTCTCCTTCCAACATCTCCGAGCCTCGTCGACACCAGCGCGTCCTCTCCTTCGGCCGCCTCGACCAGCTTCCGCGCTGACCGCCCTGCTACCAATGGTTACGGCATAGGGCGCTCGTCCTCGCCTTCCTACGCGACTTCGTCTCACCTCCGCAGTCCCGACGACAGTATAGAGATGGATCCCATCACGCCTGGCGGGCATCGCCGCCGCCGGAGTACCCTGACCGGTTCTTCCAATGCGCCTCCAATCGCTTCTCGGACGACGCGGCCAAGAGGCAGTAGCATCATGGGCGGCCCAAGCGAAGCTGCTCCGAAGATTTCAGAAGAAGCCAATTCGGGAGAGTTCGCGAGGCAAGATCACCGGGCGAATCTAGACAGCGATGGCTCACTCTCGGACGAGGACCTCCACGATGACGAAGAGACCGGGCTCACGAAAAAAGACAAACGGAGGAAGAAGGCGAAGAAGCAGCGCAACACGCGACTTGATCAGAGAGTCGCCCGGGAAAACCTTTCCGACGAGCAGAAGCACCTAGCCGACCTCAACGTTGCAAGGAGGCTCGCCATCAACCTGGTCTTGATTGGTCTCTGGTACATTTTCTCTCTGTCAATATCTCTGGTATGTTGTTGGCTCCAATCCTTGGCCGTCGGCTGTGTTCTGGCGCCAAACTCGGTTTTATTTCGATGGTTCGGCATAACTGACAAGTCTGTATCGTCATTTCTAGTACAACAAGTGGATGTTCGATTCGAGTCGACTCAACTTCCCATTCCCGCTCTTTACGACTTCTATGCACATGCTCGTGCAATTTTCCCTAGCTGCGATAGTCCTATACTTCTTTCCTTCACTACGACCAAACAACGGCCACCGTGAGTCGGACCTAGGCCGGTCACGTCACGAAGCCGAACCCGATAGGCCGGCAATGACCAAATCATTCTACTTGACGAGGATAGCACCATGCGGTGCAGCAACTGGGCTGGACATTGGATTGGGCAACATGTCTCTGAAGTTTATCACCCTGACCTTTTACAGTAAGTGATTCCAGCATGCTGTACTCAGTATGGGGTTCTTTCGTTTTGGGTTCGGCGGCATTCAAGTACTAACAGTACACCTTTAGCCATGTGCAAGTCCTCCTCGCTGGCGTTTGTCCTCATCTTCGCCTTCGTTTTCAGGCTCGAATCTCCGACGTGGAAACTGGTGGCTATCATTGCGACCATGACTGGCGGTGTTATAATGATGGTCGCTGGCGAAGTACAATTCGACCTGACAGGATTCGTCCTCATCATCTCGGCGGCCTTTTTCTCCGGATTTCGCTGGGCTCTGACACAGATCCTCCTCCTACGCAACCCGGCCACTTCGAATCCATTCTCGAGCATCTTCTTCCTCGCCCCGGTCATGTTCGTGGCTTTACTCGTGATCGCCCTCCCGGTCGAGGGCTTCTTCGCTTTCGTCGAGGCTGCACAGGGGCTCAGCCAAGAATGGGGAGCCATCAAGGCACCATTGATTTTGCTATTCCCTGGCACGATTGCGTTTCTAATGACGGCCAGTGAGTTCGCTCTGCTGAAGCGAAGCAGTGTCGTCACCTTGTCTATCGCCGGCATCTTCAAGGAAGTCGTCACCATCCTGGTTGCCGCAGTGGTGTTCGACGACAAGCTCACGCCCATCAACATCAGCGGCCTGGTCGTGACAATCTTTGCAATCGCATGCTACAACTGGATCAAGCTGTCGAGGATGCGCAACGAGGCGCAGGCCGAGGCGACCGGCAAGACCTCGGGTAGCGGCTACCAGACCGCCGCCTCGTCCGAGGAGGAGGACAAGGACGACAGCGACTCGGACGACGAGGATGTGGGCCTGCTGGCTCACGAGGAGAACCGGCAGCTTGACAGCAGCATGATCACACTGGACGGCGACATCATCCCGAGCCCGCCGAATCGGGGCCACTCGCGGACGCCGTCGCAGCTGCAGCCCGGCTCTGGAGATGAGAGACGGGGCGGATATCAGAGCGACCATCTCAGAGATGACTAAAGGAACTACCTGTCGTGTCTCCAGTGACATATAGATCAATATATAGCACGTATATGATGATACTGGATATCATTGAGACGCAACGAGAACCGCGACATGTATGCAGGTCGTGTACTCGCCCGGAGATATTTTGATTACAAGCTTGTGTCCACTAGTGAGCCCGTGCCGTTTCGTGAAGCCGATAGTTTGCTCGCAAACGGCAAAAGGTGTCTCGAATCTCGAGCCTGTTTTGCGGCTGTCGGTGCGAACCTGTTGTCAGATTATCGGAGCGGGGGGGACCGGTCAGACTGTTCACCATAGCCCGGAAATTGTGTGTTCCGTGGGGCTACACGTCATGCTTGTTGTGTACAATGTGCTTAAATAGGTCGCGATTCTCTTCGGGCGGACTGTTGTCATTTGTGATGTTCAACAAGCCAGTCCACTCTGAGGCATGTCACGTGTGGTTGATCATAACGTGCACTGCATGTACAAGGATGGAAACGGCAGGTAGATTTAATGCGCATTGAAGATTTGATAGCTGCTGTCAATCATTTTGCTCAAGTCGTTGTGCGTAGAAACAGATCCTTCGTCTCCTCAACCAATTTCCCATCAAGGAAATTCAGTCATGCACACCCAGAACATATACAACACCAATATGCTACTCATGCGCAACCTTGCGCTTCCTACTCCATCTCTACAATCCTTGCCACGATTGATACTTCATGAAGCAGCCCGAGGACTCGGACTTGGACGTAGGATGTCGTAGGACCAAACAATGCCTGGCATCTTTGAGTGGCGGGAATCACCACACGAGGTTCCAATGTCTTGCAAATCCTGGGGCGAGCACACAGTGTGTGTGCACGCTTTTATAGAGGCTCGTAGCCGCCACTGTTGTGGGCGGCGCGGTTGGAGAAGAGCCAGTAGATGATGATGCCACCGATGGGGAAGAGGAAGACGAGGAGACACCAGAGGAGCTTGTGGCTGACGGGGCGGTTAGACTTGAGGACCTCGACTGCAGAATTTCGAGAGATGGTTAGCATGTTGTGTTTTCCGCCTGCACGTACAGGGAGCATGGCTGGCAATGGCGGACAGAGCGGCAGGAAGGGGAGCAGTGGGAAATCTGGAGGAATGGTGACATACTCCAGACAATAATATCGAGGACCAGAACGATGAAGCCGACAATGCCGCCGCCAGTGCCGTACTGCCACGGGTCAGCAGCCGTGGTCGAAACCTCGTCGGCGACCGGGGCCGCAAAGGCGAAGATGGCCAGCAAGAGCTGGAGGAAGACGGAGAGGTGGTAGCTGTGCAGCATTTTGACGACGTTCTGGATCTCGACTGCTTTGTGGTGAATGTCTTTGATGTACTCTGGAGAGAAATTGCTTGTCGTATTGGCAGGTGGGAGGGAGAAAGGAACAGGCGAGGGTAAAGAAGCGTCAGCGTAGTTACCTTAAGGTAGGCAGGCCACGAAATGATCGCTGATGACGGCAGAGGGATTGGCAGTGACGCTCGACCCCAGAGGGAGCAGGTCCCAGGCAACCAGGTTTGGCATCAAAGAGAAACAACACCTGACCACGGCAGTGAAGCTCGTCTATTGGCCGCAGCAGGCAGAGCTGCAGGTGCCCGGTTTGAAGCTATCCCCATGTGGACAAACCTCCCCCAACTGTCAGACGAGCGCGCGGTGTGGTGACGTCATTTGTGCAGCATCCACTTTTCGCGGACCAGTCGCTCCTCCCTTGTCTGACGGGATGCGATGGCAGCGATTCATCACCCCCGCATTCACAGACTCCATGAGCCATCGTCTTTGAGCCGTCATTGGATGGCATTGGTCGCGTAAGGAGTCGGATGCTGTGCGCCAGTCACAGTGGGCACAGTGGGCATCTTTCTCAAGTCGAAACGGACTCCAGCACTTCCAAGGTTGCCTCCATGACAATTGTTTACTTAAGTACCTCAGGCATTGTTCATGGTCTTCCAGGCTCTTGTGCGTTTCCAGACTCATATGAGCTGGACAATACCCAACTAGCCGGACGGGTTCCAGCTGGAACCGCGCTATTCTTTCATCTGCAGGCGGGCGTTCCAACCTACGATACACCGAATCAGGTCCCAATCACCGTCCTGCCCAACCCAGTCCGTGACCACGATGCCCGTAGCAGCGTCGCCTACCTTCAGGCCGTCAGGGCCCTTTCCGTCCTCGCCATGACGTACGCACAGATACTCGATGATGGCCGGATTGGCTTTGGCCGCGACCTTCTCGGGCCAGCAGCTGGCGTTGAAGAAGTTGCTTGCGCTCAGAAAGTTGATGAAGAACGGCTCCGGCTCCTTCTCCCTCTCGGGGAAGCCGACCTTCTCGCCTGCTCGCTCCAGGTGTTTCCGGGCCAGCTCAATCTTTTTGCCAATATTCGTCGACTCTCCAACTTCATAAAAGTCCTGAACCCGGGCGATACCACTGCCAACCCGCCCGTCCTCGCAATTGTCTGGCCAGGCGCTGCCGTCTAAACCCCAGCCTTTCCCATCGTGCTCCCCTCTCAGACTGTCGTCGAGGACATGCCTGCGTAATAGAACTATCTTGCCACGGGCTTCTCTGAGCCGGGGCACCCACGGACGTGTAAACCATCGCTCTTTGTTACCCTCGTAGAATTTGTCCTTCAGGATCCTGGATAGCCTCTGGTCTGATCCCTTGCCCGTGCCTTCACGCTTCACACTCATGACGAGCGTCTCCGACGGATTCGCATCCAGGAAAGCATACACCTCGTCCAGCAGCTCCCGAAAGTACTTGGTGCCAGTCAGGGAGATGGGGAACGCGCTGTGCACCAGGGACAGGTTGTCATGGTCCTCGCTTACGGAGACGCGGATGTCGAAGAAGCGCACGCCGTTGTCGAGCTGCTCCCGCACGCCGGCCGCCTGGCAACGCACAGACGGCAAGGCGACATGGCACGTCGGGCTGTTGTGCGTGCCAGGGATGGACAGAGCCGAGAGGGGGAAATCGTCCTTGAGCTCCCGCATCCAGCTCGCGAGGTTGGCAGAGCTGAAGATGGCCAGCGTGCACCCGTTCTGCACGTAGACGGCCGTGTACTCCTTGGGGGCGCCGTCCAGGCGCTCGAGCTCGATGCTGCGCGCCGAGGCACCGGGGATGTCGAGCCGGTAGCGCTGGCCTTCTTCGTGCTCGAAGGTCAGGCGGACGACCTCGCGGGCCGGGTCCGGCGAGCGGACATCTGTCAGCCTGGTCTCGAAGCGCGGGACGACGATTGACACGTCGCGGCGGTCGCGGCCCTCGCCTTGGGGCACCGCTGGCCGAGAGACCGGGGCCGACGTCGAGTTGAAGAGCCCGGAAAGCTTGCTGGTGATGTTTGCCACGCCGCCGCTCTCGACGGGCTGGGCGTCGAACCGCTCAACCAGCTTGAGCTCGAGCTCCGTGATGGTGAGGTTGCGGATTGTGAGGTCTGCCATTGTCGCGAGCCGCGAGTCGTTCCTGGACAGCTTGCCGCCCGTGGGCAGGGGTAGGCAGTCACACATGAGGACAGGATGCGGCGAGATGCACGCCAGCCACCAGATCGTAGCGGGATCTCGGCAGGGCGTCACACCTCACAAGCTTCCAAGGTTGTGAGTCCTTTGAGTTCCAGGTCCTGTGGGGCGTCCTCCTCGGCGTGCTAAGCCAAGTATAGCAGCCCCCCCACACGCTAAACAACACCACTGGCAGGGTTCCCAGGCAACTTGTCTGGGGATCGTGTAAGTGGACTTCGTGAAAGCCCATTCGGTGTCATACGCTGCTTCTACTAGGACATAATGGCGCAGGCTCTCAATTTTATTTCCCTATGCGTCTGGCCAAACATCAATGATCCCCAGTGAGAGTTGGGGCGTAGCATCAGCAAGAGTCGGGCAACGACAAACTCGAAGTCCATTAATACAGCAACTCGTCTAAACATTCACCACCATGAAATTCGCAGCAGAGCCAACATCTCGTGGGCCATTTCAAATAATCGTCCCCGCCCAAATAGCTTCCAAATCCCAAGCATTACTACATGATGTCGACAATGAGGTCAGCTTCACCCGACCCAGTAAATCTCAGACAAAGACTCCTGCCAGGACTGAGTAAACGTGCGGCTGCCACAAGAACCATCGCCGGCATTCTTAGCTCTCGAAATGCTGATGAAACACCTTCTTCATACCCGAAATCCAAACGTCACAAAGCGAGTGGATGACCGGTCCCTCCTTGAACCTCTGCAGGAGCCAAGCCGCCTCGAAAAACTCCAGCGCAGGCCGTAGGCCGCAATACCGGCGCTCGTCCGCCAGTCGCCGATGCATACGCCATGAGCTATCGAGGGCCCTAACAGCCTCCTTTGCGCGGCGCAAATCTTGCTCTTTCCCTTCGTCAGTCACGGGTTCTTCCTCGAGACTTGCCGCGAGCTCGTCAACGAGGCCTCGCGCATATGGCAGCGCCTCGTCCAGGGCGGGACCCATGCAGCTGGGGTCGAGCGGGAGAGCTGAGCTGGGTCGAGCGAGACTCGCGGGGTCGCGGGCGAGGTCTATCAGGAACTGGTCATATGGATTCGTGTATTCGTCGCCCAGGCCGCTGAACACGCTGCTCGACGACGCCGCGGCCGAGGCTGCGTGTGGGTTTTCTGGTCTGCTGTCGGGCGGTCGGTTGATTCGGGTGAATGTGTGCGGCCTGGGTTGGCGTGCATGAACGGGCCGTCCCCTGAACCTGTGGTGCTGAGTCGGCTGTTGATGCGCTGGCTGGACGCTGGCAACAGTATCACCATCTTGCTGTGGCGGGACCTGCAACGAGGAGATCTGCTGCTGGAGACTGTGTTCCTGCTGCGAAGGACCGGGAGCAGATGGCTGGCCAGGTCTTTGACGAGAGTCAGGGGCCCGTCCCGAGGATTTCCTTTTGGCAATGTGCTCAGCTGGATCATATGGGATCCATCTGTTGACCCGGGGCGCTTCCACGTTGGTCGTGGCCGGTCTTTTGCCAGTTCTTTGCTGCGTGGAGCTTGAGTCCTGCGCGTTCACGTCTGAGGTGCTCAGCAAAGGGACCTGGTTATTCTGCCCGGAGGCCAAGCGGTCCTGTGTAACTCGGTCGGTGTTCACCTCGAGGCTGGCGACATGCGCTGTCAATTCTCTCGTCAGTGACCCATCTTGCCATCTATACACAATACTATGCAAGTCAAAGGATGATACTCACGTGGTGGCACCGCAGACGTCTGCAGCTGTAGGCTCGCATCGTGTCCTGGGGTCGTAGCAGTTGCCGCTGGATTCGCGGTCTCCTGGGATGGATCGCGACTTCCTTGTTGGTGGCTCGGTTCCACGGCCGCTGTAGGGCCCCGTGCTTCTGCCTCGGCAGTAGCCGTCGGAGCTGTGATCGTCACACTCTCGGGCGAGGAGGAGGCCGAAGATGACGCATTGCTCCCGTCGCTCGAAGTCCCCTTTGGCGCTTTCCAGTCCAGCCAGACCCGGTGCAGCGGATGCCGGCGGTCCGTCCGCTCGGCGTCGAAGCACGCGCGGCACGTCGTCCAGCCGCACGCCAGGCACTCCTGCATGACCCGCGCGGTGCGGGTGCTGTGCGCGCCGTCGCCGCGGCGGGTGGCGGTGACGACCTGCGCCAGAGTGCGCTGGCAGCTGTCGCATGTCGTGGAGGGCTCTGTGATCTTCGTGTATGCAAAGTGCTGGGTGGGCCGTCGGGTTGTGGCTGCTGCCGGCGCGGGTGGCTCTGCTGGTGCTGATGCCTCTGCTTGTGATGGTGAGGATGGTGATGATGACGATGGGCCCGGCAGAGTCGTTTTTATGGTAGGCAATGCTGTCCGTTGGGGGTGACGTTGTGGTGTCTGTGCAGTTGCCAGTGGTGCTGGCGAGGCAGCGCGAAGACGACTACTGGCCGGTGTCGTTCGACCGAGAGGCCGTGTTGGTCTACGGGTAGGTAATGGTGTTCGACCATCTGGTCGTGGCGCTGGCCGACCTGGCGTCGAAGAGTTAGAGAGCAGCAGCCGGTGATCACTCAAGGATGCCGTGTTATCTTCGTTGTTGTTCTGGATGGTAGCACTGCTACGAGTTGTGTCTAGATGTCAGTAAGAGGTTCTGGTCAGCGACAAACTGCATGTATCAAACTTAGACACCACGCTCGGGTGCAAGCAAGTGATCTCGTCTCAAGAGATGACGAAGGACGGCCACGAGGATCTTCATGCATCGTCTAATGTACACACCTTGATTGTCTCCCCTGGGGGTCAGTGTCGTCGACGCAAAGCTTGACTGCGTGGAGGAGGCGATATAATCACGACCTTTGTCAGAGCCGTGATCATCTCTCGTCCTTCTACTGTCAGCCATGCCTAGATAGTCTCTTCTTTTTTGAGTCCAACTGGCAGGGCGGATGTTATTCTCCAAGTTGACTGTGTTGGTACGCCTCGAACCGCCCAGCAATTGCTTGCTCGCTCCGCGTCCAGTATATCTTGGAGATGTGCACGAAGTAGGAACTATGGCAGTGACAAGTGAGCGCAAAAGATTACGGCAGTGTTTATACTTATCCATTGCGCTGTGACGGCGTGATGCCTAGCTCTGCTCGCCATAAGTGGCCCCCTTCCTCATCGATGTGCCAGAGAACGATATTGCCTCGATGCCCTCGCGGAACGCCATGAACCACGGCGCGAGGCCGCAAATGGTGCCTGGCTTTCATCTTGCAGAGCTTTCGAGCGCTATATGCTGCATCTAGGCGTGGGGTGGCTGTTGTGGTGGAACATGCTGCCTAGGTCATTGGAATTGCTAACAAAACACCAAGCAGTGGTCCTCGTGATGCAGTTGCAGCATGAGTTCTGACGTCAGTTGCGCAGTGTGGCTGTCGCTAGGCAACTACTCCTTGCGAGGGCCTTTGTTCGTACGGCTGTGTCCGTGGCAACGACACTAAACCGAAAGCCATTTGCGGCACTCAGGCACTGCCGACGACCGTCCGGCAGTTGACAATCGCGAGAGGTGTAAATGATAAGGGACTGTTTTCATTGTCTGAGACGACGGCGACGTGCTTGATGGCGACCACAGGTTCAAGTTTGAGATGTCGCCAAGGGGCAAGCTAACATGCATGGGCTGAAAGGCAAATGAATTCACCGCAGGAGCGCCTAAACACCAACCTTCAGGGAAAAAGAAAAAGGCAAAAAGAAAACCTTCCTCAAGCAACACGAATTGAACCATGGTCCCTGAGCAAAGAAACAGTATTTCTTCCAAGCCCCAATGGCTGTTCTCGCAAAAAGGTACAGCCGGCTCATATTGGTTGTCCTCAAGCTGTATCTGTGCGCGAGGCGAGATCTCAAGAGACACTCGGCCTGGGGCAGGGAGATATCAGCTTGACCTGCAGGGCGGATCAAACCGTTGAACCATCTAATCATCTGCCAGCTGGTCCGGGCGGTTCAAGAGCTGCTGCTCTATCCCCGCCGGTGCTGAGTACTTGGTTCAACGGGGTATATAAAGGATTGCCGTGGCAACGGCATGTTGAAAGAAGGGTGGCTGGGGATGTGCCGAGTGGCTGTGGCTCTGCGTGGCGGACTAACGTTGTTGCTGATGGCAACGCTGGGACGTGTGAGGATGGTGACTTTGTGAATGCGCTGTGTGTTTCTGGGACAAACATGAAACGATATCAATGGTTGTCCTTCACGTAGTATCAAGGCAGAAGACTGTGTTAGTGCGTGGCAAAGTAAGAAGACTAGAGACAGTCAGACAGATCCTGGCCTTTGATAGAACAGACGTGATCTTTGTGTGACTGGAACCCCTGTGAAGTTCACAACATAGACAGGTTGATTCTCCCATAATCCCACGTATTGAGAGAATGGAAAAATTGGCAGCAACGACATTGTGCAACACTGCCATTTCCCCAGTTTATAGGTAGCCTACAGATGGAGAAGAAGCAGACCGCAAAGGCATGGCACATGATCTACAGAGACAGCATATTGTATCTAGGCCTGGCGCGCCAGTAATTCTTCGTCCGCCTATGGACCGTACTCTGTTCTAGCTCGGACGAGAAGGAAATCATTGCCCTTGTTGTGATACACTGGGAAATATGTCAACACTACATGTTCTATGATTTTAGCTTTGTTTTTGCTTATATCCGTGCTTGTCAACTATTTGGAATGAGACAGGCAAGCGCAAGCTCATTGACAGCTCGCAAACATGAATCGTTGAAAAAGCCAACAAAGTGGAATTCTAGACTAGAGGGGAGCAGCAAGCAGCAAGCAACAAGCAACAAAGGTGCGCATTTGGCAACCTGGAAGCTCCACAACGAGCAACAGCCTCTTGACGGATATAGGTGCCTCTGCTCGGCCGAGTTGGCAGCCGGCCATCCCAGAGGACATTTGCATTGGCCTTGGAACACGGCATGACGTGCAGCAAAAGACAGACAAGGCGGCTTGCTTGCATGAACCTTGCCGCATGCTGACATCCCTTCCTCAATCAGCCTGTGCCATGCCACGCACACAGGCCGTAACGGCCCTCCTTCCCAAGTAGGATGGCACGCTAGCATCCCATTGATCCCAGCAGCAACACCCGTCTCACGTAGGAAGGCTTGGTGCAGTCGTGGAGTGCGTATCATCCACACCAAACTAGGTCTATACAAGGCTTGGTAAGCGTGCCGCAGAGGCAGCCACCACTACCGCAGCAGCCGGGGTTGCTGGGAGGCAAGCATGCGTCCAGGAAGTGAGATATCCTCACAGGATCGGGACATGTTGCATCTTGTCATGCACACAGCACACAGGCTTGCGCTGGGGGGGGGGGGGGGAGTGGGTGGATGATCTTGGCACGTTGCAACCAGGCCTCTCTCTCTCTATCTCCCTCTCAGCTCCTCCTCATCCCCTAGCACGGTTCAGAACAAACAACGAGGTGCAAGATGAAATGAACATTTGGCACTAGTCTGCTAAAGACATTGTTCTCCCGTGGGAGTGCACCAAGAACGAGCTGTCTTTGTCCACCATTGCGAACAATCACATTGTGCTCGAGCTAGCCTTGGTCGTTCCCGAGTCAGTCTTGCAGATGCGCCTAACGCCTCTACTGCCTTAGATCAGCCCGGGATGGAGTTCGGTTGTCATGCACGTGCATGCATGTGCCAACGACAACTTGGACTCTTTGCGGCAGCCTACATCTTTTTCACGAATCGGGTCGCCAGACAGCCAGTCACTTCCCAAAGAACTCACTCTGCTCCCGCCAGCGAGTCAACATGGCACGCTAAGCGAATGCTACTTGCGCGCCGAAGCCATCGCGAGCCCGCTCAGACCCCTTTCCTCCTCTAGTGTACCCACTCGCCTTATGATCAGCAACTAGCCTTGATACTACACAGACATCATTGCCCCGAGAGAGAGAGAGAGAGAGAGAGAGAGAGAGAGAGAGAGAGAGAGAGAGAGCAAAGACGAGGGACAGAGGGACAAAGGAAAAGAACGGAGGAGCTTGGGACACACCCGATCCCGTGATCGCTGGCCCGCCGCACCCACCCATCCATCCCCATCCCCATGCCTACCTTGTGTGGATCACAGGGTCCAGGAGACAGGCAGGCCGGCCTTTTGGGGGAGATTGCGGCGTTTGGGTCAGGTGCGGAGCAGGGGTCTTACTGAGCTGGTCTATCAATCGTGGGTTCGGGGGTGGCTGTCTGTGTGTAAGTCACCAATGCTCGATAGGCCATTGTGTGTGCGTCCCCTTGTACCTTGAGAGCACAACATTGCCAGCAACGCGCAAAGGGAGACAAGAAGACTGATGGGCGGACGAACCAAGTGGCAGAGACCGGGTCTCAGAGATACCGTAGAGGAGAGACGTACGGGCGAAGGAGGGGGAGGGGAAGAAGCGACATCAGACATGCAGGGTCATTGTCTCGTTTCCCGCTTTCTTGTCTGGGGCCGATGGTCCCTCCTCTCTCGTCCTGCCTATACCGAACCGGCTTATAGCACACATGACAGACGGGACCCATTGCGACAGGGACCCAAGCCAGTCATGAACAGGTGACATAGAACGTGAAACGACTCGCCATGGTGCAACATGTTGGGGGTATCCAGGTGCGATTCGCCGTGCTCGGACGAGACACATTATGAGTTGCGGTCGAGGCAATCACCTCTTCACAGAGAGTGAGTGTTGTCTTTGCCCGGGGCTGACGGTCGTGTAAGTGCGCTGTGTGGTGAAATACGCTGGGGAGGCGCCCAAACCGCTCGCATCTGGTGACTATTATCTCATCCCCACAAAACCAGCATGTTTGGGACTGTTGCACCACCCCACTGCAGCCCTCGATCCGTGGGCACAATCAGACCTCAGAGCACTATCGGTCTGTCCAAGTGAGGGTCGATGGCAAGGGCGAGTGAGCGCATCCGCTCGCTCATCCATCATGTGTCCAGCCAGCGACACAGAAAGGTGGACTTGTCCACGGCAACGAGAAAAGCCGACCACTCAGAACCAGCTCTGAACGGTGATGGAGCTCAGAAGCGTTTGTGATTGGCAGACCGCGGCACTGAGGAAGCTCCACCGTCACAGCGCGCCGTGCTCCACCAAAACGGCTGGTCGCGCGCGCCATCCGGGAGCGATTCCAAAGCGGGTAAAGCGCGTGCATTTGACCCGCTTCGGCTGAGTGCATGATTCGCCTGAGGGGCATGCGGGGTTGTCGCGTGCCTGACGCGTCTAGCTTTGACGCGACAACCGCGTACCGCGTTGAGTGGGATCAGGGACGACGAGCATCCCCAACCCGCCTCCCACGACGATGTTCCCGCATTCTTCGGCAGGATTAGCTGAGGCACATGGCCGACTTCGTTCGTGAGGAGCTGAGTCTCATCCATTCTGAAACGGCCTTGTGCATGAACGATTTCATTTGGAGACTTGTCGTGGCCACAATCATGTGCGTCCCTAGTCTCTGAGCCACGCCTCGCTGATTAAGGTCGTGTAGGCAAGCGAGATTTGTGCTGTCGTGGCTGGGCCATGGACTTGGCATGGTTGTTGCAGACAAGTGCGTCTGTCGACCTAGCAATCCTTGGTCCCCTCTGGCTGCCTTGATCAATGCCGGAGGAAGCCTTGGAGTACAATAGCCAGTTGAAACTGGTACGAAAGAGCTGCGAACACGCAGCTGAATTAAATTGCGATGATGTAGTGGGCAGCTGGTGTGTGGGAGGCTGCTGCTGGGTAACCACTCGGCCCTGGTCGTAATGACGAAAGACAAGTTTCATGTCCAGTGCAGAGCATGGAGACGGAGGCATGGCCACCAGGAACAAGGCCAACGCTTGCGGATCGGACCAGGTGGATGGGAAGATTTTCTGCAGCCAAAGGTCAAACCCAATGCTGCTGACAATGCGCACGCTTGTCCGAGTGAGAGATCGATATTGGGATGAGGTCATGCCGTTGGAGTCACAGCAGGAGTTGATGTGCCGCCAGGATGGCATCGACCGATCTGTGGGCGTGTCCCGCGATGTGTGCTCGATGGTGTGTGTGTGTGTGCGAGCTCCCGCTGCGTCTCTTCGGCCTGCATCAACTCTGCTCTCCAGCAATGCGATCGATGGATGACGTTGGGACATGGACCGGCGTCACGGTTCTAGTGTACCGCCAGGACATCTAGCTCATGCTTTATCGGCTGCATCTGGCGCTACCTTTGGACTCGGAGATGTGCAGGGAGAGGTACGCAAGGAGGCGGGTTCGGTGTAAGTGGAGGGCTCCCGATGGCCATTTCAACGGACTGGAGCCAAACTCAGAAGACTTGGGCAGTTGCAAGGCAATCGACGGTGGTGATTGTCCAATGTTCCAAACAAGATAGGACAGACACGGCGATGAGTTTCGCTTGCCGGAGCATGCCGTCTTATAGCCAGACAGAACCAGCGCGGGCCAGAGTCTAGCGACTGCGTGGTGATGCAATGGATGTGCGTCGAATATCGGCGATGGAAACAGGAAGCACGCCTAGAAGGAGATTGAGTCAAGGGCAACGCCGCGGCTCACTAGTCACCATCCATCGAGATGGTGTGCACGATGTCACAGCATGCAGCGGCTTGAGAATGAGTTAGGTAAGTAGCGTGTACGCCGGGTGAGGGTGAAGTGGCCGCGTAGTGGCAGTCTGGAGGCTTCGTGGCTCATGGGCAGTCCGTCAGTGCCGTCCGTCACCTGCACCCACCTTTCGCCGACCGAGATGGACTTGCGTCGACTCGGGCAGCGGCCACCCGCCCTCGCATGGCATGCCCTGGTGGCGTGCGGCAGACGAACGAGGGCGTCGGGCCTGCGACGTTGACTCTTGTGTCCTGATGCAGAGGGTGCAAAGACAGGAAGCCAAAGTGGTTGCAGGTGTGGGTGGGGCCCGGACGCTCGTTGTCGAGGGCCCCACTGAATCCATCCGTCGCCTTGCTGGGCACACGCCTCTGTCCGTGGGTGTCCCTCGTAGCCTTGAGGAAGCCTTGCCTGCCGCCGCCTGCAAATGCTCGCTGCTCTCACCGCCAGCATTGCGAGTCAGCAGGCAAGGCATTGCCCGGCACACGCCCGGGCGTCTGGCATCGAACGCCTCCAGGCTGTCCTGACAGCTCTTGCTCCTGGGCTTCCTCTGCTTCCGGCCAGGGCCCTCCAGTGTCCACTGACGGATCCGCAGCGCCCACCAGCATCCCCCAGCCAGGTGCGCTGTTGCGCTGCTGCCGCCCTCCCAGATATTAGGCGCACCCACGCCTGCCCGTTGCCCCCTCGCCCGCACTTCCTTCCCATCTCCATCCCAACACCAACATTTTGCGCAATACCTCTTTGTCGCAATCACCAACAAGCATACTGCTTGCACTCGACAGTCTCTTTCGCAGTCTCGTCGATACCGACAGCCCATTGTCGCCACTGCGCATCCTCTGTATCAGCCTACGCACCGTCCGCGACAGTCCCCAGCCCGCCGCCTTGCGATTTCCCGCCTGTCGCATTCCAGTCGCAACAGGTCGCACATCACATTGCGCCCGAGCCGCCCAAGTCAACGCAAGCTACACCTCCACAGTCCAGCAAGCGCAACTTCCCGCAGCATCTTTCAGCTACAGCCGCAACCATGTTGATGCCCTCGGCCCTCTCCTGCGACTCGTCGCAGGCGCCAGTCACTCGCCTCCAGGCATCGCTCTTCGCCTCACCCCCAGCCAGCCCTCCCGCCGCATCACACAATGCCTTTGGCAACATCTTCAGCTCGTGTCGCGCCCTGCAATCGATGCTCACCGCGCCGTCGCCAAGTCCTTCAAGCAGCACGTTCAGCCAGATGCCCACACCTCCTTTGGCCCACGCTGCCCTTCCCGAACCCACGCCCATGAAGCTCAGACTCCGTGCGCGCAAATCAGACAACGAGGCCGCCCCACGCAAGAAGATTACAAAACGCAGCGCGCCGCCTCGCGGTCGCAACAAGCGCCGCCGGGGTCTCGATGACGACATGGGTCGCGACGACGTGGACAGCGAGCTCGAGCTGGAACAGTCCGAGTCCGAACAGGAGGAGGAAGCTGGTCCCGCTCAACCCACTACTCCGAAGCGCGCTCGTCTTGCGCCAGAGATAATACCCCTCGGTCTCGAGCGGTCAGACTTCCACAACCTGCACGCTCTACAAGGATTTACCGACATCGTGTCGGGACAGTCTGCGGACGCTGAGGTCGAGGCCGATGGTGAGAGTTGGACTTTAGAAGACGACCGTATTCTGGTCGAGCTCATCCTCGAGAAGCTCAAGCTATCGAAATCGGACTGGCAGGACTGCGCCAGAAGTCTTGGCAAGGACCGGAGTAGTCTCGGTCGGCGCTGGAAGACGCTTGTCAATGCCGGAGATGTCGGCCTCAAGAACACGAGGAGTCGGCGGAACAAGATCCACGCCACATGGCGGTGATGATGCTGGGCGCCCCCTTCAGTTTCTTGAACTTCGTTATTTGGTGTTCGTTTCGAGCACTTTTATCGCATGCTGGCCACCCTGCCCGCTTAGAGATTTATTTTGTCGCAAGCATTTCTCAGAGGAGTTTATCTGTTTGTCATCTAACACACGGGGTCTTGAGGAGGGCCGCCATGTGTTGCGGAGTTTGTTTTAGATGAGGCCAGCGAGCCAAAGGCGTTATTCCCATCAATGTGTTTCTGAGATATCCACACCACCAGTTGTCGACTCATTTTCGATACTTTCTACATGGGCAATGGTATCTGCCAATGCCATGGCCACCTTTTTCTCAAGGGCTTGCAGCAAGACTTCTTCTTCTGACCAAGCAGTTCCATGAATAATACAAGGTTATACTACCAATTACTCAAGACTGATATCTTGCATACTCGGACAGCCGTCACCCTTTGTGAATGCGTGTGATTTATGCCTGTCCACATACACTGCGACTAGTCGATCACATCATCGTATGACTCGCTCGTGGATCTTCGCTGCCATCGCACGAACTCAGCGCATTGTCTGAGACAAAGGAGTCACAAGCCTCGCGTCGTCTAGATCTCCCGACGCACCCCACACGTTAGCTAGAATCCACTGAAATGTCTGGCAGACTGGAGCTGCCGAAACATAGACTCTTGCATGAGCACAGGGAAGACCGCAAGCAGAACCGGCCTGTGGAGGCAGAGGATCACTCGGACGCAGGGAAAGCACGCTTGGTTCTACACCAGCTCCCCATGACACCTTCACGGAGCAGCAGTGCGGGCTACAGATCACACATACATGACCAATCTACGTACTCCTGGCTTCCCGTACCATCGAGAGCCGCCGCCCAGCTGGGGACTCTTGTGGCACCCACAAAGCACCTCTCCCCATCACTCCACGCTGGGCGGCTGCCTGCTGCTGCTTGCGAACCGCGCGCATGTGGAAACGCAACGAGACCCCTATCTATCCTCTCCCTCAAGGATCACCGCAGGGCCGCCTCCTCGGCGGCCTGGAGACTATTACGGAACACCGTACTTGGCCGGGCGGGCGATCGCGCCCGCGGTATTTCCCGCGTTTTCTTCCGCCCCGACTTTTGTCCAAACTTCAAAGAGTGAAGTGGACCACACACTAGAAAAAAAAGGGTCTGCCAGCGCACGTGCCTGTGTTGTACATACATCCCGGACCTCAAGTGCCCCTCCCGTGGCCAAGTTATTGGCAGCAGTGGCAGCGGCGGCAGGGTTCGCGGAGAACGGTAGTGGGTTCGAGAGTGGGCCTCGTCGAGAGAGAACCTCTCTCTCTCTCTATCTTCACGAATATGGAGAGAGCGCAAAGATACGCAGTAGCATAGCGCCCGAGCGAGCGAGGCCCCTTCGTCCCCCCTGTGCTGCTTGACGTGCAGCTTTTGGTACCCGCCGCTAAGTCGTGAGAGCGTAGCTGGGATGGCTGGCTTGGTCGGCTAACTAACCTAGCGGGCCAGCTAGCTCTGCCGTTAGTCTCCATCGTCGACAATTAGTTATTGGACCCTTGTCAGGTTTCCTTGAAGAATCTTACTAGCAGGGACCAGGGTAACCCCCTGTGGGAATCTTTGCTTGCTGCGCGACCTGTGAGGAGGACCAAAGAGCCAGAGGAAAGCCGAGCGGTGAAGCCTGTTGTCCCCTTCAAGGCAAGGCCGCTAGAGTTGCTAGCTTCAGGTCCGCTGCCGCCGTCGATCTTTCTGGAGCCTTGACAGTCCCGGAGGACGAAACTAAGCTGTGTTGAGGCGGGTTCATTGAGGTGTCTAGGCCAAGTCTGGCGAACGGCACGTCCGTTGCGGCCCATCGCTGCACTAAAAGAGGTATGGCGAGGTGCCCGTGTCAGTCCTGTAGGAGCGTTGACAGCCGGCACGAGGGATTTTCTAGGGGACCTAGACTTGGGAGTTTCCCTTGGCGCTGCGCCGAACCGACCTGGCCTGCCTGCCTGCCAGCCTGGCGCGTTCAGGGTACAGGGGTCGTGTCGTGCGTCGTCGTCGTGCTCGGCACTCCGTTCCTACTGTAGGTACAGGAGGGGATGTTTGGGGAAGAAGGAGCGGTGACAACAGTCCCCTTGACTTGCCTAACACGCAGGGACCGGCCACTCGGGACAAACCCTGCAAGCTCGACAATGCATTGTTGCCCCATGGACTCAATGGGCCTGCATCATGGGCTATCGGCTTTGGTGCCATCTGAGCTGTCTGTGGTACTACGTAGATCGGCCAGGCCGGCCAACGCGCCCTGCTCTTCAGATTGAGACTCCAAAGGGATATACGGCTCCGTTGGACCACGGAGCTTCCGTGGGCTCGCTCCCTGATCACCCACCTTGGCCCAGGATGAAAGGGAGGACAGCCAAAAGAAGAGTCTGAAGAGACGAGAGCCCGCTGCCTGCCGAGCCGGGTTCCGACCGACGGGCAGCACACACAGACCAACGCGGACCGCATCCTTGCGCTGGCTGTCATGGGGGATGTCCCGACCTTACGGGACAGCTCTGACATGGGCATACGACCCGATCTTCAGGGCATGCCCCTGTGGTGGAATTCCAATATGGGCGCTGGGGACCGGAGTTCTGGCATCGCCTGGTAACATGGGAGAAGGACAACTTGCACGAGTCCCCATGGAGCCTCACAACCATCCGCCTCAGTCTGTACGGCGTTGGGTGCTGCCCACACGAGACACAAGGCGCTTCTCTACGCGCCGCCGGCCGGCGCCTCGAAGCTCATCACCGAAGATCCCGACCCACAGTTGATGACTACCTCCGACAGAGCCGGCGCACACAACTGTTGATGCCAGGAGGAGGGCTGACGAAGTCGATTGTTGGACTTTTGCAAAAATTCCCTCACTTCTTGGTGTCCACGTTGAAGTGAAGTCAATCGCGATCACGCTTTGGCCTTCCCTTTCTCGAGGCGCCAAGAGCGAGAAGCTTGGTGGTGCCTTGCATAATGGAGGTGGCTGGGGGGTTTTCCAGAACTTCAAAGACAACGATGCAAACTTAGGGTCCCACAGGCGCCGTGCGCCCCAACGATCCATCTGCAAGTGTCTAAGCGTGTGCATCCAGCCGCTAAGTGGTTCGCTGCAAGTCCGCCCTCCCCAGAGAGGCGGTAAAGCAAGGGAGGAGCCAAATAGCGTCAGGAACAATCGACAATGGCGATTCTCGATGTCGTGCATATGGGAAGCACGAGCCTCTGGGCACCGCCCTGTTTTTGGCATCACGAGGGCACTGGCCCCGGGAGGACAGTCATCAACGCTCACAAGAAGCGAGTTTCGGTGCGGCTATCATCGGTGCAAGTCGCCAGGCAGTCTAGTAACGCTGTAAGCCTGAGCCGGTAGTCACAATCTGGTCATATCAGAAATCAATGGAAGGGCCAGGTCCTCATGAGACAAAAGACGGCTCGATATCACAAACTCACCTCCGCATATCCTCCCGCAAAACCCCCATTCCGTCATCCAGGCTTTTTCCTGGTCTACACGATCCGAGAGCACATCGGAGCAGCAGCCCACTCAGTCGGAGCCTGTGCTTACTGGCGCCCCATTCTCGACTTGCTTTTTCAGCCCCATGCAGTTCGTCCGCCCTGGCGTCCGCTCCCTCCTCCTTCTCTCCGAGGCGGACTTGCAGTAGCCGCTGTCGCAACTGTGGCTCTGAACAAGTGAGCGGGATCCAGTAAGAGCCGTATATGCCGCCTTGCGTGTGTGTGTCTCTCTCTCTCTTTCTCACCTAAATGGGCCTCCACCACACAGCACCACCTCCATCGTCTCCATCCCTCCGCTCGATCCAGGTCTCGGCAGAAAAGGTGGGCGACCCGCTCGAGATAACTAACTTGATTCACTCGCCCTCCTCTCTCTTCGTGCGGGACCAGCGGCAAAGGACGTCGATTATTTTTGCCTTGCATGCATGCATCCTCCTGCATGCATGTCTCTGTGGGGGAAAAGCCTTCGAGTATGGTCACGTCCTGCCCCACTTGCGTAGGTGTGGCGTCGTTGTGTCTTGTTCTCCTCCTCCTCCTTGGCTTAGTAGTACGAGGCGTACTGGGTCAGTTGACCCTCTTGCAGCTGTGTGGGACGTTGCAGTGTGTGTGTGTGTGTGTGTGTGTGTGTGGAAACCAGTGGTTTGTGACTGACATCCCTTTGTCCGTGGCGTGTATGAAGTAAGGCAAGCAAGACTTGAGGTCAGGCATGGATCATGAAAAGAGGTAGTGACGACAGGCACAAGCACAGCGGTCATTGTTGCGGAGTGTCGTACGCGAGAAACTCGAGAGCGAAGCGGCCAGGCTTAGCGTGTGCATCACAGTAACTCGGAAGCTATGTAGCTGCTGATAGGAAACACATTGTGTCTGCTACTTCAGATGAACCATATGCCAAGTGAAAATGTTTGAATACAAGAATACTGGGTAGACTATAATCGCGCCGCCACCACCGAGCATACGGAACAACCGACCATTGCGGGGAGAATCATGAACGAGATGATGAACTCGGTAGACAGTCCGAATGAATAGGCCGAGCCTCCCGGTGAACCACCAACACACGGTCTATTTCATCTAAGTCGCGAGTCCGAATCACCACGCGGGAGGCCATTGAAGACCATCGGCGGCCGCGGATGCCTTAATGCTATCTGTCCACTCCGAGTTATCATACAGTTTGCCCGGATTGCGGTGAAACGACCGGCAGGTTATGAATGCCAGCACGCCGGGGCAACTTATGGATGTAGGCATGACGAAAAAATGTCTTTGGCAAGTATGGAAACCCCTCGTCTAAAAGAGAGGGCACTCAAATGCAAACCACTCTTGCACATCTGTGAAGGCCCAAACAATGAAACCCGACAAACGCCGTTGGATCCAAACGAAAGTCTCAAGTCAAAGTCAAGTTCCGGGTTCCCCCCAAAAGCGTCATTGCCCAGATGCCCGAAGGCACTTCATCATGTCTCCTGTCAAAAACCATCACAAGTGACAAAGGGAATTGATCTTTCAGTTGCCCGAAAACTTCCACCTCGTATAATAAGCCAAGCGCTTACTGGCACACATCACCGTACCAGCACCGGCGAACTTGGTCAGCACCAAAGCACTACACCTCACATTCTGTCGGGCTCTTCAGTGAGCATCTGTTGCAAGCTGATACTTTCTAACATTGTCCAAGATGGGACAGAGTATTGCTTACCTCGCCGAAGCGACGATGTTTCGCGAAGTAGACCATCTACTGGAAACTCTAGATATACATTTCAATACAGATGAACCAAATAAATCTATATGTCCCGAAACGCCACTTCCTGAAAACCCGAAGATATGCCACGAATCGACCGAGTAATGAAAAGGGCACCGCTGTGCTGAATCTCTATACCGACTGTTTTAATACAACTTCTGTTGTTGTTACATGGCCCGCTCCGAGCCTGTTATTACAACCTCAAAACCTCCATCCGCCTGGCGTGATGTCTCTTTCGCGACCCACGAAGCTATGCCAGCTGTAGCGTCGTCAGCACTGTCCAGATGAAGCTGAAAGTAGCCCTGTAACTGTGAAGGCGTAAAGACGTCGTCAGGAATTGCCTGGGCAAACTGTTGCGCAAGCTCGCGAATCCGATCCATATCAACCACGGGACCGTCGTTGACCAACTCATCAGGCGAGAACATGCGTACAAACATCTGTTCTGCCGATTGAGGACTGATATGTCCTAGGAAAACTTTCATATCGACACGACCTGGCCTGACCAGGGCCGGGTCCAGGGAGTCCGGCTTGTTGGTGGTCATGATGACAATACGCCCCTCCTGAGATCCAACACCGTCGAGGACATTCAACAACCCGGATAGTGTACAGTTGGATCGGTGATGGCCGCTCCTGCTCCCACTACCACTACTATGCTCGCTTCGGCGGTCAGGAGATCTTGAACGGGAGCTACGGTCAACCCATACAGCGTCAATGTCCTCGAGCAGAACGATGCACCGTGGTGGGATCTCGTGAAACATCTGTTCAAGGTCCGAGTCCGATGCTATGCTTGGGACTTTTACCTCGTATAGGTCCAGTCCAAACTCGCCAGCCAACGCCGTGGACAATGAGGACTTGCCCGTGCCAGGCGGCCCGTAGAACAAGTAGCCCCTCCGGTACGGCATGCTTCGGCTCTCGTAGCGCCGCTGCGTCCGCGGGTCTAGGTACTTCCTGATGTCGTCCAGCAGGTCTTTCTTGAGGCGGTCGTCGAAGTGCACAGTGTCAAGCAACCGGATAGGTTTGCGCGACTTGGGCTGCCAGGTCATGCCGTACCGGTCGCGTCCATAGATGATGACAAAGTATTGGGTCTGGCGATCCGCAAACTCGCGCGCGACCTCGATGAGGTTCTGGACAGGCTCAATCGACCGCCCGAGACAGCTGACCGTCAGCTCCTCGCCACCAACGCCGTCGTAGGCAGGGTCTGACATGGCGGAACTGCTGAAGTTGTCTCTGGTCGCAACGAAAAGCCTGCCCTCGTACCAGAACCACCTCGAGTCCCAGTGTGGCGCATACTGCACCGCGCGCCTCGTCTTTTTGAGCGCGGCTGCGCGATCGGTCACATCTCCACGACCCATCTCTGTACGGCCTGTGAAAGTGCGATGCTGCCGAGGGCGGTTGGCAACAAGCCACTTGACAAGATTCTTGTTGACCGGATCGCCACCAGGGATCGTGACTGATGCGAGAAAGAACTGCCGTACCCAGCCGTACACCTCGTGCCAAGCTCTGCGCAGAATGCGCCAACCGGCCGGAGCTGCGCCCACGATGGCGATGAGAGAACCGACGTGAGTAAAGTCGAGGTCGGCGGTAGTCCAATTGAGGCGGGCGAGGACAGCCCTCATGATGCCCGTGCCATGAGACCATGGGTCGGCAACGAGCGGTCCGGGACCGCCATGACCTGCGTGGAGTAGGCTCATGACCAAGAGGTGAAGATCGATGGGTGCTGTCCGTACCGCCAACCTGCAATCCCTCGAGCCGCCGAGCGTGCAGCCTCTCGCAGGCTCCGTGGCCGCCGAGCGCGGAAGGGACTCAGTGCGCGACTATCATGCAAGCTTGGCGTGCGGGTGATGCCGGGGTGTAACAGTCGGCCGTCGGACTAGGTCAGGAACAAAACGAGTGTGGGCAGGGCGTGCGCTTCCGTGTGGGCTTAAGTCATTGGACCGCGTGCAGAGCGCGTCAGCAGGAGGGAGCGAGCGGCTGGCCGAGTGTCTGCCGGGGACTGGAGGTTGGTGGTTGCCGGAGCAAGGACCGGCCGGCCCGGCCTGGCCACTCGAACTTTTCGTGTTCCGTGGCCCGAGGCCGGGCAGGAGCCACCGCGCGCCGCGAGCCGTGTTTGCGCCACAGCCACAGGCTGCGCGCCACAAGGGCCGCTCCTGCTCTCACCGTGGCGCCTGGTCAGCTTCACGAGCATGTCTCAAGGACCAGACGGAAAGGGGCGTCTGCACCGGTTATTATTATCTCGAGCATGTGGTTTTCTAACTCGGCGTCTCTGGTGAAATGGACTGCGCTAGGCGGCCGCGCCATCGGAGCGCAGGGCCCCAGATCGAGATACGCTGCAGTCCGAGCGCTTCGACGCACGTGGAAGAGAAACCGTGCTTGCTGTTCGATGCGACATCACCAGATCTTGCACTCTCGAGGCCTGCTGAAAGGCACAAGCACCAAACAACTCGACCGGCAGACTGGGGGACATGCAGAACACGTTGGCATTATGCAGCCAGCATGATGCCCAAAGGCCAGCTGATGCCACGGGTCTGCAGCAGAACCCGACGCGAGGACGGGCTCATGCACGAAAGAGCGGTGTCATGCCGGAGCCGCCAGCGACCCCGTCCGGCTGCCATAAGCGGCGGGTAAACCAGGGCCAGAGGGGACATGTTCCGGCCGCCGCTTGACAGGATCGTGAGACTCAGCGAGAGGCCAGTGGGGCAAACCCTGCACAGGACCCCTGCCAGCAGCAGAAGAAGAAGCGGAGAGAAAAATGCACAGCCCTAGTGTTCGTTAGCTCTGAGAGCCCGGGGGAACCCCTTTTCTTGATTGATTTGGGTCAAAGACGAGCAGTGTCCTATGCCTATGGCCTTGACGATGGAGCATCGTCGTTTTGTCGCCCAGGAGGCGAAGAACACGTTAAGGTTGCACGCGCCGGGTTCAGAAGACATGAAAAAAAGTGTGATTAATTTTAAGCCTTGCCCAGACCAGGCTTTGCTGTCTGTCCTGTCCCGGGAGAGAAGCGAGAGAGGCAGGCATGCCCGACCGGGGTCGTGGTCAAGAGAGAGTGTGTTGCGACTTTGACGCCAAACGACGCGGTCCACCACGAAAACAACCCTGAAATTGCGCGGTGGCAGTCAAAAGTTGAAATGTCCTGTGCGGCGACATCTGCTCGTCTCGTCAAGTACCAAGAGTTGCAAGCTGCCGCCGTCTTCTGCATGCGCATGCACGCCAAACATTAAAAAAACAAATCATTTGACGACACCTTACCCAACTCCAAAAGCACGTGCGAGCAAAGGCATCATCCCGCTCCAGCCATTGCCAGGCACTTGCAAGACCAGCCAGCCAGCGTCACTCAAAGCTTGGCACGCCCAAGCTTGTGCACCCGCCCTGCCTGCCCACTTCCGGCCGATCGCCCTCCTACCTGCTTGAACCAACCCTCCTCCATCCTGGCACCACTTCCACTTCCACGTCGACAACAACAACAACACCACCACACCACCACCACCCATAATCATAACAACTGCTCTTCCACGTCCCGCGAATAGCCATCAACCATCATCTCCCGGGCCACCCAGGCTCCCTCAACCTTACAATGGCCAACGTGCACTCAGACAACCAGTGGATGCTGAGCCTCCTACAAGGTGCGTCGAGACCGTCAACTGCGCCGTCTCCAACCCAGATATCACATGCCACGCCACGCCACGCCACCCGCACCACCTCCACCACCACCATCAGGCACGCGGACACCTCTAGCCCGCTGCAAAACCGGCCGTCATGGCACACAGCAGCGCCCGTGCCTGGCATATCATATCCAACACTGTCCTCTCCCCTCCACCATCCCATCCTCCCCGTGCTGCTTGCTCATCTACCCGGCTCTTCTTGTTAACCAAAAACTCACAATGGCGGCAGGCTTCCTCCCCGAAAACACAATCTCATTCCTCCAGGACCATGTCTTGTCCGACCAGACGCCCGTACAGATCATCTACCAGCAGCTTCTGAAGCTCACGCGTAGCTCTCTGGCCGGCGTTGTTGCCGCCCTTGCCCCCATCGTCACGCCCATCATCGACAGACTGGTCGCAACTCTGAGCTCCAGTCCGGACTTTGTCTTCTTCGGCGCGCTCCTCTTTCTCATCGTCGCCGCAATCCAGATCGCCCTCTTCATTCAGCGCACGATGCTCTACTTCACGCGTCTCTTCTTCCGCATGCTCGGCTGGGCGCTCGTCATCGCTGCCGTTGCTGCCGTCTGGCAGCGCGGGCCCGAAGCCACAGCCCGCGACGCTGTCGTGGTAGTCAGCAAACTCGCCGGCTACGCGTCGGTCGTCAGAGACATCTGGTGGTCTGAATATCAGAAGTACGACGCGCAGACACGAGGCCAGACCGTCCCCGGCTGGTCTGGCGGCGCTGGCGCTGGCGGCCGGGCGTCAGCTGGCAGCGGATACCGATATGGCAGCTCGCGGTAGACGACCATAACCAATGCATGAAGCGGCGGCAGACGCCTGGAATCGCTCGACTCTGGTTTTCTTGGAGCAGCCCCCCTCGATCACATGTTGTGCGACAAGCAAAGCTAAATCTGCCACTGCACGACAAACTGGGAGCGAGCCAGTTTTTTCTCGACAGCACACGACGACGCAGAATGACGATACGCCACTCCAATGCGTCTGGTACGGTGCATTCTCGGGAACACAGCACGAACACCACGGGCACGATTTGGAAAAGAAGAAGAGTTTCAGGTCGGCCACCTATCTTCTCACCCCTCTCTCTTTCTTGGATGATGTATGAACTTTTTTGGGCTTCTGTTATGAGGAAAACGAATCAAGCAGGCGTTCTGGGCGTTCGAGCCGTTGGGGTTGCTGCTGGCGCAGCTTCTCTCCCTCTCTCTCTGTTTTTCTTCTCTGCAGGGCTCGGATGATTACGAGGCACAAAACGGATTCCCCTTTGGATTATTGTTATTTGGCGAGCTCCTGAGGTTTCTGCATCTCCACATGACCCTTGCTGCGTGCACACGACGACTGGACCTGTGTGCCACGCGGCAAGGCTTTAGTATATACACCTTCTTGCGTAGTTTTCTGTAGTATCAGTTTCAAGTCGCCGCTACCACGTTCATTCGCAATGGACTCTTTGTTGCCATACTTACTTTGTCAGTTTGGTAGATTCCCACGTGACAGGCATTTAGATGTCATGAATAATGTGCTAAGTACTGGACCAGTATACGCCTCACGCTATGCAAAACAAAATCTATCTCGTCGTTTCCCAAGGTAAGCCAGAGCACCGCGCGGCACGCGCCTCCAGTTGCTCTGTATCTCTTTCCCAATCCCCGTCTGGGAATCTCCCAGGTTCCTGTCCATATTCCAAGCCCCCCCCCCCCCCCCCCAGCGACGACAACGACGGCGGCGGCGACAATGACTAACCGTCCATTTCATCATCGTCAAACTCCTCGTCCTTGAGCTCTCGCGGCTCCTGCGCCTCATGGTACTGTATGCAGTCGTCAATGTAGCTCAGGATCGAGCCGACGCTGTCCTCGTCCTGCACATCGAGCTTCAGGTAGCTGACCATGGAGAAGGTCTCGATCAGGCCGGCAACGGCACGGTTGAGCCGGCGGAAGCTCGTGCCGCGCATCACGGCGTCCGAGTCCAGCGGGTCCTGACCGGACGACCCCGCCGCCAGGTTGTCTGCGTCCTCCTGGGCGAGCGTGCGCCCTTCGGCCTTGAGCCGCGCGGCCTCGGCCGGGTCGTCGTCCAGCAGGCCCGCGTCGGGCGTGAGGAAGCGCTTGAGGTCCTTCTTGCGGACCTGGTCCTTGACGAGGTCCATCTTGGAGAGGACGTTGATGTGCGGGACCTCGAGCATGATCATGGCGCTCATGGCGCTGAGCGTGCCCGCAAAGAACTTGGCGCGGTCCACGACAAAGGTCGCCTCGAGGAGGTAGGCCGCGCAGAGGCGGATGTCGAGAGAGCCCGAGCGCGTGAGGAAGCGCACGAGCGCGGGGAGGATGGGCACGTGCGTGTACAGCTCGATCTGGCCGGGCATGTCGAAGATGATGAGGTACTCCTCGGTGAGCGAGTCGAGCGAGTCGGTGAGGAAGTCGAGGTTCTCCAGCAGGAACTCGAAGCAGTAGATGAGGCCGCCGTTCGGGCCCAGGCCCATCTCCTCCATCACGTCCTCGAGCGAGATGAGGTCCTTGATGTCGAGGTCTGGTTGGTGCTCAAAGGTCTCGGCGGCCGGATCGAGGTTGACGTAGAAACATGACCGGCGGTTGAGGTTGAGATGTGTGATGAGAGACGCGCAGAAGGTGGACTGGGGAGCACAATCTTGAGGTCAGCTTGCTGCGTCCGCGCTGTGCCTTGTCTTTTGCATACACGCCCGCGGCCTTGTTTGAGGTCTGGCTCCCTGCCATCGATTCCACACTGGGAAACTCACCTTGCCGGCACCCGCCGGGCCCATCACCATCACGCCAAACTTGCTCATGTTGATGATCGTCCGAGCTCTACTGGTGATTTGTGACTGGGGCAGTCGAAAGTCTCCGCAAACGTGATCTTACGTCTCAGTTCAAGCGACAGACACCTTCAGCTCTTTGGCTCGGCACTCAGCGCTGAGGTGGATTCAATGTTTGCGCGCCGACTGAGTCTCCAAGCCTCAGGAGAACCTCATTCAAATAGAATCGTCTATTGTTGACTGCTCCGGTATTACAATCGTGATATGGGGGCCTGCTTCTGTACTTTGGACGAGGGTTGCGTCGGGCTGGTTGATATTCGGCAAGCCGCTCTTGCATTGGAGGGGCAGTCCGATAGCTTCAGCATGTCGAAAATCGATCTGACGTATTTTCTTTGATGTGGGGCAACCTGCAGAAAGCCATGCCGCATACTTTATTACATAAGGCGACAGTACCAGATTTTTATGGACGAAACGTCGACAAACATCAATTTCACGATTGCGAGGTCGAACAGCCCCATCAAGTTAGCTGGAGGGATATGCTCTGCTCTGGCGAGAGTTTGGCGTCTCGGCACGGACAGGCAAAGTACAGCAGCACCTTGCAGACCACGACGCCAAGTTGTTCCAGCTTGAGACTTCTTCACCGCCTTCGCAGCTCCTTGTCGCATACCAGCCGATGATCGGAGCAGCCCGAGCAAGGCGAGTCGTCGTACGAAGGGTTCTCCATACATCTTGACTCTCTAGTGTTGGCGATTGTGAGACCAGCGATTATATTATAAGCAGTGTTGCTCGACCAGCCGTGCTTGACACTGTTCTCTACGATGCCGACGCCGTTCCGGAGCGGGGTACCATTGTAAACGAGCACAAGGGCCCGAAGGAGCAGTGATGCTGTAGGGGTCCTGCTCGACTGCCCCGCCTGGGCGGGTAGGCAGGGTATTCTTCTCCCTCTGGCAACGTGAATCGTGGAGTGCGAGCGTGGTACAAGGCTACCTTGGTATCCAGCGGGAGACGCTAGAAACAGGAGCCGCTGTCGAGCTATGCTTGCTCTTGTCAAGACGTAGACCCCGTGCACGCTGTGGGAAGCAGTGATTGGCTTGGGGGGCCTGCGGGATTGGGCCGACGTGATGGGGCGGTCTATCGAGCGGCATAGCCAGAAGCTGGCATGCATGTGCATGTCTTCGTGGAGACGGGCCTGGCTGGGTATATTCCACGCCGAGCCACCAGAGAGCCAGCACAATGTCTCTCCCAGCTTGGTCACTCCTGCTCGAGGCCGGCGTGGCGGGGCCAGGGCAGGGCGACTGCGAGACTCTGTCAAGACACGCTGGAAGTGAGGTGGAAGGGCTGGCGTGTTGATCAAAGGGGCCACCGGCTCCATCCGCTCTTACAAGGCGAGGGACCCAATGAAAAGGTTGTCGTTGTCTTAGACAACCTGTGCGTAGTCTCGAAGGCTGTCAACGAGACCACCTGGCAAGTTCAAACTTAAGTCTACTGAGTAAGGTAGATTTGCCCACGCCAGAACCACGCCAGCCTGTTGCTGCGCGGAACAACTATGGCGGGCTGCTCAGTGACAAGCTGCTGATTGCCGAGCCAAGTGCCGTCGATACGGATGTGTATGGAGGTGGAACCGACTTGACCTTCTCCTTGCTGTCGTCGTATCAATCACAACAGCCAGCAACTCTGCTGGCAGGGTTTTAGTCGCCACGAATTGGCCTCGACATAGCCCAATCCTGGTGTGGAACTTTCGGGGACACCCCAGACACTGGTCCGCAACTTTGTGTTGGAGGGCCCAAGAGCAACCACAGCCAACGCTGTCTGACCGTGACATGGAGGACGGGATGCCAATGTCGATGAGAAGCCGGTCGGGCGCGCAATGGCGCAATCTCTGATAAATGACGCTTGCCTCTTTTTGGTGGATCCCCAGCAATCAGCGGCGGGTTCTTCGCAGGCGGTGGGGAGTCATTGTGGTGGGCGGCTCGCACCCATTGGTGGGCCTCAGGCAGGTACCTGCCTGGCGGGCTTCGGCTCTTTTTTTTTTCTTCCCCTTCCCTCCAAAGGGCTCTCTCTTCGGCGGTCCCCTTGCCTTTTGCCCATGCGCCTGGGCGGGCTGGCACTCCAAGCCCTCCAACCACCCCCACCGCGCTGATCGAGATGAAAGATACCTGGGCTGGCAGGCCGGCGTGGCGAGGCTATCAGGTACCTCTGCGCCGGCCCCAAGGGTACCTGCGGCCCTCGGACAATGGCAGCCAGGGGCAGGTACCCCCGCCATGTCCAGTCTGGTCCGGGTGAAGGCGTGCTCCCGCCCGGCTACTTTTCTGCCCCTCCGCCGACCTTCCCAGGGGCGCAAACCAGCCCGGCCCGCCTGTCCACGCCATTGAAAAGAAATCTTCTGGCCGCCGTCCTCTCGCGCGCTCTCACCCTCCTCCTTCTCCATCCGATCTCCCAGAAGCCTTTCCCCCCTATTACTATCTCAGGACTGTCCCCTCGTGGTTACAGTTCTTTGTCGTCGCCGTCGTATATCCCGTCGCCAACGACCCGTGCCTTGTTGTTTTCTTCTCTTTCTTCACCGATACCCCCCTCTTTTCCACATTCACAATGACTGCTTCCAACGGCGTCAACGGCCACGCTGCCACCAACACCAAGCCCCGCAACCAGGGTGCTTTCCTCTTCACCGTGAGTTCTGCCTGCGCGGCCAGCACATGTCTGGCACTTTCGGATATCCTCCTGTTGAACGCCGACCCGCTGACGCCTTGTGCCCCCGTCTCCAGTCCGAGTCCGTCGGTGAGGGTCACCCCGATAAGATTTGCGACCAGGTCTCCGATGCCATCCTGGACGCCTGCTTGGCCGAGGACCCCCTCTCCAAGGTTGCCTGCGAATCTGCTGCCAAGACCGGTATGATCATGGTCTTTGGTGAGATCACCACCAAGGCCAACCTCGACTACCAGAAGGTCATCCGTGGCGCCATCAAGGAGATTGGCTACGACTCGTCCGCCAAGGGCTTCGACTACAACACCTGCAACGTCCTTGTTGCCATTGAGAAGCAGTCCCCCGATATCGCTCAGGGTCTCCACCTGGACGAGGCTCTTGAGAACCTCGGTGCCGGTGACCAGGGTCTCATGTTCGGTTATGCCACCGACGAGACCCCCGAGCTGCACCCTCTGTCTCACCTTCTCGCCCACAAGCTCAACAAGGCCATGTCCGACGCCCGCCGTGACGGCACCCTCCCCTGGCTGCGCCCCGACACCAAGACTCAGGTCACCATGGAGTACAAGAACGATGGCGGTGCCGTTGTTCCCCTCCGTGTCCACACTGTTGTCATCTCTGCCCAGCACGACGAGTCCGTCTCGACCGAGGTCGTCCGCAAGGAGCTCAAGTCCAAGATCGTCGAGAAGGTCATCCCTTCGCAGTACCTCGACGAGCACGTCATTCTCCACGTAAGTTGCGTTGACCGCCCCGCTCCTGGGGCGTCGTTCTTCTAGCCCCCCTGAGACATGCTCAGAGACTGACATGCATTATTCAGCTTCAACCCTCTGGCCTCTTCATCATCGGTGGTCCCCAGGGTGATGCCGGTGTCACTGGTCGCAAGATCATTGTCGACACCTACGGTGGCTGGGGTGCCCACGGTGGTGGTGCCTTCTCCGGCAAGGACTTCTCCAAGGTCGACCGCTCTGCTGCCTACCTTGCCCGCTGGGTCGCCAAGTCCCTGGTCGCTGCCGGCCTCTGCCGCCGTGTCCTTGTCCAGCTTTCTTACGCCATCGGTGTCGCCGAGCCTTGCTCCGTCCACGTCGACTCCTACGGCACTTCCAGCAAGACTACCGAGGAGCTTGTTGAGATTGTCCGCCAGAACTTCGACATGAGACCCGGCCCCATTGCCAAGCAGCTCAACCTCACCCGCCCCATCTACAACCAGACTGCCAAGTTCGGTCACTTCGGTACTAACCAGGAGTTCACCTGGGAGCAGCCCAAGCAGCTCACCTTCTAAGCGAGCTCGCGACTCTTTTGCACATTTTTGATATGAAATTATAAAACTCCGTTGAGGCGAATCTCAGGGATTTATTAGCGGGAGAATCAACTTCTTCTAGCATTGCGAACGGCGTTTTTACGAAATATTGTCGGTTATAGATACTTTATATGGTTCCCTCATCGGATTTTTACAAAAAGATGTGGCCATGGGAAACAGGTTGGAAGCATGGCGTACGGTTTCAACAAACCAATATTCACACATTTACCATGGGATGGGTCTAGGTATGACGATACACCTGAGAAGGGATTTGGGGAAAAGCAAGCCCTGCGGCACGACGTATGAGACAACATTCTCGAGCGTGCTTAGTTGACGACGAAGACGAAATAGTCTAGATATGAGCGTTCTAGATGAAATGATATCCAACATTATGCTCCGTCAAACTACTAGCTCTTGGCGGCGCTGAGTATTCTTTTTGTATTGTGCGAGTGGTGACCGTCTCTATGTCATGTCTCCCTCAAGCGACGTCTCAAAGAGAAGAAACAAAAACTAGTAACATCACTCTTCATCTCCATGACGACCATTATAAGTCCTGTCCCGCCGGCTGTCGCGACACACCAGTAACGACAAACCAACCTGACACCTCGATGCTATCACATAAAGTGACCATGGCTACTTTGGGCTCGAGATCGGGGCGTCCGTACGGCTCATCCAGTCTCGGTTACAGTCTCGGTAGCTCGGTACGCACGCCTACACACAACTCTGGCGGCCCTCCGATTTTGTCTTGGGTGATCATGGTCTTTTCTTTCGGGCCCTCCTCGTCCATTTTGCCGTTCAGGAAAAAAAAGAAAAGAAGAAAACGGGAAAGAGGAAGTCGCAGCGGGGCAAGGACGTTTGAAGAAAAATCTACATGTGGTGTGTGTGTGAATGTGTGTGTGTGTGTGTGTTTCATGGCCACGACTAGATGCGTCAATATGTATGTATTCATCGGTATTGGATCGTCGAGGAGGCCGTGGAGGTTCCAACAAGTCACAATTTTGTTCCGGCTGCTGCTTGCGCCGAGATCGTTCCATGGCTGACGAAACCTACTCCGGGCCAGATTTGCCACCTCACGAGGCAAAAAGGAGGGTCGGGAGTCACAAATCAGAGACTCAACAGGGCTGCGACGGAGAGAAGAGTGGGAAAAGGGAATGCTTTGATTTTGGAACACGATGGCGATGATGATGTGTCTACATCTTGAAAGACAAAAAAGAACCTTGCGTCTTCTCCATCATCTAGAGCTAGTCTGAAGCACTCCCCCAACCACCACAAGAAGAAGAAGAGGAATCCCAAAAATCATGTCTTCTTTTCGAACGCCAGAAACTCCGGTAGTCAAAGGACAAACACATCATCAGGAGCGAGTGAGGGAACCTCGTCCCCCCCCAGGTAACGCCCTCTCTCGTGGTCGTGATCATGCCCGCCAATAACAGGACGAGCGAGAAAGAAAAGTAAAGAAGGGACAAGACGAGAGGATGCGCTGCCATGAGGATATCATTATGCTGTTTCTTAACGTCTCGCCGTCTTGCCGACGGTTCTCTTGCCCGCAAACTGTGAACGAAGCATGTTAGTCTGTGTCTTTGTGTTGCATAAATTAGTGAAAACGCGGTGCTGAGGAGGCTTACCAAGTGCTTCGGCATGGTGGTGCCGACGTGGCGATCGGCCTCTCCTTGCCTGGCCATGCGGTTCATTCTCCGCTGGCTGAGCTTGGCCTGGCGGTCGAGCTTGTCCTTGGTCTCCTCGTCCTGAACACCGTCGTCGCGCCTGTTGGAGGGCATGACGCTGCGGTCCCGCGGCCGGCTCTTGGACCGCAGGCGCTCCTTGGGCGTCATGTCGACGTCCATCATGGCGGTGTCTTCGGTACCCAGGCGGCTCCTGGACATGGAGCGGCCACGAGTAGAGCCATCCACGGCGCGAGCACGCAGGCCCAGGTCGTGCGTATCGACACCAAGAACATCGAGCGCGTCCTCGAGCTCTGAAAGCGGCTTCTTGATGGCCTTGCGGGGCATGATGGCCTTGTTCTTGAGCGACTTGCGCATCTTGGCCTCATTCCGGATCAGCGCCTGCTTCTCACGGATGATCTCGGCCTTCATCTTGATCTCAGCCTCCTCGGCGTCGTCAAGCTCCTCGTCAGAGTCGTAGAAGCCCTCGGCCTCGAGGCGCTCCTCCTCCTCCTCAAGAGCCTGCAGCTTGGCATCGATATCAGGGTCGACGTAGTCGTAGACGTTCTTGCCGTCAAAGACCTCGGGTATCCGGTCGTACTTCCACTCATCGTTCTCGAGCAGGTAGTCGGCCTTGAGGTCGACGTTGAACACACCAGCACCGCCATTCTCGCCCTCGATGTCGCGGGCGAGCCTCCGGCGCTCAGGGTCGTTCTTGTCGTACTTCTTGAGCTCTTTGATGCCCTCGGGGATGAACGTCTCGCGTCCGGCACCGCCCATGGGCTGCGCGACGTGGATACGGGCCATGACATCCGCCAAGCGGCCACCGATAGCACCGCTCCCGGAGGTACCGGCCTTGAGCTTCTGAGCCACACGCTCGGCGAGCAGGCGCTCGCAAGCGGCGTTCTTGACCTCCTGCACACCCTCGGTGGTGTTGCAAGAGAGCTGAAGCAGCTCGACGTCGCCGCCAGACAGCAGCGACTGGAGGTCCTGACTCGTCTTCTCGTCCAGCTCCTCGGGCCGCAGGATATCAATCTTGTTGATCACAATGAACACGAGCTTGTTCTGGAACAGAGGCTTGATTGAGCGGAAGAGCTGAATCTGGGCTGCGACGGAGTAGCCGCACTGCTCAGACAGATCCATGAAGTACAGGATCGCGGACCGCAAGTGAGCAATGGCCGTGATACTCTGCATCTCAATCGTGTTCATCTCCTCAAGGGGGTGATCCAGGATACCAGGGGTGTCGATCGCCTGGAAGCGTAGGTACTTGTAGTCGAAATGGCCGACGAACAAGCTCTTGGTGGTGAATGCATAAGGCTGGACATCAACATCGGCGCGGGTGACGCTGCGCAGGAAGCTCGACTTGCCGACGTTGGGGTAGCCGCAGATGACGAGCGTGCGGGTGTTGGGGTCGATCGAGGGCAGACGGCCCAAATGCTGGCGGACCTGGTCGAGGTACTCGAGCGGCTCCTTGAGACGCTTTGTGAGGGTCGCCATGCGACCAAGGGCGGCGCGCTTGAGCTGCTTGCACTGGAACAGACTCTGCGCGTACTTGAGCAGGCGGACATAGTCGCGGGAGATGGTCTCAATCAGGTGCTTGGCTGTCGACAAGTGGCCAAGGGCGATCCTGAAGTGGTCGGCATCGTAGAGAGTGTTGAGGAGGTCCTTGTGGAAAGGGTGGATATCCTGAAGACGGGGGAAGCTCTCGAGGATCTGGCCAAACTTTTCCGAGAAGGTCTCTTGGGTGAATTTGACCTTGCGAGTGTAAAAGCCGCGGATACGGGAGATCTTGAAACCGGCACGAATCTGGGTCGGGAGACGACGCTGCGTCCTGCTGAGGACGATATCGAGGAACTCCTGCGAGGTAGGAACCCTGTAGGCGCAAGAAGAGAAATGTCAGTGACTTCCATATTGTGAGTCGCAGGAATCTGCCCATAAGCAGTTCGCAAGTCGCACAACTTACGGAGGAATGTCCTTCCACGCCGTCTTCGCTTTTGTCGCCATTGTTGTAATTATTTGCAGCCTCTCGAGTACCCGAGATTGTGTTTGAGGGTGGATGCAAAAGTCAAAAAACAACCTCGAGCGTCCACGTCAAGAGAGGAGACGAACAGGCAGGTCAGGTCACGATTCGGGCAGACCCTTGAAGTTTGCAGCGGGCGAAGGGTGGGCAGGCAAAGCGGCAGCCAGAAAAAAAAAGGCGGTCGAGCAGTATTGCCCACCGGCGCTCCCCACTCTGTGCGAAATCTTGGCGAATCGGCGCGCTGGAGAGCGGCGACTGGCAGGCAAAGAAAAAGTGACGGCCTATCGATAAGCCAATGGGACCCGCCCCTCCGCCGCGCCTGGCCCCAGCATCGAAAAGTTGCCCCGCCATGTATGCCAGATGTTTTCCCTTCCTTTGCAATACCAAGATGCCCATGCCGAGCAGCTAGGAGACGATCTGTTTTACTGCTTAAACAGTCGAAAAGGAATAGCTGGGTCGTTGAAGAGCCGTCGTAGATGTATTACCCCGTGACGTACATACTTTCTCTAATAATCTAGCATGTCAAACTTATCCTCGACCCCACTGATAGAGCTTGTCGCATGTGAAGAGGCCTGCGGAATATTGTCTTCTGCTCCCTCACTTTTCTCCTGGTTTTCTAGGTCACTTCTCACCATTATCATACAGATCACTCGTTCTCCCGCCCTGGCAGTCGACACACAGCCAGCCCTCACCTCACAAACAGAACAGCAAAAACCCCCGGCGCAATGTCCAACCTCGCCTCCTACAAGACTTCGCTCCTGGAAGCGGCCCTGTCGGGCGGCGCCCTGCGCTTCGGCTCCTTCACGCTCAAATCGGGCCGCCAGTCGCCGTACTTTTTCAACGCGGGCTCCTTCTTCACAGGCGCGCTCCACGTCCCCTTTGTCGACGCCTTTGCCTCCACGATAACCTCGTCCCCCGAGATCCACGGCCAGTTCGACGTCCTGTTCGGCCCGGCGTACAAGGGCATTCCCCTCGCGGCGGCCGTCTTCTACGCCCTGGCCAAGCAGCACCCGGAGCTGTACGCCGAGGTCGGCTACACGTTCGACCGCAAGGAGGCCAAGGACCACGGCGAGGGCGGCGTCATGGTCGGCGCCCCACTGCAGGGCAAGCGGGTGCTCGTGATTGACGACGTCGTGTCGAGCGGCACGGCCAAGCGCGAGGCCATTGAAAAGATCACCAGCGCGGGCGGCAAGGTCGTGGGCATCGTGGTCGCGGTGGACCGCCAGGAGACACTGCCCGACGGCAAGAGCAGCGCAATCGGCGAGCTCAAGAAGGAGTACGGCATCCCGATCCTGGCCATTGTCAACCTGGAGGACATCCTCACGGGGATGAAGGGCAAGATTGCGGACACGGATATCGTCAGGCTCGAGGAGTACCGGGCTACCTATGGTGCTTCTGACTAGGAAGTGACCTACACCTATAAAATTGCGTGTAGGATGGTTTGCAGATGGCTGAGGAGAACGAGGTTCGTGCAAGTGCCTCAGGGGCGGGCGTTTCAAGCATTGCCTGCCAAAATGTACGGAAGAATAGAAGCTCGTTACTCAGGACGTGGCTAGCCTGTATGTGCCACGAAAGCAGATGAGAAACAGCACGGCCGCGACACAAATTCGAAAAGTCTATTTTCTCAGGCGCTCGCAGTCATTCCAAAGTCTATGAGTAGTGTCCCTTCCGTGAAAAACATCGTTCATCCATCATGTCTAATTTTGCGTAAACATAGCGCTCTCGTCGCGCTGATAGGTCCTTCATCTCAAGTGCTGCACGACCGGAAAAAAAATAGGCGATTTCCGTGCTCCCGCCGTCATGGGCCTCTCAAACGGGACTCATGAAGGGTTAGATAGAACCAGCTGTACCTGACAACATGAATCTCATCTACTGCCACCATTGCCGAACCCCTTGCCATTCCCAAAAATAAAGGTCTACAATTCATCGTTGTTAGCGGGACATGCCAGACTGAAAGCGGACCAGCCTACTACTGACCATATCATACCAGCCCCCTCCACCGTACTGTGTTGGGCTTTTTCCGATGTTCTGGAAGCCATGCTTCTCATAATATCTCACCAAGTACTATGTCTCCTGGTCAGCCATGGTACCCGACGAAGGAACGTTACATTGGGGGAAGACTCGACAAAACTTCAACAACGTACGTCTTGACATATCAGCGAGACACGATCGGCCAACAGCGCGCCCTTGATTTGCTGCAGGTACGCTTTGACAATGAGCTTCCCTAGCCCGCAGCCGTGTAGCTTAGGATGCACAGCGAGCGAATGCAGGGCGACGGTGTGTCCTTGCGGCTGGTGGCCGGTAGGCCCGGATCCGGTCTTATTCGTCCGGAAGTCTTTGGGATAATCCATGGACTCGTCTGTCACGAGATCTCCGATGCATTTCGTCGAGACGATGTGTGCCACGAGCACGCTCAAGCTGCCGTCGGGCCTTCCCGTCTCTACGGGCTTCGCGGTCCTGAGAGTTTCAATGTCAAAGCCATTTTCCGCGGCAATGCTGGGTACCACTGTGCAGAACAGGCCCATACAAAGCTCGGGGCACGTTGTCAATCGATATTCAAACTATCTTTAGTGTTAGCACTTCTTCTTCTTCTTTTGTGTGGTGTCAGGAGATGTGCGTCTACGAAACACCTGCAATGACCACCTGGGCCTGTAGAAATATTGAAAACGAGAACCTTACCTTCTCCCTCGTGGCAGCATGCTCCTTGCTGAAAGCCGAGTTCTCCAGGGCCTCGCAGCTGTCAATGTCCGAGACAGTCAAGGGCCGGACGAGTGGGCGGAAGGGGAACCCCAGCACCTTCTGCAACCGCGTGTCACTCATGCTCTGGCGACGACGATAGAAGCTCGAGGTCTTCCGGACGTTGGCCGACTCCTCATCGAGATCTTCAGAGTCGTCCACGGCGTCGTCGGCAGCGGCAGAATCGTCCTCCTCGGCGTCGCGATTTGTCTCCGTGGAAGTGTCAGATTCGGCAGTACCGCCAGACGTGGTAGTGTTTGCGACAGAAGAAGAGGAGGAGGTGGTGGTAGTGGTGGTGGTTGCTGCTGGCTGCTCGTCGTGGTGGTGGATGTACCCCACTGGATCGAAGCGGGTGGCACTTCCATCAAGAGCAGACGCGGGTTCTGTTTGCTTCACATCCCTAGCATGATCCTGTTCGTTGCCCTCAGGGCCTGGGGGCGAAGACATGGTCCGCTGGACCTTTGCCAGATGTCCTGGTGCTCTCGGTCACGTCGGGTGGAGATGCAGGTCCTTTATCCTCTGGCTGTCGAGACACACTGGCTGACCTTGCAAATGACTGGGTCCAGCTTGGATGACAGTGCTGTTGTCGTCCAAGGCGTGACCAATAACGGGGCTGCCTGTGAAGGGGTGGAGGATGACAAGAGCTGCTGGGAAAGATGTGACCTGGAGTGAGAAAAAGAGACGACTGTGTCGGTGGTGGTTGTGGGAGATTGATGGCGATCTGCTGAAAGAGCAAGGGCACCGAGGAGCTTAAGCTCCAGTAGCTTCCCAGGCGTGCGTGGTATGTATGCTCCGTGTGTCACGAGCGATGATTATTTTTAAGTGGTTCGTCTGCTTTTCTGCCGCAGACCACCTTGTCGATCGCGTGATGAGGTTCGAGGAGAGGCTGGAGGGGTCGCCGAGTTGCAGAGAGCGTCTAGCAAGAAGGCAAGTTGGAGATGGCTGAGGTCGGGTGCGCTCCATTGTGTCGTTGCCAAGGTGCTGTCCCTGGCCAGGCGTTTCAACGCCGCAACCGTTGCAGCTGCGTCGTCACCGAGCAAAGGTCAAGGTGGGGTCAGGTCGAAGCAGCGAGGCTGTTGACAACTTGGCTTGGCTTGGGCACCAAGCAACTGGCACACACAACCATTTCCAGCCTGTAGCCCAGAGCCTTGCAGTGCATGTTGCGGGGTCCGTGTCACAACGACGGCCAGAGGGCCCCTGGAACACCGCACTGGCTGCTCGTGTTACACCAACACGACGACAGTGGCACCGCACGCAACCAAGGCTCCCTCCAGCATGGATGCCTGCACCCCGCCGTTTCCCGACTTGACTACGACCTAAGGTAGGTAGTCTCGAGTCCAACAACCAAGGTCATCCACATACATACTTTATATATGGCACATGGGGTGGGCTGCCATAATTTCCCGAGCCAGACACAAGCTTCCGGCAGCGCCATCGTCATCTTGACGGCTCGGGGGTGGACCTGGCGGAGCTTCCGGAGTCGATATACTTAGCGTAGGCTAGGGGCCCCTCGTCCCAGTCCCACTCCGTGGGATGGCAACTCCATCTCTGACACTGGCCGTCCTTCAGGTTCCACTGGAGCAATGCGCACATGTCCACTACAACGTCGCTCGAGGTCACATAAGTGATCGGAACGGAAGAAGGCGAGTAGCATCACGTTCAAACACAGGCTCGCATGCAACCTTCTGGGGGGCGACGCAAGATGGGTATCATTTGGTATCTGCAGCTCCTCGCCGACAGGCTCCATGTCATATCGTACAGCCCTCCCGTAAACAAACCCCTCCCCTAATAATACTTGTGGCCGTGCCACGTCGCTTCTCTCCAGCTCCCCTTCCGCGTTCCAATTTCTTCGCTTCCCTAACAATGTTTGCTTGTGCCCGCAGTCCTCAGGTGCCCGTATAAGGTGCAGCGAGTCTTATGTCGAAAGCCGTAAAAGCCAAATATCATGCTGCAGGGCAGTTCTGGAACAGAACGAAGACGACGCCGCATTCGAGCAACAACAAAACATTGGCAAAATGATACGCGTGTCTCGTTCGAGCGCTGATAAACTGATCTCGCTTCCCGTGGTATCTTTTTTTGCCGTGGTATCCTTCTGGAACTTTCCGAGCGCTTGGCTGGCATCGCCGTGTCTGCCAACCGCCGGTTGTGGTATCATGCGTAGAACGGAGTTTTCTCCATGTTTCTAATAATGCAGTGCGCACTCAAATCAATCGTATGCTGTTAGGCCCATAGACCATTTGGGGAATCATGAAACAAAAAAACAGACAAAAACAAAGAATGCAAGATAGGCAAAAAAGAGCATGAACGGAGGATGGTGGGCTCGATCAGCTTCTGCTTCAAGGAATCATCCCGGCAGTCATGATGCGCTTGAGCTTGTCCAGAGAGACACGTCTATCGGAATGAGCCGACTGGCCCTGGGAAGCCAGAGTTGGTCGAGTGAGACGTGGAGGGCCGCCCACTGTCGCCAGAGGCACGGGTATTGTGTCGGGGAGTGACATCACCGCCATGGGGAATGTTGCTGGCTGTCAGCTTGTTGTCAAAGCCAACGCTGAACAGGCGGCTCGGCCAAGGACTGCCGCTGTCTTCGTCGGGGAGGTTGACTCCACTATCGTTCCATGGGTTGCGATCCGCATTGAAGCTTCGAGTTGACTCTATCGATATCAGAGACGACTTGGACACGTTGCTAGATCCCTTGAAAAGAGTGTTGACAGAGTGCGAACTGTTCTTGCGGCGATCCAGAGACGAAAGCAGTTGCGTCGGCTTGCGAAGCTTCTCGAAAAGAGTCGCCGGCCGCTGGGGAGCAACTTCGTCCCCGAAGGCTGGGCGCGTAGGGGAGTCAGTACCGACAGGAGCTGGCGCATGCTGCAGAAGCTTCGAGTTGAAATATTGAAGAGTGTCCTCGAAGGAATCCGACTTTGGGCGAGGGAGCTCGCCCTTGACGACTTGGCACTCGACTCCGGCGGCTGCAAACTCTTGCAGAAGGAACTCGATGGCATCGCGAAGTCCTCCGGCGTTGTTCCGGGTGAGCTTCCAGAGAAGAGTTACAGTACGTCCCCCATCGCTGGTCTTCTCCTCGGCGCTCTCGTGAACTTCCAAGGCGACTTCGTGTTGTGTCTTGAGTTTCGTCACAAGCCCATTGACGAAGGCCGCAGACTCGACGTACTTGACCAAGGAAGGCGTTCTGGTCAAAACCAACTCGTGCCTCTCGGGAACCATGCCCTAAGATAAAAGGTCAGATCGGATATGATCGAAACATGACAAATATGAATAAGACTCACGAGAAACTCATCCGCGCATAAGGGTACTTGCCACTCGGGACCGGTGATTGTGACCTCGTCGCTGGCTTGTTCCGTGCTCGGGAAGACAATTTTGCAGTTCCATTTCTTCTCGAGCTCTTCAATTTCTGGCAAGCGCGCTACCAACTGACGGTGGTACAGACGGTCCACCTGGACCACCTGCGAGGTGAACTCAGAGTGCTGTAATTTCTCGTCGTTAGCAAGATAATAGATAGGGACTGACTCGAGGATCAATGACTTACAGCACGATCAACCATGTCAAGAATCTCGGATTTCACAAGCTCAAGATTCTGGGCATTGCGAGCTGGCGTACGGCAGATTACATTGTCGACCTTGACATCGTCGTCCTCGCGTCCCATTCCTCCTTTTGGCACAGGTTAGCCCTGAGACGACGTTATCTGTTTGATGCAGAATGACTTACCACGATCCATTGCGTTGGAGAACTTGACGAAGACTGAATGCTTCTTCATGATGCGTTGAATATGCTGACCGCCGATACCGATAATTCGCTTGTGATACTGGTCTGGGACATGGAATGAGATAGATGCCGGCATCTCCTGCTCAACAAGTTCCAGACCGCGCTTCATCGGTCCATACATCTGCGCAATAACATCGATGTCGAAATTGTACTCGCGGAAGCTGTCAAAGATGATCTGAACATTACCTGTGAGGCAGGTTAGTCACTTGGCCGTTTCAAGACAGTCAGATGGACCAGGCTACATACTCTGAGTCATGATCTTGTTAATCTTGCCGTTCTTCTTGCCGGACACAAACTCCTTGTGCTCGTTGGCCAGTTCGATCTTGACCCTGATATGCTGCGAAGGGCTGCTGGCGAACTTGGTGCTCGACAACACGTGGAGAGCGTGCTGCACGGAATCGTCCGAGCCAGTCATGGTAAAGGTCATCTTGTCGAAGGAGATGTCTGCACCAGACTGTGCGCACATGTCACCAAACATTGTTCGGATTTCCTGAGTAGTCGGGGGTTGGACATTTCCCCCAGGTTGAAACCACCAGGAAGCATAATAAAATTGCCCAGCCTAGACATTTGTTAGCTTTCCACGGTTTGCAAACGCGCTTGGGTACAACAAAAGACTGCGGGCGTACCAGAGTCATGATCTCCTTCATTGTCCTCTCGATCTGCAAGCCCTCAATGCCTTGCACGCGAATCATGTTGCGTTGTGATGCAAGAGGTGGGAACATGACGTAGGTGCCGTTGCTGTCCATGATCTTGCGGACCTTGTCCATGCGACCAAGGATGATGCTGTCAATCTTGGCAGGAGAAACCAGGGCGTCTTTCATAAAAAGCTTGGTGCGGTTGACAAGGTCATGGATCTTGCGCTTCGCCAACTCGATGCCCTGCGGGTTCTCTCCGGTGATGTAGATCTCATCCGGCGGTCGTCGGTGAGCTTCGGGGGGGCAGTACTGAGACATGGCAGCAAAGGGCGGGAAGTAAATAGCGGTATTGGTGGCAGATTCGATGACCTTGATATGCTTGCGAGAGCGCCCACACACTATAGGATGCAAAGTGCTGTCAATCCTCATCACGTCATAAGTACGGCCAAGCTAGGTGGGAGCCCATGTTAGCAAGAGCAGTAACGACAGTATCACGCCCATGTCCTTCTCAAATTGGTACGCACGAGTTTATCAATGAAGATGAGCACTTGGGTCTTGGCATGATCTGTCGACTCATTGTCGCCATAGATGGCGACTCGCCATCTCTGGTCCCGGATGACCTCGACATCGCCATTCAGGCCATCGACCGTCGGAGTAAGCTTGGGCCCAAGAATGAAGATGTCGACGCCACAATACGCCGCGAATGTGTCGAGAGCGTCCGTCACATGTTTCACGAGGCTGGGTCCAGCCTTGCCGTCAACGATGAGGCCATAATCAACATCGACTGTGGTACAACGCTATAGGTGGGTGCTTAGGTTAGAAGCGGCACCCTGCTGAAGGCGGAGGGGGAGGGGGAGGGGGGCCTGTATGACCAGGCAGGGAGGCGGTGAATCATACCAGGGCAAATGGGGTGCTTGAGAGAATGGTCTCGCGGCTCTTGTGGACAAGCTCTGGCGAGCCCGAGAGACAGACTGTGACAACCTGACTCCGCACACCAGCGGCCTCGCGTTCTGTGGTGACAACATGGGCCTCGACGGCGAGGAGGCCGTGGGCGAGCGTCGTACAGAGGTCCTGCAGCGTCTTGAGGTTCTGGGTATGGACAGGCAGCTCGAAGACGGCGACGTCGTCGGGAGCATCGCCAGGATGGGTCCATTTCATGACCGAGTCGCCGGTGGCGTGGAGGATCTCCTCCGTGTTGGGGCCGGCAAGGTCGGAGGCGAAGGGGACGTTGAAGGCGTAGTGGATGGTCGTGTCGGCGGCCGGCGATGGCCCGCCGAGGGGGGCCCCCGGAGCGGCGGTCTTCTGGTGAGGGTTTATGGCCGGCATGTTCATGTTTGGAGTCCTGGAGGAGGCCCCAAAGTTTGGGCTCATCCGCTCAGGCCAATGACGCATATTCGCGAGCTTCTGCATATCGGGGGGTATCGAGGGTATCGAAAAGGAAGAAAAAGGAAGAGACGAAGAAGAGCAGCTCGGGGGTATCTAACGAAGAGAAAGAGGAGGCGTCGTGAGGGGAGAAGGGAAGGCGTTGTCGCGTGGAAATGGTGGTGCTCCTCCTCTGACGCTCGCGGTACAAGATGGGGAGAAGGGATTATCACCAGGTCCAGACGGAGAGAGGTGTGGAGAAGAGAGAGAGAGGGCTGTTGGTGGTGCAGTGCTCTGGGAGCCGCTGACTGGCCCGACCGATGCACCACCGCCCAGCACACACGCACGTCCAAATAGCAAGCTGCCTTAGGTAGGTCCCAGTACGTCCCTTGTAGACACACATACGGTGTGCGAGAACAGCAACGGTTGACAGAAGCACCGTCTACTCGACGCCCGCGTCTTGCAGAGCTCCTTTTTCGACACTGAGGCAGGCAAGCGGCTATTGTCCCGGGCTCGACCAAGCCATGACACGGTCCATCTGCAGCACTCAGTTCAGTCTCGCACGACTGTCGTCAGCCCACAGTCACACCTGTGGACACCGTGCCTGGCACCCGGCACCTGACTCTGGCTGGATGGCAGAGCCAGCTGCAGCCAGGTGCGGTCTGCCCAGTAGTTGCGCCATCCATGCCCGGCCCTCCCACAGGGCTGCACAGGTGCCGCTCGCCAACAAACGAGACACAGGTGGCCCTCCCAGGGCTACTTTAGGTGCCGTGACAGTGCCTCGCACGTGCTTCGTACCCGCCCGTGCCATGCGCCTCACTGCTTCCAGGTTACCCGCGCACACATCCCATTGGCGCTGTCGGTGCCTGCCCCATCGTATGGTTCAGCTCGCCGTCGGGTCCAACGACTGCTGGCACTGTCAACTGTTGACACCAAGGGGGCGTGTTTGCCTCTTCATCACCATCAGCAGAGACTAAGGCTTCTGGGGGTTCGGTAAGACTTCGTGGTCCTCGAAGAGAGCTCAAAAACACAACGCCAACTCTCGTCCAGCGAGACTCGGGCGTCTCGGGACCCTGCAGACCCCGACGCTGATCATGACCACCTCCCGGCAACCTTGGAAGCAAGTCAGCATGCTGAGCACCGTGTGGCAGAGCAGCTCTGCCCGAAACGATCTGCAACACAGTCAGGCATTTACTGTGAGAAGCCCCACTGAAGCTAGGGCTGTCTTGATTGATTCCACGCCAGCAGCCATGGCATGGCATTGAGACCAGTCAAGTTGAAAGGGCAAGATCGTGCATGCCATCTCAAAAAGGTGCCCATCCGACCAGCCGCCGTGCTGCAAGGGGATCTTTGACTGATACCGCTCTTCTTGCCGCCGCTTGGACCTTTGAGGGACTGCAAAGTCAGGCGTACGGCAGTCACCTGGATTGGCCCATCCGGCTGCCTCTCCAAATCCGTCTCTGAGATCGCCCCAGTCATTGCGGTTCCCTGTCTGTCTGTGGACCAGACCAGCCAGGCCAGGCTACAAGTTTTGGACCCGGCAATGCAGGTTCCACGTAACCATTGGCAGAGCTTCGCGAATTGACTTGACTGGAGGCCCTGCCGCTAGAGGTCAAGAGGTCTAGAGGCTTCCAAGGTTGTGTGGGTCACAAACCAGACCTCAAGGCACGAGAGGCTGGTTTCGCATGCTTCAGGCAATGTTGGAAACACTTTGAACCTGACATGCCAGGGCCTCAACCCCAAACATTGAACGAGCCATTGCACTCCAAGTCTATCTACGTGCGTACTTAGTGGAGGTACATATATAACTAGAGGCATCGTTGATCCACCGAGCTCGGGACGTCCACAGATTTAAGGCTCATCCAAGAGACCCCGCCATCAACACCTTCCTGCACCAACGACTCCCTCAAGTGCTCACGAGCCTGGCCAGTTGCTTCTCCATGCTGTAGAGTGTGAGAACACCTTGACAATCTCCATCTCGTCACGAGCACCCCTTACTACAGTCCTGTATCACGTCAGCCGGGAGTGTGCCAAGGCTGTGAGCGGCATCCTTCCCCAGCCTGGACCCCGCAAGCGGCGCAAGCAAGATGACCCTCGTCTGATCACCTGATGTGCCCAGGTTGTGCGCCCGTCAATGTTTGCAAGCAACCTTTGGGAACGTACAGCAACATGCTTGCAAGACGTCCCAGTAGTGTCAATGTGGCAATGTGCTTCTTTGTGACCGAGCTGAATGGCCGTCTTGCAGGTAGATCTAACTGGCAACAGAAATGGCACTTGTCGTTCACCGGACTGTATCACGGAACTTACCACGCACGACCAAATTGTGTCAACTCTGAGAATCCTCTGGACCGCTACGTGTCGTCCAGACTTTGGATGGAACAATGCCGCTTGTGAAATCAACATTAATTGCAAGGCCCGCTTAAACAAATGACTCTATAGTAGAACACAACAAAGAGATGCGGCAACCTGTAACATGCCGACAAAGTGCTAATACACGGCTCTCGCCTCACCTTATTACCCCACCGTCTATTGGCCAGACGATACCAGCTCTGCTCATCATCTCGACCGGTAAATAGGCCGCGAAGCGTCATCAATATACACGACCTCGCCAGCAGCAGCACGGGCTTGCGGCCGCTGATTGAACGCCATCTGCGTCTCACCCACAGGCTGGCGCTCAAAGAAATATTGCTCAACAGGACGCACGCTGTACGCTCGAGGGGGGTATTGCTGCTGCGGCGGTGGCGGAGGCGGCAGGTCTTGCCCAGCAGAACGCGGGTCGTACTCCTGCACCATCGATGCCTGCTGCTGCGGCTGGTAGGCAATGGGCACAGGCTCCGCCCTTCGCGCTTCTGGGTGCACGCTGGCGGCGTAGTGTCTCGGCGGTGCCTCCGGGCGCACGCTCTGTACTCTAGAGCTGCCATAATATGACAACCCTTCCTGTGGTCGGACGCTGACAGATCTCGCAAGATATTCCCCGGGTAACGCCTCCTGCTGAACACGTCGTTCCGGTCCTGTTCTGTATTCGACGTACTCCTCTCGGGATATGGCTCCGGGTTGCGTCGAGTAGTCCCGATCTCGGTAGCTTTTGACTTGTTCCGGCCGGCTATACTCTGGCTGGGTGACGACACGTCTTGCGCCATGTATAGGCGAAACTCGCCTGTAAATGATGCCGTTTTCCTCGAAAGTCGCATCTGCGGGGATACGAGAAATGGCCCTCGCCGGAGCCCGCTCGTACACGATCTCATGCTCCCTAGGCCTGGCGATGGGTACGGCCGAGTGCCGAATCACACTGGTCGGGCGTGGCGGCGGCTCAAAATACTCGCGCCCATATTGATCCACAACAATGCGAGCAGACGGCGCAGGTGGCCCTGGCGGCGCCATCATAGGGGAATGCCGTTCTATGAGCACAGGAGATCTGGATCTAGCTCGATCTGCGTACGGGCGCACGCTTGCGCGGGCGGCTTGTGAATGGCTTGGGACTTCACGATACTCTGGCTGGGCTATCGAGTACGTTGCAGATCGCAGGGGTCGTGCGTCGCCAGCACCGTATTGAGATGGCTGCCCTGGTGGCGTAAACATGCGTCGTATATATTGCGGGCCATGCTCGTCGTAGCGCCTTTCGAAGAGCTGAGGTTGTTCAGGTCGATAAACAGAAGGGATTGCCGACGAGCGTCCAGAGCGAGTTAGTGGATCTTCAAGGCGCTCCCAGGCGTATGGTGCCGCTCTATCAACATGCAACGGCTCGGCAAGCTGCTGTGCAGAGAACACTCGCGAGGCTGGGCGAGCAGTCGTGGGCGCTTCTATGATGACAACGTCCTGCTGCCCACGGTCCGACCGTTGCCGCTTTGCAGGCCGAGCCATGGTCGGCGCTGAGATTGGTGACGGCGACCGTGGCTCAGGCTTGACTTCTGGCGAGCCGTAGCCTAGCCTCTTTCTAGCCTTCTGCTTTTTCCTTTCCTTGCGACGTTCCGCTCGCTCTTTTCTCTTCGAGCCTCTATCTCCGTATGGTGAGCTCTCTGGGCTTGTGGCAGCACTCTCATGATGCCTCAGCGCTGCGACCGATGCAGGTGCACCCTGCAATGCAGGCGGATCGGGGTCAAGGATAGACGATTGCGTTCCGAAGGTAAGTTGTGATACATGAGCAGGTTGGGGAGCGTAAGGGGACAAGTCATGAGCACGAACCAAGGGTGAAGGCTGTCGCATAGCATCGACACTGGACATGTAGTGCCGAGCACCCTGAGGACGTATCACGTCTGCAGCTTGATCCGACTCGGTGTTGCCAGAATCGCCGACCCTACTATTGGCGCCGCTACCTCCCGAACTGACATACTGTACCTCGTGGGTGATATTCCTGTCAGGAGCACTTGTACGGGGGTAGCCATTCTGGAAGGAGGGAAAACTGCGGCTCTCTGTTGTCGAGGCAGCAACCACGGTACCGAGCCCAGGTGGAAAACTTAACGAGGCACCAGGTGCAGTCCTGAGCACATTCGTTGGTGCTGATGGCAGCGCAAGGTTTTGTGTGGGTGAATACGGGTCGTCCTGAAGAAGACTCTCAGCAACATCTTCTACCAGGACAGCAGTTGCGCCAGCTTGAGGCGCCGAAGTCTCATGCGGCTCCGGCGTATCATGCTGGCTCGAGTAGAATGTGTTGTTGTCAAAGGAATCACTCGACTCGGAACCATCACCAGCTACATCGACATCAGGCGCAAGAGGTGCGGAGGTGGCCTGGACGAGCGTCAAGGCCTTTACCAGCACATCTGACAGGTTGAAGTCGAGAAGCGACTCAGGTTCTTGTGCCGCAGCCTTTGCAGAGGCCTTGCGCTGTTCCAGCTCCTCTCGTAGAGACTTCTCGAGTCTTTGTCGCTGTACCCGAAGCTCGGCGCGAACAAGATCTTCAGACTTCTCAAGGAAAATTGGATCGATTTCAGGCCTTGCATCTCCTGCGATCGTGGTGGCGAAGCCCGGTGCGAGCGGCGGAGGAATCGTCGAAGCTGCAGCTACAGCGACGGGTGGATAACCTCCATCTTGGATCGAGGCTTTCGCCTTGCTCGCACGACGAGCACCTGATGTTTGACGTGTTTTGTCTGCGGTCTGGGCGGGGTGTCGCGGTGGTTGCGCACGAGGATTTGACACGGACGTCTGGGGGGCCGCGACGGCTTTAGCAGTCGAGACGGGGAGCTTGATCTTAGGGTGTTTGCCTGCGAGGATAGTGTCTCGGAACTGAGCAAGCTTCTGATACTCGAGAAATACTTTCATGTCAGAGTCAGCGTCAGCGTCAGTAGCAGAAGCAGCAGCAAGCAGCGACTCTGGCTGATGTGCCGTCAAGGTCTGAAGCTCCGAGGCTACAGCTGCGTGCGCCATGGTAAGGACGCGTAAAGAAGTGGTTTGGCAAGGCCAACGCCATCCACGAGCGCGACCTGCACTGCGCCGTGTCTGTCTTCAAGCCCTTGCTCTTTGGTGACAAGAAAATCACAAGAACGAGTCAGGAAGATGAGTCTGGTCGCAGGTCGCGCATGGAGGAGCCATGGAGTCGTGGAGGTGGTGCACAGCGGATGGGCCGCTCGTTGTCAGAACAGTGTTGTTCGAGACAGGAATGGCGCTCAACACCGGTCGCAGCACGAGGGAGCCCTCTGGACTTTTTGTGTGGTCCTATTGTGGGTCTCCTTTTTTCAAAGGCAGCCCGCCCCGGCGTACATCCACCCTCACGATGACCTGGACAAGATTTTTGCACGTCGGTGGCATATGTATTTTACGGGAACTAGAGAGGCATCAGCATGCATTCTCGATGAAGATCGTGCGACCTTCTACCTTCAAAAACCGTTGTCTTTGCGCGCGCTATCTTGCGAGGGCTGGGGCGCAGTGATGGAGGAGGTGCAGTGGTGGCAGTGTAATTGCTACTCGGCATGCGTGGCCGGTGACTCAACTTCGAACCGGCCAGCAGCCAGCAGGAAGCTGCTCCATTGAAGCCAGATGCGATCTCGCAGTTGGTGATGCTCCGGCGCTGTACTCGGGGAGAGATGCATGCGTAAGCGTTTGTAACGCGAGGATTTATATAAATGAGTGACTGGACTTTGATTTGCCGTTAGGGGTTTTGGTAGTCAATAGCTCAACGTTCACACATACCTGCACCTGTCATTGACTTGATCGACCCCATTGACTCAGGCGCGCCCTATTCCCACCTACGATTTGCCACTTTTCAACCGCCAGACAACAACCCGTCGCAAAACCTCGCAACATCATCAAGGCTGTCTGCTGTCTGCAGTAAGCTTACGCAAACACCTCTCAGAGACATTGGTCCTAAGTGCGCTTTTCGAACATCAATTATGGGCTCACAAACTACAGCCCCGAACGGGGCAGAGTCGCACAAGCCGGTGCTCTTTTTGTGAGTCTCCTGGACCATTCCAGCCATCTGTCCCATGCACTAACGCACTCGTTTAGTGATATAGACAACTGTCTCTATCCCAGAAGTGAGTATTGTGCCTCTGCATATATGGCATCTCCGGTCCCCATTGCTGAGCCTCTCATGTCCAGGTAGCAAGGTCCATGATCTCATGGCCGACCTGATCGACCAGTACTTCGCAAAGTATCTGGGCGTAGACGAGAAGGAGGCCATCCGGCTGCACCAGGAGTACTACCGGGACTACGGCCTTGCGATTGAGGGCCTGGTACGGCACCACCAGATAGACCCCCTCGATTACAACGCCAAGGTCGACGACGCGCTGCCCCTCGAGGATATTATAAAGCCCAACCCGCAGCTTCGCAAGCTTCTCGAGGACATTGACACATCCAAGGTCCGCCTCTGGCTGTTCACAAACGCCTACGTGACCCACGGCAAGAGGGTCGTCAAGCTCCTTGAGATTGACGACTTGTTCGAAGGCCTGACCTACTGCGACTATTCCCAGCTTCCCATCATCTGCAAGCCGCATAGGGACATGTTCACCAAGGCCATGAAGGAGGCCGGCGTCGAGCGACCCGAAGATTGCTACTTTGTTGGTAAGTATTCTGCATGCGTACGACCTGTTTTGCGCTGTGCATTCATCATGAGGCAAGCTCTGTGCTAACTGACGCCCTTGTCAGACGATTCACACAGCAACTGTGTAGGAGCACAAGCATTCGGCTGGACTGCGGCCCATCTTGTGGAGGAAGGGCTGCCGCAACCGTCCTCGAAGGCATCACAATTCCAGATCAAGCACCTCGAAGAGCTGCGGCAGATATACCCGCAATTCTTCAAATCTTCCTAAGCACAGGTGATGGAGCATAAGAAATGGTTGTAGATCATGTTGATGAAATGGTCCCCAGCATGCACTATAGATTTGATAGACTGCCCCGTCGAGGACCCTTAGCATAGAAGGCTAGAGGATAGGGATCAAGAACAGTAGAAGACCTTGGTTTACCCTTCTTTGATCAATCTTTTCGTAGTTGAACTGGTTGAGGATGCAAGAACAAAACCTCGGCCATCGGCCGTGTCTATATATCAGAAAACACCATAACGCCATGCTGCAAAAGCAATACTTGTACTCTCGTCATAGATGACCCTCACGGCCTTCGGATGCTCCGAATCACCTCGTCGAGCTTCTTCATTGTGACCTCCTTCTCCCTCACGGCATCCTGGCGCTGCGCCTCGGCGACCTTGAGTTCCTCCTCGAGCTCCTTGATCGTGCGGTCCTGGTCCTGTTCGCTGTTGAGCAAGCCCGGCAAGATCGAGATCAAGTACTCGATCTGCTGTTCCTTTGTTATGAGATCTCGGGCGAGCTCGAGCTGCGAGGCGTTGAAGCTGTCGGAGGGGTGCGGGTCAACTGCGATTCCACGATATGTCAGTAAACCTTGCGCCGAGCAGCTTGGGGGGAGTTGCGGGTAGGGTGCGTGTAGCTTCCATAAGCTGCGATGGTGCAGACCGACTTTCTTTCTGATCCTCCTCTGCGTTCTGCTTCGTAGCCTGGTTGATCTGGTCCTTGGGACCCAAAAGCTCGAGGTCGTGATGGCGGTTCAGGTAGTGGATCGAAGCAACCATCTGCGTCGCAAACTGCACATCGCCCGGACAAAACCCTGGTTAGCTTGCCGTACTCGCTACGAGGCAGCATGACTGGCGGGGGTCACGAGGCGAAAGGTACTGGCATACCTGGTCGACAGCATCCTGGAGCTGTGTAAGGCGGTCGCCCATCTTGTGCAGCTTGGGTTGGTTGCGCGCACTGCAGCTGAGAGTTTCGTGACTTCAGGTACAAGCTGGAGCTTGCGAAGTTGGAGCTGCTCCTGCGAGACAGGTGGGTTGATTATTGGAAGCAGTGACGCGCGCCGCAGGCACAATGCAGGGTTGCACTGTGGGGTCGCGTACCATCTCGCAGGGTCCCCACCAAGCAATGACATCCATTCTCACGATCTCCTTGTCAACGAACATTGTCTTGTAACTTTGTCAGACTTGGCGACCGCCAGTCGCAGGCGGGTGGGAGGATCAGCTCTGAACATTCTGCATCATGAGCTTGAAATATCCCGGCATCTAAAAGGACGAGCAGCTACTTACGCCTCACGTCATGGAGAGAGGAATAATTTCTCGAGACTGAACATCCTCCACAACCTCCCGAGGTCACTTCAACAATGGCAACCTGGCGATGCCTCACGAAACGGCTTCCCCTCTCACAGCGGCCCTCAGCCTCGACTCTCAATCCACTGAAATCTTTCTCGCCAAATTTGATTATTCGAGTATCATCAACAAAATCGCGAACACCGGAAGAGACTCTGTATCAAGAAACACAATCACCACCACAGGTACCCACACCTTCACCTCATTTCACAAATGCCCCGACCACCGCACATAGCGACCTGGCATCGTACGTCGCCTACGCGACCCGCACAGGTCTAAGCCCAAAATCCACGACCTACGTGGGGACACACTACGAGTACATGGTCGCCGCCTCGCTGCGCCGCCTAGGTTTCGATCTGCGCCGGATAGGCGGCCGGTCGGACGGCGGGATCGACCTGCTCGGCACGTGGACGGTGCCATCCCTTGGCCCCTCTACAGCTGGGATGAGGACGGACAAGGAGAATAGCAGCAGCAGCAGCAGCAGCCGCGATGAGAGGAACACGGCAACACTGCGCATCATTCTCCAGTGCAAAGCCTATACCGCAAAAGCCGGCCCCCAACACATCCGCGAGCTCGAGGGTGCATTCATCGCCGCGCCTCCTGGCTGGCGGACCACCGGCAGCAGCAGTAGCACTGGCGGCGTCGTGGGAGTTCTGGTTGCCCAGAAACCCGCTACGAAGGGCGTGAGGGACGCACTGGGGCGTAGCCGGTGGCCAATGGCGTACATAGCGTGCTCCAAGGATGGGCGAGTCGAGCAGCTGCTCTGGAACCGCCGTTCGGAGGAGGAAGGCCTCGAGGGCATGGGTGTGGCGGTCCAGCATCGGGACAGTGAGGAGGCCGGTGGAGAGCATGTGGAGGAGCTCGTTCTTACTTGGCAAGGGCTGCCGTATCTGGCGAGTGATATTGATGCTGTGAAGGGTGCTTCATGATTGCGGCATCTGGTTGAGGACTACCTCGCATTATACCAAGCAAGGCTTTCGGGCTAACATACAACAACAGGCCTACACTTTGCAACTCATCACGAGGCCCTGGAAAAGGCTAGATCCAGTGGCTAGCCAGTAGTTTTGGACAGTCATTGAATGATAAAAAGTTAACAGATTGGGGGTAGTATGGTGTGAATAAACTTGAGCACAATCCTCAATGCCCCTGGTTCTCATAAAATGCAGCGTCCCTGAACACCTGCGATCCCATATGAAAAGTGATATATGTATAAAGAAAAGGCCGTCGTATATGACGACATTTTTGTCATCATTTGGTCGTGATTGTGAGTTTCGTTGTACTTGGCGTTATATGTCGTGCTTTGTGGTGTTTGAGTAAGGAGATGGCGGGTGACGCGCCATCGATCTCAAGGCTGTCTAGTCTTCCCAGACTGCCTGTTTGGCACGAGCCGTCTCCTCCGCACGCTTACGCTCTGCTTCACGCTCTTCCTCTTTCTTCTTCTTCTCCGCTTCTCGCACAGCCCGATCGTATGCCCTCTGCTCCTCTGTGGCCTTGGGAGCCTTGACACCCAAAGCACTGGCGATCATGCGCCTCGCCACGGCATCGGTCTTCTCGGGCCGCCTGGCAGCCGCAGCAGAATCGGCGTACCCGCCACCGAGAGGATGAAGCATATTGGATAGACCGGGAGCTTGCCCGTGCCATGGAGCGTTGGGCGGGTTTGCGGGCGAGTTTGGAGTGGGCGGCGGGGCACTGACGCCCTGCTTGTCGGACGTCGTGGACACAATGGCAGGCGACTGGAGCGCCGACGCTGACATGGGCTCCTCGTCAGAGGATTCATCCTCCCACGAGTCGGCGACGGGCTTCTTCTTGGACTTGGAGCCGGTGGCCATCGGAGGGTTTGTGGTAGGCGTGGCGAGGGTCAGATTGCCCATGGCCTTTGTGGCTGGTTTATTGGACATGGCGTGATTGCGCGGGTAGGCTTGGTCTCGAATGATCTGCATGGGAGTGACTGTGGGGGATCGGTCTCGGTGATTGTCGTTATGGGGTTGGGGCAGTAAGTTGCGGGTAAAGATTTGAGGCTTAGGACTGGTAGAGAGTCTGTCTCGAAGGTGAGGTTGCGGGCAAGATGTAGATATAGCGGCTGCGTGGATTAGGCGAAGGAACCCACGAGGCTGTCGGGAGGCCCAGTAAGCCGCCGATCTGCACAAGTAAAGTTGCTCGTGCACAGACGGCTGCTTGTGGCAGAGAAAGGACCACCAGGACAGTGAAGCAGGTGTTGTTTGAAGACGGAAAAGACAGCCAGAACGGCACTGGTGACGATTCTGGAGTGGAACAGTAAGGCGGGGTGCGCAAGCTGCCGGCTGTTACTAGCTCTGATCTTTGTCACATCACAGCTCAGTGTGGGGTATCCTGGCAAACCAGTCGCCAGTCTACGGTACAAGTGTACGTACTCGGGCGTTGCGACGAAGCAGCTCGCTGCGTCTCCCCAGGAAGCCATCATGTGTCCTTAATTAACGAACGCTGGCATGCACGGCACTGTTCACAATCCCGTCGCTGCTGGCTCTCAAGCAAGACGCGCCAGGCTCTCGTAGTTGAAGTGTCATGTTCCTTCACCCCTAGCATTCGTGACAGCATCTTTTCTGATGCCGCCAACGGGATACCCCTGACCATGCGTTTCGCCCGGTCGCTTCCTTAAAAGCAATCACGGCTGGGTGATGCAGTCATCATGGCGTTAAGTTCTTGAGGTGCAGCGCAAGATTGTCTCTTTCCATGAAGCTCCCGAGGAAGCCCACCTCTGTGAGTCTGGACGGGCTGAACGAGCCACTCAGGTCCAACACGGCCTGCGTCTGTTGGTGACTTGCGTCCCGCGCCTGACGCGCCTACATCAAGAAGAGGAAACATGCTGCCCCAGACTGGCAGCCGCCTCTTGCTTACATGATGAACGGCAGCCTGCACACGGGTGCCGTCAAAGGTAAGCTTACGCAAGGGTCTGCCTGCCATCCACGGCATCCGAACAGTCATTCCCGGTTGTTCTGCGAACAGCGCTCAACCAGACCCAAATGCCGGGCTTTCACTTCACTCCCAGCACGATTTGAGCTGCGAAGCTCGTGAACAAGCAGTTTTCAGGAGCTCCGAGCTGTGACACCGCGGCCCGGGTACATGATGCCGCCGGCATTAAGAAATCCAATATTCACTACTCTGGTCACGCAGGGGATGTGGCCGGTCCAACCGGGCTCCCAGCTCTGAGATCTGCGTCACGATCCTCAATTGAGCACCAGCCCCCATGGCTCGGCATGGATCCGGACTCAGGCACCATGCGTCCAGGCCGGACTTTGCGAAAAAGCCCTGTGACTATTTTCGACCCACCCGCCTGGGCGCCATCCAAGCTCGGCATGGGACACACAACCCCTGGCCCTGCCAGTGGGCTCGCCGAATCACCAGGCCCTTGGTAATTTCCCTGGGCCTGCCTACAGCTTCCGCGACAAGGCCTCATTTTAAATTTGCAAGCTGGGCATCCAGTCGCTGGCCGCAGCCGGGCGCCCAACAAAAGCCCCGTGGGTTCCCGGTCACAATGTGGCACTCGATAGATTCCAGATCTTGTTGTTGGCCTGCCTGTGTGTCGTCGCATCTCCTCAAAGCTTGACAAGCAGTTGTCAGCGCCTCACCGTTGCGCCACCCCACGACCTATCAAGCCCACCTAACGGCACGAATACGCGAGCAGGCGATCACGGGGGACGAATCAGCTATTTCGAGAAACAAAGCTGCAGCTCGGGACTTGAACAATGGCACCAGCTTACTTGATCGGCAGTTGGATGGTCCTGGCTGGCCACGTGCTCGCCAGCGCTGGTCACCACCACCACGCCCATCTTCACCATGCTCGCCACCTCCCAATTAGCCCGCTTCCTGTGCCAACCGAGGTCCTTGACTTCGGCCGGGCGGCCCAGACAACATCGCCAGCCACACTCGGCGACAGCTGCGGCGAGGTCAACGACGCCATTGTAGGCTGTGCCGACATCATCCCCAACTTCGACAAGGCGGATGCCCAGCAGATTGGACAGTGCTTGTGCTGTGATGGGACTAAATACCGGCCGAAGGTGTTCGACGGCAAGGCTGCTCAGTGTGCATCCTACATCAAGGGCCTCGCCCCTCAGTCCACGGATGCCATAAACCGTACGTCAAACCTGGTCTGATGTCAGAGGAGACCGACAGCGCTTGTGTTTTAGGTCTGCTTGGCTAACAGCATCGCAGAATGGGCCGGACTGGCAAGCTTCTGTGGTCCGGGAGGCCCGGAGGGCAACATGGCTGGGGTGTGCACGAAGACTTATAGCTACAAGTCAAAGGCTCCCGAAACAATCGCTGCTGTCGGACCTGCCGTCACCGCCTCAGTAGCACCGGCTTGTCTGTCACTGCAGGCCATCGGAGCATCGTGCATGAAGGAGACACCAGGCTTCGGATCCCTGCCGGCAAAGTCGCAAGCTGAATGCTACTGGTGAGCTCATGTCCCATCAATCACCCTAGCTCAATGTATACCAATGTCCAATCGCTAACCCGGGACCGTATACAGTTACTCCTCCACCAAACAGACAACGACCTGGATCCCAGGCCACCTTGACAACTTTGCCAACAAGTGTGCCAACTGGGCATCAGGCGCAGGGCAGAGTTCTCTCGGCAGTGGTATGTGGCATCACGAATCCTTGCCATGCTCTGATATATGACCACTAACACTCATGTCTAGCCGCTTCGCACCTGGTTGGATTCTGCTCGAGCCTGGGCGACTTTTTGGGCTCCGAGGCCCCTTCTGTGATGGCTGCCGCTGCCACCCCGACCCTGGGATTAGCCGGTCATACTACATCAGCACCGGTCAACGAGCAGCCAGTCGCAGCCATGTTGGAGACATCAGCACCTGCGAGAACCGGCCCTACCGTGTCCGAGTCGCTGGCTCTGCCCACGACAACCAGTGGTGCCATCACTCTCGGCAGACCCGCGTCTTGGGTCCTCTGTGCCGGCGCAGTTTCATTGGCATTGTTCGGATGGTAAAATTACAAGAGTCCATCAAGAGTGACATTTTATGAAGAACATTACCCACTCAAGACGAGCTGGAAGGGACAACCCTGTGGGCAGGAAGTCAACCACATACATTATCGACATATACCCCCTTTCCTTGGATCTGCAATTCTTTGGGTTCGCGCAACCGCCGCCTCGATTACGCGTTTCCCCCCAACAACACGTCCTCTTCGGCCAACTATTCCATTCCCCATGTACATACTTTTATTCTTCTTCGACATACCTTAGCGTCCTCTATTGTGCATCAATATCATGTTGTATCGGTATGGCTCTTAGCAGTGACATCATTTGACATGACTCTATTCTAGTACAATATCTTCCTGGTAAGAGACTGGCTCGCTTACGGCTTTGCGTGAGCATCATGTTTTCGTGTGTCAAGCTTTTCTCCGTGACGACAGCTGCTCGTGGTTTCACACAACGTGCCTGCAGGTATTTTTTCCCCTTCTATGACTCGAGTAAGTCTACGCCAACGCCACGCAGCGCACCTACCGCCCAGCCTGGATATTTCTCCTTGCTGCCGTAGTAGTCGGAGAACCACTGGTGAAGATAGGCCGGGTACCTGTCCTCGATGATGGCGGCGCGGACTTCGCGCATAAGATTGAGCTGGTGCCACACGTTGTGGATGGTGAGCAGATGGGCGGCGGCGGTCTCCTTGGCCGTGTTGTGATGCACAAATGCCCGGGTGACGTTGATCCCGCCGGTGGCGTCTGTTGGTGATGGGGTCGTCGGCGTTGATATCGAAGGGTCAGTGGAGGCGGTGTCTGACCGGCGGCGGCAGCATATACATCCACACCCATCCTCGATGGGCCCAAAGTCATCCGCATACATGGCGTTCTTCAAGTTGAGCACGCCGTGCCTGGTGATGGCGTTGCCGAACCGCGCCGTGCGCGTCGGCCACACGCAGTCGAACATGTCGGCGCCGAGGGCGACGCTGACCACAAGATCCTCCGGGTACCCGATGCCCATGACGTACCGGGGCTTGAGCTCGGGCAGCATGGCGGTGCACGTGGCGACGACGCGGCAGAAGTCGGACTTTGCCTCGCCGCCGCTGAGGCCGCCGATTGCGATGCCCGGGGTGTCGCGCGCGACCATGGCGGCGCAGCACTCGCGGCGCATTTCGTCGTCGAGCCCGCCCTGGATGATGCAGAAGAGGTTCTGCCTGCCCGGGTTCTTGTGCGCCGCGATGCACCGGTCTAGCCACCGCACGCTGCGCAGCATGGCCTCGCGCATGCGCACGGCGTCGGGGGACGTGGTCACGAGCACGTCGTCGAGCTGCATGATGATGTCGCTCCCGATGCTGTTCTGCAGGTCGATCGAGTGCTCGGGCGTCAGCAGCATGGGGCTCCTGTCGTGTGGGGAGAGGAAGCGGACGCCTTCCTCGGTGATGTTGGCGAGCTCGAGGAGGGAGACCATTTGGAAGCTGTACTTGTGTGTCAGTCATTGGAACCAAATTGTCGGAGGGAATGGTGTTGTTGAGTGCAGTAACATCCAGACCTACCCTCCGCTGTCGGTGAGGATGTTATGGCTCCATCCTTGCAGCTTGTGAGCACCGCCAACGGCATCAAGAACGTCCTGGCCGGGCTTGAGGCCGAGGTGGTACGTGTTGTTGAGGCATAGCCGGCAGCCCGTCTCTTCGAGTTGCTCTGGTGTCAGACCCTTCAGCGAGGCCTGGGTGGCTACGGGCATGAATATGGGGAGCTGGACGGGGCCATGAGGAAGGGTCAGATTCGACGCCCGTGCCCGTGTTGTCTGGAAGCAGTCAGTGGATGCTCATGAGAGGTGATCTATGCTCCATCTCTCTCGTATGTCCGGAAACACACAGACTTACTGAACACCGAGCTACGAGATCAAAGGTGAGAGCCGCCGAGGACTGGGAGGCGATAGTGCTGGCCATTCTTCTGAGCATTACTTGCTCCTATGACTGCCGGGGCGTTATTGGCGATGCATCAGGAACTGCCCGAGACTCTACAACGCTGAAGTTATCGTCCTGAAAGTCTGTCGGATCACCAGATTCACCCGTGACTGCAATATCTGTTTGTAAGACGGGGAGAGCCCAATATCGAATTCTGAACCTCCCGCAGACGCTAACACACTGGCAAGACCCCTGTGCGGCCTGGCCCATATCGTGCAGCAAGTCTCCAGCAAGTAGCTTTTAGTGCGCTGCACGCTCGGAAAGCACCTCGCTGGGCGTGCAGGTACTTCTCCGAGACCCAGTCCTCTGCAAGCTGTGGCACCCCGCGAGAGTGGCCACCGCCGTCGTCAGGTCATTCGAGAACCCCGCCAAAACTTTTGGTGACGCTCCAGCATTTGATTGAGTCACTCTTGCGACAAGCACCAAAACACCACCCTCACAACACAACCTTGTGACCATTTGGCCCTCCGAGATAGCCAACCTGTGCATCAGACCCAGCCATATTTGTGTATTGTCTGTCTGCACAGCTCAGCTTCACGATGGCCGCCGCCGTCGCCACCCTCGACGCCTCGGCGACAACGGACCTTGCCGTCAGGTCCAAGCCGGACTCGGACGAGGCTTTCGAGTGAGTACAGCTCCGCGACGCCATTCCTGAAGCACGACAGTCTCTCTCTCGAGTGCTGTGGAATTCCTGAGATCTCCAGGCTTTAGTAGCAACTACTCATGCATGTCTCGCGCACACAGTATCGTCAAGGTCTACCACCGACTGCTCGCCGACGACCCCGACCTCACCATGCCCGTTGCGGCCATCGAGGCCCTCATCGAGACCCTTGGCCACTCGCGCAGCTCGACCGTCTTCGAGACTATGGACCTCGTCAAGACCCAGTCTGCAAAGCTGCTCGCCAGCGTCGCCAACCCGATCCCCTTGTCCCACGGCACGGACCTCTTCCAGCAGTACCTGGTCATGAGCCTCAAGCAGGACCCCTCCTCAAAGAGCCCCGACAGCATACCCCTCAGCCCCCACGAGAACTTTGAGGAGGTCAGGCAACACCTCCTCCGAAACGGGAGGCTGTTTGCGTCCAGGGCAAAGGAGTCGCGAGAGAAGATTGCCAGTCTGGGCCGGCGGTTCATCGCAAACGACTCGGTGGTGCTCACGCACGGCGGGTCCAGAGTGGTCGGCACGCTGCTCGGCAGGGCGGCGGAACAGTCCGGCAGCGACGCCCCGCGGCGATTCAAGGTGATCCACGTCATCAACGAGGCCGAGGCGACAGAGTCGAATCGCGTGGTGGCCGCGCTGCGCGCAAAGGGCGTGCCGGTGGCCACGATACCAGACTCGGCGGTCGCCTACGCCATGTCCAAGGTCAGCATGGTCGTCGTGGGCGCCGAGGCCGTCACCAGCAACGGCGGCATCATCTCGCGCCTGGGCACATATCAGATTGCCCTGCTGGCCAAGGCGGCGCAGAAGGACTTCTTCGTCGCGGGCGAGCAGCACAAGTTTGGCAAGACGTTCCCCCTGGACCAATTCGACATTGGCTTCGAGCAGAACCTCCTGGACTTTCATGCGAGCAAAGCTCACGAGGACACGGAGGAGAGGGCCAAGCAGGACACCAAGCCTACTGCCGAGCCCGTAGACTACACAGTACGTCATCCATATTCCTGGAACATGATCTCTGTTATTTCGTCTGATAAATGACCATGTAGCCGCCCGAATTGATCACTTCCTTCTTTGCCGATCACGGCGTCCTCGCCCCCTCCGCAGTCAGCAAGGAGATTCTCGACTTCCTGATGTGAAAATGGCGAGTCAGTCCCTCGGTCATAAAAGCAACAGTGGCATTTTTGGGGAGGCAGACAGAGCTGGGACGCCACACCGCGGCAAAGTAGACGAGCAGCCGCACCCTTGGAGACGATGGAGCCGCGACTCCCCATTCCAAAAAAGAAAGTTAGGGCTACACGGAATGCGGCTTGCGACGGCTTGAAAGCCGCGGATTAAGCCACGCGGAATGATACCGGTTGTCGGTGCTTGAAGCGCACCAGGATTCTAATTCAAGGCTTCCGAGGTGTCTCAAGTTCTCTGGGTGTAGGCGGCCTAGTAAAATGCGGCCATAGCCTGCCTATCCGCAGGCCGATGACGGAAACCCGGCAAAATTGAGGAGGGATACGAAAAGTAAGGCACTCCAGAGTCCTCAGCTCATATGACCCTTAGAGGAGGCGGTGGAGGAGCGTAGTATACCCCCCCCTCCCCCCTGAGCGCGGCAGACGGGTCGGACGGATCCCAAAGGATCTTTGCATAGCCAGCGCGGGTAAAAGCTTTCACAAATACCATCAAACGTCATCAACCATGGACAAAAGTTCATAAGAGCTACGCATATCCCGTGTAACGCGTGAGTATGTGCATACACGAAAAGACATGGCCCAAATCACAGCACTTGGCCAACATCCGTACTGTAGCAAGGTGGTCAAACGAGGGTGTTTTATATTTAAATATGGCTTTTAATGAAAGATCCACAGCCAACAAGCCCAGCGCGCGTGCAGACATGGCCAATATATCGTTTCCGCCAGTTATCCAATTGGCCTGACGCAGAATGAGTGTGTGTGTGTGCGCGCGTGAGGTTCAGCAACAAAAAGGAAAGCCCATGGCAACGTGAACAGAAGCGAGATCCGGCGTGTAATTTGCACTTGGCGTAGGACAAGAGTTTCATGGCTACCCTTCCCCCCGGCAACCCCTTTTCTACAAATCTCGCACCAGTCTTGCACCGACCCACGCGTAAGGATAGTTGCGCTGGTACCAGTTGACACTGCGGTAAACGTGAACCGGTCAGCGGCTGCTCATTTCGCTCCCTCAGAAACAGACGGGGAAAGGGGTGTTGTTGTTCATGTTGTCTTGGCTACAAATGTCCAATGTGCATGGACAAAGAGGGAGGAGATGAATGATGACTTACAAGGACTTTCTCCCCGCAATGCGAGGATGAGTCGCCCATGACCCGCCAAAAACTATATTGTGCTTCTCATCGAAGAAGTCGGCTATATCGAAAAAAAAAAGATAACAGATTAATCATCCTGTCTCTGGTGGAATGCATGGGAAAGTGCCCAGAAAAACCATACCAGTGTAATTCGGATACAGCGCCATCGGCTCGAATCCCTCGTGCTCGCGCAACGGCGAGCTCGTCCACTCCCAGACGCCACCCATCTCGCCACGCCCAGCTGGGCGGACGTCGCCTTCGCCCGTCACGGGCATCGGGTGCCAGTGCTGGAACCCAACATTGGCACCTTCGAGGTCCGCGTACAAGCACGACGACTTGTCGGCGGCTACCTCGCCATTAGATGATGCCGCTGACGGCGGGGTCTCCTGGACGCCATTGTTGCTGAGATGCCTGGGTATGAATGAAATACGCCATGTCAGCCGGGGGGCCTCTTGGGGGGGATTTGACGCCACATCAGGTCATGCAGAGAGTGGCAGAGCAGTATACTCACGCGTTCACTGCCGGGAGCGTCTTGCCAATCTTGTTCTCTGCCCGCTCACGCTTGAGGTAGTCCACATAGGCGTAGATGCTTTGCGCCTCCTCCGCGGTAGGGATTCGGCCCCCCATCCACACCGCGCATGCCGCAAGCTCGTCGTACGAGGCAAAGACCGGCCAGTCCAGGGCCTCCTTCAGCGGCACGAGCCCGTAGACCGTCCGCACGGACTTGTTGGCCAGGAACGATGCCGGCAGCTCGGACTTGTTTTCATCACTAGTACCGTTGACGTGACCGTTGGAGTGGCCATTGGAGTGGCCATTCGTGGTGCCATTGGACAGTCTGTTGGTGGTTGCCCAGGATGCTGGGAGTTTTGTCGTGCTCGTCTCCAGCATGAACCGGCCATACTGTAGACGATGTCAGAGTCCACGCAATTTGGGCGACGCAAACACACAAAACTGCAGAACATACCTCCTCGTTGGTGATAGCCCGGCCTTGGGCCTGGAAGCTGTGCACTCGAACCCGCCGAGATGGCTTCTCGTTGTCCCTAAAGTAGCAGCTTGTCAGCATGATCACACGCAGGGGGGAATGTGCTAGGACAACCTACCAGCCAAACGGCCTGTCTGTCGCAAGATCATCCTCTGGATCGTCCATGCCTACGTCAATCTCTTGTGCTGGGATATCGAACCAGGCGTTCTCGACTCGTGCGGCCTTGGCCTCGACGGCCAGGGCTCCAAAGTCTGGACGCGGCACACGTGTCGGTGGCGCCGTCTTGTCGCTCTGCAGCATCATGTATAGCAATGTTTCCAGATGCATGACCTCATGTTCGAAGCCAACCCAGATGGCTCTAGCCACGTCACGAGGAATTTGGTTGGCGCCACGAGAATATAGACCTTCCAACCGAGACCTGACACGTCCCTGATACTCCAGGATGTCCTCTACGCAGGGCCATTCGTCTGGAATTTCCGAGTGGGCATGGCAATGCTCAGGGTTGTCTACATCAGGGTCGATGCCACGCTCGAAGATGGACGAGAAATACTTGGGATGAGTGGCTGCCGTCTTTGTAGTCTTGGTGAGCTGGATGTCGAGAAAGGTGGGAATGTGGCCGAGATAGAAGATGCAGGCATTCCGAAGCTTGATCGGCTGTCCTAGAAGCTCCTCATCTGGCAGCATGTCTCTAGTGACGGTGTCCCACTTCTCCCAGAGAGCTTGCCACTCCTTGAGTGTAGGGACAGTAGAGGCAGCATATTTTGCGGGTTTGACGTCGAACGCCGAGTTGGCCCTGGCAAAGAGATGGAGTCCTGTGCAGAGCGCCATGCTCAAGTGTCAGCTTTGCAGGATTGACCGAGCATCAATAAACCTGGATTTTGCACATACCGTAGTCGCCATCTTCTGTGATCCACTGATCTTTCTCGAGCAGCCCGGCGTCCTGTAGGAGCTGTCGGCGGTTTTCGGTAGAGAATTTGAGGCTCTGCTCCACCTGGATGCGTTCTCCCGCCCGGATGCGCTCACCCAGCACCGTCACGTCACGGACTGGGCTGTAGAAGGCTTGATGGCGGCCGCCCTCGATGTCATAGATGTATTCCCCAATGACTTTCCAGTCCTCCAGGTTGAAAGCTTCTTGGCCCAGCACCTCATTCGCATGCACAAGTCCGTTCAGGACGAACCTGGAGAAAATCCATGGTTAGGACCGCCATGTCTGGTGCTGGGAAACCATGCTCGTGCTTGATGATCATGACGATAAACTTACTGGTGTGTTAGGCCTTCCTTGTCTGTATTGTCTCAATACTTCAGCATAGGCCTCATTGACCTTGTCACGGGAGTTACTGACCATTGTAAGCGTGACTTCTATAGGCGTAAGCAAGTCTTCACAGCAGCGGATCTAGGAGGTTATCTTGATAACCTACTAAACTTTGGACGGGTTCGCGCATGAGTCCAGGCCTATCAGTAACGTATCGGAAGGCCGAAGGATCTCGGTAAAGTCCCTCAAGAAGGACGCTGCCCCGTCACGGGAGAAGTTGCCTGTGGTCATTGCGAGTCAGCATGCCAACTCATTTTTTGACAGGCTCAGCTTCAAATTTACCAAGACTGGACCCCATGCTCGCAATGCATTTCGGCGTGGAGTCCATCGAAGACTGCTTCAGCCATTCGCGACCGTCATCATACGTCCCCAGCAAGCCGTGGCACTTGACATGTTTGAAAGTCGGTAGCTGGGCCAGGGTGCGTTCGAGCTCCTCCCGAGACAGGTCGAGGGCATAGTAGTCGACGTCCTTGCCGGCATCGTCAAGTGCTTGTAGGAGCAGGCGGATCTTGCGAAGGTTTCTGCCCAGACGTATTAATGAATTTGAGATCCAATCCCGGGCGAAGGTCATATATTGAGCCGAGACTCACCCGCTGCCGAGTTCAATGAACATGGAGCCATTCGGGATTGACTTTGCAATGTTGGAGGCGTTGCGGCGGAGCAACTGGATCTCCGAGTTTGTCAAATAGTATTCCTCGAGGTAAGTGATCTGCCGTGAGTGTCAGCATACGTGTCGAGCAAATGATCAGTTGTCTGGGGCAAAATGGACCGCACCTTTTCAAACAGCTGCAAACCCTTCTCATCATATAGGAGCAGGGTCGGCATCTGCCTGGGCCCTTCCTGGGGGCGGAAGAGCTCGAAGATCTCCTGCTTGAGGTTGAAGGTACTAGCATCGGAGCGGATGTCGATGATGTCGATGGCATCCGGGAGGGAGCGTGGGATGGCGGACTTGTTGGTGGGAGTCTTTGTGGCCAAGCCTGCCGGATTGGGCAAGGGGCCCTCGGACGGTCGCATAGCAAAGGCTGCTGCCATGTTGCTCTCTAGGATGAACAGCAGCAACAAGGACGATGAGATGCCCGGTGGAGGTTATGGTGTGATATGCAACGACCGGGGTGATATATCGAAGGGGATTCACAGGCACGATCTGGGAGGGCAATTGCTTCTTGTGTATAGTGAACCGGGGTTACGCGGACAGAGCACAAGGCGGCAGAGCTTGTAGGAAGCAGCCAGAGATGCAGAACACGCGAGATATCTAGGCCTTTAAGGGGAAGGAGCCATGGAGAATTGACGCCGGAGATGCAGGAACGGCACCACCAAGATGTAGGACAAAGGGCGGAGCTGAGTCGCAAGGCGATGTGGGATGCGGGGGTTGCCTGCCGGTGGGATGGGCAGGCACAGGCACGTTCCGGTGCTGTCCAGAACGCAGCAGAGGGACATGATGATGACTTGATGACGCCGGGCCCGCCTGGTGGGCGGCAGTGGCGGCGGCTGGGTCCATGGCAAGTATCGTCGACATTGCAAGCGCAGCGGGGTTGCGGAGGCAGCGGCATCGTGGTTGGAGATGGGCCCCAAACTCTGCGCGGGCGGCCAGAGTAATGATGTCAGGCGTGAGCGGCGCGTGGGGCGACGGGCAGCAGAAACGTGTATCCATTACACACGTATACGATGCTGCGTCGTGGGATGCCCATGGCATTTGCAGCCTCCCCCGCACCGCCCGGCCATGGCATTTGCCAGAGTGCCCCGTCCGCGCTGGGCCGAGTGTGGCCGTCCCCCGCGTGGCCCTCGGAAGGTACAAGTCAGGTGCAGGACGTAACGGATAGCGTAATCAGTCAGTTGCTGGTATGTGCAGGACGCATAGCGTAATCAATCAATTGCTGCATGTGGTCGGTCGAGCCGCGCAACACCACCACCTGCCCGCGATGCAATGCTGTTGTTGGCACTGCTGCTACTGCTGCTACTGCTGCTACTGCTGCTACTGCTGCTGCTGCTACTGCCGTTGGGCTTCTGCTGTTGGTCCGGGGCCCGGCGGTCGAGTTGCCCTTCACAGGTGGGCGTGCATGCATCACACATCACCTGTTCAGTACAGTATTACTCCGAACATTATTGTGGGCAACCACTTGCACTGAGGACTGACTGCCTGCCTGGCTGGGTGCTCGCCTGTGGCGGGCGAGGCTGCCCATGCCCATGCCCATGCCCCTGCCCTTGTCCTGCCATGCCCCGGCCCTGCCCTGCCCAAGCCCTCGCTCAGTGTGTGGTGGCCCTCAATCAGCAATTGCCGCCGCAGTCTCTGCTGGATCTTGCCGCATGCATGACATCGGCCCAAACGTGTTTCTGTTGGTGGCCGGGGTCCTTTTGGTCGGCAATGGGCCTCGGGTTGTCGCCCGCGCACAGCCGCCCGCTGATTGGTGTCTTAGCCGGGCTCAGACACGCCGAGCAGGGAAAAGAACGGGACCCCCCCGGCTGCTGCGAGGCGGAGGCGAGCTTCCTTCCAGGCTGACCAACACCAGGCAGGGCAGGCCTTGTCTCAGTGGCCCAAAAGTTGTTGCTGCTGCTGCTGCTGCGCTGCACCAGGAGCCTTACCTCCAGCTCTTCTCATCACAAAGACCGGCCCACGGACTTCCGTAGCCCCCGTCCCCTACGAGGTACTTGCTCATGTTTCGGATCGAAAGCCCGATCCATGGCCCGGCAATGCTGCTCCTTTGTTGGCTTGCTTACGCACTGCCCTGCGGCCGTGAATCAACCATGTACTTACGCAGCAAGGCGTGTGTTGTCTCTCTGCGTGGTTACAACCCTCCGGTCCCGAAGAAATGGCTGACAGGCCAGGGTCTTGGGCACGTGAAGGGAAATTCCACCCTCATCCCTTGCACGCCGTGCATGCATCTTGACGGATCAAATCTTCTAGAGTCATCCAAGCTTGAAAAGAATTGGCTCCAGTGTGACCCCCCCCCCCTCGACGATTAGGTCGGTCAGTCGGTCGGCCTACTGCGTGCGTCGGTACCTTGCGAATGCGCCCAACGTACGATGCACCAACCCCTTTTGGCCATCGAAATTCGACCAACCGCTTTTCCTCCTGCGCGCTCACTTGCCCCTTACAAACTACCCCGACTCAGCACCTGCTGCTTCTGTTTGGTGCTTGCTGACGGCGGCTCGCTTCTCATCGCTCCGTCTCACGGGCGCCGCAGGCAGGCAGGCGGGTAAGCAGGGCAGGTAAGCAGGTAAGCAAGCAACCTGGATGTGTCCGGACACGAGACTTTCGGACGAGATCGGTCGACGGGTGACATTCCCTGGCTTGCTGGCTGGCTGGCTTGCGGCCTGCGTCGTCCGTTCACGACGACTCTTTAGCTCCAAGAGGCTGGTTCTGGGGGCGTGAGCAGCAGGGAAAAGGGAATTCTGATTATCAAACATTGTTTTTGGGAACCAACTAATCCTTTTTTGACTTTTCTTTGCCCCAGCAGTGTCTTGTCATTTTGTTTGTCCTTGTTCGGGGGAACCTTCATCTATGCGCTCTAATGCCGCGTATGTCCTTTTTGTGTTGCAATCAATCCTCAGTTAATTCCTAATGACCTCGCTTACGGAGACGGCGGGTACACATACAACTCACCCACATATACACCTTCGTGCTCTCCCGTCTCGCCATGAAGGGGGGTGCGGACCACGCCAACCAGTCAGTCAGCACCATGCACACACACACACAGCGCCCGCATGCACCCAGCGACCAGGCCGGCCCGAATGTCCAGGGGCGGGGAGGCGGACCAGTGGACTGGCGTCCTCCCCGGAGTCGTAGTGCAGACTGGGGCGCGCGCGCATCCGGGATAACGTACTGGTATTCGGTACAAGTAACTACCGTCCGCAGTAAGCACCACGTGGGGTGTGTGCGGTTTCCCACCCAGAAAGCGTTGCAGCACAACCAGCAGTCATGGCATGGCATGGGATAGACGGGCCAGTGCCGACCAAGGAAAAAAAAGGGCATTTCTCTCTTGTGCCGAGTGCCGTAATATTGTTCGGTCTGCACATTTCCATGGTGCCCGCCTGCTCGCATGCATGCATGACTGCCCAGGTAGAGAGAGTTGTGCCCCCTGGCAATAACCGAGCCGCACCGTCGTTGTGGTCCGTCAATGTATTTTCTTGCTGCAAAAACTGAGAGCACGACGATTTATCGGGTGTCGTACCTGACAATTATCTGCCACGTTACGTGAAGGGGGGCTCAATGTTGGTGGCAAGAGGTACCGACGCTGCCCTTTGGAAGTACCCAATATGCTCCGAGGGTTCGAGGAACAGAGAGTACCTTAAGGTAAGTACTTTAAGTAGGCTGACATCTAGCTCGGACGGGGGGCATTATACTCTGCCCTACGCGCCGGTCCGGCTTTGTAGTGCATGCATGCCCTGCCTCACTTTCAAGCGCGCCTTGCTAGCCTCAAGCCTCGCTGGGTTGGTTGGTTGGGGCTTTGGAATCAGCCGTCGCGCTGGCGCCCATGCCGACTGACTTAGCAAGGGGCGGTTCGAACTCCCTCTGAAGATATTGCTCAATCTGCCAAGCGCCGTCCATGTCTTCAGAAACTGTCAAGAATACCTTGGGGCAAACACACACGTGTGCGATCGATCGAGTCCCACAGTATTTTGTGCACCGCGGCTGCGTGAGAGAGCAATCGCAGACTTACCTCCGATCCACACCCCGTCCCTCCCCTTTGCCCGCCCTTTCGTGTGCGGCCGCCATCTCCATGCACACCCAACGTCCTCGATCGAGAGACCATCTGCCTGCCTGCCTGCCTGCCTGCGTCGCCATGTCCTCCCGCCCGATGCGGTAAGCCCGCCTCGGCACACAGGTAGGCCCAACTTTTGCGCCTCTGGAGACAGAGCTGCGTTGAGCAGCGCACGTTCCCATGCGTCGCATGTGGATGAACATCGCAGCGAAAGTGAACCCGGGGTGGGCAGGGATCTGCGGGCCTAGCCAGGTCTACTGCTCCACCTTGGCAGCTCGCTCTCCACGGCTCACGCCCTCGACTGCACCACTCCGTTGCAGTCCGGCGATTTTTCCGTCTCGACACACCCCCCTCCCTCCCCGGTGTTTCTGCCAGTCCCTTTTCGTCCTCGCCGTCGGCCGGCGTCTTAACGGGTTAGGGGTGCGTGCTCTCAAACCACGGTCCCGGAACCCGAAACCTCATTGCCAGTGCCGGATGTTCAGACAGCCGCTATAGTCCGATGACCCCCCGCGACCGTGCATCGCGATATTCCAATGGGTTGCAATGTAATGTGTATGTCCGTTCATTTGTGATGTGTATCGCGCAGCAAGACAATCTTGCACGGCTACCTGCTCCGGCTGGCAAAAGGCTCGTCCTATCTCCACCCAACCGTCTGGCATCTGCAAACGCCCCGATCGCGACGCGAGGCTTGTCTCAAAGGCTCCTCATGGCACCAACCAGATTATCAATCAATGGCGCTTGGCAAAGAAAATCCAACGTTCAGGGGCTGCGGCACGGCAGTCACCGGGAAGGACCTCCCTGTCGCCTCTGGCGGTAGTTCTCCATGGCTAAGAACATGTTCAACCGTCGTTCAATCCGCGTTTCGCATTTCGTGTACGCTGCAAGTGTGTGCCTTCTAAATGACAAGTAAATATGTAGAAAGTAGATCACTCAGCCAGAACAATAACCGCGCATGCCGTCGCTTGCTTCCTCGTGCGCCACGTTTCCTGGTAGAAGGCGGCTTTCCTGTAATAGGAGAGAAAGGTCTGATATCCTTGGTAAATGCTGTCCCCCAAACCCAATGACGGTATCCTTGAGATAGGTCAATCTCGGCCCGACCGAAACGTCCGGCTTATTTGGGGGTGTTCTGCGGCCAAAAATGTCCCGGTAGGTCGCCGAGATCACCACAGAGCCAGGCGTCGACATCCCAGTGCATGCGTTGGTTCTCGTGCGCATGGAGCTGATCCGTTGTCAGGGCATCTGCGAACATGCTCTCATTAACGTGGAGTCCGACCTGGCCTGCTGTTCCGCTACCAGGCATCTCTCCTCCATGCGTTGGAGACTGTAATATGCGTGCCTGAGAACCATCCGAATATCTCCACACCTCTGGGTGGGCCTCAGATGGCGCGCTGTTCGTCACGCCCCCAGGTTCTGCCGGGTTGGGCAGAATAAGGCTATGCGTATGGTTGATGGCTGTGAAGGACGGGGTAGACTTTGGTGTGCAAATCGGGCCCTGGCTATCGGCCCCCATCGACGAGGCGCGGTCTGTCGTACTTGCCCGTGATCTGTCAGAGTCAGCTGGGTTGAGAGCACCGAAATCTTTGAGCTGTGGCCGCAACAGCTCATACTCCTCCAGACCGCCACCCGAACCACCATCGCGCACCCTCTTGGTAGCTATTCTTGCTGTCTCGGTCAGATCTGTCCGATTCTGCTCCTCGTGCCTGTAGAATTCTTGTTTGATGTCGACAAAGTACTTTTCCATCTGGAGCAGTATAGAGACGTACGTGGACGCCATCTTCAGCCATGTCGACATCTTATCAAGGGTATTGTATGCAACCGCAGTAGGTCCATGCTGGTAAACCATCGGGATGGAAGAATCCGTCTTTCGCAGAATCTGCTCTCCCCTCATGTGCTGTTTCTCATCCATCTGAGGAAAATGATGCGCATAAAGCCCAACGAAGGCGGCGGTCCATATGCCAAAGAGTACAAGGGTGGATTGGGGGAGGCGATTTTTGCGCTCGCATATCTCGATGAGCTCGACAATATCCTTCGCGGCTCGGAACACGTGCTCGGCGCTCTCGTTCCAAAAGCCTTGTGGCCACTCATACTCTTTCCTGGGAAATGTCGGCTCGTCGCGTGGCCCTTCAGGCCCTTTACATCGTATGGGAACGAAGGGAATGTACTCCCGATGCAACATGATCAGAGAAATGCACCGCAAGACGTGGAGAAGAATGTAGGCACTCGAGGCCTGATGGTTCTCATGTCTCCGGTAGTTGGATTCCGAGAATTTGAATGTTCCGGGGAGAGATGCATCAAATTGCTGAAGCCGCTGGTTGAGCTTGTAAAAAGTTGTCCGCGAATCCCAGGGCGGGTGCTTCTCCGTCAGACGACCGCCATCTGAACTATACCGAGAGATATCACCCCAAATGTCGACCAGACGGATAAATCTGCTCAGCACGCTGTCGTCGTTGATCTCGCGACGCTCGTCCTGCTCGAAACCACGCGAGGGCAGCATCCCCGTATTGACCTCGATCGCAAGGTCAAACTTATCCTCCGAGCAGGGCAGCTGAATGCAGAGATCCTCACGCTGAATCATGGTGACCCTGCCTTTTCCACACGCGAGCATGCGGTCTAGCACAAAACATCCAAACATGGTGCGCCGCATAACTTCACGTTCGAGGATCAAGTGCGATTCTTGGGAAGGATCTTGGCCGGCACGAGCGTTTGCTGACTCGGTCGGTTCATCCACGAGACCGAGCTTGAGGAACTGAGCCAGTCTAATGGCACCACCTATGGACATCCAGGCGCCGAGGCCTCCTGGTTTTGGTCTCGTCTGTCCCCATTCATAAAGCCCAAGCATGAGCATAGCTTGTACCCGCTCAACAGAGGCGGTCTTGGGAATCGGGCCCAGGGCCATACTCAGGATCTCGGCGTAGTAATCGGAGGCGGTAGAAGGGTCGACTTGTGTTTGCATGGGCCGCGACCGCACATTTCCCGGCTGATTATTGGTAATGTGTGCCAGGTATTTGACCAAGTCTACATGGAACCGCGCTGTCAAAGCAAGGACACCCAGGAGTACCAAGTTGAATTCCGGAGACACATCGGTGGGACCAGGTGACCTGAATCTACGACCGAGCTTCTCCTTCATCGTCGGCAAATGCAAGAAAGGCAGCTCTGGTGCGAAATGCAGCTTGTATAGATCGAGCACCTGATCCCACACATCCTCGGTGAGAAACGGCGCAGACAGCACCTCCTCGGCGTATGTGGTGCCTTTCTGGCCGTCGGACTTGGCGATCTCGTCGATACGCTTCAGTCGCTTCCGGTCAGAGCCTCCTTCACGGTCCGTTTTCGCGACGACGGGTGGTTCGTTCCGCTTCGGGGGTGGAGGATTCCCTTCTGGCGGCTGAAAGATGCATTGTTTTCCCGTCTTGATGCAGCCATCACACGGACTCGAGCCACCGTTGTTCTCGCACTTGATCTTGGATTTGCGACATCGGAGGCACGCTATGCTCGAGCGCATAGGCGGACGCATCTTGGTCGGTTTCTTGCCATCGAACGCACCGACGATAACCGGTCTTCGGTCATCGTGACCATACACCCCGCCTCCCACCCCGTAATTGGAAGCTTGCGAATGTGCCACGCCTATCGGGAGCTTGTCGTAAGCCACAGGCGGGCTGGGGGGGATTAGGGGTGCATGTGAAAGGGTTGATCCGTCACCGAGATGTCTCTTCTGCGCGAGCTGATAGTGGGCCAAGGATGGCCGGTCGTTGGAGTCTGTGACGTCCTGAGGCGAAAGGATGGACTGGATTCGGATTGGGGTACTAATCGTGCCGGTTGAGCCTGCGATCACAGGCTTTGTGTGGTGGGCTGAGCAGGAAGGCGAGCTGGTCCTGGAGATTAGTATCTCCGGATTGCGGACGTAATCAGCGAAGCGGGTAGCGTCGAAAGAGCGTGGTGAAACGGGGCCGGCGGCTGTCGAGGTTTAAAGCAGGCTATGGGCTATTCCGAACGAGTGATCGTCTAAGCGAGACAGAGAAGGCGGATGTTGCCGCGGAAATCCTGACCAGTGGTTTCACAGTGGAGACGGGTTCGAGCCTGACGTGGTGGCAAGCAGGATGGATCTGATCGGCTGAGCCAATTCTGGAGTGACGATATGAGGTTACACTTGGAAGCAGTTTAGAGGAGGAAGAGAAAGACGGAGGAGATGCTGTTTCGGTGGGGGCAGTAGAACGAAAGAGGCGGCAGGTGCGGCAGGGGTGCCAGGCGGTTTGAGAAGACAACTTTGCGAGGAGGAAGCGGCCCGCAGCACATGGAGGTGAGCCAGGCCGCAGCCGCAAGGACCAGCGACGAGACGAAATGGTTGTGAAGCGCCGGCTGGGCATGGACACGCGCACCAGCAGGCACGGGAGCAAGTCCGTGGCGGGTTCGATTTGGCTTTGCGAGGATCGGGAGGGGAGCGGCTCGAACTCCTGCCTTGCGTATGCATGCAGTGCGTGCTAGAGACACACCCCGGCCCGGTGCTCAACCGTAAGCGCAAGGCCCGGGCACCTGCCCCAGCAGCCTCGAGGGGGACCCCGGCCCTGAATCTTCTGTGAATGGCCCTCGACAGCTCACCCGCTCTCCCAGGGCTACGAGCGCCGGCGACAGCACCAGGCAATCCATTGATCCTGTCTACGAACATTGCCTCCTTTTGACTCGTCCAGGCAGGCGAGACAGGCCTCCTCGCGACCTGCAGCCGTACCGGAGCTGGACTGTGCTCGTGCCGACGGGACCAACCAACATATCATTGCCCCAGGAGGCAAGTCGTAACTAATTAACATCTTTGCCTTGCCCAGTGCCGGCACCCTTACTCCCACTCTTGCCGTTCCTCAGCTCGGCCCGGGTCCAGCAAGGATCGGGCGTGGCTGTCCGGCTTGTAAGAGTCAGACCACAGCCAGGTGTGACCCCAGGTACTCAAGTACCAGACTCTAACTTAGCAAGCTGCGCACCACAACAGCCCAACCCCCTCCCCATTGCCGACCAGAGCATGACCAGTGCGCCTGGGGATCGCTGAAGATTCAGCCAGCTGCCAAACTTGACTCTGCGGGACTTTGTGTAGCGTACACTTCGGCCGGGGCGTCCTCCCTCCCTGGGGCAGATCACAACGAGTACCTCGAGGGATGCGCCAGCATGTGAGAGGAATTGGTCTCATCTAAAGGCACAGGTTATGCGGCAATTGCCGGTGCTGAGGGACCTCCAACAGGACCTCTAACAGGCTGTTTTTCTCTGCCAAGCACAATTCCCGGTAACAGAACCACGCCAATCCATTGCGAACCACGCCGATGTACCACTTGAAGGTGTGCAATATATGATCCAGTGCTCCGGCGGCGGTCCGCGCGTACCGCAGCTCCCGAAGGACAGTACAAAGTTCGGTTTCACGACATCACAGCCACCTCTGGCCGATCATGCCGCACAGCGAGGCAACCGGACAAGAGTCCTGCCTTGACAGCGCATTTGCGGTCATCCAGTGTGACTGTGGGCTCACAAACGCCAGCCAACGGCACCTTTGTTTGGCCTGTTGTTGGCAAACGATACACCTCCTGAACCTGCAAGCACCCAGGCGTCTTACCAAAAGGTCCCCTGCAAACCTTGGTCACCGCATCGACTGATTTCTCATCCCGGCCCGATCCCGACAGCTGTGCTCCATACGGAACCCTCCGTAATACCAGGCCGTTCTACTTGTCTTTTCTTACCCTGCGGCAGGTCGGTGTACCCTTGTCTTGACAACAGGGCCTGCCTCTGGTGCGGTTTTCCGTTCTGGGTCCCCACCCAAGGATGGAGCCCAGGACTTTGTGTGGTGGTCCATGAGCACGAGACTTGGAGACTCGAGACACCCCTCTCGACCCTCCATCCTAGTGTCTGCATCCTCGGAGCAAAGTCCGGCGCCGTCGCACTAGCCTGTCCTGGGATTGCCAGGCATCACAAGATCGGCACATCCAAGTCGGGGAATTCGATCCCCCATTCAGTCGCCTGGCCGGGTCTCCCCAAGCACATTGACACTGGCTGTTTGGAATGATGTCTCTCGCGCTCTCTCTCGTGAGCTCCCAGCAGCACGGAGCACACCACGTCTGACCGACCCCCGGGTATCCCGAGCCCCTCCCTATCCGCTGGACCTTTCATAAATTCCAGAGCCACGTTACAGGCACTTTCTTATCCACAACAGCCGACACCCGACGGCACCACTAAGCTATCCACAGTTGTCGTCTGCACATGTACTATGGTAGAATTGTATCCAATCCGATGGCTAACGAGACGCCCGGCTGAGTCAATTCTGGTTGTGCCGCAAGACAACCTTCTATATGATACAGTCATTATCGTCCCTATTCTCCTTGAAGCCCACCGCCCCAACATGCATTTCATTCTGGATTTGGCCTCGATCGATGAGCTGTTAGTTGGCTCTGCCCACATTGGCTGCCACAAGGCCCCTGTCCGTCATCCAAGGAACCAACAAACATGGCTTGCAGCATCTGGCAAGGGGCGCGGATCTGGCAAGAGCGACGTGCATGACAGGATCTCACAGACTCATTTCGAGTGTCGGGGCGTACTCTGTTGGCAAAGATGCTTTTGCGTCTCGCTACTTGCCTTGTGTCAGCCAAGCCCGTCGCTTCAAGACCAGCCAGCCTTACGGAAACAAGGACGTGCAAACGTTGTTGCCCATCAACTTTTCATGGCACACGTCTAGACAGATTTGGACATTGGCAGCGCAGTCGTCCAGTGATGGAGTGGATCAAGGCAGCAGAGATCTTGATGCAGCATGTGAGTTGCGGAGGAGAACGGCCCTAGCATCATGAACTCCAGCCCAGCCAATTCGAGAGGATGTGCTGATTTCGAGTCGCATGGGTGTCGCTTCGTAGTTAAAGGGTATATACCTACCGCAACAGCCCATCTGAATCCATTTGATCTTAAGAAAAGCCAGAACGAAAGTTCCCTTTCATCCACATCTTCCACGCCACGCGCCGACAGACTGGTTAGAAACTGAATGCACGCCGGGGCAAAAGTCGGCCAGCCCAAGCGCAGCTTCCGGTGTGGTAAGTGCGGGGGAATTGCCGCTGGGGTACAATACCAACAATGCCCATGATGTGATTTCCGGCAATGCTTCCGCGCCGTGCCGCCTCACGATTTGTGACAGAAATATGATGGGGAGGATGCCTGGCAGGCAGCATTGGGACGCGGGAGTCATGGCGGCCCAGCATGTCTCGGCAGCGTCTTGCTCGCAGCCATCATGAAGAGAGAGGCATGTCACTTGCAGAGCTCAATATCCCGCAGTGGGGTTGTTGATGCCGCCTGTTCCAGACCTGCAGCAAGTGGTTAGTCGCCCGCAATCCGAAAAGAGCCATCGCTCACATCATCACTGGGGGACGATACCTCTCAAGATTATGCTCGCAAGGACCACAGCTGATGTTCTGCGCCCTGCTGGGGGACACCTGTTTCGTGTCGCCAGCTTCACAACTACGGCATCCCGTGTGTGTTGATGCCTACGTTTGGTTCAACATGGGCTGGCACGAGGCATCAACGAAGACTTGGCGCTGTAGCTTGCCATACAAGCCTCGACCAGGACACGGAACAAACCTCGGGGGGATGCGATTGGTCGGCTAACCAGAGCCAGAGCCCGAGCAAGACAGCCGACAGTCACAATAATCAGCGGCTTGGCCAACATTTAGAGTTGCAGCTCCTCTGCCCGCTAGCGCTCATGGTCCACCCGACCCAACAGGGTACCGGTACCTTGAACCAACCATGGTATGGAGCCAACACGAAGGTCCTGCCACACCGGAAGCACCAATACTCAAGGACCGGCACAGGATGGGAAGGTTGGCTTGCTTGCGGGTATACCTGGCCGGGTCGGCTCGCAGACTTACGACTTGCTGCCCAGGCATATTCGTGGGGTGTTTCGTCGTGACTGTCACTTCTGGAGCCAGAGGGGCTATGCCGGGTGATTTCAACTCGCATGACTGTGGTTGGCCTTGCTAGGTGGGTAGCGCCGAGCCCTGGTGGCGATCAGAGCTGGGTGTCGAGTGACGTTGCTCGAGAGGCCTCTCACAGCGCTTGCAATGCCATCCCGCGCGCTTACAAGAACAATGGGCGTCACGTCTATTCAAGGAGTTGCCGGCCCCAAAACAAACATTGTCACCAGGGATTGATTGCTGCAAACGCAAACGCCGTAACCACCGATTCCTTGCCCGAGGATCCCGATCCTCCTTGCGCGCACACTACACATTCTCAGGCCCAGTTGTTCGTGGCGGAGGCAATACCCCTCACCACCACCCAACACCAAGCACCTGTCCCCGTCGAGACGACAAAACGAGGGGCTTTTGGCAAGTCGGCCCCTACTAGCCACCCGACATCAAGGATCTTCCATCGTCCTCCGCATTGGCATAGTCCATCCGCTTGCGAGAACAACGACGAGGCCGATACCCAAGCAGTCATGGCCGCCGGACACAATGTAAGTCAGCGCCCGCAGCCGCACGCGCGGGACCCCATGCAGCCTGCCGCGCAAGCGAGACTGACAAGGCATCATCGCAAACGGGCAGGATCCCAAGCTGCTCTACGCCATTCGCGGCGTATCGGCCTATCATCTCGCCTATGGCAAGGAGGAATCTCTCACGCCAGCAGGCCCTCAGACGCTGTCCCTATTGATGGTGCCCACCTCTTCGCCCTTCGCCGACCCGTCCTCTCTCGATGCCAGCCAGAGGGACGCCGAGGAGGACTTCTACCTGCACCTGCACCTGCCTCCGGAGCTCGATCTGCCTCTGCCCGCCACGACACAGATCTATCACCAGCCCCCCTGTAGCTATCTCATTCCGCGATGGGACCTAGGGCGCGACAGTGGTGCCTTCACGCGGCTCGAGTTCCCACAGGTGGGGAGTCGCAAGGGCCTCCAAGAGGATGTGGATACCTTTGAAACCATCCTGGCACAATGCACTGCGTTCCTAGAGAGAGCCGCACCGCCAAAGACCGCAAAGGCAAAGGAGGCGGCCGAGGACAGTTTCGGACAGCCTTCCACATCGTCCTCCAGCAAGTCCAAGATGGCCTACGAGGACCAACTGCCAGCATACGACCCCGGCCAGTACGAGCCCGGCGAGGCATACGTCCAGGGCAGCCGGAGTAGCCACCAGGGAGGCAGAATCGTGCTCATTGACGAGGAGGATGGAAGCGTCATTGGAGAGCTGGGAGAGGGCTACGAAATCCTGGACGCAAAGGTCGAGCCCGGCTCCAAAGGTATGAAGCTCTTTGCTCGCGTGATATGACCCTCTCGCTGACCAGGCCACATTCAAGCACCGGTCGAGATCACTATGCCGGCAGATGGGGAGGCCAAGAAGCTTGCTATCGTGCCAGCCTCGCAGGAGACACTTGAAGAAGAACTCCACCCTGCGTACAAGAAGTCGACCTTGGTCACTAAGGCCACGGCAGTCTCCCGCCTGATTATGACGACCACGAATATAGCCTCTACAGCCATGGCCTCTGGTTCGGATGCCTTCATTCGAAACACGAAGCCATTGGAGACGGCCATGACCTTTCAGCCTACCACACATGAACGAGTGCGTCGCATAGGCAAGTTTTCGGGCGATGTTGCTGGCGTGTCGGCCAAGACTGTGGGACAGGTCACCAAAGTGGCACAGAATCTGGGCGCCCATCTGTCTGGACGCGGCAAAGGAAAAGACCCAAATGCCCGCCGCGGGTATGGGCCCGATGGCAAACCACTCGACTCGTTCAAGCCCAGCCTGCTGAACAAGAGCATGATGGCATTCTCGACGGTCGCCGATGGCATCGACCAGGCTGCGCGGAACCTTATGACCTCGGCAACGACGAATGCCACGACAATGGTGACGCACAGGTGGGGCGACGAGGCCGGCGAAATGTCTAAACATCTCGGAGGCAGCGTCAAGAATGTCGGTCTGGTCTATATTGACGTCACCGGCGTCTCGAGAAGAGCGATCATCAAGGCTGTGGGCAAGGGCATGGTAGTCGGGAAGGTCAAGGGTGGAGGTGAGATTGTCGTTGGCGATGATATCACTCGGCAAATCTCCAACGCGGGATCAAGCGGCCAATCACCGCTTTTGCTTGAAGACAGCAAGACGGCCAGCCTGACCGGAGAGAAGAACTCGTATTGATGAGGTTGACCACTTTTTCGGGAAGGATCCGGTTGGTGTATGTATGGAGGATATGGAACATACTGTGACGATATATAGATTGCTTTAGTCCGTCGAGCGATAGACAAGTGAAATTTCACTGAAAGTGCCGCAACAGAACGAGATCCCAAGAAACAGCGTCTCGGAACCGGCCGTTTCGGATCAGTCACCCGTGATGAGGATGAAGTCTGGAAGGTCTCCTACTTCTTGAAGTGCCTGAGCCACGCTAGTTACAACGGGCGCCCCACATACCACTAATTACTGCCCAGCTACCCCACGTGACGCGTGAAGACGCGAGTGCTCGTCCGTGCCCATGCGGAACACGTTTGTGTCGCATAACAAGATTGCGGCAGTGGCAGCCAGCGTGTCCCATCACCGTAGACTAGCAGGAGGCAAATGTAGATCAATGCGCGGTCGAGAGAAGTGAGAAGTCGGGCCCTACCGGGCGACAAATTGAGTGTGTCGGACCACCAACAACATCCATCATATTTCATGTTCTCGACTCTCGCACTCCTGCCATCAGAGTACAATCAAACCCGCTGCGACCCACACCCTTGGACTAACATCCTGCAACCAGTTGGGCAACTCGGTATCCTTGCTTGAGATCGCCGGGGCTCTTCCATATCTGCCATCTCGACTACCCTGGGGACGCCTTTGTCACGCTGCGTCCATGTGTCGCTACGAGTGCCTGGGGTCCATCATACTACTGTTCCAGGACATAGCAGACACCTTTGAGTCGAAGAAGCCATCAGCCGTCCTGCATGGGTATGTTGGGTATTGGGGAGATGTCATTGTGACAGAGCTATTCACAAGCCCCGGACGGCGTGTCGCTCGTGTTCTAGACTGACTGTGAACACAGTTGCGGCCACAAGAAATGCTCCACGAAATCCTGCTCGCGCTGTCGGGCCACCAGTCGCCCCTGCTCCGCAACAGCGCTGAGGCCAAGGCCGGTCCAGATAATGACAGCAGCCTCGCCGCCGCCGTACTGACGCCGCCGGAGCGGCAGCTCCTCCAGACGGCTGAGCACCTGAGCAGTCTGCACCACCGGCTCGCGAGTCGCACCGCGCAGATCAGTGCCGCGCACAAGTCGGTCGTCTGTCGCGCCGTGTCGACGGGCATCAGCACCATACACCTCGCAGCCCTGCAGCGTGACATCCTCAATGTGGAGGACAAGATCCTCAGGCAGGATCCCGCGCTTGTGGGTGCCTATAATATTGTGCCCCTGACAGCGATTGTCGGCGAGTTTGTTGGTTGGACACGGAGGCTCCAGTGGTTATGGGAGTTGACTGGGTTCATGATCCGGGAGCGTGATGGGCAGACGTGCCATGCTGCCACTCTCCTGGACCACCTGAGGTCTGAGCTGCAGACGGGATACCCCGATATCGAGGAGACTACTCTGAGTCTCGTTCAGGTTGCGGAAGCAGCGTGGCTGCGACAGCTCTCAGCATGGATTCTCTACGGGCGTGTCCCGTCTTCTGGGCAGCATGACTTTTTCGTGGTCAGGAATGACGAAGATGAGCAGGTGAGTAGAGCATCACACATGGGCGACCTTTCCTACCGCTCTGAGGTTGTCAGCATTGACAAGTAGCGGCTTAGGGCTACAGCATCAACGCCTCTCTGGTGCCCGCATTCGTCACGCCGCAGACGGCAAGATCAGTCTTATTTGTTGGTGCCTCGATCGATCGCCTGCGCTCAAGGAGGGCTTCAGATTGGGGCGGTCTGCGTTTCGACAACCTCTCACATGAAATCCAGCAGCTCACTAGCTTGTCTTTCCCACTGAAGAGCGTCACGCTGGCTCGAGCAGTGACCTCAATCCGCATGACATTGTCGAGGACAACGTTGCAGAAGTTATTACCAATGTCGAAAGTGTTTGAGCTACTGCATCTACTCCGCGGCTTCTTTTTGCTCGGCCGCGGCGAGTTTGCCATGGCCCTGACTCAGCAAGCCGATGAGAAGGTGCGGAGCAGATGGAAGCGGACAGATGGCTTGGCCTACGAGAAACGTGACGGCCTTAACACCGTTGTTGTGAAAGAGGGTGAAGTGAGCGCCACGCTTGCCAGGACAATGGCCTTTGTCGGCAACATGCAAGGAGAGCACGCCGAAGAGGACGAGGGCCTGGAGCTCGCCCGGGATCTTCTGCGTCTTACGATGTCAAAGTCCAAGGCGTCTGCGAAGAAGAAGAGTAGCTCGGACGCCGGCAGTCACATTTGTGATACCCTCGTGCAGACGCCATTCAGCAACCTGCTTTTCTCCGTACCGGCTGTGCTCACCATGGCCATCCCCGAACCACTCGACCTATTTCTTTCCGAATCTGACCTTCAGGTCTATACAATGATCAACTCATATCTCCTGTCTGTGCGGCGAGCACATCTACGCCTCACCGATCTGTGGAAGATCACCTCTCTCCGACGTCAACATCCAGCACCCCCTCGAGCGCCTCACTGCTGCACAAGGAGCGGCGCCGCTCATACGAGGACGCTCCGAAACCGATGGGCTGCCCGTTCCGCGACTATGCGTAGCCCATGGACGACCTGCAGCTCTGCCATCTTCTTCCTTGCCGAGACGGAAGCTTATTTGCAAGTCGAAGTCGTTGAGGGTCTCTGGGAAGACTTCCGCCAATGGCTGGCGGGCGAGGACTCGCAACAGACGCTGCGTGGCAGTAGGCACGGGATGTCGCTCGGCACCACGGCCAACGTGACAGAGACGAGTCGAGATCTGGCACCACCATTGGATAGTGCCTCGGGTACAGCCAAAGAGAGTGTGGCGCCACCCCAGTCAACACATCACGACCCTCAATCCCTCGCGATCGCTCACCGGCGGTATCTCAAGATGCTGACACGACGACTCCTGCTCACCCGCTCGTCATTTACAGCCCCGCTCTACGACCTGCTGGTTCACCTGGATCACCTCGTCGCTCTGATCCACCGCCTCCACGGCATCTGGGCGTCCATGGACCTCGAAGAGGACGAGGGCGTGGTGGACGCGTTCTCCAACCTCGCCGCCGAGGAGCGCGACGTGCGCAGCTCGCTGCGCGACGTGGAGCGCAAGATAAAGCCTGGCGTGCAGGAGGCCATCGCTGCGCTGCGGAGCTTGAGCATGGACTCGTCGTTCCTCGCCGAGATGGAGGGCGACCGTGAGGATAGCCATGATAACGAGAAAGATACTCTGGATGGCCCTCATGAGAGGTCACACGGCCAGCCTGGTGGTGGGAGTGGTAGTGGTGGTATTTCCGCGGTTGATAACGACAACAATAATGACGAAGGCATGATGATCTACGACGACACGCAGTACCGACCAAAGCGCATCGGCGGGATCGACCGACTGCTCATGAAGCTAGACTTTGGTGTGTGGTTCAAGACCTCAACGGCGACATACGACGAGGAGGACCTGTGAGTGAGAAAGCAAAATGCGGCAAGCACGTCAGCTAGGCTGTTGCGAGTGAGCTATCTCACCGCCGCAATGATGGCAGTCTGTGAACAAACACCTCCCCGCCCTTCCTTTGAAGAGATTGTAAAATACTCTTCATTGTCCTTTTGTTATCCTTCTTCCCGAGGGGATTAGACTGGGCCAAGAGAGACACAGTAGATCAGTAGTCTTTAGAAGCATGGTTACACAAAACTTAGCAAGCCCATTCTATTTTGAGGGCCGAGGAAGAGCTCATGGCTCTTGGCAATATGTGGCCTGTGACATTGCCTACCTTTAAGCGCTTGATTTATATGGTGATTGTGAACCTTATGGTGCTTCCAAGTGTATTCATATATTTGGGCATTGAGCCAGGATGGTTCTAATCGCAAAATTGCCCTCCTGTACGAGACAAGCTAATTTTGAATCCTGGCTGTCGATTCAGATTGAACAGGCACAATAGCCAAAATCTTGGGCAATGTTCGGCGCAGTTCTTACAGCAAGTTTATTATTGAAAAAAATGCTTGTCTAATTGGTTAGGGCTAATGTCATACAATTACGCCGCGTAAAGAGCGAGCTAGGCCTGAAATGTAGAGTTGTGGCAAGCTCATAACATTGACTTCCAAAAGGACCAATCCCGTATCATGCGAGATTACGTTAGAGAGGTCTATGATGAAGGACTGCGGCAGGGACAGGCGGCTAAGATCAACAATGAACAGCGAGAAAGATCCACACAGAGACTTGAAGAAATACAACAATGTGCGCAAAAGGAAAAACGAAAAGTCATCGATACCAAAAATCACAAAGCTGGGTCGACGCTTGTTGTGGCGTCTTCTGTCGGATAAGGGGCGGCTGTGCAATATTTACGGCGCCGCAGTTGCGCGCTGGAAACGCAACGGACTCGGGGGAGTCTCTGAAGGACGGCGACTAAAGAGATTTTGTACAAAGGAGCGAGTATTGCCAGCGTGCGGCAGATCGAAGTGACTAGGCTTCTTGCTCTGCCAGCGATTTCTAATACAATCATCGACTAGTGCGAGCAGACCCGTCGATACAATGACACTATAAAGGTCAGCACACCAATATTGACCCTTCTGATTGTGTGGATTGGGACTCACTCTGCTACATCAGTTGCTGCATCGACAATGCTTGGGTCACTGATCCACATGTGGCAAGGAGGGACCCAGCCACCAGCATACTCATCCACCATGACTTGATTCGGAGCACGAGTCTCTGCAACTATGTGTGCAATGGGCGCGGCCTTGTTGCCGTTTCGAACCAGATGGAATGATACAGCGTTGGTGTGCTTGTCTACGACTCGTTTCCAGGCATATTTAACACCCCACCACTCGTATTGCCATTTGCTAGAGGTTCGGGAGCCAACTCGCTCAAGATCGACGCGGGCGTAGTTGGAAAATTCGAGCTTGATTGTGTTTGTGGGCTGCATGCGAGCATTTGGCTTTTTCTCCACACTCAAATCTTCATCGAAGACGTCAACAAATCCACTCCCAAGACTGCCCGAGGTAGAGTAGCCAGTCCCAGGTCGGCTCTTCGTTGATTTGGTTGAGCGAATGGAAGCGGCTGTGGACTGTCGCCTAGCTCTAGGGCGGCCTGCAAGACTTGAGAAAGCATTGGACATTGATCGCTGTAGTGTTGGCCGGCTTGTGTTTGTTGTGTCGAGGTATCTCCGTTTAGAATTGCATACTTCACGTCCCGAGCTGCGACAATACCGCCGCAGCGAGAAATCTCTCTTGTTCAAGTCGTACATGCGGAGATGGAAGAGCTGAATTGTCTCGTTGTGACGGCCTGTGATTTTTGTCTCAACGCGGAGGTTCATGTTGCCATCAGAGGTGAAGTCGTCATGCCGAATCGAGAACCGGTCCAGAGAGGGGAACAGCGCAGCGAATTCATTTGGCGACGAAGGGCGAACATTGAACTCTTCTATGTCGTGGTGATATGGGGGGAGCTCGGGTATGTCTACATCTTCAAAATCAAGCGCGTCCTGAGAATCAGAATCCGCGAGATCTTGTACCGAAGCCAACGATGAGTAGGTCTCGACAGAAGACCGTGCACATAATGATGTGGATGGGGAAAGGTCTTCTTTCTGGGAAGTCGAGTGACGCGGAGGGACTCGCGCGAGTGACGGACTCGACGGACCAGAGCTGAGTTGGAGCCCCGAGGAATCTGAATCGGAGCGCTGCGATGGCAGAGAGCTGAATTGCAACGAGGGCGGCTGTGGAAAGGAAGCTCCTGAAGGCTTGCGACGATGTGATTCTGCTGCTGGGGGACCTGTAGCAAGGGGACCCTCGGAGTCCATGTGGTGAGTTGGCGGCTGTGTCGTGATATGGTATGGCCTGGATGTCTCTTGTCTGATTGACATGACGGCTGTTGTCCAGCAGAAGCCTGCCTCAGACGAGCATTCCCGACGAGGAGACTGTATAATCTATACCGTAGCAGCTCACAAGTACCTGCACAGAAAGAAAGCCCAATGTATGCCTAAAAGGCAACTTAGTCGAAGGGACTTATCGGATGCTTAGCCGTTCGACAGGAACCCACCAGGCCAGGATGGCCCTGCACAGGCTCGCTTGGTGCAAGTGCGGATGGCAATGGACTGTCGCTGGTTTCAGAAGTCAAGACCTGCAGAAGGGGAGCAGCAGATCGTTGGACGATTTCACCAGGGCGAGGCCGGGGAGTTTAGGGAGAGGAGCAGCACCTCGCTGGCCGTCTACTGTCTACTGTAAGTGGGCAGTGGAAGCTGCGAGACCCTGGGAAGTGGTCAGATTGGTGGGCCAGCCCGAATCTGGAAGCCGGACAAGGACCAGCAGCGCGGGAGGACCAGCAGCCAGGGTCTTCTTGACTCTTGGCTTGGGGCGTGAACATGATCAGCGGGTGGGCCGTTGGGCATCTGATGTCGACAGCGCATAGCCTGAGGCGAGGCAGCAGGCCAGGGCAAGTGACGACACTAGAGGCGGCACGAGCTGGGCCACGGTCGACGACGTGGCCCACACTCTGAGTGGCTGGCTGGCTGCTGCGCGTCACTGTCACCATCGTGGTGGTAAAGGTTGTGCGAGTAGAGGTTGCATCTGTGGTGGACGGTGGAGGGTGTAGGCTGGGCAGGCAGGCACGCCACCATAAGCAACGCCATGGTTCACTCCTTCTTGCAGATTTGCAGACTGACGCCGAGGAAAGAACAGGACGCTGGCTGGCCATTCACCAGGCATTGAAGCTTGTATGTTGCTATCCTCTGTCCCAGGTTGCACCCACTCTCGACGTCGCACCGAACCCGTACATACATAATGGTACCTTCAGTCTCCAGACGGGACGGGGCAGCGGGGGCGTCGATGATCGGCGTCCAGGACATGCCTGCGAGCAAACAATGACGGACGACTGCACTTGCAATCTCACCACCCAGCACGCCGACCCATTTCACGATATCTCTCGCCCCACGATGCAATGACTGCGCCTTGCGCCGAGCACGGCTCAGTGTCCAGTGACTCGCTCACACAGCGGCAGCCTATCCAGACTTACTCCCCAGGCTGCCCCACGCGAGGAGTCCTGCCCAACCATTTACAGTAGGACAAGGCGAGCCGACCAGTCAACCGACCCATGGCCGCTCCAGACAACGACCGCGCATCGCGGGGGCGAGCGGGCTTGGGGAAGAAAGAATGCCCAACTATGGGGCCTACAAGTGTCCAGCGCAGTCCGGTCTCTGGTTCCTGCGCATCCGTCTGGCCGGCATGCAGACCATGAGTCCCCAGCACAATGTGTGTGGCACGTCGCCATTCGCCAGCACAAACACAACGACCAGGGGGGGCTCGTCGTCCATATGCCTGCCTGCTGCCCAATCCTGTACGGCCATGTCTGCGCGCTCGGCAGAAGGAGGGCTTCGTGCTCACTCATTCCCAGACACGTGCTTTCACTTTTCCACTTGTCTCTTCCGAGCGAGGCGTCCGTCCAGATGTCTGTGCATGGATGTGTCCCCCCACGAAAGCGGACTTCCAGATTCGGTTCATGCAACACTTCTTGGGTTTGCCCTCCCCGGGCTTACTGAACTGACGTACCATGACCGATGTTCCCACTGTGCCTGCGTGACTTTTGTGAGCAGATTTCACAGCTTCTCTCCAAGGGGGCTTTCGGCACAGCCTGGGCGGCGGCAGGGTCAGATCAGACAAACCAGCTCGACGGCCACGCTCCCGGGCTCCGGGATCACCCACTCCCAGAGACCGGCGTACAGCGTGCGGTCCCGGCAACCACAAAGCTATAGCTCAGTGAGATCGGCAATTGTCACACGCGTATCACGCTCGCTGGTGTTTCATGATGCATGCTGCATGCAGAGCGCGCTGAGGACGGCATTTTGCATGGATCTCTGGAGAGATCAGCGTTGCGCAGGTCTCCCCCAGCGAAAAGTCGTCGCGGTGATCTAAACCCACGAGTAGTAATAGCCAGTAGGAAAGTCACGATAATGATCAAGTGACTGCGCTTGCGTCCATACGGCCCCAGAGCCCCGGAAATGGCTGCACACGCAGGCCAGGATATTTCGTATTTTCATCACGTCACTGCAGCCCATGGCAGTCCAGCCCCGTCGCCGTGCAAAGCGCTGCGGTTTCCTCACGTCAGGCAAAACATGAGTTGTGTGGATGGACCAAGTATTGACAAGTGAATTTCCTCGAAAGTTAGACAAGACAACCAACAATCCAGCAAGGGAATTAGCTTATCCTGGAAACTGCACGAAGTATACTCGGTTACATTTCGTAGGTTATAATGCAAAGCAATCGCCAGATTGAACGATAGATTAAAATATCATACATAAGACAACTATGCAGTGTTCTGGGACAGACAATGACTGCACCCATTAGAACTGCGTCAAAATCACTAGTACAGACAGGCATCGCTATATATATGGGTATATAACCATGCTTTGTAAATGAAGAGTTGTACATTTTCGAGCTGTAGTCTAACCACAGAGCTGCATGGAGCTCTTGCTATTATTGTTCCACGAAGCTCAACTCCATGGTCAGCCTTGAGCAAGATTCGCAATCACCGACTTCAAAGCCGGCCACCACTAGGAGTATCGCGTCGTCGAAGATGTGGGTAAGGCGATAAGCTCGCTGTCGTCATCCGTACTGACACGTACCAGCATAGGCATTATATACTCGTATGTGACCCGACCAGAGGTGAATGAGGTGCGCACCATCGCCAATGGCGACTCCTAGTTCGGCGCGTTGTCCCAGCCAACCCAGCTTCGCGGCATTACCCGCCAGACCTTGACCTCTCCACTGCGGAGGTCGTCCAGCCGGAAGCTCTCCTGCTTCAGCTTTTTGTTCTCACGGCCCTGCTCCCACGCCTTGACTTTTTTCTTCGTACCATCCCACTCAGCCACAACAGCAACGTGATCCGGCTTGCCTACCTCCATGGAGTACTTCGCATGCATTGGACCGTGCTTGCCTTGGAATCTCGCATTACGAATGGAAATAATGTCGCCAGCGCGGATCTCATCGTTTGTCTGTGTCGCCGCATTGCCAATGTTGGAGTAGACCAATGCACCAAACGCACGAGTTCCGACAGGGTGGAGAGCCTCTGGGTGGGCCTTGAGCAGCTCGTGAATGAGCCCATGAGGGGTGCCGTCGCCCACGACACTGTCCTTCTTACCGCTGACAGTCTGTGCAATTTGCATGCCATATGTCTCGTACGCACGCTCGAGCTCGTCTTGCCTCAGAGTCCGCGGTGGAGCTTCGTGTTGCTGATCCAGCTCGCCGGAAGCAGTATCCTGCGGGTCGAAGTCCACTGTTATAATTGTCTGCGAGTAATCCTGGAAGAGAACCTTCACCACTTTGTTGACCGAGACAGCGCCAGCTTGCCCGGAGGATGTCGAATCGTGAGTCTCGACGAGAATATCTTTGCGCCCTTGAAAGACAGGAGGAATGCCATTGGGTGACAGCCACCATTTTGTGTGCTCCGCCAAGTCGATGTCATTGGCAAAGAATCCGGTCTCGGCTGCAGCACGGGGAACATCTACCGATCTTCTGCCGGCCATCGACTGTCTGGGAATATCGAGAGATTGGCGGGCTGAGCCCCGAGCAGGTGGCGGCCCGGAAGGAGCCGGAGCTGCAGGCGGAGCCCGCGTTGTGGGTGGAGGAGGTGGTGGTGCCTGATGGAAGGGAGAAGGCTCAGAGAACAGAGGCACGCCCTCCAGCCTTGGCGAAACGCTGGTTTGAGACAATCCAGTCTGAACCTTTTGTATCGCGTTGTAGTTGAAAGGGTCATAGTCTTCGTCAGTGTGCGAATAAGAAGCGCCGCGCCCAGGGGGTGGTGGTGGAGGAGCAGCACGAGGCACATCTACAGATTGCCTCGAAGTTGGGGCTGGCTGGCTGGGTACAGGAGGAGGTACAGCCCTAGGCGCAGCTGTCCCTGGGATAGGTGGTGGTGCTGACGGCGGTGATTGTACTGCGTTAGGTCCATCCGAGCTGTCCTCACGGGCGTGGGCCTTCAGCGCATCCTTATGAGGCGCAGACGAAGCAATGTCGGTGTCGTAGTCACCCTCATAGGCTGTGCCTTCCTCTTCCTCCCCGTTATCCAGGTGGCCAGGCTGCATCGGAACAGGGACAGCTTCGCTGCCTCCGAGCGATAGGCGGCTGGCGTGTCCCGGGGGAGGGGGAGGCGGCGGCCTCGCCTGACCAGGCACGGGCGGTGCAGCCCCAGGTACTGGGGGTGGCTTGCTGTGACGTCTTGTTGGGTGAGGTGGCGCTGAAGGTGTCGTTGGCGATAGCTCATCTCCAGCAAAGTCCTCCTCGCGAGGCGAAGCCGGCAGAGCTGGCGCCGCTGTCGGGACTGGTGGCGGAGGTGCCCTGGTGCTGGGGGGAGCATCTTCGACACTCGGCTTCTGTTGGCTCTCTGACAGCTCATCGTCAGACTCAGATCCGACACTGGGTGATTTCACTCCAATTGGCACCGGAGGAGGTGGCGGCCGCGCTAAATCTGGCAGTCAGCACTGTTGTTTGCAATACGTATGGATGAGTACTTACACCCGGTCGGAACTGGAGGTGGAGGAGGACGTTCGCCAGTAACTTCTGTGCCGATGTTTAGCCCAAGATCATGCCGCACGATGCCTAGAATCGACTCACCTCTGGAAGCTGTTGCTTCAGGACTAGCCGCTGGCACTGGAGTAGTCTCCGCCACTCCCTCGTCCTCACTATCTCCAGTGGCCTCCGGCACCGCGATCGGCTTGCCCATGCCGGGAAGAGCCATCATCGTAGGCACTGGTGGCGCGCCACGAGGCGAGGTTGGCGCATCGTCCGCATACTCGCTGGAGCGACGCTCGACAGGCGCCGGCGCCTTCTTCTTCTTCGCAGGAGGTGCCGGTGGTGGTGCCATGCCCAGCATTCCGTGCATGCCCATCATGCCCATTCCCATGCCGCCGCTCATCTTTGCCATTCGAGCACGGAGTTCCTCCTTGCGGCGGACTTCAGGATCGACCTCTTCTTCTTCCTCCTCCTCCTCTGCATTATGCTCCTCTACAGAATCTCGTCCAGTCTGATGGTTTTCTCCAGGTTCTCCACGAGCCAGATCGGGGCCAGGCTTGTCTTGGACCGTAGACGAGCCATGAGGCGCGGGTACTGTTGGCACACGGGAGAGCGACTGAGATGCCGCATCGCTGTCATCTCGCTCAGTAAGATCCTCCTGTCCTTCGGTTGTATCCCCAGCTCCAGACATGTCGGCCTCGTTGCCATCGTTCTCCACACCGCGGACGGACTTTCGGCGGTTTGGGAGGGGCTGGCGAGCCAGAGGGGACTCGTCGATAGACCTCCTGGTAGAATCGATAGACTTTCGACTGGTTGTGTCGTTGGTCTCTCTTCGCTCCAGCGGCGTAGCCGAGTCCTCCTCGGCAACCGCTGGAGGCGTTTGCGCAGGGCCATCGCTATCAGTCCGCGGTTTGGACGGGCGCTTGGGCTTGGCCTTCTTGGCGACGGCATCTGCATGACGTTGCGCCTGCTCGGCTTGTTGCTTCTGAAGCATGGCCATGCGCTCCTTGAGGCTCATTGGCTTGGGTTGATCTTCATCATCTGCCTCCTGTGAGCTTCCCGGTACCAAACCAGCCTTCTCCGCATTTTCCAGCGCCTCTGCCTCGCGCTCTTTGATCTCCGGGTCTTCCTCGCGCCGATATATCTTGGAGACCGGTGCTTGTTGAGGAGGCGGGATGTAGGCATTTCTGCTCGGTGGCGGCGCTACAAAAGGCTTTTTGATGAAGCCAGAGCCACCTAGTCCACTTGGCTTGAATGGCGCAACAGGAGCAGCAGCCGGTTTGTTGAAGGCCGCGATGCGGTCCTTGAAGGCATTGCTCTTCGCAGCAACCGGGGGCACTGCGCGTTGTTCCGCAACAGGTGCTTTAGCTGGTGGTTGGACGGGATCAACGGCAGCTGTTTGCTTGGGCTGCTTCGTAGTCGGAGGAAGCTCTGGCTCTGGCTCAGGCGCCTGTTGTGCTTTCGAATCCGGTTCGGTGATAGGCAAGCTTGGAGGTTTGCTGGCCTGAGGTGATCGAGGCTCTTCCGGTTCGGCTACAGTCGCAGCAGGCGGCGGAGGCGGTACTGGGCGGGATTCTAAAGGCACTGGCTCCGGCTCAGGAACGGCCTTTGCCTCAGTCGGCTCGTTCGCAGGAAGAGGTGGCGCGGGGGCATCGGATGGCGGCAGAGGTGGAGATGCGAGAGCCTCTGGGGCGGCGGCTTCGGGCTCCTTCTTGCGAGTTCTCGTAGGCCGAGGAGGAGCAACGGGCTCGTATTTCTCGACAAAGTTCTGAGGAAAGATGCCTTCATGTTTGGTGCCACTGTCGTCGACATATTCTCCGACGTACCAGTCGGCGTCCTCAACCTCGACTACGGTGATGATCTGGCCGACGGCGAAGGGCAGATCGTCTTCATGGGTGGACGCGTACTCGAAGAGAGCCTTGACCTTGAAAGGAGTGGCTGCCATGAAGAGCTCGGTGGCGAGGATGAGCTCCCGCGCAGCTCCAGACGAGTGGATTCGAGCTGCGGGAAGCCACGGGGTCGAGAGCAATCCAAAGCGCAGGAGGGCCAGGCGGGCGTGGCGTGGCGATGCTCGAGATTGGGAGTGAGCAGCGTGGTCAAGAGACTGAGGTGAGGACTGGATGCTGCCTGGCGGTCACAAGAGATGGTCGAGCTAGGCAGGCAGGATCGGAATGGTGAGGGGTTGGCACGCCGCGACGAGCTTCCGGGGTATGAGGATGCGGATGTCCGCACAGAGCTGGTGTTATGCTGCGGGCCTGCTCAGTGCGCCTGCCTGCCTTGGGTGGTGCAGGTGGGTATCTGACGGCATCTGCTGCTGGCTAATGGCTGGCTTCCAATGTTGCTCGTGCCCGCCGTCCGCCCTGCCTGGAACCCACTAATTCCATCCAGCTCTCCAGGGCTGGTCCTGGAGCAGTCCAGTCGCATCAGACACTGGTTGTGTGCGCAAGAGGCACGCTCGAGCGGGTTTCGAGCAAATCGACGGCCTACTTAATGGATACATGCATGTGCCCGCTCTGCAGCTTCCCCATGCGCGCGAGGTCACTGTTCACGACAAAACTTAGAAGGCTAATTAACAAACAGGTAGGGGCCTCTTCTCTCCAGTTTCAGGGTGCTTGACTCTGCTGGCAGCTGCCTCCTCCAGACGTTTCATCCGCCATGACCAATGCACGACGTCAGCGACGCACGGGCCCCCTTGGCTGTCTGAGACAAAGTCCCTTCCCGGCCCGCCACCACAAGCCCCAGCCAATACAAGTCCAGGATCGCCGCCTCGGCTAGGCTCTGCGCTGCCTGACACTACCATAGTAAGTCCAGCCGAAGACAGAAGTCATCAGCGCAAGGCCTTCAAAGGGAGCGCCCCTGGCTGCAACTTGATTGCGTGGTCAGACGATGCGGTTTTGTCGCCGAGAGTATCGCAGTGACCACATGGATTGTGGCGTCGCACATGGGCGCTGGTGTGGCTTCAAAGACCACATGGTGCTTCCCGAAGCTATGGTAAAGCAGGTCCCTGCGATAATCGATAATTGATAACTTGCACCCCTCCACAGCTGGGCCAACTGCTGGCAGCGGACCGCCGACAAAGTCCAGCACCACCAGGATCGGGTGACTCAACGGCCGTCAAAGCTCAGAGCTTTGCGTACCATTTCACCAGCATGTCTATTTATCGTACCTGAGCAGACAACAAAGCCCTTGCTAGCCGTTTCCTCCTGCGCAACGCCCGCCAACGCCCCCCGCAAAGAGCATGGCATCACAACCACCAGCCAAGCCCAAGGGCATCCTTAAGAAGCCGGGCTCGACGGCAGCACCGGTCAAGGCCTCGGGCACGTCTACGTCTCAGGATGCATCCAAGCCAGCCATATCTCCCGAAGAAGCCCGTCGTATAGCGATTCACCACGCAACCCTGATCCACCAGCGGCGCGACCTCGAGGACATCATCTCCGACTCGATCATCGACCTCTCCAAGCTACCGCTGTACCACAAGAATACCTCGCAGCCAGGGCAGCCACCACATACGGCTGCGGATCCACACCCGGCCGACGCGTCGACATTCACGAGCCAAGTCCGGCTGTTCCAGCCGACCGACTACGATGACCTGATCGAGGAGCGCAACATCTTGGGGAAATGCGGCTATGTGCTGTGCCCAAAGCCAAAGACCAAGGTCTCACAGGCTGGTGACTGGAAGATTGTCGGATACGGCACGAAGGACTTCAACATTGTGCCCAAGGCTGAGATTGAGAAGTGGTGCAGCACAAAGTGCGCCCGCAGAGCCATGTACGTCAAAGTGCAGCTCAATGAGTCTGCCGCGTGGGAAAGAGCGGGCATCCCTTCGATCCAGATCGAACTGCTCGAGGAAGAAGAGACAGCACAACAAAAGGCCCAGCGAGAAGCCGCGGAGGATCCAGCCGCCAAGGTGGCGCGGGAACTGGCTGCTGTCAAGCTGGATGCGGATCAGAGGGCTAAGAAACAGGCCCAAGACCTTGCGTTGGAGCGCGGTGATACAGACGAGGCAAAGGCAGCCAGACGGGATATCGAGGTCACTATCCGCGAGAAGAGGGTCATGATGGAGGCCAAGGAGCCGTCGTTGGCAGAAGGTGCCGGTCATGATGAGGCGCACATGATTCTGGACGGCTATAAGCCCAAGTTTGACCCACGGAGCGAGACTGTCCCAGAGCCTGTGACGGCTGAAGAAGCCGCCGAGGTGAAAGACATACTGGCAAAGGCAGAACAGACCGATGCTGCTGGGACGCAAGTCACAGAGGCATCAGCGACCGACCCGAAGGCAGCCTAGTTTGAGAAACGGGACTTTGATTTAGTCAGAAAATCTTTGACAGACCTCGACCAATGTCCTAATTGCGACTTTTGGCAATGTACAAACAAAGGCTTGTGGTGCTACTTTGACTATCAAGGTCACATTGGCAGGATGGTTTGTGAGGTCCACACCAAGTCTCTCGCGTTGACTTCCGACAGAAATCGTAGATCGACAGTCAAACAGCAAGCAAGCTCGTATGATGGGAGATTAACGGTCAAGTAAAGGAACAGTCAAGTCCGGTATCATCAATGGTGTAGTCAAAGGACAGTGAGTATGTCGAACAACAGTTCGGTACGACCATGCACAAGAGGGGAGAACCAATATTGGCAATCAACCGTCATCTCGAAGCACGCGGCCAGAGAATCGGGGACACCTTGGTGGGGGAAATGTTTCTTTTCTTTTCCTGCTGTGCCTGTCTTGTCGAGGTAGTGACTAAGACCTTTGAAAAAAGTTGCACTCACAATCGTCCGATTCAGACGCCGTAAAAGCCCAGAGATATCATCATGCAATGCCGGATGCCCTTAAATAAACCAGCCAATTCCGAACCCACCCTTTTTTGTCTTTCGTTACTCGTTTCGCTTCGTCTAGTTGCGCGCGGGGCGGTCGTTGAAGCGGCGGGGGCGCTCAATGGTCTGGGCCTGGGTAACGGGGATGACGTTGACGGGGACGTTGTCGAACTGTTGAAGAGTTGAATGTTAGTAACTGTCTATGAATGAATTTCACCCAGAGGGGATTGGATAGACATACGCCAAGGTGCTTGAGGAGGTCCTTGGTCTCGACGTCGATGTCGAGCTGACCGCTCTCAGAGTTCTGGGTGAAGTCGAGAGCAGAGACCTCGGGGACGTATTGATCCTTGCGCTCTCTCTCCTCCTCCTGGAGCTTGAAGGAGATACCACGGACGGGACCACGCTGGATGCGCTTCATCAAGTGGGTGGTGTAGCCGGCAATCTGTGTCGCGAAGAACAATAGCAGTTAGCATTCGACGTCACGGATATTTGCCAAGAAGAGCGACTCTCGTCGCTGTGGCTGGGCCAGTGCAGGCGTGCTGACCTTGTTGCGGAGGCGCTTGGAGGCGATGATGGCGATCTCATCGCAGACACGCTTGTTGGTCTCGAAGTCGAGAGTGAGCTTGGGGTAGTACCGCTCAATGATGACCTTGGCGGACTTCTTGACGGTCTTCGTGCGAACTCTACCCATTTTGGCGGTTGTTGTCTGGGATCCTAAACTTCGGTGGTTGAGGCGGTCGTCGTTGTCGTGGCTGCTGGAGCAAATCGTCGAGTTGGGCTACCACGGGCTGCAGGTGTGCAAGAGGATCCCCCAGCGAAATTGTTCAAGCAAATACAATTTCGTGTGTGCGCAGACGCCAAGTGGGTCGTGGTCAAGTCGCTGTCCATCTTGATTGGCTTGTCTGACCAGACATCGAGCTGGTCCGTGCAATCTCCTAGACTCTTTTCCTCGCTCTTATCGATAATGACATGCCGTGACTGGACTTGTTCGGGGGCAGGAGAGAAATCATTAGTGAAAGGGCTGAGGTCCGTTGAGAATAGCAGTGGCAACAGGACGGAGTTCAGTGTCGACACAGTCACAGAGAATGCGCAATTGGATACGAATGTTTATGGGAATAGATGTTACCCATATTTGATTCATGGAAGCTTCTGATCGGACCGTACAACACCGTAGATATATATACACATGCGGTCCTCTGATGATATTGTACATGACAAGTTTTGTTTTACACGGTCTCATTCGATCAAGCTGAACCCTTTAAAGCTTGCGTTCGCTGCTGAGGCCGTAGCTCTTTCCACTAGCAAATGCACGGTGTGGTGTTCCTGCAGGTCGTCCCGAGCCGCGCGTACCCGGGCTCGAGTTCGATGCCTTTGATGACTGTTTCCACACCTCAGCCTCGCCGAGCGTTTCCTGGTGCACCATGACGGTCTGCGGGAAACTGTCATCGACAGCGACGTTGATGCGTCCATTCGAGTCGACAGTGGCAGACCGGATGCCAAAATACTTCTTCGCTCCGCCCTTTGTTGATAGGTCAAACTCCTCAAGAGCTCTTGCACTTGAGCGCCTGTTGCCGGTCACAGTGTCGCCGCTTGATGTCTGGGCAACAAAACCGCCAGTACCAATCATAGCGTTGAAGACACCACTGGCGGGGTGGCGTGGGTGTAGGACTCTGCTCTTGACGGGAGCATGCTCGCGCTGAGGTCCATATAACGGGTGGTTTTCTTGGAAGTTGCGAGTCCGGAGGTACGAGAGACCCGCAGATGGGTGTGTGATGGGCGGACCATGGACACTGTAAGGCCCAGTCTGGCGGAACTCGCGGCTGACATTGTGCGCCATGGCGCCAATGTTCTGAGTTTCAGCCTCGATAGAGACAGGCGCAAGGTCAAGGAACCGGCTGATAAGTCTGTACAGCTCGATGCGGTCGGCACGCAGTCTCCTAAGGTTCTCAGTGTAGATCTCGTCCGTGATGGCTTCTGGGGCGACCTCGGCCACCTGCTTGTCGTCCTGGCCGGCCTCGAGAGCAGTTCTCCGCTTCTCGGCGGTCTGCTCCTTGGCCATGTGCTGCTTCAGATAGGCCCGGAAGTCGGCGCGTCTGTTGCGCACATTCTTATTCAAGTACTTTTCAAAGTCGCCGTCGGCCATGCCGGCCAGCCATGGCCCATTGAAACGCCATCGCTTGTTCTCGCTCTCTGTCTCCTGGCCAGGCTCAAATGCCGTAATGTCGCTATCCTCCTCGAACACCGAAACCGGCTTGGTGTAGCTGTCATACACATCCGACTTTCTAGCCGGCGGAGTTGTGATGGCCATGTTCATCTCTTGAAACTTGAGCAGCGTCAGAGAGTGGTCAGACGCCGAGTCGAAATCTGTCACCTCCTCGATCGCATCGACCTTGTTGATCCGGATCAAGGGTATCGTCTGCTTTGAAGTTGTCTTTGCGGGAAACGACCGCTTGAAACCCCAGTCTCCATTGACTCGGGATGCTTGCGTGGTGGTAACAGAGAGGCGCGTCGGGAAGTGCTTCGTGGCGGTGTCGGAGTGATGCTTGGTGGCAGTTGACCAGTCGCCTGGTGGTGATGATATCGCGGCGGGGAGCGAGAACATGCGCGACGCTCTCAAGAGCGCAGCTCCAGGAGATACGGCAGGAGTCGTCATCCTGGCTGAGCAAGCTCACTACAGAGCGTTGTGCCGGGCTTCCTCTTGGGCCGATGCGCGGATGGGCTAATGTGTGGTCAAGCTTCGAGATCCAAGCAAAATTGAGGCCTGTTGCGCAGATGTGGGGCGGCTGTCGTTGGACGTCGTGCCGCTACCACACGCAGCAGGTTTGAGCCTACCCGGAAGCTCCACTTTAACACACCAGCCAGACGGATTGACGGATTACCCCTGAGGGGGCATGCGTATGCCGACTGCCAGACCAGTGACAAAGTGCGAGACCCTGAAAGATCCACCTGGCTGGTGTTGAAGCTACGTCTCCAAACATCGTGGACGGCTTCATTAGGCAACCAGTTTATAAGTCGAGTGTTTTCAAGTGTAGACCCGGCTTGACTTAATTGTCACATCAGACTGTGTTCATCGAACACTCTCCTCCTCAGGACCGCCCATTTACATACGCCGCCCGTTGGAGATGGACACTCTAGACCCGGCCACCGGCCGCTCACTCGGCCCCGATGCTATTCAGAGAGTGCTTTTCATTGCCAACTCTGTCCACGTCTATAACATCCCACCTATCGTTCCCGGAAAAGGCCATGTTGCCGCGGGCTGGACAGCTGATCCGCAGCGACAAATCTTTACCTCGCGACTTCGGATTATTGAGACATCAGTCACTCTGCCCAGCGGGGAAGAGAAGATGAAGACAGACATTGTCCTCGAGGACGCCAAGACGGGCCAGCTGTTTGCCGCCGCCCCTTATACCACCCAAGCCATTGTCGAGTCTGTCTCGGATAGTTCACGGTTCTTTGCCCTCCGTGTGCAGGACGAGGCGGGCAGGAAAGCCACACTGGGCATCGGCTTCGAGGAAAGACCAGAGGCTTTCGATTTCAGCGTGTCGCTGCAAGAAGCACGCAAGAGTCTTGGCCTGGAGACTGGTCCGCCACAGAAACCTGGCATGTCCAAAGCCGATGGTGCAGAGAAGCGCGATCTCAGCCTAAAGGAAGGAGAGACCATCACAGTGAATTTACCGGGGAGATTCGCAAGGAAGAAACCCGAGGCTTCGACATCAGGAGGGTCGCCAGGATTAGGTCTTTCTGGGTTCTCATTACCACCGCCACCATCAGGCTCTGGCGTGAAGTCGGGAGGGTTATTGCCGCCACCACCAAGTGCCCAGAGTGTCAGGGATGCAAAACAAAAGACTGCGGCTCAATTGGGTTTCGATGACGGGAAATTTGGCGAGTTCGCGTAGCTCGCGTCGGAGTTTCATAGATCGAGTAGACCTCAAGATAGGAGTTGCTCAGTATTTGTTGCGAACATATGCCTTGCAACCCATCGGTTGGGATGGGACCGCATTGTATCTGTTGAGGCGTTGAGCAATACAATGTAAGCGCAGAACTTTGATACCAAGAATCGCATGATCGCGCGCAATTCGGACAGATTATTTCAGTTCAAGAAAGTCTGTGTACGAGCGGCTGGTCTTGTTAAACATCATCCAATGCTCGTAGAGGCTATTACCGAACGCAAGTGTGACTGAGATGATTTTACCACAATCGTAGAAGCAACACGAAGACCGAACAATTGTTCCCTTCAAATCGGCGCGCGTCAGGCAAAACAAAAGAGAATGCCCTCTCGGAAAGGCAATACCAATATTCCCTGATTCTTGAACCTCCGACGTTTCAACATCAGCGTACGCCTCATCCTGTTGATGAGTATTCTACTAGCAAACAACCCTGGTGTGTACAGCGAGCGGAGATAGACATCTTGTACGCACTTTCCCAACCAGAATAATCCCTTTACTAAACATATCTGACCGTGCCTAATTTCTGCTAGCCGTAGTCGCTAGACCAGCATGCACAACCGGGCGGGCAACACCACCTGTTCGGCCGAGTTGCCTGATCTTTGCTCGATACCGGCCCAAACCTCCCCTTAACGCATGTGTATTCATGTAGTCGTGGAATGTGCGCACTGGCCCCGCCCGTCCGCTAGCAAATAATGTCAACCGTCCTCTCTCATGTGCCTTAGACTCGTGGTCTTTGTTGCACTTTCCAGCACAGTCTGCCATGCTGCCTGTGGCGGCCTAGACTCTTCGAGCTCGGTTACCGCGTGCACCTAGTGGTTGTGAATGTGTGTCTCGTCAGATCTGCACCCACCCGGCTTCTCCCGCTCTGGCGGAAGCATTGTGGCGTTGAATGGGGGTGCGCCGACGTCACACTCAGCTGCAGATTGCACTTTGTTAAACTTTCACGTCGTGCTGCTGCGAGCGATGTCCAAACATGGAGATTAAGCCCAACGCTGGCGATGGAGGGAACCAGCGTTTCCTAATGGAGAAGTGCCTCGGCAACTCGCCAAGCTCAAGTCTGGGAAAGCTGTGGAGAAGCTGCTCGGGTGCCCCGCATCTGCGACGGCGGCCACGCCCTCTTACACGAGACAAAGCTCATCCCCGCCTGTTCCCGAGACTCGTTCATGTGAGTCCCATGATATTGAAGCTCGGTGTTGCATGTTTTCAGCTTGGGTAAGCTGCAGGCGAAGCGCAGATGCCATGCAGAGAACAGACAACCATTTCCTCTGCCAAAGTGGCCATGAGGAGTTGCCATGCTTTTCCTCATACCAGGACCACTTGTAGAGTGAGGACTCAAACACATGGTTCGACAAGTCGGCCGCTTTTGGGTTCATCAATATCATCATCTTTTGAGTTGAACATTGTGCATTCGTTGAAGGCTCCATAAAGCCTGCCGATATCGAGGGGCTGCATTGCCCTCAAGACCCTGGCGGTACATTCCTCTCTAGAGGGAGCACAACAATAGTAGCTGCGTCGACTTTGCATGAGCGGCATGGCTTGCACCACGAGGAACCGACACATTCGCAACGTCCCGAACATTCCTTGGCTCATGTCCTCAGTTCTCGCCGCAGGGGTTGCGAAGCGAACTGCCTGACGGGTTCGGCCGCCTGCTCCACAGATCCATTCTCACATGCTCGCGAAGCTTGCAAGCTGGGCTGACACACACACGAGCTCGGCCGATACCCTCCATCACGCATCCCACGTCCGCATGACGAGCTGCTTCATGCCCCAAGGACCAATTTTAGAGATGTCTGTTCCCGCTGGTCCGGCCGAGTACGCGACTTCCTGGCGCTTTGTACGGGGCGAACATTGCAAGAGGCCTCGGAAGATCAAGCGTGAGGGACGCCTTTGCAACACGACCCAGTTGTTGGAACAGGTTGCGTGCCGCGCTCGACTCCATCGGGGACGGACTACGCCACCCTGGCGATGTCACGCGGCAGAGGCCAACCATGTCCTCGAGCTCCGCGACCTGCCTCCAGCCTCCGTGAGCCATGAGTGACCCGGTCCATTTCATGGGGGTTCCCCAGGTTTGCGTCCTGGGCAAGTGTGGCTGCAGGGCTCACCCCATCCTTCCCCCGCAAAAGTGACTCTGACGACGAGGTTTGGGAAGTTGACCAGTTGCCCTCCAGAGCTCCTATGGCGCATTGGCTGCCCGCTTGCGCCCCAGGATAATATGGCCGCCATCGCCGCCAATTTACAACCTTGTGCTTCGCGAGCCACTTCCACAGCGCCGTGTTTGCCATGATCTAGCCCGGCTTCCAGTTGTTGATGTGAGCTACTAGTCTTCACGCTTGACGTTCAATCAGCAAGCAGGCCTCGAGTATCCCCCCAGTCGTGTGATCGACACGGGCAAGACCACGACTAATCACAAGACTACTGGGCGTGGCCCCCGGCCCGTTCCACCAAACGAGCTGCATCGGGTCTGTACTCGGGCAGCACAAACAGGCTGCAGTGAGGGAAAGTAAAAAAAGACACAACAACGCCGGAGGCGACGGGAATAGGAAGAAAAAACTAAGCGTGCCAGCCTCTGTTCTCAACCCCGTACTATCGTCAAGTGATCTAGTACGCGCACCTATGGAGTGGAGATCGGCGAGGGTTTGACGGTATCCCGCGCGTTCCATCTCGTCTAAATTTTTGGTGGTACACGCTTGGGCAAGGCACTGTACCGTGCCTTGGTCGGTAGCGCTGCTCCCTGCCAGAGGCGGAGAGCGTTCAGGCCACAACACCACCGCTAATCCCCTGGCCACACACTGCCGACCCTCTCGGGGTGACTCGACAACCGTCCGCCAGGCTCCTCAGTGCTCACCAGGCACGCTGCCGCAGAACTGTCAAAGACACCCCCGCATCCAACCCCCTTCGCATGCTGCCAGCCTGCAAGGCGCCGTGCCTCCTCCCGACGACACTCTCGGCTTTCCACGACGACGACGCCGACCTTCAATCCGATACTTGCTGCACGCGCAAGGCCAGCGTCCCTGCCGAAGGCTGCAGCCAAATCGACGCTGACGATCAGGCTGTGCGCCTTTCCGAGCCTGCGCGTCCTGCTTGCGCCGAGGCCGACCGATTCGCACCAGCCGCCGCCCTCCTCTGTCCCCGACTCTCCCGCAACCAGCAACCATCCGATCGTCATTGCGCCGGAGGCTTTGGCGCGACCATGGACATGGAAACCAGTCCAGGCGACTCCCCTTCACTGAAGCAGGTCTCCAAGTCCCCTTCGCAGGGCCCGACGCCCACCAGCGCCAGCAATGGCGGCCACATCGCGAACATGGCGACGGGAGGTACCGCCAATGGTAGCAACGGCAGTGTGTCCGCGGGCGGGAATGGTCAACAGCAAATGACCAGCGATGCGGCAGCGGCAGCTGCCCTTGCGGCGCAAAACCACATGAGCTTTCGACGGTGCGAACCCCCCGCTTTCCAGGTTGGCTGGTCTCCTGCACTTCGAGCAAGTTATACTGACAAACACTGCGAGGTGAAGTCAACGAGCGTCAAGGGCATGCGAGGTATGTATACTGCACACAGTCATCTTCGCATCCCCGGCTGTCCTAGATAAGCCAAACCCCCGTGCCCAGCTGGTGCTTGTCTTGTGTTTTATCGTGGGGCAGCTAGCTGCGACCAGCACAATCGTGCCGAGGCATCAGCATGGTGTCCACTTCTTCCCCGAGAATCACTCATGCTCATTTGTCGAAACACTACGGATCGCTCACTAACATACAACTGCTGCTAGACATGTCATGCACGAAAAGTAAGGCACGCCCTTTATCTCAGCCTTCATCTCAATCTCTTGGGCCTGCCTCCCGTGCTTGAAATCAGCGCCGAGTTGATGTCAATTCCTTTTTTCTGATGCCCAAAGCGCTATTTCTCTGAGCAATTACTTACTTCATGATGACAGGTTCGTTGCGATGCTGCCAGCCTTGGCGTGCCATGCACAAATTGTGTTGCATTTCAGATTGAATGCAAGATACCACAGCCCAAGCGCAAGAAGACGCAGGCAAATGCACAGAAGGACTCCGATAGGTATGAAATTCTTTTGGGTTTCTTGTTCCTCAGATGTCCCGAGCGAAATCACTGAAGACCGCGTAATAGTGAACGCGGAGATGTGGCCGACGAAGCACAAGCACAGGCGCTCCCGCCACAGCAGATACAACAGCCAGCGCTGCCAGCCCAACAAACGCCACCTGCCGGGTCCAGCAATACCTTTCAAGCCAGGCCAGTTGTATATCACACGGCAGAAGGCACACCTGCCACAGCCCTGACAGATGCTCAGGCTCGTAAAGAAGAGGTCGACAATGACACTTTTGTCAACCTGGTTATGAAGCCAAAGTTCACGCGGGCGCCCATCACCGAGGCTGGTCGGGTGGCATTCTTGGGCGAATCTTCCAACATGACCTTGTTGGTCAACGATCGTTTGGGCACTTCCGACGTCGTTCACTATCCATTGCCGGAAAATGTCCGTGGGTCGAGAGCGCGGCTCACAGAGCTTGACAACATCGAGATCGATATCCTGCATCAGCGGGGAGCGTTTTTGCTACCACCACGGGCGCTTTGTGATGAGCTGATAGATGCATACTTCAAATGGGTCCATCCTATCGTACCCGTCATCAACAAAAGCCGCTTCATGCGACAATATCGCGATCCCAAAAACCCCCCCTCACTGCTGCTCTTGCAAGCTGTGTTGCTAGCAGGCTCCAGAGTCTGCACAAACCCTCAGTTGATGGACGCTACTGGTTCGACCACGCCCGCAGCTCTTACCTTCTACAAGAGGGCAAAAGCGCTGTACGATGCTAGCTACGAGGACGACCGTATCACCATTGTGCAATCTGTGCTCCTGATGGGCTGGTACTGGGAGGGTCCGGAGGACGTGACAAAGAACGTCTTCTACTGGACGAGAGTGGCTACTATCGTTGCGCAGGGCTCGGGAATGCACCGGAGTGTTGAGAACTCGCAACTGAGCAAGGCGGACAAGCGACTATGGAAGCGAGTGTGGTGGACGTTGTTTACACGTGACCGTTCGGTTGCAGTGGCACTTGGGCGGCCATGCAACATCAACTTGGACGACTCTGACGTCGAAATGATTACTGAAGACGACTTCATCGAAGACGAGCCTGATCATGCCAGCGGCTTTGCCCCGGATCCGGTCCACGTCCAATTCTTCTTACAATACGTCAAGCTTTGCGAGATCATGGGTTTGGTGCTGTCGCAGCAGTATTCCGTGGCTTCCAAAGGACGGCGACAGAACGCTATTGATCTCACCCATAGCGACATGGCGCTTGCGGACTGGCTGCAAAACTGTCCGAAGATCGTCTACTGGGAGATGCCACGGCACCATTTCTGGAGTGCCTTGCTGCATGCAAACTATTACACCACACTCTGTCTGCTTCACAGGGCACACATGCCCCCGAGCAGTGGAGGTTCTTCGAGTCGGAGCTTTGATGAGGCTTCCTATCCTTCTCGGAACATCGCATTCCAGGCTGCGGGAATGGTCACGTCTCTGATTGAGCATCTCTGTGCCCATGATCAGCTACGATACTGCCCAGCATTCATTGTTTACAGCTTGTTCTCGGCATTGATCATGCACGTCTATCAGATGCGGTCCCCTGTTCCGTCTATCCAGCAGGTCACGCAAGAACGAATTCGGATATGCATGGATGCGCTGCGGGAAGTATCTCGAGTGTGGCTGGTCGGGAAGATGGTCTACACCTTGTTTGAGTCCATCCTTGGAAACAAGGTCCTCGAGGAGCGTCTTCAAAAAGCGGCGGGAAAGCACCACAAGCGGAATCAACAGAGCTTTGCGCAAGCGGATGCCACACACCAAACGCGGCAGGAAGCAGCAAAGCGGAAATATGACGAGATGGCCATTGACTTTAGTGTCACAACTCCCACACATCAGGAGTCGTACGAGAGATCACGCCCGCAGACTCCAAGGGGCGAGCCGCAACACATGGGACCACCTTTGCAATCTCCGCACACGAAGCCCGGAGATGCTTTCATGGGAGGCACAAACAGTCGACCTCATACAAGGCCCGCGACCCCCTTTAATCCTTCGTTCTCGGTTCCTGCCACACCGCCAGACCTGTACCTGGTTACCCGTAACTCACCAAACTTATCGCAGTCAACCTGGGAGAACTTCCAGCCGGACCAGCTGTTTCCAGAGAGCTCGCACATTCCCCTGCCACAAGGAGGACCTTCCGGTATGGATGCCAACTTTGTCCCATCGATACAGCCTGGTATGTCTTCGCCACAAGAACGGCCGAACCACTTCGGACAGTTCCAAGGAGCCGGCCACAGCAAGTCGATGACCACACCACAGGCCGCAGCTAACCTCTCGATTCACCCAGGGTTTGGTGGCTTCTCCCACACGCAGCAGGCATCTGGTCAAAACGGAAATGGACAGAATGGTAACGGCGCCAGCGCTTGGAAGAACAGCAGTGGTGATTTCCATCCGGACGGACAGAGTCCTAGTGACAGCTGGAGCACCGGATCTGCGAGTGGCCAGCCGGCACCCTCCACTCTGAACGTGGAAGATTGGTGAGTATAAAATAGTTGATGCTTGCAGCACGGGATTAGTACTGATACTCGAAACAGGTTTCAATTCTTCGGCATCAATGGGAACGACATCAATCTAGCAAATTTGGATATACCCATGTAATGATCTCTCTTGGTCGACACAAAGTTGTTGAGAGCATGGCAAGAGGCAGGGATTCTCGATGATAGTGCTGGGCCACGTCAAGAACCTTGCCTGGGTCCCATGTATCTGGTCATTTTAAAGACACAAAAGGCGTTTATCCTAGCCGGAGATTTTCAATGTTTGTTTAGACTGGTGCAATTTTTCCGTTCCACATAGCCGGCAGATGGGTGCAGTATGTCGAGGTTGAGGGAGTCCAAATCAAAATACCTTGTTCATTATCTGCAATTGAAGCATAGCGAGACTGAGGGCAGTGCATGCCAAACCAAACCAAAATAAAAAGATCCCATTAGCTCGGGTTGTGCGTTGTATTATAAACCAGTGGTAGAAAGGATGCACATACCTACCCAGGTACCGATTTGATCGTGGCCGGCACAGACTTCTTTCTGCAGCCCATGTTGAGCTCTTTGGCGCCAAAGGATCAGTAAAGAAGCACTTTGTATGCCGGAACATGATGGATTATCTGACGGAGTTGTGGTGGTATATCGTGGCTCTCTGCTCAGCCTCCTTGCGGAGCTAGCTTGCCCCCGCCTCCTAGCAGCATGTGTCAGACATGCGGAGCAGCTGGCTCCAGGGGTGTTAAATGCGTCGCGGCGCCGCGTAGCCGTCCGTGAGGCCCCAAGATTGTGGGTGCTGGGCTTGACGTAACGGTTGGCTAAGTCCAAGGATGCATTCCTGTAGGGAGGTCCAGCAACCCCTGTTTGGCCGCCCAGAGCATGGCAGCTCGTCCGGGCTAGGAGGACCCTCCAAAGTCGCCCGCTGCACCAAGACAGCACCACCACTCCTACCACGCAGACCTGGCCTCATCATCCGCAGCCTCTAGAGCTTGCCTTGAGATTCAGACAGCTCCCCCTGCGGTTTTGTGGCCGACCTCAAAACATTCATTTCCTCAGCATTACTACACGACTGCCCGCGGACAGCCGCCTCCAACTAGCTGCAGAATAGCAATCACCGACTCCCAGTTGGCGACTTATCGGCCCACCCACCACCCTCCTGAGATACCTCTTACCCACGCCAACAGCTGGATGACGCCCTCGCCCCAGACCTTCGCACCGCGAACCGAAGCACGAGCTGGCTTCTGCCCGACGATTCAGAGGGTCCCGTCCACTTCGATACTCGACCACTGCAGAAAGGTGCCTGGGCTCACCGACTACCGAACGCTGTCGCCCTTATCGCCCGCCGCTTTCATGTCCAGGTGAACGACAGCAGCTCCTGCCGCTCCGGTCTCCTGTCGCTTGTCATCCTGGCTAGAGGACCTCTCCAACTGCCATGGCCGACCCCTCACGGCCGGCGCCGATGCCCTCCACGGGCCTCATGCCCGCCGGCATCGATAGTGACACCGGCATGAGGCCCCGCAACCGTCGCGGCCAGAGCGGCTTGCTGGCCTCTGGGTCGGCATCAGCATCCGCCATGGGCACCCCGGGGCAGAGCCCTGCAGCCAGCAGAGGAGTCAGCCCTCTGGCCTCACGACTGGCCAACTCCAAGACGAACTCGAGCGGGAGAGCAAGCCCCTCCAATGGCTTCTCCCGCGGCCTGCTCGACGGCACATGGGCCCCCAATTGGGCCTCGGTGCAGGACTTTGCGACGTCCCTGATGGCTGGCGGTGACACCGGGTATACGAGCGAGCCATCCCGGCCCAGCAGTCGCGGCAACGGCAAGACAAAGTCCAAGTCTATATGGAAGGGAATAGGACGAATGGGGAGTGGGGTCAGTGGTGCCATGTCGGGAAGCTGGGGGCCTGCGCCGCCCTCGAGTGCGCGGCCGACACCAGACGACATTGCTTCTGGCTCGCTGCGGGAGCGCGAGGAGCGCCTGATGGCGCGCAAGAAGGCCAGCGTGCTTCAGAGCCACGAGGGTGTCAATGGCGGGCTGGACGTCCTGGGCCAGTACAAGAGGAGGAATTCAGACGAGACGCCACAGACACAAGTATCAGAACCTATTGAGGAGGACCACCTTGTCTATCTACACCATGTGCAGCCCACCGACACGTATGCCGGCATTGTCTTGCGTTATCGGTGCCAGGAGCATGCATTCAGAAAGACGAATGGTTTATGGTCGCAGAGCAACATCCAGGTGCGGAAGCACCTGCTTATTCCCGTGGATGCCTGCGAGGTGAAAGGTCGACCTTGCGAGGCTCCTTCATACTACTCGCAGCAAGTCGATCTTCTCGCGGCCACGCCGCAGCCGACAGAGCGGCTCGGAACCTCGCCGAGGGCACAGGATGTGGTGCACGACGACTTCTTCAGCTCACGAGCAAGGGAGACGGACCAAGCTCAGCAGAACGACCAGGATAAGCCGATAGACCCCTGGACGCATGTTCGGTGGGTGAGGCTCGATTCGGTACCGGCGCCTGTAGAGATTGTGCGGGTGCCCAGGAGAGCCACCGGGTACTTCCCTCCCAGGAGAAAGCGCAGTGTCAATACGGTCTCGACTTTCTCGACCCCTCGGCACTCTCTAGAACTGTCACGGGCGTTGACGAATGCGTCCGAGACGCAAGGGGACAACCCTAGTCAGACGTCATCAAGGCGGCAAAGTGCAATGGGAGCACGACCCACGATAGGGAGTCTCGGCTCGTCCCCATCGACGCGAGGCCGAGGAAGCAGCCTCGGCGAGACGGAGAAGGTGCCGGCATGGATGCGCAAGCCCGGCGGTGTGGGCTCAATGAGCAGGAGTGTGCACGCCCCCGGACCAGCAGGTGACTCGCTGAACAGCTGGGTCAACAAAAGACTCCCCGGGTTCAACATTGACTCGTTGCCGTCCATGTCAGTCATGGGATCCGAGAGCGCGCACTTTGGCTTCACCAAGTCTGGCCAGCCTGGGTCGGGCACTGGCATCGTAGAGAGCCCCTGGGAAGATGGCCGGGATGCTCCAAGCCTGTCAAAAGGCGGGATGGGGCTCGAGCAGGCTGCTGCATCTGTCGAGACATGGCTTCGTGGGGCGTGGCAGAAACGGCCAGCGACGCCGCGCATGGGATCGTACAATCGGCGACCTACGACCCAGGAGGACTTGGACCTCATCGAGATGACGGATACCAATAGTGACGACGGCCGGTCTGGTGGGACGGGGGGTGCTGGGTCTCGAGGCTTGCTCGATCAGGGCCTCCATGGCACAACTGGACTGAACAGCAACCCGGACGGCAACTCATCGGTTCGGGGGCGGACAGCTGGTGGCTCGAAGGGTAAGAAGGCTGACTGAATGCACTTTTGCTTCGAGGCACGGCTTGGGGAAGTCGGACGAGGGGATGAGTGGTTGCCAGCGAGCGGGGAATAGAGGCAAAGGGGATGGACTTGCATACTAAAGTTTCTACATATAGTCTGGCGTTATTGGCGAAGCCTGCAGAACATTTATCAATTGTGGTCTCATAACATGTTGTCTTTCTGCTCCCAGCTTGCCCGGCTTTTACGTCTTCCCCGGGCGAGAATTCCTGAACGAGACACGCTTGACCCTGATGCCAAGTGTACTGCAGTGGCTAGCTCGATGATCCTGTATAGATTAGGCACTCGGCGCCGGAACGACGTGATTGTTCTTCAGCTGCTTTTGTGTACTCGTCTATTCCAGACCTCGAGAGCTTGTTTGTGTGGGGGCCAATGATGCGGCTTCGTTCCACGTGGACAAGGGGGGCCCGGCCCATGCTAGGCTGGGCGCTGGGCGGGTTTTATAGTTGGCGTTGACCCCTGCGTCCCGGTCGATAAGAATGGGGGCCACGGAGTAGAGAAGTAAACCATCAACGTTGTCCAACTGCAGCAACAACAACATCACGACCCTTGCAAAACGCAGCACCGCGCCTCGTCTGCGAGGCCGCGTAGCGAAGTAGAAAAATAACCCACGGGCAGGGGCAATGCACCTGTGATCACTTGAGTTCAGACCTGCTCAGCACCGCAGAGTCGTGGAGAGCCGGCCTCAGAAGCGCGGGGCGGTCCGCAGAGCCGCACATACCGATTTTGTTCTTGGGAGACACACCGAGCTACCTGGACAATCTTGACGACCACCTCGAGAGGCACGACTCTTGAGCACTTTCTCGCCTCTGCTAGAGTAGAGCCTCTGGTGTGGGCACAAGAGGCCCACCTGGGAGCGACGCAACCAAGACAGTCGTTTGTCTGCCGCTCTATGCCGCCAATCAGTTTCTCATCAGGAGTCTTTTTCGAATACAGCCAGCGGCGTTACTGGTGGACCACGGCTGTGCCGTATCCTGGGCGTTGAAGGCGATCGTGACAGATTACGGCCTCCAAGCCAGAAGGACGGAGGTTCTCGTCACCCCCAGCAAGTACACCTCACCAAGCGCAACAGATATAACAGACACACACCCGCACACACCAGAACCAGACACCACCACAACAACATCATGCCAATCTGCATAGAATGCCAGACCCCCGTGCGCACGCTCTGGACCGCGTACCGGGGCTCCTCGCACCCGTCGGCCGCCTCGTCGTCCTCCTCGGGCCACAACATCCGGCTCACCGTGTGCAAGAACTGCGGCCGCTTCTGCGACAAGTACGTCGAGCACGACTACGTGGTGCTCTTCATCGACCTCGTCCTCATCAAGCCCCAGGTCTACCGCCACCTGCTGCACAACACCCTCATGCGGCCCGAGGGTGACCGCTGGGACAAGAGCATCGTCCGCCTGGGCGTGCTGCTGCTGCTGTTCGATGTCTATCTGACCTGGGCGCGGATCGAGAAGTTGCTCACCACGCAGTTTGTAGGTGGCGGCGAGGGGGGAGGATCGGGGGGAGGATCAGGCGGAGTACCGGGAGCAGGAGCAAATGCAGGAGGAGGCAGCAGCAGCGGGATGATGATGCTGGAGCCGCCGGAGCTCGCAAAGCAGCCGATTGTTCTGCAGTACATGTTCTTTCGTAAGTTTACTCTGTCTCACACTCTCCCATGTCGCCCAGCAAAGTTGCCGCGCACTTCGAAAGAAGTTTGTGTATATTTACATATACTAACAAAAGATTCACCCTTGTCTCTTTCCCTCGGCAACAGTCATTCTCTGCTCCCTCTCGACACTGGCGTTCCACCTCTCCATCCGCTTCCTCACCTCGTCGCGCTTCTCCCCGCTGTCCTTCCTCGGCCTGCTCCCGCGCTACCCGCGCCCAAACTCGGTCTCCACCGCGCTCCTCGTGTCCTCGAGCACAAAGCTCTTCCCCATCCTCATGGTCGTCTGGGACTACGACGTCCCCGCCGCGGCCCGCAGCCTCGGGTGGGCCGTCGTCGCCAACAACGTCGAGGCCCTCAAGATCCTGCTCGACTGCGGGTACGGCGTCGCCGTGCTGCTCGCCGCCGCGGGCGCCCTGTCCAGGTGGGTCGTGGGCAGGAGCATCCTGGCCCTCGCGGGTCTGGAGCACGTCGATGCCGTGGCCGCCATGGTCGCCGCCGGAGCTGCTGGAGGTGGTGGCGGTGGCGGTGGAGGAGGTGCAGGAGTGATAGCACCAATCGGCGGCATGACCGGAGGTAATGGTGGTGGCGCTGGGCTTATGGACGGGCGAGCCGTCGCCGACTGGTTTGGGCATTTTAGAGAATGGGGTGGTCGGCTCGCTGTTGGGTGAAGGGGGTGAAAACCTTGTAGAATCATGGTGTAGCAAATGTGAAAGCTGGGCACACAAATTAACGCCATCCCATATTGGTACGCCGCAGGATGAAATGGATGGATGTGATGTTTCTGCTCGATTTCGTTTCGCGATTGCTTGAGGATTATTATATACATGCTGCTAAAGATGTCACCAAAAACACTTGGTGCTACTTCGTCGTCTTTTGCTGGTGAGTGCGATGGCCGCAAGGGAAACGATGGTGTCTGCTGCTGCAAAGCCTCACACGCCAGCACAAACCTCGGATCTGCGCTTCTAGTTTGGTTCTCGAGGCTCCCCTCTCTCGACCGTCCCTTTCCATATGTACAAGACTAAATCAGAACCCGACCTCTTCACACAATTCTCCAGTATGATCGACCTCATCTAGACAATCATCTGAGCTCAGCACGGATTTGTCGGCTCCTGAGCGCTTGGAGCCTGCCCGCGAAGTAAGGGTGGTTTCGACCTCTTGCTGCCTATGCCTCATGCCTTCTCTTCACTGACGGAGCCCCCATTTCTCATCAATGTCCGGTCTAGTCTTCGTGCACAAATTGCGCGCGCAAATCGCTCCGTTTCGGTACGATGAGAGGGTTGAGCTGTGCGAGGAAGGTGATGGCCCACATGAGGTAGCAGCTGATGAAGGCGATGATGAGGGACGAGCGCCACGTCCTATCCGGTGTATAAACTTGGTCAGCATTCAGCCCGGCATTGCATGCTCAATTGCTGTCGAGGCTGCAGAGGGACTGCAAAAGGGAAGGCATTCATTGAGCGCCTGGGCTTGTGTTTGTCGCGAGCACTTGCTTGCAGGCACAAATGGCTACAGTAGGCCGACGCAGGCATGCCGACGTGGGAATCTATCGAGAGCACGGAATGCAGGACTTTCTGAAGCCAGGGCTGTGCAAATCGCTATGCCGAGGAATGGGAAGTGGTGTAATAACGTACGTCTGGTTTTCGCCTTTGGGAGAGAGGAACCACGCGGCGGCGCACAGGGCTGCCACGATGGCAGCGCCGATGAAGATGCTGAATCTGTATTTCGCAAGAAGATATCAGTGGTTTGATCGTCGAGGCGGCTGGGCTCGGCTAGTCCATGTCCTTTTGTCGTCGAGGAGTGCGATGCGCGCTCTTACCCGTTCGCCATGATTGACGGATGGCACAGGTTCCAGGAGATGCGCCTGGCTGTGGAGAGTCGTCTCGAGATAGGGGATCGCAGATCTAATCCGTTTTGGCGGGTAGGTCGTGGCAGCAGCCGGCGTTCCGGGGATATATGGTTCGCGGACGTTTGGGAGGCGGACGATGTCGAAGTGAGAGCAGAAGATGGAAGCTGCCTGGCGCTGGGTCTTTGACGGTCCTGGACTGCTAGGGACGTTCGTCCGTGGTGGACGATGATGCAGCTAGCAGTGACCAAGCATGCCTGTTGATTGGTCGCATTTTGCTTGTGGACGACAGCTCCAGCAGCCAGGGTGGGCCCACACGTCGTAGCTTCCTGGAAGTGTCGAGTCCCTTAGTAGCTCAGGCCAAGAAATACACGAACTCACCATCATCAAACCATGCCCAGAACATTCACAAGAGCGTCTGTATATGCTCGACTAGTTCGTGCCAAGGTACACACGTCATCAATCTGCCAGCATTCTCAGTTGCGTTTGCCCTCCCCAGTACTCGGGCATTTCCCTCACGCATCGTTCTCAAACTTCAGCCCAGCCCTCTTCCTCGCGGCGCCATAGATGCCCGCAATGTCTCCCTTCTCACCACCTTGGTGATCCTCCACATCCTTCAGATAACCATCCGCAACGGCGGCGAGCCGTGGCTCCATCCCGGCAGCCTTTGCCACGCTTGTCGCATGCCGCACGTCCTTGCGTGCTCCAGTGGCCGCGAACAGTGGCTCCTCGCGCTTCCAGTATATGCCCTGCAGCATCCTCTCCGAATAGGCGCTGTAAGGACCGCCAAACAGGTTGTCGACAAACTGCTTGAGAGGCGCGACGCCGACGCCCGTCTTCTCCGCCATGGTGAGACCCTCGGCCAGGGCCGTGACCATGTTGACGATGAATGTGTTGCCAATGAGCTTGAGCTGCAGGGGCTTGCCGTAGGGCTCGTCCTCGAACGCGATCTCGGCCTTACCCATGACGCCCTTCATGTACGGACGCACCTGGTTCAGCACTTTTGCCGCGCCCGCAATGACAAAGATGAGCTGGCCCGCGTCGGCCATCGGGGGAGCGCCGAAGACGGGGCTTGCGACGAATGAGGCTCCCTGCGCCTGCACGTCCTTGGCGACGGCCTCGGTTGTGTCTGGGTGAATCGTGGAGCACTCGACAAAGATCTTGCCCTTGGCCTGGCCCTCCTGCTTGAGAGCCTCGGCGTACACGGCCTGCACTGCGGCGTCGTTGGTGAGGCAGGTGAAGATGATGTCCGCCCTCTGCACCGCTGGGCCGATCTGCTCGACTACTTCGGTTTTGCCGGAGGGTAGAGACGCGGCGAGGTCGTCGGACCGCTTCTTGGTCCGGTTGTACAGAAGCAGCGGCTTGTCCAGGTTGCCCTTCTCCACGAGGTTTTTGGACATGCCCTGCCGTGTCCATCTTGTTAGTGACATGGCCAAGGTTTATTGGTGTCCACTGGAGGCGTCAATTGCTACTCACTCGGCCCATGTTGCCCAGTCCAATCCAAAGGATTTGAGGTGCCATGGTGGAATTGTGATGTGCCCTCGTGTCCAAGTGAATATGTGAGGATTCTGGAAGTAGACTCGGTCCTCTCGGCTCCTCCAAAAATGAGGAGCGAGCTCAGCGTCTTCTGCTGTATGGTGTAATAATGCCAGTCAGCAAGAGGCGCTCCTGAGGGAACTTTGCCAAGACCAAGCTTTTGAGTTGGGGAGGTGACGTCGTGACTGGGAGCACTGGGAGCACAGCTCCGGGGGCGGCAGCAGAGGCGCGCCGGGAGGGCCGGCCGGCTTCCCCGCACGAGCCCGGGAGGAGGCGTGCGTGGGGGTGCAAGTGTGCCAGCAGTCCGCGCATCAACCACAACCGCCAAAGCAGACGGTGGCTTATTAACTTGCCTTATCGCAGGAACCTTAATACGTCCCGCGCGGCCCTGAGGAGTGGCAGCTTTCACACAGTGCCGTTGGGCTATTCACCACCATCCAAAGTTCATGATCGAGCGACATGCAGGCCAGACGTCCCGATGCTGGCAAGTAGACTGCGCATACTGCCTTCGCGGCTCGCGCGGTCTGGAGGAGCGGCAGTAGCAGCAACAACACCATCACGGTCGTTGCACCTCGCCCCGCCGTTCCTGCTCGACGAATACACCCCACGGTACCAGCAGCTGTCGTCGGTTGATGCGGCGAAGAAGCGGGCGGCGGCGTATGCGCACCTGAGCCACTGCAACCTGTGCCCTCGGCAGTGCGGCGTGAACCGGTACGAGAAGGCGGGCATGTGCCTGATTGGGGAGAATGTCAAGGTCAATGTCATTGCGCCGCACTTTGGCGAGGGTGAGTCCCTTCACGGGGGGAGAAGCATGGATACACAACGTAGCTTCTGTCTCGCTGACGATATACTGCAGAGGCATGCATCCAGGGCCACCACGGCAGCGGCTCCGTCTTCTTCAGCGGGTGCAACCTGCGGTGCAAGTTCTGCCAGAACCACGACATTGCCCACACGCGCAACGGGCAGGACCTGACGCCAGAGCAGCTGGCGCAGTGGTACATGCAGCTCCAGGACGTTGGGCAGGTGCACAACATCAACCTCGTCACGCCAGAGCACGTCGTGCCGCAGGTCGCCCTGTCCGTCCTGCACGCCCGCGACCTCGGCCTGCGGATCCCCATTGTCTACAACACGTCCGCCTACGACAGCGCCGCCAGCCTCGCGCTCATGGACGGGCTCGTCGACATCTACCTGCCCGACTTCAAGGTCTGGGACCCGGCCACCAGCCGGCGCCTGCTCCAGGCCGACGACTACGCGGCGACGGCGGTGGAGAGCCTGCGCGAGATGTACCGGCAGGTGGGCGACCTGGCGTTCACGGGGGACGGCATTGCCCAGCGCGGCGTGCTGGTGCGGCACCTCGTCATGCCGGGCAAGCAGGCCGAGGGCGCGCGCATCATGCGCTTCCTGGCCGAGGAGCTGTCGCGCGACACGTTTGTCCACATCATGGACCAGTACCGCCCAGCCGCGCACGTCGGCAAGCCCAAGAAGAGGAGCAGCGGCGGGCACAACAAGCACGAAGAGGAGGTCAGGTACGCCGAGATCAACCGGCCCATTTCGAGCGACGAAGTTGGTTTTGTCCGCAGGGCAGCAGAGGCGGCTGGGCTGTGGCGGTTCAACGACCCGCCTCGCCATGAGGGTTTTGCCATGTAGCCGCGGCCATGTAGCCATGCAGCCCTCCAAGATTCAATCTCGCAACGTGTCGGCCACCTCACACTCGCACATTTGTTAAGCTTGTCAGCACTCGCAACGAAGACTTTACCTGAACCTACCTAAGTATTTACTTGCAGGCCAAGGGCTCGGGGGTTCGGAGAGTTGGGGCCGGGATGGAGAGTGGGCCTTCCGGCATTTGCTTCCAAGCGCGGAGACGGCAGGCGCGGAGCAAGGCCGCATTAGGTAACAGAAACTGCCGCGTTGACCCAAGTGGAGGCGCCTCGTCATTCATGGCCATATGACTGAGCACCCTTCCCTCGGCCCGGGCGCGTCTTGACGCATCCTCCACACGATGATGGCTTTGTCAAGGCTTGTTGTGCTGTGATCATATATTCTTCTGGCCCCCTGGCTCTCAGAGCGGCCCCTTGCTCAGATCAGACGGCACTGGCTTGGCTCTCACGACGACTCTTCCCCCGAACACCAACAGGTACTCTCCAGGGACGCGTGACTGGTCTCCTGAAGCCCGGGCTTGATCCTCGCAAGCTTTGAACAAATACTACTGTCAGTCTTACGCTAGCGGCTCATCGCCAGGCATCGCCCTTAGACAGACGACGACAATGGACGAAAAACCTAGCCGGACGACCTCTGCCGGCGTGCCAGCATGGCTGAAACGATGGGCAGGCATGCACTCGCTCGGCCCGCCTCCGGCGTATGCCCTCTACGTCTGGCCCTTTGTCGGCTCCTTCTGCTCTCTCGCCGTCCTGCAGGCCGTCTTTGGTCACTCCTGGTATTTCATCGTCCGCGGGTCCCCAGCTCTCGTCACCTCCTATGTAAGCCTGCTTGCCCCCGTACCCCGACTAGCCACGCTACAATGGCGGCACTAACGGGACATGTATCAAACAGGGAGCATCGGTGGTGCTGTGCTTTGACAAGATCGAGTCTCCCTTTGCACAGCCCCCTGCACTGGTGGGCGGCCACTTTGTATCCGGCCTGATCGGCGTCATCATCAGCAAGATCCTCTACGGCTCGTCGACGCTCGAGGACGGTGCGTACCCCGAGTACACGTGGGTCGCCGCCTCCTTTGCGACCGCCTTTGCCATCCTTGCCATGCAGCTCACCCGGACCACACACCCGCCGGCCGGCGCCACGGCGCTGCTCCCCATTCTCGACAGGACTACCAACAAGCTCAGCTGGTACTTTTTGCCAATCCTGCTGTTGTCGTCAACCCTGGTCCTCGCGATTGCGCTGCTCATCAACAACATCCAGCGGAGGTATCCCTCGTTCTGGTTCGATCCGAGCAGGCCGACCGCGCCCAAGAAGCCGGCCCCGGCGGAGATGAGCCGCCCAGCTGCCGAGATGCCCCCTCAGTCGTCTCCGAAAGATGCTCCCCAGCCGTCGGACGTACCGGATGATCTTGAGGCAGGGTTGCCACGGAATGGGACCGTGTTCAAGGGGTGATTACGCTGCTTGGAAGTGGCGATGCCGACAGGCCTTGCCGCCTGGGTGAGAGAGCTCATAATTCAACGGGCCAGCAACAGCTAGATAAATGTGTGACGATAAATCAAGTATTGTGTGCTGTGAATCACTTGTCGGCACACGGCTTTTGGTGGTGCCTTTTTGACTGGCAACATGACAAAGAACGGTCTGTGCTTCGCAGATGCCCAACGACGGCTCAGAGACAAGAAGGAGTGACACTGTCCCTGCAGAGTTGCAACATCGTTGTATGAGCAACAAACAAGTCGGCGCGAGGCTGAAGGCCGTGGCCCGGAGCTGCCAAGCCGGGAGCCGCCCCTACGGCGGACGAAAGCTCCAACTGTTGCAAAACCCATTTTTTGCTATTACGCCCACCCCCTCACACCTTTTAACAAACCAGATTAGCCGCAAATCACCGTTTTTCAATTATGAAGATATCCCCTTGTAATGGCTCGCTTGTGCACAAGCTAAGACCGGTCATTTATAAATTCATTCGCACAGAATTCAAATGGTTTCAATTCGTTTCGAATCGTTTTCAACATTACAGCAATGGCAACCGCACGATTCTGCCCCCAGACCGGGCGGCCTCATACCTCAATCAAGCTGGTAAACCCAACCTGGAGGTACTGCCCTGATTGTAATATTCCCCTCCCGAATCTACCGACTATTCTACCGGAATGCATCGATTTGACAGCCTCACCGCCTCGTTCAGTATTTCTCCAGTCCGGAACGGTCCCAAAAAGCCCCAATTCAACTCATATGCAGCCCACTACAGGCCTGACAGCCCCTAGTACCAGTCTCCATCAACCGACCCTAAGTAACTTCGCGCTCTCATCGAAGTTAGCTAAAAGCTATCGGGATCAAAGCATTACAGAGACAAAAGAGAAGAAACCGCAAATAACCTACTCGATTGGAATCAAACTGTACTTTACAGAGTACTACGAGGAGGTTATTTACGGCGAACCCAGCCCGATATATACAATCCTCCACCAACACCGCATCTCTGGCCCGAAACGACTTATTATCAATGAGAAGTGGGAGGACCATAGCGCTCTGATTCAGTTCCTCTTCGATACGCATAAGATTAGCGAAGGCCTTCGGCAGAAGCAGTGGAAATTTATCGCTCCACTACCAGCCTCAAACTGCTTGAAAGTAGTACACCTAGGCCTTGACGAGACAGCCTCAATCTCTATTGCGCAGATCAGGGACTATTCAGGCTCAGACCGGAAGGGAGATGACATATTTGTGACGACCCGACCAACAGGTCGCAAGATCGGGCCAGGGACAAGGGCAGGTCATGCACGCGGGGCAGCACACCCCTGGTTACATAAGCATTCCATTATGTCAGCCGGACGGAAGTGGATCGCTGGGATCACCACAGATCCAAGACGATCCAGGATCACCGGGGATCACCAAGGATCCAAGACGATCCAGGATCACGACGGAAACCAGGTGATCCAGGGAACCACGATGAAGGACAAAGGATATATAGCACCAGGAGGATCTCCTCGTAAACAGTCGTTACCTTTGTACTTCAGCGATCAATCTAAGTATCATTCTCACCCTTCACTTGACCTAGTCACTCAATTAACCCGAGTGTGATATCTCGCAAGAGACACGAACGACAACCCCCGAGACACGACAAGCACGGAGTCAGTATTGCATGAGGTTGCTACCTGCCTTATTCAGAACATAAACCCCACCGCGCCGATCAGACGGTTGACCCCGGAGATCGGATCGTGACAATATTCTATTTGAATCTCCTCTACTCAACTATTATCCCATCACCACAGAACCAGAAGCCAGGAGTCAAGAAGCAACGAAGTACAAAGAAGGCCAAACTAAATACTAATCCGGTCCAACCGGCCCCTTCTCTCTCTCCAGACCTCCCGGCCCTTTCAGACTACGACATTCTGAAACTTGATAAAGTCCCTTGGATAGGCGAGGACTTAGCCCAAGTCAAGGCAGAGGAGGACGAAAAGGTAGAGGTCAAGCAGGAATCAAGTCGGCCTGAAGGCCAACAGCTTGAAAGTAGCGAAATGCTACCAAAATATGACACAGAACAAGAGGAAGACAAACACCTTCAGGATATAGAGCCTCAAGCTAAGCAAGTTGAAGGGAAGTGGGCACACCTTGGTCCGCCCCTGACCTTACGTAGCCGCGTAGGGAAGGGTAGGAAGAGGTCCGCAACGGCTATTTCTAAGTCAGATCAGTCGGGAAATTAGCGATGTTTCTATTCACTCTCAAAGTCAATATCTTCTTCTTTAATCAAGTCTAAACCGGCCTGTTCCATATCGATCCAAGTATCTTGTAGACTAATATGGTAGCGCTACATTAAGTCTTGTAAGTAGTCGAGATTCCCTATTAGCTAGGGGAGGAGAGAAATCGCTGGAGAACGGTTTATTCTAATCCAAACCTGTAGCTCCTCCTAAAGGTACTGATACTGACGGATAAAGGGCTGGTTCACTAGTTCTAGTGGAATCTGGCTTGGAAGCCCGCCAATTCGACCAAGTACTTCCTAGCACACCGCCATTGTTGTACTAGGAAGATACTAGTCTGGGTCAAAGCCATCCAGATCTGCTAGCATCGAAAGCTTTTGATGGAGATCTAGGTCAAGTGTGTCACGATCCGATCTCCGGGGTCAACCGTCTGATCGGCGCTGTGGGGTTTATGTTCTGTATAAGGCAGGTAGCAACCTCATGCAATACTGACTCCGTGCTTGTCGTGTTCTCGGGGGTTGTCGTTCGTGTCTCTTGCGAGATATCACACTCGGATCAATTGAGTGACTAGGTCAAGTGAAGGGTGAGAATGATACTTAGATTGATCGCTGAAGTACAAAGGTAATGACTGTCTATCTAGGGAATCCTTCGCATTATATCCTTTGTCCTTCATCGTGGTCCTTTGGATATGCGTGGATATGTTGCGATCCAACATATCCTGGATATGCGTGGATATGTTGTGATCCAACATATCCTGTGTCCTGCTGACATAATGAGATGCTTACGTAACCAGGGGTGTGTCCGCCCCGCGTGCATGACCTGCCCTTGTCCTTGGCCCGATCTTGCGACCTGTTGGTCGGGTCGTCACAAAGTGGCAGCCGAAAGTCCTGGGCACCCGTTTGTTCCGGATGGAAAAAGAGACTCCACGGCCTTCCTGGAATAACATAGGTACGGGTTAGCTGTTTTCATATCCGATGAGCATTCCAGGTCTGTACAAACTGAACAAACTCGGACCTGATGATTGGCATGTAGATATAGAGTAAAGCAACTCGATCTACGAGTGATTCTGCATCAAAAAGGCCCTCTACAGCAAGGAAACCAAAGTACTCCCGCCAGAAGATTGACCGCCCTTCACAGAGGCGGCCCCACCAACTCTCAATCTTAACATTTTGCGTGCTTTTCCCATAGATCCAGGTATGTCGGAACTGAATTGGTGTCCCTTCTGTTTGGGCTGTAAGTGGAAGGTTTGTTTATCCAGGGAATGAGTTCGATTCGGGCTTGACACTATTGACCTAGCTTATCTGAGGACTGTAGTACGGCTGAACAGCTTAATAAAGGAGGAAGTGAGCACCAGCAATAAGGGTTATTTCTCCGCCACGATCCGACCGGAATCGACGAGGAATAAAGCCCCATTGCTGGATAATCCGTAGGTATTGGACCAGAACAGACCGGCCCGTAGTCGCAGAGATTCCGCAGAAGAACCATGGGATATAGCGAGAATAAGCATCAATTACTACATATATCTCAAATCCATACGGCTGCAGCTTTAGATAAGCATCAATCGACCAGATATAATTCGATCCAGGGCTTGTCCAACCGCCTCTCCTTCGATGGAGCCGCTTTCGTCGTCCTTCAACTTCGTCAGGGTAGAATTGCGAAATGGTCTAGGAGATAGTATCGCGAGGAAGGTTAATTCGGTTCTATCGGAGATGCGTTGAAAGCATTTCTCTTCCCATACGCCGGACCAAGTTTGACGTTGTTTGCTCCTATATCAGGAACGATTGAAGCTGTTCCTACTTTCTTTGGATCTGTTCGGGGGTAAAGCGGCGATATATATCGAGTTCCTTTCTAATTCTGACTACACCGTACGCTATAACGGTAAAGCCATCCGCCTATAGTTAACGTAGGAGCTCATCATCGGAAAGACCAATAGTAAAGATGTATTTCTCAATAGCTATTCGAAGCGCGTCGGTTATGATCGTTCTCTGCTGTTTTGGATGGATTCCCCATTGCTTAAGGCGGCGTCGAAGTGTAAATACCGAGGTCTGGATTGAATATGTAGCCTGGAGTACTTCTTGAATTATCGGAAGAGGTACGCCGGACTGGTAGCGCTGTATAATAAAGTCTTTCTGACCCTCTAGTTGTAGCTCAGGACGAGCCATTTCAATAGGAAACAGATTGATTACGACGTGTTGAATACTTGTACGACAAAATCAATCACGCAGCTAGGGGTTAAGGGGGGAATTTTCTAACTTTTTCGAGCCCCACATATCATAACGTAATCCACGGGTAAGCGGGTCACACGGGTGAACGGGTCACCTTCCAGTAACTCGTACGACAATATATAAGACAATTTAACCACAACGCCTTAAATCAATTCAAACTATTCAGAATCCTCTTCTTCAGAGGCAGATACAACTTTCTGACACGTACGAGCATTATGACCGGGCTCGCCGCAGACGCCACATCGTCGCGCGCGCGTTTCGGGCCTCCTCGTACGACCACTATTCTGACTCGTTTCCGCTATTAACTGCTGCGTCGCATCGATTTGAGCCTTCAAATCCTTTGCCTGATCAATCGTGAGGGACCCTCCTTTCTGTAGCTGCTTTCTTTTCGTACGACGACGGCGGCTGAGGCGGTCGTTTGCATCTCGAAGTTCGGCGAGCTCTTGGCGCATAAGGTCCTGCTCGTGTACCATCATTATGACTCCTTTTCTTAGCTGCCGTACGCTCTCAACAATGGACGACGGTGAGCTATTCTGGTGTCGTACGATGCGATTTTCAATATACTTCGTCTGCGATTCGGTCTCAATTGGGTTGTTCGGCGTCTTTGAAACCCATGGGGGTGGTAGTCCAGCAGAGGAACCTGGCGGTGTCGGCGTATGAAACTTCACATCTAGCTGTGAAATCACATAATTCGGGTCGTACGGTACTAGGCCTGTCGCTCTGAAGCCTGCCTGGATGTTTGATTTGGTCATTGCAGCGTCGTACGCCTTATAAAAGGCTGGGAGGAAGTCCTCCTTTGAAACGTGGGCTACGTGCGCCCGCATTAGACCTTCAATTTCTTTACCGTACGCCCGTTTCAGAGGTCCAAAACACCCAACATCGAGAGGCTGGAGCTTATGCGACGAATGAGCAGGCATACAGAGGGTAACAATATTCTGTTCTTTACAGTAGAGCTCGAAATCGACGGAATGGTGGCTCTCGTGGCCGTCGAGGATGAGGAGGCGGTAGGTACCCTTCGTACGACTCTTTGTATGGAAATCGAAGTGTTTTACCCATTCTAGGCCTCTCTCGTTCGTCGTCCAACCGTTTTCTGAAAGCGCGATTACCCAGTCGGACGGTAGGGGGCTATTCGCGGTCCAGGAGTCGAGGTGGACCTTCCCGGCGAAGATGATATATGGCGGGATTGAATAGCCGTACGACGCGATGCCCTGGATTACTGTAACCCATTCCTGATTCCCTTGTTGTACGGCTCTTGGCCTCCCGCGTCGATCGGAGGTCGTAACGACAGTTTCGGCGGAGATTTTGCCCATCGCGAAGCCTGTTTCGTCGAAGTTATAGATATCGTCATCGTGGATCCCGTATTTCGCGATTATGTTTCGTACGAGCGTAAACCACGCGTGATACGCGTCCGGATCTTCGCAAAGGACCCTCTGGTAATCGATTCTTCGATTAAAACGCGTACGGAGCTCAGGTCGTCGTCGTACGAAGTTCGAGGCCCAGTTCGTTCCGACGCGTGGCGCGTCGCGTACGCGGAGGAGTCGATCCGCCATTTCTCGAACACCACCTAATCGCGGTGGAAACGATCGCGAATCTAGGTCGAGTACGTATCGTACGATACTCTCCTCTTCGTATGAGGTTAATTTCTGGCAGGGTGGTCGGGTGTCGTGTTTCGCAGCTCGGCCGTGGTATCGTTGCTGGAGTGTCGTACGAGATACATTATAGATCTGCGCAGCCTTTCGTACGCTTAATTTTGGGTCGGATTGGAGCGCATTTAACGCTAGAACCAAATCACTTTCAATTGATTGTCGTCCCATGATTGGAGGTGGAGAAAAAGGAGAAGGAAGTGAACCTCAATTAAATTGCAGTAAAGTGACCCGTTCACCCGTGTGACCCGCTCACCCGTGGATTACGTTATCAAATCGAATTGTTTTGAATTAAATCGCACTATATTGCTATTGATCTATAACTAATCATATAATACCGAGTTGGATCATATCAAATCGATCTGAAACCATTCGCAAGCTGTCGTTCCTGGGTATTACCGCGGGGAATCAATGCATATACCCTTTACTCCATGCTAAATGCCTTGAAACAAGTCGAAACCAGCTGAATTGTCGAAATTGCCCGCTCTAAGACGTTACGTGTCGTATCGAATCGATTCGGGCCGATTCGAGCTGGATTAGTGCTTACGCTTCTTGCCGGCAGGAGTACCGTCGGCGCGGGAATCCAATTCCTCCTGAATCGAATTGATCAGAGCCTCGAGAGTGCCAGCCTTGTAGTCTTCAAGGCTGTTCAGAATCGATTCGATTGGATCCGACTCGGTTGCCGCTGCCTTGCCTTTACCCTTGGTACCAGAGTCTAATTTATATAAGTAAAATGGTCGATGCTGGAACGAATGGAATCAGGTTGATTACTTACAGAACGAGCAGTGGTTGGCAGAACCAGAGTACTGGCAGTTGAAACAAGCTGCATTGAAGTCCGAATCCACCTTGATGCACATTCGAAACGGACCGGAAGCACTCGCACTGGCGCACTGGCGGCAGATGGTAGAATTCTCCGGGGCACAGCTGACGTATGCTGCAGCGGCAGTGAGCTGATTGGATCGAGTCGGATCGATCTGGTTCAAGCCGTGAACAAGCTGAATGGGACGTGCAAGGACTGAATTCTGGACCAAAAGATTCTTTCCAAGCTTGGAGTTGCTCGCAAGAATCTTTTCCAAGGCGATTCGAGTCTGATCGAATTCCTTTTTGGTCATGTTCGGATTGGTTTTGTAGGCTTCATCCAGCTTCTGACCACCCAGAGTAAACGATCCGATTCCGATCGAATTGAGCTGATCTGCATTGAAAGGGTCGCCCTCCGGGGTACCGGTGAACCAGTAGCCAGTGGATCCGATACGAGCCGAACCGGTTCGAACCGAGTTGGTTCGGCCGGCAGGAGCTGGAGGCGTGGGCGACCGGGCAGGGGGGACGGGAGCCTTCTTTGCGCGAGCCATGTTAAATCGAATCGAATTGATTTGTACGGAATCGAGTGGTATAGGCTTGGATGTTTAACAAACAACTTCTGCGTACGAGATCTGCTTGAAACAAGTTGTATCAGTACGATATGAACGGAACATTTTGGAAAGGAAAAAGTTGAGCTCGGGAGGCAGGTGGGGCGGATGTGAGGTGGGAATGAGCTGTTCGCGACAGGAATGTGCAAGGTCGCGATAGCTTCAAAAGTCGTTCAAAATTGATGATTCTTGTATCATTGTGTTCAGAATTCAATTCTGAGTCGAATGCACCTAATTGCAGCTGCGCGCAACGTGGTTTGAAGGAATTGTGGCCGAAAAGAAATGGTGTGGTACTTACGCGTTGTTGTTTGTGTTATGCAGGCAGGTGCAGGTGCAGGTGCAGGTGGGACTGCTTAAGTGCATCACCAAAACCCTCAAATGCTTGAAACGAGTAGATTCCTATCTAAACGGTACAGATCCACTATCGTGACCGGCGTCATTCTATTAATTTCACACCTCCATTTGGGTTTTGCAACAGTTGGAGCTTTCGTCCGCCGTACGCCCCGCCCGGACAACTGCTCCACGCCGCCCTGTGCTTTGTCGCGCGTCCCTTGAAGCGTCTGGAGCAACTACCCCACGTCGCGTCCCCAACTCCAGCACTTTTTTCAACAGCACCTGCCACAAGAGCTTCGTGTGCTCTTCCCACGCTCGCGAGTGTTGCGCGGTGCTTCCTCGTGGCCAACAAAACGTTCCCAGGCCACAGTATTATCTGCCATCTTTTGCAAGCAAGCGATGGCCTTGCCACTGCCGCCAGGCCTCGTGCCAGCCGAGGTCGCCTTCGTCTGCGAGATGGAGCTCGTGACCGTGGTGCCACGTCAAAGACTCGAGCCCATAGATCTCCTCAGTGTCAGTCCGAGGTCCTGGTAACACTTTGCATTTCGCCACAAGTCATAATGACTGACACGTAGACCAATCTTTCCAGGGCGAGACTCCGGCCCTCCGACCCCCGCACCGCGCACACATACCTCTCTGGCTCGCCCTTCTTCTCAAGAAGCAGCGCCGAGCCAACATCGTGCCTCCGCCATGGCTACATCCAGCGTCTTTACAAGACATTGTCAACTACGAAACGACAATCGAACCCGCGGCCTTCTCCCCACCACCTCCACCGCCAATGCGCTCCGACGGCCGCGGAGGCGCAAGGCCCTTCGGCCGCACGAGCGGCAACACTACTACCGACCACCACCACAAGCCCGGCGACCTGCTCCTCTCACCCCCGTTCCTACCGTCCTGCACCGCCGACGCGCCCTACGGCCACCTCCCCTACCACTGGCTCGAGGTCAGCGAGACCTTGCTAGCCCACGCGGCCGACGACATCCCCAGCGCGGCCGAGGTGCGCACCCTGCTGCGCGACCTGCAGGAGGTCCGCGCCGCCAAGATGCGTGGCTCCACGGCGCAGCTGCAGGCCGGCGACGGCGTGGTGCCCCTGCGCGGCGTCGGGGCCATGGAGCTCAGCGAGGCCCGCGGATTCGTGGGCGGCGTGGTCGAGGGCGTGAGGAAGCTCGGCGCCAGTGCCGAGGCGACCCGCCGCGAGGAGGAGGAGGAGCGGGCCCGGGACGGCGGTGGCGATGACAGCGAGGACGAGATGGACTTCCAATGATTTTGGATGAGGGATAGGGAGGACGTCATGAACTCGCATGCTCGGTTCCGTGGGGATGCCCCGGCCTGACACGAATCGTCTTGGAAGGTCCAGCACCGCCAAATATCCGGACGGACAACCGCTTCGCTGGGTTAGGAGCTAGAGGCTGGCGAATGGCCGTACATTCGAGAGCCGGCTCTACCTCGTGCAGAAGAAGGACGGGCTCCCGGGCACGCTCTCGATAAGCAGAGATCCAATCCCGACCCGGGCAGACCGCGACACCGCCCCTTTTCCAAAGCCAGGGCGCCCAGTACCGGCCAATTGGTGTACGAGGTCGACAACGTGCCGACAGTGTTGCCTTTTAGGAGGTTCTGGCCGTGTAGGACTCGATTCCATATTGTCGCACAGAGCGATTGGGCAAGCAAGCACGGCCCGGCCTAGCCACGCCGCGGCGCAGGACAGTCCGCGTCTTCTCCTGGCATGCTAATGGACGTGTACGTCTTGGTCAACGGATGGTAGCAAATTCTTGACGTTGATATGGCGTAGCCTGAAATGCCTTACAATCACTCGCCAATGCTCCTTCAAGCACGCGCCACCAGCTAGAGAAGAAGACCACGAGAGGATTCCCAGTGCTTGCCATGGCTCGAAGGGGCCCTTTCCCAACAAGTATCGTCGTTTTGACCGCAATCGCATGGGCTGGCCAGCTTTGTAAATTTCGTCTCAAGAATGGCCACTATTCGTCCAACAGCATGTCATGCATGGGGAGCGCGCGCTCCTTTCTGGACATTCAATAGGCTGGCCAATATATCCGTGTCCACGGGCTACCTGGACACGAGAAGCTATCCCTTCATTCCACCAAGTTGCCTGCCATCATGGAGCATACGTCCTCCCTCGGCGGTAACTGGACAAGTTTTACGTCGGGGACAAGGAATAGCGAGCTTCCCAAAATGATGCTAGCTTTTGGGGCATTTCACGGTGGAGAGGAGACATGAAGGGCGGCATCGGATTTCATGGAACTAGAGCTGAGACGAAACCAAGCGTGCCTTGGAAGGAGAGGAATGTGCAGCCAGCCGCAGCCGGGGATATCCCCTCTCTGAAAGTTGTATTTTGCGAGACCCGCTTGTTACACTTGTTTCCATAGAGATAGAGCTCGTGAGGATGTCGCATTTGAACCAAAAGAGTCAATGTAAAACGCTGGCAAAAGGGCTCTCGCTACGTCAACTTTCTCTACAAACATGACTTGATGATGTCCCTGAGTCGATAACCAGACGTGGGCTTCCCCAGCTGGTGTCTTGATATCCAGACAAAGTCTGCTCTCGTGTTGATCTTCAAATTATAGAAGACCAGGGTCGAACCCGCTTTCACTTGTCCGTTTTTATCTACTCCCCGTTCATCTGCTTGATCCCGTCCGCCGCAGTCTCGACGACCTGGAATCCCGCGGCATTGCCCGCGCCCTTGGCCGCGCGCTCGTACGCATCATCGCTCCGGTCACACAGCACCTCAATGTCCTCGTCGCTCAGCACGCGGTCGCCGCCAGAGTGCTTGTACAGTTCCCCATCCTTCAGCAGCAGCGCCTTCAGCGTCTCCTTGTCAAGCCCGCCTTCGCCGTCGCCATTGTCATCGTTGTTGCCGTTGAGTTTCTGGCCCATGGTACGGAAGCCGCCCTTCTTGATGACGAGCTTCTCGAGGCGGCGCTTCGCGTCGGCGCTGAGGAGGAGCGCTTCCTCCACGGTGCCCTTTGTGGCGAGGCGGTAGATGATGACGGGCCGGGTCTGGCCGATGCGGTGGCACCGGTCCTGGGCTTGTAGGTCTTGCTGTGGGTTCCAGTCGCTGCGTAGAGAGTAATTTTTCACGAGGAGTTAGCTTTCGCTCTCTCACTTCTTTTCTGGACACCCCGCACGGCGTGGGAATGCGGGAGGGAAATGGTGAGGAAAATGATGAAGGTGATTCGCTTACCTGTCGAACAAAATGACCGTGTCGGCACTGGCAAGGTTGATGCCCTGCCCACCTGCTCTCGTCGACAGCAGGAATATCTTGAACTCCGGGTCCTCGTTGAAGTCCTTGATCTGCTGCCGCCGGTCGTCCTGGGCCACGCTGCCGTCGATGCGGCACACGTTCCAGCGCCGCAGCTCGGAACAGTAGTCGTGCAGGATGTCGAGCTGTGTCTTGAACTGCGAGAAGATCAGGACCTTGTGGCCGCGCGCGAACAGCTCGGGCAAGAGCCGGTCCAGAAGGAGCATCTTGCCGGCCGAGTTGACAATGCTCTCGTCCACGGGGATCGTCGTGTCATATGTCCACGGGTTGTAGAAGTTGTGCGGGCTGTTGCACACGAGACGCAGCTGCATCAGAGGGTTGCCCAGCTTCTTGTCTGCGATTTGTTGTTCTGCGAACCCCCCAAAGTTAGTTCAAAGCGTCTTATCACGACTGATCATTGCCGTCGACTTACTCGCAAGGTCGAGAGTTGCCGCTCTCTCCAGCTCCTCATCGTCTCTATCGTCCATGGAATCAGTATCGTCATCATTTGCTTCTAACTGCTTGGCAAGCTTTGCTTCAAATTCGTCATCGTCCAATTGATCGTCGTCCGAATCATCCTTCGTTGCATAAGAGACCCTTGTCTTGCGTGACCGTCCACGAGCTCGTGAGCTGGTAGCTGGTGTAGACTGCCGGCTCGATTTTGTGCTTTTCGGGGCGGAGGCCTCGCTGCCGGGCGAGGTTTTGCGCTTTGACGAGCTTCGGGCCGGCGTGGCCGGCATTTTCCCGTGCTCGATTTTGGGCACGGGGCCTCTGCTCTTGCTCATCATCCTCGCGAAGGCATTTTCGGGGGTAGAAGCTGCCTTCTCTTTGGCCGCGATACTGGGCGCTCGTGATGACTGCCGGCTGGACTTTCGTGACCCTTGCGGCGTGTTGGCAGTCTCTGTGAGTCGCTCGACTACCTTGTTCTCTAGATAGCTTCTGGTGTCCGTGTTCTTGTCGTTGATGACGTTGTACAGGTCGGTCTGCTCCTTCGTCATGGGCGCAAAGAGCACATACTCCCGCTTCTTCGGGAGCCAGTGTGCAACGTCGGCTTTTATCCTTCTCAACAGCAAAGGTTGCAAGACCTTGTGGATTTTCGAGACTAGATCTTGGCTCTCCTTGTCCTCGATGAACTGCTCCGTGCCTTGTTCATCCTGCAAATCGCTAAAGTCGAACCACACCTCGAATGCTTCCCAGTCCATGAAAGTGTCGGGCATGAGGAAGTGGAGTAGCGACCAGAGCTCTTTGAGGTTGTTCTGGAGCGGAGTGCCGGTGATCAACAGGCGGGTTGCCGATTTGAACTGCTGGAGCGTCCTGAAGAGCTTTGCATCTGCGTTCTTCATCCTGTGGCCCTCATCCTGCGGAATCATTAGTGTTCAAGCTCCACCGACTTCCAAGGGAAATCGTCGACTCACCACAACTATAAAGGCCCAGTCGATTTTCATCAAATTGGCATGGTCGCGCAAGACCATCTCATAACTTGTGCAGACGACTGGGAATCTCTCACTTGGGCGTCCCTTTTGATAGTTCCGCATGATTTTGTTCTTGAAGAGAGCTTGCCGCTCATCGGGGGTGCCATGATATAAGACAAATGGGATCTCTGGGGTCCACTTGTGGAACTCGTCTTGCCAATTTGAGAGTGTGCTCAACGGGGCAATGACAAGATGGGGACCGTAATATTGCTCCTGCTCCCGGAGTAGCGCAATGAGGGAGATAACTTGGATTGTCTTGCCTATTGATGTGTTAAGCACCGCCCAGGAGTCTATGTGATCTGATCCCAGTTCTTACCTAAGCCCATCTCATCTGCGAGGATTCCGCTCATCCCTTGCAAACAGATCTCGTACATCCATGTAAGCCCTTCAAGCTGGTAGTCTCGCATGGTCCCGTTCTTCATGATCTTGGGCTGCTGTTTCAACTCTAGACCCGCGTCTGCAAGAGCCTTGTTGTCAAAGTCCCTGCCGACACGTCCCAATGCCTTGGTCTTTTGGGTCAGGATGTCACTAAAGATCTTGCTTTTGCGGAGCAATTCATCGAGCTCTTTGGCCTTTTGTGCCTTTTCGTGCGGTGTGAGGTTATGCTTCCGCTTGCGCTTTCGGGCTTGTGCAAGACGGTTGGCCTCGACTCGGGTGTTTTCTGCCTTTGCTTTCTTCTCCTCCGTGAGCATCTGCTGCTCGGTGACGGTAGACCCCACTGCCATTATGGACGGTTTTGGGGTATCTGCTTCTGGTGGTGACGACGGTGCAGTGGAAGCAGTATTTGATATTGGACGAGAGGAAGCCCTTGAAGACGAGGTTCGTGCCATGGCTCGAGAGTTGCCGCATTCACCGTCCACTCACATCCGCCCGGTGAAAGAAGCAAATTGACCAAGTCGAAGCCTCATTCAGTTGAGCTAGCCGCAAAGTCAATGATCTCATACCCACCATACGCGACGCGACTCAGCCTGTGCTATCGACGCGAGATAACGTGACTTTGGTGGCTGGACTTAAAAGGGTGCCACTCGGCGAGAATTGCTGCCTGATTGGCTGGCTAGTACTTGGTATCCACTCTCGCAGCCACGGCGATGGGCGTGCTGAGTCATCCCTCAACCAGCACATCTCCAGCTCCTTCCATCGGCACTATATAATCAGCCAAACCTCAATCATCATCGCCACTTTCCACCCGCCCACCCTACCACGCAACGAGCCCCGCGCACGCCCAGCTTCCACCTCATCGAAGACAAGAAAAAGCCTTCAAGATGGCGACTGGCGCGCAGAATTTCTACGAGCTCTACCGTCGTAGCAGGTACATAGATACTCCTCCATAATACACGTCGTCATCTACACTCGCACACATACAGCTGTCTGCCCTCCAGACTCGTGATCCCAAAGCGCACAATCACAACTCAGAAAGGAACAAGGTGGCTAACCACAGCTCGCGCGATCCCTTTTCCCTTTCATATAGTGTAGGCACCGCTCTGACAGACACCCTCGATGACCTGATTACCGAGAACCGCATCGACCCGCAGCTTGCGATGAAGATCCTGGCCAACTTTGACCGCGCCATCACCGAGGTCCTGCAGGAGAAGGTTCGCTCGCGCCTCACCTTTAAGGGCAGCCTCGACACGTACCGCTTCTGCGACGAGGTCTGGACCTTCCAGCTCAAGAACGTCACGTTCAAGATGGAGAACGGCAGCCAGGTCGTGTCGGCGGACAAGGTCAAGATTGTGTCTTGCACGGCCAAGCCTCAGGGCGCGAACGCATAGACAGAATACAAGCCCGACGGGCAGACCCGACGTGCTGTTCGTGTTGGCGCGATGCCACGATTGGGCTCGACAAGGTGCCCCACGAACCGATACCATCCGCGAGCGCGAAATACGGGACACTAGTGTCGGGTGCGCTTTCGATGAGCAACCTACCATTGCGATCAGTAACCTGCCAAGACCACTGGCAACTGTATATGTGGCTGGCCACTGCTACCAATTGCTCACGTGCTACCAGAGCACCAGCTGTTATTTGCTGCTTCATGTTGTAAATGAGCAACACAGATTGGAAGACTTCGATAACCAAACACAATTCGGCGTTCTTGGGGAATGATACAAAGAGTCTCTCCGCGTAGGGAGACGAAAAGGCGTAATTGGCGTTCACATTCAGGAGATCTCCTTTTAAATAGCATCAGTTGTCTGCCACCAGAACAACGGACGGCCTAGACAGTGGCTCGATGAATGATTCAATAACATTTCATTGCTGAATTCCCACTACACCTCCATCCATTCGTTCATTCAAGTATCCTCATGCAATGACAAGTGCCTGCTTTGTGAATATTGCAACCGACTGGCATGCTTCTTGGATCCATGGGTATCATGTCTATGTATATCAGCAATACAGCGTCAAAGATCGCCGATAAGCGCCACATCCTCGTCTACATCGTCCGACTGCCGCCCGGTCTCCAGATCGTCGCGGTAAACATCCGTGTCATCGTCGCGATACTCCCCAAGTGCATCGGCAGCAGCAAGACCAGCACCAGCACCAAGCACGCCTCCTCCTTCGGCTCCAGCGCCATCTACCTCCTCTGCTTCGTCGGCACTGCCAGAAGAGTCCTTGCGCCCGATGATGACGTTGCCAGCCACGAGCATCGCGGCGCCCAGCCACCACAAGGGGGGCAGGGACTCTGAGAAGATGATGAAGCCCAGGAGCGCTGTGATCATGAAGTTTGTGGAGGTATTCATGATGGAGACTTGCGTTGTTGAGTTTCCCTTGGCTAGAGCCTGGGTGAAGAGCGTCCACATCTATACAGAGAGTCAGCTTTGTGCCTCGTGTAGTATCTAGCTGGGGGGGTATCTGAGAATGTAGAATCTAGGCAGTGCCAAAAATGCAAGGACAAATCTAATGGGGTGGACTGGAACTTACCACGCCGTTGAAGACTAGATTCAGACTGAAGAATATCTGTAAGACGCTTATGTAAGACTGCCGATTCCTTGTGGTAGTCCCCCGTAGTGTATGATACTTACCACGCGCACGACGAGCTCTATGTAGACATGGCCCTCGGGCATCCCAAAGAGGCGGGATATACCCTTGGCAATGGTGGTTGTCAAGTCATTGGTGGTCCTACATCAAGCCACAGTGTCAGTGCCGGGAAGGACTTTCTCGATTGGCCATTGCCGGAGTGCATAGAAGTCGACAATCATGATCGGGCAGCGCAGCATCCCACCATGCTCATCTAGGTCCTGGAATTGAAATATAATGGAAGGAGGGTTCAACAAGAAACTCACAACTTGGCAAACACGCCATTGAACGCAGCACAGGCACCGCTGGCCACGGCAAACACGACCCACTGGTTGCGCTTGGTGAACGACATGGCCGCCTCGCCGCTGCCAGTGTCACCGCTCGGGACTGCCTGCTTTAGATCCTGCGAGTCTCGCAAAGACGACTTGGGAGTGCTGCTGGTGCGAACGTCGCCGTGCTGCTTGTTTTTGGCCGTAACAGGGCGCTGCCGCAGACCGCCTGGGTTGCTGCTGGCACCTGTTGTGCTAGGTGTATCTTCTGCTGCCAGGTCTCTTGGCGGCATGGGGGCAGGAGACGGCAGGGCTTTATCAGGACCAGAAGAGGAAGTGGAGGATGGGGAAGGCGACATTGTGTGTGCGTGTGTGTGTGTGTGCGTATGAGGCCCCGATGCTCTTTAGACACAAGCACAAGGCTGACGCATCAATGTGCTCTGACAGGCTGCCCAGCGGCGAGAAAACAGGGCCTGGCTGACGAGCGAGGCGGAGGCGGGCGGGCCGCTTGCGTGGAAGGATGCAGGTGCGGGTTTCAGCACCACAGCCTAGCTTGAGGAGGGGAGACTGCTGGGCCCAGCCGCCCTGGAACTGGCTGCTGACAGACGGGCTGTGCAGAGAAACACAGCCTGTGACAACGCCCTAGGACTTCTCTGAGCGTGGGTGAACAGGGTTTCTGGGCAAGGCTGGGCAGGCTTGGGCCGCGCGCTCGATGAGCAGGTTTGTTGCAGGTCGGCCTCCGCCCCTCCCAACGTTGAACAACCTTACAGACTTAGCGCCAAGCTCTAGACTACAGGCGCGGTAGGGTCTGGAGCGGTGGTGGTGGGATCTGCAGGGAGATCTCGTTGCTGTGATGGGGGGCTGACGAACAATGCACAGGTCCCTGCGTTAGCCCAGAGTTTCCGGCCCTCCTGCATGTGCTGCGTCTCTGGACTTGGAGGGTCGAGGGTTTTACGTTTAGGTTTGCCGCCCAACGCTTGCCCGAGACATCACCCCATCAGAGATGTTGGGGCCGCGAAGGGAATCATCTCAATCCTCTCCGTACAGCGATGATTCGGACATCTCTGATGCCATCGTGACCTTGCTAAATGCCCTGCTACCATAGTAGCTGTCAGCGTCCCTGGGTGGCGAGGTGGGAAGAAGGCCCAGCAGCGCACTAACTCAAGATCCGCTACACCCATTGGCCACAGGCGGCGGACCCTCCCTGGAGTCATGCTGGCGGCGGGCCTGGTCCACGGCATAGCGCCTTGATTGCCAGCGGCTGCCCGCTGAGGACAAGATGATATCGAGTCATGATGGCTAAACTTGGGCTCTTCATCGTTTTCATTCCAAAGCTCGCATTCCAGGTGGTTATCAATGCTCTCAGCCAGTCTGTTGGAGCAATTACGCACTGAGTTCATCCAAGGGTTCAGACAGCTAGCAGTAGTACCAGAAACATTCGAGCTTGCTTCTATCTCATCCGAATCGGGCCTGTTACACTGTGCCTCACATGTCATCGCCGGCTCTCCAGTTCAACCCCGTCATCGCCCACGTCCTCATCCCCATCGAGAATCTGTCCACCATTCATTGGTGTGAACTCGTCGATGCTCGAGCTGTTCAGCCGGATCCGCCCGCCTGTTGCGCCAGAGATCTTATCCGAGAACCACCCCGCAGCAGCATTGAGTAGCTGCCACGCCTGCTCGTGCCCTTCGTGCCCATCCTTGGGGTGCTCGCCAGCTTCCACCTTGAACTGGTACTTCAGGCAATCCTTGACAGTGACAAGACCCATGAGCTTGCCGTGGTGCTCAATCAGGACCACGCGAGGCCCGAGTTTCTGGAACACCTCCATCACCGTCTCCAGCGCGAGGCGCGGATGCACGGTAATGGGCGTCGCGTCGACGTATCGCCCAAGGTCGATCGTCGCGGCCGAGGTGCCCATGTCCGTCACTGTCGGTGTGAGCGGGACGGTCATGTTCACCGTCACGGCCGGCGGGGTGAAGAAGCATCTCGCGTCAGGACTGATGATGTTTGATCGCTCACGTCTCAGACGGTCGATGGCATATCGCAACTCCGTCCGTCCAATGTACCCAACGAGGACACGTCTGACCTCGTCCTCAACGATGGGGAAGCCCTGGTATTCGGGCCGTTGCAAGAGCGCCTCCAGCGCTCGCAAGGACATGCCATGGACAGGAATCACGACCGGATCAGGGGTCATGACGGTCGAGACTGGCACACCAAAATTGTGCTCCTCCTTGTTGTCCAAGAAAGGAAAACCGTTGAACCAGATCATGCGGTCCGCGATGCCGCCTCTGCCGAACAGCTCAGAGACAGCCTTTGTAACACCAACCACGATCATGGTAGGCAGAATGTACGTGAGCGCGCCCGTTAGCTCGAACATGATGACAACGACCGAAATAGTGATGTGCATGATACCACTGAGTGCCGCGGCGGCTCCAAGGAAAGCATAGGTGCCGGGCGTGATGCATGGCCCGTCGGGTGGACAGGCGGCAAAGAATGAGCTTTGTGGGTTGGCGTCGTAGATGGCTTGCACAATGATGCCAACTGTTCGTCCGAACGAGGCGCCGATGGCCATAGAAGGCACGAAAATGCCCGCTGGCACCTTGCAGCCATACGATATGATGACGAGAAACATCCTGATGACTGTTGCCATGACCAAAGACAGGACATTCCACCAGCGCTTGTTTGCGTCGCAAAGTCCATGATAGTCCTCTGCCCCCTCGCATTCCAAGAACAAAATCTCCATACTCTCGGTCATATCAATGCGCAAGAAGGCGTTGTGGTAACAGATGACGGCTGTGCCAAAGGCGAGGAGTGTAGCTTCCAAGATGGCGTACTGTCCCAAGTACTTCTTCCTGAAGGACTGGACACGCAAGTTCCACTTGATCATGAAAGCGCCGTAGAGTCCGCCAAAGATGCCAATGACGATGTAGAAGACAACTTCGAAAAAGTGCCATGTCCTATCGTACTTGACCGAGAACATGACAAGCTGCCCTGTCCGGAAGGGATTCATGGCCGCCAGGACGGCCGTACCAACCAGGGCGCAGAAGTAGCTGCGCCACATAGTCTTCAGTGGAAAGTAATTGCACATCTCCTCAAGGGAGAAGAGCACACCTCCAATTGGACTGCCGAATGCGACGGCAACACCAGTTGCTGCTGCTGCGCTGAGGATCTCTCTCGACTTTGACGCGTTTCTCCGGTATTTTTCGAAGAATCGTGAAATGACATGCCCTGTACATACAGCATAGTGTACACTGGGGCCTTCTTTTCCAACGGACAGCCCGGAAGCTATCGTCAACGGCAGCGCGACTGATTTGATGAGCAGGGTCCAGAATCCGAGGAAGCCTTTCATGACAAATCCAGCAATGATGCATTTGATCTCGGATATTCCAGAGCCGGCAGCATATGGTGCTATCGATCTGACCAGAGTAGCGGCCGTAAAGGCAAAGAGAGTCTGGAAGCGGCGATCATCAGCCGTCGTTTCGACAACCATTAGGAGTACACATACCGCGAAAATGATGTAGATGAAGTAGTTGAACGGCCCGAAACCTGTCCAGTGCTTCCAGTCGTCGCACCCATTGTCTTCTCCCCAGCAGCAGAACTTCTCGTTGAGATAGAAGCCAGTCGAGCAGTACCCGGTCTTGATGTCCGAGAGCCATTCCGTGATCACGCTGAGAATCGCGGCATTAAGGCCGATCGCGGCACCGACCAAGGTGACGACAACCCAGCCCTGGGCGGCATCATATGCTTCCCATAGCTTCAGCCTCCAAGTGACCTGGCCGGAGTAGGCCAGACCAGCCAGCCTCTGTCGCCGCGCCTTGCGACGTTGTTGTTCCTGCGCGGCATCCTGCACCCAGTCTGTGAGGTTGTCTTAGTAAGAGCGATCGTGTGCGCCGGGTTACTCGGGGACGTTATTCACCTATTGTCGTAAAGTCCTGCAAGGCGATGTTTCAAGTCAGCGCAGAACCTCAAATATGTCCGAATGGTACCGGAGCGCCAACAACCAGCCGCCTTGATAATGTCCTAGCTACTGCTGACGAGTCATCCTTACCTCATATCTCTTGATCTCGGCAATCTCCTCCTCGATGCGCTGCTCCTCGGGAAGGGGAGCGCCCTCGCCCCGCTCTGCAGTCGAGACGGCAAAGGAGAGACGGGAGCTGACAGAGGGCCGCTGGAAAGGCTGCGGTCGTGAGGCCGGCGAGTAGGAGCTCGTTCTCGAATTCATCGCCTCGTCATGTCCGGTGGTGGGCGGCACACCCGAGCCTGTGCGATGCGAAAAGGGTGCGACGATAGATCTCCCCCAAAGTCCGTGAAGCTCAACGTGCCGAGACGTGTCTTGTGGGCGGGAGCTGCCTTTCGAGGGCTGATTGTCGCAGGGTCGAGGCAGTTCGAGATGTGACAGAAGATCGAGCTTCAAGTAAGTACGTAAGACCAACCACTCTATCCACGATTAGGTTGGGGAAGAGCTGCCGATTGAGGACGATCCTGGTCGACGGGGTCCTGAGGCAGTTCGCCAAGATCTCCACAGCAGGGACGGCATCCAATGCGACTCGAGAGGTAGCCCTGCACGCCTGGTGCCACCAAGCTTTCGGCGCTATGTGCCCTGCTTTGGGTGCCACCCTCCAGCCGTTTTAGGCGGTACAGTGGATGCAGGCCACTGTACGGGACTGCCGCGCGTGAGCCACGGTTTCACGCGTCTCCCCAGTGCCTCCTTGAAGCCATCGACGTCCTTTGCGAGCACATCTTCAAGGCCCCGACACTCTTTCGCACATCACACCACGATACCCTGGCCTGAATTCAAAAGTTCGTCCTAGCAGCCTGCGCCTCGGAAGGGGATCACAACTTTCGTCGCACACACGCCATACCCCCTCCGCCACGGCTTTCATCCTCGGCATCAGCAGATCCCAACTTCGCTGGATTCAACTCCGTCTGCCGCACAAGGACTGCCCAAAGCATCACTCACAAGAGTAAACTACCAAGCGACTCTTTTTATTCACGAGTTCCACAGCTTAAAGCTCAGCACTGTGTCACCATGCCGTACAACACTACCGCTATCCCACCTCGTCAGGAGGTCACCGGCCAAGCACAATTGCCCTGTAAGTGTGGTCGTTTAGTTACGCAACCATGGCAGTGACGATTCTGACCTATTGCTACCTTTCAAAAGTGTCAAGGGTGAAGAAGATCATCGCCCAAGACCAAGACATCAACATGTGCTCGAACAATGCCGCTTTCGTCATCACGCTTGCCACTGTAAGTAATACGTGCAACAAAGCTAAAGCCGGCTTTCTCTGGCTGAGCGAATCCTGAGAGCCCATTGTGGGCTTATTTGGATCATTCTGGTTTACGAGAGTATACGACTGATCTTGGACTTGTAGGAGATGTTTGTACAATACCTGGCCGAAGAAGGCCTGAATATGGCCAAGCTGGATCGCAAACCGCGGAAGAACATCCAGTACAAGGACATTGGTAAGTACCCAGCGCGAAGGGCCGCCGTGGCATTCTTTTAATCCGCGGGGCAATTTCGACACTAACTTGAACCTACCAGCCAATGCCGTCTCACACAAGGACAACCTGGAGTTCCTCTCAGACATGGTGCCCAAGACGGTCCCGTACAAGCAGATCAAGTCCCAGGCTGCTGCCACACGGGCCAAGCTGAATGGCGAAGGAAGCGCCAGTGCCAGCGCCGTGGCCAGCCCATCTGGGGCAGGGGCAGAGGATGAGCCTCAGGCCACATCGGCGCCAACTAGCGGTAACGGCAGCAGCCACAAGAAACACAAGGCGGGCAAGAGGTCAAGCAATATCGGCCCCAATGTCGCGGAGCTGCTCTCAGGAGGTGTTCCTGGTGCGAGGCCGCCGCCAAGCCATGACGAGCAGGACGGGCCAGACGATCAGCTGCGGAGTGAGGCGATGCGTGGGCGGGATGATGATGTGTCTATGAGTGGTTGAGCGGAGAGGTTGGACATGCTAGTCTTTGCTTTCGTGGTCGTATCGGGAATGCATTGTGCTGCGAGTTTGAAGGGAAGTTGGGTAAGAGAACCTGCTGGGCTGTTCGTAGAAATGGTCATGAATTGTTGAAGCCGATTACGGTCAGTGGATAAACAGGTTTGCTCATCACTTGAACGAATTTGATGTTACATGGGTACGAGTCACCGACGCAATCAGGACATGGAGCATGGCATTCCACTTTGTTATGGCGATTTTAGATCTCAAGACTCTCAAATCATTCAGTTGATATGGATCCTGAAGAGAGCGGCCACAACTCGAGCCGAGTTCGGATGCCTACTCCTCCATTTCATCCCCGGCAATCTGCACGCCGGCGGGTATTCTGCCCTCCCTAATCATCGTCTCGAGCCTCGTGATCTCATCCAGGCTTGTGGCGTTCTTGATCATATCCTGTAGCCTCTTCTTCTCCTTGTCGGTGAGCTTGATGCGCGACATGCGGGTTGGCAGACTGGTTGTCGACCCAGATGAGCCGCCGTTGGCCATGGCAGAGGAACTGCTGTCAAACGCTTTTGACCGGACACCCATGATCTTGGAAGCGAGCTCGGTCGGCGTGTCTGCCGATTCGCCGAATAGCTCGCGCGCCTGCTGCCGCTCGGCGTCCTTGACCTTCTGGTAGTCAAGGAATCGCACAGAGGGACACCGCCAGAGGACCCAGTACCGGTAATGCTGCGCAACGACGCCATGGTCAGCATGATTCATCTTGTGCCAGCCATATCTTGTACAGAAACTGCGGACTCCGCTCAGCCACGTACCTCTTTCTTCGTCACCGGGTTGTCCTTCAACACCAGGTGTGTCAGAAATGGCAATGACCCTAACGGGTCAAGGTCTGCCAGTTCTCTGAGGTTGTTTGACTCGAGCTGGAGGTTTGTAAGGTTCGGGATCGAGTTGGCTATCGTGGGCTGTATAGTGGTGACGCGATTCCGTGCGAGGAGCAGGCTCTTTATCCGCGGCGACAGTGGGAGGTTGCCGAGCACCTGGATGTCATTGTCGACAAAATCTATGGCGTCTTGGGGCTGTGGCGCGTGGCATTGTCAATTCTCAGCCTCCAGAAAGCGTCTCTCGCGACAAAGAGGGGGAAAAGGACTTACGCCTGCGACACCCAAGTTTTCAATGGTGGTAATGCGATGTCCTGTGAAATTCGGGCGCCGGCACCGGAGAGGGCTTGCTATCAACTCTGCACTTCTGGAGGAATCCTAGATCAGGAGCGTGTAGCATCTGTTCTTTTCCAACGTACCTCGGAGGTCTAGCTCGCGCTCCTTGAGCGCATTGAGCCACGACGGCGAGTTCTGGAGGAGCTCGACCGTGAGTCTCATTGTTCCGTACCTGTCTGTCTCGTGCCGGGTTTTGGTGGCGTGAAGTGTGTCTGCCGGGTGCTGGACGCCGCGTCACGCACGTCGCGGTAACTTTGAACAGACTCGTCTGGAAGCTTTCTGCGTGTATGTAAGATTGTGCTGGACGACTGCGGTATCTGTGGCCCGGGTTCTGGCTATCGCGACTGCGCTTCTGCTCTTCTGTGCTCCAGGACCATAGCTGGGCAGTCGACGAGGCTGAACGTCGAACCAAATTCGCAGTCGGCGCTGGCGGTGGGGCGCCGCCTGGCTTGGGTGGCTTTTGTGGGGCACGGCTTCTGGCAAGGCTGGCTGCGTGCCGTCTTCACCACCAGCTGAGAGACAATCTTTGGATGTTCACGACAACGACATTGGGAGGCATCGTCGAATCATCATTAAAACGACCATGTTTCACTGCGAGGAAAACACGCCTTGCTGGAGTGTTTGAAGCTTGGCGCTGATGCGGCAGCTCGGATTGGTTTTCAACAGTGCCAGCCTGACTGCGGCGAGACGCCCCAGCAGCCTATCGCCGTCATCCATCTCATGCGATGCAAGCAATGATGCATAAGCAGCATTCCTGCCATCTACACCATCTTTCTCGACCTCTTCTAGGAGGCATCGCCTGGTCGGTATCCTTAGCAGCCCTGTGAGTTGTAGCACGGGCCACAAATCACCAAGCTTTCAACGCTCTTCAGTGTCGTTACAGCCTCGCGGGGTTCGGCACGGCAACCATGCCCACCTATCTGTGCCACGGCTTCCGCTGGCACCGCATGAGCATCCTGCGGCACATTGCCCGCAACGACCTCGAGGATGCCGCCCTTCATTGGATCATTGCCCCCCGCAGCAAGGTCCAGATCGTCGAGAGCCTTCACGACATGCTGGGATTGTCCGCCGGTCTAGATCATGGAGAGGCTGACACGCTGGCCGCCGAGGCAGATCGTCAGCCTCTCACGGCCAGCGCCGAGGCAGCGACCCTGCCAGCGAGTCTGCAACAAGAAGGCGACAGGGTCGAGGAGAGGGTCGACGACACCATCTCGCCAGCTCTAGCGCCAGGATCGTCGCCACCGCTACCCGATATCATCTTGCTCGAGGAGTACGACCCAAGCGACCTCAAGACTTTTGCCGCTCCATGGGCTTACGTGGCGGACTATGCTGTCCGAGTGGACCGCTCCGTGTCTGTGCCAGCGGAGATGAAGCGTTATGAGGAGGCACAGAGCACAAGGGCCATGGGTGAGTCCAGATCTTCGCCTCAAGGGTGGCGCGGGCTTGGCTGCTGCAACAGAAAAGCTGACCCTGCCTGCCTTCATGGCAGAAGGCCTCCAACTAGGATCCACAAGGGCGGAGAAGGAGTCCAGGTCATGGCTGACTTCGCTGCGTGACGAGGTTCAGGCTGAGGAGTGCATAGATTGGTATATTGTGGTGTGTGGCGACGAAGCCCGGGATGTATCTTCGGAAGGAGAAGAAGACGACAGCGAAGAGGGCTCGGTGGTCTAGAGATTAGACACGCCAGACGATGACCAAGGCACTGCAACGTGCTGAGCACAATCTATGTCGAAGGCAAAATTGCCTCGTCATCCGGTTTTCAGAACCGCCGACAGCTCGCCCTGTCTGGATCTGGTGGACAGTCTTGTGGCAATTCGGAGACATGGAGAGCAGATCGACTAAGGGCACTCTGCACGGCACGGGTCTTCGATTACCGGCGCTGGAACTTCTCGGGGTCATCGTTTGCCTTACAACAAGTGAAGTGAGCCGCAACAGCCCGGGCAAGAAATTGGTCGATTCCAATCATCGGTCAACGTCATGCTCAGCAGACTTCTCGGGCATTAAAAATATCACGGTGAGGTCAGGCAGTCACCATTCAGGTATATTGATGTAAGATTGGCTCACGAGCCTCCCGCCACATCTGAGCGTCGTCCAATCCACACATCTACAGTAATTTCTCTTCGGCACAACATCGGCAGTTCGGACTTGGTATCTCGTCATGTCCCGATCATGGCAAGATTGCCTCCAAACGGGACAGATGCCTATGTACAGCCAGCCACAACAGGCGGCGGAACTGTATAACCCCACTGCCATATACGGCTCAATCACCAGTCTCGCAACCATTTAATTCCTGTTGTCTTGAGCCCGCACCCGGGAATTGCCTGGTCAGCTAGGTTATTGCAAACTTTCGCCGCAGTCGTCATAGTTTTCACAAGATCGACCGTGCAAGCGCAGGAATTTCCAATTAAAGCGCAACACGGGAAATCCGGAGCCGGGCGTTGCCAAACCAGACAGAAACACTCCACCTGGTCCGCCCCTTGGTGTTTTGCGGGGTAGCCTCGTGACTCGTAACAGAGCATCTTCAATACCCCAACTTACTGGCAGATTGGCACACACGACCATGGTCATCGGACGAGATCTTCCCCAGGGTGGTCGTCTCGGTCCAGGCCCTCCACCATGGAGGCCTGTTCCAATAGCAAGCCACTCGTATTAGACCGTTCGTGTCCCATGCGCCAACTGGCACGCTCGCACCCCACGGACGACACGCTTTGCAGCACAGTTTGAGTGATGGATGCTACCTTTGTTATTACTCCACTGGCATGTATCTCGTCACGGCTGTGATCACTTCCGCAGACCGTTGTGATGAACACCACCTCACCTTTCCCCGGGAGGCAATGCCACCAGAAACGTTGGATGCCTCGGCTCAGCTAGAGCTTGTCAGCCTTTTGACAACACACGCCCTACTTTACCCACCTTGTGCAGCTCAGGACCGGTCGGCCCGAATATCAGGCAGCTACATGGGTTTGCTTATGGCCCTGGGTGATATGGGCTGAACTGAGGACATTACGCATTCAGTAGAGCTCGAGGGTTGGATGTATGGAACTCAAAGGCACGGTTGGCTATGATCGACTTGATTTCCGCAGAACGTTGTGCAAAGCCCTCTGTTCGTCGTTGACGGCCTTTCCGGTTGCAGTCGCAGCTTGCATTAAGGGCATAGAAAATAAGCACAAGCTGAAACCTTTGACATGGCGGGTTGCTACATCGCGGGTTCAGATGATCTCAATAACCCTGCTTGCAATATATGCTAGCCATGACATCCGTCTGAAGTTTTCTTTTAATCCTCCTGGCAGATCGATACATTACAAAGGTCGCACACAAGATCTTCTCGAAACTTCCCCACCCCCCCCCCCCCCCCATTCCTCTTAGCATAGCGATGTATGCTTGCAGTTCGTAGGGTTTCTCGCCACGTTCCCACAGCGGGCCACCGTTCTTGCCATGCCGATATCGTCTCATTTCAGGGTTCTCACCAGAAGAGTAGCGGTGACGTACGTGTTCGTAGCAAGATCAAGTCCCCTACGGCACCGGTCCAACACGGAGGCTCTCTTCCCGCCTGACGGGGGGTGCCGACGGATTCCTCACGCCCGCACTCATCAGCAAAGGCGTGCCTATATCCAACACAATTGCATTCGGGGTACTGGGGAGCTCCACGATCTTGGGGACTGGTATTGGAAGAGACCAGACCCCTCCTCCCACCCCTTCTTCCCCTGCTGCTTTTTCCCGGACATGAACATACGATAAGCGAGCAGGGAAATGTGACTGCATCGGGCGATTGGCGACTTAAACGGCCGCCTCAGAAGTGGTTCGCGGAAACCATCTCGAGGAGGATTGCGGAACCCAGCATGTCATTGCGCCTCCTCGCCCCCCCCCCAAAAAAAAAAAGTCCTTGTTCAGCTGAGCAAGGCGCGTTTTAGGTATTTATTCGCTACATACATACCGAGGTACATACAGGACGTCGTGCATGCCACGCTGCTTCCGAGCGGCCACGCATGAGGTAAGGGGTGATCCCTTTTCTGGGGGATCCTGTCGTGCCTGGGCTCAGGTACAAGGCACGATCATGGAAATGCTCCTTCCGCTTGCTGGCTTACTTTCTTGCTTGGCTTGCCCTGGCAGCCCTTGGAATCACCCCCCACACGCCGGCATCGTATTCTCGGAGCCGAACAGGTGTCAGAGCCGACGGAGGAGATGCTTCCGCTGCGTGAAAAGCTGACTTCGCAGGGATGTGCTGCCGGAGTCATGCGCCTGCAAGGAACTGGGCAACTCACAGCCCTTGGATTCTGCATTTCTTAGCTGCGGCCCACGACGACTTCGTTACCGTTAGGAGGTCGTGGTTCCTTTGGTGGCCTCCTTGTGCCAAAAGTTCCACGGCTTGGCCGGATGGCAACAAAGTGCATCATCACAAAGATTCAATGCCTGTTTGTCCATGACGTGGCTCTCTTTAAAGGGGGCACCTCGACAGGTCCCCCGAGTCCAAATGAGCTCCTGGAGAAATGTATGCCCTGACTTCTCTCTTCAGCCCACTGCCCGCAATTTTGTAAGGCCGAAAACTCAGGGACCCTCCTTCTGGGGGGGGGGGGGGGTTGCATGCTCGGAGCACTTCTGACTCGCCGTCGACGAGGGAAGCCGTTGCAGCTCATGGCTGCTGACCCGTCCCGAGGAAACAAAGTTGCCCGATGAAGTGTAGTGCTGAACAGCCACGTTTTTTCTCGTGGTCCCCCCCTCCCTTTAGCGAGATGTCATTGCATGCAGGGCGGAGCACACACTTACAGACACAGACGTGCTTTGATGCAAGGAACAATACATCAGCAAGAAAGCTGTTCGGTAGTTTCCGAGGGCGCGGCAACCAACCAACATGGTATGATATCATTCGGGAGCTCTCCTTCGTGTGCGTGACGAAAATAGCTCGGCAGGCTGTCCAAGTCCTTCGGCCCGTGTTCACCGTTCTCAATCTCTATGTGAATTATGACTGCGGCTTGGCAGTGGCGAGAAGCAGGTACGGTGCTGCTTAAACGGTATGAGCTAATATATTCCTTGCTAGACATGGCAGCTTGATTGTCGCCAGCCAGATCAGCACCCCCAATATCGCCCGGCGCACCTTGAATCTGGCTGGCTCTGTCAGGGAATCATTCATTGCCATGACGCAGCTGGCGCAAGAACAGACCCGCAGTTCAGCTTCACGCTCGGCGTAGCTTTCTACGAGAAGTTCTATTGTATACGCTCTCAATACTATGCCAATTCGATGCCATTCAACGAGAAGGTGGGTGGGTTTCGAGCGCAGTTGTTTGTGGTAAGTGTGTGGATTAGTGCCCAAATGTCAACACTGGCAGCGAGAATAGGCCCATCATAGCGGCATGGTCAAACCTTGGCGCTTTCGTGTTCGAAGAGTTTGTTTTGATGACCCTAAGCTGATCTGCTCTGGCTCACCTCATTCTTCCATGCCAGGCAGAAATGCCGGCGACTAGCATGAACGGCTCGTCCCGCTCTGCCAGGGCCCGGCTATCAGTAATGCGATACGAATTACACATCGCTATTGTGGAGTGAGTGATTTCGATCGTCTCATGTTTAGTAGGTGCTACCATGGCTCCCTAGTCGCTTACCCATCTGAACTATGCTGCGACTTGGCATACACTGCTGAAGCGCGTGAAGAGCTGGCGGAAGAGTGCCGGCGAAGTCGGAGGTTCGCGCACCAGCCATTCCTTGTTGGACGAGACCATGATCAGTGCTGCGTGGAGTCTGCCCAACTCGTACAATGCTACATCCGCCTATTCTCGCGAGGCTGCCATGATGTCGCCACCAGGCTCTGCATCTGGTCCGGCATCCTCCAGCTGGAGGGTGAAGGCACCGGTCTACCGATGCCAGAGTCCAAAGGAGAATCCAGTCTCGCGGGCGGTGGCACCACACAATGACCTTGCATTCCTGATGGTTTGTCTTGCAAGTCTGATTGTAGACCAACGTCCCGTTCGGCCCTTCTTCGAGGAGGGAGCATGCTGGGCAGTCTATAGCGGCGGGCACGAGAAGTCAACGTGATAGGGTCAGGTGAGCGCGCAGAATGCTGGAGGAGACCTAGATCGATGCACCAGGACTCTTCCACACGAAACTGGGTTGCCATGGTTGTATCGAGGTAATGCCGATTCCGATTGAAAGTGACCCTGTTATCTAACAGTGGCACTGGTCGTTGGCTCGACGAGATCTCGACTTTCGGGAACGCAGTCCCGAACATCTGTGGCACGTCTGGCTGCGCTTTCTTCAGGCCATCCGAACTGACTAGTGAGTAGAGATCCTCACGGTCAGCTGGCACTGGCACTGGCACCGGCTCGTAATGAAATGGATGTCTCGGGATATTGTTATTGCCCTAAATCGTGCCCAGAGCACCCCTAGTCTCGGCAGAGCCGGCATCGAATGCTGCTTGTCGATCCTCCCCTTCACGGGAGCCAACGGAAGCCCATGAGAGTTGCTTCACATGGCCGTGTGGTGCACCGGCGCTCGATCGGCTGGACCCAGATCGATCAGAAGCGCAGGCGAGGAGTTGAAGCATCTCGTTTGGAACACATCTGTTGCGATACTTGTCGCGCGAACTGTGCACAGCCAGAATAATCCAGCACCGATATTCTCTTAAAGACCAGCCATAAGACGCGATCGCAGGTCATCTGGGTTGTGCTGAACGGTAAGCATTGTCACCTCATCGTCCGCGGCGCCCTTTAATGTCACCTGCGGCACGCCGAACCTAGACCCGTTAGGGCAACCCCTTCGCATGTTCTGGACACTGTCATGTATTGAACAAATCAGCGCACAGATTTCCGCGTCAAAGATGTTTGACCGCCAGGGGTTGATGCAATCGGTGCCGGCACGGACGGCTCGATGCCGGCCGTAGTGCGTGTTGATGGCCATAGTCGATGGCACATAAGCAAGGCGGTTGCAACAGGTGCTCTGGTGGAGTCACAGTAAAACAATGCTAAGATCGGACGACATCTCGCTGAAACTGCACAGCAAGGATCTTGAAATAACATTCTGCACCCTTGAGGCACTCACAATCTGTGGCTCGGTGTCTTGCAACTGCCAAGAAAGCACATCGTCTTTCCCGATCGGTTCCCGTGTCGTCGCAGCAACAAAGACAGCGAGCTCCGCCCCGGGGCACATGGCATGACAAATTGGGCCGACGAATGCGTTCTGCCTGGGGCTCCGCAAATGGAGATTGGCTGCATTTGCAAAGCAAAAAGTTCATGTGCAGATGCAAATGCCCATGCAGTGGCATACATGTCGCGCAACACAGCCTGCCCTTGTCACAGGGCGGGGATGCGAGCGGACATCATTGGCAGCAGCGGTGTATCCCGAAATAGGAGAAGGGTGGCGCCGAACCAAATCATGATACTGTACTTGTGCGGTGCAGAGTCGCTAACGCAATGCGTGACAGAGGCAGTGCCGCCAGAGGGTTCTTGGCGTTAAATGTGTGGTCCCGAATTGTGCCCCGGAAACCCGCGTGGTGGGCTGAGCGTTGCGAGACACGAACAGGATCGGACGAACTCGTCTTTAGAAAGCCTCCGGCCTTGAGCACGCCCATCAATTTCACCCAACGACCAACTCCCACTTCGCCTTTTGCTCAATGAAGCAGAGCATGTAGCTGCACACAGGCAGTTGTGGCAACACGCAGTTCTCGCAGAATTAACCCCGACGGGTTAGGCGGGCTCGGGTTAACAGGGCGTTCGATGTGGGCTGGTACTCTAGCGGTCCCGTATTTCACTTCTAGATGGCCTGGGCGCCCGAGAGAGTGACGGACACGGTGTGCCAGGTTCCAAAAGCGGGAGACTAGACACTTCTGGGGCCCGGGACGATATTTGTGAGTAAATATCGGGGGATGCCTGCGCTCGTTAGCCTAGCCAGGGTCTTGACCTTGCAAGGACAGCGGTTGCCCTGTCCACCTCCATTGCTTTCCCGTGAGAAACTGTTGACGGCGTGGACTACCAGTTGCCATCATGGGGACGTCGTAATATGAAAGTCTGATAAGTCGAGCCCAGAAGCACTCAGGAACATCGACTGTTGAGGCGCGAAAAAGCATCGACCGGTTGGCTCAAACAGTTACATAGTATGTTCGGCGGCGAATGTCGTGTAGGCTGCATGCTTGGCTCTGTGGACACGGTCCGTCTTGTCTATGTGGGTTTGGCGGCATGAGTAAGGGCCAAGCAGCAACATGACTGGTGCAGTCTGCCCAGGTCCTGCACATCAGGACTTGCACACAAGGAAGCTGACGACATCCAGTGACTGGAACTGGTCACCAAAACCCAGGCGCAGCACCGACACGTGCAGATACCCACCCAGCACGATAGAGCCACCAGGTCGTCGTTGCGTGCTGGCAACTGACCACATGCGTTTTTGTTGCGGCAGCTCGCTTTTAAGGTGTGCCTCTTGCCTGTGCTGCATCTCCAGGATTGGGGAACGTGAATTCTGCGCGGGCCCAATTCACGCACATGCTGTATGGAGGAAAATCCAGAACTGCATCCGCCAGTGCAGGGGTAGCCCGGTTCGCGACGCCTCTGCCAGGGCCACAGAGTGGGAACCGCAGGGGTCGAATCCATCGACAGTTTGTCTCCACGAACAAAATAGCACAGCGTTGGTGGAGCTGTTAGTATCGACCCAGAAGCTGAACAAAGTGCGGGAGACTCGGTCCATGCCGCATTCGATCCTTCTTCTCAGCCCAATGTGCCTCGAGCGAGCTCTGCCGCGTAAAGCAGACTGCCAACGGTGGATGTGGCACAAGACAAGCAAGGGCTCCATACATTGTCAAACGATATGGCTTGACATTGGTTGAGGCTACAGGCTGGACTCCGTAGCGTGCCCTCGCCGCAGCTTCTCCGCATCTTGTCTTTGCACGGGGCCCCGCCTAGTTGACAGCCCTGCCACCTGCTCAATCGAGAGGGCTGCTGCGGGGAACAGCTCGCGATCGGTTGCCGACTCTGGAGGAGAGGCTCCTGGTTACAGAAGGCCATATGACTGCCCGACACCTATATGATGGGCCGTCTTGACACCTCTATTGCGAGCCTTGGCCCTAGCAGACGACTCTGTCGTGACCAGATCGACGGCGAATGCTGCCAAGTGGTGGTTGATTGTCCGTGGTGGACTAAACACTAAACAGAGATGGCGTAGATCGGGTGGCGTCCAGCGCTCGGTAGTATATAACTCAGCTGCCTCGTCATACCAGGTCGAGCGTGGCATTTCGGGCGCATTCTCGGGCAGACGAAACCGGGAACGGCGGTGGAAGCTGCAGGCACCAAGGGAACCGAGAAATTGAGGGCTGCGGCTCATGCGCATCAGCACGGCGAGGGCGGCGGCAGGACACACTGCGTGCTGATGGACGTTGTCTTGTCGCGGGACGAGGCGGGGGCGGCGCGTGGGAGCGGAGCGGAGGGAAGCGAGCGAGCTGGCTGGAGCGAGCTTCGGCTAAGCACCCCGCAAAATTGACGGGACAGATACGTGACCTGACTTGAGGATCTGCAGAGGAAACGGCGACCCTGGGGGCGCTCGACTGAGAACCTGGAAGGCACCCGCGTCTGGTCGAGTTCCTCACTCCTTAGTAATCCCTCTGGCCCTGCAAAGGCCCATACCGGTCAACCTGCAGCAGCCGGGGCCCTGCGACCGCTGCCACCACCAGACTTGAGCCTCCTGGAGCCCTCCCCGTGGGGTCCCAAACACCAACTCTGGGTATCAAAGGCACCGCTCTCAATGCCCCTCGCGGCCAGGTTGCCATCCTCGGACATCCATGTCTGCCATCGGCATCGCCCCGCCGACACTGTAATTGTACAGCACTCAGTGGACGCGTATATTGATTGTTGGGGATGCGATGCCCTCTGCGCCATACGGTCCTGCCGCGTACCCTCGTCCTCCTCGCCACCTCCGCCTTGGGTCAATATCGACACCACCACTTCCTCCTCCCCAAGCATCAGCAGTAGCATCACCACTCTGCAGAAGAGCGACGGGGCAAAGGCAGCCACCTCTGGACGCTCGACAACTCGCAGCCAGTCGGGTGCCGAGCGTGCTGGACGCGGTGGACAGTTGCCCATTGGCTGCGTCTCTCGCATCTCAGCGGCAACGAGGGATCTCCACGGCCAGGGGTCCTGGTCGTGTCATCCGCTCTCCGGCCAAGGGTTTAAATCAGGGGGGGCGGCGGTTTCGCCGGTTTTAGGGGGCTTGCTGCAGCTTACCTAGCATGTTCCGTTCCGCACACCTGCACGGATGGGGGAGGGGGGGAGTCGTATTAGTGCTGGGTGCGGGTTCTTCCATGTGCGTGACACCGCGCCGGAGCCAGCTTGCTCGCTCCGGGGCGAGACCATCATAAACCCCTTGGGTCGCTTCCCCAATCTTTAGCCTTCAGAGCTCCCGTCGTTCTCGACTTACGTCAAAAATCGCGTGCCGGTCGCCGCGGCTGTCCCTGCAACAGCTCATTCATCTCCGAGCGGCCTCTGGTTTTTTCCTCTCACTTGTTGCCGAAACCCTTTCCCTCGCAGCGTGTCTCAGCTGCCTCGAGCGTGGAGCGTCCTGTATTTCCGTCTTTCTGTGTTCGGCCATATGAGCCTGCTGGGCATCAGCAACAGCGTCAGCGACAAATCAGCAAATCCGCACGCTGCAGGCGTCAGTTTTGGGTCCTTCGCAAGTAGCCCGCGGCCAGCCGCAAATCGACTCTGGGGAACTCAGGCCCCAACTGGGCCCAGCACGATGTCGCCCTCGTCGACCGGCGACTCACCGCACTCTATAGGAACTGGCAGCACCTCTGGCCGGGCCTTTCCCTTGCCCACAAGGGACAGCTTCTCCGTCGACTCCCAGTCTCCGCAGCTCAACCCGCTCGCCAACGGGTCTAGCCTGAAGTCGCCTACATCTGCCAAAGTCCGCACCACGAGCTTTGGGAGGGACGGGCTGCTTGGGAACTCGAGCAAGGGCCTCGGCATGACACAGCAACTAGACCCGCATCCGGAAACTGGCTCCAATGGATCTCACAAGGCCTCTGGCGACGAGGCCCCGAATCCCCTCAAGCGGCGGAACACGGATGCGACAATAGACTACCCCAGGCGCCGTGCAACAATAGCTTGCGAGGTATGCCGGTCGCGGAAGTCGAGGTGTGATGGCACCAAGCCCAAGTGCAAGCTGTGCATGGAACTTGGCGCCGAGTGCATATATCGCGAGCCGGGAATCAAGTTGGATGCAGGCGACAAGCTCATCCTCGAGAGGCTGAGCCGCATCGAAAGTCTGCTCCAGATGTCCATGGTCAACAACCATGGCAGTGGGGTGCATATTGCGCAGGACTCGCCTCCCATCAGCAGTGGCACCGCTCTAAGCGGGGAGCACATCATGATTCCAGGTGCCCAGGGCAACTTTGGTTCCAACATGTCCATCAACGGCTTTGGCACCTGGGCAAACACTGTCCCGGGTACAAACATCTCGACAATGCCCAAAGTCCACACCAGCGCCGCCCTGCACTTGCTGCAGTGGCCGCTGATCCGCGATCTGGTTGCGCGTCCGTATGACCCCCAAATCATGCTGCAGCTCGAAATGGCACGTGAGCCACTCAACAACCTGGCCAAGACGCCATGCGTCGACCTTTCCAACACAAATGCATATATCGAAGCATACTTTGAGCGCGTCAACATCTGGTATGCGTGCGTCAACCCGTACACGTGGAGAAGCCACTACCGTATGGCCTTGTCGACTGGTTTCCGAGAAGGAGCAGAGAGCTGCATCGTCCTGCTCGTCCTCGCCCTGGGCCAGGCAAGCCTGCGGGGCAGCATCTCCAGGGTCGTACCACAGGAGGATCCGCCAGGTTTGCAGTATTTCACTGCTGCTTGGTCTCTGCTGCCCGGCATGATGACCGCCAATACCGTTCTTGCAGCACAATGCCATCTACTGGCGGCCGCATACTTGTTCTATCTGGTGAGACCTCTGGAGGCATGGAACCTGTTGTGCACGACAAGCAGCAAGCTCCAGCTTCTTCTGATGAACCCCGGTCGCGTGCCTGAGGACCAGAAGGAGCTCATCGAAAGAATCTACTGGAACTCACTGCTATTCGAGAGCGACTTGCTCGCCGAGCTGGACCTGCCGCATACGGGCGTGGTCCAGTTCGAGGAAAACGTTGGCCTACCAGGCGGCTTCCAAGGTGACGAGGCCGAGGCCGTCGGCCGGGACGAGCTGTGGTACTTTCTAGCCGAGATCGCCCTCCGCAGACTCCTCAACCGTGTCAGCCAGCTGATATACTCGAAGGACTCTTTGGCGTCAACGACGAGCCTAGAGCCCGTGGTCGGGGAGCTGGACTTTCAGCTCACCCAGTGGTACGAAAGCCTGCCTGCAGCACTCCAGTTTCCCTTTACGCGGGCGCCTCTTCCGGACCCCGCACAGACGGTGCTCAGATTGCGATTCTTTGCATGCCGGACCATAATATATCGTCCTTACATCCTCGCCGTCCTGGACAATGAGCATGCCGTTCTCGACCCTGCAGTTCGCGAAAACTGCCACAAGTGCCTCGAAGCCTGTGTGAGACAGCTCGAGCACATTTCCGCGCAGTAGGTTTCCGAGCTACTTATTGGAGGGGCACTGAAGATAAAGTGAAAACGAGCTAACGACGAGTTTCCTAGTCACGCGGGCCACATGCCATACCTCTGGCAGGGAGCTCTCTCCATTGTCGCGCAGACTCTGCTCGTGATGGCGGCAACGATGTCACCATCTTTATGCAGTATCCTACTCACCCTGCTGCCTTCGCGCGAAGCCATCGATCAGATGATCAACGAGGTCCTCATCGACATCGAAAGGATGTCTGTGCTCGCGCCCAGCATCAGTCTGGCTGCGGAGATCATCAAGGAGGCCGAGGTCCGCCGCCGCAACTTTCTCGGGGGTTGATATTGTGAATGCGCAGCCTTTTGCGATTCATTCGGCTCTCACGGTGGCCGGGATTTCGTCGATGCGGCTCACTCAACGACTCTAAGCGAGCACGATGCATGCTGCCGTCATCATTGTGACCTTGCGCATATCTGTGCACCGCGATGCGCATCAACGATTGTTCGATTTCCGACACCAAACGACGGAGCGCCATCGGCCACTGGCGGCTCGCTACTGCAAGGCATAGCTCTTGGGGTCTGGGGTTGCATCGGCCGTGGTGCAAGGGTGTGCCAGGGTTGTCCTAGACGTGTCCTGGTTCGCCGAAATTGTGTGCGTGGTGCCCTTCGCAAAGGCGGCCCGACACTCCGGCGCTCAACCGCATTCATCTGCGCACAACCCCAGTCCCGGCAGTCAGCCCCCCCATAATAGTTGATTGTATAATGGGGTAATCCTACAGAGTCTGCGAGGTCGCTGCCGTTGGCCAAGCCGAGCTGCATGCCCTGAGTGGCGCTTCTCTCGGCCCTTTATGAGGAAACCTAGCGCACAAGCGGCGCGCCGATCAGGCCTGTGCTCCGAAGGCTTCCGGATGGGATGCCACACACGCAGCTCTTGACGCAGCGTCATCGTGCTCGCACAGATTGGTCCAGTAGCTATCACCCTCATCACCACCCGGTGCGTGAGAGCATTGGCAGGCGGCAAGACTGCGGGACAAAAATTAATTGAGTGGAATTTTAAATGTCCTGTGGCGCGTGATTTTGGTGATGTCAGTTGCGCATGCATGTCGCAACGCCTTGATCGCGTTTGTGCCCGAGACGATATTTCTCCATTCAACCAAACGTCACTCTTTCGGCAAGATTATTATTTTCAATACACCACGAGGTTTTGTGCCGAGATACGGTGACTGACGCTGACACAAGTTGTGCTTTTGGTTTTAATGTTTGCGGTTTGAAAACCGTGACTGCAAGTTCCGTCCATACGGATCATTGAGTCAAAGGAGAAATTCTAGTTGGTGCCACGCGGCTCAACTCAAAACCAGGCCCCCAAAAAGAAACCCAACAGGACTTTTTATTGTAAATCCCCTGCCTTCGCTTCTTCCGCTCATTGGGACAGAAACTCCTCCTCCCTCAAAACCCTCGCCGCCGGACCCCCCTCCTCCCTCAGACCCAGCTCAAGGCAAAGACCTGCGCGCCGGCCTTTGAAATGCCAATCTCGGCCTTGCCGTCCGCGCTCTTGATGCTCTGCGGGATCGTCTCGCCCTGCTTCCTCTCGAGGACGATCTTGCTCCCCGCCGCGGCCGCCGCCGGCGACTGCTCGGGAAGCTTGTAGAACTTCCTGCCCGACCGGCTCAGGAACGCCTCTAGCCTGTCCTGGGTGATGTCCGCCTCGCTGACGATCCCTTTCTCTGTGGCCTCTTCGAGAGCCAGCAGGACGAGCTGGACTGCCACGGGCTGTGTGAAGACTCCTGCGGGCGGAGGCGTGGCGGACTTGGTGGATAGTTGGTGAGGGGCCGAGTCGCTGCCGCTGTTGTTTTGGTCGAGCGTGGTATTGTCAGTTGGCTGTTTTTTCCAAACAAGTAGTGAGGCAAGATTGTGCTTTTGTAGTCATAGGATGTGGAAATAGGAGATACGAGACGGAAAGGAAAAGAAAAGGCCTTGGCTACTTACAAGAAAAACTTGGGGTCACCGCTGGCGACAGTCTTGAGCAGGGCGTCCCGGTCCTGAGGAGTCTTGGGAATCGGCTTGCAGAACGCATGAGGGTCGACCTCGCTGATATCGCCGGTCAAGTAGAGGTGGTGCGCAGTGATGGTGCCTGGGACGGATATTCCCCGGTTAGCATATAATCGACTGGACAGCTAGTCGGCACTGATCAGGTGGGTGGGGAAGCTTGCTTCGCCGTCAAGCGAAGCTGCTCGAGAGAATGCGTAGGCTTTCCAATGTCGCGGGGGATTGAAGACCCATGTTCCGGACATCCAGTTGGTGACATGTTGAGACAATGAGTAAACAAAAGATTGAACTCACCAGCGACTTCCGGTCCACAAGACTTGACTGCAGAGATGGCAGCAGCCGTCGAGCAGTGCTCGAGGACGATTCTGAGCCTGGGGAACGTCTCATGCAGCTTCTTCAACGTGGGGAGGAAAGCCTCCTCGAGGGTGACGTCCTTGCTTGGAGGCGCGCCGGGCACCTCGCCGTGCAGGTTGAGAACAATGTCGTGTTCCTGCATCGCAGAAAACGTCTCGTTGAAGGCAGTAATGAAGTCCCCAGCGACTCCACTCTCACTGTTCGTAGTGACGCCTATAGTTCAAGATAGCGGCTTAGCTCTTTTCACGGTAGGATGAGAGAGCATCACCGGACCTACCTTGGGGATAGAGCTTAACACCTGCGATGCCGGCCTTGGCAGCCTCGGCGATGACCTCGGGCGTGATGGAAGAATGCAACTGCCCCCCCCCGTATCAGTAGTGGTTGACTAGAACTCAGGCTCTGGCACCTACGTAGAGAGACATGAGATAGTTGACGTTGGGCTCAATAGCCTGCAGCTTGGACCGGTACTCGACGGCCTGGGCAACGGTGGTGATGGGCGGTTGCAGGTTAGGCTTCAGGGCACACGAGAGTCATTAGTTGCGATCCTCCAAGAGATGATTGTCAACAGTGAGTGCTCTGAAGGTCTTACCATGACGAACACAGTGTCTACGCCGCCCTTGCGGATGTGAGGTGTGACCAGTTCCATCACCTGTTGCGTGCCTCAGTCAGTCCAAGCGTGTAAGCGATTGGGGAGATGGTTGTTCTGGTCTGGTAACCCACTTCACCCTGCCTGAGGTGGACATGAAAATCCCCCGCGGCTGGCAGCTCGAGACGCTGAGTATCCTTGAGCTGCATCTTGAAGCTTTCTGAGTTGAAATCGACGTGAGTTGGGTCTTTCGGTAAGCCACTGGGACGAGAGCTGTTCAAGAGTTGGCCATCCGCCGCTATTCAAAGTTTTTGAAGTTCTAAAGATACGCTGCCCCTCCTCCAGCGCCAGTTGAACGTCCGATAGGGCAGACCAATCAGTGACGTCGCCTGTCCCATTTTGGTGTGGGGAAAGCCTCCCCACATCCCACATCGAGTTCCCAACTGGGAACTGCCCAGGCGGGCTGGACAGGTTAGCAGTTTCCATACTTCATAAAGAGCTCATCAGTGAGCATTGGAGAGACGCAGGGGTAACAGGGGGTACAGAGGATGGCAATGGGGAACTCAGTCTCGTAGCTGCCGTGCCTGTCCAATTTGAAACACAAATCACAGCCAGAAACAAGATTTAAGTTACAACAACTCCCGCAAAGTGTCGTCAAGGAAACATTTCGTTAGGAAAGCCGGGTGCACAGTTGCTCTAAAAAGGTAACGGCGAAGGTTGAGCCGGGAACTGGTCACCTCAAGCTGGCAAGGTTGTCTACATCGCAAAATTGGCCGCCGGACCGTTGCTAGTGGTACTACTGGCCCAACGATGGCTGCAATTTGGGATCTGATAAACATGCACAAAGCCAGCTTGAGACACCTCGAAATCATCATGTTGACAGACTTTCCCTGGAAGTTGTGTCGATGCATGAAATTAGTGCAGAGTTGTGGAGAACAGCTCAATTCAGATGAGACCAGAAACCCAACCTCGAGTCCACAATGTTGACTCAAGAGTATTAATTCTATTGCGTTCCACGTACAAGCCCATCAGGCACACTGTATCCTCTTGCATTAATTCATCTTGACCCATTCCGGCTTCCAGGTAATTCGAGGGAGCACTGGTGTAACCAAGCCTCGTGGCATCAGCACTAAACATTGAGCCTGCCTCTCCTTGGACACGGAACCACGGGCGGACGAAGTTGCTGGTCGTGGCTGGAAATGCAACCATGTATAATTTCAGCTGTGTCCCGGCACATAAGCATTTGTTCCCGTCTCTTATGAGGCAGTTGGAGCCCCAAAGGCTGTCCTGCTCAGGGTGTAAGGTGTAAGGTGCAAGGCCATACACCTTCGCCCTGTTGGGTTGGCAGCAGGTGGGTTCTTCATACAGACGCATGTGGCATATCCAGCTATTCCGCGGTCATTGCAACAGAGGTTCCATGGTTCGACGGCACCTTGGGGTGAGTGTCGCTCGTCTGACCGTGGTGGAAGCACTGGCGGCTAGCAATGAACTTATCGACCGTGCGCGATGCGATGGACAGTCCCGCAGAGGACATGGGAAATGCTTTGGGACAGTGTTGTATCGCGTGACCAGTCGAGTGGCAGTTGCAGGATGTCCTGTCATTGAGATGTGAGTAGGGATAGAAGCTCGAGAAACCACGTATTTTTGACCTTTTGGGGCGAACAGGCATGTCGTACTCAGAGAATGCTGTTCAAAATGGTCGTGTAGCTGGTCAGCACTCATCACCAGCGTGACGAGTTGCTTCTCGTCCATGACATGTAATGCGAAGGCATGATGGAGTTTCTGAGAACAAGCGGGCTTGATACTCAATGGAGCTGAGATCCATCCAGCGCTTCTCAGATATCATCTGCCGAGATGCCGACAAAAATGCAGCTGTCTGACGAGTGGAAATCTGCCTTGTCATTGGAATCTTTGTGCTTGTTGTTTATCTCTGGAGAGGCGGGACGACGGTAATGATGGTTGATCGACTTATCAGCTGCGACCGTCGAGTAGCCCAGGAGCAGAGATGGTCTCAGAGGACAATTTTGCGATCTAGACCGAAATGGAGGAGATGCAAAAAGGGGAATCGGACATGTCCTTGGCCCGAGCGGAAGGTGAGCATCTACATGATTGATCCGCCACATTGGCCCATGGTCGTGACTGTTGTCTCATGTTGCTGTATGAAACGCCATCATATTGAAAGAGCACAGTCACTCTGGGTCGAAATTCAGTCCAGGGCACTTTAGAGCCCAACGGAGAGACGCAGCACCGTGGGATGCGGGGGGGGGGCGATCTCTAAAGGTGCGTGCTGTCAGCAATGAGCGTGGCTGCGCTGCACTATATGACAGGCCAATGATGCTCACCTGCTCAAGCCGGGCTTCGCTCAGATATCGATAGGTATGCTCGATGGGATGATTGACGTAGATCCTGAATCATTGTCAAAGCCGCAAATAATGAGAGAAATATGCGGGCTCACTGGACTGGGGGTAGCGTGGGTCATGCCATCTTCAGACCATCTCAACTTAGCTTACATTGTCCTCTGGCCAGCCGTCTGACAGTAGATCCTGTGGAACGGGGGGAGCAGAGCTGCATTGCATCGAACTACCTTGTCTGAGTATCGTGGCCGAATGTTGGTGAAGGGAAGCGGGCAGGCTGAGAACCGCGAGCTTGCCAGGCTTGGTGGATTGAAAAGTGCAAGTGCTGAACGTGTTGGAGGTGATAGAGTCGTGGAGGGAAGGCAGAGGGAGATGACGAGGTAGATGGAGATGATAGGTATAGGGTAATTGAGAAGATGAGCTCTGGCGGATGTGACCACTGATCTGAAAAAGACGTCCATCAGAACAAGCTCCCATGTGAAATGAGAGTGAGGTCAAGGTGAGAATATTGTGACTTACGAGCTCAGAATCTGAAGGGCCAAAGTCAACCAGGGTGGAGATGCTGCACACTCCGAAAACGTGAAATAACACGCAGACAGTCTTGGTCAAGACGCTCCCAGGGTCGTCTCTGTTCCACTGTCGCTGTGCCGGCGACGGTGCGCCAACCAATGACCTCGAAAGTCACGGGGGTCTTGGGGGGGGGGGGGGGGGTCTGGAGATCAAGGCTGCGGCGACCAGACAGAGCCTTGGTCTCTAATGATAGCCGACGTGAAACGTCGGCTAGGACGATGAGGCCTCGAGACCGTGGCCAAGATGCTGCTTGTCGTCACGGGTATGGAGGTTGAAGTTGTGGAATGTGATGATGTGAACGAGTCGAGGTCGCAAGACAAGTTGACGCGCGGACGTTGGAATGGTTGCTAGGTTGTCGGTGCCTCAGGCCACTCTTGTGAAATAAAGTCTGTCTAGGGGTGAGCACTTGAAGGATTGGTGCGTGACAATTGTTCGGCGGCTGCATGGTCGACAACGCTGCGAAAAGGTCACATAGACACCAGGAATGTGCCCCCGTAGAAAAGCAGTCCACACGACAGAACGTGTTCTTGGACGCCTGCGGAGGCTCTCAATTGTGTCCTTATAGTGTCGAGGCTGGGCAGCAGTATTGTCCAGAGTCGGCTGACGTAAATAGTACCATCACCCAAGACGGGCGTCAAAGAGGGCATGGACAACCTCGGCAGACTATTATGTTATCAAGTTTGACATTTTAAAGCCATGCCAAAGGTGGACAATCACTATATTCACTCTCAGCTGAAATGAATGACTCCATGCTTGGACCATCAAATCATGGTCAGAAGGAACAATTTTACATCGGGGCTAGGCATCGCCGTCATGAACCACGGCTCTGTACTTCACCATGTCTGAGTCAAAACCGGATGATGACGGGTCAATACATTAAGTCATAGACTCTGCAAGACAGCTCGCTCCCGGACAAACGAAGCAGCCGGTTCATTGACAGACCGTCGACCGAGAGCCAGGCGAGCTTCCGAGCAGAGTCGTTCCGTGGATTCGTTGCTCCGCAAGCCGATTGTCCATTGTCTAGCAGGTTGAAGCATGCGTGCAGATGCCATTGTGCCAGTTCATTGTGAATCATACATTCTGGAGTAGCAGGAGGCCCTCCTCGTCATTATAAAAGCATGGTTTTCCCCCTACAAATTTTGGGTGGACATCTCAATCTCTTAGTGCACCACTCCCTCCCACACCGCACCTCGAACACCACCGTCATAAACACCTTCCCCTGTCACTCAGCTTCAAGCCTTGAAGTTTCTTTCTTGATTTACTCTTTCCCTCTCCAACTCACTACGCCAATCAACACTTTCAAGTGGCTCTTAGCAGCTGTGGCCACCAAAGTGGGACAACCTCAATCATCTCTGCTGCTCCTGTGGGATCTCACCAAGCACTTGCCACTAGGCCTTTCTGAGACCACGACACTCGACACAAGCGATTCATCCACCCCATTCCAATTCTTCTCCATCCAGTGCATATTTCCAGGCAAGGCATTGACTCATACACGGCTCATGTAAGTCGAGAAGCAAATCACAAGCCACATGACTTATCATACCTTGGGAAACTCTCGAGGCTGAACCCAAGACACGCAACAGACTTCTCTTGTACCCAGCCAGTCTCCAACGCCCCAGAGGCCGCGTCACGCTTTCCTCACAGTTATGAGCCCGGAAAGCGGAGGGCCACCTCCATCTTCGGATTTTTGTGTCGAAGTCCTCTCGCATGAAGCTTGATGCCTGGAATCGCCTCACATCGGATTCTTCTGGCTGTCTGGCGGATTTGTGCAAGGCCGGCCGTGGAACTAGTCACAAGATGGCGGATACAGGTTATGAGCCTGGCCTAGCCGGCGGTGCCATCACCAGTCAACCCCGACTCTGCCGAGGTCGAAGCGGTGGAATTGTCGCTCGTGGCCGAGCGAATGGACTGCCCCATCCCCGTGATCGATGGTCGCTTCATCTGTTTCATTGCCCGGCCACGGCGCGATGTCAAGCTGGGCGTCGCCGTCCCTGAACCAGGCATGAACTATCTTGACTGGATCCAAAAGCAGCTCGCGAAGTCTGAGAGCACTTGCATCGTCACGCAGCAGGTCACCGTCAAGCCCGTGAAGCAGATCACAGCCGGTGCCTGGTTGCAACACCCCCGCGCCATCCCTCCTGGGCAGCCTCCCATCAGCGCAGGATCCTTCGCGATCCACAACAGTCTGCCTGGTCTGGAGTCTGGCGACCAGTCCGCGAAGGCCACGTTTGATGACTTCCCTCAGCTACAACAATGCATCAACGGAGAGCTGCCCGACCACATCACAAAACGCTTCACCTCTCTGGACTCATCGCAGAAGCAAGCCATCGAGGGTCTTGCAAACGTTGACAATGGATTCGCTGTCATTGCGGGCTGTTACGGCTCAGGCAAGACCTCAACTGCTGCAGCAATCAGTGCAATCTGTCATCCTGGCAACACCACCAACAAGACACTTTGGACTTGGCATTGGTATTCTCTGTGCACAACAGGCGTCGCTTGCCCGCCAGCCTTGACCTCTTTGGGGGACGGAGTACACTTGGAAAGGCTTCTCAATGTCAGCCTCAGGGGTGCTACACTGTAAAGCATACTGAACAAGCTTGAAGGGAGAGAGAGGAAGTGGAGCATGTCGTTGGCTCCATCATTGTGTGATAGTGACAAGTCTAAGGCAGCTGAAGATAGCCCGGACTTGGAGTTCACTGGCCAGGAAAATCTTGTCGTGAGCGCATAGTTTGGCATTGAGTGTCGCTTCTAGAATGAAACGCTTCATGATCGCACATAAGAAATAGCATGAGCTTCGAATCTAATAGGGCGGGATGGGCGTTGATCGATGCGTTAGATCGTCGCACGGAAGCACACGCAGACGAGGTGTGGCGCCATTGCTCGCATTGACCCGAATTTTCACAAGATAAGGCTTTGTCCAAGGCGAGCATAACGCAGTCTAATAGATATCTGGTCGCGAGGATGGTGAAATGGAAGAGCATTGGTGGGCCAGGGCAAGAACTGGGCTTGCTAACGTGCGGCTTAAGAGGGGAATCGAGTATATTGTCATGGCCACAAAATACACAAAACAATCACAAACTCGCACGTGCTTGTATGCATATAATGATGTTTTGTGAGGTAATTTGAAGAAATGTATGCATATTGAGGTTACAACTCTGAAATCCCTGAATCCTCTGGACCTCTGGACCTTATTGACCGCCCATGCCCGCAACAAGCCACAGTATTTACTGCTTGCTCGCGGATCTGGCTGCTGGGATTGACACATATGTCGGCTCGTACAATGTACGACCACCCATGGCGAGGAGGCTAACTTCTCCCATATGTTCGGGCAACTTGCCCCCAGCCCAGAGCATGGACCCAGGAAAGCCGATATCGAACGGAACCGCCGCCTCGATCTCGTCAATCTCCTCCCTGGACAGCGTGAGGTTGAGCGCCTCAATGTTGCCCTTGAGGTGCTCCACTTTGCGCCCGCCCACGATGGGCACGACGTACGGCGTCTTGTGCATGACGTACGCCTGGGCGACGCTGGTGATGAGCGTGCCCTTGCGCTTGGCAATGTCCTCGAGGACCTTGCTGACCTTCTTCTCGGCCTCGGAGGCCTGGACCCCGCGCCCGCCGTCCTTTTCCGCCGCCTTCCACTGCTCCTCGGACTTGAACTTGCCGCCACCCAGCGCGCCCCAGGGGCAGATGCCCATGCCCTCGGCGCGGCACATTGGGATTACATCCCGCTCTAGGTCTCTACTCGCAGCTGAATAACGCCCTTGGAAGACCGAGAAGGGGCGCAGTCCTTGCTGTCGAGCGTACTCATTGGCTCTACTGATCACCCAAGCAGGTGTGTCCGAGGCCCCCAGGTACAATACCTTTCCGGACGCGACCAAATGATTGAGACTTTGCATGAGCTCCTCCGTGCCTGTAGAGAAGTCCCACCAGTGAACCCAGATCTTTCTACGAGTTAGCGTTGTGTTGTGGTGGTTGAGTGTGCGTGGAGCGGTGGTGGAGGACTAGTGGGTGATAGACACTCCCCAAACCGCGAGGCGGCTGCAAAACGGGCAATTTTAACGTACCAAATCAATGTAATCGGTCTTGAGCTTCTTCAAGCTGTCCCGAACGCTCATGTGCAGACTCTTGCTGCCGTTGCCCTGGTAATTGATGATCACTTCCTTACTGCCGCGGCCGGCGCGGTAATTCGTAGTATATTTGGTCGCGAGCACAATCTGGTCACGGTTCCCGCGCTCGGCCATCCACTCGCCGATCCACTGCTCCGACTGCTCGTCCTGGTAGTTGTTGGCCGTGTCGATAAAGTTGCCGCCCTGGGACACAAAGTAGTCGAGCAGCTCAAAGGCCGTCTTCTTGTCGCACTCGCCCATGTACCCCTTCCAGGCGTCGCCCAGGTTCATAGCCCCGAGGCACAGCGGGCTCACGCGGACCGAGGCGGTGGGCGAAAGCATGCGGTAGTTGGCGAGGGGGCTGACCGGCTCCGGCGCGGCGGGGAGGATGTCTGCGAGGGTCTGCTTCGCCATGGTTGCTAGTGGATAGAGAGACGGGACTTTGCAAGGTTGGAAATGTGTCGATGGATGAGAATCTTCTCGTCAGAGTCTAGAGAAGCCTTTTGGGATAATTGCAAAGAGTATGCCGGGCAGTGTGGCAGACTAATCTAGCTCCTGCTGGAGCAGCGTCGTACTTATAGGCACAACGACCTTTCACAAGTACGCACGCCGTGGACGGAGGGGCCAGCTGCCGAGGCGGGAAACAAAGTTAAGTCCGTGGATGTTGCCGTTCCATCATAGGTACTCGGAGTTTAGGGGCCATCGACGTAGCTTGCGGTGAAGACGGGACCATTCCGGGATATCCTTACGAGGTACCCGCTGGGTCAACCGTCACACAGGATCGATCGAGCGAGCCCCTTGCCAGACAATGCTTCACCATGACATCAATATCAACAACTGGTCCGACCGGTCCTTCGGGCTTGAAGTACATTGCGGCTGGCTCCCGCTGGTGGTGGTAGTAGTGTGGTGGTGGTGGCGGTGGTTGAGCCGACTCCGCACTAACACCCGCAGCACCTGCCAGTTATGATATCATGGAGCCTCGGAAGTGAACAAGCAACCGCTCAAGACACTACCCTCATCATGTCCTTTCTAGTCACTTTGCCGCTCCGAATCCAGCCCAGAGCCGGCAAATTGAGCTGCTTCCAATCGACACGGCCTTCATCCATGGCGTCGTGATGCCATGCTCTCTCTACAGCAGAATTGCCAGAAAACCACACCAAACGGACCACGGATCGCAGTGACGAAAGCTTGCTTCCTCCCGCCATGAAATGTTTCGGTGTTAAGGCGCTAAGCAGACAGGCATCCCCCGCACGAACGGGGCTCCTGAGCATAATCGGCACGAATAACGGGCCGCCCTCGTGTACCGTGGATTCTCGAAGAGGCTTTGGAGTCCAAAGCTTGCCATTAATAAATGAATGACAACCCCACAATCGCCGATCTTATCGCCGACGCATCAATCAAAGCAACCCAACGACGGGATTACATGCATGGCCGAGAGCATAAGTGCCTGGCTAGTGGTGGTGGTGGTGGTGGTTGTGGTGGTGGTGGACGGCAAGTACCGAAAAGGGTAGGATGCCACGCAAAGAGCCCCGGGTGTTGGCTGGATTAGAGTGCTGACACTCTCCGCATCGTTCCTTGCCGAGCTGCGAACTGGATCAAATATCAATGTCATATCAAGCCGTTCCACATTTCCCACTTATCAACCCCAACGTACCCAACATGCGCTGTCCTGTCTTGGCCAGCGGGAATACCGGCTTTAGCACGTCTCAAGCCCGAAACTCGTTGGAAACTCTCTCTTGCAAGCAGGTTTCGCTGGCAGCCTGCGCTTGTTAATTTGTCTATAGCCCGCAAAGGCACTGTTCTAGCAAGCCCAGACACCAACGAGGCCATCGCGGCGGCCCTCCACCAGGTAGCCGTCCCGGATGCGCACATGCTCCACAATGGCTGGCGTCCTGTTCTCCTCGGCTTGCGTGATGCCCGCGCCGCAGTCCCACTGCCGCGATTCCATCTTGTCATACACCTTGACAACGTCCTCGCCCGCCGCGCTCACAATGCGCCGTGCGTCAAACATCATGCTCGTCACCGGGTTGTCGTAGGCGAAAGCGTCAAAGATGGAGCCGGTCCTCAGATCCCAAATCTAGAAACACAAATCGTCAGCAAAAATGGACTTGAGAAACCGGTAGTAGACACAAGGATTGGCAAAACTCACCCGCACGCTGCGATCCAGACTGCCCGTCACGAGATGCACATCGTCAAACTGCAGGCACGTCACCGGGCCGGTGTGGCCAACCAGGCTGCGATGAACCTGGCCACTCCGCAGATCCCACAGCCGGACCATGCCGTCAGCCGTGCCGCAAGCCAGCGCAGACTCAAACACTTGCAGGGCGCCCACAAAGTCGGCCGACCGCGAGGCCGGCCGCGTGGGCTGCCTCCATGTCGTCTCGCCTGAGCCGAGTGTCGCCGAGGCCTGTGCAGCTGCCCACATGACATCCAGTGTTTGCACGCAGCGTCCCTTCTCGAGGTCCCAGTGCCGCAAGGTCTTGTCAGCAGAACCCGAGACAAGAACGTCACCTCGGAAATGCAGTGCCGTGATCTCGTCGACATGGCCATTCAGAGAGTACAAGGCGCAGTCGGCCATGCTGCCCTCTGGCGGCTCGATTGGTAGGTCATTTACATTGACAAACGCCAAGCCTTCGTCCTCGCCCTCGCCTTCACCGAAATGATTGCCCTGCGGGTCATAGTGTGCTCTGCTCAAGTCCCAGAGACGAATGGTGGCATCGGCGCCTCCCGTCGCCAAGAAGTTGTCCTGGACCTGGAGCGCGCGGACAGAGGCAGTGTGACCTTCGAGAGTGCCAATGCAAAGCCCAGCATTCAGATCCCAGACCTTGAGTGTGTCATCCATGCCAGAAGTAACCAAGGTGCCGAACGGCACGTCAAAGTCCATAGCCGTAACGTCGTCTACGTGCGCCTTGATTTCGCGAATCATCGTGCCGGGCTCAAAGTGCTCATGGAGAATGGGCATCGACTTGCGCGTCCGTAAGCGGGCTCGCTTGGTAGTCTTGGTAGGCGTGCCTTGTTCTGATGGGATCTTGTCATACACAGACTGCGACATGAATTCCTCGGCTTCCTGGTCAGTGACTAGGTCGTCCTCGTCGGACCGGGTGGGTGTTTGCGCTGCGATAGCTTCGGCTTCCTGGACGAGTATCTCGGCGTCATCTATCCGCCCATCCATGTCCGCAACTGCAATGATGTTGTCAGCTGTGTACCTATGCAACTCATCTCCATCCTGCACTTACTGTCGTGTTCGATGAGTGCCTCCTCCTGCTCAAGCCCTGCTAGCCTCTCCAGAATGATCCTCCGCATGCCACTGAGGTTGGCGATCTTGATGTCGATCTCGCGAATCTCGCTAGAGGCCATGTTCTTGCGGACGCCCAGCATTTCGAGCTCGTGCATCAGCGACGACCGCTCCTTCTTGAGCTTCTGCAGGTGCTGCGGGGGACTCCCAGGGCTGTGAGGGCGGTCGTCAATCATCTTGCGGCCCCTCGATACCCGCCTCCGGTGTTTCCTCCCCTCCTCATGGAAATCGGGATGGCTGGCCTGAAAGCCCTGGAATAACGAGTACGAGTTTTGGTCCTCGGGGATGTTCTGCAGCAGGTCGTCCGACAGATACGACAGTGCACGTGTCTGGATCTCGGCGGTCGAGAACTTGGAGCGTACGAGGTCGGTTGGTGTCGTCCTGGCCATGGAGAAGACGCTGCGCTGGATGCCTGGCCTCCGGAGCTGCTTGTGGACCTCGGCCATGGCAGTGTGGTAGCTGGAGCCGGTCGTGGCTCCTTGGTCGGCGATTGGCCCAACGAGGTGGCTCGCAGTCGTCGTCACCTTCCGGGTGAAGGCCTCGATACCTCGGGTCTGCCGCACAATATTAGTACAGTGGTCTGACGAAATTTGAGGCCCGAGACGGACACTCACCGAGAGGATCGAGTCCTCGCCTATGGGGGCTTCGTCATGAAAGGCATGATGCACGTCTGAATCGGCCATGCGCGACAGCTAGCGAGGATGTGGTGTTTGTTGAGCTGCAGACTGGTGCTGGACAGCACGGACGAGCGGCGTTCTGCGCCTTTGTCCGAAGCTGTCGAGAGCTGTGCGGGAAGAGGGTCGGCAAGGCTAGCCTCGGGAGCCACGCGACCCACAGGACGGCTATGTTTCCAGAGAACGATTGATTGGGGTGTTGCAAGGCGAGCAGGATGTCGAGGCTGGAGATGGGATGTAGTTTGTGCTGTGCGCGGGCGTGGTGTGCTGGAGAAGCTAATGGCGGCAGTACTGCCGCAAGGTAAAACAAGGGTGACCCACGCTTGGTGGCCGCCAGCCTCCGAATTGCCAGGACTCGCAGGGCTGGCGGGCGGCGGCGGCAGTGGTGGAGAGGACGTCATGCGGGCTTGGGTGGTGTCGGCGGCGGCTCTCGACTCCAGGGTAGCTCACGCAGGCAGGCAGGCACCATGCATTGTTCCGATTGTCTCGGGGGCCCAGACCGACAGCGGCCAGGCACTCTACTGGCTTCATCATAATGTACGCAGTTGTATTCCAAAAGGCAGCTGGACACGGCCAGGTGCATTGGACCTCGACGTTCAGGATGCAGTCCGGCCTAGGGCCTTTTACAGCCGCGACAGCAGCATACCGGCCGTGGCCTTGACCTACCTGCGTACCTGTGGTCCTCCTCCCACCATGCCCTGACTCGAAGGATACACGATCGGTCCCGGGCCGGTCCAGCGTGCCACAGCATTCGCACGCTGCTGAGCTCCGGCGCCGGGTCCAGCAACACCCTGCGGCGGCACGGAGCAAAGCTGACACCGATCATCGGCCGCGTCAACGGTCATCCGTGCATGATCCTGCCGCCTCCACGTCGACATAGTACTGCGAGATCCTTACTCACTCACCCACTCACTCACGTACGCACGGCGGTGCTGCACAGGGCTCTAATACAGGTCGTGTCTCATGCCTGTGTTCGCTACGAGTGACATTGTCGACTAAACCACAAGTCCGGGGCTGCAATTCTTCCCCTTCGCCGATACTCCTCTTCTCCCTCTTCACCGGCCCCTCCCCCTCGTTGCTCTCACGCCACAAACCATGGACACCATCATCGACCTCAGCGACGCCTCCAAGGCGCTCGACCTCGCCAACATCCGCTTCCAGCTTATCCGGCTCGAGGACACCATCACCTTCCACCTCATCGAGCGCGTGCAGTTCCCGCTCAACGCCACCATCTACAAGCCCGGCGCCGTCAAGCTCGCCGGCGTCGACTCGAGCGAGCTCTCCTTTATGGACTGGTACCTGCGCGAGCAGGAGAAGCTCCAGTCGCTGATCCGCCGCTTCGAGGCCCCCGACGAGTACCCCTTCTTCCCGGACGCCCTGCAGCAGCCCATCCTCAAGCCCCTCAACTACCCGCGCATCCTGCACGCCAACGACGTCAACGTCAACGACCAGATCAAGCACTTCTACACCGAGAAATTCCTGCCCGCCGTGTGCCCGGACTTTGGCCGCCCGGACCGCGGCGAGAGCGAGGAGAACTACGGCAGCTCCGCCACCTGCGACATTGCCTGCCTCCAGGCCCTCTCGCGCCGCATCCACTTTGGCAAGTTTGTCGCCGAGAGCAAGTTTCAGAGCGACCCGGAGCTGTACACGCGGCTCATCCGGGCCGGCGACCGCGACGGCATCGGCGAGTCCATCACCAACGCCGCCGTCGAGCAGCAGGTCCTCGCCCGCCTGGCGCTCAAGGCCCGGACGTACGGCACCGACCCCTCGGCGGCGAGCGGGAGCGCCGAGGAGAACGGAAAGATCAATGTCGAGGCCGTCGTGTCCATGTACAGGGATTTTGTCATCCCGTTGACAAAAGTCGTCGAGGTGGACTACCTGATGCGGCGGCTAAACTGAAAAGGGGGGTTTTCGTTGTCGTGAGACAATTCTGGGATGCTTAACTGGGTTATCGTTTCTCTGCGGCTGATATAAAGGGGACCAGCGCGGAGGCATTGCAAATTCCCGCGTCCTTGCGTGGAGTCAAGTCTGTCAGAACCATGTGATCCTTAGTAGTCGCAGACAGCCCTCAAAAAAAAGAACAATAAGAACAAAGCAGTAAAAGACACATTGGACGGCCTGGACTTCCACAAGCAGTGGTTTGCGCTCAGAGGCGTGATCGACTCCAGGAGCACACCACTTCACCAAGCGGCAACAGCTTATGTGCTTTGATCATGTTTTACTCTATTTCAGTGTTGCTTTCTCGAATCAAGTTTTGCCTCTTATCCACAAAGCTTCAAGACGGAGGAGCCAGGTAATCACTGATGGCCTTGACGGCCTCTGCAAACCTGCCCGCCTCAATCAGAATCATGTGGCCCTGCGGCCTGATGCCCATCTCCTGGAACGCGCGCTTGCTGTCGGCGATGCTCTCGTCGTGCTTGGTGAACGAGTAGCTCCCGTGCGCGGCCGCGTACCGGTGCAGCACCTCGTCCTCTGGGTGGAAGTACCACGTCGTGTCCGCCGCCGCCGCCGCCGCCGTCGGATCCTGCCTCCCCCTCTTCTTGCCCCTCCGCCCGCCCGCGGTGGCCGACCTGCCCCCCTCCCGTCGTCCTCCTCCTCGATGATCATGTCCTCGCCCAGCGCGGACTCGACCTCCTGGTACGTCTTGGAGAGGACCAGGTAGTGCGTGAACTCGTAAGGCTCCTTGTCCTCGACCGCGTCGGCAATCTCGTCAATCACCATCCGGTACATGGGTGGCGAGATCTCGGCGGGCATGTTGATCAGCCGCTCCGCCAGGATCAGGCCGACCGTCGGCGCCTGGCCGCCGCTGTTGCTGGTTTGCGCTTGTAATAACTCCGGCACCACGCTCGCGAGGTTGTTGTTGTTGTTGTTGTTGCTGCTGCTGTCCTTCCCTGTCGATGAGGAGGAGGCCGCCTTGTCGGCGAGGTAGCGCACCAGCTCGACGACGGCCTTGTTGCCCTTGTTGCCCGCGTGCTCGCGCAAGTTCAGCGCCGTGAGCATCGCGTACGGGTCCGTCTCCTTGCCGTCGACCTTGACCGTCGACCCCACTGTCGGCTGGGACAGGATGAGGTCCGCGAGGCCAGAGATGTCGTGCAGCGAGGCGTCGACGTCGAGCAGCTGGCGCAGCAGGGCCTTTGTGCCGTGGAAGTCAATGTCGGCGTCAAAGTTGAACCACTCGAATTCCACGTTGACCATGTCGAAGTCCTGAAGAAGGCGCGCGCGAGGGGGTGTGTTAGCTATATAGAGCCTTTGAAAGAAGGGCTGTATGTTCGTGACGGATCTGCCCTCGCAAATGGGTTGTGCTGTGCTCACCTCGTCGTCAGAGCTCTCGGCACCATCGACGGCCATCTTCTCAGAAGGGCCGGTCGCGCCGTCCGCCTCTCTCGCTCTCTTCTTCGCCATGGCTTGAGCTGTTGGTCTGTTTTAAGATCGTGTCTTTTTTCGTTTGGTCGGCTGACGACGCAATTGCTCTTCTTCTCCGCTAATTGTTTGCAGGTTGTGTACTGGTGGCCGAATGGTTATTCCGTGCCCTGTGATGATCCGATGCGGGTAGCAAGAGCTGGCTGGTTATCGCGAAGCTTTATCGCAACTTTTGGAACAAAAAAATCTTGTCCCACATATCATGCCCGCATGTGCACATGCCAAAGCGGGCAAAGCCCACTAGAACGGGATGACGCAGGCCCCTCTAGCTCCCACTGGACTGAGTTGTGGGGTCAGAGTGACATTAATTGAGTCGCATGAGAACAGTCATTGCGGCGTGCTGCAAGGGCACACTCTCCTCTACCGTACTCGGTTATGTACGTGTTTGGGTAGCCGCATCGACACGCATACATTGCACACCACTGGAAACCATGAGGATTCGTATTGGTTGGTCTGTCAATTATGATTTCGGGTATCGAGCTCCTAGAACGATGCTGCTGTCGCCGCAATGATTACAGATGATGCTTATTACAATAATTTCTTGAATGGCCAGGATTCCAGCTCTGCTGAGTGGCACTCAAAATTTGTGCTCGAGCGCCAAAGCACCATTGAAAACTCCTGACCCAATGGCAAACCAAATGAAAACGAAACGCCAGCATAGTTTCCAGGCCCCGCAATGCTTTTCCTCCTGAACTCCAATGCTTTCCATGAATGCCCCAGTTGTTATGCGAGTAAGATGATGGTGGTAATGATGATGATTGATGACGGCGAAGATGATGATGCTTGCTTATGAATGCAGTTGAAAACAAAGCGCCAGGCCCCGGACCTCATGATCCCAATGCGAGCCTAGGCGTTGTCTGGCAGGCTGGCGCTAAAGTAGTCGCCAGCTGGAGCATGCCCTGGTGACTGAACCACCTTGCATGCCGCAGCCAAGGATATCTCATGGTGTGGTGTGTGCACCGCGGTTGCTGTGAAGGTGCTCGGGGACTCCAGCTTCGGTGTCTCGGCAGGCGTGATGCTGAAGCCCGCTCCGCTGACTGCATGTCCAGCACTCATCGACTTCCCGTGCCGGATGCTATTCTCTCGAAGCAAGCCGGGTCGTCCAGGTGCGGTGCTTCCTTGGTTATGCTCGGTGCGAGACTTTGAAGCCATGGAGATCTCGTCCACGAACTCTCTGCGTGCCATCTCAATGTCGTGCCGTGCTTGCTTGATGTAGTCCTCAGACCAGAGAGGCATGATGCGGTAGTCCAAGCTCTCCATGATGCAGCGCTCGGTGAAGTTGATTTGCTCACACGTCCACTGATTCTGACCCCAGACGGACGCAAAGTAGCGTGTGGGCTCCTGCATGTCTTCCACGAACTTGGTAGCGATCATCAGGGCACCGAGGGCGATAACCTCTGGGAGAACAGAGTCAATGTGCTGGGCCTGGACGGGTCCGGACAGAGTGTGTCGCTTGTTTGTGGGCGCAGACAGTGGGAAGGAGACCCGCCATCGCCGGGAGAACTTTGACTTGAGCGAGTCAAGAATGCATACTGCAAGAGCAATGATGTCCATGGATACCCGAGCACGTGCTAGCATGCCTTGCAGGACCGCCACGGAAGGCTCAATGAAAGACGCACTAGGGGGCAGCATGCGCGCTAAGTGAGCTGCAGGGCCTGTTGAGAAATCAGTGGTTAGCTTGGTCCTGGGACAGGCTCGTGCGGTGTCACTCACCAATGAACTCGGCATTGATATCCTCAGGAGCTACATCGTGGGCGAAGACGGGACTTGGCGGGCCTGCTGATGAATTCCTGGATGACAATGGCGGGGTCGGTAGGTTGGACAAGGGCTTATAAAATGTCCTGAAGTAGGCCTCGTCGAATTCAAAGTCGTCGTCTTCATGGGAGACGGAGAAGCTCTTGTTGTGACCCATAGTGAAGAAAGGGGAGGATTGGGTAGGAGGGTGAGATATGCCCAATAATTGCAATGGAGTGGTGAATTTTAAGGCGCCAATCTAGTGAGACCGTGCTGAAGGAGCAAAGGGCATTTGCTCATGTTCTGCTTGCTCAGGGCTCTGTTGATTATGCCCAGCTTGCAGTGGTGACTGTGTTGACTCAAAGTGACAGCAACTTGGGGCGCCTAGATTCCTGGCGAGGGCTGAGCTGGCGGTAGCTGCTTCGTGTTGTTCTTGTGCTAAAAGTGCGATGAGATCACACGAGCAGAGAGGCGGCCTTGTTTATGAATGATGCAAGCCGAGGGTCGATCTCAGGGTGGGATCCAGCAACTTGGCGAGGATTTACGGGCACTGGGTGGTCTGACCCTGATGAGTGTGGCAAGCAGCCCCTGGTGCAGGAACCCTGCTGTCAAGGCTTACGATGAGCCTTCTGAAGCCTGTGCTCTGCTCAGTGGGTTGGTTGCCGCGAGATGTCCTTGTTTCGTCTGAATGGCCCGCCGTGACCAGGAGATGTCGTCGAGTGCCAGAGAAGTTGAAGAGGCGTCTCTACTCGCTGGGGTGGGCTCCCTGGGATGGATATATACAAAACAGCATCGGCCAGGGCCTCGCCAGGTACATGAGGACTTGCGCAGTCTGATTGATGGGCGCTAGGCCATGCTCGCGCCTGTGCTGTTGCTGGGGCTGAAGAGAAGGGCCATGCAAGACGAGGTTGCTGTGGGTGGGGCCCTGTGGGGAGGGGGTGCGCACGCAACCACGCTTGTTATGCTCGCTGCAGGGGGGTGGTCGTGGCCATGATGCCTCCTGGCAAATCCTACTGACTGACTGACGTGGGCCGGCCGGCCTGTCCCTGATGGAGACTGTACAAAGTACGTACTGTCCTTAAACCCGACCACAAACGGGCCGTCCTCGTAGAAACATCTAGGTTGTCCTGCGCACTGGGGGTGGAGCACCGTAGCCTATGTTGCTGCTGACGCAACAGTCTGACGTGCGATGCTGTCCATATGGTGCGTGTGCGAGCGTGTAGATACTGGCCATTTGCGGACATGTCCCTGTGGGACAGTCCATAATAACCAACAGTCAGGCCATCATCTCTTCCCATCGTGTGTGCTCTGCAGACAGTATGGTATGGGTTCGCCTGGACCCTGGTCTATGCCCGGCTCCTCGGACAAGTGTAAACAGGCGAGCTCATGTGTGTCCATCACTAGTCTTGTGCCATCCTGCCACGGTTCATCAAAGTAGTGCCATCCGCAAGAACGGTCTCAATATTTGCAACGTCCGTGGTCATTGTTCTGTGCGACACGCCATGGTGCTAGGCGTGTCGATCATGTATCGGGTCGTTTGTTTGGGCCGTCACCAGTTGGCTGTCTCTGGCTACACAGAGAGCTGTGCCCGAAACCACATTTCTTGACTTGAGCTTGCTGCCTCGAGGCCAATGTGGGTGCTGAGGCCTTGGCCTCCGGGTTCTGCTGCAGCGGTGAGCCCTGTTCGTACTGGCAGGGGCCGAGCATGTGGAGTCGCGAGAGGAGGGAGGAGAGATCCGTGGATCGTGCCGTTGCCCACTCCTGCGCCCGATCCCCAGGCGAACAAGGACCCGGAAGTCCAGGGTCGTATTCACCACAGGTCGCCCACAAGCACGGGCCTGCTCACAGGCCGGTGGCCTAAGGATGATGGCACGCCGAGAAACGGCTCGCCCGCACCGTCCCTGTTGTCGTCCTGTTCCTGAAACATGCGGCCGTGGCGGCATAAATGTAAGCAGCAGTGCGAGGATTGACCACAACGAGCCTTGCCATCCCCGGTAGACGAATTCGTATTCCTGGACCGGTTAGATGTCCTGTGCTGCAGAACACTGTGTGTGGTGGTGTGAACAACATATCGACACCCCCGAGGGAGAACAGGCGTGGATGATCCTCCCCTTACCAAGGCCCCTAAGTGTGCCAAGTCACCATTCCACTGCGTACCCCAACATGGTCTGTCGAAAGTTCACAAATGCATCGCTCGCTCTCCATGCCTGTCGGTGGCCGGCGGCCTGTCAGTGTTGCAGCGGGCTTGGGGCGGCGGGTGAGGCTGCTTGAACGGTTAGATCTAGCGCGGGCCCAGTGGCTCACCGCCACCAGACAGTTCTTCTCAAACCGAGGCAGGTGGCTTTGGGGGGTTTGCTCGTTGACGCCAAGTGTGCCAATGGCGGACCACGGCGGTGGTCATTTGCAATAGATAGATAGTACTGTGCAGTCGCCCCTACCACCTCGTGACAAAGGGCTGCCTTGGCTCGGCTTGGGGTCACAATGCACAAGTCTGTCTGCAAGTCGCGCGGCAGGCACCACGTGACAACGGCTCTTCGCCCGTCGATGCCCAGTGTATGCACCTGCCGGCAGAAGAGGCGCCACGCTACAGCAGCAACAGAGTTCGCATGCCCGTCTCTTTCCTGCAGCCAAACCACACCACACCACTCCTGGCGTCGCGCTTCCGATCACACCATCACATAACGTCAGGGTCCAGCCTAGCAGAGACTTACGAGACTGAGGAACCTATCCCAGGTCTCTCCCTGCCCGGCCAGCGCATCTTCCGCTGCGACGGGAACCGTGCGCCTGAGCAGATCTTGACGTGGGGTGCGAACGTCATTCCATATACGCCCGCGTAATATCGACACGGCTAGCCTGCAACTACTTGCACGAAAATCAAGACATGTCTCTGGGCACAGCACGTGTCGACGACTTCCCGACAGGACAATGAAGTGTACCGCAGCATGGAGCACGTCAACGAGCAGGCACAATGCGGCCACCCAGTGTCGCACAGGCCGTGTGCCACTCTACAGCTACCCCCGAGCAGAAGCAGAAATAGGAGTTCCAGCTGCTGAGGCACCCACGATCAGGGGCCCCATTCTTCGTGGTGGAGATGGTTGTGGCGCGGCTGCCATGCAGACTGCGAAAAAATGAATAGGTCCGAAGTTGGGGGGCAATCGTCGGCACCGCCATGGGAGCGATGTCCGGCCGTTCTGCTCGTGGTCAGACCTCCACAACAGCCGCAAGATATTATTGTGCATGCAGAATCCCATCCCTGGACTCGAAGTTCGTATGCCGGTCGTGGCCATGCTCGAGCGTGGCTGACACGGGCGGCGATCATTGGGATCGTCAGGGCCCAGCACGGAAAGGTCTTGGGCTGCATGCATTATGTGGAAAGGGGCCCGTAACCTAGGGTGGCCGGCCATACATTCCAGCCAAGCAGCACTGCCCTGACGTATTTTCAGCCCCGAGTCGGCACGCAGACAGCATCATGCACAAGCAAGAACACAAGGAACTCACAGGCTTGACCCATTGTACGCGTTTATCGGTCTTCTCCGATGCGAGTCCAGCTGGCTAGGAGGCTGATCGACGAGGTCTTGCGCCGCCCTCCTCTGCGCTTGCTTGACCATCGATGCGTACAGCCTATCACAGCTCTCGCACGAGATTTCAGCCCTCCAGCCTCTTAGCCTTGCATTAACTAGCATGTGCAGTGCCGTATGCGGTGTCTTGGCTTTCTTCTTCCTTTCTTGTGATGGGTCTCGGCTACCACCACATCAAGAAGGGTTCAGCTGTGATCTCTAGACTTGGGTCAAAGTTCATATCTCAGCTGCTCACAACCCAGTCAGTGCCTTCGCGCGTAGACGCTGCTGTCTTCCTACCTGTGTCTCCGTCGGACTCACCACAGAATGAAACTCAAGGAAATCGATACGCGGTGACAAGCGTAGAACGGACGGCTATACGCTTTCTGCCTTGCCTGCTTGTAGCATTGTGACTGAGTAACCATTAAGTAGCAGGCCAGCCACAGCCAAAGGGTTTCGAGCGGCTTCTCAATCCCACTCCAGCATCCTTCTCATCCGTAGCAACTGTCATTGAGGTGACTGCAAAGAGCTGAGGGGCACAGAGCTCAGGTAGCTTCCGCATCAAGGGTCTAACTTGGAAGGCAATCGTCCCAGCCAACAGCCGCAGTTAAGTTCCAGTGTATGAACCAAAAGGGCACTTGGTATCCTTGTCAGGATGGGTGAGTGGGTGGGTAGACCTGGCGCCACTGACATGTCTCACCTTGCTCCGCTGTCCATCTGGCCGAAGCTTAACTGTGCATCCATTGGCGGTCTTGAATCTTCGTACTCACAGTTCCCGCAACATGAGCACGGAATTCGGAGAAGCTGAACTATGGCTGAGCTCAGCTGCTCCTACATGATGGAGAGATGTCGGAAAATACAGCATCGCGTGGCATAGGGCTGAGGACTGAAGGCTCGTGGCTGTGTTCAGGATGACACAAGCCTCCGCGATCGAAAGTGAACTCTGTTGGCTTCAGGTCCCTTCAAAACATCGCCACAATCACGATTGGCCGCCAAAGTTAGATCATGGCCTACAACAATCCTGGAAGGGAGACTTGCTTCGCCACCTCTGAGCCTGCCGCAACTGTCTGAGAGTTCCATGCCGCTGTGAAGTCGAGATTGCACCGCCTCGTCCGGTCGAGCAGTGCAATATAGAGGGAATCAAGGGAGAAACTCTAATGCCTCGCCAAGTGGAGGTCATGATGGCTTCAGGGCTACGGCGGCCGTGCCTGACTCGAGGCTGAGGAATGCTCGCCCTGATACATATTTCGCTACGCGGTACAGGACATCTCGCCTCCGCCTTTGCAAGAGTACGGCAGGAATAGTCTATCCGAGTACGTCTTTTCCAACAAAAGATTACTTAGCCCGTGTTGCGTCTCCTGGGACCACATGCCCGAAGGACTCAAGCGCAATCTTACCCCAAACTAGACCACCGTTTCGAGACGCACGTGGCAAGCGTGCCCTACCATAACCCCGTTGGCGATCGAACCTTTATATACGTCCTATATGTCAGCCACTCAGACCGATCAATTGATAACGCTTGCCTGACTCTGCGTGGCACGGCAAGCGGAATGGAAAGGACCCATCACATCCGGTTCAAGAACCTACCTCCGGCTTCCGAAATGTCTGACTGGCCGGGACTCCTAGAACTAGGGCCTAGCCAGAACAGATCCTCTTTATTCAGCAGAAGGGAAGGATATGCACCGAGATGACTGTTGCGAGCGTAAGCGGCGCTGCTTGGTTGTTGTTTCTAAAGCCGAGGCTGGTCCTGTAGATTTAGGAGTTTCGCGCACGATACCAGGCCGTCAAGTTCCTCCTCAAGAAGACAGCGCGATCTCCCGACTCATGAGGTACGTGTACTCTAACAGCGTTCGCAACATGATACCAAGGTGTATCAAGTCGCCGGACGGGACCATGTCCCAGCTCGGAAGAAGATCTTGATCATCTCGAGTCAGGCCCCCAGGCCCGCTTCGAGATCGAATTGAGCTTAACCCTTTCCGACACGGGCGCAAGGTCATGATCGTCATCGAGCAGAGGGGTGACTTGCGTAAGACGGGACCATTTATCCTCTCGGAGAAGGGCGAAGAGCACACTTCGCAAAAAAGAAAAAACCGTTGACCACGTGTGCCCTGTTGCTCGAACCACGTGGCCAGTGGCTTCTTTTAATCTCCCAGAAGCCGCACCCGCACCCCGTTTTGTCAAGCGTTCCGTGTAACAGATAGTAGCCCTTGGCATATATCTTTCCATCAAAGGAGTTCACGTGCCCCGGCAAGGCAATCTTCAAGGAGACAATAGATCAATGAAATATGCACCAGCCCAGCCCTCCTGTGACCCAGACTATCTCTCAACATGCAGTGTATAGACGAGGGGCAAAAAAGAAGAGAAAAAAAAAAAGACCACCGGAGGCAAACGAGCCAGAGTCAAACGCCACATTTCAAGCCGTGCAGTCCATCACACCTGTCGTCCCTCCTGCGTGAATATGCCCATCCACCGTCTTGCTTCATCTCGTCCCTTCGCTCTCGTATACGTTCCCAAAAGGGAAGACAGTCGGACTAAGCCTGGACCGGAAGATGCTCGGACCGCATCAGATCGCAGAGTTATGAAAGCATAGCAAATCAAGAGCGAAACAGACTAGACGGGCCACAAGCCCCGGATGGCCCAGAAGCTATAAGTATGTCCGGCAGCACCACCGCATAGGCGAGAAGGGGGCCGCGAGTCTAGCACGTCTCACTCACCCTCGCTGTCGGCGGGAGTGAGCGCGAGAAACAAGGACGTTCCTTTCCGTTAGAAGAATCAGTGCAAGGCGATCATATCCAGTTCTTTAGGCGGCACTCAGAATAAGGAAAGTCCCTCTCACATTAACCAATCACTCATACACGAGTCAGATAGGGTCAAATATATGTGTAATTCTTGCAAACACAAAAGATGATGTTTTTCCTTTATACAGAAAACCTTCTCCGAGCGCATGACCTAGGCCCTTTTTGCCATAGGCATGCAGAACATCTCCCCATTGCAGACACCACTCTATCCTTCTTTTCCATCAATATCCACTTTGTAGTAAGTTATTATTTAGGCTCCCTGTTCCACGTACTATCATGCTGATTCTTGTCGTCCACATTCTCAAAATAGGCGGACTTGTTCAGTCCGTCTTGCCGTTCGCCGTGTTGCCGAGAAGACCCTCGCGAATCTCCTTGACGGGAAGGTTCTCCGATATCCGGAAGTTGCCACGGCCACCCCGCAGACGTCCACGGAAGTATCGCAGGCCAAACAGCACAGCAATAACCACACCGCCATAGGAGATGATGGGGTGCTCAGTGAAAGCCATGCGAATGTCGAAAAATACCTTCTCAAAAGCTGAGATCGTGAGCTTGGGCTTGAGCATGGGGGGTGAGGCGGTGACCTTTGAGATGGTCTCAAGGATAGAAGTTCGAGAAGGGATGATGTAGTTGCCGGTGATGGTTTGGTCCCAGTAGCGACGGTTCTGATATAGTCATTAGTCACGGTGCTGCACACCTCACACAGTATTGTTCTTGGCCACTTACATCTTCGTCGTTGATGATAACGCGCTCGCCGTCCTTGGCATCAATGCCGTACGTTGTGCGGATCCAGCGTTGCCAGAAAGTACCGTCGACCCATGCAAAGGCGACCTCCTTACGGTCTGACCTGTTCATGTCGATGCGGATGCTCTTGGCGTTGCGCAGAGCGCGCTGATCGTTGCGGTCTTCAGCCTCCTCGATTCGGAGCTGCTTGGCGTCACGGAGATCCTGTCTCTCCATCTGGAACAGCTGGATTTGCTTGTCCATCCACTCGTTGGCGGCGCTCTTCATCTCGCGCTTAGCGCTCAAGAAGGCCTCGTCGTCCTCGCGGTTGAGAATGCCCAGAACGACGATCTTGCCGTCCATAATCTCACGAGCATTCGAGGCGGTAAGTTCAGGCACGATTGGTAGCCAGACGGATTTCATCCATGTCAGGACCTGCCGGGTGTTCCGCATCTCGTTGGGTGTCAGAGGGTTGTAGTAGGTAGGGCGGCCTTCCCTGGCCACCAGAAGTCTCGGCCACGTCGTGATCTTGAAACGCTCATACAGATGAACATCCCGCGTCTTGACAAGCTTGGCATGCCCGATGAGGCTAAGAGGGAGCCTCTCGAGGGCCAGGAAATCCTCGCTGGTGGTCGCATGATCGTAGAAATAGACAAAAATGACGTCCTCCGTCTTCTCGAGCTCCTCGAACGACGCTTGGTCAACGTCCTGAATGCCGCTGCAGATGTCGAGAGCCTTGTCGGCATACTGGAGGAAGTCGCCAAGTCCACGGAGCCCATTGTACTCGACGCGCTCACCCCCACGGAAGAAGAGGATGGTGGGGTAGCCATGAAGGCGGACGTCTTTGCAGAGTCTCGACTCCGCGTCGCAGTTGACCTCGCCAATGTTGAGCTTACCCTTCATCTCCTTGGCAAGCTGTTGCCAATTAGAGGCCATGGCCTGGCAGTGGTGGCACCATGGAGCGTAGAACTTGATGAACCAAGGCTCCTGAGTCATGGTCACGAGTTGCTGGAAGCTTTCGGCCGTAAGAGAAACCGAGATGCCTTGAGGGTTCGGCGTCGAGGTGGCCTTCGCGGGCTTGACATTGGCGGCAGCCCAAGGGTCGACCTTGGGCTTTGTCGGGGTGGCTTCCTTGGCCTTGGCGGGCTCCTTTTCCTTTACATCCTCCTTCTCTAACACAACAGTCTCTTCACCTGTTGTGGTCTTGCTGGAGGTGCCCGACTTCTTGGGTTTGCCATTCTTGGCGATATGGGCAGGCGAGGCCAAGTCTCCGGGTTCAGGCAGCTCAAGCTCTGTCGGGCGGGTGGCCGGCTTCTGATCTTTGATGTTCTTCTCAATCAGTCCAGACTCGAGTGTCATGTTCTTGTTGCCCTTGATGGCGTCCACGGCCTTTCCATCCGTGTAGAAAACAACCTGCGGGTAGGTGCTGATGCTGAGCTTGGTGCAAGTATCAGCAAAAGCGATGCAGTTCAAGTAGGCGAAGCGCAGGTCGTAATATTCTTCGAACGGAACGGTCTTGCCCGTCTTGGGGTCTTCTACTGATTGTGTGTAGTAGAACTCGTATAGTGTCTGATATGTCGGGGCGAAATCTATGCAGTGAGGACACCACGGGCTAGAGGGGTAAGGATGTCAGCCAGCGTTTCTCAAGATACAGGTCCTATGAGTTTCGTATCACAGGACCACTGTTCTGCCGCGAGGCGTCAAGGCCCACATACCTGTAGAACTTGACAACGAGGTTCTTGGAAAGGCCAAACTCCTTCTCGTAGTTGTCGCTGTTGAGCTCCAGTAGAGGAGGGACCTTCTGGTCGTTGAAGTAGGTGTTCTCGTGCTCTGGGTCCTCGGTGTTTTCGGCACCAATGGCCTGCGCAGCTCCGAGGGCGGAGGCCCCCAGTACGAGGGCTAGCGAGGCGAGCCTCATTGTCACGGCAGGCGGATACTGTCGGAAACGGCGAGGAATTCTAGAGTCTCCCTACGATACGGGATGCCTTTGAGGTCGGAGGTTATGATGTTGTCCTCGATAACATGGGGCGGGCTGAAGTGGCTGTGGCTGAGTGCGACGATGCAAGATTCGAGGTATTCCGCGGTGATGGTTCCTGGGACAATATTGGGCAGTGGCGAAGTCAAGATGCTGTGTCACCAATCGCGATGCATCGAGGCAGACGTGGTTCCGGCGGCGGTCTGGTCCGATGGACAATCGAAGGAACGGCGACGTGGCGTGGGTGCCAAAGGATGGAGCGGCGCGCGTGTGAGGCAGACGTGCGTAGTGTTGGTGGTGGTGTCGTTGGTGAGAACGGCGGAGATGGCGAGCCAGGAGCGAGGGTTCGAAGATGAGGCTCAGCGGGAAGCCCGACCAGGGACGTCGCACTTGTGGAAGGTCGCTGTCTAGCAGCCGGCGTGGTGGGCAGTGAGGCGGAGAAGGAGGCCGTTGACGTCGAGGGAGGGAGTGGTAATAGGTTGCAGCACCGGTCGGTCAGTCAGTCAGTCAGTCTGCTTAGCGCAAGGTGTACAGGTAAAGGCCAGCAAGATCAGCGACCCCTGGCGCTGGCGTGGGCACACGCAATCTTTGGCTGGCTGGCTGGCTGGCTGTGAGGATGCAGCTGGAGACGCCGCCCTGTGTGGCCGTCGCAATTAGGGGGGGGGGGCATTTCTGGCACTGCGTGTGAAGCGTGCAGCAGCCGGCTCCACCAGCCTGGAGCAGGCCAATCGCCCAGCGCGAGGCGACGTCTCCAGGGCTGGAGGGAAGCGCGCCAAGTACTTTGGCGAGGTCGATCGAGGCATGCCTGGTACCTGGTCTTGTGCCGCCCAGCCCTAGCTAACAGATGTTCTGCCAGCCCACCCACACTGGGGGGGCCATGTACATGGGCCAGCTGCTTGCCCCTGACCCGCCTCTATCTATGGCACTCCTGGGAGCTCCAATTACAGGCACGGGATTGAGAAAGCTTGGTGCAGGTGTAGGGGGCATCGCCATGGCATTTCCAAGTTTCATGCGATCTGCTCGAGCATCGGCCAGTGCTGTGTATGGTCCCAAGTTGAGTGCACCACGGTCCACGAGCCACCTGCACTGCGGTGATGACATGCTCTGGTCAATATCTCGGATGCCGGAAGCTGGTGACAAGGAATATGCCATGTTGTGCCGTTTCTGTCGCTGCTCAACATCCTCCCTGTGGCATGTGGATGCCGGTGCTCTCTGTACACATGGAAAGAGGGCATGCTCACAAGGCATGGAGCTTCAGAGGTCTGCGATACCTCAACATGTGCAATTCGTGCCCCACGGGAACACTTGTTCTTGACTCATCTGCTCTAATGCGCGCGTGCTGGATACCTCGTCATTGTGAACGCAGCCCACAAGGCCAGCCAGTCCTGCTTGCTGGTGCGATGATGGCCTGGTGCTGAGCAGGCAGCAGCACCTCCACTACTTGCTCGTCTCGCTATGTGACCGCGGAAGGTGTTGCTCGTATTCAGACAACCCTTGGGAACCCTCACTGCGATTTTCCAGGCAAGCCGACCTCACGTGCTCCAGCCAGTCGGCCAAGCCATTCACTTGCAAGGGCGACGAGCGCAATGGCGCAGACTCACACTACACCCGCAACCCTGGCCGTGATCGCCCTTTGACTTCTGATTAGCATCAATCTCGAAGTTCTTGTATCACCCCAAGGCCACACCTCGATTCATGCCATAGTCACTGCTATTGCACAATTGAGACCCCGGCCGCGCTGCAGCCCCCCAGCATGGCAGCAGAACGCCGCACCAAGCGGCAGCGCGTCGACGAGCCCGAGGACGCGGACGCCGTCTCTACCACAGCTTTGCACAGCGACAGTAGAACGCCCAGATCTCTCCGTCGTCCAATCAGTCCGCCACCATCAAAAGCTAGAAAGATAGAAGGAGAAGCCACGCGAGCTCGACGGGTACTGCAATCGCCGTTCCGGCTCACCAAGATCCGCGACCTGGGCCCGGACATGAACGTGGACACAATCTCTCTCTCGGACCTGCTTGGCGACCCGCTCATCTCGGAGTGCTGGCAGTTCAACTATCTCCATGATGTCGACTTTACCATGTCTCATTTCGATGAGGACACGCGGGGTCTGGTCAAGGTGCACGTTGTCCATGGCTTTTGGAAGCGGGACGATGCGAACAGGGTCGCGCTGGAGGTACGTGTGGCACCAAGCAATATCCGTGACGCAAGACTCGTCTTTTCAAGGCATGGATGACACTGAACTCGCCTTATGTAGGCTCAAGCATCACGTTACGGCAACGTCAAGCTACACGCGGCTTACATGCCAGCAATGTTCGGCACCCACCATTCCAAGATGATGATACTCTTTCGGCACGACGACACAGCCCAGGTCATCATTCACACCGCAAACATGATAGCCAAGGACTGGACCAACATGACGAACGCAGTCTGGCAGTCGCCACTCCTCCCCTTAGTCAATCGTCCGTCAGGACAGACCTCGGCAACGGGCGGCGTGTCATCCCTCGTCGTCGGAAGTGGCGAGAGGTTCAAACATGATTTGCTCAGTTACCTCAGAGCTTACAACTCAAGACGTAGTGTATGTACCTCGCTTGTGGAGGAGCTTAACAAGTACGACTTCGCGGCAGTCCGCGGAGCGCTCATCGCCAGTGTGCCGGGAGTACACGAGATCGAACCCGACGATGGGGAGACCTGCTGGGGCTGGGCGGCAGCGAGGAAGACGTTGAGATCGGTTCCCATCCAGGCCGGGCGCAAATCAGAAGTCGTTGTGCAGATCTCATCCGTGGCCACTCTCGGGCCGAGCGATACGTGGCTGCAAAAGACCCTGCTGCATTCCTTGACCTCGCCGACAAAGACTTCAGAGAAGCCTGCATTCCGTATCGTCTTCCCGACGCCTGATGAGATCAGGCGGTCGCTCGACGGGTACGCATCAGGAGGCTCGATCCACATGAAGATTCAGTCTGCCCAGCAGGCCAAACAGCTGCAGTACATGCGACCAATGCTCTGCCACTGGGCCAACGATGCCGACAAGGGCCAAGGTCAGTCTTTTGGGTGGACGACTCGCCTGAAGCAATGGACGATTCACTGACCAGAACCATACTGCAGTCTTGCCCGGCAACCACCACGAGGCAGGTCGACAGCGAGCGGCTCCACATGTAAAGACATATATCAGGTACCACGAAAACAGCAACACAATGGACTGGGCGCTTCTCACTTCGGCAAACATATCCAAGCAAGCTTGGGGGGAGGCGGCCAATGCAGCTGGAGACATCAAGATTGCGTCGTGGGAAATTGGCGTCATGGTCTGGCCCGAGTTGCTGACCGGAGAACCCGAGACCATGATGGTGGGAACATTCAAGGCTGACAGCCCCTCCGAAGAAGCACTTGGTGAGATCCCCAGTGCAACGCTGGTAGGGCTCCGCATACCGTACAATCTTCCCTTGCGCCGGTACGCCGCAACCGAACTCCCGTGGGTAGCAACTGCAAGCTATTCCGAGCCCGACTGGAGAGGGCTTACTTGGACTAAATGACATGGGTGAGGGATCAGATTCGGGGAACCTATAAGCGCACAGAGTGGCATCAAAGTCGTACTCGGGACCCCGAGCCGCACAAGGCCCCGGTGATTCGAGAGCGTAACAAGAGCAGGCTGTTGGTCACTCTTGCGGTTGGAGTCTCACATCATAGCAACGCGCAGCGTTTGGTCATGAAGCAGTGTATTGTGCATTCGGGGTATTCATGTTCTGTGTATCATTTACGTGACCAGCATCCCAAGGCTCGTCGACATGGACAATGGGAATGCTGCGTCGTATTCTTCGGGTCTTCCACTCGTTGATCTCGAGCGAGGCGTGAACTTTGTTGTGGTAGGCGCGTTTCGCAGTGGTAACAATTGTGTGGTGACGGAGAGACATTCTGGCTGGGCAGCATTTACGCGCCGACAGCCTCGGGCTCCTTGCTGGCGTCGAAGCCGCACGACGCCTTCAGGGCCTCGACCTTCTCGACGTACGCCTTCTGCGCATCCTCGGCGGAGATGCCGCTCTGGACCTTCTTCTCCCAGGCGGAGTACTTGGCCTTGTTCTAAATTGCGAGGAACGATGAGCGTTAGCGGACGAGGCGTTTTCCTTCTTTTTTTTGTGATTATGAGAGAGCTGTGCTCATGCTCCTGGTGCTGCCCTGCGCATCTCGCAACGCGGCCAAAGGTGGGGGCGACGTGCGTGTCGTTCCTTGCGCGCGCGAGACGGCGCTGAAGTGCGGGGGACAGTCGTTCGTTGTAGAGCTTAGAGCTTCATTGGCTTACCTTGAGGTCGAACATGCCGGGCTTGGGAGCGGCGCTGAAGTCCTCGCCATTGGCGATCTTGTAGAGAGCTGCAGGCGAAAAAGACGAAAAGGTGTCAGTCGAGAGGTCTGCATGACGCAAGTCTTGTTCATGGCGCGCCGTCCCAGTTCAAGGACACGGCTTGGGGGGGGGGGGGGTTTGAGGCTCACCGTAGAGCTCGAGGAGGTCGAAGCTCTCAGGCTTGGAGGTCAACTTCTTGGAGTCGACGACGGCCTTCTGGAACTCGGGGCTGAGAGACATTGTGGCGGAGGGTATGGGATGCTAAAGGTGGCGGTGGAGGGAAAGGCGGGAGGATGTTGTTGTTGTTGTTGTTGTTGTTGTTGTTGTTGTTGTTGTTGTTGTTGCGAGAAGACAAGGAGGGAGGGGATAGGCTGGGGGGCAAGTGGCAGGTCGTAGTCTTTTCTACTCTAGCACCGAGTGGGTGACTTGAACTGACCGACCACATGCACCGAGGTCAGGCCCAACTCCGCTACCCCTTGGGAGGAGGCAGGGACGGATGGATGGGTGGAGAGGGGTTTCCTTTCCTTCCCGATATGGGGTAATCTCAGGGCACACAGAGCAGGGAATTCGGTAGCATGTGCTTTGTGCGTTGTCGTGGGCATGCTTGGCTGATGGTTTGGTGATCCGTGCCGGAGCTTGGGATATGTCAATCGTCCCTGCTTCTGTCTGCTTGGGTGTCATGTCATGTTACTAAGCGACGGCTTGTCTCATGGCAGGCGGTGTCATGATTCCTTTATTATTAGCAGCAGCAACTGCAACAGCAGCCGCCCAGGTGATCGGGGGGACTGTGCCACCAAGCGACGACGCTCGCGAGAGCCGCAGTCGTGGGGGAGACCCGCATCGTCACTTGGGCGAGAGCTTAGCTTGTGCTGCATTTGTTGTTGGGACATTTTAAGTGGCACACCAAGGGGGCCCAGATGGCGGGGTTGGCCTACTTACTGGCGTCATATGTTGAGCTTCTCTGTAGCAGGAGCTCCGGGCTGGGTCCAGGCTCAGGGTCAGGAGGACTCCCAGAATGGCGGCGGTTCCAGGCTTACTAAGGAGGGGGCTACGCGCTGTCTCCTTCGGAGTCTTTGCTGACCCGGGCCAGGAGCAGCTAAGAACAAGACCGTCAAGTCCCCTGTATTACTTGTCACTGGCAGTCCTGGCACATTTCAACGATGGCCAGCTGTATTCTAGCTGCAGGAGACGCTTTGCCTTGCGACAGGAAGTCGCCGCCTCGCTGTCCACCACGTCTGGCTGCTGGTTTGCGCAACGAATCATCTAGCCACCAGGGGCCCGACGGGAATGTGTCCTGGCTCCATCGAGAGTGAAGATGTTGTTGGTGATGATCAGGGGCCTGGCAAAACGGTCTTGGGTGAGACATGGCATGAATGTGTCGATCGGCCACAGAGGAAGGCAGTCTGTGTTCAGCTCTAGAGTCAGCCTCGCCAGAAGGTGCGACTGGGATGCTGCACTATATAGGTAGCCTCGCATGCTGTGCTGTGCCTGGCAGCCATCTGATAAGGGCCCCCTTCTTTTTCTTTTTCACGTGTCGCGCTTCAGGCACAAGGGAGGTTAGGGTTGGCAGCACTGCAGCGCCGGCACGTGGTTCGGGCCCGATTGTTCCCAGCAGTACGCCCGAGCCCGGATTATGGACTGCGGCCGGAGAATGGGCACAGCCCCGCAGAATTGCCCGTCGACGTTGACGGTGTCGGTTCGTTGCAAGCGCCGACCGCCGACTGCGCTCCCAAGGTTCGCCAAGGTAGGTAGGCAGGATTGAATTGATATGCCACGGCCACATCCCGCAGCAGACAGCCCCGACTCGAAGTGCACCGATTCAGAATGGTCCGCCGTCTGGGAAGAGGAGAGCCCGGAGGAGGGCCGTCCTCGGAGACTTTTGAGGCGCGCCGCATGCAGGTGCTGCAGGAACGAGACCAGGTGTCACCTCTTCGATACACGAGTCCTCAAACAACCAATTCCACACACATTTCCACTCCTAGCAATGGAGCCCGTGATCAATTCTGCTAAACATGCCTGGGCCTCTGTTCGGCGATAACGCTTGCTACATATCAAGAACAACTCGCGTCAATATTGGCTAGCTCTCGGAGAATCCGAATCATGGGAGCTGCCTGTTGCCTCTGCCCAGCTGGCTCTGCCTAAACCAGATGTCCCTGGTTTCCGCGATTGAGAGGCTTTTGGGCGAGGTGCAGTTGACGGTGAGATCTGTGCTCGCCGCAAGTGGCTCATCACTGTCGATCATGAAGCCCAGTACTTCAAGGAGCTCTCCCCGCAATCCCATCAGCCATGGGTGGACGACTGTCACATAGTCGCGGATCGTGGCAAAACCACCGTCTGGGCCGTCATTCAAGGCCGCCACCTGTACCGTGACACTCTTGTCTCGGGGTATCTCCGTCCCACAACACTCGAGCAGCTCCGTACTATCAGCTCGCGCGTTGTCGTCGTCGTTATCGTCACCATGCGCTACCGGTAAGCGCAGGTCCTCGTGCTCCGCGTGATATCCAAGCCACTGCTCTTCCCAATCGTCGAGCTCAAACACCTGCACAGCGATGGAAGATAGCCTGGGCTCGCTGATAGGAAGTTGAGCGATAGGGTGCCATTCACCACTCTCCTGGTCGTATATGGGCTCCTTCAGAACAACGTCATCCTGGATTGAGAGTACGGAGATGGCAGTCTCGAGGGGCCCGTCCAGGGACCAGAATATGTGATTGAGGGCGGAGGAGGATCTCTCCCATCTCCCCGCGGCAGTGTGCTCCTCGTAACTGGGGTATGGAAATTGGGTCTGGTGCGGCGCAGCTGGCAGGTTGAGGTGATACTGGGTGTCTGCGAAGCGGCCTTCTTGCCCCACCATGGCGCTTGGAAGAACAGCAGTCTGTCTTGTACACGATACCTGCGCACAGTAGGGCGCGCCGTCCTTAAGCATTCTCTGGTTGTCGCTCCTGCTTGCAGTCTATTGATTCCCCAGCAGCGCCTTTTGTCTCCTCTGTGTAGTCAAGCAGGTGTCTTGGGCAAAAGGCGGCCGCTGATTGGCTGCAGCGAGCCGTCTGGCATCCCCCCCCTGCATCGTTGCTGAATTGAGTTGTTGACTTATGTCATCCCCGCGCGGTAGCTTAGAAATTGCTGGGCGCCACTGGTTGGTCATCCGTTGACCAATCTCTCTGCAGCAGGGGTCCTGGAGCCCCGGCGACTTTTAGGTTGTGCCCAGAAGCTGGAATGAATCAATTGCCGGTGGGATTGCATGCACCGGCCGGTATGGCTGCATTTGCCAACAGATGGAGGAAGCCTGCAAAGACCGGACTGGGCTGGCTTGGAAATCGAGGGAATCCGGGGTCTGCATGTGGTCGTGCCGGCCTGCCTGCCTGCCTGCCTGCCTGGTTGCAGTAAGGGTGCTGCCCGCAGCAGGAGCATGTGGGGCTCGGGGCAGGCCCGGGACCGAGACATGCCGGTGGGGCCCGCCGGCACGGGCACTGGATGAGTCCATGATGGACACTTTCGAAGAGTGCACCACGACACGCAACTCTCCGCGAAGGCTAACCATCTCCTCCATATATTAAGAGGCGGCCCTGCTGCTTCTCCTCGGCCGTGTCTCTGATACTTCTCGCTCTCATCACTCACAACAACACTCAGTTCCAACAATCAAACCTCGGTCACAAACTCGGGCTCTGCTCCAACCACCACCAGTCGACTTACACACACACACCCACACACACACAACTGGCACAACCACCACCACCCGCCACAATGCCTACCATTGTCATCCTCGGAGGCGCCTACGTCGGCGTCCGCGTTGCCCACAGCCTCCTCAAGACCACTGCAAAGACTGTCAAGGACCTCAAGATCATCCTCGTCTCAAAGGTACGCTCCCATCACCTCGAAAACACCACAGCCAATCAAGCCGCAGAGACAAGTCTAGAGACCGCAATGCTAAACAATGACCCTCCAGAACTCCCACTTCTACTGGAACATGGCCTCGGTCCGCCTCGTGATCCCCGGTCAGCTCAAGGAGGAGCAGTACGCCGTCCCCATCGCAAAGGGCTTCGAGCAGTACCCCGCAGAGTCCTTCCAGCTCATCGTCGGCTCCGCTGAGGGCCTCGACACCGACGCAAAGACCGTCTCCGTCAAGGTCGGCGACGCCGAGCAGTCCATCTCGTACGACCACCTCGTGCTCGCCACGGGCAGCCGCTACGTCGATAGCAACGTCCCCTGGAAGGCCAACGGCACCTACGAGGAGCTCGCCGCCACGATCAAGAACGTCCAGGAGCGCATCGCCGAGGCCAAGGAGATTGTCGTCGCCGGCGCCGGCGCCACCGGCATCGAGCTGGCCGGCGAGATCGCCTTCGAGTACGGCAAGGAGAAGAAGGTCACCCTGCTGAGCGGCGACAGCCAGATCTTCGGCGGCGACTCGGTGGCCTCCAGCGCCGCCAACGAGCTCAAGAAGCTCGGCGTGGTCATCAAGACGTCCGCCCGCGTCGCCAACACCACCACCCTCGCCGACTCTGGCAAGACCGAGATCGCCCTCGAGAACGGCGAGAAGCTCACTGCCGACCTGTTCCTCTCCGCCATGGGCGTGGTGCCTAATTCCGAGTACATCCCCGCCAAGCTGCTCAACGCCAAGAAGTTTGTCGAGGTCGACGAGACCTACCGCGTCACCGGCGCCGCCGACGTCTGGGCCGCCGGCGACGTCGTCGCCAAGCCCAAGGCCACCTTTGTCAACGGCGACTTGCAGGCCACCGGCCTCGCCAAGAACATCGACCTCGTCCTCAAGGGCAAGACCCCCGCGGCCATCTCGCTCATGCCGTTCGACGTTGCCGCCGCGTCCGTGGGCCGCAACCGCGGTGTCGGCCGCATGGGCGTGGTCAAGCTCTTCTCCTTCATGGTCTACCAGATGAAGGGCAAGACGCTTGGTATCCAGAAGATGCCCGGCTACCACAACGGCAGCTCCTTTTAGATGCATGCTGCATCTGCGGAATGAGAAAATGGGTTTTTTTTTTCTTTCAGCGAGCGAATGAGACAGGGGCGCCGTGGGGAGCTACAATGTCTAATCGAGAGAGGTCTCCCCCAAGAACGAGGCCATCTCTACGGCGGTGGTGGATGGACGTGCGGCAATCAGCATATAATACTTTCTTTTAGACTTCTTCTAGTTGTTGTTACGATACCCTGCTTGGTAGGCATTTATAGAAACCTCTTTTTTTTGTCCATTCTTGCAATCCTTTGATGCCTCCTGGCTGGTGATAATGTTTCTTGTGCACTTGTGGGTGCTAGGCTCGCTAGCTGTTATAGAATTGGAATTGAGCAGCCGTATCATGGTCAAGAGTGAGATAAAAATCGAGGTTTCGGCATCCCCAAGTAAATTCTCGTCACAGAGTTGTCCCATGCTTCTTCTATTCACAACCACCGGGGCCTAGGCCAACACCAGAACAACAGAAATTATATACACTTTCCTTCCCTTCCTCTTTCCTTCCGTACGAACCCCCCAATCACAAACCCGGGTAGCACCGTAACCTCCTCCCAAATAGACCTCTTTCCACTTCTTCACGACGTGCACCAAACTTACCGATTCGCCTTCTCATCCTCAATCTCGCGCCGGAGCTGATCAAGGACCTTGAGTCGCGAGCTTAGGTGCGCCTCGAGCCCGTCAATCTGCTCCTGCACGGTCGTCAGGTCCTCCCGGACCGACTTGAGGTCGCCGCCGGCCTTGACCTTGCCGGACCCTTCCTCGAGCTCGCGCGCCTCCTTGCGCTTGTAGTCGAGGAGCTGCTCCAGCTCGCGCTTCACGAGGGCCGGCTTGCTATCGCGCGACCCGTTGGCGCCTCGCCCCGCGCGGATGTTGGCCTGCTCCTCGATCCGGGCCATCTTGTCGTCGAGCTCGGCCAGCTGGCGCTTCAGCCGGACCTCTTCCCAGTCGTCCGTCTTGGCCGTGCTGAAGTCTGTGCCTTGCGCCTTGAACCCGCTCCGGCCCAGGCGCGTCAGGTACTGGTCGCCAAACTTGGCCTTGCGCCCCGTAGACGTCGACTCGTCAGACTTGGCGGCCCACCGCGCGGCCGCGGTCGACTTGTTGCGCTCGCTGTCCAGCTGGTAGTCGATCTGGTTGCGCTCAAAGGAGGAGCGCAACGAGGCTGGCACTGTGCGTGGGATACGGTACCCATCGTGCCGGTTGTTGAGGATGTGCAGAAATGCTAGGCATGCGTCCTTGTTGACCGTCGAGGCGGCTTGCGGGTTGATGAGGTTCCATGCTGATCGGATGTCCGTGTCTGGCACATCGAGAGATTCGTAGAGGTCCTGGAGTGAGGTGACTGTGGAAAGTCGTTAGCAGACGAGACTCAAGTCTCCGGGTAGCGGCTAGTTCCGCCTGTGACCTAACGTACATGATACCTCTCCGCGCATGTCTCTGTTCTCCTGGTATATGGACTCGTACTTGGACTTGTCCGCAGGCTTCATGTACCAGTCGAACCCGTCCTTAAGCCCCGGCTCGTCGAGATCGTCCTCGACTCTCTCGAATTGCACCTGCTTGCCCGTAACGGCGCGGTTCGCCTGCACCAGGTGCGACTTGGACTCGGGCACGAGCCAATCTGGTAACGTCGTCGGAACGTCTGCATACTCCTACACATCCAGGAACAACTCACGAGTCAGTATTCTGACACGCATCACCGAGAAGCGCTGGGCAACCGCGAAGGCCAAAAGCCAGAGGCCGGGAAACTCACCCCATTCACAATGTCGAAAATGATCCGCATCCCCACGCAAAACTCCTCAAAGTCGAGGTTGCCGTCATTGTCAATGTCCGCGACGTCCCAGATGCGCTCGAGCTGGTCGTCCCGCAGGCCGCTGTTCTTGAGCAAGGGCGCGGCCTGCTCGCCCGTGAGGTGCGTCCCGCCATTGGTGCGCGTGCTGAAGATGTTCCAGTACGTCTCAATCTCGGAGGGCTCGATGCGTGGTGCCATGGTTGCGGTCGAGTGTGCGTGAGTGTGTATCGTCTATGGTACGGAATGTGATTGGCAAAAGTTGTCGCTCTACGTAGGGCTGCCTGGTGCCGGGCCCCCCTTTCTGCGATTGCTGCCGTGAAGGAGCGAGCGACTGCGGGATGTTGTCGACCGTCACTGCGCAATTCAGCTCTGCCTGGGTGCTGAGTCAGGCGGGTGGCTTGAAGCAAGTGATGTGCCGGATTGGACAATTCGCAGAAGACGGTCGGCGGTTTCGTCGGCCGGAAGCTTGTCCTGCCACGCAAGCTTGCGCCTGATAAAGCAAGCTAATCGACGAGGCGCGATCGCCCAATCGTGCAAAGGCTTAGGGTATCGTATCGGTTCAGCTGCGGGGGAACTGGTGCTGAAGAATGTGTGCTGCCTGGGAGGCTTGGTCGGCGTCGTTGTGCGTCGAGGTCGCAGTCAATAGGCCGTCGGCTGTGGATGAGCGTTGGTGATGATGGTGGTTGGCAGCAGCCCGGGCTGCGTACGTAGCCGCCTGCAGCGAGGGCTCTCCGCAGGTTCCACTTACGTGTGTGTGGTGGGGGAAGCTGTGGCAGCCCCACTTTTCTGGGCGACCCCTGCACCAACGACTTACACGACGCCCATTGCGCGATGACGGAATCACTGGGAGAACGGAAGGTTGAATCTAGAAATTGGATGAGGCTACTGACTATTTTCTTCGCGAAGAGTGGACCTGCTCTAGATAAGGAGCGGGAGATCTCGCTGGCTAGTGTCTCCGCTGACCTGAATACTACATCCGTCTATACAATCGTGCTCTTCTATCATAAATCGTCCATCTCATGTTCTCATGACGGTCGCATTATCCCTTCATCCCGGAGGCCGAAATTGCGCTCAGCGTTGCTGGTAGAGCCTCCTGCGAGATCATTCTCTTCAAAGCACTTCTATGCTTGGGGGCCTGTCATGGCCTAATTCATCCGTCTATCAATGCAGTTGTCAAAATGCTAAGCTTGTCTCTGGTCTGGCGGGCTCTGTTGAAAGCTGAGTATCTCCTCATTGACTGAGTGGCTTTCTTGCTGGACCACTCCCCATTCGTTGGTCAACTCATCATCATGGGCCGTCGTGGTATCCTGTGTATGTGGCGGGTGACTTGTTGATTCCTCGCACGTCTTCTCGCGACCCCGTTGTTTTCTCCAGGGACGTAGTTTGTTTCTCCTTGAAGATAATCTCTCCTTGCGTTGTGGTGAGGACCTGTTCGAGGTTTTCCAAAGGACCCAGTCTGGTTCCCCTTCATCTCTGTCGCTCTTCTTCAGTCATCCGAAGCAGGTTCATCAATAATCTCGATGTACTCTGGCACCCGCGATCCCTGTGACTGCGGCGGCGTCTGGAGACCAGTAGGCTGGTCCGAACCAGATTGCATCGGCACACTCTCAGGAGGGAATGCTGGTGTTGTAGGAGTCGGCAACTGCGAGCCCGGGGGCGCGGCGTGCTGGAAGATGCTTGCCGCCACGCCCTGAGCCATTGCTGGGTTTGCGCCCATGCTGGCCGCCAGATTGTTCATGACGAAAGTGTGCATCAGGTTGTACTGCCAAGGCTGCAAGGCCTGAGGCGTGAAACTAGCTGTCGGATTCTGTGGAGCGAGAGCTGGCATGAACGGCATGGGATGCTGAGCCGGAGATGTATTTGTCTGTGGTAGAACTGCTGGAGGCAGTCCGTGGATGCGAGCGCCGGAGGGCAGACGCGCCATGGCAGCTGCAACCTCCGAGGGAATGTGCATCGTGAACAGCTGCTTGCCGGTCACCGGGTCGATGCCGGCAGGCACAATACCCGGCACGTTTTCCACAGGCATCTGGCCTTGAGTTGTTGCGTCCTGCGCACGACGACTGGCAACACTTGCATCAGAATCATGGCCGCTGGAGTAGTCATCTTCCGATGAGTCGCTGTGCGATACGTGCTTAGGGGAGGTTTGTCCACTCTGCTTGCGCTGATTGTTTTGCTTGACTTTGTTCTGTTGAGAGGAGGTCTTGCTGCCTTCACTCGCAATAGACGGTTTGCGAGTCGCCTGCTTCTTGCGGCTACGGCCGTCGTCGTCATCATCGTTGGCTTCGTTTGGACGCTGTCGCTTGCGGTTCAGCAAGGGCTGCTCCATCTCGAGTTTGACGGGAGCTTGCACCTGCTTTTTCTGGGTCTGGATGTGCACCTGCTTCTTGCTGCGTTTCGCGTCTCGCTTCTCATCTTCAATGTCGACAGACAGTTGACGCTTGCGGCTTGGCGGGTTGTTCTCCGACTTGATTTTCACGACGGCTGGTGTAGATCGAGGAGCAGCCACTTTCTTTTGTTGCTGCACCGGCTTATTTCCCCAAGCAGCGCGTGACTTCTTACACTTCTGCGGCTGTGCGCCAGCCTTTGAGGCCCGGTTGATGGGGGCGATAGCCTCTGTCTTCTTCTTCTGTGCCAGGGTCACGGCAGGCTTGGTGTTCTCCTTCTTGATGGTGGGAGCATTGGCTTTGGCCTTCTTCTTTGGCCGGACCGCAGCGGTCTTCTTCGGCTCGACCCATTCTTCGTCGTCGGAGGCCGGTGCTTGCGTACGCTTGGGTTTGGGCTTCGATGCTCGGCTCGCCTCTTCCATGGCGAGCTGCTGCTCTTGATGAGCCCTAAAGTCGAGCTCTTCCTGTCTGATCTCTCTCTGGTCTTCTGAGACTAGCCACTCTCGGTACGGCGCGAGCGTCTCCTGCGCCTCGCTGAGGATCATCTTGCGTTTGAGGGAACGGCCATCCTGGCGAACAAACACCGTCCTGGTGATGGATGATTTTGGTGTGCTTGCGCGACTGCTTGTCAGGGATCCGGCAGCGTCCATTGGCAGCTTGTCTGATGGAGCTTCATCTGTCGCCCCAGATCTTGTGACAGTGGTGGCCGTAGCAGTTTCAATGACTGTTGCCTCAAGGCCGGGCATGTCTGTCTTGCGGAGTGCCTCGATGGTCGCACTCGAGATGTCGCGAACCATTTGCTGGAAACGGTCTTCTGTGAGATGGCTGGGCTTAGCCTCGACCGGTGCTTTGGCTGGAACATCGTACTCGGCTCCATGCATCTCTATGGATAGAGCCGTCTCGGTGATGGCGGGTGGCTCCATGCCTCGTGCCATATAGTACCGGCCATTCTCACACTTCATGTCGACATCTTGCCCCTCGCCAACGATGACCTCATGCACACCAGGCTCCGTGACACGTGGCATGAGCTGCAGATCACGAAAGATGGCAGCCGGCTGTGACAACTTCATTCTCAGAATGAAGTCTTCGCGGAAGTCGAGCTGATGCTGGGCGTTGAAAGCACCTCGCTGCAGGCCGTGGGTGATGATGGTGTACCAACCCCCTGCTCCGTGTGCGACAGGACCTGCGTCAGAAGAGGCTGCTTTGCCAAAAGGTCTGTCGAATGTGACACTCCGGCCCGAAGGGCCAGTAACGTAGAAGCCCTTGGGTAAGTAGAATTGGATGAAGCCGGGGAAGCCATGAAAAATCTTGCCGACTTGCTCAAGGCTCGAGTTTGTCTCGTACCGCTGCGGTCCTACAGGTGCTTTGCCACCTGCGGCCCATGATTTGTGGAAAACCGAGTTGACGAGAGTCGATGCCTGTGTGATGGTGTCAGATGGGTTGACGACCGCGTCCGTTTGGCTGTGCTTCTCCTCCTCGGTCAACGTGATGACCGGCTCTGTGTCCTCTGCGGTGGCTGTCAAAGAGGCCGCTGTGCATAGCAGGATCTCGTCCCCGTCTTTCTTCTCGAACAGACGGGTATAAGCTTCCGGGTAGATGAAGGTATATCTTCCAGCCTCCTCCAAGTGCTTGATGCCTGTCATCCCATACATGAAAGATCCACGTGGCAGATCAATGTAGCGGAAGAGCAGTCTCTCATTGGGCTTGCCCTTGCCACCAGCCCGGACACGAAAAGCAGCGAATGCCTGGTTGGCTGCCTTTGAGCCGCCGCTGGGCAGCCACTTATCCTGGACCTCGGGGAACCCAAAGTAAGAGGTCTCAAGCAGGTTGCGCTGTATATGGTACGCGCTTTGTGTGATCACAGGGAGAAGAAAGCTGCGGTCGATTTTTACGAGATAGTCTCGTGCCTCGCGAACAATGTTTGCGAGGAAACTGTCAGTTGAGTCAGTGAGTGTAGACTCGTCTCTGTTGGGAATGTAGATTGATTCTGAGGCCAAGACCCTACGGCGATGGACCGAGTACCGCGTGGCGAGTGATTGTGCAATGTCACTGTCAAGGGCGAGGTCGTCCATCGCCTTCCAGAAGACGGCCTTGCGAGTTTCTGCTGCAGAGAGAGCTGTGTCTTTGTGTTCATGCAGCTGGTAGTCCGTAGCGACTTTAACGAGGTAGTGTTGAGCCTCTTTTGGCAGCTGGCACCATAGAGCAATGGCGGTTTTGACCTGAAGTGCATAAGCGAGGCCATGAATGCATGCCTGTGGCTCTTCGCGGGTGAAAATGGGCGTGTCTGGCCAAGGACCGAGAAAGTCCGGCTCCTCGTAGACATTGATGGTCTCGCATGCGAGAGGGTCGATCTTGAGCCGTGCGATCGTGTCAGCGTTGGTGTTCGAGGGAGTGTCAAGCTCCATGCAAGTGGGCACAGCAGGTTTGCTGTACATCGGACGTATGTCTGTGTCGAGTGTGGGAAACAGCTCGAAGATGTCTTCATCGTAGTTGCTGCTCGTGTCGGTGTCCATGTCTGGCTCGGGCGAGTGCACCGTCATAGCCTCAAGCTCGTAATAGAAGGCAAGGTCCACCATGTTAGAGGACGAGTTTGTTCTGGGATCTCGGTTGGGAGGTTCAATGAGCCTGCATTGCGGCTATATATGCGCTCTTGCCTGGGTTGTCGAAAGGCCTGAGAGTGTTCAAGATTTCTTTCAAAATATAGGAGGCTGGCTTTTGGCTGGCTATATCTTTTGCTTGAGATGATCAAGGGTTTGGGTGTTTTAAATGATCAGTTGAGATTGGCGGTGATAGTATGAAATTTGAGGGCACGAAATTGTCCAAATTTGTGATTGAGCTAGCCAAAGGGGAACCGGCTTTTGTTTGGTACAGGACTGAGAGAGAGAAGTCAGCGTTGTCTCTGACTTGCCAGGCACACAGAGTTCTCACTCAGCCCCAACGGGATGCGTTGGTCGACAACTGTGTAGGTGAGGCAGGGATGCTTACCGTTTGCGTGAGCTTGCATCTAGCCAAGCGATGATGTTCCCGGAGAGTATAGACGAGACCTTGAAGGACTCTTTCTCGCGCTGCGCGGTAGGGGCCAATTGTACGAGGTGAGGGTGTAGTGAAGTTGTACGTGAGGTGGGTCGCGGAGGAGACGCCTCGCTATCCGTGGTAGCTTGTCTCAGAAGAATGAAGGGGAAAGAGGTATATGTTCGCAATGTTCCCCTCTTCGCAATCTCAAGTTGAACAATGGCAACTGCTCGAGAGGGAGAGAGAGAGGGTGTATTGAAGACAGAGACGAAGAAATTGGTAGATGTGGTTGCGTGGTGCTTGGCTGCAGGCAGTCGAGGAGGAGGGGCAGCACGAGGTGGGATATCGAGAGGTTGGCCTGGCCTGGCCACGACAGTTTCGGCACCGAGAAAGCAACGAGACCAAACTAGACTGTCCGAAAGTCGTCTGCCCGACCTGCAATGGTGGAATTCCCTCCTTCAAGTGGGATGAAGCGCGGGGTCGAGCGACGTAGAGGAGGCTGGTTCTGCCCACCCGAGGGTGATCCCCAGGCATCACTTCTGCCACACTAGCCAGCCAGCGAATGCCACCGCGGGTACGGCGGTCAAGGAACAAGAGTGATGTCCCGCCGACAAGGCTTGTCAAGTCATTGCCTTGTAACTGCGCCTGAGCATATTCCATGTGTCCATAGTCGGATGGCCACAACCACGCGAGAGGAGCCACACGCGAGTGTGGTCATCAGCCACAAAGCCGCAAACCTGCCCACCGCACCAGTCCCCAAGGCTGTGAGGCGCCTTTGACCATAAGCACCAACATGAGTCCAAGCACGGGTATATCTGAGGAATGAACATAAGATGAGACTGGATCGACGTAAACAATTACCTCGATCGCTTGTATTATAACTCTGATGTAATGCGAGAGGCCCGAGACAGAGAGCCAATGCTAGAAACATGTGAAGCCTCCTCACCAACGCCGGCTGGAAAGACGCAAGAATGCAATGCACTGAAGCCACTGGTGCAAACCGAACACCAGCTCCATCTGATGAAGATGCTCCTGGAAGTCTCTATAATCACCCTCCCGGTTTCAAACATCGCCTGTGTGATCGACGAAAGGCACAAAATGTGGCCGATCTCGATATCTGTCAGCATCGAGGATACCATCGTACGTAGCTGAAGCATCGACACTTTCGTCTTCGCCGTCCACATGCATGGCGTCCTCTATTCCTCGCTTATGCGCAAAGTTGCTGCTGCCGTTGTTCAAGCTGTTGCTTACAGCCAAGACATTGGCGGGGTTCATATGGAACGTGTTGACTGTACGTTGCGCTTCAAGGATGCCTTGATATGTATTAAGAAGCTGCTTGAGGTTGTCGTCGAGGCTGACGGAGAAGCGTCGGTACTGCACAAATTGACAGGCCGCGAAAATGTCGAGTCCAAACACGGCCATGAGATACGCCACCACCACGGCAGCAGACCGATCATTGCCCGACTCGCAGAAGACGAGCACCTTGCCGCGCTGGAAGTTATGCTGGTCGATCACCATGCTGCTGTCCTCTCCACCAGTAGTCTGCATTTGCTCATGCTGGCCGTGGCCGTCGTTCGAGACTGCCTGCTCCCTGTATATGCGGAGCATATGGTCATTGATCTTGCGCACGACGCTGGGGAACGCGCGGATAAGCTCTTGATTGTCAGAGACGTCGACGTGCTCAGCCTGGATGCCCAGTTCCTCGGCGACGCGATGGACACTCAGCAGCTGCACCTCGGCCATCCAGGAAGTGCGAGCAGCAAGCAACATAGTGAAGCCATTGTCCTTGAGCCACTGTCGGTCTTTCACGACGCTGGATGGGCCAAGGTAGAGGAAGTCGAGAACTGGCTGAGCTTGCCGGCGACTCTGCCACGTCCACTTAAGTGCCGAGTCTGTCGCGATCTGCTCCTTGCCGTTCTGAGTGATGATCTGGAGGTCTGATGCGCTCAGAGCGGCCGGATCGACATTTTCGAAGCTGGGGACTATCGTGATGGGCTGCAACGCTCTGTTAACAGGCACAGCTGGTATGTTAATCCCAGGTGGACTGGGTGGTCTGGACGAGAAGGGTGCCGCTGGAGTCGCCAGAGGGCGCCTGGTCTCGGCTGGACCCATGATGGCCCCGGGCTGCCCGGCTACCGATAGACTAGCTCTGCGCCGGGTGTCACGAGTACGTGAGATGGTAATGGGCAGATTTGAGATGCTTGTAATGAGGCGCCCGGAGGTAGAGTGCAGACGGATGCTGATCGACACGCGTGCACGGATGAGTAAGATTATGGGATGTGTCCAGGACTCAACCCTGGGCGAGGCAACCTCCAGGACGTGTGGACAGGTCGTAAGTCTTTCAGCCCTTTGGCAGGGGCGAATTGGTGGGCAGCTATGTGTCGTTGGTGCCGCTTTCCTGGCCTGTTCACAGATTGCGGAGGAGAGTTTGTTGCCACAGACATCAGAGGTAGAGCCGTGTCGTTGCCTTAAGCTTTGTCTTGCAGTGGCCCCGTCAAGCGATGGGGGGAGCCGGATCTGCTTAGCTGCAGCCTGTAGGTGGTGGTTGTGCCTGGCACAGTGGAGCCTCTCCTTTGTTGGTTGGTTCGTCTGTGTGGAGTTTCTCCTGATTTGGGAACATGTCACAGGCAGGGGTTCAGACACAAGCTCAGCAGCATGAGCTTCACCCTGTCACACGAGAGCAACTTGCTGGATCATATTCACACGACGGAAAAGGCAGACAGGCAGCCAAAAATTGTCTCCTATGGCTGGATTCGCTATATCACAAGAATTCTTCGATCTTGCCTCCCCCCAATCGCTGTTCGAACCACGCATGCCTGTTTGTTAAAATCTTAAGCTCCTGGAATGCCTCACGCCACGTCGTCACTGGTTTTACTGGCTTGAGCAAGTGGAGACGATATTTCCGGTGTCAGGGACCTCGACTCCCGCTTGGATCGAGACCCCGAGGAGAGATGCTTCTTGCGCTTCTTGTCCGATGCATTTGACGAGACACTAGCCCGTCGGCTCACAGTCGTACCATCCTCTGACACTTCAGCTGTGGGCGTTCGACTCCGCGTGGATCCTGCCGATGAGCTATTCCGGCGCATGCTCCCGCTGCGGGTTCGCTTCTCTTCTTTCGAGATGCTTGCAGCTCGGTGGTGGTGGGCATGGGGTATATGCTGGCCGTGGTTATATTTCTCAGCGTCCTCGTGGACAAGCGGTGTGCGTGCTGCGCTCCTGTACCAAGGCAGCCACCACCGCCAGCCGTAGCGCTCCTTGATGATCTTCTTGTCGTGCGCTGCCAGTTTTACTCGAAGGAGATTCCTCCTCTCGTTCTCCTTGTCCCAATACTCTGTGCGGTAGAGCTCCCAATTCTCTCGAAAGTTAGGCGAGAAGGGCTTAGCCAAAAGCAACAGCTTGACGTAGTCACCGCCTGGCGCCAGATCTTCCTCGTGGCCACCTTTCTCCTCATCTCCAATTATGACGTAAGGAAGTGTAGGGTGCTCATGGCGGTTGATATTCAGCTCGCGGTCCACCTCGCGCAGGATCGAAGGGTCAATGTATCGATACTGCCCAGCCGTACTGGACAAGGCGCCATATGTGAAGAAGAAGGCCATCGTGGAGAAGAGCTCAACAAGGAGCGGGCGCTTGATCACGACGAGCTTGCAGTTGAAGCCGCGCAGGCCTCGGTTCGAGATGCCGAGCCACCTTCGTGGCCAGCGGATACCTCGATCCCAGATGCCAGTGGCCCAGACGAGCACGCCGGTGAGCACTCCAGCCATGAAGCACACGTTCTCTGCCATATCAACCATCCAGTAGACCGAGCCTCCCATTCCACTGCCGTCCTCTCGTGGTGCGAAAAAGAGGCAGTAGCCAAAGAAGGTATTCCAGATGGCGAGAAGGCCAAGGAAAAAGGTGTGTTTTCTCCGCCGCGTGCGGAGCTCGAGAAACTGCGCGCGCAGGGAGGCTTCGAGGATGAGCATGTTGAGGTAGATCATGGACGGTGAGCTGGGTGTGTGGTGGAGAGGGTCGCCGGGCTGCGTCTCGCCAATGGGCTCCATCGGGGGCGGCTTGACGTCGGTTTGCGGCGCGCCCTTGACGATCGAGTCTATGGAGTCGGCCATGATCGAAGTGATTATGCTCGCTGTGCACTGGCCTAGGTGGTCGATGGTTGTGGATAGGCCGGTCGTAGAGATGACGCCGCCCAATCGACGGGAGCAGCGCCCACGTCAGCAGAGCACGATTGGCGGTGCTACAAGGGCATCCGGGACGTCTGGGAGAGATTGCTGGCCGAAGCCGAGGGTGATCGGAGGGATGCGCTACCGTGGTTCGAGGACAAAGTGAGCAGGAGTAGATTAGGGCGGAAGCGAGGGCATAGAGTAGAATGTTGGGCATTCCTTGGACTGGAGTAGTCCGCCCTGTCCGGGGGAGAAGCTGCGGTGGACCAGTCATGGACTCAACGTCATTCGACGGGCGGGCGATATTGTGGGGCTGCCGCCAGCACCTGCCCCTGCATGGACCTCGGGAGACGGGAAGTACGATCGTCAACACTGCAGCTGTGAGGATGCGGAACAAGCAATACGATCCAGTCTGGATAGAGATCGGAAGATGGGCTTCTTGCCACTGTGCAGGTGCATTTTTCGTCCCAGGAGACACTCACCATTGTGTGTACTGGGCAATACTGACGGGAAGAGCAGTGGAAGCAGAAACCCACCGCACCAAAAAGGCACAGAGGCAGGGGCCCAGGCGGTCTAGGCTCCGTCAAGTGCGGCTCATGAGAGGGCACATGTGACTTTGCAAATGCCCGCATTGATCGCGATGGGCATGCGGCCGCCAAGCGAAAGTTTTATCTTGTTGTCCGCGGGCAGAGCCCAGAACTGAGGACGAGACGCCCCCCGCTGTCGAGGACAATGATGCCGCCAGATCGATCACAGGAAGGAACAGGCACCAGCCATAATTAGATGAATGACACCGTCTGGGTCAACCCTCGCGGGCACGGATGGCTTGTTGAGGAATGCGAGTCAGAAGGAGGCAGTCGGGTGCTGCACAGCCAATGACGGCTGTGGAAAAGTCGCCGTGGAGGGAGGATGGCCTGTCGCATTCGCAGGCCGGCGCACGGGATGACAATCGCCGGGCGCACGGAGTTAGCAGGATCGGGCCCGGGACAGCAGGCAGAGGCTCTCTGTGTGCCTGCGGCGGGCCATCCTCGTGGCCGTGTTAGTGCCTGGCCGGCCCTCTTCATGTCGTCAGCCCGCATCGCTGGCCTCAACCGACATCCTCGCTGTCCCTCCACCCAATCCTCTCTTTTCCCTCCTTGCCTCCCATCCCTCCTCCGTGTGCGCGTAGCCAGCGTCGACGAGACCACCCATAGTCAGCCAGGAAGCCAGGAAGCAGCTCGAGGGTCGCTTATAAGCAAGCCCTCGCCTCCTGCTTCGTCCACCTCCGCACGCCAATGCCAACGCCCCAACGCTTGCTCCCCGCCATCGCACGCACGCGCAGTCGCCTCACCCACGTCGCCACCACCACTACCACCACCACCCGCAGCTTCGTTCGCACAAACGCCACGTCGGCCACTGCGATCCACGACCAGCCCCAGAACCAGGGCTACTACTACAGGCGACGCCCCCGCAGAATGGCCCCAGCCAACGACTCCCAGGGTGCTACGGGCTCCCAAGAACACCTGCCCACGCCGCCCACTGGCCGCATCCCACAAACAAAGAAGGCCTTCTTCCCCCTCGGCTACAAGGAAGCTGCTTTCCAATGGGTGAGTCTGGCTTTCGCCGCCCTCGGCGGCACGTCCGAGTCTCCCACGTACTAACAAAATCCGACAGTGGCACAGCGTCACCCCCCCAATCGCGGAGCGCAATGTCATTGCCCACATTCCGTACCTCCGTGAGGCGATCGGCTCTCTCGAGTCAACGCCCTCTGCCGACCATCCCGGTGCCGTCCAGTCCTCAGCCCGGACAGACCCTTATGGCCCGCGCACTTGGCGGTCCATGATGGTGCCGCTCTCGGGCAAGAACCGTGAGCTCAACGAGTTCTCCGTACAGCGCGATGGCGAGGAGGTCGACGACACCCTGGTTATGCTCCACGGCTACGGCGCCGGCCTCGGCTTCTTCTACAAGAACTTTGAGCCCATCACCAGAAACGAGGGCTGGAAGCTATATGCGCTGGACATGCTCGGAATGGGTAACTCGACGCGGCCAACGTTTCATATCAAGTCGAAAGACCCGGCTGGCAAGATCGACGAGGCCGAGAGCTGGTTCGTCGACGCCCTCGAGGAGTGGCGCAAGATCCGCAAGATTGAAAAGTTCACCCTACTCGGTCACTCGATGGGCGGCTACCTGGCCGTCTCGTACGCGCTCAAATATCCTGGTCACCTTAACAAGCTGATCCTCGCCTCTCCCGTGGGAGTACCAGAAGACCCATATGCCGCAAACGCGGACATGCCAGAACCCCAAGAGTCCACCTTTCAGGACGAGTTCACAGTCGACCAGGAGGCCACAACACGGAGCACGGGCAACGCAAACAGCCGGCTCAGCAGCCCCGGCTCTTCCGGGGCCAGCACCCCAAAGAAGCGGCCATATCCAGGGTGGCTCACTTGGCTCTGGGACGCCAACGTCTCACCCTTTAGCATTGTCCGCCTAACGGGGCCACTTGGACCGCGCTTCGTTTCCGGCTGGACATCGCGACGCTTCAACCACTTGCCAGAGGAAGAGCGACAGACCCTGCACGACTACGCATACTCGCTGTTCCGCCAGCCCGGCAGCGGAGAGTATGCGCTACCTTATCTCTTGGCGCCAGGCGCTCATGCACGCAGACCGGTGATCAACAGAATCCAAGACGTCGGCCGACAGCCCATTCCGACAACTCCTTCTGACGAGACACCTCCCACAACCGTCGCCAAGGAGACCGGGTTCCCGATAGTCTTCATGTACGGCGAGAACGACTGGATGGACGTCGCCGGCGGCCTCGCCGCGGAAGTAAAGGTCCGTGAAGCCCGCGAGCGCGCCCTCCAGACCGCCACGCCCGAGGAGAAGGCCCGAGAAAACGGCGGCGCAAAGGTCATCGTTGTCACGCGGGCCGGCCACCACTTGTACCTCGACAACCCGGACGAGTTCAACGAGTACCTGCGCGAGGAACTCGAGGACACGAGGCGGCAAACGCTAAAGGAGAGAGTGGAGCAAGCAAAGAGGAAGGCGACGCTGACATAAGATGTACCCATTTTGGGTGGAGAGGCACCTCGAGTCCTTTGCATTTTTTTTATTTTTATTTGGGAGCAGCGAGGGAGTTTTTCGCATGGCCCACGGCAGGCAGGCATATTGAGACTTTCCGCAGTTCAGGCGGAAATCAGCGAAAGAGGTAACTTGATATCTCGGTCCTTATTGCTTTGTCGCCAGGGGCGGGGGGCGCATTCTAATTCTCTGGAGCGTTTTGGCAGCTGCATTTGTACATACATATCCACACACACGCACGCACACACAGATGACGTCTTTTTTCTATAGACCAATGCTTTCTGTCTCATCATTCTACTTCCCCCTCTTTTCAACATAGCATGCAACGGCCTGTACGTGCCGGGGTGGAAACTTTTGGCCTTTGAAGTTTAGAGGTTGGCTGCCTTTTTTCGTCGCTTGAATGGCGGGGGACATATTAGGGCAGCATTGTATATCTCGCACTGCCGAGCGCGCATCAAGAGAAACATGCATGTGTTGACTGTGTCTACGTGAGTGTCGTTTTCACCAACACCGAGATCTAGTTTGTTTCTAAATGCATTCACTTGGTCCACAACATGTAGTGATCGGGTACTAGGTATGACACGAGAGAGAGAAAAAAAAGTGCCATTGAGCTGGCTGGTATATTGAAGCCCCAACACCTCGTCCTCTTCCGTCTAGTCTAATATATACAAGTAGCCAAAATCTCGCGTAGCCGCGATAGCATCGTGAAGAGCGTAACGACGTGTCGGCGTGCGTGAAACCGGAGAATTTCTATGTAGAGAGGAACAAAAGGAAAATGTGCAAGATTATTCTGAAAGCCGCAGGATTTCCCCGCGTAGATATGAGAATTCATGGGTGAGGCCAACATGAACCAAAATAGCAAAAGGGGTATTGCCGCACAGTTCCCAAATCTGAAATCGCCTGAAAGGCGACGGCTCCGAAACGCCAAAGAGTTATAAAAATGTTAGGAGAATTTCAAGATCGGTAGAGAGTTCCTGCAGAGGCAGGTTCAGTAGTCTCGTATACGAGTTCGCTGACCATCGCGAATCTGTGGCTGGGCGTGCCTGTCATGACGAGAACGGCTTGTGCCCGACTTATAATAATCGTAGTCGTCCTCGATCCTGACACGATGACCCTGGTGCTGAAGTCTGGCCAGGCTGTATTGGTGGTGCTGATGCTGGGGTGGGGCACGCCTCATAGGGATGTCCATATTGAATTCGTCTTCACTGTCAGCGTCTACACCAGAGTCTTCGCCCTCGGCCCAATCGTGATCGTGGAATGTTGGCATCGAGAAATTGTAATGCTTGCCGCGGGTTCCGGCAGGTCTCGAATCAGATTGCCCGTGCCCGCGAGGTGCGACCGATGAGACCTGGCCAAAAGAAGGTGCAGGGCCATAACCAGAGAAGTCATTGAAAGCGCTCAATGACAGAGTCTGGCTAGTCATAGACCGTGATGGCTCTGAAAACTCCTCGCGCAAGGGTGAACTGATGCCCGGAAGTTGGAACGTCAGGCCAAACGAGTCGTCTGAGAATAGAAGATCCCTTTCCTCATCGCCTCGATTCCTCTTCGGCGACCCAAAAGAGTCATCCGATGAGACATAATCGTCAATATGGAAGCTTTCCGTAGCTGTTGTTGGTTGGGCTGGAGCGTGCTTAGGTTTCGAGGATCTAGTGTCTGGTCCGAGTGGTGATCTTTTCAGCGTGTGATGTCTTGTGGAGGGCTCTGCATTCGGCTGCCAATGATCAAATGACGACGGAGAAATGGGAGAATGAAATGACGTCTGGCTCGGGCTTGATATCTTGAAAGCAGGTGAGATTGGCGTCAGATCCACCGAGGTCTTTGTTGTGTGACTCGATTGTGGGCGGAACGGATTCGAATCATAGTCGTGCGTGTAGGCGGTGATGCTACCGGACGTCATCGACCAATTGCGTAGCGAGCTTGATCTGTCCGGAATGGGGTTGTCGAGGTCGAATTGCTTGATACTGCTCATCGTCAGGGATGCGCCGCTCACATTACGTGATCGTGGTTGCTTGCTATCCCTGCGTGGTCCAGTCTGCTTTGCCCTTGAAGGAGATCCAACACCTTTTACATCATGATTTGACCTGCTGGCGCTGACGGGAGCTTCTGACCGCGTCCTTGCTGGGGATGTATATTGTGCTGCAATCATTTCGGTACTGTGACTTTGCTCCATGGTGCTCGTCGCGGGTTGGGCAGCGGCGATCGTCGAGGAAGTTTCTTGAGTGCCACCGAGGATGATACCGCCAGGCTTTTGCATGGCAGCTGTGGCTCTGATTATTGCCAACTCGTTCCTCGCCATGGCGGCCGCTTTTTCCTTCAATGACACAGGGAATGCCGCCGGCTCGTCTTTTGGTGTCTTCAACGTCTCGCCGATCTCCGCTGGGCTTTCCTTCGATGGCGGGACTGGCATTGATTGTCGGCGAGCAGCCTTATCTGCCTTCCTTTTTGCGATCAATTCAGCATCACGGGAAGCCTCATGCGTCATCTCGAGCAGTTCGTCCTCGACTTGTGAAATTGGGCGAAGGGAGGAAGTCCGCAGGCTGTGGCCCATGGAAAGGCGCTTTCGTGGACCTTGTGTATCCTGCTGGTCAATGGGGGCTGTGGGCGGCGGCGATGTCACGGACAGCATTGAATTGCGATCCGCAACATCCTCGCCGTAGGTCTTGGCACCTGTCGCTGCTACGCGATCGTAAAAGTCGAGAGGTCTGATTGTGGCGTCAAGAAGATCAACATGGGTCTTCGACCTGGATCCCATAGATGACGTCGACCTGTGATTGCCTATCGATGTCGGTATCGAGCTCGTAGACGATATAGTCGTGGTTCGGCCGGCAAGACTGTTGCGCTTTGAAGCCTCACGGTCGACCCATGGCTTCGGTGGTGGCAGTTGGTAGTCTAGGCTTGAGTCCTTGGCAGACAATTTGTATGGGGGGCCATCGGTTCTCTGTGCCTGGATAAGAGATTGGAGATCTGGCCTGGCGGCGAGGCTCGGGCCAGAGCTGGTACGCGGACGGGCAAGTGTCTCCGATTGTGTTGCAGAACCAGCCGTGCCAGGGCGGCTCAGAGTACTGCTGCGAAGTCGAGAGAGTGGCAAGCGGCGCGACGTGACATCTCCCGTGAGGAGCTGTACTTGCAACGACTGCTGGTTTGCGGCAATAAGAATTGGATTCGATCCATTTCCGGGAACAGGGTAGGTTCCTGCAACACATTAGCAATGACCAATCGAGACGACGTGCAGACTGGAAGGGGGCTAGAAGAAATACCAAGAATAGGTGGACTCGAAGCAGTAGTGCTCTCGTAGGACTGGGCCTTGAGGAACGAGGCCTCATTGAGACTCTGTTCGGCAACGGATCGCTGCCGTCTCAGCAGATGGTTGAGGAACCCCATGTTTGTATCCAGGCGTCTGTCCCCGACTCGAGAAGAGGTATTGTATTGTCAGGCTTCTTCGGTCTGGTGAGGAAGCGACGAACCGTATAGCCTGAATGTAACAAGGGTATACGGTGTTCTTGCATCCAGACAGAGGATCGTCTGGTTGTTAAAGTCCCTGAGCCATGCCGTCCAGGTAATGTAGGGTGTATGAGGGAGCAGAACGGTACGGAGTTTGAGGCCGTTGACAGCCAGATGGGCTCAAGTCAAGGCCCAGAACGTGCGGCGGGGTGCGACAAGAGCCACGGCCGCCGTTGACTGACAAGAGGGGAGGGAGGCACTGGAAACTATTATATCGCGGGCAGACTGGGGTTGTCGGATCGAGCATGGGCACCACTGTGAACAGGGTGACACGAGCAGGTCCTGTTTTCAAGGCGGCCGCAGGGGTCGTTTGGTGCGGAGTGCCCCAAGCTCGCTGTCGTCAGAAGAGCGACCGGGTGCCCACAGGCGTAGATACAGGGCCAGGGTCCGACTCCCGAAAAAGACAGGGACGAAGGGAAAAGTTCCGTAAGAGGAGGTGCCGACGACGAATGGGCAAAATGACAATCCTAGAAGGACGAGGACGATGAGAGGCCAAGAAACCACGACAGGGGCGAGGACGCGTGTGTGATGCGACGTGGGCGAGGGGATGCGTGTGGCCGGAGGATTAAATGCTTGGCCTGACGGAACAGGATGTTGTTAGGCGCATGCCCGCATTCCAGTCGAGCTGTCGCGACCGAGAGGCGCCAAGACAGCAGTCGCTCGCTCGCTGGCTCAAGATGGGCGAATTGCTGCTGCTGGAGGTCGAGATCTGCTCGCACGAAGGGCTCAAGAAGAGAATGTGCGCGGGAGAAGCTGCAGAGGTGCGGGTTGCACGCCGATGGCAGAAGATGGCAGGAGGCAGAAGGCCCAGAGAACCTGCCGCAGGAGAATGACAGAGGACTGGACTGGGACGGATGCCCATTGCTGTGGGCACCACATGGAAGAGCGAGCGCCTCCACCTGAGCAGCGCCGTGGCCAAGGCCGCCCGACTCGTTGGAGGCAACGAACAGACGGCTCAGTACAGGATCCAGTTTGTCAGGGCCCAGCGCCACTACGATGCAAGCAGCCGGACTAGTTTGAGGTGGTGTGTTGGTGGCCGGCCTCAGGCCCGAAGCTCTCCTCCAGACTTCTGCACCAGCCGAAACACAGATACGCACCCCAAGGTTCTGGGAGGCGTGCTGGGGATGCTAATCTGAGCCCCCTGCGCGACGACAAGCCAGGGGCGCCAGGCGCCATGCCCGCTTCGGGCCTGCTAAGGCGGTTCTGGTGGTTAATTGCGCGATCGGCTGCGGGGCCCGCCTGTTTCGCCTGCAGGCACAATGATATGCAGCGCAGTCCTGCTGCCATTTCACCGCGTCAGATCCATCTTCAGATGCCTGGGCCCAAGTGCACCCTCAATTTCATCAGATTTCATCAGCATGTCCATCTGGGACCTCAACCCCGCGCCTCGTCGTAAAGAAGGTATGTACGGGTACGTACTCTGGGTTCCTCCTCGTCGTGCTGCCTGCCGTGCGGCCACTTGTCGGGACCGCCGCCGGTGCCACGGCAGCAATACGATACCAATAATGCAAGCGGCCAACCTCGCCCGGCGTCGCACAAGCTGCTTGTCCAGCGCTCTGTTCTTGGTTGCCTCCTGGAAAGCAAGCAACAAGTATGCAAGCAGGAGCCACACGCGGCAGCAGCAGCAGCAGCCGCACCTAAGTACATATCAGGTGGGACTCTCATGTCGGCGCATCCGACATCGTGGCCATGACAGAACCAGATTGCGCCACGCATGCGGACCAAGCGCAGGCAACTACTCTCCTCGACGACAAAAAAAGAATAGCATGGGCTGTCATTTCTGCCCCCTCCCATTCGAGAATCTTTCAGTGCGCGGCCCTGCGGAGCAAAGGCACCTGCAGGCTTGATGCACTCTCTACCTTAAAGCACTTTATGCGACGCAGCAGAAGGAACAAGCATGAGACGCGGAAAAGCAAGATGCACCTCGGCGCCCATCTTCACCAGAATCATGGATTCCCCGCCGTGGGAAGCAAAGACATCGCATCCAGAAGCATCGCCAATCGCAGATCGATGGACTTTCCGGAATTGTCCCTGACCCTTGCTCGGGTCTTGTCTAAGTTGGGTACCTTAGTATCGTAGCCAGCCCCACACCCGGTTCTGCGGCAGCAAGCCTCAAACGGTCCAGACCCAAAGGTTTCAGCGCCAGTTGTGGCTGGCGTCCTCGTACACCTGGCACATTAATCATTATGCACCTCACGACCAGCAATTGAATGTTGGCAGTACCTTCGCTATCGTCTAGGGCCTCTTCCAGCGCGGGCGTCCAGGGTTGGGCTCTGTCTCTGGCTAATCTAGGCAGGCTTGACGTGGCCGGCTCTCATAAATTACGGCTCAGCCCGCCTTGTTTTAGGTTTGATTTCCGCCTTCACAAACGCTCCGGAGATATACTCAGGACAGAGCTGATCACTTGCTTATTGCATGTCAGCTAAATTAGCTGCTGCGAGCTTCGCAGCGTGACTGCATGTCTGCCGTGCTCGTGGGGCCATACTTGCAGGAATCGTGCCGCATCGTGCTCGGGCACTACCAGCAATGACCACAAGCCGCGACCACTAGGGCCGCTACTTTTTGCCAACGTTGGTTTTGCTGCGTTCTCGGAATCTACAACGCCCCCAGCTCTGGTGCGATCGATGTTCTACCAGTCTCTCAGCCACCGCACGCGTATAGCTGTACCTGCAACGCACGGTATAATCAGCATCATCATCATCATGTATGTATTGTCCTTGGCATCATGCCGCTTCCTCTCCCGCAGTGGAGCGAGAGTTGCCGATGAGCATTCCCCCTAATTAATTCACTGCTTGGGGTCGCTTGAGAGATGATGAGCGACGTATACTACACTGCGCAGCCGGATCTCCGGCATTGGGTCAATCCCGCCGACAACGAACCTATACGCCCATATTGTATATCGCGTCGAGTCGCGTGAATTGTCTGCCTGGTGACATTCAGTCCGGCTGCTGGAGCTCTTTTGGCGAAGTGCCCGGACATGCTCCACCAGTTGCACGGTCGTGCATCAACTTGCCGATCCCATGAATGCAACCTCGAGCATTGCGGCACATTATCGGCGCGCTCCCCATAACACCAGTACCTGGATCCCTGGTGTGGATCCAATGTCACGACATGAGCGGCACAGCAGGGCAACACGCAGTATGTAGTATATAATGGCTGGCCTGAATGATGCGCTGCAAGGGTGCACCCGGTCCTCTCGCGCAATCATACCCATATATCTCGTGTTATCGTCAAGGTATACCTGCCCGCCTAACGTTCTATAGGCTGTGTTTCAATAAGTTTCGCCGGCACCTGACACGATCTTGAATGTTTGCCGGTCACCTGATCTCCGTCCAGCGACGAGTCGTGTCGTTTGCTCCGGCTAAATATTTCATAGACCACATGTGCTCCCGGCCCAAGGTATACATGCCGTAGCCTGATGCCTTGGGTTGGCACAGGGACTGCTTGTCGCATACACTTTGTAGAAAGTGGATGGCACCGTAAAGGATCGTACTCCACCAGCGCAAACTCCCATATTTCATGTGCTAATTATCCATTATCGCTCGGAAGCCCACAAGCCAGTCTGCTACGTGGTGCCACTTCTCGATCACTGACTCTCGGGGACCAGGGGCTCGGACAATACACCACTGAGCCGTGGGAGACAGACGGGGGCTGGCGGGCAAACTATCGAAAAGTCCTGGGAACTTGCGGGGAATTCCAGCTTGCCCCCTTCGTCGCTGGCAGTTCTCGGATGCATGCGAGCCGTACTAGCCTTGTGAGAGGGGACCCATTGTAATAATGACTGAAGCGACCGTGGCGGCAGATGCGCTCAAGGCCAAACACGTGGGGTTACCGAGAAGGCGCTTGGCGCATTCTAGCAATCATGGTGGCTGAGCTAGTGAGTTGCAACCCTGGTTAGTGCCTCTGCAAGACGAACGAGTGAGGGTGCTGGGGCTATTGTGATGATCTGATGGTGGCTGATCGCGGCCCGCCTCGAGCGGTGGTCGTGCGCGCGCGCGAGAGGCATGAGAGCTCGTGCGTGCTTGCGTGCTGTGGGCGATCCTCGACGAGTTTGTGCATTGCACGGATGAACTGGTCCGCACGGCGTGTCCTGTTTTTGCGCCTGAGAGCTTTGCCCGTGCACGTCACACAGCGAACCCTTGCATTCGCGGGATCTGAGATACCATCGGCAAGCGCAGGACTCCATAAATAAAAGAGTGTATTAACGTGCGGTTAACCGGGAAAGCCCCTTACTTATTGAAAGGATCATCCGCCGCGTAAACTATGCCGCCTGAGCTGGGGCCGTGTGAGCTCTTTGTGGGCACAGCCAGGTTTACAAATGAATATGGCCAGGACATCACTGCGTGTAAATACTTCTCTATCTGATCAGGCGGGCCAAGCCGGCGAGAGGAAACATCGCTTCCTTCATTATAGCTCTGGCAAACAGTCTTGATCGCCAGTCTCGCAGCTGAGATGCAATTGGTGGTAGGATATGGACGTGCTTCGCGGCCGCCCATAAGAGCGGAGGGGATTCAACTTGGAAAGGCTCACAAATAATTGAGCTTGGGATGAAGCCAGCTCGCTCACGGCTCAGTGAGGCCCGAAGTCGTGCTTATGGGGCCTGGGACGGTTGCAGCTCGCATGATGAAACGAGGTGCTTCACCCACCTCGAACGTGTATTGACTGGTACACACTCGGTTACCTTCACACCATAGCAAGCATCATCGTCAGTACCAGACCCTGGTGACCTGCTGAAGATGTCACGGAGGACGTGCAAGCTGCCACCAATATCTCAGGCTGAGGATGTCATGAAGAGCCAGGGAAGGTGCGCGGGTGGTGCAAGCGTTGTCAGTCTTGTACACACGAAACTGGCAGTCATGATCAAGCTCTTTCCCTCAACAGACAGCATCACCCTGGGGACCATGTTGGGACGAGCTCTACATCTGGCGACACAACATCCACATCATCCACATCATCGCTCTACCCTATCCATTGATCCGTGCATCCTTGTCACTTCGTTGCAACAGCATTATCTAGCACCTGCATTATTAGAGGCTACTCCATGGTAAGCTTCGTTGGCCGGGCATTTCGATTAATCAATACTACGCCTGCCGTCACCGCTGGACCTGCTGCTCAATATATAAACAACTCGCCATCGACTAAAGTCGTCATGACGAGCACCAACGAGCCAACCCATCTTGACAAGGCTCAGCCCCATCCCCCACCAGAGAGCTGCGACTGGCGTCCTGACAGCCCCGAACCCGTCGAGGACGACCTTGGCCAAGAGTGCCTCGAGAACCAGAAACCCGCTGAGCATTGCGAGTGGCTGCCTGACCCGCCCGAGGGTGAGATCGACGAGATTGGGCCGCACTGGCTGCCAGTACAAGAGGCGCTTCCGACCTCTGTTGCTGGCGAGCAGAGCAACGGGAAGCCCCAAACGGAAGAGATCTCGCCAACCTCATCTCCGCATGTTGACAAAGCAGTTCGTAAGTTGACTTAGCCCCACGACCGAGCTGTGTAGGCACTCTCTGTTATACGCGAGTTGACAAGTCTCTTTCTGGCGCAGCCATCAAGATATCGGCTCATCCTGCTCGCGAAATCTCTCTCCTTGATGAGAAGTCCTCCCAGGCTGCTTCGTGTCCAAAGCCGGACTCGTCGAGTAGTAAAACCGTCGCTTCACACCAGAGCGGACCCTCTGCTCTCCCAGCTGGCGACAGGTAGGACCATGAAGCCGCTGTCAACCAAGAGCCAGAGGTACAAAGCCCTACGCGCAAATCATTCAAGGGCGTCCTGAGATTCACGCAAGATGTACTCCATCACGGCTCCAAATCTGATGGAACCGATCATGTCCGTGGCCAATCTGATGCCCGCAATGAAGATCACCAGAGTCCCGAAGAGAAACGCCTGAGCGTGGTCCAGAATACTGCCCGACGCGCCATAAGCATTGCTCGCGACGTATTGCATCCCAATCATGGGCATGCCGACGATGGCGAGACAAGTGCATCAAGTCCAGGAGGAGCAGAGGAACCTGCCGACACTCTCACAGTCCTGCTTCCGGAGCCAGAGCCAGACTTTAATGTCCTCGAGAGTGAGCAACCACGCCGAAAGCAGACTCCCGCAGAGCGGGACAGGGAGAAGAGGCAGAAGGCCGAGCTTAAGCAAATGCATGCGAGGACGCAAGCACACATCAATGCCGGACGCGAAAAGGCAAAGAAGGAAACCAAGGAAATGGAGAAGCGAGAGAGAAAAGAGCGGGAGCAAAGAAGGAGTCAAGAAAGCCTCGAGAAGAAATTGAAACGCAAAGAGCAGAAAGAAGCTGCCCGCCACCAAAAGGCTATCCTGCGGGAACACAAGAAGCATGAACGCCATGAAAGGAAAGTTCGTGAACACCGCGAAAAGGAGAGGAAGAACAACCACGTTGGGGGCCTCGATGCTGCGCAGGATGTTATGCTGCCGGGGATCACCGCGGCAGTGCCGGTTTATGAGGAACATCCACTTACACGGGATGTAGAAGAACATGCCCTGGATGGACCCAGGGATCAAGTCGACGAAGACGTCAGCCCCAGCGGAGGCACACGGAGATTGTTTGGAGGTGGTGATATGGCCTCCTGGACTCCGGTGCCATCTTGTCCTTATCGTCCGTCAGCATCACCATGCCGTACCTGTCGAAGCCGACCCAATGCATCTGACCCTGTGATGCACGAGGGTTTCATCCGCATGATCCATGCCGAAGAGCTGGGCCTTTCGTGTACATGCGCTCAAGAGGACGTTCGAGTGTACGCTGGTCTCGAGTCTTTGCCATTCTCGCCGCCATCGTCGCCTGCTCGTGCAGAGAGCTGCCTAGGGACACTGGCAACTCGCCCGCGCTGCAAGATTACGCCACAGAACAGTTGGTAAGGATGACCAGCGTGAATCAGAGCATCCATCTTAGCCCCGGCCATAGGTACAATGCTGGGTAGCATCGCCAGGATGCGTGTGTTCGGCTAGTGCCCTCAGGCGAAGAAAGCCTCTCACCTAAGATGCACAACCTCTTTACAATCAAAATTGATATGCTTGTAGTTCTTTACATTGATGCTCTGCAACATGTCTGCAGCATAGCGTAAAGCCCGATGCTTTGAAAAGTGACCATGGATATCATAATGGTGCACTTCTTTGATTGCACTTGAACGCTTCCCACTTGGTCGTGCCTAATCCAACGAGCCTGCGAGCGCCACACACGAGAAGCGCATGTCACCGCCCTCTCTCTCGAGGAACTTGAGCGGACCCCACAAGAGTGCCTTATCACTGAGGACGTCCTCGTTGGGTCCAAGCTTGCCCCTCTTGATAGGACCCTTGCGCGCGCCGTCAAGCTCCCAAAGCGTGCCGCCGTTGCCATCGCCGTCGTCTGTCTTGACAAAGCAGACGTAGTGCAGATCGACATCGTCCTGGGCGTCGGGAGCCGCAGTCGCGCCCTGCGAGGCGGCCTCTGCATGGGCAGAAGCCAGCTCGGGGGTCCTCTCCAGCAGGGCGCTCCTCTGCTCGGGCTTGAGAGGCACCGACTCGGCAATCAGCCTGGCGAGCGGGGTGCCGTCCTGCACGAAGCCCCTGGCCGGGCCGTTGCTGACGGCGTGCAGCAGGCCCATGAGGCCGCACGCGTTGCGGATGGTCTGGCGGAACCACAGGACGGGCTCGGCGTCGCCGGAGGCCGAGTACTCGGCCTCGCCGGCGTCCTCGGCGAGGCGGTGCGACGTGTAGGCCGCGCTGACGGGGAAGACGAGGAGCAGGGCCAGGGCCGGGCGGGGGATGAAGGCGAGGAGCTCGGGCTCGGTGATGGAGTAGACGTCGTGGATCTGCAGGGCCGGGCTGAGGCCGAGCTTGTGCAGGAGGGACGTCATGAGCTCCGGGTTGGCCTCGAGGGGGATGAAGGCTATTTTTTGCTGGCTGTCGCCGGCGGCGGCGCCGCCGCTCGTGGGAGGCGGGATGGGGGCGTCGCTTGTTGCCATGGCTGGTTTGCTTTCGCTGGTGTTTGGTGCTGGCTGGTGTTGTCTTGCTGCTGCTGCTGCTGCTCCCAGGCGGCCTTCTCTCCGTTGCTCGTGTGGTGTGTCCGTGCTTAAGTGCAGTTGCTGGACCCTTTAAAAGAGCACGGCGGGTGGCGCGTGGGTGAGAGTTGCAAGCTTACGCTAACTACAAGAGCACGCAGGCGTTCCGAGGTAGCTTTCAGGAGGGGGACCGTTTCGTCAGCCTGTTGTTGCCCGAACTGCTCAGGTTGTTCTTTTGCGGACAAGCTGGCAACACTTACGAAATTCTCGATGTGGCAACGGCTAGATTCGTGACTGCTCAAGTAAAGGCGTAGGGTCTTGTGATTCTCAGAGTAATACTACAAACAGGCAGCAGGCAAGCTGTCTGTCAAACGGCCATTCGTTGTGTTGTATGCCGACAAGGGGAGCAACAGCTCGGCCGATGCCCCGCGAGCTATCGATAGAAGCTCCGGGCGCTCCAGCTGGAGGGGTCCAGAGTTCGGACACACGTGGAAGTTTAACTTATGAACTCGAATTGAAGAGCTCAGAGAGATCATAAAAGCAAGTCAAACTTAACCAGAAGGATGAAATAGGCGTTCTAGATCTGATTAAACTCAATTTCGACTCTCCATAGACAATGTGTGGAATGGTATCTCGAGTTACGGTTTCGGACAGCTAAAAGTGTCCGAAACACACACAACGCAATCAAGAGCAACGAGTATTTGCGGGTCAGCCCATGTAAGTGAAATCGACTGTTATGTGTTCTACGAGCCCTGGTCACTACCAGCTTGCAAAATGATCAGGATAGTACGTTGGCAGGGTATGGAAGATTCGTCTTTTATTTGTGTGTTTGCGTACTTGCGTATTCCTTCCGGTTTCGATGCGGATTGCTCCGTCACATCTGACCCTAAAGGTTAGGCGGAAAGCCCCCGAAAGCATGTTCCAAGGGGGCTTACATTCTCAGTTCCCTCGTCTTCAGGGCCGCCAGCCTGTCACGAAGAAGGAAGACAGTTCCCATGTTTATCCCGCGGAGGAGTACATCAGGCCACACCATTACGAGCTTTTCAGGAACCCGAGCGATCACCGTCTGCAGTCTGGTCTTCCAGAATCTCCAGAGTGATAACCACTACCTCGGCTTTACCGTCATCTCAAGCCATGTTCTGCTCTCGCAATGCGTCCTATGCATTTTACGACCTGAGGTCTCACGCAGCGGGCCTGCAGGTACAGCCGTACTTCTTCCTGTACTCGGCGACGCCCATGTCCTCAATGACCTTGTTGAGCTCCTTGGCCGCCTTGATCTTGGCATATCTCTCGCTCGCAGCCACGCCATGCTGCACAATCACGCCGTGGATCATGATGACACAGGCGCCCTCATCTTCCATGATCTTGGCGGCCGCATCCGCCTTGGGCACAGTGCGGCTCATGATCCGCGCCTGCTGGCAGTGGAAGCGCTCCTGCAGGATGTTCAGCATCAGCGTGATGGGCTGCTTGCCCGCGTACGCATCGTAGATTTGCATGTCCAGGAAGTAAGGCAGGATGTGTGTCGTGAAGAATTCCCGGACCCTGCTGAAATCGAACTCCGAGTCGACAAAGATGGCGCCGAGGTACGCCTCGACGACGTCGCCCAGTGCCTTGGGCGGCTTGTGAAGCTGCATCCAGAAGTCGCTTGCACAGTCCTGCCGCGCGAGCCCGGCCGCCTCGGCTCTGGTCTCTGCATCCTCCCGAGCAAGCGCCACGGCTTCGACGTACTGCGTGATAGCCCTGCCCAAGCTCATGTCCATCGAGAGCATGTGTCGGTGCAGGCCCAGCGACACGCAGAGAAAGGCCAGGAACTGGTTCGAAACCATGGCCATCTTGTGCTCCGTCAGCCACTGCGGATCAGCCGCAGGATAGTGCCGGAAGAGATGGTCCACGCAAACCATGTCCAGGAGCGCGTCTCCAAGGAACTCGAGCTGCTCGTAGTGGGGCAGGCCTTCCAGCGCATTGCTGTAGCTTGGATGTGTAAAGGCACAACGCGCCAGAGCTGGGCTCCTGAAAACATGGCCTAGTTCCTGCTTCAGCGCCTCCGCGAGACGTTGTTGAGCTGCAGAAGGCTGCGCAGTCTGCCAGTCGGGAACCTTGTACATTGGGTAGAAGCCCGCCCATTTCTCCATGGTATGCTTCTGCTCCTTGTCTTTCACAAACTTGGTAACGGCCAATACTGCGAGGTCCATGTTGCCCTGTTGCTGTGCTGTCAGGTATGCGGCACCGATGAGAGCTTCGCAGACATCCGCAATGGTCTTGGCCGCCAACGTGTGCCGCGTCTTCTGGGCCAGTCGGCTTCCGAGTCTGCTGACATTTTGCTTGCCGTGGAGGAGTACGAGACCTTCCGGATACCATAGTCTCCGATTGAACGCTCGCGACCTGATCTTTTCCGGAAGGCCAAACTCTAGTCCTTGCTGGTACAGATTTCCGTTGTTGATGAGAACCATGCGGTTCACATGCTGGAAGAACTCGCTGTCTCGTGGGGCATGTGCGAAGAGCGCAATCGTGGTGCTCATCTTCAAGAAGGAGTCTCCGAGAAACTCGAGCCTCTCGTAGTTTTCGCCCATTCCTGGTTGGAAGTTAATCTGTTCCTGATCGTGTTCCCCGGTGTTGTCGCTGGTCTTGGTCAAGGCCGTCAGGGCTAGAGACGGGGTAATGGCGGAAAGGCCCGTGCTGGCACAGGCCTCGAAAGCGATCAACGTAGAGTCGAGACGGTAGATCACGGCGGGCAGGAGGTAAGCCATTGCCACAACATCCGGTCTGAGCTGTTTGATGTTAGACAAGTGATGCGTACCCGTTGCTTGGAGTGTCGCTACTTACTGCAGAGATCTTGAGTGTTTCAAAGACCAGGTAGCATGTGCCATTTGGCTCTACTTGTTCCGTGCTGTCGAGAAGATTCTGACGGATGGTGATAAGCTCAGCCTCGACCACTTGAAGATGCTCATTTCTTTGTATATTGCTTCTTGAGCTTGACCACAAGCTGACACTATAGTTCCAAATGTCATTGGCGGCAGCTTTTGTAGCCTTTGTCACACGTGCCGATCTTGGTGCGCTTGAAAGCTGGTTATCTGCTGGCTTGAGGTCGGGCTTGAATTCGACGGTATAGAACTTGCGAGAGCCATCGTGTGGATCAATGACATATCGATTGCTCAGTTTTGAGCCAGCCACCTCTGTGGTATTGAGGTAGTCCGTCGAACCAACGACATCGAGCTGGTCCCAGTCAAGTAACGAGCTCATGTCGCCTCTCGACCCGGCAAAGTCATGAGAATGGCCTTGTTGGACGGGGGCGAGATAGTATGGCAGACTTCCGGGCTCGGCGGCGTATTCCTTGCTGAACACATCTCGGAAGATTCGTAGGGTGAAGTTTGTGAATGTGACAACTTGCTCCTTCGTGACTCTCATGGCCGACTCCATTGGCACAAATCGAACAAGAGATGACCCTTTGTTAGCAAAGAAAAGCGGAATATCCCCTATCATCGGCATGGGTGATCGAGACAAGAAAGCTAGGGGGAGTGACGCTCTACCAAGTGCTGATGGCGTTGCCAGCGTGATTATGGTGACATGAAGTTCGTCGCCGGGAAAGCCGATCGTCGACCAGATGCTCGGCTTGATCTGTATTTCATATTCTGACACTTTCGTCGAGGTCAAAGCCAGACGCTTGTTTCGCATGGCTGGGAGGTTCTTGGTGAAAACTGATCGGAACCACTCATCTAGGCACTTCTGAGCCCTGAGCTCTTTGCACATTTCAAAAGCAGCCGCGCATCTCGCCAGTTGTTTTGAACTTTCCCTTTTCCCAACCTTGTATGTGATTGGGGCGACGTCGGGCAGCCGTACTTCTGCGAGAAACAAGGACCCGGCCGCTGAACGCACGGTGTACTCAGGGGCGGGCACTCTTGTAGACTCACCTCTTGGCAGTGATTGCACAAAGCTAGCAAGTATATCGAGGCTGACTCGATAGGTCAATTTTGCGCCAGTGGAAGGGATCGTAAATCTCCGTTCCTCGGCGCGCTTGGGGTAAAGCTCGTCCACACAGACTGCGTCGACTCTGCGATCCTCGGGCTGCGTAGCGCAGAATTTACGCATCTGGGCTTCTTGCTCCTGAATATCTGACAGCAGTGCACGGTGGCCATGGTGTCCAGCCTGGACAAGATGGTAAAGCCTGGATTGCGCTTGTCGAGCTCGGCCTCGTGACTGGACATATTGGATCATGGTGCTGCATGGATCGAAGCGAACAACCATGTTACAGTCAGGTATGTCTAGGCCTTCTTCGGCCACAGAAGTAGCAACAAGAACGTTGACATCGCCGCGAAGAAATCTCAGCACAGTTAGAATCTGCTCGCGAATGGTCATCGTCGGTTCTCCCCAGCCGGCTTTGCCAGTTCCGATCTGCGAACTTATGGTTAGGACTCGCTTACAGATGGCGAACCTGAACATTTGACCTACCATTTTTGCGGCACTGACGCCCGTTATCCTCATTGCTTCGCTCTCTAGAAGTTCTACCAACAGGACCGCGATATATCGCTTGGCAACGAAGATTACGCATTTGTCGAAACTGGGGCGAAAAGCGTCTTGCAGCAGGCGGAAGACTTGATGGACTTTGTTGGAAACCAGGAGCGGCGATGAGGCCAAGTCAACAAATCTGTGCGTATCCACAAAGCCTTGTGCTGCTTGCGCCGCCTCCACGGCATCATCTCTGGCCGCAATGTCATGGATCTCGTACTCGACTTTCATCTGTAGCCTTTTCAAGCCTTCTCCTCTTTCATCGAAGGCCAGTCGCCACATGTGATCTGCACACCACGGTCCGAGCTCCGAGGTACAGAGCTGGGCGTTGACAAATAATTTTGCCACGGCGGGAAGATTACCAAGAAGTGGCCTCAGTCTCTGCGAAAGTGCCGTCTCGAACGCATTACATGACATTCCGTATTCAATCGTGTGTTCTTCTGCTTTGTGGACGGAGTTTTGGAAGACGGATAGGTCCCCGACGGTAGCAATTTTGCTATGAAGCAGTGTTTCCAAGTCGGACGCTGCTTGATCAAAGTCTGTTTTGGCGTCGACGGGCGATGCAGTCATGCCGAAAATGCGCGGGAGTCTATGGCCAGTATTCGCGAGCGGCACGAAAAAGTCTGTGACGATCCGTGCGTATGGATGCTCCCGCTTTGCGTGATGTGCTTCATCAAAGATGAGCAGGTTAATCTGCTCCATTCTTATGTACGCGCGGTGAAGGCAGTTTTGAAGCACCGCCCCAACACACACAATGACCAGGTTATTCTCGAGCTGCTGTTTCCAGAAATCGTGATCTCTTGGGTCGTTGTCACCGGCGAAGCATGCGATATTGCAGTCAAGATTTTCTTTGAGAACACGGTGTTGTTGCTTGGCTAAAGCGATTTTGTCGACCTGTGACATATGTAAGCTTGGAGAATGGAGCAGTATAGGTTGTGGCAGCTACCAAGAACACAGATATTCTGTGCGGATGTCCCTGTTTTCTATCTTCATATTCCTGGTCGATGGTGTGACGTAGGAGCAGAGCAGCTATAAGGGTCTTGCCAGAACCTGATCGTCGGTTAGCTTTTGAGCACGTTAGAATGGACATAACTGGCGCCGTACCAGTGTCGAGCACCACGATAGTATTTTGCCTTTTCGCTTGTTCGAAGAGCTCCAGCTGATATTCACGTGGGCTGTTGATGATGCGACTCGCGTCGGCGGGCCCCGACGCAACAGCCAAAGGACACTGAACGATGGTAGACTTCATCGTCCTTAATGCGTCCTTTTGCCTGATCTCAAGCCATTGTGTGAACGCTGTGTCCTCGAGGAGCCTCTGTTCACCCACTAGCTGTTCGCGTTTGTCTGCATTTTCCTCCTGCTCGTGACCGTCACTGTCGTCCAGGACCTCTTCAAATTGCTTCTCGTATAGCTCCATGTTGCGCGAGGAGTCTGGCCAAAGTCACAAGGCATTCAAGGAATCCTCACATTCCAGAAACCACAGGCCAGCTTATTTCCGTTGTTGAGTTTGCGTATGGTAATACCTGTTGGTTTGGTCTTGACACGTAGTCCTCGTGGTAGGAGGCTCTTCGCGTGTGGTAGCCGAATGGAGCCAGCCTGACTGTCCTGCAAAAGTTCGTAGGCCAAAGATCGAGGTTGCTATGATGTCTGCGTGTGGGTTGAATGAAGCTTGGGCCGGCAGATGAGTAGTATGGCTCGGCGCAAGACATATGGTACGCCGTCCGTTTGATGGGTGCCGTGATCAATTGTCCGGGATAATGTTCAATCGGAGCGAAACTCTTCTGAATGATCAGGTGGTTGATATGTGCTCAAGGTGACTGGCAGCTGGAGTGGCAGGAGCAAACGCGGACGGGGTTAATCACGCGGACATACATACGTTCACGTCGACCGGGGAGGACAATGGTTGGTCTTGAGCTTTGATGGAGGCTCACGAAAGAGAGTTTCTCATTGACTAAGTATCCCTCCCAGCTTGGGGTGACAGAGGTATATCCAAGAGTGGCTGGGATTGACTGCGGTATCATGGTAATTGTTGGTCTTTGAGGGTTGCCAGGGAGCAAGGCTGTTTGTCCGGGACACATTCAGCCTCCTGATGATCTCACACATAAGCTCGGCGGAGGCATTATATTCCATTATAACCAAGTTTGATACAGAAGCATATCGTACACCCTCGATGTCTTTGAAGATGGGAGTATCCCGCTGGTCCTTCAACCTAGGCCGTGCCGAAATTGTTGATACTCTTCACGGCCTGTGACTTGATTCTCGGTCCAGGGTACTTCGTTTGCCATCGCATCTGTTAGAGGTCCTGAAATAAGAGTATGATTGTGCGGCACTGTGGCACAGAAGAGAATCCTGGAGCATGGGCGAGATGGGCAGCCTGTGAGTGTGCAGTCAGTCAGTCGCCTGGTGTGTGGTGTGGGGTCTCTGGATGACATCTGCAGGCGCCACCCCTCGTTGGGGCGAGAAGGAAACCTGCAGGGTGCCACATGCAACAGCACAAAGGACAATCACGCTGCCACCGAGGACGTAATCGCCTCTTGCCACAACCTCGCTCTCTTCAAGTCTGGACGGAATCCTGTAGAGCGAGCAGGCGACTTTTGACTCAAGATCTCTTTTCCCAGCTTTGCGCCACGACATTACAACTTCAACCGCCAGCGACACACACCCTCCGGCTCCCCCATCCAAGCTCTGCATCATGTCGCAAGAGCCCAGGACCCTGAAATCCGTCTTCGCTGCGGCTGAGGCCAAGCGCTCGGGCCTGGAGAACAGCTACGACACAATCTCGGCCAGCTACCAGGATGACCTCTCCCAAGCTCTCAAGTTCTATGAGGACTGCCTCATGATCATCGGCGACATTTCACTCTTCAGTCCCAACGAGACTCTCGAGGACATCAACACATCAGATCTGCCCTACCTACTGGTGAGCTATCGCATCGCCGAGCTGCTGCAAAAGGTCTCCACGGCCTCGCCTACCGAGCGCAAAGCCGCACTCGATGTTGCAAAGGAGGCGTACTCCAAGTTCTTGCACCTCATGGACAGCTACTCGCTGTTCTCGGAATCAGACCGCAAGCTCTTTGAGCGGTATGTAGACGAGCCAGAGAGCTTCTCCACCATCACATCCTCCGATCCCGCCCTAAGGAGGAACGCCAAAATTGCCAACTTCAAGGCGGAGAAGGAGATGAAGCAGAAGCTCGAGTTCATGCGGAGAAACCCACGCTATCTGGACGACGGGGGCGGCGACGAGGAGGCAGTCCGGGAGCTATACCTCGCCGATATTGCCTGGAACATCCACCAGACGTTCCAGGGACTTGAGGGCATCAACCGGGAGATGGAGGTGCTCGCGCAGGCGCCGATACCGTTGATGCCGCAGGATTCGACCATTGAGGATGACGAGCGGCGACGCAAGGCTTCATTTGACAGCGAGATGTTTTCTGCGAGATTGGACACCCCCCTGCAGCCCATTCACGCTGGAGCCAAGGGCCCGTTGTTGAGCAAGGAGGGAAAGCCATTGAGGCCCTTTACGCTCACAGCGAACAGGCAGGAGTTGACAAAAGGTGTCTTCCGGCCAGGCCATAATCTGCCTACCATGTCCATTGACGAATATCTTGACGAGGAGAGGAGGCGGGGCAACATCATCGAGGGTGGCGGTGAAGCGAGCGGCATGCAGCCAGAGCCCGACGAAGATAATTACGAGAAGGCAGACGCGGAAACAATGAAGGCTCGGGAATGGGACGAATTTGTAGAAAACAATCCCAAGGGAAGTGGCAACACTCTCAATAGAGGGTAGGCAGGATGTGAGAGCGTTTATAAACATGTACGGCACGCGAAACCTGAAATCAGGAAGCACGCGAAATAGAGAAATATGATAAACGAAGGAAGTACTATTATCCTCCCTGAAGCAGAACAGTGGAAACTTGCATGCAGTGCCAGGACAATGGCCGTGGTGCCAACCGGGCAGGAAGTCCTTGACCCTCTTTGGTGCATACTCCGCTGTGGCATGCAGCTAAACCGAATGACAGGGGTATGCAGGGGAGCTCCCCCAAATCCCAGCCTCGAAGCGCAAGGCTGGCGCGACTGTTTAAACTTCACAATTGCTCCAAGAAACTATCAAAGACAGCATCTCATCAGCCATTCGTCGCTCGACAGAAGCCCTCGACCGCGTCCCGACGTGTCCGCCCGTCCTCCACACCTAGAACATGGCTCCGACAGAGCAGGATCCCCTCCTGCTGCTCCGGCAAGCCATCGCGGCAGGAAGCCCTGTCGTGCCAACTGCGTCCGACAGCGAGGTCAACCTCGCGCAAGCCACACATTTGACATTTTCAGTACCGTCAAGGATATCGCTGCCCATAGACACACCCACGCGATTCACCTCCAATGACCAGCCCGTCGACCTGCGCAGTATATACTTTGCTTGGCTGAAGCGCGAAGTCGCCATCCCCGAGTACAATGCGTCTGCGTCGCAACTGAACGACGAGCTCACAAGCGGGCAGGTCCGCAAGTTTGCCTTTGTCGAGCGGCTCGACCTCATCACATGGCTGGAAGGCGCGAGTGAGGAGTCCGAGTACATCAAACCATTAGCGGGAGATAGGGATGGCGCCGCGTCGACGGCCGCTGCGGCGCTTGCTTCCAAGGGTGCTGCTGCGCCGGCCATTGGCGCGACAGTAGGGCGGTCAGGCAAGGGGACGTTGGATCCGAGGCTGGCAGTGATATACAACAGCGAGCGCAAGCTCGGTGACCGCAACAGTGTTCTCAGGGGCATAAAACCCACAGTGAGTCGTGGCACCGGGTGCTCGTACCTACTATTTATTGGTGACGGAAATCTGACCTCACGCTCCACAGGACTTCTCCCACGTGCGCAAGCTCGCTGCGCCGCTCGTCTCCAAGAAGCCGTCGCAACCAACCACCACAAACATTTCCTCGAATCCCACCCTTGCGACACACTCGAAGCCCAAGCGGCCCGACCCCATCATCTTGCTCTCACCATCCGCCTCCTCGCTGCTGCGCATGTCAAATATCAAGTCGTTCCTCGAGGGTGGACAGTACATCCCGCCAGACTCGGAAGCCGCGAGCTACACGGGCGCCAGTATGCTGCACATCAACAGGCTGATGAAGGACATTGATCCCAACCGGCCGATGCGCTTCATCCTGGTCGAGGGCCCCGAGCAGTTCAAGCCCGAGTACTGGACGCGCGTGGTTGCCATCTTCACGACGGGCCAGAGCTGGCAGTTCAAGAGCTACAAGTGGAGCAACCCGCAGGAGCTGTTCCGCCATATCCCGGGCATATACCTCGGCTGGCGCGGCGAGCAGCCGCCTGAGAACGTCAAGTCGTGGGGTCACCGGGTGATGACGATCGGCATCGACAGGTGGAAGGGCACAACCACCGGACCGGACCCGAGCCGGTGGCGAGACCGCGAGATTGTCGAGGACGTGTGGAAGGCCATTGAGGGCAACATGCGCAGTAAGGGCTGGAGGCGAGACCAGGCGCCGGCGTCGATATGATCGGGGACCAGCAGCTCTGGGGCCATAACGAAGGAGAGCGCTTTTGGAAGCGGCCATTTGATGTATCTGTATATCTGTATCACATTTGTTTTCCTGCATGCAATTTCCTATGCTGCAGGTCTTGCAGACATCATAGAGCAGCGACTATTCCGTGACCGATAGCGAATCAAGGTCAGAACCTTAGCGTATCGAGGTCTGACCGTGAAAATACAAATAGGCGGGCGCGCGTGGCTACATGTCTGCATTCACCAACGCCCGAGACACAATGACTAGTGGCCGTTCCGCCTGTGTGTCTTTATGGCTTAAGGCGTCCAGCGGAAGAGCGGTGTTTCTAAATCGCAAACAAAGATGTGCTTAGACAGGATCGCGGAAAAATTGGACATATCTCTTATCTTTCCCATAGTTACCAGGTGAATGAAGTGCCCTGGACGCCTGTGAGCGGGCTCAGGGAAGTGCCCAATAAACCTATGTCGATATCAGGGCAGTTAATCTATAGTAGAAGAGCAAGACTTCATTAATTGCAACGGGAGTGCCTTCTTTGCCGACTGTTCGTTGTAACATCCTCAGCAGCAAGACCACTATAACTAGAGCTGTTCCTGCTTGGCAGCAGAGTTTGATCCCAAAGAAAGGGGACTTTGGTTGCCTTGTGTCGGTAGGCAGAATGGTAAAGGGTCTTCCCGGTCAAGATATTGTGGGAAGGAGGACCTTTGTGATAGGTAAAGTTCTACCTCTTAGTCGCTGTATTCTAGCAGCGCTGTGTCTCGTTGATGCTTGTGGTGCACACAGGCAAGGGAGTGTTGCATTTACAGCTGACAAGAATGAAGAATGGACTGGACGGTACTACCCTTTTGGAACCCATATTCTTCACCGTTTCGTTTCGGTGTCCTTGGCGGTCATGCCGCCTCGTGCTAGGCCTGCTTTCATGGAGATATCACAGCTAAATGGTTGATAGCGTAAGAGAACCGGCTGCGAGGAACACCCACTATTTCAGCCAGTGCCGTGAGCTGTAGCATATTATACCAGCGCACTGCTACGAAAAGTCACGTTTGACGGACTCCTACGTGCATGATGGCGTATCTCCATGCTGCATATCCTGTAAGACAGGTGGAGACCGTTATGACACAAGACAAGTTGTCTTGGAAAGCTACCAATCTTCAAGCTCGCGTTATTCATATAGGCTCCCTTACTCACGAGAGCTCCCGCGGCGAGATGAAGTGTGGAGCGGAAACTTACCGGCCCATCACGAATGCGTCCGTCTCGGCAAATGCCAGCAATCCCCTCGTCCGAGAATGCCCGAGTGCTTGTCAATCTCGCACACACGCACACAGCGTGAGGGAGATGGCAAAACACACAAAGCAAAAAGGACTCCCAGGATTGGCGCGATGTGTATGTGCATGTGGTAAATCCACATACGGGATTCGGTCGCTTCGCAGGATGATCGCTAAAGGCATACCAAATCCCGAGAAAACTTAAAGCTTCCTGACAACGTGCCGAGCTTGAAGGGTGCTGAGGCGTTTCTAACTTTGCCCGTGGGGAGCCGGAACGGGAAGTACCGTGACACCTGTCAACGTGAGCTGCTCGTGCCCAGCCTTGCTTTGTTCCTCTATCGGCGGAACGTGAGATGGGAATCTGGTTGGTTCGGCCGCGAGTGGGGAACTTTGGGATGCGGTACACCAACATGTCAGGTTTCCATGAGGGGGGGACTGTTGTTCGTGGTCTTCTAGCTCTGGTTCATCGCTCTGGCTAAGTCGTCATGGCTGAGGTTGGGTTCTGTCAACCAGGATCCAGAAGACCAGGACAACAGAGGTCTCCCATGTTGATGCTGGAAGATGTACCCATGATGCCCTCTGTACAGTCTCTGTCATCCAGGCCTGCTTGTGCTCCGTGTAGTTCAGTCCTGCCAGCATACATGTATGCTCGTCACAAACACTCAACAAGCAAGCATGTCCAAGCAACCCACTCACTAGCCACTGCGTGTCCATCGCTGTAAAACCTTTCATCACCCTCTCCTCTCTACCTCTGGTCGAGTCTATGCTCCATCTCCCAGTTGCCCGTAAACATGCCATATTAGACGAGCACAAGCACATACTGGCAGTTAACCCCCCACGCAAGTGTGACGTGTCCACCGCGAAGACACACCATCGTCTCGGCGGTCGCCGGTTCGGGCAGTACCTTTTGACTAGTGCCCATGCCGTTTCAGGCAAGAGGGAGCGTGTGGGAAACTCTAGTTGTTGCGTTTGTTCTGAGTTTGCCGTGTCTCGGGGGATTTCGCCATGTGCCAACAACGACCCATGTGCCACACAAACGTGCTACCTCGCTGCTGTCAGGTGCTCGTACCCTCCCTCATGCTTTTGTCCATCAGCTGTCCCTGCTCTGCTAGCAGCTCTGTCTGTGATGCTCGTGGGCCTCGCATATTTCCTCGGCCTGGCGTAGACTGGGGAGACTAGATAGCCAGATGAGGATCACCTGCTGGAAGCTGGATTTGGCAATGCGAAGCAAGTGACATCTTTGTTGTTTTATGTTTTTGTATTTTTCTGTATCTCCGTTCTATATATCTCTAAACATCCTCGACAACCTCCTTGAGCTCTACTACAACACTATACAGCCTCCATTACATATTAGGATCCCAGCCAGATCGTTCTCGTACATCCCAGATACCAGACGAGGTTTCGATGACGAGAAAAACCTTCGTCCCACGTCTAATAATCGTAACCCGCAATACTCTCCCCCCTCCCGGATTAGTCGAGCCATACGCACACACACACACATGTCCCTTTGCCCTCTCCGCCCTGGATGACGCTGGGCGTTGTCACGCAGGGTGGGAAAGAGCCAAAAAGAGATTGTGCTTCAGGTCCCAAGAATGACATGACCTAGGCCTCCCTCTCTCTCTCTCTCTCTCTCTCTCTCGCTCGCTTGCTCGCCATTCCCCGTCCTTACAAGACGAAGAACAGCACACCGCTGAGCACAGCGATGGCAAGCGAGCTGACGTGCTCAAGAGTGGCCGCGGCGCCAGGAACAATCGAGTTGGTGGGGACGGTGGTCACGCTGACAGTCGGTGAGCCGCCGGCAGTGACGGTCGCACCGCCGCCGCCGCCGCCAGTGTTAGTGGGAGGAGGATTGACGGGCGGGTTGACAGGAGGGTTGACAGGAGGGTTGACAGGAGTGTTGACAGGAGGATTGACGGGGTTCTCCGTCGGCTGGATGGCCGGGGAGGTCTCCGTGGCGGGAGGAGGAGGGGGCGGGTTGCTAGTGTCCGGGATGGGAGTGGGCAGGGTCACGATGTTCTGTTAGGTTTTGGTTAGCCTTTGTGGTCATTTTTCTCGTTCTGTGTCACGATTCCCTGGGGAGGAGGGAGGGGTGAACTGACCGAAGTAGCCTCGCACGGGCAGTTAGTAATAGTGATGGTCTGGCCGGCCTCGGTGGCAGTGTACTCCTGGCCATTGGTAGTAATGGTGGTTGGGTAAGGGCAGACAATGATGATGTAGTCGGTGATGACGGTGGGCAGCGTGTTGTTGTAGTACCAGCTAGACGTGCTGGTGGGCGGGTAGGTGGTCGTGTTGAAGGTGGTAGAGGTCGAGGTGCTGGTGTCGACAGTCACGCTGATCGACTCGCTGCTGCTGCTGCTGCTGCTGCTGCTGCTGCTGAGAGAGCCGGGCAGGTCACTCGACGTTTCAGTCGATGAGCTCGTCGGCTCAGTCCCAGTGCTCGTCGTGTCAGTGACGGAAGTGCTTGTCGTGACAGTCACGCTGGTGGAGGTGGTCGTCGACTGAGCAGCGACGCCCGTCGCCATGGCCGCAAGGCCGGCAGCAAGAGCAAGCTTGGTCTGCATTTTCGTGATGGCCTTGATACTCGTGTTGAATGTGAGCTGAAGGTTGTGGCAGCGTTATATCTGGTGAAAAGCTGATATCTCTCCGTGAAGCAGTTCACTCGAAGCGATTGACTTGTGGCAGATGAAGCGAGAGACGAGGATGTGAGGTGCTGAGAGAGGACTTAAGAACACCAGGATATCCAGACTCGACGACCATGGAGGAGGTTCAGATCTTATAAAGAATATTCTCGGCCATTCCGCACACGAGGCTTCCAAGTTAAAAGAACGAAACAAAGTTATCACCAAAGTCAATCATTGGAGGGTTGACGCTACCGACACAGGGGAAAACCATAATCCAAGACACCGAGTCTCCAATCACCCGCGCAATAACCGCAAAGCCGTGCTCTTGCTTATTAGTCAAAGTAGGAAGCGATGAAGTCAAACTCGCCAACGGGGCCCTTGCTGTGAGACATTGCTGCCGCTCGTTGCCCGGCTTGCCGGCTTTCCCGCGCGTGGCTCGACTGGAATGCTGTCGTCCATTTCCGTCGTGGTCTCCTGAGCTTCCGAGACACAACGCCGCCAGAAACAGCAAGTACATGACGGCCGGCACATCATCAACAGGTGGGTCGGCCGATGTTCCACCTATCGACCTCGTGTTTCTGGGATTTTTGTGCTTTCTCTGCTTCACGAATCGAGGCGGTGATCCCCTTCTTCGTGCACACAAAATCATATGGAAATGACACAATATGGCCTGCTTGCGCGCGAACTCCCAAACTCTATTCGTCCGCGACTGCTTCTGACTTCGCTTACGAAGCAACCCCAGAGCCGAAGTGCCAGCAAGATCGACATCGTCTTACCTAGTGCGTCCTCCAATATGTCGCTTTGCGCTGGAAGCAGCAATTGCAGCCCCAGCTTAGAGCTCTCTAGTCTCTTCCGACTCAATATCGGGGTACTCCCGCGATCCGCAACAGCAGCGCAGGGCCCAGTGGATATACATTATTCATGCTCCTCACAGCACGTCTGCAGTACCCCGTGGTCACGCTGAACAGTTATTCATGGCGGCTGACATGCAGGCGTTGGCAAGGCAGGGATTCGAAATTATTTTGTATCATGTTTTTGAATGCTGGAGGTTCTCCATCTCGGTCTCTTCTTCTATGCTGATGTATCCTAAAACGCCGTCACCCTGAAAAAGCAAATGAGCCTCGCGGAAGTGCAAGGACCCAAATAGCCACCCGTGAATGGGACTCCGCAGTGACCAATGCAAAGCGTCTTTATACATAAAAAACCGTTCGTCGTGACAAGCGGAGTATTGAACAAAAATGGTGCGGTGGGGAAAGAAGATGCCGCAATGCAACTAAGCAGTCCAACGAACGCGATGCTGGAGGACATAGAGTTCTGCCGGAAATCCAAATCTGAAGTGCTGAATACACAAGCGCCATGTCCATATGCGGAGGGGCTTTGGTGGTCGCAGCTATGCTGTTACTCAACAGGTACACATGACGGTCACTTTCGGTTCGATCTGCTCTGGCTCCGCTCTGGTACACGGCCGTTGCCGAGGACGACAGCGTCAAAGTCGTAGTTCTTCAGCGTGCTCTCATACTTAGCGTTCCGCAAGAACTTCGGGACGGAGTCCTGCGAGGGTGTTAGTCATCTCTTGCAGGGAACAGAAAGAATCAATTCGTCGAGGTGCAACTTACGCTAGCCATGAGCTTGAAGACGGCGTTTTGCGCGTCTTCGAACAAGGCGGTAACCTCATGTAGTGTGTCGATCATAGCCACATCCTGGCCTACGGCCTTGGTCATACGAGTAGCAAGGTTATTGCGAAGCTGATGGTCAATATTGAGCTCGCATGGCGAGCCGGGAGCCAGGAAGGCATTGTAGATGCCGTAGGCCTGCGCCATGATCTCCTTGATGCCGTCCATTGAAGTCGCGTTCGGGTTCTTCTGAGCGACACGGATGGCAGCCTTGCAAGAGCGAACGAACTCATCAACGTCGAGGTAGAAGGACAGGTTCTCTTCGCAATGTGTCTCACGGAGGTTCTCGCGGAAAAGCAGACGAAGAGCAGCGTCGTTGAGAATTTTGTCGAGGCGCTGCGTGTTGGAATCACGGGCGACGCCAGGACGAGTAGTTGTCGCGGGGATACCATCGCTCTCCGATGTGCGACCCCGGCCGCCCGATCCATTAATGACCTCACGGCCTCTGGTTGTCATCTGGTAGATCGCGTTCTTGGTGGGCTGGAACAGTGCGCCAGACGGTGAGGTGGCCATATAACCTCTATCCTGCTGCACCGACTCCATCAGATCGTACTCCACAAATAGAGAGGCCATTTCCAGAGTCTCCCGGCGGTCCACTGTCGTGCAGCAGTCCATCAGCCAATCCGAGCACGCCTTGCCCGTAAAGGTATCCTTGAAGGTCTTGCCAGCAATCTTGCGCTCGCTGGCCATCTTGACCCCAGTCAATCCATCCCTGTAATCACTTAGGGATTCCGAATCAGCCGAACTCGTACTGGACTTGATATTGAGCCCGTTGGCACCAATCATTCTCCGAAAGACGACTTCCATGGTGCCTCTGTCCATGACCAACTTGTCAGAAGTAGGATCTCTCTCTAGTATGCACAGCTGGCTGACTCCAGTGGCAATCAGGTCGCCAATTTGCCTTTGCTGAATACCGTTGCGAGAACAGAAACGATCCAGGACGGCGACGCCCTTTGAGGTTAATTGCCATACAGATCCCTTCATTGTGTACGTCTGCTGCAGCTTTCCATCCGCAGACTCAATGAACCTGGCGTCAAGAAATCTTTGGCATATTGAGCGGGCCATATCCTTGGCCATTGAGAATGTTGTCGTTGTCGTAGTGGTGACGATGCGTGAGGGATCTTTGGGATCAGGCATGCGGTTTGATTGAGAGAATTTGAGTGAGCCGAGGTTGTTAATGGCATCTTCGGAGAGGAACGTGTGTTCCACTCTTGTCAGGCGAACTCTGTGGGAGGACAATGGAAGCAAGCTGACGATGAGCGTAGAGTAGAGGTCCTTGAAGTCCTGTACGTAGAGAAGTGGAAATAGTTAGCCACAGTCTCTGGATCCGGGACAACGACGACACCAATACTGTGGTCCTAGTCGAAAGAAGGTCTTTGGGTCACGCCATGAACTGTAATTACCTTTGTGAACGGACGCTCATCGTCCGTCATACGGAGGAGACGCGAAGATGTTTGATGCATCTTGTTTTCGGGCGAGATAATGATCGGAGGTGGGCGGCTGGGATCAGTCTCTAAATACGGGGTAGAGATGGGGTCTTTGGGCGACACCAGACTCGACCGTCTGCTCAGAGGATAGGGACCTGGCAGTCGAGTGGAATTCCGGCTCCTGCTTCTCTCCTTGTCCTGCTCGCTGGCGGGCGAGACGGAGGGCTCTGGAACTAGAGACAGACGCCGCAGGGTCGTTGAAGACGATCGTCTACCCAGGCCTGGCTCAGAGATGTTTGCAATGGTCTTGTCAAAGGCAGCGGCAGCAATGGCGCGGATGCCTGAGGGTTTCTGGGAAGCCGGGCGCCGGGAATTGGTCCAGGTGGAGGACGGCTTGCCTTTGGTGGGCACGGCGTCAGGGTGGGAACGCTGCGTCGGGGCAGGCACAAGGCGAATGCTGGAGAGCGAGGCAGAAGAGTGGTGGTGGTGGTGCAGCGATGTGCTGCGAGGCTGTGGCACGGGCGAGGACGGCGAGGGGGAACGGGTCTCGGAGCTGCCGTCGACTTGAGTAGTAGGGTCTTGGTTGTCGCTGTGGCCGTCGTGGTTGTTGTCGTCACAGAGAGGGTCGACGATGCTGTTGTTGTGGCTGTTGTGGTGGACAGGAAGCGGTGGTGCCTGTGAGGAAGGAGGAGGAGATGGTGGTGGTGATGGTGGTTGTGAGACGGCAGCCATCTACCAGACCATTCGAGGATGGGTGGGAGAGGGTGTTGTACCCTGAGGGGGTGTGGCGGGCCAGCGTAGTTTTAATGCGGGCAGTCCTGACCTCACTTTTCGCACGACGATCCGGGTTCCCGCAACAGCAGCACCGGTAATAGCACTCGCGCGCGAGCAGCGCAGCATCCACTTCTCGACTCTGGGGCCCTCGGGCTTTTTTTTCCTCCAGGGCAAACGCGGGCGGTGCTTGGTCTGGCTGGTGGGCAAGGGGAGGGCAAGGCAGGAGGGCGGACGGAGACGGCGGAGTAGCTAAGGGTAGGGACCGGGCCTGTCTGTCTTTTTAAAAGAGGACGGATGGATCCAGATTGGAAACAACGGCGTGGTCGATGCCATGTGCGCAGGCTGCGTTGCTCTGCAGACTCGTGCGCCGGGCGGGAGGGGTGGGCGGGCGTGTGCGCGGGAATGGGGAACGCAACGTGGGCAGGCCACCCCTGCGTCCGGTCCTGTCTCGTTCGCTCCTCGCCCTCCCACCCCTCCTCCTCGTCGACTTTTTCTGGCCACACACGCGCTCGCCCAGTCGGCTGGCGGGCCAGGATGGCTGGGTGTCGGCTCGCCGTCGCTCACACTGGAGACAGGCCCAGCACGGAGGCAGCGCAGTGGCCATAATAGTACGCTCCTAAGCGAAAGGGGGGCCACCCACCGTCGCTCGCTCGCTGGCCGGTGCTAGGCTAGGCAAGGTAGCGCACGGGCGAGCGTGCGGCCGGGCTGCAATGGACCAAAGTGATTATTACTCAGGCACTGACCAGACCGACACACGGGCTCTGCCTGGGTCCAGGAGACGAGAGCGATGGTTCCGGCACGCGCACGCTGGAACTGCTGGCCGGCAGTGGCAACCTGGAATGCGTGAGAGCTCCTCGTTGCTACCTAGGTAACGTCTTGGGATGGCTGCGGGACTCGACAGGCCTGCCTGGGTCTCTGACAGGCTTGGGCTTATCCAACAACCACGAGCGAGACTCGGCAGCCGGGCTGGGCACCGCTGGGGCTATCAGGATGACTACGCACCTCAAGACAAGCTGTTCGCCACGAGCAGCGGCATGTCGGCGGCCAGATGACCACGCATGCTCGGTGATGCTCTTCGCAACAGGGCCGAGGTGATTTGGTGTGCCAAACATCGTGACTCCCGTGCCAGGTTGCCCGGTCCTGGACTGCACGGCTTTGTCGGGATCGACGTGTGGTTCGAGCCTGCCCAATGCTCTGTGGCCTGCGCTCGCGTCTGCGACGTCTCCGAGCATGACGAATCGTCAGCGTGCGTGCAGACAAGCCTGCGGGCCTGGGCCGATAGCACCACTGATATTACCCCCGGATCTTACGATTGCTGGCCGCCTCAGGAGCCCGCCTCTGGCTTCCCATGTGTGTGTGCAGGCAGGTGGTGTGCGTGTTGTGCCTCTGTGGGTGTGGATGGGGGTGTGGGTGGGGCAGGCCTGCCACGAGGCGGCTCGCTCTCTGCTGCCTCGTGGCAATCCCTCCCCCCGCAAGCGCAGGCCTAAATCGAGGCTAACTATGAGAGATTGCAGCCAGTAGAGAGCAGCGCCCAGCCCAGCCCGCCCGAGCCATACTCGACCGTCCACGGTCACTGTCACATTTTAAGGTGGCTTCTCTGCCTTCTGGGCAGAGATTTGCAGCACTTGGCGCTTGGCCCTCGTCGTGCTGGAATGCAGCACCTGCGACTGCCCCTGAACCCCTGCGACTGCCCAGCAGAATTCCGCCCTCCGACTGTGATGACTGGGGCGGCCGGACTGGGGCCTGGCGTGGCACTTTGTGGCACGGCATGGCATGGCAGGGGTCGCCACGAGGTCCGCCCGGAGTTCCCGTCCTCCGATCGGTGCGTGGACCAACAGTCAGCTCGGCCGGCCTGTGAGGCACAGAGGATGTACTATTTGCCCTGCCTGGACACATCGCGGCCCGTCCTGACCTTCGCTGGGTGGTGATTATGTGTGATGGATAGGCTGCTCTTGGAGCAATCGCCTCCGTCGACTGTACTTTGTCGCGTTGGTTGCTGGCCTGTTCGCCAGCTTCAAGTGCGCCTGGCCTATCTGGGGGACTGGGTATGCTACTGCCGCTGTGGGGATGCCCAGTGCGAGGATCGATCAAAAAGACATGTGTGGAGTGAAGCCGCCAAAACGGAGACCCCCTGGCCCAGACTCGCCCGGGAGCTGAGGAGAGGCACGCATGAATTGCTCGTCGTTTCCCACACTTGGCCCGGCAAGTGTGACACGCATCTTCTCGGGCATGCATTCTCGTATCCTTACCGGTCCTCCGTGTGCCGCACCACACCGCACCACGTTGGATGAGAGACAGCTCAGAATCCTAGTCCGCGCGTGGCCTTCGTCCTCACCAGTCGCCAGGTGGTCGGACGTCTGTGTTGCCTTTGCAGTGGTCGGACAATATTCGTCCGTCACCAACACCGCGATATTCTTCATGGTTCAAGAACCGCGCCGATCCACTCGAGTAGCACCCTCCATGAGAGGGGCGGTACTCCAGGCTCTGGAGAGTGCTGCCGTGCTCCGTATGCCAAATGGATGGTCCCTCGCCGACCAGCCAAATAACCAACGTTGGACATGCAAGCCCGCCTTAGCCATGATATGGTACGCCACATGCGTGATAATGACGCTTGTTGATGAGTTGTTTCAGACGGGTTGGTTATATTTGCACCCGCAACATACTCGTGCTTGACGGCCGATATTTATAGCAGCGCCGCGCAAGCTCAGAGCACTTTGCTTTAGTTGCCAACCTTGGTCGAAGGCTCTCGCTCATCGAAGGCGCGTAAGCTCGGTGGTTGTTGACCGATGCAGGCGTGGCCAACGGGCCTCAACAACATTGATATCGTGTGTCATGCGTTGTACATGTTGAGCCAGATTTCACGTTGGTTGTGTCTCGGAAAAGCAGCGACCCCCGCCCTAGAGCAGGCCTAGTGGAGGAGACGGACCTTGCGGCCGGCAACGTGGCTTCGGCATGCCACGTGCAATAACGGTGAAGTGCACGCAGCCACCTACCGTCACAGGGATATCCTGCGGATTTGTCAGTCCTTTGTGTATTGCGGGATAACAACAAGCTTTAGGCCTAAGGCGCTTGGTGCAAAGGGCCGGCTGCAAGATACGTATGGAGGGGCGAAGCCGGGCCTGACGACGACAACATGATGACCAGGAAGCAATCCTCTCTGCTGGAGCACCAGTGCCCATACCGGTACTGCTGCGTCGCGCCTGCCGCAAATGCTGGCAAGCCAGGCCTGGGTTGAAGGTACTTCTGTAGTGCGGAAACAGCCCTTGCTGGCTTCGCAAAAGGTGGGACACAGCAATGTGGGAGGAAGCAAGGGTGTCTGCAGTGATTGTCCCTTGATCGAACCATTCGTGGACCCACTGGGCACATCTGCACCTGCCCAGGCTCCTGTAACTGCCTGCGCGACCTCAGCTGCGCAATGGACACCTTACAGGCTGCTAGCCAGAGAGGAGAGAGCCAGACGTACTCTCGTACGCAGAACCTTCACCCCCTTCTCCGCAGATGTTTGCTCGCTGGACAGCCCATCGACAAGGTTGTGCTTCGGGCCCAAGTTTACAAGACGACGGGTACGGCAATGTCGCAGCCTCAGCATGACGGTGGCAAGCTCCCAGCCGCATCGGTCGCTCGCGTTTTCACCGCCATGCGTTGTTGTCCATATCCTCTATCTCATACGCCTGCTTACGACATTGAAACAGATGTGCGTGCCCTTCACGGCCTCCTCAGCCCAGATGACTGACAAGCCTGCAACACCACGTGGGTCGCAGCCCTGTTTCGCCTCGACAGGCATCCATGGTCGGTAGGAACGAGGCCTAGCCGCCGTGCCGCATTCCCCAATCTGCAGGGATCTGATCCGGTTAAGTTCTTCTAGAACTTCTGGAAGCCCAGAGCATGGGCAGGTACCCCAGTGCAGGAGGGCCATGAGGAACTTTAGGACTGTATCATGTTCGGCTGAATAATTATTAGTGTGCTCTGACCATCGTCTCAAGGCCGTCCAGTGCTTTGCGTGGCTGCGTCCATTTCGGAGGGTGCTGCAAGGCTGTTGAAATCTCCATCGGCAACAATGTGGCGTCTCAGGCTGTGCATAACACCACGCTTCAAAGTCGATGTTCGGCACCAAAGGTGAGGCCATATTGGACCATTCGAAATCGATATCGCGAGGTCGGAAGGGCTATCATGCACATTCACAGCTCATGCACGGGTTCAAGCGCAGTAAATGTGTCGGACTATTCGAATGAGCGGAAACGACCACGCCGAACTACACTACTACAAGCGCCAAACTAATCCGTGGCCGTCTCCGGGCGGTGATTTGAAGCTGCTGACGACTCAAGTCCGTCGAGATACCCTTCAGAGCAAGCTCCGTGATGATTTGCTTCGTATCAAGTGACCATACGGAGGCTCTGCGTCAAAGAATAAGAAAAGCGAGGACCACCGAAATATCAACTTTGTCATTCACCACGCTACAGTATCAGGGCCCATCCGTTAGCCACGTGGAGTTTTGATGCTAAAAGTCGCTATCGCTGAACGGCGCAGTGTCCGTCCCGTCGGATGGGTCATGACGACCCCCCCCCCCAGTTATTAGAGGCTTGTGCTCTTTAAGCCTAAATGAGGGCTTCCCAAATGGCCTCTCAGAAGCATATTCAGAAGGCACCGAATTCGAGCCAGCGCCGGACCCCGATGCCTGACCAGAGCTTGGACAGTGTCAGACCATGAAATTGTTAGTTGCCACACGGACGCACCCCAAACGACGCCCGCCGTAGCAGTCAACAGGCATGACTCCACTCTGTGGAACAACATCGTACGATCATTACTCACCACGCATTCTAGAACGGGGTTGGATGCCAATGGAAGTTCCGAGCCTGCAGAATCAGGCCTTCGGCTTGGGTCAATGATTGCGATCCAGATGACCCGCCTGGACAGCTTCCTTGTTGGCCAGCCCAAGGGCAGAGATTTTGCTACCACGGACCATCATAATGCCATGCCAGATATCACGACGAGAGAGGGTTCAAGAATGGGGTTGGGCCAAAGTGGGTCATGAAGCTTGCTGCATCAGCGCCATCATTAGCATCAGCATGCCCAACATGGTACAAACCTCCAGGAAGCGAATGCCACTCAGCACCACGCCACCCGGACATTGGTTCTCATGTTTGATTGGCCTGGCCGACTCCGACCTCGCCAACCGGTAAGGATGGGAATCGGCAGTCATGCTCTGCACTTGTGCAACGACTCCCGTGGGGCACGTACCCTAGATGGAGTTCTGGTGGAGACTGCCACGTGGAAAGAAGCCTGACGTCCCGAGTCAAAATGACGGTGATCAGCCACTTTGGTCCAAACATCGAAGGACTAATTTAGCTGCAGCCAAAATGGGGACGGTGAGCTGAGCCTGTGATTCATGGCCCAGCTTGGTTGGGGTGGCCATCATGACGAGCTTTGTCTCACTCAAACTCCTCAGCCACGCCTGGGCGGAGCTCGGAGCCGTCATTTTCGTTGCGAAGAACCACCCAAGACCACCACCACAGCTGTTTGATTCACTCGACCAGAGGTCACTTCAGCCTCTCTGAACGCGGTATTGCGATGGCATCCCACTGTGACCTCTCGGGCACATGGCGATCTCTCATCCCCGCTCCACGTGCATGCGTGGCACATTCCTGGCGGGCTCCAACCCGGGCTCCAAGCACCTGCTGGTTGGTCTGCCCCGGCGCACATCATCCATCATCTCATGTTTCCTTCCAATCCGTGATGAGGCCCTCCAATCACCCTTGTTCGTGTCAGTGGTGCACCTGTCAAGAGTCGGGCCACATCTCGGCTGTCCATCAGCGGAAGGGAGTGCATGGTACCATGGAGCGCCCCCTTTCCTGCACCATGGCATCGTAGCGGTGGCTATCCCATCTAAGGACCGCCTGAGATTGTCAGCCGGCCCAACGCGCCAGGATGGCGGGATGGCGCAGGATGATAGTGCGGTCGATCATCTTGCCACACACGCAAGAGGACCAGCGTAGCTCTGCACAAAGAGACGGTCAGCTTGCCCTGCGAGCTCCGTTTTCGAATGACTGCAAGGACGCACGCCCCGAGGCATTCGTGTACAAGACAAGGCAGAGCTCAACCACGGCCGAACACACTAGACGATGCCAACCAGCAGAGTAATCTGCACGTCGTATGGACACGGCAGCCACATATCCATATGTAAGTGGCTGGCTTCGTGCTCAATTTCGAAGAGCCGGCTCACAACAGTCCTGCTCCCTCCAATGATATCATAGCGCCGTGCTTGCTATCGACCCATTGGTCCGTCAAGGTATTCGTCAGTGCGCCTTTGGTCAACTGCTCTCACCGCTGCTGCCTTGCAAACCAGTCACCACGCGTGCAACTCGTCCGTCTGCTCCGCAAGCCAAGGGTTACACAAAAGTAAGGTCTGGCCAGAGGCAAGGGCAAGGGTGCGATCAAGGGTCCTGCTTGTACTCCCTTCATCGGGGTGTAGTCCGCCGAGAGGTTGGTTTGTGTGGCGCCCCTTTATCAGTTGGGCCAAATCTGACATGCAGCAAGCCCACGTTTCAAACTGCGGGTGGGAGTGTGGTTGAGTCGCCAGCCAGTCACGTTCTCTCCACCGAGGTGCCAGCTAAAGTCTGTTGTTAACCACTGTCTGGCAGGATTTTTAGTTTGGCCCCCACGATCGGTGTGGGCATCGGTTCGCAGTCCACATTCGTCTATTTTGTGCCAGGCATTGCCCACTGTGCCAACGACTGCCAGACTGCACGTGTCCCAGCCGAACTCGTACGATAGCTACTGATCCAGAAGGACGGGTGGGGCGGGGTCATCCAGCACTATGCGATGAAACCAGAGCCAGGACAAGAACCTTGGAAGTCGGCACGAAGCGTCGTGACTGATGTGGCTGGGGATGGCAATGTTTGCTGTCGGCACCGAATCCTTATCTTTGGTCGCTTGTCGGCGCAGCTACAAGAGGGACAACGTGGATCCCGCACAGCCATGGCTACCATGCTTGTGGATGTTGTCGAGACTGAGCCGTAGGGCGTGCCAAGTCCCAAGTACCATGGGCACGTCAGAAGTTGTTCTCGGCTGTCAGATGCTGCTGCCATGACCTGGGCCCAAGGATCATCACCAGCAAGTTGGCGCCGTGCTTCAAGTCAGGTAGATCGCCATGTGGAGAAGGACTCACGAGTCATGGCACAATGACCCCTGTGGTTGCAGCCTCCTAATCCGGCCTGGCTTGAGCCTGTCCGTTGCTTAGTTGGCGAGTCGCGAGCAAACTAGCGAGAGGGTCCTGCCTGCGCGCGATCTCCCAAGGGTCCCCTCCACCAGCTGACAGGCCGAGATTGCTCAGTGGGCCTGGCATCGTCATCTCGTGGGCGGCCGATGTCCTGCACTCCTCATGACGATGATGATACAGTCGTGATGGTCCTGCACTGGGTGCCGGGAGGTGCTGCGACGCTCACACAGACCAGTGCAGTGGTCAATGCGGTATCGTCCTGGTATGGACTTTTGCAGGCCCAGCACACCGCTCATCTGTCAGGCCATGGAAGGCTTTGCCATGGATGGTATCACCCAAACGCTTGAACACGACAAGGGCATGCGGGATCGTCCCTCCATCTGCTTGATGTGAAATAAACCCTGCCTGGCCATGTGGTTCCGCCCATCCAGAACATGGAGGATTCCCCCCCACGCGGCAATCCCAGAGGCCCGAGAATTGCACGGGAATAATACCAGATCCCCATGTCCTTGTCACCGACTAGTGTTGCTCAGCCGAGAATGCTTTCTATTTCTTCTTCCCCCTTCTCCTGGCACACCCCCTGCTCGCGGGAAATAAGTGGAACAGAAGGACTTTTCCTCTTTTCAGAGTGTGCAGATCACTTCGCTTGTCGGTGTGAGGTCTCGCGGGTGTGCTACCCCGCCCGTCCTGGTCTCCCATCCCACGTGGCAGCCATACAGCAAAAGTGAAGAAGAAATGAAGAAATGAAGAAAATAGTCACAGTGGAGTCCACCGACGACGCCCATTACCGAGCTGGACGACGCCCACTGATCGCCGCTTGGCGCGGCAGCATAGCCTCGATCTTTGACGATCATCATCCTGTCCTCGCCTACACATTATGGAATCATTCTTCTGACGACAGGTAAATGTAGGTAGTTAATGCAATCGTGACGCCCCGAGACTGGAAGAGAGGGCGAGCGGAGCAGAGCGCTTTCATTGTGCAGCTCTGTTGATATCACGGCCTGACGCGATCTCGTCTCTGGGACAGGTATATTAAACCAGGACTCGCACGTAGTCCGTCGTTCAATCAGGGGAATGCAGGATCCAGGCAGGCAGGCTGATGATGATGCTGTTTCCCCGTCGCCGCCAGTGCTGCACCTGCACATATTATCGCACAGCCGCAAGTGCCTAATGCTGCACGAGCATCCATGGTGTAGCGACACCGCCTCTCTGGTTCAACGTGGTCGCATATCACACGTCCCTTCCTTTCCCTTCAAGCCCTTGATTGTGGATGATCTCGTCCGACGAGGTGCATGAACACCCCTCGCCCCTTTCCCCAGACCTGACTGGAAGCCCATCTCCCACCCCCGGCAACCGCCGTGGACACATGGCTGGCTCTGCATGCAATGCGCCTGGTCGGGCAAGATCGTCCTTTCGGCATGCGGTACCGTCAGGTAGTCCGAAGTTGTTGGGCGCAAGCTATTTGCCGAGGGGGCCCGTGACTGGCGAGAATCCCAGACATTGCCTCTTTGGGTGCGGCGTGGCTTTTTTGGCATGGCAGGGGGGGGGGATATATTTGTTGGATGAGGCTCAAGTTGTCTGGAGGTAGCTGGTTGGCGAAGCAAGGTTCTGTCGGGACGGCTGATGGCTAGCTCTAGTGAAACAGCCAGCTCTGGACTCGTAAAAGGAGGTTGAACATGGTTTGCCGAGACGACACAAGGTTTCAATTTGAGCAGTGTCACGAGGTAAGCGAGGAATGTCTGGGGCGGCTTGGTCTCATCCCTATGAGGGCATACAATAATTGTCCATCAAAGTATTGGGAAAGATTGTGCGGGCTTTGTGAAGATGGGCAACTTCATGTGAATTGAGCAGCTTAGGGTTTCAAATCTCAACCTGTTGCTTTACCACTTTGCCAGATCTAACAATGGTTATCATGGCTATCATTGCAGCATTTCCCGACTTACGGATAGCTCTGCAATGAAACCCAATATGAATCACGCCTTAATATCAGAAGTGCCAGCATGCTCCGTAAACTTCAACGGGGACTTGCACGCCTAGGCATCAGGTCCGAGTGCCACGCCACATCTCTCCAAAACAACCAGCACCGCATGAGTCTCGTGTCTCCTGGAGTTCATGGTGCCTGAAAAAAACAAGAAAGGTTTTGCCGGTTGATGACGCTCATCACGAGCCTGCGACCATGAGCCGCGGCTGTGCCCCTGACATTAGAGCAAGCTTTCGTGGCAGTCTTGCAGTCTCCTTAGCTCTACTGACTGACATGTGCAACCGCGTCGTTGCCTTTCTGTCCGTCGCACCGCACCGGAGGAAGGGGGGGTAGAGCCGACAGCCGCACGCTAGGTACCGACAGCTTTGCGCAAAGAAGCACGGCTGACAGGAGGTCCAGATGGGACTAGGGATACTTTCAACGTACATGATGTTGGAGAAGAGCAGGACCCCCAGCCGCCCGGGGGAGGGGGGGGCTTTTCGGGGCGCGCGCTCCGTGCCGGGCCGGCCTAGTGGTTGCACACCATCGGGTCGAGACCGGGGCCGAGGCCCGTGGCCGACGGGACGACGGAGGACCCCCTGGGGGCTGAACAACCATCATAATCATCTCCGCCCGAGTCATCGTCCACGGTCATCACGCCGGGCACCCACGGGAGCTCGGAAGAGTCATCCATTGTGGCGTGTGCCTACTTTACAACACTGCTGTGTGTCCTTGTCACGGACTTCCAGGCACGGGAAAACGGGATCGCCGCAGACTTATACGAGGTAAGCTGGCCATGGCTTTCGACCCTGCATATAATCAATAGCGTCAGGCGACTGCCACAATGATTGTCGACCGTATCTGCTCCAACTTTTTGACACCCGACCGACCAGACACTCCCGTGGATCTACAGACCTAGCCCGCAGTCGATAGTGAAAAAACCGGCTGGGCTCCCGATGGTACAGCCGGGTTCTGGAACAATCCCATGAAACCACCCACAACCCCAAAAGCATAATGGAACTCCGCGGCTCCGTGGTTGGATGACCGGGGCCGGAGCCGGCCGTCCAACCGTCCTTGGACAACTGCCGCTCCCCGAGCGGTCGGGGTTGACGCATGTAGTACCAGAGGAGAGATTTTTTGACACACGTCCCGCTCACACTCATGCACCCACGGCTGCAGGGCCTGCTCCTTCCGAAGACTGCCTTGTTTAAGGTTTTACGATCGACACTAGGGTGGTTGCAACCCGTGCTGATGGACCGTCCGTGTTCCAACCTTTCTCCAAGTATGTCGGATACAAGAGTCTGATGGTCTCAATCAGCTGCACCGAGTCAATCCGGATGGGGCAGCACAGCCATTGCCGTTGCTTGATATCAGGGAGACCTAGCAGCGAGTCTTTGTGATGAGCTGACAAATCTAGTTACCTATCTTCAGGACCATGACTCACAGTAGAGATTGTGATTACAATAGACTTCGACCGACAGCGTGCATTGGCTGTCACGCCACCCGATTGTCACGATGCCAGTTTGGGACTGGGGCAGGAGCCCGTAACGCGGTCCCTAGCGGGCGACAAGGTGCGAGACAATAACAGAATACGGCACAAGCCCATGCGGGGAGGGGGCGAGACGCTCGTCATATGCAAGGACGGGACTGGGCTCCCGACCGCAGACGAACCACCCCCATGGCAGCACCGAAATAGCCCTCACTTACTCACGGTCCCGAGCGTGTTTGGGTGCTGGCTTCTCGCCCACGGGACTGGCTCCCGCAATGCCGCAAGCGCCGCAGTAGCGAACGGTCGAGGCGCGTCCTGGCGAACCCCCCCCTCTCTCTCTCACATGGGCGAAGAAACGCGGTGACAACTACCGAGACCTGCTAGCCTGTTGGTGGCACGGCGCCATCGCTTGCACTGCGTGGCGGTCAGGTACCTTACAACGTAGTAGCTCCAAAAGTGTTCCCCAATGTCACGGTTGTCGCGCATCACGACGCTCAGGGTCTCGGCGAGGGAGTGGTCCAAGAGAGAGAGAGGCTCATCGTGAGCCGCACCCACGGACTAAGGGTTGCTTTGTCTCCTTCCGCTATTTGCATACATTACCTGACCCTTGGGACGTGTCTAGCGCCGAGGGACAAAGCGAGCGCTAGGTAGCTTGCCAGTCCGAGAAACCTTATTCAAGGCCTAGGCTTTGAGCTGCTGCCAACCTCCCCTTCCCAGGCTGCTGGGAACACTGTAGAGCCAATATGGGGAATGAGAGTGGCCTTTGCTCGTGGCTTGGCGGAATCGCAGGGGATTGGCCCTCGCGCGAAACTCTGCTGCTGCTTCATCTGCCCCTGGCTCGCCGCATGCAACTTTCTTATCCCCGATACACCCATCTCTGGCGCCAGGGCTGTCGAAAAACATGGCAGCGCACATAGTGCCTCTCTATATGGTTTGACCATCCATGTTCAGGAGTTTTGCTTAGTCTGCAGAAGGGGCGGAGTTGGGAGCTTCAATCCCATCTCACGAACATCACGGGAAGAGTCGACTTGCGTAGCCGAGTTCTTGCAAAGACAGCTTCCTGTCATCATCCTGTAATGTCTCCCTTATAAATAGCGAATAGTCATTTCTTGTGTGATTAACAATATCGTGGTTGCCGATCAATGCGTATTTTTCTTTTTGCAAAGCACGTATTAGACCACTGATCAACACCTTGGGGGGAGGGGGCTCCTTGATCATGATCATGCAACAGTGAGCTGCAATAACAGCTCATCAGACCCGTCAGCCCTCCCCTCACGAAAAAAAAAAAAAAAACCCCGGTCGTTACGTCTGAGTCCCTCGTGCAGGAGCGGAGCGTGCTGCACTGTAAGATGTATTGTACGAGGGTAGTGGCGAAGGGTGGGACACGACTCGTACGTTCGATCAGCAGGGCGACGCCACAGACAGGTGAGGATGGGCCACCATCGCGGAATCTGATCCGCGGTTGTCTTCCTTGGAGCTGCATTTTCGTAAATGTTCACCGCCCTTGGAGAGCTGTAGCAATGCTCCAGTAGATTAGTGAGACTGGCAAAGCCATACTCGGAACTCTAAATCTCTCCAACCCCCTTTTTCTAATATCTTACTTTCTCAAACTCAGGGGGCAGGCACCGACATTCCTCGGTATATCCACGGGAAAGAAACATCTTGCGCTGCCCCAGCCACATGAAAAAAACCCCATCTTATTCCGCACTCTTGAAACGTGGGACTTGCACCAGTCTTGTATAGTGTCCCCGATTGTGGTGGCGCCACTCTCTTGAATCATGAAGTGTAGTGCGCATCCTTGCTAGCCGCGCGCAGCTCGCTCGGCTTCGTGTCACGGCAGCTGATGGCCCCCTCCCAAAAAGACACACCGAAGAAAGCCACAGGGACTACCTAATACTGAGATGCATGTTCCCGCCTGTTCTTCCCATGCCAACGCAGACAATGGGTCATTTCCGATGGTAATATGACTTGTGCCTGACTGACTGGCATGTATGCATCACCATCCCCACCCAACTTCAGGGGGGCTTTCCCCGTTTTCCTCTCTCCGAACGAGGCACATTCGGAATGTTTCGCTGAACCAATCACTCATTCAATTTTTTGTTTGTACCTTGCCGGTTGTGTTGTTGGTGGTGGTGGTGCAAATATGCGAAAACCTTATTTCCTGCCTTATTGAATTGCCCTTGGGTGCTCATTGGCCGGTTTGCGAGATACCCTGTGCAGATCCGTCGCGGCTGAGAATAATTGACTGCCGCTTTCGGAGTGACGTCTTTTTTTTCGTCGCCCCTTGGCCAGTTCTTGTTCGCATTGAGCGGAGAAAGGGGAGGGACGTTACATGGTAAAAGATCTACCATTGGAGCACTGACATCGGGTATTGCTTGCGCACTAAATCCAATCACGCAGAATGATAGTTTGTGGTGGGTGTGGAAACAGTCAAGACCCGGCTGGCTGGATACGTTTGTTACCTTTAGACTCAGCCGCCTACGAGAGCTGCTGCACGTCACGTACGATACTCCTCCCTCCTTCCCTCCCTCCCTGTCTCACCATCTCGTTTACATGTATGTGGCAGCTTTGCGCTGCCGCGGGGCAGCGAGCGTCAGGCAACGAAGTGCCGGGTTTGGCTTGGACCCCGAAAGCCTGCATGAATGCGACCACGTTTGGGGAGAAAAATTCCACTAACCCGGGTGCCGGGCGTGCTTTTGATCTAGCCTCGGCACTTTCGCCTGTCGCTTGAAGGAACTGCATCCTTGTCTGTTTCGTACTTTATTTCCGGCTCGCCGAATCACATCGCCACATATACGAGACCCTTTTTTGAAATGTGCAGTCAATCGTGGCCCTGAGTCGGTTCCCCCGACGTCATGCGTCTTTTGGGCTCCCCCACAGCTCGCCTCGCCCTCGCCTCCACCTTTCCCGATGCCGCGACTTTCCGGGAAGCCGTTTGCCCCGCCGTCCCCAGCACGGGGCATGATATGTGTGCAGAGCGGCTGGAGAGGCGCTCCTCCCGGGGGAACTCGCTTGAATATTCGTCCCAGGCGCCTGAGTGGGGGGGAGTCGGGAGGGTCTTTTTTTTTTTTTTTTTTGGAAGTTGCGGTGTATAGATGATGTTTCGACTCACATGATGCACCACCGAGCTTCAAACGGATGTATTGTACTACTGAGCTGAGTGAGGCGCTATTGAGTTGCTGGGTTTCCGGTGCACGGATAGATGTCTGGGCCGCTCTTGGGAGAGCGGGATCGGCCGTGTATTCTCCCACCAGTGTTGAGCAACAAAACGTCACACATAGGCGGGCCGATGGTCAAAAGTCCTTGACTAGCTCACAATTGTGTGCAGTGACTCGGCCGAGCGCCTAAGACCGCCTGACCGTGGCCCACGTACATCAGAGGTCGTCCCCTAGACATCTCCAGCTGTGGATCGTGAGACGGAAGGATAGTTGAGAGGCAACGAAGACAGTGGACTCGTGAATCGTTTCCGGAGAAGACGGAGAATCGGGCGGATCCCTTCCCGTTGTGCAGATTGAGGCTCTCTTCGGAGTTCAAGCTTGATGGTAGCCACCGTCATTATCGTGGTCGTGATACTTACTCCCAATAATATGTGAGAGTGTTCAAGCATCAGGAAAGAGGGAGAAACACACCTAAGCCTCTCTCTTGCCGGCATCCTGAAAGATGCCGCTAAGTTTTGCTGATGAAACCACTGTTGGTAAGGGATGGTGATGACATGACGACATCGCGCAGGACCATGAGCTCTTGTGTGCTATTCTCTAGGTCCAGACGCGTCGCGAAGATATTTTTGCCCTAGCCGTGGAGCTCGCCCAGTACGAGACAATTATGATAGCATCGTCGCCAGGACTATCTGTCCGCACTGACGGCGTCCACGACACAACGAGTGAGATTGTTGGCCGCTTCAATGCCGGTGTTCAGCTCACCGTTGGAATAGCGAAAGGTGAGCGACAAGATGTTGATGCTCGAATTGGACAGATTACAGACTCTACAAGTCTGGAGCTTCGGTCAAGCTGCCCACGTTCTGGTACTCCTCAAGCCTTTGCCCTTGGGGTCGTGCGTCCCAGCTGATCTCAGCCGCTCTAGTCCTTCCATACGCTTCGTCTTGACTCTCTGAAGACTCATCGGCAGGTCAAGTTCCTCGTCGTCAGGATATGGCCCATCTGCCGCACCATGTCCACCGTACGAACCCAGCGAGAACCCTCTCGACCGAGTCTTCCCGCGAGATTCTGGTTCGGGTCGCACTTTGCTGGCCCAGCTTCGACGTTTGTGAAGCCCACCAGAATGCGTCCTGCTCATTCGCAAAGATATCTCCGACATGGACGGCACACCACTGATATTGACGCCCTTTGTTGCATCGCCCTTCGCAATGTAATCGTGAAAGTTTGGGCGCTCTAGCATGCCGCTTCGGAAGGCGTTGACCCCCACGAGCAGCTTTGCCAGATCAATGAGTTCTTCCACATACTCGATGATTTCCATCATTCCGGCGGATGCAGCGTTCCAGGAGATGAAGTTCTGCTTGGTAGCTGACTTCAGAGCCTGCGTTGGCATTACCAAAGATCCGCGGCGAGTGGGGTTCTTGCTCTCCAGGCCTTCGGAAGAACGCTGTAGGAGGAGCTCTCTGACACGACTAATGTATCGAAGCTGCGCGTTCCTGCTGGAAGGCAGGAATTGCGGAAGTGGAAGTCTGGTGGTGAGCGCCTCGTGTACAGCGAATAGAGCGATACTAATGCTCCCGGCCACATTCCGCCGATAAGAGGCCACGTCTTTGTTCAGCTCTTCCAGGACGCCGCTGCCAAACGCTTGACGTAGGGAGAGCATATTGTCCATGCGGTCTATGATCTGCGACAGAACATAGATCATCTCGCCATATATGATCGTTTGTCCCGTAAAGCTGCCTTTGAGCCGTGGCTCAGTCAAACAGAACGGCAGAAACGTCCGGGCAGCCGCGAGCGCCTGATCAGCCTTGCCCTTTGCATCGGAGAAATTGGTATTATGCGCATGGTTTCGCACGTCGATATTAATGGGAGAGTCGATTCCCACGGCGATAGAGTTCTCCATCTGCGATATTTGCTGGATGCAGGACGCAAGAGACTCCACTAGACGATCGCGAGCTCGTGCTGGGAATAAAAAGAGCTCCACGAACAGTGCAGCAGTGCCGCCGACCAGAAAACATGCCATCCTTTTGACGTATATCTCCCAGGGTGGGTCTGAAAAGCCTCCGGCGATAATGGCTGTCAAAACCGGTCAGCTGTGTAACTTTTACTTAAGCGGCATGAATGGCATGCTGCTTAGACTCACATAAGCAAATGACAGCCAGACTTGTGATGGAGATGACTCCAGTCTTGACATACGGCGTTGCAACCTGTACATACGACGATGGGACGAGTCCGATGACGAGCACGACAATCGCAACTACCTCGTTGCCACCGCCTATGCAGTATGCCAGATAGCCAATGGTACAACCAACTATAGTGCCAACAGCGCGCAGAAAAAAGCCCTGGAATGAAGTGCCTACCGAAACCTCGAAGACCAGAATCAGCTGCAACGTGGCCCAGCTTCCTCGGACAGATGAGTACCAGGCATTCAATGACGGCACGAAAGCCGGCCAAGTGACGGAAAAAGCTGCAACGCTCAATTTGAGAGCAAAGGACAAAGAATCGGAATCCGCAATAAACTCGATGACATCAGCGGCAATGCCGCGAAGCCACGGGATGGTGCTGGAATCGGCTTTCTGTGGCCCTTTGCGCCTGGGAATCGTGCCGACTTCCGTCGAGACTGTGGGTACTGGCCGTATGTTGCATGCCTCTTCGTCCTCGTGCGAATCCAAGAGGTCTTCGTTGCTGGATTGCGAGTGTCCATCTTCACCGACGGAATTCCGCCTGTCTTCAAGGACTCCATGTCCAGCTCTGGCCTCCTTTCTGGCATTCTCAGGGAGGACATTCACATCTCTCTCGCCGCCCGTTCGTAGCCATTTTCTCCAACTTATTCTTGGTAAGTAGAACCGCCTACGGTTGTGGCATGCGGTTCTAGCATCAACTAGGGCTCTGCCGTGTTGCAAGATACTGAGCAGCTGAGAACCGGCTTGCCGCTGATTGATCAGAAGCGAGGAAACCAGATGTGTTTCCATTCTCGGCATGACATCCCCCTATTGAATAGAAATTAAACTTTCGCACATTCTCAAGGACTGATGACCGTTGACTTGGTAGCAAAAAGATGTTGCAGTACTACTGACCTTGTATTCTTTCTTGTACACCGTGGTTGCTGCTTGACTGAGTGCTGTAGCAGACTCTTGGTCGAATTGTGCCAGTGCACGCACAAATATTTCCGTCCGCACGTCGAGTTCCGCTGCAATGATCCCATAAGGTTTGACATGACTTGGTGGAAGCGTTGAGACATCAAAGCAGAAAGCCAGCACTGATGTTACCACTTGCACGGCCTGTTCCATCTCGGCCTGCAGAGCCAGAATCGGCGCCCGAACCTGGAATATCAGGTGCTCAAGCAGGGTGATGTCACCGCCTTCGACCTCTCGCACTGGCCTGACCAACTCGATTTTCCGAACATGCTTGGACTTCCGGACACCTTGTTTCACACTTTTCTCATCATCCGAGCTGTCGCTATCGATATCGATATCGGAGGACGATGTCTCCGAGTCTGCATCTGAGTCGGAGTCGTCATCAGATATTGCTTCGGATGGCGCATCACTTCTGTCGTCATTCTCCATATACTGCTCTCCAATCATGGAGTACTTGCTTTCACACGCGCCGATTAAAGCAATCGTGGCTTTGACAAAGCGCGTCATCAGCGCGCCGTTGATTGGTTTGAGTGACCTTGGCGGTAGAAATGTGTAAGCGAGTTCGAAGTTACACTCAGCTTGTTGCTTTTGAGAAGCTGCCAGCTGGGCCTTGAGTTTTGTCTTGCGTTCGGATAATAATGCGAGCCTGGTCCGCAGATCGCTGACAACCTGTACCTGTTTCTCCTTGCTGTCTAGGCCAACGAGACTCGAAAAAAACCACTCGTTCGCGTCGGCCAAGCTTTTCAGGGTCTCGTGCAGCATATTGATTGTGGAATGCCCTAGAAGACCATTTGAGAAAGAAGGGTAGATAAGTATGTTGACCAGGACAATCACTGCTGTGGCAGTGAGGATGGGATAAGCCAGCTCGGTCAGGATCGCCAGGGACACGCCCATTGAGCTGCTGGTAAGAATCACAAGACTCATTAGTAGCAGCCAGAAGACGGCCAGGAAAAGTCGGGGAGTGGACGCCCGGAGGATCCCGTGTCCCAGCACCGCGAGGGCGAAGAAGACTGCTCGTATGCCATACGCGGCCGATATGTTGCTTTCGAGCACCAGTTCCGACAAGAAGAGGCCCAGCATGCCCCAAGCGACCCCAGACATGGCGCCCACCAGGACAAGTATGAGAGCTTCAGCCATTTGTCCAAACCTCTGTCCCGGCGGGGCGAAGACCGACACCATGGCGCCCAGATATGTGAGATGGCCATAAACAGCCACAATCGCTGGGATGATGCCGATAATGAGGGTGATTGTGGTGGCCAACGAGTTCTTGAGTATGCTCTGCCACAGGTTGTTCCTCATGAGATTCGCCTTGATGCCGGCCATCCATCGTGGAACCGCCGTCCATACTCTACGACGGCGACGTTGAAAGGCCATCTTGATATGGTCGACCAGAAATTGACGATATACAGATGTCCTTGGATATAATGATATAGGAGCTGTAGCGCAGAAGTTGTGAGGCGCGTCCTCACATGATCGCAGCCCCACAGATCGGATCCAGAGATTCGTTTTGCCCTTCTCTGCCGTTGCAGTCCAGCTGCAAGAATGGTTATGGTTCAAGGGGTGTGTGTGTGCTGAATGGTCATGGAGGCTGGAGAGGAAGATTCGTCCACAAAGGTTGGCGCCTAACAGACATCAGTAAGCTTCGGCAAGGCAGGCTCGATTGCCGGCGACATGATTGTGATGGCACAAAGACGAGGCAAACTCGTTCTTGAGGCATAAACACTGGCAGCACAGATCATTATTACTCCAGTGCGCTGTGGAGAGCACCTCCCCCAACCCACGATGTGGATCCAGGGCTCTAGCGCGTTTTGGTGCCCCCTGCTCCTCCTCATTGGCCAGCAGCCACTGAGGACCCCGGCGCTGCATGCGAACCGGCCCCCCACACAGGTGACGACACTGCCCCGCGCCCAGAGATCGCCAACGTCGCACAGCATGGGAGCTCCATCGTCTGCTGACCTCGCTCCCAACCGCACAATAGGCACGCGATAGCCACTGCCTGCTCGAGGTTCGCACACAGCAAGAACGAGGCAAGGACAGCCCAGCTTTCTACTCAATTGTTCGCCATGCCGCCCTCCGCAACCATCATCGTACGTCGCGCAAAGTCAAGCCGCCAGCTGCCCACGTCCTCACGCTAATCGCGAACCTGCAGACAAAGCTCAAGGTGCAGCTCAAGCTCACCATAGCGCGCCTTCGCATGGTGCAACAGAGGGACGATGCTATGGGTAAGACGCAGAGAAGGGCAATGGCCCAGCTCCTGGAGGTCGGCAAGATCGACTCCGCGAGAATCCGAGTCGAGAACATCATCCGGGCCGACATCACGAATGAGCTGCATGAGATCCTCGAGTTGTATTGCGAGCTTCTGCTCGCGCGGGCAGGACTCTTGGATGCGCCTACCTGCGACCCCGGCCTCGAAGAAGCTGTCAAGAGCATCATCTACGCCGCGCCGAAAACAGAGATCAAGGAACTACAGACAGTCAGGGTGCTCCTCGCAGAAAAGTTTGGCAAGGAGTTTGTCCTCTCAGCAATGGAGAACAAAGACGGAGGCGTTTCAGAGAAGGTGGTGAAGAAGCTCAGTGTGACTCCTCCCAGGGAGGAACTTGTGCAAGGTTACTTGGAGGAGATTGCGAGAGCGTACGGGGTGGACTGGCCCCCGGGACGCAGGCAGCTGGGAGCGGCACCCGAGTACGAAGATGGCGAAGACGACGACGATGAGGGAAGCGGTGGCCAGGCAGAGAGGATCCTGGAGCCCTCGGTACCCGCTGATAGCAAAGAAGCCCAGGAACGGGAAAGTCTGGGTCGCGCGAAACCACCAAAATCAATAGGGCAGAACAGTCCCCTGCACATTAATCCTCCAAGCCCCTCGACCGAGAATCCACGGCCTAAAATCACCCTGAACTCGACGGAGCTGAGACCGAGCAAGAAGATGGTAGATGCTGGCCTTGCCAAGAAGCCAGCGAGCAAGAAGCCCGACGATGGGCTTCCCAACCTCGAGGATCTGGCAGCGCGCTTTGCTGCCTTGAAGAGGTAGATTTTCAGATTGTGAAATTTAGCATGCCACAGACTTTCAATGTTACTGGATCAAAGCATTTATTCATTTTTCGCCAACAGGGCATTGGTCGCAGTTCCTCCGCAGTATGGCATTAGCCGAGGGTGTTACAACCAATATCAAATAACTGAGGGCTATCGCGCGGATGGAGAGTGGTCACAAACAGTGCCATTTAATCCATGAAGGATTACGCCTGCCATATTTACCTCTGGTGCATCTAGTGGGTGATGAAGTGGTTTCATACCCATCCAAGCAGTTTTTAGCTGGAAGTATCCCAGACATTTTGCCATGACAAACCCTCCCGTCCACCCCCTACGAAAACAACTAAGGCGACGCGGTGCCTGTATACTATTGACGCACGACTGAGTTGACCACTCCGACCCCAGTGGACGTTGGCTTTTGCGCATGCCTTTGCATGAGCAGAATCTACCTGCATGCATGCTCCACCCTCCCAAGGATCCCTTTCACGAAAGCATCACAGCGGCAATAGCGATTCAGAGCGCCCTTTCCTAAATCGCACACAGCCAGGCAGCAACGAGGCAATCATCACGCCGAGTTGATCGTAGCATCTAACACTCTCACACGATCCGGCCGACGACCAACACTCTTTACAAAGGTATGAAGAATGCCTGACATATCGGGCCGGGGTTGACACGCAACATTGAACTCATCCACTCGGCCACAAGCGAGCACAGGTGCGCTTTGTTCGCCCTTGGTGAGCAGTCTGAGCCGCCAATGCCTATTGAGAGCCACCAGAATCACACAACAAATTGTGGCGATAACACGTCGGAAGTAATGGAATTATGAGAAAGACCTACAAGCATTTGTAGGCCCATTCGTCTTCCGACATGCACGAAAGCCGGGCGAGGATGTTGGCAGGGGTGGGTGAGGCCTGCGAACTTGACGCCCATGATCAGGACAAACTTGAAAATCTCCAGTCAAAACCAGCACTGGGTAATCGCAAGACCGGTGCAAATACAATGCCACTGGGCTCACGAAATCGGCTAAGTAATTCGCACCTTTCCGCAAATCCTAAGCAAGATGAAGTGAAAGACAGCAATCCCACCATCCACCTCGGCCAGAATTCTGGCTCAAAAGAGATCACAGGAGACAATGGCACAGAGGCGTCAAGAAGGACTCCCAGCAATTATACACAAGAGTGCATAGCAGAAAGCCCAGCAAAGCCATCGAAGGTGATCGGAAGCAGCTGGATATCTAAGCCATCGAGAAGCCCCCCGAAAGGATACGTTTGCAAACGCTGTGGCCGTCCCGGTGAGTGGTCTTTTGGGGCTTCTGTGAAGCGAGCATAATGCTGACTGAAGACCATGTCGAGGACACTGGCTACAATTATGTCCAACCAATCTCGATTCAACCTACGACGCCCCTCCAGATCGGGACTATCGCTGCGAGATATGTGGTGAACACGGCGCGCATTTTGCTACATTATGCCCGCGAAATACAAGTCCATCATCGTTGACCATACAAAGACGAGAAGGGCAACGTGAGACGACGGCAAAGGTCCCTCGTGCTCCAGCGCCCATGGAACACAAGAATTCTCCGCGTAGATTGCAAGACCACGAATCGCCACAAACCTCCGCCTCACACAAAGACGACAAGCTTAGCAAGACCGAAGTGGTTAACGGGATCAAAAGTGCAACGGCAACTCAGACACCTTCTCGGAACCAGAGTGAAACAGTCAAGCACGCTTTCCACTCCAAAACACGGAAGAGAGCTGTCGATAGAAGTCCCGATGATGATCTCTACCCAAAGCGCCAGGAGATTGGTCGTCTGAGCTATAATGACGTTGTCTCAACAACGTCTGAAAGTCTAGCACGGACAGCGGAAATTGAGGCCAACACTGCACGAAAGAAAGGCGACATACAGCCACGAAACTGGAAGGACAAGATTGAGAAACTCACTGGCCGACCATTATTTGAGAGTGGGAGCGGCTTTGAGTCCTTCATCAGTCACGATAGCCATCAACAGGAGGTACTGCCAAAGGATGAAATCCGAGTGGCGGACAGGGGCGAATCTGCGGAGAATTGTAGAATGGGGGAAAACTGGCAGGTGAAGATTGATCGCATTCTCGCTTCCCGCCGAGAAGAGATCAAGTCTGCCGAAGCAGAGGCAGACCACTTCCTGGAAGCTTTTGGTCTTGCGTTGTTGAAGGAGAGCGCCGAGCAACGAGTAGCACTTCGGCTCAAGGCACCAGACCCTCAGGACTCCTGTCCATCGTAAGCACGGCCAGACAGATGGCCTTGGCAGATCTCGCCCGAAGCATGATCGCACACGTCCTCTGGTTGACGCTCGGCACTGTTCCTTGATATCGTGCCCTCGTTCGCCGCCCAATGGTCTTGATTGCGGGTCTTGCAGGAACGAAAAGCACTTTAGGGATCTTTATGGCGAACCACCCGTCCAGTCGCCGATGGCATGGCCAAGAAAAGAAAAACAAAACAGCAACTGCTTTTGTTCCAAGGTTGCAGACCGTTTCAATCCATTGGTGTTACTTCTCGTGTCAAGGATATGCCCCTGAGGGTGTGTATCATGCCCGTGAGTGGTGCAGAGCATGTGGCAGATCGAAACATGGCAGCAGCATAACAACAAGCGTGGAAAGGCCAGTGTGTTGTGTGAGTTTGACAGTGTGAATGTTGAAAGCTGTGATTTTCTGAACGCCGAACGCCGCGCCTCATGTTTTACTTTAAGCCCACAGTACTTCGATCGAAGTGCTTCTCGGGGTGCAGAGTATCTCGCCATCGCCTCCGTCTGCTCGATATTTCGAGTTCCCCGCGTTATTCTAATTTGTCCAAGTGCTCCAGCCGCGTAAGCACCACCTGCTTACTCGTCTCTTCGATCTCTCCGGCGAGGAAGACCTCGTCGAGAATGGCGTAGACCTTGTAGAAGTTGAATACGAGGTCGAGCTCGCAGACGTTGCCAAAGAAGGCGTCGAGGACCTCGACGAAGAAGTGGATGGCCTCGAGGAAGGCGAGCTCGTTGTCGTTGGTGTCGACGCAGGCGCAGAAGAAGAGGCCCGCGTACCGCCGGTAGACGATCTTGTTGTTGCGGAACTCGACAAAGTTGGACTGGTACTTCTGGTCGCGGGGGGCTACGAGGCGGTGGACCTGTTTTTGGGAGAAGAGTGCGGAAAGCGAGGATGTTAGAGAGAGAGCTTCCCTGTGATGTGCATGATTCCGATGCGCGAGAGGCCCGGCCAGCTGGTTTGGCACGGGACGGTCCGAGTAGGCGTCGGCTTGCAGGCACTCGTTGCTTCCTCACTCGGCGCAAGCACTGCTCGGGGATTCAGGGACGTACCTCGCCCTTGAGCTTGATCTTTTCGTCGTCGCTGTACGGCGCGTACCATTTGGCAAGGCGGGTCTTGCCTCTGTGTGGGAGAGAGAAAGGGGAGGTCAGAATGGTTGGACATGTGAGGAGGGCTTGGGGTGGTCTTGAGAAGTCGCCTAGGCGGGAGGACTGTGAAGGGCCTACTTACTGCCTGTTCTGTATTAATATGAAAGACAGCATTGTGACTATGAGGGGTGCTGCCCAGTCGTGTGTTGTGGCATGGACAACGACGAACCGGGACAGGATGATGAAGCTCCCCAGGGATCCGACGTAGCGATGCGATTGCGCCAGTGGTGCTTGGCGGGCTGGCTGCTCAGGGGTCTTGCCGTGGTCGACAGTGGGGCCGTGAGTGGTCGGGGGCGGCCCATTTACAAGCAGGAACAAGCAAGTCAGTCCACCCACCGAGGCGCAAGCCACATTTTCTGGCCAGTACAAGCGGGTGGAACCAGTCACATTATGCACATTTTCAAGGCGACAAAAGTACGAGAAAAGCACTAGGTCTCTGCAGAGACAGCAGACAGCTCTGGACTGCTTAGGTTATGGTACCTTTCGAGGATCACCGCTTTTCGATTCGAGATGAGCTGGCTGGATGACCAAGCTCGCCGCTGAGTGGCCCAGTCCCACCAGGAAGGGCGGCGGACCCACCCGGACGGCCAATGCCTTCTCCCCATTGCTGCCCCAAGATCGCGTTTGAGCGTGTCTCGTGCATCAGATGAACAGGACTTCCTGCCCATTGTCAACAGCGCATTCAGGAGGAACGTGTGGATCTTGGGCCAGTTGCGCTGGCATAAAGCATTGGTCTTGTAGCGGGCAGCATACTCGATTATCAAGGCGGCCGTCTCAAGTAGTTCTGGAATCTCAGTACCATATCCCAAGCATCACCAAAAAGGTCCTTGGCTGCTGTGTTGGGCGGTCGCAAACGTGCTCCCAACCAGCGAGCTTGTCCACCACCAACAACACAAGACGCCACTGCCACGCCCGAGACAGCTGATTGTTGCCAACGGCCATTCCCAATCCTGACGTCGCACACAGCTGAAGAGAAATAATTGCAGCTGGAAAGGTACGTTTGCCCGTCCACGCAGTGCACAGGCCACCGAGGCCCTCTGGCCTGCTTTGTCGTTGTGACGCGGCGGACAGAGCACTCACGATCAGCACGCCTGACTTCACTCCGCTCCCGAGACTGACCACCGTCACCCCACAGACAAGTCACTGCCTCGCAGGAGGCCTCGTGCTGGGGTCTGTCGCCACCAGAGCCAAGATGAGGGAACGCGAGGCTCACCAGTGGAAGGTGAGCCGTAGCGACGGCAAGGTCCAGCCGCGCAGCATCAAGAGCGCGACTGGTGTCCGAGCTCCCGTCCCACTCGAGGATCCTGCCTACGAGAGATGGGAGTTCCTCGCCGGCAATGCTCTCAGAGATCTTTTGTACAAGCCAGAAGACAGGCTGGCAGGTATGTCGCTCTTGCGTAATGCTGACTGCAAATGCACTGCTGAAGCTTACACACGATAAGGTTCCGATTTCTTCGTCGAGTTCCCCGGCAACTACGAGATCTACTTTGAGGCTCGTGCTGGTAGTATGTCGAGCCCTTTGTTCATTTGTCCCGTCAGCGCTAACAATTTCGTAGAAAAGGATTATTATCTCTATGGTCACCCGAGCGGAGACTCGTACAAAGCAGCAAGGGACTTCGTGCCACATTTGTTCTGGCTCACGACCAGCAGCGAAGACATCAAAGATTGCCAGTGTACACTCTGCAAGAGGTCGATCACAGAGCACGCCAGAGCAAATGGGCCCAAGAGGAAGTCGAGCAAGACCACGACACCCAAGGCAGCCACCCCAAGCTCAAATACTGCCACGCCTGTTCCTGCTCCAGCTGTGCCTGTAACGGCAACACCAACGTCTACCGCCCCGAACCAGCCCAGCACAATTTCACAACCCGCTCCGGCAGCACAAGTCCCCAAGCCAGTGTCGGCAGGAGGACCAGTCCCAGCTCAAGCTCAGCAGCCCGCTGCTCGTCCCCAAACGACGCCGCAGACTTCTGCGCAACCTATCATTCAGCAGCCAGCCCAAGCACCTGCTCCCCAGGCGAGCTCAGCACCGCCGCAGCAGCAGCAACAACAGAACCAGCAGCCACAGCAGCAGCAGCAGCAGCAGCAGAGTCAGCAACAACAGCAGCAACAGCCTCAGCAGCGTATCCTGCCGCCCTCTGAGAATGTTCTCTTCCGCGATGGTGAAGTTGTCTGGTTCAAGAATGGCCCTTCATGGCGCCTCGGAATCATCCTACAAACCACTCCGACGCTTCCAGTACGCTGTCTCGTAAAACCTTTGGCGCACTCTGCCTTGCAAATCCCAGCTGCGCCAAAGGCTGAAGACGAAATGAGGCCATTTCTTGCCTTCAGTGTGCCGGCTGTTAGTCCCAGTCTGGTTCATCTCACTAACCAGCCATTCAACCAAATCGACTGGGAGACCCAACAGAGACAGATTGCCCAGGACGATCGGAACAAGAGGGACCTCCTCGGCATGGAAGCCTCGAAACTAGCAGTCATGGCCATCGACGAGTCGTACTCCACCTTCAACCGCCAGGGCGTACCAGAGCCTACTCCTACACGTTCATTCTATGGCGGCGTCTTCCTCGGCTCCGAAAGGCTGACCGCTGGCGAGGCAGTGCGGATCCGTCCCGGGCCTCAAGAGCAACCACCACCTCGACCACTGCCTACCGTGCTGTCCATAAAAGCTATATTTGTGGACTCCACCAGCGGAACTGAGCAGCTCTATTTCTATGGTGATATTTTGCGCCTTGAGGAGGTTCCTGCAGCCCAACCGCCGCCGCAGTATACGGCACAGATACCGGCGGCCATGGTCCGAGAAAAGGCGTTCCGTGATAGAGTACGCGCTCACGCCGGTGTTCGCCACGACTGGGTGCCGTTGCCGAACGGGCTCAACGTGATGAAGATGGAGCGGGACATTCGAGGGCGCTTTTACGAGACAGAGAGGCTCATGACGGTTATTGACCCTGTCCGCCTGCAGGACTCTGTCTCCAAGGGCGAGGTCGTCGATGTTCAGGCTTATCTGAATAACCGAAGTAAGTTCCTTATGAGCATCAAAACACAAACGGCCACGGCCCTGCCTGTGCAAGCACTAACCACACTCTGGCTCTGTTTTTGCAGTGGAGGCGAAGCGGCCTTATATTGGAAGGAGAAAGAACAGGTCAGAGACTGTTGTCGGCGCAGTACCTTTCGCCAACTTGCCCCTATCATTCGGACCAGGTATTATCGAGGACTAGGTGCCCCACGAATACTATCTCCGTAAGGCAGGGCAGTAGCAGCAGGAGTCACAAAAAGTCTTGCATTAGTTACATCTGGGAGGTTTTGCCGCAGCACAGGCCGGGGCGTCATGGTGACTGGGAACGTAGAAGGTTAGAATGCGCAGGATTACGGCAAAGGAAGGGGGGTGGTGAGCGGTATGACCATGATCAAACTTAGACGCGGACCACGTTGATCTGACCGACCTGGTCACGACCACGTACTGGAGGTAACGGTCTGCTTGAATAGCTCATACTACGAGATTCGGCGGCTTCGTCCCAGTCAATCCATATTTTACGCAACGTTGCGCTTTACCAAAAGTGGTCAACATAGTCCAGATCGTTGTGCAGGAGCAAGAAGAGTAGAATAGATTGCATTTGCCTCAGGGCATATTAAGACCAAAACTAGCGTCGCTAATCATTGTCCAGGCTACTCACAAGAACTCTCTCTCCGCTGGCCTAAACAATGGCTGTACCCATTAGAACGCGGTGGAACACCAGCACCCCACACAGAACCTCCCACTGCTTCAAGTGTAAATTTCCTTGGTGGCAAAGTTCAACCCGAAACCCTCCATGGCCAAGTCGTCGCCGAGCTCGACCAGGAACTCGTGCGAGAAGTCGATCAAGGTCCCGCGCACCCGCGACAGCCAGTCCTTGACCTCGCCGACGCCGCCGGGGAACTCGGACTTGACGACGTGCCCGTACGGCACGCGGTTGGGGTCCTTGTCCTCGCCGTTCTTGTACTCGTTGCCGGGGATGACAAAGTGGCGGCTGAAGAACTCGTCGTACTGCTGCCAGTTGCGCACGGCGTCGTTGGGGACCGGGTGGAACACCTTGCTGAAAACCTCGGTGTTTGTGCGCGCCGTGTCGGACCAGAGGCGCAGGAAGTCCTGGCCCAGGGGGTCCTCGACCAGCCGGTCGCTGTTGGAGCCCCAGTCGTAGTCCTGCGGGTCGGCGTCGACGGGCGTCCAGGCTGCCGTTGGCTTGTCCCAGCGCTGGTCGGGCACGAGGCCCAGGTGCTTCCGGAAGAGCTGACGGCGGAGCGAGGCGGCGAACTTGCTGGCTGTGTACGGGCGTCCGGCCACTACGAAGGACATTAGAAAGAAGTCACGGGGGAAGCTCAGGGCTAGCTGGAAGACAAGCCCCAGCTTGGTAGTGAGGGTTCCAAGATTCAACTTACTTCGGCTCTCAACGGGAGTGGGGTCTTCAATGACGACGGCAATCTCAGAGTCGTGGTTGCCGAGCTGCGAGCGGTCGTTAAGGTTGGCAGAGCCGCAGATGACCAGTCTGTCGTCGGCAATAAGCACCTTCGAGTGAATGTACAGCTCCTCGGAGATGAACGCGTCCATCTCGGCTTCGGGGCTTCCATTCCAGGGGACTTGACGAATGTCCATGCCGCCTTCCATGTAGCAGCTGGAGACGGTGTCCCAAGTGCTATCCTCTTGCTTCGCAGCCGCGTACTGGTAGCGGCTGTAGGCCTCTGTTCGCTGCGGCGGGCCTTCATTGTGCTGCTGGTCGTAGCCTTGGCGAGCCTGGTCGTAGGACACGCCGCTCTGCTCCTCGGCTCGCTGCATCGTGGACGAGGTGTTGAGGCGGTCATAGTTCCGCAGGTTGTAGAAGCCAATGTATCGCTGCCAGTCTGTGACGCCGCGCTGCTGCAAGACCTCGATGATGCTGTGGCCGCCGCGGCTGATGCTCTGGTACTGGAACTCCAAAATGGCACGCGTTCCGAGAGCACCGTCGGACTTGAGGTCACCTGCGAAAGCCGGAACAGCAGGCATGATTACGACAATGCGGAAGTCTTCGCCAGCCTCGTGGGCCTTGACAATGCGGTTGACGATGCAAAGGCCGATCTTGTTCGTCACTGGCTTCTGAGCGTCAGAAGTAGCAGTGATGAAGAACTGTACTTGTTGTTAGCTCATTACGTTTTTGCGGCTGATATATAAGCGGTCTCACCTGGTTCTCAATGTAGACAAAATGCTTAGCATTCGTGATAGCATCCATATATGCATTTGCAATGCTGTGCTCGGTAGGATGTCCGGCGGACCATTCACAGCAGCTTTACTCTTGTTAGTACACTTTGCGAGCCCATAGAGTGATTAGGCACGGACCTTCTGCAAAGCTGGATAGCAGCACTCTCGTGTCTCTCGTCTGTTCGTCTCTGCGAATCGTGCTGTCGTCCCTGCTCGCCTTCATCGTCGTCGTCACCCATGAATCTCCGGAACCGCCCATGCATCTCGTGCATGTTGCGGGGAATGTGATGCTCCTCGACGACGGCGCCACCTTCAATGCTGAGCTTGTTGTACTTGCCGGCATCTTTCTTCGAATATTTCTCATCCTGGATGAAGTTCCTGGAAAGAGGTTCAGTGAATGTACGCTTTGGAAATGTGTCAAAGGTGAACGCACCACCGATCGACAAAGTGATCGAGCAGGTTGGTAACGATGGGCCCAACCATGGAGACGGTGATGTCAGACCAGCCCATTCTGCCATTCTTGGAGCGATCAACTGTGTTGGGGTTAGAAGAAAGTGCTTTTTGAGATTGTAGAGGTTTTGCCATACGCTTGTTAGGGTGATTCCAATCGTTGACACCCTCGAAATCGAATGCACGAGCGTTGTTGAAATCCTGCCCTGGGAAGATGATATTGTCCAAATTACCGGGATGGGCATCACTGATCGGATGCGCTAATCGTGCAGAAGGTTAGTTTTCTGGGTGACCTTCACCGTATGGTCTCATCGAGGTCTACATACACATCGTGTCCCATCGTCCGAAACCTAGGGGTACGTTAGCCATCAGTCTTCTTCATCTTGAACCATGTATCGCCTTACACATATCAAGACCACCCATGAATGCCACGCGACGGTCAACCACACAAAGCTTCTCGTGGTGGGCCCAATACAAGACCGTGTCGCCAAATTGGCCATAGATAGAGGCAAGAGCGCCTGTCGAGGCTTTGGCCAGATCACCAGGCTTGTAGGTCTTGATAGACAGACCCGAGAAGCCAGAGATGACCTCTTTAGAGTTTGGCGTGTGATCAGGGTGTCTGAACACCTTGATGTTCTGGTGTAGGCCCTCAAGGGCGTGTTTGGTGTGCTGCCGAAGGATTCAGGGTCAGATGTGAACACCTCGCAAGTGCCTAGACGCGCAAGTAAACTTTACTTACAGCAGAATCACCTTTACGATTCCCAGTGTCAGCTCGCTCTTACGCTCTGCTCCAGAATGGGCCCAACTTACAGGTCAGGGCGGCTGCGACCTCCTTGTACACGATGATCCGCACGTCTACACCGCGTTCTGCGGCAGCGTGGAGCATCTTGTCAAGGCGGTAGCGCTCATTGTGTGCAGGGGGGCGACGCAAGTAGAGCTCCGGGCTCAGCCACCAATCCAAGATGTAGATGCTCTCCTTTGCATCTGGATAAGGAACGTGTCAGTCGGAGACAACCCATCGCGTGTGGTTCTGCTGAATAGTATAGCTTACTTTCAAGTGCCATAGACACGGCCCAGAAGTACGAGGCACCATCCACGTACCACTTCACGTCGCCAGAGGTCTGGGGAGCAAAGGACTGGAAACGGTTGCTCGAGTTGTAGTTGTCATGGTGGTGGTCGCATGCTCCATCGTGCGTATGGGAGTGCTCTTTGTCACCGAGGTTGAGGGCAGACTGGGCATGCTGCTGGACCTCTTTGAGGCCCTGCTCGAGGCGATCTTTCGCCTTGTTGAAGAAGCGGTCCATTCTGAGAGCAGGCGGTGGTATCGACAATCAGTGCAGCTCGGCTTCTCACGAACGTGTAGCTTCACGCTGTGTGTGTCTGTAAGAAGAAGATGGAGCGTGCAGTCACGAGTGAGCTGAGGACCCTGTTTTTTCTCAGGCGGCCTCCTCTTGGAAGCTAATGCTGGCCAAGCTGGGTATGTGGGATCTTGCAGCTAAATATGCCAGCAGAGGGGACGAGAAAAGACAGGGCAAGCCGCAGATGCAATGCTGAGGGGCGATCTTGAATGTGCCTTGGATATGCAGTGTGTGACCAAGGAACGCTCGAGTTCGTGTCAATGCACCGCGAGCTATATCTCGTTATTTATCAGGTCGTCATGTTCTGCCTCACGTAGACCACGCCTTGTCCTTGATTCACAACTGCTTCAAGGCCCCTAGCTCGGCCCACCTCAGCTACTGATCATCACACACATGTTCAGAAGCATACACAACAGACTGGCCGACCCCCAAGGGCTAACTGCGGGAAACCCCTGAGCGCTCCCGGCTAGTGGATGATGTCGACAAGTCAACACTTCACAAACATATCACACCACACAATTCCCTCCGCCATTTCAGCAGAGGACAGCTCATTAGGAGTCAGGAATGTCACACCCTGCCAGAAGCACACGAACTGCATAAGCCACTTGCGTTACGTATGTTGCATGCGGCGTGGGGCCTCAGCTTCTCATGTTGTGAAGGGGGGGGAGGAGTGAGGGGCGAGGGGTAGCTTGACGCATGTGCCGATGAGATCAGCGTTGCCTTGATTTAGAGTCAGGCCATGAGGTGGGGCCAGCTCGACAACCCGCCCACACACTTCTGGACCTTAGCTTTGTCTGAGCTAAGCATTTACACCACCTTCCCTTTACCCAATGGCACCTTCACCGCCCGCAATACTGCCGGCTGAAAATTGTCAGACCCGCAAAAAGTTTCTGAGGTCCACTCCTGGTTCTTGCGCTCCCAATGCAAGCCGCGGGCTTCTCGTTGAAGCACTTGCGCAAGTGATTCGGGTCTGCGAAGCTGTCAGAAATTACAAGCGACAATGCCAAAGCCAGCCAAATCAAAGCCTGCCGTCCAGGCGTCGGCACCCAGCAAGGATGACCGTTTCGCCAGTTTTGAGAACAACCCTCGGTACAAGCTGCCTTCCAAGCTACGCAGCAAGACGACCGTGGACAAGCGATTCTCGCGCATGCTGAAGGACGACGACTTCACAGTCACGGCCAAAGTCGACAAGTATGGGCGCAAGCTGAAGTCGGACAACAAGAAGAAGGCTCTACAGCGACTATACAAGGACGAGGATGAGGATGATGAGTCTGAGCAGGAGGTCGAAAAGGACGATGTTGTGCAGCGCGAGCTAGAGAAGGCCAACAAGTCCTATGATCCAGCTCGTGGTGGCGGTTTCTCCTCATCAGAGTCTGAGTCTGACTCGGATGAAGAGGAGGAGGAGGCCGCGGAGGAAGAGGAAGTCGACACATCAGCCAGCGTCAATCGCCTGCGAGATGCTCAAGCAGATGTCGAGACAGGGGACGTGACGAGGAGGATAGCCATTGTCAATCTCGACTGGGATCACATCAAGGCATCGGATCTTATGGCCCTGTTCTCGAGCTTTGCGCCCAAGGGTGGCCGCATCGAGAGGGTATCGGTCTACCCCAGCGAGTTCGGAAAGGAGCGTATGCAAAGAGAGGAGCTGGAGGGACCCCCAAGGGAGATCTTCAGAAAGAAGCAGGACAGTGACGAGGACAAGTCTGAATCGGAGTCCGAAATCGACAGCGACGAGGACGAAGACGAGAAAATCAAGAATGACATCATCGAGGAAGGGGACGACCAAGATTTCGACAGCGATGCGCTTCGCTCATACCAGCTGGACAGGCTACGATACTACTATGCGGTCATGGTCTGCTCCGATCCAGCTACAGCCGAGAAGATCTACCAGGCGACGGACGGCACAGAATACCAGACTTCGTCAAACTTCCTCGACCTGCGATTTGTCCCAGATGATGTCGATTTTGACGACGAGCCTCGAGATGAGTGCAGGGAGATGCCTTCCGACTATAGGCCGACAGAATTCGTCACCGACGCCCTCCAGCACTCCAAGGTAAAATTGACGTGGGATATGCACCCAGAGGAAGCTGCGCGCAAGGAGGATATCAAGCGCGCCTTCACGGGTAGCCGAGCCGACTTGGAAGAGAACGACTTGAAGGCTTATCTCGCCAGCGACAGCGAGGACGAAATCGAGCCTCTGGACAATGCAGAGGGTGGAGAAGATGGGCAATCTGGCCTCTCGAAAAAAGAGCTGAAAGCGCAGCGCATGCGAGCTCTACTGGGTCTCGGCGCTGAATCTTCCAGCAAGTCCTCAAAGTCCGCGCCCGTCGGAGACATGGAGATCACATTCACACCAGGTCTCATGGATGATGGGCCAAGCAAGAAGAAGAAGACAGACCCGGAGGCAGAGGAGACAACAATCGAGAAGTACAAGAGGAAGGAGAAGGAGAGAAAAGCCCGCAAGAAGGAAATGGCCGTGCAGAAGCGGAGCGGGGAGGCTGAGGCTGAGAGTGATGAGGGCGGTCACCAGGAAGAGGCCGCGCAAGACGATCTTGGCTTTGACGATCCATTCTTCACCACAGATGGGCCCACAAAGCCAGCCACGAAAACATCTCAGAGGAAGGAGGAACGCCTCAAGAAAAAGGAGGCCAAGGCCGCACAGGATGCCGAGAATGCTGCCCAACGCGAGAAGCTTGAACGGATCATGGCCGAGGACCGCGATGACAATGATGAGCGCTTGGATCACTTCAACATCAAGGAGATCGCGCGGGCTGAGAAGCTCAAGGGCAAGAAGTCCAAGAAGGGCAAGAAGGCTGCTGCGGCTGCAGCCAACGAGGACGGCCTGCAGGATGCCTTCAAGATGGATGTGGCCGACGATCGATTCGGCGCAGTGTTTGGGGACCACAAGTTTGCCATTGACCCTTCACATCCACAGTTCAAGGCCACTCCTGGCATGAAGCAATTGTTGGAAGAGGGACGGAAGAAGCGCAAGAACGACGAGCATGATGCTCCTGCCGAGGTCGTACGTGACGACGACCGCTCATCGAAAAAGAAGAAGCAGAAGACGACCGGGGAGAAGAACGATGACCTCGCCTCACTTGTCGAGTCCGTCAGGCGCAAAGCCAACAGCAAGAAGTAGTCTGCGACTTGATTATAGCATCTACAGATACCAATGTGTAAACACTTTGACAATCTATCACTTCTCCATGGGGAAAACTAGAACGTTGAACTCATATGTTCAAGTGACGATGGCGACGTTTGTGGGCCGTGACGACGGCTTTGCTTGCGGTTCAAAACCACAACGAGCACGACGAGACATGGTTATGTGGTGGGTTTTGCACATGAACGACGGTTGCCTTTAGTACGCTACTTACGCGTAGGCAGTGTCTCCCAAAGGATGCCCAGGCACAGACAAATAGCTTCTCCATTCATGTCGCGCACACATGACGGAGCATGTTATGCCCAATTAATTGACTTTCGCGACTAACACCTCCGCCTGTCGGAACTACCCAATCAGGCTTCGTGCAGGTAACCCCCTCTTGCTTACAACAGAACAACCAACTCACATTTTTCCAACGGACGAAACCCTCCGAGGCGTTCAGGCCTTTCTTTCTAGACAACCAACCACCGTTGATTTGTCAGAAAACCATCGCGCATACATCACCCCTGCGACGCGGCCGAGCACTCGCAGGACCGTTCCAGGCGTGCATCTCAACTCCCTTGGCGGTGTCGTCATTCCCTCTAACGCCCCGATCTGACACCTACGAGCTGATCTCAGTTCGCCATCGCTAGGACGACATCTTGCCTGTCGTGAGCTTCAAGGTGCACTTATAAGACGCCTCTTCCTGGCACGGGAAAAGAGATCATCTCTCGAGGTGCTTTGGGGTTTTGTCTCGAAATCGAGTACAGACAACGAGCGGTTTTATCTTGTGACCATGGCCACCACGCTCTTGCATTCTCTTGTCCAGGTTGAGGCCGAGCCCAACACAAAGCCGCAGCTGCCAGCTCTCCCAGAACGTGCCGTACCCAGATCTTACCCAGCTGCTCCCCGCAACGGCGATAATGGCATAGAGCTCTCTCGTCTGCGTGAGCCACAAGGTGCGGCGAAGAGTGTCACTGGCTCAAGTTCACACAGAGAATCTTCACGCCCAGGCACTAGCGATGGCATTGCTGATCCCGATGTCGAAATGAGCCCACAGAATCCCACGGCTCCCGCTGATGCGTTCGACATTCTTCCGAGCTTGTCAAGCCCGCCAATGAACAAGTATAGGCTCATGACCGCCTGCTTGATCAATTTTGTTGGAGGTATCACGGACGCGGCGCCGGGAGCCTTGATTCCCTACATGGAGACGTGAGTTGCTCAAGGCGAAATCGGCGACACTTTGAGCAGGACGGACGTTCGTGACTGACGGATCTTGTTGCAGACACTACAACATCGGCTATGCTGTCGTCTCGCTCATCTTCGTCGGCACAGCTTTGGGTTTCATAGTCGCCGCGCCCCTCATTGATACTTTGCGACAAACTCTGGGCAGAGCTCGAGCTCTGATGCTCTCACAGTTGCTGCTCATCATGGGCTTCATCCCGCTTGTCTCCATGGCTCCATTTCCCTCCGTTGTGGTGGGCTTCTTCTTCATCAGCTTTGGAGCGGCTGTTCCCTTGGCCATGAACAACGTCTTCTGTGCGAATCTGCGCAACGGCACGACCATGCTGGGCCTCATGCACGGTAGTTACGGAGTTGGCGGCACAGCCGCTCCGCTCATTGCCACCGCACTCATCACGCAGACAAACATGCCCTGGGGACGCTACTATCTCTTTCCGCTGGGATTTACTGTCTTCAACTGCGTTTTTGGCGGCTGGGCGTTCTGGGCTTACGAGCAAGAGCAGCTGGGAAGCAACGGTATCACTGAACAGCTGGCGGCGGGCGCCGGCTCTTCTGCCACGCGGACCAGTGGCCGCGAGGTCCTGGTAGGCATGTTCCGCGCGTTCCGCCTTCGTGTGGCCATGCTCGGCGCCCTCTTCCTCTTTGCGTACCAAGGCGCCGAGGTGTCCATCTCGGGCTGGGTTATTTCGTTCCTGATCGCCACGCGCAACGGCGACCCGTCCTCCGTCGGTTACGTCACGTCCGGTTTCTGGGCCGGCATCACGATCGGGCGCTTCGTGCTGTCCCCCGTGGGCGCCAGGATCGGCGAGAAGCTCTTTGTCTATCTTCTCATTGGTGGCGCCGCCGTGTTCCAGCTGCTCGTTTGGCTTGTTCCCAACATTATTGCCGAGTCCGTCTCGCTCGCCATCGTTGGTCTGCTCCTGGGCCCCGTGTACCCTTGCGCCGCGGCGGTCTTTGCGCGCAACTTTTCGCGCAAGGAGCAGGTTGCCGGCCTTGGGCTCATTAGTGCATTCGGCACTTCTGGAGGTGCTTTTGCGCCGTTCACCACTGGTCTGTTGGCCCAGGCGGCTGGAACTTTTGTCCTGCACCCTATTGCCATTGGGCTGTTCGCCGTGATGGCTGTCACTTGGTTCGGCCTGCCTAGCGCCAGGAAGAGGACGGATTAGAAGAGAAAGCCTGGGAGCAAGACTCGATAGCAATACCAAAAGCCCACGGTGGGATGGGCAGCAATTATACCTTGCTCGCAAATAACTGGATGGTGGGACCTGATTGAGAGGAGGAATGTGCAAAGCTGGGGGAGACCATAGAGACAGGAAGGCGAAGCCGGAGGGTTTGGCATCCGTAAGGGCATTAGATATGAATCCTTCTTCCTGGGTCTCAAGTCTCTTTCAATTGCTTAGACCATAAAGGGACAACGTGTGAATCTGAGATGTGCCTTCTAGCATGTGCAAAGATGCTTGAAGGAGGATAGTCTTCAACCCAGGGGAGCTAGAACACGGAGACGTAGAAATGACCAAATACCTTCAAACGCTGAAGTTACACCTAAATGATGAGATTGCGAGTTTTCCAAGACTTCATATGCTGTGAATTGAGGCCTATTGTATTCTATTGTGTGATTTAGAGCGTGTACGCTTCAGTGCAAGTTGATAAAGTGAGCGTTGTCGGGTTCCAGATTCCTGTCGCTTTGCCGCCAAGTTTAGCAGTTGTGGGGAGCCTCTGAAATCCACTCAGATTTAGGCCGGGCTAGCATCTTGCACCTACACAACGACACGTCGAAGACTTTACATACCGGCCCGCCTCCTTTCTACATCACAAGATTTCCTCAGTAGGCCAGAAGTGCAAGCGGAGGGCAAACGGTCATCATACCCATCATGGTGGAGGGGCATTCGGTTACCCAAGTCGGGCCGGACGTTCCAATGGCGGCGATCGAGGTCGTTGACCCGGCGGTCATTGCAAGTATAATGAAACCCCTGGATGAGCCCAAATCTATGCACCGTGCCTCACTCAGCTCAGTAACTCACTATGCTCTCAATTTAACCAGGACTTCCCGACGATGTGCAAGTAATATCCTTGAAGCCACACGGATTCAGCTTTTGGACGCGCACAGCACGGCTAGACACCAGACTTTCGTCTGGATCGCACGTGAGCTACTTTCTCAAGGTACGAGACGCTCCGGACACCCTCTTTGGCCTGCTCGGGTCTTGACAAACAGCAGCAGCCATTTGATGAACAAAGAAGACTAACCTCGTACAGACAACCTCTGGCGAACTAGGCCGGAACATGGTCCACAGCGAGCACACCAGCATGAGCATGATTCATGACCTCAAGCCTTTTCTCGTGCCCAAGCCGCTCGCATGGGGCTCGTACACAACTATTCCGGACGTTCACTTCCTCCTCTGCGAGTTCCGGCCCATGAAGAACGAGCTGCCGGAAGATATCGACGGGCTTGCAAAGGCGGTGGCAGAGTTTCACAAAGCCAGCTTAGGCAACCAGACACGCATCTCTGCGCCTGCCGACAAGAAATATGGTTTTGATCTGCCGACATACCATGGGAATGTGCCTATACACCACGGGTGGGCGAACACCTGGGAGGGATATTTCGCCCGCACGACGCGGCATTTGCTGAGCATGGAGCTCGAATCTCGAGGTCCGTGGGGCGCTATAACTCTTCAGAAGGACGACATGGCTAGCGGTGGCGGTGGTGGCGGCCGTGGTGGCCCAAGCGAGATTGAGGACTTGGATCAGGACATCATCATTGATTTATTTTTCAACCGGGTGGTCCCACGGCTCCTCCGACCGCTCGAGGCGAACATCAGCCCGGTGCTCATACATGGAGACTTGTGGCACGGAAACGCTGGGGTGGACTCGAGTACAGACCAGGCCGTGATCTTCGACGCTGCGAGCTTCTGGGCGCATAATGAGTGTAACGTTCAGACACTTGAATTTTCATCCTTTTCCGGACTCCACTCCACAAGACCGGACTCGCTAACAACCTCCCTCTTCGATCAGACGAGCTAGCGGTATGGCGACAGCCATGGAACCAGATCAGCAATGGGCACAGGCTGTGCTACCATAGATACTTTCCTCAATCTGAGCCGGCAGGAGAATATGACGACCGAAACCTGCTGTACTCGACGTAAGGCCGCCTCTTGCACGGTCCTGCATTCAATCTACGTCTTGTAGAAGAAATGATGGATGACATGGAACAAGCGTGATGCTGACGGTTACAGACGCGTGAACATCCTGGATTCGATCCTATATAAGGATGACCCATCCTACAGGACGAGGTGAGTTACACACGATCTCATCTCCCCTTCTACCTTTTGAGTGTCCTTCATGAAATGCAATGAGGGTGTGAGACGAAGATTTGTAAACCGTGCCTCACGGTGCTCAGGACTCAAGCAAGCGAACTACTCTCACCTATACCTACTCTGCGGCTTATCTCGTACATGGCCGGGCCCATGGACATCATGCTTCTTGGATGCTTCGAGGAAGGGGAATGTGCTACTCTCACATATGCCTTTCGAACTTTTCCCTTTGGCCTTCAGGTTTTCTTCCTGATGGCCGTTGGTCATTTGTTGCTAACACGAGCCTTGTTCCACTTCTAGTTACATGTTTGCCATGCGTGGGCTTGTCGACAAGTTCTCGGGCGAAGTAGCGACTCCAGCATAGTGAAACACAACGCAATATTCACCTAAAGGACTGGGGCTTCTGTGAGAAAACCTACCGGGAATCCGCAGGGGATTAATTGTAAAATGCATGTCATGACGTGACAGCAGCCATTTCGCAATTTGTTCATGGACGAGTCGCGCGTCAGTGCACACTACTCTGTGTGAAGTTTTTGGGCACCGTCTGCGGCTTGACAAGGACACGTATCTCCGGCAGAATATAGACATTGCCAACTTTGGCGAATTGTCTGGCTGGAATTCAGAACATCGTGGAGAGTCACTCAATGTTCCCTTACCCAAAGCTCCCCGTGCGTACCTTACCGTAAGAAGGCGTGCGTTGGGTGGAACGGACGGCTGTCCCATCCCATGCCCCACCAAAAAAAGGTACAGAGCCCATTCCGCATTTTTTCGACCTTCGCAGATTTCAAACTAACTACAGGGACAGCCATTGCTCTCACGTTAAACACGACGACAGCACAGCTTGGTGCCCTTGACTATTTTTTATTTTTTATTCTCGCCTACTACCAGAGGAGCACCATGGGCCGACCCAAGCGAGACGTGCGCGCTGCGGCCGAGGAGTCGACCACCCCGCCGGACGAGCTCACCGCGCAGCAGTGCGTGGCCAGGGTGCTCAAGGCCGAGGGCAATAGCCTGTACAGCTGCGTGCTGCCGGACAAGCGCACCGTGACTGTCCAGCTGCAGGACCGCTTCCGCAACACCATCTGGATCCGGCGCGGCGGCTACGTCCTCGTCGATCTCACCCCGACGGAGGAGCACAAGGGCAAGGTCACGGGGGACATTGTCAACATTGTGCGCGACGAGAAGGAATGGCGCAAGCAGAGCTACTGGTATGCGTTCTTTGCGTTGCAGTCTGTTTTCCGGGAGGGCCGAGTTTGCGAGGCTGACTAAGATGGCAAATTTAGGCCCAAGGAGTTCGCCAAGAGCACAGCGTATGCTGAGGACTCGGACGACGAGGAGTCCACTGTTGGCCGCATGCCTCCGTCAGACTCGGAGAGCGAGGATTGAAGACCAGGAGGATCACCTCATTTCCTCTGAGCAGGCGGGACGCCGACGCTCTGGGGAGGCTGGACAGCAGCCTCGGCAACCTCATTGTGTAAATACACCAGTCCCACGGTGGTCGCAAGTACTGCGACCACTACCCCAGAGCTTACCGGCGTGCTTGGGTAGACATTCCAGGCCCATTCCTGCAGTGCCCACAGAGCGTACTGCAGGACTGGATGTGCTCCTGCCCGCCACAAAAGAAATGGCGTCGCCCAGGCAATGTACGCATAGAACTGGTAGTGCAGGGTTCGCGCGAAGAGCAGGCCGATGAGGTTGGCAGAGAGAATGGTCGTAGCCACGTACGCGGGAGTCAGGCGCGATGCTATCTGGTACTCTTCTTGGGCCGTGAATGGAGATTTGAACTGGAGAAGGGGGATGATGACAGCGTAGGCAGGCTTGCCGGTAGGCTTGAGCCACTTGTTGAGTATGAACCGGATGAGGAAAGAGACATGTCCAGCTAGAAGTGTCAATGCAAAGCGTCGGCTGAGAAACACCTCCTCGCCTAGAAAGCGCCAGTTGACCGTCCACTTGAAGAGAAACTGCCGGGAAAGCTCAAAAGCCCGCGAGAGGTAGCCCTTGGCGTTCTTACGCAAGAATGTCTGCGCCATGATGTATTGGATCTGAGCCATTAGAGCCGCCAGCTTCAGGCTGCCGGACAAGCCCTTCGCCAGGAATAGGATGATGCCAACGGCGGGCAGATCTAATAGGAGGGTCATCTTGACGCCGAGACCGAGCGAATAGCTTAGGGCGCCAGCCGTCCACCACTTGCGCTGGAACAAGTAGATTGTGAGCCATAGAAAGAACGCAGCAAAGCAGTCGTTGAAGCATCGCAGCATGAAGATACTGTGCAGCCGCTTTGACAAGATCAGCAGAGGGAAGACATATGGTGGGACCTGTCCACTGGTGTCAGTGTTCAACTCGATCTTTGCACACAGAGCACGGATACTGCTTTGCGACGAACCTTGGCCTTCCAGTAGCACGACATGACCAGAGCCAGGGTCGCCATGTACAGCAGTGCGAAGAGCTGCTGGGCCAGAAGGATATTCCTCCCTTGGTCAGTGAGCCAGTATAATCCTGTGTAGATGTAGACATGGAATCCAGGATAGACAAGAGGGCCCGTGCCGCCCTTGATGACAGTGTAGTCGCGCTCGCCATTGACAAACTGCGAGACCTGCTCCATGTATGCCTTCCAGTCGATCTCGGTATCTGCGCACAAGTCAGCCCCAGCTCGATCCCCGTCTATGAGAGTAGCCACAATCCGCCACTTACAGGGAATCTTCCAGATGATAGCAGCACAGAAGACGGCATCGAGGAGCAGGAGCGCAAAGGGGACGAGCTTTGCGAGCGGGTGCGTCTGGCTGCAGGCGACCTGCGTGAACAGCCCGTACGCCCTTGCGGGCAGGCTCTTTGGGCGGTCTGCCATGATGTCGACTGAGCGCTGGTCCACGGCTCGTTGATGCAAGTTGCTGATGTGTGGTCCTGAAGTTGCCGCCGCTCCGTAACGTGGAGAGTTTAATTGCGTGGCGGCGGCAGGAGCTGGCCAAGCTTGCAGTGGACCATCAGTGGAAAGACCCCTAAGTTGGCTGCAGCAAAGGGTTGGAGCGTGTAACAGCCAATCGCATCTCGCCCCCTGCCGCTACGGACCCACCTTGATATTACTCCATGGTCACCTTGTCAATGTGCCAATTGTTCTCAAAACCTCGAGCTTTGTTGATGAAAAGTTTCTGTTTCTGGAAACGGTCGTGGCAGTTTCCTTAGCCCTCACAGTCCTGCAAAAGCAGAATTGCCAATAGCCTCTTCTGTCGACAATGCTGCTGCGTTTCGGGGTGGTCTCTGCTTGAAATCCGAACTAAAGTCTGCCAGATACGCTCGACACGTGGAAATTCTGATTCATCTGCTCATTGTTCTCTCGTAGGAAGAAATGCAAGCACCCCCAGTCTAATTACGAGATGAAATGGTCGTATGGGGATTGCGTCCAGGGCCACGTGCAGGAAACCTCCCATCCTGTGTCTCTGGGAATCATGTGCCACTGTGCCATTTGTCAAAGTGTTTTTGCAGCATGTAGAGCTACAAACGACAGACAAAGCGAATCATACTTGCCATGAATCGTTACTCACGTTTAAAGACGTCAGGGGGTTTGCGTATTGCGATGCTATCTTTCACCTGAGTGCTACCACCCTGCTTACACGCCCCGTGCGGAGCCCGCCATTGTATCTGTTGCCCCGGTCCCAAAGATGGACAAGGCGATCAGTGATGCTCTGCCGAATGTGCCAATGAATTTGAAGCGTACCTTTGGAATGATCTTTACACCTCCTCACTTGTGGCCGCCTGATGGGGCAATGACCTAATCATTGCCATTGCGGAGCAATAACATTCGAGCGAATGGCAGTGCCTCGATATCACCTAATCGCCAAGCCGGGCCATACTCCAGAACAACGGTGTAGTCTCTTTGTAGTAATCATTTCGCAATCCAACATTGTTGTTGTCCGAATGTGGTATAATCGCCTTCTGGCCCGTGATCTCACTGGCTGGCCGACATCTTAGGACTGTGACTTGACATCAGCCCGGCCGCCTGGAGACCTGCTATCGCGAATCTTGCTGCGCCCCGCGTTTGTCGGGAATGAACCACATGCACCTGCGGCCAACTTCTCTCACCTGTTAACCCACCCGAAGGGCGGCTGGGAACCAGTAGATCGGCGCGTCACCGTCGGACGTTGACGTTGCCGATTCACGTCAAAGGCTTGGCGTGCAAAGGCAGAGTTCGTGATGCGACCGCGGGCCCTCGTATATCAACCAATCGCGCCTCGTCCCGCACAGACGGGAAGGAGGCGTGCGTCCTGCCTGGCATGCGGAGGTGGCGCATGCCTGACTGGCTGCCTTGTCGCGAGTACGTGGGGTTTGGCGAGGAGCTGAAACTGCCTCAAGCCTCTTTCAGCTCTTCCTGCAGGTGTCGGGGGCCGCTAGTGGTGCCGCATATGCCGCTCGGTTGCCGCTGACTTTTTGGTGATGTGCGTAAGAGTGCGGTCGGAAGTGATCCCCGATGTTTGACAGCAAAAACAATCCTTTTAGAGTTGGAGGTAGGGCTGGATCCGATGGAAGGGTTGCCTCTGACGACGTTTGCTTCTGATGTCTTCAAGCAGTCTCTGACAGCACGGCATGGCTGGTTACTTGGGCTTGCTGGAGTCTAGTCTAGACACGTCGCCGTTAAGCGGTGATAGCATCATGTTTTCAAGGAGGGTCTCGAACATTGTGAGGTAAGCGCATTTTGAATATTTGCTGTGATCCATGGTGTCCACGAGGCTTGTCAATGGTTGCACTCTGGCGGCGGATTTGCTGCATACTTCCTGCTGCCTACGAACAGATGGTTGCCCATCCTCATCCGCATAATGCCCCATTTCGAAAGAACTATCTTCCATCACGCACCAGTAGTCTGTGACAGACGGATACTTGAATCCAGCATGTCGGAAACTCCAACTTCCTTCTTGGCCAAGACACCGTAGCAATGGTGAAGTCAGGAGAGGCTCATGAGCTAGCGAGTTCCAACTACACTCGTTCGTCAGCAGTTCAGCTTGACATACACCGAGGAGCCTCTTCGTGCTCAGGCCTACGATTCGCTCGTGTGCATGAAGGGTACACAACTCGTGTAAAAGGTGAAGCAGACTTTGACTGACTCTCCCGTCACACGGCCCAGCGAGCCTACATTCCGGTTGCAGCCACGCTAGAGGACCTGGCTGCCTCTGGCCGTACCGCACTACGAGAATAAGCTTAAGACGGCGAAGAGAGGCCGACTAATCGCATCACCTGCCATAACAGGTCACAGCCCCTGTGATTGGTCAACTTAGCCGGCGAGGCTGTGATTTACGGCCAGCCGACTTCACGACTCGGAGGAAAGCATGGCATTGGACGGGACGGCGTGCCGCTCATCCGGACGAGGAACACACCTGTAAAAGGTGAGGGAGCGTGGGTGAGGCGGCTGAAAATGGGAGAATCTAGATCAAGCCTTTGCACTCCTCAGGTCCCCGGATAAAATCGAGGCATGGCCTGCCAACGCAGAAATTAGCCGTCAGCCAAGGCGTTGACATCTTGCCATGTGCTATGATCGACAGTATTCCGCCTCCACCACCCACTCATGCCGCCCTTGCATACTCTAGTGCATTCCGTGTGCCGTGTCTTGGGTCACCATCTCTCTCAACCCACCCAATCGCATGTCTCGTAATCTTTGCCGCATTGCATTGCAATTTGAAAAGCAATTGCTTCGGAGTGCACCTCGAATCGAAAATCTCAACCAACAAGCGAAACATTCGAGCCCCGAGGACCTGGGACTCGGAGTGGTTTCCCATCACTGTCATCCCAATCATGCGGTGTTACCATCCGAGAGTGTCTCATTTCCCTTCCCATTTGGCGGCTATCCCCGGGGCTTGATTGTCACATGTGGCTCTGTACGTCAGGGCGGGAGTCCAAGGAATAAGATCATACGTGCGCTTGGCCTGACACAGGCTCCTGTGTAACGTTCCAATTTCTGGGCCGGGTCAGGGACGAGTCCAGGCTTTGGAATGTACAACTGAAAGCTAACGACTTTGGAACTACGCTTTTGAGAATGCGGTTGCTGGCAGTCATGCAGCGACTGGAGCATATAGTACGACCATGGCAAGACTGATGATTTCCGGAGCTCGGTTGTCTCGCGTTTTCTCTTTTATGAATGGCCAGATGCTCGTGAACATCAAGTTGCTCTAACTACTACAAGACCAGCCTGTTCAGCACCGAAAGTCCCAAGTTACTATGGTAGCCCGCGCGTCGATAAAGTTTTGCCAAGGCCCTCTCCCTGCCGTGGTTTCCAACCGGCACGGAGGGTCGTTGCTCTCAGTGTACTCCGCACCCGCCAAACTTCGCTTGGGCTTGAAACCACGGGCGATCTCTCCTCTCTTCCGTTGCCAAGACTTCTCGGGGCCGGGCCCGGGACAGCAAGGGTGATGGCCACAGGTAACCGAGAAGGGCAGTGACTGGTGCGTCCGCGCAATCCTGCTCACCCGCACTTCCCGCAGAGACGATGCCGCTTCTCGCTCTTTCTTCACCGGCTGCCCCAAGCTCCCCATACGTCGTACAAACTACACACAAACAGGCATGTGGGTAACGGGCGCCGTGGTTCATGCGGCACGGGTGCATCCGCACCACGCGCGTGCTTGTCCCGTCCGCCAGAGGGGCGTGATGACAGAGCTTCTTCCAACTACTGACGTATCATCACACCTTTCACTGCGGCCCGGAACGGCATGTGGTCCGCAAGGAGCAGATGTCCACAAGCCCCCCCCCCCTTTGAGTCGAACCATTCGAGTCAGCACTTGTGTCATTCCAGTCCAGGCCATGCGGTTCAGTAAACTCGTCTGAGCCAGAGAAACCAGTGACGCAGGTCCGCCCTTGCGGGTTCCCCCGATATCGTTTGCATGTCATAAGGTTTCGAGCCGCTCAGCCTGTCAAACCTTTAGTCTTGCCATTCTAGCAATGGGTTCCCAAGGTACACCGGTCTGTTTCTTTGCAGACACGCCCGTCCCGGTCAGAGTCTCAGAGGTGAATACGTCACCAGACAGCGAAGTCCCTGAAAAGTCCACCAGCCACGCAGGCCGAAACCCTCGCGTTACCTAGTGCCGCATTACTGATGGGACGACGTGGTTGCATCCCAGCGCAGCCGGACTTTCCTCCGGCTTGCGATTGTTCGATTGGCACTTCTAGAGTTGTGCCCCCCTGCTCTCGCCATTGCTACCCGACCACAACGTACCATAGTAACGCAGTGAGTCTATGCAAGGGTGCATTACGACATGCCACGATCTGGCGGTGTTGCAGCCGACGCGGTGATAACCTTATTCCCCGCCCTTGCGAGGCCCGTGCTGGAACTCGAATGCCTGTCTGCTCAACAGGGACGACGTAAGATGATCCAAGCAGTGAATGAACATGCAGGGTCCGGAGCAATCCCCGACGCCGCCCAGTTGATGAAGACCGGGCACACACGGCACTCTTTAGCCCAGGACATGAAGTAGTCCTGAATGAGACCAGTTGCCGAAACGCCCTCGCCTCTGCGAACCTTAACAACCCGATTAGTACGTGGTTGTTACACACACACAAGCACGCTTGGGCACGCTAGACACCTGTACACAGTAGACCCGCGGGCTAGTTACGTACATAGACCACAACAGCGCTAGACGGCACATGTTGAAGCCGCCACTTGCACTCGTTGGCAAAGCCAAGCCGATTTCTGCAAGAGCCCACCTGCCCAAAAGGGTTTGTCAGGCTCGACCTAAGCGGCAAGAGGTTTAGACGCCCTCACTGCGCTGAGCCGCTTTTGCTGCCATTTTCTCACTTCTCCGACCGTCCAGACCCAATCAAGACACCCTCTCCGTATGCTCACCACGCGCTAGTGGTAAGGCTAGGGTCTTACGGCATGCCAAGCGAGTGGGTTCTCCCTGCAACTGAACGTCCTCCGGCTGCCGGCGTCCGTGACCGAGGCGTCCCTGATGCTGGAGGATAATGGAGTGGACTAGAATCATCTTGCGTGCAATCGACACCCACGCCCCTGATCACACAGAAACTGTAACCACCTTTGAAATCTTTCACACGCCACCCCCTTCTTGGGATCCGAGTGCATTCATGAAAATAGACCTCGGCGTTGCAGACGGCTGCCCCAATGCCGCCCCCCTTGCCTCCTCGTGGTGAGTTTACCCAAACCCCTTCCCCTCGGGCCCGACGACGACGACGATAAACCCACACAAACTAGCCTCCACTGGTGTCGTCCCACAAGCAACGCCTTCCCGCCGCCTTAGCGGCGTGCTTTTTTGCTTTTCCATCCCAAACGGCAGAACCGAAGAACCCATTTTATGCTATGTACCCAAACGCGTTCTAGAAGAGTTGGCAAAGAGAAAAGGATGGGGAGCCATCTGATATCAGCCTTGGGGTGGATAGACTTCTCTCGTCACCGTTTACCCGGCCGTTTATCCTTCGTTGTGGAATGCTTCTGTACGTTCATGTTGTATGTATCATGTAGTTGAGCCAAATAGAGGAAGAGTCTCTCTCTCTCGAACGGGCGCTTGTCCCTATCTAAGCCGTTACGGAAGACGTTTCCAACACCTGGGAGCAATCACACTGGTATTGGCGCCACGGCTGGAGAGAGAGACGGGAAAAGAACACCACACATACAGATGGGGCAGGTGGACCCTGCAACACCCCTTGCGATCAGCCGAGTATGGACAATGACGACTGCAGCGCGCGTCCCGAAGACGACCGACAGGGCGTTCTGGAGCGGGAGCACATGGAAAATCAGTCTTTGTGGCGCCGCACTGTCCCTCACATATGTCGTGTCATCTCTGTCCACAACAAAACGAAGACAACGGACCCCCGGGGTACTGGGGCTGCCTGGTCCGATCAATGACGACGTTCTTCTGCGCTTTGCGGAGATGCGGGCTCGATGTTTTTGACAGCCAAAGTGCGACGGCCCTGGATCGACGCGAGTTGCTGTCTGGAATCATGGTGTGGCGAGCGGAAGTGATTTGTTACGCTGGCCCAAAATCAGATAAATAGTGATTGTCATTGCAAGTACTTTCTCGACATCTGAGCATGTCCGGCAGATGACTCTAGCGTCACGGTAGAATCACTAGCACCAAAGTATACTGCGGCTGTCAGAAGCTTCGTCTGTACCAACGACTTTTAATATTGCCTTCACTTGAGTCTATCAAACTCTGTATCTGCGCCATCCGCCAGAAGGCTGCTCCAGAAGACTGCACTATCTTAGGCGTGCCAGAGATCCCGTCCGGGAATTCCTGTAGGCGACCGTATGGTGCCACCTCAACCGTGCCATAGACTCAATGCTGGGTATCAAAATGTCGAATGGGGAAAGCTCGTGCCACAAGACCAGGGAAAAACTATGCAACGGTACAATGCAAATGTCAATGGCGCTCGAATGGGCAGTGGGTCATTCGTCCACAAAAGGAATGTGGTTCAAGGTCTACCCTGAACAGGCTCAAATGTTCAAAGGGTGTTGAAATATAAGGTCGAACTCCTCGAAGAAAGGCCATGAGATTTAGCGGAGCATCAGTAATCATCAAGGCTCAGTCCCGCAATGCGGGCTTGCAGCTCCTTCATCTTCTCCGGGTTGAGGTGAGGATCAACCTTTCTCGGCTTGACTCGCGGGCAGCTTGGGCACTTTGCGTGAGCACACTTTGCACATTGCGCTCCATCTTCCGTACCGCTGGGGAATTTGGCGTGGCACTCATGGCAGCGATGAGTAGGTGCAAACTTGTTGCCAGCCTCGTCGTGAGGGTACCCATACGGATACTTCTTCCGAGCATCTCTGCAGATGTTGTCAATATCATGTTTACAATTTTCCCGGGAACGGGTTGGGACGTACGGGTGACGAGGGCAGTCGTCGCAGCGCTTGTGGCCACACGTATCACATGTTCTCAACTGTTTCGAATCCGACGTGATCAGGGTGCTGCAAACGTGGCAATTTCGGCGAACCCGCACCCTGGGTGGCCTGAATACCAGATCACCACTAGTCGCTCGGCTCGGTCTTTTGAGGATGATCTCAGCTGTGATATGTGAATAGTCGTAGCTGGGAATGATTGGCGCGTTCTCCACGCGCTGTCGTATCAGCTCTTCCTTTCTGGCCCTGGCGGCCTCCTTCTCCGCCTCTGTTCGCTTTGGTGGGTTGCGTATACACTGTTTGCATCGCATATGCTTGCAGCTTGGGCATTCGTTGCCAGAGCCGAAACCGGACTGGCACTTGTGGCACTGGCGATGAATGCGCATGCGTGGTGCCTTGTCGATACGTAGCACATCTCCTTCAGTGTTAGCCCACTCCTGGGGCTCGAACTCGATGCCGAATCTGGCACCTAATCTGCGTGCTCTTTCGTCCTGGATCTGTGCTCGTGACACCCTGGTTGCCCCTTCCGGTATTGCTCTTTGCGTTGGCTCCGCCTCACTGAAGTCTACATGTTAGAAGGACGGTACTGCCAAAACGACTGCGTGGGCACTCGCAGGCGAAGCAGGACGGCCTGGGACTTACGTTGCTGGGACCACAAAAGACTGATGCGGCTGGGCTGTTTCGCTGTTTTCAGGCACTGGTGCTGGCCTCGGCGCCGGTGTTGTTGATGTTGGTTGAGGGCTGTCTGTTGCCAACACATTTGATGCACGTCTCGAGCCATCGGATCTTTTGAAGACTGTCTTGGCCCTGCTCAACAACTTCCCAAGTCCTTTCCTGTCACGGCCCTGAGCCGGTGCTGACATTGACGCTGGCGTGCTCATACTGACTAATAGTCGATAGTAGCTGGTGCTGGGGTGGCCCAAAGTCCGCGGGTATATCTGGCTCAGTTGCGAGTCGATTTGATAGCCAGAAGCTCGGGACAGGCGCTCTCCCGTGATCCTTGTAGGGTGGGTGACTGGCTCCGACTACACTTGGCTGGGCATAGCTGGAGGACACAGAACAGGACAATCAGTGCTTGGTGCGCAGGATGTTTGCTTCTGGGTGTCGTCGAATGTCCTGCGGCGTGGAGATGTGTAGTTTTCTCAGACTGTATGCCGTGGAAGAAGAGGAGGAGAGCAGCCAGGGTAGCCCTTGAGCACAACAATGAGCGGGAACAGGGCGGTTTTAGCGACCTCGAGACGGATTGGTCATGATAGCCAGGCGTGGTGGAGAGTGAGGAGGGTGTGGCTCGAGACCGCACGCCCGGCAGGCGCCGGAGCAGTGGGAGGAAGGGGCGTCTGGCGGCTTGCATCTTCCTCCACAACCAGGCCACCATCGCCTGCTCACACGCCCCCCCCCTGCCATCTCCAGGCCCCTGGGTCCCATCCATCCCCATCGTCCCTCGTCCCCGGCCCTTGGTACCGGTACTCGACTTACTCGCCAGGCTTTCTTCAGGCCTCTTGGTCGGCCTCGCAGGTGTCACCCCCCCTCTTCTCGTTCCTCGCACCCTTGCTGCACGCCTGGGGCCCTGGCCGGCCTCCACCCACCTGGGCCCCGTCTCTCAACCACGCTCCCGCCCGCCTCGACCACGCTCCCGCCCGCCTCGACCACGCTCCACTCGTCAGCGAGCTGGGCCCCGAAAATGGCAACAGAGCGGCCCGCGGCACAGCTCTCTGCGCCACCGTGTTGCTTCTCCGCCTGCATCGAGCCCTCGAGGCAGCCATCGAAGTCTATCCAAGGCGCGACCGCCGGGCGCTGTCCAGGCAGGCAGGAGAGCGAAGTGCTACACACGAACCGCCTAGAGATTCGGGTGCCACGAGCACCATCGCCCGCCCACATGTCACCTCCACAGCTGTCCGCCTCTGGGCGACACAGGACGTGCCGGCTGGCTGGGTGCCAGTTGGATACTCGCGCCACGGTGCGACTCTGACCGTTGTGCTGGTCCAGCGCTCGTGCTGCATGCGGCTGCCCTTAATCAGTGCATAGCACCTGAGCCATCAAATGCCCCGGCCCGCTCACTGCTGGATTTGGGAGTCGACGTCCTGCACGCTCGGTCTCTGTGCTACGAGGCTTGCTTCCATTCGGCCACGCTCCATTTCCACCGCCTCGGCTCGCAGCTGCATTTCGGCCCTGACGCACATAATACTCAACATCCCTGGCAGCGGCCATTGCACAATGGTCCCTCACAATGGCCCTGTTCCATCCAAGTGGTGCTGGGAGTATGCGCCCCAGTGCTGGTCTGACCTCGACCCCTCTGGAATTTGCTGAACGGCACTTTGGCCATCCCACGGTGGATTACATCACGCCAAGGGCGGGAGGGAAGGGGATCTCACTCCAGTCGCCGGTCAAAAGCAGGACCAAAGCCCCCGGGACATGCTTGGAGCTCAGATTATGTCGCCCAATTGTAGAAATCATGAAGATCCACCGCCATGGCCGCCGCAAGAGCTGGTGGATGGCCAGTGAGACCGTGAAGGGGTCCGCCATTCCCCTGCTCGTCGTGGTTCAAATCACGCGAACACTCATGGACTTTGGACAGGAGATTGAAGGGCGCAAGTCTCTAATATCGTCACTCACAGTACACTGCTCCAGCTGGGGCGTGGAGAATCGAGTCTGAAAACACCGACGCACCCAACTTCTCGGGCCCGACAGCTTGGGCGTGTGCACACCTTCTCCGCTTCTTCAGCCTGCAGACCGACCCATCTATCCACCAACCGTAGCGCAATCCACATGGCTGGGCTCGTACGGTTTGGCTTTCCACATTCCTGTCCTTGGCTTCCAAGATGGTGGTGGCTGCTCAGGCACGAATCGGCATCTCCATCTCGGTCCTGGCGACGCTGCTGTGCGCAAGCGAGAATATTGTTTGCTTCTAGGTGACAGCTTTTCACCTGCCGACCCGCGACCACCGAGGTGCTGCGCTGTGGAAACGAGACCGAGACAAGACTAAACCAACCAGCAATCTGGATCCTGAACCACAAGCTAACAGCCCCATCGAGCCACAGACAGTGGCGTGGTGTGCGCCTCTGCCTTAGGGGGAAGGAGATGCACAAAAGTTCCAAGCTAAGAATCGGCTCATTCCTACTGGCTTACTTCACTTAGCGCCCCTGTTGTCTTAAGGTTGCTTCGAATGTCGCGATTGGGCATCTGCATTCCGACCATGTGGGCGAGGTCAAAGCTCTTCCCGCCTGTCAGTTCTGCTGGTTCCAGGCATCTGGGTCCATCTGGATTTCACAAATCGCTGCAGGCTCGCAACCGACTGATGTTGGATGGCATGTTGGCCCGGCGCATTCGAGAGGTGTAAGTCTGCACACGAGCTCCATCTGCAGATGGTTATACCGCCGGACGACAAACCAGCCCCTTCTGTGCCAGACAGCCCAGCCAAACCAATCGTCGTCCAAAGTCGAGTCGCGTGGCATGCCCATGCCATTTCGTTCCAGAACACTCAGAAGCCGGAGGTCTGTCCCAATCACAGTTGCGCCACCCCTTGTACATGCCATGCTTCCATGCTGCATCAGCATGCACCACCACAAGTCATGCACAATGGTCGCACAGCTAGCACCCTCCTCTACGGTATGTGCGACATAATTGGTGGCGATGCAGGAGCGTGGAGGAGTCTTGGCAACAAGACGCAGTCTACTGGTACAACTTCCCCACCCGCAAGGTGGGAGTTGTCTCTGTCAGACAGGTTGCGAGAGAAGGGTTGGCGTCCATACGTCCATACGTTCCGCCCACGCAAGCCAATAATGCTACCTAATGACCCTCCGCGTGTCGCCGTTTGGGTCCTCTCCGGCAGTCGCTGCCCTGGCTGACAGCGATTGGAGCATTGCTCCTGTCCCAAGATTGTGGTAGCAACATGCCGCCTATGCATGTCTGAGCCATCCCATCGCCATTGGAGGTGCGCACAACATAGGACCCGCTCTCAAGGCAAAGGCATGTTCAAAGTCCCGTCTCCCAAAGCCGGCCATGGCGCTGTCCGTGTGGAAAACCAGGTTCCGTAATGGTTGTCACGACTGAACCATTCCTGTGCATGGAGACGCCGAGACGGTCGAGCCAGCGCATCGTCAAACCAATTACTAACTAAACGCCACTTGTCGACCTGGTTTCTCAAAACAGCTTGCACCTCGCTGCTCAATCAAACCGCACCTATGATCGTGTGTGATCGGGTCGGCTTTTGCCCCGGACCTCGAGGGATCGAAGTCCTGTCATTTTTGTGCCGCATCAAGCAAGGGCCACGAACAGCGATAGCTGGGACCCTGACCTGCGGAGTGGCTCCATCCCCATCGCCAGCACACCACTTGGATCGGAACACTCCGAACAAAAGTCCACAGCGTCATATTGTCGTCCTGCCTGCCGGCCTGATAATCTACCCAGTATGTAAAGCAGGTACATGGCTTCCGCGCTCAGTGCACGCGAGGACCTATCCACCAATCACGAGCTGCTTCTTTCAGCACAAAGTCGGTATCAGAGTATGAGCCATGGCACATGAGACCGGGACGCAAATTGAACAGCATTGTCAGTGGTGCCGCCGTCATGAGACCATGCCGCATGTTTCTCAGCTCATCATGCAGCACACACGACAGCAGCGCCGGAGAAATGGACTAAGCGTTGCAACCTGAATCTCGCTGTAGAAACTAAGGCTGGTACTGCCCATTCAAGCCTTTCCTGGTTGCACAGCATTGTCTTCGGAACCCGGCAGCTGCCACGGCCGTAGCACACGCACAGGCGCGCACTCTTGGCAGATGACCAGTCTCTGTTCCACCTGCATAAGTCTGACATGAATCGTCAAGCACGCGTGAGTATAAGTGGCACAACGGCACGCAGAAGGGTATCTGACAAGTCGAACCGTAGATGGTGTGCCGATCACTGCGCTGCTACGGTCCACTTTTCCCGACGAGATGGGCCGAGCATCTGGGCTGGCGAGACCTGCCCACCGTGCTGGCTCCCAATAGGCGCACGGGTACCCGTGCGTATAATATTACACGGGTACCCGTGCAGATTCTGCTTACAGCTTAGCGTGTCTTAATTCCCGCCGACATCGCAATCCTGGATCCATATCCGGGGTGCACCCATATCAGCAGAAAAGGTCTGTCTTGACCTTCGCTGGTGATCTCAGGTGCTGTCAGCATACAATACTTTACGCGCTACAAAGCGCGCTGAGGTGCTTTCGTGTATTTCTTTTATTACCATTACTAGCCTCAGATTTGTCTCCCGATGGCAGCTACTAGTAGTACCCACCATTCATTTCCCGATGACAGTCTCCCTCCGGAAGGCACCTACGAGTCCCGAGATACCTTATTTAAAGCTATCAACGAGTGGGCGTACACAAGAGGCTACGCCTTTGTTACGAAAAGGTCAACAAAGGAAAAGACAGGCAGGCTCTCAGTCGTATATGCATGTGATCGATCATGTCGCGACTACGCCTCTGGAAGACCGCGCCAGCGAAAAACATCTACGCGAAGTACCAACTGTCCGTTCTCTGTACTAGCAAAAGAGTCACGAGACAGCGGCACATGGACAATACGACACCGACCCGACCCGCAGTTTGCCCAACACAACCACGAGCCAAGTTTACACCCATCCGCCCATCCTAAGCATCGCGCACTCGATACGGAAACGATCACTCGTCTATCTAGCCTCGCAAATGCTGGCGTCGCACCTAAGGAGATTCGAACGTACATACACCAAAACACGAGTTCGATTGCAACGCAGCAAGATATCTACAACCGAATCGCGGACAGTAGGCGCGAGATGTACGAAGGGCAGAGCACGATCAATGCCCTAGCTAACCGGCTTGACCATGAAGGTTTCTGGAGCCGTTTACAACTTGATTCGGAGAACCGCGTAAAGGCTGTGCTTTTCGCCCATCCAGAGTCGCTAAGCTATCTTCAAGCTTATCCGGATGTTTTAATCCTCGACTGTACCTACAAAACGAACAAATACGGAATGCCGCTCCTAGATATAATCGGAGTAGACGCTTCTCAACGATCCTTCTGTATCGCATTCGCATTTCTTAGTGGAGAAAGCGAGGAAGATTTCGTTTGGGCTCTAGAGCGCCTCCGGTCACTCTACGAAATTAGCAAATCCCGCCTACCTTCAGTTATTCTTACCGATCGATGTCTTGCTTGTATTAACGCAATCGCAGTATGCTTTCCTTCTGCTGCTTCATTGCTATGCCTTTGGCATGCGAACAAAGCCGTCCTTCGATACTGTCAGCCTTCATTCGCTATCCAGCTACAACTCCAGGACTCCGAAGCCGACAAATCTGCGAGACTGAAAGAGTGGCATGACTTTTACCAGCACTGGCACCAAATTATTCGTTCTCCCACCGAGGCAATATTCGATATCCGTATGTCGACATTTGAACAACGCTATATTACAACGCATGTACGGGACGTGGCCTACATTAAAGAGACATGGCTTGACCTGTATAAGGAAAAGCTTGTAAAGGCCTGGGTTGACAGCTACCCTCATTTCGGTAATGTTGTTACTTCGCGCGTCGAAGGTGTCCATGCGCTTCTTAAAAGTCATCTGAAAACGTCGACACTTGATTTGTTTGAGGCCTGGAGGGCTATTAAGCATGCGCTAATAAACCAACTTGGGGAGCTGAGGTCCAACCAGGCAAAACAGCAGATTCGGTCTCCGATCGAACTTTCCGGTCCACTTTATGGTGTAGTACGGGGTTGGGTATCACACGAGGCTCTTCGAAAGGTTGAAGAGCAGCGGAAGCTTCTCCAGACGAGCAGTCCGCTACAACGCTGTACAGGCATATTCTCTCGGTCGCAAGGCCTACCATGCGTTCACAAACTTGAGGCTTTGTTGTCCGAAGGAAAAGCCCTTTGCCTAGGAGACTTCCATTCGCATTGGCACCTAATCCGGAGCGGCGCGAAACCTTTTCTCCAAGAGCCTCGCCAACGTATTGATATGACTAGTACCAACACTTCTTTACCGCGATCAAGTAACCGAAGGGAGCCTAGCGGCTTTGAAGCTGTTGAAGTCGCGGCTAAGCGAAAGGGACCTTTAACCTGTACTAGATGTCACCGTCTAGGTCATTCAAGGACGTCTCGATTATGCCCCCTAAAGTACGCAGAGCTACAACTTCGAGTAGAGGCGGCATCGCAACAGCTACGAATAACACCAGAGCCGCCGGCCGACACGTCGATACCTGAAGCTACGATTGAATTATCGACGTGCAGACCTCAACATGAGTCGCCAATTCCCGAACTTCTTAATAACTCGTCGGCCCAAGAAGGGATTACGGAACAGATCTTAGAAGAGATCGAAGCTCGGCTCTCAGAAAACGACCAGCCCTTACGACGAGCTAAAGAACCCGTCTCAGAGTACGCCGAAGAACACCAGCAAGCTCCGGAGCAGCCTTTAAAATACAGTGACCCAAAAGCGATTTACCAAAGATACGTCGCTACGCGAGAGATCTGGAAGAAGTCCCTACTCCCGGGTACCTATGCGAGCAACCAGATGTACCGGCAGGCAATGGGTTTACCATTACGGTATAGTAAAGCGCAGTACGATTGGTGCTTAGACCATAAGCAAATGACGAGGCGTTGCTTAACGCGAGAGGGTGAACGGGCCTGGACAAGGGAAGAAATGATGGCATATTTGGACTGGGATCGGTCTGAGACGGAGCGAATCGATGTTCAGGTTGCCCAGGAGTCGACAAGCGGTCTAGCTAATCGAAGAGGTATGGGTGATGTGTGGAGGAGGGCGGCACAGGACTGTGAGGAGCAGCAAGTTCTTCACCGGGATGATGATGAGTGTATTATAGTTAAAGGTTAAGTCAAATACGTTATACGTGTAAGGCAACGCACATACTGTGATCGGAGGTCAAACAGCACCTGAGGTCACTAGCGAAGGTCAAGACAGACCTTTTCTGCTGATATGGGTGCACCCCGGATATGGATCCAGGATTGCGATGTCGGCGGGAATTAAGACACGCTAAGCTGTAAGCAGAATCTGCACGGGTACCCGTGTAAT